CCTTTGGATTTACTTCAAACTCTACAAAAACTATTTAAATAGTGTAATGTACTCATAAATATACTTATATTTTAGTATGGAGAACACTATAAAATTTTAAACTTGGCCCTGGCCCTGGTAGCAGCTTATAGAACCCCTAACCCATTGATTACAATCACCCCAATACACTAACACTTTGATGTATATATCAATGTATTATCTGGGAATTGAACTCCCGACCTTTTAGGAATGAATTGAGTATTTTAATTATAGTGTGGAGATAGTAATATTTTTGGTGTTTTTTAAAATAGAATATTACTTTTAATTGAATATTTTGATGAAAGTTGTTTAATTATGTGTATATGTATTGGATATCATCAGAATTAAGTTTTGAATCGAAGTTAAAAAATAGTAATTTTTGTGAGGAGAGTACTTCTTACTTAGAAATATTTTCAAGAATTCTCATTTTTTTAATACTTGAATAATTGTATAATATCCTTCAAAGTGGGATTAAATATGTATATAATACACTCTAATGTTGTTTTGAGACCTTTTCCATCAAGTTTGTAAGTTTTGAAAAAATTAATATGAGGTGAATACTTGGTACTTATAAATAAACAAATACTAATTTTTTAAAAAATTGAACATATATTAGGATATAGAGCATGTTTGATAACCTAATAATCATAGTAGTAGTTCGAAAAAGTAGTAAAAATTCTCAACCCTAAATCCCAACCATTTTTATTTTCTCTATACCCTATTAACAAGTCTCTCGCCGAGTCCTTCTCGATCAACAAATCGGACACTCCACAACTCATTGATGAGGTACTACTCAAGAAAGCTAAACAACACCTCAAGATTGAGTCCAAGTTTGAATCTCTCAAGAAGAAGTCCGAGTCCAAGAAGAAGTTCAGACAGCCATTCAACCATCAGTCGTCCTCATCCCCTGCTCACTACCAGTCTGCACCCTCGCAGCCACACTCTGGTAGCCGCAAGAACCCCCCAAAGCACCACGCCAAGAAGGGGGGGCGAAGCACCCCCTCCAACTAATTGGAGGGCGGCTAAACAGCTTCACCCGAGTGTGGAAAAAGATGGGTTTTCCACACTGGGCAGTCAACACTACCCGAGGTCTACGGGTAGGCCTACTCCCATCATTCCGGTCTCGTCTCTCAGTTCCGCCCCGAAAGATAGATCCGTCCCAAGAGCTGTGTGTCGATACCGAGTTGTCCACACAGCTCGAACTAGACGCTGTCGAGGAGGTGCCTCCGCCCACTCGCCTCCAGCGTCTCCGCCACCGCTTGTCAAACTCTCCTCGCCGCCGCCTGCTGTCCTCACCTCTCCGTCGCCGTCGTCTCCTTATGTCGTACTCTCCAGTGTTCACCGTGCAAGAAGGTACTAGTACCTATAGAGGTGAGAGAGGAGCTCAACCAGTGGTTGACTCTCCTCAAAAAGTGGAATGGCAAACAAATCACACCAATCATGTCCTACGATTACACCCTCCAGACCGACGCATCGGAATCAGGTGCTGGCGCCATCCTCCTGGACCGTTCGGAGTCGATTGTAGCCGAATGGTCCTGCCAGTGATCCCCAGCAGAGTCTTCCCTTTCGTCCAACCAAAGGGAGTCTCTGGCCGTCCTTCGTTCATTCCCCGTTCTATGCCGATCCATCAGACACCGAAAGGTTCTCATCAGGACGGACAACACCACCACCTGTTACTATATCCAAAAGCAGGGAGGTTCCATCGAGGGAATCTCCAGGTCAATAGAAACCTTTTGGAAGTGGTGTCTACGAAGGAGGGTAGTCTTGGAAGCGGAGCACATACCAGGTGTATACAACTCCCTACCAGACTATCTGTCGAGAAAGTCAGAGATAGACCATCTCAACTCGACAGTACCCTCTCTTCCTGTTCCGTCTCGAAGAGATCCATACGGGTGGTCACTCAAGAGGGAGGTCTTCCAAGACCTCATGAACAAGTCAGGTCACAATCTCTCAATCGATTTGTTCGCCTCAAGAGTCAACCACAAGCTTCCGTTGTTCTCCACCTTTCGCCAGAATGCTCTAAACCTGGATTGGGCTCAGTGGGAGAAAGTTTACGCCTTTCTCCCGCCAAACTTGATTCCCAAGGTACTAGAGAAGGTGAGGACAACCCCATCGACGACTGTCGTGTTATTATTCCCTTTATGGATGACAGCACCATGGTACCCTCTCCTCCGTCAACTCCTTCCAAAGAATTTGAATCCTCAAGTGCTTGGAACGTTCGAGGAGACTATGGATCCAGATTCCATAGCCCACATTCCCCTACGTCAAAGGGAAAAGTGGAAAATAGGGTACCTAACAGTTTCGTCCAAGCTTTGGATCTGATAATATCTGTGTATGACCAGTCGACTCGCAACCTTATCAAGTCGTCCTGGTCTAATAGTTCACTAGTTACATACAACAACTGTTGGAGTAATTGGGTGGACTATATAAGGTCAAGGAGAAAAAGAAACTGGGATGATTTCTCTTCCCTCAGTGTTTCTTCTTTCTTAACTTTTCTTTTTGAGAAGGGTTATGCCTCCAAAACCATCACAGTTATGAGATCTTGCATAGCACAAATTGCCAAGATCAGAGACAATCGCTCCGTCTCTGATGACTTTATGGTACAAAGGGTTATGTCTGGTATCGCTCACCAACGCCCTTCCAAACCCAAATACAACAATATGTGGTGCCCATTACTTATATTTGACCACATCCGTGATCAACATGCTGACTCAACCCAATTGAGTACAAAGCAATTACTAGCCAAGTCTGTTGTGCTCATTAAGCTCTTTTGTCTAGCTCGAGCATCGGATCTTGAAAAATGGTCATTCAGGTCTCTTGACCAGTCAATCACTAATTGTATTAGGGGTACCATTGTCAAGGCAAAGGAACAACGTAATAGTGACTCCCCATCTGCTCTGGTATTCAAAGGTATTAAGAAACCTTCTATATGCCCCCTTGCTACCCTCAGGGAGTACCTATCAAGGACAAAGGCCAAGCGTTCAAAGAAGTCAAAAGACGCCGTCTTTATTGACTCTTCCGGTCTCCCCCTTGTCGACAAGGATTTCTCGTCTATCACTTTATCGTTCCTGGATAAAGCCGGAGTAGATACCAATGTTTATAAAGCTCATTCAACTCGAGCGGCAATGGCCTCATGGTTATTGTTAAACGGTATTTCCCTTCATAGAGTGAAGAAATTAGGTCGCTGGAGATCAAACGCTGCGCTAGAGAAGTACTATGATATGGAAATTATAGATCAAGATTCAAAAAGGTCTAAAGTTTTTGTGTCAAAGTATTTCTAACCACTTCATATATATATTATAAATATATATTTATTGATAATTAATATTTTTAGTTAAAAATATATTTATCTGTAATAAATATTATTTATAATATAGCACCCGTCCCGCCCAACCCAAAGTCGGAATTCCATAAAACTGAATTGCTAGTTCGGTCCCTCGTCCCTTTTATCCTTGCTGTCTCGCCTTGTTCCTCAAGTCAAACCCGCCAAGAAAGGTCCAAGAACCTTTTTTTCTGCAAATTTTCTTTAAAAATTTTCATTGTTGAACATTCCGAAAAATCTCTTCAATGAAATTTATCTCCATTTTTTGGGATTCTCGATAAATAAGACTATTCATTCATATATATATTATAAATAATATTTATTACAGATAAATATATTTTTAACTAAAAATATTAATTTAAAATCAAATTTTTCAAAGAAAGAAATTTTACCTTAAAAGTATTAATTATTTTTTGAATGAATTTTATTTAATATTTAAATTGATTTAGGTAATAATGTTTGAAATCATAATATATAGATAATATCAAACTTTCATATCAATTGAGTTAAATTTAAAGTTTTGGATACATTTAAACAAAAACTTAAAAATTTTAGATTAAGGTTATTTTGTGGAATACTTTCAACTCCATATCATTTAATACTAATTTTAAAAATAGAATTCAAAGTTTCAAGTAAAATGAGGTAAATTATATTACTTGAAACTGTTTTTTTAACAATTAAAAAAAACCATGAGGGCACAGATAAAATATTGAAAAAGTTTTTTTTATATAAATAAAATAATACATTTACTTACCAAAGGAATGTTCAATGGTGAATATCAAAGTTTGAAGTTAATTGGGCTAAACTATAAAAATTTGAAAATCTAAAACCAAACAACCAAATCACTAAATTTTTAATAAAAAATGTTAGTTTTTTTTGCAAGTTTTATGTCTGCACAAAATTCAGATCATATCCTATCATATTGTAAAGGTTTCAAGTCAATAGACCTAAATGATAAAATTTACAAAAAATAAAAAAACAAGTCCCCTCATAGACTCCAATAAATATGAGATGAAGGTTGTTTTTTTAATTCTTTTATTACCACACCATAATAATATCTATGTAAAATGGAATATTCATAGTTTTAAACCAACAGAGTTAAACTATAGGATTTTGATCTCTTGTCACCAAATTTTAAAAAACTTAATTTCCAGATAATCTCAATATATTTCAACGATGATCATTTTTGTTAAATTCTTTAATATAAAATAGTATTAAACATTAAGTCAAGTGGTATAACCAATGTTTCTAATCAAAAAAGATATAAGGCTTCCAAAGTATGTAATTAACATTAAAAAAAAAAAAAATAGTTGAAAGACACATATTACAATCTAAGAGTTGTATTTTACGATCAAAAGGATGGAAAGTATTATAGAAACTTTTCATATTTTATTACATTGGTCATTACAAAGATTCCGATCAGTTTAATCGAAGAACTACTCTATTCAGAGGAAGTACGCAACCAATTATCGGATTTATTTACTTTTTTATTGACTAATTATAAAAGCTTATTTAATTTCAATTTTCCTTTTAAACAAAAATAAATTAGTAAAAGTCAATCTCTTGCTAAACTATTTTTTCATACTTTAAAGATTGTGCTTGTTGCTTTTTAATTAAACTAGAAATACATTTGACTTCATTTGTAAAGCTTGTGATAAAGTCTTGATCAGTTGTGTGATTTTGCATATTATCCAACACTAGTTGATGTTTTTCTTCGATTGATGTGATGATTGTATCGAAATATTTGATTAGTTTTGGTGTTTCGCATTTAATACTGTCAAATTTTAGTTTGCGACAGTCTTTGGTTGGAGGTTTCTAGAAATAAATAAAATAAAAAAATGAATATCATAAATTTAAATATATTAATTGTTTTTTTTTACTTACAGAAACCTCTATTAAAAAGTTACCAACTTCTTCAGCTTTACCAGAGATAAAAGAATTTGATCTTTCTAAAAACTTTTCCTTGCTAGAAAAGATTACTTGATTTGAAATGTTTTGAAGAATTTTCGTGATCAACGTGAGAGAACGGCGAGTCTCATTATTTGGTGGATTGGCAATGAGTTTGAGAGAGTCGGGACTAAAAAGTGCAGGATTAATGAAACGTAAAAATATAAAACCTCCAACAGATTTTACATTGTTATTTTCAAGTGGGAATTTTGCTTCTACACAATTGTAAATATGGTTACAAATAAAACGAAGTGGATCTGGGAATTGTAGACCAGAGACTGTGATGGCATCCAAAAAGATCTGGCAGTGATGTAAAAATATTCCAAAATTGGCTTCGACTTCAGCATCGCTTACACCTTTTGATGGGTCAACTTCAAACGTTATATTATTAATAATAATATTTAAAATATGTTTTTGTAATGTATCTTTTAAATATGTAAAACCAATTAATCTATCAAATTAATAATAAAATGTTAGGGGGATTAAATTGGCAATCAACAGAAATGTACATACTTGAAAAAGGTTACTGTTAATTTAGTTGCCAAAGAGTCAGTTCTAAAGAGGACATTTGGATCAATGGTTGAATTAATTTCGAGTGTCAAAATATCGGAAATGACAGAGAGAATACTTGATTGAGTTGACAAAGTATACAATAATGATTTTGTAAATTCATCAGAGATAATTGTTTTGCTAATTGATTTTGGTATAATATTTTGTTCATGATTTAATAACTACAAGAAAAAAAAAGAAAAAAAGAAATGAATTATTATTTTAATCTCTCATCATCATCATCATAATCTTTTACATACTTGAATAAAAGTTTCATATGATTGAAATAATATTTGAAGACGAATGTCTCCTCTGTTTTTTAGTTTCTTGCTAGCCTTTTTTCCTTGTATTGGCAACCATACATCCTTCATTCCCTTTCCTCTGTATTCATCAATGTTTATTGAAAGTTGTCCCATTCTGTCATCTTTAGAAAGCTTATCCTCGTCCCATATTTCAATGAAAATACTTGAAGAGCACTTTAATACATCACTACAAAAAAAAAAGGTAAAACATTGTTAATCTCTAACTCCTTCCCTTAATACGGGTACAATATGATTAAGTTATTAACATACAATACATATTCTTCACTATGCCATTGTGGGTTTAATGTCTTGTAAATGGTTTCTGTTCTATATATATCAGTAGTACTAGCTTTTGATTTATCGTATTCTTGTCCTGCTTGTAATAGAGTGATCAAACAGTAGGGATCACTCGTACCTGTGATATCTAATGCAAGTGTGTTTCTAGCCTCTACAATCTTTATAAATAATTTACCATAGTAATCTTTTGGTAAATCAAAAGATGTCATCCTCTCTCTCTCTCTATCTATTCTCTCTCTATTTATTACTAATAAATTTTGTAGTAGCAAAAAAATAAATAAAAAAGATTTTTTCTCGTGCAAGTCGATCAAAAAAACAATCAAACCCTTCATAAAACAGATAAATATATTTATTTTTATTATTTATTTATTTATTTATATTTATAAGAATGAATCAATTTATATATGCAATTATACTTAGATATTATTACGATTTTGAAAAGATTAGGTATTTTCAAGATGATGAGGACTTGAATGATAGTCATCGTTACAAAGAACGTTCAAAGGATAAAATTGTTTCCTTTGGTTACTATGAAAAGAACGAGGTAGAGGTGCAGTATCTTTTAATCAAAAAGATATTGCTTCCAATGTCATATGTTTGCAAGGTGTGGCTCAAGATACTACAATCGCTAGTAACTCATTATGCCATCTACTTTGGTGAACTCAATTTCAACTATGACCATCGCACATCAAAGCAAAAACACAGCACCATTGACATTTACTATCAAGGCGTCAAGAATCAACTTACCAAGACAATGTCACTTTTTCAGCTCGATCATATCACTACGTTACTCGTCAAGAAACATTTTTGCTCAGACGACGACAACTGTTGTCAAGAGAGGATATTTGATATTCTCAATTGGTTGCCAAATCTACAATCTCTAATCCTCTATACAAACAATCAACGCTGGGTAAACTCGGTTGCACATAATTTTCAACATCTTGAAAAAATCCAAGTGAGAATGGGAGTAGTATGGGTTGACGAAGAGAGTACAAGAGATCTTATTCCTCTCAAACATCCAAATATACAAATGGTGAGCGCACAAATCGAGATACCAGATCGGATTCGTGATGGTTCTTCTCCTTTTAAGTTTTATGCACCCATCCTCGACAAATTTATTCGTTACTGGCGCATTACTTCGTTAAACACACAATTTGATGATGGTCAGGCATTTATTCAAGACACTGGAAAGATCTATCGGAACCCATACACCCAACTATGCCAACACACAACACTCAAACATATACGCATTCGTGAAAAGGTGAACCTAACAGAGCTCACACTTTTAATCGATTTGAACCATTCAATAGAGACACTAGAATTTCATATGCATATTGAAATCCTAGTTGAAGCCGTAACAGATACGGATCCGTCTACCAAAACCAAAGAATCACAATACACCTACTCTCAAAATACGCTAGACCACTGGAATATTTTTTGTAAATCTCTTTCCAACAACTCAACCATTACCAACCTCACCATCAATCAAACAAACCCTATAAACTCGATAGATAATAATAATATAGACTCGACTATTGATTATTCATCAATTACCAATCCCTTTTCTGCGATTTGGGATATGAATCAAACTATTCAAAACCTTTATTTGGAGATCCCAATCTTTTATTCAACTAGCTTTTTCAAATCAATGACCAACAATCAAACAATAAGGCAACTTTCACTCTTCTTTGCTCACGAAATTATATCACAACCTTTCTGCGAAATGATTCACTACAATCAAACTTTGGTAGAACTAAATTTTGATTTCTTTTTCAATTTTGGACAAGAACTTTTGGATGCACTCTTGGAAAACAAATCCATTCAAATATTACAAGGCAGGGGTATTGAAAAGGATATTTTAAGGAAAATATACAACCAAGTAGATAATATTATTTATTTGGGAATCAACAAGAAAGAAAATCAAGGTGAACTAAATTTAATCAAAACACCTTTGGAGACTAAAACCATCATTCCTTATCAAGATAAACCTCATTCTCACTCTCGTAGAACATCCATGGGTTATTTTAGTTATTTTGTAAATTATTAAAATAAATTTAAATTTAAAAAAAAAAAAAAAAAAAAAAAATTGGCGCCAAATATGTCGTTTTAGACCACTGATCATTTAGTTTAGATAGATTTTCATTGTTATGTTTATTTAAAGAAGAAGAAGAAGAAAAAGAAGATAGAAAAGAAAGGAGAGATGGCAGATGATGATAACCATTCAGCAGATATCCATGAGTTTGGGTATTTCTTGGAAGACAATGTAAGTCAAATGATCAGCTGATGAATATATCAAATTGATTGATTCTTACCTTTATATAAAGTCATTTAAATACCAAGATTTGATTAAAAGAATGATTGAAGATGGAGAACAACGTTTAATTATAGATATTGATCATATAAGAAAGAAGAATGAAAAATTAACATTAAAGTAGGTACCACCACCAAGTCAGAGCAAGATTTTAAAACTCTCCTCCTTACACTATCTTTCTTTCTATCTATCCATCTATCTAATCAATTTAATCAATTTAGAATATTAGAAAGACCAATAGATTATATTACATTATTTCAAAACTCTTTATTTACAAAGGTAAAGAAGTTAAGATTGGAGATGATCAAAGAGGATGAAGAGGAGAGAAGGGAAAATGGTGATACTGAACCTCCTCGGATTCCTCAGTTGTTTAACAATTATTTTCTTGGATTTACTGGTAGTTTTGGTGCATTTCATGTTACACCTAGAGGTCTAAAGGCATCTTTTATTTCCCATATGGTTTGCATTGAAGGCATTGTCACAAAGTGTTCATTGGTTCGACCCAAAGTGATAAAGAGTGTTCATTTTTGCGAGGCTACTCGTGAGGTGACTACTAGAGCCTATGCCGACAACACATCTGACACTGGTATTTCAACTACTTCTTCATATCCAACCAAAGATCTCAAAGGAAATCCACTTACAACCGAATTTGGTTTGTGTGAATACAAAGACAGTCAAGTGATTGCCATCCAAGAAATGCCAGAACGTGCACCAGCAGGCCAATTACCAAGATCAGTAGACATTCTTTTGGATAATGATTTGGTAGACAGACAAAAGCCAGGTGATCGTATCCGTGTTGTCGGTGTATACCGTGCACTACCAATTTCTACAGGAGGTCTTAGTGGACCAGCAAGATTCCGTACAGTGTTGGTTGGAAATAACATTATCCCCTTGACAGAGGATATTCATGGTCCAGTTCTCACAATTACCGATATGAACAACATTAAAAAATTTGCATCCCAAAAGAATGCCTTTGATATCATTGCATCTTCTCTTGCTCCTTCCATCTTTGGTCACGAATACATTAAAAAGAGTTTATTATTGTTGTTACTTGGTGGTGTAGAAAAGAAATTACATAATGGTACTCATCTTAGAGGGTAAGTAACAAATAATCCTATTTATAGATATTTATAAATTTATTTACTCATTTTATATATTTTATTTTAGTGACATTAATTTATTAATGGTTGGAGATCCTTCAACAGCCAAATCACAATTACTCCGTTTTATTTTAAATGTAGCCCCATTGGCAATCAATACAACTGGAAGAGGTTCTAGTGGTGTTGGTTTGACGGCTGCTGTTACATCAGATTCGGAAACAGGAGAAAGAAGATTAGAGGCAGGTGCTATGGTCCTTGCCGATCGTGGAATTGTTTGTATAGATGAATTTGACAAGATGACTCATGACGATCGTGTTGCCATTCACGAAGTAATGGAGCAACAGACAGTGACCATTTCCAAGGCTGGCATTCATGCTTCACTAAATGCTAGATGCTCGGTAGTTGCAGCTGCCAATCCAGTCTATGGCCAATACAATAGACACAAGAAACCTCATGATAATATTGCCTTGCCAGACTCTTTATTATCTAGATTCGACCTTTTATTCATTGTTTTGGATCAAGCAAATCCAGATCATGATAGATTAATTTCAGAACATATTCTTCGTATGCATAGATATAGAACTCCTGGTGAATTGGATATGGGTAAGTGAAAAAAAAAAGACTAAAATATTATTGATTGATTTATTTATTTCTTTTTCATTTAGTTATACATGGTGAACATTCATCAGTTTTAGGAGGTGAAATGGAACCAGTTGCTCAAAGTGGGACTATATCAACCCAAGGTGAAGAAACACCAGTTTATCAAAAATATGACAAATTATTGCATGGTAACCATGGAGCCACAGAGATTTTATCAATCCCTTTTCTTCAAAAATATATTTATTATGCCAAGCAAAAATTTGTACCAAAATTAACAGACCAAGCCAAAGATTATATCACCCAATCATTTGTAGAGTTACGATCAAGAGACGACGAAAAAACATTGCCAATCACCACTCGTACTTTGGAAACAATGATCCGTCTTTCAACAGCTCACGCCAAATGTCGATTATCAAACGAAATTGAACGATCAGATGCAGAAGTGGCAATAGAAATATTAAAATTTGCTCTAACCAGTGAAACTAAAGTTATACCAAAACCAAGAAAAGAGATCAAACAAAAGAATGACAATCAAGATCAAGAGATGAAAGATGAAAAAACAAATGAAGAAGAACAAACGACAAAGAAAATCAAACAATCACATGATACTACCCAACCCTCGAAACCTGTTGGATCATCCAGTCAAATGAATCAAAATACTTTGGATGATTTTGCTAAACGATTAAACAAGGAATTGGCCAAAAACAACCAAACTGTTGATAGTATTAAAAAAGTTTTCACAAAACGTTTTGGTGACAAAGTTGTTGATGAAATGCTTAAAATATTAAGTAAAGAAGGAAAGATTCATATCTCTGACAAAGGAAATGTTAAAAGTTTACTTACTTAATAATAATAATAATAATAATGATAAATAAAATAAAATAGCTTTCTTGTATAATAAATTTTATTATTTCATTTAAATTGTTTAGGCAGAAGGTTGGGTAACTTTTTGTTTAATGGTGATACGTGCACCAAGACTGACAGCAATACCTTGAACCTTTGATCTAATTCTAATATAACCTACAATCTTTCCATCGCTTTGTTGTTTTTCGATACATATATTTGCAAGTGCATGTTCTCCAAATACACTCTTGGCACATAAATTGGCCGACAAGATGCCAGTTTCATTTGATAATTCAATGTTTGGTGTTAATACACCCATATTGGTAATCTTTGAAATGTGTTGTACATATTGAAGAAGATCGCTAAAAAAAAAAAGACAGGATGAGTAAAAGAATATTTTTGTTTTTTTGTTTTTTTTATACATACGTAATATTTGTATAAACTGGGATCTTGTTTTCCCATTCAAACTCGGCCCAATGCAATCTAAACAAGACGTCTGTGTATTGATGGTTGATTGGACGAATATAATCAATGATATCTATGTTGATTTCGTTGAGAATGACGCAGTTCTTGTCAGATATTTGGCTGACGGCACCAGCAATGTCGAATACGATGGTTCCCATGACAACACCATTGTCGGTTGAAGAAACTTTGATACTGGCCTTGACAACTTGCTTTTCACGTGGAGCCATTGTGAATGGTGGAACTCTCTCACAAATCTTGAGATCTCCCAAAGTCACAAGTTCAAGAGTGACATTTTGAAGAGTGTCATTGGTTTGATTGAAAACTGAAATCTCCAAAACAATATCATACTGATGAACCTTTACATATGCTTCAGCATAGATTGGATCCGAGAAACCTGTAAGTTGATAAATCTTGTTGTGATCATTTTGATCATTGTTTTCAACAACCAAACCAACAGCTCTTCCTAAATCTAAAAAAATAAGATAATAATAAAAAAAAAAAAAGTGAGTTAATTATTGTATTTTTATAAATATTATTTTTGCTTACCATCATCAGCATCTTCGATTGGACCAAAAGCTCTTTTAGATTTTAATTGTCTAATTGAAACAATTGAATTTGGTTTGACGACCAATTCCTTGTTGATCTTTTTCTTGTTTTCATTTTGTTGTGACAATTGTTCATCAAGATAGTTTGAAAAAGATTCTCTACAATCTTTAAGCCAAATTTCCCTTTAAAAAAAAAATTAATAAATTAATATATTAATATTAACATAATTATATTAATATTATTATTATTTACATACTTGACAGTTTCATTACGATTTGATAATACATAGAGACAAGAGATGATTCTTTCATATGAACCTCTTGATGTGGAAGCGAGTGTCTTTTTGGCTAAATTGACAAACATGACCATAACCAACATGACTTGAGCTCTTAATTTGTTTAGTGATTCAGTGTCCATATTTAATTCTTCAGCCTTAAAGTATAACTTGCCCAATGATGACGAAATGCAAGAAGCAAGATACCATCCTCCATCAGTAATTAATTCTAAAAAAATAAATTAAAAAAACAGGTTAGTTTTTGTTTTGTTTTGTTTTTTTTTTTAAATTTACTTGAAATTGTAACTTGTTGAGGTTGTTTGTTCTTTGGTTTAATTTCATTTTCGTCGACTGGCTTTGGTTTGATGATATCTTTAATATCTTGGTTGATTGATTCAAAAGCATGGTTTATATCTTCCAAACAAGAGACATATTCCGATATGATCCAAGTTGCAACACGATAAACCTTTGAGATTTTAATAAGAGACAACGAGTCTATTAATTTTTTGACAACATTGGTGCGAAGATCAGGATATGATTCGACAACCTCTCTCACAAACACAACGACATCAACAGCCGATTGCTTGTAGCTGTCACCCAAAAATTCCATCAACAATGGAACAACATTGCCCAATGCTTCGGGATACTTGAGAGATGATTGGTGGATGGTTTTGATCAACAAGTGTCTGTAATCCAATCCCTTGTCAAATTCCTTTGATTGAGTCTTGTTAATCTCCTTTTTCAATACCAAAATGATTTCATCAATATTCTTGGGTGTAATAGAATCCATTACAATATTTAATATCTTTTTGCAAATATCAATGTTTGGGCTATATATATAGAAATAAAAATAGAACTATTAATATATATTCATTGATATAATTTATCTGTTTCATATTTTTACCTTGATAAAGCTCTTAAAATATCCATAACTAGGTCTTGCATTACTTTACTATGATTCTTTTTGATTTCCAAAAGTTTGTCCAAAACGATCATCTTTACATTGTTATCACTTTCGTTGCACAACAAATCAATATAGGCCGATGCAGCTCCCTTTACAGCGGTTGGTGCAGATGAAAGTGACAATAGAGTACCAGCACTTTCATATTTAACAGCTGGGGATGATGAATTTAATAATGTAAAAATACATTTCATATATTTTGACTAAAAGAAAAAATAAAATAAATAAATTAATGACCTCTCTTATTATTTAATATGTATACATACTCTTTCAGATGGGTTAGTCTTGCAAACCTTTCTAATAAGTTCTACAACAATAAATTGAAGCATATCACCAAATGTTGGAACTTGATCCAATACGGTACTAAGATATTCAACTGCCTTGTCTGGAGCACAATTAAATAACATTATAAATGCATTTCTCTTGCATGATGCATCTCCTTCCTATATAAAAGAAAAGAAAAGAAAAAGAAAAGAAAAGTTTGTGTGAGAAAACAACAATATCCTATCCTATCCTATCCTATGCTATCTTATTGTTGGGATTACATACGACCAATAAAAAGTTGTAAACAAGTTCTGGAGCATCTGGGATGAGATATTCAAAACTGTTGTAGATATTGTAAATGGCCAAAACAGCATTTCTTCTGACATAGGCATGTCTGTATTCTAAATTGTTTCGTACTTGTACAACCAATGGTTCTAATACCTCTGCTTCTCTTAATTTACATAAGAATCTAAGTGTAGAACCTCTAATAAATTCATTTGGATGAGTAAGATCATTCAATAATGAATTGCTAAGAATAGAAAAAAAACGGCGGTTATTAATAAGTTTTGTACAAACTATATAATATATATATCTCTATTGAATTCTTACCAAACCAAAATCATTTCAGATTTTAATTTACCGAGATGAGTCTTTTCAATAACCTCCCAATAGATGAGTAATAGTTTTTTGATGTAATGATCTCTTGATGGCATTACATAGAGGATGATAGGCATAAGAAGCTGTGGGATTGGTTCACCATTGATAGTGTAAAGTATAACCTTTTTTAAAGTCTCTATCTTTTGTTCGATGGTACCGTGTTCAAAGGTTTGCTTAAACTCGTTGATTTGTGGTGGATCACCCTTGTCATAGTGAATCAATATTGAACAAGGCTTCTCCATCGATCCTGAACTAGTTAATGACATATCTATATCTAATTTAAAACTTTTTAATAATAATTGTCTCTAGAAGCAAGAATGATGATAATGATGAAGTTGGTTGATGACTCAATAGATTATTCAAAAAAAAAAAAAAAAAAAAAAAAAAAAAATTGAAAACTTGAAGTTCAAAAAGTTTTATTGTTGTTAAAGTGAAGCGTCACCTGCTCTTTTCAATTCTTCTTCAACTTTTGGTAACATAGTAGTAGTAGTAGTGGTACTAGTGACATTAGAGGGAAGTTGAATTGGTTGAACTATAGGTTTGACAGAATCAGCTCCGGTCATCATCTGTTTAAACAACATGTTTTGCATCTCGATTTGATTCTTTTGTAATTGATGCATTTGTTGTATTTGCATTTGTTGTATCTGCATCATATTCTGAATACTCTTTTCTAGTTGTGATTGATGTTTTTGTTGTTGCAACATCATCATACTTTGTGGTGACGTTTGTTGTTGATTCTTTATCGTAGTGGTAGTAGTCATCACACCAACATTGTTGTTGTCAACTCTATGATCATCTATATTGTCTTGTTGTTGTTTGTATTGTTGTAACGAATGTAGTGGAGTTCTAAACTTGGAACCTGCAGTTTGTTGGTATACAGTTGTAGTTATATGTGGAGTTTTATGTGATAGTCTTTGAGTTTGTGGTGTAGATGGGTATTGTGGTGGCTTTGGTGTTATTGGAGGAGCGACGACTACCACCGAGGGTTTAGTTGGTGTTTCGTTAGGAGGAATAAACACTGGTGGAGGTGGTGGTGGTTGTGGTGGCTCGAATCCATGCGTTGATGATAGTGGTGCTGGTGAAGGAGGAGGAGGTGGAGGAGGTGGAGGTGGAGGAGGTGGAGGTGGTGGGGGAGCAATAGGAATATTGGTTTTGTATGTACTTGCTGTGGTTGGATTATAATTATATCCAGAATTCTCCATACTTAAAGATTGATGTTGATTTTCCTGTTGGTTAACAAATATTTGACGTTGTTGGTGTTGGAATTCAATTGGATGTTGTGAAATATAGATTGGTGCACCAACAGATTTAGGGTCACGATGATTCAATAATAAATGTTGTATCATAGGGTCAATCTTTCCAGAATTTTGTTGTACAATAATTGGTTGAATATATCTATCCAAAGGTGACACATTTCTGTATTCTATTATTGGATTTGGATTTGGAGGATGAACAACAATAGGTCCAATTGGAGCGGCGGCCAGTGTTGTACAACTAGTGGTAGTGGTAGTGGTAGTTTCACCTTTTAATATCTTTTGTTCTTTTAGTGGATTTACCATTGTATCTGGACTATAAATCTTGAGCATGTCGAGAATCTTTACAAAAATGTAATGCTTGGCAGCATCTTTACATTTAATTAAATGACTCTTTCTCTTTTTTGGATGCAAAACTCTAACACGATTACTTTGGTCGACTTTGAGACGGATAGCATATTGTTCCTCCTCGACATAGATGATTGATTCATACTTTACTGCAAATTTAGTACGGAATCCATCTGTATCTTTTAGACAAATGATACGTTTGTTGGTAAACAAAATGGTGCGTCTATTTTTGTAGATTAAATGTTGAATGTACTTTTCATCTTTTGATATCATCTCTGAGAGAGGCTGGTTAATTTGATCGGGTGTTAGGCGTTTGAGTTTTCCTTCAGATATCATATTGGTAAGGAACAAGAATTGACCATAGGCTTCAACATCGTCATATGGTCGTAATGGTAGGTCAGAAAAGAGAGGACGAGGGAACCTGATTCTTCGTCGTTCGATATTGAGTTGAGTTGAGTTTTTGACACCTTCAGAGAATTTACTAACAAAATCAAATCCTCCAGCTACTGGTTTGAGTACAAGACCAGCAACACCTTTTCCGATACCTTTTATGGCACCAACAGCTCCTTCCTTTTTGGCACCATAATAAGGTAGACGACCAACACCAGTTAATGCTCGATGCAAGGCAATGACAGCAGTCTTTCCGCCCAAAGCAAACCCTTGAATGACATTGCTTGGTGTCTCTCCAACGATAAACTGTCTTTCTATAATGTATTGAGGATCCATCGACATGTTGGCCAATGCCTTGGCTCCACTCGACGATAGTCTTGTTCCGCTATCAAAGAGTCCATAGACGGTATGCTTGGCAAGACTCTTTGATCCAGCCGATACACCAGTTCTAAAGGAAGTTTCTTCGGGTCCAACCAAACCACGTCCAGTGTTTACAAAAAACTCTTTAAATCCAATACCAAAGTTTTTAAACAATCCAATTGGATTACCCAAAAAGTTGAATGTACCCAAAATCTTGTATGCTTCTGACAAACCTTCAGAGAGATAATGTCTAAAGAGTGGATTGAGAAGCTCTGCATTTGTTCCAAAGGCATGAGAGAATTTAAATTGATGCAAAAAGATGTGGGCATTTTGGAAGCTAACTAATACAAATCCAATTCTTCTAAATGCACGAACCATTGGCGCATCCAATGCTCGAATGGTTGATCCACCAGATTGTTTGGCCAAATCAAAGGTAAGGTAACAACTTATGGGTTCGATTGATAGAGTTTCAAAATACATCTTTTTACCATAGATTGATGGTAAAGCACGTTGTATCATTGTGTCTATGAATCCATCACCAATATCTTTTTGATAGATTGGTTTTAACATGTCTACATTGTGCAATGCTTTTTTGGTTTTTTTGTTTCCTGTCCAAAAAGAGAAATCTAAACTATTAAAGAAATCCAATAATACATAAAGGAATTTCTCTTCTACTCTAATATTTAATTCTTGAATTCTCAATGAAACATGATGGAAATAATCTATATTTTTCACTGTTATAAAAAATAAAAATAAAAAAATAAATTAATTTTTTGTTGTTTTTCTTTTTCTTTTCTTTTTCTTACTTTTGTTTGATTTAATTAGTTTAATATGAAGGAATGGTAGGTTTGGATCATTCTTTTCAGAGGCAAAAAGTAAAACAGGATGAGAAAAGGGATTGACTTTTGAGAGTTGATTGTCAATTTGAAGATTATCCAATTTCATTTCAATCTGTTGAATGAAATTTGAATAATAATAGTCGGTAGAGATTCCTTCGACAAAGACATACAACAACTCTGTTGGGTTTGAATTGATGAGCGATACTCCAACACCTCTAATATTCATTCTAATATGTTGTATTGAGGTTTCTTGATCTGGTACAACGATAGCTTGGTAAGTTGAATCGGTCAATGTAAGAACTCTTGTCGATTCTTCTGCCTCTACCACTGCTTTAACTATAATTGCTTGACCTTGATATCCAAAATCAATTGGTTTAAATATTTTAATCCTGTCAACCTTTACAAAGGTTTTACATAAAACTTTGTTGTTTGATGATGACGTTGCTGATGGATGATCATTGTTGTTGTTGTTGGTTTGATCAACCAATTCTTCTTCTGTCAGTTTGTGAGAGGCAACATCATCGATTTGTACATTTTGTGAGAAAAAGTGTACCTCTAAAATGTGTTCGTCCATTGGTTCATCCCAAACAAATGGTATTGATTGTTTGGCACCGACAAATATCGATTTTCCACACTTCTTTTGTCTAACAAGGATTGGGAATTGAGTCATGTTGTTAATCTTGTAGGGTGGATCATTCAACTCGGTTGCAATGATAAATAATGTTGCACCTTCCAAACATGTTTGAACTTTAAGATATTTTAATTGGTGTGGATTGATTAAAGAGTTGTTTGATTCAGAAGAAGAAAAAGAAGAAGAAGAAGAAGAGGAATCTTGAGTTGCATGTTGTTGTTGTTGTTGTTGTTGTTGTGTGAGAGAGTCAACAATTTGAGGGTTCTGTTTTCTATAGATTTGATACTTTGATGGCAGATTAAATGAATAATCGGCAACATTTTCAATCAAAAACCCTGGTGACCAACCATCATCATTATTCCCATCACCATAGTCCATGTCAAGTTTTGTTGAAAGAAGATTTGTTTTTGAACGGTGTTCAAGGAAATAATAAAAAGGTATTTTCTCTCCAGTGCCTACACGTACTTGATTATCAGTACCCAATTGTTTGAAAATGAGTGGATAAGGGAATTGGTTGAAAAAGATATAACGTGGAGCAAAAACAATGATCTTTGTTTTAAGATTAGGTGCAATATCTACTGAAACACCAACATCATATACCCGATCTGAACTTTCACATTTGATCTCTTTGGCCATATGTTTTGTGGTGGTAGTGGTGGTAGTGGTGGTAGTGGTTGTGGTCTTTGATCTTGTTGTGAGTGTATTCACAGCCAAAGAAGTTCCTTGATGCGATTGATGAAATATAGAGTTCTTTTTATCACTAAATACCTCAACTCTTCCTCTGTCACCAATAGCAGCAATCGATACTTTGTTTGACCACTCTGAATCTTGACCAACTCGCAGACGAATTGAGCTATCAATATCTTTTGTCTTTTTGAATGAAAACATGATTGGATTGACCTTTTGGTTGTGATCTTCATACCATTGGTAAGGATCTACAGCTATGGATGTCTTTTTGTTTTGAGGATTAATTTGTTGTTGCTGTTGTTGTTGTTGATGTTGTTGATGATGATTATTATTTAAATAAACGGTACCATCATTATATTCTTTTGACTGATAAGTTTTTTTACAGTAAAGATTTAAACCAGTCTTGTTGAATATCCAATATTGATTGTAGAAAATAATCTTTCTAACTCCATTAATGGATTCAAATTCCATATTAACATGAAGTGGTCGATCATTATAAGTGATATGAATAGGATGGATATTTTGGTTATCCAATTGTTCTAGAATAATTTTTTCTTCGCTCCACGTATCTTTTAATTTGAATCGAACTTTAAACTTTTCCAAAACTCCAATGTCATAGACCTCGTCCTTTGTTTCTGGTCCCAATTTGTGTTCAGTCACATTGTTTGAAAATATTAATGCTGGATGATGACCATGGTGGTGGTGGCGGTGGTGCCCACTAGAGTGGTTGACTGCTGCTGGATAACTTCCTCCATTTAATTGATAGGTAATTGGAAAGGGTAATAGGTTTTTAACCTTTAGCATTGGACATAATCTAATGATTGAACATCCTCCCTTTAGTTTTACATGACACTTTACGACAATAGTCTTTTCTCCATCAATTGTGCAAGATGTAAACATGGCAGTATCTTTGGTATTATTGACATCCAATGTTTCAGTGGACCACTTGAATTCGTTACCAGAGGGTTTAATCTTGATAAGAGCATCCTTCATTCGAGAAGTAGAGGTTGGAGCTCTTACTTGGCGAGACTTTATGATTGAAGACATGTTGGGAGGTTGAGCAATGGCAAAGCCAGATGAAACGGTTGCCACATCAACAGAAAACGATGTCATATTTTGAAAGATGATGGGGAATCTTAGTGTTATAAACTTTGTTCCTTTTTTGATGGAAACGTTTACAAAAAGAGTTGTAGATGTGGTACTGTCCAATTGAACTTGATACTCGTAAGTTTTGAGTCTATCCATTGGAACGGCAATTGTCTTTTCGATACCCAATAACTCGATAGACATTACCAACTGATTGAATGTTTCCAAAGAGACTTGAACATCGGGAGCAAATTTGATGGGCATTGATTCACCGGGAATTAAATCAAAATAGATACCATAGCCTTCAACTTGAACCACTTTTTTACCGTCACCACATTCATTCAAGACACCATCTACTTGTTTTCCTTCATGAGTCTCTAAACGATAACGAATCCTTGAACCCGTTTGATTACGAACAAAGAATGGTGCATAGGAAGACTTCCAAGCACCACTTCCATGTTTCTCGCCAGACGATAGTTTTTTAATCTTTCCAGTCAATACAGTCAACGAGTCTTTAAGTGCTTCCTCACTTGATCGTAAATCCTTTTCTTGTGGCTTTGCAATCAAGTTCCATGGATAACCAAATTCTTGACTATAGGTAGTGAGGAATAAACTGAGATTGTCCATCATTGGGATGGTGATATTGAGATTTAACAGATCCGACGATGAGAGATCGATGGAAAACTCTTTTGAGAATGTCAAAAATGATTTCAACATCCACTGTTCGAGAAAAGGCTCCCAAAAAGCAATACGATTGTTGAAATAGTCCAATGAAATGACTGCATCTATATCTATTTCTATTTTAGTCTTGATCATCATTTTGATAAATCCATAGGCCATCTTGAAATTGAAAAGTGGAGTATTCATATGATTCTTTGTCAAATCGTCAACAACTAAAACCTCCATATTTTTAAGACTAATAGAAATTTGGGTAATAGCTTTCTTATGGATGGTATTTTGAATTTGTCTTGGTGATAATTCTTCATCAAAATCATCTTCCCAACTACCACTTTCAACCCTATTTCCTGCTGCTGTTGCTGCTGTTGCTGTTGCTGATGGTAATGAAGTTGTTGTCTTTACTATTCTTGGTGATTCTTCTATTGGTGATTCTATAAATTCATTACTATTTCTTAGACGTGATCTGACTTTGGTTTGATGAACTCTCAACATTTCAGCTGAACGACATTTTAGATGATATAGTTTGTTCATATCACTATTGACAGTTGGCACAGATTGATTTGATCCAACAACTATGCCAGATTCTGTAATTGTTGGTTTTGGAGTGGTGGTAGATTGGTCATCTCTGAGGTGTTGTAAATTGGGTCTTGCCAAAATATTTGGTACTGATGGTCTTCTTGCACGAGGTGGTTGTGGTAAATTAAGTGACATTGAAGGACTAGTCGTAACGACTGCTGCCTTTGCAATGGGGGTATCAAAAGTTGTTTGTTTCTTTCGATATGGAATCGGTGTCTTTGATGGAGAACAATTGTTGTTAAACTGGTGAGTTGCTCTCTCGTTGTCAACGACTTGACTGGCTGCGCTCTTGATTTGTCTATTATAGAGAATAGTTTGCAATGTTTCATAGATACCAAGCAAATAACGATATGATCGACCAGAAAAACTAATGATCAAATTGTTCAATTCAAGGAAAAAGAATTGGTTTCCATCTGGCAAGAGAGCAATGTGAATGTTGGTACTAAAATCTTCAATAAAGATTCTAGCACTTTTATGAAGAGATTCCCACATTGCTTCTGTTCGATTGTAGGAATAATGTCGAGAAACAGGCTTTGAGTTGGTACGACCATTGTGGTAAAACAAAGAGGCTGAGGAGGAGTGTTTCATTGCACTAGCAAGAGGACTTGACACTGTGGTGGTTGATTTGTTTGCCAATAATCCTTTATGACATTGATAAGTGAGTAGTAATTTCATTAAACCATCTGCACCAAATTGAACAGAAGATGACATTTCACTGCTCATCAACATAACAACTCCCTTTTCATCTACCAAACTACCAATCATTATATTTGCACATTTCACTTTTAATTCAATTGACATGCTAAGTATCCATTCTTTTGATATTATTGATGGTCTTTGAATATTTGTATACTCTGGATCTGATAATGGTGATAAAAATGTCTAAAATAAAAAAATTATAAATAAATAAAACAATTAGTTATCTATCTATATAAATATATATATCTTAAAATTTTTTACTTACAATTAATTTATCAACCCAATTTAAATCAATAAAGATAAAAAGTCGATTAATTGTTATCGAATTTCTATTTACTGATCCACCATTTGATACTGAAAGAATTCTGAATCTGCCATCAACCATTTCTTGAACATCACTACTTGAGATTGAAAGTATTTCCTGGTGTGGTGGTAATGCTTTGTTCTTGTCACTAATTGCTAATCCTCCAACTGAAAATGATATTTCAATATCTCCATTGTTATAATAATTTAAAAACCCTAATGGTTTATTCACTATTAAACAAAAGAATTTATCCTCTCTTTTAGAAAAAAACAAAAAAAAAAAAAAAAAAAAGATTAATATTAATATCAGTCATTGTTTAATTGTAATATTTTTACATACTTTGTTACTTCATCTTCAAGATTAAGATTAACTGAATCTGTAATATCTAAAGTTAGACTAACTAATTTACTTTGTCTTTCCTTTGAGTATTGGGACGATAGAGGTGTAGGAATTACATTTTGGTTGATATTTTGATTGAAAACATTTACCAATAGATTGTATTGGTATTGATTGAGCAATAGTTGAATATATTCAATTCTCATCATAATCTTTAATTCAGAAGATGTCTTTGATGTTTCAAAAAAATAAACAAAACTGAGATCAACATTGATTGGTCTTTTAATAATAGCCTAAATAAATTAAATAAAATAAATAAATAAATAACAACATTATTAGAGAGATTTGTTATGTTTTTTACTACAATTTGTTACATACATTTTGAATATCTAATTGACCATTATATGAACTGACCATAACATCAATGATTTTCATAAAGATTACATCGGCAGCAGGATCAGTTTGATCTAACCAAAGTGAAACTTTACCAACACTAAGTATAATCGATTGTTTTGAATTTGGATTCTTTGGAAGAATAAGAGTATGTTCATCGATTGTAATGTCCAAGTTGGTAATTGATTTTCTTTCAAATAGAATCTCTTTTTGTGGTTGTTCTGATTCAAAGTCACCTCGGTCGGTTTCTTGATTATCTTTGGTATCTTTGGGATCTTTGACCTGTTCGATAACATATAGAGTAGGGAAACTTTCTTTGAATGAAGTACTGATATCGTGACAAAATACTCTTACCATACAAATGGTTTGAAAGAGTAGAGTCAATTGAATCTTTCCAATAGCGACCTGTACAACTCTATTGTGACCCCATTCCTTTTGTTTTTGCATACTGTGACTAACTACATGCATCTTTACGATTGGTACTAGCTTTGGATGAGATTGATGTGCAATTAAAATATCTCTATGTAATCCATCCGGTCTAGATAAATCCAAGAATTTCATATCTCCTAAAGATAACTGTAAAAAGAGTTGTCAATAAAATGGTCTAATAGAGAGTAAAAAATAAAAATAATAATAATAATAATAATGTGGACATACATTAAATTCAAACAATGGTAATTGAAATACACCATTAATATCGACCTTGTCAAATTGAAAAGATGCAATATCAAAGTCACTTGCACTGAGAATCAAAGAAAAGCTTGGAACCTGTAAGCATATCTTTGTTTTCAGATCATTTGGATCAAATTCTGTGACATCTAAACGGTCAGACAACTTCTTGGGCTTAACCTTTGGTCTGTGTTGATGGTGCAGTAGACGAGATAACGAATCTTCATATCTCGAACCCTCGATGGTTAGGATTGACTTTTTCTTTTCGTGGAAACGATTGGCATCTGAAACTGCCTTTCCAAATATTTGTATCAAAGCTACGATACATTCCTTTGGGAGATTAACTCTAACGTATTGAGTCTTGAGTGACGCAATAAAATCGATATAGTCATAATCCAATGAGTTCTTACTAATTGAAGAGAGGTGAAGGACAATTGGATTGTCACACATTCCATTTACCAATTGTTGAGTTGCCATTATACCTCCATTGTAAGACTTTTCCAATAACCTGTGGTCACTATCACTTTTTCTTCTACCAAATGGCGATTCTGATCCTAATGAAGATGGTGGCGGTTGTTGTTTTTGGAATGGATAAGCAAATATGGATAGAATTGGTATGGTTGAATGGGTATCTGTGATGCTAATACTGGCAATATCAAAAATAACCTCCATATACAATAATTTTGCAAGACTACGACAACGCATCGATGATATATTTAATGATAATCTTTCTTCTTTTTGATAAAAAAAGTTGATTGATATATCACTTGTTGTAAATAAAAACTTTAACAGTATACTATGTGTCAATTTTTCTTTTGTTTTTTTTCTTGCATGCAATCTATGAAAAGATTAATAGAAATTAGTATAAAAAATTAATATATATATATTTTTTTTTGTACATACATTGATTTAGTATTTGAAATGACAGATAAATGAATTCCTGATCCTGCACGCTTTGGTTTTTCATTTTTTAATGATACTACATCGTACATTTCCGATAGCTCTGATGTAGACTTTCTATCCATATCTATAAAATATTCTAGTAGACCATTTCTACCAACTATTCTAGATATATCATAGAGTAATGTATCACTCAAATCAAAATTGATATTTGATAAATTTGAATGGCATCTAGAAGATAGAATAATGTTAGGGGTGGTTTGGTAAAAAATATGTATTTAAAAATCTGTTGCTGCTGCTTAACATACATTATTTGAGGAATGTCAAGATTAAAAGGATCAGAACATAATTCCAAAAACATATTAAAACTAAATGGTTTCATAATACTCTGATATTGGGACTGGTGGCACATTTTAATTGTAAAATTGGTCAACTGAAATGAAATACCTTCATAGAATTGAGAATTGTTGACATTTATACCATCAAAGTTCCATTCACTAGATTCAAATGATCCACTTGTCAGATCATCATTTTTGTTGTTTTTAAATGAAGACTGTTCTCCATCCAAATAGTCATCAAAATTCTTTGTTTTCTTTTCAAATACATTTTCTTGGCCATCTCCTTCCTCCATAACGTTATCATCTTCACTATCAAATCTATCGCTGCCTGATGTACTTGTAGTATCTTGGTTATAGGGAATTGTTAATGCCTCTTGATCACTATTATTATTATTATTGTTGTTGTTGTTGTTGTTGTTATTATTGAATTCTTGATGACGTTGAAAATATTGACTATGTTGATTTAGAGTTGATTTATGTATCTGATTTACTTTAAAGAATTTATCCATGTCAAGTGGAACATTTGTCTGAGGTACTGTACAATTTGCTTTCCACCAGGCAACACGTTCAGTTAATTCTTTTTTGTATCGAATATATCGCTCATTGTCTTCGTCTGCTTGAAGAATATCTACTATTTTTGAGCAATTCCATCCAGCACTGATTGGTTGAGTCTTGAGCAATAGGTGACCAGAATTGATGACCAATAGCTTTTCATAGTCGTGGTCTGGGAATATGATTCCAGGAATGTGTACATCGAGGTCAATATCTGCAGACTTTTGGTTGCGCAAGAGATGTTTAAGCTCTCTCATTGCCATCTCTTGCAACACTTTGAGGTGTTTGAGGAAGGAATACTTGAGTGTATCGAGTGCTTCTTGAGATGCATGTGTAAAAAAGGCAATCATAGTATCGACAAATGGCTTACTATTGATAAAGTAGAATGGCGAGAGATGGAGCGAAAGACTCCAGTCGGTTGCACGGTGCTGATCTGGTGGATTAAGCTCCAACGTGAGATTGATCATCTTGGATCTTGGAGGTTCGTCTGGTATGAATTGGTGCTTTTGTCTTTGTTGTTGAGACATTCGAATATCAAATCTACGACCATGTTGTGTCGATGATAAGAAACCTTTGCTGTTGGTTGAGGCAGTAGACGAGAATGAGGCGGTGGAGGTATCTTGGGTAGAAGAGGTTGAAACCGATGATGTAGAAGAGGAAAGATTCATTTCCTCGGTGTGATAATCGTCAAATGGTTGTTTGTCCAAGATGAGGTTCTCAAAACGAGCGTTGGTGGTAATCTTGTCGTTCAAATGAACAGAGTCTACTAAAAGTTGAATCTTTTGGTTGAATCTTGAAACATAGATAGTCATATCGATTTCGTGAATCTCAACATGAGCCAAAGGAACTGGTTCACCAACCAATCTAAAATCGAGTACTTGCATCTGAACCTTTTTAATATTGCAATAAAACTTGACCGATACGTCACTTGTAATCTTTTTGTTTGATGATGCATTGAGCATTGATTTTAGATCAATATCTAATATCTTTTCCAACAATCTAAGATCCTCTCCACTAATAGACGAGGCACCACAAGATATATTCATATTATTTGTTGATTGTCTTCTTCTACCGAATCCAAACCATCCCAAGTTACCAAGTCCTCCATAGAGAGAACCTAGCCACCAACCTTCATTTACTTGATGAAATCCAGATACATCAGACTTTCTCTTTTCCTCTACTGCCTTTTCTGATATTGTTCTATATAATATTACATCTTCATATGATAACTTTTTTTCAATCTCTGTTATTATTAATTCTTCTACTGGTGATACCTAAAAATAAAATTAGAAATAAGCAAACTTACTCTCTTTTTTTTTTTTTTTTTTTTTTATACCTTTTTGTTTAATAATTTTTGAGAAGCAATTTTAATATAAGTATCTCTCATTACTTTTTCCTTTTCGACATCTTTCCAAGACATTTGTTCTTCTCGTTTGGTTCGAAGATCTGATAGAATAGACTTGTAGGCAAACTTCCACCATATCTTTGCGTTGCCTTTGACACTAACTGTTGGACGATGTGACTTGTATCGAAGTACCTTTCTCCAATCATGTACAAAAAATAAGAGATTCAGCATGTCACGATATTGGATATCCATCAATTGAATGTCTATTTGTTTTAGGCCAAGAACCATGTCGATCTCTGTCACTAGAGAAGTATGCACACCATCATTTGTGACCTTGTCTCGTTCAACGTCATTGATGATCATCTTTATGAAACCACTAACAGGATTGATAATATATTTATGATCGATCTTTATCTTTTGTCTAGGAATTTGGTGCATCAATATGACATCCATATCGGCAGGTGTAACATATTTGGTTTTACTAAATTGCGAATCCCAATAGACAGACAAGTGAAAGAGTGATATTAATTTAAAACAAGATGAAGATAAAACCGATGACGATGATGACGATGAATATGGTTGATCGGATGCAGCGGCTGCAGAAGAAGTGGCAGCAGAGTTTGCAAAATTGTTAGATGATGACGATGATGACGACGACTGGTGATGATTGGATGCTGGTGACAACAAAGGGATCCATTTATCGTTGGTTGTTTCAAAATTGACACCCTCCAAAGTGATACCAATAGAAAACATTTCATCTGGTGTTGTTTTAATGTCTTGATAACAAATATGAACATTTGTAACTTTTAATACCAAACACTTGACCACATTTTTTATCATTCTAGTTAGGAAACCCTCCGTTGGGCCAGATGTCTTTGAAAAGGGAGTGGTTGACGATTGTGATGTCTTGGAAGCAATGTTTGGATCCCCAACGAGTGACTCGTCTATTGACTCTTGAATAGATTCTATCTCCTCTCTTGATAATCCTGCCAATGGATTGGCTCCAGATGACTCTTTCTTTGGGATGGTTGTAATTTGATGAAAATCCTTTCTTCCAAAAAGCAGATACACTCCATCCACTGAAACAGAGATACGCTCCTTTAAAAATCCCAACCAAGGAATGTGTATGACCACCTTTTTTATTACACCTTTTTGTAATTCGAATGGTAATTCATGTCCAAATATATCTTTTTTTAACTGTAAATTCTCCAATACTATCTCTCCTTTCCAGAAAGGAATTGATAATGAATCTAATCCTTCTATATAGTTTCCTAATACCTTTTTTAGTATCGATGGTAATATTTTTGATATTACCATGATGATGATGATGAAAAATTATATTGATGATGATGATGATGATGAGGATTACTCTAAAATATAAATTCAGTCCTTTTTTTATCTATTTTGTAAATTTATATTTATATTTAAATCAGCTAAAAAATGTAAACAAAATAATATAACAAAAACTCCTATCAATTTTCACTAAACCCCATTTTTAGTAACTAGTTATCATGATTGTTCCACCATAACCATTTGAGAGGAGAAGGTGGAATAGTAGGAATAATTGGTTCAAAAAAAAAATTATCGAAAGATATCTTCAATTCGAGGCATTTCTCCTTGGTAGTTTTTGAAAAATTGTAAACTAATCTAAACCACACACCCCACCCCACCAGTTTCAAATTAAATTTATTTATTTTTAATAATGATAATAATTACAACTATCGTTCACAGTCACTGTATAAATTATGTGTAAAACCCCATTATGTGTATTAGGAACTATATGGATTAATAAAGAGTTATAATATAGTATTTAGGCAATAATTTATTTTGGGAGTTGTTCCCAGAGTATTCTATTTTTGTTGATTCTATCAACATATACACTGAGTGAAGGTAATATAATTTGCAATGCTTGATAAGATGGCAATAAAAATTTATCGATAAATGAAACCTGTGTAATATTCAATACTACTTGTTCACGGAGCATAAAAGGTGTAAGTGGAAGATTTTCTTGTTTCTCGCGATCGCTTTGTGCAAAAAATTCTTCCATCAATGCATGTGCCCATTTTGTCGATATATCCCATGATCGTATTTCATTTGATATATCTGCCGATTTTAATAACCTAAAAAATTAATTAAATTAATTAAATTAAATTAAATTAAATAAATAAAACATTGAATGATTATTATTATTTACATACATTATTAATAATAAATCTCTGTGTTGTTGATCATCCCATGAAAATATTGGTATGATTTCATCAAACTTTTGTTTGTAGGCAAAATGTTTCTCCATGTCTGTGGCCAAAATCATAATCTTTACTTTTTCAATGAGTGTATGTCTGTCTGTCTCTGTCAATGTACAAAGTAGATCCTTTTGATCTCCTAGAATAGAGAGACAGAGTGCGAGATGATGATTCTCCAACACTGATGTATTATTATATTTAACTGCCAATTCACTTTTACTATTGATTTGGAATCGATTGGTTAATCCTGGATGATCTAGGTCATGTGAGACTGCTGCTATGAGTAATGATAATTTTTCCTAAAGTTTAAAAGGTAGTAAGGGAATTTGGTTTGCTTTGGTTAGTAAATAGAGAGAGGGAGAGAGAGAGATATTTGAAGTATATATGATATCATACTAATATAGTAAGTTTTTCATTTAATTCTGAACGTAATATGATAAGGAATACCATTTGAGTGACGGTAACTGCATGATTAAAAGAGTGAAATGGATTATTTCTATAGTTTGTTTGAACACTTGTGATGTATGATAAAAGTGCATTTCTGTTTACTTGTAGTTCCTTTCCTACGCCCATCTCTTCAAACATTAACACAGAGTATTCGACCAATACCAACGGATCTTTCTTCCACGCTGAAAAATCCATTGAAAAGATCTCTTTTTTCTTCTCTTCGTCACTACTATTAATACTGTTATTCATATTATTATTATTATTATTATTATTATTATTATTACTATTTACATGGTTGTTGTTATTGTTGTCTGTTGTGTTCATATTTTGATTAGTCGATGCAGTGATACCCATTTCCCCTGTTTTATTTGATCTTTCTCCCTTGTTGTTGTTGTTGTTGTTCTCTTTTGTATTATTATTATTTATTATTATTATTATTATTATTATTATTATTATTATTATGATTTAAGATGACTGCTTTAATTCTAGTCAATCTCTTTTTTTCTCATTTGACTTGATTGTAAAGTTTGCTTTGTACGATCAACTAAAACTCTGAGTGATAGTTGTTGTTGTTGTTGTTTCTGTTATTATTTTATGTTGATATCTCTATTGCCTTTCTTTGTTGGGGTGTGAGCGAGTTTTGTTCTTTCTCTTTAAAAAGATCAATCTAATTTATAATTACAATACAAAATAATATCTATCAGCAAACGAGACTCCTCACCTTTGAAAAAAAAAAAAAATTAAAAAAAAAAAAAACAGTTTTTTTCGCGGCTGCAGTCGTGCGTGATGTGTTGATTGTTTAGCCCTTGTAGAATTATAATAATTTATTTATTTTATTATTTATTTTTGGTAATGTGAGAGCTCTTTCCCTCTCTTTCTTTCTCTCTCTCTCTCTCTCTCCTCTTTAACGTTTCATGTGTTTGATATATCTAAGAGCAAGACAACCAACGGTAAATAGTCCAATGATATAACCAGCCAATATGGCAACATTTTTAAATTGAAACTCTTGATTAAAGCCATAACGAGCGATCATTTGTTCACCACTCTGAATCGGACAATAAGGAATGCTAGTGGTAGCATTTACTTGTATTAGTACCTCACCTTCTCCATTGGGACAACTAAACTTTTGACCAATCATTTCAGTGAGTGATAGAGTTTCCAAGCCATAACGTGTAAAGGCAAAGTAATGCATCCATTTCCATGCCTCTGGTAGATCTGTCTTTGGTATAAAGAATCCACCGAAAAGACCAAGAAAGTTGAGTCCCATACCACAGAGAAGAGTGGCAATGGGTGTCGTTGGAAGAACCAATGCAAACATTGTGGCCATGGTATCGTAGCATGCAATGACCATCAAATAGACACCCAACGTGAAAAAGAACTTCCAACCACCATATCCTGGATCTAGACCAGTGAGCCAAAAGAATGGTATCCAGAAGCAAAAAGCTGTCATCATCATGAGTGGAAGATCGGTTATAAATGATGCAATCATATATAAATAAGAGGGATAACAACCACTTGCACTGTCACGATAATAAATGGCTCTATCTTGGACGACCAATGGAATCTTTGCAATAGAGGCCATACCAGCAAACAAAAATGAAAGGAATATCATTGACAATTTGTTTCTTGCTCCAGATTGATCAGAGTCGAGACGAAGGAACATTGTACCTACAATGAGTGCAGGAACAATCGATCGGAGGAATCTGATAAAGATTGGTGTTGGTCGACGAATATGATTGAACCATGCTCGTTTAAGAAGTGCACGAAGTTGAGAGCTCATGGGAGCAGCATAGGTGCCTACATAGGATGGAGGTTCAATAGTTGGTGGAACTACACTATTGGATTGTAATTCTTGTATGACAGACTTTGATTGAGGTGATTGGATGTAGGAAGTGATTGGATCGGCACCTGCATGATGTTGCTCTGCAATCTCTAAAATATAGTCACTTGGATTACGATCTTTTTCCTCCATGACATATCCAAGTCCTTCAAAGTAGTTGAGGATGGTTTTGCTACCCTCGCCTGTTTCACCAAAGTAAATGACCTCTCCCTTGCACAGCATTAAAAGTTGGTCAAATTGTTCAAAAATTTGTTGTGATGGCTGGTGAATAGTGCAAATGACGGTACGACCAGTTTCGGCGATACGTCGAATACAATTCATGACCTTGAGTGCACCGCTGCTATCCAAACTACTCGTTGGTTCATCGAGGAAAAGAAGATGTGGATCCGATGCCAATTCAATACCGATGCTTACTTTTTTACGATTGGCAAGTGAGATACCCATGGTTGGATTGAATCCAATCTTGGTATGTTGCATCTTGGTGAGGTTGAGAACCTTTAGAATATCGTCAATCATTTGAGCACGTTCCGAGTTACTGTAACTGCTAGGCAAACGACAATTGGAAGAGAATTCAATGGCCTCACGAATAGTAAGATTGGCAGATAGGATATCTTGTTGTTCAACATAGGCAGTGAATCTACTAATATTCAAATCGTTAATGTTTACACCATTGACCTTGATCATTCCAGACATGATACCAGCATTCTTTCTCTTTGATAATACATCCAATAGAGTTGATTTTCCAGCACCAGATGCGCCCATTAGTGCAGTAAGTCCAGGTTTAATGTAACCATTGATCTTGTTCAACAGTGTAAGAGTAACCTTTTCTTGTTTTCCAGTTTGTGTATTTTTACGATCTACATTGACCGTATAGGAAAGTTCTTCAAATGTCATATAACAACCTTTCATTTTGTATTGAACCTTTGTACTTTCACGTTTCTTATCCTTTTTGACCTTGTTGCGAACATTCTTTACGATTGAAGGTGGCTTTTTAGTTTCGAAACGAACAAATCGAATACCCATATAAAAGATAAAGAACATTACCATTGAATAGGCAATTGAAATGACAATATCGATCCATCTCCAATAATAGTTTTCATTCATACCAAATATTTCGAGGAATTGATCTCCATTGGTTCTTGGACATATTTGAACACCATTGTAAAACTGATTGGCAATGTCTGTTGGTGGGATGAGCTCTGATTGTTTACAAGTAAATGTTTGATCGTGTAACTCGTTACTAGCCAAAGCATCCAATAGATATTTGAGTGGTGACAGATAGTAGACCCATACCCAATACTTGGGGATATTGGGTCCTGGCAACATATAACCTGAAAAGACCATAAATGTGACAACAATGGCTGGTGTAACCATCGATGTAACCAATTGAGATTCTGAAAGTGCTGAAACCATTTGGAAAACGGCTTGACTGACAAAATTGGTCAACATCATACATAGTACAAATACTATAAACGAGTCGGCTCTTGCTCTAAATCCAGCAGTCCAATAACAGACCACTGAATAGAGTAGTGCTTCGATTAAACTGATAGGAATCTTTGTAATGACCAATGTAATAAAATATGAAAAGTTTCTATAATACTTTCCATCCTTTTGATCGTAAAATACACCTCTTAGATTGTAATATTCATCAATCGACCCATAGGTTGTCCATATGAAAAGAACCATAGAAAAGTACATTAAACCGAATCGGTTTTGTGCATCTGCCTGACTGTCGTCCATTTGGAAAAAGAGGGATCCAACAACAAATCCCATGAAAAGTGCCTGTAAAAATCTTGTAAAATATTCTTGTCTAATGATCTTCATGATCTTGATTTGTCTTTTTATCAATAATTTGGTTTCATACCAAATCGGTGGTCTTTCCACTGGATATAGTTTATGATCAACAAATTTTGTATTATTTGCCAAGTTTGTATATTTTGTTGTTATATTTTGTAATTCTTCATATTCTAAAATTAAATAAACAATCAAAAGGTTAGTATAAATCTCTTTAATATAATATAAATGAAATATATTATATATATATTATTTTTTTTTTTTACTTTTTGATTGTTTAAATAATTGATCCAATTTAATTTGATTGGTTGTTGAATCTGTAGAAATATTCATCAATTGTTTTTGGTTGACTTGATACATTTTTGGTTCTTCTAAAACATCTTGCATAAACTCTGCAAGAGGTTGATCTTGTGATGGCTCCAATCCAATTGATTTAAAGTATGGCAAAACGTTTTCTCTTTCACCAAAATAGGCCATATTACCTTTATCACAAAGCAATAAAACATTGTCAAAAATGTTGGTCAATTCCGGACTTGGTTGAAGAAGTGAAATAATGACCGAAGCCTTTGCCTCTTGTGCAATAGTCTTTATCTTTGAAATGACACTAAAGGCTATAGCACTATCAAGACCACTAGTAGGTTCGTCCATTAGAATAAGGTTTGGACATTTGGTAAACTCGGCGGCAATTGTAACACGACGTTTTTGACCACCAGAAATACCTCTAAAAAATTCATTGCCGACAATGGTATTCTTGGTGTGTGAAAGGCCAAGTTGTTGGAGGATGAGTTCAACACGTTCATCACGAGTTGTTTGGTCAATGTTTGATGGCATGTTGCATTGGGCAGAGAAATCCAACGTTTCCTTTACTGTCAACAATGCAATGTGTCTATCTTCCTGTGGTACATAGATGGTATCTGACTGATGAGTACGATGATCTGCTTGGTGTCCATTGAATAAAAGTGAACCTTCCACAGTACCACCACTTAATCTATCTGCCAATAGTTTTAATAATACACTCTTTCCACTAGATGGTGCTCCCATTAATAATGTCATTTGTCCTGGCTATAAAAAATTAAAAAAAAAAAAGAAAAAAACAATTAATATTTATAATAATGATATTATTATATATTGTTTGATTGATCTTACAATTAAATCAAAATTCAAATTATTTAATAAATAATTTCTTTTTTCCAAGTCGGTTGAATATTTTGGAGCCTTTTTTGGAACATGAAATGATAGATTGGAAGCGGTAACATAGATTCCAGTCTTTTCAGTTGGTTTAAATTCATTAATGTGAGACAATAAATCTTGATTGATATTGATGTCGAGAGATGTTAAACTATTCTGTGGTTCCATCTTTAATGTTGGTTCCCTAATCGATATTGATTGCATCTCTACTCCATCAATGATGTTGTGGTCTTCATTCATATTATCATTATTGTTGTTGTTGTTGTTGTTGTGATTGGTAGCTCCATTTGACAATGAGATATTTTCCGAATCAACCATGATGATGATGTTGAGGAAATGTAAAATTAAAAAACTGAGTGCTTGTTAACTGTCAGTTATTTATTCTTTTACTATTAATGTTATTGTTTTTGTTGTCCACAGCCCAGTATAAAAAGGTAGACAAGAGGTCTCTCGTTCTAGATTGTGTATCTATCTGAAAAACGAAACAAAGAAAGGAACGTTCTGTCTTCTGTTGTTTGTGAATATAAAAAAAAGTTATTTTAGAAGCTTATGTTCGTTTTTGTTGTTGTTGGCAGCAATTGTTGTGGGTTTGGGACTTCCCAAAGCGCGATTTCTTTTGTTTCGATTACTGGTCCTTGTCCCTGCTGATGGTGTTGTTTTTTCGTGAAAAAGTTTAAAAAGCTGAAACCGAATCGAAAAGATCTTTGAATGTAATGTCTTCTTTTATTCCTGAATCATAAACCAAAGATGTGTTTGTGGTGCGATATATATAAATATAGTAACTAAGAGAAGAGAATGAATAAGATAAGATGTAAGTCACTTGTGAGGATCGCTCCTTTTAAACAAGACAATTAACAAGGACAGATGATGATGATGATGACGATGATAATACGACTTCTACAAGCTGCTTCTTTAACCAAAGAGTCATCGTGTCGTGTTTGTAGATACCTTTGGAACAAGACTATTGACTACTTCCATTGTTGTTGATCATTGTTGAAAGAGATTGAACAACAAATTCTGTTGCCGACAAAAATAAATAAATTATACTAGAATAGTCGCAAACGGGGGAAAATCGGTTAATAACCGCCAGCCGTAGATATTCAAAAAGAATAATAATAAGATTGGAATGTGAACTTTATTGGGATGATAAGGAATCATGATTGTTTGGTCCCCACATCACCAACCATGAATATTTAAATATTAAGGGGGGGGGGGGGGGGGGGGTTATTAATTATTAATTATTTATATTCAACTATGATTTGTTTTTTTTTTATATATTCAAACTATTCTTGTTATTTTCTACTACTTTAGTATTAAAATTAAGATTCTTCATTCTCCATAAATTGCAATGGGTTTTCATCTCTTTTGCATTCACCCTTTGCAAAATCGTATGTATATTTGTAGCAAACACCCGATGCGCAAATGACTATAATCGAATTTGGTGTAGAGCTAAATGCACAAATTGATCGTGATTCTGGAATTTGAAACTGTACAGCACTCCATTCCGATTTGAAATAATTAGTTGGTAAAATATCACCCATAAAATGAAAACTATATAAATACAAAAGGAATATAAAATAAATAAATAAAAAAAGTGTGTTAGTGTATTTAATAATTATTGATTATTCAAGTCTGGCTCTCTCTCTTTCTTTCTTTTGATTGTTTACCTTGATTGTCTATTCTTTACTTCAGATTCTGGTTCTTTTGTGGAAGCAGAACTAGTAGCAGGTGCAGATCTTGAGAGATCAAAAATATGACCAGTATTTTTATCGGAAGAGACACAGAGAGCAGTAGATTCATTGTTGAAAGCTATAGAATAGATTTCAGCACGATTTGAACCTCTACGAACCTCTTTAATTTTCTCACCAGTGGCAGTATCAAATATACGAATAAGTGTACCCTTTTCAGAGGCAGTGGCTAAACGAGTGCCATCCTTGTTGAGAGCTATTTGAGAAAGAGCACTTTCATGTGCAGGAATGATTTGTGTCTGCTTGTGATCGTACAACTCTACGTGAACGTAGCCAGGTTTCAAACCTGGACATGCCAAAACATTGCTGGCACCTGGACATACTGCACAGATTCCACGTGGGTTATTAGTTGTCTCTAGTTGATGAACCAATTGAAGATCGGCAAAATTATAGACATAGACCTTGTTTTCGAGAACCACTACAATACGATCACGACGTAGTTTGACTGCTTTGACCTCTGATTTAAACTCTAATTTTGCAATACACTTATTTTGATAGTCGTCCCATATCATCACTTGGTTGGGTGTAAACTTTGGTTTGGTTCCTCCTCCTACAATCGCAAGAATATTACATCTAAATAACATTTCAACAATTCCTACTCCACCATCGAATACTAATAAAAGAAAGATAGAGAAAGAAAGAAAGAAAGAGAGATGTATTTATAGTAATGAGTTTTCTGTTTTCATTCTATATATATAAGTATATATATACCTCTTCCGAATCTCTCTTTGAATGGATCGCATGAAAAGATTAAGAATCCTTTCTCTGTACCACAAGCAAAGCAGCTATAATCTTGATTGAAATTTGCAAATAATAGGTTTGAATGTTTCTCTTTACAATTTTGTAAATTCATTTTATGTTGTTGTTGTTGTTGTTCTTTTAATGATTGTTTGTTGTGTTGTTTGTTTGTTGTCTACTTTATTACTACTTTTTATGCTTTCTCTTGTAGAAATTAATGTGGTTTGTATATTATTATTATTATTATTATTATTATTATTATTATTATTATTATGAGTGATATATTTACAAATACTACTGAAACCAAATCTTATCTACTTTTATACCTATATATAAATAATTGAATATCGGTGAATGATAAGTTGGTTGGTCAACTCAATCCTTCCCCTGGTGTTTTTTTTTGTTTTTTTTTTGGGGCGCCTCTTCTTGAACTTTCTTTGCCTCTCTCTCTCTCCTTTCCTTGCTTGAATTCTATAATTTAATATTTAATACTTTGTGATGAAATATATAAATGAATGTATTTGATGAAATGGAACATAAAAGTAATGTTTTTGACCCCCCACTCTTTGATAAAAAAAAAAAAAAGAATTGATTTTTTTTTAAATTTTAATTTTAATTTTAATTTTATTTACCAAAAGTATTAATAGGCAAAGCGTATGGGGAATTCCAATCACGATTGAAAATAGATTGTAGTTGAGCAGTAAAATCTTGGTTGACTATATTGTAACTGAGACCACCAGTGTTTGTGAAATAGTCTTGTGACCAGTTGGAAGTACCAACGTAGGATTGCTTCTCTGTCACCATGTATTTGGCATGGTTGACACGACTGAATGGAACTTGTGGTTGGAATGGAAGATCTGGTACTTGGAACCATCTCACTTGGACATAGTTGAGGACATCCAATGATTTGAGGTATTGTGGAATGACATACATATTGGTGTGATTCCAGTGACTGATGAGCATACGAATGTTTACCTTTCGGTTAAAGGCTGCTGCACGTAGTGCATCATCGATGACTGGCCAAAATAGGTTGGGATTGTTATAAAAGGAGGTTGGTGCATAATCCATGACAGAGATGCAGACTGATTGATTGGCTGCATTGATGGCAGCAACTAAAGCGTCAATGTCACCTGTACGATCTTTGGATACAAACTGTGGTGGAGAGACTGCAAGGAACATGCTAATATCCTCACCATTCAACTTGAGTTGTGCTGGATGGGTGCTATTGTATTTGGCCTTGTCTTTGGATGGCCACTTGTTTGGAAGTTGTGTCATATTGGCTGCCTCCCAGTATTGTTCAAAAGCTGCCTTGGTGTCTTCTACAATGGTTTTACAATTCTCAACAACTACACCAAGTTCTTTTACTTGAATGAGTGATCTCCAATCATAGTTTGCACTACCAACATATGCATCTAAATAGTGAAATTTAAGAAATATTATTAAATATTTTTAAACAATAATATTGTTGTTATTGTTGTTTGTGTTTTCATACTCTTCTTATCAACAACCATAAGTTTGGTGTGTAGAATACCACCACCGACAAGAGATGGCCAATTAATTGTTCTGAGTTCAACTGCACCCATTTGAGAAAGGTTGGCAGTATCATTTCCTTCTCCACTAGATGGTAGGTTCTAGAAACGACGATAATAAATATTTAACGACGTGTTTGCTTCTGTTTGTCTGCTCAAATAATACATACCTGAACGATTCTAATCTTTACACCTCTAGCATGAGCGGCAATGATTTCTTTGTAGATATTCATACCCATATAACCACCATATTCCGATGGAAGATCACCTCCATCTGTTAATGTCATATAAAAGAGACCCATATCAATAGATTCCTTTGCATTGCTAATAAGATTCATCCATGCATCATATGTAGTTTGATTGGTTGTAAGATTCAAGTACATTGGAATTGACTCTGCAATATACATTGATCCACTATAAAAATAAATTAGATGGATAGATTGATAGATCAGTATCAATATAATATTATAGTATTTGTGATAGGTTTGATCGTATTCTTTTCAAAAGAAGAAGAAGAGGATTATTGTTGTTCTTTTGAAACTTTTGCTGCATTCTTGATGATAATGATGGATGGATGGATGGATGGATGGATGGATGGATGGATGGATGGATGGATGGATGGATGATTACCTTGCACATTTATCGTCATTTGAGGAGGATAAGTGATCAGCAGTATACTTGATCTTGTTTGGTAATGCACTTGTCGCAAAAAATGCAATACAAGATAGTAATGAGATTACTATCAATAGACTAGTAAACTTCATTCTTTACAAACAAATATATGTAATGTAACTGTTATTTCTGTGTAATAGAAAATGCAAAGACGATCAACATAACCAGCAACTGTGAATTTTCGTTTGCAAAAAAACAAAAAAAAAAGAACCAGATCATTTTTGCTCTGGTTCAGTGAAAAAGAAGTAAGTCACAGATATTGTATTTATTTAACTAAAAAGAAGCAATTAGGAATAATAAGAAGACAAGATAATGGTTGGTTTCTTTCTCATTCTTTATACTTTGCATTCACCAAATTTGTATGTTTGTGTGTGAACGTATGAAATACCATGCTTTGGGCTCTATTTGTTTTGGTTTGAAAGACTGGATGTTTACATAATGATTTGGATCCATTGATTACTATTAATAAAAAAAGAAAAGAATAAAAGAATATAAGAATAAAAGAATAAAAGAATAAAAGAATATATAATGTTACATTTTTCAAGTAAGAATTTTCTAAATTGCTCGTCTTTGTAAAACACTGGAGAAGCTGGAAGGGGTGGTTCATTCAAAGGTATTGTGGTGGCAATGGAAACAATGTATTGAGCTGGTTTTAGTTGATTTAGTGGTTGTGATTTTTGTTTTTTTGAGGATGCAGAAGGTGCCAGTCTTGATGAATCTGAATCCTCTGATGGTTCTTGATTGACAATTGGTGTTGATAAAATTGCAGGTGATGCCTTATTTACATCAGATGATGATGATTTTACTCCTGTATGAAGTTCAAGGTTCTCTAAACTGTATTCCTCTTTTAATGGTTGCACCAAAATAATGGTTTCTTTTTTTTGTTTTTTTTGTTTTTTAATATTATAGATAGTTAATAAAAAAAGGTTTTTATCAAAATTGTTGTATTTTCTTGTACTTACGAGTCTGCTTTGATTTCATACAATTTGGAATATAACTTTGGGGTCCATCTGTAAATACAATCATAATTCTGTCATTGCCAATATGTTTTTTCTTTTCTATTTGTTTTGGATCATTTGGATAATGTGGCAACATGGTAGAGACATGAAACATTATTTCGACGTCATTATATTTTGTATACACTGAATGCTTGCCAGAGTTTCCATCTTATAAAAATAAATAAAAAAAAGTTAATACTATAGTAGTAGTAGTAGTAGTTCTTGTTGGAAAATAATTATTGTTTACAATTTACATCCAGACCACCACTATATCCAGAAAATCCTTTTAGCTCAATTCTATCACCAAGAATAGTTAAAAAATCATCATACTCTTTACTTGTGTTGTTTGATGCTAAATAGATATTTGGTTTAATAATTGTAAATTATTTTTGGTAAAAAAAACATACTATTTGCCAACATTTCATATTCATTGGTTTGATTTGCTTTACAATACAATAATCCTACTTTGATTGCTCGAGAAAACTAATATATTGGTTAATGAATTGTCTTGACAATCCAGATGAATGCTTCAAAAAAAAAAAAAAAAAAAAAACAATTACATACATCTGGTTCAAAAACGGCAAGCAATTCGTCTTGAAGCTCAGGGGTTGTTGGTACTCTTGGTAATCGTATATCTTGAAACTTTGGTGTGTATTGATAAACATGATGATAGGATGGATCTTTACAAAACAACATTCTCCAAAAACTCCTAAAGGCAGCCCACCTTGGGATTTCCTTGTAGATCAGACCACTATCTTGTAGATATAATACCTTGTAGGTTTCCTCATTTGCGTCATAGTGAACTGTCACTACTATTGGTCCATCTGTACCATAGTAACTAATAATAAAAAAAAAAGTATGAGATTATTTATAGTAGTAGTAGTAGTAGTAGTAGTAGTTTATTCTTGAGTGAAACTTGATAACATACGATAAAAATACTTTGTGGTGTCTTCCATAAAAATCTCTACGATAAATAGAGGGATCAGTTTGATTTGGCTTATATATACTATCAATAAATGGTGATTCTGGCCAATCTTTATGCTCTTCTTTGAATCCCTCGATATAAAATCCTGAAACAAAACTAAACATTTTTTTTTAGTCAAGAAGATATAAATAAATAATGATGATGGATTAGATAAAATATTATAAAAATAATATATTAATAATTTAATTACGACAATTATTGTTTGTGTCTAATAATTAAAAGGAGAGAAAAAAAATAAAACAGCTGATCCAGCAGGCAAATCAAATCAGTATATAAAGTAATGACAATCTTAAAACAACATCAACAACATCACACCACCATCGACATCATCAATCAACCATGTTATCCTAATATATATTTGGCATGCCCTAATTGTAATATAGAGGAGTGGTGGGTGGTTATACCAAGTTATCTGGAGGAGGATTGTTAATGATCATAATCACCAACCCACCCAACTACTATTATTAATAATATTAGTAAGTAGTGGTAGTGATGATTAAGGATGGGGTAAAGTGGTTTAACAATGTTGTATCACTTTTTAAGTGCGAGTGGTGGGTAATTTGACCAAACAAGATTAATAGATCGATGGGTTGATGTGATTGGAGGAATCTATGTAAATTGTATTATTAATAACCAGCACATACACGCTCTGTGTCTCTCTTCTTTCTCTATTAAGTGTTGATTCTGCAGGAGAGATGTTTATACAACTTTATGAATTGTTCAATAACCCTCCTTTTTAGAGAGCATGCAATTATTTTGAGTATGAAAAATCGAAAATAAATGAAAAAATTGTTTTTCTCATGAACAATCGACTCACTGTCTCGCTTGCCGTCGTGCAGTGGCATGCCGAGCCAGCAGGTCGATTTTTTTTGTGTGTTTGAAAATTTAGTTCTTGTATCTTCTAACTTGTATGTCATCAGATAAAATGAGGAGAGAACAGAGAAAAAAAAAAAGAGACGCGATTTAGATTAGCAGTATAACAATGTTCTAACATTTTTCACCAACAATAGGTCAGCGTTACTCCTCATAGACAAAGATGGCTTCCCACTTCCCAGACATCCTCAACCCACACCAAGACGACATCCTCAAGATGTTGGCCTGTCACACCCACATGGGTACCCAAAACTGTGACAAGAACATGGAATCCTACGTCTACAAGCGTAAGGACAACGGTGTCCACCTCCTCAACCTTGCCAAGACTTGGGAAAAGATCCAATTGGCTGCTCGTGTCATCGTTGCCATTGACAACCCCAAGGACATTTGCATCCTCTCTGCCAAGCCATTCGGTCAACGTGCCATCCTCAAGTTTGCCAACTTTGTCGGTGCTACTGCCATCGCCGGTCGTTTCACCCCAGGTACCTTTACCAATCAAATCCAAGCCAAGTTCACTGAACCACGTCTTTTGATTGTCTGTGACCCAGATGTTGATCACCAACCACTCGTTGAAGCCTCATACGTCAACATCCCAACCATTGCTCTCTGCACCACCGAAAACAAGTTGGACGGTATCGATATTGCCATCCCATGTAACAACCGTGGTAAGAACTCAATTGCTTTGATGTTCTGGTTGTTGGCCCGTGAAGTCTTATTCCTCCGTGGAGCCATCCCACGTGATCAACCATGGAACACCAAGGTCGATCTCTTCATCTACCGTGATGCCAACGACGACCCAGAACGTGAACAAAAGGACAAGCAACTCCAACAAGCTGCCTCTGCCGATTTCGACGTTGCTGCCCCAGTTGCTCAACCAGTTGAAGATTGGAATCAAGCCGCTTAAATCAAATAAAATATTTAATAATATTTACTATTTGTTAATCTAAAAAAAAAAAGAAAAAGAAACTTTAGTATTTGTCTATTTTTTATATTAAATTTATCTTTTGTTTTTGTTTTTTTTTTTTTTTTTGTATCATGTAAAAGTTGTAAAAATATAATAATTAATATATTATATAAACAACAACGCTAATCTGCACTGACAAGAACTATGAGTAGTGGTGGCAGCGGTGGTTACTATAAAGACAAATACTATGATGGCGATGATGATCGCAACCATCATCCTCATCATAACAGATACAATCGACATCATCATCATGTAGACGATCGTTATCAACAAAGCGATCAAAAAGACAAAGATTACTACCACAGAGATTATCATGATCATCATCATCATGATCATCATCATCACAATCGTCATTATTATCATCATGACTATCATCACAATATTGGTCGTGAAAGCTACAAGGATGATGACACTGGTTACAGATTGAGAGACATGGACAGGAATAGGTTTGATGGTAAAAAAAATGACTCTCAAAGCATGAGAGATATGTATAATAAAAAGTATGGTAAAGAGGACTCTTATAACAACAATAATGGCAACAATCGCAACAATAACAATAATGGATCGGGATCACTTATTGCCGATGACCAAGAGATTCCTGATAAACCACAGAATAGGGAGACGATCGAATTCCTAAAAAATGCACCCTCAAAGGGATTATGGTATGTGTAAACTACTACGACTACTACTACTACTATAAGTATAAATGGACTAGTTACTAAGTAAGTTTAATTCATTTTGCGGTGGTGGTTGCTTGGTTTATAGGATGCCATTAGGAAAAGAGGTAAAGGTAATGAAATGTTTCAAATGTGGAAATCATGGTCACAGGGCAACAGACAAAGAATGTCCACTGTTTTTGAGTGGTAATTCAAAGGTTGAACAACAAAGAAGAAATTGGGAAGATCCCATGGCAGGCTCTGAATCAAGGCATCAATATGATAACGATAATGATGATGGTCATGATTACCACAGACATCATCACCATCATAATCATCATAATCATCCTCACCACTCTCATCATCCACATCATCATCCATACCACCACCCTCATCATCATCATCATTCACATCACCACCATTCATATTCAGATGATAAAAGAAGAGATTACTACCACGATCAAACACAAAAAGTACAAGATGCATCACCTGTTGTTGGAAAATCAACCACAACAACAGAGGAACAAATAAGATTACAAGTAAAAAAAGGAAAAAGAGAGGCCAAATTACAGAGGCTTAAAGATTTATTGGCAAGAGCAGAAGAAAGTGATAGAAAGAAAAAAGAAAAGAAAAGATTAAAAAAGTTAAAAAGAGATTTTAAACATTCAAAAACAAAGAAAGAGAAGAAAGAGAAAGAGAAAAACAATTCCTCTGACGATTCAGATTCTTCCTCTTTGGATTCATCATCTGATTCGTCGACATTATCATCCAATGAGGATTAGAAGAGTATGAAAATAAATATAGGAAAAAATGAATGATAATAGTTTATTATCTGCTGTTAAAAATACAGAGGTACTCTTGTTGTTGTTGTTGTTGTTTTGAAGGTCTTTTTATCTTTAAATTTGGTGGAGTTCTTTGTTGCGATTACTCTGGACCGATTTTTAAAACTTCGACAAGACCAGATGTGGAACCAAATCCAATTCTCTTCTTGTTAATTAATCTAATCTCTTTCATTACCATTGCTTCTCTTAATGAAATCTTACTGTATATACAAACAAACAAACAAACAAACAAAGTGGTGTTAATTAGTATTGAGTCAATATAAATAATTATTGATTGATCTTGTATCCCTGCTGTACATACGCAGATCCAATTTTATCATGAGCACCATTTAAATCATGATCCATGACACATAGTCTCAGTGGTCTTTCCAATCCACCGAGTGTATTTAAGGAAATCTTGAATGGAGCCCAAGTTGGATTTTGATTATCACGAATGGTTTCGGAACGGTAGACAACAGTCCAACCACCACCACTTCCACCACTCTTCTTACTTGATTTGTAACTTGCCAATGAGGTAATACCTGGTCTAGATGGAACACTCAATGTAAAGAATGGATCACTAACAAATTAAATAAATAAAAATAAATAAATTGGTTAGTCTGTCTGTCTGTCGTTGTTGTTGTTGTTGGTTGTGATAATAATGATCTATCTTTCATTGTTGATTTGTTGTTGTTACCTTTTAGATAAAATATCTTTTCTGTCGAGACGACATCCCTTGAAATGTATGACATAGTTTACATCTACTGCCAATAGAGTAGGGGCAGCGATAACAGCAGCTGGGCCAACGACTGGTACATTCATAGCAGGTGCACCATAAGATGGGTAACCAACACCGTATGGTGATGGAACGGCACCTGGATAACCTCCGTATGGGGATGGAGCTCCATATGGTGCTTGTGGATATCCATATGGTGATGGAGCTGCTTGTGGGTAACCATAGGCACCACTATTCATACCTGGGTATCCTTGTGGAGCTGGTGCTTGTGGAGGGTAGTTATATTGACCTTGTGGTGCTCCATACTGTTGTTGTTGTTGTGGTGGATAGTTATTATATTGACCTGGTTGTTGGTATTGTCCAGCAGCTGGTTGTTGTTGTTGTTGTTGATATTGTCCAGGAGCAGGTTGTTGTTGATATTGTTGTTGTTGTTGTTGTTGTTGTTGTTTATCTAATGAAGTTGGTTGTGGTGGATAGTTATATTGACCTGGTTGTGAATATTGTCCAGCGGAAGCAGCAGGAGGTTGTTGTGGTGGATAGTTATATTGTCCTGGTTGTGACATTATTTAAGATAATATTCAGCGTAACTACAAATAAGTATATAAAAAAAAAAGATAATAAAACAAATACACAATTACAAATTTTTATTGAACAACTCCTCATCAAAGAAGGGGTTGAAAAAAAAAAAAACCTTAGCGGCGTGTTGCAGATTTTTGTGCAAAGATGCCACAACATTAAATGGGATTTTAAATTCATCTTAATAAACAAAGAACAAGTATAGAAAAATAATCACCAAGAAGGATTACGTAGATTAAAGATATGTTGTCTTTAAAATCGTAAAGACAATAAGTAGTTCATGGTGTATCCTCGTTTTTTTTTTTTTTTTTTTTTTTTTAATTTTTTTAATAAAAAAGCAATATGCAGGCCTAAGCGATGACTGATTGCATTAAAGAGCTTATTCATCATTGTTCATCATCGTAGTAAAAAGCACAGCCCATGGCTAATATCGGTACACAAAAGACAGTAACATCAATGGATACCTCTGATGATATATCAGTTCCTTCTTTCTTCCCAGCAGTGACAGCAGAATGCAAAGAGGCTGCAGCTAAATTCTTTATTTGTATAGAAAAATCAATGCAACCTCTCAATGCAGAGGTATGTTGCTTAATAATTAATAATTAATATTTTCAATGATTATTATTGTTTATTTAAACTAATACTAATATTTTACTTTAAAGGATACGGGTGCAGCAAAAAGAGGTTTGAAATTTTGTTTACCAGATATGAAGTTGTACCAACAATGTATGCAAAAATCGTTGGCGAATGGATCAGAAAAACTATTGTAACATATAATATAATAAAGAGAAAAACCTTTCTCCCTCGTATCATCAATATTTCTTTTACTTTTTTTTTTTTGTATTATTATATTTTATTTGGAATTATTTAAAAACTATTATTATTATTATTATTATTATTATTTTTTTTACAACTTGGTCAATGATTGAACTTGATCCAAAGTTGGTACGTCTTGAATATTACCACGAACGATCAAGGTTGGTCTGGATTGCAACATCTTTGAAGCGACACGCTTGATATCTTCGGCAGTGACTGAATTGATTTCTTGAACAAATTCCTCTGGGGTCAATACCTTGGCATTGTTGTACAAGGCTTGTTTACCAACAAACTCCAAAGCTCCACTACGACTGTCAGTTTGTTCCAAGACGGTAGTCTTTGCAATATTTTTAGCACGATCAAGTTCTTGAGCAGAGACGGCAGACTTGGCAACAGTAGCAAACTCATTGGCAAGATTGGCAATTACTTGACCAACTTGAGATGTTTCGGTAGATTCGGCATAGACACCAAAGAGACCGGTATCTTGATAGTTAATGTTGATGCTATCGGTTTTGACAAGAGAGGATTGGTTCTTTTCCAAAAGAGTAAAGAGACGGGAGGTCTTTCCATTGCCTGGAGCAGTCTTTGGTTGGATTGATCCACCACCCAAGATAGCCTTCAAGACAGCTGAGGCAGCAACATCCTTGGTGTTCTTGTATGATACACCTTCAAAGGCCAAGACAATGTGATTGTTTCCAGTGACATAGGTGATTTCATCACCACCAACATACTTGGCAGATTCACCCTTGTTGGCAGCACCACCATTGGTCTTGCCAAACTTTAATTGTTGGGCCTCTTTGACGAGATCCTTGTGGTTCAAACCAACACCGACTAGGGTCAAGTTAGATGGAGTAAAGGCAGAGTTGGCAACGTCAACAACTTGTTCAGTGGCAAGTGAACCGAGGTTGCAAACTGGTGCAACCAATGGACGACCGAGGGTACGACCACGGTAAGCTTGCTTGTGGAGTGATTCAAATACTTGAGTGACTGGACAGTGTTCGAGTGATTCAGACTCTTCGATGGTTTGTTCAGTGCAATCACGAACTTCGTGGTAGGCCAACTTTGGGTTGGTAATGTTGGACAAACTGGTCAACATTTGCTTTGAGAATGGTGGTAAAACTTCGCTTGAAATCAATAGATTGTCTCTTGAGATTTGTGCAAATGCTGTAGATCCAATCTCGGCAATCTCTCTTTGAACTTGTAAATAGATTTTTGATTCATTGCTCTAGAGGAGAGGAGAGGAGAGGAGAAGAGAGGAGAATATTGATTAATGAGTAAGTTTCTTTGGTTACCAACAATATATATTTTGGTTGTTGTTTAATATTTACTTGGAAAGCCAAGTTCTTCAAGACTTGGTTGGAACCAGCATTGGTTTGTGACTCGAATCTGCTACCAGTGTTGACAAAGATACCAAGAGCGGCAGCTGGTCCAGTGAAACCACCAGAAAGTGATACAACCTTCATTCCATTTTCAAGTGTAGTCAATTCTGCTACTCTCTTGCTTTCGATAAAGCTTGAATACTAGAAAAATATAGATAATAAATATAATTAATAATTGTATTATAGTGATGTTGATGATGATGATGATTGTTGTTAGATATTTAATGAGATATAGTCATGTCTGTCTGTCTGTCTCTCTTTCTCTCTCTTTTGTCAACAGTTAAATCATTCTCTATCTGTGATGAATTCTATTCTTGATAATGGATAAATTGGATATGATATCGTATCACTAACCACATGTGGCAGCACCGCGCACAAACATATCATTACGATGATATATTGATCCAAAATGATACCTGTCTCCAAAAAACGATCTAAAGTGTGATGATGATGATGATGACGATTAAACTGATATGGTGATGATGAATGAGCACATACTGAACGAACGAATGGCTTTTTAACGACTAATCTTGAAAGCATTGTTATATTGTTGTTGATTGATGAGCAAGAAGAAAAGTAAATGATGACTTTTAAATTACTACTAGATAGTGCTGCCTGTCTAGACACCTTGTTGTTGCGCACAGATCTCTCTCTGTTGCTCCTCCTCGCAAAAAAAATAAATAAAAAAAAATGAAAAAAAAAAAAAGCAACGAGATCAGAACAATTTGAACTTCAGTCTCTATCACATTTAATCATTAAAGAGATTGTACACTCAGACAATGATGATGATACATTGTAATTATTGTTGGAAAGAGTTCATTGTCAAGGATAATTGCTATATAACATCATGTCTTCATTGCTTTTGTGAACCATGTGCAATGCAACAATTCAAAGATAGAATGTGTCCAAAGTGTGATTCTGCTCTCACAAACAAGTACGAACCAAACTACTGTAGTTTGATCAATTATTGTTGTTGTTGGAGATACGTTAAGATATGATAATAATAATAATAATAATAGAACGTTATCTAGCATAGTAGTCTTGCTTTAAATATTGTTGTTTTAATCTACTACTAACAAACAATCTCTCTTTCTCTCTCTCTCTCTCTTCCTCCCGTCCATCATTTAGCGGATCAATTTATGGAATCATTATAGAACCATCTATTGATAAATCTGTAACTAATATATTCACATCCTTTTATCTCATACATACAGACACCATAACATATTACTAATTCTCTCTCTCTCCATTTGAAAAAAAATAGATACAACTTTTTGGATTGAATCCAAAAGAAAGTATGACTCATTGTTAATACTATTAATCATTATTTACTAATAATCTTTTGATAGTATTTGAAATTGCAGAGAAATCGGTAGATTTTTGGACATATCAAAATAAATTATACCTTGAATGTGAATCAAAGAAACTTGAATATACCCAAGACTATTATCTCAAATTGAAAGATACCTTTATGAAAACATCTGAAGAGTATGAATCAAAGTTGGATAATCTTAAGAAACAAATTACAATACTCAAAAAAGATAGTGACAATGACAAAAAAGAGATTGTTGAACTCTCTGAAAAGTGTGCTGAAAAGACAAGGTAATCTCTCTCTCTCTCTCTCTCTATCATCTAACTTTATATCTATTTTTTCAACTACTATTAACTTTATTATTTCACATATTTGTCTCAGACAAAAAAGGAAATTGGAAGAATTATATGAATCTTTGAAAAAAAAAGTTGGACGATGCACCTTGCAATCCTACTACCAGTTCATCGATTCTGGAGGAAACATCTTCTTCTTTTTTTAAACCAATAGACCACACTGGAAAAGATCATAATAATAATACTAAATTCCATAGTATGTTTACAACGTCAAATCAACAAAAGGGATTCATGATGGGTTCATCATCATTCAAGTCGCCTGGTGGTGTCTCGATTGGCAACAGTTATATCCAAAGCCAATTAAAATCACCAATCCTATTTCAAAAATCAAATATTACTACTACATCAAACCAATTTCAGCAGCAAAGGGCAAGGCCAAATCCAACTGTAATCCCTTCGCCAGCATTGGGTGGTGATAAATCTTTCAATTCAAACAACTTGAACAATCGCTACGTCGTTGGCAGATCTCAGAGAGTAGGCGCGGATCAACAGAATTCTTCATTGTCCCCTAGTTTTAAATCAAATTCAAATTCTGATAGTAAGTAAAAGTTGATGGTAATTTATTTTTTAGGTGGTATTGAATCTCTCTTCTTTCTTTCTCTCTTCTCTCTCTCTCTCTCTTTTCAACAAAGAATTTTCTTTTATTCGAAACCAACAACAACAACAACAACAACAACAACAACAACAACAACAAACCCCCATTGCCAATCGTAGAACTACCAGTTAGCCACTAGCGGCTATTAAATTCCAATTCAATTGATAATTCAAACCAATCGAACTTCAAACCTAAAATAAAATTAATTAAAGTTTTTTAAAAAGGGGGTGATGATTCACAAAAACAATACAATTTATTATTACATTTTTTTTTTAGATAATAATATATATACAATCTTGATTAATAAGAATAGAACAGAAAAAGAATATCACTAACGAATAGAAATATGGAATCTTTATCTAAATATAAATTGGTGTTTCTTGGTGATCAATCAGTTGGAAAGGTGAGGTGGATCATGTTATTAGTACAGACAAACATCAAAGAGACTAATATTATTATTTCAATTTACTATATATTCTTTCTTTCTCTTTCTCTCTCTCTTATCTTTATATAAATATAGACCTCTATTATCACAAGATTTATGTATGATAGTTTTGATATAACCTACCAAGCAACAATAGGAATAGATTTTCTTTCAAAAACAATGTACCTAGAGGATAGAACAGTTAGATTACAGCTTTGGGACACAGGTACTTAACTTTATGTATTATAAATTTATAATTGAATCTAATCAACAACAATCTCTTTTATTTTTATAACATTAGCTGGTCAAGAAAGATTTAGATCATTAATTCCATCATATATCAGAGACTCTAGTGTAGCCATAGTAGTTTATGATATTACAAGTAAGAATTATGACAACCTATTCTCTTTGGATAATAATATCTCTTTCTCAAACTAATGATCATTTGATCTCTACTCTTATTATTATTAGATAAAAACTCATTTTTAAATACAATTAAATGGATTGAAGACGTAAGAAGTGAAAGAGGAAATAATGTAGTTATAATGTTGGTTGGAAACAAGACCGATCTTGCTGATAAAAGGTAGATTAAACAAAAAAAAACAAAACAAAAGAGATAAAGTTGCTTGATGATCTAACACAAATTTACTTCCTAGACAAGTGTCAATAGAAGAGGGTGAAGCAAAAGCAAAAGAATATGAAATTATGTTTACAGAGACCAGTGCAAAGGCTGGATTCAATATTAAAGCACTCTTTAGAAAGGTTGCATCTGCTCTCCCAGGCATTGACACCAATTCAATTGCCAAGAGTGCAGAGATGAATGAAATAGATATTGCACAATCAGACAAGAATAATAAGGGTGTAACTACTTCAGAATCGGGTGGATGTCGTTGTTAAGGGAATAGAAGAGATAGAAAACAAGAATAGTAATTTAAAAAGATTATATGGATTAAATGGATCAAAACTATACCAATCCATATTAATTTACTCTTTTTGATTTATTTGTTTCCAATTTTCGAGAAACATCACAAAAAGTATCAACAACTCTTCTTGGTTTGAATAAATATACATTTTTATTAATTTTCAAAACAACAACAACAACTATTTGTAGAAATGTGGTAGTTGTTTCAAACAGGTGGATATTGTTACATAATAATAATAATAATTTAAAATTTGAATTTGCTAAATAATCTATCAAATGGAGAGGAGAGAGCGTCTCCAAGTGAATAAGATCTTGGCTTTGTTGGGGTGGTGGTTGTTGATTTTAACAAAGCCTCTTCTTCGGTGCTAGTTGTAGTGGTGGTTGTAGTGGTGGTAGTAGTAGTTGTTGTAGTGGTCGTAGTGGTAGTGGTTAGCTTTGCAGCAGTTTGTTGATCAAAAGCAGCTTGCTGATCGGCAGGTACCGATAAAAGTTCTTTGATTGATTGCTTTAAAACAAAGTTATCGGGGGAGATGAGTGAGTTTTTGGAGGCATTGGTAAATTGAGGCTTCTTTCCACCAACGACTTGTAGCATTCCAGATTGTTTGGTATGGTTATTTCTTGACCATTTTGGATTAAAGGACAGAGAATTCTCTGTGATTTGATTAATGACGCTGACAAAATCATTTTTCCAAAGATTTTTTTCTTCTTCTGTTGAAAGGCAAATGACAACTGCACATTCCAGCGTATGTAATTTGAAATAAAATCTTTCTCCAGAGTTTTTAAATGGTGAGAATCCTCCAGAATTTCTATCTTTATCAAGATTTTCATTGTTGTTTTGTTGAGGAGGTCCAACATTGGAATTGGTTAAAGTTTGTGTTGAATCTTGTTTTTGTAATTTGTTTTTAGCAGAGTGGTCTATAATCGTACTATACTCTAAATTTACAACATTTTCAACCTAAACAAAAAGATTATATAAAGTTAGTGATTGGTTTCATTTATATTTTAATTTAATAATTTGTTTTTTTTTACCTTGAAAGTAGTTTTCATTTGTTTAGTAATAATAAAACAATCATTAAAGAGATAAAAATATCTTGGTCTGACGACTGAAAAAGGAGCATTTGAATTTTTGATGGTACCAAATTGAATTTCATGATTATTGCCATCGGTTCGAATGATTTTTACCTTTCCCTCACGAATTAGTCGACGATGAGGTTGTACGAGACCCTCGACAGGGGGTTTTAATTTCTTATTGATTTCAATGACCACCTTTGAATGTTCATCCTCCTTCATCTGTCTGTTTATAAGTTCTGCGATTGCTTCCATTCTCTTTAGTGCATTTGCAATGTTGGAATAGTCGTGATGTGTAACCGTTGTAAATTTGATGATCTCTCGGAGTAATAATACATAACGGGGAATACGTTGAATTGGCATACTAACAAATGATTGAATATCTCTTTTTCCAACTGCTTCAATAGACTTGCATTGCTGAACAAAGAGCATGTATGATGGTCTCTTTGACGCAGCCTCAAGTACCTTGAGACATTGTGGAAAATTGATGATATAATGACTGTATGGAACCTTGAGGAAATCAATCATCTGAAGAAAAACATCACCAATCTTGATGTCATAATTCCATTCATCGTTGATTCTCTTTTCCAATTTATCTAAAAGTTGTTTGTTGTACAATAGGATGACTTCGATTTGTGAAAATACAATCTTGACCTCGTCCAATGTGAGAGGCGTTTGATCGATAAAACTAAAATCACCCTTTTCTCCGATACTACTATTTGTAATAGACATTGCCATCGATGGAGAAGATGATGCAGATAGTTGAGGTGACATATTATTTGTTGATGATCCAATTTTGATTCCACTTTTGATCTCTTTACTATCTCGATTTGGTGATATTCCTTCAACAAATGTTTTGTCGTTGGTTGAGGAAGAAATAGGAGGCATAGATGTTGACATTGATGAAGATAAAGAAGGAGAGGGAGAAGAGGATGAGGAGGAGGAGGAAGCCAATGCTTTTAACGGTACAAAATAAACATTCAAAATGATTTGTAGAAAATGTACATAGTCTCTTTCAGTGACAATTAATTCTTTTAATACTCTTGATTTTAAAACTATAAGAGGGAGGGAGGTTTAATAAAAAAAAGTTAATATATCAAATTATTATTATTATTATTATTATTAGTCTTACCAAATAAAGTATATTTTCTTCTTTGAGAGTAACCTTTCCAATACTTTTGAATAAGAACAGCAGATCTATGTTTCTTTCTATCTTCTTCAGTGATGACGATGGTTGGTTTCTTTTCCTCAAACTCCTTTTTTAGTTTTAGTTGTAGTTGCCTCTTTCTTTCTTCGTCTGCGTCCATCGTATGAGGAATGTGTTGTAGGTTCTTTTTAGAACCGACCTTGTATTCTTCTTCATCGTCACTTCCACTGCTGCTGTCATCATCTATTCCATTATTATTATTATTATTAGAAGTAGTAGAGGGAGATGAGGGAGAAAAGTAATCGTCAAATGATAATGTATTTCCCATATCTTGTAAATAGGCAGTGTCCAATAGTATTGGATAGTTATATTCTGTCAAGTATACTACAGTTTTTGAAGTGTCACTACATCCAATTCCACTACTACTACTACTACTATTATCGTTGTTCCCTACAGTGGTAGAACCAACAGATAAAGCTCTATTTCTACCAGCAGCAGTTGTTGTTGATTGATCTTGTTGCTGCTTCTGTTGTTGCTTTTGTTGTTGTAATTTCTTTTTCTTGTTTCTTTTCCTTCTATTACGATTGTTGTTTTGTTTTTGGTTTCTTTCCTCTTCTAATCTTACAAGATTTAGATTCGGTACCAAGAATTTATCTAATCTCTCTATCTTTGATTTCTTTATTCAAGTTGTACAATCGTAGTATTATTTTAAGAGAAGAAGAAGAAGAACGGTTGTTGTTGTTTCTTCTTTTACTTTAAATAATAAACTATTAATACAAAACTAATGTTCCTACAAGTTTGGTGTGATGGTGATGAGGGTTGATACAGATATTGACGTATGTATGGTTGTTTTAAGAATAAAAGCAAAGTGGGGGGTGACTTTTCAATGAAGATGTTTTTTGTCGCCTTAAAACCAAAAAAAAAGATTTCCATCAAAACTGCCATTCTCCTTTTATTATTATTATTTATGATTATTATTATTTCTAAAGGTTTCTTTCAGTTGGAGCATAATATTTTAATCGGATAATGTCAAATATCTCTTTTTCACTTTGAACCAATATGTCTTCGCCTGGCTTTCCATCAAACACTTCTCTAATCGAATACTCTGATAGTGTATAACCTGATTTTAAAGCAATAGCTCTCATTTGTCTGTTAAATTCATCACTTCCAGTGCTGTACCAATTGAAAAAAATAGAAATATGATTAATACTATCCATAATGGAAGAAATAAATAAATATTTTTTTTTGCTTGATTCACATACTTGTGCAAGAGGCCAAAATAATAAGATTCTATTGGAACCAATTTAAAATCAATTCTTCTTACTATTCGTCTCGTCATAGTCGTCGTCGTCGTCGTTGTTGTTGTTGAGCTTGTTGTTGTTTGTTTTAATTTCTTTTTTTCCAACAATTTTTGTTTTTTTCTTTTCAACTAAAAGTCTTTCACTTTCTTCATCTTCTGGCTCTGTTTCATCATCATCTTGATCGTCACCATCATTATCATTATCATTATCATCATTATTATTACCATCATTATCATCATTTGTTTTTGGTTGTGATTTTGGAGGACATACACAACATCCCATATATTTCATTGGTCCCAAACTTATATCATCGACAATTATTTTTTCCTTTTTTAAAGCATCTACCAATCGTTCCATAATTTTAAAAGTATTTTTCTTTGTTTTTTGTTGGATCGTATAGTTTGGGTGACTGAGAAGTATATCAATATCTCCACTATTCGGTGTTCCTCGTCGATAACTACCACAAGTATCAGCGATTATACTTTTATCTATTGTTTTTAAACATTTTTTAACTATTGCCTCAATCTCTTCAATCTCTTCTCTTGGTACTCTTTGTTCAATGTCATCAAAATATTTTAAACCAATTTGTTGGTGATGGTTTAGAGTATGAGAAATCTTTCTCAAATCGGCAATTGTTTTAATATTTTGTTCCATTACTAGGTTTTTAGTCAACTACAGGTCTATATATATATAGAAATCATATGATGATAATTAATTAATATCTTTGTCTTTGTGGAATAAATACAATTTATAAGATTAATCTTACCCAATACCAGATACCTTACATATTTCATTAATGGCCATATAAATTTCATTTGATTGTAACTTTTCTAATCTTTAATAAATAAAACAAATAAAATAAAATAAATAAATTAATAAATAAATAAATAAATAAATAAATAAATAAATAAATTGACATAAAAGATAATGGTAATGATTATGATTAATACTTTTTTAATTTACCAGTATCCAGGATTTCTTGAACCTTTTGTGAAATCTTTAAACCAACGCCATCTAATTCTAAGAGTGTATGAGAATAATAATAGTTGTATGAGAAAATGATTACAAAAGGTAGTATCAGCAGCAGCAGCAGCAGCAGCAGCAGCAGCAGATTGTTGTATACAAACTCTTTGATTCTTGACCAGATGTAATCTTTTTTGGATAGGATTGAATTGATTGTATAGCTTTTCGATAGGCATTGTATTTATGAGTTGCTCCTTTATTCTTTTCAAATATTCCAACTTGCAATAGAATATCAGTCAATAGTTTGTTGTGTTGTATTGATGATCTATCAAATACTGGTAGTGTTGTCAGAGGTGTAAGAGGTTTCTTTATAGTTGTTGTTGTTGTACTTTTTTGTTTCTTTCTAGATCTACTACTACTACTATTTTCATCATCGTTGTCATCATCATCATCATCACTACTATATTGTTCTTGTTGTTTAGAGTTTGAGGATTTGGTTTGTTTGCAGTGCTCTTTTTCCTCCTCTTCCTCCTCTTCCTCCTCCTCTTCTTCCTCTGATACAGTACTATCAGAATCGTTGTAGTTCTTTTCAGCTTGTTTTCTTTTATTCATTCTTTAATTCTATCTATCTATCTATCTATCTATCTATCTATCAATATATATATATAGAGAGAGTAATCTATGTACAATAAATTAGTTGAAAAACAGATCCAGTTTTTCTAGAAAATTTCAATAAACTGGATATTATCTTTTTATTTTATTAATAAATAATTTACAACGGTTGATTTATTTTCGTTTCCATTTGAAAGTTAATTCTTATAATTGGGGGGAGGGATATTAGCTAACCAAACCAATCTCTCTTTTTTTGAAGTGTACTGATTGGGATGATATTTTCGCAAATACACTACCGGAATAATGCCAAAACCACCTGTGAATATGATAGTGAATGCTTCTTGCATGTGATATATATATTTAAAGGTTTTAAAATATTTTTCTTGAGTATTTGGTTTTCTCCGATGATGGAAAACATTATTGATCTCTTCTTCTTCTTGATGATAGTTTTCCAACAATGAAACTTTTTCCATTTCTTCTTAATTTCTAGAGGAGATAGATATTTTTAAAATATAATATTATATTAGTATACTTTATTATTAATACTACTTGGGTTTGTCTAGAGACTGACTTCCTTACAACTCCCAATCGAATCTTGGGGGTGGGATGTGTTTTGTGGTGTAAAATCTAGAACTTCGATTTATTTATTTATAAAGGGTTGCTTTTTTTTAAAAATACATTTTTTTTTTTTGTGTTTTATATATATATATAATTGTTGTTTTTAAAAATCACCCAATTCCTCTGCATCTTGAGATTGAACTACAGCATTTCTTTTTTGTAATTTTAACATTAGTTCATTGGTTTCTTTGGAATTGGTAACATGGATTTGTTGTGCTGGTGGTGGTTGATTGACACCTCTTAATTTTACAGATTTTAATATAGAGTCTGGTGATAATGGACCATCCACTTCCTTTTTTGTTATTGGTGCTGCTGTCTTTAGTTTTTCTCTCATTGCCAAGATCTGTGACATATCCAATGCACCTCCCAACGATGCATTGCCACCTGTATTTTTTAGATTTTGTGATGATTTGGATTGGGAAGAGGCAATTGACGATGGAGAGGAGGAACCATCCATGTTGGTGGTTTGAGGTTTCTTTGGTTTGAAATTCTTGAATCCAAGAATGGGTGGAGGTGGTGGTGGTGGAATTCGTACTCTCATTGACTTTTCATCATTGTCTTGGTCAATGTCGACATGAACAGATGGACCAAGAACGGCAGTGAGATTGTGAATCATATCTTTGGCATCGTCAACCAATCGTTTTTGACCTGCCATTTTGTAGTAATTTAATTCCTCTTGTTCCTTTTGAGTGAGGTATTTGTACATTGCAAGACGACCAGTTACACCAAGTGAAGCAATTCTCATTGACAATGCGGATGCTCTAATACATTCATCAACTGCAATACCAATAATGTGATCAATAATCTCTCTACAACGAACTTCTTTTACCACCTTTGATCTTTCACTATATTCTTTCCATGAAGATTCAACAACATCTTGAATGATTGATTGAACTATATTTAAATCTAAATGATCCAAAATATTTGTATTAATAAATAAAATAAATCTACAATAAATAATAATATTAAATACTTTTTTGTTTGTCAAGAGAAGCTTTTGGATATTTCTTTGCAACCAATCTTAATTTACATTTTCTAAACCTTGAACCCAATCCATACTTTGTTAAAACTTCATCATCGTTTAGAATGACAGAAGGTGAACCTGCTTGTTGTTGTGGTTCCATCTTTACTGTATAGAGATGTGGTTTATGAATGTCCATCTTTTTAGCAATTTCCTTTACCAATTGTATGGCAGGCATGTAACCATCGACCTCTATGATACGTTGATGTTTACCTTGATACTCTGGTGCCTCTGGGAAATGAACTTCCAATTCAAAGATACCTGCTCTACGTACTTTTCCACGTTCAACCAAACATAATTGCCATTTATCAAAAAATGAACCCAATCCATATTCAGAGAGATTGTCATCCAATTGAATTTCACGACCTTTTATCGTACACAGTGAATAGAGATGACTATTTGGTTGTTGTATCTTGGTGCAAAGGAAATGAACAATATCTTTGCTAGATAGATTGTTTGGTACTCTAAATACTTTTTTACAAACTCCATCTGGTCCATCACCTGCAGGTAAAATAAATTCAACAATAAATCTATCATCTCCATCTATCATTAAAAAAAAAAAAGGTCATATTAATAAATAAATATACAATAGCAGTCGTCGACGATCGTCATCTCTTTGAACTTACTTAGGACAATAAATTCTTTAACCTTTGAAACAAATAATTTAAGATCAACATCGCCATCCCATAAATCTTGTGCAGAGAAACCCATCAATGATAATTCATCCAATAGTTTGGTAACATTTTCTTTTAATTCTTTTTTTTGTATTTGTTGTTCTGTTGCCAACATATTACATCTTCTAATAACTAATGATCCCTAAAAAAAAAATAATTAAATAAAAGTAAAAGTAAATTAATATATATGTATATATAACTATAGTCATTCAATATTTGACATTTACATTTGATACCAAATCTTTAAAAGCATCAACAAAACTACCTTCAAATTGATCCAATAGATCTCTTTTTTCAGTGGCAGCAGAAAAGTATAACATATTGTTTTGTATACTATTGATTCGATGTGGTTGAAGTGCAGCTTGTTTTGAGATATTTAGTTCTATTGAAAAGAGTCCAACATCTGATGAATCGATCAATAGTTCCGATAGTTCATCACGATTGATTCTTCGTAACAATGTAAATGGATAGGCAGAAGCATCGATCAACAAGAGGACACTGCTGCAAAGTACAATAAAGGTAGGTGATGAATTCTTTTTAAAGAATGGTTGCCATGATTTGGGTGAGTGTTGTTGTTGCAAATTACCACTTGATGATGGTCCTTTTCTTGATAATACACAATGTACTAAATAATAACTTTTAACTATTTCTCCTTCCTATATAAATATATGTAACAAGGTATTAGTTTATCTTTTTTAGAAGAGAGTGTGATCAACTCTTTTTTGATTAAGTACTTTTAAAAAGGATTGAAATATTTGATCGAAATCTATAGTAGGTAATCTATGATAATTGATAAAAGAAGTAGATGTAGAATTACTAATAGCAGATGCTGAACTAGTTGACGATGATGATAAAAGATTTCCTGATGACGAATAAGCACCACTACCACCACCTAACAAAATCGGTGATACATTAGCACCATTGTTGTTAATAGCAGCAGTTTGACTAGGTGATAGTTGAACTGATTTTCGAAATAGTTTATTTGTGAATTTATTCATTCTCCTCTATCTCTACTCTCTTCTGCACTACTACTTTTGTAATCTACTTTTGTCATCAAAACGCTTGTACCGATACGAATTTGGGTGACAAAAAAAAAAAAAAAAAAAAAAGAGATATTTTTCATTCTTCATTGAAAAAAGCCTTTTGGGCTTTGAAAAGGATATCCTTTTAAATGATAAATAGTTTTTTTTTTATTTTTACACATGTATGTGATTGATTTTATATATATATGATGATGATGATGATGAAGATGATTTTGAGTGATTTTGAGAGTTGTTGATGTGAATGTTAGGGGTATACCCTAAATCTATTTGTACATTGAAGCAGTATCACCAAGATATACAAGAATTTTTGCGAGTTGGCCAATATTTTCTTTTTGTCTGTAGAGAGCCAATTGTTTGACAACCTTTGAAAGGTTCTTTACAATCAAAACATGAATGTTTCTGATATCCTTTTGAACCTCTTCACGAGAGGATAATGGTACATAGTCTCCCTTATAGTCGGGTACATCGGTTAGTTTATCGAAATATTCATTGAGACGACCGATATTACCAATAATAAAACGATTGACAGGGATCATAAATGATTCCTTTTGACCAAACTCTATGCCATTGGCAAGATTTTGAAGTACCTTTCCAATGAGAACGAGTGCTCTTGTGGCTTCTGGTCCCGGTTGTTCGTCGACAAGACCTGCTGTGAATGGACCGATGATAGCGGGACAAAGGAAACGTAAAAAGATAAATCCACCAACTGAAGAGTGCTTATTGTCTGGGAATCGCTTGACAACTTCTTGTTGCAGATATTTGCTAATCTCACGCAACGACATGGGCAATTGATGAAGAGAGTCAATGATAACGTCTGTGAATTTTTCAGACATTTGAATAAGATTCATCATATTGGTCATCAATTCTTCACTACCTTCATTAATCTTGCTTGGATCGACTTCGTAGCCGGCAGGATTATCGATAATCTCGCGTACCAATGGTGTAATGACCTTGATGAGATATGGCATACCTTTCATCTTGGTAAAGGCTGTCATGAGTTTGGTGGCAGTGGTATTGCTACGGAAAAGGGTAGATGGATTGGCTGTTGTTGTTACTTCAGCTTCGATACCAGTGTGAATGATTGGACGTATCTTGTTGAAACTGTCAAATATTCTGGCAATTGAATCGATCATTCTAGATTGTTCATCTTGTTGACACGGTGAAACGACACATTGAACGACTTGGAGTGATGGACTGGCCAATAGTTCTACCAGATTGTTGTATTGTTCCTCCAAAAAGGTCTCGGTAAATTCATTGGCAGTGGGTGGATCCAAAATAAAGGACCAATCGGATTGTTCCAATTCCAACATGATTTGGTGTGGATCAATGTCCTTCTTTTGAACGTTTACTTGAGAGGCAGATGAAGCACCAGCAGTATCGATACCATTACCATCTGGCAATAGAACTGATGGTTGAGCTGGACTACCAGTTGCAACCTCACCAATAGCATTGGGAGACATAAATGAAGATGAAGCAGATTCTTGATGTAAATTTTGTGGACCTCCACCTTGCTTTGACGAACCGGTAGAAGATATGCTACTGTTACTACCTCCAGTTGAAAAGGTGGATACGACAGTTTCAGAGATGGTCTTGGACCATTGTGTACGACTTTGTTGACGGAAATGAGAGTCTAACGAGTCAAATGAAGACTTCATGGCTTGGAATCTTTGAAGACCTCTTTCAAAGTATTCTTGTTGTGCCTTCATACAAGCATAGAATAGTTTGAGTGATCGGTTTTGAATTTGGACACCTTCCTTGAAAATGGCATCAAATTCAAAGGCAGTCTTGTCTAGAGTCTTTTTGAGGTTTGAAACATCTCTCTCGGCGTCTACCATCTTTTTGTCGGTTGGTTGGAGATTCTTGGCCATAGAGTAGAGTTTAGAGACAGCACTTTCATATTCAGTGTGTGCTTCAAAGACACGTTTACGCATTTCAATGATGAGTGGGATGAAACCTTCTAGATCCTCTGATACATTGGCCATTGGTTGGGAAAAGGCGCTATTGGTTCTTGTTGACAATTCAGAACGCAGATAACCAATCTTTTTGATGGCATTTGAAAAATGATCGAGACTGTTGGAGAGCGAAGTGTCGACGGTTCCTTCAAACGATAGTTTGGCCAACACCAAATACTCTGAAAAGTGACCTTGTTCCTTGAAGGATTCTGGTTCTACTTCATAGTATTTCTTGGACGACTTATTCAACTTTTGACAGGTCTTGTTAAAGTTTCTGAGTGCTTCAATCTTGTTATCATACTCTTTGAGATAGGATGAAGAGTCATCACTGGCAGATGGGAGATTGGCTTGTGAAGTGATGTAGGAGTTGAGCATGCTTGGATTGTTGATGAGATTGAGAATGTTTTGACATTTGGCATTCTTTTCTTCGAGGAGGTTTTCGAGATCGACCAAACCTTGATAGTCAATGTGTGTGTTTTTAGTGTACTTTACCATGCCACTAATGTTCTTTTGGTAACGTGGAACAACGAGTAATGGTTCAATGAGAAGGGCACGGAGATTAAACTCTTTATAGTCATCATCAGTTTCAACCTTTTTACGTTCCATTGCCAATCTTTCACATTCCTTGAGATAGGCGCATACGGGTGAGTTTTGTTTCTTGATCATATTGTCCAACATGTAGATGGAGAAGGGAAGTTTGTCAAGATATTGATTAAAGACACCGTCGGTAGACTTGAAGTGGTTCAAGAGAATGTCACCAATCTTTTTCTTGTTGTTACTCCAAAGGTTGAGACGATTGTTCATCAGATGAAGTGTGTTGCTGTTGCTGTGGTAGATCTTTTCAATGACATTAAAGATGGTACGAATCTCTTCTTCCGATAAAAAGATGTATGGCAAGTGTTTCATATTCTCTGGCAATTGTTCACGATCTCTGACGAGCAATGGGTTGAGGAAAATCGATCTGATAATATTGAGTGAACGGACATAGGTACGTTGGGTTTCGATCAACTTCCAACAAAACTTGTCTCTAAAGGAACGAGTAGTGTCAAAGAGTGAGGCATTGTGATTCTCACCACAAGAGACAGAGATAAAGGTTGTCTTTAAAAGAGAGTCAATCTTTTTGGGTTTGTTTTGGTCTCCTTGGGCGTGTCCCAATTGTCCAAATGGATCCTTGCCACAGGTGTAAATCTTTCCAGAATCTGTCAAAAAGGCCATATGACGACCTCCGCAACTGATTTGACGAATCGACTGTGATCTCAATCCATCCACCAACTTGGGGTGCAACTCTGATTGATTGGTTCCGTGTCCCAATTCTTGTCCGCTACCCCATGTATATACATCACCACATTCAGTCAATGCAGCAGTTGAATAATGGCCACATGATAAACGTTCGATATTTAAATGTTTCAATGCTGGCACCATCATTGGAACACTGATAATGTTGGCACTACCCATGGCAGCTCCATTACCAAATACCAACACCTCTCTTGCATTGGTCAATACTGCACAATGAGTACTGCCACATGCAATTTGAATAATATTGTATTTCTCCAATGAAGTAACTAACATTGGTGTACAATTCTTTTGGGTATCACCTAAACCTAATTGTCCATATTCTGATGTTCCCCATGTAAATACTTTACCATTTTCTAATAAAATAAATAAAAAATAAATAGTGTTAATACTCTGATTCATTTCTACGATCTATTTTTTTTTTTTTTTTTTTTTTAAACATACTAGTTAAACAAATGGTATGTTTTTCACCACATTGAACTTGAGTTACCCAGTGACTGGTCATTGTTTGGACTACTTTTGGTATGGTTTGATTTAAAACATCACCATGACCCAATTGACCATCTTCACCACATCCCCAAGTTAAAAGTTCACCATTTGATTTTAAAGCTGCTGAATGATAATAACCAATTGATACCAATACAACTTCTGATAATGATTCAACTTTGGTTGGTAATAATTGATCTAAAATGAAAAAAAAAAAATAAAAAAATAATATTATTAATATTTGTTGTTTTTCTTTTATATTTTTGATGTTTGTTCTTTAATTTACCTTCAAGACTACCATTACCAAGAGTAGAAAGTGGTGGATTCTTTACACTACCTCTACCCCACATGTAAACATCACCATTCTCTGTCAATGCAGCACTATAATAACTGCCACAAGAGATGGAACATATTTCAGGGATATTAAAGTTTGGTAGACGTTCTGGAGTGGCTTGGGATTGTTCTCTTCCTTCGGTTTTGAAACCCAATTTACAGTTGGAAGAACTACCCCAGGTCATAATACCTCTTTGTGTGTCTAGTTGAGTGGCTGAACGTGAACTATCGTTGCTATTGACACCGGTCAACTGTGGTGATGAAGAAAGTAAAGTATTGTCACCAGACGATGATGTTCCAGACATGGCGGTCATTGGTGGTGTATCCAATACATGGTTCTTGTTGTAAAGTGAGAGTGAGCTTCCGGCAGCTGCACTTCCAATGACAGGTGATGAGGTATTGGGAGTAGAGTGGTTGGAAGAGGTAGAAGTGGATGATGAAGTTGAAGAGTCACCATGATCTTCTTTGGGTGGTCTTGGAAGAGTGGCATTCTTTAATTTGGTGGCAATAGATGAGGAGGTTCTCGACAATATTCTGTCTTTGGTATCTTTTTCCTTTTCCTTTTCTTTTTCCTTTTCCTTTTCCTTGTCTTTCTTTTCTGCCTTTTCTCTTTCCTTTCTCTCCTTTTTTTCCTTTTTTTCAATCTCTTTTCTCTCTCTTTCCTCTTTCTTTTCGTTTTCCTTTCTTTCCTTTTCCTCCTTTTTGTCTGGTTTGCCAATAGCCCATTGATGTGGGAACTTTTTAAATATACTCTTTCTATCATCACCATGTTCTCTTTCATCATCTTCAAGGTTAAGGTTTTGTTGACTATTATGTTCTTTGAGTGCATTTGATAATCCTCCAGTACTAGTATTATTATTATTACTGTTGCTGTTGTTATTGTTGTTGTTGGTATTGTCAATTGATTGCTTCTCAAAAGTTATAGACGAAGTGGGTGTTGATTCCAATGAATTTCTTTTCTTCTCTGGTGATATCGGACTGTGAGGAGCTGGCGATGAAGACATGGCACTGGAAATATTAGACATACTCGTATTTGGTGTAGATGGTGGTAGTACAGGTGGTTTTAGGGTTGGAGCAGATGATGATAATGGACTGGTCAACGGTTGAAGTGGTGGTGTTGTAGGTGTAGCTCTTGGTACTGTTTGGGTTGGTGTTGATGGAGTACTTGTTGGTGCAGTTGTATTATTATTATTATTAGTAGTAGTAGTAGTAGTATTATTAGTATTGTTGGGTTGTGGTGGTGGTCCTGTTGGTGGTGCATTATAGTCTCTCTTTGGAACTGCTGGTGGTGTTGCTTTGGCAGCGGCAGCGGCGGCAGCAGCAGCAGCAGAAGAGTTGGAAGTAGTCGTATTTATAGGTTGTACAGGTATTGGAGTAGCGGCTACTGGTGGTGTTGTAGTGGTGGTGGTGGTGTTTGAAGCTGGTGGTGGCTTTGAAAAGGCACGGGGCTTTAATGGTGGTGGTGATTTGGGTGCTAATAAATTGCCTCCACTACTATTCAATGAAGGTGATGATGAGGAGGAAGAGGAAGTGTTGTTCGCAGCATTGTTATTTTCTAGATTGGCCTTTAAATTACCAGAGCTATTAGATGGTTGTATTGGTGGTGTTTGTGGTAATGGTCGACCACCAGACGATAAAGAAGAAGAAGCTGTTGTTGTTGTCGGAGCCGATGGTTTTGTAATTGGTTGTGACATGTTGAATATTTCTACAAATGAGGTCTTTTCTAAAATATAAATAATAATAGTAATAGTAAAAGAGATTGGAGATATATATATAGATTGATAAAGATAAAAGTAAATGTTAGATTGCTGTTGTGTTTTGTAGTAGACATCAATGCATAATAGTAGTAGTAGTAGTAGTAGTAGTAGTAGTCGTCTCTTCTCTCATTGTCCACAAAAGAAAAGGAGGGATGAAATGGTATTGAACCATCCTGTGACGAGAATGAATCTACTGCTGCACCCATGATGATGATGATGATGATGATGATGAAAATTGATATAAGTGGTTGGTATGATATTTACTCTAAAATACAGAGGGGGTTGTTGTTGGGTAGAGGTGTGTGTGTGGGCGATTGAACAAAGATAAATGGGGGAACGATCGTAGGTTGATCTATTTGTTGTTGTTGTTGTTGTTGTCGTAGTTGTCGTTATTATCTTTTATACTAGTAGAAGTATAAAGGGGTGTTAAATCTATGTTGTTGTTGTTGTTATTGCTTCTGACAAATAAGATTTTGTTTAGTTTTTTTGCGCTCCCCTCTATCTACAACGTTATCTCGTTGTTTTAATAACTATAATGTTATTATTATTATTATTATTTATAGACTTATTATTATTATTATTATTATTATTATTATTATTATTATTATTATTATTATTATTATTATTATTATTATTATTATTGTTGAGAGAAGGAGGTTGAAAAAGCCCCAATAAAGACAGATTTTTTGTTGAGCTGCAAAAAAAAAAAAAAAAAAAAAAAAGCAAGAAAAAAAAAAAAAAGACCATCTTCCATTTCATAGTAAAAAAAACAAAAAAAACAATAAATAATAATAAATAATAATCTTTTCAAAAAAGATCACTCATCCGACCGGCATCATGCAATCAAACACACTAATGAGTAATTCAATGAAAGAATGAATAGGTAGATCTTGTTGAGGAATTCCGATCCCATGGTCTCCCCCCTCATCGGGGTGACAAAAAAATCCAACTGGTATAAATTTTTTCAAGTTTTTTGATTTCTTTTAATATTTATTTATTTATTTATTTATATGAAAGTATACCATTACCATTGATGGTTACTAATATATATATATATGAATGATAGATTATGTTACTTTTGAAGAAATAGAATGTGGCAACCACATTTTGTTAAAAAAAAAGGATATCGGGCTTTTTTTTTTTTTTCCACATCTTGAATTTCTTCTTATCAAGTTTTGGAAGTAATTCCAAAGATGGCATCATTAATTCCACTACAATTAATAGCGAATAGATGAGTTTGTCTACGTCAGATGATGATGATAGACCAAAAGAAGAACAACCATTGAGCCCTTCTTCATGAACAATGGTTGGTGTGTTGTCAAGTATGAACCCTGAAGCAACACAGCAGCAGCAGCAGCAGCAGCTACTCGAAATAAAGAACCAAATATGCCAACATTTAGAGGATGTTCCAAGCACCAGTTCTAGAGTAGTTGGTAAGAATCTTGTGAACGGTTCTTCTAATCTTTGGATCAGAGTCATTGTGCATTGATTCGATGGTGTGAATGACATCATTTTCTCTCCAAGATGGCGAACCATCACAACAGTTGTGTAATACTTGATATCTGACCTTTGGATCTTCATCATGTGACATCTCCATAATTCTGTTCCACAAGAGATCAATGTCCTTCTACGATTTGTTTGGAAATCGTTAAAATAAATTAAAAACAAAAAAGGGGTTGTTAGGATCTATTGGATGATGATGATGTGTGTGTGTGCGTGTTTAATGTAGAGACACACTTACCTTGACCTTGCATGGACAGAAAGCACGAAGAGCGAGTCTACGAGTTTCAGCAGACTTTGAACGAGTGAGATCCAAAATCTGATCCATTGTGAGATTTGGGTCGTTGAGAGTTGGCTCCTTCTGTACCACCTTACAAACAAGATGATCGGCAAGTGGCTTGGTAGTGTCTGAGAATTCAAGACAACCCTTCTTTCTCAAGAGAGAGACAAGAGTACGCATTAAAGTGATGGCTTGTTGTTGATCACTTTCAATAGAGAATTCATCGATGGCCAAAAGCAAAGATTCTTCCAAATCAACTTGATCGACGGATTCACTAATCGTACCGACAAGATAACTTTTAGTGTCTTGTTCCAAAAGATGATTAATAAATACTTGGTTGATTGATTCTAAAATTAATTCATTGTTGTTGTTGAGCGACATTTTTAATTGATTTTTTTGGTTTGTTTAATTGTATAAATTTAATTATTTAATTTGCAAAAGGTATAATTATTATTATTTGTTATTATTCGAGTTTAAGACTGTATTTATTTTTTTGCCACCATTTTTTTGACCTTTCTCTCTCCAAACAAGTATGAGAAATTGTTATGAAATTTAATGGTGGAACCACCGACGATGTTTGATATCTAGGTGAAATTTAGCATGTTTGATAATAAGGTGAATCGACACTACGATCATCGTTGTCAACATCTTTTTCATTGAACAACAAGTATAGTTAATTTTGTAAGAAAAAGTAACATACTCGCACTGTAGAAATAATTGTTATGTGTAATTTTCATAAAATACTACTACTAGTATTGTTGTTGTGATTTAAATCACAATGTGTTGTGTGAATGGTGTGATTCATCTCTTTTGGGGAGCCACTGCAGTGAGTGGGTAAAAGAGCATTTTCATTTATGATTCCAAAAAAAAAGTGATGTGATGTAGTCTATATCATAATATAATAATAATAATAATAATAATATACTCATACAAAACAAAGAGATATGAAAGAATATAAAAAAAATCATCAAACCAACAACAACAAAAGAGGCAATAATTATATTTTTTCAAATTGGAAAGATCATCATTTCTTTTTTCTATTTATTGCACTATTCATAGCAGGCAATGTAGTCTATTATTTTTACTATCAATACGATACACCTTATACTAGATCTAAAAAGGCATATGTACCTGCTGGCTATGAAAATGATGACTTTTTCGCTGATCAAATCAAACAAGAACAAGAACAACAGCTAGAAACAGCTGCAGGTGAAAAGAAATCGGTGCGAGACTCAAAGAAAGTGTTTCAACAACAGCAACTAGGTCACTTTAGAAGAAAACAACCATCAACAACTGCTGAACAGTCATTGCCATTGGATCATCCATTGTTGGTTATTGTCACTACAAACAAACCACAACATCTAGATAGACTCTTACAGAATCTACTAGACAATGTCATTGGACTAGATAAGAGTCGCATTGCAATATTCAACGATGGACATATTTCAATAGATCCAATACTAAAGAAACACAGTATAGTTAATCATCAATTGGCCGTCGAATTGAATGCTCAACACCACCCATCAACAACACCAACAAAAGAATCCCAACAGACCAACATCTCACATCAACAGAAAATAACAAACCAAAACAAACATTACAAACAAATATTTGACACTGTATTCAATAGTCACAAGTCTGCCATATTCCTTGAAGATGACCTTTTATTGTCGCCAGACTTTTTATTGTATATGAATAAAATGTTGACCTACCTCGACCAAGACAACTCTTTGTTTTGTGTCTCTTCTTGGAACGATAATGCATTTAGATGGGCATCTTATCCACCATCACTCTTTCAAGTCGGAGCAAAAGATCAACATGGTAATGATATTACTCCTGCCGATCTCATCGCCAACAACAACAACAACAATCAAAATACAAAGAATCAAGATCTCTTATTATTGTCAAAACCAAAGAACCTTTATTCCTTCAAGAGACAACAACACTTTGGTGGTCTGGGTTGGATGACTACCAGTGATATCTATCAATCAAACATTCTTCCGAATTGGACCGACGACCAATTACCTTGGGATGTGATTGTACAAAATTCACTCGATCCAAATCACCATGAATGTATCTTTCCAGAGATTTCAAGATCATATCATGCTCCAAATATTAAAATCAATTTTATCAATTCTGGTATATATATAATTATAATTTAATATTTAAATATTATTTTTATATTTATTCTTTTTCTTTTTTTTTTTTTTTTTTTTTTTTTTTAGATAAAATAGAAATTGATGAATGGTCATTTTTACAATTTTCAAAAGATAATGATAATCAACAAAGAGAGGAATATGAAAATTTAAATTTGGATTATTTAATTCAATCAAATTATGAGGTTTGGATGAACAAGGTGGTAGAGAATACTCTATTTGTAGAGTCATTAGAGATGATAACATTACTCGAATCAAATAGAGAGGATGTAAAGGGATGGGCATACCTTGTAGAGTCTGTTGAATCAAACCAAGATCCACGATGGGATCACCTTATCAGTACACAGTTTGGAATGATTGGAAGAGGTAATGGTGGAACTGTCAGAGGTATACATAGAGGAATCGTTCAACTATGTTGGTTTGGAAAACCTCTCTATTTGATTGGTGCTTACTCTCCCTACTTGAACAAAGATCTTCTAGACAGTCACACACTCTTGATAAAAGATATTGACACATCGATTGTCGAATTTGACAAATCCATCAATAATCTGCAGTCTCTGGTAAACCTATTCAAACTAAAAAATGATGCATCCGTCATTGCTCAAGCTGCCAAAGCTTCATTATCTTGTCACACTGCCTGTCAGCAAGTTGGTAAAATATGTCATGAATCAGATCAAGTACTATTAGTCGACGTTGACACTACCAAATACATATTTGAAACGCTATGTGACAAGGTCACCGTCTTGCAAGACTATAGCGGTCAATTGCCACACAACAACTTTAATTATCTTCCGATTCGTCATCAAAATTTTAGTTGTGTCATTCCACCAACCTTCAAGTATCTAAGTTGTAATGCTACACCTCCCAGCGGAGGAACTTCAAGATTATGTGTTTGTAGAGATCTCTATTTATCTTAAAGAAAGAAATAGATGACAAAAAAAAATAATACATAATTTTATTAATAATAAAAAAGCCATTATGTTGCAACAAGAGGTGGACTGTTTTGTAGTTGTTTACAATCAATAAAAAAATTTTCATAAAACGATATGCCTTGAATGGTTTCATCACGACACAATCTTTCTAATCTCTCACATGCCTAAGAAAAAAAAATTAAAATAAATAAATTAGATATCAAAATTTAAAACACATTATATATTATATTACATACCAATAATTTTTCTTTTGATAGATTTAAAGAAATTTGTTGAATAGTTGAAAGATGAAATGGAGTGATGGAACCTCCATTCTCTCTAATGATCTCTATTATTTCTTTGGCAACTTGTTCATCGTTTTCATCCTTTGATTGAACGACAATCACTCCACTGTCAAACTTTCTAATTCTAAATGGTAGGTTTAATTGTTCAAATAATAAACATGCTCTATACAAATCATCTGGTGATATTAATTCTAAACAAAAAAAGTAATAGTGTTAAAACAAGTAGGAGAGAGAGAGAGAGAGAGATATATATATATTTATATATAATAATTAAAGTTTTAATCTTACCAATTCCTCTTGCTCTATTAAAAATACAATATAAATCAGCCAATGGAATCATTCCACTGTTTAGTTGTCTACCACCTCCTTGTTTTGATAGTATTTGCTTTTCTAGCATCCAGTCGGACAATTGTTTCGATAATTCAGTGTGATAATGTGATTTTGCCGTTTTCTTTGTCACTGGAGTATTGATACCCATGTGAAGAAGGAATGATCTAAATTCATCTTCTTCGGCAGAGTAACTGGGATCTCCTTCCTTTTTAAGTTGTTTATCCATTGCTGTCTTTAATTTCTCAGACAATGTAACCATATCCTTGGCCTTTTCCATCAATGCATTTAAATCTGTGAATGCTTCACTTAAAACCTTGTCTGTCTCTTCTGTTCTTTTGTTCATTTGTTTAATTAATCCACTGATTCCTGCATTTGATGTATCAAATGTTTGTCTATTAGTATTTGTTGTTATTTGTTGAGGTTGATCAAATGTTGTAGTAGGTGTTGTTGTTGTTGTTTGTTGTTGTTGTTTTAGCTGTTCTTGTTGTTGTTGTAATTGTCTTTGAATTGTTTGTCTCTCTAATAATACTTGTTTATAGATTCTACAAAATTCATCTCTTTTACCAGCATGAAAAGATAATCTAAGCTCCTTTCCACTTCTGCAAGTTATCGATATCTTTGGACTAGAACCTATTCCAAGGAATCCAGTTGTCTATAGATAAAAATAGATTGGTCAGTTTGATATTGATGATGATGATGATGATGATGATCATTAATAATGATGATAAGTTTGTGTGTGTTTATATAAAAACATACAATAGGAGCAATAGTAGCAATTGAATCATGATGTAGAGCACATGAAGCTATTTGATGATCAGGTAGGTTGTTTGATGTTTGAACCCAAATAACTCTAAGTGAAGTGAGTATGATTACACCCTTTTGATAGGGAGACAATGCATCACCATAGTAGATTGATACATTATCTATAGTCATTTGAGATACTACATCTTCATTGTCAAACAACACAGGATTCTGTTGAACTATTTGTATAGAATGATTTATAGACTCCATTTCAAACAAAGATCCTAGTTTAAATGAAATGAAAGATTAAATTATTGTATTGAAGACAAAATGCTCTTATCTCTCAGAGTGACCCACTTTTTCATTGAAACTGACGATGTTCTTTTTTTAAAATTTTATGGTGCTTCACTAAAGAGGAGCAGCTTTAAAGCAACATCATCGACATCAGTGTTGTTATAATACCACAATTAGTTAGAGAGATATATATATTAGAAATGTGTAAGAATAATAATATCATCATCATCATCATTATTAATAGGATCTCTGTTGTTTAACATACTGATTTTTTTTTTTTTTAATCGCGTGATTAAAAAATATATATATACATACAATAGCTGAAGAGATTTTAATTTGCAAGAGATGTCAAAAGAATATTGACTCTGGTGAGAGTATTCATGCTATGGATGCAGATTGGCATTCCGATTGTTGGGGTTGTGCAGAGTGTCATACTGCATTTGAAACTCAATCTTTCTACAAGGTACAAGGATTACCAATTTGTAAAAATTGTTATCTAAAGAAACAAAGCAAGTGTAAAAAGTGTTCACAACCAATTGCTGGACAAAAATTGACAGACAACATTGGACAAGAATATCATCCAGAATGCTTTACATGCTCCAATTGTAACAAAAACATTGATGCAAATTTCTTTATCAAAGACACAAATATTCTATGTCCTCAATGTAATGATCAACTAAAAGAACAAACTAAAAAACAAATTGGAAAGGAATTGGGTAATTGTTATGTGTGTAAGAAACCATGCAACACTAGTGATGGAACTGTAATTGTTGTTGGTCCAGAAGAAAGATATCATAGACCTTGTTTTAAATGTGTATGTATATTTATGTATAAAAAATATAATATTTAATATATTAATAATATATTTGGCGATATTAATATTTCCTGTTACACAAAAAGGTTAAATGCCACAATGAAATTAAAGGTGAATTTTACACTCTAAGTGATGTCAAATCAAGTATGTCAATAATAATAATAGAAGAAAACAAGAACAAAAATAAGAAGAAGAAAATGAAAACCAACAATTTAATTGACCAATTCATATTAACAAAATCAAATTTAATTAAATTACAGAGAATTACGTTTGCATGGCTTGTAACTCTATCTAAGGTTCCATTATCATTATTTATTATTATTATTAAAAAAAAACCAATCAATCAATATTTAAAATGAATGTAATTAAGTTAAGTTAGATTTTAGATTATCGTTAAGTTTTATTTCTTTACAAGCAAAAGGTTTCCCAGATGGATTAATTTCCAGTTGGAACCGATTTGTTTTTGTTTTTGTTTTTGTTGTTTTTTTTTTTTTTTTTATATAAGTTTCTTGCTGTATATATCTATGTCACATAGTTGATGAGATTATGATGGATTATTGATCATACTTCCAGAGACGAGCTCTAAAGTCACCACTACCAGTGGCAAATACGCCTCCCTTTGGAGAAAGTGCTACAGAAATGACCGAATTCTTGTGACCTTGTAGCATCATATGAGTAGTGACAGAACGTGGATCCCAGAATTGGACTGAACGATCCTTGCTACCAGAGATGAGCCAATTGCCACATGGAGAAAAGGCAACAGATAAAACAAAATCTTTGTGTCCATTAAAGGTTGCCTTGCATCTTGATCTTGATCTAGATCCAGAGAGATCCCAAAGTTTGAGTGATTTATCAAGACTGCCACTGGCCAATGATTTTCCGTCTGGTGAAAAGGCTACAGAGTATACTGAATCCAAATGACCTTCATAACGTTCCAAAAAGTATCCAGAGTGTGCATCCCACAATCTAACAATGTTATCTAGTGAACCTGCTGCTACCAATCTACCATCTGGGCTGATTGCTACAGATGTAACACCATTCTTTGGTCCAACCTCTTCATTACCCAAAGTAAACAAACACTATATAATAAATAAAATAAATAAAATATTAATATTGTAGTCTATATATATATATATATAGATCAGTTGTTTTTGTTTTTTAATTTACCTTTCCATCCTTTAAATCCCAAATCTTTGCTTTCTTGTCACCACTACCAGATACAATATATCTTCCATCTTGAGAAAAGTCCAAAGAATAGATATCGAGTTCGTGTCCAGTGAATATATGGTGAATCTTTTTATGAGCGATATCCCAAACCTTGACAGTTTTGTCTTCGGCACCTGTAGCCAAGTATTTTCCATCTGGACTGAAACAAACAGATCTAATATAAAGATCACCTTCTCTTTCACTATCATCATAAAAGTTACTGAAAGAAAAAAAGATGTTGATTAATATCAAAAAGTTTAACTTTTTTAAATTTGTACTATTATTACATACTGTAATTTCTTTCCGGTATCAGTATCATAAATTTGAGCGCTTCTGTTGCATCCAGTTGCCAAGTATTTTCCATCGTTGCTAAACTTTACACAGCATACTACACTGTTGTGGGTGAGATTGTGCATCAAATCTATGTTTAAATTTGTTTGTACGTTTGGATTGTAACCAACAAGCCAATCGGCTCCATTGGCCTTATCTTTGCCATTTTCATCGATATCCATTTCGGATTGTCTTCTTCTAGATTCATCGGGAATGTTTTCTCTTTGAGACATATCTGATAATGGCTCTAATTCTTTTTTCTCCTATATAAAGTAGATTAGATTATTAGTGACTTTTTTTTTTTTTTTTTTTTTTTGAAAAAAGATTTGAATGATTTAGTTACCTTGTGTCTATTTTGTTCGATATTGCTGAGTGGTGGAAATGATGCACTTAGTTGTTGCTGTTGTTGTTGTTGTTGTTGCTGCTGTTGTTGTTGTTGTTGTTGCTGTTGCTGTTGTTGTTGTTGTTGTTGTTGTGGGGGTGGTTGTTGATAGTTGAATTCACCTGATCCAGATCTTTGTCTTCCTTGACGTTTGTCTGGTATAGTTGGTGTTGGTGTATTTCTTTGTGCCGATGCAGAGTTTGGAGCAGGGCTATTAGGTCTGAATGTGCTTGGACTATTCAACTCTCTTCCTCCATTGACCTCTAATAGTCTCTTTAATCTCATAATCTCTTCTTCATATTGTTGTTTCATTCTTTGGTGTTGTCTTTCCAATTCTGCCAAAGTTTGTTGCATACTTTGAAGTTCTTGTATCTGTGCAGCAACTATACAAATATATAAAGTCGTAAGAATAAGAAGAGAGAGAGAGAGAGAGAGAGAGAGAGAAGGGGGGGTTAGTGATTAGAATTGATAAACAAATTTGCTTTCTTTTCTTCTTTTTCTTTCTTTTTCTTCTTACACTTTCTATCATATTCATCTCTTTGATGCTTTAAGGTAACCAAATCATGAGTTAAATTCTCAAACTCGCTCTTTAAGTTGTCTATCAACTCTGGAGCTCTACCTCTAAACATTTTCTACTTGATTTGTTTTGAAGGAGGTTGTGTCCCTTGATATTATAATTTAATAATTTATCTTCTATTCTTTGTTTCAAAATATATATATATAATCTTTTTAATAATGATTACTAAAAGTTATGATATATATATATGACAAAGTTGAACAACAAAGATAAGACAATTAAAGCATGATGTGAGCTGAAAAAAAAAAAAAAAAAAAAAGTCCAATTTTTTTTAAATTTTTTTTGATTGATCCAATTAATTAAGATCGACTTCCCCATTTTATAAATTTTTTTTACATCCCCCCATAGATCAGATTTTAGATGCATTGTTTATTGATCGTGTGATGTCGTTGTTGTTGTTGTAGTTGTGGTTGAAGACGTGGGTGATTGTCTTGCAGTTGGACTATTATAATCATTCATACTATTATTATTGTTGTTGATCGACGTATTATTATTATTATTATTATTATTATTATTATTATTATTATTATTATTATTATTCATTGTTGCTGTTGACAAGGATGAGGATGAAGAAGATGAAGATGAAGAATTAACAGATATTGAAGCTGTACTCGTTGAATTGGTGGTACTAATACTACTAATACTACTATTTACAGTGGATGATGATGATGAATTATTAGATTGTTGTTGGGCATCATTCAATAGAATACTATTACTATTACTATTATCTAATAATTTCTTTAAAAGGCTAACCAACTGTATATAATCCAATGGTTTTGACATAAATTCATTGCATCCTGCATCGAGACATGTGTTTTTGTGTCCCGCCGAACTATCGGCTGTGAGAGCTATAATGGGAAGTGAGAAAAGTTTGTGGTCACCTTCAAATCTTCGAATCATTCTCGCACATGTAAGTCCATCCATCACAGGCATGTGAATGTCCATCAATATAAGATCAAATGAAGAGTGTCCAGATTTGATACGATCTAGTGCCAATTGACCATTGCTTTGAAGTTCCACTTTAAAGTTGTGTTTTTTTAGCACTGTCATTGCAATCTTTGCATTGATTACACTATCCTCTACCAATAGAATACTAATGTTTTGATTGTTTTTGTTGTTATTATTATTATTATTACTATTCTCACCATTGATATTTGGAGGAGGAGTGTTACTAGCAACACTACCATCTCCCAATTGTTTCTGTTGTGTTGACTGGGGTGGAGGTATGGCAGTAGATGAATTGGACAACTCTGATGCTGGTTCTGCTGCAGTCAACTTTGGTGATGATGCTATATTAATATTGTTGTGATTATTATTATGATTATTATGTTGATGGTGATGATGATGATGTTGGTGTTCCATGTGAGATGGTGTTGGTGGTGGTGGAGGGTTAGTTGAATGTTGAACTTGTGATTTATCTTCTACAACATCAGTCACTGTAGGAGGAGTAGGAGGGATTGGATTGCTGGTTGTAGTGGTTGTAGTGGTTGTAGTAACGAGTGCCGGCGAATCAACAGCACCAGCAGATGCCAGAATGGGAGCATTGGCAGGAGACAAGTTGTTGGTAGTCTCTGTCTTTGTAATAGTGGTGACAGGTGCTGGAATAAGTGGTGGTGTTTGTTGATGTTGGTCACTAGCCAAACAAAGATCACTAGGTGGTGGTGTCCCATTCATTATAGTATTATTATTGGTAGCACTAAAAAGATTGGGTGATGTCGTTGGTGTCGTTGTTGGTGTCAATGGAACATAATGATCAATTGTAGGTGGTTGTCTAGTCTGTTGTTGCTGTTGTTGTTGTTGTTGTTGAATGATATGAATTTGTTGGAATTGTTGTTGTAGTGATGATTTACTAAACATCGACATTGCTGGCGATGAAGGTATGGTTGCATAAGTATAACTTGTGCCATCTCTTTTAAGATTTGATAATGAAATTTGTCGAGATTGGGTACTTGTCCGTAATGGGTTTGGAACGGAATTACTTCGTTTACATCCCTCGAGTGAATTAAATATGAGAGGGGTTTGTGAATCAAATGAAATGGATGATGGTCTCGTTGACAATGGTGGAGATAACGGTTGTGTAGGTGAATTGGGTGATGACCTAGGTGATGGTAAAATACGTTGTTGTTGTTGTTGTTGAGTTTGTTGTTGAGTTTGTTGTTGTTGTTGTTGAGTTTGTTGTTGTTGTGGTTCATGAATTGTATTGCGAGGAGAGGGTGTAGTATGAGCAGGAGGTGGAGGATATGACATGGGAGGAGAGGAAGGCACAAAACATTTATAGTCTGGAGTAATGGAAAACCCTCCACTTGTTCCAGATATCAAATTGGAAGAGGAAATTGTTTTCTCTCCACTAATCAATGTTTGTGTAATTAATAATAATTGTTCCTTTTTAATCTATAATAAATAATTAAATTAGTTGGTGATTCTATACTTTTTTTTTTTTTGGTTTGCTTACAGGTTTATATAAATAATGTACAGATTGATAGGAATATAATTTTCTTCTTTTACTTGTACACATTAATACCAAAGGTGGTGGCTTATTACCATTAGTACCACTACCATTTATGTATTGATTCTTTAATGATTTGATTTCTTCAATATTAACCTCTGGTAACTATAAATATATATTTATATATGAAAATGAGGATATTAATAGTCTTTTTTTTTTCTTTTTGGGGTTTTCTCTCTCTCTCTCTCTCTCTCTTTCTCTTTATACAAACCATTGAATCCAATAAAATCATACTAAAATCTTGATTTGATTGAAGTAAAGAAATGGAATGAGTGTAGGTAGGTGAATGAACAATAGTAAATTGATGAGGTGACAAGTACATCTCTATTGCAGCACGAATATTTGGATTATCATCGATAACTAATATTTTGTGACCAAGTCCCCATTTACTAAGTTTTACAGTAGATGACCGAGAAAGTAGAAGAGGTGGAGGTGCATGAGTGCTATTGTGAATCGACATTGGAACCACCAATGAAAAAGTACTTCCAACGTTGATATCTGTAGAAAAGGCTATACTTCCTCCTAACAACTCTGCCAATTGTTTACATATTGCCAATCCCAATCCAACCTCACTATAAGTAAGTATCAATACAATCAATGATGGTTAATATTAATTATTTTTTATATCTTTTTAATTTTATCTTTACATGCCTTGAATTTCCATATCTATCATAACCATATTGAAGAAAAGAAAATGGTTCAAATAGATGAGACAATAGCTCTGCTTCCACTCCAGTGCCAGTATCGATAACAGAAAAACATAATTTAATTTCATCAATATCTGAATCTGATCCTTTTGATTCCAGTTGGTCCATCAAATGGGGTTTAATGATTGGTCCATTTTTGTTTAATGGAAATACTTTTAATACCACCTCACCTTGAACGGTTGCTTTGATTGCATTGCTTAAAAGTCTCAACAAGATATTCTTTAATTTACTAGCATCACCAACCAATAATCTAGGTATACTATCATCTAAAAGATAACAAAGGTCTATATCTCTTTCTTCAAAATAATTACGAACCGTATGATTTGATATTACTTCCTCTAATAAACTTTCTAAATTAAATGTACATTCTAAACAAAAAATTAAAATCAAAAGTTATTATAATTTCTTTTTCCTCTTCTTTTTGTTGCTATTTAATTTCACATACTTTCACAATCTTGAAGAGTTAGAGTTCTTAATTCTGAATAATAAAAACATTCTTTTGTTAATTGTAATATACTATCTTGAGACATCATAATCTTTTTAATATAAGGTTCTTGTCCACTATGAATACCAATATCATTTAATAAACTAATTAATGGGGTTACTAGTAGGGAAATAAATAAATAGATGTTAGGGTTTGCTTCTTCTTTTTCTTTTTCTTTTTCCTTCTTTTTTTTTTTTTTTTTTTTTATACATACAAGAATTTACATTTTTTTGAATTTGAGATATAGTATTTAAAGTAAAATCAGATTGTAATTTTAATTTTTGTGAAGTATTGCCAAGGTTATCTTTGATTGCAATATTATCATCTCTGAGGTGATCCAATTCAGTTTCACTTTTTGAACAACGAATTGAAAGGTGTTTCCAATCGGATAGCATATCAAAAACCAAACCAAGAATGGGAAACAAAAGAGAAAGACATCGCATCCATCTACGCATAACCAAACGCTCCAATAAAAATACTGGTGATGAATACATTTCAATTGGCATTTGGTAGTCATCAATAGTTGTCAAGAGAATAAATATGGTAGAGATGACGAGTGCTTTGATTTGATTAGAGGCTTGAAAGTGATATATTATGAGCATATTCAATAGTTGTACTAGGTAGACTGCTATGAGTATTGGTGTTTGAATGTGTAGTGAAGGTATAGTTGTACTATAATCCTCTTTTAGTCCAAACAATGATCCAAATGGCGCATAACTGAATCGAATCACCAAAAAGATAAAGACAAATGAAAGAAATAGATAGATGCGAGAAAGGAATCTAAAGACCAAAACAATTTTCTTATTACTTTCACTATCTGCATCACCACTACTACTAATAAAATATTGATATGGCCGAGTAAGATTAAATACCCATGATACTACAATGATTTCAATTGATGAACAAACCTAAATAAATTAATAAATAAAATTAATAAATTAATAAATAAATAAATAGGTTTCTTTTGTTTTTTTTGCTTACATTAAAAATTGAATCATTATATAATAATTCATTTGTAGGTTTAAAATAAGATTTGGCAAGTACAACATTGACAATACCAGAAAATGCCATACTAGCAATAATCTTTGTGAGTCCATGTGTAAATTCTATATAAAATTCAGAGTCGTATTGTTGATAGGGTTCTGGCACTGAATTGGCACCGTGTTGTCGAAGATAAATACGTCGATTGGGTGATGATGCCGATGATATATTGAGGGCTCTATTTTTGAGAAATAGATAGAGAAAGAGTACCAATGAAAATAAAAGATGAAGGGGATGAATGACAGCAAAAAGAACATTGATACTGATATCACTCCAATGTCTTAGATCGGAAAAGAATCGATGTGAAACCAATACTAAAATGTTAAATGCTACCATTGAAAGTAAAACTATATATACAATGTTGGTCAATCTTTCTTGGTTTGGTTCTTTTTCTTTGGTTTTTTTTTTGCTACTACTACTCTCTTTGTTTTTGTTGTTGTTACTATCGGTAATACTAATACCACTCTTGTTATTGTTATTATCATTGGGATTATTTGTTGCTGTTGTTGGTATTTTTGGAGTTGTTGGATTTGTTGTTGTAGTTGTCGTCGTGGTTGTAGTGGTGGTTGTCGATTTACGTCTGTCGGCATCCGTTTGATTTAAAGAAGGAGAGGTGGAGGAGGAGGAAGAGGAGGAATTTGTTGGTGACGATAAAAGTGAGTGATATCCACTATCTTCATCTTTGTCGTCATTGTCTTCGCCATCACCATCGTTAAATCCAATGGTCGACTTTCTATGTGTAAGTAAGGAAGACTCTGGAAATGAATCAGCAGGACCAACTGGAAGATTAATAGGACGCATACTATCTGTAGACGTTCTTAGTGGTGGTGAGTTTTGTTGTTGTTGAGGTTGTGGTGGTTGATTATTCATTATTACTATTGGTTTGGCATCACCAAAAGATGATTGTCTTGACAAACTATTATTATTATTATTATTATTATTTGGTAATGGTTTGGTATTATCCACCGATGTTGTTGTTGTTGTTGGAATAGAGGAAGATGAAGATGAAGATGAAGATGAAGATGAAGATGAAGATGAAATAGTAGAACCTTCTTCATTGCTACTACAACTACTACTCATGTCTGCTATGCCACCTGGATTTTTCCTTAGCATTTCATCTAAAATTAAATGGTGGTTGTCTTCCATCTTGAATATGTCGCTATTACTATTGCTCCTTGGTTTCGATTCAACGACAGGTGTTGACGTTGATGGTGAAGATGAATAGTATTGTTGTTGTTGTTGTTGTTGCGAATTATTATCGACTGTTGTTGGCGATTGGTCTGTCGTCGTTTTTAATGTATTTGCTTTATCTTGTTGTTGTTGAGGATGTGATGATTCAGCCAACCCCTCTGCATTATTAGTTGCAGCAGTAGGAGTAGTAGTAGTATCGTTTGCAGCCGATAAAGTAGGCTTTGTATCTAAATTTTCTGGCATCTCTCTCTAATTGAATCGTTTACTTTAGTTTGAAGGTCTCAAAGGATGAAGGAGGAGGAGGATGATGATAAGGAGGATAAGTAGGATAAGGAGGATGTTGCTGTTACTATCGTATTGATTTTTAGCAGCAACATTATAAATCTCTTTCTAACCAACTATATAACTAGAATCTCCACTATTTATATTTATATTTATATTTATATTTGTATTTATTATTATTATTATTATTATTATTATTATTATTATTATTTGTTGTTATACCTCTACAGAATACACTCTTCTTTAAAAGATGATTAATTATTGAACAACAAACAACTTGGCAACAATAAAAATAAATTTTTCAATGTTATTAATTATAATTATTATATTTAGTTTATATATATTAAATATTGGATAGATAGCTGAACTGCTGTTGCTGTTGCTGTTGGTGTTACTGCTACTACTATGTTGAATGTATTAATAATAAATTGGTCTGTTTTTAATATTTGTTTGCAGCAATAGTACTATATGTACTATTATTTATCTTTTAAATATTATTATTATTATTATTATTATTATTGAGAGTTTGGGTTGTTTGGGTTGGAGCATACCAAATTAATGCAAACAGATCCAATGTTGAAAATTTTATAAAATATACAACGCTAAGAGATAAAAGAATCCGTGTTGTAATGTCAGATTTTTTTACAAGGTGTTGACTACGCTTCCTCCTCCTCCTCATTACTCTTCCACAAACACACACCAAAAAGTGATACAATTTATTTCTTACTTTTGGAAAACCCCCTTCCTCCTCTACTAATAGTAGTAGTAGTAGTAGTAGTTTTCAAGTGATATCTATATATTCATTCTCGTTGTCAACTATGATGTACTCCTCCTTTATCTTTAACAAATTATTTTTATTTATTTTTTTTTTTTGTGAACACCTGCGTCTGTCTTGGCGGAGATCCACGATTGGATTGTAATCACAAGATTCCTCGAGCGAATACCCCCCTCCTAAGATCTTCACCCCCCGCTACCCCCACTTGTACAAACATTGAATGAAAAGATGATGTTGGTGAAACTTAAGCTGATAATTATTAACAAAAATAACTCTATCTCACCCATCAGTCAGTTCAGTTGGTCAGCTTTTACTTCTTAACAATAAAAGTAGTAGTAGTAGAGTAGTTATTTATTTATTATTCATTAACAACAACAACTACAACTACAACTACAACTCTCCTCTCCTACAGTTTGTTATTCAATAGTCTATCCATCACCTCCCTTTTTATCCACAAAGACTTAACTCACTCACTCACTCACTCACACACACGCACCTTCTAATCCAACCAAAACCAACAACTTTACACCTAATCCTTGTTTATCTCGACAAGTTGGGCTCCTCCCTTTCTTTCTCTGTCTGTCTTTGTTTTCATTAACCAACAACAACAAAGATAGGTTGTCTTATTTTTTTGAACAAACTCTTGAGTATCCTTTTTTTTTAAAATATTTATATGTTTATAAATAAAATAAAATAAATAAATAAATGTCACATACAACATCATATCCACCTCCATCTTTGTCCTCTTCATCTGCCACCGTTGCTGATATCTATTATCCTTCAACTCAATCTCCTCCACCGCCACCACCACATCGTCTTCCATCCCACTATCAACAACATCCCAATCCTCACCCTCACTACCACCATCAGCAACAACAACACTATGCATCTACGTCACCTATAGTTTCATCTGCCTCCTCTCCTACTACGTTTTACCATCAACATCAACAACAACAACAACAACAACAATATCTCTACTCACCGCAACCCGCACAATACTATCAAGATATTAGAGGTGGTGGTGGTGGTTCAGGAAATAGTACTAGATATATATCAAATGGAAATCATCATCTTCCACTCTTAATTCTTCAGCCAACAACATCGACTGGAAGCTCACCAACATCATCATCGTTGTCACCCCAAACCCAACTGTCTCCACGTCAGCCAACACTGTATCAACAACAACAACAACCACCTGTACTTTCTCCAAGATCACCAAAGTTTTCCTCTCAAGGGTCATCGTCATATTCTACTTTGTATCATCCATACCATCAACAACAACAACAACCATTGTCCCCTAGGCAACAAATGATGTCACCTCAATATCATTCCAGTTTTAAAACTAGCCATCCTACTCTACAGAAATCTCCACATCCTACTCCTCCTCCTCCTCCCCCACCTCCATCTGTTGTTGTCATTACTCCAGCAGCAGCTGCTGCTGTACCCCAAACCGAAGAGATACAATGGAAACTTCATTATCCACCAACAACAACAGCTGCCAAGTCAACGACGACTATGGTGATTGATGCACACCTCGACCTTGATCAAGTAAACAACAACAACAACAACAACAACAACAACAACAAATCACCAAGAGCATCCGATTATTCAATAGCATCCGATCTACGTGTTCCATCATGCTCTCCAGCATCTCCATCATCATCAAACGGAAGTAGTGGTCTAACACCACACCTTCATGCCCTCACAACTACAAATACTATTATTACCTTGCCGTCACTCAATGATGATGATAATATTAATAATATTAATAATAATAATGATCGTCTCAAAGGTGATACCAAAACCTCTTCCTCTCCCTCTTCCTCTCCCAACAATCATAATGACACTAATAGTAGTAGCAGTAGTACTCCAATTACCCCGAGTACACAAATTGTAAATAATAATAATAATAATAATAATAATCCAAACAACAATGTAAATAATCAACAACAATTAAATAGTGGAAAAATTAAATTGGCAAACAACAAAAATCTAAAAAAGGAAAAGAGACCTAAAAAGACTTATATCCAATCGCCAAATTATTCAAGAGGTGCTGCTATTATGAAATCATTTAATAACAATAATAATAGCATTGATAATCAGTCACAGCAGCTGCTGCAATCTCCAACAACCACAACAACCAATTATCCAAATACCCAACAAGAGTTAAAAGATGAACAACAACAACAACACCAACATCAACAACCAAAGGAGAAGCAAGAACAACAACAAGAAGAAGAAGAAGAAGAAGAACAAGACCAATTTGTAAATATATTATTGACACTAAAATCTGGATCCAGTCAAGATGGTATCGATATTAATTTGCCTGCTGACCAGTATACAAATAGTACCAACTACAAGCCAAATATTTTCATAAGCAACAACAACAATAATAATAATAATAATAATAATAATTATGATTATCCTTCACCGCTAATTCAAGAAGAACCGGAATCCGATCAATTAGTATCATTCATTGATTTTCCCCCCAAAAAATAAATTTGATTTGTGTGTGTGTTAAGGTACCCCCATTTTAAGGAACAAATCTGCTGCAATAGATCATTAATATTGATTCCTATTGTTGACCAGTTTAGTATTAATAATAATTCATTTTCTACTTTATTATTATTATTATTATTATTAACCTTTTAATATAAATTTTTAATATAACTTTTTAATTAATTTTCAAAATGAATGCACAAGACAACCAAGATGATGATAAAGAAGATGACTATGATATCTTTAAAGACAATGTTAACCCACCATCATACACAACATCGACAACTACGACATCACAGCAGATAAATGATGATGATGAAATAATCAATATCAATCTAATCACAGACTATTTCTCATCATTATCATCTCCAACATCTACATTGACAGGTACTACTATTATTACTAGCATAGCATCATCAAACATTAATAATAATAATAATAATAATAATAATAATCATCATTCTGCACTATCATCTATATGGAAAAGATTCAAACAAAAAAAGTATAATAATAATAATAATAACAATGTACAAAGGTTAAAGATCAACAGAATTGACCACCCAGGTGGTCTTCAAACAATCGTTAAATCAATCACCAAAGAAGAAGAAGAAATAACAAATAACCAGCAACAACAATATGATGATGATGATGATCTTTCACACATTGAATGCCTACCAGATGAAATATTGTTAAAGATTCATAGTTATCTAGATCCACCTACTTTGGGAAGAACATCTCAAGTTTCTACTAGATTCTACAAGGTGTGTTGATATTCAAAAGCCTGATTAATATATTATTATTATTATTATTATTAACCCTGATATATATATATAAATTCCAATAATAATAATATATTAATAGATTTCCTATGACATCCCACTATGGAAAGAGGTGGTTACCAATTGGGAAGCATCACCATTGAATCTATTCCTAAATAACAACAACAACAACAACAACAATGGTAGTTTGGAAGCATACTATACTCCACATCCTCCTACGCCATTTAACCTATCAAGCTCCCTTCCTCCTTCTCCTATAATCAATCTCTCTCCTCCTTCTCTTTTAATGACCAACGGTGGTGGTGCCAATTTAATTCCATCCCCCATTATGAATCACCATAATAATAATAATAATAATAATATGAATAATAGTTACCACCATAATCACCAAAATAACACTGGAAATGGAATATCACTTCAAAACAATACTCCGCAGCATGAAATTGAGGAGGATAATCATCAAGATCAAGATTTTATCAACAACAATGACTATGAACTACTGGGACTATTCAATTATTTATTTAATGGAGGATATCAAAATAATAATAATAATAATAATAATAATAATAATAATAATAATAATAATAATAATAATAATAATAATAATAATAATAATAATAATAGTAGCGGTAGTCATCATGAACAACCATTGCTAAATAATAATCAACCCCAATTATTTTCTTCATCTATGGCATCAAGCTCATCGATATCACTATCATCTTCAATATCCTCATCATTTGGTGGCAGTAGTAATCACTATCCTCCAAATTCAAATTCGCCAACATTTGATTTATCCCAAAATGCAATTGTCACTGGCACTACCGCTGGAAATAGCGACAATCATTACTATACAGATTATCATACATCTATTATACCATTACAACAACAACAACATCATCATCATCATCCATCATATCCAACTCTTACACCATCAAATTCCAACAACTACTACAAACAATATAACCAATCAGTAGTTAATAATAATCAAAATAATCAAAATAATCAAAATAATAATAATTCATTACAACAACAATTCAACAGGATGTATTATGTACAAAGATATATACAAGTAAGAAAACAACAAAGAGAAACCAAGATACGATCACACAGAGAGAAATTGAGAAGAAGAAGAAAGATTAAAAGAAGTTTTAGATTTATGATGTATACCTTTCTCTCAAGACCATATGAATGGGTTTCAATGCTCTGCATCATACTATTTACAGTATTTCTTACCTTTCGTCTTGCCAATTCCATTCAATGGTCATGGCCAACTGTTTTCTCACCTCTCTATTTTATCCTATTTCATTGTCTCTTTGGTTCCTTGACATTTGACCTATTTAGAAGTTTGGTATGTAAAAACAAATAATAATAATAATAATAATAATCATCCAGTTTGGAAATCTTTGAACTTTTCCATTTTTATTTACCTATTAACTAATTACACACTACCTTTAGTACAAATACGACTATGATGATGAAATATCATCACCAAGATTTTCAAAACCATTATTCTTTACATTCTTTTTCATTCGTCCATTGCAATCGGGTAAATGGAGTGGAAGGCTATGGGTTTATACACCGATACTTTGTTCCATCACCTTTGTTTGTTTATTACTATTAAAATTGACTCAACCTCAACTATTATCATCACTTTCAATTTATAATATTCATCATCAACAACAACATCATCATAATAATAGTAATAATATTAATTTTAATAATAATCAAAATAATAGTAGTAATGGTAATGATAATAGTAATAGTAGTAGTGAAATATTTACAAATGGATGGGATATAGTATTTATACCATTATTTATACTATGTATCTATTTAATATCATTTCCATTATTTGTTCCAATAAGGATAGACAAGTCATCTGGTTCAGTAATGGATCAATCAGTGCTACTAGTAGCCAATGTCCAAGTAATGGCATTTACAGTATTGGTCTATCTCAAACTTGATTCCATTATTGATACTTCTTGGTCCTACATCTTTTCACCTTTATTCAGTGCACAGATACTTATTACTCTCTATCCTTTGGTCATTCTAATAATGAAATTAATCATTAACAATAATCGTAATCGCAATCATAATAATAATAATAATAATAATAATAACAATAATAATAACAATAATAATGGTGGTTCCATTGTCTATCATCATCATCATCATCAACATCAACAACCACCAATCATCTCTACAATGACAGAACAAAATCAACCACTATTATCAATCCAACAACAACAACAACATAATAATAATAACCAAATTACAACAACAACAAGGAGAAGATTCCAACTTGAAAATATTACTTCGCTCTCTGAAAATTGTATTTCATTCTTTCTTTTTTGCTTGTTTCTTTATGGACCTATTACCATTTTTGAGGTATTGCTATGTCTTGTCTTGACGTCTGCCACCAGCAGTTACCCTCTTTCTCTAATGTAAGTTTTCAAAAACAACAAACTATATTCTTTCATTGAATCGTTGCGCACATCACATCACCGACCTACACCACAGATTCCAACAACAACACCTCAACAGCAATTTTAAGTAGCCAAAAGTCACCATAGGTGGTGTCGATTGGCTGTTTCAAGTTCGATCGATTCATTGAATAGGCTGCGACTCTTCATTCAAAAAAAAAAAAAAAAAAAAACACAACTCCACTATTTTATCGTAATCTCGACTAGTTGCAGTTAACTAGTACTACTACTACTCTACTTCTCTCTCTCTCTCTCTGCCCACCCAAACAACAACAACAACAACAACACAACAATAACAATCCCAAACTAATATTATTATTATTATTACTATCTATATATTATCTTTTCACATCCCAATAGATTTATACCAATTTTCTTTGTAGAATTAATATTAACTTGTGGATGTTTTATATTCAACATTGCATTTGACGATCATCATCATCATAACGAAAGTAATAGTATTTCAATACCTTCTTCGCCTTGAAATAATCTACAGGTAGATCAGCAACCCCAAGAAGAAAGGTACTAAACAACCAAACTTAATTTTCAGTAGTAATAATAATAATAATAATAATAATAAATATTATTGTGTCCTTTATTTTCCTCCTCCTCCTCTTCCTCCTCGTCACTCATAACAACTAACTTAACCTACTACTACTATTGTATCATCGATTGACATATAAAGTTTATCGATTTTTTTTTTTATTAAATAATTATATTTTTCAAGGAACGGGAGGTTGAACAGGTCCAGCAACAATAATTATATAAATTCTTCTCCTTTTTTCTTTTTCTTTTTTTCCTCAACAACAACAATAATAATAATAATAATAATAATTTACACACACACACAAAGAGAGACAAACAAAACAGACAGACAGATAGATATAAAAAGTAGTGTAACACTTAAAAAACCTCTAGCTAGATATATTATATTTCAATTATAATACAGCCGCCCTCATCACACTAGCCTTCCTCCTCCTTCTTCTTCCTCGATAATATAATATAATAATATAAATAATAATAATATTTTATTGACAGTCGACTCTATTTATTATTATTATTAGAGTTCTTCCACACCACCCCAACTGACAACAACGATTGTTGCTAACAATTAATATATTATAATATTAAGATAATAACTCTAATAATAATATTTTATTATTATTATAAAATATTACTACTATAATTAATAATAGTAATAATAATATTACGATTCTCAACTATACTATCACCATTTTCACCACAAAAGTTGCCCCCAGGAGGAGCTGTACAAAGAACAACAAAAATCACTTACACTTTAATTTCTTTTGTTTCTTCTTTTTTCATATGAACCATTATAATTAGCATTAGAAGTAGTAATACAAAATAATAACAATAATAATAACAATAACAATAACCTGTAGATAATATAGTTCAATCATTGTAATCGATTAGCAGATACACAGTGACATCTTTACCGCCACTCTAAATCATTTATTTATTAATATATATATATACAAAACACACACACACACAACATCACTATCTATAAAAAGATCATATATTAATATTGGATTATATAAATATATATATATATATATATATATATATATATATATATATAATCATTGCAAGAAAAAACAGAGGTAAGAACAACAACAATGAACAATCCCAAAACAGAGGAGAGATGAACATCACACTAGAACTAAAGGTGACGGAGGGGAGTAGTATTCGATCAGATTGATTGATACGCTTGATTGTCTCTCTCTCTATATAGATCACTTTCACACCACACATATACACACACACAAACACACACTAAAACCGCAAACACAAAAACAAATACATCAGCTCACCTTGTGTGCTCTACATCCAACCTTCAGAGAAACGTTGTTCTTTAGTTTCGCATAAACAGTCGTTCAATGGGGGTGTTGTATCGATATTAATTTAATTGATTGGAATCCCACCCACCATCATTATCGTATGACAAATTTAATCTACCACCATTACTACACACCGCCACCACCACCACCACCCCCTACTCTATAATTTCTCCTTCTCCTCCGTCTCTCTCCTCTTTCACACACAAACAAAAAGGAGCTATAAATTTATTATAATTAATATTGTTTGAAATCGATCCAAACAGTAGTACAGCAGTAAAAACAAAAAAAGAACAACAAGACAAAAAGTTACTACCGTAATATTAATGATAATATTTTTGTTATCATTCTTTTTCATTATTATTATTATTTATCAATCACATAACAATTTTTAAAACAATATATATATATATATTTATCGATTGTGTATCACATCGCTAGTTTTTCATCTTGTCTCTCTCTCAATTGTTTTAGTAATATTTCCCTTGAAAAACAATCCTAGAGACCTCTCATTATTAACTTTTATATATTTATCAACTTTTCCTATTAGTTGTATAGTCAGTAGTCGTAGAATCATTCTGGGATTATAATTTGGTAGTGATTTATTCCGCCGATTTTTAGCTAATGAATACCTATAGACACAGTACCAATTCAGTTTATACACTGAATCCACACTTAAACATACCCATCTCGTCGTCAACAACAATACCATCATCTGCCTATCACTTTAATCCATTAAATAATAATAATAATAATAATAATAACTGCAACAACAACGAAGATTGCAACAATAACGACACGATGTTAAATAATAGAACAACAGAGAATGAGGATGTAGTCATGGGACAAAAGCAAGATTCTCCACCTTCATTAAAATCATCTCAACTAGTATCTCCACCACCAACCGTTGGTGGAAATGGGCTTTTGAGAAGCTCACAATCCATCCCACCTCCTCCTCCCACTTCTCTCAACGTCGAGTCTACCGTTCCAACCATATCCACACCCTCCTCTGCATCTATTACTGGCATCCCAAATGACGGAGAAATTTCACCCACTGGTGCATTGGGTGCAGCCATGCAATATCTATCGCCATCATCATCATTTAACGAATCATTGAATCAAGCAATCTCTTCAACATCATCCTCTTCATTCTCGGCGTATAGACCAACACTTTTACAATTCAATAATCCAACATTAACATTTAGATCAATATCACCACCAACCAACAACAGTGGTGCCAACAATCCATTCCTTAAATTGAGCAGTCTTCCAGATTCTAGTCCACCACTATCGACAAATAGTCCTTTTTCTTTTTCTTCATCTGCACTATTTAATAATAATAATAATAATACTACCAATCAAAATAACCAACAACAACATCACCATCAACAACAACAACAACAACAACCACCACCACAACAACCAGTTCAACAACAAAACCTTTATTGTTCAAATAATCAAACTACGTCTATCGGAAACTATGCTGCATCACTATTGGATGAAGATAGAGAAAGAATGAGATACGAGTATGAGAGCATCAAGAAACCAGAATCTCAATCTTCCCGAAAGTCACACAAACACCATCAACGTCACTACAGTTACAATGACCTCGACAATAGAAAGCATGATGAAGAAAAGTTTTTCAGCTCGTTGCAGCCAAACAACTACTCAAAGAACAGATACCACGATGTACTACCAAATGAATCCACAAGAGTAAGATTAACACCAATTGAAACTGGTGATGGCGACTATATCAATGCCAACTATGTCAATGGAGAGGTACCAAATTCTTATAGATATTTTATCGCGTGTCAAGCTCCTCTTTCTTCTACAATTAAAGATTTTTGGAGAATGGTTTGGGAAGGTATGTAAACTTTTCTTTTCTTTTTAAAAAAAAGAATATATAGTATTAATTTTTATTTTTATTTTTTACAGAGAGAACAGCAGTTATTGTTTGTTTAACAAAATTGGAAGAAGATGGTAAAAAGAAAGCAGATATTTATTGGCCCGAGTCATCAAGTGAAGACCAAGAATGTGGATCGTTTTGGGTGCATCTACATAAAAAGGTGATGTTTAAGGATATTGGTGTTAGTTCATTGCATTTGTACAGAAAGGGAGAGGAATTCCCACGAGAAGTAGTGTTGTTGCACTACACGCAATGGCCCGACAGCGGAACACCAAACACCTCTACCCACATTCGAACGTTGGCCGTCTTGGTCAACACATTCAAGGCAAGAGGTAACATTAAAAACTCTAATGGTCCTGTCATTGTTCATTGCTCTGCGGGTATTGGTAGATCAGGAACCTTTATATCCATCTGTATCAATATTGCCAAAATTGAAAGATCCATCCAAAATAATGAGCCAAGCTGTGCCATATCGATCAAGGACACTGTCAGCGAACTACGTCGTCAACGTCGTGGAATGGTACAAACATTTGACCAATATGTATTCATCTACAAGGTTATTAATGACGTCCTTCACGATATGGGACGATCGTTGGCATCACCCACCAAGCGAAGATCATGTGAAATGACAATGGCCCGACCTTCAATGGTTCAGCACGCCATGCCTCGTCTCGATATAAACAGTCATCAACAATCATCGCTCACACGTAACCCTAAAGATATGCATCACCAATCCAATGTCTCACAAACAGCTGCCGATACTGCAGTGTCTCTATCCATCATCACTCAGATGACTCAAACTCTAAAATTCCCACAAACAACTTCACAATTTGATTCGAATCCTTTTTCAAAATCCAACATTAAAATGCCCTCCCCATTGAACGTTTCTTCTTCCAATGTCCAAACTATTCATCCTTGTAATAATAATAATTTTCATCACTTTCAACAACAACAACAACAACAACAACAACAACAACAACAACAACACCATCATAACCAATTACTAGTCAATTCGACCAATCCCTTATCAAACTCACAACAATTATTAAATGATAGTTTAAATCAAAATAATATTACTAATATTTCAAATAACAATAATAATAATAATAGTAATAATAACAATACTAGCACACTTTCATCTCACCATTTATTTAATCAACAACAACTACTCAATAATCCACAAAGCAGTAATAATAATAATAAGCAATGTTCAAATCAAAATAATTTTACACATTCTTTTCCACCAAACAGGAATAATGACCCAGATTTTGGAGGAGGAGGAAATGGTAATAATTTTAATAACAATAATAATAACAATAATAATAATAATAGTAATAATAATAATAATAATAATAATACAAACCAACAACAAAATAATAGTAATAACAACCAGAGTAATACACAAAACAAAAAAGGAGGCAATCAAGATACTAATAACAACAGCAACAATAATAATGGAACCGAAAAAGAGTGCCACTCTCCAAGAACAATAACACCAATTAAATGCTTTTGATCCAACTAAAACGAAAATAAACATAGACAAGCTTGTCAATGCAACAACAAAGCTTTGAAGGTTAATCCAATAGTCCATCGCTATATGTCGCGCTGCAGCATGGAGGAATTTTTGTTAATTAAATTTAATTTTTTTTTGAAAACAAATTTTTTTTCAAGTTCACCATTTTTTTTTTTTTTTTAATTTTTTTATATTATCATAGAGACAGATAGATAGATATTGATTGTATAACAATTAATAACTCCCGATCTACCATATCCTCATCACCCACACATAATACTACTTTCTACATTACTTTTTTTTATATATCCAAAGATATATTTATATATAAATAATCACTAAAATGGCCGACCCAGATGTTGATATCAACGAGCTTGCCGAATACGAAGAGAGTGATCCAGAAGACAACGTACAAGAAACCAACGGGGGTTCCAAGAATGTCTCTGCAAAGTGAGTGTCCATGCCTGTAATACTGCCTCATCATCATCTGATCGCAAACAGAGCAGTTTAACAACTACGTCCCAACAACAACAACAACACCACCACCGACAACAACACCAAAAAAATATACTATAATACTCTATACAACCCACCTAAGTATATAATATCATCATCATCATCATCATCATCATCATCATCATCAACAACAACAGCCATTGGTGTTGTAATCAAAAGTCAAAAGAGCATACCGAGTGGTTTGACGTCAAACGTTAGTCCTATCCAAGTAGCAAATCTCATCAGTCATAGGTTGAAGATTTGTTCAGCCGTACAACCTACCATACCCTTCTTTTCTCTTCTCTATCCTTTTTTATACACAAAAAAAATACCCAACTTCTCTAATAATAATAGTACAAGATAATACAACATAATAGCTGTAACAAAAAGTAGAACTGTAGCAAATTTTTTTTTTTTTTTTTTTTTTTTTTTTATAATGATAACAATAATAATAATAGAGGAAACTATAATTAGTAATAGTAAAATAACAAACAATATCATCATAATAATAATAATCACAAAGGGCATATCACTAAAATGCCAGTTATTACAAACATCAACAATAACGCTATTACAATTAAATTGCACAATGATTATATTTTCTATAATTACCATTATACCAACCAAAAATCATTTTCCTCACCTTTTTCATCTATTTATATATTATTAGGGATACCCATGTTGCCATGCACAGCAGTGGTTTTAGAGAGTTCCTCTTAAAGCCAGAGTTGGAAAGAGTTATTGGAGATTGTGGTTTTGAACATCCATCCGAAGTTCAAAATGAATGTATTCCACAGGCCATCCTCGGTCACGATGTCATCTGTCAAGCCAAGTCTGGTATGGGTAAGACTGCCGTCTTTGTTTTGTCTCTTCTTCAACAAATTGACAAGAATCCATCTGGCGTATGTATAAACAAAACAACAAGAATCTTGTTAATATTGAATTTGTCCATTTATTAATTATTCTATTATTATTATTTCTATTTTTTAAGGTTGTTGCTCTTGTTTTATGTCATACTAGAGAGCTTGCCTATCAAATTTGTGATGAATTTGATAGATTTGTCAAGTATATGCCACAAGTCAAGACTGCCGTCATCTATGGTGGTATCCCAATCAACACCCAAAAGGAACTCCTCAGAGACAAGCAACCAAATATTGTTATCGGTACTCCAGGTCGTGTCCTCGCACTTGCCACTGACAAGTCACTCAGTCTCAAGAACGTCAAGCACTTTGTACTTGATGAATGTGACAGTTTGTTGGAAGCTTTAGACATGAGAAAGGATGTCCAAAAGATCTTCAAGGCTACCCCAGCCTCCAAGCAAGTAATGATGTTTTCTGCTACTCTTAGTGAAAGCATTCGTTCAGTTTGCAAGAAATTTATGAATCATGTATGTAATACAATTACAAAAGGTTAAAACTTTGAGATCATCATTAACATTATTATTATTATTTTTTTTTTATTTTTTTTTAGCCATTTGAAATTTATATCAATGATGGTAGTAAATTAACTTTACATGGTCTCCAACAATACTTTATCAAACTCAATGAAGACCAAAAGAACAAAAAGTTGGTCGATTTGTTGGATGGTTTAGATTTCAACCAAATCGTCATTTTCGTAAAGAGCGTAGAGCGTGCTAAATTACTCAACCAAATTCTCTCTGACGTCGGTTTCTCTTCGATCTGTATTCATCGTGGATTAGATCAACCAGAAAGAATTGAACAATACCGTAAATTTAAGAACTTCCAATCTCGTGTCATGGTTGCCACCAACATCTTTGGTAGAGGTATTGATATTGAACGTGTCAATGTCGTCATCAACTATGATATGGCCGAATCACCAGATACTTACCTCCATCGTGTCGGTCGTGCCGGTCGTTTCGGTACCAAGGGTCTTGCCATTTCTTTCATCACCTCGCCAGATGACCAAACCACTCTTGACACTGTCCAATCCAAGTTTGTCGTCTCTGTCAAGGATCTCCCAGATACCATTGATCCATCTACTTATATGAGTGGTTAAAGATTCAAATTTATATACGACACCGAAAAAAAAATTAAAAAATCAAAATAACCCAATCCCCAATATATGTAAACACAAACAAATAATATTATTTAATATTTAATTTAATAAATAAATTCTATCCAAAACAATTTAATATATTAAAATCATTTTAATTTATTTTCAAAAAAAAAACCAGAGAAATATTTCATATATCGACTGTGTTCTTCTTGGGCAAAAGAGAATGTTTGGCTCTTTTTTTAATTTTAATTTTTTTCTTGAATTTTTCTCCTCACGGAAAGCCGAATGCATCTTCTATTTAAGACCCAGTTTCAAACAATTGCAGTTTTAATTAAGTACAATTAAATTTAGATTTAATAATAACAACAAAGTCATACCAGTAATAATATCAACAAACAGTAACAGATTAACAGATTAAACATTTAACAACAAACAAACAAACGATGATGACAGAAACTGAACAAATTGTACACTTTGTATCATTGGGTTATGGAGAATTAAGAATGGCTAAAAAGTTTGCTACAAAGGAAACATTGGAGAAGCTATTTCAATCAGAGGGTGGTATCATTGTCGTAGATCCAAATGGTGAGGAGGTTTATCCTCCTGTTGGTGACAATGACCACTATGACATTGACTCGGCTTTGACATACACTGTCGTGTCTGAGGAGGATCTTCGTAGTGACACTGAAGACGATGACAATGACCAAGATAGTGAACCGACAGAGGAAGAAGAGTACAAAGATGAAGATAATATCGATGAAGATGACTATGATGATGATGATGATATCGATTGTGACGACGATCTCTTATTGGCCAATCAAGTCGATGGCAAATTAAAGATTCACAAAGATGTAAGGGATCCATCTACATCTGCAAACGAAGAAAATCATCGTATGCACGAACACAACGAACAGTGTCAACAACACCGCCACCAACAACATGAAGATAAAAAAGATTGTTGTGACCATGATCACAATGATCATGACCACGAACATGCACACACCAACAATACCGCTACTCCACATGCCAACAACAATGACAATGGTAATTATAATAATATTGAATAATTAATAATCATAATATTGAATACTTATATATATATATATTTCTCTACTATTTAATTTAGGATTCAACAAATTATTAAAAATGAGAGAAGAAAGAATTAAAATGATTAGAGAATTCTATACTAGATTGCATCCAAACATTTTCAAATTGGAGAGAGAATATTTCGAAGAGTCATTTATCAAAGCAATCGATGATTTCAAGGCATCTGGATGTAAAAACTATTCTGCTTTGGATGGTGCATTCACCAAACTCACAGATACCCGTATTTACTCTATTAGGATTTTTAACAGACAATTTTGCGAGTATGTATCAATACAAATAATATTAATAATCTTAATAATAATAATAATAATTTATCGATTTATCATTTCATTTAGTAAATTAAGGGAAGAAGTTGAAAACTTTAGAAAATCAGGATTACCATCTACCAAACCAAACTCTATGAACAACTATGGACTTATTTTGGATGAAATTGGATTCACAGAATTGTTTACAGATTTACGCGAAAACTATTTAAAATACTTTACCTCTTATCTCTATCCAGATTATAATGGTGCAGACATTGATAGTCATCACGCATTTATTGTACAATACAAGATGAATCAAGACAAGGATTTGGGATTCCATTATGATGAGTCTGATGTCACTGTCAACATTTGTTTATCAGACAACTTTACTGGATCATCTCTTTACTTTAAGGGTATTCTTGAAAAGGAAGACACTCACAACGAAAATTTTGAATACAACCATTCACCTGGACAATGCATCATGCACATCGGACATCACCGTCATGGCGCCAATGGTTTAACAGGAGGTGAAAGATCAAATCTAATTTTGTGGCTTAGAAGTATCAACAAGGCTGCACAAAGTGATGTTTGTGCTTCTTCTGCACACTCATTATAATAATTAATAATAATCGCGCCAACTTGTAAATAAAGAAAAACCCATATTAAAAAACTCTAAACATTTTATATATATTTCTCGAGGCTAACATACACAATGATTCACACAACACTCGATTGAGTATTTCACACAAAAAGGTAGAGAGGCTTTAACCGAGTCCTTTCCCAAGATCGCTCACCAGCACTTGCACCAAGATGTATCAGCAGAGGGGGTGGGGATTTCCTAACGAAACAAAATTTTTTTTTCTCATAATCTCGATCGACACAGTTGGTGGGTGTAATTATATTAATTTTTTAATTTTGTTTGGTTCCGCTATATAATCACTTTAAATTGTTAGTTGTTAATAAACATTATTCATGATTTCAACAAATAACAGTACCACTAATCATAGTGCGTCCAACAACAACACTAATAATAATAATAATACTACTGCTACTACAACATGTTTTGAAGCGATAGCTATTAGAGATCACAAATCAATTCACCTGTCTCAACTGTCTTTTAAAAAGGGTGATACTATCTGGGTCTTTGAAACTGCCCCAACTGGTTGGAGTAGAGGTGAATGTAATGGTAAAAGAGGTCTATTTCCTCATTCTTATGTTGTCAGTGCCAATAATAATAATAATCATAGTAATAGTAACAATAATAACATTAATCTGCCACCCAACAGTTCAACACATGATTCAGTTGACTCTACTACTTTATCAACAGAAAGACAAAATGTACTGTCCATTCAACATGTCTCTCTGCCAACGGCAGCTGATTTGAAAAAAACACCACCTACACCTCCACCAAGATCATCACCACCTTCATTAGGTAGTCCAGAGTTGGTCACCACCGGTAGATCATCGCCAATTCCTTTACTGACCGTCCCTGCCACTGGAGGAAATACAAAATTATCTCCAAGATTCAATGTCAACAAAGAGTTGTTGGAGAATTCAATATCAACTCTCAGAAGTGGTTCACCTGTATTTGTACAAGATTCCATGCAAGGAGATGACGATGACGAAACTGGATTCAAAAAACATGGTAGAAAGAATAGTGGTCCAAGTAGTTTTATCTCTAGAGGAGAGGAAACCGAATCTTCACTAAATCATAGTAGTGGAAATATTGGAATAAATCCTGCCCTCTCCCCCATTTCAGAGGGTGACCAAAATCAATCTACCCTCTACAGTAACACAAGTAATAATAACAATAATAGCAACACCGATCAACAAAGCAAATATAAAACTCTTCCACACAATCATCTAAAAGTGAGAAAACCACTTTCCTCAATTACATCTCAACCACAAACAACAGATGAACCAACAACACCAACTCTAAACTTACCATCGACACAAACAAATCAACCGTCTCAACCTTCATCATCATCATCGACACAAACAAGACCAAGCATACAAAAACCAAGAATTACAGTTGACCAAATCAACACAGAGATACCCTATTATATCAGTAGATGTGTTGTTCCACATAAAAAGCAATCATATGATGAGATACCCCTCAACATGGGTGACTTGGTGATTGTATACAATCAGAGTAATATTTATGGTGAGTGGTGGATCGGAAAGATTGGTCAGACTTTTGGAGTATTCCCAAAGCAATGTGTAGAAATCATAAAAGATATATCACCCAAAAATCAACCAACAACAGCAACCAACAATCTTTCCAATGCCACCAAAACTCCACCATCATCATTTACACCTCCAAAACCATTTGCCAACAACAATATCAGCATCACACCCAACAATCTTACGCCTCCCAATTCATCATCTCCAACAATACAATCCAAACACCAACACAACAACCAACACGAACAAAATCCAAATACCTCTCCCGATGCAGATGATGCCGAACAACAAAGATTGTTGGCAAGAAAGAAAATTGAAGAATCATTGTCACACCTCCAAACCAAAGAAGAGGTGATGGAAGCTTTGACATCGATGGCTTTGAAATTCGTTGCATTAAAGAAGGAACTTGAACAAGAGAGAACTCTAAGGGAGGCTTTTGAAAAACAACTATATCAGTTGACTTCAAAACACCCAAAATAAAGATTTATAAATATTATCTTGTGTATTATGTTTTTAAATAATGTATTGTAATGTAATATATTTATTTTTTACTTTCTTTAGAAATTGGCTGAATTTAATAATAATGAAAATGAAGCAAAAGCTGCAATGGAGCATCCACACCTCCCAGAGATTCAAAAAGCGATCAAAAATCATAACAAGATATATGGCAAAGATGAAAATAGAAGAATATTTTTCAAAAAAGATGATCATAAACTTAACCGCTCAGAGTTGATTAAAGAGATTGCAAAGAAATTCCCAAAGTATTCAACTACAACCAATACACCATCTCCTTCTGAACCATCTCCATCTCCTTCTGTACCATGGCATCGTCATTCTGTACTTGACGTGGAGGACCTTACTTGATTTCCTAATCATTTGTGTGGCAATGATTTGTCCGCGTTTAAAATTGAAGAACTTGGTTGAGGACAAAGACGATTGGGTCGAGGTAACTTTTTGAGAGTCCTGACGCAATTCAGTCTCGGAACCGGCGACATCTGGCGGTGTCACCTTCCTTGTTCGACATTGACCTGCCACCACCTCATTCAAAAGATTGTGCTGCCATATATCTTGATATGATTTTTGATCGCTTTTTGAATCTCTGGGAGGTGCAGATACTCCATTGCAGCTTTTGCTTCATTTTCATTATTATTAAATTCAGCCAATTTCTAAAGAAAGTAAAAAATAAATATATTACATTACAATACATTATTTAAAAACATATACATATACATACATTTTTGTACATGGTTTGATTGTTTTTTTCCTTTCTTTTCTTGTCCTTTTCAATTTCTTTTGTATAAGGAGTGGAGGGGAGATAGACACGCTTCGTATTGGTGAATAGCCTTGGGTGGGATTGAAACAACCCAGGAAAGAGCGTTGCGATGGCAAAGTCATCAATCTCTCCCAAGTCCTTTTTGACATTGGCTGGTTTGAGGTCAAGACAATCCAAGAGACTTTCAGCCTGTTCTCTTGTAATGATCATTTGACAATCAAGTCTATTAAAAATAAATAATAAAAATATTAAAAAAAGTTAATAAGTTGTTTATGTATATAAATATAAATATAAATATAAATATAAATATAGGTGGTAACTTACCCTAGGAGAGGGATAACAGCAGAGACATTGATTAGCCCAGGAATAAATTCATGGGTTATTCTTGGTTCTTTAACCTCTGATAGACCGTCAGTTCTTTTGGCAGCCTCGGATTTAATAGTCTCCAGTTCACCTAGCTCCAAGATTCGATTTGAATCAAACTTGTGTTGTCTTTCTTGATTTCTTGATGTAAATGTGGGAGGGTCTCCCGTTGGTGATGGTGATGGATTGGATGATGGCGAAGACATTTTTTCCTTTCTTTTTTTCCAGTCATCCTTGAAAATTCATTGATGGCTTCTTTAATCATTTTCTCCAACTCTTCAATTTCATTTTTCTTTTTACCAAGATCTGTTCTCTTTTTTTCCTTGTAGGTGGAAAATAATAATTTTAAATGATTATCTTTTTGGATAGAGAAAGAAAAAAAAGAAGGGTTAATAATAGGGAAAATGAATCTTTAATAAATTCATCTTTTTTATCGTTTTATACATACAGGTTGCCACCATTATATTTCTTTTTAAATTTGTGACAATAACATTGATATCTTTGATTTTTTTGGTTGGCGCTTTACTATTATTATTATCTGTCTTTTTAGTCTGAGTTTTTTTTCTTTTTTGTAAAGTTGTTGATTTTGGTTTGTTTTTAGTTGGGTTCTGGTGTGGTGGTGGAAATAGTGGAGTTGGTTCAGTTGGTAGATGATCATTGACCAATGGAGAGAAAATATTTGACATGTTGATATAAATAAAAGTATAAAAAAAGGAACAAGCAATATTTATAATTGTACTAGTATGATGCTAATTAAATGCTGTGATGGTATAATATATGTGAAAATTGTGACTTTGTAACGATGACTTGAATAAATATGTTTATGATAATATCTGTATCTCTCTCTATCTCTTGTGAACATAATAAAAAAAAATGAGAATGTTTTTTAATTTCCTATCTTTTTGCTTTTGTTGGGGGGGATTAATTAATTTTGGTGAGAGTGTGGGTGATGCCCCTGCTCTGATGTCCAAGTCACAGTTCTCTCTCTCTCTCTTTTGATTCATAAATTTAGTAGTATTCCTTTTTATAGTAACTATGAGTGGATGAGGATAATGATGATGAGATGGGGTCGCTCATCTAGATAGTTATAGATCACTCTTTCAGACCACTCCCCATCTCTTCTTTGTTGTGTTTCATATAGGTAGAGATCTGATCATTATTAATCCATATCCAGTAGTATCTATCTATAATATAAATGCTAAATGAGGATAAGCCAGTTCGTATAATGAATGAAAGAAAGGAGGGGATTGCCTGTCACTCAATGATGATATGTTTTGTAATGAATTAGCAGTCTTTTTGATATTTCTGATATAGGTAATATTAATAGTACAATTTTAGTACTACCAATGAACAATTTTTGTGGATTTGTACAGGTGACATCAGTTGCATGGGGATCAATTGGTAGCAAAGTATACTGGAAGAGACAGCTGTTGTTAACCAAGGTTCAAATGAAACTCTACAAGGATTAGGTATGAGCTTTCTTCCACTGCCTTGTATCTATATTGTTCTCTGATCATCATTTGCCAAACTCAAAGATTACGGTGTAGATTCAATGGTTTCAATTCAAATTAAAACATGGTTGGAACAAGAGTTTGAACTTTTTATTTTTTTTTATTTTTCATTGCACACGGTCATCACATGATTTTAGATTTATCATTAATGAATGCGAAGCAGCTGTCGATTTAATTAGATTGGTTTTCTACAACTAACAAAGAAGAATAAGAATATAATGTCATCAATGAAAGAAAGGTTGGATGCACTAGCTGCTAAAAAGAGGGCTGGAAATCCAGAGAATAAATCGATGGGTACCTCTACGAGAAAGCCATCTGCTCCCACTTCAAAGCCTCAAGGTAGCAGTGGCACTAGCAATGCTAGAGTACAATCAATATCACTCAATTCAAGAAAGACAAAGGTCGAAGATGAAGAGGAACCAAGTGGAGAAGATTCCTATGAAGATGATGGATTTGTCGTCAAAGACGATGATAGTGACTATAGCGAAAGCGAAGATGATTCATATTCACCATCATCAGATTCTGAGAGTAGCGAAGAAGACAGAAAAAAGAAGAAGAAAACAAGTAGCAGTAGCAGTAGTGTCAGTAAAAAGTCATCATCATCAAGCAGCAAAGATAAAAAGGCCGCTCCAGCACCAGTTAAAAAATCATCATCGTCATCATCATCAGACAAGAAATCATCGTCATCAGACAAATCAACAGACAAGAAACGAAAGCATAAAGGATCAGATGATGAAAGTGGTTCTGGTGATGACAATGATTCTTTGAGTTATCCATTCAAAGGAGATATGCCAACAAGTAGAACTCGTGGACGTATACCAATAGCAATGCCCATTTTAATGGAATCTGATGGATCAGATTCTGATGCTTCAGATGAATAGATAATCCAATAATAATAAATAATAACCTCCTAGATAATAATAATAATAGATAATAGAGATATTTTAGTTTAAAATCAACAACAATTTTACTTTTTTTTTATTTTTATATAAATATATATTTAATGATTATTATTATTTAATATTTGAATCTTTGGAACCATGGATTCATGGACCTATCTGGTTATGAGAGATGGAGTTAGATTTTGGAAGAGATTCTTTGTATTTTTTTAATAATTATTATACATACCTTTGATAAATTAATTCCAATTTTTATGATTGATATGATTGGAATGTTGGCTATTATTATTATTATTATTCTCAGTTGATGAAGATAGTTGGGGTTGAGGTTTACCATAGTTTACACGAACAACAGTGTCACCCAATCTTTTTCCATTCAATGCCTGTAGAGCAGCTGTGGCAGTAGCAACTGTTATGAAATTGACAAAAGCACATGCTTTCTTTCTTAATACTCTAACTGATTCAATTTCACCATATTTTTCACATTCTCTTCTAATGTCCTTTTCTGTTAAATTTTCAGACACATTTCCTATATATATTGCACGAGATAATGTGTTTTGAGAAGAAGAAGAAGAAGGATCTATACTAGTACTGTTGTTATGAATGATATTATTATTATTGTTGGAAATATTATTATTATTATTTGGATTATTATTATTATTATTATATGATGGATTACTAATTGGACTAGTATTAAAATTATTTAAATTATTATTATTATTATCATCTTGCTTATTATTATTAGTGGTATTATTATTTGAATGTCTAAAATTAACAACAATAAATTGACTTCCAATAACTTGATTATGCATATTTTTTTTGGCCAAAGAGGCATGGGATGTATCTTTGAAATTAACAAATGCACAAAAACGGTCGTGTAGGATCCTAACACTTTCTAGGTCACCATAAACACTAAACTCTGTTTTTAATTCCTCTTCAGTGACGTCAAGTCCAATGTTTCCTACCCAAAGTACACGACTGGCATGTTCATCAATTTCATTGGGCTCGCTTCCGTTGGAAGAGAGACTTTGGAACTCGTGCCATGATAACTTTACCTTTTCCTGTGCCATATCCACTTTGTTTGTAGTAGTAGTAGTAGTAGTGTTGTTGGCTGGAATGGCAGTTGTATTATTTACAATTTCCTTTTTCTTTTTTTGTGCCTCTTTACTATTGTCAGAGGACAAAGTAAGATTGGTTGTCTTTTTAACTATACTATTCAATGTTGGGAAATTTTCTTCATCAATTACAATTTCAGATGTTGCAATTGATATTATTTGTGGAATGTTGGAATGATTATTATTACTATTGGTTGGTAGGGATGTTGTTTGAGTTTGTAAATGTATTGTTTGTTGTTGTTGTTCAAAGTGTTGTTGATGTTGTTGTTGTTGTTGTTGTTGTTGTTGATGATGATGTTGGTGTTGATGATGGATTTGTTGTTGGTGATGATGGTGTTGTTGTTGTTGTTGTAAATGTAGTTGTTGTTGTTGTTGTTGTTGTAACATTTGTTGTTGTAATATTTGTTGTTGCTGTTGTTGTTGTTGTTGTAGTTGTTGGATTTGTTGTTGTTGATTTAAAATATTTTGTTGAGAGAATCGTAATGATGATGATTGTTGATTACCTAAAATTGGGGAAGATGAAACATTTACACTATTATAATTAATTCCATTGTTACTTGACGATATATGTTCTTGTTGTAATGTTGGAGAAGTGAGACCTAATAATCCTGGTGTTGTAGGTCTTTGGTTTTGTATTTTACTTTGAGAATGTGATAATCCATTCTGTTGTTGGAAATATTGATTATTATTATTATTATTATTATTATTAGTATTATTGGCGTGTATATTATTATTGCTATTATTATTATTTGTAAATGGATCAAAAGGAACCGAAAACATATTATCCATAAAGTCATTAGAGGTTGGCATCGATATGGAAAATAATTGGCTAAAATTTGAAGGTGATAGTGGTCTTGTATTCATGCCAAGTGATGGTGATTGATGTTGGATTTGTTGTTGTTGTTGTTGTTGTTGTTGTTGGTTATTTACACTGTTGTTTGACGATGATAAAGATGTTGGTATACCCATTCCAGATTTACCAAGACCTCCTCCTCCTCCATTGGCAGCAAGAAATGGTGATTGCTGTTGGTATTGTTGTTGTTGTTGTTCATGATCATTTAAAACACTAATGGATGAAACTCTATCTACAAATTCACTTGTTACACCTCCATTGCTCATGTGTAAATTATGGTGTACACCATTATTTAAAATTCTATCCGTTCCATCATTTAATTCCGATTGATACATTCCAATCGATGATGAAGAGGATGAACTCTGTTGTTGTTGTTGTTGTTTTTGGTACATAAAAGATGATTGAGATGAATTTTGTTGTTGTTGTTGGAATCCATATTGTTGTTGGATTACTTTTTGTCTATAGTCATTAGTAGTAGGTGTTGATGATGATGATGATGATGAAGAGGTTGAATTTTGATAAATACTATGAACATTATTTACATTATTTATGTGTTGTTGTTGTTGATGATGATGATATTGTTGTTGTTGTTGTTGTTGTTGCAACATTTGTTGGTGTTGCAAGTTGGTAGAAGAACCCACCTCCACCCATTGAGGTGCAAATGAGGTTGAGCTTGTATTATTACTATTATTATTATTAACTGAAGTTGAATGCTGGGAAGGAGGTGTCCTTTCATGTAAGGAAAAAGACATCATGTGATTTTAAATTTATATACAAAACACAACACAGAGTGGATGGAGAGAGCTCTATTCTTTCTTTCTTGTATGCTATCTATCTGTCCTGTTGTTATTATTATTATTATTGTTGTTGTTAATATATTTATATTTATATATCTCTATTTATATACACAAAGAGAGGAAGGAAATATCTAAAATAGATAAGCAAAAAAAAAAAAAGTTAATTAATTTTGATATTGAAATTGTGATTAAAAGAAGATATTATTATTGTTTTATTTTTAACCTACACTCTTTATAGATAGATATATATCAAGTAAGTTATTGCTATTATTATTATTATTGATATCAATTGTTATTATCTTGATGATATTCTGATTGGTAGTGAAAAAAAAAAAAACAATGTGTCTATCCCTAACCACACAAACTGGTTTGAATGGGAAAAAATAATTGTCAACGGTTAAAAATCTCAATCAAAATGCATCCCCGCCCTTTTTTTTCAATGAAGAACTCTGATGCGTGCATATTTATATATATTAATATATTAATTGATCAATTAATTCTTTGGAGTTACATTTTTATTGGGATCGTTTTGTGTGTAATCTTCTTCGTCATCATCTTGTTCTAGATCATCACCATCAAAGTATTCAAATACTCCACCATCGTCGAATTTGTTTTGATCCTCATCAACTTGGTCTGCAATCAACTGACTAAGAATATCTTTTTGTCCAAGATGCTCATCATCTCCTCCTTCGCCTTCAATTTGATCCTCCTCTTCCTCCTCCAAAGATGAATCTTCTTGGTCATCTTGTATTTCTTCGTCGTCTATCATTTCATCGTCATCTGAGAGGTATCCATCGTCATCGTGCATGTTGTTGGCTCCACTATAGTTTTCATCTTCGCTCATCTTTTCGTCTTGGTCCATTTTGTTGTTATTTTTTCTTGATTTGGCAGCATTCTTTTTAGTAGAACCCTTTTTACGTCCTTGGCCCTTGAGTGTATACTTTAATGGTAGTTTAAGCCCAAATTTATCCTTGATCAAACGATAGAGGCGTTCCCAATCCATTTTGAAAAGCCAACCCATCGTTTTCTTTTTTAAAAAAAATAATAATTATTGGTAAATAATTGTGTGTTTAGAGAGAGTGATGTTTCAAACTATCTATCTATCTATCTACTTACATCGCATTGTGTTGGCATGGGTGCAGACATTATAGTTTTTTTAATTTGAAGATGATCATTTTCTTCTTCAAGATCAATAATTTGGAAAAAGATTGATGAACGGGTAGGACATTCTCTATAAGTATAATCATATAAAGGTGGTACATATTCTGGTTGTTCATGATGACTATGATTATTATTATTATTATTTTCATTATCATCATTTGGACTATTATCTAAATCACTATTATTATTATTATTATTATTATTATTATTATTATTATTATTATTATTATTATTATTATTATTATTATTATTATTATTATTATTATTATTATTATCAATAGTACTATTAATACTACTTTCTTTTGGTTGATTATCTTCATTTTGACTAAATGTATTGAATGGAACACTGTTAGGTTTACGTCTAGGTGCAGTAAATCTTTTAGCAGGTGCTCTACCAGTTCCCTCTTCATCTTGTGTTTCTAGTCTAAAATCTACAACTTGATAACTAAAGTAATATGGTGTTTAATAGTTTGTTGTTATCAAATTGTTTTTTTTTTTTGGTACTTACATTCTTGATTCATTACGAATTCTTGGATCATAACCAAATCGAATATAACAATTTCTCCAAGGACCTTTTTTAAATGAATAAGAAAGATAGGGTTGTGTTGCTCTAATATCTTTGAGGAAACCTCCTCTCTTTTGAAGATAATCTTTAAGTGGTTCTACCAACCATATAGGTCTTTCCTCAAACATTTCTTTGAGTACATTATATGTCCTTTGTAAAGTAGAGTTTGGAGACTTTGACACAAATTTCTGTAACGGTTCTTGAGGTGTGATACCAGCTGGGAATTGAACCACTTTTGTTCTAAATGCAGTTGCAAAGCTAGATTTGAGTGTAAATTGTCTTGTCTAAAGAAAGAAAGAGAGAAAATGAAATTGTGATTAATAAATATACACTTGGACAACGATGACTTGGGTATACAATACATCTGGATCAAATGTAGCCAAAGGATTAATTTTGAATTGATAGTTTTGTGGTTTATCAATACGAGAAAAGATTGATGGTATTGTATTTAGTTCTTCATCTTGACGTTCTTCTTTGTTTGGATCATTACCACTAGTATATTCTATATCAACATTTACTTTGTTTTGTGGTTGTGCTCTAACTGTATATTGGAAATCACTCATTGCTTAATGTTGATCAAATGTTAGATGATTGATTTCAAAATATTTAACAACCTACTACTTTTAGTACTTACAATTAAAATCGATAGATGTTGGTATAATTGCAATGATATCTGCTTGAAATGGTGGTTCATTTTTGTTTGGTACTATCGATGCTGTTGTCGAAGAGGAAGAAGAAGAAGAAGGTGGAGCAGGAGTTTCTAGTTTAACAACCAATGGTTTCGTCTTTCTAACTCTTAACAATAAATTACAAGATGGAGCTTTATCACCAAATGCCGATCTACTATTGGGATAGTTTGGTCTGAAATTAAGTTGTAAATGATCTGTTGGTTCATTTGATTGAAGACACTAAACATACAGAGAGAGAGAGAGAGAGAGAGAGAGAGAGATACAATAAGTCATAATAGAACATAACAGTTGCCTCTATACTATACTGTGAATGAACTTCAACACATACATAAGATATTTGATTGATACCACCCAAAGTATTTAAACATTTATCTATATTGACTACATTGGCAGGATAGTTTACACCATAATAAACATTCTTTGTAAGATGTTTAAAGTTTGCATCTTTTGGTGTTTGTTTTGTTGTTGATGCTGATGATGATGATGATGCTGGTGGTCGTCTTGTAGGTTGCTCAACCTCTTGGTCTTCGTCTTCCTCGATACTGCCTTCATCCATATTGCTTTCTTTATTCATCTTGATCCTCGAGCATTATTAAATATAAATTAATATGTTCGTAGTTTGTTGATGTTCATTATTAAATTTCAAAATTTCCCTCTCAAGTGAAAATTGCTCAAAGTATTAATATTAATTTTTTTGCTCAAAGTGCGGTTGTTGCTTATTCTTCAAAGCTTTAGAGAGAGAGAATTATGTTTATCTTTAAGAAGAATAGTATTTAAAGAATAGACTGTTGTCGAAATCAATAACTTAAATGCCGAGATATTCGATATTGATTCTTTCTCGATTGTTTCTAATATTATATCTAATTATCTTTTGGTATGTATCGTGATACTAAACTATTCATAGCTAGATTTATTTATTCATAGCACCATTTTATTTTCACAAAGAATATCTGATCAATCAACCAATGAACACCCGACCGCGACAGTCGTATTATTAGAAAGGTTGTCTATGGTCTCCCGTTGGGAGGTTTAACCTTTGTCACATCGCTGCAAAGATCAATTTTTTCAAAGGGCTCGCCCTTACGAATTTCTCTCTGATCATATGACCACCTCAGATTTTCGATTGGGCTAAACCTCATTTTTAACTGTTGCATCCAATCATTGGACAGGGAGAAAACCCCAAAGATATTTTTGTCTTTGGTCTAGATGGTTTGTTGGGTTGGGAGGTGTGAATTTCAATTTCGCACAACAACCGTCACTGTAAGCTATCGGTGCGATGGAAACCTTGTCAAGGTTTGCCCATCCCTTTATAAAACTTGGTGTTGTAATAACAAGGCTACAAGTAAACCCCCATAGATAGATTCTTTTGTTGATGGGTATGGTGGGTGGTGCGACTCATCGATGGCAAAGGATATTTCTTTAGACAACAATAAGCTCGTTGCATCATCTAACTATAACCCCCTTGCTTGCCATCCATCGTGACTCATTTTGTTTAGTCCAATCAAATAACTTTGCATTTATATATTCTTTTTTTTTTGTATCACTACCATCAGCTGACATACTTGTCGGTCCTCGTCTTTCAAACTTTCATCTGTACTTTTAAAACCCATCGAGATCTTCGTTTACAATCTCATCTAGAATCACTCAGTTCCTTTCGTTCGTTTCTTTTCTTTTCTTTTCTATTTTTTTCTTTTTGTAATACTAGTCTCTCCATACGCATAATAATAATAATAATTTATATATATTTAAAAGAAGAAGGAAAAGATGAGTTATATGTTTGAACTGTATGACATTGTTGTTGGTGCAAAAAAAAGGTCAAACACAACAACCAATATTAATGGAGACCAAGAAGATTCTTCAGCAGGAGGTGAAACTCAACAACAACAACAACAAACAAATGAAGAACTTACAGACCAACAAAACAAGAGAAAATCAACCAGAAAAGTTGCACCTCTAAACTTGGCTCCATTATCTTCAACTTCAAAAAGTTCACCTTCCAGTAGAAATCCATCTCCAAGAAGTGGAGTATCACCAAGAAATAGGGTATCTCCAAGAAGTGAAATATCTCCAAGACCAACAGAAAATATCACAATTTATAATAATAATAATAATAATAATAATAATAATAATAATAATAATAATAATAATAATAATAATAATAATGACGATTATAATAGTAATAATCAAAATAATAATAATATAAATAATAATAGTGATGATGATTTGGAACCAAAATCTATTATGATTACAGTTCCAGATACTATTGAAAATGTTGGTTTAGAATCTTCAACTACGGAAATACTTGGCAATACAACCTCTACTACAATTGTAAAAAAAGTTGAATTTCAAGAACTAAGAGACTCTGGAACATCTTCAACATCATCTGAATCAGCGGATTTGGAGGATGGAGCAGATATTAATTCAAACAAAGTTGGAAGAGAAAAGGATGAAGAGAAGAGATTGGATCGTTCAGTAGAGAGACAATTGGTAGAAGATCAAGTACTTCAAGGAAAGATATTTATCAAACCAAAAAATATCTTTAGATTAGAGTATTTATTAGAGGCACTCAAATATCATGCAGAATTGTTTTTGGTTGCCATGTTGGTGGTCATTACTTGTTGTCTCTATGTATTGTTTTATGTTGCTATTGGTAATAGAGGTATATTCTCAAATCAATGGATAACATGGGAAAAGGTATTATGGTTTATTAGTGGTATCGTAACAGAGGTATAGTATAGTCATTTCAAACAATCCTAAACAATTCAATAATGTAATATATTTTATTGACCCAATTTTTATTTCATATTTATTTAGCAATTTTTAGTTAGTATTGGATATGTAGTTAGTAGAGTACAATTTGGACACAAGAAAACAAAAGTGGCGATACCATTCCAAGTAGCCATTCACATTTTATCGTTTGTTTCAACTGCTTTGATTCGATACTATGATATTACTGGGACATTGAATCTTTTACCAAAGTATTTACTTTCACTTGGAGGAATGGTGGTTGTTTCCTATGTCATTGGTGCCTATTCACTCAAAACTAAAATGTATTGCTTTTGGTTTACTTTTCCATTCATCATCCTTGGTATCTTTCTCATCATGTACGATTATCTCCTTTTGAAATGGTATTTGGCATCTTCAACATCTGATAACTCACGTCTCTTGGTTAGAATTATCGTTCATCCATTTGTAACTGCCGTTTGTTTATTGGTTTCAAGAATTTGTGCAAGTCAATTACATAAATTAGGTCCAAGATCAAGTATTGCTTTTATTATGATGTAAGTAGAAAAGAAAAAGAAAAAAGAAAAAGAAAAGAAATAGAATATTTGGTATTAATTACATTTTTGTTACCTCTCTAGTCCACTATGTTTTAATACATTTTATGGTAGATTCTTTGGTTCAACAATGAATTCATACTCTGGTGTTATTATTTCATCTGTAATCATTTCATTGGTAGATATGGTTTGGAAATGTTCATTGAGAGCAAGAGACGCTGTCATTGTCAGAGTATTTTGTAGATTCTCAACCAATGCCAAATTTTATATTGCACATAATCTTCCATTGTACGCCGAATATCAATCATATGAACTTATTTATGAAGTTGCTTGTATGTATAATAATAATAATAATAATAATAATGACGATTATAATAGTAATTAAACTCAATTAAACCGATATTAACTCTTTCTTTCTCTTTCTCTTTTTCTTTTAGCATCATTTATTGCAACGTTTTTAATTTGTTCATTCTTTTTCGTATTTGAAAGAAGTCAATTAGATATTACCTTTCAATTGGCCATCATGTTTATTCAATTCTTTGCATCATTGCTCACCGAGTTTGTGGTAACCTATGTTTCATTGTCCTACCTCAAACTACCGATCATCATTCCATGGAACAAGAGACCAAATGGTTTCCTATTCCTTTGTATTTATAGTTTTATAGTCGGACTCGCTTATATGATGATCCGTTTCTTAAATATCTTGGGTGGTCGTTGGGTATTATAAATTATTAAAAATAATAATAATAATAATAACCATCTTGACACTATTTTTCTTCATTTATACAAACCATTTGTTTGTACAGCCCTTCCTCATCCTCATCCTCCTGACACTAATAATATTAACAATCAATCACACACACCTACCCACCATATACTATTTAAAAAAGAAAAGTTAGAGATATCATATTTATCTCTAAACATGTAGAATATTTAAATCTAAAAAAACAAACCTCGTTTATTTTTATCTCCTTTGCATTTACTTAATTTAACCAGTCAATTTAAATAATAAATTACAAAAGTAATCACAAACAACATGTGTGTTTACCAGTAAAATAATGTTAATCAACAACAGAGACAGGGACACACCTGATTTAGAAATTTCGATAACAACACTACGTTTGTTCTATCTACCCTGAGGTCATTCATTATCTTAAAAAGATCATTAGTTTTTCATCGCAGATTCATGCATTGTCATGTGATGATGCCAGTGAAAAATAACAATGTATTAAATTTGATTCTAAATTGAAGGTCACTCAACAGCATTGCTTGAAACCATTCATTTCATTTCAAAACTACAACTCATTAGTAATAGATAATAATAGATAATAATAATATAGATAATAATAATAACTTAAAAAAGAATGGTACAAACACAAGTTGATAAAAGTAAATTACCAAGCTTTGTAAAGGACTATCCTGAACTATTGTCTGATAAGGTTGGTGGTCAAGTACTTGGTTGCTCTGATCAATGGTTTGCTGCATGTGTAAATCTTATCAAAATAACTCCACCTGTTTGGGATGCTGGTATGTAGTATTAATACAATACATTGTAAGTGTCATCATCTTATTAATCTCATCTTCTCTCCTCTCCTCTACTCCACTATTCTTTAAATAGAAAAATTTGTTGATACAGGTAAATGGATGGTATGTATTATTAGTATTAGTATTAGTAGTAGTAACAATTGTCTAGTTGTTCAACAACTAATTATTAATCACTTTATTTAATATTTACTTTTTAGGACGGATGGGAAACTAGAAGACATAATCCAAGTAATGATTGGTGTATTTTGAGATTAGGTATTCCAGGTGTCATCAAGGGATTCGAGATTGATACAGCCTATTTCACAGGTAACTATCCACCACATGCATCGATTGAAGCATTGTGTGACGACCACGAACCAACCTTTGACAAGTTGGAAAAGAGTGACAAGTGGGTGGAGATCTTGCCCAAGGTTGACCTCAAGGCCGGTTACATTGAACAGAGCAAACAATATTTTGCCACTGAATCCAACACTAAAAAGGTGACTCATCTTCGTTTCAAGATCTATCCAGACGGTGGTGTTGCCCGTCTCCGTGTCTATGGTGCCGTCTCCAAGGACTGGTCACTCGTCATCCCAGGAGAACTCGTTGATTTGGCAGCCATTGAAAACGGTGGTTTGGTGCCATTGTGCAGTGATATGTTTTATGGCAATGCAAACAATGTAATCATGCCAGGTCGTGGTATCAATATGGGTGATGGTTGGGAGACCAAGCGTCGTCGTGGTCCAGGTAATGACTGGCTCATTGTTCGTCTTGCCGCACTCGGTAAAGTACGTCGTATCGAAGTAGACACTAATTGGTTCAAGGGTAACTTCCCAACCAGCTGTTCTATCGATGCCACCGATGCCACCGACCCAGCTTCACCCGATGCCAAGTGGACTCAAATCCTTGCCAACACCCCACTCTCTGCTCATCACCGTCATTTCTTCCAACGTGAGCTTGAACACTGTGTTCAAGACTCTAATTACCTTCACATTCGTCTCAACGTCTACCCAGATGGTGGTGTCTCTAGATTCAGAATTCACTGTATTCCAAATTCCATCCCAACAACAAATTAAAAACAAAATATAATTATTGTTGTTCACAATGTGTATCTTTAAAAAATAAATAATAGTATCATAATGATGATGATGTTATAATCATAATATATATATATATATATTATATATTTACCCCGTGACCATATATATCTTTTGGAAAATTTGGTTAATTGACCAATTTGTTTTTTTTTAATTAAAAAAAGATCTCTCATAAATTATTAAATGTTTTTTTTGATATGTTTGTATAGCTATAACCACAATTGGAGAGAGAATTAATTTAAAGGGATATGTATATAGTGAGTCTACCTATATGAAGTTGGCCTGTCCTGTGTTTTTTAAATAAATAAGGATAACCCATGGGAGGGCCAACAATTATCATCGATGCCCAAAAACATATAAATGTCACAATATATATATAGGGATCCCCTCTACCCCTCAAGTAGACAAAATCAACGTTCTCTAAATTCAACCCCCCCAATAACACTAGTAATAGATGTACAATTGGGGGAAGTGAAATAATATAAAAGAATTGTTGAAAGAGGGCGTATGGAAGATTGAGAGGACTTGTTTTTTAAATTTCTCAAAGAGAATTGGATATAATTCCAACCGAATGGCTATGAAAAAAAAATAAAATTGGATCTTTGACCATCCAAAAAAGGATTCAATCCAATTAAATGATGCCATTTTAAAATTTAATATTGTATCCACGGCCCCATCCATCCTTTTGGAATGGAATGTCAGACTCAGGCTCTCTCTTCTCTCACATCCCCTAAATAGAGTGAGTTGAGTTTTCGTCGTTTTTTTTTTCACACCCTTTGCCAAGTCATCTTTGAATTAAAAGGTCACAATAAACACAAAGAGACATAGATATACAGATAGATAGATAGATTAAATATATTGACAAGATTAAACAACAACAACAACAATACCATTATAACTGCAGAGTAGTTGACTTTTTTATTGGGTAGGAACAACCAACAAACAGAATTAATAATAGAATTACACATAAATAAACCAACATACATAACATACACATTCATTTTTATGAAATACATGTAATACAACAACAACAACCAACAATAAGAGAGAGAGAGTAGAAAACAAACCTATTTTTAAACAAGTTCTAGATAGATGATTGATCAAAAGAGTTTATCAAGTAAGTTCATCAATCATTCATTATCAAGTAATAGTAGTATTTATTAGTTAGTAGTAGTAGTATCAGCTGAACAGAATATACACTCATCTTACTTGTTGTTGTTGTTGTTGTTGTTGTTATTGTCGTTGTTGTCGTTGGTGTATATATTCTGTTCTAGAACCAACCAACACACTCACTTTATGAAATCAACACAGTGATAATGAGTGCATCATGATTTAGTCTATTTATAATTGATCGGTGACACACGCGTACATTTTTTATAATATCAGCACCAACAAAAGTAAATCGTGTGGAGGAGCGCTCCTCTCTATCAAAAAAATAGCACTCAATCTTTTTACCCCACCTCCCTCTTGTTCATAAAATATCTTTTCTTTCCTTCCTCCTCTCTTCTGCTGGCTGGCTGCTGGTCGATCATCACCACCCTTTTTCTCTATAATTATTGTTATTATTATTATTGTTCCATCATCCACCACAGCTACCTACCTACCTACCTACTCTTCTCTCTTTCTTTCTTTCTTTTGCATCTTCACTCTCTTTACAGCACTCTATCAACTTGGAGAAGAAGAAGAAGAAGAAAAGAGGAACTGTAATCAATATTATATATAAAACTCTACTTAAACAAGCAGAAACAGTAATCAAAAGAAGGAGAAGAAAGAAGAAGAAAGATATACCCGACATCAAAGATAGATGGTATAGATAAAACAATTGTTAGCACCACAGAACAGTAAACACAACACATTGGCACACAGCACACAGATAATATAGGCCAAATAATCATATCTTTAATTAATTAGTCATACAGTCATCATCATCACAACATTTAAAGTAGTTGTTTAATAAGTTTAGTTATTCAAAGTTTAGAAATTGATTAGAGATTTACATCAAATTGATCTTGTGATAATGATATATATATATTTACACAACACACACACACAATAGTAGTAGAGCGTAGTGGTAGAACAATATATAGCGGGGGTGGGTGGGAGGAGGGAACAGACCTATATATCACATCGACATTATTGGATTGTCCAATAACAATAATAATAATACATACTCTTCATCCCTCATCCTCATCTTCCACATCACTACTACTACTACAATACCACTTAGCAATTTCATATCTTGCTTGTTGTATTATATCGATCATTTAGTATTCGAAGCGACGTACTCACACATAGACAGACACACAATACCACAAATTGATTTGCAGTCTAGTCTGTCTGCCTTGTTCATTTTACTTTAATGAATTAATTGACCAAAATACAACCATTCATCACTACCTTTTTTTTTCTTTTCTCCTCTTTTCTCTGTCTATTCTTTACTTTCTTCATCTTCCCGAAATATATAGTCTATTTTTGTTTGTTTATATTAAAGTTAGATATTATTATTATTATTATTTAACGATTTTTGGGTTCATTTCCATTTTTGTTGTTGCTATGACTTTAGATATTTATTGTAAATAACCACAAGTTGTTATTATCATTATTATTATTATTGATGATGATGATGATTTAGTTAGTGATATAATATCTTAAATTTAAATCTCAATTGCTAATACCATCCTTCTTCTCCTCCCATTATCTCGAACCCTATTTTAGAGCAAGCAATTTCAAAGGTCAAAAAACAAAATTAAAAAAAAATCAAAATCAACAATCCAATAGGCAATTGCTATTTATTACAAAAACAAAAAAAACAAAAAAGAAGAAGACACAACAATAGAAGCAACGATAACGAAAACAACGACCTCTCAGTTAACAAGAGTGAGAGAGAGAGAGAGAGAGAGATTGCATCTTCTTCTTCTTCTTCTTGTCTATAGAATAATATTCTTCTTTTTACAATAACACAATTATTAGTAGTAGATACAAAGAGAGACAGAGAGAGATATAGAAGATCTTTAAAACAAAAGGGATAGAAAGTGCTCAACACACTTCTTCTTACCCATGCAACATCAACAACAACACCACCACCACCATCTCCTCCACACAATGAACGATCAAATGAATTCTTCATCCTCTTCTATATATCCTCCATCACAGGGATCGTCTATGTATAATTGTCAGCCGCCACAGCAGCAGCAGCAACAACAACAACAACAACAACATACACCACTAAGAGAAATGTCAGTAAACAATGCAAGTGACATTCTTCATATATTACCAATGCCGGTACTCAATATATTTCTATCGGCCTCTTCAATCAACGGTACATCCAACCAATATTTATGTAATCTTTTGTCTGCACAATCTGACGACATTGTAAAGTCGGTACTGGGAAACGACTCAGCCTATAATCCAAATCTAAATTCTGGAAACCAACAACATCAACATCAACAACAACAACAACAACAACATCATTGCGAACCTTCAGATTCAACAGAAACCTCACCATCCTCTTTTATATATAATGACGCACACCTTCAATCTTCCATATCACCACTATCATCTCCAACCACTACCAGCTCACCTTATCATATTTCAGCGACCGTTCAAGCAATGGTATCTTCAGAGTTGTTACCAAACCCTGCTTCTTCTTCTTCACAATCCACTAATAATAATAATAATGAAAATAATAATAGTACTAACAATAATAATAATAACGGCGTCAACAACAACAACAACAATACAATTAGAAGCAGGCTTGAATTAATTCAATTAGATTTTGATAGAAAATCACAAATAGATATGGAGATTAAAAATCAACGATTGTTTCAACAACAACAACAACAGCTACATCAACGTCACCAAAGAATGAATTTATCATCATCTACGTCGTCTCTCTCATCGACCGAGGACGACGATACAGATGACGACGATTGCAGTGTCAGCAGTAGTAGCAGCAGTACTACCGGCGGCGGCATTGGTAGTAGTAATGGTGGTCGCCACCAATCGTACAATAGCTATCGTCGTCGTAGTAGCCATGACATTTATGGCGAAGAGGAAGATATGGAAGACGATGATGACGACAGTCATTTAGAATCCATCTACCAATGTATTTTTGAATCCTACACCCAACAAAGAATAATATCACAACCAGTACTCCTTAATAACCTATCGAGCCAACACCAATACTCTGCGACACTTGTCGTTCGACCACTATCCGATGGATGTTGTTGTTTCTTTCAAGAGATATCGCAACCAAGAACACCATCTGGATTAACCATTTTCAATAACCAACTTCGAATGCTCACCTCTATTCCCGAGGACATCCAACCAACACCCTATCAAGGTGGTTTTGCAAAGTTGTTTGAACACTTTGACAACCTCTCGGCCATGTTTCAATCGTCACCAGTCATTGTTTGGCGTACCAATTCCAAGGGAGAGATGGTCTATTTCAAAAAAATGGATGACAATCGTTGCCAGGGTCGTTCTCTAGAAGAGTTTCTTCTCTGGGTGCACCCCAGCAACCGCTCCGAACTCACCGATAAATTCAAAACCATCCAAATCGAGGGTGCGTCATCGTTAGAGTCACCGGCCAACATCCAACAGGCATTCTATTTTATGACGGGGATGGATTCCCGTGACTATCTCTTGTATGTGCTTCGTGGCTACAAGGTACAGTCTAATGAACAGGTTGGATGGGTGGGTGTGTCATTCTCGTTTGTCATGAACGAAGGTGCCATTGTTTCTGTGCGTGAAGAGGTCTCTCTTGAATCAATGTTTCAACGTTTCAAGTCGGTCTGTGAAATGCCACGTGGCGAGCGACTCAAGCTTGGCATTGAAGACGACTTTTTATCGGGCGAATCCTTTTCCAATTTGCTCAAGGAAAAGAAACTGCTCATGACCGAGGACGAGAAAAAGACGTTCCAGCGTTGTCGTGACACCTACAATATATTGTTCAAGCTTTCGCTCCTTGGTGTTATGTTTTCAACGCTCAAGGGTACTATTATCGATGCCAACGATGCTTTTCTCTCCACCTTTGGTTATAGTCGTAGCGATCTAGAGAATGGACACGTCGATTGGATGATGATGACCCCACCCGAATACTATGAAATCAGCGCTAGAGCTCTCCAGGAACTAAAGAGCAAGAGATGGTGTCAACCAATTGAAAAGGCATACTTTCATCGAAGTGGTGCCAAAGTACCTGTACTCATCTCTGCTGCCATGGTCGATGGTACAGACGAACAGTGCATCACTTTTGTCTTTGATCTCTCCCGGTATCGTCAGGCCGAAGAGTCTGCCATCCAAGCCAACAAACTCAAGTCACAATTTATTGCCAACATTTCGCATGAACTTCGTACACCGTGTCATGGTATCCTCGGTATGACACAAATCATTTTGGACAGCAAGGAATTGACACCATCACAGCGAGACAATGCCGAAACTATCAAAAAGTCGACAGACAATCTTGTTTCATTGATTGACGATATTTTGGATTTCAGCAAGATCGAATCGGGCAAGATGACACTTGATTTTTCATCTTTTGAATTGGTTTCAATGGTTGAACAAGTGCTTCATGAACACTCTAAGCTATCCAATGCCAAGGCTATCGATCTCGTCTTTATCATGGGTCGTGAATATCCAGTGCCACCAGTACTCTTTGGCGATCGTAAACGTATCAAACAAATCCTCAGCAATCTCGTTAGTAATGCCGTCAAGTTTACCGAAGCCGGTCATGTTTTGATTGAAATCTCTACCGAATACGAGTCGGGTGATCAAATCTCACTCAAATTCTCGGTACAAGACACTGGTATTGGTATTCCACACGAAAATGCCAGTCAACTCTTTGTACCATTCATTCAACTTGATGGTTCTAGTTCTCGTAAGCATGGAGGCAGTGGCCTTGGTCTTTCAATCGTTAAAGAGTTGGTCGATCTCATGGGTGGTACCCTTTCCTTTGAAAGTAAAAAGGGTCAAGGTTCTACTTTTTGGTTTAGTCTAAAACTATTGATTGCTGCTCCAAATTATTTGCCATCAAGTGTTCCACCTGCAAATCAATTCTTTTATCCTGAATTTAGACAATTTAATTCTGAAATTACTAAAAAGGTAAAAAAAAAAATCAAAATCAAAAACAAAAAAGTATAAATAATATTAACCATTTATTTTGATTTCTATAGGTATTGGTAGTAGAACCAAATCAAAAATTACGTATGTCAATTCATTCAATATTGACAGCTATTAAATATGAATCAATGGAATCTCTTAGAATTGAAAATGCAATTGATATTTTCAGAATGGCAAAGAAAATGGACTCACCATTTGATATAATCATGGTGAGTGATACTTCTGGATTTATTAAATCGCTATTGGACTTGGTCACCAACGAAAAGGTGTATATATATGGACGTGATTCGAAATCTTCGTGGGCCAGTCATCCAAAAGTAACTGCTTATCTAATGAAACCATTAAGATATACTCAAGTTATTAGTACCTTGTTAAGAGACTCTTCGTATGTAGAAAAAGATAGATAAAAAAAAAAGACTCTTACTAATACCCTTTTCTTCTTTGTTTGTAGTAAAAATATTTGTAATAATGATAAAACTTCGTAAAGAATTACCAAATGGCAATTCAAACAACAACAACAACAACAACAATAATAATAATAATAATAATAATAATAATAATAATAATGATAAAACTCGAACTAACAATAATAATTCTTCAACTGGTGGCATTTTACTGTCACCATATTCATTATCGGCTTTTTCACCTCCACCTCCACCCATCCCATCACTCCCTCCAAGCTCTCCAACCCTCATCCTTCAAACTCAACCAACATCTTATCGACTCACTCCACCTTCCTCTACTCCCACCTCTCCCAATTTAGAATCTAATAATAATAATAATAATAATAACAATAACCAAAATAATAATAATAACAATAACGATACTCTAACAGCAACAACTACAACAACTACAACAACAACAACTTCAACTTCAACTTCAACCACTAGTACGACGATAAATACCCAACAAGATAATCAGGGTATGAATGACACGAATGAGATTGAAGCATCGGCCAAAAAATGTATTCTCGTTGCAGAAGACAACCTTATCAACCAAAAGATCATTGTCAGACAGCTAGATAAGCTAGGATACGACATGATTGTAGGATCAGACGGAAACAAGGTACTTGATATTCTCAACTCTGAAGATTACAATTTTTCACTCATTCTCATGGATTGTCAAATGCCAGAGATGGATGGATTCGAATGCTCTAGGATCATCCGTCAATTGGAACCAAAAGGTCAACGCATTCCAATCATTGCAATGACAGCCAATTCAACAGCTGCAGAAGACCAATCCAAGGCATCAGGTATGGACGACTACCTCCCAAAACCAGTTAAAATTGATATGCTCAGTCAAATGTTACAAAAATGGATCCCCAATGACGGTTCAGAGCAACAATTTACTTTTTTCCAACGTTAGGATAAGATTTAATAAATTTATTTATTCCCAATTAAATTAACTATATCATACTTTTAAAGTTACTTGTTTTCATCCAAAAGATATTATTACGGATCACCACCATTTCCCAACAACAACAACAACAACAACAACGGGATGTGATGATCTTCATCGGCAATGAAACGGTTATTATGTTTTGACCAGGTGTATTTCTTTCCCGACTCGGGAATGAAAATGAAAGTCTTTTAAAATATCTCTCTCTGCCAATCCATCTTTTCAATCCACCCATCTTGGCATAGATATTTTTTTAATGGTAAATTTTTTTAATTTCTCTCCTTTATATTCAAAAAATTGATTTAAACTTCGATGTGTACATAATCCAACTTTATCCAATGACTATTCTTCTTTTAAAATAAAGTGAAATAAATAGAAAATAAACCTAAAAGAGAGAGAGAAAAAGATGGTGGCGGGAAAATATAAATATAAAACATTAATTTATTGTTTTATTTTTTTGCTACTATTTATCACACGATCTTTTGGAGGTGTCATTATTAATGTCTACAACTCACTTGCAGTTTTCAGTAGTAATACTGGACAATGTAGTGGATCGTATACTCTAACACTTGCCTCAAATGTATCTGATGTATCTCAAATAACAGGAACAACAATAACTTTTATCACAAGTTCTTCTCTTGACAAATCTTTATTGAGTACTCCTGTCAAACAACTCAGAGTCGATTATTTAATGAATGGAGGCGTCACTTCAAATTCTACACTATCTCTAGTGTATGAAGATAGGACATCTAATGCATATTCAGAATCATTTAATATTTATTTCAATTGTAATCGTATGTAAACACATAAAATACCCATTTAATAAATCTTTTGATCAATTTTATTTATTTACTCTTTCTTTTTCTTCTACTACTTTAGTAACATTACCAAATATTAAATCAGTAGTTAAATTACCAACATTTACATTTAATAATCAATTGAGTAGTTATTTGTTGGAACTGGATAACACCAATAGTTCATTCTTTTATCGGTATCCAAAGATAACAGATGCCTTTAGTTGTTCCACCAATACAACGTTGATAAGATGTGTGGTAGTTGATCAAACACCGCCATACCTAAAGGTACAACTTAATCTTGTATCAACGGGTCTCAGTGCACAAGCCGATGATTACTTTCTTGCCTATAGTCAACAACTGATAGATCCTCTGATACTGTATCTAAGCTCACCAACTGGAAACTCTCAAACAAAAACGACAGCACCTGCCTTTATGACACCATCTTGGCAAGCTAATTTGAATGTTAGGAGTGCCATCTATCCATTAGGATCAGATCCCAACCCAACAACAGCCATCCTATCATCAACCGAGAACATCTTGTTTATTACAAATACATCAAGAGATACCAACCTATTATACTTTGCCGTCTATGGTCAAGAACAAGTTACCTTTAATAATAGTGGGTATATTCCAATGTATGGACCACTCTTGTCGGATGGTTCAACAATGAATTATATGCTCATTATGCCTCCACTCAATAGTTCTTGGGCATCTTATCATATGATTTTAGATGCGTATACAAATGCGGTCATTACCCCCACTCGTAACTACTCGATGGCTACTCAAGTACCACTCAATTATTTTAATCAAACTTCATCTCAACTAAACAACACTTATTGGGTATTTGGTTTCAAGACTGATACACCATGTAAAGATTCTTTTCAATTTGGTGATATGAATAGTGGATTAATGTCTTTAAAACTACCACTTCCATTTGGATTGGTCAACAAGACCGATGATTCACCCACCTATGATACATTGTTTGCCGTACCAATGCTCTACAAAAACTCTGTTGCCACTCAGATGTATTGTAGTGATTTGGGACTACCAACTCGTAACACTCAGATACCTCATCCAATTTATCCGGCTGGTAAAATTTCCAATACAAGTGTTTTGTATTTAGATAGTTTCGAGGTAGTTCCATTCTCTTTCAACTCTATGTTGCTTCGATTCAGAGTCGTATCATCCAATCAATTTATGCAAATATCTATTGGGCGTCAAAAGGATGTATTGGTCACTTACAAGGATAGAATGAATGGTACCATCTACGATGGATCCTATGAAGTTGAAATAACCTTTGGTTACCTCGACTATAAGGGAAGAAGTAACTATAGTTCCTATTTCCCATTCACCATCTATGATGTATTGTCCAATTCATTTGACTATCATCAAGGCGATCCAACTCAAAAGAATTCAATCTATATTCCACTAGAAGATACAAATAATATCTTTAGTTTGAATTCCTTTTCAAACTTTGGTTTTGCCACACCTACCATCAATCTTGATACCTTTGTAGGAAGTTCAACCAATTCAATTGGAAATAGATTAACATTTATTCTAAATCCAAAAAATGGTTCCCAAATTCATAAATCATTTGTTCCAACATTACAATTTAATCATGGTCATGGAAACATACAACAATTCCAAGGTTCATTTGATCCAGTCCTATCAAAAGCTACCATTGACTTTTCAGTACCAAGATATCTAGCTCCAGGTGTACTCTCCTATTCTCTTTTCCTTCCATATGAATTCACATTTGAAACTTTAAATAGTATATTACCAAATGCTAAACTTTTAATAATTAATACTATTACAAGTATGTAAAAAAAAACAAAAAAAGAAAAAGAAAAAAAAAAAAAGAAAATATATATTTATTTTTAATTTATTTTATAGAAATTGATCAATTACCACCATATATTAGTAGAGTATCAAGAATTATGGATGAAACACTTACATCATATACAACTCTTAGTTGGAATTTTACCATTATTGATGAGTATAATGGTTTTGATGTAGGACAAGTAATAGTACAAGGTGAAATGGATTATAAACCATTTATATTTGAATTATCTAGTGACACTTTGGTAAAAGGTGATCGTTACAATGGTACTCATCAAATTATAATTAGTATTCCCAAACCTTGTTTCCCTGGAAGTTATTCAATCATCGACATGGAACTCATCGATAGAGGAGGCTATGTTTCTAGAATGAATTCACCTCCTACCACATACGAGACAAATGATCAAAGAAAGGGTTATTATCTTGACCCATTCTATGGTTTTATTGATCTGCGTTTGGAGAATCTCACCACAAGTGATATCTTTTGTAGACAGTTCCTTGATCGTGTTGCTCCAACATTGATATCACTGTCTATAGTCGGACCACCAACCATTGATACAGGTAGCTCTGCCAGATCATTCTCTGTCAATTTACAAGTAGTCGATACTGTAATGGGAAGTGGTATATCTCTTAGAAACCTCCCAATCCTCTACGTTACCACACCTCTCTATGGTTTGGATACTATAGGTTATGAAGCACAACTTTTATCCTATAACTCTGTAACCACTATTGCCAACTATACTGTACCAATCACTCTACCATATGGTTATGGTGCAGTAGACTCTATGATACATCTATCAGTTTATGGTCTCGTAGATCAGTTGTTCAATTATCGTGGATACCCATCAACTCTTTTACCTACAAGTACTGTCAAAGTTACCCGTTCAATCATACCCATCTTTGAAAATTACTATTACACTCAGGGTGATAAAATTGTAGATATTACTATTAGAGGAAAGGCATTTGGAGATCCAAATAGTCTACCTGCCAATTGTACTATATCACATCACGACTTTGCACTTAAATACTATACTGCCCCACTTGCTCAGGGCTACACCTTTTTAGTATTTACATATGATTTATCGATTGGTTCAATGTCTATTTCTTGTACATTTGGCTCACAATCTTCCAATGCATTGGCTATCAGCTCACCCTATCCACCAAGCCCAACCAATGCTCCAACCATTGCACCAACCAATGCACCTGTCATTACTTGTCTCAATGATTGTTCGAATCGTGGAACTTGCATCAGTTACAATATCTGTAATTGCACCAAACCATACAAGGGTTCCGATTGCTCTCAAATCGACTCTGGAGGAGGTCCACCACCAGTCGACAATAATCACCCCACCACCAACTATACTAGTATTGGGTCGGTGATTGAAATTGTTGCTATTGTCGAAAAGACTGTTTTCGGTGACACATTTGCCTACCATTCTCTCGAAGGTAATACTTCTTGGGCCTACTCTAATGCCACACTACCAACAGATGTCAACACAAAGTACATTTACTCTCATGCTATCAACAACTCTTTGTCTACATTGGTCAATGTAACCATCCAATGGTTTAATGAACCCACATCATTTGAGTTTGCCGGTCAAACCATTATCATGGATCAATCGACTGCCAAGTATTCGATCTATCTTGACAAATATCCATTTGATCAAATGACCAACAGTCTTCAAGTTATTATGAGACTGACAGTCAATGGCCAACAAGATGATGGTTGTGCATCTATCCAAACAGACAATGGACAAAGTACAGACAATATAAAATGGATATCACTTCGTGTAAATGATAAGATTCTCTACACCAACTTTGCAACATTGGCAGAGGTTGACAATCGTAATATCTCTAGTATTCGTAGTTCCCTATTGACCGATAACCTTGAACCTCCCACCAATGACCAAGCCAGTACCATGGTTGCCATCAACGTTCCACAATTTAGTCAATACATCATTCTAGACCCAGATATATCTTTCTTGATTGATCCAGATGGAGGCAAAGGAGAAGGATCATTATCTAAATGTTCGCCATCAAAAGATGAAGGATTATCTACCGTTAAAATCATTGGTATTGCTGTTGGTGCAGGTGTATTTGGTCTTTCAATGGCTGCTGCAGTTTCATATGTTTTAATCAAGGTAAATAGATACAGATAAAGATTATGTCTCATAATAGATCAAAATTAACTAACATATCTATATATATTATTTTAGAAATACAAACTTTTAAAAGAAAAGAAAAACATGGATTATAAATTAAAAAATGTAAATCATAATTATGATGATTAACAGAACAGAGTTGTACATCTCACATATGTTTATTTAACACTTTATTTATTATTATTATTATTATTATTATGTTAATAAAATTACTTGCCATTGTAATAATAACTAGCATTCTTATAATCACCCACCCACCACCATTTTCACACAATTGAAAAAACAGTGGTTGATCTAAAAAATAAAACAAGTACCTACACGGTTACACACGACAGTATCTATCGTATCTACTTTCTCATAACCAACAAATAATATGATGATGGTGATTGTGCTGACATGTGAGAGGTTTTTAAAAGAAAACTAAAAAGTTTTTATTAAATGAAATCGGGGGGGATCGACCAAAATGGGTTTTTTTTAAAGAAATGAATTTTTTTGATTGTTGTTAACTGCTGACCCAACTCAAAACTAATCTTCTTCTTCATTATTATTTTATTGTATTCTTAAGTGTCACAACTTAACTTTTTTTTTGTATTTTATTTATTTAATATTGTAATATCACTTCTCACATAATAATGGCAACTAGCGACAAACAACTCTTAGACAAGGCTTGGGAAAAGACCCAAAAGAAGGTATGTGACCCTAATACAAAAAAAAAAAAAACAAAAACAACACTTTATATCTAAAGTTGAAATATTAATATATCTTTAAATCTATACTTTTCCTTTTATTCAATTCATTCATTCATTTAGACCTTCACTGCATGGGTTAATTCACATTTAAAAAAGGTTGGATCAACCATTGAAAGTATTGAAGAAGATCTTGCTGATGGTATCAAGTTGGCTCAATTGTTGGAGATTATCTCCAATGATCCAGTATTCAAGGTCAACAAGACTCCAAAGCTTAGAATTCACTACATTCAAAACATTGGTCTCTGTTTAAAGCACATTGAAGCTCATCAAGTTAAACTTGCTGGTATTGGTGCTGAAGAATTGGTTGACAAAAACTTAAAGATGACTTTGGGTATGATTTGGTAAGTCAAAGAAAAAGAAAAAAAAGAAAAAAGAGGATGATAGTTATTCTAATATTTCTATTTCTCTCTCTTTTTTTTTTTACTCTATTTAGGACAATTATTTTACGTTTTGCCATTCAAGACATTTCAATTGAAGAACTTTCAGCCAAGGAAGCTCTTTTACTTTGGTGTCAAAGAAAGACCGAAGGATACAATGGAGTCAAGATTTCCAACTTCCATACTTCATGGGTTGATGGTCTCGGTTTCTGTGCCTTGATTCACAAGCATCGTCCAGATCTCCTCAACTTTGACTCGCTCTCAAAGGAAGACAAGGCCGGTAACCTCCAATTGGCCTTTGACATTGCCGAAAGAGAATTTGACATTCCAAAGATGCTCGATGCCTCTGATTTGCTCGATGTCTCTCGTCCAGATGAAAGATCTGTCATGACCTATGTTGCTCAATACTACCATTACTTCTCTGCCTCGCGCAAGGCTGAAGCTGCTGGCAAGCAAGTCGGTAAGATCTTGGACTTGATCATGTCACTCGAACAAATGAAGTCAGACTACCTCCACCGTGCTCAAGAGCTCGTCGACTGGATCAACCAATCCGTTCAAAAGCTTGAATCACGTGAATTTGGAGACTCTGTCGAATCGGTCCAACAATTCATCCAAGAGTACAACAACTACAAGAATAGCCAAAAGCCACCAAAGGCCCAAGACCTCCTCGAACTCGAAACCATCTTTAACGGTCTCCAAACCAGACTCAAGCTCAACAAGCGTGATCCATTCAGTCCACCACAAGGTCTCCATCCAAACGACATTGATCAATTGTGGGCTGCCCTCGAAAAGGCCGAACAAGACCACTCTGAGGCTTTGAGACGGGAACTCAAGCGTCAAAAGCAAATCTCCTTCCTCTTGATCAAGTACAACCGTATCTTGAAAAAGTTGGATGCCTGGGTCTCGTCCAAGCAAGCATACCTCTCGGCCAACGAACTCGGTGACTCTATCACCGCCATCCAAGCCAAGCTCAAGAATCTCGAAGCCTTTGAAGGTGAATCGCAATCACTCCAAGCCCAATCTTCGGCCGATCTCGACTCTATCCAAAACCAACTCGAATCACTCGAGTACCGTGGTGTCCCATCGCTCGTCGAACGTCGTACCCAACTCTTCCAAGGTCCATGGGAACAAGTAAAGACCACCGCCGAACAATACAAGGCCACCCTCCTCGAGGAATTGTCCAAGCTCCAAAAGATCGAAGACATGTTGGTCGACTTTGCCAAGCGTGCCGCCCAACTCAACATTTGGATCGAGTCTGCCGAAGATCTCGTCTCTGACCCAATCCTCGCCGACTCTGTCCAAGTTGTCAACGAAATCCAAGGCAAGTTTGACTCTTTCCTCCAAGACCAATCCCAACAATACGCCGAACTCGAAGCCCTTGCCACCCTCACCGAAGAACTCAGAAACTTGGGTCGTGCTGAAAACTCATACTCTGTCATCTCTTATGAAGACATTTCCAACAAGTGGAACACCCTCCTTGCTGCCATCGAAGAACGCAAGACTGCCCTCCAACAAGAACTCGAAGCTCAAACCGAGAATGACTCTCTCTGCCAACAATACGCCCAAGCTGCCACCAAGGTCAACGACTATTGTCAACAACAAACTCAAGTCCTCTCTCAAAACAACTCTCAAGACCCAAGCGAGCAATTGGCTGTCGTCCAAGGTGTTTTGGAGTCTGCCCAACAACACAACACCATCCTCCAAGACGCCAAGACCGTCTCTCAAAAGATGGACGATCTCCAAATCACCGACAACAAGTACACCTCACTCACCATCGAATCTGTCAAGATGCGTTGGGAAAAGTTTATTGCTTTGGCCAAAAAGTCACAACAAGTCATCGAAGGTGAAATCCTCTCCAAGCAACACACTGGTGTCTCTGCCGAAGATTTGGCTGAATTCAAGACTTGTTTCTCTGTCTTTGACAAGGATAACGACAACGCTTTGAACAAGTTAGAGTTTGGCTCTGCCTTGAGAGCTTTGGGTGAAGAATTGTCCGAAGAACAACTCGCTGCCGTCATTGCCAAGATTGACTCTGACAATAATGGTCTCGTCTCGTTTGAGGAATTCGTTGATTACCTCACCTCTACTCGTAAGGGTGCCGACACTGTCGACAGCACTCGTGATGCCTTCAAGACCATGGCCGAAGGTAATGGCTTTATCACTGAGGCTCAAATCCGTTCTGCCATCACTGACCAAAAGCAAGTCGAATACCTCCTCGCCAACATTCCACAAACTGACAAGGGTTACGATTACAACCAATTCGTTGCTACTTTATATAATTAAACAAAAAAAAAAAAAGATAAGATAAATTAAAATCATCAAATCAACCAAACAAACAAATTATTGTATAGAATTAATAAAATATTAATATTAAATCAAAATTACCTTAAAAAAGACTTTAAGATAGAAAGATAGAAAGAGAGGAGAGAGTCCAAGTTTTTGGATGACATGTACAGGGGTAATTAATAAGTTGAAATAGATTTTATTTATTCAAGAATCTTTATTAATTCAAAATACATTGCTTACAACACCCTCCAATCGATGGATATGAGAGTTTGTATGGAAGGGTACATTTGGTAACGATTGGACAAACAGTAGTCTTGGGACATGGCAAACAAAAAGTACAACAGCTGTTTACTTTTTTGCCTGCTAAGAATCCTCCTGGACACTTGAATGGTGACTTTAATTCACATCCATAATCTAAACCAGATTGACATTGACGACATGATGGGCAGCATTCTTTGCCAGGGATATTTACTAGTATTATTAAAAGATTGAAAGAAAAGATTCAAAATAAATATACTATTTATTTTGATTCTAATTATGGATCCTATAGGTCTCCATTTTGACTTACACAATCCAAAGTTGGTTGGACAAGTTGGCACTGATGGACATTCAATTTCAGTACAGTTTCTACAGCTGTTGCAACATTGGTCTGGGGTAGAGTAAATTCCTTGATCTAGATTACAAGTTAGATTACCACATGTTACATTGGCACAATCTAATTCTTCTTCATGTCCATAGACGGCATTGTTGAAATGAGAAAATGAAAAGATTACAATGATTGATAGTAGAATAATAATTGATTTCATTTTAATGAATGATGGGGTAATATATAATTATAATTATAATGAATGTAATTCAATGGTTCCAAAGCGTCAATTTATATATTCTTTTAATAATTCAGAATTAAAAAACATCGGTCAATTGATGTACATCGAGGAGGGGTTTTGATGATGATTTCAGGGAATATAAACCATTCATTGTAGTGTGGTGGGTGGTGTTGGATCGAGTTTAAATTTAGAGAGATTTATTGAAACAAACATTGGTTGTTTGTTTATAGAAGGGGTTTTATTTCTCCTTCATCTACCACAGATCTTCTCTTAGTTTTTTTGGATAGGAACACAGGTTTGACAACATTTATTGGTTACGTGACCCATCTCATATCCTATTATAATATAACGTTTAATTGAATTTGATTAGATTAGTATTCTTTAAATTTAAATAAATACTTTTTAGCTTGTTCGACTTTTCATATGTAATTTAATTATTTACCTTCTTTGCATTTCATCAATGGGCATTCTTCTTTAGGGCACTCTATACAGCTAATACAACAATCATTTGTCTTTCTACCTGGAGTTTGGCCAACTGGACATACGATGGCAATTCTTGGACAGGGATTCAACTTTTTTTGATTACATGGAACACAATCAGGGCAGCACTTTCCTTCTGGACGACCTATATATAGTTGAAATAAATAAATAAATAAGAAAGTCATATTTTAAGAGTCGACATTTATATATAACATACCCCAGAATTGATCAGCTGGACAATGTTTAACGTACAATGGACACATAGTTTCAGAACAATTTCTACAGCTGTTGCAACATTCTCCAGGTTTTACGTAGGTTTCATGGTTAGCTGGACAGATAACTTGAGCACATCTTACAGTACTACAATCAATATTTGTTTCATCACCATTTCCTTTTACCAAATATAAGCAACAGAGAAGTGCTACCAATGTGACTAAAAATGTTGACATTTTCATTTTGTTGTTGACAATTAATTATTAAATGAATATATATTGTTGTATTGTATTTTGTTTACCTATTTATAATTTTTGGTTCAATTTTGATTGAATGATTATTATTACTATTATTTATTTATTCAAACTTTTTTAAACCATCAGTATGCATCTGAGATCACAATCTTTTATATTAAAATATACACATACTTTGTGATAGTTTGTGTGGTTATGACATTAACACTTGCGGACATGATTCGTCCATTTACCTACCTTCTTACTTTTGAAATTTCAATGGAGGGTGTGAAGTTGTATTAATGGGTGTCTGAAATAAATAATTTGTTTTACACATAAAAAACAAAGGTATATTAAATTTTATTATATTTCTGGGGTGATCTTTCTCTTTTATCTATACCCTCGTCTTTAAAATACAACCACCATCAATATTTACCAACAACTAGGGTACTAGATTAGAGTATGATTTTGTATAAATCGCTATCTATTTGATGCTATTAAAAATAATAAATGGAATTTGGTTTTAGTAAATTAAATATCCAACCCCCCCAATTCTTACATTACAACAAACGAACAGACAAAAAAACCTTGTCGTTTGGATAGGCAGAAAAGACGAATGAGCTCAAAACCAGAGAAAGAACCCTTGAAGATGAAGTGCTCATTCTTTTTTTTTTTTGATCATTGGCAAAGAGCATTTTTATTGTCTATGGAAGTCATTGTAGTGTAGTGTGGATCGAGAGTAATTTTTAATATATATAGAGAGAAATTTATTAAAACAAACAATTGGTTTGTTTATAGATGGATGGGGTTTAATTTAAATTGACAATCCATTCTTTAGTTCTTTTTGACACAGGTTGGACAGCATTTGTTGGTAACGTGACCCATCTCATATCCTAATATATTGTTAATTGAATTTGATTAGATTAGTATTCTTTAATAAATGAATATAAATATTTAATTATTTACCTTCTTTGCATTTCATCAATGGACATTCTTGTTTGGGACATTCTACACAACTAGTACAACACTCATTTGTCTTTCTACCTGGAGTTTGACCGACTGGACATACGATGGCAATTCTTGAACAGGAATTAAACTTTTTTTGATTGCATGGAATACAATCTGGGCAGCACTTACCCTGAGGACGACCTAAATAGTGGAAATAAATTGGTAAATGATAAAAGTAATTAATAAATATAGGTTTAAATGTGTTGAACATTTATATCTTTTACATACCCCAGAATTGACCATCTGGACAATGCTTAATGGCTAGTGTACAGAAGGTTTCAGAACAATTTCTACAGCTGTTGCAACATTGACCAGGTTTTACGTAGGTTTCATGGTTATCTGGACAGATAACTTGAGCACATCTTACAGTACTACAATCAATATTTGTTTCATCACCATTTCCTTTTACCAAATAGAAGCAACAGAGTAGTGCTACCAATGTGACTAAAAATGATGTTGACAATTTCATTTTGTTCAAGGGAGAAGAATATAAATATGGAGGGAGAAAAAAATAACTATAATAAAATTTATTGTTTACACAATCGACTATTTATAATTTTTGGTTCTACTCAATTTATTTATTACCATTATTTATTTATTCAAATTTTTTTAAACCATCCGTATGAATGCATCTGAGATCAATCTTTTATATTAAAATAAACACATTCTTTTTGTGGTTATGACATTAACACTTACGGACGTGATACATCCATTTACCTACCTTCTTACTATTGAAATTTCAATGGATGGGTTGGTTGGTTGGGTGGCGAGGAAGGAGGGTGAAGTTGGTTGTAGATCTATGGTGGTGGTCTGAAACACATAATTTGTTTCACACATAAAAACAACGTATATTATATTTGGGGGGTTATCTTTCTCTTTTAATTTTATCTATATTCGCTCGTCTTTAAAATACAACTACCATCAATATTCACCAACAACTAGGTACTAGGAGAGTATGATTTCGTATCACTCTCTTTGATACTATTATAAATATTTAATCTATATTAGGTATTTAGTTTGTTAAATATCTAACCCCATCCAATACTATATGTACAAGTCGGCGAAATTTGCCATGACATATGGAATAATAATTTTCATACAATACAAACAAAAAAATCATGTCTTTTCTGAATAGGCTCACCCTTCACTTTGGAAGATATTTTTAGATTTGTTTTGGATTGAGCCCTTCATCGACAAAAATGGCTCGTTTTTTTTTTGAAGTTATTTTTTACACAAATCGTTACAACCTTTTCTTCAAGACATTCATCACCTTTTATCATTAAAATAATCAAAAAGAGATGTACAGATATAGTAGTAGTAACAGTAGATTATTGTTATTATTATTGTCTATAATAGTCATTAATATAGTTGTTGCAGATATTGATGTACAATGGACAACTAGTAGTGGTGGCAATGGTCATTATTACAAATCTATTACAGTATCGTCAACTCTCATTTCACAATCATCTGCTGCATCTATATGCTCATCTGATACCACTTCACATCCAGGTTTAAAAGGATACCTAGCAACGTTTACTTCACCACAAGAATGGGATTTTGTCGTCTCTCAACAAGTTGTAAAATCAAACCTAGCTGGTGCTTCTTTTTGGGTATCTGGTGTTCAATCATCACCAGGTCAATGGTACTATGGTGATGGTCCAGAGAAAAATCAACGAATGTATAATCTATTTACTGATCAATGTTTTGGTATGTTTAGATAGGATAGATAGATACTATTACTTTTTATTAATTCCCCATACATTATAATTTAGGGTATTGTGCATTTCAAAATTTAGAACCTGGATTAAAGGCCAATGAGAATTATATTTATACATCATTTGATAATGATGGTCATGTATGGTGGAATAATGATGTTAATAGTGGTTATGGTTACAATTATGTTTGTGAATATGGTGGAATGGAACTTCCATTTGTTTCTCAGGCACCCGTTACTGGTGGTCAAGTTGTTATTAGTAATTTGGCTGGATTAAATATACCAGCTCTATCGGTTTCATTTGTACATAAAACTACATCTCATATCAATGTTTGTACTTTTGTATCAGCAACCTCTGGTGTTTATATTTGTTCTGTTCCTCCAATGACTGGAGAATTTACTGTATCGTATGTATCGTATATCGTAAGTGGCGACTATAAAAAAGAAAGGGTTGTTTTTTGTTGGATGATATACTAACAATTACTTTTTTATTTTTTTAGTTTATCTGATGGATCTACTGTAAAGGCCACATCTTATAGACCACATTCTCCATTTATATCGGGTGTATACCCATCTCGTAATCAATATGGTCATGTAACAATACTTGGTGGTAATTTTGGTGTAGTTGAAAATTTAATACAGGTCTTTGTTTCAAATGCTAGCGTTCCATGTGGCATTATAGCTTTGTTAAATACTATTCAAGGTGATACTCTTGCATTTACATGCTCTCTAACTCAAGCAATTCCATTGGGATTATCATTCCTTCCCATTAAAGTCATTGTTGATGGTATATCTACTACAAGTTACAAGACTCCAATTTGTATGTTAAACAAAAAAGAAAAAGAACCCATTTAAATAATGTATTTCTCTTTCTCTCTCTAACCATTTTAATTTTAATTTATTTAGTTTGTATTGATAGATTTTATAGTTCATCATTTTTTGATGCAGATTTTCAAACAAGTAAAAATGCAATAGAAAATAATTATCTGTTGGGATCACAAAAAGGATTTGTTGCAACTGTAGATTCACAAGCACTACAACAATGTCTTCTCAATTCCCTCGTACAACTCTACAAAAATGTACAATGGGGTGTTTGGCAAGGTGTATTATTCGCTGGTGATGATGATTTACCTATTTTTACTTATAGTTCTGGACCAAATATTAATACAAATATGACATTTCCATCTACAACAACGATTGAAACAGCTGCAATGACAATGGCATCACCTGCAGCAATTAACCTAAGTACATATACTGTTTATTTTACATCACCAACAGCTGCTGGTTTGATAGCATTTGGAGGAAAACCAAAATGGAAGGCTCCATTTTCCAATATTGTACCAACATCTGGATCAGATCTTACACTTTGGGTAGATGATATTGGAAATCTTTATACTCGTGATAAAATGTTTGTCCAAATGGTTACTGACTCGGGAACCATTAATATTGTCATCAAAGATATTTCCTATGTTGTAGGTCAAGTTTTCCATTCAATCGTTGTTCAAATTCCAGCTGGATACAATGCAAACCACGCAATTTCCTATTCCATCGATGGAAGAAGCACTAGTAATGATATGGTTATCAGTTATCAAGCTCCTGTAATCCAAACGATCGTCCCTCTTAATCCACCAACCTCGGGTGGTCGAGTAACTTTTATCGGGAATGGATTTCACACCAATGCTAGTATAGTAAATGTTTATTTGAATGGTGCCTACATTTCATGTTTGGTCGGAAGTTTTACTAGCATTTCTTGCAACATTCCTCAAGGTGTCGGTGCATTGGTGGGAAGTATTACAGTTGGCTCTCAGTCAACATCATTCCCAACCACCTTTTCTTACCAATCACCAGTTGTCCAAAAAGTTTCACTCATTGACAATCAAGTTGTTATTGAAGGTATAAACTTTGGGTTTGATTCGGCACCAATCCATATTCAACTTGGTGTCTTTACTTGTACCAATGTTGTTTTGGTTACAGCAAATACACTTGTCAAGTGTATCCTACCATCAAATTTTGCACCAATTGGATCAGTAGCCGTTATTGTAAATGCTGGTGGCGTTGCATCAAATTCAAATGTCAATGTTGATCTTGTCCCTCAAATTGTTTCAATTGACAAGAAACCATCGACTATTGGTGATAATATTACTATAGTTTCAAATTTGGTTGGTTCAACCCCTTCAGTTTATCAAGCCGATGGTTCTGGTACTATGATCCTCCTCATATGTAGTCTTGTTTCAAATTCATTTAGTTGTCAAGTTGGATCAGGATTTGATTATTTCCAAATAATAGTTAAATCAAATGGTTATAGTAGTATTCCTTTTATTACAAGTTATCAAGGTAAATATTTATGATATTTATTTATTTAATTTAAATTAATTTTTTTTTTTTTTTTTATAGAACCAATTATTAAATCATCAACATCAATTTCAAAGGGACAAGCAGGAAAGATTACTATTACTGGTAATTCATTTGGTTCAAATATTGTAAAGGTATCAGTTTTGGTACAAAATACAACATGCACGACACCAAGTTTTATTGACTTTTCTGGTGAGATTGGTAATCAATATTTGGAATGTCTTTTTGATGGATTGGTAGATGATAGTCAAATTAAAGGAAAATCGTTAAATGTGACAGTACAAGTTTCACAACTTGTAGGTACCAATCAAGTGTTTATTTATAATCCATCCGTACAGATACAATGTCCAAATAATTGCTCTGGTCACGGTATATGCAACTACAACTTTGGAGATTGCAGTTGTGAAGTTGGTTATGAATCAAATATCGATTGTTCAACAAAATCTTCTTCAAACTCAACCTCTTCCAATACTGTTGTAAACGAAAAGGGTGAAACCAAATTATCCTTTGATTTACCAAAGGCAGTAAATTTTACTACTAGCATCAAATTTATTAGAGAAGTAGACATTGATGATCAAAACGTCAAAACAATTGTAATGAACACTGTACAGTGGACCGTCGATAACAACTCATCAACTTATTATGGGTCGTTACCAAATGATACTGTACAATTTCAAGTACAAGTTTTAACCTACGTCAATGCCACTTCTATTACTTTTGCAGGTCAACCTTTACAAATTGCCTCCAATTCAATCAAATATAATTTTAAAATTAGTGTAAGTAAAATAAGTAACTAATTTGTTAAACAACATACGTATATAATTAAATATTAATTTTATTTCTCTATTTAGAATTATAGTTGGGTAACAGCTCTAAGTTCATTACAAGTTGTATTTTTAACAGAGACTGATTCACTCCAGAGCGGTGATTGTGGAGAATCAACGACATCTATTGAACAAAGCCAACAAGGAGACTCTGTCTATTGGACCAAGGTGCAAGTTGGACAATCGCTTCTCAACAGTAAATTTGCATCAAGAATGATATTAGATGGTCGTATTGTCCAAACAAAGGTGACAATATTGGAAAAAACAGATTCACTTCAACAATTGGCAGACTCTGATAACCCAGATGGACTCAATCTTCTCACTGCCATCAACTTGTTTTATTTTGGTCAGAATGCCGAACTTGATCCTTCATTCTCGGCACTCTTGGTTGGAGAAGGTGCAGACAGTGGAAATTGTGAAAGCGAGAAATTCGCCACTTGGAAGATCATCACTATAGTCGTTGTTGGTGGCGTTGCCCTTATTGCTGTTGGGGCGACAATGTTCTTGCTCAAAAAGAAAAACGTCAGACTTTATTTTTCAACAAGAGTTAATAGCGTAAAAATGACTAGACGCTAAGCAAATAGGACATTTCAACTAAAAATAATTAAATAAATAATTAAAATCTTAATTTTATGTTGATCGTAAAATAGTCTTGGATGTGTAAAGTTAGAAAACAATGTATTGATACATGCATTTTGCATCTAGGTTGTTTCGACAAATAAAAATATAACAACAGTCCACCAATCAATATAGAACAATCTATCTTTATTTTAAACGTAATAGTATCGGTCCTCCTCAACTAAAATTCAGTCTACCTCCGCCGAATAATAATAAATCTCTATCAATCAATTTATTTTTTCAAAGTTCATTTGAATTATTTGGTTTGTGACCATCTTGACAAACCATCTATAAGGAAATATGTATACAATGGATTATAAGGAACAGTATCGTATTGAACGTGATCCATAGGTACTGCAAATACATCGTTGGCATAAACAGCTTCCAAAAGATAACGCCAATCTGAAGTTTGAGGGTCTCTCCAACGGAATCCATATATAATGGCGGTTTGGAAAATCGCAAAAGTTCCGGCACTTGGAAGATCAATTGTTTTCTTGATTTCAAACGTTGGAGGGATCAAATCATAATCATAATCGAAATTATTCTTTACCTCGTATACATCTTCACAGCTTTTCATAAAAAATGATTAAATAAATTAAATAAATGATTAAATTTTAAAATTGGTGGATACATACGCTTTCAAGAATTCGTCTTTTTCTAGATGATGAGAACATGATCCTTTAAAACATTTAACTTCAACTGTCTTTGGTGATGCTGCAATTTGTGTACCCAAGTAAACATTAAAAACTGCAATTGGTTTAACATTGAATTTGGTTCCAAATTGCACGACTTCAACCCTTTCGATATCAAAATCCTAAAAATTAATGGGGTCAAGTCATTACAAGTCGTCGACTAATGCATGGTTGAAATAAGCTTACATACGAGCATTACCATCTGATCAATGGGGTTATTGTATTTAAGATGTTGGTCAGCCCCAAGCTGAGATGACACCATTTGACTATTCTTTATATCAAATGGTTCATTGACCGACGCATGATCATCTCCCATTTTTGTGAAAACAATTTCGTTCTGTTGTTGTAGGTTTTTTTTGTCCATTTGTTGAGTTGATAATTAATGAAATAATGAAATAATTGAATAGATGCATTGGTTGTGATTCATGTTCTTCTTCTTGACGAGAGCATGCATGTATGCATGTTCAATACACATAATTATTTTTCAATATTTAATTAAATTAAAGACACAGTTGGAACCCCTCCCTCTGCAAAATTTAATACAACTTTTTAGTGAGACCGAAAATGGAGAGGTATAGCCCTTACCTTTTATAAGCACTTGTGTACGAGTAGTACTCAATAGATAATGCAAAAAGAAGAAGATTATATCAACAAGATACCAACTATAATATTATTCAATATTGTCAACAGTTGATTAATAGTTGCAATAAAAAACAAATAACGATAATAGATAATTGATAATTGATAATGATTTACTAAACATGGCTAGGTTATAATCTTATTCTTGTGAGTGGTTTGGTGGTATGGGAACGAATATGATCTTCAAGGAGTTGAATAATTTCAAAATGATCACGACATTTCGTTTCTTTGATGACTCGCTTAATTGACTCTATTCCAATTCTATCTTTAAATTGTTCAAGAATAAACTTGGCAACATCATAGTGTCCATTCTCCGATGCAGCTGTAAATAGATGCAACGCATCAAATTTGCACCAACCAACATTGACTAGAAAAGTAACCACTTTTAGATGTCCAAATTGACAAGCATAGTGAATTGCACTACTTGTGCCTCCTTCACTTCTATTAAAATGTAAAAACTAATAATAAATAAATAGAATGGAATGTTAGATTATAGATAGTTTATATAAATTTTGAAATATTAATCAATACATACTTGGACAATTTCAAGGAAATTATTTCTAGCAGCCCAATCCATAGCATCTGTAGTTGCACCTTCACTACTATGCTCATGAAGATATTTTATAACTTCATAGTAGCCACCTGCAGCTGCCCAATCCATAGCATCTGTAGATGCACCTTCACTACGATGCTCATAAAGGTACTTTACTACATCCAAGTGATTATTTTTAGAGGCATAATCGACAGCATCAGTAGTTTCACCTTCACTACGGTTCTCTTGAAGGAACTTGACCACCTCCAAGTGATTATTTTTAGCTGCCCAATCCATAGCATTGGTTGTTGCACCTGTACTTTGGTTGAAATGAATATACTTTACAATTTCAATGTGACCATTCATTGATGCTAAATCAAGAACTCTGGTAGATACACAATCACTGTGGTGCTGATAAAGGTACTTTACGACATCCAAGTGACCATTTTGAGCTGCCCAATCCAAAGCATCAGTTGTGCATCCTTCAGTTCTATGTTCATCAAGGAACTTTACAATTTCAATGTGGCCGTTTTCAGCAGCTCCATTGATTGCTTTCTTTGTTGCACCTTCACTACGGTGTTCTTGAAGGTACTTTACGACATCAAAGTGTCCATTTTTAGCTGCCAAATCCATAGCATTGATTGTTGCACCCTCACTTCTATGCTCATCGAGGTACTTTACGACATCAAAGTGTCCATTTTGAGCTGCCCAATCCATAGCTTGTTCTGAGCATCCTTCTTGACGATTTTCATGTAAGAACTATTGAAATAAATAGTAGTAGTAGGTTAATATTTATGCAAGTAGCTGAAACACCTCGGTATGTACATACTTGAACCATCTCTAAATAACCATTCTTTGCAGCATTATTCATAGCATGTTTTGTACAACCTTCAGTTCTATTAATATGAAGAAACTATTGTTGTGCAATGTTAATAAATTATTGAAAATTTAACATGTACTATATTTATACTCGATCGACCAACTCACCTTTACTATATCCAAATTACCATTCTTTGCTGCGTCATCCTACAATGATTGATTAAAAAAAGATTATTAATCAAGATTATTTACTTTTTTTATGCTATGATTATTATTAATTAATTTCATACCATAGCATAAGTAGTACATCCTTGTGATCTATTTTCATGTAAATATTGAATAACGTTAATATGAGCCAAATCCATTATTATTTCATGTATTTGTGCATCTTTAATAGAATGTATCAACTTTACAATAGAGAGATACCCATTTTTGCAAGAAGTACGCATTGCCTTTACTAGAAAGGAATTACTTTCACCACGATATCTCTTTATGACATAATCTAATATCTCTTGATTGTTTATATTATGCCAACTTGTTCCAAAGTATTGCCAATCAAAGTCTATACCAGGTGACCATTTCAATAGTTGTAAGAGTGTATCCAATGTTGCATTTGGATGATAACAGTATTGAGTAATTACTCTTTTTCTTCTTTGCAATAGTATTTGGGTAGTGTCTTTAGGTAGATAATGACAAACATAGTGCCAAGGCATTCCATAGGTTGATATCATTTCAAGTCGAGGCAACTCAATGATATCTCTTCCGACTAATGATATTTGTCTACCATCATGCCAACTACCTTTAAACAATTGTTTTGATATATCACCGATATAATTGAATATCAAATGTCTAATGTATTGTACTTTGAATATAGTTTGAAATGTAGTAGTCATTATTATTATTATTACTAATTAAACAAAAAGAAGAAAAATAAATAATAGTCTTTTGAAAGACAATCTTTAGACAAGACACAATCTTTTTTTTTTATTGTTTTATTAATTTATTAATTTTAATTTATTTGTCGATAGAATCAAGAAAGTTGAAAGCATCTTGTAGTAGTATTTGTTGTTGTTGTTTTTGTTGTTGTTGTTGTTGTTGTTGTTCATCAGTACTCATAGTGTATGATACAATATTATTCTTGATTGTTTGAATAACAGTTTTATGATCTTGTGTTGCAAAACAAGTTGTTAGCAAGTATTGAAAACATTCTAATTGATTGTATTGTAGTGAATAGAAAAGTAGCATCTCTGTGGCAGTTTGTGATATTATTGGTTGGTATTGATTATGTATAAACTGGACGAGTTTGAGATTAGATGAATATATTGCACTTTGCAATACATTGGTGATATCATCGTCATCTATCATATGATTGGATGGGTTGTACAATTTGTTTTGGAGAATGAATGCACAACACTTACTTGCACCATGACGACAAGCATGATCCAATAAATTAGATGGATTTTGAAACCCTGGTAATTGGTGTTGATGGAAATAGTAAAATACATCAACTTGGTCACCAATACATGCTTCTAAAAGATACAATGTAAAAAATGATTCATCCAACTTGTCTTTTGTTGAATTTAGAATAAAAGGGAGTATTCCTCGACTTGATACTTTGCATCCAGATGATTTCATTCGAATTGGGTAATGATGTATAACCTGTCCAATATTCACACCAAAATACTCTAATATGTATTGTAACAACTCTACATTGTCTGTTGCAAATACACCATGAATAAGTTGTTCAAATAACCTGCTCTCTAAAAAGTCTAGAGTAGGAGGAGAGTTGGTTTTTTGAAAGGATGTGGATGGCACATTCTCCAACAAAAACTTTACCATTTCAAGACACGACAATGATGGGTTTTCATTGACTGTATCAATGACCATATACTCATTGGATAGTTGAACAGTCATTTGAGTTGGGTTGTCAAATAGGTAGTGAGCGGTATCGAGGTATCCACGCTTTGTAGCAGTCTCCCATGACAATACTGTATACTTGCTACCTTTTTGGTGTAGATACTTGATTAACTCTAGATTTGGTTTGTTGTTGTTGTTACGATGATTGGATAAAATGACATCGTCGATAAATTTGGTGTGACCGTCTTTCCACTTTGTATACTTTGAGTAGAGATGGTGTTCTAGTCTGGATGGTAACATTACACTTGCAATATCAATACCAACTGTCTCGTGCAAGTATTTGACAATCTCAAGACTCCCTGTCTCGATGGCACATAGTAACGTCTTGAATGAGATCCAGTCAGCTTTGACACATTCAGTGTCTGTGAAACTGTTGAATAACAACTCGACCATTTCTAGTGACCCCGATTGAATTGCATTCTCCATGCAATCAGACATATAGTGTTTGGTGTCTTGGTGCAGTACTGAGAGTCGAGTGTCTCTATGGTTGAGTAAAAGTGTTGCACATTCAACCGACCTTGATCGTGTGACATTGATCAATGCATACTTTGTAAATGACGATGACGATCCTTCTAACAAATGTTGGAGGATATGCAAATGTCCATTTAAAGCAGCCAGTTGAAACCCACGTTTATTCTCGAGTGTCGGGTACTTCTTCTCGAGATATGTCAATACGTCGAGTTGTCCATACTCACACGCCATTTCAATAGTCTTGCGTGATGGTTCTGAGTAACTTTTGATGACATTGATTGCATATACCAAACATTCGATTCTACCACTTGCAGCGATATTGTCGACCACCCAACTCTTTGATTCTAAGCAGTCACCCAGTGTACGATGATATTGAGTGTTGGTGGCACTAGGATCGTAATACCTCGGTGGATTGAGACCAATCAACTTGATTGTAAAGTAGTGTGGTACACGTGCATGTATAGACCTTAACATTGCAACATCACGACAGTTTCGTAATATCACAGGTAATGATCTAAAGTAGATGATAAAGTTTGGATTATCATCATACACTCTTTTAAAGACATTGTTGAATGATTGTTGTTGTCTTGCAACTATAGTCTTTTGATCATTATCATCATCTCTATGTTGTCTCGTATTGCATAATAAATATGATATATCTTTAAATGTTGATATCTCTGATTCTATGATTGATATGAATAATAGTATATGATTAAACAACCATTTTGATCGTATTACTTTAAAAAATAATATCTCTTCTTCTTCTTTCATAGGGATGGATAATAATAATAGAAAAATGCTTCAATCAAAGTTTTTGTAGCAACGATCTTGTTCAAAATCAATTAATAATTAATTAAATTTATTTTTTAAATTATTTCCTATCTTTTTTAATAAATCCTCGATGCCTGATATTAATATACTCCTTTCTGGTATCATTGTTTGGAATGCAAAGATATGTTCCACACTCTGAAAATGTCAATACACCTGTATAATACATCATTGATATCTACGAACCAGTCCATTGTCACCACCATCAAACTTTACCATGTTGCAAGTAAGAACTTCATTTATAATATCTCTGCCAAGTGAGTGGTTGGCAAATAATGCAATTTGTGTTGTTGGTAGAGTGTTGGGGTCTTTTATCGATTTGATTAATCCAACAGGGTCCTATATATTGATAAATAATAAAGATAAATGATTAGATTAGATGTCACCAAAGAGTACTGTGAATTTAAATTTAAATTACCTTTTTGGCTTTGGTAGGATCTTATTAAATTTGCAACCATTGTAGGGTTAAATACAATAGTATTTAGGGTGTCAGAGAATAATCTATAATTTAGACAGGTTTCTGACTTTAAAGTAATTGAGTACATCGGTTTTCTTTGCCTTTGACAAATGTGGGATTAGGTCAAGACCACGTAGTACATCACATTCTTGATAACCATAGAGATTGGAAAATGCACTATCAAATGTCAAGTCGTGTACATTGGTATATAGATTTGACAATGCAAGAGGTGTGACATCAGTGATAAATGCTCTAGTGTGGTTGTTTGATCGTTCACATGCTAAATGGAGACGACCAAAGAATTCATTTAAAACATTCTCCATACCACTAATTACCTTTGTTGATTCTGTTGATATGGTTTGGACAAGACTTGAAGCATTTGTAATAGTATAGTTTATACTAGTAGAACTATAACTGTCAATGAGAATGTATAAAGGTATACCCAATGATTGAGATGATTCAACGATAGCATCCAAAGAGTCTAAACAACAACAACAATCAGATTCTTTCATTGTATTTAGTGTTCCTTTTAATTGTAGATTGTATTTTTTAATAAACCATCTTATTTCTTCATTCACTCTACTATTAAATGATTTTTGGAAAGGTTAGTGGATTTGTGATATCATATCTTTATATATATATATATATTTACCTCTACTGAATTAGTAGACAGACCAGAAAATTCAAGGTCAAGTACCATGAATTTGTTAAAGAGAGAGAGAGAGAGAGAGAGAGAGAGAGAGAGAGAGAGAGAGAGAGGAGATTAGTAACAAATAACTAGATTTATATTTATATTAAAGTAACTACAAGCACTCTTACCTTTTTCATAAGCATTAGCTGTGCATTTCTTGAGAGTAGAGTATATGCGAACCAAGTGGTTATTTAAAGAAGAAGAAGAATAATAAAGTTTATCATGATTGTAAAGAGAAAGATGATGAGGAGGAGGAAGGATAATATTTGTTGGTATGTGGAAAACAAAATAAGTTATTAGCTCTCGTTGTCAAAGCCAAAAGTGGGGAGAGTGAACCAATTTTCGAAATCATTAATTAATTAATATTAATTCTTTCTCAATGATTGAACGTTAGACAGATAGAAAGATAGAAAGATAGATAGTTGAGTTATCTTGGTACATTAATTAACGCCATTAAACTGTCGATATATTAATTCTGGTTGTAGTTAACCGTTTATCATTTATCAAATCAGATGATCTTCCAATATATTAGTATTAGTAACAGTTTAATTTTAGTTGTATATTAATACTAGATTACCAGCTATGTCCAATGAAAATTACACAATACTAGAGTAGAGTACAGGAATAATGAACTATCATCGTAAAAGGTGAATGAAAGATACTTGGAAGGGTGGGTAGAGAGAGAGCGGTGTGATATGATATTAATCGAGGTTATATTATTTATAGTTACTATCGATTATTCGTTTTATTAATAGATAGATACTTTGTAAGAGATAGTAATTAATTATCTTGGGAAAGTTGTAAGCCCAAACCCAAGGATATTTTCAGTGTTACGTGAAATTGAATAAACCAGGGGCGCCATCGACATCTTTGCACACCGCCTGTTCAAATTTACCACCCCTCCACTTCGTATTCAGGTGTAAAGTAATAAGAATCCTCTCATCAAAATATCTAGATCGAGGTGGTGCGAAAAATGTATAACCGAAAAAACGCCTCGAGTCCCTTCAATTATCATTTAAATAGTATCCCTACACTTTTCACAGCCTACCCGAAAATCATTTATAAATCAAGCGCTTGTTTCAAATTCATTTTCTTTAAAAGATATATATTAGATATAGATATAGATATAGATAGAGAGATAAACAACAACAATGATGTTTATGAAATATTTAATTGCCATCGTATTGATGGTAAGTGCTGTTAATGCTTGGACTATTCAAGATATGTACCAAGCTATGTTTAATGGAACTGGTGCTGGTGGTTTACGTATGTCATCAATGTCATCAATAGCAATGTCAATGTTTATTTATATCCAACTCTTTCATTCATCTTTGAAAATTTATAAATAGAACCATTTGCAACATGTAAGAGTGCTGCTACAACTGCTCAACACTATGCTGTAAGTTTTTATGAACCTTTTATTTATTTATTTAAATAATCAATTAATTAATTAATCAATTATTTAATTTATAGTCATGTGGATGCCCATACGTTTGGGGTGGTACAAGTTGTGGATGTGGTGGTAGTGGTGGTATGGATTGTTCGGGTCTAGTTTACACATCGTTTAGAACTGCTGGTTGGGATGGTATTACTCGTACTACAACTACCCAAGTTAACCAAGGAAACCAATGTGGTGGATCTGCTACCACTTCATCATCTACTACTGGAAAGACTACCGGTCCATCTTCAACTGGTAAGACCTCTGGTCCATCATCTACTACTGGTAAGACTTCTGGTCCATCTTCAACTGGAAAGACTTCTGGTCCATCCTCAACTGGAAAGACTTCCGGTCCATCTTCGACTGGTAAGACCTCTGGTCCATCATCTACTGGTAAAACATCTGGTCCATCATCATCTACAGGTAAGCCAATCACTTAAACCTCTAACCAAACCAAACCAACCATTATATTTATTTATTTATTTATCAAAATCATCCGACTGACACTTTTTTTTTTTTTAAATTTATAGGATCATCTTCACACCCAATTACCTCTGGATCATCATCATCCAACCCATCTGGATCATCATCATCCAATCCATCTGGATCATCTTCACACCCAATTACCTCTGGTGCATCTTCATCTAACCCATCTGGAGCATCTTCATCCAACCCATCTGGATCAACCTCTTCCAACCCATCTGGAACCTCATCATCCAACCCAATTACTGGTACTTCATCCAACCCATCTGGCTCGACCTCATCTAACCCATCTGGTACTTCATCCAACCCATCAGGTTCAACCTCTTCCAACCCATCTGGAACCTCCTCAACTGCAACATCATCAAATCCATCTGGATCATCATCATCCAACCCATCTGGATCAACCTCATCGTCAGCATCATCCGCCACCTCATCCAACCCATCTGGATCATCTGCCGCCACCTCTGCCACTGGATCATCAGGTGCATCTGCTTCATCTGCTTCATCCACCTCTGGTTCATCGGGTTCATCTGCTGCCTCCTCATCTGCTTCCTCTGGTTCATCAGCCTCATCAGCTTCATCTGGTTCATCTGCTTCATCTGGTTCATCAGCCTCATCTGCCTCTGCTGGAACTGGATCCGCTGCTTCCTCTGGATCAGCTGTTTCCTCTGGGTCCGCTGCTTCCTCTGGTTGTTGGAGTGGTACTACTTGCCCATCGACCACTGCCGAATTAATTGAATATGACAACGTTGAAGAAGAAGTTGCATCCGAAATTGAAGCTGGTGCATGCACACCAGGTAATTTGGGTGGCTGCCAAATTGGAGATTGTAAGTTACAGCATTCAGCTACTTGGTTATTGCCGATGTACATCACGACGTGATCTAAAAAAAATAATAATTCTAACCAAACAATTATCTCTTTCTCCAATATTATTTAACTAGTATTCTTTTATTGTTTCTCTCAGCCATGCCCTGATCACGTCGTGATGTACATAGGCAATAACCAAGTAGCTGAATGTCCACACACTGGTGAAGGTAATTAATTAATTAGATAACCAAAAAAAAAAAAAGAGATAGATAGTATTTGTATTAATATTTTTATTTTTTTGAAAATATTTTCTAGACTGTCATGTTATTACTCCATACACTGAAAGCTTCTACACTTGTCGTAGATTATGTGATTCCTCTTAAAAATCATATCAAATATTCATAAATTAAATACAATATTGTACTAAACCAAAGCTTTTTACTTTTTTTAAATAATTAATTATCTCTTTTTTTTTTTTTTAATAATGGTTTTGGAATATTTATATTACTCCAGTTATTTATATTTAATACCATTGATTTTTTAAAATATCAAATACTTCAACTAGATAATCATCACTAATACAATATAATAGATTAGATGAAAGGATGACGGAATGGAGTATCCGTAGGTTCTTTGGTTCTGGTAGACTCTCCCAACTATTATCTTCGATCGAGTAACTAAAGAATTTGCTTTCTCTCTGCACTCCAAAAAATGATTGACATTGATTTAAAAAGTAGATATTGTCAAGAGTGTGAGCAAGGATTCGAAGTGATCTGGTTGGAGAACGACTAGGACTATTCATATTGATGATTGGATTTTGGTTGATTGAATCGATTTGACTTTTTTTGTTAATATCAAATCCAACCAAAAAATAATCATTCACTTCATTGTATACCAAGTAATAGATAATATCCTTTATCAAGCAACATGTTGTATCCAATGATAAATTTCTTGAATATATTTCAGTTATATTTGAAATTGTTAATTGATTTAAATCAATCTAAATAATAGAAATAATTAATATAGAATATAAAAAATATATTACTTTCTCTGTCTCTTTTAATTTTAGTTTACCTTAAAGAATGTTATAGTATTTGAATATTTTTGTAAAACATAAATTAAAGATAAAGAATGTTGAGGATCACAACACCAACAATAATCTGAATTTGATAATAGTTGAGAGATGGTGTTTGTTGTTGATGGAGGTGATGGATGATGAGTTGGAACAATAGATGCATTGTGTGAAGATGAATAGGAAAATGAACCATGGTGTCCAGTTGATAGATCCATTTCCAAATAGATACCAGCCATTTGATCCAATTTTAAATTTAACTTTGACCATGTCGATGTTGTGATATCATACTTTTGAATATCGAGTAATGAATTGGTAAGTGAAAAGATGCAATTTGACAATGACAAGAGATTCCCCTTTAATGGAAAAGAGGTAGAGTTTGTACAAATACTCTTTTTAACATCCCATTGATTAAATAATGGATTGTAAATCTCTACAAATGTAGAAGATCCATTCTTTAATCCAAACAAGTAAATGTCATTATTGAGTGTTGTCACTTTTGACAATACATATCTTGATGCAGGTGACTGAATACTCTTATAAAATGGTTTATTACTTGATAATACCAAATGATGTAATAATCCAAAATATTGAAATTCACTAATTATTTGTTTATATAATCTTCTATAAAAAAAATGACATAACATAAATTAATATTAAAATAGTATTTATTGTTTGATTTACTTACTCTGAATGATCAGGTAATGCAACATTATCACTTCCACTACGTAGAAATGAAAGAATAAATTGGAATAGGTCACCATCCCGATCTATAAATACTCTTCCCTTTTGATCAAAAGTTAATTGAAAGTTACCAGAAAACATTGCACCAAGAAAACTATCTCCATAAATAGTCAATGTTCTCTTTGTTGTAGAATACTTTCTTCCACCAACATTTAAATTAACTATATCTGACATTTAATTTCTTCTTCCTATGATTTTTAATTTTATGAAAATAAAATTGATTGAATTATTATTATTGATTTACATTGTTGTTATACATCTTCATCACACACACAATGCGAATGAATGAACGAATTATAATTTAAATTGGATAATGATAGTTTTGATCAGTGTTATGTGTGGTTTTAAAAAGGATAAAAATGGGTTTCATGAATGGTGTGTTTTTTTGTATTTTTGAACAGTGTGATTGATCATCGGAACCCCCAATGATATATATACTAATGCCCCTATATTAACATATTTATTTAATTTAATTTTGATTTTGATTTATTTTTTTTATTTAATTTATTGTGGTAAATTTGATTGAACCAATTGATACATATGAGATTGATTTTCAACTTGGAATATTTGTTCGATGTTTAGGTCTTTTTGTTGTTCTTGTAATTTTGGTAGTGGAGCTGATAGGGTATTTGGTAGAGCGAGACGTTTAAATTCTGGGTAGGGATGATAGGTCTCGCCTGGTACTAGTTGGAGTTTGGTAGTTTGTTGTTTGAATCGTGAAAAGATGGCTGTGGTTTCATAGCAATCACGGAAATAGGATTCCTTGCAAAAGATGTAGAGACCAAGACGTGCACGACTCATTGCTACAATGAGACGACGGAGATCACGGATATGACCAAAATGACGTGTACGGACAAGTGATAAGAGTACATAGTCGCATTGTTGGCCTTGGAACTTGTCGACAGTGGTGATCTTGTACGGTTCACCAAAGAGTGGGTTACGCGAACACTTTTCCTTGACAATGTTTCGGAGTAGTGCCTTTTGACCATTGTAAGTAGTGAGCATTGTGATCTTGTTGGCTGGGTACCCAATAAGACGCATGTATTGGTAGGTGGCAACAAGGTATTCAGCTTCTTCGAGGTTTTGGAAAAAGTGTGGAGTTGGTTCATACTCTTGTCCTTCCTCTACACTAACAATCTGACTTTCATAAACAAACCCTGGGTTGGCCAATGCAAACTCTTGACTCAAATCACCATTTGTAGTCACTGTCTGTAACTTGTGATCTTTGTCATTCTCACGATCCTTGATGATTTGGAGATCTTGGAGACCATTGTAACGCCATTTGTAGAGTTGTGAGATTTGGGAACGTGAACGACCTTGACGATCGAGTACAACATAGGGTACGCCCAATCGGACAAATCTAGCAAACAAACTTTGATCGAGATGACTAAACTTGGCAAGTGCAGCATTCTTTACGACTGGTGGTAATTGTTGGTGGTCGCCAATCATAATGAGACGCTTCAAACGGTTCTTTTCAGAGAACTGGGTCGATTGCAGTTGAAGAGGGATAAACGATTCAATGTCTGATATTTGAGCTGCTTCTTCCATCAGTACATTGTCAAATTTGAATCCTAGTCTTACCAACTCTGCACGTTTCAAACTTGCATGTGTACATGTCATTGCAACGATACGAGACTGTTTTAACAAGAGATAGTTGAATCTGTCACTTGGAGATTTCAACAATTCTAGTATTCTACATTCTTCCAATTCAGTAAACACTAGTTTGACACCAGTCCACATTCTTTCAACTCGTTCCTTTAATTCCTCAAGACTAGCCATTTCATCTGAATCTGGTGATTTGAAAAAGATCTTGGTCGATGCAACTGAAAAGTAATCTGGGAATGGGAAATTCTTTACAATAAATTGTTCTTTGTTTTCTTGTTTGTCAATTTGATCATTGTATTTGTTCCACATTGGTTCAATATGATGTTGATAAAAGTGACCAGCCGTTTCACAAGTATAACCAACATCTGATGTAACTTTTAGAGATTTTGCCAAATAATCTACCAATTGTAATCTGTTTTGACGAAGATTGACCATGTACTCGATACGACCACTTTTTGTAAAATCTGGTTCTGTTGAATTATCATTATTACCACTACCCAATCTTAATTGTTTGTGACCATGACCAAGACGTAAAAGATATCTTTCATCAATATCCAAACGATAGATCTTTTCAAACAATTGATTTAGAGCTTGATTACTATGTGTAATAATAAGTGTTCTTTGGTTTGGATAGTTGTGGTAGATGTTTGATATGATTTGAACGGCTACATCTGTCTTGCCTGTACCTGGTGGACCTTGGATTAAAGTAAGTCCCTCTCTAGTACCCTTGATAATTGCTTGTGCCTGTGCTGCTGTAAACTCTACTTTGTTTTGTTTTACTCCAATACTAATATCTCTATATGTTTCAATTGAAACTAACCTTTCAGTTGATTCATCTTGTTGGAATGTCAACTTGTATGGTGGTTGATTACATTTATCAATGTTTACATTATTATTGTTGTTGTTGTCATGAACGAGTGATTTTAATACATGATCCTTTGATAAAAAGGTATCATTTAACTTGATACTATTATTATTTTGATTGTCTATAATAGAGTCTTGTGGGTATCCCAAAAATGTACTTGATAACCAGTCTGGTAAATTTGCCTTTCCACTTGCTTGTTTTTCTCCTCCTTCCTCTTGTTGTTGTTGTTGTTGTTGTTGTTGTTGCTGTTGATTATCTCTAATTAAACCTGTAATAGTTTCTAGGACAGCTTTGAAATTATTCTCTTTGGCATTACGACGTACCAACAGATTGAATGATCCCTTGTACACGTTGTCAACTATACCTCTATTATTGTCATCTTGGTATTGATTACAATCCAAATCAACCTTGATATGTCTGATTTGAGAGATTGCCTTTTTCTTACTACCTCCTCCATTTTCTTGATGATGATGTTGTTCGATTCTTTCACCCTTGTCATCAGTCAATGAAACAACTTGACATCCACGTACATACTTGACTTTATATCCATTAGAGTTGTGGTTGGCATCAACTGATACAAGGAATAAAACATCGTGTTCCTTGATGGAATCCCATTCTTGTTGAAGATCTTGGTTTCTGATATTAGCCAATGTGACAGTGACGGTAGCAGCTACTGATTTAGGTTTAGTTTCTCCAATATTTGGTATACCAATCTTGCCAAGACGGAAAGAGTGAATGGGAAGTGTCATACGTGACCAACCTGCAAACACTGTCTTTTCACCTTCCTTTTTAGGAGAACATCTACGAATACAATCTTCAATGTCTGATTTAATTTCATAGACTGACTCCATCTTGAAGAGATAATAATTTCTATACAAGTAGTCATTGAATGAAAGATATTGTAATCCTAATTTTGGAAGTGACAATGATCTAGTTCCTCTATAATCTCCTGAAAATAATTCATTTTCTAAAACTGATGATGTAGTAGAAGATTTTTGGTTGGTCGTAGTTGTTTCTGGGAATAAATCCAATTCAGTTGGATAAATTGGATCATTTAATAAACGGTCATGATGTGAACGACGACGATATGTGAATAGTAAAATGGCGATTAAATATTCCTTGGAGTGGACGATACTTGACTTGTTGTTTGCCGACTTGTCAATTAGATTTAACTTGATACATAATTCAGTGAGTCTTGGTAAATCGAGTGCACCAAACCAACGTAACAAACTTTCCTTTGATTCGACTTGTGAAACATTGGCAAATGCCAATTCCTTTAATTCCTCTGGAAACTCTTTAAATGCCAACCGTTGCAGATTCTGAATCTTGAAATAATGACTACTAATTATAACATCACTACCCAATTCCTCTCCAGTAAAATTATTAATATTTATATTTAAATAAAATTCTAATAATTTTGTTGATTCATTTATAGTCCTAAAATAAAAAGAAAATAAAAGAATATTAATAACTTAACTTATTTTCTTTTTATCTTTTTTCTTTTTGCATACTTTGAATTTAAAGAAGATTTTGAGAATTTAGTTTCTTTAATTTTAACCAATAAATGGTAATCATCAATAACAACATAAAAGAATCTACGAGTGGTCACTTGATTCACCAAATCAATCATAAATTCTAAAAACCTCTCACAATAATAAATCTTGTTTTTGTATAATTCCAAAGATGTTTCATTGTTGTTTGGTGCATCAACTGATAATCCATCCAATAATTTAATAAATCTATCCATTAATTTAATTAAATAATTTGAATAAATTGTACTTTCTAAAAACAAAATAAATAAAACAAATATTAATATTTGATGTATATTATTTATATATTTCCTTTTGTTTCATACCATTTTTCTTTTTTAATAATCTAATTTTCTTTACAAGTGAAGGTGGTGATAGATCCAAGAGTTCTTGATCCAATCTACCTGAACTGACATGAGTCCACATTGGATAGGATACAATCTTTAGACATTCATTACGTACCATTGCATCTTCCAAAGATGAGAAACAATTGATTAAAAATAATATGTAATGTGTCGCTAATTTAATGCCACTGATCGATGACATATCTAAAGATTCACCAATTGCCAATACTCTATCAAAGAATATTTTAAAGTATTTTTGTCCACCATCATCTTGCGGTAGTTGTTGTTCTTTTCCTTCTTTTTCTTCTTTTTGTTGTTCGGTTAGAGAATGTAAAGATTTATGCATAACATCAAATGGTGATAATGATTCACGTGACTTTTCATTGACCATTAATATGATTGACCAAATGTGAGAGTCATTTCGATTGGCATTATTATCTATACCTTCACGCATAAAGTTTGGCCATAGATAAGATTCGAGGTAATGTGATAGTTCGAGTAACATTAACTTTCTGGTGTCAATATCCGATGCTATAATCTCATCGTTGAATATTGATTCTACTACATTTGAACTATACAATTCTTCTTTATATCCTTTTAACCAATACTTTGTTGATATTGGTGTTATACTATCATTTATTAAACTTGTTACTGTTAATGCTTGTTGTTGTTTCTCATCTCCTCCTCCTTCTTGTTGTTTTACTTTTTTATGTTGTTCATTGTTATTGTTATTATGTTGTTGATGTTGTTGATCTTCTCTCTTTCCTTTTACCATTCTCTCTCTCTCGATAGATATCTATCTAAATATATCTATCTTTGGACACACAATCAAACAAACAAATTCATCATTCATATCGTTCAACACACGAACTACAGGATTCATCGCGCACTGTGAATTTCATCAATGAGGTTCTTTTTTTTTTTTTTTTTTTTTTTTATTCCATCAAAGTTTTAAAGAATGATATAATCCAACAATCATCATTATATTATATATATGTATAAAGCATTGACACAAAGCAGAGTGATTGTATCTTTTTATCTTGTCTTGTGGTTGTTTTGAAGATAAAAGATTGTTGTTGTTGAATCGTTTGGGTTGGATGGTCTCGTCCGTCTTGCAAGCTTGTTTAGTGTTGAACCTGGGGTGATGATTTTTCTGTTCCTCATTCGAAAGGTGAAATTTTTTTTTTTTTTTTTTCATCCCAGAATTAAGGCGAAACTTTTGATCAAATCACATCATCCCCTCTCTGATACTATTAATATTTCTGTCTATCTTTTATATCTATCCTCTCTCTTTTCTCTCTCTCTCTCTTTATCTCAACATCATCTTTGTATTATATTGTATATAACAACAACACATAGAGAAGAAGAAAGATCAATAGAGATAATATATAGAAATGTCGGGAAAGAATAGATTAAATATCTTTCCAACTAGAATGTAGGTTTAGGACTTGTAAACACACAAGATTGATCGATTGATTGATTGTCACACATGCGAATTAAAGATTATGATTATATAATGGTTCATTCATCGGTCACCTCTCTTACAGAGAAGAGAGAAACAAACATCAGGACGATATTCACCTTCAACAAGCAATGAAATTCATCACGCGCGAGAACAATGAAATTCATGGACAACAAACAAACAAATTGATTAATATTCGATAAAGATGAACTATACATATATATGCAACAACAACAACAACAACAACAACAACAACAACAACAACAACAACAACAACAACAACAACAACAACAACATTAATAATGCAAAGTCAACAATGGTGATGATATAAACCAAATATGTATTTGATTGCGATAACTGATGAATGGACCATTAAATATTGTTGACAACAAAGAAAGAAAGAAAGAACACAAAGATCTCAATGTTAACACAATACACTATTATTATTATTATTTCATTCATTAATTTAGGGCCTTGACCTTGATGAAAATGAAGCTCAAGGGTGCCGTAACTGGCCATTCTTTGTTGAAGAAGAAGTCAGACGCTTTGACCATGCGTTTCAGAAAGATCCTTAACAATATCGTCGAAAACAAGCAATTGATGGGTGCCACCATGAGAGAGGCTTCTTTCTCTTTGGCAACTGCCAAATATGCTGCTGGTGATTTCTCGTAAGATTATCATCATCGTCTCTATTAGATTTATAATATATTAATCAACATTATTATTATTATTATTATTAATATTTTACAAAAATAGTAACTCTGTTATTGAGAATGTTACCAATCCAACCATTGCCGTAAAGATGACTACTGAAAATGTTGCTGGTGTCCATTTGCCAACTTTTGAAAAGATTTCTGAAGGAGCTGTTAGTACTTGTATGTTCCATCCATGTGGTTTTATACCCATCAACAACAACAACAACAATAATAATAATAACCATCATTGACAATAATAATATTAATCATCATTTCATTTCTCTCTACTTTTTAGCACAAGAACTTACTGGTCTTGCCAAGGGTGGTCAACAAATTTCAAAGTCACGTGAATCACATCTCAAAGCTATCGAAGCCTTGATTGTTCTTGCTTCCTTACAAGTATGTAGAGAGAGAGAGATAAATATCTTGGTTTGATTTTGTACTAATCAAACTATATTTCTATTTCCTCTTTTTCTTTTTCATTTTTAGACTGCTTTTGTAACATTGGATGAAGTTATTAAAATTACAAATAGACGTGTTAATGCTATTGAATACGTAGTCAAGCCACGTCTCGAAAATACCATCAACTATATTATGACAGAACTCGATGAATCCGAAAGAGAGGAATTTTACAGACTAAAGAAGGTGCAAGGAAAGAAGAAGAAGGATTTGAAGGCCAAGGAAGCCAACAAGGAAGTCGAACTCGCCTCTGAACAAAAGATTATCAATCCAACAAAGGTCAAGAATATGATCGAAGAGGAAGGTCAAGAAGAGGAATTATTATATGGTGCCTAAATTAATTAATAATAATTAAAACAAAATAAAATAAACAAATAAAAATAATAATACAAACAAACAAACACAAATATATAAACAAACCAATCAATAGTATTTGGGATCGAGTAGTTGATAATTCAATGAAATGTCATTGAATAGTCCTTGATTCTTACTTTCTAAAATTAAATCCAGCAAAAAAACAATGACCTTAACTTTTGGTAATTAATTTGTAATGTTCATTATTTAAACTACTCGAGTAGTACAACGTTGTATATATACAGACAATGACTACGACTATGGAGACAACATTCCATTCAATATTCAAATCAATTTATATTAGACAATTGATATTCAATCAGATAGATGTGATATCACAACAAAGGTATATAAAAGGTAGTTCTAATGGTAGATACCGATCATTAAAAGGAAGAGATATTATAAAGTTACCTAGACTTGAAATGATATCACACTTTGCAATGCCTTGGCAGTTTGTTTGTCATTATCTACCTAGAGATTGCACTCTATTACTATTGGAAAGAAGAAAAAGGGTGATCAACAAGTACTGTCAACATACAAATGCAACATTGGATACACTATTACATCTATTGGAATGGTCACCAGATGTTGAATTTGATTGGCAATACTTGGATCGTAATAAACACAGTTTAAATGATCAAGAGATATTGGAATATATAATCAAGAGATGTATAATGCAAGAGAATAAAGACTTTCTATTTGGAGTAATGCAAGTGGCGTGTGATAATGGTTATCTCTCAACAGTCAAATTAATAGACTCTTTCAAAGGTTTAAAATTAGATTATACTGCAATGGATTGTGCTAGTAGAATATCTATTGACATTGTAAAGTATTTACATGAAAATAGAACTGAAAGATGTACTGAAGATGCAATGGTAAGGAAAAAAAAAGAATATAATATAATATAATATGTAACAATATGTATTAATTAATTTGTTGTATGTATATAGGATCGAGCAGCAAGTAATGACCGATTAGATATTGTAAAGGTATGCATATAATTATGTTGACTATATTAATAATAATATTAATATTTATATATTTTCCAAAAATAATATATTTTATAGTTTCATCATTTTAATAGAACTGAAGGGTGTACAGAGTATGCTATGAATTATGCCGCGACTGGTGGTAGGTTAGATATTGTTAAAGTATGTATCCATATATATATAAATATATATACTTGCAAAAATATAATATTAATTTATTTTTAGTTCTTACATGAACATAGAACTGAAGGATGTACAGAAGATGCTATGGACTATGCCGCTTCGTATGGCCATCTTGATGTTGTAAAGTTTCTTGATGAGTTTCGTACAGAGGGATGTAGTATTGATGCTATGAATGATGCCTCAAGATACGGACATTTAGAAATTGTAAACTACCTTCATGAGCATCGCACAGAGGGTGCATCAACCAATGCTATGGATTTGGCATCTCAAAACGGCCACTTTGAGATTGTAAAGTTCTTACATTTCAATCGTAGTGAAGGTGCATCAACCAATGCTGTGGATTGGGCAGCACTGAATAACCATATGGATATTGTAAACTTTCTTTATGATAATAGAACAGAAGGTTCAAGTCATGCAATGTATCAAGCATCTCGTAATGGACATGTTGAAATGGTTAAATTCCTTTTTCAACATAAAAGTAGGGATACTACAAGAGATAAAGTGATTACTAGTATAACGCAGGCTACACAATACGGTCACACTCAAGTCGTCAGGTTTCTTCTTCCATACTGTGAAACAACAGATAATCTATCAAGAGTATTGGATAGTGCAGCAGAATATGGTTTTTTTGATATAGTCAAGCTTCTTTTAGATCAACAAAATCAAATTACACCATCAACCAAAGCTATGGATTATGCAGCTAAAAATAATCACCTAGAAATTGTAAAATGCCTTCATTTCAATCGTACTGAAGGTGCAACTACCATGGCTATAGATAAAGCAGCTGAAAACGGTCACATTGATGTGGTCAAATTCCTTTCAGAGCATCGAACAGAGGGATTCACTAAAAGTGCTATTCTATCTGCTTGTCGTAATGGACATTTGGAAATTGTTTCATTTCTAATCAATGTCAGCAGAATAGATATATCTCTTTACAATCAAGAGGAAATACTAACAGCTGCATCATTTAATGGTCATATTGATACTGTTAAGTGGATTCTATCATATTTTGGAGAAAAAAAAACTATTAAAAGAGTTTTAACTCATATTATAACTACAGAACATTTTGAAGTCATTCAACTATTAGAAAATGCATCTGCCAACGTTGGAAATAAATTTGATTTAATAAATTAAATATTTGTCAAATTTACTATTAATGGTTTAACCAACTTTCTTCACAAGCTCGCTATGTCTTTATGTCAACAAGCACCATACTCTAATTTGTTACATTGTTTTGACACTCAGTTCCCAAATACCAATATTTTTTTTGGATGGTCTACAATATAGTACTATAGGTCTTCTTGGGTTAGTAATGAATGGTGCACCATTACTCTGATACTGATTGAAGAAACTTATAGATATCTTTGTGACCTCTATTAAAGGCATATTCCATAGCCTCTTTAATGTTTCCTTCTTTACGATGTTCAACCAAGAACTAAATTAAAAATGTGAAAAAAGTAAGTATCCTTTGACTTTGAATCATTCATTTATATTGTTGGAATCTTGTTATATATATAACATACTTGAACAATATCTATATAACCATACTTTGCAGACATACTTAGAGCATCTTTTGTACAACCCTCACTTCTATTAAAATGTAGAAACTATATTATATAACAAATATTTGCGTTAATATTATTATTGGTGAAACCAACCAAACGAATCGATACGTACCTTTACAACTTTCAAGTGGCCATTAGATGCTGCCAAATCCTATTATTATAATGTAATCATTTAATATGTTAATTAATTATTTCTATTTCTTTCTTTTGATTTATTCCAATTCCTTACCATTGCATCGGTAGTACATTCTTTAACTATATTTTCGTGTAAATATTTTACAATATCAATGAATCCTTCACGACTAGCTGTTTCCATTGGTTCACCATCTAGTTTTACACCTTTGGTAGAATGTATCAATTTGATAATTGGGAGATTACCATTCTCGAATGCTCTTATACTTAAATCATTGAGAATGTATCGATTATCTATAGGACATCTATTGATTATATACTCTAATATCTCTTGATTTTTAATATCCCTACTGTCAAAGGCCATTTCCAAGTATCTCCAATCAAAGTCTATACCAGGTGACCAATCTAATAGATGTAAGAGTGTATCAAATGTTGCATTTGGATGAAAACAGTATTGAGAGATTACTCCTTTTCTTTTATTCAATGGTATTTCACTAATGTCATTATATGCAGTTGGTAGATAATGACAAACAAACTGCCAAGGCATTGCAAAGTGTGATATCATTTCTAGATTAGGTAGATTGATTATATCTCTTCCAACTAATGATCGTTGTTGTCTACCGGTATCATAAGTAGTTGTACCTTTATACAATCGATTTGATATATCACCGATATAATTGAATATCAAATGTCTAATATATTTAGATATGAATATACTATGAAATGTAGTGGTGGTAGTGGTGGTTATTGTATTAGTAGTAGTAGTCATTATATAATTAGTAAGTAATATATTTAGAAAACTAACTTTGTGTTTTTTGTTTCGAACCACTAACTGAAGTTCAACAAGATTCGTTTATTTTTGAAGTTCGCTAAAGGTTTGAATTTGAAACTGAGCAACGGAATATTTTTGGAGGGGGTGTCTTGAGATGCTGCGCAGGGTGGAGTTGAAACCTTTTTATTTAATCTCTCTCTAACCTGTTTTCACTATACTATACCTATCACTCTCACACCTATAGTATTACTATCTATTATTACTATTATATAACACTATATATATATTTGTTATTACTGCTGCTACTACTACACACAATACACAATACACAACAACAATGTCATCATTAACACTCAGAGATAAACAAGATTCAAGAAAGAAGGATTTCAAAAAGGGAATTGATACTGATTCAGCCCGTCGTAAACGTGAAGAGATTACTAGCAGTATTCGTAAATCCGCCCGTGATGAAGCACTCCAAAAGAAACGTAATCTCGTTGCCACTACTACCACCCTATCCACCTCTGGTTCTGTCTCTCAACAAGATGAAATCGCTGTCCCTGCCGATATTCAAGCTCAATTTGATGAGTTTGAAAAGAAGACAATCGAAGTCAAGGTATGTCTACTACAACAACAATCATATGACTCTCTCCCTCTCGCTCCACTTTTTCAAAATCACTAACAAAAACTCATACTTTATTCTCACAATATTATATTTATTATATTTATATATAGTTAAAAGCATTACCAGAACTTACTGCTGCATTAAACTCCAATGATCAAGCTATCGTATTCTCTGCACTTGTTCAATTTAGAAAATTATTATGTCTTGGTATGCATCATACAACTATTCAATTATTATTATTATTATTATCATTGCAATGATTGGTTGATTGATTAGATTACACAAGATATTAATTCTTTTCTTTTCTTTTTGTTCTTTTTGTTCTTTTTCTTTTTCTTTTCTTTTTTTTGTTTAGAAAAAAATCCACCAATTGATGAAGTTATATCATGTGGAGTGATTCCAAGATTTAATCAACTTTTATCAAATAGTGGAGGATATACAAAGGTACAATTTGAAGCAGCCTGGGCATTGACCAATATAGTGTCTGGAAGTAACAACCAAACCGAGGCTGTCGTTTCAAGTGGTTCCATTCCCATCTTTATCAGTTTGTTGGCATCGTCGTCAGAGGAGGTACAAGAACAATGCACTTGGGCATTGGGTAATGTTGCCGGTGACTCTATTCAAGGTCGTGATATGGTGCTTCGTCTAGGTGCTTTGCCCGCTCTCCTCAAGATTGCCTCTACTCCCAATATCTCACGTCCAACACTCCTCCAAAATGTCGTGTGGACCGTATCCAACCTCTGCCGTGGTAACAAGCCACACCCAGACTTTTCGTTGGTCTCCCCAGCCATCCCAGTCCTCGCCAACCTCTTCAAGTCTGAAGATGTGTCTGACGAGTTGTTGGCCGACCTCTGCTGGGCCTTCTCCTACTTGTCAGACGGCGAGAACTTTAAGATCCAAGCTGTTGTCAATGCCGGCGCCGTGCCATCACTCGTACACCTCCTCGCACATCCCAAGAGTTTGGTCTACACCCCTGCACTCCGTGCCATCGGTAATATCGTGACTGGTGATGCCAGCCAGACCCAAGTAGCCATTGAAGCAGGTGCCATCTCGTTGCTCGGTGACTTGTTGACCAACCAACGTCGTTCGATTAGAAAGGAGACCTGTTGGACCCTCTCCAACATTACTGCTGGCAACAGTCCACAAATCGAATCGGTCTTTTCAAACAAACGTATCGTTGCCTTGCTCGTCAACATCTTGTTGAATGGTGAGAATGAAGTCAAGCGTGAAGCATGTTGGGCATTGTCCAACGCCACCAACGGTACTGCCAAACACATTGCTACAATGGTCAACGAAGGTGTACTCAAGCCACTCTGTGAAACCGTCCAATCCAACGATGTCACCCTTGTCAAGGTGTCACTCGAAGCACTCGGTAATATCCTCCACCAAGGTAACATCATTGCCAGCAAGAGTGGTGTCAACCCATACACACTCATGATTGAAGAGTATGGTGGTGACCAAGCCTTTATCGAACTCCAATCACACAAGAACCCAGATATCTACCAAAAGGCCTCTCAACTCTTGGAACAATATTTTGATTGTGACGACGAATATGAAAATGAAAATGATGAACCAAATAGTGCCTTTTCTTTTCCATCCTCAAATAGAAATGTTCAAATTTCCCTCTAACCCAACGATTAATAGTAGTAATAATAATAATAATAATAATAATAAGTCCGACGCTTACCCCTTTCCTCATACACAACAATCACAACTGACAAAAAACTAATTTAAGTATTAGTTTTTCACAATCCAAAAAAAAAAAAAGATACAATATAATAATAATAATAATATCTATGTCTTTTTTTTTTTCCCTCCCCTTTACATTCTTGTATAGATAGATTCCCCTTTACGTTAAAAATAAATAAACATTTAAAAACAATATATATATAAAATTTGTGATCATTCAAGTTTTACTTTTTTGAAAAAAAAATACTCAAACACATTCATTCATTCACTCAGAGGATGATGTTTTACTTTTATATGTGCATTAATTACCCTAAAAAGTAACCTAAATATATTATATCCAGACAGAGATTCTACAGAAACTAGTTCTTCTGGTGGTAGATACGGTTGGCTCGAGCTCTCTTTGTTGTTTGATTAGCTTCAGATCAGCAGCAAGTATTCCCCAACGTGTATATATATATTTCCTTATTCCCGTTTACCCTATCTGTTTTTTTTAATAAATCTGGAACTCTAGAGTTGTCGGACAATAGAGTTATTATCGTTTATTTGTTTTAATTTTTCTTTAAAATAGTTAGAGGTTCTGTTTGTATAGAGGCTTGTTTCTATCCATGTTTACATTGTATATTATATTATACAAAATAGATAAAAGCTCATCTAATATATCTACGATTAACCAACAATGATAAATACTCTGAATTCATCACTCAAAAGTTATGCCAAAAACATTTATTTTCCTTTTATTCAACTAAATTCCACTTTATCACAAGTACTAATCTGTTATCACCATTTTTATTAGGAACTGGCAATCTGGACATGGATTGGATTAACTTATTTAAAAATGTAATATGAGTACACTCCAATCCATGAGGATTCATCATTCCCTCTATCATTCTTTAGGTAAAATGTATGTATACTAAAATAGACTGAAAACTATTCTCCGAACAAAATTAGAAATAAAACCCACTCTATCCTTTTTTGGTTGTTTATTGTTCGATCATCAAAAGCATCACAAACCTTTGCAATGACAATACATACATATATATATATATATTACCAATTGGTATTATAAATATTTATACTTATATACATACAATAAAGAAGAAGTAACTTTATAAACAACTACAACAACAACAAATGTAAGAAAGAATAATAGTATTACTTTTACTTTTACTTTTACTTTTTAAGGTACTAATCATTTATCATTCATTCACTACACAATATTTCTTCCATTTAGGGATAAAGAATTAATTATAATGATATTTAGAAATAGATATCTTAAAGAGATGATATTTAACTTTGATAGATCAGAACAACAAAAACAAGATAGATATAGTATCAGTATCACTAGAGTCTATAGATATGATGATTGGTATTCTGCCGATCATATGATACGTCATCGTCACTTTGGATTACTCATCAACAAGTTGCAGCGAGGTATTAGTGTTGCATTTACAAACAAATCGATTGAATTGATTTGTCAAGAGGTCAAAGATACCGAGCAATGGCGTGCACTCTACCAATTGAAACGTTCGTCATTTGTTGGTGCAAATTTGGTTTGGTGTGCATGTCTTGGAGGTAATATTGAAATCATTCAAACATTGCTCGAACAAGAACATCCCGTTCGATTGTCAACACAAGACGTATCAAATATCTCGTCATCGGTGACACCAGAAATTAGAAAGTTGCTTACTGACCACAAAGTGAAATGTGATACACACCATGACCAGAGAATAGTCGGTAAGCCACTCACACTCAATACCGACAAACTCAGAAGGTCGTACGCCAATTTCGACAGCTACAAATCACTGGATAGCAAAGGACTAGAGAATGCATTCCAAGAGGAGGATATCGAGTTGGCAAAACGTATACTTCAACACAAAGACTTTCATTACAGCCACTACGAGTTTATACATAAAAACTATAACCATAGATTCATTGCAAAGGTATTGGAGGTGTTGGATGATCCAAATAATGGGATTCCAAGATCTTCAAAAATCTACCTAACAAAAACTAGGAAAACATTTAAAAGCTCTACAATGGAGTCATTAATGTGTCACTCGTCATCACATCAACTCTACCAATTATTTGTTACCAACAAAGAGGAAAGTTATAATATACAGAGAATGGTCATGTCGGTTGGTAATATAGAGTTTTTAAAATATATACATACCTCTTCTGATCCATCTTGGATATTGTATGATATTAGTAGTGCACTTAGGGTTGGTAGATACGATGTCATAGAGTATATGGTTGATACCTATACAACCAAATTCACACTAGAAAATATATTATTATCAATTGCAATGTCTGGTCAATCACAAACATTGGATTATTTTTTAAACAAAAAACCATCACTCCAACAACAACTATTGGATTCCTCAATCGTCGATCCAAAACAATTAATCAATCATCTAATTAGAGAAAATCATTTGGAAATGTTATTATATCTTTTCGAAAAAGTTGGTTTTAAAAATGAATATATAAAACCATTACTAAAAAATACAAATATGAAACAACAATTATTAATTGTATTAAAACAAATTGGTCAATCTAAATGTAAATAAATAAATAAATAATATAAATAATTGTACAATTAATTTACCCAAGATGCATGCGCATGCACATGTCGGCCCTGGTCAACTTAAATGATGCAATGTCTATTGAACATTCAATCAACCCTTCGATTACTTTATTAATTGTCTCATCATTATGTTGTTAGGTTGCAGATGACTTGCCTGTCAAATATTATATTATTATACCGATGACAAATTCCATCTTGATTTCTTATGTTTGCACATAAACATACAACCCAAATTGAATGGGCGCCCCAGGAAGACTCTCTAAATTTCCTCAATGAAAACTGTGGGAGTGCTCTAGAGATACACAGTCACACACACTTACACCATTGTGTACCCTTTGTGAAACGAGGGGGTGGTTATTTGAATGGCCGAACCGTTCACATTGACAACCAAATCTAGTCACTTTAAGAGATCTAAAGGGGCACCGATGTACCAAACCAGCGAGCAGTTGTACCAAAGAGAAGCAAGATATTTCAAATTACCGCAATGTCGGGGTTTGTTTCTAAAAATCTAGATTGGAGGGTATTCTTTTTTTATCTATTTTTTAATTTAATTTAAATTTCGTGGTGTGGAACTTTAAGATCAAAGTAAATTGGGGTGGAGAATCCCTACCCTTTTAAACAAAAACACCATCCAAACAAAAAAACATACACATCAACAACAACAACTTTTATTTGTTTTTTTTTTAACAGATCCAAAGATAAAAATAACAAATCTCCCCATAAACAACAAACAAACACAATGTAAGTGATCACACAGTTATGTGTATGTTTAGAACACGCCTAAAGAAAGATATTTTTTTAAATCCTCATCCATCCTCGATCAGTCGAAAAAAATTGTTTTGTTCGATGGGGCAAGATATTATTTTGGTTGTCTATTGCGAACAAAACATTGGGGGGCGGGGCCATTCTCTCTTTGACCCCTACCACATGAACTATGCCCGAATACGCGTGGCTGTTGTGTGAATCGGCTCATTCTGTCTCGCGATAGAGAGTTTAAATTTATTAAAATCTCCTCTTTCCGTTACAACACAACCATTGTATCTCTCCCTCAAATTCACCTTCACTCCTCTTTCACACCCACACTACAATACATACATTCAACTTACACAGATTATCTATCTATTTATAACTACATATATATAGAATAGAGAAAAACAGAGAAATCCATAGTACAATCATGAGACCCACAATAGTGTTTGCATTGTGTGTGTTGGCATTATTTTTATGCATACCAACCACCAATGCAGATCTTACATCAAGTGTTAGTAAGTATTTTATATATATATATATATATATATTATATTCCTATCATATCAAACAAAGTTTAATTTCTAACAACCAAACTATTTAAATATAGGAAATAAATTGGTTGAAATATCCAGGTTATATGGATTCACTTGGGGTAGTACATCTACTTTTTGTGGTCAATATGGTTTCATTGGCAAAAGACAATTGAGATCATCGATCATTTGTACAAATGGAAAGGTCACTAAATTGTAAGTAAAAAGTATAGAGTACAAATGGTTTACATGGATCATTTTTACTCACTCTTATTTTTTTGTTATCTAGAATTATAGAATCTAAAATAGATGATGCTGGTAATGGAGCATGTTTCAAGAATGAATCTCAAGCTGCTATTGTAGCTAATAATAATGGTTGGGAAGTTTTTGGATCAACTCTTAAATCAATGTATGTTTTTTTTTAAACAAGAAATAACAATCAACTATTTATTTATTTCTTTTTCTTCTTTTATAGTACATTTTATAATTCATATTTACCAAACTATTTTAATGATTTATACGAGTTGTCATCACTTGAAGAATTGTATGTATTCACAGAGAGAGGACAATCAGATGATTTTGGTCTCTAATTTTTTCTTTTTCTTTTTTTTCTACAACTTTTAGTGTTTATGATTCAATTACTGATTCAAGTAAATGTACAATGAATTATGATTCAGATTCAGATCCATTCCTTCCAAATGCTCAAACCATTTCAATTAAAGGTCTTCAAGGATCATTCCCAGTGTTTTCAGCCAATTCCTATTATGTCACAGTTCAACAAGCTCCATCTGTCTCTTTATCAACTTCATTCTCTTCTGCATTGGCCAATGTATTTTCACCAAAATTATTATCATTGTATGTTGTTCTCTAAATATAAATACTCTTCTATTTATTCTAATAATTTATTTAATTTTTTCGTAGCGATGTAACATTAACAACAGCACCATCATCACCATCAGTTTTCAATGTAGCAACTTATTTCCTAGGAGCCACCAAATTACTTCAATTTTCATTAAACATTCCAGGTTATAATGTCAATTTTGCATCATTCTTTCAACCACGTACGACACTTCAAACTTTAAATCTTTACAATGTAGTACCAGATGTCACTACCTTTCCAAGCACTTCCCAAGTTGCATGGGGTCAATTAAAGAGTTTGGTACTTCAAAATATGGGGTTGACTGGTTCAGTCGACCCAAATCTTTTGGATCTAAGTAGATTTGATGTATTTATTGTTAAAAATAATCCATTACTTACTGTAACTATTAGTAATTCTTTTGGTACTTCAAGTTCAATTACTCAATTGTAAGTAGAAAAGAAAAAAGATAAAAAAAAAGTAGATTTATTAATATTTGTTTTTTAATTTTTAGGGGAGTTGCAAATACAACGATTGGAGCACCATTACCAGCCAATATATTATCAAAAGGATTAGTATTTTTGGATACTCGTGGATGTAAAGGATTAACCAATACATTGTTACCATTGGTATTCCTTTGTATGCCACCAAGTTATTTGGTTGATGATGGTGCCAACCCATCCTATCTGTTCAACAATGACTTTAGTAATTATCAAGGTCCAAATACCCCACGTAACTGTCTAGTCCAATTGAATGCACTTGCTCCCGATCCATTCCCATCAAACATTTCCATCTTTACTTTGACTGGTCAGAATTTGGCCGGAGATGATTTCACAGTCACCATGAACAATGGATTTGACGCTCCAATGACTTTGAATTGTCCAGTGGTAGACCCAGCCTCTTTGATTTGTTTCAATCCAGCTGTTCTCCAAGGCAAGGGTACTCTTTCACTGACTGTTCGTATCGGTGCCAACCAAACCACCGTCACACGTCCATTCTCGTTTGCTTCACCATCCATCACATCGGTATCGGCCATTCCAACGCTGGGAGGATTTATTACAATCCGTGGTTACGATTTGTTGGCCGTGTCATCCTATGATAACCGTAAGCCAATGACTATCACCATCAATGGCGTCGAATGTTCCAATATTGTTATTCGTCTTGCCATGAATGAATTCACTTGTTATTATCCAGCTGGTATTCAATCGGGTGTACCCATTTCAATCAATGTCAAAGGTCTATACAATGATCTTAGCAAGTCACCCAATTTCAACTACTATGCTCCAACCGTCGCATCATCGGTTGCCGTTCAACCAAATGTAGCTTCTAACCTTACCATCACCGGTCAAGATTTTTGGAATGATACAACTGTTGTCACTGTCACTATCGGTGGTAATATACTATGTCCAGTGTCATCGGTTGATCATACTCAGTTGATTTGTGCGTTCCCAGCAACTCCATTCTCTTCTGGATCGAAAAACATCGAAGTTTCAGTCAATGGTCAAAGTTCACAACCCAACTCATTGTTTGGGTTTGTCGATACTGCCATTTGTCCAGAGAGCTGTAACTCTCAAGTATGTGATGTTGGTGTTGGTTTTTGTAACTGTGAGAATGGGTCTGGACCAGACTGCGACACTGTACTGACACCATCTACCTATGTCACCTCCAATGCCACCTTCCCAGTACTCAAGATCAAGTCTCCACTCAACAATGACACCGAATTTGACGCATACCTCATCTCGGTCATTGAAAATGGTGCTGAAACATTCATCACCTCTTGGAATGGTACCTATGCCAATGGCACCTATACCTATGTTCCCTCTGGTGGCAAGGATATCCGTATCGAGATCCATACCAATGATCAAGACAGCATCGCACCTATCGGAGGAAGTATCATCAATTATCCAGCCAACACACATACCTACAAGGTATCATATGCCACCTCTGTACCTATGAAATCACTTCAATTTAGATTTGCACTTGATATCTTCCCACTCGAATGTAATCCACCCCCATCTACCCACTTTGCCTTCCCAACAGGCTCAAATAACCAAAGTCTACGTTGGGCTACCTTTACCAAATACGATGTTGAATGGTTTGCTCGTTTCCCAATGGCCGTATCTATCAATGGTGACAAGGATAATGGTAACCTTTTAACTACCCAGTCTGTAATGGACGGTCTCACCACTAGATTATTGGTCGATGTTCAAACCAACGCACTCATTGAATCCAGTCGTTTCCAATTTGATTTCTCATCGATTCAATCCAGTACTCCTTATGCACCAAATATTACCAACTGTGTTCCAGACTCTTCCTTTGGTAATGAACCAGGATCAGAACCAGACAACAAATGGAAGGTCACTGTTGGTGTTGTAGTCGGTGTTGTAGGTGCCGCCATTGTTTCAGTCGGTTCATTCTTTATCATTCGTCAACAATTAAAATTAAACAAGACCAAATCTTTATTGGATAAGAAATTAAGAGAATTAACTGTTAATCTTTAAAAGAAAAAGAAACAAATAATAACCCCAACTCAACAAAACCAAAATCTTACAGACAAGTTTCTATAAAAATAATTATATTGTAATATTAGTAAATAATCAAAGCTTAAACTTGTGTCATCTCCTCCATCCATATGCATCTATCAAATAAAAAATAATACCGATTCTTTTTATTTTTCTATAAAACATAAGAATAATATTATTATTATTCTTTGGGTATTATTTTATTTGAAACTATTATGTTAATTGAAAGTTAATCTTTAAACTAGAACATATATATAAATATATCTGTTATTATTTTTTTTTATTCTTTCTGCGATTTGTCAATGGAGGGTTTAAATAAGATTCTAGTAGATGAATGACTTCAAAATGATCACTGATTGGTTTATAAGTGTCAATGACTTGTTTAATTGATTCTTTTCCAATTCGATCGCCAAATTGATCGAGAATCAACTTTACAATTTCGTAGCTTCCTCTAAATGTAGCACTACGTAGATTGTCTTGATTACATTCTAATTTGCCAATATCGATCATAAAAGATACCATTTCTAGATATCCTTTGGAAGATTCATAATTATTTGGGAATCTAGGTTGTCCTTCACTTCTATTATAGTGTAAAAACTAGAATATGATAATAATAATAATAATAATAATATTAATGTCAGAGATATATATATATATTTATGTTTGTTTGTTTGTTTGTTACATACTTTAACAATTTCAATGTGACCATTTCTAGCTGCTCTATCCATAGCATCACTTGTGCATCCTTCAGTACGATGTTCATGAAGAAACTTTACAATTTCAATGTATCCGTTTCCAGCTGCTGTATCCATAGCCCAAGTAGTTGCACCTTCACTACTATGTTCATGAAGAAACTTTACAATTTCAATGTGACCGTTTTCAGCTGCCGTATCCATCATATCTGATGTCAAAATATGATTATTATTATTATTTGGATTATTTGGATTATTATTATTATTATTATTATTAATATTATTAATATTATTAATATTGTTGGATAATAAGTTATAAAGAAAGAGGAAGTTTTGAAAAACATATTGATCACCACGATTATGCAATAGTAGACTTATCGTTGAAGGGAATTGACATTGTATATTGACAGTATTGATAAGATAGTTTAACGTTTCAAGGTTTTTCCAACCCGTTGAACGACTATAGTCACCTGCCAAACTTATGGAGTTGGGTGTTGCGCCTTCACTGCGATGTTGATAAAGGAATTGTACAATATCAATGTATCCACCAGCACAGGCATAATCCATAGCATCTGTAGTTGCTCCTTCTGTTCTGTTGAAATGTAGGTACTTTACAATTTCAAAGTGGCCGTTTTGAGATGCCTTGTCCATGGCTTTGGTTGTACATCCTTCATTTCGATGCTCATGAAGGAATTGTACGATATCAATGTAGCCACGTGCACAGGCATAATCCATAGCATCTTTTGTTGCACCTTCACTACGATTGAAATGAAGGAACTTTACAATTTCAAAGTGGCCGTTTTGAGATGCCTTGTCCATAGCATCGGTTGATGCACCTTCTGTACGGTGATCGTGAAGGAATTGTACTACATTCAAATGACCGAATCGAGCAGCAAAATCCATTGTACGAACTGCACCTTCACTACGATGTTCATGAATATACTTTATAATTTCGACGTGCCCATTGAAAGCAGCCAAATCCATGGCACTTGAATGACCTTCAGTACGGTGTTGATCAAGGAATCTAAACACATTCAAATGACCGTTTTCAGCAGCCATATCCATAGCATAAGTGATTGCACCTTCAGTACGATTGAAATGAAGGTGTTTTACAATGGATAGGTCACCATCTTTAGATGCTTTGCTCATCTCCCCAATGAAAAAGTAGTATTTCTCTTTTGGTTTACATTGTTTGATTAGGTATTCCAGTATCTCTTGATTTCTTATTCTAACGCCAGGTGCATTTATTTTACTATTCAAGTATTGCCAATCAAATTCAATATCATAGGACCATTCCAATAGATGTAAGAGTGTATCCAATGTTGCATTTGGGTGTTGACAGTATTGAGTAATTACTCTTCTTCTTCTTTCAAATACTATTTTTTTAATATCTTTAGGTAGATAATGTCTAATAAAGTCCCAACGCATTCCATAGATTGATATCATTTCAAGTCTAGGTAAATTGATTATATCTCTTCCTTTTAATGGTGATCTTTGGTGTTGGTGTTGTAGTTTACTACTACTGTTATCATTATTGTTTGATATATCACTGACATGATTGAATATTAAGTGTCTAATGTATTGTACTTTGAGTATTGAATGAAATGTAGTGGTTGAAGTTGAAGTAGTAGTAGTTATCATTACTTCTAAATAAATTTTATTAAAATAAAAATAAAAAAGGTAGGTGATGTGCACTTGAGTCAACCTCAGAGACTGCCATCAAGTTTATATTATTATATTTAATTATCAAGAAAATATAAAGAAAGATATCTGTCTACTTATTATTTGTTATTTTTATTATCTTTATTTGATGGATTATTTATTCTTTATTGTATTTAAAAATATATATATTCGAAATAAGATATTGATAGATTGTAGTATTAGTAGTATTAGTAGTAGTAGAATTAGAGGAGAAGAAGAAGAAGAAAGGAAATATGTAAAAGGAAAGATACTTTCACAATCACTTAAAAGTGGAAGATCATCACCTTCAAGATTCGATGCAATCGGTAGATTTGCACTACCATGGTCATTTGTATCACATTATCTACCACAGCTTGGTGACCAAGTAGATGAATGTCATCTGTCAATGTCACTACATCAATACATATCACACAAGAATGCAACTATTGATACACTTGCAAAACTTTTGGACTGGGTTGGTAATCTATTCGAACTGAACCCACTTGTATTGGATGATGTTGCGGAACGAGGTAATGAAGAGATGTTGCAACTGTTGGATGATCGATTTCCTGACGCTGTATGCTCTGTCAAGGCTATGAATAAGGCCGCTGCAGGAGGACATCTTGGTATCGTAATCTACTTGCACAACTATCGAGAGGAAGGGTGTACAACCGACGCTATGGATTATGCTGCAGCCAATGGATGGTTGCAAGTGGTTGAATTCCTACATACACACCGATCAGAGGGAGCTACCAACAAAGCTATGACCATGGCTGCCCGTAATGCTCATCTCAACATTGTACAATACCTTTTTTACAACAAGTGTATACGCAGCAGCAGTGGTTGTGGGAATGATATTACTCTAGTCACGACTGAAGCACTCAAGATGGCAAGTGCTAACGGACACTTGGAGGTTGCCAATTGGTTAGAGACGGTCGGCGGAAAATGGACAAACAAAGCATTGACCGACTCAATGATGAATGGTCATCTACACATTTTAGAGTATCTAAATTGGGATACTAAACGGTTGACTGAAATATTTCTGAAATTCTTCTCTTCGTCATCATCCGAAGAGGACGGTATTAATGTAAACTATTTTGCACTAGAAGGTCATCTCAAAGTATTAAAGTATCTTGTACACAAGTTTAAGTGTAGTAGTATTAGTCGTCATATGATGGACAAGGCTGCTCATTTGGACGTAGTTACATACTTGCACGAAACCAAGTCAGGAGGATGCACATCAGATGCTATGGATTGGGCATCTAAAAATGGTCACATTGACATTGTAAAGTACCTACATTTTAATAGAACTGAAGGTGCAACAAAGAATGCTATGGATTGGGCAGCTGAAAATGGTCATTTAGAGGTGGTACAATTTTTAAGTAAATATCGACAAGAAGGATGCACAAAAAGAGCATTGGGAAATGCTGCCAAAAATGGTCATGTTGAAGTGGTACGTTATTTAGATGAGACCTATGGTATACCAGAGGAAGGAGGAGGAGGAGAAGGAGGAGAAAGATATTTGGAAAATACATTAGATGAATGTACTAGTCATGGATCATTGGAAATAGTCCGTATTCTTCATAAAAAATACTCTTCCTATTTAAAAGTCACTACAAGGGCAATGGATCATGCAGCTGAAAATGGACATATTGATATTGTAATGTTTCTTGAAAGAAATAGAACAGAGGGTTGTTCACAGGCAGGACTCGCTCAAACAGCCTACAACAACCATTTTCAAGTATTTAAATACTTGGCTGCATCGTATCCAAAGCTACTGGCCGATTCTATCGAGGTATGCATGTCACATGCTGCATTTAAAGGGAATTTAGATATGATTCAATATATCTACTCACTTGGACCAAAAGATACTACACTCTCTATTAGAGCACTTGGAGTAGCTGCCCCGAACGGACATTTAAAAGTTGTAGAATGGTTTCATAATAATTTTCAAGGTGAAATTATAAATACTAGAGATTTTATTAGGTCAGCAAATAATGGTCATCTACATATTGTAAAGGTATATATAATATATATATATAATTATATTTATTTATTTATTTATTAATTTTACCTTTATTTCTTTTTTAGTTTTTACATTTAAATAGAAGTGAAGGATGCAAACCTTTAGCAATGAGTTTAGCTTCAAAAAAAGGGTATCTTCCAATTGTTAAATTCCTAAATGAGAATAGGACCGAAGGTGATTTAAAACAATCATGGAGAGAAGCTCTTCAAGGTGGCCATTTATCAACCATGCAGTATTTACTCGATTATTCTAAAACAAAAACTACGAGTACAGACAGCAATTCTTGTAGAATCGACAAGAATGATGTAGAGGTTGATTTAATCATGCCAATCATGGAATTGGGTATAGTCAAAATACTAGAGTTTCTCCACAAGAATGATCTCATTCCTGAAATGGATACATCTCGAATACCCCACCCCTCTATTCCATTCTTTAAGTCTAAAGGTTATCAATTTAATGGTTGGGTGGTCTCTAATTAAATGGATAGATCATCACCATCACTCTCACAATCACGATTGCAGAGAGAGAATCTCAATTCTCTGAATAAATGTATTAATAATCACAGACCTATTGGGCCTCTGTCTCTCTGTCTCTGAGTCATTACAACAAAGTCACCACAATATTGGAAGTTCGTTTTTTTTATTTTTTTAATTTATTTTTTTACGTGTGCAAAAGACCTTTCATTCAATGATTCTACCCAAGACATTGAAGATAGATAGATAGACTTGTTATAATATCACTTGAGCTAAAGGATATCATCTCATCATATTCATCATCAATTATCACAATAATTATTTATAAACAGATATAGATAGATTAAGAGAGAGAGAGAGAGAGAGAGAGAGAGAGAGAGAGAGTGAAAGATAAGAGGGAAAGATAGTGAGCAAGTGATATATAGATATAAAATGTCTACGCCATCACCACCACCACAACCTTCTATTGCTACTACTGCTCCTTCTCAACAACAACAACCTCCAGCAACTAATATCAATGGAGGGTTGATGTCGACTAATCCGCCAGCACCACAACAACAACCAGTTGGTACATCAGCAACAACAGCAGCAAATGTAGTACAATCTATACCTTTATTAGTTACACCACAGAGTAGTGTTGTTGGAACATCAACTCCTCCACCTCCAACCCAACAACAACAACAACAAAAGGAATCATTAAATATTAGCATGGAAAAGAATATAACTCCACCATCAACACCAGAATCAACATCACATCTTTTAAACAAACATTTAAACAAGATTCTATCGGATTGCTCAAAGAAACAACAAAACATTAAAGAAGAGATCAAGAATATCTATGAATTGTTAAAAGCCAATCCAACTTTACTTTCTGGTCGATCTACAATCGATGAATCATCAGTGGTAAAGAGTACAACATGGATACAAATAGTTAGTCATCTATCAACTATCTTTAGATTATCATTTGAATCAAAAAATAACAAATTGATTCAATCTTCTGTTGAATTGGTAGAGGTATGTAAAATATATAATAATAGAGTTGTAATAAATCTAGATTTATTTATTAATCATTTCTTTTCTATTTATTTATTATTTGTAGAAATTAATATCATCAAATTATATAATATCATCAATGTATGATATAAATGATCAAGCCAAGAAACCATTGATTGATAAATTTATTGAACCAACACTTGTACATTGTGTCGATGTAACCGATGACATGACATTGGTACAAATCATTAAATTGGTGCATACTGCAGCCACCAAATTTCACAAGTATACATTGATACTGTCGTTCAAGACTATATTCTATATCTATGTGCACAGTAAACCACAATCCAACCTATCGAATGCATCAAAGACTTCCATCACTCAAATCTTGCGTGGACTATGTCGTCATTTTAAGATTAGTCAACCAATACCTCATCCAAATCATCATCATCACAACAACAACAACAACAACAACAGCCAATCTAAACCATCCAGTCATGCCACTACACCAATTGGGGCACAAACACCAACCACAACTGGATTAACAGATCACCATGGTAGTACCGCGACGGCTCATCATCATCATCATCCAATTAATCATGCAATTAATAATGTTATTTCATTACCAACTGAATTACAATCACCAATTATCAATTCCCCCAATTTCCAATCACCTCCACCACCAACTCCAACAAACAAACAAGTTTTATCAGATGATACAACTTCTTCTGTTGTTTCAAATATTATTGATGAAATGATTGATAAAGTTGTTATTGTAAGTAAAAAAACAAAAGAATATTAATATATTGAATATTTATTTATTAATTTATTATTATTTATTTAATTTTTAGAGTAACAAAGAAAATGATGATCAACAACAATCTACTACTGCTGCTACTACAACAGTCTCAATTCAACAAGACAATAATAATAATAATAATAATAATACTTCTTCAACCACAACTACTGCTACAACTACTACCAATATTGTAGTAGAAAATCAATCAAAAGTTATTCATCCAGAATTTTCAACCATCACAGATGATACAACAGTTGTTGATGAAAATGAAGTATTATTAAGAGATGCAGTTTTGGTATTTAGATTATTATGTGAATTATCTTTAAAGGAAATCGTAGAGTATGTAGTATAATTATAAAGTAGTATAATACTTTTTAAAATATTTATCAATTTTTATTTTCTATTTTTATAGTTATGATTCACCAGAAATTAGAATTAGAATATTTTCATTGGAATTGATTAGTTTAATTTTTGAAGAATTTGGTAGATATTTGAAATTACATTCAGATCTTGTCAATTATGAAATCAAAGAGGGATTATTCCCATCGATTATGGCATCGGGAGTTTCACATAGCAATACCATTTTCAAGTTGTCATTGACATTGTTCCTTTACCTTTTGACTCATTTTAGAGATTTCCTAAAGGATCAAATAGGTCAATATTTCTCTAGTATCATTCTACGTGTACTCGAGAGTACAACTAGTTCAATTCAACATCGTTGGATGGTTTTACAAGTACTTTCACATGTTTGTGAAAATAGTCAAATCCTAGTTGATCTATATTGTAATTATGATTGTAGTTTAAATCATAAAGATATTTTCCAAAGGTAAACAAAAACAAATACAAACAAAAAAAATATATCTAAATAATATTTTTAAAAAACTTTAATATTAATTATTTTTATTTTCTATTTTTTAGAATGGTCGAAGATTTATCAAAAATTGCACAAACAGTGATTCAAGATAACAAATTACATGAATTAAAAGTTAAATATTATTCATTGGAATGTTTGGTGATTCTATTGAAATCATTGGCAGAAGGATTAAATTCAAAGAGAGATGGATTAACACAACGATTGGCATTGTTACCAAGTGAGAATCAATTTACTAAACTTAAAGAACGTAAATTAAAGATTGAAGAAGGTAAAGCAAAATTCAAGGCATCACCTAAAAAGGGTATTGAATTCTTTATCAATCTGGGTGTCGTTGAAAAGGAGCCAGAGACAATGGCCAAGTTCTTGCGTGATACTGGTGGATTGGACAAACAGAGAATCGGAGAGTATATTGGTGAACCCGATGAATTCAACATTGCACTGTTGATTGCATACATTGACACTTTCAACTTTACAGGATACTCTATCGATCTTGCGTTGCGTCACTTTACATCGTTCTTTAGATTGCCAGGCGAGGCACAAAAGATTGATCGTATTATGGAAAACTTTGCAAAGAAATATTTCAACGATAATTGTAGTTATCCAAACTTTGAGTTTGGTAATTCCGACTCTGCCTATGTCTTGTCGTTTGCCATTGTCATGTTGGCAACTGATTTGCATAGTAGTGCCATCAAGGCACACATGACCAAACCAGAGTGGCTAAAGATGAATGCAGGTATCAATGACAAGAAGAATTTCGACGAGTCAATGTTACTCGGTATTTATGACCGTATCAACGCCGAGCCACTCAAGTTGATGGATGACGGTGACGCACCCACGAGTCAGCAGGGTGCTTTGGCAGCCGGTGGCAAGATCCCAACCTCTGTCACATTCACTTTGGGTGACCCTAACAAGGCTATCATCGACTTGCGCGAAAAGTATCATGCCGGTAATCTATTGGAGCATATTGGTGCCATGTTAAAGTCGGTCTGGCACCCTATCCTTGTCTCGCTCAGTCTCGTATTTGAAAACACCGAGGAGATAAAGACCACCCAGAACTGTTTGGACGGTTTCAAGGCCGCTATTGACTTGACCGCACTGCTCGGACAAGCATTGGGAATGGAAGCGTTTATATCGGCGTTGGCCATGTTTACAATCTCGGAAAAGATAAAGGAACTCAAGCCAAAGAATATGGAAGCGTTTGTCAGACTGATCAGCGTTGGAAAGTCAAACGGCAACTACTTGCACAAGGGCTGGCAACCATTGCTCAAGGCCATTTCCATGCTCGAAAGATTCCGCATGAACTTTTTGGGTGTCAATAATCCAAACGGGTCAGACTCTGGCTATAAGCGAACTATCTCGACAAGCGACTTTTTCAAACAAGCTATGGTGGGAGGATCGCGTACACCAACCGGTCCGATTATCGCAGAGGGTATGTCGATTGACTCTGTTGGCAAGGAGATTGAAGTTGCCAACCACCTCTACATGTCGACTGCAACGGCACTCAACGACGAAGCAATCGTCGCCTTTATCGAGTCACTCATCAATGTTGCACACGAAGAGATTCGTATGCCAACACCATCGACATTTAGTTTGATGAAGCTGGTTGAAGTGGCCATCTACAACACTAGTCGTATCAAATTGATCTGGCAACCATTGTCTGACTTTTTCATCAAGATTGGAACACTCCAACCACACGTGGACAATACCTATGTCGCATCACTGGTCATTGACTCGCTCAAACAACTCGCTCAAAAGTTTATCGACCTCGAAGAACAAAACAAAGACCAATCTCAAAGAGATTTCCTTCGTCCTTTTGAAATGATCTTTGCCGCCAATGCCCAACACGAAGTACGTGAGCTCATCTTAAAGTGTATCTTTCAACTGACCAATGGCGGTAGAAATTCGGTGATCAAGAGTGGATGGCGTCCTATCTTTACCATCTTTACGGTGGCTAGTCGCGCCGACCATAATATTGCCAGTCAAGCATTTGACTTTGTCGAAGAGTTGATCAAAGATTTCTCATACATTACAGAAACCTTTTTCATAGACTATGTCAATTGTCTGAGCAGTTATGCCAATAGTCGCCACTGCGATCTCTCGTTAAAGGCCATCGACTCACTCAACAACTGCGGTGTACAACTGGCCAATGGACGTGTCTGTCAGTTGGATGCCCGTGAGGAGGGTGCTGGCGGCAGCGAGACCACCCTATTCACAGACTCTGAACAACACATATCGCTCTGGTTCCCTCTCCTGACTGGGTTGGCACGAGTCATCTCTCATGAAGCACTCGAACCACGTACCTATGCCCTCGACACTTTATTCCGTGTTCTTGCATTGTTTGGCTCGACCTTTTCAACCAAACTTTGGGAACTTATTTTTAGAGGTGTCTTGCTCCCCATTTTCGATAACGTCGGTTATTCCAAGGGACAAACCGAAACCATTCTCGAGGATACCCGTTGGTTGATCCAAACTGGCGACAGTGCATTCAAGAGTCTCACTGAAATGTTTATCAACTTTATCGATATCATTTGTTTCCTACTCGACGATATGATGGATCTCTTTGTCAGTTGCATTCTCCAAAACAATGAAATACTTGCCAAGACTGCCGGTACCTTCCTCATTCAATTGGTTACTTCAAAGGGTAACAAATTCACCGATGCCCAATGGAGTAATGTTTGTTCTCAATTCCTTAAAATCTTTCAAACCAATACTCCATTTGAAATTCATGATTTCAATCAAGTAGCTGGAGGAAAGGAGATTCAACAACAACAACAACAATTAAATTCAATTCAAGAGAATGATCTACCATTACCAGTTTTATCATCATCCACTTCTTCTTTGGGTTCACCAATTAAAAATATTAAACAACCATTATCAGCTCCAATATCTCCACTTTTTTCAAGTACCAATCCAAATAACAATCAAATTAATAATAATTCTAATAATAACAATAATAATAATAATAATTTATCGGCATCTTTACCAGTAACTCCATTATCACTAACACCTCCACGTCGTAATTTCTCTGAAGAAAATATGAATATTAACGATAATACTCAACAAAATGAACAAATTAATAATAATTTAATGGAACAATTAAAACAACATCAAAATAATTTGGATCAAAATAGTAATAGTAATAATAATAGTAATAATAATAATAATGAACAACAACCACCAGCACCAGTATCGGTAACAGTCGTACAACAACAACAACAACCAACGATTCCATCTGTACATTCACATAACCGATCATTTTCAGCTTTACCAAATTTACAAAGTGTATTGAAAAAGAATCATCATTCGAGAACTTCAAGTGCAAGTGCATCAATAGGAGGAAATGGAAACAACAACAGCCACAATTCGAGCAATATGACAACTGAACAACAATTAAAGAGTATCCAATCAAAATGCTCTGTTCAATTACAAATGGTTCAAGCAATCAATGATGTTGTATTTTCGCATTATGAATTCCTAAACACATCTCAACTTTTGTGTTTGGGTGATTGTCTCGAAATCTCTTATCACTATTGCACAGGTGTTTACAGTGACGATAAATTATCGGCAACCATCTCCAAAATTGGAACAGTCCTCAAGATTCTTCAACAAAATACTATTACTGGTTATTTAAATCTTTTAATCGTTCTTTACAATGAAAATTGTATTGATGTTTTATCAAGAACTGTTCATTCTGAATATAGATTAATTAGGTAAATAGAAAAATAGATCAGCCAAAAGAAAAATATTATTTATTAATCTTTTTTTTTATTTTATTTTTTTTAAAGTTTATTTAAAGAATTGATTGAAAATTATTTAAGATATCCAAATGAAAGTGTAGTACAAACAGAAACCATTTTAAAGATATTGCATGGCATTATTACATTTAATGATGAAAAGTTTATTAGAAATATGAGCCTCTTTTACGATCTATTAATTCAATTGTTGATGAACGATAGTAAAGATGTAAGATCCTCTCTAAGAGATATCTTGATTAGAGTTGGAAAATTAAATTGTAATCATCAACATTTAACAACATAAATTTAAATTAAATTAAATTAAATAAATAAATATTTAATTCTTTTTTTGAATAATTAATTATTGTTCTTTTTGTTTATTAATATTATTATTAATATTATCCTTGTTATAATTATTATCCTTGTTATTATTATCATTATTATCCTTGTTATAATAATTTCTACGTGTATAATTAATATTTGGTTTTGATTTATCGTATTGATCTTGAACCAAAACTCTCATCAATACTGGATAGTTGGGATCTAGATATTCCGGTTTGAAAAGGATTTCTGGATTATTGATTACATGAATATTTGGTGGTGATTTTGTAAGAGTCAAACTCTTGGCAATAAAAGCAGTTCTTGTGGAAAAGAGCATTTTGTTGTACTTTTGAAAGGAGGCATTTTTATCTCTGTTTGGATGTTTTGAATAGACGTTGACCATCATTGACAAGAGTGTCTCTCTTGAGAATGAATTGGAACGTGTGTTTACTGAACCTCCTTCATCCTCGAGTGATCTTTTCTCTTGTGCACGTTTTTCGAGCACTGAAAAGAGTCTATCTGCAACATCGTACTCTCCAAATTGACCCAATGTATATAATGTATCTTGTGCTCTTTCACATGAAATAAAATATCCTTTTTGAATTGCATATGCTATATAATCTGCTGCCAACTAAAGAGAAAGAGAAAAGGGTGTGAATAAACAAAGTACTGTTATTTAATATTTATATTTATATTTACCTTTGGTTTACCCAATGCCAAAGATAAATCAATAGCAGCGTATGCATAGGTATCACTTGTTTTCATTGGTCTTAGTTGTAAGAGTAACTTTTTAGCTTCTGGGATACGATTGCTTTGAATAAACAATTCCATCATTGTTTCGAGGTAGAACCAAGTGACACGTTGTGGATCGACCTTTTCAAATTCTTCAAGTGCCAAATCGGTTTGATTGATGAGGAATAGCGCACGAACATAGAGAGAGTGTTCTCTTGATCCAATGGTAAGATCTGCACCATATGCTTTCATTACCTTGGCAAGGTAATAAATATAGGCAGGCTTTTCAGTCTTGAATACTGGTTTGAATGGTGCCATTGTCTTTTCTGCACCAACAGACTCTAAGAATTGGCATAAATCATTGATTGGGTATCTATGATGAATGAGTCTAACAATTAAATGTTTGAATAATCTTGGTAAATGTACTTGTACTAATCTATCTTCATCTTGTTCAGCAATATTATTGTTGTTGTTGTCGTTACTGTTTGGATTTTCTTGTTTTATCAAAACATAATGATCATTTTCTTCATCATCTTGATCTACAAATACAGAGATATTGTGTTGTTTTCGGTGTTGAACGAATGCATTGACAATGATTTCAGTAGCCTCCAATGATCCATCCAATGCTTTTACTCTTTTTGCGTATTCTACCAATACCTTTTTATGTCCAATTTTCACTGCCTCTTTGAATACTTGATCTTGTTCACTGTATCCATAATCTTGTTTATTTTTAATTTTCTTTATCTGCTCTTCTCCTTCTCCTCCTCTTCCTTCTTGTTCTCTATTGTTTTGATTGTTATAACTTGATTCTAGATCTGACATGGACATTATCATTGGTTTCTTTGATGTTGATACTGTCTCACCAAAGACCTTTAAAGATTCCATAAATCCTTTTAATCCTGGCTTTTCTTCTTTTACTGTATGTTCTGTCTGTCCCGTTGTTGTCGTCGAGTAGTATCTACTACTACTATTATTATTATTATTGTTGTTGTTATTGGTATAAACATGATTATGATTACTATAGTAAGAAATACTAGATTTACATAATCTTCTAGTTGTTGTTGTAGTAGTTGATCTAAGTAATGACATGATTACTCTATATATATTTCTACAACTATATAGTTGATAAATTATAAAATGATTGTGATGGTTTATACTTTTTTTGAAAAACGAGTCGGTTGTATTATATTTATTTTATGAATTAAATAATTTTTGTTTAAATCTATCATATAAACTATTATTATTATTATTGTTATTATTATTTAATTCTTTTTCTTTTTTCTCTTTTAATTTAATACATTCTTTGAGTATGTTGGTTGCATAATACTCGTAGTTGAGGAATGGTAATTTTAAAAGATAGTTTGATGGATAGTGTTGAACAAGACACCCAACAACACTTCTAATCGGATATTCAAATGATAATTTGGTTGGTCGGATATTGGGATACCTGGCAATCATATAACATAACAATTCAATGTTGGTAGATTGAGCTGCCTTGTCAATAACAGTTGGTTGATGTTGTTCCAGAGCGACGTCAGTCAGAATTGGTTGTACGACCAATTGATTTTCTAGTTGAAAATGAACCATCTCTAAACTACCATTTCTAATAACCTTGTTGAATGTTTCTTGATCTAATAGTTGAGGAATTAGTTTCTTATCACTACCAAAGAAATGAATAAAACAAAATTGAAATAATTCTAATGATTTGGAAGAGGTTGTAGCAGTTGCTGTTGAATTAAATAATTCAAGTTTGGTAGGTTCGTCAATCAACTCGACCAATTGGCAATGGTCACGTAGATACTTGATACATTTAATTGCCGAGTGTTTAAATGCTGATTCAACCATTGCACGATACGATCTAATATATTTAAATAGATCATTTCGATGTAAAAAGTCTAAAAACTCTACTCGGTCATTCTTGAACCCAACATTGCCTATAAAGTCAAGATGATCAAATATCTTTGGTGAAAATGATTCAGGACACTTTCTCCAAATATATTCAACCAATTCTAGAGAATATACCAATGCGTGTTGAAGAAAGTATGCATAATGTTTATCGTTGAGAAGATGTTTGTTTCTTTTGAGTAACCATGTTTTGATATTACAATGTGGTTTGTTGTTGGAGTAGGATGAGGAGGAGTGTGGTTTGTGTAAGTTTCCTGCTCGAGGAGGAGCTACTAATAGGTGATCCCAAAATGGAGCACGAAACATAACCTTTACAGGTATGTTTGGGTCAATGTCAACTACTAGTTGAGCCTTTTCAACTATATACTCGAATAATGGTACACTGTCTCGTCGATGTACCGATGCTATATAATCCTTTACACGTGTTTCACTTTGATTTGAAATCAATTGCTCCCACAACCCAGAGTCAAACAAATAAATCAAGACACTTTCATAATTGTCTCGACCCTCTGAAATGATGTTGATGACATCTGCTCCAGTCCATTGAAAGTATGTCTCTGACCGTGTTTGTTGTAGGTATCTAACCAGTTCCATGCTACCAGCCAATGCAGCACACTTTAGTGCCGGTTCAAATGGTTGTAATACGGATAGGTTACTCTCTTCTTGAAGATACCGTACTATATCCGAGTGTCCACCATACACTGCCTTTTTAAGTATCTCTTTTGTGCAAACACTTCCTCTCCTCTGTTCGTGCAAATATCTCAGTACATTTAAATGTCCATTTTTTGCACTATAATCCATTGCATCGGCAGTTGCAGGTGCACCAACTTGATCGAGATACATTACAATATCTAAATACCCAAGTTCCGATGCCATGTTGATTGCAAGTGTAGTGACAGAATCTTCTCCAAGACGATTGTAATATAACTTGACCATATCCAGCGACCTTGAAGGCACTGTGTTATCAGTGAAACCAGTCACACCTGATTTTGGTGGTGGACATCTATCAAGATGACTGAATAACAAAGTTGCAATCTTTAAATTAATGTCTTTTTCAGAATTATTATTTCTTGCAGCATTGAGAATAGCCATTGAAGAGAATGATTCCGACGTCGGTCTATTATTCAATAAATATTCTATGACATTTAAATGTGAATTGGTAGCTGCCAACTCTACACCTCTATCCACCTTTAAATGAGGATATGTCTTGGTTAAATAATCTAGTGTTGATAATTGACCATACTCTGATGCAGTGTCAAGTGTCACGGTAGTTGGTTCAATACCAATCGTTTGAATTGCATAAACCAAGCATTCGACACTACCACTTGCAGCCACATTATCAACTACCCAACTCTTTGAATCTACCAAATTTGTATCTTGACTCCCCAAATCAAAAGGTAAATCAAAATAGTGAGGATACAGTTGATACAACCTTTGCAATACCTTTACATCTTTACAATTCCTTAGTATTACAGGCATTGCTCTGAAATAGACTACAAACTGTGCGTCATTCAATAATTTGTATCTAAATAAATTGAATGATCTTTGTTGTTGTTCTATTATACTCTTTTGATTATTATTATTATTATTATTATTATTATTAGTGTCATCAGTGGTATGACAACATCTTAGATTAGATATAGATATATATGATAAATCTTTGAATTTAGTGTATTCAATATTATTAAATTGCTGTTGCTGATGTTGTCTATTGATTATAGGTATGAATTGAAATATATGATTTAATAATACTTTAGATTTAATCACTCTAAATATAGTTGTAGTAGCTGTTGTTGTTGTTTTATCTTCCATTATTATTATTACTATTATATTATTATTACATTATCTATAGATAACAAACTCATAGAGTAGAAGTAGTAGTATGGTTCATCTAAAAGTATCAGTTGTTTTTTTTGATTAATTTCCATTTATTCATGACCATCTAAAGACTAGACTGGATAGGATACTAATAAACGGATATTTGAAAATAATTAGTTAGTTTAATGATATTATTCATTCATTTAAGATATATATCAAGTATGTACATATACACAAAGACATACTAATGATCATTTGTGGAGGAGCCAGACTTTTGAAACCAACCAATTTTAATTTAATTTTTTTTTTAGTGAGGGAGTTGTTTTCCTCGAACATGTTGAAGTCCAATCATTCATTCTTTCGGCTTGTTCATCTTTAATCTATTTTATATTATTATTATTATTATTATGATTACAATTATCCATCATCAAGAATAGATTATGACAACACCATCAACAGCAGCAGCAGCAACAACAACATCATCAATAGCGGCAAACATAGACGTGTTTGATCCATCGCCATATGAGAATGATCATGACTTACTACTACAAAAAGCAATCGACTTTTGTATGGCAAGAGATCAGTAAGTAGTGCCGCTGTAGTATTTGTACCCACTCTATTATATACTTACTTACCTTCTTCTTTATCTCTTTTTTAGTTTATGGTGTAAACATCCATCCGCAGTCAAAGCAATATTAGCAGATATATGTCAAGCTCCTGACCAACTTCGAAATCATCTATCTGAACAACTTTCAAGATGTTTAGATTGGTATGTTATTATTACTTTTGTATTATTATGATTACAATCATCACTAATACTTACTTACTTACGTAACTTTCTTGTCTATTTATTGATTGATTGATTGAATGATTTAATTAAACCATTTATTTTAGTATCATCAAATATCATAGAGAAAAGAAATTAATGAGGGATAAATATTTGTCGGAATTTACCACAGACAGTGTCGATGAACTATACAATGAACTTAAAAAGGGTGATCAGAATCGGTTGCTAGTATCACTCGATCGTTATGGTCACGATACTGCTAGATTGGTCAATATCTTTCACGAACTACTCCATCAACCAGAATTATTAGAGGAACCGAGGTTATACGTTTTGTTCAAGGAAAAGTTGTCATCGACCGTTACAGATTACGATGTGTCATTTGGTGATCCAGGTAAAAAGGTGCCTGGTGTCTATGTCTTGCTTATGAGTGGTGACAAGGTGTTGATCGATTGGGCAATCTGTCATCTCAAAGACAATGATGGAAAGATTGATGGGGAGGAATTTCATGTCATTCATCCAATCTTTGAAAGATGTGTATCAAAGATAAAGAATTATCATAAAATACGAATATTACAACAAAAGAATACAACTACAACAACAACAACAACAACAACTACCAATAATAATAATACCACTTCAGCAGTAACAACAGAAGATGAATTTATTTCCTATTTTTCTGATGATATCAATCATTTTTGGAGTGGATTTCAATTATTTTTAGAATATATTAATAATGATACTTTAAAGGTAAAAAAAGAAAAAAGAAAAAGAATATATATTTAGATTTAGATTAATAATAATAGATTTATTAATTTTGATTTATATTGTAGAATGGAATAATTCAATATTTTCCAATGTTTATTGATATTATATTATCAGAGATTGATGTAGTACCCAAACCAATGATAAATCATCATTATCTATCATGTATCAATCAATTGTTATCAGTTTTTGGTAATGACATTTGGAGCTATTCACAAAAATATACAGCCACCACCTATTCTCAATCATTGTTTGATCTCTTTACGCTGTATCGAGATGAGACGATTATCAACAAATGTTTTCAAATATTTTCACAAATCCTTTTATACGTTAGAGAGGATAATTCTCCCGAAGCAAACTTTCTTCGTCAAACATTGATTGAATTCTTTTTAAAAGAAAGTAATTTAAATTCAAATCAAGAACATCTATACAACAAATCTCAAATTAATCAAACTGTCAAAATTAAATCATTTTCAATTTCAATGGATATTTTAATGACTTGGTAAAAGATAAAAAAAAAAGAAAAAAGAAAAAAGAAAAAAAAAGAAAAGAAAATAATTAATATTAATTTAATTTTTTTATATTTATATTTATAGTTATCAATTAAAACAATTTCCAATAGTTAAAGGATGGGAAGAAAGATTAGTTTATTATGCAATTCAATACCCAGCTTCAAATAATAATAATAATCATAATAATAATCAAAAAAACTATCATTCCTCTTCATATAATAATAATAATAATAATCATTCTTCTTATAATAATAATTATAATAATAATCAATCAAAAAATTCCATGTATAGTCCATCACTTGAAGATATTATAAAAGCAGAAAATCTTTTAAATTCAATTTTAGTTTCAAATGCAACAGAATTAAGATTAAGATTTCAATTAGTTTATCATTCTTCAAATGATACAAAACTGAAAATTTTAAAAGATGATTGTATGTACAAACAACAACTATTTATTGAATATTTATTAATTTCTTTTTTATTTAGGTTTATTTTGGAGAGATGATATTTGGAGAATATTATTATCACAATCATCACCAAATACAATTGGATTTAAAATTCATGAAACATTATTTAAATGTCAAAGAGTGTTGTGTTTATTGACAAGTGGTAATGATATTATTAATAATAATGTTCATTTATCATCTGTACTTTCGAATCCAAGTAAACGACCAGCACTATATCGATACCTTCATCAATACCAAGAATATATGAGTCAATATATTGTACAATTTGCCAATCAATATCCATTCAACACTCCCAAGGAACCAGGAAACGAATACATTAAACTCAACTTGTTGGACCAAGAAAACTTTGCAAGATGTCTCTTTTCGTTGGTAGTTTCATCGTCAGACGTTGTAAGAGAGAGTGCTAAAAAGTTGTTGCTCAAGAAATACAACTCGAAAAAGACCATTACAGAAGCTTTAAAGGCTGCCATTGAAAATTCACCAAACGATGCATTACTTGGTATCATTGGTATCTATAGAGACATTGTTCTCAATTTTGGAGCACCATACATTCAAAGTAGTTATCATTTACTCTTTTACTACTCGAATCATATCTTTTACCAACTCAAAAACCAATTGGCTCCATCACACACACAGACCTACTTTCCTTTGATGACCGATGCCTTTTGGTGTCTTGTTGAACTCTTTTTCCAACAGAATCAACTATTCAAGATTGAAGATCTCTCCAACCTCTTTATCCTCTTTACCGACTCGTTTTCAACCTTGTCGCTCGAGCATTACACATCCATCACCAAGACATCACATACAGCCACCAAAGAGGATGGCACCACTCCAGCATTTCTAGTCAACCACCAACAACTTATTTTCCCAACACTCGATTCTTACCCTTCCTACATGCGATCACATCTTGCTCGTCTCTTTGTCGAACAAAGCAACGAAGGTGTCATCGATCTTGAAGACAATGGTTTAGATGGTGATGATGGTCGATTTATCTATCAATACCAATTACAAAACGGTGATCAATTGGCAACCATCACCAACTACCCCGCCATTACTACTCAATTTGATAATTATGAACTGTTGGCCGATGATATCAAATGTTATTATCGTCAAAGTGACTATGATGATAATAGCTCAAAAATCTATACTAGTATCATCAATAATCATAGTCATTGGATTGAATTATTTATCAATTGGGGTGATGAAAATGTAAATTGGGCAAAATCTTTTATTCAAATTACAAAATGTAAGTAAAACAACAAAAAAAGATAAATATTATTATTTATTTATTTATCATCTTTTTTTTTTTATTTTAATTTTTTTAGCAATATTAAAAAATGAAATACCACCATGTACATTTTTATTGGAATATGTTGCAAAATTATCAAAAGCGATTGCAGGTAAAAAGATTCAAGATGATATTAAACAAACTTTGGAAAAACATTTGGTTGTTATGAATCAATATAATAACCAACCAGTCAAACAACAACCTCCACCAGTTCAAAAAACAATTCACAAGAATCCAACATCGGGAGGTGGATTAGGGGGGCATGGTGCTCCACAGTTGATTAAAAGTTTACACTCTTCATCACCAACCCTTTCTTTTACACCGACATCATCTTCTTCTTCTACTCCATCACCACAATTCTCTAGACAACACGCCAATTCAAAAGATTTTTCAAATATTATTGGTGAATTGTCATCAAACAATGCAAATGTATTTGATTACTTTGAACAAACAAGTCGATCCATTCCATTGGCCGATAGAAAAAAAACAAAAATCTTGGATTTGGATGTTCCATTGTTTAGAAAAGACAAGGCCAGTAAATACCAACATCAAATGGAAAAGTTCTTACCAAAAGTTGAAAACCTTCATAAAATCATTTTATCTTGGGATCCTGCAAATTTAAATGAAAATGTAAGAATATTATAAAAAAAAAAGATTTGATTCAATTTATATTAATCTTTTTATTACTCTCTTTTTTAGGATACAAAAGGATTAAGATCAATTCCAACAACATTTGAAAATTTATCAGAATATATTGAAATTTTTGAACCATTATTATTACAAGAATATAAAGGTCAATTGATAAAGAGTATGGAAGAAATGGATAATGTTTGTTACAAGTTGACAGTTGAAGATGTTGCACGAGAGAATGATTTCCATGTTTGTGATTATTTCTTTGATCACAACCAAAGTTCCGATGAATTCTTTATCGATGATTTGGTCATCATTTCAAAACCACAATTTGGTGGATCAAAGTTTGGTAAAATTGAGAAAAAGGAGAAAAAGGAAAGAAAGGAAATGAACAATATCAAATGCAGTTGGATCAAGGTACGATTCTTTTTTGAAAATGCTACTAGTTCCAATGCCAACCCAAGTACAACGCTAATTGGTCAACTCAAAATTGGTAGTCAATGGAAAATGACTAAATTAACAAGTCTTTCAACCGTCAACAGAGAGTATATGGCTTTACACACGGTTGGAAAGATTCCTCTTGGTGCATCAATCATTTCACCCAGTCTTTCACTATCATCCTATTCACTTGAAAATGCATCGTCACGTGTAACTATTCCCAAAAAGTTAGAGTCTGCTCTCAAAGAATCTTTAAATGACAGTCAGATTGAAGCTATCCACGCTTCTCTTACACCAAGTGGTTTCACTCTACTTCAAGGTCCACCAGGTACCGGTAAAACCAAGACTATTATCGCTCTCCTCTCTGTTCTCCTTCACACAATGACACCAATCAAAGATGACTCTAAACTTAAAAATCAAGCTCCTATTAAAATTCTTGTCACTGCTCCTTCCAATGCTGCCGTTGATGAAATTGCTACTAGAATTTTAGATCAAAGAATGTTAAATCAAGATGGTTTACCTTATCAACCTTTTTGTATTAGAATTGTAAGAAGAAAACAAAATAGAATCAATAATGGAATTATTTTTTTGTTAATATTTATTTCTATTTTTTTTTAGGGAAACAAACAACAAATTAATTCAACAGTTTCAAAAATAAGTTTAGATAATTTATTAAGTGAAGAACTTCAAAAAGATGATAACAAGGTTTCTCAAATTCAACAAAGAGTTGCCTCCTTGCATGAAGAATCTGAAAAGACTAGATCAGAATTGGATGAAGTACATAATAGAATTAATCAATTAAGTACAGAATTAAAAGTATTACGTGATGCTAAACAACCAACAGATCATATTACTTCGGAATTGACTAAACTACACAACAAAAAGTCAATGTTGAAGTCTTCGAAAAACAACTTTGTCGATCTAAGACGAGGCTATGATAATTTGGAAAATGAAAAGAGATCAATGCTTAGTAACATGTTGAATCGTGCATCTATTATTTTGTCTACATTGTCTGGTAGTGGTTACGAATCATTGTCGGCAGCAGTCAAACAATTTGATGTTGTCATTATCGATGAAGCAGCCCAAGCTGTTGAATTGTCTACATTGATTCCACTCAAACACAATGTTAAAAAGTGTATTTTGGTAGGAGATCCAAACCAATTGCCTGCCACTGTCATTTCACGTATTACGACCAACTTCCAATACGAACAAAGTCTCTTTCAAAGATTGTCACAATGTGGTATCCCCATGCAAGTGCTCAATGTTCAGTATCGTATGCATCCAACCATCTCTAGGTTCCCATCGAAACATTTCTACCACGGACAGATCAAAGACGGTCACAATGTGATTGCACTCAACCACAACATCTACAAAGATGCTCGTTTTGGTCCATTTATTTTCTACGATATCACAGACAGTGTGGAAGACAGCAACCAAAGCTCACATTCACTCAGAAACGTTCACGAAGCAAAGTTGGCAAATCTCATCATCTCTCAATTGCTCGTTCATTTCTCAAAGGATTGTGAAAAGCTTTCGATCGGTGTAATTACACCTTACAAACAACAACAAATCGAACTCTCACGTAGACTTTCTCATTTTAACAGTATGGTCGAAGTAAACACTGTCGATGGTTTCCAAGGTCGTGAAAAGGATATCATTATTTTCTCTTGTGTACGTGCTCACAAAGGTGGTTCAATAGGTTTCTTGTCAGATGTTAGAAGAATGAATGTCGGTCTTACACGTGCCAAATTATCGATGATTGTCATTGGACATACAAATCTTTTAATGTTAAATAGTGATTGGGGTGAATTGATTAAATTTTCAAAACAAGTTCCAAATGGATGTAAGTAAAAGAAAAAAAATTAAATAGAAAGAAAAAAAAAAAAGAAATGATTCTAATTAGAGATCTCTTTTTTATTATTATTACTTTCTAGATTTCCCAATTTCTTCTAGATCAATTGAAGACAATCAATTGCCAATTGTTCCTTTAGTATCTAAAATTCCATTTAATAACCCACCAAATAATAATAATAATAATAATAATAATAATAATGGTAATATGGGTGATGATGGTAAAAACAAAAAGCATTATATGGATGATCAGAGAGGAGGACCAAACACAATTAAAAAACAAAAATATTAAAATAAAGATCATAACATAATATATTGAGTACCAAAAAGATCAAACAAATGATCTGCATGCCTCTTCTCCACTTGATTAATCAGAGACCCGTCCTACTATAAAGAGATAAACATTGTAAATATACTTGAGGTATTTCGGTTTTTAATCTTTGATACTTGTATACTTGCAACTTTCAACCAAGGCCAAGGCTTCACCTCAGCTCTGCAGATAAAAGAAAGTATAAAATGATATATATTTATAACCTCTTTCATCTGCAAAGCTGAAACCGATTAGCCTTGGTAACTGAATCCATCGGTTGATACGATTGTTAATTCCCGATTTCATTTGATCCATAATGTACTTGACATTATTGTGGTCAGTTCGAACTTAATACTATAACCAAAAATATTATAATTAGTACGAAGAGCAAATACTACTGCAGCTTTTCTACCACACAAGACTATAAATAAGAATGGTTACATATTGGAACAAACTAGCTCTATACCTAAATAGTATTATTATGATCATAAGTAGCTTGTGTTACAGTATCAACTCTTATTTATTGTATTGCAAATGTTATACTATGAAGAGTTGATGAAAGAATCTTACATTAAAATGGCCTGCCTATTTGACACTATGAGATTCGTTATTACTCTTTTAATTATTTCTATTGTAATAACTACACAACTTGTGTATCTTTTGTTTTTTTCAAGCCAAAATCATTCTTAATTTTATATTTTATTTAATTTTGAATTATTAATTATGGAGCAGCTCCATGAACTGGATCAAAAGAAGTTGTAAGTGAACTATTTTGAACAGCCATGAGTGGACGATACCATGGTGGTTGGTATTGAGTTTCATTGTAACTTTGGTAGGCAAGACCTGCATCATAAAATATTCCTTGGTTGTTGAGTGGGAAGTCTTCATCTTGAGCAATTCTAGAGTCCAAGATTCCATGCTCTGACTTGTGACAAAAGAGGAACTCACAGTGAGCCCAAAACAATAATGTAGCGACCAATGGAATGATCACTAGATTTCCCCAAAAGAAATCATACACATTGAATACTCCAATCATGACGAGTTGATAAATGATTAACCCAACAATACTACGTCTGTATGCCAATGGGTATAATGATCCTCCTGATTGATAATTTGGTGTATTGACCCAAATAATATTATACTTTTGTGCCAAATAAGCTCCCATAAAATAAATGGTTCCAAATATAAGAATGAATGGTGTCAATGTTGAATAGGCTAAACAAATTTGAAGATATAACCTAAATAATTAATTAATTAAATTAAAATATTAGAAAAAGATGGTTAACTTTTTTTATCTTTTCTTTCTTTTGGAAACATACAAATTGGTAGTATAACTTGTACTATAAGAAAATGGTCCACATTTTTGAACTTCTTCTAATTGTCTTTTGGTTGATACAAAATATCTGATCCGAATAGATTTAACAATTAATTCAATTAATCTTAATACTTGTAAAAATACTCCTACAGCTAAAAGGAAATAAAAAAAAAGAATATATTAATATTAATATTAATTTTAAGATTTGATTTTGTCTTAAATTTTTATCTACTTACAGGCAATCATAATTAAATTGATCATTTGGAAAGCTTGACCTGGGAGAGCAGTAGAGAGAAGAGTAATAATGGTTGAAGGATTATTGACGATTGATTCCAAAGATTGGAAGATTGAACCGGCGATAGCAGAGATGAGGAAAACGTTGAATACTTGGAAGAAAAAGTATTTAGAGAATACCGACTTGTCAATAGAGGTGAATGAATGGAAGCCTTCAATCTTGGAGGCCAAGGTAATGATTGGCACCAAGATGATCATAAAGATGATCAAAACAAGATTGGGAAGGAAACCTTGGAGGAAACCAGAGAGGACTGAAGACTTGTTGATGATATCAACCAACCATGAAAAGGCAGATATCTTGGCGAGTGTGGCGAGATTAGAGAAACCAGATAAAAAGGCAACTGGAATCGACCAGAAAAAGACGAGGAAAAAGATAAAGATGGAAACGAGGAGAGTACGAATGAGAATGGATTTGTAGCCAACCGAGAGGTTCTTCCAAAAGATGTCACTTGGGTCTGGTGAATCATGTCTTCTAAATTGGTATGGGTAGTCTCTATTCATGATGGTTTGGACTGATATCTTGGCAGATTGTTTTTGGCTAAACACTACAAAGGCTGCTGTTGATCTGTTATTCTCTGCTTCATGTCTTTCACTTTCAATCTCCTTGTTGAGTTCATTGATACGTTGTTGATAGTATTCCAAAGCTTCTCTCTTTTCACCAAAGCATCCTAGGAATCCAGTCTTTACAAATTGCACTTTCTTTTTTGACTTTTCCTGAGCCACCTCGTAGCTCTTGATGAATCCTTCACGTTGTTGGATAAGAGTGAAAATGTGGTCAGCTGGATGATGCATGACAACATCTTGGATATCACCAAGGGTTGGTGGGAAGAAGGAGTAGAGAAAGTTGGTGAGTTGGTCCTTGGTAGAGATTGATTCTGGAATGTCCTTGATGAGTACCGAGTAGTTGCACAATCTATTTTGACATTTATATAGTATTCTCTTGATACTATACTCTCTATAATCCAAAAAGGTGAAAAAGAGTACGACTGCAGTGACAATCAATGTAAAACATAGATGTACCCAAAGTTTGTTGCTACCACGTTCAATGTTGGACATGGAAATCAACGAAAGTCCTTTGATCTCATCGACCAATTCTCCATCTTCATTGGTTGGACGATTCTCATTGTACTTTCCATAATAATTGGTTGGATACAATGCAATGGCAGACAATACCATTAATATTACCATAATCATTAATGATGTTTTAATTTGTCTAAGATAAAAATATGCATCCTAAAAAGAAACAAAAAAAGAAAGAATAAAAAGATAAATAAATAAATAAATAAATAAATAATTGGATTTAACGTATTAAAAATATATATATTTCTTTTTGTTTGTACTACTACATACCAAACCAGAATGTTCAATAATTTTTTGATTTGGATAACGAATGGTAGAACCAATCCAACCAAAGAAAGTATTGGAAGGTGGTTGATCAACGGTTGTACCTTGTTGTTGATGCATTTCATAACGGTATCGGTAGACTAAATTGTATCTTCTACGCAATACACAAAATAGTATCAATCCAAGAACCCCAATCACTACATTGATTACCAATGTAACGACAAATGCTGAATCTTGTACTTCATATCTATTTGTCATTTTTTTTTGATTTAATACGAAAGAGAATAAATATTGTTTTTACTCCCTTTTATATTTTGATGTTGGGTGTAATATAAATATAAATAAAAATAAAGGTTTGTATATATAAATATATAAATAACTATATAAATAACTATATAAATAACTAACTATATAGTGAACAAGTTTTGAAAGAAAGCTAGCTAGCTCGTTAACACTTGTTTGAGCAACAAACCAACTAATAATTAATTAAGTTAGTTTTTGGTTAGGGTCAGGTACCTTGAGCTGACTGATGATTGTTGAATGATTAAAAAAAAAGTTGAGTTGTTGTTGTTGTTGTTGAACCTATTTAAAACTTTGCATATGATAAAATTTGCAGTTGCTAGCCTGAATTGGATTGATCTAAAAAAGGCAATGATAAAATTTGTCAGCAGATTGGTTTTTGTTTTTTTTTTATATTATCGGTATCAACATACTCTATGAGAGGTGAATGAAAAAAAAAAACAACTATTGAAAGAAACAAGATGTTTGTTTGTTTGTTTGTTGCAAAAGATCCATCAGACAACGCGCTCTCTTGGATAAAAATAAACAAAAACAAAAATTAATTTAATTACATTCAGTGTGTCTGTTGTCAGTGTCGTCGTCTTTCTATCATTGAATGAACCACACAACGCACCCCTTCACACAAAATGAAAAAACATTCATTCAGTGATCTCGACCATCGGTGTGTTGCATGCACCACCACAGCTTCTAAAGCACGTGTTTAATTAATTCATTTTGTTGGTGTGTGTGTATGTTGCTCCTTTTGGGGGTATTATTACATGTTATTTATATTTATAAGTGATTATAGGAATGATGATCTTTGTTACAGTTTAAGTTAAAAATCATTGCCCGTTCCCCCAATATCATGATTTTTTATTATTGTTGTTGAAGAAAAATAGGATGTTGGATGTTGAATGTTGGTTGAATATGATTACTCACTCATCTGTTACTCTTAATTAGAGTAAACTCTATATTATCTATAGTATTGTTAAAAAAAATGAGGAGTGAAACCTTATTCGTTTTTTTTGAACATCCCCTTTTTTTTTTTTTTTTTTTTTTTTTGTATTTCAGGGTCGATTGAGAAAAGTGCTCTGAACAACAAATAGGGTCATATTTAACAAGTGTAGTGAGATAGATAGATATAGGATAGATCTAAGAGTAGTGATTATAATCAACTACAAATCACACACTATCTCTTGTACACAATGCCTTCAACTACATCATCATCATCATCATCGAATATAGTACCTTCATTTCATCATCAAACCGAAGTTGAATTAAGATCATTTGGTGATAACTTTGATCATTGGAGAGAGTTTTATCTATCATCACCATCTTCATCATCATCATCGACAACAACAACAACATGTTATAGATCAGGTGGATTTTCATATTCAAATACTCCTCATACTAGAAATAGATTCATATTATGGTAGGTAGATAGATAGATAGATTAGATGATAGATTGTGATTCGATTCATTTATGGTTCTAATATAACGTTATATTCATTACTACTATTACTATATATCTATTTATATAGGAGAGCAAACAATTCAGTATTAGAACTGTCAGAGTTTGACATGGGATTGAGATTAGATGATTCATCGATTCGTATCAACTTTCCAGCAACTATAAATCAGAATAGTGGTGTTTGCATCTTTGAATGCAATCAACAATATATTGTTATCATGGTATTATTGGATACAAAGATACTCTATAGATTCACTTTTGTACATCCATGTGCCGATTCTTCAAATGTATGTTAAACATATTGAATTGATTTGTAAATTGTGAATTGTAATATTAATAATGTTGGTCATATTTTATTTGCACTTTTAGTTGATTGGAAACAAAAGAAAACAAGATCAATATGCTAATAGTTTGGGTGGATTAAAGAAATCGATATTTTATAACATTTCAATTGGCGATTTGGAAAACTCTGCTTCAATGATGAGATCACCATTGATTGGAGGAGGTGATTCCGTAGAGGTAACAGTCTGCAAGATACTGTCACCAACTAGATTATGTGTTGCCACCAATCATTCAAATTATGCACTGTGGATTGAATTGTCCGATGTATCACCACCAGCATCATCACACCACCACCAACACCAACATCAACAAGACTCAATGGATCAATCTATGAATGGAGATTTGACAGTGATTAAAAAGGTAGAGTTGAAGGAAGGAGGTTTCTTGTCATCTTTTATTCCATCAAAGTATACATCCTCTTCATCTTCATCGTCACCCGTTCAAGACATTCAATTCCTTCAACACCAGTCACAACACAATCCAACCATCTATGTATTTGTATTACACGCCGACAATACAATTAAAATTTGGTCTGCACAAGAGAAACAATGTCTATTTACATTTACAATTGATACTGAAAATTGGTCTCAAACAATTCAGTCATCCTCTTCGACTCGTAAAATGTTTAAATTATACAATCATAATTTAAATTCAAATAATTTTAATCTCTTATCATTCTCTTTAATTCTTTATATTGAAATGGAAGAAAGTGAATCTCATGTATGTAAAAGAAAAAAGTATAATATATTTATTTATTTATTTATTGGTTGATTAATTCTTTTTTCCTCTATCTTTTGCTTTTTATTATAGTTTCAATTTTATTCAGGATTAATTGAACCAAATAATACAAGATTACAATTACAAAGAGTATCATATACCAAATCAACAGGATTAATTGATTTTAGTGTAACTGCTCAAAAAGATACTTTATATGCATTGTTTAAATCAGATAGTACTACGAGTCAATTGGATCAATCAGACTATGTAAATGATTCAACTGATTCACCATCATACTCTATCGAATATATTTCATGTGCTGGAGTCATTTCAACATTTGTGGGTGATGGTAGTAACGATGTGAATATGGCATCGTCGGATGAATACTCTGAGAATATTAATATGGAATACAATATCTTTCACAAGGTTGATATTGCACAACAACAACGAACCAATGATAAACCACCATCTGCCGATTCCATCGAATCCCACTACCTCGAAAGATTATTCAATAGAGGTTATTTCTCAAAAAGATCTATTCAAAAGGCTTTAAATATTTATAGTCCTTCCTATTCAATGTCTCCAACCATTCCATTAGAATATCAAATTTCAAAATTAATTAAAAAAAAGGTAAACAAACAAATAATAATAACAAGTAAGGTATTGCTTTCAAAAAGAATCTAATATATATTTTTTTTCTTTTATTATTTAGATTACAAATTTATCAAATATTGGAAATAATCAAAATAATAGTGTAGATGATCAACAAGAAGAAATGATAGCATATAATGAATGGAATGAATTTTATCAAATTTGTTTAAATCAAGCAAAATATGATATTCAACCAACTGGTTTATTTATTAATCAATCTTTAAATTTAATTTTCATTGTTAAAATGGTAAAGTAGTGAAACATAATAATATTTATTTACAAGTTGATTAATTGTTTTTTTGTTTATATATAGAACAAATTATCAATAATTAGAAATAATATTGAAAAATTTGATTCATTATTAAGTAGTTCAATTGGATCGGAATCATTTAATAGTGCATTACAACAACTTGGAAGTCAATTCCAAGAGGAGGAAGTTCAAGTTCGAAACATTGAATATGTATTGGAATGTTGTAAAATGATTGACAAGAGTGTTGATTATGACTATTCATCGATTGAATATGATTTACAAAGATCACAAACCAATACTGCATTGGCATCTGAAGTGAATAGCAATATTTTAACATGTTCAATTAATAGTATGGCAGATAGAGTTTCAACAACTATGAAACATAAAAGACAAGGAGCAAGACAATCAAATAATCAACAACAAATGATAGTACAATCAAAATTCACAGTTGAATTTACAAAACTTTTTAAAATGATTGAAACTCCCATTAAAACAATCTCATCATTGATTGTTTTATTGAATCAAGATTTTGAAAAGGAATCATCATCACTCCAAAACAACAATAATAATGGAAACAGTGATTTGTTTAGTGATATGATTGTATCATGTTTTAAACAATCTATTCAAGCCAAGTATCAATTTGCTAGATCACTTTCACTATTGTTGTGTATAGTGTCTCGTCTTAGATCACAATTGTCCCTCTCATGTGAACAATTATTGACAATTGAAAAGAATCTAACTCCAACCACCTATAGAGTATTAAATACCTATTATACTTTATATTGGTTTACAAATCAACTTTATTATCCTTCTTCTTCTTCTTTAGAGTATGTATAAAAAAAAAATAGAAAAAAAGAAATAGATTTCATTTTAATTAATTCATTTTCCTTTTTCTTTTTATTTTAGTATTGATCATAAAATGAATATAATTGATAAGAAACAACAACAAACTACATTTAAAAGTCCATTATTGTTTGTTCTCATTTCACAAAATATGGATTATTTTTCAACTCTGTTGACACCGTCAACATCAATCTTGGATAATATTCAATTACAAATTGAAAAGATTGTACATCTTTTGGCCTATAAAAATGATGTATTCCCAATTGCAACTTATTTAACAGAGAAACAACAATTTAAACAACTTTCTGTATGTACAAAACAAAAATATATAGATAGATAGAATAATAATAATGAATGTATCATATATTTATTTATTTATTTATTTATTTATTTTTATTTTTATTTTTAGGTATTATTAACAATGATACAAAAGAATAGACCAATATTATTAGATGAATCATTAAATCCATTAACAACAACTACAACCATGCCATCATATTATTATTTAATGGGATTGTGTTTTGCTCATTTTTCAAAGTATTCAGAAGCCTATCAATATTTGATTAAATCATCGGAATCGTTAAAATTGCAAGGTGAAATATCATTGGATTCAATCGATCCTCACATTAAGCATATTTGTATACTGTCAGATGAAGAATTGGTACCAAACATCTTTACCATCAACAATAGTGATATCTCTCCTCCATCCCCTCCCCCTCCATCAATTGCTCAAATGCTCTACAAACTGTTGCTCAAGTGTTCCAAGGTGTTTGAATTAAGAAACCAATTAGACTATTGTATTCAATTGTCATTATTGGCTATTCAATACTCTCCACAACAGGAACATGGACAAGGACAAGGACACATCGGACAAACCAACGATATATCAAATAGTTATGTTAATATATTCAAGTATGCCATCAAGATGTCACAGTATCAAGTTGCTTATCAAGCCATTGTAATGAATCCAGATAGAAGAGTCATGTTGGAATGTTTGGAGAAATTCATTGTTATCTTGTCCGAGGGATATGGAAAGAGTGATGTGCTAGAGTCGTTACCATTTGTTGGTATCTATCAACATGTTGAAGCTATCCTATTAAACAAAGCTAGAGCACAAGACCTACTCGTCTCACCAGACTATTACTCCATCTTGTATTCTCTTCAAATGAATCATTCAAACTATAACAAGGCAGCCGCCATCATCTATGAAAAGTCAACAAGAATCATCTCTGAAACAAGTGCTTCTGGTAAATTTGTTCGCAACAAGGGCAGTGCCGCAGACACTTCCAATCTCTATCAATCCAAACTCAACTATCTTAGTATGTCTATCAATTGTTTGGAATTGATTGAAAATGAAAATAATAGATGGATTTCAATCGATAATCATTGTTTCGACCATAACAATAACAATAGCAATGGTAAAGGTAAGAGAAAAGTAAATTCAAATAATAATATTATTTTATCATTCCAAAAACATAATGAAAATGATAATAATGATAATGATAATAATAATAATGATGATATCAATGGAACAAATGGTGGTCAAAGTATAATAATGCACAAAGATATTAAAAAGGAATATCTTTTTTATAATTGTCATTTTATGATTTATCAAATGGAAAAACAACAAGATTCATCTTCTCCTACTTCTTCTTCATCATTGCCAATATATTATCATCAAGAAAATAATCAACAACAACAATCAAATCAACAATTAATTCAAAAATTAATTCAATTTGGTATGATTGATAAATGTTTTAGTTTGGCAGTTGCCAATGATTTAGATATGAGTGTCATATTTAAATCATTTACTACTATGTGTATTGAATATGAATTGGACCCAACCAAGAACCCATTCTCATTCTCGCCACAGGCTTTTGATACATACAATCTTCACTACCTCAACGATAATGTAAAGATTGTTTGGAGTTTATTGGCCAAATATCTCGAGAGATATGATAGCTTTACTACTGATCCAGCTATTGCTCAGAGTACCTATCAAATCGCAAACAACAAGATCGCTACAACATCGAATCAAGTGTATGGTCAAGTGATTGTAAACAGTGTAAAACAAAACAAAGATGGTTTTTACACTTTCCAAATCAGTAGTGGTAGTTTGGGACAAGGCAGTAACAACAAGTTGGATGTCATCCTACTTGGTCACCACAATGGCAAGGTTGTCCAAAAATACTTGCCACCATTCTTTAAAGAGGGATATGGAGTGGTGCTTGGAGGAAAGATGGTATCTTCTGGTCAGCGCTTTGAAGCCACTGAAATCTATTGCAAGAGTGGTATTGACAATTGTCAACAACAAGCAGGTTACTATTACGAGTTGGTTGCCAATCAACTTTTAGAATACCCTCTTCAACAATTACCACTTCCAGAATGGTTATTAAATGCTTATTTCTTTAAATCAAATAATAATAATCAACAACAACAACAAAGATCACTTTCAAGATTAGGATCACTATTCAAATTATATTACAAAAACAACAGAGTTGAAGAAGCAGCCAAAACATTGGAATCTATTTTCAGTCAGGCAGTCGCAACCAAATCAACTCTGTCTCTTCCATCATTCAACAGTATTGATCAATTTATGGTGGAATGCAAACAATTATTGGCCAATAATAATAATAATAGAAACGTTATACTAGAGGATAGTAATAAGAAATCACTCCAACTTTTATTTGATAATATTCAAAATTTAATTAAAAATGTTGTCTAAATGAAAAAAAATTAATAAATAAATAATGATAACTATCAAAACAAAAAAAACAAGAATCACGAGGATTGTGGTGGTAAGAGCAATACACAAACCAAACAACAATCAATCTACCAATAGATAGGGGAGAGGGTTCACATTTTTTATGAGGATATCATTAAATTTAAAAATGACGATCACATCAATGTTACCATTACTAGTTCCAACAACACCGGTCCAATAATAATAATTCTTCTCTAATTTTAATAATCCAGGAGGGGATTTGTCAAGTGGCTCAGGGGTAAACAACAAATTCAGGATTTGCAACAGCAGCATCAACAACAACTACATCAACAACCTGCACCAGCCAGAGGTAACAGGGTCGGTAGAGGTAGAGGTGGTAGAGGTAGGAGCTCTAGATAGTTAAATAAAAATAAATAAAAAATCCCCTTCTAGACATAGTTCTATAATAATGTATTAATCTATCTTTTTTGTTCAACAGTCAGATTTAATTGTTGATAGTGATCACATGATGCGGACTATGGCAAATATGATCATTGTAAGTCGTAAACCAACAATGGAATACATTTCGTATTTGGATAATTCTTAAGAATTAAAAATGATTGGAAATGTTTTGAAGATTTTAGATTTGTTTATTAACTTATTAATTTTCTCTTTAAATATACCTATCCTATTTTTTATTTTATTTTGATTACATTTAATTTAAATAAATTTCCTAATATGGAAGTTGACATGAATTCAACTAGATACTGTCAAATCAGAAACGATAAAGGTAGATGCTGATAGACATAGATGTTCCTAAATGAGACATCTGATTTGAGTCTTGGATTCTAGTTGTTCTTCCTAATATTGGTACCTATATGTTATACATCCTATCTCAAAGATGCTAAAAAAACTATCAATGTTAATTAATATAATTCTGTTTTTACCAGGGTTGTCCATAATGTCTTCCATAAAAGGGTTAATGGAAATTCTATTTTTTGATTTAATAAATAAATTCTTTCCATTTTCACTTAGACTTTGGTGTAGATTTGTTGTTTGTTGTAGAATGATACAAGTATATTAAAATTATTTATAGTAATAAAAAATTATAATTTTAAAAAAAGTAAATTCAAATTACTGTTTTGGGGTGAACTTGGGTTTGTTGTGTGTTATAATTCATTTCGCTTTGAGTAGAATTGAATTCAAGAAAGGAAGATAATATCTATCTATCTTTTTCTTTCTTTTTAAAGACAATTAGATTTTTGTTGTTGTAATACCAGCGGTTATAGGATTTCTCTCTGTAAATGAAATAGAACAGTAAAAAGTAGAAAAGGAATGTAAACTTGGTATGGTTACAGTTCGCACACTATGTCGTTCATCCTATCATATGATGTTGAATAGAAAATAGTAGATCAATAATAATAATATCCCCATCCTCTTATATATATCAGAGTATCATATCACAAGTAGGTAGAAGAAGCATTCTATAAATGATATCTCCATGTATATTGTAACCCTACCTCCACCAGATGTAAGTACTTTAGACTTTTGTTACTGCGGTTGTTATCAATTCAAAAAAACAATTCCTATACTACTATTATATATATTTAAAACATACATGCAATAATATACATTGTTATATTATTATTATTATTATTTAAAAAATGATACTCTTAAAAATATTAATATTATTATTTTTATCATTATTTTCATTCAGTGGTCAAACAACAACAACTGTTTATGGAGCAGTTCAATCAATGCTAACTAGTAATCAAGATGAAGTCGATTATATAGTTTTGGGAGCTGGTACTGCCGGATCAATAATGGCATCCAAATTATCAGAGGATCCAAACATCAAAGTTTTACTCGTCGAACGTGGTGAATGGGATTCGGATCCTTACATTTACAATACTAGTGATTGGTACGATCACTGGTTTGTCCATCGTAACCCTCTCTACAGTCATGACTATGTTGGTCAACCTGAACCAAATCTAAATAATGCAAGACCATCAAATATTGTTGGTACCATGGTTGGAGGGTGTTCTGGTAAATTAAATCAAAAAATTAATATTTAAATATTAATAATAATTATTTGTTAATTTAATTTCTATTATTATTATTATTAAATTTTTAGGACATAATGGAATGTTGGCAAATTCGGGAAGTGCAAAATTTGATTGGGAAAAATGGGGAGAAGAGACAAATGCCAAAGAAAATTGGTCTGGAGATGTTGCCAAGGGATTGTTGCAAGAATTCCTTGCAGACATTCCATTGGTCTTTCAAGACAGAGATAGAACATGGTTACCAGAAATAGGACAGGCCATTGAAAAATCATTGGGATTCCAATGGAATCGCCAGGAATTTGTAAATTTGGATCAAACTGGGTACTCGACCAAACAACATTGGTTCACACCTCAACAATGGAAAAGAATAACAACCTACAGTCAAATGATCAAAGACAATGGTGCGTTGAATAGACCCAATTTACATGTCGTTGTGAATCAACGTGCCACCAAGATGGAGTACGAGTCGTTGGCAGATACTGCATCTGGTACTGGGTTCAAGGTGACAGGTGTTTGGATACAAAACACTCAAACTCGTCAGAGTGTATTGGTCAAGGTTAGAAAAGAAGTCATCTTGTCAATGGGTGCTATAGAGTCTCCTAAATTCCTCCAACTAAACGGTATTGGTGAAAGAGGACATCTCTCGTCGCTTGGTATTACCACGGTCGTTGACTCTCCAGGTGTCGGTATGAACTACCAAGACCACAGCTCCATCATGTTCTTTGGTCGTCCGCTAGTCGACAGTCTCAAAAAGATTGCCGTACCCAAGCGTGGTCCTGTCCAAGACGGCTACAGTATCTTTGGTCCACTCGATGCTGCTGCCACATCGGGCAACAGCTACACAATGAACGTTGATATTGACAACTCTGCCTTCTTTTGTTATGTCGAAGCCAACAGACCAAAATCACGTGGACATGTCAAGATTACATCGACCGACCCCTACGCAGATCCAGATGTCTATGCCAACTTTTTTGACCATCCACAGGATCTCGAAGACATGATCAAAGGACTGACAGACTGTTTCACCTTGCAAGAGGAACTTACAAACATGGGTATCCTCGATGCTCACGGTGCATCTCTTCCACTCGGTCTAAACTCTTCACGAGAGGCCTATATCAACTATATCAAACAGGCTGCCTCTACCGATCACCATCTAACCAGCTCCGTCAAAATGGGTGCCAAAGATGATCGTATGTCGCCACTAGACGGCAATCTTCTAGTCAAAGGTGTTTCCAATATTCGTGTAGTTGATGCTTCAGTACTTCCTTCAGTTCCCTCTGCCAATACTGCAGTACCTGCATCTCTTGTTGCTTTACAAGCTTTTAAAATTATTAAATCACAAAATTAAATTAATTAATTAATAAATCAATTTTGTTTTATTATTTAGATAAATTTATCTAGATGATTCTCTAGGAGTTGGCATACTTCAAAATGGTCACTATATTTAATTTGTTGAATGATTCTATTAATTGATTCTGTTTCAAATGTATCTCCAAATTGCTCTAGAATCAACTTTGCTATATCATAGTATCCTTTAATTGATACAGTTCTTAATAGGTTTTCATTACATGTCTCTTTTCCAACATTGATTAGAAAAGAAACCATTTCCAGTGATCCATTACTACATGAATAATCAATAGCCGATTTTGTAAATCCTTCATTTCGATTAAAGTATAAAAACTAATAAAAGAAAATAAATTAATTATTTTGATAATATTATTTATAAATGTTATATATAATACATACTTGGAAAACTTGAAAGTGATTATTTTTAGCTGCCCTATCCATAGCATAGGTGGTTGCACCTTCTGTACGATGCTCATGAAGGAACTTGACCACATCAATGTAGCCGTTTTCAGATGCCCAATCCAAAGCTTTGGTTGTTGCGCCTTCACTGCGATTGAAATGAAGAAACTTTACGATATCAATGTAGCCATTTTTAGCTGCATCGTCCATAGCATTGGTTGTTGCACCTTCACTACGATGCTCGTGAAGGAATTTTACAATTTCAAAGTTTCCAAACATTGATGCATCATCCATGGCATCAGTTGTTGCACCTTCACTACGATTTTCATGAAGAAAGTGTACAATATCAATGTAGCCGTATCGAGATGCCAAATCGATGGCATCGGTAGTTGCACGTTCAGTTCTATTAAAATGAAGGAACTTTACGGCATCATAGTGTCCGTTTGAAGAAGCGTAATCCATAATCTTCCAAATCTTGCAATTAGAGAAATGGTCATGAAAGAAATAGAATACATCCAATTTCCCATGATCAAGTGCATCCAATAAATAATAAGATTCACATGTTACATTGGCAGCGCTGACAAGATACGATAACATTTCAATGTTTCCATTATTAGCAGCATGTCGTACAGCTGCTGATAGTTGTCCTTCTATACGTTGTTGCTCTAAAAGGAATTTAACCATTTCAAGGTGACCCTCATAAACTGCCGTATTCACTGCATAGATTGTTGCACCTTCAGTCCGATGCTCTGAAAGGAATTTGACCATTTCAATGTGACCTTTTTCAGCTGCCCAATCCATAGCATTGGTTGATGCACCTTCACTACGATTGAAATGAAGATACTTTACAATATCCATGTGATTATTTTTAGATGCATAATTCATAGCATTGATTGTTGCACCTTCACTACGATGCTCTGAAAGAAACTTTACAATTTCTATGTGACCGTTCATTGCAGCCATATCCATAGCTCTCTTTGATGCACCTTCACTACGATTGAAATGAAGAAACTTTACTATATCTATAAATCCTCCACCACATGCTCTATCCATAGCATATTCTGAGCATCCTTCTTGACGATTTTCATGTAAGAACTTTAAATAAATAAAATTATATAATTTAAGTTAATATTTATACAAGTAGCTTTTTGATAAATACCTATATACATACTTGAATCATGTGTAAATGACCATTTTCAGCTGCATTATCCATAGCATCTTTTGAACAACCTTCCGTTCTATTTAAATGAAGAAACTATAAAAAAAGTTGTTGTATTAGTTTAATGAACGATAATCTAATTATAAACCAAACTCACGTTTACAATATCTAAATAGTTATTCTTTGCTGCTTCGTTCTACAATGAATAATGAAAGAGAGAGAATTAATTAGTTAATAAATTAATTATTTCTTTTTTTTTTTGTAATTACTTACCATTGCATCAGTAGTACATTCAAAATCAGTTCTATTCTCGTGTAAATACTTTACAATGTCAATGAATCCTTTACTACTAGCAGCGTCTATTGTAGAGGTACTTTCAAGTTGTACACCTTTGATAGAGCATATTAACTTGATAATTGAGAAATGACCATCTTCTTCACATGCATTATTCATTGCATCATTGAGAAAGCTGTTAATCTCTCCATCGACAATTGGACATTTCTTGATTAGGTATTCCAATATCTCTTGATTTATTATTTTCTCTCTATTTTTCTCTAATAGATTCCATTCAAAGTCTATACCAATCGACCATTCCACAAGATGAATAAGAGTATCCAATGTTGCATTTGGATGATAACAGTATTGAGTAATCACCCTTTTTCTTCTTTGTACCACTATTTGATTACAATCTTTAGGTAGATAATGTCTAATAAAGTCCCATGGTATTCCATACTTTGATATCATTTCAAGTCTAGGTAATTTGATAATATCTCTTCCTTTTAATGATGATGATGATGATGGTCGTCGTTTGCTTTGACTATGATTTTCATCGTCATCAACTGCTGCTGATGATGGATACAATTGATTTGATATCACATCTATCTGATTGAATATCAATTGTCTAATATATTTCACTCTAAACATAGAATGAAATATACATATAGTATTCATTATTATTATTATTATTATTTATAACAATGCAATGAAAAAAAATATCATACATTTTACAAAGTGTCTTGGATCAGTGTCTTGTGACACGAGCTGATTTATTAATTTTAATTTAATATGATGATTTGTTTAAACAAATTTATTGTCTTGAGGATTTACTTGTAAAAGATCTTTGAAGTCTCATCTTTACATTATGATTCATAATCTTAAAGTTTGCTTTACGTCTCATATAGAAGAGAGTTCCAATGACGATAGCTACAACTGCTGCACCACCTACAACACAACCAACGATGATTTTCCAAGTGTTTGAATCAATGTTGTCGTCGGTGTTGGTGCATTCACCGTTGGTATTTGATCCACCAATTAAAGTTGAAAAGTCTGGGTCAACTAGACACGATCGACAATTTGGTAGATCAATGCCGATAGTTGCAACTGGAATTTGGTCCGATGAAATGTTGACTAGTCTATTGACAATCGTTGTAACTCTACCATCCGACAGAGCAACTGGAAGGAATCTACCGTAAAATATAGTACCATGCATATGAAATTGGAGGTTGGAAATAGATGCTCCATCACCTCCATATACAATGGTACTGTCTGTGTCTGTGCCATTACAATTATTGGAGTAGGGTTGCGAGACTATAGGAGTGACAAACAAGAGACGGAGAGTATTCAAAGTTGTTTCATATGGCCATGCATCAACTCTGACTGCAACTTTTATAGAATTGGGTGATAGTGGGTAGACTTGATTGGCAAACTCGTAACTTGATGCCTCGGGGTAATAAGTCAAAGATGCATTCAATACGAATCCAGTCAAGTTGAATGGTGGTTCCAAGGTGGCTGGTTGGTAGATATAGTTGGTTGAACCATCCGATGGTATGGTTGAATTGGTTATATTCCACTTGTTAATCGACATACTCTTGACTACTCGACCATCCATATCCAACTCTTCCACACCAATCAGTGCAAAACTGTAGACTGTGTCACCTACTTTGATTTGGCTGTTTGGAGTATCACTGTTTAATGGTTCGGCCGATGGACTGGCAACTGATGAACATGTCGGTCCAAAGAATCCAGACTTGCAATAACATATTTGGTTCACACAACTAGCTCCATTTTGACAATTACAAATTTGCTCCTTTGTCTTTTGTACAACTATAACAATAGAGTAGATGTATCCACCATTTAAATCAACTGACAGTCTAGGAATACCAGGTGAAAGTTTTCCATTTTCAACGTAGCAAATGATAAATGTACTGTTGATTGATTGAATCGAACAATTTACTTGTCCAATCTTTACTTTTGGTGTTAGTGGGGTCGCACCAAATCGACCAAATATAGTTATATTACCACCTATATCTTGTACCGGTGAAATACCATAAATCATTGGTGCATCCCAACTATAGAATGCTAATCCAACAGAAGCAATGGTATAGTCTGTTTTCAACTTTACAGAGTATAATCGTGATGGTAAGACAGGTGTTACACAATCAACCATTGTCGGATTAAAGGTGTTGTTGTAACATCTATGAGTACCAGCTCCACCATCCAATTCTACATAAAGTGGTACATTTGGAACAAATTTAAATGGTCCAATGGTTATATTGGTAGCTCCATACATTGATGTAAATATTATCTTGGGAAACAAGTTTCTAATGTTTACTCCAGCATTTAAATAATTAAATGTTGCATTGTACCCATAATATTGTGAAAATATAACTTGTTTTGTTGTTAAATTACCTTGAATTGGTATACTAAAAATAGATAAATAAATAATTAATTAAGTAAATTTGAAAATTAGATTTTTTTTAAAATTTCAACATACGAGAATTTTGTATTTGGAATAATTGGGGATATACCGGGAGTAATATCAGATTGATTCTTTGCCCAACCTAAATTAACTCCATCAACAATAATAGTCTCTCCATCCAATGATATATATTGTTTGGTTGAATCTTGAATAGAGAATGCTAAAAACAAAATACATTAAATCAATATTAATATTGTATTAATGATTATTATAAATAGTACAATTGTTACATACGACAAACAAAAGATGGATCAGGTGTAATAGAAGTTGGGAATCCCATATTACCCTTTACATTCCAATAACAAAGCATACAATCTGGAGCACTTGTAAAGTTGTCCAAGAGATTGAGAAAACCAGATCTGCAAAATGAGTTTGGGATGGCTCCTACAACATTTGGATTTTGTAACATGGTGATAGATGATCCGTCAAGTGGTACAAAATTGGATGGAATAGATCCTATTAATTTTTGATTGGTATTAAAATTACTTAAATAATAAAAAATAAAAAATAAAAATAATTAATTAGTTTCAATTGATTTTGATTGTTGTTGGGTGTATGTACAGTACAGTATACATAAGTACATACAGTATATTTGTAATATTTGGTGGGATGTTTGGAAAGGTGGTAAAAGAAGAACCAGCATAACTGAGGTACATTGGATTATTCGATGGGTATTTGGTTGGGAAGAATGAGTAATCTCCTCTTGCATCAATTCGATCGAATAGAGGACACACTGAAAAATCATATGATGCAAATGAAAACGGTGAATCGCCAACCAATTGGCTTAAATTAAAAATAATTAATTAAATAAATCAGTTTATAAAATAATCATATTTCTCATCAAAAAGACACTTACATTGAATTTAACTTGGCACATGATTTTAATGTAATGTTATATGGGTTTTGATTTGTTGAAGCTGATAAATCTAATGATCTAAAAAAAAAAAAAAAAAAGAATTAAAATTAAATAAATAATTGAAATGTTCATCATATGATATGTAAAACAACATACATATAATCCATAGGAAGATCAATTTCTAAATTAATTGGATTATTTTTTGATACTAAACGACTAGAAAAAAAAAATTTTTAATTAATTAGGTATCATTCATTGGGTGTGACACAACCCTACACAACATAAACATACAGTTGACCAGTAAGCTTTGGGAATTTATCAGTGTTTAGTTTCCATACTGCGTCTTGACTTGCCAATGAAATGGTCATGGCACGCCAATTTGAAGGTACTCCATCATCACCCAATTTATTAATGGTCCCAAATGTTTGAGAATATGTGAATATTTGTCTAGACAAACAAATAATTAATTAATAATCATATAATAATACTATGAGTTTTAAAAAACTTACACATCAGCATATAAATTCATAAGTGATTGAGGTATTGTTGTGAAATTATAATTAACCTATTTTTTAAAAGTGGAAGTGTCATGTTAATATAGTTATTATGATGTACATACAATGAAAATAAATGTGTTACACTTACAATTGAAAAACTTGATAGGTTTGGTTTGTTAATTGCAAATTCATCCGGTATAGAACCAACAGTATACTTGTCATCAATTCTAAATTAAATAAATAAATATTACTACTATTATTACCCAAAATAATAATCATTCATTAAGGTCGCGTGACTCTACTTACAACATTGTTTTTACAGAGTTTACATTACCAAACATTGAAAGAATATTGATTGATGAATTGGTGACATTACGATAGGAAGTCATAATAACAAAATCTGTCATCATTGGGAAATAAAACGATGTTAAGCTACTATTTAATGGACCACTTAAATGGAATGTATCCTTTTTTTGATAAAATGAACTAAAGAAAGAACAAAGGAAAAACGAGAAAGGGTTAATAACAAATTATTGTACAACTTGTTATTTTTGATGATCCTCATCATTTAAATACCTACAAATAAGTTATATGAAGATTGTTTGTACTACGATCACAATTCAATGTAATCAACGATGAATTATTAATAGTACACCAAGAACTTGAATTAGTTCTTGATACCTCTACAGGTGCTTGGTATTGATCTAAAAGCCATATGACCGATTGTTCTATACGATAAATAATCATTAGTAAGGTTATTATTATCATATTATTTATTTTATCTTACCTTCTTCAACTTCAAATTCTAATAATTGAACGTCAGCAATAAAGTTGATTGCGATGACAATACTAAAGAGTATGGTGAGCAAAAATGAAAATGATGATAATGAAGTCATCTTTGTGGGTGGGTAAAAGAAAACAAATTAATATCGAGAGGATCAAAGGCACTTGGTGATGCTGGTGTTTTTTATGCTAGCAAGTCTTGTTTTAATGGGGTTAATTTAGAAAAGAATGATGATCAAATATATAAATAACTTTCGCAACGAATGGTTGAGAAAGGATCTAGTATTTTTGTCGTACAATGATGGAAAGGCGAGTGGAGCAGTCATGGCACTCTTGTCGTTGGTTATCGAAAGATTTCGTGTACAACATCGGGGGTTTTTGTGTCCTTTGGGAAAAAAAACAAAAAAAAAGAGGGACAAGAATCAGAAAACAAATATTTTGCAACAGGAGAAGGATTAATTAGCTATTGTATTTCCATTTTATAGTATTAATAATATAACTATAACTTCCTTTATTATTACACCCTCTTGCACATGATTAGGAGATTTATTAACAACAAGACAAAAGTAATTTTAATTTAATCAGAAAATATAGTAATTAGATTTTTATTCATAGTCCATTGTTTTACTTCTTGATTTTCGAGGTATAAGTGGTTGAAGTTTGTTCACCTTCATCCTCTTCTGTAACCATGAAACTTTTGTCTTTTTCATCATCCAAGCAAGATGGGTTTCTCTTTTGGGGTTGTGGTGCTGTATTTATATTTGGTCGGTTTAGTTGAAGGAGTTGAGAAAAAATAGGACCAAAGAAACTTTTTGCTCAGATCCAACAATTATTGTGCTGTATGGAATAATATCGATTGAGTCTTGATGGAATCTTTTTGTTGTGCATACAAATAAAATGGGGATTGTGTCGCTGTGGATGAATGGCCATTCCTTAATAGCTTGTTTCGACTTGGTGATCGAATCTGTCACCTTATCCCATTCACTTTTGACAAGGGCGTTTGATACCTCACCACTAGTATCGTTCGAGGAAAATTTTGATTGACCACAAATCAAAATGTATTCATCTTTAATCATTCCCACCGATTTAATGTAGTTAAACCAATCAAATTGAGCACCAGCATTAATATAGGTGGAAAAACAATTTCCTTTACAAATATCATTAAACTGGGCCATTGACTCTTTTGTTTGAGTGGTTGGGTATCTATAAGAGAGAGTCGATACGGAGGGACGGGAATCTGGTGGGGAGGGTTTTGAAATAGTGATTTTCTTTGATTTCAAATCTTGAGATGAAAATATGGAATCTGAACCAAATAGTTGTTCAAGTGTAACTGTGGTTATTCCTAAATACAAGAACATTGCAATTCTTGCTTGCATAACAAAAGCACAATATCTTTCCCAGTGCTGCCAAAAAGCTTTGGTCTTGATTTCCTGCAAAAAATCTTGTAGGAAGAGGAAGCTGGGGTGGACAATGGTGAGGGCACTCCAGCTAATAAAAATGAGAGGAAATGACAAGGTTGTGGTGACTTCATTCAAATACACTTTTACGATAAATCCACTATGCTCCAATTCTTCAAAAGTGAGGTCCGTTCCATTAGGTTTTCTCTGGGTCCAATTGTCGATAGAGAGTGTGGTGATGGAATAGGCCACGAGTGTCATAACCAACTCTCTATTTAAATTTGAAATAGGATATATTTGTGATACGAGATAATATTTGTTCAATCTTCAGGTTTGATATTGTTGTTGGTGTCAAATCCGAGTTGGATATTTCTTCAATTAAACTATCACAAGAAATATTCAATTGGTCTAGCCCAACCTCCCATCAACATCTGTGCATAGATAATAAATGGATCCTGAAAGCTGATGATTTGTGGTTTGGATGACATTATTTTTGACACATCATCAGCTGAAAAGAGTGGTAATTTGAGTGAAATGCATCAGTGGGAAGATTCTTGGGAGATTGTTTCTTGAAGAGATGACAGTAATGTCCCACCAAATAGAGCAACCACAAAAATGCCATCTGTTGATCTTGTTTGGGCTGCTCCTACTGCCATTACAATATCTCTGAGATGTTTTCTTCTGACCTTGATGTCTTTTGATGTCACAGAAGAATCTTGGAGTAACTTTTGAAATTCGTCTATGGCCAATAATATTGTCAGAGATTCCTTTTCTTCCACTTCTTTGATGAGAGCCAATACAAGAAGTAAAGGCAATTCTTTATCCCAAGTATCAAACCATTGTTGGATAAAAAGTACCAAAGGGTCTCTGATGCGGAAGTAGTTGTGAAGGATTCTTAATGAGAATCCTGATACAATGTCTCTAAACTCTAATTTACTAAGGGGTTCCCCATTTCCATAAGTCAAATATAAGTAAACACTGTCTGCTGATGCCTCAGGCACACTTTTACTAATGATACGAGGAAACTCTAAAAGAAATCGAGTTTTTCCTGTGCCTGGGGCTCCAGCCACTACCATAATTGGGTGTACTTTTTGATCATCCTCTTGATTTTTGTGACTCTTCCATCTATCGCGAACTGTAGCCTTCAATAATTTAGAAGATTGTTTTCTGCCAACAAAAGGAAAATCCTTTCCAAAACCAGAAATAATTTTATCTTTTTCAAAAGCAACCTAAACAAAAAAAAAAAAAAAAAAAAAGTCAGCTTTTGTTGTTGAATTCTTTATAGTGGTTGAATTACCTTTGGTTGTATTTTATATTGTTTTATCCATTCCTTTAATGATAGAAGGTTCAAAGCTAAAAGATCTTGAAAAAAGAATTATTATTAATAAAAAATAAAAATAAATCAAAAAAAGGAGAGCGTTTTAACCACAAAAGAGAAAGAATTGGTTGAACAATGAAGAAATAAAAATGATTTGATAGATGGAGTAATAAGACTTACTTTGAGGTAATTCTACATGAGATGATTCTAATTTTAAAATTAGATCGAGTGTCGCACCATCATCAAAATTAGTCACAACTGACTTATCTTCCAAGAGAGATCCTTCGAAAGAGAGACCAAACGAATCTTGGGATCGACCTTTTAGATCACCAAACTTATTGAACTTGAGAAGGAAACTTTTTACATTGTCAACATATATTTTTGTATTTTCATTAAATTCAAACTGACTATTAGAGTCTTTGTATCTAATCCAAATTGTTTTGCTACCTATCAAATAGAAAAAGAAAATCAATAATCCGTTTTCATGATGAATGTTGTTTATATATGTACTCATTTTAATTATATATAAAACAAGAAATGACTCTCTTTAATGATAAAGTAATAAATAATGTATAAGTTCTACTAGATGAATATTTAAAAAAAGTTGAGACAACTTGGTAATTTGAGCTTTTATTTTAAAATGAGGAAAAAAGTGTGTCAAATTTTTTGATTTTTTTTTGAAAGAATTTTTTGGAAAGAAATGTTTTTTTGAATTAATTATAAGGTCTTGGTATAATTTCTATATGATTTAACTTACAAGATATTTGCGCAATTAGAGTAAATAACTGCGACTTCCCATATTTATACAGGGTAACCCTATTAAAGAAAACTAGGATACATACCCTACCTGCCAAGGTGTAAGACATCAGCGGGTAAGGAACGGTATATCCAAGGGCGATAACCTGCTTTGGTCTGGTGTAATATTCCCAAAAGGAGAATATTTTTTGCAGCACTCGTATCTCTGTTGAAGAACCTGTTGCAGACTGGACAAAAAAGCCATTTCCATTGAGTTTGAAATGGCATATCCAATCCCGGGTACTTTGACTTCCAGAGAGCTTTTATTTGAGTGTAACAAAGTGACTTACCAAACTCATAGTCGTGGGTCGGAGCAGAGTTGTTTGTAAACTTGTTCCCATCCTCTTGACTATGGCCAATATTTTCTTGAATATTATTACTATTAGTTTTTTTTTGCTTTTCAAAATTAAACTTTATGATCAAGTTTATAATTTTGTCCTTGGTTACATTATTATTATTATTATTATTATTATTATTATTATTATTATTATTATTATTATTATTATTATTATTATTATTATTATTATTATTATTATTATTCTTTTTTTTCTTTTTAATTATATTAGTAATTTTTTTTTTTTTTCTCTTTTTACCTGTTTTTTTTTGATTTTCCTTTGACTCTTCATCATCTTCTTCTTCTTCTTCATCATCTTCATCATCTTCATCTTCTTCATTTTCTTTATCATTGTAATCGATTTTGTTCTCATTACAAAAGACTATCAACTCTTTTTTAGTCTTTTGGTTTAGAGAGTAAAGTGACTCCAATGGCAAAGTATGAGAAGGTGAACCCTTTTCGAGGGTTATGAATGTTTCCAGAGAACTATTGATATCTTTTGCCAAATCACCATTGGCGCACTGACAATCGTACTTTTTGCAAGCACATTTGCCACATTTTTCATCTTTTTTAAAGTTGCATTCCCAATGTACACCATTATCTGAAATAGGGGGGGTCGCAACAACAAGGGTCTTTTCAAGAGATTCAGGTAACTGTTTGTTTTCAATCTTTTGATGTTTAATTTTGTCTTTAAACATTTCGTTGTTGGTAAGATGAATGCTAGCGGCACATGCATTATGAATCTTGGAAAAAAAATATTATTAATGAATGGTTTCATTTGTGAGTGATGAGAATAAACACATACTTTGGAGGTATTAAATTCATTTACCATAAGAGCCTTGTATCCCATATTCTTCCAAAGACGGTAAAAAGACTTTGGACCAAGACCAGTTGGTCCACCACCCCGAGAGGAACGGTAAAAATCAGAACCACCAATACCTATAGAGGATTAGAAAAAAAAAGATTAATAAAATAAATATATATAAATATGATAAATGACATACAAATAACAGTTTTGTTTTTGGGTATTGTTGTGGGTGGCACAAATCGCTTTGCATAAGCATAGCGGGCACGCTGATTGTCAATGTGTTTATTCTTGTCCATGGTCTGGAACGTATAGGAGGTGACCACCTGGACATAGAGACGACATTGATGTTGGCATGTAACCCTTTCATACTCGATTCGCTTCATTACCGATTCTAGACTGAACAAAGTTTCTAAAAGATAAAAAAAATAAAAAGTTTAGTTTAACAATAATACAATGATTTTAAAAAGTATTACACATACCAAAGGTGTTGTATTCTGGCAACCCTCTTTCAAATGATTTCAAGGGCATTTTGTACTTTTCTATCATCGCACAAAGACGGCTAGTCTTCATCAGGTTGTAGAGCGTTGCTACAGAAACCACTCTGGCGCGGTTCAGAGAGTCGACGATCGTGTTTTTTGACCTTCCAGGATCAATGCCAACAAAAAGATATTTGGAACTGATGGCTTGTCGAATTGATCTCCATTGATACCGACGTTTTTTACACATACCAGGATGGTAAAAATTTCTCTTGGCCCTTCTATTTTCATATAATGGTACTCCATCATCATCTTGAATATTTTTTATAAAGGATGAGTCAGGTACAGATGGGGCCGTAGGTGTTGATCCAGATGGGGCAGGTACAGATGAGTCAGGTACAGATGGGGCTGGTACAGATGAGTCAGGTACAGATGGGGCTGGTACAGATGGAGCCGTAGGTAGTTTTTCGGAGTATGATTTTAACACTTTTACCAATATTTTTAATTTGGTGGTGAACCAATCGTCCTGTATAGAAATTTGATTGTCTCTAGCCCAAATTAAGAGTTCCAACTTGCTTTTGTTTGGGTCAAAAGATTTATCAGTTGATACTTCACACTCGCCGAGGGTTGCTTTCCATAAAGCCAATTTTATCGAATACGGATCTTCTTCTGCTTGAACAGTGATGTCGTAGGCCTTTGCTTGTTCCAATAGTGCTGCTTGATCAAATTTGGTAAACATGTTAAGTGATTTACCATTAACGAGACCCAATTTTTTTGTATTGTTCAGACCAGTCGAGGTTGATGTGAGAGGTATGCCAACAGATGATGAAGTTGTTGTGAGACCAGATGACGACGAGGAAGATGATGGCTCCGACGAGGAAGATACAGCAGAGGTGGTTGATGCAAATGTTTTAATTTTATCAAACATTGACACTTTTGGTTTGAGCTCGTAAACTGAATGAGCAATCGTAATGTATGCAGCGATTAAATGAGTTGCCAACATTACTGATGGGTGATGAGCCATTGCGATGAGTCTTTTCCCTTTGACTTTAAATGTATCACATATGTTGTCATAGGAGTTTTGACTATAATCAACAATTTCATAGTCTTTCTTATTCACCTCGTAAGCAGCTTTGGCAGCTTTACATGCAACATGACCACAAATGATGATGACTTTAGAAGTTGTTGATTCAAATTGCTTCTTTAGTTCTTCTGCCATTTCTTTTTCCTTTGGTTCGTCTTCAAAGCCACCTGCAGAAGAGTCGCGAACGCTGGTAAATGCGTCACGAATACGAAACGACATCGAGGGATCGGATGTTGCATTGATTACATTGGCCAAGTTTCGCATGGTTGGGGCAATTCCTGAACGGTCAGAGTTGAGAGCAATCGAAGTGGTGTTGAGTGGCTCGTGAAGAAATATTTCGACATGTGGTGAATCTGTCGAGATATATTCACGCAATATGCGATCTACTTGTGAGATGGCTGGCTTCACAGGTGGACAAGAGTCAGAGGAATGGACGAGTTTTTCCGATGCAGCTTTTTTGAGCGATGGGTCTACATTGTACAAGTTGGAAAAGTTACCACACGTTTCTTTCCTTTTTTCATGTTCGGAAAGAATGGGTATCTGAATGTTACAAAGAGGCGTTGGGCATTGAATTGGCAAACATTCGCTATTGAGAGTGTGGGACACAAGACAGTGGGCACAAGTGATTTTTCTAATCTCTTTGGTGACACTTGGTTTCAATCCAACTTGTTGTGCAATATAACAGGGAAAATGGGGGTGATTAGGTGACATCTTAGCCTTGTCTGTTTCCACTACAGTGCATTTCAGAGGATAAGAAATAATATCAGTGGAGGGAGTGGAATCCTCTGACATGGGTACATGTTCATTTGGTTCTTCGAGATTCTTTTGTTTTTTCCAAGGAATACATGGGGTTTCGAGATCAACCGATGGGCTGAAACCACGTTTCGACGTATTTTGAATATCGATTAGCATTTTGTCAACAGCAACTATATAAAGAAAAATTGAATATTAGTAAACCAGAGAATAAATATATACTTTAATATTGTTAAATTACCTTTTTCTCGAAATGAAACAGGGCCGGGGGTGTTTTTCGTTATCATCATCACCCTCTGGTTGATTCTAATTGAAACGTTTTGAAGGTAAATGTAACCGATCTTATCCTTTACATAATCGTTAAAGTTGATATGGACAGTGGGGGGATTCTTCTTATCAAAAACTGGATCGGGTTTTGGCAGAGGAGAGACCAGGTAATCCACCAACAAGGATTTGTCGACATGACCAGATGTGTAGTATTGAAAAAGTCCAGACTGTGGCAAAGGTTTTGGCCTCCATATCGGTTGGTTTGTCAGTTTACTGATTGAAATGTTTTTTGCTTCTAGCTGAACTTTCAATTCTTTTTTTAGTAATGGCAACGATGTTGAGTACCAACCGTCTTTGATTTCAATGTTGTTATCACGCAACCATGTTAAAATCTCCATCTTGTTGGGTGACCGATTATAATCAAAATCTACAATATTCAATTCTGGACGATTTTTAAGCATATCTTTCCATAATACCAATTTAACCAATGCTATTTTATCTTCTTCTTCTTCCTTTTTTGGTGTATCGGTATCAAAGTTGATCCCTCGAGCTTTTAATTGTTGACAAAGGTCATCCCAAACCAATCCTTTGAAGTTGTGAAATGTATCAGATTTTTCACCCAATATTCTCACATTCGATTTTGACGACCCTCTTGACGATACAACAGGCGAGGGGGATGGTGGTGATACAACAGGCGATGGGGATGGTGGTGATAGATCAGGCGAGGGAGATTTTGATAAATCAATGAGATGATCGATTTCCTTGTCAAAAAATGAATATCTGCTTAATGGATAGCCACCACTCAACGGATGGCCAAGTACATTTTCCAGGTTGGGAAAGATGGTCTGGAGATATTTGTTAATCTTGTCCTTGGAAGTGAGCGTAATGGTTCTATCAATGCCAGAGTTTTTAAGGATGTTTACAAACAATTGTAACGAAAAAGGAATCAGAGTACTATTAAATCTAAAAGTTATATATATTAGTTTACAATACAAAAAAATATATATCTATTTTTTTTTTTAAAAAGTTTATAACATACCCATATTGAGGAACCAGGCATTTGATTCTTATTTCTTTGGTTCTTATCCTCTCGAAATCGGAGGTTTGAAGATTCTCCAATTTCTCCTTGTGATTGGATGCATTGGATTCTTTGGGGAATTCGTATCCAATAGTTTTCCAAAAATCAATCAAAGATTCGAATTGTTTTGTTGTCAATTTTGACAAATCCACCTTTTCTTTGTCGAGACTATAGAGAATAAAAAAAAATGAATTAATTAGTGTGTGAAGTATAATGAATATATAGATAAAAAATTAATTACCAAATGACATTTTCGAGATTGAATAATTTCAATCGATTCAATTGATCTTTATCCAAGCTGGACCAGCTGCTCTTTGGGGAGACAGAGCTATCGATTAATTCCTTCAAACGTTTGGACGTTTCAGATAACATCCTCTCATTGACTTGGGGTAAACCATCATTTGTTGGAATGATACCCGCATCCAAGCGCAATGCTGTCTCAGCCAATTCTTTAATGGTAATAATTTTACCATCAATGTTGATTTTGCTAAAATCGGCCATTTCATTTTCAAGGTCATAATTCTTTTTTGACTTCTTTCCACGAGCCTGCTTCTTTTCCCTCTCTTGTTCCTTTTCTCTTTCTTCGAGGTTCTTTTTTCCTTTTGCAATACATCTCAAGTTGTGGTCTAATAGAATAAATAAAAGAAGAACAGAGGGTTAAAAAAAACTTTCTTTTTTAATAATAATTGATAGAGATCCTATCTTAGATATTTACCTTTGAGTTGTTGAGAGTCACAAATTAGTTTGATAGCCTCGATGGCCTCACCGATATCATTACCACCACCATTCAACTTGTCCAGTATTCCTTGCAAGAGTTCACATACTTCATATGAAAGGAGTAGATAGATTCTACGATCGTGTATATAATCTTTGAGACTGGTTAAATGGCGTTTGAACGTTTCCACTGTTTCCGCCAAAAATTGAGTTTCAATGGAATTTGAAAACTCTGTCAAATATGAATGGCATGTTCCGATTGGAGCCAAATCTGAATCTTTGAGGGCGTTGCGGATCTTTTGATTTTCCGTCAATCTCTGGACATTTAGTTTAGAGAATGTTTTAGAAACCATTTCTAATATAGCTTTAGCCTTTTCCTCGTCTTTACTTGATATCTAAAAAAAAAAAAAAAAAAAAAAAAAAAAAAAAAAAAAAATTAATTAAAACAAGATATCTATGAGTATATCATTGTATAGTCACAACGTACATATTTCTTTGGTAAAGAACTACTACTTCGTTCTTCCACTTGGGTTACTTTACATAACACGGCGTCAATTAATGCTTTTCCAATTGACAGTGGTCCACTCAAACATTTATCTATGTCTTTCATCATTTCATCTTTTTCTATCTTGTTCAATCCAGTGGTATCATAGTACTTGGTGAGTGCATTTTTGAAGTCCTGCTTGTCTCCACTAAATACTAAAAATGGTAAATATAGAAAAAGAGAGAAAAAAATAAATTAATTAATATCCCTTTCAACCGTTGGGGTGATGTTGATACACATGCATACCATTGGAGTTGCAAATGATTGTAGCGTGTGATAGTTGTGCCGTGATGCGACAGGTGGAGTAATACTGGCGGGTGTATTGGCCTAGATGTTTCATAAATGTACTCTGGGTTTTATTCCATCTTTTTCCCATGACCGAATCGAGTGGGTTTTGTGTCGTCCGTGTTAGTGTATACGTTGGATATGGAAGAGGACCCTTTTCGAATGGATTGTCTTGCACTTTGGTGGCCATGGTGGTAACGATCTTGAGAGGGGACCCCAGTGGTGGCGCTACAAGAGACTGCTCTGAAGATAACTTGAGTAAATAGTAAAATGAGATACTGTAATGTAATTAAACTTTGATAAAATAAAATAGATAAAGGGATGGAGATAAATATTGAGAGAAGTTAAAAAATAATAATGAAATGAAGAGCCCAAATTTGTGTGATTTAAATAGAGATCGCATTGAAGATCAAAAAAAAAAAATTAATTTAAAAAATATCTTTCTTGGAAACAATAAACCTTCACCGTAACGATCGATGCTTATTTATAGATTTATTTATATATTGATATTTATGAATGATCAATAAATTTTATCAATATTATAGATATATTTTTATCTTTATTTTAAGCATATAAATCATGAGTACAGCAACCCAAACTATCACTGCATCTCCAGCAGCAGTAGCAACAACAACAACAATCACAACACCACCAACAGGAGCATTCTTTCAACCATTCATTGGCAATCGCGTTAAACCAACATACCCATTAAGACAAGTCCAACGCATTAGAAAACAAATATCATCTACGTTAAATAGACATACAGGTGGCGACCAAGAACTACAATCAGAGGTTCTAAGAAGTTTCAGCATATCTAAACATGGAAGAGGTATCAAGATGTTGCTCGATCCCAAAGGAGAAAAGATCTACAACGATGGTACAGTTTTTATGGCTACAAGAGATTATAGTTGTCTCAACATCATTAGAAAGATGCACAAGGAAGCAAAAGATGGGAAAAAGAATCATTTTACAAAAACACAGTAAGTTGCATTTATCACATCAAATACCTCTTCTTTCAACCTCCCATATAAATTAGTATGGATGTTCAAACCACACTACTGAGTGTCTCATCAAGTAATACAGGATTGTGTATATATTATATTTAAAATTACGAGTTCATTTATACTAATTCCTTTCTTTAAAAGAATATTATCATCGGTATCACCTTTTCATACTGCTTCACAACTAAGAGATTTTGGTTTCAAAATGATTTGAATGTGTATTGAATATATTTTTGTTATTTAATACCTATTTCAATTATCGAGCCAATGCCAAATTTGAAATGATAGGTATGTCAATTACTACAAGTTAAATATTTTATAGTTAATACGATATACTCACCAATTCATTCTTTAAAGATAGTTTGTTGTTGTAATATTAGTTCAACTATTATCAAAAGGTTACAGTGAACCTTTTCAAACCTATTTATATATGGAACTCCACATTGATTCGAGTCAATTATTATTCGTTGATTTCAATGATCTAGTGGTCCAATATATATACATATTTTTTTATAATAGACTGTATATACAGGTATGGATTATTATTAATATTAATTTTATTTTTGTTTCTTCCAACTTTACACATTTTTAACTTTTTTTTTGCCATTATAGATTATAGATATGATATCGATCAAGAGTAATGGTAGCTCTATTGATTCTACTCATATTTCCTCTTTTTATTTATCCCTTACAGCTTTATAGTTCAATATTTAATCAAACAATACATCCATATATGGTACCTATCCATAAATGATAAAGTTTAAGTATCATGTAGACTTCAACATAGTAGTAGTATATACTACAACCACCACTCAATTACTAATACATATTTTTAACATAGGTCATCCTTACTATTTTTCTATAGAACCGATTGATCTTCTTCTTAATCAACCGCTGATCTATTAAAGTTATGTATATATTCATAACATAAATTAATTTCAAAACTAACAATTCCAATCTATCAGATATCTGTTTAATGAGACTAGTCAACAAATCGGTTCATACTATAGCTGATAGTCTTGTATTATAGCAACAAAGGTGGTTGTTTGGTCATCAACTCTACCCACCTGAATTAGAATACAAAGTTAAGTAAATTCATCACAATACAACTATCAAACCCTCAACTAATCATATTCATGCCATATTATACTTTAAATATAGATAATGAAAAGATCTATCGATTGGTAAAAGAATAATTAAAAATAAAGAAGACCATAGAGAGAAATAAGTTTTACAAATAAATAGATTCTGAGGCGGTACTCCCAACCAAAAATTTTCAAAACCCCCAAAGAAAATAAATATTCATTTTATTAATTTTTTTTTTTAATTTGTTTTTAATATAGAATTCTTTTTTTGGTGTGTTGTATGTAACTTTTATTCAATGAACAACAACAATAACGAATCAACAATCATAATATTTAGAGTGATTAAATCTAAAGTATTATTAAATCTTATATTATCATTCATACCAATAATCAATCAACTATCATTGCTATACTCTCAAAAATATCAGTTTCTATTATATAAATCTATATCTTTATTAAAGTACAGTGATCATGTTGGAGCTTGTTACAAGACTAAAAGTAGTCATCATTACGATGACGATCAAAAATACATAGAACTAAAAAGATTGCAACAACAAAGATCATTTGTTTTGTTTAGAGATAAACTATTGAATGATCGACGGTTTGTAGTCTATTTCAGAGCAATGCCAGTAATACTGAGGAATTGTAAAGATGTCACATTGTTACAAAGACTGCATCAACAGTATCCTCACTATTTTAATTTGCCACTCACTAAACCACCACCTGAAAAGTCAAGTAGTGGTAGTAGAAGTAATAGATCAGTTCCAAGAGTGGGAACAGCGTCAACTACAACATTGGGTGATTGTATTGGATCAAAGAGTTGGGTCATTGACAATGTGGCTGCAAGTGGTAGTTTGGCATGTTTGGTCTATACAATTGAAAGTATTGGTATTGAACCTACTACCATGACACTCGAGATGGCTTGCGAGTATGGTCAATTATCAATACTCGGCTTTATTCAAGAAAACTATCCATCGTTGCCAATTGGTAGAGCATTTGAATTGGCCACCTACAATGCACATCCCTCCATTGTACAATTTCTATTAGAGAATAAAACAGACGAGTCATTCAGCTCTGTTTCTCTTGTCAATGCTGCAAGAAATCAAAACAAAGAGAATAATCTAAAGATTTGTACACTGCTCTTTGAATATTCTAAAACGAGACACGGTGGTAGTGAAGAAGGAGATAGATTTGGTTTGGTTGATAATTCAGTCATGTCTGGGTCATTGGAGATTGTTAAGTTGTTTCATAGTCATTATGGTCATTCAAAGAATGCACTTGACATGGCTGCCGAACTAGGGTATTTGGATATAGTTATGTATCTCGATCAAGTTGGAGCACCTGCATCTACGAGTGCAATGGATTATAGTGCAAAGAATGGACACTTGGATGTAGTAAAATACCTAAAAGAACATAGAAAGGAAGGGTGTTCACCAGACATATTGAAAAAGACATTGGTTGGTGGATCTATTGATGTTTTTAAATACCTTTATTTTAACGTACTTGGTGGTGAAGGAGGTAGTGTTGGGACGGTTGATTTAGCATCGTATATTAGTAATGTCACAAGTGGAAACATTCCACTCTTACAATTTATAAGAGAGTGTTGTATGTTGACACAACCACCACCCACCAACTTGTTGTCACAAGTAATCACTCGTGGACAAGGCGATCGTTTTGCCATGGCAAAATACCTCATCGAGAGTGAGATGGTGGTTCAGCCAGATCATCCAGATTATGTCTACGAACAATCATTAATCATGCAAGGATTGGTTAGACGTGGTCCACTATCACTATTTCTCTATCTAGTAGTAGATACGTTTAAAATCGACTTGACCAACAAACCATTGTCAGAGGATATTTGGGAGCAACTAAAAAGAGAGTATGATGGTCAAGTACTGGTTTATATGCTCCAACAAAACAAGCATCATTTAGAGGTGGTGCATTACAACGATATTCTTATCAACGGTAATCCCCCCTACTTGCAAGTACTAGAGTATATTTGGGAGGTGTGTCCAGATGCATACTCATACTCGCCGTATACAAGTCGACTTGCCAACCGAGTGTGCACACTCGATCAAAAACAACAACGTATCGATATTTTCAAATTCCTCCATCGCAATCAACTTGTCAGTCAGTTCACCCTACCAAAACTAATTTCCCAAACGCTTCAACATGATGGTGATTTTGTCTGTGCAATTCTATTACACTCTTTTATCGAAGAGGAGGAGGAGGAGGAGGATAAGAGTAGTAGAATAGTGGTAGAAAAGTTATTTGAAGATGCTGCCAATAAGGGGTCACTTGAAATGATACGATTTCTGGTCAACCGGTACCCACAACATATAATCTTTGAATATAAAAGACACGATGCGTTGTGTCTAGCTGCGAAGCATGGACACTTTGAAATTGTCGATTATTTGATCAACAACCAAATTCACCCTCCTCTTGACATACTGTCTCGGTCACTATTACAAGATTCAAATATCATTGATTGTGCAGCACAATCCAACAAATTAGAGATACTTGCCCATGTTGTTGGAAAATTTCCGAGTATCCTACCAACACACCGTTCATTAATTGGGACCAGTCTTGATGTTCCACAATACCTAGCCAATCACTATAACCTAGATGACCTAATCCTATCATGTAAAGGTGAATCTAATTATTTTATTTTATTAAGAAATGCAAAAAATGATTTAATTAATCAAAATCAAAATAATCAAAATAACAATCAAAATAATAATAATAATAATAATAATAATAATAGGAATAGTGATAACATACCAACATCAACATCAAAATCTTTTGGACTCTTAAACATATTTAAAAGTGTATTTAAGAAATATTAGTAGTAACCTTTATGAATTCTATACTTTTAAATAAATACTTTTGTACACTCTACCTTCTCCATCTTATGTAAATATCTATAAATATATATATATAAAAATCAAAACAGATAATTGTTTAAAAATAAAAAATGATTTTGATTTTTGAAAAAATCAATTTCCTTTAAAGGATTAATGGGGGTTCATTCATTTCATTTTTTTTAATAATAATGGGTCTCCTCTCTTTGTGTCAACCATTGACAAACTAGTAAACACACACAATATGCACATCAATTTCAGTTTATATAATTAGCTATCAGGGTGATCTAATACCAACCACAAACATTAATCATTTATCATTACTAATATAAATTGTTGTTGTTCTGTACATTAACTGCCACAGAATATTATACATAAATAATATAGATAAATATAAATACATTCAAAAAAACATCTATCATTTCTAAAACAAATAATAATAATAATAATAATAATTATCATTTTAATATAATATAATTTATATTTATATATATGTGTTAATTCTAATATAACGTATAATGTTTATACATTATGAAGATCAAGCATTCAATGATTTATCAGAGGATTGGAAATTAGCTATATTGGATCTATTTAATCACAGCTATGGTAGGTGGAGTAGAGACGTCAAACCTCCACGCGTACCAGGGTCACGTGTTAGAATGACTCTAAGACAATTAAATCAAAGAAGTAAGAATTCTTTTGTCATTCTTGCAAAGACTGCTTCATTGTCACCAAATAATAATTATAATAATAATAATAGTATTAATAATAATAATAATAATAATAATAATAATAATATTAAGAATGAATTAGTTGGATATGCATTATATACAAAATTTATGGTACCTCAAATGGGAGAGGCAAGATGGATAGTACAATTTGTAGTTTCTGGTGAATACAGACACCATCATATAGGTAGAGAATTAATATCACATGCTTTGGGAACAGGATGGACTGTATCAGGTCTAGTCAGCAGTAACCCCTATGCAATTAGGTGTCTCGAAAAGGCATCGTCGTCGCAATGTAGTTCTGTAGAGACTTGTAAATATGTAGATACCGTCATTCAATGTTGTAATATATCCTATATACGGCGATCACCACTACACTGTACGCAATCCCAATCATTGATAGATACTCGATTCCGACTTGACCATACCGACAGTTTAAAATACCTAGAGGATGAAAAAGAAAAGGGTCATTGGAAATTGGGTGATCATCTACCTGAAGGAATGGAATTTGTTGGTTTAGTATTTAATCATCAATTATTAAATAATAATAATAATAATAACAAACAATTTGACAATGACGATGATGATGACGATGATGATGATGAGGGAATATAAAAGAAAAACATAGTCATCAAGTTGGGGATTTTTATAACCTATAAATAGAAATATAAATATATATTGTAATAAATGTAAATGTAAATACATATAAATCTAGTGTAGGGGCATTTATATATACCTCTCTCTCTCTCTTTTCTTTTTTCTTTTGATACATGCCATACTACCTTACCTTGTTTCAATATCTCCATGGATGATTCCAATTGTATTTCAAACCATTTAGTTTGACAGATGTTTCACTTGATGACAAAGCAAATGGGTTGAAATACAATCGGACTGGGCAAGTTAAAACAATACTAACCTAGTAAAGTAAACTCTCTTTTTATCATTGATGGCAGTGGGCTCCATTAATACTAATGATACACTTGAAACACCTAAAATACAAAAAATAGTCTAGACTATGTTACCGAATTAAATTTTAAACTCTCCAAGTGTAAGATTTAAACCTGCTAATGATTCAATAACTAATAAATAAATAAGATATGTGATGAAGTAAATAGTATATATTATAATAGCTTATACTACAAAACCACCTAAGAAAGTGAAAGACATTTATGATTGAAATTTGCACCTGTGATGCCTTTAATTTTTCTTTTTCCTTTTAATTTTTTTCAAGACAGAATCTTCATTGTTTGTCTTGAAGTGATTTTTATTATTAATATTAATATATATATCTATATATTTATTTATATTATATTTAATATCAATCGATAGAAGATATCAATACTACAGAGAATAGAATAGAGAAAGATGATACAGTGGAAGAAGTTTCCCTTCTTTGAAAAGGAATTGGTCAAAGAAGATGGAGCTCAAAACCCAAATACTACCATTCAAGTATGATATCATCACCTATGATCAAAGCAAAGACTATATCTCTTTTGAGAGAGATAGAGAGATAGAGAGATAGATAGATTAAAGAGAGAGTGAGAGTAGTACAAGAAGTATAACTAACTTTGATCATCATCATCATTATTATTATTATTATAATATTAGAAAATGAAAATATCATGTACAACAAGTGGTAGAGGTTGTTTGATTGTAGGTGATTCAGAAGGTTTCATTTCATTCTTTGATAGAGAGATGACTGCAACTTCATTCCATGCATACCGTCAATTTGTTACACATCTTCATCAACTAAGAGAGAGAAACTTTTTGATTTCTATTGGTCATGATGATGCTGCCTCTAACCCATTACTTCGTATTTGGAATCTTGATAAAAAGGATAATGATACTCCATTATGTGTTAGAGCTATAAAGATTGAAAGAACTGTTGTTGTATGTAAATAGAAATAGAAATAGAAAAAGAGGTTGAAACTAATGTTTATGTTTAATGTTTAAATATTTAGATTACATCATTGGCAGTATTGGAGGATTTATCACAAATTTGTATTGGTTTTGCAAATGGAGAAGTTATATCGATTAGAGGTGATATATTTAGAGACAAGGTTATGAAGACTAAAGTGATGAAACCACCTGGTGAAGATCCAGTCACTGGAATGGGTTTCATGACAAAACAAACACCTCATCCTGTATTGTTTGTTGTTACTACTTCAAAGGTTTATACTTATATTAGAGATCAAGAGGTAAGTAAAACAAAACACAGATATTATTTTAATTTATATATTAATTAAATTTTTGTTAATAGATGATAATTGAAGATGAAGGAGGAGCAGAGATGGGATGTTTTGTAATGGGAGATGATCAAACACCTATTATTGGTAGATCAGATGCTATCTATTATTATAATACTGATGGACGTGGACCGTGTTTTGCATTTAGTGGACCCAAGCAGAGACTGCTTTCATTCCGTTCGTATTTGGTGGTGGTGAGTCAAGAGTCGTCGGGTGGTGGTGGGTCGGGTATTGGATACCCAACATCACCGAGCGGGTCCCAAGGAGGGTCGTTTGCCAAGCAACAGGTGACACTCAACATATACGACACCAAGAATAGATATGTCGGCTTTACAGACAAGTTTGAGGGCATTTCATTCATCTCTTGTGAATGGGGCTCGATCTTTATCTTTACCACCGACAATAAGCTCTTCCAACTCGAAGAAAAGGACACTCAGACCAAGTTGGAGACACTCTTTAAAAAGAATTTGTATAGTGTCGCCATTGACCTGGCCAAGAGTAACCACTATGACAATAACTCCATCTCGGATATTTACAGAAAGTATGGCGACCATTTGTACGGCAAGGGTGACTTTGACAATGCTATTGCTCAGTATCTTTGTACGATTGGAAAGTTGGAGCCGAGTTATGTGATTCGTAAGTTTTTGGATGCGCAGCGTATCCACAACCTCACCAGTTACTTGCAAGCACTGCATGAAAAGAATCTTGCCAATGAAGACCATACCACACTGCTACTCAACTGTTACACCAAGCTCAAGGATGTCAAGAAACTCGACCAGTTTATCAAGACAGAGTCAGAGATGAACTTTAACGTCATTACAGCCATCAAGGTGTGTAGACAGGCTGGATACCACGAACATGCACTCTACCTCTCTCTCAAGCATCGTCAGCATGATCTCTACCTCAAGATTCTCTTGGAGGATTTGGGTGACGATCAAAAGGCACTAGACTATATCCAAACGCTCAAATTAGAGGAAGCACAAAAGAATCTAAAGACCTATGGTAAAATGTTGGTATCGAATTTGCCCGAGCCCACAACCAACCTTTTAATGCGTATCTTTACCGACTATCAGCCATCACACTCGATTTCCTTCCCATCGTCTTCGTTGCCATCGCCAACTGCCTTGCCAGAGGTTCGATCTGCATTTTCAGATTTTAATTTTCAAGACAAGCAAAAGGCAACGCCTGATGAATTTATCGATATTTTCGTCAATCAACCCGAATGGTTGATCAAGTTTTTAGAGTATATGATTCAAACTGGAAACGACTCTGCTCAAATCTATAATACTCTTTTGGAATTGTATTTACGTGATGATATGGGTCACCATGGTATGAATGGTAATCATCTATCTAAAACTCAAAAAGAAGAAAACAAAGCTCAACGTTTAGAAAAGGCTTATGAATTTTTAACAAATCAAAAGGTAAGAAAATAGATAGAAAAAGAATTATACTTATTATTATATGATTATTAACATATTTTTATTTTATTTTTTAGAATGGATTTGATGAAGATCATGCATTGATTCTTGCACAAGTACATAATTGGAAACAAGGAATTCTTTATCTTTATGAAAAATTGAAATTGTATAATGAAATTATAGAGTATCATATGGAGAATAGTGATTTTGAAGGTTTAATTAAAGCATGTAAAAAGTATGGTGACAAAGATCCAAATCTTTGGGTACAAGTTTTATCCTATTTTGCAACAAACAAGGAAAATTGTCAAAATGAAATTGCTGAAGTATTATCAAGTAAGTAATATATATTTATTTATACATATAAATTCATTTTTAGAATTAAATTAAATTAATTAATTTATTTATTATTTATTTAATTTTTTTTTAGATATTGATAAAGATAATTTAATCCCACCATTGTTGGTTATTCAAATTCTTTCACAAAACAAAAATACTACATTACAAGTTATCAAGGATTATATTTCAAGAAGATTATCACAAGAAACTCAACAAATTGATAAAGATTATGCATCCATTAGACAATATGCAGAGGAAACTGATAAAATGAGAAATGAAATTAATGAATTAAGAACAAAGTATGTAAAAAAGGAAATAGGATATATTCTCAAATTTACATAATACTTATTTATTTATTTATTTATTTATTTATTGTTTAGTGCTAAAATATTCCAACAAACAAAATGTGTTGTTTGTCAAAGTCCACTTGATTTACCATCGATTCATTTCCTTTGTCAACATAGTTTCCATCAAAGATGTCTTGGTGATAATGAAAGAGAATGTCCCATTTGTGCACCAGACAATAAGAGAATTCTTGAAATCAAAAAGGCACAATCTGAATCTGCAGGTCAACACAATCAATTCTTTAAGGTTTTGGAAAGTTCTCAAGATGGTTTCTCAACTGTTAGTGAATACTTTGGTAGAGGTATTCTTTCTTAAAAATACAATCCATTCACCCTCTACCGTACAGCACATACACCAACCATTACACTTGTTGTCATACTAGTTTTATAAATCTTTAATAATTAATCATTAACCAACCATCCATCCTTCATTTACATTAAAATAAATAATAATAATAATCCCAAATCACAATCACATAATTAAAGTCTCATTTAAATGATAATTTATAAATAATATCTATTCTCTCTTCTCTTATCCTAAGTTCGTGTTTAGTCAAGTCTTGGGAATGGGATCAAAAAAAAAAAAGAGCAAATTCAATCAAATTATTAATAGAATCAAAGTCAGACAACTACTCGTTGATCGGGTGACAAACAATGATTCAGAGAAACTAGTCAAGAGATACTACAATCAAAATAGAGAAGAACGAACCCCAGACCTTTATGGATTCCTACAAGACATACTTGTTCATCCAAATATGAATAACTTGACATTTGAAGAATCATGGTACAAAGATTAGTTAACTAGTGACAAATGTATCAATACTATCGAGTAGTGAACAAATACAATTGATTGATATGTATTTTTTTGGTTTTTCTAGAACAAAAATAGATGCAAATCAATTCATTGGTCATGTGGCAAAAAGGTGTGGTGATTCAACATTCCTTTGTATTTGTTGGGATCGGTTTCATCAAGATAAAACAATACCCAAATTAAATGTGTTGGTAATGGCTGGATGCAAACTAGATGTAAATGACTTGCTGACTACAAATCTATGATCCATTTCTTATTGTCAAGTGCGTTGGATTCTTCACTACATAATAATTTCTTGGAAGTGGTTTATCATTCTATGGAACGTTTCACAAGTGAAGATCATATCGATCTCTATATAATTGATAAGTTAATTCAAACAATCACTAGCTCTATCAAAAAATACTCTTTTAGTTCAAACAATGACAGACACTAAACTTAGAATAACAAAACCTATTAAAAAACAAAAACTAATAAACAATTGATCGACATTAAATAAATTAAATTATTATTTATTTATTTATTTATTTATTTATTTATTTATTTATTTATTTATTTAATAATTCTAAAAGTTGTTGTTTTTGTTTGTTAATGATTGGTTTGGAATTATTTAATATGGTAGTGATTCGATTGACAATGTCGGAACATCTAGATGAACGATTCTTTTCAAAATAATGAAATAGAATCTTGAAACAATTGGAATTTAAAGCTTCGGTGATATTGTCCATGGTATAGTAGGTTTTGTAGTATTTGGATTCCACGTGTATAATGAGAGCATGGTTGCTGGCTTTGAAAGCACCTTTGACGACCCTAGATAAAACTGGTTCCGATTCCTTATGATTAGCCATGACTAGGTCAAGAAGATCAGTACTTCCAATCTCTCCAATCGTCTCCCATGTGTCTGGAGTGCTGATAATCTCGCCTGAACCATACCTTGATACACGTAAACATGTCTTTTTGATGGCTTCAGGGGATCCTCCAAAACAGAATTCGGTTGGAACAGAACGTGGCATAAATACTGAAAAGACTTCGGGCCTGTTTAAGAATAGTGCCAGTTTACAGAGAACTTGATCGTAATAACCTTGATCAAAGGTCATAAAATACATCCATGCCTGTAGTTGAATAAAGTTTCGTACAATGAAATAGGCTGTTTTGGGTCGTCCACTAATTCGATCGAATTCATTGGTTGAAAATCTAATCGTTTTTTGATGGTAATAGACTGACAATAAAAAGGTAGCAATCTCTATATTACAACTATTGAATATAATGTCGAGGCTAATACTTGTCAATACAAGGATATTGGTATGTATTACATGTCTAACCAACTCGACATTACCAACCTTGATGGCAGCATTGATAATGAGCATTAAATCATGAACTGTTTCATATTTAAAATGGTTGCTTAGAAATAGGAATATATCCAACTTGCTGGTTGTTGGTGGAATGAATTTTTCGGTTGTGTTTACAAGATTCTTTTTTTTCTTTTTTAATTCTTCAATCTTTTGTTGTTGTTGTAGTTGTTGTTGTTGTCGTTTTAATTGATACATTGGGAAATAATAATATACATTTTCGATATAGTCAGATTGACAAGCTGCATAAAACAATTGATCAATGTCTAATAGCTTGCCAAGATGAGTTCCAATATATTCAGCAACCTTTTGATGCCCAGATAATGACATGATCATTGCCAACGATGGTACGATGAGTCTAGAAAATTTGGCAAGTCTAACGGTATGCTCACCAGTTGATTGGGTGGGAATACCATTATAAAGAGGAAACTTGTAAATCTCTAAAATCAACTCGAATGCAGTGAGAATGTTTAACAATTGCTCTCTTGATACAATTCTTTCCTTGTGTGTACCGATCCAGTCAATTGGTATTTCCTTTTCAAATCTTGATTCCATTACTTGATGTGAAGCTTTGAGTTTGTGAGACCCAAGTTCCACCCAAGCCAAAGATAATACTTGAATTTGTTGAGAGGTGACTTGCATAATATCCTCCATTACTCCAAACGCATAAATCTCGAGTCTTGGCTCTTCATAATGTACCACCTTTAAATCTTTGACCAAACGACGAATCAAACCAACGTCACCAATCTTGAGCAGTCTATCAAAAATGTCGGGATAATCATGAGATCCTTGAACATTATACTTTCTAACCAATTTATCCTCTGATAATAGTGTGATGAGATATTCTACCGCTTCTGCTGTATTGCCTGACAACAACATATTGTACAGACACATGTCAAAATTTTGACGTTCAACAGTAGTAGCATACTTTAAAACGAATTGGATTGAATAGATGTTACCACCATAACAAGTAGCATAGAGCATCTTTGAAAAATTAAACTTTGTAATGATACTATGTGCAACAGTCACCATTCTGTGGTCACCAGACCGACCAGCACCCTCTAACATACCAAGATGTGCACCATAATGATCCTTTATCGATCCAAAGTATTGTTTCACCAAACGTTCAATCTCTTCATCTATAAAGATATACAAGGTTTCTCTGGTGACAAGATCCATCCAATTGCCGTCAAAAGTCAGTTCGTGACCAGCTCTGATCTTGTCTCGCAAGAGATAGTGAAACCCATTCTTTAGTAACCACATCACACTATTTGCTTGATTGAATGTCTTGCACATCAAATTGGGATGACGTAACATTTCTTTATAGTATCTATCAACATTTGAATTGTGCACTCTATCGTACTCGGGTACGATCTGTAGTCTTGTCTTGATCAACTCTCTTGTGCTGATTCGATTGATCAACTTTATCCATCTCCTAATGTTTCGAAGTAAATAGGTGCTATGTAATACTGATTTAATAGCTATTTCCTTTCTTTCTTTATAATCCATTTAAAATCTAAATTTAAAACAACTTTTTCTTTTATAGAGATAGATATATATTGTTAATATATTAACATGTTATGTATGATATCATCATCGATGTATCCCTGAATTACCCCATGGTGCACTGAAACTGTGAAAAGTTTGAGATAATTTATTTTTAATTTAGAATTTGTTTAGTTAATCATATAAAAAGGATAGGATGTCTGAGATCTTTGAATTTATTCGGAATGAAATCTGCAGCTGAATGGGTTACAATGTGATCATCCTACTAAACTAAATAAATGATCTAAACAAAACAGACTTTTGCGATAAAAGTTAAATAAATGATCTAGTTGCCTAACAACTAGTGAATCAACTAGAAAATGGAGTATGTGTCTTTCAAATACTGATACCGTTGTTTAGTTTAATAAATAGATTCGATTTTATTATTATTATTATTATTATTATTATTATTATTATTATTATTATATTTGTTTTAAAATTTCTAGGTTGGTTGTATAGTACAAAAAAAAAAACTATGGTTTATGAACTTTTCTTCTTCTTGTGAAAGTAGGTAGGGTAGGTAATAAATAAATAACTAAATTAAATTTAGAGATTTGAATTTAATTCTCTTAGACGTTTGTCAAGGGCAGACTTGGTCTTATTGATCTTGAGTTGTTGTTTGACTAAAAAGTAACCGGCAACACCCAATAGAGCAGCTCCAATAACTGCACCGATTACAGAGACTGCGATCTTCCATTTGGCAAACGAGGTGTCATCACATCCACCAGTCTTGGGACTACGAGATGACGATGCTTTTAGAACGGCAAAATCATATTGGAAAAAGACATTACGGATTTTAGTTTCACCTGCTGGTGGCTTGACATAGACAATCAATAATTGACTACTACCATCTTGTTTGAGTAGAGATGTCTCTACATTACCAGAACCACCATTATTGACATGTGCAATACCTGGGTGACGAGTGAACCATTCGACATCGTATACTGTCAACAGTGACCATCTGAGATCACCGATGACTCCAGTAGACTCATTCAACCCGACTGGACTGGCCAATGTGATGGGTGCCGTTGTGCACTCATCGGGGGTCATATCGATCGCGAACTTAAATTGGACACTATCATCAGACCCACCCTCCAAAGTATAGTTGATGGCATAGGTATAACTATTCGAAGGGAATGTCAAGTACGATCCACCAAACAGAGCACTACCTCCATCTTGATTGGGGATGATTGAAACGGTCACAATCTTTGCTCCACTAGTCCACTCGTATTGATGAGTCGATGAATTAGCCAACAAAGTGTATCTCCAAGATGGAATGATAATCTCTGCTCCATTTTCAACCACCGATATCAATTTAGCTGTCAATACTGTCTTTTCATTAAATGATGGTGTTATTTCTAATATTGGTTCCAATGTTGAAAATACTGCATTATTATCATATGATTCTAAATAGAAATAGAAATAGAAATAAATAAAAAGAAATTAATAAACAAATAAATAATAATTATTTTTCTATTCTATTTTTTACCTTGTTCACAAGAAGGACCAAATAAAGTATTATTATTATTTGTAATTGAATTACAAACACAAAAACCAATTGCAACATCACAAATACCATTATTATTACAATACTTTGGGCAAACGGTTTCATCGAGGAATTCAAACAATTTGTTTGGTGCAGATGTTTGTCCATTTACAGTGACCTTGATATTCTTTCTTCCAGTGGTGTATGGTGAAGCTGGGAAATCACATACAAAGTAACTGTGGTTGGAATAGGTGACTGGGCATGGGATGGGAGGAGTGTCTTCAATGACCACTGAAATGAGCGAGACATCATTCCAAAAGTCAGACCCTGTAATGGTGAGTTGAGTAGCTTCATTTGGTTTGGTGGCAAATGAAGAAACGACATTTGGTGGTAGGTATCTGAAATAGGCATCATTACTAGCATTGTTGTACAACCCACTCACTTGAATTGAGATGGGTACGTTGGATGTGATACCAGCAGCGTATTCACAACTAACGGCACGGTACGATGCCAATACTTGATAGTTTGTACAAGGTCTACCATAAATACTAATTCCAGTATCTTTCTTTCTAACTGCATTAGCCATTAAATCATATCCATATAATGTAATTCTACCTCCCAATGTTGGACATGGAGTTGATTGTAAAATTGATGGTCCTTTAAAAAATAAATAAAAATAAATAAAAATAAAAATATTAATTAATCAATCAAATTAAAAATGATTTATCTATCCTTTCCTCCACTTTTCAATTACTTACTTTGATAAGTGAAATTTGAATTAATGATTGTATATTGTAAATTGACCAAAACATAGACTTGTAGTTTACCAAAACCAAGTGTCAAGGGATTAGTACATTCAAGACGATAGTTGGGGATAGTAAATCCACAACTGGTTTGAATAGCGTCACCCATGGTATTGGTCAAAGCAAGGAATAGGTATGGTGCCTTTGGACCCAAATCATTACCATTGATAACAATACTACTATTGGTTGAAAATGGTTCAATCTGTGAAATAGTGGGATTACAATCACGTTGGAAAATAGATCCATTGTAATTGCTAAATACCAATCCTGAGATAAAATAGTTGGTTGAAAAGAGTCCGTGGAATGCACATAACAATACTCTTGGCAATTCACCTGTAATCGAAGTCTGAGAAACATCAACAATTTCCATTAACAAATTATCAAGAATATTGGCAGGAATTGAACCAGACAATCCATTGCAACCACTAAATCTAATTACTGTCAATTGACTAGTATTTAAGTAATTTGGTAATGTAAATGTTAATAATGCATTATAATTTAAATTCCTAAAAAAAAAAAATAATAAAAAAAAAAAAGATTAATTGCAAAAGAAAGATTGATAGATAACTACTATTATTCTCCGTTAAATATATACATACAATACAGATAAATAAGGGATTTTAAAATATTGTTCATCAAGTGGACCTGTCAATTGTAATCCTTGGAGTTCCAACGTAACTAAGTTATCCCATCCAGTCAACTCTTTATAAAGTGGCATTGTTCTATTTGCTACTGATGCAAATACATTAATTAATCGTCTAAAAATTTTTTTTAAATTATTTGTAAATTAATTAATTAAAATATTTATATATTTATATATGTATTATACATACAATGAAGTTAATACTGGTGGTAGAGTATAGAAACTCTTAAAATCAACATTATATCCAGCGGATTGGATTTGTCTAGACAAAAAAAATAAAATAAAAAACATTATTATTAAATGTTGCAATAATATTAATCATAATAATCATAATAATAAATACATACAATGATTGTAATTTTGTACATTGAGCAATACTAATATTAAAAGCTGGACCTTGAAGTATGAAATTAAATGTATTTAATTCACTAATATTATTATTTAAAAAAAAAAAAAAAACCAAAGGTTAATATTTAATATTTAAATAAAGTTGTAATATATTATATTCTTGACATACTAAACCAATAATTCAGGAGTAAACAAATTTGTATGAATGGCAGCCGTTGAGAATTGTCTCAATGATTGTTGTGATGGTGAACTAATATGAACAAAGGTTACAGAAGGTGGTAATATTGGAAGTGTTCCCCACATACCATCAATATAACTATAGATCAATCAAAAACTAGTTTGTTAGTCTTTTAAATAAATAATAATATAATAATAATTATTATTATTTACTTACACTTTTTCTAAACTAGTCATTCCAGTCCAATTAGATCTTGTAACATCTACAAACATACCTTGAGTGTTATCTTGTACAGGAGTAAGATAGATTAACTCAAAGGTAGTGATATTCTTGTGTGTTAACAGTGTTGCTGGGAAGAGAACAGGTGTCGATGTGTAAAAGGTAAGACTCTTTAAATATGGAACAACTGAGAAATCAATCATATCAATATTCAAATTTAATAATTGTGTTTCAATGGTTCTAAATAAATATAAAGATGGATAGATAAGAATTGATTAGTTTATGTATAAATAAATCATAAAGATGATGAGTCTACTTACAAACCAGTAATTTGGGTATTCTCAGGATTACACATAACCAAACTTCTTACTTGTAGACCTGTACTTCCACAACCTGGAGTACTACCAATTGGCATCCAATAAGTTAAAGCATAGTTGTTGAGTTGTTTGAGAAGTGTAACTATTTAAAAAAGATAGATGATGAGTATTATATTCTTCTTGTCAAACAACCAAATAAACATTAACATACCTTGTTCAGATGGTAATTGAGCTTGAACGAAACCATTGTTGTTATTATCATTAATTAGAACAATCAACAACAACAACAACAAGATTGTTGTTATATATCTAAAAGTGAACTTCATCAAGAAATGGTGATACTGATCTTTAGAAGACGAAACCTGGTGGGGGTTGTTTTTTTTTTTTTTTTTTTACCGCCTGGTGAGTGTCTAAGATATGTGTTTATCACAAGATAAGATTGATAGATATTAATATTAAAAGTGTAAAGTCTTTATGTTTATAAATAGATAATTAATTGATAGGGAAGTAAAAGATAAAAATAAATAAGTGATGATGAGATGTTGTTGTTTCTAAAAACAAGAGAGAGCGTCTTTTCTAATCTTACAACGAGTGTTGTTTTGGAAATATCTGAATTGTGATATTAGTCTGTGATCTTTCAACAGAATGGAATCCATGCCGCGGAATTTTAAATATATATTTTTATTCAATTTAATGTTTTTTCAAGAAGGGGAACATCCTGCAAAGATGAGAAGAATGGGGGTGCGATCATGAGATCACCTTGGCTAAAGGTGGAAGGATACCCGGCATTTTGCATTGAAATTTCGAAGGACTACTGATCACTCTATCGAGTTGGTGTAAGGATGGAACCTTATATATTTTTCACAAGAGAAGAATAAAAGTTTTAAAAAAAAAAGAAAGATGATGATGTCAGTTTATGTTTGTGTTGTCTATAGATCATTCCACAACTTATTCGATGTATTCAGAGAGGTGAGCGAAGGGCTACTTCCCTTCCCATCGAAGGACTGCATAGGTCAGCCCAAAAAAACAAGAAAAAAAGTAAAACCTTTTTTTTTTTTTTGAACCTGGGAACAACAAATATATTTTTTTGTCTACATACTTTTTAGGAATTTTAAATGCAGATGCAATGTCTAAAGAATAGGGAGTGAGTTCAGAGCATACATGAGTAATTTCTTTTTCCATATCAAACCATATACCAGTGCCATTTTCTTTGGCTGCCAGGATACCATTGCTTACAAATACACCTAGATCCCTTTGAATCAAATCAAAGGCATCGAGAGCACACATCTTTTTGAGTACTGCCACTGTATTGACATCAGTGTCTTTGGCCAATGACTGTATCTTTTCTAAAAAGAATTTGTGAACGAATCGATCCACATTGGCTCTTGCCAATTTCAATGTCAATGACAGATTTTCATTCCATAATCTATACCATTCAACTGAATTAATTTTAATAATAATATTATTATTCTTTGTTGAATACATTATATTATATAACTAAATTAAAATATAAATATATAAGTAAATTAATTTAATAATTATTATACTTTTTTGTTACCTTTTCAATTAATAAATATTCTCTTTTTTGAAATGCCAATTGTTGATATGTGAATTGTTTAAGGTGACTAAAGGAGATTGGTTTTTTGTTGGTGTGATAATCATATTGTTTGATATTATTGATATATGATAATTCACCTGTGAATTGTTGAGTGTTGTTTGATTTAATATCTTGAAGTTGTTTGTGGTAGGTTGCAAGGAGGAATTTACTGGTTTGTTGACAGAGGATGGTGTTGTCACCTTCTCCTGTGAGTCCGACCTCAAGGTGGTTTCTGAGGACGGGGACACGCGCTGACAGACGGAACCCCTGACCTCCCATACACTCTCTAGCCAACTGGGTGGCGCTGAAACAGTCCCATGCGCCAATCGCCTTGAGACCCGATGAATAGCTGTGCTTGAGCTCCATCGCATCGGTCAATATAACTCGTTTATGTGCAAAGTCGAGTGCAAAGCATCTTGCCAAGTTGGGAAGCAGACGACGTTGTTGAGTGGTGTGGTGGATGATGGGTTGCTCGGGTTTGCCAGGCTCACCAAACTGCTTGCGATTGTGTGAGTAGCTCAACCCGATAGAGACGGCTGTTTTGGCAGCTGCAAGACACAATACTGATATACAGAGACGACCGATATAAAATACAGACATCATAGCTCCAAAATGACGGTTTGGTGCAATCGTCGATTCATACTCTCCCCCGATTCAGTGACACGACTGAATCTATCCAACATGTTGTCCAATGGAATACGTACTTGTTTAAACAACAGTCCTCCATTATCAATACCGTTGAATGATGATTTCAATCCAATATCTCTAATCTCGACACCGGGCATTGGCAGGCCGTATGGGTGTCCCGACAATGGAGGGGTTCGAATAGGTACCACAAATGCATGTACACCATGATCACGACCCTTTAATATCAATCTAGCAAACACTGTACAAAACTGACCATGTGTAGCTATATTTCCAGGCCAATATTTTTGTGATGTCCAAGTAGGTGAATTTACAATAAACTCTTTTGTTTCTTGATCATATGTTGCTGTTGTCTCCAACCCATTTACATTACTTCCATGACTAAACAATAAATTAATTATAAATAAGTAAATTAAATTAAATATTATTATTATTATTATTATTTACTTACCCTAACTCAGTTAAACCAAATACACCAAGTTTAGTACAATCTTGAATACCAGATAAATACTTTGAATGATGTTTCTCTGTTCCAAGGAATAGTATAGTTCCACCCCATAGATTGTACTGGACGGCAAACTTGAGACTGACACTTAGATCAGCATAAGAAATGGTTTCAAACCATGCCAAGAATTTATCAGGTCTATTCTTCATATCTTCCAATGTAACAATCTCTTGATCTGCAATCAATTTTGATGCAATTAATGTTCTAAAAACAAAGAGTTGGTAAAGTTAAATTAACAATTTATACAAATACTATTATTACTATTATGATTATTTTTACCTTTCTCTATGTTTATAGTTTGTGTAGCCAGGTTCAGTTAAGAATGGTTCATCAAATTCTTCATTGTTTTGGAATAATCTAAAAAGATGATCTCTGTCTTGTTTAAAGTCACCGTCCAATAGAGATGTTAAATACTCTACATTGGGACTACCTCCCAAAGGTGTAGAAGTAATATCATCATAGATATTACAACAATGACCTTCATTATGTTGATGATGAACACCTGTTATTTCATTCTTTAAATGTTGAATTGTCTGAATATATAATCAATTGAATAGAGAGAAAGAGAGAGAGATAAAGATAATGATTTTAGTTGGTTTGAAAAAAGCTTGTGTTTCAACACAACACATACAACTGCAATTCTTTTTAAAGGTGTATCCATTTTTTATAATATAATATTATTATTATTATTTTATTTGTATGTGATCAAAAAAGAGATAATAAATAATGTATAATGAATGAATGATTGTTTAAAGTGAGTGCGTCGTGTTGCTAACTTTAAAACAACCACAAGAGCTGAGCTTACGCTTTTAAATAAAGAAAAATATCTTTTTTAAAATTTTATTCTCGAAAATCTTAATACAAAGGAACTTCATTTCATTCATTCATCATTCGTTTATTCATCAATCGTTTTCAAATATCTTTCTTTTCTTGTGAAACAACTAAATCCCTTTGGGAACGGACAATATTATTATTGCTAGTCCATTTGATATGATCAATCCCTAATGCTGATGAATAACCAGGTCACTGTGTGTCTGCTCGATTCTTTTATATTATCTTTAAAGATAATATGTACACGAGTTATTTCTTATAACAATTAGCTTAATAAAGATACATATACATATAATAATAATAGTATTTAATTAAAATATTTGTATGCTGATAAAAATAATAACATAATGGATGAACCTCAAAAACTTTCGCAAAGACAAAAGAATTCTTTGTGTGAAAAAAAAAAAAAATCAATTTTATTATTGTTATTATTATTATTATACCCAAATTTGTATCTTGTAGTTTTATATTTATAGTTTATCTCACACATCAGTATCAAAAGAGGATAGATATATTTTGATTGACATAGTAGTTAGTTAGTTCGTTAGTAGTTAGTTGTTGTTGTTACAGAGACTACTGGTTCGAAAGATATCTACCTACCTACAACCATGTCACTCAACAATGATTGGAAGAAAGAGTTGTACAAAGCATCGAGAACAACCATCATCAACATATCAAACGACACTGATTATATATTACAAAGAGTCTATGTTAAATTACAACAAGGTTTATTGCGAATATTTCCTCCTGGTATGATAGATCGTTTGATATGTAATGTAAAAGATAGATCTAACTAATATACTCATATATCTATATCTATCTTTTATTTTATTTTCTCATTCTAAAGAAATCATTGCACCAAATAGTAAAATAGAATTTGCATCAGAGAGTAATGCATTTGTAACAGGTACAAAGGGTAGTGTCATCTATTTGTTGTTACCTCCTTCGATAGCTCCTTTGCACTCGAGTAGTATACAATCATTGTCTAATCTAATTGGAATGAAGTTGTGGGAACCATTCTTGTACGTCACTGTCGAATGGTCAAACCCGTACTGGACGACACACAGCTGCTCGATATCAGCGTCACCACAAAACATCATCGAAACCAAATACTATCTATCACACGAAGAGATCAATCGTCAAATACACTCTGAAGTAAAGACAACTATCAAAAGTAACAATATCAACTTTAAATTAAACCAAAAACAAATTGTATTATTGAATCATCCTCAACCTTCTTCTTCTTCTTCCTCTTCATCCTCCTCATCCTCTTCATCTTCATCAACGTCACAAATAACTCCTGGAGGTCCCAATTCATCATCTCCTTCTCCTTCTGCTGCACCCAACACACCAACATCACCTAAAACTATAAATACTAAACGTGAGAATCAAACGTCAAATAATACAACAACACCTTCTTCAAATAATAATAATAATAATGGTTCTATTAGACATTCAACATCATCATTAACATCAAATTCTTCTACAACTTCAACTACAACACCAACATCACCATCATCATTGGTATCACTCAGTAGTACATTGTCATTCTTTTCATCGTTGTCAAATTCACCGATACGAGGAGAATCGATATCGGGTGGAAAGGATTCGTTCCCATTCCCATGGAACAATTCAGATAGTGGTGCTTCAAAGGATAGTTGGAAACATGCTGTAAGACGTGGAACTAGAGGTCAGTTTGTGACAGTTATCAACCGTACGACGAGACTTTGGATACGTAGAGATTACTCATTGGAGCATGGTAATTGGTACGAGCTGCCACCCGAGGGTATTCCTCCAGGAGCAACCATTGAATTTGGTACCGCTGCAAGTGGTATTTGTACAGGCACAAATGGAAGTGTAAATTATTATTCAAATGGACTCAAAGGTGACATCAAACTGACATTTAATAACCCATTCATTGGCGAAAACACATTCTCTTCGCATTGTCCTCCTCAATATACCATTGAAAAACATGCGATCCCTGGAACCACATCAACCGTCGTTTTTGTCATTACTGATCAAAATCAACAACAACATCAACAACAACAACAACAACAACAGTCTCAACAATCACAATCTTCTCAACAAAATCCAAATAATAATAATAGTTCAAGTAATTTATCAAATAGTTTAATAATAAGAGATTATCAACAAAATAGTGTACCACCACCACAAAATACATTTAGAATGATATCATTGAACCTTGGATTATTGGTAAACTCTACCAATTATAGTTTAGAGGATCGTGTGACCAATGTAGCCAATATGTTGATCAACATGTCTGAAAAGTATGACATTATATGTTTGCAAGAGGTGTTTAATCAACAGGCAAAAGAAAAGTTTACAAAGATTCTTAGGTCGTGTTACAGTTATATCATTGACAAGTCTGGTGAAGACAGTGGATTGTATTTTGCTAGTACATTCCCAATCTTGTGGAGTGATTTTAGACTATTTAACGAGGGTATTGGTTTGGATGTACACTCTAGCAAGGGTATTCAAGCTGTTAAACTCGACACTTCATCCATCAAGGAAAACTCGATACTCTATGTATTCAATGCACACCTTCAATCAAATCCCATCGAGGGATCAGTAGCTTGGCAAATGGTATCGGGTGACGATAAATTGAAAAAAGCTCAAACTGTTAGAACGCTTCAACTTCAATCCATTCGTGATTTCATTTCAACAGAATTATATAATAATCAACAAAACAAGAATAATAATAATAATAGTAGTAATCATAGTAGTAGCGGTAACGGTGGTAATGGTGGTGGACAAAAGAAATCGATTGGATTAATACTGTGTGGTGATATGAATATTATTGGAGAGAATGAACAAATCATATCGGATGAGGGTAGTATAGTACTCTCTCAAATCATTCCTAGTTTTGCTCGAAAGATCAATACAAAGGAGATTACGGCAACTTTTTCACGACAGTTGATGGCTCGTATACAAGACAATAACATTCCCATCAGATATCTTGGTATTCTTCGTCAACAGGTCAATATTCCTCGTATGAAGAGTTTGATTCTCACCGAGATGATTTCATATATTATTAAAAAAGAGATCAACGACCTTCTCAGCCAACGACACAACCATCAACTAAAGAACCAACAACAAGAGAGTAGCGATGAAATCACATACAAGAGCATTGTACTAGAAACTCTCAACAAGGTGTTCCACTATGATTTGAAGCAATCGACAGATTATTGGACCAACACTCTCAAGAGAAAGTTAAAGTTGGAGTTTGTCAGTGCTCTGACCGAGCTTGAAGAGATGGATTTTGTCGATCTCAGATCACACGTTATCAATCTTCAATTGGTAACATCATTAAAGACAACGTTGGAAATGACACTACAAACCAAAGCTATCTATCAATTGGTTAAAGGATCAAAATTCAACTCTAATATTGCCGCTCCACTCATTGTGGCAAGTGACATTGAAGAATTGATTCTACCACCTCTTACCAGTTACTGGGGTATTGAAAATAATTCAGATATTTATTATATTAGTCAACATCAACAAGCTAAATTGGATCAATTACAAAAAGAAAAGGATCAACAACCTTCTTCTCCACAACATCAATCTTCTTCTTCCTCTTCCTCTTCACTTGGTTTATCATTGTCACCACAATCTCTAGGAGGATTAGATGATACCTCTAGTGGTATCGGTAGTACAAGTAATGGTGGCGTTGGTGGTGGTAATCAAAAGATTAAAATCTTACTCAAACCAACCGAAGAGTATGATTCACTTCAAATGATTCTTGGACATCCAGTCGATTTGTTTAGAATTGCCAATCCTCATCAACCAGGTTACACCATTCATCAATCACTCAATCAACTAGTACCAACTGCAGGGGTCAAAGAACGTGTCGATTACATATTTAGTTTTAATTCTCATTTTGGTGACGATGAAGGTAGAAATCCACTCCTTTATCTCAACTGTCTCGAATCCACAGTCATTCCAATGGGATCAACTCCACAAACACGTTTATCCGATCATTTTGCTGTAGATTGTTTGATCAAACTTGAGGATGCTCCTAAAATCCCTCTTGGATCACCAACCCTAACAAGCAAGAAACAAACTTCTTCTAATTCTCTTCATATGAGAAGTTCTTCTCGTGGCTAAAACATATTATTCCCTCCCCAAAATAACCTTTTTTTAAAATATAAACAAAACAAAACAAAGACAATTCCAGTTAAGAATTGCTCTAAAATATTATTTAATCAAAATTGATTTATTTATTTATTTTTATTTATTTATACCACGTTTAAAATTAAAATGATAAAGATAAATGTGAATAGATTACTAGTTGATAGTTGTTGATAGATGGAAATTGATGGACTGGCAAAATCAGATTGAATGATCATTGTGGCATTGAATGATTGACCGTCTACCAAGAGTGTGATTAATATTTCCTGGCCACTACCCAATTCACTGTCACGTGGGATGGTAATCAAGGTATGATTAATAAATTGGATTTCATGTTGGACATTATTAATGGACAAGGTGACAAGAGTAGAATTGATACCATAGTTTGATCCAGATATAAATATTGATGTTTCATTATCATCGAGAATGACGATAGAGTCGACGACGGGTGGTAAATAACCATAGGTGAAATTATAGAGTATTTGATTATCATCAAACCAATGAGATGTAGTGTACCCTCTACCAGTTCCAGCTGGCACCTTTATAGCGAGTTGGTTGTTTGGTACCAATACAACTAATGGCAATGATGCTGAATTTGCTCTTACACTTGTCCATCCAAAATCTTTACCCTCAATTATAATACTTCCGCCCATTGTAGAAATTGATTGATTATAATCATAAATTTCAAATGATTCTAATAGAAATAAGAAATAAAGAAAAAAGAAATTAATTAATGTATTTAATTTTGTTTTGATTTGGACTTACGACAACCAAGTTTCTTAATTGGGTATTGATAATTTGAAAAATTATTTGGTAATACGTATGGAGCAACCAAATAAGGACTGCACAACCAACAATCGGGGACTGGACCAGTGAAATTATTGTAACTGAGTGAGGTTTCAAAGGAACGACATAAACCTTCTGGAACAGTTCCAACAATATTGTTGTGCATTATATTCAATGATTTAAAGACAGAATAGTTTCCGTTTGGCATTGACTCTGCAATATTATTTCTTTTTAATGATACTTCATTAAAACTAAAAATATTGATTTTAAATGTTTTTAAATCATTTCCTTGTAAATCACTAAATATAAATTAAAATATAATTAGAAAGAATCCATTATGATTAATATATTGATTGATAAAAATATTTACATTGAAGTTAAATTTGAACCATGAATAAATGATGGATATGACAAGGTTTGGAATAAAGATGGATTCTCATAAATTGAAATATGGAATAATGAAGTTGCATTTGTAAAATCAATTGAATTTACATTTGAATAATACCCATCACCATCAATAACCCTAGATTGAAGGAAGAAAAAATTTTAAATTAATAAATAAATAAATAAATAAATATTATTTTTTTTACGATATCTAGACTTACAATCTTTTTTAATGATTTTGATTGTTGAATTGAAGATGGGAAGAGTGATTTGGATGAATTCTTTGGATGCTTTAAATATAATACTTCCAATTTTTCAAATTGATCAAATGAATTAAAAGTGATAGTAGAATTTGATGAATAGACTTCCAATTCTCTAAGGTTTTTAAATTGAGTATAAGATTGTGGAATACTTTTAATTGTATTTGTTATATGTCTTAAAGAGAGGATGATGATGATGTTAATATTAATCATTATTTAAAATTTGTAAATATTTTAAATGTGTTCATACAAATAAACAATTTTATCATTTTCACCATCTAAAATTGGTAATGCTACATTATCATTTAGATTTGGTAAAGATAAACTTCTAATATTTGAGTAAAATATATTGGAAGGGATGGAAGCAGTAACATTTCTAAAATAAACTGTGGTCAATGTAGTGGGGATATATAAATACATCCAAGTTGGTAATGAATTAAAACATTTATCATAACCTAAAAAAACATAAAATATTAATTAGCCTATAAAAGAGATATATGATTTTTTAAAAAGACATACAATAAAATGATTTTAATCTTTCAAGAGTATAAATTGTATCTTGCCAATAACTAGATGCAATGATATAACCACTGTAAATATGAATCTCTTCTAATTGTGTAAGATTTTTAATATCTATTAAATAAACTGAATTACTTTGATTGGATGGATGTAGTGTTCTTTGAAAAAAAAAATAGTTAATAAATATGAATAATGTAGGATTATAAACTATAGTTAATTCTTACAATGATATAACATTTTGTTGATCACATCCAATTACTGATTTAAGGTTACTGCAAACATCACCTGTTAAATTCCAATTCAAATTGTACTGAGTATTTAATGAATTCAAAGTTGCAACTAAATCAACCAAATAAATAAATTAAATTAAATTAAATAAAATAAATAAATAGCTATTACTGTTTCTTACATTCACTTTCTGGAATACTCTTTGATTTACTAATAAATAGATAAATAATAAATAATATTGATAAAAAGATCTTCATCTTTGTTTTCTCTTTCTAAAAAAGATAAGGTTCAAAGTATCTTTTTTTGTTCCATTTATACTTTTGTGTTTATACCTAATAAAAATAATATTATTAATATTTAAATGATTAAAAACGCGTATTGATTACGCTTAATGGCCCATCTCCGAAGAATGATCATCCCAACATACCTTTTCGCGCGGCAGGGCTTCGGGATTGAAAATAATCCCCTGTTTTTGAACTTAGTGCAATAGGAAAGGAAGTGCACTTCCGATCATGAAAGCACTGATTGCTTAAAGCGTTGTGCATTCGATAACTTTAAGTGTCGGAGATACTAAACGCTACGACTGTTCGATAAAGGTTGGGCCGAACGAGATACCAAATATCTAAAGTTGCTTCGTTCGTTCGTTTCATGATTATTAAGTTGTGATACCACCATTTTCTTATTGAAGTTGACCTTCATACTTTCCGGATACACTCTTGCGCACCGATGTTGTCTGTTCTGTTAAAACAGAGATAAAAGTTAATTAATCTTTGAACGTCATCAATAAAACTTTGAGAGGTGAAAACCATTTTTTTACTTTTTTCCAATACTTTCTATTAATTATTTTTTTTTTTAGAGGTACCTCCGCCATATCTTTATAATATCAAATTTACAACCTTGTTTTTTAAAAAATACAAAAGTAAATTGATCAAACAGATAAAGAGAGACAGATAAACAAATAAATAATATTTATACTATCAAACCAAGTAACAGAGATGAATATTTTAACGTAGGTATAATTCAATATATATTATTTATACATCAATTTTAAAGAACATATGTTGCGCAGATCACGATTAACTAATATATATATATATTCCACAGTTCTAATTATGAATTTAATTGGCATCTTGAAGACACTTCAAAACCAGATTTGGTTCTTTTTGAAAATCAAATGCATGATTTCATTAAGAAGAATGGGAAAAACCAAATATCGTTGAGGAACCACTTAACAAACCAGGTGTATTCCCGTTCAACCAAAAAGTATGATATGAAGTACTACCAATTCGGTACTCTTCCTCAACTCAGTAAAACGTCAAACCCTCCAAACCCTCCAAACCCTCCAAACCCTCCAAACCCTCCAATAAAATCTACAACCCTTCAAACAACTCCTCCAACAAATCCTCCTAAAGCTCCCCCAACAAATCCTCCAAACAAATCAAAAACAACATCAACTACTGCTACAAATTATTTTTCACAAGACCAACTGGAAGAATTTACCTATAAAAGATTAGTAGAGATTTGTAAATCAAATGATATTAAAGTCAAAGGTAAAAAAACTGATTTGGTTCAGTTGATTATCAACAATAATAACAACAACACTACAAAGGCAACTAAAAAGGCAAAGGGTGGAAGAAAAAAAGTATTGTCTGATTTGGAAAAAAAATGCATTAGAAAGTTGGATTGGTTTGGTGTGGATTTAATTAGCACCCATGGGATAGGTATCAGATTTAATCCTCTTCAGCCAACACTGCCATTAACCATGCACGATTCAAGAGCTTGCATATCAAAGTCTCTTTCTGAATACTTTGAAAAAGCAGTAGAGAATGGTTATATGGACATAGTTTTGGCAATGGCAGGTGTCGGTAAATCAATAAAACTATCAGACTTGCATAAAAGGGCCAGGAAGTTGGTCAAACGAATCACCAAGAAAACTAGAGTCATTAGAATTATGGATGGCCATGGCAGAATGGTATTTCTCATTTTCAAATATATCATCGAGATATATGGAAAGGAGAGACTCAACGAATTGGAGTTTGAGTTGGTTGACATTGTTCCAGAGGTGACTGAATATCACAAGTGGATGTTTAAAATGGGGTGCAACAATATCAAGTACATCAATCGCAATATTTTTGAACTTGAACATACCCCAGACACCCTTTTGTATTTAAACTTCTGTGGGATCAGCCATTCCATTGAAGAAACAAAAAAACTCTTCTCCACAACCTCAACTCTGATGATTTCATTTAGTGTCAACAGAGGGGCAAAAGCTAAAAAGTATGAATGCCAGCTTAGAGCCAGCTTGAAAGATAACCCGACTATGAAACTGTGTCGTATCGAAACTGGCAGAAAAGATTTTAGATCTTTCATCTTACAGAAGAGAACTGGATCCAACTAGATCCAAGTGATCACTTGGGATACCAACCCAAACCAAAAAAATAATCAAAAGATCAAATAGCAAAAACTTCAAAATTATGAATAACTGGATTATTCAGGGTGATAAGTAGAATTACCTCCACGTGGTATCACCCGTAAACATTTACAAATAGGAATACAATAGTAAATGGCTAAAATTTTACAACAACAATAAAAACATAACAACTTAATAATAAGTTATATTTAAAGAATAAATAAATTTTTAATTTTAATATTTATTATTTTAGGTATTGTGTGGTAAATAACTACTTCATATCAATTCTTTGTTTTTTATTTATTGTCTTTTTGGTGACATGATCCAGCCTATGAGATTCATCAAAGGATTATTGCTTTGTTGAACATTATCTTGGTCATGACCACCTTTAAGTTGATTTAAATGATCTCTGAGTAGTTGTTTGGTTTCATAACAATAATGATTCATTGTTTTAAGGATTCTGTCAATTGTTTGTATTCCCTCTGCATCTACGAATTGAGGAAGAATCAACTTGACAATTTCATATTCTCCATATTTGGTTGCATTTTCGAGTATATATACATTACTTTTCAGATTTCTTACATTGATTAGAAATTTCGCTACTTCTGCATGTCCATAAGTACAAGCATATTCAAGTGCCCTTGCTGTACATCCTTCAGTACGATTATCGTGTAAATACTAATAGTGGAAATAAATAATAATGTTAGACGCCAATCATTGAATGAATAAGTGTTGTTGTTTATACATACTTTGACAATTTCAATGAGACCATATTGAGCCGAATAATCCATAGCATCGGTAGTCGCACCTTCACTTCTGTGCTCTTGAAGGTACTTTACAATTTCAATGTTACCATTTTTAGCTGCTCCATCCATAGCATAGGTTGTTGCACCTTCTGTACGATGCACGTGAAGGAACTTTAAAACTTCAAAATGATTATATTGAGCTGCCCAATCCATGGCCATGGTTGATGCACCCTCACTACGATTGAAATGTAGTAACTGTACAATATCAATGAGCCCATTTGAAGCTGCACATCCATAATCCTAGGTGTCCAAATATCGGGATCAGCCGAGAATTGGTTATAGAGATAATGAAAGATATCCAATCTACCACATTGCAATGATTCGACCACAGCATCTAATGTACATTTTGCCTTGAAAGTGTCAACTAGATATGATAGCAATTCAATGCTTACTTTAGGTATAACCTCACGACCAATAACAAATTCATCGGTTGCTGTACCTCTAGGTCGATTTTTATAAATATACTTTACAACATTGATGTGATCATTTTTAGCTGCATTATAAATAGCCTTGCTCGTTCCACCTTCAGCTCTGTGTTCTTCAAGAAATTGTACAATTTCAATGTGTCCATTCAATGATGCATTATCCATAGCCTTTGTTGTTGCACCTTCCCTACGATGGAAATGAAGGAATTTCACAACATCAATGTGACCATTCATTGATGCAATATCCATTGCCCAGGCAGTTGCACCTTCACCTCGATTCTCATGTAAGAACTATTATATAAATAAAAAAAGATAGTAGGTGAGTTTTGATTTCTTAAAAATTAAATACAGCCCTTCTATTGCCCTAGTACTAGGCCTAGAATACAATATACATACTTTAACAATATCTAACTGACCATTTTCAGCTGCATTATTCATAGCACCCTTTGAACAACCATCAGTCCTTTTGAAATGAAGAAACTATATTTTTGAAAAAATATTAATATATTATATTGAAATAATCAATCAACCAATCAACTTACCTTTACAATCTCGAAACTATTCTTTGCTGCTTCATCCTACAATAAATTACAAGAGAGAGAATTATTAAATAAGAATTATTTCTTTTTTCTTTTAATTTAATATTTACCATTCCATCTTCACATTTACCAATTCCACTATCGTGAATATACTTTACTATTTCAAAAGATGATGCTTTACAAGCCAAAGACATATGTCTACCATTCAACCTTACACCTTTGCTAGAGTGTAACAACTTTACAATAGATAGAGAACTAATCTTGATTGCCATATCCATTGCATTCTTGAGAAATTCAATCTCGAGAGGAGTGGAGGTAGGACATCTCTTGACTAGATACTCTAATATCTCTTGATTTGGTATTGTTATGCTTTTTGAAATGACTGCATCATTCAAATACTTGTATTTAAATTCAGTGACAGAAGACTGTTTCAAGTACTGCCACTTCATTTCAAAACTATTCGACCATTCCAATAGATGTTTCAGTGTATGCATTTGGATGATGACAATATTGAGTGATCGCTAATCTTCTTCGATCGAGTAGTATGTGACTACAATCTTTAGGTAGATAGTGTCTAACAAAGTTCAAAGGCATTGCATACTTTGATATCATTTCAAGGTAGGGTAACTTGATGATATCTCTTCCTTTTACTGATTTTCTTTGTATACTATCACCCAATTGGTTTGTTGTATTAGATATCTGATTGAATATCACATGTCTAATATATTTAACTCTAAATATTGATTGAAATGTTATTGTTGTTGTTGTTGTTGAAGACATTAATGTAATTTATAGTATTGTCAATACAATGAAAGATCTTTCTACATTTGATGAGATACATCGAAATTATATTTTAAAAGAATTTTCGAAAAATCCTATCGAATTGATCATACTACTAGTAGTTCTTGTATGTTCCAACCTTTTATTTATATAAATTAGAGGGATAGGGTACAGTGAGCGTACCATACCATATCCTACGGTTAAATATATAAACATACAGGGAGGGGTTGAATAGTTGTTTGGATGAAGTAAATCAAAGAACCTTCTTAATTCTTATCGAGCTCGCAATAAATCAATTTGTGAATTATAGGTCAGCAGCTGATAAGTCGTGGTCAATCATAGGCTATGACTATGTTATGGCATTGGGATATCATATGTCCTAGGAGTATCTTTGTGTTTAAGGTTTTTCGAAAGGTCAGAAGTGTCAGAGAAAAAAAAATCTTGATATTATTGTTACATTACCGAGTTAATTTAAATATTTCACGAAAAACGAAGCGTTGCTATAATTACCCAATCTTATATAAAGAAAGTGATCTATTTCATTTTTTTTTATCGTCGTCACTTCCAATTCCTTCTTTTATTAACCCACCAGAATGTTTAAACAAATAATTGTAGCTACTATTTTCTTGGTAGCCTTTTCTGCTGTCATTGCTCAATGCAACCCTGTCGTAAGACTTGCAGTTGAAGAAGAAGAACAAGATGTTGTTCCATCATGCTCATCATGTTATGTATCCATGGATTCCTCTATTGCTGTCTTGAATCAAATCCTCCGTAATAATAACAATTTCGAATATTGTCTCGTATGCATTCAAATACTAGAAATAATCCAATAATAATTTTAATTTATATAATTAATTAATTCATATTTATCTTCTTCTTCTTCTTCTTCTTCTTTAGGATCTTTGTGACCAACTTTCAAATAATAATAGAGTATCATGTAATCTTACTTGTGAAAGTCTTGGATATAGCCAATTTGTCTATTTTATCGGTCAAGACAATGCTGACCCAATTGCTTTGTGTCAATATGCCGGTATTTGTCCAGCAAATAGTAATCCAAGTGGTGATGTCAGAATCTTGACTGTCACTCCAGCCTATGCTCCAATTGGAACACCTTTTAACATTAGCATGAGTTTCAATGGTCTTGTCCAAGCTGGTCAAGCCCAAGTCATCGTAAACTCACCATTGCAATCACCAATCATCATTTCCAATCAATTATTGGTCAATTTCAATGCTACTAGTTCAATCACCTTTATTATGAACACTAGTGCAGCAACAATGTCTGGTATCTACCAGATTACAGGTCTTATTTGTGCTGACTCCTGTGAGTCAAATGATATTAATGCCAAAGTTTTGGACAAGGCAACTGCTTCATTTTCAGTCTATCTACAATAAACCAAATCAAATGTTTCATTGGTTGATTATATATACAATAATAATTTATTTTCACAAAATGGTGGACTTTATCCAACCTATTAGGCTCTTTAAAGGATTATTATTATCTTCTTGGTTATTATCACTTTTGAGTTGATTTAAATAATCTATGAGTAATTGTTTGGTTTCATAGTGGGATTTATATTTCATAGTTTTAATGACTCTTTTAATTGATTCGATTCCCTCTTTATCTTTGAATTGAGGTAGAATCAACTTGACTATATCATATCGCCCATTATTGGATGCTTTTTGGAGTACATTTTCATTACATTTCACATTTCTGGTATCGATCAGAAATGATGCTGTTTCTACATGGCCATAAATACAAGCATACTCGAGAGCCCTTTCTGTACATCCTTCACTACGATTATCATGTAAAAACTAATAAATAATATAAAGTCAGAGAGATCGATTTATCATCAATAAATAATGGGATTTGTTGTTGTTGTTGTTTCAAAGTACATACTTGAACCATTTCCATATCACCATTCATTGATGCCCAATCCATAGCATTGGTTGTTGCACCTTCACTACGATGCTCATGAAGGAACTTTACCATTTCAATGTCGCCGTTTTCAGCTGCATAATCCATAGCCCACATAGTTGCACCTTCACTACGATGCTCTTGAAGGAACTTGACAATTTCAATGTGTCCAAATCGAGCAGCATAATCCATAGCATCTGTTGTTGCACTTTCACTTGTTTTGTTGAAATGAAGAAACTTTATAATTTCAATGTGACCATATCTAGCAGCTTCATTAATAATGTTATTTATCGTCCAAATAGTACTGTCAGCACTCAAGAAACGGTCATAGAGATAATAGAAAATATCCAATTTATCGTATTCCAATGCTGCCAACAAACCATCTTTTGTACATTTTGCTTTGACAGTTTCAACAAGATAAGTTACCATTTCAATGTTTCCATTTGATATGACTTCACGATCTATTTCGATATCATCATCATCATCATCATCATCACCGTCATCATCATCATCATCAACATTTGTATCACTTTTTGAGGGTTGATTTTCATAAAGATATTTTAAGAGATCTAGGGAGCCATTTTGTGATGCCCACATCATGGGTGTTTCACCTTGGATTGAGTGCTCATAAAGGTACTTTATTACATCAATGTGACCACTCATTGATGCCCAATCAACAGCCCAAGTTGACGCACCTTCACTACGGTGTTCTTGAAGGAACTTTACAATTTCAATGTGTCCCTTCATCGATGCTGAATCTATAGCATCGGTTGTGCATCCCTCACTACGATTGAAGTGAAGAAACTAAATAGATATGATATGATATGGTTAAATTATATTTATATAATCTCAGCTTTAATAGAATAGAATACAGATACTTACTTTTACTATATCTAATTTACCTTTAAGTGCGGCAACATTCATTGCATTCTCTGAACAACCTTCAGTTCTATTATCATGAAAAAACTATATCATTATTTGTTTTAAAAGATAATTCATTAATTATTGAAATAAATAATTTATCGATCGATTCCAACTAACCTTTACAATCTCTAAACTATTTTTTGCAGCTTCATTCTATTAATAATAATAATAATGATTAATAATTAATTATTAAATTATTTTCTTTTAATTCTAAATTAATCGACTTACCATTGCATCTTTACATTTAGTAACTCCACTATCATGTATATACTTTACTACTTCAATTGAAGATGTTCCACAAGCCAAAAACATGTGTCCACTATTGAGTTTTATACCTTTGGTCGAGTGTAACATCTTTACAATTGATAGATAACTGGTCTTGATTGCAATGTTCATAGCATTCTCGAAAAAATCATGATTCCTATGCATACATCTCTTGATTAGATATTCCAATATCTCTTGACTAAAATGTATGTATTGTTTCTTGATTGTTTTGTTCAAGTACTGCCACTTAAATTCAAAGTCAGTTGACCATTCCACAAGATGAGTAAGTGTATCCAATGTTGCATTACGATGACAACAGTATTGAGTGATAGCTAATCTTCTTCTATTAAGTAGTATTTGATTACAATCCGATGGTAGATAATGACATAGAAAGTGCCAAGGCATTGCATACTTTGATATCATTTCGAGTCGAGGTAATTTGATGATATCTCTTCCTTTTAATGATCCTCCAAGATTATCATCATCTATCCGATTGAATATCAATTGTCTAATATATTTATCTCTAAATATTGAGTGAAATGTTATTGTAGTCGTCATTGTACTAATTATTCGTACTAGTTGTACATGTAGATTAATTAACTTGAATAAGATGACTGTGGACAAAGTTTGTTTTTTTGTTTTTATATATTTATAGCATCAAAGGACCTTTATTTCTTTTTTTTTTTTGGTGACTTCTTGATTTTCTTATTATCTTTCACCATCAACACCCTTTAGTTGATTTAAATGGTCTCTTAGCAATTGTTTGGTTTCATAATAGGATCTATGATTCATTGTTTCAATGATTCTTTCAATTGATTCTATTCCAGATGAATGTATGAGTGAGGTAGAATCAACTTTACGATATCATAGTGTCCATTATTAATAAAATGCTCCAGCATTTTTCATTACATTTCCGTTTTTTTATATTGATCAGAAATAATGCTGCCTCCAATCCTCCATGTTTACAAACAACCTCTAGTGCCCTTTCCGAACACCCTGAGTACGATTTAAATGTAAAAACTAAATAGATAAATAGATAGTAGTAATGGAAATGAATTAATAATAATGTGAGAGAGTGATCCATCATCTTATTATGTTCCAGTTGTGTTATGGTGGAGATACTAGAAAATATAAAATGATTAATTATAATTTTGAAATGAAAGCATGCAATCATTCAAACAATTTTAACCCAATAAACTCACCTTACAATCTAAACTCTTTTTTGCTGCTTCATCCTAAAGGTCGATCAAATAGAGAAAAAGAATGAATAAAATGATAGTCGTATCTTGATCGATCTTAAAGGCAGACGAAACAACCAATATTTATTTTCGTTGATTTAATTATTATTGTTGCCAATATTGTTGAGTTGGTTGAGTATACATTTGCTGTTGTTGTGGCTGTTGGGTATTTTGTTGTTGAGGTTGTTGTGTTTGTTGCTGTTGTTGTGGTTGCTGCTGTTGTTGAGCCTGTCCTTGTAATTGTTGTAGGTAAAATTGGTTCTGTAGATTTTGTGGGTTTGGTTGCATCACTCTAAATTGACCTTGTTGTTGGAGGTTTTGCTGCTGCTGTTGTTGTTGTTGCTGTTGTAGTTGTTGTTGTTGTTGTTGTAAAAGTTGTTGTTGTTGTTGTTGCTGCTGTTGTAGTTGTTGCATACGTAATAATTGTTGTTGTTGCTGTTGTTGAATTGTCATATTTTGAATATTTTGTACTTGTTGTTGGGGTTGTTGAGTTTGTTGGGTTTGTTGAGTTTGTTGTGGTTGTTGTTGTTGTATACCTACCTGCTGTTGTCCTTGGTTTGCAAAGAATTGTTGTTGCTGTGGTTGACCTTGCTGAATTTGCTGTTGTACATGTCCTTGGATTTGACCTGGCAATTGGGTTTGTTGCTGTTGAGCAACTTGTTGCTGCTGTTGAGCAGCTTGTTGTTGATTGAAAAATTGTTGTTGTTGTTGTTGTTGTTGTCCCGGAATTTGTTGTTGTGGCTGTTGCTGTTGTTGTGTCTGTTGTTGACCTTGTTGGTTTGCCTGTTGCTCAGCTCTTTGTCTTAGAGCTTTCATATATTGATCTCGTTGTTGTGGAGGTAGGCTTGCAAGCTGAGCTTGTAACAATTGTTGTTGCTGCTGCTGAGCAGTTTGTTGTTGTTGTTGACCTTGTACTTGTCCTTGTACTTGCTGTTGGCCTTGTAATTGGGTAGTTTGTTGTGGTTGTTGGTAGGTTTGTTGCTGTTGAGCAACTTGTTGTTGTTGTTGTTGTTGCTGCTGTTGGGCAGCCTGTTGCTGTTGCTGTAATCTCTGTTGAAGCAAGGTTGCTGCTTGTTGTTGAATAGCATTCTGCTGCTGAATAGTATTCTGTTGTTGCGGATTAAAAGTGTTTGCTTGTTGTTGTTGAAGATTATATTGTTGCTGCTGTGTATTTTGTTGTTGTTGTTGTTGTGTCTGTTGTATTTGCTGTTGTTGTTGTTGTTGTTGTTGTTGTTGTTGTTGGGTCTGTTGTGGTTGCAATTGATTGATTTGTTGTTGAGGAGTTGAAACTTGCTGCAAACCAACTATTGGCTGTTGTGTTTTTTGAGCTGCCTGCAATTTGAGGAGCATTTGTAGCTGTTGTTGTTGTTGTTGTTGAGTCGGGGTCTGAGGGTTAGGTTTGGGGGGTCTGCTGTGGTGGAATCAGTCCCTGTTGACCTATGTTCTGGGTTTGTACTTGTTGATTCGTCTGTTGTTGTGTATGTTGGCCTTGTTGGCCTGGTTGTTGTTGTTGACCTTGCTGTTGTTGTAGTTGTTGTTGTTGTTGTTGCAGCTGCTGCTGGCGTTTCACCAACATTTGAAGTTGTTGTGGAGTAAACTGTTGTTGTTGACCCGGTTGAACTACCTGTTGCTGCCCAGCTATTTGACCTTGTTGTTGTTGTTGTTGTTGACCTTGCTGAGTTTGAGCCGTGCCAACAATACCTCCTGCCACAAATGGGTTCTGTGGTGTATTTCGATTAAACTGTTGTTGTCCTGCTGCTACCGCTGCTGCTGCTGCCGCTTGTTGTAATTGCTGTTGTTGTTGTCCTGCTGCTACAGCTGCTGCCGCCGGTTGATACATTCCTGCAGTTTGTGGGAATTGTTGTTGCTGACCCGGCATTGGAACTTGAGGAACCGTTTGGTGCACTTGAGCTGCACTTCCAGTGTATTGCTGCGCACTTCCAGCTTGTGCTTGAGCTTGAGCTTGAGCCTGAGCCTGAGCTTGGGCAGCTTGAGCTTGAGCTTGTAGTTGTTGCAAAATATGTTGTTGTTGTTGTTGCAATAACTGTTGTTGGTGTAATGCAAGATTTGTTTGTTGTTGGGTAGTTTGAATTTGTGGTTGTTGTTGTGTCTGTGCTGTTTGTTGTTGCTGTGTAACCTGTTGCTGTTGATTTGGATACCCCGAAATATGAGTAGCAGGTTGTTGTTGGACGATATTTGTTTGTTGTTGTTGTGGAGTGGTTGCAAAATGGGTTTGTTGAGCTTGTTGTACGGATGTTTGTTGGGGTTGTTGTATGTTGGGCATGGATGTAAGTCTAGGGTTTGCTTGGGTGGGAGTATGAGATTGCTGTGGCGTGATGGGGGTGTGTGGTTGCAGACCTGGTGTATGGTACACTTGTGCAGGTGACTGTAATGGATGGATGGTGTTTTGAGGTGGTGTGTTTTGCGACACTATTGGAGAGGTGGTAGAGTATTGTGGCATTGACATTTGTCTAACTGCTTGTCCTACACCCACTCCACCATGCTGCATATTGATTGGTTGTTGTGGTTGTTGGATGTTACTTGTTTGTAATACCTGTGGAGACACTATGGGAGGTGAAACAGTCGGCTGACCAGTCGCCACCGATGTGATTGGCACCGCTGTTGTGATGGCTGGTTGTGCCATTGCGTAGCTGCTGGTTGGTGTAGTCACCATCTGAGGTGGTTGTTGCATTGGCATTGTCTTGGCTCTTTGTACAGCAGCTGCTTGTTGTGGAATATGTGTCTGCTGAACAGGTGTAACAACTGTCTGTTGTTGTTGAACTGAAATAGGTGGAGAATGGTGTTGTATCATATTCGCACCCACTTGCTGCTGCTGCTGAGGCACCATGATTGGCTGTACCTGCGCAGCTTGAGAAATATTGGGTGTAGAAGTTTGTTGTGTCATTGGTACTTGATGTTGTTGTTGTTGCTGCTGTACAATCTGTTGAGGTTGTGTATTATTTTGCATTTGTTGAGCAACAATTGGTTGTTGAGTATTTTGTACAAGATTTTGTTGTTGTTGATGTTGTAGTATTGGTTGTTGCTGTTGAACTGCAACAGGTGGAGATTGTTGTCGAGGAGCAAGATGTTGTTGTTGTTGTTGTTGTTGTTGCTGTTGAATTGGTTGCTGTGTTTGTTGTGGTTGTTGGATTGGTTGTTGTTGTTGTTGTGGTTGTTGTGGTTGTTGAACAGCTTGTGGTGGAGATGTTTGGTTAACGATGGTATTGGTGACGGGAGTAGTTACAGATACTGGTGCAGGCGCAGGTGGTGCAGCGACTGGTGTGGGGAGACGTATACCAGTGCCGTTCATAGTGGCTGACAATAGCTCCTTGAGCAGTGCCACTTGATCGACCGACGACGTCATCTTTGTCAATTTGTATTTATTGGTCGACCCTCTTTTAATCTCTATGTCCTCGTCGATATCCTCCAACACTCTATTCAACGATTGCACGTGATCGTTGAGTTGCATAGTCGCCTGATTCACCGACACACCAGACTCCTCACCAATATTGTTTCTACGCTGATAGTTTGCCAATAGTTCATTACTATTACTTTCAATATCAAGACTTAATTTAGTTCTAAGTAGATTTGGAACTAAAATAATAATAATAATTATTAATATTTGTTTTGTGTAATAATCTATCTCTCTCTCTTTTGTCTATGATTTCATACTTATATTAGGATCAGTATTTGCAAGTAATTGATTAGGGTAGACTACTATAGAATCTAAGATCAATGATATTTCACGTTGAAGTGATTCATAGCCACCAGAGAGTACTTTGAAATGACCAAGTATATCTTCCCAATTCCCCGTTGACGTTGAGTAGATCAACCCACGAATATCCTTTGTCTTGTCTTTAATTGAATTTAAATTTGATTCTATATCAACATCTTGTAGTAGTATTGGCTGTTGTTGTTGCTGTAAACGTGATTAGATTATTAGTATGTACATATATCATCACATCACAAACATTGTCAATGTTAAACTTACCATCATTTCTTTATATAATATATATACGATTAATAATAATAATAATACTACAATCTACAGTTGATGATGATGATGATACAGAATATAATCTAACACCTATCCTTGTTTGCTCTCTCTCTTCTCTACTCAACTAAATTCATTAATAAAGGGAGGGCATTAATGATATAAATATATGACACTACGCAATAATTTAATTAAAATTAATTATGTTTTTAAAGTGGGTGATGAAACCAAAGGTCGATGATCATCAGTGAGTATAATAATAAATGTTAGTTATTTATTTATTTTATTTGTTTATCTATGACATAGATAAAGTTTGTATGTTGTATGTAATACAAGTATTTACTCATTGTATACTTTGAGGATAGTTTGAGTGTCATGTGGTTATGATTATTTACTCAAAAGATATTTATTTTATTATTTATAGGTCGTAGGTTTGAAATCTCCCGATAATCTCCTCCACAACTGTTCGCGAGCTGTGATGGGGAACCATCGATTTTGTGGGAACTTCACCATCAAGCCAACTATGGTCACTTCTCGTAAAAGAAGGAGAAGTTATCAATGATGACGCAATGAGAGAAAGATCTTTAAACTTCAACCCTTCTCGTTGTAAGTTAACCTTTAACTTTTAAACCGTCGAGAAGAGAATTCTCATCTCACACAACCTACTGCAGCGCGGTATGGTTTCAGACATTCATTCAAATTATATTATAATCATCAAACCAAATATTTAAAAGAGAGATAATAATAATTAAAAGATGACAGATACTAGTAAAGTATTATTTATGGTTGGAGCCAGTTCTGGTTTTGGTTTATCAATTACCAAACTATTCCTTGAGAAGGGATTCCGTGTAGCTGCCACTGCTAGATCCAAAGAACAATTAATCAAGGCCGTCGGAGAGACTGATACCAACAAGTTCCTTGCCCTTGAAAACAACCTAAAGGAAGATGAAGCTATCAACAAGACTGTTCAAGACATTGTATCTCATTTTGGTAGAATCGACATTGTCTTTTGTAATGCTGGTTACGGTATCTCTGGTGTCAATGAAGAAGTATCTGACCAAAACCTCCGTGACATCTTTAACATTAATTTCTTTGCCTATGCCTCTGTCCTCAGACATGTCACCAAGTACCTCCAAAGTGGTGCCCACGTCTTCCTCCTCTCTTCCATCGGTGGTTTCAATCCATTCCCAGGTAGCATTGCTTACAACACAACTAAATTTGCTGTTTGTGCTCTTGGTGAAAGTTATGCTGCTGAAGTTAAAGGTATGTAAATATAAATATATTAATATTAATCAAGAATGAATCAAAATTGACCAATTATTATATTTAATTTTTTGTATTTAGCATTTGGAATTAAAGTAACCAATTTAAATAGTGGAGCATTTGCAACATCATTTGGATCAGGAATGCAACCAGCTGCTATCAACCTCCAAGAAAAGTACAAGGATATTTACCAAAAGGCTGGTGAGTTTTATACTTCACTCATCCTCAAGGATGCTGGCAAGTTTTCCGAGTTGATCCTAGAGTATGTCAACAGCGATAAGCCAGAAGCTCCACTCAACTTGTTTATCGGTGCTGATGCCAACCAATTGGCTCACGAAAAGATTGCTCAATTACAAAAGGATCTCAAGGATAATGAACAGTTTACCATTGACAGATTCTTGACCAAGTAAACCAATTCAACTTCAACACACCAATCATCACTCCCACCCACTTATCAACCAAATAATAAACCCAATATACCAACAAACAGAATCCAATCAGATATCATTGGATCGAGTAGTTGTTGATATCATCCCCCACAACCAACCGTAAACTAAAATATTAATATCTATCGATGATGTGATGACTAAAGAATGACAAGATCTAGAGTTCCCCTCTGAAAATATTTTATTTATTGATTTAATTATTTTTTATAGATTAATTATATTTAGATATTAAAACTGTTGGGTTTGATGATAAACCATTGAATCCAAAGGGAGTCCAAAGTAATTCAGTGCTTTTGATTGACTTGTTGTCTGTACGAACATTGGCGAAAAAGATAAAGTAGCCCTTTGAACTGAGTGGGTTGGTTGCATCAACATGTTGAGGATCACTTGGCTTTGCAAATGGACGAACACCACAACGTTGAAGAATGTGTTGTTGGGATCCATCTGAAAAGGTTACCCGAATGGTAAAGTCACATCCACTATTTAAACAAAACCATTTGATTGGTCCTTTTGAAGGTTGAATGTCTAGGAGATGTGTTGGATTGGTTGGATCAATCGTTCTAATAATATTTCCAGTGTACGAGAGATATGGGTAGATTTGAGAGACATCGCTAACATTGGCATGACTGTAGGTAATCACAATCGTATGTACTGGCACCCCCCTTTCGATTGGTGTTCCACTGTCTAGAGACGTTTGGCCATTAGTATCATTGACTACTTTGAATGGGTAGAATTTACCATCGATTGAATCCCAACTTTGGTAGGTTTTGTCAGATTCTCTGTAGATGAGAGCACCTCCCCTGCTTTCATGTTTGCCATTTCTGATTGTGGTTGATCCTTCAAAGTACGACTGCATGGTTGACATTTCAAAGTCTGCAAACATTGAATAAATGTAGTTACTTGGTCTGTCACCAGCACCACCTTGCATAATACTTTGTTTCATACAATGACTTTGGTCACTCGGATCTCGAAGATGATCCGTTTTGCATTTGCTGCCTATTGGTAACCATGGTGGAAGTAATTCCATGTGGTTTATATCAAATCCCCACTGAGATCCAAGTAAAGATCCATTTACGTATGGAAATTTACCAGCATTATAAGCTTCACCTGCCTGAATAAAAATAATCAAATTAATAAATTAATCGTTCAATCAACTACTATATATGATACATACATGAGGTAGACCAAAAGCATGACCCTGTTCATGAACGAAAATAAAGGAATATAGATGATCACCTGAACCAGACATACCACCACCCAGTCCTCCACCAGTGTTGGCAAAGACACCACGATTGTTGAATGCAATGATGGGGGTGTAGAGTTGAATCTTTTCAGCATTTCCACCATTGACTGTTCGGAGGCCACCAAGAAAGGTGAGAATGGAAGACATGACTGCGTAGCCCTCCTTCATCTGGCTGGTGTTGTTTACACGATAGGGTGGACCATTGTTGCGTGGACCAATGATCATGTATGGCCATTGAACCATACCAACTGGATGAGTCTTGGATGTGAGCTTTGAGACAGGCCATCTTTGTTGAAGTTCTGTTACGAACATGTCAGGGATCGTACCAATCCCTGGAAAGTTGGTATTGTTTGGAGTGGCACCAAAGAGAAAGAATGGAACAATCTTGAATAGCATGTCGACTGTCTCACCGACTCGAACGCTTACATCTTGGCTCTTGACCTTGTCATTGGTATCATCTGGGTAAGCTACTACAATGAGACCTGGTTGGATCCATTCCTCATTGGCAATGGCACTGTAATGGGTGGTCGAAAAGGCAGTTCCGTTGGCTTCGGTCTTTGGGAGATGAGATGGGTCGTTTAAAGCAATCGTACCGACAATTGAGTGACTTCCACTTTGATCAGCGGTGGCAGAGGGCAGATTAAAGACAAGTTTTGGATTGGATACCTTGACATTACTACCAAAATCGACAAGAACCAATGTTTTTCTACCACCTACAAGATGATAGGTGTAGTTTTTACCGGAAACTGTCCATTTTAATCCTTCAGCTGGAAGTAAATGAGTTTGACCAAATAATAAATTTACATTTATAATATCATCAGCCTTTGATGATTCAATGACAATGAATAAGAATAAAAATGAAATTAAAGTATTTAAAAGATATCTTTTCATAGGTTAAATAATTATTTTGTTTGTTTGTTGAAGAAAGAAGAATATGATTGAAGAAAGAAGAATATGATTAAGATGAAGAATGGAAACTCCACAAACAACAAAACATGAATGTATTTTTTTGTTACCTTACCTATCTGATGTTGGTTATCATTGAACTCAATCATTCATTCATTGCCTACTGCATCACATCTTCAGTGTACTAATGATAAACAATCAATATTAATGTGTCAATAACAAGGAATGTGCAAATTCTTGTGCCAAAGTACTGTTCTCCTCTTCACCCATTGTTTTAAATGAAAGTTACCAAATAGAACTAAATTAATCATAATAATATTCATGATCATATATACTAGCATTCAAATTAATCATAATAATATGCATGATCATACATACTAGCATTCAAATTAAAATTAAAGAGGTTCATTATGCATCATTGTCGATGTCCAACACCCATGCAAACACAACACACTTTTTAATGATTGTATTGACAACATCGACCCATATGATTTGATTGGATTCTGTTTGTTGGTATTTGGTTCACCTCATCATTATAGTGAAAAAGAGATAATAACTTGAACAAAGATTATCGACCATCCTATTACTGATCGATGTGATACGATGACCAAAGAATGAGGGGTTCTTTTAAAGAATGATCTTCTTGTCCATCGATTTTTAAAAATATCTATCTTGAACGAAAGAGGCGAAATTTCAACCAAGAAGCAAGAGATCATTGCATGCCATGTCAGCATTGCGTTCTTATTCTTTTTTAGTTTTAGTTCTTATTTACGACTATATATCCACTTAGGTCAATTATAAATAAGATGAACCCAAACAATCATGTCATGTTGTTTAAACAATACACAAGACCGAGATAGAATATAGGATGACAGATAGTAGTAGTAGAGTACTATTTATAGTTGGAGCAAGCACTGGGTTTGGATTATCGATGGTAAAGGTTTTCCTTGAACAAGGATTTAGAGTTGCTGCAACATCAAGATCAAAACAACAATTGGTCAATGCTGTTGGTGAGACTGATACAAACAAGTTTATAGCTCTTGAAAATAACTTAAAGGAGGATGAAGCTATCAACAATACTATTCAAGATGTAATCTCTCATTTTGGTAGAATCGACATTGTCTTTTGTAATGCTGGTTATGGAATGTCTGGAACCACCGAAGAGGTATCCGACCAAAACCTTCGTGACATGTTTGATATCAATTTCTTTTCATATGCCTCTGTCCTCAGACATGTCACCAAATATCTATCGAGTGGAGCACACGTCTTCCTCCTCTCATCATCTAGTGGATTCTCTACATTCCCATGCGGTATTGCTTACAATACTTCTAAATTTGCTGTTTGTGCTCTTGGTGAAAGTTATGCTGCTGAAGTTAAAGGTATGTAAATATAAATAATATAAATATAACCAAACCTACCATTTACTCATTCTATTTCCATTTCTATTATTATTTAGCATTTGGAATTAAAGTAACCAATTTAAATAGTGGAGCATTTACAACATCATTTGCAAGTGGAATGAAACAACCAGAGTTGAACCTACGTCAAAAGTACAAAGATATACACGACCAGTGTAGAGCAATGGTCAAGGCATTACCATTCAAAGATACAACTAAATTTGCAGAGTTGGTGTTGGAGCTAGTCAACAGTGACAAGCCAACCGCACCCATCAATTTGTTTGTAGGTGCCGACGCCAATGAAATGGCTCATGAAAAGATTGCTCAATTACAAAAGGATCTAAAAGATAATGAAGAGTTTACTATCAATAGATTCTTGACCAACTAAGCAATTAATAATAATGATAAATAAATAATAAATAATTCACAAACATAAAGAATACTTTTTTTACTTATTTTTTGACTTCCTCCATCTTTCACAAGATCGTGAGAAATAGAAAGAAATCGCGATATCTAAACGAATCATTCAAATGCACGTTTGCATTCGCTTAGTTTGTGAAATGGGCTCGGTTTTATGGTTATTAATCATCATCTAATTAGACTTTCTATCTATACTACTATTTATATAAATATTCTACACATAAATATGACTAGTAATATTAGTACAGGTGTATCACCAAGATCAATCAAACAACGTAGAGATATAATACTTGTAGTACACTATAATACGACAGTAACAGAGATTACATTCACCAATGTAGCTACATACGATCATCTAAGATACCATATCATATCAAATCCCGTACTGGCCAGAGTCATGCCTCAAAGAGGTGATATCATTCTCTTTGATAAACCATTAACTAAAATAGTATCTTATTATGATACCGCTCGATATCCTTTACAAATGTTATCTCTTGTCACTCTTCATGATGGTGATCATATTTATGTTGAAGTTTCAGATCCACCACAACGTATGTAAATAATTATTAATTATTAAATTAAATATATTTCCCTCCTTTCTAATTCCTTTATGATTTGTAGCAGTAATTGGTAAAGTTAGAATATTTTGGAATGATGAAGATAATGATGGTAAAAGTTCAAGAGTGGCCGCAGTGTTTGAAGAAAATGTAACCGATCAAAAGATCAAAGAAGTACTTAAATTGACACGACTGGCAATTAAATGTAGAAATGACCAAAATAATGTATATATGATATCACCTTATCGTGCTGGTGATTATACTATTATGATGCATGAAAAAGAGAAATAGGAATAGAAAATAGTTCCCATGGAAGCATGGTATAAATTAAGTACAACAATGAACGGAATGATCTATCTAGCTTGGAGCGAGTTAAACATTCAAAACAACTTTGGTTAGGTGGCTGGAGAGATCCTTACCTATTCACACCAAAAGAGAGAGAGAGAGAGAGAGAGAGAGAGAGAGACAAAAATAATAAGTATTAGTTAACACTTGTTATACCTCTATTATAATATTCAGAATAAAGATTTACTTTGTGAATGGAATATATATCCATATTCATAACCTATAATATTGTTGTAAGCATTTTGTTTGATTTTAGAAAAGGATGATCAATTCATTTTGATTTCAATCAAGAAAATCAAACAAAATGCTGTACATGAGATTGAAAGGTGAAAAGGTTTACAAACCAAGGTTAACGAACCTGGTAAGGGGAATCTTGGATGTTGATGCTAGAAAACAGACTGAATAGCGCTGCGTCGTCTGTCTTTAAGTAGATATGATTCTTTTATAGAAACTATTTCATCTTTTTGGTCGTGTCAGATTAATAGTGATAATTATAATATAATTAATGGATAGGTAGCTAAATAAAATAATGAGTGTGTTTTTTAATTGGATTTAAGTTGATCATCCAAAAAAAAAATTGTTGTCAATAAAAAAAAAAAAAAAAAAATTATTATTTATTAATTTAGAAAAACAGATAAAGAAAGAGATAGATAGATGTCTAATAAGAATAATAATAATAGTAGAGGAGCAGGTGACGGATCAAACTCATTGTTGACCAAAGAACAACAGGAACTAGTCAAACCATGGGGAGACTTTACCAACTTTATGGCATCACATGGTGTCAAACCGTGGCAGTTTGATGAAGCTATAGAGTTGTTAGAGTACTACAAAAGACAAGATCAGGAGGAAGAATCGGATGACGAAGAGGACTATCAAGAGGCAGATGGTGACTTTGGTCATCTTTCACACATGTTTGACAAAAAGGATAGAGCAATGATCAAAGAGTCTTGGGGAAGTGTCCCAAACTTTTTCTTATCATATAATATCAAACCATGGGATGTAGAGGAAGCAATCGATTTCTGGGAGTCTTTTAAAGAGAATCTAGAGAATCTACAGAATCAAGAAGATGATGATGAAGACGACAATAATGTTTACAACAATCAGCAGCAGCAACAACAACAACAACAACAACAACAACAAGATGATGATGATGAAGAGGATTATGAAGAACAAGATGGTGATTTTAGTCATTTATCATTTATATTTGATAAACAGGATAGAGCAATGATCAACAAGTCCTATGGAAGTGTTCCAAACTTTTTCATTACAAATGGTATCAAACCATGGGAAGTAGAGGATGCTATCAGTTTCTGGGATGAGTTCCAACAACGTATTTACGGGTACACCAAGAACAACAAAAAGAAGAATACTCCATCTGTTAAATCAGAGGTTCAGCCTAAATTTAACAACAATCAAAATAATAACCAAAATAACAATCAAATTAATTATAATAATAATAATCAAATTAATCCTAATTATAATCCTAATTATAACAATAATCAAATTAATTATAATAATAATATTAATCCAAATTATAACAATAATCTAAATAATAATAATTATAGCAATATTAATCCTAATTATAACCCTAATTATAACAATAATAATAATCAAAATAATAATAACTATAATAATTATAGCAATAATAACATCGCACCAGTTAAATCAGAGGTGGAAAGTAATGAAAATAATGAAACCAATGTAAGAGGTGGATACAGAGGTAGAGGTGGAAGAGGTAGAGGTGAATACAGAGGTAGAGGTGGACATCAAAATAATTATAATAATAATAATATGTATAATAATGATCAAAATAATCAAAATAATGTTGACGTTACACCCGTTAAATCCGAGGTAGATGGTAATAATAATAATGAAGCCACTGCCAGAGGTGGAAGAGGTGGAGGATACAGAGGTAGAGGCGGAGACCGTGGTGGAGACCGAGGTGGAAGAGGTAGAGGCGGAGACCGTGGTGGAAGAGGTGGTGATAGAGGTGGAAGTGGATACAGAGGAAGAGGTGGTGACAGAGGTGGAGAAAGAGGTAGAGGCAGAGGAGGTAGAGGTGGAGAAAGAGGTGGAGATCGTGGTGGAAGAGGTGGTCAACAAACCAACAACAATCCATAGAAATATCTCTAAATTGGAAGAACCACTTATCAAATATCCAATATCCAATAATCCAATAATCCAATATCCCCCAACAAAATATAATATAATATAATACTACGTAGAATAATTTTAAAATAAATATCAAAAATATTGTAAAACAACAACAACAATGAATTGATTGATTTTGTTTGTAAACCACACACACCCAACAATAGTATTAATACAAAATCATGATTATAAATGTTGTTTGTTATTAATTAATTGTATATAGTATCTATAATAATAATAATTAAATAACAACAATTATACTAGATAGATATAGATTTAGATAGATATTTAATTTTTAATTAAATCGATGCCAAAACAATCAAAATACAATCAATATGACTATAAGAATCATCTTCCACCATCACCAGAGCCAGAACCAGATGACCACATCGCAGATGATGTCAAACATTATCTGGCCGAGGATTGGGGAGGTGATATGACCAGCTTCCAACTATCACATGGAATCAAACCTTGGGATGTCGATGCTTACACAAGATCATCTGATCTGGTTGACAAATATAGAAAATTTGACAAGTCGATTCAAAAGAATAATAATAATAATAATAATAATAACTCTAGAAAGAATAACAACAGAGATAGTCCTGAACCAGTTTACAAACAATCAGGTTATGCTATTGCAACTAGAATAGATGACAGTGATGATGACAACAACAACACCAAGGTATACAGAACAGGTTATCTTAGAGTTGTTCCTAAAGATGATGACGATGACAACAATGGCAGAGGTGGTGGTGGTGGTGGTGGTGGTGTATACCGACATGGCAATAATAATAATAATTCAAGATCTAAAGGGCCATATGACAGAGAAGGAGGTGGATATAGAGGTGGAAGAGGCGGTAGAGGTGGTGGTGGATATAGAGGTGGAAGAGGTGGTAGAGGTGGAGGTGGTGGATACAGAGGAGGAGGAGGAGGAGGAAGAGGAAGAGGAGGTTATAATTAAATCAATCCTATTCAATCCATTGTATTATTCTTGTGTCAAAGTTCTTTTCTTCTTTAAATAAATAAACCCAATTTATTATAATTATTATTATTATTTATTCTATTGATTTAGTTGTTAAACTGTCTGTAGTAGTATTTTCGTCTTTTCCATTATTTGTATTAGTATTTGATTCTATTTCTATTTCTTTTTCCTTATTATTAATATTATTACTATCTTGTTCTTCTCCATCTTGACCACTTTGATCTTCACCTTCTTCACCATCTTCTTCACCTTCCTTTGCTACCTTTCTAGATGGAATAACTTCTTCAAATGATTTCTTCCAATCATTATTTACAGTTTGTTTTAATAAAATATCAAATACTATAAATAAACAAATAATTAATTAATATATTATATTCTCTTTTTGTTTTGTTTGAATATAATAGATTATAGTTACCATGATTAACAGCCAAAACCTTTCTTGAAGATAATTGAATAAATTCAGAGATTGGTAATTGAGCAGTTTCTATACCTTGTTCCAAGGCAGTGTTATAAGTTAGACCTTTATAACGATTGTGATCTACGAGAGCACCGATAATATATTTCTTGGTTGGATCTAATTCCTTGATGATGTTTGGTGATTCGGCGGTGAGATAGACCAATTCTTCTTTTTTGTATAGATCCATGTAACTTTGTTCGTGTCGACCAACCTTCCAATTAATGTATCCTTGCAATGCTTCAAAAGATTCTTTGACGGGTCCCGTGAACGAACAAAAGTCCATAAAGAGTGGTCGTTCCAATCTAAGTGTATTACCATAGGCAAAGGATATTTGAGTGATAAGACTCTTGATTTCACGTTGTCCCATCAAAGAGGCATGTTGAAAGTCAAATATGATGTTGCCCCACCAATCAATTTCAGATGGGTCTCTTTTTTTTTGCATCTTTACTCTATTCAACTCTAATCTCTCTTCTGATGACATTGATTGTTTCTTTCTCTTTCTCTTTTCTTTTGTCTTTTCTCTTTCATGTGCTTTCTTTAAATCTTTGACTGCATTCCATCTTTCTTGTCTTACTTGTTTCTTTTTTTGACTCTTTGTTAATTCGACTACAACTGCAACTCCCTCTACTCCTTCGGTTGTTGTAGATGTTGTAGATGTTGTAACTGTTGTATCACCATCAGTAGTATTATTTGTTTCTGTATTTGTTGTTGTTTGTTGTTCTAGTACTGGATTTGTCTTTTCTTGAGTATCAACAACAGCAACAGCAGTAGCAGCAGCAGCAGAAGTAGCTGTAACGACAATGTTATTATCTGTATTCATTGTTGATTAATATTTGATGTTGTTTGATTAATGACAAAATAAACATTAAAAAGTCGGTCGGTCGTTTTCGCAAAGGGAAATTAAAATTAATATGGGTAATTCTTTTTTTAGACCTCATGATGATAGGATGTCAGATTTGATTGCCTATTACAAAATTAATAATAAATATTATTATTAATTATTTCTCTATTTATTCACCATGATTCATGTTATTATTGTTATTATTATTATTATTATTTGGATTATGTTGTTGTTGTTGTTGATCTGGTGATAATATATTTGAATTTAAACCATTATGACTTGTATTCCAAAGATGAGAGGAAGGTGCATTTGGATCCCAATAATTTAAAATGTCCATGTTTGTATCCCAACTATTTAAATTAGCAAGATTGTCACTGTCAATTGTAAAGTCTGGATAATTATTGGTATGTTGATAATCTGTAGTCATACCAGTATTGTTATTATTATTATTATTATTATTATTGTTATTATTATTATTATTGTTGTTGTTATTATTGTTGTTGGAGATATTATTTGGTAGATTATATGGGTTGACTGAAATGGTTGAATTTGGTGCTGTAGAGGTGGAGGTGTTGGTGTTGTTGGTGGATGGATGTTGAGGAGGAGTGGATGGTAAATCTGAAATAATTGGTGTTACTCTATTATATGCACTCGTACTAGTGGTACTTGTACTTGCACTTGAATCATTCAACATACTAGATGGCGTATTTGTAGTGGTGGGTGTTGGAGGTGCTTCTTCAATCCTAGCGCCTTGATATTGATGATGTGGGAATGCAAATGTATTATATTGATTATTATTATTATTATTATTATTACTAGTATTATTAAAATTGGTTCCGTTATTATTATTTTGATGAATATTACCATTTATAGGAGTAGTTGGTGGAGTTGAATCATCCATTGAAGTAATGATTGTATTCTTTGTATTTATATTATGATTATTACTATTATTATTATTATTAATATTATTATTACTAGTATTAGTGTCATTACTAGAATGAGTCAATCTAAATCTATTGACGGGGAGACCGCCTCCCCCATGTGTAAAGAATTCTTTTGGTACAATATCCGGGCTCATCAATCTAATTGCTACAACATCGCATATTGGTCTACCTTCTGAATCGAAAATAAAAGTATGTGTATCCAATGTACTGAATACTGATCCATTCTAAAAAAAAACAAAATATATTAATATTATATAATCATATTCATAACTTTAGTACTTACTCTTTGTTTATACAATTGTGTCATTTCAACAATATTACCATGGTTTCTTTGATTAAATATATTCATGGTATTTTCAATTAAATTTGGATGTATAATTTGAGTCCATGGAACTCCAATGATTTCATTCTACAATAAAACATAAATTAATTAATTAATATTCTTTTTTCTTTTCTTTACTTTTTTAACATACCAAACCATAACCTAATAATTTACAGAAATTTTTAGAAGCATTTACAACAGTTGGAGGGTTTTTGGAGAGATCAAAAATAATAAATATATTTTGAGTAGAGTTGTAATAATCGACCATATCCTTTATGCTTCTTGGATACGATAGGGCATTGTCAATAAATGGTGAAGATGTTGGATTGGTTGGTGTAGGATCGACATTGTACAAGTCTGCCGGCAAATTGTTGGGTTGAGCCAGCGTCAACAAACTAAGTTTGGATACCAACGATTCGTTGATTACCTCTAATTTCTCATTCTTTTCTTTGAGTGATGACAGCTCATCAAATATCTTTCTTTGTCCTTCTTTAATATCTCTTAATTCATTTACCAAAAAAGAAAATGCATCCGATCCATAATTATTAAATAAATTGTTATTCTAAAAAAATATAAATATAAATTAGTTGGTTAGTTTCATTCTTTAATAAATGTATTACATAATGAATGATGTTCATTATCTTACATTTTGATGTTTAATTAAATCTGTACTACTTGTAAATTTAAATGGTTGTTGTGGTTGTTGTTGTTGTTGTTGTTGTCCTATTTGTTGTGATTGTGGTTGTTGCTGTGGAGATGTAAATGATGTTTTATGACCAATACTACTATTATTATTATTATTATTCAAGAATGGGTTATTACCAACAGTACTACTAGTATGAGTATTATGAGATTGTCTTGCTACTTTGGTGGTTGTAGAAGATGATGATGACGTAGAGTTGTTGTTGTTGTTTATCGAAGGAAATGCAACTGGTGGTGCTGAAAGAGATGTACTAGGAGATGAAGAGGAAGAAGAAGAAGTAGATTTCAATCTTTCAGTGTAGAAACACATTTGAGGAGTTCCTTTTAGAGCACAGTTACCGCATGGTGTCTGTTCATCACATTCAAGGTGTTCCTTTTGACAAAGAAAACACGATCTGTCCGGCGTCTTCCTCTTTGGCATACGGGAGCTCATTGTTGTAGGGGTCGGTTGTTGGTATATTATAATATGTCTATGTCTCTTTTACTATGACTAATACTGTTATACTATATAATGATAGATAGAATGAATATGTTATCTATCTTTGTTAAAATTAAAGTTATTTTTGCTTGTCTTCGTTTGGATGATTTTTTTGATTTTTATTTATTTTTTTTGTGCATCGTCGACATGTGAGTGTTTTGGGGAAGTTCATTTTATTTTTATTATTATTCCTTTTTTGAAATAATTTGATTTCTAGAAAATGGTTTTAAATTTATAATAATCATTTATCATTTTATATTTCATTTATTTGTATTTTAATATTTCTTTTTTAATTATCTTTTTTTTAAAAAGATGGAAAGAATAGAGTCGATTTTAATCATTATAGATATTATATTAAAATGTGTAGGTGGTGATAGATATTTGTTATCATTCCCTTACATGTTGGTTTGCAAGAAATGGTATCAAATATTTCAAAGTGATGAATTTTGGAGAAGTCTATGTTTGGCGAGATGGACAAGTTTATCATTACTAGAAGATGATTTTCAAATCAGTACTTTTGAAGATAATGCCAACAGTGACAATAAATCAAGTAAAAATCAAAATCCGGATGACGATGACAAAGAACCCTTGGGATCTTATTCGCATACAACTTTTAAATATCGTCGCATCAAGGTCAAATGTTGGAAAGATCTTTTCAAATCAAGATTCAATAGGACTCTTCATCTAAGATTTCTCAACACTAGATTTATACCAAAATACCTGGAATATGTAAAAAACATTGAAGAAAGTTTAGTGCATCCAATAGGAATGGTAAAGAAAATGGAATCATTGGATGAAACATCTTTGGATGACTTTCGAAAGGACAACGATATAGAATCATTATTTCTTTTAGAGTCTGTTGTCTATTACTCTATTTACGTGAGAATTGTAGATACCAAACATTACTATGCTAGCTATTTGACGATTTCTGGAAGTTTAATGTCCTATACCGGAAAGAAAATTGAATTTCTATTAGACTTTTCATCAGACGAAGGTTCAGATATTTCTATTGGATCAATTAGAAAATCTGATTTTAGAGCCGCTCTTCCCGATCATTTTTGGGAATCAGTTCAACAACATATTCAATCTAAATCAATGTCTATTGATGATCTCAAATATCTATTTGAAAAAATACTTTTACCTCGAGACGACATGGATATTGGCATTAAAATATTTCATGCTCCAAACAAATACATAAAAGTAAAACGAAGATAAATAATTATATAATGAAGACGAGGTAGTGGGGAATCTATAAAGTTTAGAGAAATTACTCATTAACATAATAAAAAATAAAAAATAGGTTGCAAACTCTCAACTACTATTTGATTTCAATAGTTTCAAGTTTAAATTTTAACAACAACAACAACAAATAATATTATTTTTAAAAAATGGATAGACTAGAGATACCAAAAATAATAATTAAAGAAATATTAGTATTTTGTGTAGGTGGTGAAAGATTCTTGTTATCATTCCCTTTTTTATTTGTTTGTAAGAAATGGAATCAAATATTTAAAAGGGACGAATTTTGGAGACGATTTATTTGTCTAGATGGATAAACCATTGTGATCACCAAAGTTGGAAAGATCATTTCCAAATCAGATTCAAAAGATCTCTTCAAATTGAGTCTAGAATAAATGGTCATGTAGACAATGAAGGGGAAAGTACTCTGCACGTTGAACTATTAGAATCTGGCAATGGCTGTATTTAATGGAAAGAAAATAACCTTTAATTTTAACTTTCAAAGGGATCAAGAAAAATCATTTGCTCTTGCCTGTGAATATCAATACTTGCAAAAAATTTTTCATATTTTTCAGAGTACCAAAAAAAGCACATCAAACTTATAATTGTATCATTAATAATGACTACTATAACAACAACAATAACATTTCATTCAATATTCAGATCGATATATATTAGACAATTGATATTCAAACATATCGGTGATATACAAAATCATTTGTATCGACCCGATGAAAAAGATAAAAGGAGGAGTATTAGTGATGATAGAGGAAGACCAAGACAACTATTAAAAGGAAGGGATATCATCAAATTACCTCGTCTAGAAATGATATCAAAGTTTGGAATGCCTTGGAACTTTCAATGTCATTACCTACCTAAAGATTGTAATCAAATACTACTCAATAGAAGAAGATTAGCAATCACTCAATACTGTTGTCACCGTAATGCAACATTGGATACACTGAAACATCTATTGAAATGGTCGACTGACTTTGAATTTAAGTGGAAGTACTTGAATGACACAATAGATAGAAATAGTAACAAAAAAATTAATCAAGATGTATTAGAGTATCTAATCAAGATATCTCCTAAAAAGAACGTATTTTTAGACACGGCAATGGATGTGGCATGCAAGAGCGGGTATCTATCTGTTGTAAAGATGTTATACTCGACCAAAGGTATAAAATTCAATAGAGTACACATGACCTTGGCTTGTCAAGCACCTTCGATTGATATAGTAAAGTATATAAATGATAGTGGAATTGGAAATTGTGAAGATGCAATGGTAAGTATTTTAAAATTTGTATAAAAAGAAAAGGTAAATCATTTCTTAATTCTTTTTCTTGTTAATCATCAAAATAGGATGAAGCTGCCGAGATTAACTCTTTAGAGATTGTAAAGGTGAGTCGATTAGTTGGTTAATTGTGTGTTTGGTTACTTTGCCCTGTTAACATTCTATTACTTTTAAAAATTAATTTAGTTTTTTCACTTTAATACAACTCAAGGTGCATCAACTTGGGCTATGGATTGGGCATCAATGCACGGTCACATTGAAATGGTCAGGTTCCTTTCAGAGCATCGTAGTGAAGGTTCAACAACCAGGTCTATGGATTGGGCTGCTGAAAATGGACACATTGATGTGGTAAAGTACCTTCAAGAGCATCGCAGTGAAGGTGCATCAACCAGTGCTATAGATAGGGCATCTCGTAATGGCTACATTGAAGTGGTAAAGTACCTTTATGAGCATCGTAGTGAGGGTGCAACTACCAATGCTATTGATGCTGCAGTTCTATTTGGCCACTTTGATGTCGTAAAGTACCTTTATGAAAATCAAATTGAATGTGATGCAACAACAAACATTGATATACATATAGGAGATGATGCCATATCAAAAGGAGGCATTGAAATGGTCAAATATCTTGTTGAAACTGTCAAGGCAAAATGTACACCAGAGACTGTGGGTGCAGCATTGAGACACGATAAATTGGATATCTACCAGTATCTCTATGACCGTTTCTCGGCTGACAGTAGTATTTGGACAAAAGATATAATGAATTATGCAGCTCGATATGGCTACATTGATATTTTAATGCATCTTCATGAGCACAAATGCAAAGGTGCAACAACAAGGGCTATGGATTGGGCATCTCAAAATGGACGCATTGAAGTTGTAAAGTTCCTTCATGAGCATCGTAGTGAAGGTGCAACAACCGATGCTATGGATATGGCATCTCAAAATGGACACATTGAAATGGTCAAAGTATGTATAACAACAACAACAAACAAGATAATTTAATTGGGCAGCATGTATATTAACCAATCTATTATTATTATTATTATTAGTTTTTACACGATAATCGTACTGAAGGATGTACAAAAAGGGCACTCAAATATGCTTGTCGCAATGGACATGTAGAAGTAGCTAAATTTCTAATCAATACCAGAAATGAGAAATGCAATGAAAAAATACTAGGGCATCGTGACATTATATGGTCCAACCATTGTGATGATATTTTCAAGCTGATTCTTCCTCTATTCGTAGGTCGAGATGGAATAGAATCAATTAAAAGTGTCATCACACAAATGAGACGTAAGCAATGTTATGAGGCCAAACAATTACTCAGAGATTATTTACAACAACTAAAAGGTGATAGTGGTGAAATAATCAAGAACAATCCCTTCCTCCTATTCCACCCCAGCAAGAGGACAATAACCCTCGGATGAATCTTATCGAAAGTATCAAATCCTACTTTAACTAAAAACTAAAAGTAGGTTCCATAGTTTCTCTTATACAAAAATTATAAATTTATTAATTGTTTTTTTTCCTGGTCAAAATTTTTTCATGGTCACGATCAGTTTCACTTCTTCTCGTTGTTCTTCAAAGTAATAATAATAATAATAATGAACTTTGTAAAATAATAATAGTAATAATAATAATGACTACAACAACTACAACAATCACATTTCAATCAATATTCAGAGCTAAATATATTAGACAATTGATATTCAATCATATTAGTGATATATCAAAACAACTCAACACAGATGTTTATTTTAAGAGGAGTGATGATAGACGACCACAACGGTTATTAAAAGGAAGAGATATCATCAAGTTACCTCGGCTTGAAATGATATCACACTTTGCAATGCCTTGGCACTTTCTTTGTCATTATCTACCTATTGATTGTAATCAAATACTACTCAATAGAAGAAGAAGAGTGATCAGTGAATACTGTCATCATCCAAATGCAACATTTGATACACTTGATCATCTAATGAAATGGTCAACTGGATTGGTATTTAAATGGAAGTACTTTAAAGATGTAGTCTTGGGAAAATTCTTTTATAAAATACATTTTAATCAAGATGTATTAGAGTATCTAATCAAGATATGTCCTTTACAGAATAGATTTTTGTATCAAGCAATGAAAGAGGCAATCAAAAATGGGTATCTACCGACTGTAAAGATGTTACACTCGACCAAAGGTATAAAACTCGATAGTACTCACATGGAAATTGCTTGTAGATCATCTTCGATTGAAGTAGTAAAGTATATACATGATAGTGGAGTTGAAGAATGTCAAGATGCATTGGTAAGTATTAATTTAGTTAATTGATAAAGATAATATCAATAATTTATAAATTAATTCCTGTTCTCTCTTCTCTCTCTCTCTCTCTCTCTCTCTCTCTCTCTCTTTCTCTACTCAATTGTACCACTATAGGATGAAGCAGCAAAGAATAGTTTAGAGATTGTAAAGGTGAGTTGTTTGGTTGGCGATATTAATCATTGTTTCACTATTGAATATTAACATCATACAATCATCTATTATTTTCAAAACTATAATAGTTTCTTCATTTCAATCGTAGTGAAGGTGCATCAATCAGGGCTATGGAAAATGCCGCTGAAAAAGGTCACATTGAAATTGTACGGTTCCTACAAGAGCATCGTAGTGAAGGTGCATCAGCCTTTGCTATGGATTGGGCAGCTGAAAAAGGTCACATTGAAATTGTACGGTTCCTACAAGAGCATCGTAGTGAAGGTGCATCAATCAGGGCTATGGAAAATGCCGCTGAAAACGGCCACATTGAAGTTGTAAAGTACCTTTATTTCAACAGAACTGAGGGTGCATCAACCAGGACTGTCGATTATGCGGCTAAAAAAGGAAATGTTGATGTTTTAAAGTCCCTTTACCAACATCAACGTAGACATTTATCAACTCTGATGGATTGCGCACTTAAATTTGGCAACTTTGATTTCTTCAAGTATCTTTATGAAAATCAAACTAATCATGCAAAAACTATGATTGATAAAGATGATGGTGTTGTATCAAAAGGAGGCATTGAAATGGTAAAATATCTCGTTGAAACTGTCAAAGCAAAATGTACAAAATATACTCTCAGTGCAGCATTGAAATATGGTAAATTGGATATTTTCTATTATCTCTATGACCTTTTCTCCAAGGATACCGAGAGTGATATTTGGACAACAAGTTATGGACAGTGCAGCTCGATATGGGTACATTGATATTGTAAAACACCTTCATTTCAACCGTAGTGAAGGTGCAACAACCGATGCTATGAATTATGCATCAAGGAAAGGTCATATTGAAATTGTAAAGTTCCTTTCAGAGTACAGAACTGAAGGTGCAACAACATGGGCTATGGATTTTGCAGCTAAAAAAGGTCATATTGAAATTGTCAAAGTATGTAGAGGTTAACATTATTAATAGCAAACGATATTCTAATTACAAACAAATTACCTTTTATTATTGTTGTTTATTATTATTATTATTAGTTTTTACATTTTAATCGTAGTGAAGGATGTACTGAAGGGGCGCTAGAGAATGCTTGTCGCAATGGACATGTAGAAGTTGCATCATTTCTAATCAATGTAAGAAATGAGAAATGCACCGAAAAAATACTTGGATATAGAGATGTATTGTGGAATCACTATGATGACAATGGTATACTCAAGTTGATTCTTCCTCATTTCGTAGGTCGAGATGGAATAGAATCAATTGAAAGAGTCATCACAAAAATGAGACGTCAGCAATGTTATGAAGCCAAACAACTACTCAGAGATTATTTACAACAACTTAAAGGTCGTCATGACCAAGATAATAATCAACAACAATCCCTTCCTCCTCCATATCCCCTAAATAATAATAATAATCCGACAAATCAAATAGACCGGTCCCAAAAATTCCAAAACAAAACCTAAAAAGATACCAAAAAAGGTATCAGCACCCAACAACAAAAACAACAACAAAGTCAACCATCTCAACCATCAACAACCTCTCAACCATCTCAACCAACCTATCAAACAACCTTTGGTCAACCAAGTCAAATCTATTTTGAAGAGCAAGAACTACAAGAACAAGACCAACAAGAGCTAATCAAAAAACAAAGAGGAAATGAAAAAAAGAATACAAGAGTTGGAAAAAACAACGACCGAGCAAGAAGGTGAAAAGAAATCCTACTATCATCAATGCACTATATATCACAACAATTTAGAAATTGATTTGCAGTCATCATCATCACTCCAATAAACCAATATTATGTTCATGAAAAGTATTATTTATTATCCTTCACTTTTTTTTGATATTTTGTATTCCTTGATTAAAAAAGCTTACAACACTTTTTCATTATTAACAATGACAACTACAACTACTACTGTTATTACAACAACAATCACATTTCAATCAATATTCAGAGCTAAATACATTAGACAATTGATATTCAATCAGATAGATGATATACAAAAACAATTGTTGTATCGACCTAATGCTCAAGCTATTTATTTTAATTATAATAGTGATGGTAGACGACGATCATTAGTAGTAAGAACACCGTTAAAAGGAAGAGATATCATCAAATTACCTCGACTCGAAATGATATCAAAGTATGCAATGCCTTGGGAGTTTCTATGTCATTATCTACCTAAAGATTGTAATCAAATACTACTTAATAGAAGAAGATTGGCTATCACTCAATACTGTTGTCACCGTAATGCAACATTGGATACACTGAAACATCTATTGAAATGGTCGACTGACTTTGAATTTAAATGGAAGTATTTGAATGATGCGGACATAGAAGGAGAAGATAATAGATTAAAATTTAATCAAGATGTATTAGAGTATCTAATCAAGATATCTCCTAAAAAGAATGGATTTTTAGACAAAGCAATGGATGTGGCAATCAAGAATAGGTATCGTGTATCAATTGTAAAGTTGTTACACTCTATCAAAGGTGTAAAACTCAATAGCAATCACTTTTACTTGGCTTGTAAATCATCATCCATTGAAATAGTCAAGTATATACACGATAGCGGGGTTGGAGAATGTAAAAATGCAATGGTAAGTACTTACTTAATTGATAAAGACATTTATCACTAATAAATAATTTACTAACTGTGTATTGCTTAAATCATCACTCATAACTTAGGATATAGCTGCATTTAATAGTTTAGAGATTGTAAAGGTGGGTTGATTGTCTATAATATATAGCTCTATGAATTAATTCATTTTTTAACTTATCATACCTATCTATCATATTTCAAAATTATAATAGTTTCTTCATTTAAATAGAAGTGAAGGTGCAACAACCAATGCAATGGAAAACGCAGCTAAATGTGGCAACATTGATGTGGTAAAGTTCCTTCATGAGAATCGTAGTGAAGGTGCATCAACTATGGCTATGGATTATGCATCAATGTATGGATACTTTGAGATTGTAAAATATTTACATGAGCATCGTAGTGAAGGTGCAACAACCATGGCCATTGAATATGCTGCACAACACGGCCACATTGATATTGTAAAGTTCATTCATCAAAATCTTTGTGAAGGTATAGCAACGAATGCTATTCGGTATGCAGTTCGATACGGTCACTTTGAAATCTTTAAATATCTTTATAAAACTGATCATCAAACAACCAAGGATATACATATAGACGACGGTGCCATAGTTAAAGGTGACATGGAAATGGTTACATATCTTGTTGAAACTGTCAATGCAAAATGTACATCAGAGACTGTTAGAACAGCATTACAATTTGGTAAATTGGATATTTTCTATTATCTTTATGACCGTTTCTCTGCAGATAGTAGTATCTGGACATCTAATATTATGGTTGAGGCAGCTACCCAAGGTCACATTGAAATTGTAAAGTTTCTTCATTTCAACAAACCTGATCTAGATGTTACAACATGGGCTATGGATTTAGCAGCTCAAAACGGACACATTGAAATTGTAAAGTTTCTTTCAGAGCACCGTAGTGAAGGATGCACAACCGAAGCTATTGATAGAGCCTCAATGAAAGGTCACATTGACATGGTTAAAGTATGTATTTTAAAATAATAGCAATCCTGTTGGCGCAAATATTAATATTAATATTTATCTATTAAATAATAGTTTTTACATTATAATCGTACGGAAGGATCTAGAAAGGCATTACAGTATGCTTGTTTATTTGGGCATGTAGAAGTGTCATCTTTTCTAATCAATGTCAGAAATGAGAAATGTAATCAAAAAATAATGTTGGAAGTATTGTCGGGCCACTATGATGATATAGTCAAGTTGATACTCCCACAATTATTAGGTGAAGAGGGAATAGAAGCCACCCAAAGAGCTATAAAACATTTGAAACATAGATCCTGTTATGAAACCAAACAATTACTCATAGATCATTTAAAACTACTCAATGGTAGTAGTGTTGACAATCAAAAACGAAATAATTATAATAATAATAATCCTTTCAAGAATCTGATTGACTGGATCAAGTCACCAAAAGACAACAAAACAAAGAAATAGAAACAAAGACAAAGAATGGTAAAGCAAGTCCAACTTGTTTTATTGATTTCAAAACTCTTTTTGTTTTTTTTTTTAGTTGATGAGAAGATGGAATAAAATCAATTGAAAGAATTGTCACAAAAATGAGACATCAACACTGCTATGAAGCCAAACAACTACTCAGAGATCATTTAAATCAACTTAAAGGTGGTCGTGATGACCAAGATATTCAACAACAACAACAACCCCTTCCTCCTCCTACTCTTCAACGAAGTAATAATCCTCTTATGAATCTCATATATTATTATATTATAGACTAGATCAACCACCAAAAGACAATAAATGAAAGACTATTCCAAAGACTGGCTGGAATCCTTTTATTTTATTTTTTTTATTTTTTCATCGACGAAAGTCAGACTAGTATGCGCAACTCCTAGGATCATGAGGTCTTTGATCATTCATTCATCAACCTTTTCGTTACAATATTATAACAGTAGCAGTAATGACTACTACAACAACAACAACAACAACAACAACAACAACAACATCTACTACAATAATAACATTTCAAACAATACTCGGATCTAAATACATTAGACATTTGATATTCAATCAGACAGGTGTGATACAAAAACAATTGTATGCACTTGATGTTCTTTATTATTCAAGTAAAGATGATATAAGAACACCGTTAAAAGGAAGGGATATCATCAAATTACCTCGACTCGAAATGATATCACGCTTTGCAATGCCTTGGCAGTTCATTCGATATTATCTACCTAAAGATTGTAATCAAATACTAATCAATCGAAGAAGAAGAACAATAACAGAATACTGTTGGCATCGTAATGCAACATTGGATACACTTACTCATCTATTGAAATGGTCGAATGGTTTTGAATTTAAATGGAAGTATTTGAATGATGCAATAGATGGAAAACGCAATATAAGAATTAAAATATTTAATCAAGAAATATTAGAGTATCTAATCAAGATATGTCCTTCTCAAGAGAAAGGATTTTTAGACAAAGCAATGAATATGGCTTGCAAGTGCGGGTATCTATCTGTTGTAAAGATGTTACACTCCAAAGGTGTAGAACTCAACAGCAACCACATGCTATTGGCTTGCCAAGCACCTTTGATTGATGTAATAAAGTTTATACATGGTGGAATTAGAAAATATATAGGTTTAATAGTAAGTATTCATTTAAATTAAGTATAATACATTGCAAAAGAAATTAATTTATTATTTCTCTCACTCGCGTAGGATGAAGCAGCAAAGAATAGTTTAGATATTGTAAAGGTAAGTTTAAAACCGCGTTGCATGATAATAATTATTCAATATTAAAAATTTTTATTCAATCAGTTTCTTCATTATAATAGAACTGAAGGTGCAACTACCGCTGCGATTGATAATGCATCAATGAATGGACACATTGAAATTGTAAAGTTCCTTTCAGAGCATCGTAGTGAAGGTGCAACAACCAAGGCTATGGATATGGCAGCTGAAAGAGGATTTATTGATATTGTAAAGTATCTTCATTTCAAACGTCGTGAAGGTGCAACGAACCGTGCTATGAATTATGCGATTCAAAACGGCTACGTTGATATTGTAAAGTTCCTTCATCAACATCGAACAGAAGGTTTACCACCCGATGCTTTAGAAAAAGCAGTTCAACATGGCCACTTTGATGTCATAAAGTACGTTTATGAAAATCAAATTGAAACAACGATTGATATAAAAATAGAAGGGGATGCAATAGTGAAAGGAAACATTGAGATGGTCAAATATCTTGTTGAAACTGTCAAGGCAAAATGTACGTCAAATACCGTAGGAGCAGCATTAAAATGCGGTAAATTGGATATCTACCAGTATCTCTATGACCGTTTCTCGGCAAATGATAGAGAGGATATTTGGACACCCTTTATTATGGATTGTGCAGCTCAAAGTGGGTACATTGATATTGTAAAACACCTTCATTTCAACCGAACAGTGGGTGCAACAACCAATGCTATGGATTGGGCATCAATGTATGGTCACATTGAAATTGTAAAGTTCCTTCAAGAGCACAGAAGTGAAGGTGCATCAACCTATGCTATGGACTGGGCAGCTCAAAAAGGACACATTGAAATTGTCAAAGTATGAATAACAATAACAACAAAGCACAATTTACAATTTTAACAAACTACCTATTAATCGATCTATTATTATTAGTATTTACACTTTAATCGTAGTGAAGGGTGTACAATAAGGGCACTAGAGTATTCTTGTCGCCATGGACATGTAGAAGTGTTATCATTTCTAATCAATGTCAGAAATCTGAAATGTAATGAAAATATACTTGGAGATAGATACCTATTGATGGACGGCAAGCAAGATATTTTCAAATTGATTCTTCCTCATTTCGTAGGAGATGATGGAATAAAATCAATTGAAAGAATCATAATAGAAATGAAAAGCTTACACTTTTATGAAGCCAAACAACTACTCAGAGATTATTTAAATCAACTAAAAGGTGATGACCAAGATAATAATCAACAACAACAATCACTTCCTCCTCCACAACAAAGCAACACCAATCCTTTGAAGAATCTGATAGACTGGATCAAATCAACACAAAAATCCAACCCCAATCATTGAAGGAAAGGGCGCACTTATGGACATGCAGAAGTTACATCATTTCTAATCAATATCAGAAATGAGAAATGCAATGAATATACTTTGTGATGGCTATAATGCTTTGAAGGACCTACGAAATGAGGAAGAATCAACTTTAAAATATCTTGGTCTAGACGGAATAGAATCAATTGAAAGAGTCATCATAGAAATGAAACACTTACACTATTATGAAGACAAACAACTACTCAGAGATTATTTACAACAATTAAAAGGTGGTAGAGATAATAATCAACAACAACCCCATCAAAGAAGCAATAATCCTCTAAAGAATCTGATAGGCTGGATCAAATCACCAAAAGACAATAATTGAAAAATACAATTCCATTCCCCTTTCAAAAAAATTTTCAATTGGGAAGATTGAATGATCTTCCTCACTATATCAAATTACTTTTTTTAATTATCTTTTTTTTTTTAAATAAAATGAGTGGAATAGAGTCTATTATAATCATTATAGATATTATATTAAACAGTGTAGGAGGTGATAGATACTTGTTATCATTCCCATACATGTTGGTTTGCAAGAAATGGTATCAAATATTTCAAAGTGATGAATTTTGGAGAAGTCTATGTTTGGCTAGATGGACAAGTTTATCATTACTCAAAGATGATTATCAAATCAGTACTTTTGAACAAAATTCAAACAACCAAACACTTTATAGCCATCGATGGTTCAAATATCGATAAAGATCGACTTGGAAAGGTTACTTGTTACTTTGATCCTGTCAATGGTTCAGAATTTAAGTTCCCAGTTTTCAAGGTCAAATGTTGGAAAGATCTTTTCAAATCAAGATTCAATAGAACTCTTCATCTCAGATATATAAATAATAGATATATCACTCAGTATCTCAATTATGTGGAAGAACTTGAAAGTAAATTGGTGTATCCAGTAGGAATGGTTAAGAAAATGGAACCTTTGGACGAGTTGGTGTTGGATGGCTACCGAAGGATCAACGATGTAGAATCATTGTTTCTTTTAGAGTCTGTTGTATACGATTCAATCTCTGAGATGAATGGATACGAAAAACATGGTTATATACATAACTTGGCAACTTCTGGAAGTTTCATGTCTCTTTGTGGAAAGAAAGCAACCATGAAGAAGCAACTTTAACCATTGGATCAACCGGTAGCCACATTGGTAGCAAAAAGGAGTTTTGGGAATCAGTTCAACAAGAGATTCATTGGAAATCATCCATCGATGCTCTTGAAACTATTGTTGAAAAAATGTATTTAACAAGAACTGATAAACGTGAATGGTTTGATGGAATTTGGAAATAAACAATGTATTTTATGTTTATCAAACTTGAATAAGGCTCAACATGCAAACCAAAACTTTACAGATCTAAATAAATGTAACATGTTGTTGCTATTGAAGTGGTTCATTTCATCTTGACATCTCTTCAAACGTTGTTATGCTTTTCCTAAAGTCATCACAAACTTTTGTTGTTGTGAGGATGTGACATCTCTACTATTGCATGCCATTATTACTACTACAACTACTAATTATCTCTGCAACAACCAAGAAGGTTTAATCGAAAAAAAATAGTGATGAAGTTTTGATCTTCACTGCAAGCTTTTGCAAATGCAGTCATTAATTTAATTAAATATTAAAGAGATATATATATATATATATATATAAAAATAAAGAGAGAGATAAAGAACAACAATGGGAGGACACAAGAATATAGAAGTTACAATTGAAGCATTCAAAAAGATTCATTCACATTCATTCAAATATTTAGAGTCTGCAGTCAATGGTATACTATTGGGTACAGTGCAAAAGGATTCATCGATCATTGTCAATGATATAATCCCTCTCTTTCACAATGGAACTTTATTACCAATGTTTGAAGTTGCAATGATACAGGTATGATATTAATCATTATCATTGTGGTGATCAAGCTTCAAGTCTAATCTAATCCTCTTATCAAAACAGATAGAAGAATATTGTAAAGTAAATCAAATAGATATGGTTGGATACTATCACATTACAGATAACTTATCAGAAAAGGAGGTTGATCCAATGGCAAAGAAGATATTAGAAAAGTTATCAAACGAATTACATACTTTTTGTTTTATTACTGTATGTACAAACAACAAAGACATGATATGATTATCATATTAGTCAAGACTAACAAAACAACGATGATCATTATATAGATTGTTGAATTGGATAATGATAATCAAAGTGGATTGATTTCACTTTCAAGCAATGGAAATAGTTTAGCAAAACAACAAGATGTTAAAGTAGTTGGTCAACCATCATTCGATACACTCAAACAAACATTAAAACAAATACTCACCGAACACAAAGAAACAAAATTAAATGATTTTGAAGATTACCTTTCAAATCCAACTTTAGATTGGTTAAATAAACCATTATAAAGATTAGATTAGATAGATAGAAAGAATAGATAGAATAGAAAGAATAGATATATTCAAAAATGACAATGGAGATTGATTAATTGGAAAATAATAATATTATTATTATTAATTATTAATTATTAATTATTATTAATTATTTAATTAAATCAGGTTTATGTAGTTTTGTAGTAGTTGTAGTTGTAGTTGTAGTAGTAATTGGGTTCAAATGTAGAGGATTATTATTGTTGAATTGTATAGCATGAATATCGAAACTGTAATAGATTGGTAATAAAACATGTACCAAATAAAATAATATCATAAATATATTATTAATTGTAAATGTTTCTCCAACATAAATCATAATTCCTAAATCTTGATACTAAAATAAATAAAATAAATAAATATTAATATTATAGTTTTAGTCTAGGTCAATCTGAATTGAATATACAAACCAAAATAAATAAAGATATTAATGATGATATAATTGAAATAAAAATATTGGTATAATGTTTTGGTTGATTGATTAATAACATTGCAGGGAATACAACTACCAACATTAAAAAAGAAAATACAATATCACTTGTTGATACAATCGTATAAAATACAAGATGGAAAAAATAAATTCTATAACCTGGAAATGATGATTCCCTTTTTGTTTGATGTATACTAGTATAATATAATTTCCTATATTGTTTAAATTGTTTTTTATATCTTAAAATTAAATAAATAAATAAGTAAATAAATTAGAAAATAATTAATATTTAATATGATTACTTACAAAACAAGTAAAAATACAAAATTAAAACCCAATAATTGAAAAGATGTAGCAGAGGTTGTGTGAATGGCCAAGTATTGGTTATAGGATGGGAATATTGTTTTGATGAATGACAGTAGGTAAAAAGACAATACGGATGATATCCAAGGATGGGTAGAATCAATAGACGACGATGATGATGGAGATGATTTATATTGATTGGCCAATGGAATGACTTGGTACTTGGGGATAGACGATGAAAGGATGAATTGAATGAGAAAGTTGATAGTATCCATGAGTACAAACGGATTGATACTATCAACATGTTCAAAATCCAATGTATTGGTGTATCTACCTAGTTGGTCATACTCGCTTTGAAAGATATTGGCATCACAAAGCAACATGCTGTCAACACCACACCAAGAGAATGGTCCAGAGTCGGTGAGTAGTGGTACCTGTGTGATATGGTATCGATGTGCTTGGTATAGTACCGACCAAAGATAACTATCTGAACAAATACCATGTCCAAACCTAGAGAATGGACGTATCTTGGTTGGGGAGACATCACGATTGAGACGATGTGAAATGGATAACCCCAAATCAATCATCCATGCAGGTGTCCATTGAACAAACAGTTCGTTACGATACGGATAGGTTTGAATGGTAGTTGGACCAATACCAATAGCACCCAAATTGATTTGAAATGAGAATCGGTCAGGTGTCACATTAAAATGTTTCACAAAACTCTTACTTCCCAATGATCCTGATCCATGTCCGTGACCAGCCTTTTCATGATCGAAAAAGATAAACATGATTGGTGGATGGTATAGAACCGATTGATCAATTGGTATTGTATGTTGTTGATCTTCAAGTAAACTATGTTCTTTGGCCATTCTAACCAAATCTTCAAATGTTTCTAATTGTTGTGTTGGTTGATCAAGTTCATCATTTTTAGATGATTGACTATCATCCCTCTTCTTCATCTTCATCTTCTTCTTTGCCACTTTAATTTGTTCCAAAGTATCCAATTCTAATCGTTTGAGGTATCGGTCGACAGTGACGATTGTTTCCAACATGGTGGCTACACTTGCAAGTGAATGATGTGATCCTCTAGTCTTGTTGGGTGCACCCCAATCAGCAGTATCATAACTACAACTAATGACTCTAATTCTATCATCTATTGCTTTATCCAGTGGTGCAGGATACGATGAATTCAACCATACAATGATATTAATACCACTCCAAGTAGTCGTAGTAATATTCCTTCCCCTTGCCTCTTTTTCACTCCACTCGAATCGATTCCATTCAATACTCTTCCCATCCACACCAGAATGACCAATAATATAATCACGAATATATTCTCTTGCCAAACTTTTACTCTCTTCATATACAACTTTTGAATTACCAATCTCTATCAATTCTTTTATATGTCTTATTATTTGATATGATGATGATGATGGTGATGATGAAGGTGAAGGTGAAGAGGAATTCTTATCATCATTATTATTATTATTATTATCTCTCTTTGAATCTTTATCTTCTTTAACATCAACAGTTAATTGAAATGGGCTGACTTGTTGTATATGTTCATTATTATTGTTATTACTATTGTAGAATACATATCTATTTATATTAATATTATTATTTCTAGTTTCAAATACTATCGATAGTACAAGTACACCAATAGCAACTGTTATAAAAGTTGAAGTGCACAGTGAAAGCATAGTTCTTCAAAAAAAAAAATAAAAAAAAATAATAGAATAAAAAAAAATGATGAAGATCGTTTGTTCATCATCAAAAAGATGATTTATCCATTCATCAGCTAACCACACCCACACTTTATATCCAATCCAAATTTGGATACCATTATTATTATTATTATTATTACATATGTATGTGTGTTTGTTTATTTTTCTCTAAAGTTAACTTAAGATTTTAGAGAGAGAGGAATTAATTTTTGTTTTGGTTTAAGGCTAACCAATCTTGAGGTTTGAGATAGAAATCTGTTAATTCAAATTCTGGTGTATTTGGTTCTGGATGATAATTGTAACGCCATTTACAAACGGCTGGGAGTGACATAAAGATTGATTCTATGCGACCTTCTGATTGAATACCAAACTTGGTACCACGATCAAACAAGAGGTTAAACTCTACGTATCTTGATCGACGGTATAATTGGAAATCACGCATTGGTTCAGTGTAAGGGGTCTGGAGATTATCGACTAGGAATGGACGGTAGAGCTCTGTAAATGCCATACCAAGTTGATAGATAAACTTCCAAATACGTTGTTTCTTTTCTTGTTCTGGCATGGCTTTGGCTTCGTCTGAAGTGGCGTCACCCAACTTTTTAGAGAGATGGTCGAAAAAGAGACCGCCTACACCACGTGTCTCTTCACGATGCTTGAGGTAAAAGTATTGGTCACATTCTTTCTTGCCGTGTTGGTAGGTTAGGTTGAGTGCAGGTGATCCAAAGTCACGACACAATTGATCGAGTTTACGATGGTATTCTGTGACTTGAGAGAGACGGGGATAGACAGGAGTGACATCTACACCACCTCCAAACCACCATACAGAGTCTCCAGCTTGAAAGTATCGTACGTTCATGTGGATCGTAGGTACGTTGGGATTGTAGGAATGCAGTACCAAGCTAACACCCGTTGCAACAAACCCGAGTGAAGGGTCGACATTAAACTGTGTGGCAGCTGCCGACGGCAAGTTGTTACCAGAGATGTAACTAAAGTTGACACCAGCCTTTTCCAATACATCAGTCTTTCCAAGTTCAAACAACTTTGTACCTTCAGTTGTTGGTTGCAAATAAAACTCTTCTTTGTTACGACCTTCCCAAACACGAGTGATTCCTCCACCAGCACCTTTATGATAGTCCCATCGGTCCTCAAGTTCAGACTGACCAGTATTGTCTCTCAAGAATGACGTGATGTGATTCTGTATCTCTAGAAAGCCATTCTTGATAGTTTCAAGTGTTACATCTTGGTCGTTGTTGTTGTTGTTATCATTATTATTATTATTATTGTGTGTTGACGCCATCCTCTTTATTGTTGTTGTTGCTGTCTTCTCCAAGTCTGTCTCTCTAACTTTTTTTTAAAATTAATTTGTTTGTTCTAAAAATGAAGAAATAAATAAAAAATGAATGATATTTAATAATTCGCGATCAAGTGCTGATGATCACATACACACACTCCACACACGTACACAACATACACACACACAAATAGACAAACAGAGAAAGAGACACACTTTAATATATAGAATGTCTGTGTGAGAGCAGAGTGTCAGTGCTAGAGTCATGATGCGGTGTCGCCATCGATTAATTTCATGATTAATGTCCCATTTGCCTTTTTCTGCGCGAATGATCTGATCTTTTTAAAAGCATGCCGACAAGACGACTATGCCATCATTATCTCTATACTTTAGTTTGTTGTTGCTATACATTAGTGTTAGTGTGTGCTGTTAGAGATCGATAGCAGTGCAGCGTAGTTTACAGTTGGCATTAAAGTCAAGGTCCTATCCGCATCCCACCCACCAACCCTCAACTTCAAGTTAAAAGATAGATAGAGACATCATCATCAAATTAGAATTAGAATTAGAAAAGTAGTCAAGAGAGACATAGAGCAAGAGAGACAAAGAAACGTCGATATCTTGTTGTTTTAAAACAAGAAGAATAGAAATATATATATATATATATAAAAAGAATGAACTCACTTTCAAATAGTATACTAAAGAACTATAACTTGTTCTTGTTGGCAGCACCCAAACAAACTAGAAATATAATATTGAATAATCTTCAACCATCATCCTCTTCTTTATCTTTTCATAATAATAATCAACTATATACATATTATTCTTCATCTTTAACTTGTAATAATACAACTTCTACAACTATTCGTCAATATACCTCTTCAACTAAAAATCAAAACAATGATGAAAAGCAACCACTATCATCAACAACACACAATGATATCATTCCATCAAAACCAAAGACAGCAATTGTAATGTTAAATTTAGGAGGACCACAAAATTTGGATGAAGTTGAACCATTCTTGACGAGATTGTTTAGTGATCGAGATATTATTAAATTGCCGTTTCAATCGATTGCTGGCAAGGTGATTGCTAAACGACGTACACCGGCTGTGAGAAAACTGTACGAAGCGATTGGAGGAGGTTCGCCGATTAAAAAATGGACGACTCTGCAAGGCCGTGCCATTGAAAAGATATTGGACGCGAGGTCGCCAGAGACGGCACCACACAAGACCTACATTGGCTTTAGATATGCTGCGCCGTTGATCGACCGCGCATTGGAAGAGATGAAGAGTGATGGTGTGACACGTGCCATCGCATTCACACAATACCCACACTATAGTTGCACGACCACTGGGTCCAGTCTCAACAACCTCTGGAAAACACTCGAACAAAAGGGATTGGAGAGGCACTTTGAATGGTCAATCATCGATCGTTGGCCATTACACGGAGGGTTTGTCAATGCCATCACGAGTAATTTGGAAAAGGCGATTGAAGCATTCAACACTCGTGCAAAGGAACTAGGTATGGCCGACGAGAAGCCTGTGATTGTGTTTAGTGCGCATTCGCTGCCCATGAAGACAGTCGAGCGCGGTGACCCGTACCCAGGCGAGATTCAGGCGACTGTGCAGGCTGTTATGGATCGTTTGGCCGTGAAAGAGGGTCGTCCCACCACATCAGACAAATACGCGTCCATCCTATGCTGGCAGAGCAAGGTTGGTCCACTACCATGGCTCGTCCCAAAGACAGTCGACATTGTCACACAACTGGCCAAAGAAAACAAGAATTGTATCGTCGTGCCAGTCGCATTCACATCGGATCACATCGAGACCCTGTCAGAGATTGACATTGAACTGCAACACAGTGCCAAAGAAAACGGTATGCGTCTCATGATCCGTAGCGAGTCACTCAACGACAACCCACTCATCATCGACGCCATGGCCGACATTGTACATCAACATCTCGTCTCGAAACAATCCATTTCAAACCCAACCAAATATACCTTTAAATGTCCAGGTTGTATAGATCAATCACATAAATATTGTAGGACTATTCGTAATCCAATTGGAGGAGGAGGACAGCAACCACAGCAACAACAACCACAACAACAACAAACCATTACCGAAAATAAATAATAATAATTTAATTAATTAATTAATAATTAAATCATTTTTACAATTATTTGCCCAAAAGTTAACACACACTATGAATATAGGACATATAAGTTAACACTCACTCTCATTTCATTATTCATTTTTGATTCTCTATTATAACTATAATTAATATTTGTACCCGTTTGGGTACACTCACTCATTCACTCATTTCTCTACTACCTATTAACATCCCCAACCAGTTGGAACATTTAAACATTTATAAATTATCTTTGCTATCAACTTTCCCCTCATTCCATCAACAGTTCTTCCATTTCAACTCATTGTATCGCGCTCCAATGCTGATGTTGTCTCCAGGATAAAGTCATCACCAAAGTAAAGTCTCCAAATCCTACAACAATGACATTGGATCCAACTTTCAGTTACACTCCCCAAGAAGAGACCGAATCAAATAACACCCTTTCTCAAAGTGATAGATGCTATTTATCCAGAGTTTAAATCTCTGTATGTATTACCTTGTACAAATATCATTTTAATTCAATTCATTAATCAACAAAACAACTCTTTTTTATCAAACTATTTTTATTTAGGAATATATGGCATTGACCTGCCACCTCCTCATTCAAAAGATTGTGCAATTGTAGTTTCTTGTCGAAATCATCGATGGATTGGACTTTTCGTATTCTTTTGAATGAGTGTCTTGCTTTACCAGTGTAAGACGATGCCTGTGGTCACTTCAAAGGAGTTGTCACAGATATTCTAGATTCTTTGATCGGTATTTTGTGACAACTACCAATGTATATAGCGTGATAGTATATCAATATATAAAACTTATGTATTGATATACTATCACACTATATACTTACCCGCTCTTGGTTGACTGAGTCTCAAAAGGGTGGTAATTTTGCAGTTTACAAGTCTACATGGAGTTAGTTGGCGGTCTGGGTCATTTGGGAATCAATAAAACGATAAAGAGAAAGAGCAACAATAAACAATACAATAAAATATTAAAATGTGTAAATAGGTTATAATTGGCTTTTTGATGAAACTCTTTTTATTTGTTGTCTATAGACCATTGATCGTACATGTATTGAGTTACAACAACTAAATCATCCGTTTGTACATCGATTAACATTATTTTATATTTATATCTATATACAATTATTTATTATTAATATGTTGGGGTTGTTGAGAGTTGGAGGGAGGAGTCTCTGGAACCTTTGGTTGATCGAGGATTTGAAGCAATAATTTAAAAGATGGTGGTTGGATGGTTTGAGGTAGTTGTTTAATATTAATGTTGTGTCCTTCACTTCGATTGTGGTGTAGGAAGGATACCATCTCGTTTCGATTGACCAGTATTGCGTTACTGAGTGCTTTGACCGTTGCACCTTCAGTGCGGTTGAAATGAAGGAATCGGACAACATCCAAATTTCCACACGCCGCAGCCGAATCCATAGCATTGGTTGTTGCACCTTCACTACGATTGAAATGAAGGAATTTAACGATATTTAAATGCCCGCTCGTAGCGGCTGCATCCATTGCAAGTTTCGTGCAAGTGAGGTTACGGTCATGAAACAACTTTACAATTTCAAAGTGACCTGAACCACATGCTTTTGTCATTGCAGCGTTTGTGTAAGATTCCGGTCTGTGATCCAATAAAAATCGAACGACTTCTAAATGACCATTCATCAATGCCCCTACCATAGCCTCGGGGGAACACCCTTCACTACGATTAAAATGTAGGTATTTGACAATACTGAGTTTTCCGTATCTACTAGCATCGTCCATCGTACGTACATCACACCAAAAGTACATTTTAATTGATTCAAGTGAACTAAAGAATTGAACCATCTCTAAATTACCAGATACTACACATAGGTCGTGCATGAAGCGACTATTGATAGGACGGAATTGAAGCTTGTCTGGTAGTGCTGCCAAGAGACTTTTGACAGTCTCTACAGTAACGTGTTTACGTAGACAGTACTTGGTGATGACTGCGTTGGCGTCATGACGTACAATCTCGTCCATCATCTTGGGTACATAGTGTTGAAGAAAGTCCCAATTAAAAGTATAGTTTTGAATCATTGCAACACCACCATTTGCAATGATATCCTTGCCTTGTACCCATCTAACATAATTTACATATTTTCGTTTATGATTATCAATAAATCTAAAGATTGATTGTTTAAGTACTAATGATCTAAATATAGAGAAAAATAATATATCTTTCTTTTCCTCCATCCTATATATCTATCTATATCTATCTATATTATTATTCTATTTATGATTTGTACTATTTTTATATATATATCATTTCTTTTAACTGCATTGCATTGTGTAATAATAAACAACTCAACAGTGAGCGTATTGTTGTGTTTAGATACTTTTTGTATGAAAAATCAATTAAATTTAAATTTATTCATTATCACAGCTCGGAATCTAACTGAGTTTCCCAAGAATGATCAATTACTTATTCTTCTCTATCATTTATTTATTGGTAGTATTTATTAATTGAATTTTCAATTAATGGAATATAAGATGGATTCATATGAGTACCATCAAGTGCATATTTGGTGTTGAAACCACCATCGACATCCAAGAGACTATCGAAAAAGTCCAACCAATGAAGTTCTTTACTTTGTTCAATCTTTTCCTTTAGGATACGGTTAAATGTCTTTACAAGGAATCTAGTTTCATTCAATACAGGTACTACTGGATGAATATATGCCTTGTAATCATATTTTGCAATTAAATCTTTTAATGCTTTAATATAAATATCAATTGTAATTTCCATTCCTTCTTCAATTGACTAAAGATAAACAAAAGAGTTAATGATTTTAAAAAAATAATAATAATAATAATATTAATTTTACAATACCTTATATTTACACTTTTCAACACTTAAAATGATACCTTCACGACAATCAATTTCACCAAACATGAAGATGATTTCAGAACCTTTTGGAGCTTTACAAGTACTACGATAAAAGTTCATCTTGGGGAAGAATTTACTGGTTGGACGAAGATGCCACATCTTGAGACCGGTTGTCAAGAGTGGATGGAATAGACGTGGTTCACCGTTGACAGTGATTGGTGTCCACGACAAACTCATTGCATGACTGTCACCGGCAATGTAGATGGGACGGTTGTTTGGTACTGGCAATGATTTGTAGGAGAGCATGAGTTGAGAGATACAACAAAAGTAGGCATGTTCATTACGAACCGTTGTCAAGTGAAGATTACGTCCTACTCTTGTTGGTTCTAAAAGATCAATCAATTCTGGTAATGGTTCCAATATACCATGTACATATAATACCTTTACAATTGTATACCAAAATGCTAAAAAGTCTTCATCATCTTTTGTATATTTTGTTGAACTTGATGAAGAGCTAATAATCATTTCTTCTTTTTCACTTGTTGTAGTTGTTTTAAATGAATTTGCTGGAGTTGGTATAGTAGAAGTAAACGAGGAAGAGGATAAAGTATTATCGTTTTGTTCATGAATTTTAAAAGATTGATATTTTGAAAGATGATTAAAATCTTTGATATACTTTGAAATGATGGTGAGGATGGAACCACAGGTTAGAGGTAGATTGTTTTTGTTGCTAGAGGGTGGTGGACCGGCTTGAGAGAGACCACGTGGACGTGAGAGTTGGAGATACTTGATGCACACTTGAATGGCGTCTTCGTAACGGTTGCATACTTCGAGTCCGTGAACGAGGGTCAATGCATGGTTGGCCGAAGTCTTGTCCATGTCGAATGCCTTTTGGCTGAGTTCAACCGACTCGTCAATCGCACCATACTCTTTGATGATCGATGCAAAGTAGCCGAGCACCGGTGCATTGACAGCCGACTTGTTGAGTTGGTTCATTAAAAAGGTGACACCATACTCTTTGACAATGTGTGCGATACGCTCCTTGGTAAACTCACGGTGTGGTGACAACTCGTCAAATGGCTGGTGTACATTCAACGAGTAGACAGTGGCAGCCAGTGTAGGTGCCGATCCCAACCGAGTCAACAACTGCATCAACACCATCAACGCATTGTCAAATTGATTACGGTCGTATAAAATGTGTGCAAATCCAATCAACCCTTCAATGTTGCTTTCGTCGGCATGTACAATATCATTGAGTAAATCACATCCTTGTTGCATATTATTTGGTATTTTGGTGTCATACAATGTCCTTCCAAATATAGCATTTACCGCTGCATACTGTTTATGACTTTTTCCCATCAAATCCAATGTTTTCTTTAATTGTTGACTTGCTTCAACAAATTTCTTTTGTTCAATTAATGTTTTACCATATCTACAAAAAATAAATAAAAATTAAAAAGTAAATATTCAAAGTCGTTTTGTTTTGTGTTTGTTTTGATTTGTTTGATATACTTACAATAAATAAATATTCCAATCTTTGAGTGGATTGGTAGTTGCTAGTTCAATGTTTTTGATTGCAAGATCATACTTTTTAGCTTGAAGATAGATATGTGTCAACTTGAACAATGAATTCAATTCTTTTGGATAGATTTGAAGAATGTTGTTGTACACTTCAACAGCTTGTTTGTATGATTGTTTGTCGTATAGTTCATTACCACGTTGCAATAAACTCTCAATTACATTTTTAAACTTTGATTCACATCCATCAATACTATAAACTGGATGATTTGCTTTAAGTTGAATCTTTGTTGTTGTTTGTTTTGTTGTTGTTGTAGTCTTTTTTGTTGAACTAGATGAAGGTGTAGTTGTAGTTGCGACAGGTTGAGGAGTCGTGGTAGTTGGTACTGGAACAGGTTGAGGGGTAACAATTGGTGCAACCAGTGGAATAAACTCACCAGGAGGATTTGAATTCTTTACAATGAATAAATCATCACCATTCTTTGCACATTTGCCAATGAGTGTTGTGTCAACTACCTTTCTTCCCTTTTGATCTTTGATGTCGGTATTGTTGCCAGTCAATTCATTTGTACTCTCGCCATGAACACTTCTATAATTTTGAATAAAGTACTACATCAATCAATCAATCAATCAACCAATATTAGTATAAATTTAAACATTCATCACAAACTTTATATCCTTCTTCTTTTTCATCTTACCAATTTCAAATCGGATACAGTCAAAACATGAGGAACTTTATCAGTGACTACAATTAGAGTATGTTCAGGTTGAGATTCAAAGTGAACATAGAACTTCATTCCTTCTTCTTTATCTCTTTTTCTTTTATCTCTAATTTCAAACTAAAAAAAGAAAGTGAATTGAAGGGGTGTGATGATCAGTGCAGTGGAGAAGAAAACCTTTAATCTATTATTTTTTTTTATCTATTTTTATTAAATCATAAATAAAAGTAAAAGAAAGAAAGAGAAGAGATTCAACAAACAACAAACAACAAAATACTTGTAAATATATAATAAATACATACAGATATAAAATATAAAATGGTATGATGAATGATGATGAACATAAAGAGTACATAAGAAGAAGACGAGTAGATGTGCTAACCTCATTGCTACATATAATACTTTTATACTTCTATAGTTATTCTATTCATTTTACAAGACACTTGTTGGAAAAGAGATAACAGTAGAGTTGAAAAATGATCTTGCTATTACAGGGTACCTACAATCGGTCGATCAATTCTTGAATATTAAACTTAGAGATATACGTGTTGAAGAAGAACAAAAATACCCTTATATGGTATAGTATTAATGAAGAGGAAAGAAGAGAAAGATAGAGTGTTGTTGTTATTAACAACATTATTATTATCAATGATGATCTATTTAGTTGTCTGTAAAAAATTGTTTTATTAGAGGATCAGTTGTTAGATATGTGCATTTACCCGCCGATGATGTTGATGTCGATACACTACAAGATCATGCACGTTTAGAAGCTCGTGAACAAAAGAAAGCACAACAACAATAATAATAATAATAATAAATATCTAAAAAACAAAAGAAAAGGAAAGAAAATAGAGAGTAGTAAAGTTGGTAGTCAACACACACACACACAAATAAGATAAATAGATAGATTGATAGATGTATGATGGATGTATGGATCAGAAGAAGCAAGATTAGATTTCCATTACCTTAGAAAGAATGTAACAGGTTTTTTAGCCAAGGAAGGAAATGAAATTGATGGGGAGACATGCGACATGATGCAAATCCATTCAATCGAAAGTGATCTTGGTGGAATCTTCATGTGGGGGTGAGCCCTCGCAACAGGTAAGCGATCAAAACAATTGGATTGAGATTTATGTGTGTGTTTTAAAAGAGGCGCGGGTGAAGTCAATCTCTACAAGATCACCACATTTAACAAGCGAGGACGATCAACTGTTTTGGATGACATTCATATATACTAATTGGGGGTTAAATTAAATTAAATCACACAATTTAAAGAAACAGATACGTAGAGAGAGAGATAAATACAGATACAACACAAACCAAAAGATCTGAATCAGAAAACACCAACCAAACAACCAAACAAACAAACAAACAAACAAACAAACAAACAAACAAACAAACAAACAAACAAACAAACAAAACAACAATCGATATCACTAGATTTATAAATTATAATTATACATTTCCCAATTTTTCCCAAAGGATCAATATTATCAAGAAGAACAACAACACATCACGATCATACATTAATTTTATCCAGTTAATTAGTAATATAAGGAAGGTAAGGTGTCTTTGAAATATAGATATAATTATGTAAATTGTGTAATATCAATCATCCACCCGTCCATCCCTCCAATTATTATTATTATTATTATTATTTATATTTGTTGAATGAATCTATTAGATTACAATCGATTTCATTTCAAAACCGAATCAAATCAATTAATCAATCAGAAAATCCACACCACAATAGACAGCCGACGAACGAATATTAATGGTAATCAATATCCATTCCATCCATCCATCCATCAATCACCAATTATTATTATGAGGGATGAAAATTAGCCTGAATGATCTATCCAACCATCATCAATAATAATCATTATTATCATTATTATCGGATCGGATGTGATTTGATACTAGTTGTAGTAGTATTGACAGACAGTCAATCGATTACCCACCACAAAATAATATTTATGAGGGGCACAACACACTTGATTGCAATCTTAAAAAAAAAACAATCAGATCAACAAACAATGATCAATAATAATAATAACAAAGAGATACAACAACAAAAAGGAGAAATGTGATGTGAGGGTTTGATGATACACACATACATCTAAAGATCTATAGTTGCGGTGGTGGTGGTGTGTGAATGGCGGGTTGTGGGATGTGTGTGTGATCACTACCCACTCACACAAAGTTCACTATTCTCAACACCATTACCATCACCTCTCAACAACACCAGAAAAAACGATTAGTTTACCAATCGACGACTGGTACTGTTACCAGTATTGTACCTGTACTCACTCCACTATATCTTCTCCTTCTTCTTCCTCGATGGTTAATGATGATGATGATGGTCGTCTACCTTTTTACCACGCATGCATGTATGCAGGCATGTTAATTTGGCTTGGTGCTGCTTACTGCTACTACTGCTACTGCTACTGCTGCTGTTTGGTTGCAACAACCAACTACTATTGGCAGAGCAACTCAACTCAGCCAATAAGCAAGATGATCCTCCTTTCCTTTCTACCACACAATTCTTCTTCCACTTCCACTTTCACTTCCTCCTCCTCCTTCATCATCATCATCATCTCTTTCTTCCCCACCAATTTGCCGAAGGATGGAAATACGTTTTAACAACTCAACTCCAACCAAACTAACCAACTGATCAGTCACATTTAGTACTAGGACACTCACTCACTCACTCACTCAATCACTCAATCAATCAATCAATTAATCAATCAAACCTACCTAACATCTTTTTAATATCTCTCCTCTCTCTGAATGGGATAATCAAATGGGTTTATCAAATTAATCAATTAGTCAGTTAGTTTAGTAGTACAAATAAGATAAGAACAACAAGAAGAAAGAAAAAGAAAGAAAGAAAGAGTACAGCAGCAGCAGCAGCAGGAATCCCAGTTACAAAAAAAGTAAGAAGATATATAGTTTGTTTTATTATTATCTATTTTGGTAGATCTCATTGTGGACAAAGAAAGAGAGAGATATATAGAATCATCATATAAAAAATATATATTATTTGTAGGTAGACTCATCCTCTTCCTCTTCCTACTCCTCACTATTCTCAACCAAGTACAAGTAGTTCCTATTATATAATTTTATAACAAGCATAGCAGCGACGTCAAAACAAAAGAGTTGAGTGTGTGGATCGATCCAAGTTATATTTATATTTATATTTATATTTATATTTATATTTATATTTATATCTTTTACGTTCCATTAAACATTCATCATCCACACCTGCTTACACTCGTTTTGATTCCGGCGATCCATCCACCCATCCAAAAATCAAAAACAGTGTCTCAATACACACACCCACCTCACACACTGTGTGTTTGTGTGTGTGTGTGTAAGTGTGTTGATCCATTAAAAACCATCCATCCATCCAATCCATCAATCAATCAATCAATTAATCAATCAAACCTACTCATCCTCCCTTTTCCTCCTCCTTTTTTTATTTGATATCAATTGTTGTAGTGGTGCAGTTATTTGTGTTTTGCACCACACTATATTGTTGGATGGAGGGAGTAGTGCTGCTGTTTGTTGCTACAGCAGCTGTTGTTGTAGGTATTTTTATAATTAATTACCCTACACTAGTAGTAGTAGTAGTAGTAGTAGTAGTGCCAATAGTTGAGTGTTAATATTAATAAGAAGGAGAACTAGAGATAGAGAGGGTGGAAGAGAAACGAAAGAAAAGGAAAAGAAAAAAGAGGAAATCAATACAAAAAAAAAAAAAAAAAAAAAAAAAACTGATAAAGTGGATAGAGTGATTATCTTTAGATTTGTACCGTAACAACAATAATAACAATAATAATAACAACCAAAAATAATCATATCCCAACCAGCTGATTGATACTACCCTTGATATAAATATTTATACCTGACTCACAAAAAAAGAAATAATAATAATAATAATAATAATAATAATTATTAAATCAACCAACAGCAGTACTACTAGTAGTAAAACAAGAAGAAAGAAAGAAGAAGAAGAAGAAGAAGAGGAGGAGTCGATTTATATTTTATAAATAGAATTATATAAACATAATTTATAATTCAAGAAAAAAGAAAAAAAAGATAGAATAGAGAGTGAAAAATAGGAATTGGATCAAATCAATCAATCAATCAGTCAGTCAGTCAAATAGTCAGATAACCGTTTATTTTTAGTAGGATTATAATTTATATTTATATATATATTGATAGATAGATGGTTACAATTGTTTTTGTTTATTCTATTTCTACAACTACTACTCATTTGTTAGTGGAGGATACTATATTATTAAAAAGAAAAGAAATAACATTTGATATTAACTTTCCTCAATCAATCAATCAATCCATTAAACATTAATTTAGTTTCCATTATATTATTATTTTCTAGTCACAATTATGATTTAAAAAACAACAACAACAACAACAAATAGTTATATCAACATACAATTTATATATATTCAACAAAAAAAATATTATTATTATTATTATTATTTAATTTTAATAATATAAATTTTTTTAGATTAATAACATATATATGACATCACTAAGGCAATCAATTTTAAAAGGAAGAGGACAATCTTCGATGGCGTTGGCGAATTCATGTTATGGAGGCAGTTTTACAGCATCGGGGTTGTCGTCACAGGTCAATCGCGATTTATCGACATCGCCAACCACCACTGGCGCCTTTCTACATCAAAACCATGCAGGCGGTGGTGGTATGGTCACATCGTCATCGAATCCCAACTTGGTGTCACTTTCATCCTCTCCTTTATCTGGAATGAGTTCACCTATCCACACAGTCAATAATCATGGTAATAATAATAATAATAATAATACTACTGGAAATAATATATCAAATAGTGGAACTATACAAAATAACAGTTTTATAAATAGTATTATAAATAATCATAGTAATAATTATAATATTGGTGCTGCTAATATTGGTAGTGGTAATAAACCACCAAATTTAAATAATAATAGTAATAATAATAGTCCAAATCATAGTACCAATAATAATAATATAGCATCAACAAGCAATCCAAATTTAACATTGAATCATCATCATAGTACAAGTAATTATTCGATATATTCAGGGTCACCATCAGCATGTAGTAATAATAATAGTCTTAGTTCGAGATCCTACCTTAATCGAACGAATAGTGGTGGTGCCAGTAGTGGATTAGGTGGTGCTGGAGGTGGACAACTACCAAGTGGATTAACCTCGTCGCCAAGCAGTAACAATGTCAGTGGTGGCGGATTAGGTGGTGCTAGTGTCATGCCAGGTGTGTCTGGAGGAGCAGGCAGTAACGTATTTAACGCCTACAGTGGAACATTGGGTGAATTTATGGAAAATATGTGTTCCATTCATGACAAGGGTGATGGTCGTGGCAGATCAGATTCTGTAGCCAATACTCTAAATACTCATATCGATATTGAAAATCCTCAAGTTTGGAATAATCATCCTTTAATTGTTTCAGGTAAACTATCAACTTAAAAGATTAATTAATTCAAACTATTTAATTTATTATTAAATCAATTTCTTATTTATTTTTTTATAGATGATTCATTGACAAGTCAAAATAATAATTTATTTCATAGATATACGCTAAGATTACCAAACTCTCTTGAAAATGAATACCTTAGTCATCATTTTTTATCACAAATTATGTTATTAAGAGTAAATATAACATATTTATAAATATAAATACTTTTGGGAATATTTAATATTAATATTTATTATTTTCTTTCGGTTGTTTAGATAACAAATGTTATTGGATTATTAGCAGTATCATATGGATTTACAAAACCAGCAATATTTATATTAATTGCCATTCGGATATTATGTTTTAATTTGTTTGCATTTTCCATATTTTTAAGTTTTCTTCGTAACAAGACCTATTACAAACGATCGTATCATCCATTATTTATATTCAGTTTCACAACCTATTTCATTACGATATTGTTAGAGTACCAGACCACCACGACCACCTTTATACTGTTCCTCTACGCCATCATATTCCTGTGTCTCTACGCGCTGGGATGTCTACTTTTTATATGGATGGTCATGTGCAATCTCATGCACACCCTCTGTTTTGTCATATTTCTATTCCTTCAATCTGGCTTGGATACGGTCAATTTAGTCTCTTATATATTTTATATAACTGCCATCTTCCTCATGGGTTCTTCCCATTTATATGTTTTAGAAAAATCAAGAAAAGAAGTAAGAAGAAGAAGATGAAAAAAAATTAGAAATAATATGTATTTATTTTATTAATTAATATTTTGTTTATTTTAATATTTAGTGTTTTGTAGATAGTAAAAGATTAGAAAAGAAAGCGGAATGTTTAAAAGGGGAAAAAGAAAAATCAGAACAATTGTTATTAAACATTTTGCCAGAGTTTGTCATCAAGATGATGGACAAGGATTGGATCACTCGAAAGAATACACACCCCATTTCAAAAGATTTCCCAGATTGTTCTATACTCTACTGCGATATAGTCGAGTTTACCAACCTTGCCAGTAAGCTCGAGCCCCAGTCACTGGTCAAACTGCTCAACGAGGTGTTTACCGACTTTGACAGAGTCGTCGAAGAACACGGCTGCGAAAAGATTAAAACCGATGGTGATGCATACGTCTGTGCTGGAGGACTGACTATTGACAACAAACATCATTACAAATCAATGATTGATGTTGCCATTGCAATTTTAAATTCTCCAACCCTAAGACAAAATTGTGAAGGTATTCCTGTATGTATTGAAAGTAAAAAACATAATAATATAACTCTTAAAAATAATATTTATATTTAATTTATTTAGTTAAAGATAAGAGTTGGATGTGCAACTGGATCGGTTATTGGAGGTGTGATTGGATGTGATAAGTTTCAGTTTGATGTTTGGGGTGATGCTATTGCTATGGCTCATAGCTTGGAACAAACTGGTGTGCCGGGTAAGATACACATTTGTGAGCATGGCATGGAGAGATTGGATACTCGGTACGAAGTCGAGTTGAATACCTCTTGTCCGTTGGGTACAACCACTTATTTCATCCTACCAATAATGCCTGAGCCTCTTGGACCGGGTATGTTCCCAGAAGACAAATATACTCCCCTCTCCCCTAAAATATTCAATCCCAATGCTGGCATACACCTCGATCATCCTATTACCCAGGATCCCACTGCCCCCACTGTCACTACACTACTTGATGATGAGTCATCTGTAACCTCAACTACCAGTACAACTAGTACTACTAGTACAACAAGTACACCTGAGCCAACAACTACTTCAACCTCAACCTCAACCTCTACAACAACCAATGTAAATAATGTAAATAACAACAAACAACAAGATGATCTTGTTGTACCAACAATAATAACAACCGATACAACAACAATAACAACTGATACTACAAACAAAGAGGTAGTCATTCCAATTGTAGATTTGGCAGAAGAGAGAAAGTGTAGTGGGTTTGTTCACCATGAGGATATAGTACATAATAATAATAATAATGGCCTAGCATCAGGATTACCAAGTAGTTCTAGTGTATCATCTACGACTTCAACATCACCACCATCAACCATTCAAATGCCATCGTCATCATCGTCACGTAAAAAGGTTGATTTTGATGTATCACATGGTGCAGACAATGAATCCATGTCGACTATGTGGTCGGACGGAGGTAAACGTAAAAAGCGTAATCGTGAAAAGATCAACTTGAAAGATTGGCGTCAGATCCTACTCAAACCAATCAAGATTATCCGTGCTCATGATGTGTCTGGTTACAACAACTCAATCTTTGGTAAGAATCTCAATTCAAACAACTCTGAGATGTACGAGGTTGACAAGGATTTCAAGAAATACACCAAGATGAATCGTTTCATCCTACAGTTTCGTAATAGTTTGGTGGAGCGCGAGTTCCATCGCTACATCATCGACAATACACTCTTTGAAACCAAGTTTTTCATTATGATTGGAATATTGTTGCACACGGTCTTTTTCATTGACGATCTTGTCATGAAAAGTAACCCATTGTTCAACTCTAATGCCATCTATGCTATCATGGGTGCCACCTTTGTCCTCTATTTCATCCTATCGTTTACCAATCTATTCCGTAACCCTATTCGCTACCAAATTGCATTTATGCTCCTACTCGTCATGTTTGGTATTTGCACAACCATCGAACTACTTCGTTACAACAATCCACTAGCTCGATCATCCCTCACTCGTGTAGCTGCCACTCTCTTTTACGTCAATGTTTTCCATGCCCTAAACTATGTTTGTGTCATCTTTTTAAATATCTTTATTCTTGGTATGTGTAAAACAACAAACAAATAATATTCAAATCGATTATTAATATTTATTTATTTTGATTTAATTTGTAGCATTCTTTTTTATTTGTGCATTGTTTATTTCACCATCATTACCAAATCATTTATTTACGACAGATTATGTTGGGATTGCGACGATGTTTTTTATCCAGGTGGCATCGTCGTATGGCATGAAGATGGGGATGCGTCATGCATGGGTGATCAAGAGTAAGGTCAAGTTCAAAGGATTGATCTTGCAAAAGGAGCGTGGCAAGTCGGCCAAGCTGCTTGAGAACATCCTGCCAACCACCATAAGCGAGACACTGATACGCGAGGCACAAGGCAACGGCATGCTGATTGCGCAGTACTATAGTCACGTCGCCATCATGTTTATCAATATCGTCGGGTTTGACAAACTGCCTCAGTCGGTCGAAGCATCGACGATGGTCAATAACATGAACTACTTCTTTTCCATCTTTGACATGTTGCTCAAGACCTATGAACTCGAGAAGATTAAAACGATCGGTACGGCGTATATGGTCGTCGCAGGATTGAACGGTCAGTCCAATCAACAACCCAAAGCATTCCTGTACAAGGCTGCCGACATGGCTCTCACTGCCAAATCCATCGTCATGCATGTCATGGGCGATATACTCAACGTCCAAATCGGCATAAGTTTTGGTCCATGTGTCGCTGGTTGTATCGGTATCCAACGTGCCAAGTTTGACGTGTGGGGTGATACAGCCAACATTGCCTCGCGTATGCAAACGTCCACCGAGCCAGGCAAGATCCAGGTCACCAAAGAGGTCAGTAGAATACTCAAAAAGGGGTTCTTCCTCGAAGAGCGTGGAGAGATTAATATCAAGGGTAAAGGTGCCATGACTACATACTACCTCACCGGCAAGAAACGTTCCAATGACATGTTGACTGAAAATAGCGATATCGAGGGTCTACCCAGACACTGGCGTGAACAAAGATTACTTCAATTTAGTGGAAGTTATTCTAATTCCATTAGAGACGATGATTCAATTTTAAAACATAATTAACAAATAAAATTTAATTGTTCCTCCTCAAACTATAAGATTTCCAAGAGTCAAGTGTAACTTTACAGTTTTTCAATATTGAAAAAATATTATTCAAGAAATCGGGAAATATATATATGAAAGAAATTTATATTTATATGAAAGGATTTTTGGTTTTAATAAAAATACAATGGTTTATTTATTTTACAGTTTTTTGATATTCTTAATAATAATAATCATCTCTATCAAAATCATAATAATAATGATTTTTGTTTCTCATATTTTGATTTTGGTTATTTTGGTTTTGATTATTTTGATTATTGTTTTGATTATTTTGATTGTTATTTTGATTATTGTTTTGATTATTTATTTGATAATAACTATTATTGTCAGTTGAACATTGACCATTTCCAAAATATTGAGTCCAATATTTTCTACCTGATCCATCAAGAGAGACTCCAAATCCAATGATAGTTGAAGATCGACCAAGAATATTGGCTCTATGACCAGGTGATTGTAACCACATTTCCATGACTGTATCGTCATCGTCAGCTCCATAGGCAACATTTTCAGCAGCTGATTGTAAAATGGCACCATAGACACGACCTCTTTGGAAAAGGTCTCCTCGTGGATCATTGTGAGTCATACTATTGATAGCCGATTGGTAGTCACTATGAGCTTGTGCATAGTCCATCATACATGGTACTATTTCAAGTGGAGACAATCCATATTGAGAACGAGCAGCATTAACCAATCCAAGTTGATATTGTGGGTCACCATGAATTACCAACAACATAGATTGACATATTAAAAATATAGAAATTATTATTCTAATTGGAATAAACATGATAAATAAATAAATAAATAAGGATACTGAGTTGGGTTGATTGATATGAAAAGAATTTCTATATCCTTTTTATAGTCATTCACAAATATACTTTAAACTTTGGTAGGTATATATATCTTGAAGAGGACAGATAAAAATGTAAACGGCAGAGTTGTCTTTTGTCCTTGGTTCAATTCTTTTAAAAGCGATGTTTGTTTATAATTAATGCAAGATCTTCAAGTCAAAGTTGATCAACTTTTGTTTGTATTAGTACATGTACATGTACATACACCACTGTCCATGTCCGAGTTTGTTGTTTTTGGTATCAGATAATATAATAATTTATGTCAATAAAAAGTATGAGCACTACAAAAAACCAAAAGTGGTGTAAAGTGAGGGGTGATTGATCTTTCACAGGATTGATGTGAGTTTATATTAGTTAAAGAAATAATACTACTACTATTAATCTTCAAGAAGATATGATTGAATTGAATACTCTTTGAAAAAGAGAGTGTTGTCTTTTCCATCAAAATCATTGATAAAAGAGCGCCAAATACAAATATTAATTACATGCAAGGCTTATGTGAAAGATGAAAACAAAGATATGAGAAGTAGAATATCGATATGCAGAATAGAATATAGTCAGTATAAAATTAATAATGACCACAACAACAACAACAACAACAACTATCACATTTCAATGAATATTCAGCGCGATCACATGTTCTTTGCTTGTAAATATGGATTCATTGGCATTGTAAAGTATTTACACGAGAATAGTACTGAAGGTTGTAGTCATTATGCAATGGTAAGAACTAAAATAATAATAAGAATTGATTGAAAAATGTAGAAAATAATTAAGAAATTAATTTCTTCATTATTTATTTTGTAGGATTTATTCCAAAAATAAATTTACCACATATATAGTTTCTTCATTTTAATAGAACCGAAGGTGCATCAAAGAATGCTATGGAAGGGGTGGTTCAAAATGGTCATTTAGAGGTTGTTAAAGTAGGTATTGTAGCTACCAACCAACCAACCAACCAACAGCTCACAAATATTCATCATCAACGTTTTGATACTAACCAACCTTTTATTTTTCTTTTGAAATAGTTCTATTATATGGATGAGGCAGCTAAAATGGACACATTGAAGTGGTCAAGTTCCTTCATTTCAATCGTAGTGAAGGCTGCACAACCGATGCTATGGACAAGTCATCTTGCAATTATCACATTGAAAATGTCAAGGTATGTAGAGTAAAACAAGACAATAGAAAGTCGACGAATATCTAATAGATATAGATAATCTAACATTATTATTATTATTATTATTATTATTATCTACCATGCTTATTATCTATTATCTATTAATAGTTTACACTTTAATCGTAGTGAAGGATGCACTGATAGTGTTCTTGAAAAGAATGAAAACCCTTTGGAAATGGCAACTTTTCTATTCAACGTCAGAAAAGAGAAGTGTACTGCAGAACTATTAAAAGGGCTCTCGAATTATGGACACTATGATGTGGTTGAGTTGGTTCTCCCAAAACTCCAAGGTGCAAAGGGGCATAAAATCAATTAAAAAAGCTATAAAATGTATAGACACAGCACCCATTTTGAAGTCTGTCAACTACTCCGAAATCATTTAAAAGAGATACATACATAAATATGAACTCGGATACTAGAATAAAATAAAGAAAATATTAGTTCAACTCCCCATGGTATGAGTATGTTTGTAATTTAAAATAATAATAAAAATTAAATAAATTTTAATTTAAAAACGATCGGTTTTTACTCTTTTCGTCTGAAAGAAAATTGTTATAACAATAATAGTGTGATAGGTAGAGACTTAGACTAGATACTATAGTAATCAAAGGTCAACACTCACTCATTCATGTTTCTATCAAGAAAACCACACACATTCATCAAGCAATGTGTGTTGTTGAATAGTAACCATAGCAGCAGCATCAGCAGCATCACAAACAGACTACAATACTCTACAACAACTAAACCATCAGATGATGATAACAGTAATAATAATAATAATGAAAATGATAAACAACAACAAAAAGTAGTGAGAACGAGTGATGGTGTTAAAGTGGTAGCATCAGGCTCACCAAACTCAGAGTACTTGAAAAGAGTATTGGAGAGAAGAAAACAACTCGTTCAAAAGTTAAATGAAAATAAGCAAAAGAGTAGCGCAGTAGAAGGAGAGACTGTTGAAGAGGCAGTAGTAGTGGCAGACGGAGGAGAAGAGGTCAAAAAGAAGAAAAAGAAAACGACTACTACAACGATCAAATCATCGAGTCAACTAATCGACGAATTTGAACAATCTATTCGTAGTGGAGGTGTATCTGCAGACAAGATTAAAAAGATTCAATTGGCAAATAACATTACTACAACTACAACTACAACAAATGAAACAAAGAAGAAGAAAAAGTCGTCGTCATCAACAACTGATAAAGATCAGTCATCATCGTCTTTGACAACGTCATCATCGACACCAACATTTGAAGTAGTAGATTTTGAAAAAGAAAGAGAAAAAGAAAAGAGTATAAGAGAGGCAGATGACAAGACATTTAAATATGATTACAAGGCATTGATGAATAATAATGTAGAGACTGGTGAAGTATTGGAAGATGGTGATGTGGTGGGAGAGATTAGCGAAGCTGAAAAGGACCGTATCGACTTGGAGTTTAAAAAGGAGTTTTGGGCTGCTCAAATGACTATGCGTGACTCGTTGAATCAGGATGGTGGTGACTTTTTGGTCGACGAGACACTCTACCAAGACCGTATGAAAGACTATCGTAACTTGGGATCTGCATTGGTACAACGTCGTATGAAACAAAAACGTCAAGAAGTTGAAGAGAGAGAACAAAAGGAACTAGAGATTATAAGAAAGATGGAACAAGACAAAACTGGAAAATGGAGTAATCTACCACACCCAAGTGAATATATGGATGATGATGACATGGATGGAGTTGGTGAAAAGGGTCAAGACGACGATGAACAATTGGATGACGGTGGAGATAGAGATGGATTACCAGACATGTCTAGACTCAAAGTTAAATCAAACATTACATTGCCAAAATCATATGAAGATATTATGCAAGAACAAAGAGATGATTTGGAACAAGATGCTGTTCGTTTGGGAGACGATGAGTGGGAACAGAAACGTCGTCTCAAACGTATCGCATTCATGTCGAATAAACTAGCCATCAAAGAGAGACAGAGACAAGAGAGAATGAAACGATTGGGTATCGATGAAGATGACATGGTTGAAATCGATCCAGAAGATTATGCTCGATATCAAGCTGGTGAAATCACTGAACAAGAATTGGATCAATTGGCTAGAAAACATGTTAGTTCAAGATATGTCGAAGACAATGAAGAAGAATCAACCACAAACATAATGGACGGTGAAATAATAGAAAGACAAGATGATTATAATGGAGAAGAAGAATATGATGAAGAGGAAGAATCATACGATAGAAAACATTATGATTATCTTAGACATTGGAAGATTGGGTCTATACAAATTCCAATACAATTGAAACGAAAGATTACACAACAATTAAAGGGTAATTCAACTGCCAAGTTGAGAGCTGATGCTGCCATGTTGTCGGATAGATTGCGTAATCGTACGCGGTCTGAAGTGATCGACAAGGAGACGCCGTTCAAGGTGGCACCCGAGGAGAAGCCTGTCATCAACTATGGCCCTGGCGAAGCGCTCGCCTACGCCGCACATAGAATGCCAGGCGTCTACTCGTGCACCCACAGAGTGTTTCAAGAGATTGCCGATCGAATTCCCAACTTTCAACCCAAGACTATGATGGACTATGGCAGCGGCCCGGGTACTGTCATTTGGTCGGCCCGTCAAATATGGGGTGAAGAAGGTACCAACTCGCTACAATCGATTCGTGCAGTTGAGCCAAGCACCTTTATGACCGACATTGCTAAAAAGATGTTAGAGGGAAGTACCGACGGTATCCAATGGTCTCAATTCCTCTTACAACCAAACAGACACCAAATGACATCCTACGGACATATTCACGAAGGTCTTCAAAGTGACCTGGTCGTCGCTAGTTATGTGCTGAGTGAATTGCCCGATCAAGAGTCACGTCGTACTCTTGTAGCAGATCTATGGAGACATGTCAAGCCATCAGGCATGCTCGTACTCCTCGAGCCCGGCACACCCATCGGGTTCAGTCTTGTCAGAGAGATGCGTCAAATGTTGTTGGATCTCCCAACCGATCGTTTGACCAACGAAAAGACATGTCAGGCACAAGTAGTAGCTCCATGTCCACACTCTGAACGTTGTCCAATGGGTCACAACTCTTGGTGTCATTTTTCACAACGTGTTGAACGTCCCATATTCCAAAAACTTGCCAAAGGTCCCAAATCAACAGTCTCATTTGAAGATGAAAAGTACTCTTACATTGCCATGTCCAAGATGGTTGGCTCCACCATTCCCAACCAACTTGTTCGTCAAAATGATATTTACGGACCCGAAGAATCTCAACCCACCAAACCTTGGTCAAGAATCAATGAAGCTCCATTTAAACGTGGTGGTCATGTTACAATGGATGTTTGTACACCTGATGCCGATTTAAAGCGTATGACTATTGCTAGGTATGAAACATATTAAAATATTAAAAAAAAGAAAAAAAAAGAAAAAAAAAGATTAATTATTAATATTTTAATTTAAATATTTAATTTTTTAGATCACATGGAAAACAATTATATAAAGAAGCAAGAAAATCATTTTGGAGTGATGCGATGGTATTGGATAAAAATGTAGTGAATTGGATTATTTCAAGAAATCAAATGCCACAATCAGAGATTGACAAGTTGTTGAATCCAGAGACTGCCGATACATCTTTGACACTGGTTAAAAAGGATAGAGTTCAATTCACAATGAACAAGGCAGAAGAAGAATTACGTGATTTGATCGATGAAACACCAGGACGTAGAGTAGATGCTGATTTGGAAAAGAAGAAAAAGGCTGAAAAGACAAAGAAGCAAGACGAATGGATGAAGGATCTCAGTGCCACCGACAGAAAGATTCTTGAGAAATTGGCCAAGGAAGGTAAATTCTCATCAAAGGCAGATTCATTATTCAACATTGACTCTAGTGTCGATCAAAGTGAATCAGTTGAAGACAATGATAATGACCTAGAAGATAATGACGGATCAAGAGGAGGAGGAAAAAAGAAAAAGAGATTTGATAATGATAGTATGCATAGATTGGATGAAAAGGATCAAATTCAATTTGAAGAAGACAAGAAACCAAAGATTAACAAGGCAATGCGTCAAAGTGCAAGTTCTCAACGTGAACTCATTCAAACGTTGGAAAGACAATTGGAACAACAAAAAGTACAAAATATGCAACCTTCTGAACGTAAACTATACCAACGACACAAATCACAAATTGAACAATCAACCAAAAGATCAAAACCAAAATCTGATATGGATAGATTTGTTGAAGAGGAATTGAATAACAAAGACAATAATGGTAAAAAGGGTCAATCAAGCAATACCAAGGATCAATTAGATTTCACCAAAGAGATTGAAAGATCAAATGCAAATATTAAAAAGATTGTTGAAAGAACAGATAAACGTAATATTATGCAACAAATGATGACCAATATGGTTGGTGGATTCCAAGGTATGGGTATGAATACAAAGAATAATAGAAAGGAAGTTATTCAAAGTGTTTTATCTAATCGTTCAACAACTACAACTAAACCACCCAATCCAAAAAATAATAAATAAATTAAATATACATATATTTAATTTAAAGATGTAAGGATAGATGAGAAGATATAAATATATATATTCCAACAATTTATTTATATCAAGATCGATGACCAAAATAGGATGAGATGAACACCAGTGTTTAGAACAAAAATAAATATCCTACTTTTAAGAAAAAACAAAAACAATTCAAAAGTGAGTAACTACAAGCGAGAAGGGGGGTTCGTTTTCAAAACATTCTTAACGTTTGCGTGTTGTCAGACAGACCAACAACAACAAAAAAGAACACCTCTCTACGCGCAACAGACCGAGTGATCGATTCATTCTATTCGTTCCTTTCAATTTCATTTTAATTATTACTTAAATCTTTACATTAAAAAAGAGAACGAGAGAACGAGAGAAGGAGGAATCAACATTCATTCATTCTCATTAGTATTAGTAGCAAGGGGAGAGTTTATTATTGTTTTATTTCGTAACAATCAAACATTAACTTCCCAAACAAATAATATCATTTATAAATGTGAACAACACAAAAGAACGATATTACATTAAATTCACATAACAACGACAACGACAACGACACTGACTACTTCAAACAAGAGAATAGAAATAGAAATAAAAAGAAGAAGAAGAAAGAAAAAAAGATGACTTTACCAAAATCAATTTCACAACTTGATGTTGAAGCATTAGCCAAAGAGAAATATCATAATGTCAAAAATACTTTAAAAGATAGTAAAGAGGAAATCATATTTTTATTGGAATGGATTTGGCCAGTATTAATTGCAAATATATTAAATAATGTTGCCTATTTGTTTGTAAATATGGCATTTGCAGGACGTCTGGGAAAGGATGAATTGGCTGCTGTTGCTCTTGGAAACACTTGGCAATTCTCAACTTCTGCAATTGCAATTGGTACTTTAAATGCTATGGATACTTTAATTAGTCAATCTTATGGTGCAAGTAAGAACAAAGAAAAAGAACAAAAGAACAAAGAATAGAAGAAAGGTAAAAGGAAACTAATTAATTCTCTTTTTTTAGAAAACTATCAATTAATTGGTGTAACTGTTCAAAGAGCTGCCATTATTTCAATTATATATTGTTTTTTCATTTCAATATTATGGATATTTACATACCCAATTATGGTAGCAATGCATCAAGATCAACATGTAGCATTACTTACACAACAATATACTACCTACATGTTACCAGGTTTATGGCTTGGTACATTACTCACCATTCTTGAAAAATATTTACAAGCTCAAGGTATTATGAAATCAAGTATTGTTGTTGGAGTTATTTTAAATATTGCAAATGTAAGTCTGAGAAGATATAAATATATATAATAATATTTACAAATTAAGTTAATTAATTCTTTTTTTTTTGTTTTTTATAGGCAATATTTAATTTTATATTTGTTCATGGAGTTAGAGGAGATGGTGGAATGGGTGTGATAGGTTGTTCATTGGCAACTAGTTTATCAAAGACTATTTCATTCTTTGCTTTACTTGGATGGATCTACTTTTTCAAGCTACATGAGAGACCTGTAAAGACATGGTATGGATTCTCAAGACAAGCACTTTCCATTTCAGGTTTAAAGGAATATTTGCATCTTGGTGTCCCTGCAGGACTTCAAATGGTATTTGAAGGTTGTGGTTTTGAAATCTTAACTATTTTAGCTGGTAAATCAAATCAAACTCAAACTCAACCCAATACTAGTATAATTTGGTATTAATATTCTATTTCTTTTCTATTTCTATTCTATTTTAGGATTATTGGGACCAACAAGTTTAGATGCACATTCAATTGCAATGAATTTTACATTGATGACATTTATGATTCCATTGTCATTGTCGATTGCATTGTCTGTTCGAATTGGACAACTTTTAGGTGCTAGACAACCACAAATGGCCAAACGTACGACACGTATTGGTTTTGGTATATCTATAGTCTTTATGATGGTAGTGTCGAGTACACAATTCTTTTCACGACATTTTATTGGTAGCATCTATTCGTCGGATATTGAAGTACGACAAATGGTTGCCAAGTTGTTACCCATTTCAGCATTGTTCCAAATATTCGATGGCTTCCAAACTACGTGTCAAGGTATCATTAGAGGTGTTGGTAAAAACAAGATTGGTGCAGTCATCAATTTTACAGCTTTCTATCTGGTTGGATTGCCCATCTCGAGTGTTTTGACGTTTGTCGTTATGCACAAAGTCTATGGACTTTGGATAGGTCTCTCTTGTGGTCTGGCTGCATGTGCCATCATTCTTGGTATTGTTGTTAATCGTATAGACTGGAATGCTGAAATGGAACGTGCACTTGCTCGTACAGCTGCCGATGGAGCAGGTGGTCTTATGGATGAAGAAGAAACTCTTGGTCTTGAAAAAGACAAACAAGATAAAGAAGACCAAGAACAAGGAGATAGTCAAACCAATTCTGAAGATATTTCAATTGATGGAGCTGAAATGGAAACTATCAAAAGAAAAGAAAAGGAAAAGAAAAAGAAACAACAACATCATAAAAAAGAAGAAAAGATAGGTTTAATGAATGAACAAGATGGTGATAGAAGTAGTAGTAATAGTAATAGTGATAGTGATGAAGACGAACAAGATGATGATGACGATGATCAGTCTACAACTCGGACAATACCATCATCTTCGATTGTATTAAATCATAATCATCATAGTGATACGATTGATAATGATATATAGAAATAAATACACACTATTCACAACGAACAGAGGATTACAATATATAAATATAAATAATAATAATAATAATAATAATAACAAATTATATAAGGATAAATCAGGTTTAAAGATAATAATATATATTTTTTGAAAATACTTTTTGCTTTTGTGTAGAGTATTCGACGACAACCCACCCCCTTAAGATTATAACAACCCCCCTCCCCTACCGTACACACCACTCTGAACGAACGACTAATCAATACGATGTGGGGGTGACATTAGATTTTACATTGGTTGTTCATTGGGGGGTTATTATTATCATATATTAATATTTAATATTAAGGACCAATTATTATACAAGAGGTTTAAGAATTATGTAAACTATTAATTCTAATTCTCTCTCTTTGAAAGAAATAAGTATACATATAATAGATAGATAGATAGATAGTGGTGATAATAGAATGACAGTATCATCCAACCCAATTATTAATATTATATATAATCACAAGGATGATGAAGATGATATCATAAAAGGGAAACAAGATAATAATATCAGTCATAGTAATATTACAATAGACAATGATCAAGTTTTTGATGATCAAGAACTTTTAGATGAATCAGATTCAACAATAAATACTTCATTTCAATTAAATAAAGATGAATTTATATTATTGTTAAAATGGACTTGGTATGTAATTAGAAAGATACAATGACGATCATTTATTTATTAATACATTTATTTAATATATAAAAAGGCCAATATTAGTATCAAATTTATTATTCTCTGTTGCCTATATATTTATTAATTTGGTATTTGTTGGACATATTGGAAAAAATGAATTTGCTGCAGTTGCTCTTGGAAATACTTGGCAATTTGCTACTTCTGCATTATCAATTGGTACTTTAAATGCTATGGATACTTTAATTAGTCAATCTTTTGGTGCTAGTAAGAAAAAACAAAAGATAAAAGAACAAATATTTCAAGTCTAGAAATTAATTAATTTTCTTTTTTTTTTTAGAACAATTTAAATTAATTGGATTAACTGTTCAAAGAGCAATTATTGTATCAATAGTATTTAATACTTTACTATCAATTTTATGGTGTTTTACTGGTAACATTTTAATATTAATTCGACAAGATCCAGAGATTGCAATGATAACTCAAAGCTATACCATCTATATGATCCCTGGATTATGGTTTGGTTGTGGTTTAACCATTTTACAAAAATATTTACAAACTCAAGGTATTATGATACCATGTATTCTCATTGGAATATTATTTAATTTATTAAATGTATGAAAACTATTAAAAACATTACAAACATAATAGTGAGCTCTCTTATTAATAATATTATATTATATACTTTTAATAATTTAGATTGTATTAAATTATTTATTTATAAATATAATGGGATTTGGAGTGATTGGTAGTTCAATGGCAACTAGTATAGCAAAGACATTTGGATTTTTTGGATTATTGGGATGGATTTATCATTTTAAATTACATCAATCCCCTATTCAAACATGGTTTGGATTTGATAAAGAAACATTTTCATTGGATGGTTTGAAACAATATCTTTCAATTGGTGTGCCATCTGGATTGCAATTGGTATTTGAAGGATGGGGATTTGAAATTCTAACTTTAATGGCTGGTTTATTGAATCCTGTTAGTTTAGATGCTCACTCTATTACAATGAATTTTAATCTTTTAAATTTCATGTTACCATTTTCTCTGTCAATAGCTGTTTCAATTCGAATTGGACAATTATTGGGTGCTAAAAAGGTAGAAACTATAAAGAAATCTCTTCGAGTTGCATTTATCATTACAACCATCATTATCTTGATTAGTTCAACATTCCAATACACAACAAGAAATATAATTGGTAAATTGTATTCAAAAGATAAAGAAGTGATTCATTTGGTATCAGGTTTAATTCCATTATCTGCACTTTCAAAATTATTTGATGGATATCAAGTATGTAAATCAAATATTAAATATTTAACAAAAGAAATATAGTAATATATATAAAGTATTTATTTATTAATCATTTAAATATTTTTCATTTTAGACAACATGTCAAGGAATTGTAAGAGGAGTTGGAAAGAATTCATTGGGAGCTATTTTAAATTTTGGATCATTTTATTTAATTGGATTACCATTGTCTGCTGCATTTACATTTAGTCATATGATACCTCTTCTCTATCATACAGTCTATGGATTATGGTGGGGACTAAATATTGGATTATTTGTATGTTCTATACTTTTTGGTATTGTTATTTATAGAATCGATTGGAATGAACAAGTATTATTGGCATGTAAACGTACCAATACAACTTTGCACAATGATGATGATAGTTTATTATTTGACATGGATAACGTTTCAAAAAAGAAATTAAATTCATATAAACAATTATATATGGAACAAATAGATAGTGATACTAGTATTAATAGTATTGGTGAAGATAGCAATAGTAATATAAGTTGTAGTAGTAGAAGTAGTTTAGATGATATTTAAAATAAATATTTAATTAATTATTTTTATTGATTTAATTTAAGGTCTGTCTTCTTTGCTTATTTTCAGATGTTATTTGTTCGTAGATTTGTGATCTTGTAGTATTTCGATTAGAAATGATAAACATAATGATTGTTCCAGGTATTAAATAAACAGATGCGTAACCAGCAATATATGATCGATAGGATTGTGAGAGGAATTCGCATACGTCTGGGATAACCATACCACCAAAGACGGCCAACGAACGGGTAAAAAAGTTGTTAAATTGGTAGGTGAGTGATCTTGCTGGTATCGATCTTCTCAACAAGTGGATTGCCATCATGGTTGGTGAAACTAATTTAGTTCCTACACAAACCGCTGATAATGCAACGATCGATAGTTTCTCTTCCCAGTGAATAAATATTTTTGGACCAAATAGTTTAACTGCCAAGCTCTTGTGAGGATTGATTGGTTTAGTCACTGCACTTGTGCTGCTTTCATAGTTGGCCAAAACCGATGCAGCCAACCGAATGTGGGGATACCCCATATCCAATTGCATATCAATCAGTGTTGTAAATACTCTCAGCGTATTCTCTGGACACAATACAACGACTTGTTTAGGTCGATCCAAAATAGCCAATGAAATAGCCAATAAATAAAACATTTTAAGTGCTACCGATACATCAAATTGAAGTGTATCCACCATTGTATTTAATGGTATTTGATCAATATCACCTAAAAATAATAATAAATAGATAGATATATAATCAGTACTCTTTTCAAAAAAAAAGATTATATATATCTTTTCAAGTTTACAAACATACAATATCTAAACATGATTTCTAATATATTCTGAACAAGTAATACGAATTTATCCATCAACATGTATGCATTTTCATCTTGTGTATCATCCATAAAATTGGTGATTGGAATGAGTGCGGTCATGATCGATGAGATAATTTTAGAAGACAAACGTTTGTTTGATGCAACCTTTTTGGCAAATCGTTTGTTTAGTTCTAAACACATCAATATTTGATCAAGATCTCTTAAATGACCTAATACTTTTGAGGGGATACTTGAATTTCTTTCCATTGCTTCAAATACACTATAAATCTCTTCTTCATCATCCCATTTACTAATTTCATTACCTGCATCTAAATATCCATCTAATGATATAATAGATGAAGAAATCTCATTTGTTAGATGATCGATTAAAGATAAATATATAGCTATATATCTATCTATCTACATACATGCAATAATACTACCATACCCAATAAAAAATGTACAAGCTATCATATCAATGATTGAAAGATTTGACAATCTATTCAATACACGTTCACCAATCTTATCATATCTAATCTTTTCTTGTAATGATTGAATGATTGATGATGGATTAATATCAATACTCTTAAAAGGTGATATACTATTAAATTTTGATAATGACATTATTATTAATTATTAAATATTAATTATCTCTTGAAGATCATTAGAGTGATGGATGGCGTTTCAAAAAAATGTAAAGGGACAAGTCGAAATTTCATATTCATAAATATCTTTTTAAAAAATATCTAATTTAAATATTAATTAATAATATTTAATTTGTTATTATTATTATATTGTTGTTATTATTTGCCTTGTTGTTCAGACATTTTAATGGAATATAATAGGTTTGTTCTTTTTTGGGGATTGGTGTAAATGAGGTTGTGACAAAGTTCATGGGGTAGACGAGCGATGATTTGGAATAGACCAAAGGACAAGGGATTTGAAAAGAAGAAGAGGTATGATACGAGGTTGGGAACGATCGTTGTGAATGGGATAGTTAGAGCTTTGGTGATTGGACCAATACCTGGGTTTTTGAGAGACATAGAGTTGAATGCATACCCTGCAACCAATGACTTGGGTGATAGGAATCCAGTGGCATATGAAATGGCTGAAAGGAATGATTCAAATAACCATCTCTCCTTGGTTAGTACTAATTGTCCTCCTAAAATTGATACTACTCTACTACGATGTCTCGCTACAATGTCTTGGTGTTTGTATTGTTTGTTTCCTGCTAAATGGTTGGCCAAGAGACTAGCAGCCACTGCAATCTCTGGTGACCCATAGTCATACCCATTTCTAATATAAATATCTAGTACCATTAATATATCGGATTCAAGGTGTTCGGATAACCTCCAAACACGCTTTGCACCTCTACTAATCACAATATTAGCAATCATCGATGCAGAACTAATCTTCATGGTCCATGTTGCCGTATTGTCAACTGCAATATTTATAAATATTTCTAATGGAATATTTTCGACGCTACCTAAGCATACAAATACACAAACACAAACAAACACAAACAAATATACATATTAGAATATATTCATTCATTCATATCTTTTATCTTTTGTTTGAAACATACAATTTTGACACAAAATTAAAGTTACCTCTTTCATGATGGATTGAAATAGAAAAGCAGTTTCATAGTATAGGGGATCAACCTCTTCTTGGTGAACCCACATTCTAGTAGAGAGAGCGTCAATGACAAAGAGTGATGGAAGGTAGATTGAACTAGTCTTGGCGAGTAATCCAAAGTCTTGTGATATCCTCTTGGTAAGTGATTTGTTGCTTTTCAAAAGTCTACGTAGTTGAGACACCCCTTCCAAGTGTAGTACAAACTTTTGAAATGATTTATCTTCCAATACTTCATCGTGTAGTCTTGTCAAGTACTCCTTTGCATTATCTCCAATTGCCAATTCAGAGGTTGATCTTTCTTTAAAATATGTGTATCCTAAATAGTAGGAGAAAGAAATAAACGCTCAATTAATATGTACTGATGATAATGATGATGATGATGAATAATACAAACCAGCAGTGAATAAACCATATGCTACAATTGAACCACAAACAATCTTGTCTGCCAATGAAAGATGGTGTAGTCGATGTGATACAACTGATGCTAGTGTCTCACGGTTGAACTTTTGTAGTAGTCGTGGTAGAAGATCAGTCATCATCATCGTAGTATGTTGCTGAATGATTATTATCAGTATGCCAATACTAATGATTTGTTTTCATCAAAACTAGTACTACTTGCATAGGATTAAAAGCAACACAATTATAATAACTATGTCATCGTTGCATGTGTCACCAAAAGTTAGTTCTCAGATTTTTTTTAAGATTAAATACTATCTTTACATGTTCAAATTTTAATAAATTGTATCATTAGTCCCTCCCCCCCCCCCCCCCCCCCCCCCTCCCCATTCAAGGTTCAATATTCTATAGTTATCTATAGATCCATGTATGTATGTAGGTATGTACCTATGTTTCTAATTTTAGAATCATTTCCGTCATTTTCTTCGATTATAGTTCAAGATTGTTTCCCACAAAAAAATAATTAAAAAAAAAGATTAATCTTTGGTCGATGAGGTGATTCATCAAAGAGAGGCGACGACCCTTATTTTTAATCTTTTAATTTGTTTATTTGTTTATTTGTTTGTATTTGTATTTGTATATATATGTAATAAAAGAATAATGTACAATAGTAGTAATAGTAATATAGATGGAAGATTAGGGTTAGCAATTCATAGAGTATTTTCAAACAAGTTGGTACTTCGACTGATATTTCATCATGCCAAAGAGATACATGTAAAGATATTGGATGTAAAGTCGTTAAAGGGTCGTGTGATTGACGAGTCATTGTCGTTGTATCAGATGATTAGGTATGGCAAGCAAGAGTTGTTTATCAAGCATTTTGACAAGGACATTCGCGCTGTCTTTCCCGCGGGCAACACTCATCTCTTTGCAGAGGCTGTGAGGTGTCGGTGCCATAGAATCGTGCGTCATTTGATCGACACGTTTGCTTTAAAGATCGATCTACAAGATGTATCTTACGACTCGCTGCACATGTTGGATCGCGAGATGATGGAACTGTTCTTCCAACAAGCAAGAATAAGTGGTTTTAAAGTGCCCATCAACTTTCTCAAACGGTGCTACGAGTGTGCTCTCATCAACAATGATGTAGAGATGCTGCTATTGGCACTGGACAAACACGTAGCACTCTACGTTGACGCGTCAACCACCGAGATTACATACAATGCACGTACAATGAAAAAAGCGGCAAATAACTTGGAGATTCTAGAGGTGGTACATGATAACTTAAAGTTCAAGGCGGGTACTGGTTGGGAAGAGATTGCAAAGAGTGCCGCACAGTGGGATAATGTAGAGGTCATAAAGTTTATGGCTGCGCGTCGGACTGTGGGTCTATCCGAGGACGTGTACAACTTTGCAGCGGGTGCGGCGGACAATCGGTGCGAGGTGTTGCAGTACTTGTTTGACAACCCACCGCATCTTCCAAGTGCGACTGGTCGCGCGTCGTTTTTGGCATACACTATTGCGGCGGGTGCACGTAACTTAAATGCAATCAAACTACTCTACTCGATGCGAGGTGTGACTAGTATCTCGGGTAACGACCGAAACTACTGCACGAGCAGTGCGCTTGGTGCGGCATTGAGCGCAGGGTATGCAGAGATTGCCGAGTATCTGTTAGAGCATGTCGAGTGTGTTGACGATTACGGCAAGCCGAGTAAATGGCGTGTCACACATATTCACCCGTCACTGCTGTCACTGTCGTTTGTAACGATGGTGTTGGGACGTGTAGGTCATATCGATGCTAATTTTCACAGTGTGCTGGCAACTGCCATTGCCGACAAACAGGCGGATGTTGCCGAATTGATATTGACGACGGTCGAGACACGCAAGGATGTGCGCCCGTGCATGCGAATGGCGTTGGTCGAAGCGACACGTGCCGTGACAGAGGATGACGCGGCGACCGACGAGCTCGTGCACCGTATCGCACGTATCGTCGAGAAAGAGTCGCTGGACATTCTCATCAAGCAGATGGATCAGGTCGACACACCCACCGCGACACGCGACCGCTCGCTGCAGCTGGCGACGACGAGCGAGATTGTGCTGTTGTTGCGCGGAAAGGGTCGACTCGACATGATATGGGACATGATCGACCGCTACCGCTTTGTCTTTGAATTTGACACCAACGTGGTGGCGAGTATCATCCAGACGGGGTCATTGGCGCTCGTCAAGTTGATCAGCGCCACACCGAGCGCCGAGACATCCTTTAACCATCTGGCTATTGACACGGCCGCCCTCGGAGGGTACACTGATATCGTGCAATACTTGTACCAGACACGTACAGAGGGTAGTCTTCACGCCATCAAACACGCTTGCTCTAACGGACACTTGTCAATCGTCCATTTCCTCATGGAAACACTTGCCAAGAACCCGCAAGAGTTGGCGCGTCGAGCACACATTATCCGCGACGCTATCTTTCAAGCGGCCATCAATAACCATCTCGACGTTGTAAAATATTTTACCGACCGTAATTTCCCATGTTGGCCATCGACCCTCGAGTCAGTCGTCGAGCGTGGTCACCTCGACATGGTCGAACATTTCGTCGAGCATGGTCAGTCTTATTTCAACTCGGACAATCTTCTTGGCGGTCTTGAGATGAGTATTCTGTCAGGACAACTCGATATTACAAAGTTGTTATTAATCCAACTCGACAACAAGGATCTCAGTACAAGCAAGACAACTACTTGGTGCCAACTAATGGGATCTCTCCTCACCCAAGCTTTTACAAACTATCACAGTCAAACCATCATCCTCTACATTTCCCATTTTGAATCCATCGTCAAACAAAATACTTATACCTATTCTAAATTCAGAACCGATGCTTTTGAATATGGTCTCATTCCAGTCATTCATTTTTTTACAAACAAACATAATCCAAAAATTAATGAAAATCAAAATCAAAATCAAAATAATAATAATAATAATAATAATAATAATAATAATAATAGTAGTAATCCAACAACAATGTATGAAGGTATTTTAAATTTTGGATCACTTTTTAATGAAAATAGTGTTGTTCGTAGAATTGTTGAAAAGAATAGAAAATATTGGAAAAAATAAATAATAATAATATATAATTATTTATACATACACATTAATATGATATTATACTTTTCTGGCGCTTAATGACAGATGAATAATGTATTCTGGTAGATTTGTAAAAGGTGTATAAAGTATAATAATATCTACACCTATTCATAAATCTACCAGAACACCATTAATATTCCTGTTTTATTCTGAAGATTATTTGAGTGGCAATCCTAAATAAGTAATATAATCTTGCAAATATACAGAACCTAAACAAAATATCGTTAGAATTGGTGGTAGCAGTAGTTCGAGTAGTAGTAGTTTAAGTGGTGGAAATGGTACTGAGGAAGTGGCCAATATTAAACCAGAGTTGTTTGATGTCATAGAGTTAACCTTTACATCGTATCATTATCATCTGATTGAACTTTTAAAAGAGTAGTTGTACTGTCTATCTGATAGTAGATAGATATATATGCATCGTTTTTTGTGGTTTGGATGTATATTATGATTTTTGTATTATTTTATCCAAAACTCTCCTACCTACATACCAAGTTTGTTCAAAAGATCTCTGAATACGAAGAAGTATTTTCAAAAAAAAAATTATCTTCCTTTCGTCGTCCCAAAACATAAAACAATAATAAAAACAAATTTAGTATATATTATACAATATTATTGTATGTTCAATATTGAATAATAATAATGACTACAACTACAAATACAACTCCTACTACATTTCATTGTATATTTAAAGTGAAATATATTAGACAATTGATATTCAATCATATTAGTTGTGGTCGAAAACAACAACAACAACAACAATGGTCATTAAAAGGAGTAGATATCATCAAATTGCCCTACCTTGGAATGATATCAAAGTTTGCAATGCCTTGGTACTTTGTTTGTCATTATCTACCATCTAATAGTAATCAAATACTATTGGAAAGAAGAAAAAGAGTGATCACTCAATACTGCTGTCATCAAAATGCAGCATTTGATACACTTCTACATCTATTGAAATGGTCTCCCGACGTTGGGTTTGACTTTGATTATGATTTGATGTATGTGAATGCACCAAATATGAATCAAGATATAATAGAGTATATCATCAAAGGTCTGATTGACTCGAGTAATAGTAATAGTAATAATTTGAAAATGGTTCTAGATTGGGCAACTCAAGTCATATGCCGGAATGGTTATCTCTCAACTCTCAAAATGTTAAATTCTAAAGGTGTAGATTTAAAGTACCTACCAATGGACATTTGTTCCTCATTTGAAATGGTAAAGTATTTACACGATAATAGAATTGGAAGTTGTAGTAAAGATGCAATGGTAAGTAAGAAAGAAATATTTCTTTTTAAAAATAGAATCAAATTCATTTATATATTATAATAATATTTCTATTTCTTTCAATCAATCATATGATATAGGATCAAGCAGCAAATAATAATAATTTAGATCTTGTCAAGGTGGGTTAGATATATAAATATATAAATATATATTGACATTTAAATTAATATTAATTCAATACTTTTATTTCCAACATATATAATTATAGTTTCTTCATTTTAATCGAACTGAAGGTGCAACAAAGAAAGCTATGGATAATGCCGCGACCAATGGTTATTTAGAGATTGTTCAAGTATGTATATGTATTGTATACTTGTACGTAGACTTACTAAATCATAAATACCAAACACCTATTTTATAGTTCTTACATGAACATCGTAGTGAAGGTGCAACAACCAATGCTATGGATTATGCAGCTGAAAATGGACACATTGAAATTGTAAAGTTCCTTTCAGATCACCGTAGTGAAGGTGCAACAACCTATGCTATGAATAAGGCATCAATGAATGGTCACATTGAAATTATAAAGTATTTACATGAGCATCGTAGTGAAGGTGCCACTGCCATAGCTATGGATTATGCATCAAAAAATGGTCACATTGAAATTGTAAAGTTCCTTTCAGAGCATCGTAGTGAAGGTGCAACAACCTATGCTATGGATTGGGCATCAATGAAGGGTCACATTCAAATTGTAGAGTATTTACATTTCAACCGTACAGAAGGTGCAACAACCAATGCTATGGATTGGGCAGCTGAATATAATCACATTGAAATTTTAAAGTTCTTGTACGAGAATCGTACAGAGGGATGCTCATCATTTTGTATTCTATTTCCTGCCACCAAGGGGTATATTGATATAATATCCTATCTTGCTCATACCGTCAAGGTACCACTCCAAACAAAATTGGTAAGAACAGTATTATTAAATGGTCAATTGGATATATTCTATTTTCTACGTGACCATTTCGCAGATCACGACTCAATTTGGAATAAAGGTATTATGGATGCGGCAGCTTCAAAAGGGTACATTGAAGTTGTAAAGTATTTACATGAACATCGTAGTGAAGGTGCAACTACCTATGCTATGGATCATGCAGCTGAAAAAGGTCACTTGGAAATGATAAAGTACCTTCATTTCAACAGGACTGAAGGCGCAACAAAGAGTGCTATGGATTTGGCAGCTGAAAATGGATATATTGATATTGTTAAAGTATGTAGTCAAAGTATATACACAACACATGATGATTGTTAGTCTCTCTAACAAATATTTCCCATTTATCTATTTTATTAGTTTTTACACTTTAATCGAAGTGAAGGATGTACTAAAAGGGCTGTTGAGAATGCTTGTTGGAATGGACATTTAGAAATAGCAGAATTTCTAATCAATGTCAGAAAAGAGAAATACGATAAAGAAGAAATAATCAAACAACAATCAACCAATGATGGATACTATGATATTGTTAGGTTTGTTCTTTCCCATGAGATGGTAACAGGAGGCCTAGATAAATTGGGAAAACAGTCACTTGAAGCGCTGATATATCGTATGAAAAATCATTCAAACTGTTTTGAAATTGTCAAACTACTAGAGATTTATTTGGAACATGGTGTTTGTCCATCATTGGAACGACTAGGAGATTATACGGATACTTTAAACAAAACATCGATGACACATAAAAATAATAATAACAAAAAGAAATATGTTGGTCGTCGTACTTTGGCAGAAATTTGTTTACATTTGAAAAAGTAATCAAACCAACTCTATTAACATACATATATGTTATTAAAATAATAATAATAATAATAATAATAATAATAATAATAATAATAATAATAATAATAATAATATTAATAATAATATTATTATTTATCTCGATTGTTCAATATCTAGATATTTTTTTTTAAAACCAAATTTGGTTCATCTTCGTGATCATCCATCTTCATTCATTCTATGTTTAATAGTAATAATAATAATAATAATGACTACTACTACAACATTTCAATCTATATTTAGATTACAATATATTAGACATTTGATATTCAATCAAGTAGGTGTGATACAAAAACAATTGTATCGAGGTAGTGATCGTGGTAGACTACGACCACCACGATCATTAAAAGGAAGAGATATCACCAAGTTACATAATCTTGAGATGATATCAAAGTTTGCAATGCCTTGGAACTATATTAGACATTATCTACCTTTGGATGATTGTACTCTTTTACTATTTGAAACAAGAAAAAGAGTAATCTCTGAATACTGCTATCATCAAAATGCAACATTGGATACACTTGAACATCTTTGGGAATGGTCCCATGATGTTGACTTTAATTGGGAAGTGTTGTCAAAAAGATGTGATGGTATACCAAATCAAGAGATATTAGAGTTTATCATCAAGAAATGCCCTGCTGGAGAGAATAAAGATTTCTTTAGGGCAGCGATAAACATGGCATGTAGAAATGGGTATCTCGAGATTATAAAGATGATAGACTCTATCAAAGGTATAAAAATTAAAAAGAAAGCAATGGACACTGCTAGTAGTATGGGATTCATAGACATTGTAAAATAGAATAGAACTGAAGGTTGCAGTGAAGCTTTTCATAATGCTGCTGTATCTGGTCATTTAGAGATTGTAAAGGTGAGTATTCATTAATTAATTAATATTATTATATATTAATAATAATATAGTTTCTTCATTTTAATAGAACTGAGGTATGCACAACTGATGCTATGGATTTTGCTGCTGGAAATGGTTATTTTGAAATGGTTAAAGTATGCTATATTATTATTATATCCAATGATTTTAATCTCCTTTCTCTCTCTCGTTTATTAATATTTTTTTAAGTTCTTACATGAGCATCGTAGTGAAGGTGCAACAACCAAGGCTATGAATTGGGCAGCTAGAAATGGATTCATTAATATTGTAAAGTATCTTGCTGAGCACCGTAGTGAAGGTGCAACAACTGATGCTATAGATGGGGCTGCTGAAAATGGACACATTGATGTGATTAGGTATCTTCAAGAGCATCGTAGTGAAGGTGCAACAAGCAATGCTATGGATTGGGCTGCTGAAAATGGCCACATTGATGTGATTAGGTATCTTCATTTTAATAGAACTGAAGGTGCATCAACCAATGCTATGGATGGGGCAGCTGAAAAGGGTTACATTGAAGTGGTCAAATTTCTTCAAGAACATCGTAGTGAAGGTGCAACAACCAGTGCTATGGATAGGGCTGCTGGAAATGGCCACATTGAAGTGGTCAAGTACCTTTCAGAGCATCGCAGTGAAGGTGCAACTACAGATGCTTTGGATAATGCATCAAAGAATGGTCACATTGAAATGGTAAAATTTCTTTATAATATACATAGAACTGAAGGTACAACGAGTGATGCATTGTGCAATGCAGCTTCAAATGGTCATATTGAAATTATAAAGTTTCTTTGTCAACACTTTAATGCAAGTAAAAGTGAAATGGAACTTGTGATGGAATTGGCATCCCAAAATAATCGTCTTGAAGTTGTCAAAGTATGTTTGACACATAAAAATAACATCCAACACCATGAATAATTAATTGCTAATACTATATTATTATTCTCTATTTAGTTTTTATACTTTAATCAAACAGTTGAAAGGTTCTCTTTAGAATTCAATTTTGAGAGAGTTGTTTTGGATGCTTGTCGGAATGGATTTTTGGACATGCTTTCTTTTTTCATGAGTGTTGCAGCTGTCAAAGACCGATGTAATGGGGAGGAAATGCTAACGGCTGCATCGACCAGAGGACAGTGTGATACTGTTAAGTTGATTCTAGAGCAATTTGGAGATCACCTGGATAAAGAGTCACTTGAAAGAGTAATCAAACAAACAAAAAGTAATCATCATCTTTTTCAAACCACCCAACTTCTTGAAAATCATTTACAAACAATGTCATTATTATTATTTCCTCCACCCACCAACTCTTCTTAACCAATGCATTAATGTTATACATAACTAAGACTAACCATAAAACAAATAAATAAATAAATTAACTTAATATATTATTATTTACAAAAAGAAAAAAGATATAGATGAGGTTGGCTCACTATTTTTTTCTTTATTATTTTTAAAGATGACTGCAACCACGACAACTATAACTACTACATATACATTTCATTGTATATTTAGAGTATCGTATATTAGACATTTGATATTCAAAAAGATAGGTGTGATATCAAAACACTTGTTAGAAGACGAAGATGATTATGGGTATAGACGGCTACTACCATCGTTAAAGGGAAGAGATATCATCAAGTTACCTTATCTTGGTATGATATCAAAGTATGCAATGTCTTGGGACTATATTAGACACTATCTACCTAAAGATTGTAATCAAGTACTATTAGAAAGAAGGAAAAGAGCGATCAGTGAATACTGCTGTCATCCAAATGCAACATTTAATACACTCGAACATCTTTTGAAATGGTCTAAAGGTACAATTGGATTTGACTTTGATTGGATTTACTTTCAAAGAAAGAACAAGGTAATAACAAATAAAGAGATATTGGAATATCTAATCAACATCAAGAAATGTAGTCCGTCGACGACGACGAGAAATAATAATAGTAATAGTAATTACTTGTTAGTTGATGCAATGGAGTTGGCTTGCAAGACTGGTGATCTATCACTGTTGAAATTATGTTCTACAGAAAAGAATAATAATAATAATAATATTCGTTCAAGAGGTACAAAACAACTCAATACAACACTCATGAACATGGCTTGTGGTAGAGGATCAATTGACATTGTAAAGTATTTACATGATAATAATTTAACTGAAGGAGGATGCACTGTACAAGCAATGGTAAGAAAGATATTAATTAAAAATAGAAAGAATTAATTAGTTAACTCATCTCATTCTTAATTGTAGGATCAAGCAGCAGATAATAACCAATTAGAGATTTTAAAGGTGAGTTTTAATAGTCACTATGGTACATTTTAAATTTGTATTAACACAACATTGTCATGTTATTTCAACAAATATACATATATATCTAGTTTCTTCATTTTAATAGAACCGAAGGATGTTCTAGTGATGCTTTGGAAAATGCCGCCCGCAATGGACATTTAGAGATTGTTAAAGTATGTAATTCATTTTATTTTAAAATAGTATGAGTAATTTCTCACCAACTTATCATCATCATCATCATCGATAACTAATTTCTCTTTACACATTTAATATTCTTTCAAGTTCTTACATGAACATAGAACTGAAGGATGCTATAAAGATGCTATTTCTAGGGCATCTATTGATGGACACATCGATGTTGTACAGTTCATTCACGAGCATCGTAGTGATGGTGCAACAACTTATGCGATGGATGGGGCAGCTAAAAATGGTCACATTGAAGTGGTAAAGTTTCTTCATTTCAATCGTACAGAAGGTGCATCAACTGATGCTATTGATTTAGCAGCTGAAAACGGTCACATTGAAATTGTAAAGTTTCTTTCAGAGTATCGTAGTGAAGGTGCAACAACAACAGCTATGGATTATGCAGCTTCAAATGGTCATATTGAAATTGTAAAGTATCTTTCAGAGCATCGTAGTGAAGGTGCAACAACCAAAGCTATGGATTATGCCGCTGGAAACGGATACATTGAAGTTGTAAAGTTCTTACATGAGCACCGAAGTGAAGGTGCAACTACCGATGCTATGAACGATGCATCGATGAATGGTAAAATTGATGTTGTAAAGTTCCTACATGAGCACCGTAGTGAAGGTGCAACAACCGATGCTATGGATGATGCATCGATGAATGGTCACATTGATGTTGTAAAGTTCTTACATGAGCATCGTAGTGAAGGTGCAACTACCGGTGCCATCACCAGCGCATCGACGAATGGTCACATCGATGTGGTAGAGTTCCTTCATTTCAACAGAAGTGAAGGTGCAACCACTAATGCCATGGATGAGGCAGCTGGTAATAATCACATTGAAATTGTTAAAGTATGTATAAATATATATTCAATACTTTAATGACTTTATTTTTATTATTATTATTATTATTATTATTATTAGTTATTACATTTTAATCGAAGTGAAGGATGCAGCAACAGAGCTATTCGACTTGCTTGTCACCGAGGGCAATTGGAAACAGCATCTTTTCTCATCGATGTTAGAAAAGAGAAATGTGGTGATGGCGAAAAAATACTACAAGCTGCAGCACATGATGGACACTATGATCTTGCCAAGCTGATTCTCCAACAATTCAGAGATACACTTGGCACCGAACCAATTAAAAGAATTCTCACATTTATCAAAGACCGAGATCATTTTGAAATCACTCAACTACTTGTCGATCATATAAAACTATCCTTATAAACCAACCGTTTTTAAAGCATAAAACAAACTATATTAAATAATCAAATAATCTCATTTCCAAAATACAGTGTATATTAAGAATAATAGTAATAATAATAATGACATCTTCTATAACAACAACAACATTTCAATCTGTATTTAGAGTGAAATACATTAGTGGTTTGAATCATTTAATTCTATCAAAACAATTGTATAAAGGCTTTGGAGACGATGGCGTTGAAATCAATAAACTTCTCAACAACCATTTAAAAAAGAGAAAGTATATTAAATAATTAGAATTTATTAATATTTTTTTGAAAACAAACAAACAAATTGCATTTTGAGAATTTTTTTTTTATTTGTACACTTTGCTAACAATTAAAATTAATAATAATAATAATAATAATAATAATAATGACATCTTCTACAACAACAACATTTCAATCTATATTTAGAGTGAAATACATCAATCATTTAATATTCAATCATATCAATGATATATCAAAACAATTGTATAAAGGCTTTGGAGACGATGGTGTTGAAGATGGTAAACAACGATCATTAAAGGGAAGAGATATCATCAAGTTACCTCGACTCGAAATGATATCACACTTTGCAATGCCTTGGAACTTTCTATGTCATTATCTACCGAAAGATTATGGTCTTTTACTATATGAACGAATGCAAAGAGTGATCATTGAATACTGTCATCATCCCAATGCAACATTGGATACACTCGAACATCTATTGGAATGGTCTCAAGTTGACATTGATTGGGACCACTTGAACATATATCCAAACGATAAAACTTGTCAAATATTAGAATATCTTGTAGAGATATGTTCAAAAGAGAATGGAGAGAATCGTAGCTTTCTCAATATAGCAATGCGAACTGCATGCGAGAAAAACTACCTATCGACTGTCAAGTTGATAGACTCTTTCAAAGATGTTCAGCTGGATGAATCAGCAATGAATATTGCTAGTATGTACGGAAGCGTTGATATTGTAAAGTATTTACACGAGAATAGAACTGAGGGATGCACATCATATGCAATGGTAAGTATTTTAAATGATCATTTAATACAAAAGTGAAAAAGAAAATATAATTAATTAATTTATGTTTGTTATCATTATATTTGTAGGACGACGCAGCAGGAGGTGGACATTTAAATGTTGTAAAGGTAAGTAGACACTTTGTTGGTTATAAATGTGTAATTATATTAACAAAAGTCTTTATTCTTCTTTGTGTGTTGTAATTATATATTACATAAATATATATATAGTTTCTTCATTTTCATAGGACCGAAGGATGTAGTGAGTTTGCTATGGATGGTGCCGCTCAAAATGGTCATTTAGAGATTGTTAAAATATGTTTTAATCGCGATCAAAATAATCAAACAAACCATATCTTATCATCATTTATCTTTTATTTAATCTATCTAAAAGTTCTTACATCAACATCGTACTGAAGGATGTACTATTGATACCATTGAATTTGTGAGCCAAAATGGACACATCGATGTCTTAAAATTCCTACAAGAGAATCGTAGTGAAACCGAAACAACAACCAATGCAATGGATTATGCAGCTAAAAATGGTCACATTGAAATTGTAAGTTATCTTCAAGAGCATCGTACAGAAGGTGCATCGACCGATGCTATAGATGAGGCAGCTCGAAATGGACACATTGAAGTTGTAAAGTATCTTTATGAGCATCGTGGTGAAGATGTATCGCCCGGAGTTATAGATGATGCAGCTAAAAATGGTCACATTGAAGTTGTAAAGTATCTTTCAGAGTATAGTAGTGAAGGTGCAACAACCAATGCTATGGATATGGCAGCTAAAAATGGTCATATTGGTGTTGTACAGTATCTTCACCAACATCGTAGTGAAGGTGCAACGACCTATGCTATGGATGGGGCAGCTGAAAAAGGACACATTGATGTAGTACGGTACCTTCATGAACATCGTAGTGAAGGTGCAACAACTTATGCTATGAATGAGGCTGCTGAAAATGGCCACACTAATGTGGTAGAGTTTCTTCATTTCAATCGTACAGAGGGTGCATCGACCAATGCTATGGATGGTGCAGCTCAAAATGGACACATTGATGTTGTAAAGTTCCTTCAAGAGCATCGTAGTGAAGGCGCAACAACCTATGCTATGGATTATGCAGCTGAAAACGGCCACTTTGAAGTGGTCAAGTACCTTCATTTCAACCGTAGTGAAGGTGCAACTACTGATGCTATGGATTTAGCAGCTCGTCTTAATCACATTGATATTGTCAAAGTATGTAGTATAACACTATTAAATATCTTGAATGAACATTGACACCTAATATAATATTATTTATTATATTAATTATAAATTTATTATTATAGTTTTTACATTTTAATCAAAGTGAAGGATGTGATAGAGCTATCGAGTTTGCGTGTGGCTATGGTCATCTAGATATAGTTACTTTTCTCATCAGTGTCGGGAAACAGATGACCAACCATGCCATACTACTACAAAAGGCATCATATATGGGGCACTATGATATTGTCAAGCTGATTCTCGAGCAATTTGCAGATAAACTGGATAAAGAATCAATCGAAATAATCATACAAGATATTCAAACCCTAGATCATTTTGAAATCTCTCAGCTTCTTGTAGATCATTTAGAACAATATGATTGAAAATCAATTCAAGAAATAACAAAATATAAAATCATTTAATAATAATAATAAATAATAATAATAATAATAATAATAAATGTACATAATTATGAACAGATATTGTCAAGCTGATTCTCTCACATACACCCTGGTTCGTTATCTCTGTGAATCAATTTAGTTTAAAGTGCACAGGTCGGTTGGCTCTCGTGGTAAACATCTTCATCTAACCTTAAAAATCTTGCAAAACTTTCACCAAAAAAGATCATAGGTACCAGTTCCACACACACGTGTCCCAACACTTGTAAAGCGACCATTAGCGCACACCGTTTAAATCACCATCGATGAGCTCATTTCAATGGTCAACCTACAACTCTTCAACAGAGCAACCAACAATGACTCCTCTCTCGAAAGCCAAATCTTTCATTTGTTAGTTTGTTACAAACAAATAAATTAAAAAACTACCTATAGTAATCATTATTCAATGGCCCAAGTAAACACAAAGGGATACATTCCCCAACTAAAGTATCAAATCACTAAAACTGAAAAGGCTGTTGATAAAGCAAAAGCATTTTCTGGTAAGTAAATATATTTTCTGGTTTAACCTAGATATTTCACCCACACTAACATAATATTTCGATCAATACTTTTTATTTAATAGATGAATTTTATAAAAAGATGACCAAGAGTAGTATGAACTTTGTCAATTATGTAGAGAATCTAATTACTGATAAAACAACGAGTACTCGTGAAATCTTGGGCTTTGTAAATGTAGAAGACTACTATATCAGAAAAGATGCCGAGACCAATTTCATCACCCTTGTTCTCTACTATCTCGACGAAGAGGTAAGAACCATTTTGGATTGGACCAAACCAACTCCTCATCCAAGACTGCTAGAGATCTCTTCAAGTGACAAAGTAAGAACCTGGTACAAAAAGTATGCACTCCTCTATGCCCATTACCGTGTCAGTGAGGATGCTAAAGCCAAACTTAACATTCCTTTAATAGAAAAAGCAATCAACAAAATGGCATCATCTGTATGTACCTTGATTCTAAAAAAAAATATCATTTCAAAAAATTGATCAATATTAATATTATTACTTGTGTATTTTCTATAATATTAGAGAATCCATTCCAAACAATTGGCTGCTATTTTCAAATTCTCATACATTGAACGTAATCCAAGAATGGTTCTGTACCTCCCAAATGCAACCAAATGGCTTGGAGAAGTGAAACCCTTTTATTTGCATACCGATCGTCTCAAAGAATGGGAGCATGACTTTAAAGAGAAATACCAAAAAAATAGGGCAGGAGTAGACTCTTCTGACTATGGTCTTGATAATGTATGTTTTCAACTATTTATTTAAAGTATGATCATTGTGTAAATTAAAATCTTTTTTCTTCTTTAATAAGATCAAAAACACATTGGATTTATTAGATCCAACTGGAAAGTCTTCAACAGAAGTAGCTCATTATTATAAATCCTCGCAATATGGATACATTGCTACAATGGCAAGCTATGAAAACATTACAAGAAGTGGTAGAGATATTCATGGTATTTCGGTTGAACTACAGACCAATAATATTATGAATCAGATCCAAGAATTGGAAAAAAAATCTGTTTTGACTGCAGCTGAAAAAGATTATTTTAAAATATACAAGGATCTTGTTTTGGCGGCCGGTGATTTTGCTGGTCTCAAATCATTGCTCGGTATTACCATAAGAAGGGCCAATGAACGCATTGCACCATACGTGGACATTAAAGATAGCTATCGTTTTGATAGATTTAGATCGCCAGAATTTTTGGAAGGCCAAATGAGATCAGTGTATCCTGAACAATTGGCCAAGGTTCCCAAAGGTATCAACTTTTTCATGTCACTTTGGAGAGGTTCTCAATCAATTGCCATTCTAAACAACGTTATCAACTATGACCATAAAAAAGGGTTGCTCAACAATGCTCAAGTGGTTGGCGACTCTGTCTCGATGGTACTCGATTTCTTCACATCGTTTGAAAAGGTTGACCGAGCTTTCACAACCCCATTTGCATTTTTGGGAAAATCCATTGCAAAAGGACTGGCCAAATTCAAGTATGAACGTGTTGTAAATGTACTCACCAAAGGAATGAAATTCTTGGCCGCTTCTTCATTCAATACATTTGTAAGCACAAGGCTATGCCCAGCGCTCCTTGTCCTTTCATCTGCACTCAATGTCATCGATATTGTCAAAGATTATGAAGAAGGAGATTGGGGTTCTTTGGTCATGGATGTTGCATCACTTGGTCTAAACATTGCTTCCATCATATTGTTGGTGATTGGCTCGTCGTTGGCTGGACCATTATGCTTGCTATTCGCTGGGCTGACACTTCTTTTTGGTGTTGTCAAAGAAATCATCAAAAAGCCAGAGCTCACACCTGCTGAAAAGTTTATGCAGTCAAAACATGTATTAAAAGAATATATCTTGGTTCCTGCTGCTTAAATTTATTATATTTATATTCATATTATATATATGTATTATAAATTTTTATTAAAACAAAAAAAAAAAATTAAATAAAATAAATATTTGTTAAACAATTATATATCTATTAATTTCTTTTTTAGAAATCATCATAACCAATATTTTTGTGTTTGTAATATTTTCTAGGTACTGGTAATGAATAATTCAAGATTGTTGATTTGAATTGTTGAGTGAATTGAGTTTCAAAATAATGTACAATTTCATAGTGATGCGTACAGAGATTCGTGTTTTCATAGTAACCGGCACAGAAACATTTAATCTCGACTATAGTTTTCTCTTGTAATGTGGTAACGTTGAACGATGATACAAGATATTTGACCAATTCAAGTCGACCAAAAACTGCTAAACGAAGGATTGCCTTTTCAATGTTTTCTTCTTGACCATCAGTCAACTTTCCTTGTTCCTCTTTTTCTTTGACTAGAATATCAACAAAGAATGTCATCATTTCAATTGTTATTGTTAAACTTGATGATTTGATTACTCTTGCAATATCTACTTCATTTTGGTGATTATTGTATAAAAACTATTAAAAAAAAAAAAAGGAATAAATCAAATTAATAATTAATATAATTATTTAATTATTATTTACATACTTTAACAATTTCAAAATGATTATTTAAAGCTGCACCAGATATTGCTTTACGAGTTGCACCTTCAGTTCTATTTTCGTAAAGGAATAAAACGATATCCATGAACCCATATTTACATGCATTATCTAGAGCTTCAGTGGTACATCCTTCTTGACGGTGGTTGTGAAGGAATTGAACAATCTCTAAATTTCCATATCTAACAGCCAAATCCATATCATTTGCCGACCAAATTTGATATTGGTTGCTTGGATAATTGTCATGAAGAAAAGATAAAATATCTAATCTACCAATCTTGATTGCCGTTTGAATGGCCACCGATGTACATTCACATTTGACAACTTGAACAAGATAATGAATCATTTCAGTGTTTCCACTTACAACTGCCTTTTCGAGTGATTCAGTAGTGCATCCTTCACTTCGATTTTCATGCAAGAACTTGATAGTTTCAAAATCGTCATTGTAAGCTGCCATATCCATGGCAATGGTTGTTGCACCATCTGTACGATTCTGATGCAAGAACTTTATAATTTCAAAGTCCATGCAATAATCAAATGCTTGAGTTGTGCAACCTTCAGTTCTGTTGAAATGTAGAAACTTTACAACTTCGATATGACCTTTTAAAGCTGCATAATCCATAGCATCCTCTGTTGCACCTTCACTTCTGTGCTCATGTAGGAACCGTACAATTTCAAGGTGTCCGTTTCGAGATGCATTATCCATAGCCTCGGTAGTTGCACCCTCTGTTCTGTTGAAATGAAGAAACTTTACAATTTCTAAATGTCCAAACCAAGCTGCTTGATCGATTGCCTCGGTTGTTGCCCCTTCACTACGATTGAAATGTAGAAATTCAACAACATCTAATAATCCAGCACTTGCTGCATTATCCATGACTCCTGAATGGAATACTCCTTGATGTTTTTCTTGACCATGAAAGAACTAAAAATAAATAAACAAAGTGAGTATATTATAATTAAGGCAATATATATTAAATATACATACTTTAACAATATCAAGACTATCTTTAGTGGTAGACGTTAAATTGATTGATTTATGTGAACTTTCAGCACCTACATTGTCATGAAGATACTAACAATAATAAACACAATTATTAATATATATATTTTCTTCGATGATGATCGTAGATATTGAATAATATACCTTTATTATCTCAAAGTTATTACAGTCCTTTTAAAAAAAAAATGATTTTAGTTTATGATTGATTTGATTTGATTTGATTTGATTGATATCACTTACCATTGCACCTAGAGAAGATTCATTTCTTTCATGTAAATATTTTACAATGTCTATGAATCCTTGACGACTTGCAATACTCATTAGAGTAGTTGGTCTTGGTATTTCTAGTGGATAGAGTAACTTTAAAATAGAGAGATATCCTTTTTTAATTACACTACCCAAACTAATATGAGGTTGATTCTTTGTGATGTTTGGATATCTATTGATGATGTATTCCAACACCTCTATATTTCCATTTTCAACCATAGTATTGATATCAGGTTGTTTATTTGGTTCATAATCTACTGACCACTCCAATAGATGTTTGAGAGTATCCAATGTTGCATTGGGATGACAACAATATCGACTTATAACATCTGCTCTTCTCAGAGGTAATACTTTATCGACCGACGGTAGATAATGACATAAAAAGTTCCAAGGCATTGCATACTTTGTTATCATTTCAAGATGAGGTAATTGAATGATATCTCTTCCTTTGGTACTTGTTGTACGATACTCTACTTTTGCTATTTGACCAACATGATTAAATATCAATGATCTGATATAAGGTGACCTTAATACATCATTCAATGTTGTTGTTGTTGTTGTTGTTTGTGACATTAATAATATTATTAACCACTAACAATGTCTTTCTTGTTTCCATCAATTTTAAAAGACATTATATTTCTTTATTGTTTTTTTTGCAACATCCGACCTCAAAATAAGACAAACAATGTGAAATCTAATATCATTTAGATCAAGAGAGATTACACTCTCTCTGTGCTTGCTTGTTCATGTTCCCTCCTCTCAATACTAGTATTAACACAACCCCCCCCCCCCCCCCTCTTCCAATTTTTAAATAACAAATGGTTGTTTGGGTGGTATACGTTGTCATTATCGATCTCTCTGCACCAATCAAAATACCTGTAGTTGATGACAATTTTGAGTAGAATCATGATCACCAAGCATAGGAGATCATTTCAGCAATCAATACATTCATTGGATCTTGTTATAATCTATCTACATACAGATTTGGAAGTAGATGAAAAAGGTGATCATTGGTATTATTATTTGATGATGAACCAGGTGAAATAGGGTAGTCATTGGAATATTATCATATCTAAAACTAGTAGATGTTTAAAAATGGTAGTCATTGGAATATTCCATCACTACCCAAAACTAGTAGATGCTCAAAACAGGTAATGATCAACTATCAGCTCACAACCAATAATTGAATTAAATATTAATTTCCTTTTACAGTGCAACCGATTAGTATAAATAGAGCAGTTTTGCTCTTCATCATTATTTTAAATCACAAATCAAACAACAATAACTAATTCACAACAACTACCATACACACATAATAATAATCATATTAAAAAATGGCAATTGAAATCATCAACTTTAACCGTGAACTCCTCCAACTCCAAAGACAATCTTTGGATTCACACCCAACCACCAACTATTTCTATATTGTATTTTGTATCATTGTTTTCTTATATACCATCCAAAAGCGTGACAAGAAGTCGTCAAGTCGCTTGATGGAAATACTCTCATCAACTCAATCAATCAGTATTTTAGAAATCAACTTTATCAATCGTATTGTCAGAACCAACAATGCTGATATCTCACTCGAACAATTCTGTCAATCATACCTCATCGACTCAATCACCCTCCAAAACAACATCATCTCATCAATGAATCAATTCTCACCAAGTGATGTACAAATCAAGAGCAAGAGCTGCTCTTCATACTATCGTCTCACTGGAAAGTATGATGCTTCGACCAGCGTCTTCCAAGGAATCATGATTGACAACACTCAAGAAAAACAACAACTCAAGAAACTCAAGAATACCTTGACTCACGATACACTCACCGGTCTCCAAAATAGATACCATCTCAACAACAAGATTCAAAAGTTTTGTGCCAAGTCTTCATCTGAACAATGCTCAATCTACTTTATCGATCTCAACAAATTCAAACAAATCAACGATACCCATGGACACGACAACGGTGATGTTGTCCTCAGATCAGTTGCCGATCGTTTCCAACAATTCGCCGACGAATCAGTTCTCCCAGTCCGCCTCTCTGGCGATGAATTCCTCATTGTCAAACGCAATGTAGAACCAAACACACAAGCTGATCAATTCATTTCCAGCTACCTCTCAAGTGTCCAATGCGACGCTGTCCAACTCAACGACTCAACCACCTCGATCAAAGTAACTCTTTCCTTTGGAGGTGTTGTATTCAACAAATCACAATCAACCCAAACCGACAAGTTGATTAAATGTGCCGATGAAAGAATGTACCAAATGAAAAAGAACCTTTTACCAAACGGCAATACTACCGTTACCTTTACTGCTTAAATTAATAAATATTAATTAACAATAGAAAAAAGAAAGTAGTGTACTTTTTTTTTTTTTCTAACACGCCCCTCAAATCCTTGTCTTGTCTTCTTTTTTTTTTTTATAACTTCAACAAATAATAATATTGTAATAATGACTACTACGATAATAACATTTCAATCTATCTATAGAATGAAATATATTAGACAATTGATATTCAATCATATTAATAATATATCAAATCAATTGTATCAAGGGAGTATTTTTGATGGTAGAGGAAGATCATTAAAAGGAAGAGATATCATCAAGTTAACATTACCTCGACTCGAAATGGTATCAAAGTTTGCAATGCCATGGAACTATATTTGTCATTATCTACCAACAGATGTTGATGAAATAGAATTCAAACAAAGAAAAAGAGCTATTACTCAATACTGTCATCATCCCAATGCAACGTTGGATACACTCGTACATCTATTGGAATGGTCTCCCACCGTTCAAATTGAATGGCACTACTTGAAAAACAGTGGTTGTGATATAAGTAATCAAGAGATATTAGAGTATCTCATCAAGAGGTGTTCTGTAGCTGTTGCTGGAGATTCGAATTACTTTCTCGTTTGGGCAATGAATAGTGCATGCCTGAATGGGTATCTCGAGATTGTCAAGTTGCTAGACTCTATCAAAGATGATTTAAAAATAGATAAAACAGCAATGGACAGAGCTAGTAGAGTATCAATTGACATTGTAAAGTATTTACATGAGAATAGAACTGAAGGGTGTAGTCATTATGCAATGGTAAATAGAATCAAACCAAAAAGAAAAAAGAAAAAGATAGACTTATAAATCTTTTTTTATTAAATTAATGATTGTAGGATAATGCTTCAAGTAATGGTCGTTTAGATATTGTAAAGGTGTGTGAGTCATGATACAATGTTAACATTAAATATGAAAGAAATATTCCAATATTAACATGATCACTTTTTCTGAAATATTATTTATAATAGTTTCTTCATTTTAATAGATCTGAAGGTGCATCAGAGAATGCTATGGATATGGCAGCTCAAAATGGTTATTTAGAGGTTGTTCAAGTATGTAATATTATCACCAAAAATCAACCGACTAAGCAATTTATCACAAACACATTAAATTTTCTTTCTTACTTTCTTTCTTTCTTTCTTTCTTTCCTAAACATTTAAAGTTCTTACATGAACATCGTCAAGAAGGATGTAGCAAAGTGGCTATGGATCAAGCATCTCGAAAAGGCCATTTGGATGTGGTCAGGTATCTTTCAGAGCATCGTAGTGAAGGTGCAACAACCGATGCTATGGATTGGGCTGCTGTAAATAATAACATTGATATTGTCAAAGTATGAACTTAACAACAACAACAACAACAATAACTAAATTGACTTTGGCAATTTATTTATTTATTTATTTAATTAAATAATTTAATTTATTTAATTTATGATACAATCAACAGTTTAATAATTAAATTCACAACAACTACCATACACACATAATAATAATCATATTAAAAATGGCAATTGAAATCATCAACTTTAACCAACTCATCCAAAGACAATCTTTGGATAGATTCCCAACCACTCTATCAACCAACTATTTCTATATTGTATTTTGTATCATTGTTTTCTTATATACCATCCAAAAGCGTGACAAGAAGTCGTCAAGTCGCTTTATGGAAATACTCTCATCAACTCAATCAATCAGTATTTTAGAAATCAACTTTATCAATCGTATTGTCAGAACCAACAATGCTGATATCTCACTCGAACAATTCTGTCAATCATATCTCATCGACTCAATCACCCTCCAAAATAATATCATCTCATCAATGAATCAATTCTCACCAAGTGATGTACAAATCAAGAGCAAGAGCTGCTCTTCATACTATCGTCTCACTGGAAAGTATGATGCCTCGACCAGCGTCTTCCAAGGAATCATGATTGACAACACTCAAGAAAAACAACAACTCAAGAAGCTCAAGAACACCCTAACTCACGATACACTCACCGGTCTCCAAAATAGATACCATCTCAACAACAAGATTCAAAAGTTTTGTGCCAAGTCTTCATCAGAACAATGCTCAATCTACTTTATCGATCTCAACAAATTCAAACAAATCAACGATACCCATGGACACGACAATGGTGATGTTGTCCTCAGATCAGTTGCCGATCGTTTCCAACAATTCGCCGACGAATCAGTTCTCCCAGTCCGCCTCTCTGGCGACGAATTCCTCATTGTCAAACGCAATGTAGAATCAAACACACAAGCTGACCAATTCATTTCCAGCTACCTCTCAAGTGTCCAATGCGACACTGTCCAACTCAACGACTCGACCACCTCGATCAAAGTCACTCTTTCCTTTGGAGGTGTTGTATTCAACAAATCACAATCAACCCAAACCGACAAGTTGATTAAATGTGCCGATGAAAGAATGTATCAAATGAAAAAGAACCTTTTACCAAACGGCAATACTACCGTTACCTTTACCGCTTAAATTAATAAATATTAATTAACTAAAAAAAAAAAGTAGTGTACTTTTTTTTTCAAACACCTAAACAAAAATTGTCTTGCAATCAATGCTACCGTTACAATATTTAAATTATTAATAATTTTAAATCAAACATAAATTAGTATACAATTCATTAATAATTGGTAACCAGACATTTTCATCAATAAAGGTACAAATACTAATTACTTTTTGTCTTTATCAAAGGCTCCTTGATATTCTTCTTGTCCATGAAAAAACTAAATAAATAACCATGATAAAATGTTAGCTGGGTAACAAGAATAAAGAGGTAATTTGATGATATCTCTTCCTTTGGTACTATGTAAGTAAGACCCAATGGGACTAAAAGTATTATCAACATGATTAAATATCAATGATATGATATAAGTTGACCTTAATACATCATTCAATGTTGTTGTATACATTAAGTTGTGTTTGTTGTTAAAGGAGTAAGAAGATGCATCCTTTTTATATTTTTATTATTATTTAATAATTTTAGAAAACCTAATTCTCGATATTTTTCTTTTTCAAAAAGGAGGTCAGTCACAGAGTTATTCATTTTATTTTCGATACAAATAATAATGGCTACAACTACGACTACAAATACAAATACAACATTTCATTATATATTTAAAGTGAAATATATTAGACATTTGATATTCAATCATGTTAATGGTATATCAAAACAATTGTTGGTTGGGACAGATAAAAGTAATAGAGATGATGGTAGACACCGATCGCTAAAGGGAAGAGATATCATCAAAATACCTCTACTTGGAATGATATCAATCTATGCAATGCCTTGGAACTTTGTTTGTCATTATCTACATATATCAGATCTGAATACTATTAATCTTCGTGATCAAATAGTAATAACAAAAAGAAAAAGAATCATCAATCAATATTGTCATCATCGTAATGCAACAATGGATACTCTAAAACATCTATTGGAATGGTCAGATGACGTTGAATTTGATTGGCAATACTTGATCGGAAAGAGAAGTGGTATAATCAATCAAGAGATATTAGAGTATCTAGTCAATAAATGTCCTGCTGCTGGAGAGAATGCGTTTCTATCTGGTGCAATGGAGGTGGCATGTACCAATGGCTATCTCTCTACTGTCAAGTTGATACACTCTACTAAAACTGTACGACTCAACAAACAAATAATGGACACAGCTTGTAAAAATGGGTTCATCGACATTGTAATATACCTAAACGAAAATAGAACAGAAGGTTGTACTACAGATGCAATGGTAAGAACAAGTTAATTAAAAAAAAGAAAAAGAATTATTTCAATTAATTAATTAATTCTCTCTATTATAATATATAGGATCAATCAGCAAGAAATAATCATTTAGATGTTGTAAAGGTGAGTTTGTTATAAATATAAATAATATTAAGTTAATATTAACATTTTTTATTTAAATATTATTTATTATAGTTTCTTCATTTTAATAGAACTGAAGGTGCAACAAAGGATGCTATGGATTTGGCAGCTCGAAATGGGTATTTAGAGATGGTTCAAGTATATATTCTATTGTACTCTATTTTATAAACAATCAACTTAACTCATTTCTTGTCTCTATTTTTGTTGTAGTTTTTACATGAACATAGAACTGAAGGATGCTCAACATATGCTATAGATTATGCATCAATGTATGGTTTCATTAATGTAATACAATTCCTTCATGAAAATAGAACTGAGGGTGCGACAAGTGCGGCAATTGTAAATGCATCGGTAAAGGGTCACATTGAAATTGTAAGGTACCTTTCAGAGCACCGTACAGAAGGTGCAACACGAGGTGCGATGGATGAAGCAGCTGAACATGGATATATTGATGTTGTAAGGTATCTTGATCAACATCGTAGTGAAGGTGCAACAACCAATGCTATGGATAATGCATCAATGAATGGTCACCTGGAAATTGTAAAGTATTTACATTTCAACAGAAGTGAAGGTTCAACAACCTATGCTATGGATATGGCAGCTCAAAATGGTCATATTGAAATTGTACAATTTCTTTCAGACCACCATACTGAAGGTGCAACTACAACTGCAATGAATAGAGCTGCTCAAAATGGATACTTTGAAATTGTAAAGTACTTGCATTTCAACAGAACAGAAGGTGCATCAACCAATGCTATAGATTTTGCAGCTGAATTTGGGTATTTAGATATTGTACAATTTCTTTCAGAGTATCGTAGTGAAGGTGCAACCATCAATGCTATGGATTATGCATCAAAGAATGGACACATTGACATTGTAAAGTATCTTCAAGAACATCGAAGTGAAGGTGCAACGAGACGGGCAATGGATTACGCATCGATGAACGGACACTTGGATATCGTAAAGTACCTTCATTTCAACAGATCTGAAGGTGCCACTACCAGTGCCATGAATAATGCAGCTAAACAAGGTCACATTGAAATTATAAAGTTTCTTTCTGAACACCGTACAGAAGGTGCAACACCTAGAGCCATAGATTTGGCATCAGAATTTAATCATCTTGAAATTGTCAAAGTATGTACATGTAAATAATTATTTATTTATTTATTAAATATATACTAACATTATTTATTATTTATTACTATAACTATTTAATACTAGTATTTACATGCCAATAGAAGTGAAGGATTCACAAAAGCAGCAATTCAAGCAGCTTGTCATAATGGATATTTGGATATAGTTTCTTTTTTAATCACCGTTGGTCGAGAGAAATGTGATGTCGAGTCACTACTATCAACAGCATCATCAAAAGGTTACTTTGATATTGTCAAGTTGATTACCTCACAATTCGCTGCAACGAAATTAAATGAACAAGGTACTGAATAAATCAAAAATAATTAATTATTTAATTATTTATTTTTTGGTCAAAGATCACAAAAGAGAACGTCGTTCGTCGTTCTTTTGTCTGTTCATTTTCAATAATAATAATAATATTTCTAACTGACGAATACAGAGAATGAGAATGTCTTCAAGAACAAGTACTATAAATAAAAGATGATTAATAGTAGTAAATCAAACAACAACAAACAATCAAACAAACAAATATCTCATCTTTAAAATGATCGCCTCTACTGACAATAATAATACTATGAAAGCTGCTGTTGTAGTTGCTGCTGGTATGTATATCAATGATCATTACATATATATACATACACATAATAATTAGTATAACACTATAGGTAAATGGGAGATTAAACAAATACCGATACCACAAACAACCAAGGGACAGGTTAGAGTCAAGGTGATGGCATGTGGTGTATGTTACTCTGATTCAATGATTGTTAGTGGTAGAGTAGGACCGATATTTCCAAGAGTACCTGGACATGAAATAGCTGGTATTGTAGATGCCTTGGGTGAAGGTGTTACAAAGTTTAAAATTGGTGATCGTGTCGGAGTTGGGTTCTTTGGTGGAGGTCATTGTGGAGAATGTACAGACTGTCTATCAAATAGTTGGGTGACATGCAAGAGTGTTGGTGGATGTGGTATATCTTTTAATGGTGGGTTTGCCGAATACACAGTTGCACCACAAGATGCATTATCTCGTATCCCAGATGAAATTGATTTCCTTCAAGCCGGTCCATTCTGTTGTGCAGGTGTCACTGTATTCAACTCTATCCGTAACCAAGGTTTGAGAGCTGGTGATTTGGTCGCTGTACATGGTATTGGCGGTCTTGGACATTTAGGTATTCAATTTGCGAGAAAGCTTGGATACGAAGTCATAGCAGTCTCATCAGGTGATGATAAAGAACAACTTGCCAAGGAACTCGGAGCACACCATTACATCAACTCTACTAAACCAGATGTAGTTGGTAGATTACAAGCACTTGGTAATATCAAGTTGATCATGTGTACTGCACCTGCCAAAGAATCTGTTGAGCTCCTTTCCAAGGCACTAGGATTCAATGGAAAACTTTTACTTTTGGCCATTATGAAAGAACTCACAATCAACCCACTCCAACTCATCAGCAAGAATCAGTCTGTCGTAGGATCATACTGTGGTGATAGTCGCGATACTGAAGACACACTCAAATTTGCAGCCAACCAAAACATCAAATCCATGCTTCAAGTATACCCACTCGAACAAGTTGAAGAATGTTTAAATAATATTTCAAAAGCTAGATTCCGTGCTGTATTAAAGATTGGTGATTTTTAAACCAAACAAATTGCAAACATCTATTAACTATTAACTATTAATGAATAATAAATCAAAAACTAAACTAAAATATATTTGTATATATACATGCATTTTAATTTTAATTGCGTAATTACGTATTTATATTGAATTGGTTGGTTGGTTGAGAAGTAAAGAAAAGTGTATACTTTGGTCCCCATTTCATGACAAATAAACGGGACTAAAACAAAAGTAGACACTTTTCTTCACAACACTCTATAGGAATGTTCTGTGATTCATCTAAATTGCTGACCTGTCGACAGGTCGATACCACCCTTTACACATTTTGTTGTTCAACAAAAGATCGATGAGTTGTATATGCGTGTTGATAGATGATGAATATCATCCTCTATTCGTAAATGAACTTTACGAACTGTTGATACATGGTGATCAAACCAACGAATCTTTGCATCTCGCTGCACATTCGAAGATATTCAAATCCACAAGCCGTCATCAAATCGCAGATATCATCGGAACAGACCTACAGCTTTCAAAGAAAAGACTCAAAAACAAGATCCATCAAGATGGTAGACGATTCAAGCAAGGACATACCGATCCAAGGCCAAGTGTTGTTATAAAATCCAAAACTGTATCCGATAGTGATTATCAACGGGCCATGCCCGATCGTTGTAGTGGATGCCGTACAAAGTTTAATTGTAATTATTAACTCTCTCATTACCAAAAATTTAACCATACTTACTCATACTTACTTTCTATCACAACCAAATAGCTCCAATGTAAATATATTCTAAATAGGTGTGTGTTGGTATATACTACTAATAATAATAATTAGACAGGTGAAGACTCGTATATACTACTATGAAGGGGAGAGAGGAGAGGATCGTTGCTCTTGCTCCTGTTGATGTAATTGATGAAAATGATTTCTAATTATTGTTATATTATCAGTTAAAGTTGTTGATTTTATGAGTTGGTTAACTCGTTGTATATTGTTGGATAAACCTGCACGATCTAGTTCACCGCTAAAGAACTGATTCGTTGTTGATATCATTCATTTTCACAGTTGAGGGAGCATTGAGGTTGGATGTGTAGAAATTGATGTCATCATGTCTGTGTTGAGGAGAGATGAGAGGGTGTGATGAATTTAGTCTAATGTTGTACAAGTTGAGAGAATCTTGAATGACAGCAAGACTACCAAAAGTCTTATCCATATTGAGGTATAAATCATTGTTGTTGATAGTACTGTTCACTGTTACTGATTGTCTGTTGTTGAGCGTTTGTAGAACTAGATCCTGTACAATGTTGTTGTTTGTTTTAGAGTACTCAACTCAAACAAATCTACTCTCTTACTTTGAGAGATCAAGCATGAAATTCTGCTCACATTATTTAAAAAGATAAAAAAAAAAAAAAAACAAAGATCATCCCCCACCCTCACCAATTTTTTAATTACTTGGGTCTGAAGTTAGGTTCATCACGAGTATCATATTTATACGCTAGAGTAGTATATTACTAGTAGTAGTTAGTAGTACAGAGAGAGAGTAATAGTAGTAATAGATGGGAGATAATAACCCAAATAAACTATCATCGTTGACTTCGATGGTAGGCAATATGGCCAATCTACCCAATCTCAAGTTCAAGTTTGATGTATCACAGATCAAGCACAAGATTGATGAAGTTGAGCATGTCACTAAAAAGACATTCTCTGCTATCACTGGTTTACCAATCGGTACATCTAGCAAGAAGAAATCAAAATATTATTATGATTTAAAGAATGTATGTGTTCGTCAAATTCGATCATGATAATCTATCTCAGAGAAATACACAAGACATTAGAATTAGAATACTAATCAAATCTTATCAATATATTTGATTATATATTATCATGTATCATATATATTAGGATATGGCACCAGGATTAACAGAAGAACAATTTGCAGCATCAATACCAGAAGGATTCTTTAAAGAAGGATTCGATCCAACTAGATACATACTCGATAGTTTACCAAATACAAATGATGACAAGGAATTAGATCAATACCTTGATGCAAGAGTAAACGATTATTCACGATCTATGGATTATGTAAATTCAAAATTATTTAGTAGAGTTAGAAAAAATTATACAGAGTTTGGTATGAAACAAAAAAAAAGAAATAGAAATAGATAATTATATAATATTATATTAATATTTTAATTTGTTTACTTTTTAAATTTTAGTTGAGGGAATGGCACAAATTCATGAAATAGGAGTAGAGTTGCAAAGCTCTACGGTTATGTGTTCAACGGGTAGACGTACATTGGCAAAGACTAAAAAGAATCTTACACACACTGCCTTTTTCATTATGAGTCGTTACAAGAAACGTACAATGTATCAAAAGATTTTAACCGATCTGACACACATTCAATCGATTGTGACGTTGGAACGTATGTTGAAACAATCACTGTCCGATGGTGACTATCCAACCACCATCAAACTATATTTGGAGTGTAGACGTACAATTCATGACTATGGTCACTATAGTTGCATCCCAGAATTGGATTCGAATCTTCACCAAATCTATCAAGTCGTACAGGAACGTATTGACAAGGATTTCCTAAACTCTTGTCGTATGTTTAATCCAACCACCTATCAAAGAGTATTCACTGCCTACAAGTTGTTGGGTCGTGGTAATTCCATCCTCGATAAACTTAAAATTAATTTCGTCGATCCTATTGAACCTGAAACAAGAAATATTGTTTTTTCTCATGTATTACTAAGTGAAGTTAATGTTATGAATCCTGAACAATTTAAAGGGTAAAAAAAAAAATAGAAAAGAAAAGATAGAAAAAAAAAATTAAATATTAATTTATTTATTATTTATTATTTTTTTTAGAGTTGGATATAAAGAATTATGTAAATCATTACAAGATGAACATTTTGTTAATTGTTTATTAGCTATATTTGAATATCTTTGTGATATTATGACTAGTTTATATTTAATGAATCAATTCCATGTTGAAAATCCAATGTATGTTAAAAAACAAATACAATCAATTATAATTTATTTATTTACTCTTTTTTTTTTTTTTTAGAGAAGAGGAAAGTAAAATATTTTCAGATATTAGTTCAGCTTTGACAAGATTTAAAAAGACTATATGGGATACAATGCAAAAACAGGTTACACATTTATTGGATAGAAAATTGGTGGCATTCAAGATTGATGATTTCCTTTTGATTTTGAATTCAGTGACCAAGATTTCAGAGATTGGAGAAGAGTTTAGTGGTAGTCCATCACATCATCTTCGTAAATCGATTATCGATCAGAGTAAATCATTCTTTGAATTCCTTCACAAGTCAAAGGTTGATGATATTCGAACGGTTTTGGAAAATGAATTTTGGACTCATATCCCAGTGCAATCAGATTTTAGTGCAAAGGTTGAATTGCGTTTGGACAAGAGATTAAAGAGTCACAACAACGATAAACATCTTACAGGTGATCAATTATTCCACGCCATTCAAGACAATGGTAATCCATTCTCTCAATTGATCAGTTATAAAAACAAAAGACAAACTTCAAATATTTCAATTTCTCCTACCAACCTTACTCCATCTTCTTCTTCACCTTCTTTAAAAGAAAAAGAAAAAGAAATTAATAAGAATAATAAGGATGATGATAGTAGTAGTGAAGAAGAATATTATGAAGAAGAAGAAGAAGATAGTGATGACGAAAATAACAAAAAAAATAATAACAAAAAGAATAATAATAATAATAATAATAAGAGAAATGGAAATGGAGCATCAGGAGGAAAGAAAACAAAACAAGAAGAAAAGAAAGAAGAAACTAAAAATGTTTTAGTATCTTCAGCTACCATTTCTTTTGTTAGAAATATTGCAAAGTATATTGAATTGATGGAATTGTTGCCACATATTGCAACCGATATTTTTGCAGCCATTTGTCAGTTGGTGGAATACTACATGTACACTATTTATTCGTTTTTGGGACACTTGAACCCACAAGGATACAGCTTGGAGGCACTCACCACCAAGATTGAAAAGACCATCTCTCAGGAAAAGCAAAACGAAGATCTTTCATTTACCAAACCAGCATTGTTCAAGTTTATCAATCGCATGAAGGAGCGTCTCGGTCTGCCCCTCATTGCCACTGCCTCGTCCAACCTCAGTTCCATCACGTCGGGTCTCAGCACCATTGGCAATATCTCTGGTATCTCTAGCTTTGCCAATTTGGCATCGAACCAATTCTCACAGATAAAGTCGGTCATTAAAGAGACGACAGCCACGGTTGGAAACAAGCAGAAATCACCCAATTTGGACGCCATGTATGCTACACCCGCCGGCAGCGGTCAGCTTGGAGGTGGTGCACCCGCTTCACCAACGAGTGTGCGTTGGATTGCGCCACGTATCAACTACTCGGCTTTGGAGCTCGGTGATCCCAACCTCATGTTTAATTTGCCCGTGCGTATCATTGCCGTCGAGTCACTCTCGTTTATCGAGGAGGCGTTGCGTGTCGCCTTATCAGTCTTCCAGCCTCTGCTGCCATCCAACCACACGGACAAGATCAACGAGTTTTATGCACAGGTCATTAGCATCATTCCCGACTTGCAGACACACTTTATAAAGACAACAGTGTCTGCCTATTTTTCACATGCGTGCGGACCACTCTATTTCTCCAACACTATTGCCGAGGAACGTTGGAACAACAAAGAGGTGCGTGGCACCAAGATGGTGGCCTATGCCGAGGACTTTTTAAAAGAGTTTAACAAGTTCTTTAAACGTCTAGACGACGCCATCAAACAACAAGAGTTTATCACGGCCAAAGAAAAGAAAAAGATTGTCGTGGCTTCACTCGAATTCTTTGTACAACAGTTGGTTGATGGTTACAGTCGCGTAAAGTCGTGCTCACCAGAAGGTCGTAACAACATGGTGCAAGATTTGCTCAACATTAGCGCCAAGCTAGAGAAACTTGCTGGCGTCCCCTTTAACGTCAGCTATGCCCAAAACTATCTCCGTGGTTACATCACATTTGCTGCCCTCACCGAACCAGAAATCATCCAATGGGCTCGTGACCATGAGGAATATCCTATCAAACACGTCTCCACTCTTGTACTTCAATCTGTATCCTCTAAAATCGATAAAAATCAATTGGTTCAACATCTTGAAGAAATGGATCGTAAACGTAGACATTTATCATCAGTCTCTACTACTACTACTACAACAAAATCAAATTAAAATAAATGGTAAAATTAAAAATATTAATCTAAATAATTATTATTATATTTAATTATTTTAATCTTTTCTTTTTTAGTTGATTCCATTTTCTTGATATAAATTGATATATTTTACTCTTGGTTTTCTTTTGCTTTATGTTGTTATTGGGTATTTGATGTGCTACTTCATCTTCTCCGTCATCTTCAATTAGATTCTGTGGGAAATATTGTTTAAAGAGTTGGTGTATTTCGAAATGACTACCACATCCAGGATATTGTTTAAGGTATGTTTTTTTCAGTCTATCATAATACCCAGACCATGATGTTTGTGTTAGTATCCGAATCAATGTATCTGGATCACACAACAATTAGTCTGCTCCTTGAAATTGTCATAAAGAAAGTAGAAGTAATCCAACCTTCCCCTACTTATTACAAGTGTCAAATCTTTTGGATGGCAACGAACATTGGTCACCGTGTGAGCTAGATAGTATAATAGTTCAATGTTTTCATTAAAACATGCATATGTAATAATGTATTGTGAACATGCCTGACTTTGACGATGCTCATAAAGGAACTTTACAATATCAATGTATCCTTTTTCAGCTGCCCCATCCATAGCCATTGTTGTGCATCCTTCTGTCCGATTCTCATCAAGATACTTGACCACTTCAATGTATCCTTTTTCAGCTGCCCCATCCATAGCACCTGTTGTGCATCCTTCATAACAATTCTCATCAAGATACAATTCATAGCTTTGGTTGTTGCACCTTCACTACGATGTTCATGTAAGAACTATAGTCTGGACACTGGCAAGTGCTAATTCGGAATATTAATTGTCTAATGTATTTAGCTTTAAATATATAATGAAATGTGGTGGTAGTTGTTGTAGTCATTATTATTCGAAGAGGTTAAAAAATTAAAATATAGGTTGTCTAGAGCAGAAGTCGTTTGGGTATAAATATTATATTATATTTATTCTATTCTATTCTATTCTATTCATTATCTTTGGATATATATTGTTGTAGGACAGTTGGACATTGTTCCTTTTGGTCTTGTGGTAATTGATCATACCACTTACAAAGAATATTTAGATCTTTTTCATCTTGACTTGTATACAAATAAGTTAATCCTGTTGTTCTTTGAATATCATAATCAACTATAATTAAATTAAATAAATCAAAAGAATTAGAATATATATTATTAAATTATTTTGTTTGTATCTACTTACAAGTTTGATTTCCATTTAAAATAGTTTGAAGAGCTAATTTAATATGTGATAAACCATTAAATGTTACAACGTCTGGATTGATTGATTTGACACCAAGATAAAGTTGACCGAGTGATTGAAGTGCAAAACATTTAACAGCAGATGTAGTCTTGTCCAATGCCAAATATTTCCAAATACGATTACCAATAATATAGTCGTGTATCCACAGCCAATTGTGTTGATTGACTGCCAACATTTCCAAAGGTTTTAATACCATAAATAATTTATCAGCGTCATTGACCAACGCATATTTATCCATCAATGATAATAAATTATTTCCCAATTCATTTATATCTTTTATACAATTATTTTCTACTTTTTGTTTTAATGTTTTCTAAAAATTAAATTAAATAGCAAAAATTAATAAATATCTCTTTTTTCTTTTCTTTTTTTTTTTTTGTATACTTACAATATTTGTAATTTCTTTTGATGTTAATGTTAAGAGTTTTTGATAAATTAATGAATTGATTGTAACCATGAATAAATTATTAACATCCATTGTTGTAATATTATTATTATTATTATTATTACTACTATTATTATTATTTAAAAAGTTAAAAGTTTCAATGATAATATATAAAAATCGAATGGTGGTTGGTGATAGTCCCAACATTACAATATCATAGATCAATGTATAAATGGGAGAATAGTCTTTAAAAGTTTGGCAGAAAATTGAGAATATTTCACTATAGTATAGGGAAATTGATGCTTTTGTTTTGTCTTGTTGTTGTTGTTGTTGTTTTGAACTTGAAAAAATGTTTACAATAGTTCCATTTAAATATCTAAACATTTCATTTTTAAAATTGATATCCTATAAAATAAAAAATAAATAAAATAGATAATTATAGTTAGTAACTATTATTATTATTTTTTATATTTCCTTTTCTTTTTCTTTTTTTCTTTTTTTTACCTTTTGTTTTAAAAATTCAAATGAAAATGTAATGATTTGATGACATTCTTTTGGAATAGGAACTCTACTTGCAGTTGATGTAGTTTTTGGTTTTAAATTATCCAATGCAGAGATGATTGATACAATGACAATACGAATCAATCCGAGTCGATCCTCTATTTGTTCCTTTGAATCAATGAAAGAGGTAATATTTGAAAATGTTTCTTGTGATGATTGATCACCTTTTTGTACCAATTTGATTTGTGATTTTACATATTCGCTAAATGTCATTGATACTGTTTTGGTTTTTGGAGAAGTCAATGGTAAAGTTGTCGTCGTCTTTTTGATGGATTGAAGGGATGGAGAAACTTTAGCAACTGGTTTTTTCAATGGAGATTTAGAGGTTACTGGAGATGGTTTCTTAAGTGGTGGAGATTCATCAACAGACATAACAATATCTGGTACAATTACAACGTTGGTTGGTTTTACAACTTCCTTTGATTGAGAAGGTGGTGGAGTGATAACCTTTTCCACCATTTCAACATCCTTTGATTGAGAAGGTTGAGGAGGTGGAGTGGTGATTACCTTTTCAACTGGTTGAACTGTGATTGTTTCCTTTTCAACTTGTTTTAATAATGTAGGTATTGGAGTTGGTGTTGGAGTTGGCATTGTTGGTTTAATTAAATCAGGTATTGGTGTTGCCATTGGTTTAATTATAGTAGGTATTGGTGTTGGTATTGGATGTTGGATGACCGTAGGAATCGGAGTTGGAGTTGGTTTAATTAAAATAGGTATTGGTGTTGTCGTTGGTTTAATTATAGTAGGTATTGGTGTTGGTATTGGATGTTGGACGGGTTCAATAGTTTTGGTGTTGGTTTTATCTTCATCTTCTGGCAAGGTAGCAATAACCTCTCTAACAGTTTGACCTCTAACCGTTCTCGTTGTTTTAATTGGTTGAATTCTTTGTCTCTTTTTTGGTGCATCTGCTGCTACTGCTGGTTGTTGTTGTTCTTCTTGTACAGTAGTAGGATTATTATTATTCACTGTGATTGGTATATCATCGATTTCATTATTTGTACGTTTGAGAGATGGTTTTTCAATTGAAGGTGTTGGAGGAAGGACAATGGAGGGAGAGGAAGCAGAAGAAGAAGAAGAAGAAGAAGAAGAAGAAGAAGAAGAAGAAGAAGAGGGTAGTTGAGGGATTTGCAAATCGTTGTCAACTTGCATTGGTTGAATAGATAATAATAGTGCATTATCCTTTTCAATTTCTTTTACCTCTTCTCGAGGTGGAGTTGAAGGTTGTTTATCCATTACTATTTCCAATTGTACTGGTTCAATTTCCTTTTCTTTCTCTTGTTCGAGTATTGGTGATAAAGATGGTGGTTGTTTATCCATTACTATTTCCAATTGTACTGGTTCAGTTTCTTTAACCAATATTTCCTCTTTCTTTTCAAGAATAATTGGAGAAGAGGATGGTGCTTCGATTGGTTTAATTTCCACACTCACATTTTCCAAGACATTTTCTACCTGTTCAACTGAAACCAAATCTGGTGCGACATGATGATGATGATGATGATGATCCTGTTCAAAATTATCCTCTACAATGGTTTCAACAACCATTGGTTTTGATTGTTTTTCATCCAAAGATTGAATTTGGTCGTCGTCGATATGAATAGTATCATTACCAAATTGAATATCGCTTTGACTATCATCTGTCATTTGATTACTATTATTATTATTATTATTATTATTATTATTATTATTATTATTATTATTATTATTATTATTATTATTATTATTATTATTATTATTATTATTATTAATATTATTATCTTGATTTGTTGTTTTGTTGGTTGATCCAAGAGGATGCTCTGAAAAAATAACTCCTGGTGAAATGGGTGAATCAATTGAAGTATCGGCAATTGAAAGGAATGAATTGATACGACTAAAAATATGAGGTGGAACAATTGCTGTTGGCATTAAATTATTTTCGTTTGGCAATGTTATAACATCCATCTTTTCATCGCTAATCGTTGTCTTTGTTGTCGTTGGGTGAATGGTCGTGGTTGGTATAGATTTAATACTATCTTGTGAATTATTTACAATTATTGGTGGTAGAATAATATTCCTACTATTACTACTATTATTATTTACATCACTATTTGAAGAATTATTATTATTATTATTATTATTTACAATTTCGCTTTCTATAATGGTTGGATTATTATTATTATTATTATTATTATTATTATCATCATCATGATTATTATTGATTTCTTCTTCGTGATTGTCATTATTATTATTATTGCTGTCATGATTATTAATAAAATTATTTCCACCAAATAGTTCTTGTTCCAAACCATAATCATCTTCATCTAAAATGGTTGATGATTCTTCTTCTTCTTCTTCACCACCACCACTTTGATCGTCTTGTTTTTGTTTCTTTGCCGATGATGATGACTTTTTAATACCAGCTGGTTGTTTCTTTGCCTTCTTTTCTAGTTGTTGTTTTTTAGATTCCTCTCGTTCTCTCTTTTTCTCCTCTTTGGCAGCTTCTCTTTTCTTTTTCCTCTCTTCTGCTTGTTTAGCTTTTAATTGTTTTTTTGTGTCCATAACTGGTTGTTCAATAGGTGTCTCTTCTGTCTCTTCAGTTGATAATAATCCAAGTAATTCCTTTTCATGATCATCTAAAATATCTTGCTCCACAGCTGGTATTTCTACCATTTCAACTTCTTCTTGTTCTATTTCTGGTTCTGGTTGTTGTTGAGATTGTTTAGGTTGTTTGGGATCTCTTTCTTGATAGATGATTTTGTTTGTTGATTGTGGAGTTGAAAATTGTGGACCAAGAAGAGATGATAGTGGAGGTGGTTTTACAAATTGTTTAACTGGTGATGGTTTTGGAGTTGGTTGTTTTTGTACTGATCGTTGTGGACTGTCAATGATTGATTGATGGTGATGGTGGTGGACTTCGACCATCTCCATCTCAGTATCACTAATAGTCGACATATGACTATCCAAAATATTCAACGACGTCGACGTTGAAGAAGCAGCAGAAAGAGATGTAGGTGCTGTATACTCTTCCATATCAAACATCATATCCATTGAACTATTATGATTATCTTCATCATCATCATCATGACCATTAGATGTAGTAGTAGCACCACCTTCAAATTGAATATCACTATGGTCTACATCTTCTTTTTCCATCATATTATTATTTAGTGTTGTAGTTGTTGTTGTTGTATCATCTTTCTCTTTCTCTTTTTCTTTTTCTTTTTCTTTTTCTTTTTCTTTTTCTTTTTCTTCCATATGACTATTCATGTTGTTCAAATCTTGTTGGTCTTGGTATGAATTAGACATGTTTGTTGAGAAATCATCGTCTGCTCCAAACCCACTACTCTCACTGCTACTTGTGATAGGTGCGCTAGAAATGGGTGCATGTATGATTGATTTACTACTGAATCGTAGATTTGTATTATCAAGCATAGCCGCAGATGATGATAATGGAGTTTTAGACATTCCCTTTTTACAATTTGAACAAGTCGTAGCAGTTGAAGAAGAAGAAGATAAAAATGAAGATGAATGCAAAGTTGAAGTAGTTGTACCTGTACCAGACTTAATTTCTTCTCTTGATTTATAGATAGCCAATTGTCTAGCCAATTTCTCGTTTGATCTTTTCATTTCAGAGTAACGTACTTTGAGTTCCTTGCCTTCATTTACCTTTTTAAGTAGATTATCATAGTTTTTAAGTTTCTCTGTGGTCTCGTGTGATTTGGCATCTTGTTGATTGAGGAATAGTCTGAGAGCGACCATCTCTAGTTCTTTGGTGGCATACTTTTTAGCAGTGTCTTCAGAGTTCTTTTCAATATCGGCAATCTTTTTGTGAAGTGGTTCGATGCTTGCTATAGCCTGTTCAAGTTGGTGTTTGAGATACTCTGATTCTTTCTTTTCAGACATATACATATGATTTAGTTTGTTGTAATCTATATTATTATTATTATTATTATTATTGGTTGAGTTTGTTGAGTTGTTGTTGTTGTTGTTATTGTTTTGTTTAAGCATAGTATTCTCCTTTTGAACAGCTTTGAGTTGTGCTTGTACATTCTTGTATCGTTCGATTAGTTTGTTGGTTGCTACCATCTTGCTTTTTATAGTCTCGAGGTTATGGTTGATAATACTGCTACTGCTACTCGTACTACTCGACATGAATGGTTTGTTGTTATTGTTGTTGTTGTTGATGAGATTAGAGAGACCGCCGCTACTACCAGGACTGTGGTGTAGATGACTGCCTCCAAGATGATTCAATATCATCGAGTTGGGAGTAGACGGTACATCCAACAAACTAGATGACCCTCCAGACGAAGGTTGCAATGTATCAAACACATCTGACAAGTCTGATAACCCATGATGGTGATGATTATTTAGATGATTAATATGATTATGATTATTATGTAGATGATCTTGTTGTAAAGAAGAAGAAGAAGAAGTAGAGGTTGATGCAGACGGGTCTTCGTGACTATTATTATTATTATTAAAATTAAAGTCAAACATCATTGAATATGAAATAATTGTATTTGTATTATATACTACTCTACTCTATACTCTTTCTCTCATTATTACTTCTATCTATCTATATCGCAATTTGAATGATTAAAAAATGGAGGGATACTATCTACGTTATTAATAATACTCTACTCTCATTGCGCCTTTTTTGCAATTTTCAACCCCAACCGTCGTCATTCGTTTTTTGAAAACTCCTCAATGAAAGTGTGAAGAGAATTTAATACTAGTATTCATTTCATTTTTTGATCTAAATTTTCTTTTGCTCAAATACAGTTACAGAGTTATCAAATACAATGATCTATTTTATTTTAATCCATCTGTTGATGTTGTTGTTGTTGGTACTAGAATTAAAAGATTGGAGTGTGCCAATATCGAGAATTTTTGGGAACTTTTAATATCGATCAATAATCAGAATCGTAATCAGAATCGTAATCATAACGATTATAAGAATAAGAATGACGAACATAAGCCGGACCATGATAACCATTGGCAACCTGCTGTTGAAAACCATCATCAGAGCTTTTCATCCAAGGCCAAACTTTTGGAACTCCATGTTTTGATTCTACTCTTTCTTTTGCTTCATCAAAGGAACAATAAGAGAGATAACTTTTCATATTGCAATAATCGAAAAAGTATTTCATTTTGCACATCTCGTGGACTATAGAATCGACAGTCCAATGGCCGCCAAGTGTACCATCAATGTAACCAAAACACAAACGACTGTCGGATCTGAGATTGAGTTTGTAGACTGCCAATGCATCGATGATTTGTTGTTTTCTAACATCCTTTTCTGAAGCTGCGCGGAGAATATTAACCATCTTTTGAAAGGAATATGATCCTTTCAAGTATTGATTGACAACATATTGGTTTCCACTATTGATGACGATATCCGTTGGAAGGTCATTCTTTAATGTCTCTTGTCTCTCGCGGAGTTGAATATTGTATTCCGTCTTTCTTGGGTTGACATAATGGTAGATCAATCGATAGAGAACAACGTTTCGCCACATTGGAAAGAATCTATCATCGTTTGAGAACCCATTACTGCATTTACCTTTACATTTGCAAGATGCAGCACAACCATGTCCCTTTTTTCTACATCCACAAGCTGCCGAACACGTAGTATTATAAAAAGATAACTTTGAGCATGAGCATTTTGAATTCTTTGTTCCTGCTGGTGTTGTAAGTGCAGCGAGGGGAATCGTTTCATTTGGTTTTGGTTCTTTTCTTTTTACTTTCGTGGTTGTATTATTTGCGAGTATAGTAGTGGCGGTGTTGGTGGTGGTTGTAGTTGATGTTGTACTAGTAGCAGTAGTAGTAGTAGTGGTATCTTGATTGTTTTGTTGTTGTACAAGCTGTTCAGGTTCAACTTGAAGCGTCATAGGTTGCAGAGGTTGAACTTGAAACATAGGATCCATTTGAAGCAGAGGATCAACTGAAAGCAGAGGCTGAACTTGAAACGTAGGATCCATTTGAAGCAGAGGATGAACATCTAGTTCAAGCTCAGAACTTTGCAGTGAATTCGTGTTCAAAGTTGACACTTGCATCTCGTCGTTCATGACTCTGCTACCTATGGTGGTCCCAACCCAAGAATGATTGATTCTTCTAAATGCTGAACTTGCACGTTGATAAGTTGTTGTATTCGTATGAGCTTTCTTGTTCTTGTTGAGTGTTGTTGTTAGTCTAAATAAATAAAATTATTTACAAGACTTGTACAGAGATAATACAAAGAAGAAGAAGTCCAGGTCAATGAATATAGAGTAAAAAGACTTAATTTTGTTTTATGGTCTACACTACTTTCTTTTTTTTTTTTAGTTAATTAATATTTATTAATTTAAGCAGTAAAGGTAACGGTAGTATTGCCGTTTGGTAAAAGGTTCTTTTTCATTTGGTACATTCTTTCATCGGCACATATAATCAACTTGTCGGTTTGGGTTGATTGTGATTTGTTGAATACAACACCTCCAAAGGAAAGAGTTACTTTGATTGAGGTGGTTGAGTCGTTGAGTTGGACAGTGTCGCATTGGACACTTGAGAGGTAGCTGGAAATGAATTGATCAGCTTGTGTGTTTGATTCTACATTGCGTTTGACAATGAGGAATTCATCGCCAGAAAGGCGGACTGGGAGAACTGATTCGTCGGCGAATTGTTGGAAACGATCGGCAACTGATCTGAGGACAACATCACCATTGTCGTGTCCATGGGTATCGTTGATTTGTTTGAATTTGTTGAGATCGATAAAGTAGATTGAGCATTGTTCTGATGAAGACTTGGCACAAAACTTTTGAATCTTGTTGTTGAGATGGTATCTATTTTGGAGACCGGTGAGTGCATCGTGAGTCAAGGTGTTCTTGAGTTTCTTGAGTTGTTGTTTCTCTTGAGTGTTGTCAATCATGATTCCTTGGAAGACACTGGTCGAAGCATCATACTTTCCAGTGAGACGATAGTATGAAGAGCAGCTCTTGCTCTTGATTTGAACGTCACTTGGTGAAAATTGGTTCATTGATGAGATGATGTTATTTTGGAGAGTGATTGAGTCGATGAGGTATGATTGACAGAATTGTTCGAGTGATACTGAACTATTATTGGATTTAACAATACGATTGATAAAGTTGATTTCTAAAATACTGATTGATTGAGTTGATGAGAGTATTTCCATAAAGCGACTTGATGACTTCTTGTCACGCTTTTGGATGGTATATAAGAAAACAATGATACAAAATACAATATAGAAATAGTTGGTTGGGAATAGAGTGGTTGGGAATCTATCCAAAGATTGTCTTTGGATGAGTTGATTAAAGTTGATGATTTCAATTGCCATTTTTTAATATTATTATTAGTGTATAGTAGTTGTTGTGAATTAGTTATTGTTGTTTGATTTGTGATTTAAAATAATGATGAAAAAAAAAAGGCTCTATTTATACTTGATTATGTGAGAACATGGGTTTTTATAAGTGAGGTATCGTCACCACACTACGATGCTCTGAAAGGTACTTTACTATTTCAATGTGACCATTTTTAGCTGCCCCATCCATAGCATTGGTTGTTGCACCTTCACTACGACGCTCTGAAAGATACTTTACCATTTCAAAATGTCCATTTTGAGCTGCCATATCCATAGCATTGGTAGTTGCACCTTCACTACGGTGCTCTGAAAGATACTTTACCATTTCAATGTGTCCGTTTTGAGCTGCCAAATCCATAGCCTTGGTTGTTGCACCTTCACTACGATGCTCGTAAAGGAACTCTACAATTTCAATGTGTCCATTTTGAGCTGCCCAATCCATAGCATTGGTTGTTGCACCTTCACTACGATGCTCTGAAAGATACTTTACCACTTCAATGTGGCCGTTTTGAGCTGCCAAATCCATAGCATTGGTAGTTGCACCTTCACTACGATGCTCTGAAAGGTACTTTACTATTTCAATGCGACCATTTTGAGCTGCCCAATCCACAGCCTTGGTTGATGCACCTTCACTACGGTGCTCGGAAAGGAACTTTACAATTTCAATGTGTCCATTTCCAGCAGCCCAATCGATAGCACTGGTTGTTGCACCTTCACTACGATTGAAATGAAGATACTTTACCATTTCAATGTGTCCGTTTTGAGCTGCCATATTCATAGCCAAGGTTTTTGCACCTTCACTACGATGCTCTGAAAGGTACTTTACAATTTCAATGCGACCATTTTTAGCTGCCCCATCCATAGCATTGGTTGTTGCACCTTCACTACGATGCTCAGAAAGAAACTTTACAATTTCAATGTGACCATTTTGAGATGCCCAATCGATAGCATTGGTTGATGCACCTTCACGACGGTACTCTGAAAGATACTTTACTACATCAATGTGTCCATTTTGAGCTGCTAAATCCATAGCCTTGTTTGCTGCACCTTCAGTACGATGCTCTGAAAGAAACTTTACAATTTCAATGTGTCCGTTTTCAGATGCCCAAACCAAAGCATTCTTTGATGCACCTTCAGTTCTATTAGAATGAAGAAACTAATATAAATATTTTTGAAAAAATGAGAGGGTTAATGGAACTTTTCTTTCATATCTAATGTTAATATCTCATGACTCACTCACCTTGACAATATCTAAACGACCATTTCTTGAAGCATTATCCTACAATCAAATAAAAAAAAAAGAATATAAGTCTATCTTTTACTTTTTTCTTTTTGTTTTTTTTTTTTGGTTAGATTCTTACCATTGCATTATGACTACAACCTTCAGTTCTATTATCATGTAAATACTTTACAATGTCAATTGATACTCTACTAGCTCTATCCATTGTTGTTTTATCTATTTTTAAACCATTGAAACTCGAGTGCAACAACTTGACAATCTCGAGATACCCATTCAGGCATGCACTATTCATTGCCCAAACGAGAAAGTCATTCGAATCTCCAGCAACAGCTACAGAACACCTCTTGATGAGATACTCTAATATCTCTTGATTACTTATATCACAACCACTGTTTTTCAAGTAGTGCCATTCAATTTGAACGGTGGGAGACCATTCCAATAGATGTACGAGTGTATCCAACGTTGCATTACGATGATGACAGTATTGAGTGATGGCTCTTTGTCTTTCTTTGAATACTATTTCATCAACATCTGTTGGTAGATAATGACAAATATAGTTCCACGGCATTGCAAACTTTGATACCATTTCAAGTCGAGGTAATGTTAACTTGATGATATCTCTTCCGACTAATGATCGTTGTCTACCATCATCATAAATACTGCCTTTATACAATTGCTGTGATATATCATTTATAAGATTGAATATCAATTGTCTAATGTATTTCATTCTATAGATAGATTGAAATGTTATTATTGTAGTAGTCATTATTACAATATAATATTATTTGTTGAAAGTTGAAGTTATTAAAAAAAAAAAGAATAAAGAAGATAAGATGATGCAAGACAAGTATTTTGGGGGTGTTAGGAAAAAAAAAAAAAAAAAGTACACTACTTTTTCTTTTTTTTCTTATTTTGTTAATTAATATTTATTAATTTAAATATCAGAGGTAAAGGTAACGGTAGTATTGCCGTTTGGTAAAAGGTTCTTTTTCATTTGGTACATTCTTTCATCGGCACATTTAATCAACTTGTCGGTTTGGGTTGATTGTGATTTGTTGAATACAACACCTCCAAAGGAAAGAGTGACTTTGATCGAGGTGGTTGAGTCGTTGAGTTGGACAGCGTCGCATTGGACACTTGAGAGGTAGCTGGAAATGAATTGGTCAGCTTGTGTGTTTGATTCTACATTGCGTTTGACAATGAGGAATTCATCGCCAGAAAGGCGGACTGGGAGAACTGATTCGTCGGCGAATTGTTGGAAACGATCGGCAACTGATCTGAGGACAACGTCACCATTGTCGTGTCCATGGGTATCGTTGATTTGTTTGAATTTGTTGAGATCGATAAAGTAGATTGAGCATTGTTCAGATGAAGACTTGGCACAAAACTTTTGAATCTTGTTGTTGAGATGGTATCTATTTTGGAGACCGGTGAGTGCATCGTGAGTCAAGGTGTTCTTGAGCTTCTTGAGTTGTTGTTTTTCTTGAGTGTTGTCAATCATGATTCCTTGGAAGACACTGGTCGAGGCATCATACTTTCCAGTGAGACGATAGTATGAAGAGCAGCTCTTGCTCTTGATTTGTACGTCACTTGGTGAGAATTGATTCATTGATGAGATGATATTATTTTGGAGGGTGATTGAGTCGATGAGGTATGATTGACAGAATTGTTCGAGTGAGATATCAGCATTGTTGGTTCTGACAATACGATTGATAAAGTTGATTTCTAAAATACTGATTGATTGAGTTGATGAGAGTATTTCCATAAAGCGACTTGACGACTTCTTGTCACGCTTTTGGATGGTATATAAGAAAACAATGATACAAAATACAATATAGAAATAGTTGGTGGTTGGGTGTGAATCCAAAGATTGTCTTTGGAGTTGGAGGAGTTCACGGTTAAAGTTGATGATTTCAATTGCCATTTTTAATATTATTATTATTATATGTGTATGGTATTTGTTGTGAGTTAATTATTAATTAAACTGTTAGTTGTTGTTTGATTTGTGATTTAAAATAATGATGAAAAACAAAAACAGCTCTATTTATACTAATCGGTTGCAGGAGGAGGTTGGTTGGGGGATGGGATGATAATATTAAATACCAATTTCCTGTTTTAAACATCTTCTAGTTTTGGGTAGCAGTAATAACAACAATCCAACTACCTGATTTAAACATCTACTAGGTTTGGATATGATATCATGGGCTAGAGATATTATTCCAATGATTTCCTATTTCATCTGCTTCCATGTTTGGGATCATTATAATATTCCAGTGATTCCCTTTTTCATCTAGTACTAGTACTACTGTGCTCTTGTACTGGTAGTAACTACTTGTGATATTGGGAACGATTGATTAATTTGAGCGCTTGTTTAAGGATGATATCAACAACAAACATTAGATGGAGGATGTATGATCTGTACAGGACTACTGGTGCAGGTGCACCTGATGATGATAGCTCTACTCAAAACTTGTCATCATCAACTAATACTAACGAGTAATAGTACTATTACTATTTGATTTGATTGGTTGGTGCAAGGTGACAGCAGACAACCGATATCAATATCATCCCTCCACTGATCATTTTTCGAACAAGGGGGGGTGATGATCACATCCTTAATCGATCAAAATCAAAATTGAATTCCTCCATGTGTTGCTTGTTTTAAAAATGAGTGACATACACACACACAGTCAATACTTTTTGGAATAGGCAAACAAACCCCCACCCCTTTGAAAAAGAACACTCCTCCTGCTCTCACCATCCTAAACAACCTACATGAAAGGATAACGAGTGATCAAGAATAGAACCGGTGAAATGGATGGATTAATTAATATTATTATTTTAAACAAATGAGGATAGATTTATATTATTAATATTAATATTATTATTATAGAGATAGATAGAGATATAAAAAAAATATAAATAGATATATAGATCGATTACTTACGAATTCGTAGATATATAAATATCTATATATATATCTGGCTCGATTAATGATGGAGATTTAAATCTCTACTCGTTTGTATGTATCTTGTATCTTACTTTCTTCATGTCATAGTATAATCTTTTATCTTGTCTTCTTCTCGGTTCAAACCATTTATGTGTTGTAGTTATTATACTACACCACTGTCCATCACCTAAAACACAGTGTCATGTAATATTTGCAGGTAAATGATAGATCCACTACTACTAGAGACGAGTAGAGTGATGCAAGGTTGTGAGAAATGAAGGAAGAAGGAAGGAAGGAAGGAAGGAGACTTATTGTCGTGTCATGATATTTATGTTTCGATGGTTTGGTAGTAGGTGATTCATTGAATCTAGACAAGACACGTTACGCTCTATTGGTTCTACAGAATTCTATACTACACATCGACCACATTTGCTTGCTTGTTTGATGTTTGTTTGTTCGTGTATTAGTCTGATTGTTGTCATAATCGTGAAATTCAAAACTACTACTGTTGTATTCTTATAATTTGGTTGTTGGGTGATCCCAATAAGACATGGTGCGACAAGACCTTAACCCTGTCTTTAGCTTTGCTTTTCAACTATAATTCTGTTGTCACTCAAAGTGATGCCCGGGTTTTACAAGCATGCAAAGATAGCTACCACTATAAACCATCAACGCTGACATAGAGAAATGAGAGGAGAAAGGACAAAGGTTGCACGAAATAGAAAATAGCGCAGCAACAAAAAAATTGTTTATAAAAAAAAACGAAAAACCGACAGATCTGGTCCTATCAAGCCCCTTTATCGAGGGTGCTGTCTTGTCTCTGACCAACCAACCATTCAAACGAATGGATATTTTTAGCATTATGTGGTTATTCGTGTAATATATAGTAGTTATAGCCGTCAATAGTTGCAGAACCAATGGGAGTTCTGATGCAGAGGGGGTGTGCGTGGGGGTTCGTTCAAATGAATTGAAGGTCAACCTCTATACACGTTCGGCAGTATTTGGTAGTGATTCAATGAAATTAACGACGAGAGAGCAACAGGGACAATAAAACAGAACATGACGATTTATTCGGTGTGTTGATACCTACTTTACTCGATTCACCCCATCTATCTACAAAGTGACAGATGTTGGGGGGCTACACTCCCAACAATGCCCTTGTTTTCCAAACAGAACTGGGTGTTGGTCGGATGGGATAGAGGCCCAGTGCTACTACCGATCTCTGTAGTTATTTTATTTGTGTAATTTTAGATCTATGATGGTGGAGTGCTGTTTGTTTGGATGGGCCCCTAAAAACAACAACACCAACAACTATTTAAACTCCTCATCCATCATTTTCAATTAATACATTCCAACACCCAACTCAACAAATACTATCTATCTACCAATACAATTAATCATGTATAAGGTTTTATCATTACTTTTTGTACTATTATCCGTCATCTTTGCAGTGCAAGCTTGTGCTGGCGACTATGACCCCTCCAAGGTTACCATCGGCGGTAACTGTCCAGCTACTTCCTTTGCTCAATGGAAGCAACTCGACGAAGTATGTCAAATATAAATAATATAAAAAATATAAATATAATTATTTTTGGATCAACACACATAATCCAAATAAATTTAATGAAAAATCGACTCTAATCATATCAATATCTATTTTTAATTTAATTTTTATTAGGGAGTCGTTCTTAATCCAACTGATATCCCAATTGATGAATTAGTTATCCATCAAGCTGGTATGGCTCATGTTATCGAAGTTGCCAAGGCTTTGAACAAAAAGTTTGTCGCTTCAATCTACTTCCCAAATGGCACTCTTGCTTGCATCGGTGTCAACACTGGTAGTCCAAACATGATTGCTCACGGTGAGACTGTTGCCATCAACAACTGTACCGCCCTCTATGGCATCAAGAGCTTCACCAACTTTACCCTCTACACCACTGGAGAGCCATGTGCCATGTGCGCTGGTGCCCTCGTCTGGGCTGACTTCAAGACCATCGTCTGGGGTACCTTCAACAGAGACTTGTACTGTAAGATCTGTATGTCCAACATCCCAATGGACTCTTCTTACATCTTTGCCCGTGCCTTTGGTTTGGGTGCCAACAAGGCCCCAAGAGTTATCGGTGGTGTCTTGAGAGCTCAATCTGACGCTTGGTTCGGTTCATACTGCAGTCGTCCAACCTCGATCTACTACATCAAGCCCGAATGTGCTTGCAACAAGGCCATCTCTGTCTCACAAAGAGTCGTCACCTCGTACTCTGGTTACACCCAATTCGAAGTATCTTTGGTCAACTATGGTCCAGCCGTCCAAGGCATGATCGTCCAATCCGACTACACCCTCGGTAACAACGACATCTGGACCCTCAACAGCACCCTCGCTGCCTCTGGTGTCGCTCCAAACACCTACACTTTCTACCCATACAAGGATCTCTTCAACGCCAATGAAGTCCTCACTTTTGGTTACAGAATCCAAGGTTCCTATGCTGCCAACTTTACCTTGCAATTCAACTATGCTTCATAAATCGACTAAAAGTTGACTTATGACCTTTTATTCACTTTGTCTATTACCCATTTGTAGCAGATTGTTTTTCCCCTCTTTTAAAATAAATTAAATTATTATTTAATTGTATTTTTCCCTTAAACTCGAGTTATTTATTTAGTTTTTCTCATCGAAGTATTATGACTTCATTTAATTGTATATTTAGATCGATATACATTAGACAATTAATATTCAATCATATTGGTGATATATCAAAACAAAGGTATAATGGTAGTATTTATGATGGTAGACAACGATCATTAAAAGGAAGGGATATCATCAAGTTACCCGATCTTGGGATGATATCAAGATTTGCAATGCCTTGGCACTTTCTATGTCATTATCTACCATCGGATTGTAATCAGATGGTAGAGTTGAAGAATCAAAGAAGAATCAGATTGATCAATGAATACTGCTTTCATCGTAATGCAACATTGGATACATTTGAACATCTTGTGGAATGGTCGACCGATTTTGAATATCTGTGGAATATATGTGCTACCTTGTTGTTGAATCGTCGCGAAGCAATCAATCAAGAGATATTGGAATATCTAGTCAAGAAATATCCAAGATACTCCGACTCTAACTTTCTCGATAGGGCTATAGATGTCGCAGTCAAGAATGGGTACCTCTCGACTGTCAAGTTGATAGACTCTATCGGTGCCGACGTAAGAATCAGTTCTCATGTATTGGATACTGCTTGTAGTAAAGGATTCATTGATATAATAAAGTATGTATACGAGAATAATAGAACTGATCGGTGTAGTACTGATGGAATGGTAAGTAAGCAAACACAACTAACTGAATTGGATCAAACAAAAACAAAAAAAAAGAACAATTAATTAATTATTTCTTCTCTCTCTCTCTTTCCATTGTATTACGTTAACTGTAGGATGAAGCAGCAAATCATGGTCATTTTGATATTGTAAAGGTGAGTTTGATTGGTTGGTTAATTGCAAAACATACATATTAAATATGTCATTTTTAAATATATAGATACTTCATTTTAATAGCACTGGAGGATGCACAAAGAATGCTATGGATATGGCAGCTCAAAATGGTCATTTCGAGATGGTTAAAGTATGTTTTAATTCTATTGTAATATTTGTCCAATATCTTAATAACAATTCACATTCATTCATAGTTTTTGCATGAGAATCGTCAAGAAGGATGTACTTGTCAAGCTATTGATCTGGCATCATTGGGCGGGCACATTGATATCGTCAGGTACCTTTCAGAGCATCGTACAGAGGGTGCGACAACCAATGCCATGGATAGGGCTGCTTCAAATGGTCACTATGAAATTGTAAAGTACTTACAAGAGCATCGTAGCGAAGGTGCGACAACCAAAGCTATGGATGGGGCATCTGCAAATGGTCGCATTGAAATTGTAAAGTACCTTTCAGAGCATCGTAGTGAAGGTGCAACAACTTGGGCTTTGGATTGGGCTGCTGAAAATGGTCACATCAAAGTTGTATCTTTTCTAATCAATGTCAGAAAAGAGAAATACGATGCACAAAAACTATTAGAAACTGCATCTCTTAGACACTATGATCTTTCCAATTGGATTCTAACACAATTTGGAGATACACTGGGAATAGAATCACTTGAAAGTATGTTGGCCCAAATTCATAGTCGACGTTATGACCAAGACCCAAAAATTATTCACCTTCTCGAGAATTATTTAAAACAAACAAAGAGTTCCAAAAAATAAAATAATTACATCAAAATAATATTTTAAAAGATGTTAAGAATTAATAATAACAATGACTATTACAACAACTACTACTACATTTTATTGTATCTTCAAACAACAGTACATTCGACAATTGATATTCAATGGTATCAAAACAATTGTAGAATGATTGTAGTCTTTATGATGATGTTAAACTACAAAGACGACCACTCAAAGGTAGAGATCATCATCATCAAGTTGGATCGACTCGAGTATCAAAGTATGGAATGCCTTGGTACCTCCTATGTCATTATCTACCTAAAGATTGTAGTAACATACTACACTCTGGAAGAAGATTAGCAATCACTCAATATTGTTGTCATCGCAATGCAACACTGGAACAGAAAAAAAACAAATTGCAATTTAGTTTATTTTTCTGGTACCAACATGTTTGCATTCTTCTTCTTGGTTATCTTGTTGTTTTAAATGATTCTCTAGTAATTGACCAACTTCAAAATGATCAGTTTCACTGTTAATTTTTAAAAAGAGACTTTTAATTGATAATTTTACCAGTTTATCTATGGATTGGGATAGAATCATCTTTACAATTTCAAATTGTCCATGAATTGATGCAGTTTGTAGTGTTTCTTGATTGAAATTCTCATTTCTAAAGTTGATTAGAAAAGATACTATATCTAGATACCCTCGCTCACAAGCATACATCAAAGCTTTACTAGTGCATCCTTCACTACGATTAAAGTGTAAAAACTAACAAAAAGGATATGTATTTTCATTAGTTAAAATGTTTTCAGTGATTTGTTATACTTTTTACATACTTTGACAATTTCAGTGTGTCCATTCTTTGATGCCCAATCCATAGCCTTGGTGGTTGCACCTTCACTTCTGTTGAAATGAAGAAACTTTACAATTTCAATGTGTCCATTTTGAGCTGCTAAATCCATAGCCTTGGTGGTTGCACCTTCACTTCTGTTGAAATGAAGAAACTTTACCACATCAATGTGGCCGTTTTCAGCTGCCCTATCTATCGCATCGGTTGTTGCACCGGTAAATTCACTACGATGTTGATGTAAGAACTGTAAATATGATCAAAGTTGGTTATTATTTGAGGATGATTCTTTGACTGCTTCATTCTCCTCTTGTTGTCGTTGCGGTTTCTCTTTTTCGAGTACTTCATTAAATGAATCATATACAATACATACTTTAACAACCTCGAAATGACCATGTTGCGAAGAAAAATACAAAGCATCTTTTGAACAACCTTCAGTTCTATTAAAATGAAGAAACTATTATTTCGAAAATAATAAATGTTCATAAATATTAAAGTTTAATTATAAACCAACCAACCAACCAAAATAAACTCACCTTTACAACTTCTAAATGGTTACCAATTGCTGCACTATCCTATATAATCAAAAGATTAATAATAATCATTTATAATGTTTAATTTATAATTTTCTTACCATTGCCTTTATACTACATCGTTCAGTTCTATTCTCGTGTAAATACTTTACAATGTCGATGAATCCCTTACAACAAGCAGTTTCCATTGGCTTCCCATTTAGAGGTGAAAGTTTAAAAGAGTCTATCAGTTTTACAGTCGATAGGTAACCATTCATACATGCATTGTTTAGTGCCCAAACCAAAAAGTCATTCTGTCCATCAGCAGGACATCTCTTGATAATATATTCCAATATCTCTTGATTTCTCATATCACCGATACTAGTTCTTTTCAAATACTTCCAATCAAACCCAATGACAGTCGACCATTCCAATAGATGTTCAAGTGTATCCAACGTTGCATTACGATGAAGACAGTATTGGTTGATCACTCTTTTTCTTCTTTCTGGTAGTATTTGATGAATATCTTTAGGTAGATAATGACTTTGAAAGTTCCAAGGCATTGCATATCTTGATATCATCCCAAGATCGGGTAATTTGATGATATCTCTTCCTTTTAAAGATCGTCGTTCTTTACCATCATGATGATTCAATTGTTTTGATATATCACTAATATGATTGAATATTAAATGTCTAATGTATATCGATCTAAATATACAATGAAATGTTGTTGAAGTCATTATTATTTACAAATATAATAGTTTGAAGTGAACAAAACTGTGTGTATATTTTTTGTTTGTTTCTATTTTTTTATTTTAAAAATAATAATAGATTAATTTTATTACCTCGTCCTATTTAAAATGTATTTTCTTTGAGAATTATAAATACGTTCAAGTTATTTGTTCACCTTTTTTCTTTTTTTTTGTAATTCTTCTCCTCCTCCTTGCTCTTCTAATAATGTTGATTGCTCCTTCTTTTTGGTAAACTCAATAATGTTATTTTCAATTAAATTTGTGGAATGTTGTATGAAAATGCAGACTGTTGTTGTCTGGTTGATAATATATATGCACCTACAACATATTGAATGGCTTTCTTTACATTTCTTTCACTTGTCAAATCACAATAACCCAAACGATGTGGTTTGGATTTTGAACACCAACAAATCATCCATTCATCGGTACCATTGGTCAGTACACCGAGAACAGGTGACTTTGAATTAAAGTTGGACATCAAACAATTGATAAATGATTGTGGATAATATTGTTTGATACTTTCAAGCTTTAAATCAAGACAACATACAATATCAATGACAGCCAAAGGAGACAGCACAGATTGCTGAGGAACAACAAACACATCGGCAAAACTAGTCAAAATGAGTGGTCCAACTACCATTTGGTGGAAAAACTTGTTTGATCTATACTCTATTTTAATAGACGATTCCATGAGTGGATAATGCATTCCAAACCACTGTCGAATGTTTTCATCTTCAACATTGATACTAAAAGTAGGAATTGGTAATGTTGATCTTGTAGGAACAACCCAACCATATTTTGGTAATTCTGTCAAACAACTGATTTCCTCAAATCTTTCAATTTTAAGTGGCAATAGTTCTCTAACAATTTGAAGTTTATCAAATGTAAATTGATCAACCAAAGATGGTGATGATGATGATGAATTTCTCTTTTTTAAAAGATCCCCATTTATTCTAGCTTTCTCTAAAAAAATCAAACAACCATAAATGTTAAATTAAATCTTCTTTTTTATTTGATTTCTTTACTTACCAAGATTACTACTATAGCTGTGATCTATTACATTAGATTGTTGTTTGAAATGACTATCGAACCCATTTGTATTATCTTTTTCTTCTTCTTCTCCTTGGGGGTTGTCTTCTAGATTGGGGACTACTGCCAACATGTCATATATTTCTATTGATAGTAATAAATGAACGATTACCTGTTTGTTTGTGTGTTTGCAGTGACACTAGCCAAATGATGACTTTTAATTTAAATTATCTCATCTTATTATAAATTTAGAAGAACTCTCTCGAAATAATAATCATCATTAGTAGTTCAAATTCCAATAATAATAATAATTTTAACTTGAAAAGATATATAAAAATAAAAACAAATAAAAAATAAAATAAAAATTTATACACAAGTTTGGTCATTCACTTTGATCTTTCAACCCCATTTCATTCATCATAATCATACACACCTTCAAAAAACAAATAGAGAGTAGTGGGAATGTAGATATATGGTGGCAATGATGCGATGCACTCAAACCCCACTATTCATATGAATATGACTGATAGACACTGTTCATTCTGCCAATATGAATGAACTGCTAAACACCACCATCTCTCACTATCACTCTTACACCCAACTGCTGGATTATTGGGAGTGAACGATGGGGAGTGGAGATGATATGAAGGTAGCGAGCTAGCTTAGATTTAATTAATTTAATCATCAACCAAAATTGATGTACATCACATCAAATCAAATCAACCAACCAATCTTTCACAACAACAACAACAACAATTTAACAACAACATCAACAAAAAAAAAAAGAAGAGATTGATTTATAGTTATAAATAAATAGATAGATAAATAATTAATAATAATAATAATATGATTCGACAAGTCACATGTGTTGGATTAATACTGGCTGTGGTGGTGGTGTTGTTGATGGTGGTAGGATTGGATGCGTTGGCACACAATGTAGACAGCAGAACCATCGATAGAAGGATGTTTGTCGACCGCGTCCACGCACTAGCCGGACAGATGGAAGAAGAAAGAATTCAACTTGAAAAAGACCATCGACAACAACAACAAGACGAAACCACCAACCAAGACATTGGTAATTACGAGGCAGAACTACAAATAGCATTGACTCTTCCAGACGACTATCAAGATAATTATCATGATCAGTACCCAGATGTAGAAGACGACCAAAATTGGGATCACTATGAATCACAAAATCATTATCAATTATTATTACAAAAGAGACAACAAGAAGAACAACAACATCAACAACAACAACAAAAAGAAAAATCTTCTTATAATTGGAACGATGATGGTAATGAATATCATCTTCGAAAGATTGACAGTGATCAAATCCTAATTGACCTAAGTGACTATGGGCCACAGGATTATGAGTATGTTCAATACGATGAAAACAACCAAATCATCAATGCTCAATCACAGTTGGACAAGATCCTAAACATTCAACGACAACAACAAGAGGAAAAGGAAAAGGCACAACACCAACAACAACAAAAAGAAAAATTGAAAAGCAAAAAGCAAATTGTAGATGATGTAAAAGACAACCCTACAGATGCACCAACAGAAAAACCAACAGAAGCCCCTACAGTAAAACCAACAGACGCTCCAACAGAAGCTCCAACTCCAAAACCAACTGAAGCTCCAACAGTAAAGCCAACAGAGAAACCAACTGACAAGCCAACTGAAAAACCAACAGAGGCTCCAACAGTGCCTCCCACAGAAAAACCAACAGAAGCTCCAACAGAGCCTCCCACAGAAAAACCAACAGAGCCTCCAACAGAAAAACCAACTGACAAGCCAACTGAAAAACCAACAGAAGCTCCAACAGTGCCTCCAACAGAAAAACCAACAGAAGCTCCAACTCCAAAACCAACAGAGGCTCCAACAGTAAAGCCAACTCCAAAACCAACTGAAGCTCCAACAGTAAAGCCAACTCCAAAACCAACAGAAGCTCCAACAGTGCCTCCCACAGAGGCTCCAACAGTAAAGCCAACTCCAAAACCAACTGAAGCTCCAACAGTAAAGCCAACAGAGAAACCAACTGACAAGCCAACTGAAAAACCAACAGAAGCTCCAACAGTGCCTCCAACAGTAAAACCAACAGAGGCTCCAACTCCAAAACCAACAGAAGCTCCAACAGTGCCCCCAACAGTAAAACCAACAGAGGCTCCAACAGTGCCTCCAACAGAGGCTCCAACAGTGCCTCCAACAGAGGCTCCAACAGTGCCTCCAACTCCAAAGCCAACAGAAGCCCCAACAGTGCCTCCAACTCCAAAACCAACAGAAGCCCCAACAGTGCCTCCAACTCCAAAACCAACAGAAAGACCAACAACACCTTCTCACCAACCACCAGACCAAACCGTATGTTCCAAAATAATAGTAATCATTTAAAATATTTTATATTAATTTTATTATTATTTAGTTTTCGTGTGGAATTGAAATTAAACAATCAATTGTCAAGAATTTAACCTATCCATTGGCTTTGAAGGTATGTTTTTAAATATATTATGTATAATATTTATTTATTTAAATTTATTTTATTTTTTTACCTCTCTACTTTAGAGTTTAGAAGTTATCAATCATGAACCATATTCACATCATTTACTGATAGTAATGAGAAAGATTGTTACTGGAACTATATTCCAATCAAATATTAGAGTCGAGAGTGTATGGACATCGATCATACCACAACCACTTGGATTGATCTACCACTTGTTGTTTGTTGGCAACTACAACGTTGACGATGAATTTTATGTGCTGTGTGACAACCCGTCATCCAGTCCTTTGCAACCACCCACACAGCAACCCACCCCACCACCCACACCCAAGCCACTGCGATGTCCCCTCCACGTACAACAAAAGAAGATTGGGTATGTACGTGTTGGATACTTGATCAAATATATCTTTTGGGTGGAGATTTCAAATGTCGCCGATGACGTTGCGGTCGATCATGTCACTGTTCAATTTAGTGGACCCGTGACAAATGTCAACGGGCTCACTATGATGCGGTCCATTGACGCGACGAGTTCTGCCACCAACCCCAAGTATACTATCCCTCCCATCTCGCTTCCCATCCGTCCCTCTTCATTCTATACATTTACCTACTTTGCACCTGAAGAGGTTCAAGTCAAGTTTACCGAGCCCGAAGGATGCTCGTATCTTCTTCCAAAACCAACAACTCTACCTCAACAACCACCACCACCACAACCAGATAATGATGGTGATGCTGATGATGATGATGATGATAACTCAAATCATATCAATAATAATCCAAGAGATAAATCTTGCAAAGTTTCAGTACAACAACAATTGATTGATAGAAAGCAGGGAATTAGAGGTCAATCAATATCAACCTTTTCAGTTTTGATGACCAATGTGTCACCTCGTGCCAAGTTGTATGATGTGGTGATGCGACCTGTTGGATCGGTCAATGAAGCGTCTGGCGTAGAGTTTTGGGCGGCAGCATCGATATTCCACTTTGCATCCAACAAGGTGGTCCATTGGCCAGCACAAATCAGAAGCATTGGTATTGACCCCGGTTCTTCATTTGTTTGGTATTACAATCAAATCAACAGTAATCATCCTGCCAACATTGAAATACTTCAAACTGTTTGCATCCCAGAATACAACAACATCTCAACCGAAGACAAGAGAAGAAAGAAAAGAGTATCTTTAAAACAACAATTGGATCAATTAGGTCAATTAGAATTATTTGAAGAAAAACTTTTAAATAATCAAAAACATCATAATATTAATAATAATCAAAATAATCAAAATAATAATCATAATCATAAAAATATTAAAAAAGATTAATAATAATAATAGGGTTTGATATGATCATCATATTAAAACAAACAAAAAAAACAATAAATATTTATTCTTTTTAAAAGAGTCAATGAAAAATCGATGCATGCATATTCACTCATTCCACGTACAAGACGAACCACCCACACAACATTGTGGTGTCCCCATCCCCCATCCACACCCATTCGTCAGTCATGTGTGATCGAGATCGGGAACTGTGAATCTGAGATGGGTGTGGAACCAAACCTTTTGTCATAAAAATAGTTTTTTTAATTTATTATTAATTTTTTTTTTATTTTTTCATTGGCGTAAACATTCAGTGCCCCTAACCGACGACTGATCAATCAGAAGAGGAGTGTCACACACACAACGATAGTATTCATCACTATCACTATCACTACACAGTCACAATCATTTTCCACCTCCTTCCTCATTCCTCATCCCCCACAACACCAGTAATATTACTTTTTACATTGTACTACTTCCTACCTATTTATAAGCGTAAAATACACTTCAAGTCGATATTGATCACAACCTCCTTTATAACAACAATAGATAACTTGATAACCAAAGTGTAGTGTTTTTATAAAAACGTAAGTTTGATAGTCAACCAACCAAATCAACCAAATCTATCAACAATATACAGATACAGAGAATCAGTCAACTCTAAAGAAAAGGTTTCCCTCAAAGAGAGACTTTTAATGCACGGCACACGCTTTCTCTTGGCTCACACACACCCACAATAGAATCTTATCACGTGAAAAATCGTGATGGTATTGTCATGTGCAATGAAATCAGCACACATTCCTAACAACACTTATAATCAGCGGGTCGTGGTTCAGGTTCATTATTATAATATATACTCCCTATCAGTTTTAAGCTTTAAACCCACCCCCCCTCTCATCCCATATCTATTTATCTATCAATGTTTTTTTAAGCAAGCAATGAATAGAAGAGAGCAAACACAGTCATTATTAATGAATATGACTATGACATACAGTAGTCAATCAATTAACCAACCTTGACAAAGTTGTGTTTTTAGCATCGATCATCATCACTATCACCATCATCACATTGTTCAGTTGATTCATTTGTTTATCGATCAGACTGATCAATCAAACAATAACAGTAACAGTATAGTAAACAAACAAACAATTATAATAATTTTAAAAAGAAGGAAAGAGTATTTATTCTTGTATCGATAGAAGGAATCATACGACGATACCGACCGCGCCCGATAAAAATTATTGGAACCTGCAACAACAAACAAAAGTAGGAATTGGTTAATTGAAAAAACAGATGGCCAAATCCACCAATCCCTTACCCATCCCCCCACAACAACAATATTAACAACGCAACAAGAAAACAAGCAATACTAGTGACCGACAACGAACAACCAATCAGGTGGGAGTCATTCTTCTTCACTCCTCCTCTTCATCCACTTCCTCTTTCTTTCGATCACCGTTTTTTACTCTTTTTGGTAATTTAATAATATGATTTAAAAATCATTTTATTATTAAATTCAACGACAACGAAGATATATATATATATACCTCAAAAATAACAACAACAACAAACAAAAAATGATGGTGATGATGTATGAATGGAAGATTGGAAGCTGGAAAAAAGGGTTGGGTGTGGGGGTTTCAATAACAATGTGTTATGTGTGTGTTTTCAATCCCAATGTTTGACATGACACCCACAAAGAATTCAGATATATGACACAATGTTTAGTGATGATAGGGTTGTTAATAATAATAATAATAATAATAACACAGAAAACCTCGAACTTGACAACACCATTTCTAAATTTTATATCATCAGCTGTTAGTGTTACTGTTTGTTGTTGTTGTTGTTGTGAATGAATACAAAAAAACACAACATACATACATACACACAAACAAAAAAACTGTAGTACTGTTTGTTACAACAGTTGTTTATTTTATTTTTATATCGGACGGACAGACAGACATACAGACTGACATACCGACAAACTGACCTATAGCAACGTTGGATCCATCTGTTCTCCACAAACACACAGTCACTCACACAAACATACAATAACAATAACCAAACCTACTACTCCTACTATTATCTATCGCTCACCTCTCTTACCTCTAATTTATTGAATTCAATCACTATTTTACAATCAATCAATCAATCAATTAATCAATCAATCATCCATTAATCCAACAACAATTATTAATAATCTTGCCTTTTTTTTTACCTTTTACCTTTTAGCCAAAAAATTTATTTATTAGATTTCCAGACACAAACACAACAAAAACAAACAAAAACACAGACAGGCAAAAAAAAAAAACTATTTATTTGTAAATTAGATTTTTAGAACAACAACAAGAGATATTCCAAATTAAATTAGTAGATCGATATCAAAATGACATTAGAACATCAAAATCCAGTCTCATGTCCAGACATTGGCATTTTGGTAAATATTAATAATCAGATCTCTCCAATCTTTTTATTTTTGGAATTTGCTAATCTTTCTTTTTTTAATAATATTTGTAGGAAGGATTTGATTCATTTTGTAAATCAGCTGATAAAGAAATAGGTTATTTGAGAGATCTTTCTAAATTTTATAGAAAGAGAGCACTCATTGAAGACGAATATGCAAAGAATCTTTCGAGGTTGATTTCCAAACACGAAGTGGAACCAACCATTGGAGAAAAATTACGACAAAGTTGGGAGCAAATCAAAAAGGAGACACTCTCCCATTCGACATTTCACGATCAAATATCACAATCCCTAAATACTACCATTGCTGAACCTATTGAAGGTAAAGAAATAGAAAAATATAAATATAAATATAATCATACTGAATACTAATATTTATTTATTTTTTTTATTTTTTTTTATAAAGGATTAATAATGGATTTGGAACAAAAATATAAAAATATATCGATTGAAGGAAACAAATATAGAGAAGCATATATTGATGCAGTTTATAAATTAAGAAAGACTAAATTGGTGTGTGACAGGTACTCTAAAGAAGTGATGGATATGACTAGCAATATGCCAGTGACTGGACAACACGGAAACACGACGATGAAATTAAGCAGTGAAACGCAACGTGTGCAAAAGCGAGCACTCAAGACTGCACAGGAAATGGTTAAAGCTGACAAGGACTATCGTGCAGCTATCCACGACACCAACTCTCACCAATTGGCATCAATCTCTGAGAATCTACCCAAGATCATGGCGGAATTGCAACGTGCAGAAGTCGCCAAAATTCACTTGATCAAACAAAACTTTATTAGATATTTTTCAACCTTTGTAAATAACGATCACTCACAAGACCAACGAGTCAATGGTATCTTGAGCAGTCTTCAAGCTATCAATGCCGAAGAAGAGATACAACAATTTATCAGAGCCAATAATCTCATACGTCCACCTCCCTCTCCTTTTGTTTACGAACCTTTTGATGAAAAGAAAGCAGCACATCAAAATGGTAGTCATCACAACCATCATGATTCCGCTCAAGATGCGATAGTGTCACAGGGATCAGTTGCAGTGGCACCAGAAACAAACAAGGATGTCAAAAAATCATGGAGATTGTCTAGAATTGGATCATCTCTCAATGTATCAAACAATAACAGCAGCAGTAGTAGTAGTAGTAATGACAAGAAGGGTAGTAAATCAAGTTCCTCCTCATCTAAACTCACCAACCCAATGTACTCATTTACCAACAAAATTGGAGAAATCATGGCTCTCCAACAACGTGTGTACCCCAAGTTGGAAGTACCCATTGTACTGGTCCACCTCAAACGAAAGTTATTAGAGACTGATGCTTTCAAAGCAGAAGGTATCTTTAGAGTTCCAGGCAATATTATCGATATCAACAATGGAAAAAAGAAATTAGAAGAGGGTAATTTTGATCTCGACTCTGACAATGTTTATAATATCTCTTCAATCCTTAAATTATGGTTAAGAGATTTAAAGGATTCTTTAATTCCAACTTCACTATAGTATGTTAGAAAGAAAAAATTAATAGAAAAATAATTATTAATGTTATTTTATTTTTTTTTTACTTTCCAAGTGACCAATGTATAATGTTTAAAAATGAAAAGGATATTATGGATATATTTGCATCGTTGCCAATGTGTAATCAAAAGGCATTGTCGTATATTTTGAGGATGATTCAGTTTGGAACAAAGACAGAGAATGTGTGCACGTCAATGATGGATTGCAATAATTATGCAACTGTATTTTCACCGTGTTTCTTGAGATCGCCATACTCGGATCCATCGATTGTATTGGGTAATCTCAACAAGGAAAAGGAGTTTGCCAAGCTCCTTATTGAACATCACAAGCCACTCGAGGTCGATGACTCTGCCGAGGCGTGTATGCCAATTGGCTCGGATGGCACTACTGCCAATGTCAACATGGTACCCATTTCACCGAGTCGTTCAACCAACACGAGTAAACTACCAGCTGTCCAGCAAATGCTCCAACCACTCGTCACACCCAAAACATCATCCTCCTCATCACCTTCAGCCAAAGATTCACTGGTTATTCAACAAAAGAAACAGTTAAATAACCAAATCCAACTATTGAAGCAACAACAGCAACAACAGCAACAGCAAGACTCACAACAACAACAACAACAGCAACAACCACAAGTACAAGTACCAGAGTCTCCCACATTCGCATCGTCAACTTCGTCGTCGCCATTGTCGTCGTCGTCGGCATCTGCAGTTGTCCAGTTGCTCCCATCGTCGGTTATCCAGCAACAACAACATCTTCATCAATCCGACTCGCCCAATTTGACACCACTCTCCTCGAGCCCGTCGACTGGCAGCTCATCCTCTCCATTAATGTCCACGCCATCTAAAATGGATATAAATAGCTCGAGCGCCATTTCCACGCCTGCTCCAGCTGAATCCTCAGTTGTCCTCTCTCCATACACTGATATCCCACAACGCGCCGATTCTTCCTCCAATGAGCCCATCGAGATATTGTCGCCTGGTGAAGTCAAGAAACGTGCGACCAACGACTATGACCGCATCCAAGAAGAGGTCAAGCAGATGATCGATGACAATCACGTCACTGTCAACCAAATCTACTCGGACCTAACCACTAATATTAACCTCGACGCCATCTCGACCTACTCTGCCATGAAATGTAGTCATGCACTTTTCAAGTTTACAAACTCACTTGAACAACACCTCGTGTCGGTACTTGGACTATCGCGCCAGGCCATTATCGATGGTATCAAGCGTAATGCATTTGTGTCGCCACCAGCTATCCGTTTCAAGGTGCCTAGATCGGTCGCACCCCACATTACACCTGAGCAGCTGCGTGTAGACTCTGTCGAGTTGTTAAAATCGTGGTTGCAACTCGTTACAGTATGTGTCAACCGTTGTAACCAGTATCTCTGCTTCTTGGGTGGTATTGTCATGCGTATGCATTCTCCGGAAACCCTGCAATCAATCATTGACGTGGTCAAGATTGCTGCCGACCTCATCATCACACCGGTCTCGCTCCAGGGACCTGCCGACCGTGCACTCACATTTGAACAGTCTGAGCTATTCATTGAAAAGACTATGCAGCTGTTCCAACCAATCATCGCATTCAACATGATCTCTGAGCTTGATCTCGATCAAATGTCACCTGTTCCCACCCCTGTAGGAGTACAGGAATCACAATTATCATCACCAGTATCACCCATTTCAATACCACTTGAAACATTAAAGTTGGAGCAAGAGGAGGAACTTCTTGACCAAGATGACGATGACGACGAAGAAGATGATTTAATCACACGTCACAACCGTAGCAACAATCTTCAAAAACAATTTGAACAACAACAAAAAGATACTGGAGCCAACAATGCACTGGCCAAGCAAAACGAATTGCTCTTGCAAAGACACCGAAATGAAAGTTTGAAAAACGAGATGTTGGCATTGGTCACCAAAATGAACTTTAGAAAACAACGTATAGTCGATGACCAAAAGACTGTCGATGTCGAGACACAAAACACATTCAAGGCGTATGCCAAACAAGCTATTTTGTTGAAACGTGACATGGACAAGTTTGTAGTCGACCACGCTATCCCCATCCAGGATAATATCACTTTGCCATTAATCAATGGCACCAACTATAATACCAATAACAGTAATAATAACAGCTCTTCATCATCACCAGTATCACCAACCAAATCAACAGATACTTTTACCAATATTTGCATGGTCACTGTAGCATACCTTGAAAGAATTGTCATCATCCTAAAGAACCTCTGGATGTTTGTTGACAACTTGCAATTGCAACAAGACCAAGGTAATAATTTACATCAATTAATAACTGTATTAATTAACGATCTAAATGTTATTTGTAACAAGGTAACACCAATATCATCTTCCATTGTACAATAATATAATAAAGTCTACTATTTACTATTATCTTATCTATTTATTATTATCTAATTTGTTATTTGTTATTATTATCTAATAAATAAAGTATACCTTCAAAAGTGAAAAAATTAATCGATACAGTTGGAATTACTTTTAGGTAGGCAGGTTTGATACCCAAGTAGAGAGATGATACTCCTTCGTCTTTGACCATTCTATAGATGGTATGTAAAAAGTTTCGATAGACGATGGGAGTGTTGTTGTAGCCTTGCATCATCAAACGTCGTTTGACTACATCCAACGGGTATAGTACAGTCATCGCAAATGCACCGGATATGGCACCGTGCACTACTGACCACGACACTGCAATCTTTGGTTGTCCTGTCATATATCCAGTTACATCTTTACAAGTTTCATAGGCAAAAAAGTTGAGTGCTGAAAACGGTGCCACATTTAATATACCTGCAGACATGCCTCTAAATAGACCTGCCACTCCATTCTCTTTTACCACTGTTGCAAGTGTCCCTATAATACCTCTATATCGATCACCATGTATTTGTACCGACAACTGTGTCTTTACAACTTCTAATGGATAAGTTGCTACAACCGATGTCACTCCAGCACATGCTCCTGCCCATAATTTATGTGATGATAATTTAACCGTCGTCGAAGAGGAAGATGTTGAATTGTCTTCTTTTATTAATATCTACAACAAGAAAAGAAGCAATTATCAGTCACAATGACTATCTATCATTACTACTCCTACTTTTACATACACCTTTAAAGAATTCATATGAAGAGAAACGAATGGCAGATTGAGGAGCTGCTTTAATTACATTTGCAAGGTTTCCTTTAAATAAACCTCTTATTCCTTCTTCAATCCATATTGTTCTAAGACCAGGTATAATATTATTATATTTAGTTCCACTATTCATTAATGGTTGTATCTAAGATTGATTGGTTGACTGATTGTTAATAATCGATAGTTCTCTTGTTTGTTTGTTGTGTTTGTTCATTCATACTTGATTCAATATCTTTAATCTCTCCAAAGGTGCAGTTAAAGTTCTTGATACTATACCTGCAAATGCACCAGCCACTAGATATCTATTTGCAGGTCCTATCCACGACAACATTTTATTCTTGACTTGGGGTGGTGTTGTTGATGTTGGTACAGTAGTACTATCTACATTGATTGTCTTGTCTATATTGTTGTTGCTTGACATTCTTTGTATCTCTATGTATCTGTATGTATCTCTATCCCCCTTTACACGAGATATATGCCAAAGAATGAATGACAGCTAAATTACATTTTAAAAGAATGAAGATCGTCCGACTTGTTCAATAAAAAATCTTTAATTATTAATTAATTATTGAAGTATTATAATTATAACAAATATGACTACAACTACAACATTTCATTCAATATTTAGATCGATATACATTAGACAATTGATATTCAACCAAATAAGTAGTATATCAAAACAATTGTATAATGATGGTAGTTTTAGTGATGATATTAGACAACGACGATCATTAAAGGGTAGAGATATCATCAAATTACCTTGTTTCGATATGATATCAATCTTTGCAATGCCTTGGCAGTTTCTATGTCATTATCTACCTAAAGTGATCATAGGTGACGCTAAGTGGATACAACTATTATATCAAAGAAAAAGAAAGTTGAATCAATATTGTCAACATCCCAATGCAACAATTGGTACACTCGTTCATCTATTGGAATGGTCTCGAGTGGACTTTGATTATTATCTCACTGAACCAAATATTATAGAAAGGACCACAAAACGAGATATATTGGAATATATGGTCAAGAGATGTCTTGGTCGTAGTGGAGAGTATAAAACACTTCTTTCAAAAGCTATGGAGGTGGCGTGTATGAATGGGTATCTAGAGATTGTCAAGTTGATAGGCCCCATCAAAGACATAAAACTAGACACAACAGCAATGGACAATGCTTGTAGTAACGGATTCATTGACATTGTAAAGTATTTACACGAAAATAGAACTGAAGGTTGTACTACAAATGCTATGGTAAGAAAAGAAAGCAAATTGAAAAAAAGATAATAATAATAATTAATTCTCTCTCTCTCTCTCTCTCTCTTGTTTTAATCACCATCATTGAATTGTAGGATAACGCTGCAAATCATGGTCATTTAGAAGTTGTAAAGGTTAGTTGGTTGGGTTGGGTTGATTGATTATAACAAAATTATTAATAACAAAAATTTGTTTGTCTTTTTTTTAAAAATATATATATATATATAGTTTCTTCATTTAAATAGAACTGAAGGATGCACTGAAAATGCAATGGTAAGAATTCTTTAATGAAATCAAAAGAGACATTAATGTCAATGTAGGATTAATAATTAATCAATTAATTAATTAAATATTATAGGATTTTGCAGCAATGAATCACCAATTTGAGATTGTAAAGGTGAGTTGGTCAATCGATATATATATAAATGAGAACCAATGTATAATATGAGACATTTCAATATTAACACAAAAAATATAATATCCAAAAAAAATACTATACTATAATAGTTTCTTCATTTTAATAGAACTGAAGGTGCAACTGCCAGTGCTATAGATATGGCAGCTGATAATGGTGTCTTGGATAATGTAAAGTTCCTTTCTGAGCATCGTAGTGAAGGTGCAACTACAAATGCTATGGATTGGGCATCTTCAAATGGTCACTATGAAGTTGTAAAGTATCTACATGAGCATCGTAGTGAAGGTGCAACCACCAATGCTATGGATATGGCAGCTCAAAACGGCCACTTTGAAATTGTAAAGTTTCTACATTTCAACAGAAGTGAAGGTGCAACAACCGATGCTATGGATTGGGCAGTTGGAAATGGCCACATTGATATAGTCAAGTTCCTTTACGAGTATCGAGGTCAAGGTGCATCAACTGATGCTATGGATTTAGCAGCTGAAAATGGCTACATTGAAATTGTACAGTTTCTTCTACCATTATAGCATTGGTTTCACAAAATGTATATGCCAGAATATAGTTATCTATTATTATTAATTTATAGATTACCCCCCCCCAGCTTTATCAAAATATTTTCATAATCGGAAAATAATAAATAATAACAAATAAATAATAATAAGTATACTACATTTCTATACACCAGACATTTTATATCTTTATATTTCTTCAGTACGATGCTCTTGAAGGTACTTTACCACTTCAATGTGACCATTTTCAGCTGCTAAATCCAAAGCTTCAGGTGATGCATCATCACCTCTATACTCGTAAAGGAACTTTACAACATCAAAGTGTCCATTTTCAGCTGCCCAATCCATAGCATTGGTTGATGCACCTTCACCACGATGCTCATGAAGATACTTTACCACTTCAATGTGTCCGTTTTGAGCTGCCAAATTCATAGCATCGGTGGTTGCTCCTTCACTACGATGCTCATGAAGATACTTTACCATTTCAATGTGTCCGTTTTGAGCTGCCAAATTCATAGCATCGGTGGTTGCTCCTTCAGTACGGTGCTCTGAAAGGAACTTTACAACATCAATGTACCCATTCATTGATGCATAATCTATAGCATGGTATGAACAACCTTCAGTTCTATTAAAATGAAGAAACTATTATTGTTTTGGTTAATATATATAAAAGTAGTAGTAGGACCGACGGTTGTCTATTATTACCAACCAACCAACCAACCAACCAACCAATCAACCAACCAACTTACTTTAACAATCTCTAAATGTCCTTGACTCGATGCAAAAACCTGCGATCATATGATAAAGAAAGAAAATTAGTAAAATAAATAAATATTATTTCTTTCTTTCTTTCTTTTAAATTTAGAACCTTACCAATGCATTTTTACTACAACCTTCGGTTCTATTGGAGTGAAGAAACTATTATATATATATTATAATTTTTAAAAGGATTAAAGACAATATTATTAGTTTTTAAAAATGTAAATATTTGATGACCAACCAGCCAACTTACCTTTACAATCTCTAAATAACCATTTCTTGATGCTACATCCTACAATAATAAATGTGATGATGAATGATGATAATTAATTAAATCTAGATTTAACTAAATTCTATATTGCTTAAGGTCTATATTTTCTTACCATTGCACTTTTACTACAACCTTCAGTTCTATTCTCGTGTAAATATTTTACAATGTCAATGAATCCATTACTACAAGCAGTGTCCATTGGAATCTGGTTGATAGTTGATGTGTTTAATTTTACATCTTTGATTGAACAAATCGACTTGACAATCTCTAGATACCCATTCATACATGCCACCGCTATAGCTTTTGAAAGAAATGTATTATACAGAAAGCGAGAATCTCTAGTATCAGCAGCAGTAGCAGGACATCTCTTGACTATGATATACTCTAATATCTCTTGATTTATTTTCTTGCCGATACTTGATTCAAGAAGATTAGAATCAAAATCAACAGTCGACCATTCCACCAGACGTTCAAGTGAATCTATCGTTGCATTTGGATGATGACAATATCTCTTGATTAACCTTTTTCTTGTTTCCAATGGTATCTGATTACTATCCGATGGTAGATAATGAATCATAAAGTTCCACGGTAACCCATATCTTGATATCATTTCAAGATGAGATAATTTGATGATATCTCTTCCTTTTGATGATCGTTGTGGTTGATATTGGCCATCATGACGATACCATTGTTTTGATATACTACTAATATGATTGAATATCAGTTGTCTAATGTATATCGACCTGAATAAAGAATGAAATGTAGTTGTAGTAGTAGTCGTCATATTTTATCTAATTTATTTTATTTAATAGTTTAAACTTTTGTGTTTCTGAGAGAACTCTAAAAAGCCAAAAAAACTTTATTAAGAAGTCAAAGTCGATAGTAATAATAATAATAATAATAATTACATCAAAGTGAAGGAGGAAGTTGTTTTTTATAACCCTATATCTTCTGATTATTCTTAAAATTTCAATCCTGATGACCCTACCAACCTAAATTCTCAAGTACCACAAATGCATTTATAAACAAACAATTCATCTTTTTTTTTTTTCAACACCAAACATATATTAACAATCAATGACAACAACATTTCATTCTATATTCAGAGCTAAATATATTAGATATTTGATATTCAATCATATTAGTAGTATATCAAAACAATGGCCACAATCATTAGTAGGAAGAGATATCATCAAGTTGCCTCGACTCGAAATGATATCAATCTATGCAATGCCTTGGCACTTTATAAGTCATTATCTACCATCGGATAGTAATCAGATACCATTGGAAAGAAGAAAAATAGTGATCACTCATTACTGCGTCATCGTAATGCAACATTTGATACTCTTGAACATCTATTGAAATGGTCGAATGTTGTTGAATTTGATTGGGATATCTTGGAAGAATGTCGTGATCGTTTTGTAAATCAAGAGATATTAGAGTATCTAATCAAGAGATGCACTGCTGCTCGAAACAACAACAAGAATTTCTATTTAAATGGTGTGATAAAAGTTGCATGCATGAATGGTTATCTCTCGACTGTCAAATTAATCGGCTCTATAAAAGGTGTACAAATCGACAACTATATGCAGTTAATAGATATGGTTTGTAAAGTATCAAAAAAAGCAATAGACAGGGCTAGTAGTGTATTGTTTGAACTCGTAAAGTATTTACACTTTAATAGATTTGGAGGTGCAACAACCAATGCAATGGATTTTGCTGCTCGTAATGGTCATTTAAAGATTGTCAAAGTATGTATTCTGTTTGACGTTGAATTTTGTCTATATTTAGTGATATATTGACCATAATATACTATTTCTTTTTAGTTCTTGCATAAAAATCGTCAAGAAGGATGTTCAACTGATGCTATCGATTGGGCAGCTAAAAAAGGTCACATTGAAATTGTAAAGTACCTTCATCTGCATCGTAGTGAAGGTGCAACAACCAATGCTATGGATTGGGCTGCTGAAAAGGGTCACATTGAAATTGTAAAGTATCTTTCAGAGCATCGTACTGAAGGTGCAACAACAAGGGCTATGGATTTGGCATCAAAGAATGGACACTTTGAAATTGTAAAGTTCCTTTCAGAGCATCGTAGTGAAGGTGCAACTACAAATGCTTTGAATAGTGCAGCTGAAAAAGGACACTTTGAAATTGTAAAGTATCTTTCAGAGCATCGTAGTGAAGGTGCAACAACCGATGCTATGGATTGGGCAGCTGAAAAAGGACACATTGAAATTGTAAAGTATCTTTCAGAGCATCGTAGAGGTGCAACTACAAATGCTTTGAATAGTGCAGCTGAAAAAGGACACTTTGAAATTGTAAAGTTCCTTTCTGAGCATCGTAGTGAAGGTGCAACAACCAATGCTTTGGATAGGGCAGCTGAAAAAGGACACATTGAAATTGTAAAGTATCTTTCAGAGCATCGTAGTGAAGGTGCGACAACCGATGCTATGGATAGGGCAGCTGAAAAAGGACACATTGAAATTGTAAAGTATCTTTCAGAGCATCGTACTGAAGGTGCGACAACCGATGCTTTGGAAAAAGCAGCTTACAATGGTCACATTGACGTCGTCAAGTACCTTCATTTCAACAAAACAGAAGGTGCAACAACCGATGCTATTGATACAATCAATAATATAGATTGGCTATCTCCAAATGGTCACATTGATACTATGAATTATCTTTCAGAGTATCTTGGAATCGATGTCAATAATGGAATTAAAATGAATACTTTAAATTTGGCGGCTTTTAACGGCCACATTGATACAGTCAAATTTATTCATGAGCAGTTGGATGATACAACAAACTATACCTTTCTTTCGTTTAGGAGAAATTTTAACATTATTTCAATTAGGAGCACATTTAATCTTGTAGTAGAAAAAAATCACGTTGAAGTTGCCAAAGTATGTATACCAACAAACTTTAGTTAAAATTAATTTATATCTGACGTCATTCCAATTTCATCCTATTAGTACTATATTTTACACTTTCCTCAAAGTGAAGAATCAATCCAAACTGCAATAGATTATGTTTGCCAACATGGATCTCTGGAAATGGCATCGTTTCTCATCAGTCTAGTAAAAGATGAGTCCAATCAAGAAGAACTACTAGAAACTACATCATTGTATGGACACTATGATATTGTCAAGTTGATTCTCCAGCAATTTGGAGATAAACTGAGTAAAAAAGCACTTAAAAGAGTCATACACAAAATGGAATCCAGAAACCAATTTGAAATCACTCTACTACTCGAAAATCATTTAAAACAACTCATTAAAAACATCCCTTTTCTCTATCCCGAAAACAAAGGTAAAAAAAGATCAAACAAGAAATAATAAAGGAGACATTTATCAAATTAATTAATTTTGATGTGTATTATTACATATTTATTTTTTAAATATTGCCTCCTCTGGAAAATATTTTTTTTTGCAACTGGCACACTCACTATGTGCCTCTTTTCATCTACCCACTTTCACACACACACACACATTTTGATTGAATCATGATAATCCACATTAAGTTATTAAGAACAACTGTCTATCAAAAAGTAAATAAACATTTTCATTATTAAATTTTATTTAAAATCCATTATTTGCAATTTTACATCTAAATTTAATGATAATGATTCCTTTATCTAAAAACTCTTTTTTAATAAATAGTCCAGACATTTGAGAGTTTTTCAATTTGATGTAGTTGATAAACTCTGTACCTTTTTCGTTTCCAGTTAGGCAACAATAGGTTCCAGGTATTTGTATTTGGAATTTATATTTTAATTCAGTATCTGTAGCTCTTAGACCAATGGCATGAAGACTTAATTCATAATTGATCAAATGAATTTGAAATGGTGTTTCATTGATTATAAATACTGGTGATTTCCAACTAAATGGAAATACTCTATCATTTGAATAGATTAAATCTTTGTTGATTGTCCATTCATATGAATGCTAAAATTGTTGAAAGAAATAAAATGAATTAAATAACAATCAAATTAAATTATATGAAATTTTAAATTATAATTACCCATCCTTTTGCTTTGTTTTGTTCTATTAAATGTTTAATGCTTTCATTTGTATCTTTTAATTCTAATGATAATTTAATATTTTCATCCTATAAAAAAAACAAATAATAAAAAAGTTAGGAGGATATAATTATTAATTTGTTTGATAAAGATAATGAATTTAAATACCGTTAAAAGTTTTAATTTCTGATTAAAAGATTGATTCATTCCAGAGATGTGAGTTGAAATTGATTCGTTAATATGATCATTCATATCTTTTCTCATACCAATAAAACTACATTGAGCCTTTCCAAATGGACATTCAACCTTTTGATTTGGACATTCAGCAAGATGATCTTCTTTCTTTTTTCTAATATATGTTTGTCTACATCCATATTGACACTGTTCATTCATTTCAGGACACCAAAATTGCTCGTGGAAAACCATATTTGATAGTTTAAATTCTTGTTGACAATATTGACAACTAACAATTCTGAATTTGCATTCCTCTAAATGATCTTCCAGCTCTGGTTTTAAAAAGGTGTGATCACATCCACCATTTGGACATTTATATCGATTAAATTTACATGATAATTGATGAATATCACTTTCCAAATCACCAATCTTTATAATTTCATCACATAATAATTCTCCAACCAAAATATTCTCTTTATGAAAATGATTAATACAATAAATCTAAAATACAATAAAGTTAATATTCATTTTCAAATCAACTTGATTTGTTGTATCTACTTTTAAATCTTTGGTCATGTTTTCAGCAAGTAAACTACAATTTAATTGATCAAGGTTGATTTCAATTCTACATTGAGGGCAACTTCTTTTACCACGATTAACACCCAATGCTATAGGTTTAATACAATCCAAACAAAATAAATGTCCTAAATAAAACAAAAAACATTAATTTTAGGAATATTTTGTTCTAACAACTCTTATGATTACATACCAGATTTACATTGTCTAGAGTTTTGTAAAATGCCTAGACATATACAACATTGAACCATTTCCATATCATTCTTTGATACTAGTCTATCCTCTAATTCAATGTTTGGTAAAACTCTATTATCACTCTCGTCTGCCATTCCTTGTCGTATAAATGTTTTCTTTTCTTTCAATCAAACTACAGCACTGGTATTTCTATATATCTTTATCTATATCTACTTCTTACTCTTATTTAAATGACATCACACTCTTTTAAAAAATACTATGAGTCATTGCTTTGGTTGTGTGGGTGGACCACCCACCATCAAAAATTAAATTAAATTACACTAATTTAAATTTAAGGTGTGGGTAATTAGGTAAGGAAGTTGGCATGTAGATTTATTTTTTATTATTTTTATTATTATTTTTTTGATTATCTTTTCTTTTTAAACTTTCTTTGATAATCATACTGATGATGATTTTAAGGGATGGATCGGGATCAACATGTTGGGTTTGAATGTAGGAATGAAGATTTTTAGTTGCAAAAAAGTGGTACCCATTGTTGTGTAGATAGAGTAGCATCTCTAGATGTTGACCATGGACTAGATCCTTGAGGAATGAGTCTTGTGGTAATGACAAGAGTGTATCTTTGACCCAACCAAGTGTATTGACGTAATGGTCCAACATGTCAACTTGACCACTTGACACTATCAATTGAATATGTGTGCTGTTCATATCCTTTGGTTTGACAAAGTATTCAAACATTTCAATAGATCCAGATGCAACCATACTTTTATCAACAACAATAGGTTGTGTGGTGTCTTGATTCATAGTTGCAATATATTGAAGAAATTGTAAACTCTTTTTGGATCCATTTGCAATGACTGCCTTTTGCATTTCAACAACATGTGAAGGAATGTGAGTGCATTCAGAGTAGAATAGATTTTGTGAGCAAGTATTTGCAATGATTGTCTTTTTGCGATCATCCAATTTCTTTCTGCTCTGAAATCTTGTTACCAATTCCTTGTCCACCACATTTTCTTTGACCAGTCTATTTAGAAGCTCTAAAACATTGCTAGAGTAATGATAGTTCTAGTTGTGAAGCAAGAGATGGTAGAGAGTGACATCAACACAAATACTATTGTTTCGAATGTCATTCTCGAGGTCTTGTAGACCTGTTTCGTTTGCATATTGAGTTATTTTTGCAAGATTGTTCATTTGTCGTTCTGGATCGATTGGATTGGGGTTGATAGATGGATCCTTACTAAAGTAATGGATCAGCCTTTCTTTGGTATTAAATATCGCATCTTTATATCCAAGACTGAGCAAATACAAGGCAATCGGGAGAGCATCATCATCAGTTCTAACATCAATAAAGTGCAATAATGACTCTCTGAGAAGGCCAGGTTGAGGATCTTTCAATCCAACACTTTCAATAATCTGTGGAAGAGATTCGGTAAATGGAATAACCTCTAGGATCTTTCTGTATTCTCCAAGTGATGCTTCCAAAGTAACCTCGTGTATGAATGGTAAGAATGTTTCGAGGTTTGGGTATCTATCTTTGAACTCCAATTCGATCTGGTTCCAAAAATAACCCATTGTGTTTTTGGAAGGGTGTTGATCCAATTCAAGTCTCTTGTTGATTGCAGTATGGTTGGTTTGGTAGGTTGGATGTCTTTGTAAAAATTTGGTCACTGACAATTGCATTGCGTCAACCTTTTCGACAAAGTATTTGGCTGCCGATGGAACTGGATAGTGGTCTTTGAACCAAGCTTGTCTCGATGGTGACAATGTCGGGTGTTGGCGGTGCAGTACCACTAAATGGTACACTACTCTTGATTAGATACTTGATGACATCTTTGTTGCCGTGGTTTAGAGCCGTCTGATACAAATCTGTTTGTTGTTGTGCGATTGGCCACTTTTGAGTGACCAATATACGAACAATATCAAGATTACCAGCTACACATGACAACATAGCAAGATTCGATGCCAAGAATGAAGATCTCTTTAATTTGTATAAATACAAAAAATAAGAGAGATCATTCACCGTTTCACAAATCAATTCAATCTGTTATTAAAAGGTACATAGATACCCCTCCTTAACTTATCAATCAATAGACTAACATGACCATGCTCCAACATTGCAGTTGCATGATGCCAATGATCATATTTGCAAATATACTCTGCATAGTCTAAAGAGTCATCAAATAGTTGAGGTCCGATCCTTCGACCCAACTCGTTGATCTTTTGTCTTAGATAAATTTGTTTATAGATTTTAAAGAATAATTGTTTCTCCCTATAGTAATAAAAGATATTAATAAAATAGTTGTATTAATTTAAATGATAATATCTAAGCTGAGTGTCGACTATAAATATATAAACATACATTTAATTAATTAATTCATCTAAATCATAAGATAAATATCTATTTTGAATAATAGAATCTTTACATAATGAATTCATTTCTGACTACTACTACTACAGCTAGTGGTGTATTATTCTCTCTCTCTCTCTCTTGAAAACGGAAATGTATCTGTGTAGAGTGCAATTTGGTTCGTAGTTACTGTACTTGGGAAAAAAAAAAAGGGTGGTGAATAATAATTAATTAATTGTTTTTATTTATTTTTTGGTATCATCCTTGCAATTTCTTGATTTGAACATCTAGATCTCCTATTGTTGTTTCAAGTTTGGACTTTTCATTCTTTAATTACTCATCCTCTTTCATTAGACATTGTGATGAGTGATTCACAGCCACATCCCGTCTGCTATAATAATCATATTTTACTTTACAATATTCCTGATTACATCTATAGCACAATATTGGTATATAATTGCAACACTTGATGTGAGGAGCATAATCTATATCAAAATTTTGAGGACTAAATGTTTTTCGGCATCCTTTGTCTTGGTAGAAACATGGAAATTCTTTTTTGGGGCAAATGGATTCATGAATTAATCTACTACTTTTATCTCTTATTGAAAAGGATTTTTGGCACCCATTATGGTTATGTTCACAATTCACCTAAATTGACAAAATTAAATGTCAATAAATATTACATATGATTCCAACCAAATATATATTTACTTTTACATCTTGAACCCATAGGTCAGCAACAACACAAACAATAAGATTATCAAGACTGATTTCAACATTACAGTCAGCAGGACATTTGCATGTTTTCTCACCATTAGCAATTCCTTGTATACAGGCATAACAAAATAAATGACCTTCATAGAAATGAATTAACATTTTTCAATCCTCTTTAAATTTGTTAATTGTATTTGTCTTGAAACATACCTTTGTGACATTGTCTAGCATCATCAACAATTTCTTTACAATTGCAACACTGAATCTTTTTCAATTCTTCTTCTGTTGTAAGTCTAGATGCTAATCCTTGATGAATATTTTTATGTACTTTTGCCATTCTTAAGGATAAATATATAAATGAATGGCAATTATGCAATTCTTTCTCTTCTATATGCTTCTCTTTGTTTGATGCACAGTGTGATTATCATCAACCATTCAAATATGAATCAGTACTGAACCACGCACCCACACTATTAAATAAACCCTTTGTATGTATTGACAATGAAAAAATTGCCATTACCTTCAAGCTTGACATAAACTAACTCGTACTTGTTGAAAGAATGATGAAGGTAGGGTCGGTATAGTTGGTGGTTAAAAAGTGTTTCTTGTGGCAAAGACAATCCCTTCGTTATCATTATACCTATTGATTGCGAGAAAGCAATTGGATGGTAAATGCTCTCCCATTCTTCGATCTGCCTACAATTACATCTATTGCAATAGTCTCTTCTTGCTAATAATAAAAGAAGTATTTCAAGTTGGTGTCTTCTTATAGCACCACCAAAACAAGCCGCAGCAAAGAAAAAACCAGCCAAACAAGAACCAGCAGCTGCCTCTTGGTCGAGTGCACCACCAAAGAAATCATCATCATCATCAAAGGTGACACCTGCAATATTAGAAAATAGAAAGATCATCACTGACATGTTAGGTCGTATGGGTATCAAAGAGAATCCTTTCAACTTTTCAGATGACGACGAAGATTCAGAAGACTCTGAAGACGATAGCGATGAAGAGGATATTGAAGACGTCATCTCGACACCAGGTTCTAAACAACAAAATAGCAAGGCTGACGAGAAAGCTAAAAAAAAGACATTGGAAGCTAGCACCAAAGGTGAAAAGTGTGGACTTTGTGGAAAGAGTGGCAAGTTGACGAGAACACCTTGTTGCAACAATGTCATTTGTGATGATTGGGACAACTATGTATTGTTCTCACAGGCCAATAACAGTTGTTCACGTAACCACGATCGTAATACTGTGTGTAGTGTACATTATATGCAAAAACATGGTGGCCCATGGCAAACATGTCAAGTCTGCAAGAGAGGCAGTCCACCAGCCATGTACGCTCATGGCGCCACCAACAAATACAACTTTTCTCCTCTCAAAAATGTAAAGTTAATTCCTTTCAAGTGTGCCATGTGTGGACACACCTCTACCGACAAGTTTGATTTCCCTACTGTAGGTTCCGGTGGTTATTATTGTAAAAAATGTATTCCATAAAGAAATGTTTAAATAAATCACATATTATGATCGCCCCAAAAAAAAAGTTACATAAAAAACTATTATTTATTTATTTATTTATTTATTTATTTATTATTTATTATTTATTATTAACTATTATAAATTATAAATTTTTAATTTTTTGTTTTTGATCAAAAGAAGTGTTGGCATTTCAACTATGCTCTTTGATTGGTTTCATCACCGATAATTAATTGTATCTCCTTGATTTGGACAACCAGGTCATCTAGTTTAGTTGAAGATTCTCCCATTGTTGATTCAAGTTTACTCTTTTCATTCTATAATTTGAAATAATAATAGTGAATTAATTTTAAAGGTAGAATATTTTTCAAAAGTTTTAAAAGGTTACCATTAATCCATTAAGTTTTAGTTTGTATTGTTCTGGAGTGGAAGCGACATGGACTAAAGGAGAACTTTGAATATGAGATTCTAAATCCTTTCTCATCATCTAGAAATAGAGAATATGTAAAAAAAAATGAATCATATTTTTTCTTTGATTTATCAATATACATACTGTGTCGATACAATTATCTTGATATGGACATTGTACAATTTGATTTAGACAAGTTAATAAATGGGAATCCTTCTCTTGTCTCTTAATCTTTCCACATTTTAATGAGCATTCAATCAATTCATCGGGACATTTCAAACTGTGATCATCGAAATGAATGTCTTTAAAGTAGCCATTTTTATATTGGCAATATCCTTGATTACATTTAGAGCATATTATTGGTTTGAATTTGCAGAACTTGATGTGGTCTGCATAATCACTATCATAATTTTTAATATTAAATTTAGATCTACACCCTTTGTAAATACATGGGAACCTTCTCTTGGGGCAGATGGATTCATGAACTAATCGACATTTGTCGCTGATAAAAAAGGTTTTTTTGCACCCATGGTTGGAATGATCACAGTCAACCTGCACGTATAGATAATTAGATAAATGGGAAATGAATAATCCAAATTTTAAATTTATATTCAATCGTGAAGTTTTCTTACTTTGGCATCTTGAACAGACCGGTCAGCAACCACACAAACAATAAGATTATCAAGACTGATTTCAATATTGCAGTCATCAGATGGACATTTGAATGTTTTTTCACCATTTGCAATTCCTTGTACACAGGCAAGACAAAATAAATGACCTTTATAGAAATGAATTAACATTTTTCAATCCTCTTTAAATTTGTTAATTGTATTTGTCTTGAAACATACCTTTGTGACATTGTCTAGCATCATCAACAATTTCTTTACAATTGGTACACTGAATCTTTTTCAATTCTTCTTTTGTTGTAAGCCAATGCAATTATTTTGATAAGCAATGTGGGTGTGATACAATGAAAAAAATTGCCATTGCCATCTGATTAAAACTAGCAGTGTTTACAAACCCCCAATAAAGATTGACGAGGTGGGTATGATTGAAATTCTATATCCAGTCTGTCTCCAAATTTTATTTTAATTATTTCTCTAGAATCAAAGGAGTGGACAGGGCAACTTTGCTGCTGTAAGTGTTGCATATTGGAGGGGTACCCCCAAGGAATGATTATTGGATAGTAGGTGGTGCACGAGATAAAATGAAATTCTAAAATAATATTCGATGATCACTCTAAATAATTGAATTGGGTCGATCTTCTCTTTCCTCTTCCTCTTTGATTATAACATGTAATTTCTCTATTTTTTCAACTAGACCTTTTAATTTGATTGCCGTCTCACCCATACTTTCCTCTAATCTCTGCTTTTCTTGCTTTAAATTATTGATTTATATTAGTTTTGAGAGAATGATAAAAAGTCCTTTTTAAAAACACCAATATAGTGATTTGGACACTTTAATTGAATATGTTCATTCATATTCTTTCTGGGGAGTGATAATCCACAATTTGATGTACATGCGATGGATAACTCTGGACAGGTGTCAGAGTGACTGGTTTTGTTGGAATCGGGACCAATGACATACACCGTTTGCATTGGGTGCATGTGATGGCGGTATTTACAACATGTGATATGATTTCGATACTGGTCATCAAAATTGTCTTGTGAGAATGACTCACTACATCCCAATTGATTAAACTGACAAAAGATTCTTCTAGATTTGCACATTGATTGGTGGAGCAATCTAATGGGATCACCATTAACAAAATATAAAGACCAACAATATTCACATCGTACCTACAAAAGAAAAAGTATACATTAATATTAATTTAGTCATATATAGATTTATAAAAGGGTCAATACCTTTAAATCCTGGACAGCTTGGTCGGCGACAACGTTGACAATAATATCATCTGGACTGATTTGACGATTACATTGGGGACAATTGTACAAACAAGTATCGTCATCACAAGTAGTGGCAGTTGCTACAATGCAACTTGAACAAAATAAATGGCTGTTGTTCAATAATAGTATTATGGTTAGAAGCAATTTGATTAAAGGATATAGTATTCCAGTAAATTTATTTACCTGATTTACATTGTCTTGCATTATCTACGATCTCCTTGCAAATACAACACTCTACATTTTTCATATCGGTTGGTGATGCCAATCTGCCTTTTAAAGTTGAATACTTGTTACTTGTAGTAGTTGCCTTTGCCATTTTAAATCGTATCTCGATAGATATAATACACACAACTATATATCTAACTAATTCAATGATTTATTTGTCCAATCTATAGCTAGCTAGCTATACATTTAATATCATTTATCATTTATTGTAATGATAACTAAACTGTAGAGAGCGTTAAAATAATAATCTGATTGTTGTAATTATTTATTTATGTATGTTGCTCATTGACTTGCAATGAATAATAAAATTTTAGTTCAAATAATCATCAATCGAGCTCTTCAAAAATCATTAACTAATTATTTAATTATTTAATTAAATATATTTAAAGATCCCCATAATATTACACATACATGAATATTATTCCCAATGGCGTCATATCGATCGATGATCATCATAGATGAGTGCTAAGTTGTTTGATTGGTTCACACCACTAAGTGTGGGAATCACTATAAACCGAAATTAATCCATGGATGAATGGATGGGTGGATGTATGTATTATGTCTCTTGATCAAGTACAATTTGTTTATTAACTACTACTTACAACTAGAGTTTTAGAGATTGGTCAATATTATACTCGGATGACTAAAACCTTGCAAGCGCTATGACATTATTAATAACAAACAGTCGAGATGTTCACGAAGCATATAAAGCATTCTTTTATGCCTATGCAAGGTCTGGTTGGTTGGTATTAAACTTTGCATCACCTGACAAAGGATCAATCCTTCAATTTATAGCTGCTGGTCCTTCAATTGAAGGTATTGTATACATGCAATGATCCATTATAATAGATAGATAATAATCACTAAAACAGCCTCTATATTTATGTTTATATAGATATACACAAACTATTAGAAAATGATAGAGTACAATATGTATTGGTTAGATTAATGAATAAACAACAAGAACAACCATTCGATGTATTGGTCAAATGGATTGGAAAGAGTGCAAGAGTCGATGAAAAGGCTAGAAGTAGTGGATTGGAAACTGCCATTCGATCAGAACTCAATTTCAAACACTGGAAAGAATTAAAAGACAAAAATGATCTAACTGAAAATTACTTGTCTATTCCATAACATTAATAATTAATAATAATAATTAATAATTAATAATTATAATATAATATAATCAAAAAAATAAATAAAAATGTAACTTTTGAGGTCATAGTGCTATGCCCACCGCTAGTTTCTCAACAAATTCACGTGTATACGAATATATTTAAATATATTCGTATTCTTTCTTTTTTTTTTTAAAGTAGTTCGTTTAAACATCTTCAACTAAGTAGATGTGTATTAAAGTTGCGATTGGCCAGATACTCGCGAGACTTTGCTAAAGTATCAGATGGACGACAAGAGTCATATGTATTAACATGGCAACAAGTATGGGCGATTCACACAGAGCATCAGAATTTAATCGAGATAATCAAGTAATAACAACAGACCCCCAAATTTAAAAGAAGATAATACCAAAGACCATGGTGGTTATCATTTGTCATGTTGTCCTCTGTCTTGTTTTGGTTCGAATGGTTCCAACCTTTGCAATACTGTCACCCAATCAACAAGCCAGAGGACAACACCAAATGATGACATGAAACAACTGTCTCTTTAGATTTACCTACTTATTTCAAGAATAAGGAATCTAGGGAACCAAGTAAGATATAACAAATAAAAAATAATAAAGAAATCAATAAAAAATAGATATTTTAAAGGATGGTTTTGAATTTTAATTTAGACAAAAATAATTGTAAGATAGTTTTAAAAGTATCTATCTATCTATACAGATACAGATAGAGTAATCATGTCAATACAATCTATTATATTATCAAGAGGAGAAGATTCAATCAAAAGTATTCAACATTTTATGAATGGATTACCATTACAAGCAAAGATAGTGTGTCCCATTGTCACTGCAGTATCATTATCTTCGATTTATTGTAAGGAAACAAACTGAATAACTAAACTACATAATATTATATTTACTAATCAATCTGCTTTTGGTTAAAAAAGTATTTTATAATAATACAAAACAACAAGAAACTAAACAAAAATATGATGCATTTGTTGAAAATTGTATTGCAATGGTAACCAATATTGAAAGAGCATTCTTTAAAGAGGAATTAACAGATCCAAACTATAAATTGGATATTCCCTACCTTGTATCATATTCAAAGGCAATGGAGAGCAGTAAGGTATTGGCACGTCGATTTGCAACAGACGAGAGAATAACATCACACCAAGTCTACAAACTACACTACACCATTTCACAATTACTCAGTATCTGGCCTGAAAAGTATTCACTCGAACTTAGACGCCAAAATGATAATCCCACTGAAATGTGTAAAGGCAACAAAGAGTATATGGATCATATTGAAAAAGATCCATTCATTCAATCTGCAAATATAATGGTTAAATCTTTTCTTTCCTATGGTATGAAAGTTGAATGAAACAAACAAAACAAAACAAAACAAAACAAAATAACAGAATAATAATGAATTAATAATTAATATTTCTGATTGATTTATTTTGTGATATAGGTGATAGAATTGAAAAATGTTTAGAATTGATTGGATATTTATTAAAATCAAATGGAGCTAAACATTTACATTATGGATTGGTGAGTGCTATTGCCGATGTGATTATGGAGACACCAATGACACAACTAGAGCCATACGCTACTTCGAAATTAAATTATATTGCCGATTTCTATAGTCCCTTTCAATCACACTTTATCGGATACAGTAATGTATACCTTGCCAGCAAGAAATTGGCTTCCTTTACACATGGAGGTATTCATTCGATTATTGGTCGACTTCCATTACTTCTTGTCAAACAAAAGGAGGATATTCTATCTCGAGTCATTCTACTTGCCTCTGGTGTACCATTCCTTCAACTACAATCATTATTGTATATCCTTCCACGTCCAACAAGTAGTCTATTACTTGCATCTACAGTGTCCATTGTCAATACAATCGCACTTGATAGTCTATATCTTGTCGGTCTCCAACAACAAAATAACAACAACAATAATAATAGTGTTCGATCATTCACACAAGGATTGATTAATCTTTCATTACTTTTCCTTCATCCCGTAGCAACCAATATTACCAATACTCGTAGACGAGCATTTATGATGGAGCTATTATTCTTTGACGTCACATCAATTCAAACAAGTCAACATGTTCCCGTTGATATTCTTGGTCAAATCCTATCTGATGATGAAGAGGATGATGATGATGATGATGATGATGATGAAGATAATGAAGATGAAGATAAAAGTGAAGAAGGAGTTGACAGCAGCAGTGACCCAGTTCAAATAATTAATAAACAAGAGTAAACCACGTATTGATTTTAAAAATAAATGATATTAAATTTTTATTATCTGGGAGGGCAGAGAGGGCCTTTCTTTTGGCAAAATGCCTCAAGGACCATCTTGTCATTGTCTTTAAGGTTAGGTACATATAGATGGCTGCTCAGAAGCAATTTGGCGATGACCATATAGTGGAGATTGGGGTTCTTGGCGTCATTATCTTGTGGACTCTAATCTAAGGGGTTCCATCTTCTAAATGTACCTTGGAGCGTGAAATATGGTTGGAGTATGAGAGAGGTGGTGGTGGTGATGATTGATGTCTCCTTAGGTTGCATTATTCTATTATCAATGACTACTATGTTGATTGGGAGTGTTGAATTGGTTGCACCTTTGTAGTGTGATCAAACACACATTTAATATGCAATGACTGGTGAGCAACTTTAAAGCCTAACCATGCTACCCATGCTACCCCTAACATTCTATTCTTGTAAAATCAAATTCGTCACAATTTACTATGGCAATGGTCGATGTTTGGTTTTACTCTCAGAATGGAATAAACAAATCACCAAAATGATTTTATTTGTATTTATTTAGTAAGACCAAGTGATTTAAGGAATGGAGCTTCTTCTGGATCTCTTCCAAGGAAATTCTTGAGAGTGATGCTAGTGTCTTGAGAACCACCAACAGCCAATACCTGGGTTCTAAACTTTCTACCTAGTTCCTTGTTCATGATACCATTCTTTTCAAAGACACTGAAAATATCAGCACTAAACACTTCGCTCCACATGTACGAGTAGTATGAGGCGTCATATCCAAACAAATGTCCAAAGTTGGCAGCTGGGTTGGTGTTTGGCTGATTCTCGATCAATGCAACATTCTTTGCATAGTGTCTCCAAACCTCTGATAATTTATCAAAACATTCAGTTTCATTTGAATGGATCTTTTTTTTTTCAAAAATATAAATATAAAATAAAAAAAAATATTAATAACAAGGATCGTTATTGAATACTAATCATTTGTATTTGATATTATCTTACCTTTTGATCAAATGAAGAGAATAATAATTGACGAAGATAGAAAAGAGAAATGTTGAGATTTTTCGAATCCAACATTCTTTGGACAAGGTCAGTTGGTAATTTGGAGCCATCCTTATAGTGACCAGAGATTCTATTGAGGATATTGCTATCCCAACACCATAGTTCGAACTCCTGAGACGGCATTTCCACTGCATCGCGTTCTACAGAGGTACCAGAGAAGCGAGGATACATAACCTCGCTGGACATGTTGTGCATGACATGACCAAACTCATGGAAATAGGTAACCACTTCATCATGGGTCAAAAGTGATGGTTGTGATGGTGTTGACTTTGTAAAGTTACAAACCTAATCAAAGAAATTAGATTAGCAACTATAAACTAGAGAAGGATTCATAACACAATTGTGTAAAATACATACCATAGCGGCAACTGGTAATGATGAATGAGAATCATCAAGTTTGAAACCAGGTTGTAATGGCCAGACAGCAAAGTGAGAGAATTTACCTTCACGTGGGTAAAGATCGAGGAAGAAATAACCCTTGACGACATCCTTGTTTTGATTGTCACGAACCAAGTACATCTTGACTTCTGGGTGCCACACTTGGATTGGGATTTCCTTGACCTCTTCAAAGGTAACGTCAAGCAATTCTTGGTAGACATTGAACAATTCCTTTGATACCAATTCCAATGGGAAGTATTCCTTTACCAGATTGTTATCAACTTGGAAATCCTTTACCAACATTAAATTATTATAATATTGATAATCATAAGATTTAATTTCTGGTTCTAATAATGGTTCACCTCTTGATTCATAATCTGATTTCTTTAATTCTCTAAAAAGAAAAAATTAAATTAAAATAAATAAATATTTAAATTTTTTTTTTTTTTATCACATGACTTACTGTAATCTTTTTAATTCTTCGACACCATGTGGTTTTAATAAATCAGTCATTCTTGAAATAAAGTTTCTAACATTGGTAGCATTCTTTGCCATATAGTATTGAGTTACAGTTGAAGCCCAATCTGGTTGTCCTCTTAATTGAGCAGCCTCTGTAAAAAAAAAAAAATTAATTAAAACCACATTCTATTTCTTTTTTCTAAACTGTTGACTTACCAAATCTTAATTTAAGAGTATTTTGAAGAATTTCAAGATTGGTATCAATACATTTACGACCATTAAGATAATCCATCTTTTTTCTCGTTTCAGTGACTTGACAGTACTTTACGATTGGAACCAAGTCTGGATACTTGAGAGTGGCCAAATACTTTCCAGTACCTTCTTCCTTTTGGAAACCTTCCAAGATGTCTTCTGGCACACCCTTGAGTTCGTCCTTGGTGAATGCGACGGTTGTCTTGTCCTCGGCAATGTGTTGACTGTAGGCAATGCCATTGTCAGAGATCTTTTCCTTGATCTCTTTGAGACGATCACGCTTTTCCTTGGGCAATTGGAGACCGTTCTTTTCAAAGTCTTCGAGTGTCTTTTTGACGAGACGTGCTTGTTGTGGCACCAACTTGGTTTGGTAGTCTGGGTTGACTTGGACATACTCGGTGATGGCATTGTACAAGTCTTCACGCATGTACGTCTTGATAGAGTACTTGTTGAGTTCAGACTCGGCGGCATTGGAAGCGTCACGGATCTCCTTGACGGCAGAGACATTCGAGACAAATGTAATGGCATTTTCCTCGTTGGCAAAGTCGAGGTTGAGGAACTCGAGCTTCTCAATCGTGTTGACAAAGGTTCTCTTGTCCTTGGCAATGGCGATCAACTCGCTGATACCTTGTTCGTGATCCTTGATCATCTTTGCAATTCTTGGTGCAAAGTCTTCCACCTTGGAGGGGAATCGCAAGTTGATGTCTTTTTGAATCTTTTCAGCTGATGGAATAGTCATTTTATTGTTGTTTCTTGTTACACTTGAATTTGAAAAGTATCTACTACTATTATAGACTGATGATGATAAAGAAGAAGACGTAGAATATTTAAATGATGGTGATGATGATGATGATGATTTTACTTGTTGTTGTTGATAGGTATATTTAATAGTATTATTATGATTATTTAATATACAACTAATACTACTACTAATACTATTCAATAACTTTGAATTATTTGTTTTGAAGAGTACTCTATTAAAAGTTAACATTTAATATTAAAGGCTATGCGAGTGAAGATCACGTGAGACTGTGATCAGACAGACTCACCTCAGTTTTTAAATTTTAATTTTAAATTAAATTTACTAAAAGAGGAATGATTGGGTTATGGTTGGTTGGTTATTCATGTTTATTGATTATTTGAACAGGTCCACTACTATCACCTTCACTATCTTCATCACTATCATTATCTTCGTCACCATCATCACTTTCATCTTCATCATCTGAATTTGACCTATAATATCAACGACAAAGTGTTGATTTGAATGAATAGATGTAACGCCAAAGAATAACAACTCCATCATAAATGCTAGTTGACGACGATATGCAATACTTGTAGCTAGATGTGGAAGTATGACGGTTAGATTAATCATTGCTTGTGCCAATGAAACGCGACCCTCGCGTTTGATACCACCGAGTAGATAGAGACTACCAAGTGCAACAGTATTGACATGTGACACTGCCGATGCCTCTATCAAACTATTTGTAGGTCTAGGAAGGGTCAAGAACGATTGTAGTTGTAGGAATGGTATTCCAGAGGCAAGTAAAATGACTCGCGACAAAATATCCTCTTTATGTTTGACCAATAGTAATGGCATGCGCATGAAAAGATTATACCCGGTCTAAGAACCATATGGATAGAGGAAGGAATAAAAGGTTTATTTAAAGGGAACCTTGCCAATGTAATTAAAGCAGCTCCACAATCTGCAATTCGTTTCTCTTCATATGAATTCTTTAAAGGTGTAAGTATTAATAAGATAGAGATAAAAGAGAATGAATGATGACTAAATCATATTCTATTTACTTGATTTAGATATTAATAAAGGATGATACAACATCATCTTCGACAACAAATACTACGACGACAGTTAAATTATCATCACATAAATTGATGTAAATTATTACCGTGGTCTTGTTGCAATTGGAGATTGTCAACAAACATCCAGAGGTTTTTGAGGATGACGACTATTCTTTCAAGGTAGGCGACAGTGACCATGCAAATATTGGTAAAAGTATCTGTTGATTTGCTGGTGACAATGGACTATTGTTGTTGGCGTTGGTATTATTATTATTATAGTTGGTACCATTGATTAATGGCAAAGTGATATTATCCTGGATAGGGATGGCGTGATCGACTACAAACTTGTCCATGTCTCGCTTTAATAGAATGGCCTGTTTGGCATACGCCTTGAATGTATTTTGCGTCTCTACATCAACAGTCTTTTGTTCGTCGACAATACGTTGTTTTCTAAAGTTCATTTTGGTGATCACATTAATGCCAACATCTCGTTTTTCAAGCTTTCGTGACGGTGTCGCTGCAAGAGCAATTCGTTTTGTTTGGCCAATGCCTCTTGCTTGTTTTCCTGTTGTTCAAATTGTTTTTGGAGAGTGTTGCTTTACTCTTCATCGTCATCATCGTCATCTTGTTGCTCCAATTTTAATGTTTCGAGTGGGATGGAGATGGGTGATACTGGTGATGCCAATTGGTGATCGGCGGTGGCGGCAACATTGGGAACGGGTGACAATTGGTCGAGATCAAGCTCGGCGACAAAGAACTGGTGTTGGAATACCGAGATTCTCAACGGAATCTCTGGTCATTACAAGGATGGTTCCAAATTACCAACTGACCTTGTCCAAAGACCTAGGTGAAAAGAGAGTAGCCTTTTTTATAAAATCCAACATTGTAGTTGCATTTATAAAGGTTGTTGTAGAGTGAAAATGATTCTTGATTAGATTTATATCCATACTAGATAAAATCATTAATCCATCAACACTTCCACCACCAATTGAAATCTTGCCTAGATAGTAAGAGATGACATCCGAGTTTTTAGATATCGATCCTATCATAGTTTTGGCAATATTACAAGAATCAAAAGTGGTGTCCAAGAATTGAACCAATTCTAAAGATCCAGCTTTCATTGCATTTAAAATTGCATTTTTTGTAATTGGTAGGTTTTGTGGATCATGAATGGATATGATCAGTTGAACGACATCCAAACGACCACTACAACAAGCCAAATCGATAGAATTTTCAGTGTAAAAGTGCATTCTATATTTCTTGACCAACTTTTCAATGAGACCATAGTCTTTGGTTCGGAATAGTTTCTCTAGTGGTGCAGTATCAAGTCCAATTTCACCTTCCATCTGTAGAAATTCATTTCTATAGCTGATCTTCGCCAAAGAATGTTGGATTCAAAGAATCTTAACATTTCTCTTTTCTATCTTCGTCAATTATTTTTCTCTTCATTTGATCAAAAGGTAAAAAGAACCAAACAATCATTCAATCAACCTTTTATTAATCTTTTTTTTCATTTCTAGATTCATGCAAATGATACTGAATGTTTTGATAAATTATCAGATGTTTGGAGACATTTTGCAAAGAATGTTGCATTGGTTGAGAATCAACTAGGCACTAACGGTTCGGCAGCTTTTGGACATCTTTTCGGGTACGATGCTTCTTACTATTCATGTGGAGTGAAGTATTTAGTGCCGACATTTTCAGCGTCTTTGAAAAGTCTGGTGTCATGAACAAGGAACAAGGTAGAAAACTCAGAACCGATGTATTGTCTGTCGGTGGTTCTCAAGACAGTAATGTCACTCTCAAGAATTTCCTTGGTAGAAACTTTCTTCCTTAAATCGATTGGTCTTGCTAAATAAATTAATTTACATAATCAAATTTAAACAAAGAATGTTGCATTGGTTGAAAATCAACCAAATAACAACCATCATCGTTATGTTTTGGACATTGGTTTGTTTAAATTAAATAATTTTGTTCTAATTCGTTTATTCATCATCCTCGCTGCTACTATTATTATCTTCCAAAGTTGATATGACTGGATGTAAAAATACTTGAACATTTAATTGAGAAATATCAAAGTTTTCAATATATCCATTATTATATTTGGTAATACAATAAAAGAATAAAACTATAGTATAAAATATATTATAGAATCCCTAAAATTATTAATAATAATAATGGTTAATAAATGAAAACTATATATTTCTTTTTTCTTTTTCTTTTTGTTATGATCATACAGGTGAAATATCCCACAATTTATGAGAATCAAGATTTGGAACTAAAAGATCACAATGAAGTGGTCTTTTATAACTAATATTAATTAATGGTGTAAATTTAAATGCTAAAAAATATTATAATAGATAGATTAATAAAAAATGATTTAGATTTCCTTTTGTTTTTTTGTTTTTCTTACAATATTTTGTATTTTCTTCTTTAACAAATTTAGAAGAGAATGGTAAATCTGGATTTAAAGCTGTAACATCTCTATAAATCTTTTCATCCATGTAGGCTAGGAAAAGAGCAAATAAAAGTTGTTCATCGGTTGGTTGTTGAAGATCATTTTGATCGTTTGATTTGGTGCCAAAGATTGGGAATACGTGACTCTCTTTTGACATTTCTACAATTCTTCTACAAACATGTTCGTTTTCCTTTTTGTGATGTACGTCGTTGAGTTTATCCAAATGATAGGTTGTATATTTCAAAACATTTTTCATAATGTCTAGATTGTTTGGTATCATTCCAAATTTAAGTTTAGTCGAAATGTGTAAATCCTCTTGTAAAAGCAATTGTTCATCCTTTACACTTAAATATCCTTCGGCAGGTCCCGCCAAAGGTTTAATAATATTTTCTGTAAACCATTTTGAACATAGATTTGCACATTCTGTCATATTATGTAAATGTTCAATTTCGCACAACTATAAAAGTAAATTAATATTAACATTAATTGAACAAGACATTATATTGTTATTTTCTACATACATTCTTCCAAAGTGAATTTTTCAAAGCTACAACTTCCTCATAGGTTGCCTTTGGAGTGGTTTCATCAGTAATCTTTGATTTTTGAAGTACTCTATAAGTTTGAATTGGTGCTTCATAATATTGTGTTGCAATATGTTCAATTTCATAAATTTCTAAATAAATAATGAATAAATAAATAATTAATTATTCTAATATTATTTTACATATTATATATTTACTTTTATCTTTATCTCTTTCTTGTCTTTCTTTTTGAGTTTGAATAAATTCTGGATCGGATGATAAAGGACTATCAAATTCAGAGAGTGTAGAAAAGAGACGACCGTTAAAGTTGTTTGTCATCTTTTCAGTCTCAATATCTTCGATTTGTGAGAGATTGAGTGCTGACGAACCACCGCTGAGTGGCGAGGTGATACTAGTGGTAGCGCCACTACCACCAGGGGTCATACCAAACTTTGATGGAGGTGTATAGAATAGTTTACTTGAAGTCAATGGTGACATTGTCGAAGATAGTAAACTACCAATAGGTGTTGACATGTTATTTGAATTTTTAGATGTTGATGTTGATAAAGATGCCTGAGATGTTGATGATGTTGAGATTGGTGTACGTATTGGTGATAATGGCATCTTTAAAGTTGGTGTATTTGGTGTTGGTGTCGATAAAATTGATTGTTGCGAAGATGATGATGATGAATCCTTTGGTTGAACAGTTGGAAAGTTAACAGGCCATTTATACAATGCTCTTTGATCATCAGTCATAACAACCAATGGTACTCTTTTATAATATCTATACAACATTGATGACCCAATACCCAATAATAATGATGCTATCACAAATATAACATGTGATACTAAGTAAATGTAAAAAGGTTAATCAATGATCTCTCTCTTGATATATATATGTATATACTGCTACTACTTACAATCACCTAGAGTATTTCCTTTTTCTGATAGATAACTAAATAAAGATATCGATAAGACGAGTGCAGATAGTGATCTTAACAACCAACTATTTGATTTTGATTTAAGATGATAACTACGAAAGTTTACGTAATCATCAAATGTATTGAGTTGCCATGTTTGAGGTACATATGGGAATGACGGTGATTTTAATATTGGTTGACTATTCATTTCTCACAACCCAATGATTCCTCTCTTTCTCTCTCTTTCTCTTCTTATTAAACTACTGAATGCACTGAAATGATCATCAATAAGTTTGTTTTGATCCATCCCTCCAAAATTTGAAACTAAAAAAAAAAAAAAAGGTCGTTTCGGAAAACAAGCAAAGTATGGATTGCCAAGTATGACTTTGTTTTAAAAATGATATTATTAATATTTATTATCGATTTTGTTGAGTATAGTTGTAAATATTGTATATATGTTGTAGTTGTAGTTGTAGTAATTGTTTGTTAGTTTTTTGAAATGAATGAGTGAAATGATGAGGATATCGGATGAAATTTTGTTTTGGATCTTTTTTTAAGCACGAACTTGGAATTTACCAGATTTGGTAATAGCTCTAACACCCTTGTATGGTTTATATTTCTCGCTACAGGCAAGAGAGTCAACTGAAAGACCAGAGATGGAAAAGAGACCGATTTTGAATTGAGCAGTAATTGGTTGGTTGGAATCGGGTGGTGGGTGGCCGGCCAAAGTGATGATGTTGCCGCTGAGCATGGGTGTTTTGTTGTTGGGAATCTTGCCAATGTTCCACTTGCACACCTTTTGGTCGTCGATGGCAAACGAACCGACATTGCATGTGAGATTGGTCGATGATATGCTCTTGGGGAGTGGGATGGTGATGATGACATTCTCGACTGTCTTTTGTACGTTTTTAGTGCCCACCAACACATTGACGCGACCACCACCCTCGCCAAACGAGATTTGTGGTTTGACATAGACCGGTAGTTGAGTGATACCCTTGACACGATAGTTCATCAGCTTGAATGAGCCATCGGGTGGAATAAAACTGAGTACACGGTCATTCTCCCATCGCGAGTATCTCACACATGGATGGAAACTAACGTCATCCAACATTCTTGGATTATTAAATGTTAATGTTAAATCTGGCATTCCCGTCAATTTACAATTCACTTGTAATTCTCCATTTACTTCACATGAAACAATAAATCCATTACTAAAACAAATATTAAAATAAAAAAAGTATAAGTATAATAAATATATAGTGGTATTGTTGTTGTATTTACCTATCAATAATACAATCAATCTCTTCAATAATATCGAAAAATATCTCATTTGATGCATATTTAATTCCAGTCTTTCTCCATTGAATAGCTCCAAGTGATCCATCTTTTTTAAAAATGATAAAGTAAGTAAGTATAAAGTATAAATATTAACAATAAATGTATATTAACAATAGTGTCGTACTTGGTAATAAATCAGTAACATTTGATTGACCGGTAACACCTTGGAATACATTTGAGAGTACGCCGGGAGGTTTGATCATTTCCTTTAAAAAGTTTGGTTCGGTGGTGAATGGGAAACCATTGTCGGCCATTTCTTCGATGAGTTGGTAGACGTGTACAAAGTTGTCTTTGATCATCTTCTCGGTGATGGTTGGACCAAAGTAGTCGATGAATATATCGTATATACGTTGTAAAAAGTCGATGACCAATAGAGGTGGAAACTCTGATTGCAAGACACCCAACAAATAGATCGATGGCCTATGAATGTTGACTAGATAGTATTTAGGTGTCGTTATCACCGGTGCAACCTTATCCGATTGTAACTTTTGATCCCAAAAGTATTCACATATCGATCTATTTATAATCCCTCTCCAATGTTTTTCAATGATAATATCACTACATACACAAATATACACAGATACACAAGTATAAACAAATATAAATTGTTAGCTTTTTAGGTCTTCTTCTCTTTCTTCTTCTCTTCCTCTTCTTTAACATACCCAGTTTCAGTAAGAATGAATAAACTACTTAACATCTTGTTATATCGTGTCTATCTATCTCTTCTATCTATCTATCTATTTATGTCCTCTCTTCTTTTACTTTATACTAATGTGTGTGAACAAGATAAATATGATCGTTCAACGAAGAAAGTCAGTCTATATAAATCTTTCTGTTCTTAATTTATATTAATACTAATATCTGATAGTGTTTATGACTCTAGGCTCTAATCATCAGAGATTGCTTGCAAGCAAAGGTCATACACTCTTTCTTGAACGGAGGAGAATTTTCAAAATCGAACTTCGACCAATGGATATTTGAATTAAAAATCCCACCAGTAAAAGCTATGCTCAATAAACAAACCATCGCCCCCCCCCCCCCCATTAAAAAAACATTGTTTCATTGTACAGTAGTAATATTAAATAATAATAATAGTATTAATATAGATATAAAGTAGTTATAAATAGTAGTTAATCTCTCCTCAAAATGAAATATTTAGATTCAATCAATTTAATAGCATTGAATACAATGTTGAACAAGGTGGATTGTGGAGACAGTATATTATCGGGTACACTAGAATCATACTCTTGCAAGGTGGCAGGATCAGACAAGAAATTGTATAAATCGTTGGACAAGGAATTGGAGATGCAGTATAGTAGTAGTTTGGATCATCATCAACATGGTAGTAGTAGTCATTTACATCCTAAAAACAGCAGTAGTAATAATTCAATGTCACCTCATTCATATGATAGTCATGGTGGTCATTCTAGCAGTCATAGTCACGGTCAAATGTCACAATCTCCATTTGGACCTCTCACCAACTCTACTAGTCGAAAAACAATGATTCATCTGATCAGTACTCTTAATGCTTGTTTTATAGATTATGATTTCAGGTATCTATCTAGATAGATTAAATAATGGATTAATATAAATATATAAAATATATTATATGTTATTAATAATAATATTTGTTTTGATTGTTAGCAATTCAAAACCAGAACAATTTAGAAAAGAACCTAATCTATCGATGGTAATGAATTCAATCAATACTATATTAGGTAATATCATGCCAAACTATCAAACAGAGGTACAAGAAAAGTTATGGATAGCGATCGATTCTGAAATAGAGTTGCAAAAATCAGATGTCTATTCATTCATACCTGAATCAGGTGATCCTTTTACTGAAGATGGTGTTATGTATGTAATATATATATCATATTATCATATTATTATTATGATTGCAGTAGTATACTTACTACACACACACACAAGTATTAACTGTTATTTTAATTAAATGGATAGATGGAGTTTTAATTATTTCTTTTATAACAAAGTATTGAAAAGAATAACATTTTTCAGTTGTAGATTATTAAAGTATGATTTATTATTATTAGTATTGGACATTGGACTGGATTTATTTATTAATAATGATTTTTATTTTTATTATTATATTTTTATTTTATATTTATATTTTTAATTTTACAATAATATTGTATTACAGCAAAGCATTACAAATTTCAAAAGATAATAACTTGGATATGGATGATGATGATGAAGAGTAAGAAACATTTTATATTATTTATAAAAAGAGATAAAGATAAGAGATAATATAATTATTTGATATTAATTTCAATTTATTTTTTTAGTTTATTTGAATATGATGAATACCAATCAGAGGCAACTACAAGTATGGAATTTTAAAATTTAAATTATATGTGGTCATGTGGTCAGAGGTCATCCGATGATACCTATCTATGGCTCTTTTCCTTTTCCTTATATACTTTAAAAATGTGTACATATATATATATAATATAAAAAGATGTAAAATAATAATATTAATAATAATATTAATAATATAAAACATAAATACTATTTATTGGATTAGAAATAATCAATCAACGCCATCTTCTCTAAAAGAGATATATATATCCCTTTTTTAAAGCCAATTATTTTTTTCCCTCCTTTTTATAATTTTGTTTGTTTGGTTGGTCGAATAATATTATTCGCCCACAATGGTCAAAGAAAAAGAGGAAAAAGGACAGTTGACTGTGAAACAACAAAAAACATTGAAAAGGCAATCATTATTTTATCAGCTTTTGGTTGGCTTGAATTTATCAAATATCTGTTGTCATCGTTCAACATTGTTACTCTCCGAGAGAAAACAATAGTCAAGATCAAATGTTTCTGTGACGATGAATATGAAATTATTCATTATTTTGAAACTCAATCTCTGTTTATTGATCAATTCCAATCAACTATTGTGAAACGTAAATTAGAAACACCTCAAAAATAATATCATAATAGATTAGGGTAAGATATTGGAATCTTCCTCATAGTGGTCTCGTAGTCTAAGATCTTTCCAAAAAAAAAAAAAAAAAAAAAAAAAAAAAAAGAAAAGAAAACCATAAAAATTTATATAATTATTTTCAAAGACAATTCTTTTTGTTAATAATCATTCTTCAAGTTCTTCAAAAAAGAGATAACATTAATGACGAAGAATAGTGTAATTGACATTTATTTATCGATTGATAAGAATATCTATGCAAACGAATATATCAATCCCAAATGGAGCGATCAAGTCAAAGACAAGATAAGGGAGGCTATCCTCAACAAAGAGCAAATCGATAAATCACAGCCTCTCAATGTCTTTGCAGAGGCCTCGGCAGCAACACACCTCGATTTCAATGGAAGGGGTGGGAGAGGAGGAGCAAGAGGAGGAGGAACTCAAGCAAGAAGAGGTATCATAACAAAACCTGAACCAGATACGATGCACATGACATTGCACCAACTTCATTCCAAAGAAATGGGGTTTGAGCCTGACTGCTCAGAAATTACATATAACCTTTATACATTAGATGATATAGATGAATCTTCTACCATAGACGTTCATTCAAAAACTACAATGTTTGTATGTAAATAATTATTAATTAATTGTTGGATTATATTATTTAACTCTTTTATTTATTAATTTTAGCAATTACAATTAACAAGTTATGAATCACCTATACTTCATAATATGTGTTCAAGTGGAGAAATCATTCAACAAGTTATCATTCGACATTATCAATTGAAAGAAAAGTCACGTGTATTGAGAGTGGAGGAATATGAACTTGGCTTTTCAAAGGTTCACACTGTAGCAACATTTGGAAATGACCTAATGGTCGTATTTGTGCCCTCTTTTATTACAACAACATTTGCAAAGATTAAAGTTGATAGTGGAGAGTATAAAAGTTATTCAATGTCACGAGTAGACTATATTTTAAAGGATAGAAATAAGAGAAGTATTCTTCCAATCGATCCTACCAACCCACAAATACTAGATGATGCCATACAAGAAGACAATAGTCATCAAATACTCAAAGACAGGAATGTCAACTATTCAACTAGTCCACCACCAACCACTCAAATATTTGTACAACAGCCCAACCAATTAAAGATATATAAAAGACTAGATAATATTGAATTAGAGATATCATTTGATCATCTAATAACGAGGATTGCAACATTACTTGGATTGGAAAAGAATAGTATTAAAAATCTCCAAAACAAAACTACTAAAATTAATTTTGATCAATCATCTCTAACAATTAAATTAATAAAGGATCAAATCATTGAACCAATCTTTATTTAAATGTATAGTCTATTATTTATTATTTATTATTTATTTATTTTTTAGATATTTTGAATGATCAAAAATAGAGATGACATGTGAATAACAATTAGACCATTTAGGGTCTCTTTGAATACCATCCGATTGTGGATGATTGACAATGTATTGTAGAATTTCAATTTGATTGCGTTGAATACAGGTTGCGATCGTTTTAAAGATGATATCTTTGGATAGGTGTTGTTCCTTTGAAAAGAGATACTTTATGATTTCCAGGTGACCCATACCAGTGGCCCATTCAAGACATGATGGGAAATTAATTTGATTGTGGTCATAAAGGAACTTGGCACATTTTAAAGCAGGCTTGGAACACGCATATTCAAATAGCATTGGATCGTCGAGTCCAGGGAGACCTTGTTGATGAAAGTACTGGAGGATGGCAACTTGATCAAAATGACAAGCCTCTTTGAAAAAGCTAGTGTAAAAGCTTGGTGTGCTACAATACTGTTTACCAGATCGTTGAACGAGAAAGTCGAGTATTTCCACTGATGACTGTTTGGCAGAGAGACTTTTGCTGTCAGTTATTAGAGTTCGAAGTCTATCTTTGAAAACAGTCAGCATGTAGACTCCTATGATGTTGGAGAGTAGGTCCAACTGCTGCATAATCTCTACCAAGAATGAAAACAGTCCCCAATTGTTACTTGTAACTGCGACCTGTGCATACTCGCCAGAATTTCTATTTGTCATTTTTGGTACTAGACCTTCTAGCACGAGATATTGAATCACGTCAAAATGAGCGGTTGTACCACCCTCTACAGTGTGCGAGAGGATTTGTCGTGACAATAGTGCAGGTCGGCGGTCTGGAGAACTGGTGAGGAGTTTAACAATCTCCAAGTGTCCTCCTATACATGCATTGTTGACTGCATCCGCATGCACTGCACCTGGATAGTGGTGATAAAGGTATTGAACTACTGAAAGATGTCCAGATAATGCAGCATAGTACATAGCACCACTTGAGCATCCCTCTGTACGATTACAATGTAACCATTCAACAACGTTTAAACAGCCGTTCTTTGCGGCCAAGTCCATAGTTTCCGTTAACCATGGCCCCATACACAGATTATTGTCGTGAAAGTACTTGATCTCATCCAACCTACCACCAACTGCAAAGGTGGTTATAGTGTCTGGTGATATTTGAATACCATACGTCTCTATTAGAAAATTGACAATTGCAAATGAATCTTGACCTCTTGCCATTTCAACAGTCTCTCTGTCAAGTGCACCCGATTCAATTAGTTGGTTTCCAAAGTAACTGTGAATCAATTCTACCATTCCAATTGACCCAGACGATACTGCACTTTGCATCAAATAGAATTGTTGGAAACTATCTACTGTCTGACCATTATTATTATTACTAATATTAAAGTCTAATAATAGTTTGGTGTGGTTGATCGAGCCAGAATGTGCAATATTGTAAAGTGCCCTTGTTGTGAATGGTTTGGTCATCTTCTTGGTGTCCAAAACATACGATATGATTGAGACGTGTGCATTTAGAGCAGCATCTTCTATCGCAGCATCTGTCAATTCCAACGCATGTGGAAAGGTGTCAACTAGCCAAACAACCATATCAAGTCGACCATTTTCACAAGCCACTTGGAGAGTCTTGTTGTTTGGTTGAATCCCAATTGTTTCAATTGCATATCTTAGACATTCCAAACTACCACCAATCACTATATTATTGAGTATATAGTCATTGGGGGATGGACCACTACCATCACTAGTTCGATTTGTAACTTTAAAATGGTATGGTACCAATTGATACATTCTTTCAAGTACCCCTACTTGTTTACAGTGTCGTAATAGTAATGGAATAGTGACATAATAAATTACTATACGATGAGGGTCATTATCATGAAATATCTTGTATTTAAACATATTGAATGATCTTTGTTGTTGTTGGTATACAAGTTCATCAAATTCTCTTCCATAGTTGCCTTTGCCTTGTTTGTTCATTTTGTAGTTCTCTCTTGCTACCAAATCGTCAGAGTGACAGTACCTGAGATAGCATACTGACTTGTCTGATAACTCTTCATACCTCGATGTTGGGTATCTCTGCACGACACCGATCTTTGCGATAAATGAAATCACATGTTTGTACAATACTCTATTTCTAAATACTCTAAATACTAACTCTGTCACACGATCATCATTCTTCTTTACTTGATTATTAATACTAATACTACTATTACTATTTGTATTTGTATCCTCCATTTCTTCAAAAAGTAAAATATAAAATAAAATAATAAAATCATATGACTTCTAGCCATCATCTCATCAAGACACAGACAACTCATTCTTTTTTATTTCTAAATTATATTATAGTTAACAAACAAATAATAATATGACTACACCTACAACTACATTTCATTGTATGTTTAAATCGATTTATATTAGACAATTAATATTCAATCATATCGGTGTGATATCAAAACAAAGCTGCTATCAACCATCAAATGATAATTATCAAGATGATGGTAGACAACGATCATTAGTCGGAAGAGATATAATCAAATTACCTCTTTTTGGAATGATATCAAAGTATGCAATGCCTTGGCACTTTGTTAAATACTATCTACCTAAAGATTGTACTCTGGTACATATCAAAAGAAGAATTAGAATGATCACTCAATACTGCTGTCATCCCAATGCAACATTGGATACCCTCCAGCATCTATTGGAATGGTCGACCGTCATTGACTTTGATTGGGAGTATTTAAAGAAAAATGTTCGTAATGATTGGAAGTATTTGAAAAGAATTGGTCGTGATATTAGAAATAAAGAGATATTGGAATTTATCATCAAGGCATGTCCTGTTGATGGAGAGAATGACTTTTTGGTTTGGGCACTAAATAATGCATGTATGAATGATTACCTATCGACTGTAAAGTTGATAGACTCTACTAAACTATCAGGTTCACCTCTCAACGAGATGCCAATGGTAACTGCTTGTTTTAATGGGTTCATTGACATTGTAAAATATTTACACGAGAATAGAACTGAAGGTTGTAGTACAAAGGCAATGGTAAGCAACAGAATTAACGATAAATAATTAAAATAATTTATTAATATATATTTTAAATTTTTAGGATAGAGCAGCTATTGGTAACCATTTAGAAGTTGTAAAGGTGAGTTGATTGGTTGGTTGGTTTAATTTATATTTAAATATATTAATATTAATATTAATATTTATTATCTTTGTCAAAAATAATAGTTTCTTCATTTTAATAGAACTGAAGGTGCATCAACGAGTGCTATGGATTGCGCAGCTAGATTTGGCCATTTAGAGGTTGTTAAAGTATGTATTGTAACAAAGCATTGAATGGAGTAAAAGTATTCATATAATAACCAAATTTGTTCATATTTACAGTTCTTACATCAACATCGTAGTGAAGGTGCAACTACCAATGCTATTGATTGGGCATCTTCAAATGGTCACATGGAAGTGGTAAAGTACCTTTCAGAGCATCGTAGTGAGGGTGCAACAACCAGCGCTATGGATTGGGCAGCTGGAAATGGACACATTGAAATTGTTAAATACCTTTCAGAGCATCGTAGTGAAGGTGCAACTACCAAAGCCATGAACAATGCATCACGTAATAACCGTTTGGAAATGGTAAAGTATTTACATGAGAATCGTAGTGAAGGTGCAACAACCGATGCTATGGATGTTGCGTCAATGAATGGTCACTTTGAAATTTTAAAGTTTCTTCAATTCAATCGTTGTGAAGGTGCAACATCCTTTGCTATGGATGAAGCATCGATGAATAACCATTTGGATGTTGTCAAGTTCCTTTTTGAGCATCGTACAGAGGGATGCTCAAGAGTGGCGGTTCACAATGCCGTTAAATATGCAACCGCTGAAATAGTATCCTATCTTGTCAACACTGTCAAAGCAGAATGTAAACCAGATACAATGATAGAAGCACTGGCAAGAGGTGAATTGGATATTTTCCATTTTCTTTATAACTATTTCAAGGAACAAAAAGAGGAGGATAATAATATTTGGACACCAGAGATATGTGTAAGGTTAATGGATATTGCCGCCGACATGGGATACATTGATATTGTAAAGTTACTTTATATTAACAATAGAGGAAAGGAGGGTGAACATAGTCATGCAAAATTAATGACTCACAGAGCTATGTATATGACAGCTCAAAAAGGTCATATTGAAATAGTAAAGTATATTCATTTCAACATGACTGACCCTGGTGAAGATTCAACCAACACTATAGCTATGAATTCAGCATCCAAAAACGGCCACATTGAAATTGTAAAGTTCCTTCATCACCAAAGTAAATGTGAGGCTGCAACAGCTGATGCCATGGACAAGGCATCAATGAATAATCACATTGAAATTGTCAAAGTATGTAGTATATCAATATGCAAAACAAAGATCATTGAAATGACACAAATATAAATTGACCCATTTATTATTATTCCTTTTCATATTATCTATATGTTAGTTTTTACACTTTAATCGTAGAGAAGGATGTACTAGCCAAGCTCTTTTGTATGCCTGTCAGCGAGGGTATCTAGAACTAGCATCTTTTCTAATCAATGTCAGAAATGAGGAATTAAGTCAAGATGCACTACAAACTGCATCAACCTTTGGACACTATGAAATTGTCAAGATGATACTATCGCAATCCAGAGATAAACTGGTAAAACTATCAATTAAAAGTGTCATTCAACATTTAAAAGATAGTGATCATTTTGAAGTTTGTCAACTACTCGAAAATCATTTAAAGCATCATGATAATGCACAAGATAATCAAGAAGAACACCCAGAAAAATAAATTTAAATTATATTTAGTATTTCCAATAATCAAAAAACAAAATTTAATTATTTAATTTTTCTGCATGCTCTAAACTACTTTAATTAATCGAACAGTTGTAGTTATTTTAGTTTGTATTTGTAGTAATAATAATCTTATACAATATGACTACACCAACCACAACCACTACTACTCTATTTAAATGTATATTCAGATCGATATATATTAGACAATTGATATTCAATCATACAACAACAAAAAGAACATCATTAAAAGGTAGAGATATCATCAAACTGCCTCTACTTGGAATGATATCGATCTATGCAATGCCTTGGCACTTTGTTAAACACTATCTACCAAAAGATAGAAATCAAATACTACCAGAAAGAAGAAGAAGAGTGATAACTGAATACTGTTGTCATTCCAAGGCAACATTGGATACATTCAATCATCTATTGAAATGGTCGAACGTTGAATTTGATTGGGAGTATTTAAAAAGAGATGGTTATTGTTTAACTGTTAGAGATGAAAAGATATTGGAATATATCGTCAAGAAATGTCCTCTAAACAATTACTATTTCGATTGGGCAATGGAACAAGCGTGCAAATACGGTCATCTATCAATTGTCAAATTGATTTGCTCGAGTTTCAAAGGTTTACAACTACAACCTTTTCAAATCAAAAAGATAGCAATGTATACAGCTTGTAGTAAAGGATTCACTGATATCGTAAAGTATTTACTAGAAAATAGAACTGAACAATGGGGTGATGCTGCCATAGTAAGTGTTATAGAAAATTTAACAAATACAAGAAATTAATTTATTAATGATCTCTTTCTTGTTTCTCTTTGCATTGTAGGATAGAGCAGCAACCAATAACCATTTAGATATTGTAAAGGTGAGTTGATTGGATAAATTATAATAGTCTTTTTCTATTAATACTAAAATCATTTATCTTAAAATCATTTTAGCTTCTTCATTTTCATAAAAGTAGAGCTATAGGATGTACAAAGAATGCTATTAATTTTGCATCGGAGCATGGCCATTTAGAGGTTGTTAAAGTAAGTACTCGTGTGGTCAAACCCAATAGTCATAAATTTCTAATCATTTTACTATAGTTCTTATTTGAACATCGAACTGAAAGATGCAATAGTTATGCCATTGATGAAGCGGCTAAAAATGGCTACATTGAAATGGTAAAGTATCTTCATGAGCTTGGTGTACGTACGACAAACTATGCTATGGATAGTGCCTGTCATCAAGGAAATCTTGAAATTGTAAAGTTCCTCCATTTCAATTGTAAAGGAGGTGCAACAAAGAATGCTATGGATTGGGCATCAATGAATGGTCACATTGATATTGTAAGGTTCCTTTCAGAGCACAGAACAGAAGGTTCGACAAATAATGCTATGGATTGGGCAGCTGAAAATGGAAACATTGAAATGGTAAAATACCTTCATCAACATCGTAGTGAAGGTGCAACTACCTATGCTATGGATTTAGCAGCTAAAAATGGTCATATTGAAATTGTACAGTTCCTTTCGGAGCATCGTACTGAAGGGTGCTCACAAGAGGCTCTAAACTATGCTGCCAGAAATGGAGATATTGAGATGCTTTCCTTCCTAGTGGATACTGTCAAGATAAAATGCCAATTAGATACCTTAAAGGAATCATTAGAGAATGGTCATTTAGATACCTTTCATTTTATTTACAACCATATTTCAAACAACAAAAAGAATGATAAAATATTGTGGACAACAGAGGTGATGGATTTAGCAGCTAAAAATGGGCACATTGAAATAGTCAAGTTCCTTTCAGAGCACCGTACTGAAGGTGCAACAAACAGAGCCATGGATATGGCAGCTGGAAACGGACATTTTGAAGTGGTAAAATACCTTCATTTCAACAGGACTGAAGGGGCAACTACGTATGCTATGGATTATGCAGCTCAAAATGGTCACATTGAAGTTTTTAAATTCCTTCATGAGCACCGTACTGAAGGTACAACTGTCATGGCTATGAATAGGACAGTACTCTTTACCAAAGTATGTAAATCATATTAATGTAAAGATCGAAAATTGAAACCATCTCGAGAGTAACAATAAGCTACATCCTTTTACTATAGTTTTTACCATTTAATGAAAATCAAGAATGTACAGACAGAGAAGAACTTGCATCTTTTCTAATCAATGCCAGAAAAGAGAAATGTGATGAAGGCTTTTTACTAAATATAACAACTTGTGGATACTATGGAATTGTCAAGTTGGCTCTACCACATTTTGTCGGTCCCAAGGGAATAGTATCAATCCAAAGGGTATTGGAAACAAATACCAGCGACCATTTTGAAGTCAGAGAATTACTCAAAATCCATTTAAAAGAGTTAAACAAAAAACAATTTATTGGCTTTTTTCAAAGGATATTCGGATTGGAAACTAAAGATTAAAACAAACAAAATAATAATTATTATTTCTTGTTTGTATCCAAACACAGAGCTTGTTGTTCAAGGAAAATATTTAACAAAAAAAAAAAATCAAAAAAAAATCAGATATTAAAAGGTCTACAATTAAAAAAAAAAAACTAGTAGCATATTCGTATTGTTAAAACATAAAATAGCAATATGACTACCAATACTACTACAACTACTACATTTCAATCTATATTTAGAGTGAAATATATAAGAGATTTGATATTCAATCATGTCTATAATACAACAAAACAATTATGTCGATGGCGATCATTAAAAGGAAGAGATATGATCAAGTTACCTCTACCCGAAATGATATCAAAGTATGCAATGCCTTGGGACTTTCAAAGTCATTATCTACCAAAAGATTGTAATGAAATACTATTGGATAAAAGAAAAAGAGCGATCACTCTATATTGTTGTCATCCCAATGCAACATTGGATACACTCAATCATCTATTGGAGTGGTCTCCTGGTGTTGGATTTGATTGGGAGTATTTAGAAAATAATGGTTATTGTTTAACGGTTAGAGATGAAAAGATATTGGAATACATGGTCAGTAAATGTCCTCGAAAGAATTACTATTTCGATTGGGCAATGGAACAAGCATGCAAACATGGTCACCTATCAATTGTCAAGTTGATTTGCTCAACCTTTAAAAGTTTACATATCAAAAGTGTAGCAATGGATACAGCTTGTAGTAAAGGATTCATTGATATCGTAAAGTATTTACTCGACAATAGAACTGAACAATGGGGTGAAGCTTCCATGGTAAGAATTTAAATTATAAATACAATTGAAAGAATTAATAATTAACTCTCTCTCTCTCTATCTATCTATCCCTCATCAATGTAGGATAGAGCAGCAAACAATAACCATTTAGATATTGTAAAGGTAAGTTGATTGGTTGATTATGGCTGGTTATAACCATTGACATTTGTTTCAATATTAACAATCTATCTATATCATCATTTTAGCTTCTTCATTTTCATAAAAGTAGAGCTATAGGATGCACTTTTGAAGCTTTGGATGGGGCAGCTCTAAACGGTTACATTGAAATTGTAAAGTTTCTTCATTTCAATCGTACAGAAGGTGCATCAATCAATGCTATGAATTGGGCAGCTGAAAATGGATACATTGAAATTGTACAGTTCCTACATGAACACCGCAGTGAAGGTGCATCAACCATGGCTATGGATAAAGCAGCTGAAAATGGACACATTGAAATTGTAAAGTACCTTTCCGAGCATCGTAGTGAAGGTGCAAAGAATGCTATGAATTGGGCAGCTCGCAATAGTCACATTGAAATTGTAAAGTATCTTTATTTGAACAGAACTGAAGGTTATTCCCCATTGATCCTATCATATGTTGCTGCAAGAGGAAACATTGAATTGGCATCTTATCTTGTCAATACTGTCAAAGTAGAATGTGAAACATTTACTTTAATAGAGTCACTGGAGAGAGGTCATATAGACATGTTTCATTTTCTATATCATCATTTCAAAGAGCAGAGTAAGATTTGGACACCACAGGTGATGGATATAGCTGCTAAAAATGGATATATTGATATTGTAAAGCTACTTCATTCCAATAGAACGGAAGGCGCATCGACCAATGCAATGGATTGGGCAGCTCTAAACGGCTACATTGAAACTGTACAGTTCCTTCATTTCAATCGTACAGAAGGTGCAACAGCCGGGGCTATGGATGGGGCTGCTCAAAATGGCCACACTTATGTTGTACAGTTCCTACATGAGCACCGTAGTGAAGGTGCAACCACCAACGCTATGGATTGGGCCGCTGGATATAACCACATTGAAACTGTAAAGTACCTTCATTTAAACAGGACTGAAGGTGCAACTGTCAATGCAATGGATAGAACAACTTCAGTTGAAATTGTTAAAGTATGTAATAATTTATTGAATCAAACAAAAATCACATAAAATATAATCCATCATCACTTTGTACTCACTCCTTCCTTTTATATTCTGTTTATACTATACAGTTTTTACACTTTAATCGTAGTGAAGGATGCACTGATAAAGCTTTACTTTTCTCATTTCAACAAGAAAATCTGGAAATTGCATCGTTTCTAATCAACGTCAGAAAAGAGATATGTGACCAAGACCGATTATTATATCTAGTAAAAGAAAGATACGATGAAGCTGTCAAATTGGTTCTACCACAATTTGTAGGTCCCACAGGAATAGAATCAATTCAATCCATATTGAAACAAACCAAAAAGAGTGAACATTTAAATCAAGTCAGACAACTACTCAAGAATCATTTACTTGATCATCAGGTGCAAGAATCAACCAAAAAGAAAGTATTTCTTGGCAAGTTCAAAAAGCTTTTTAAATAATAGATTTTAATTCCAAAACAAAATACTTCAAATTGTGTTATTATTATTATTATTTATTTCTGTTTTGAAAAAAAAATCAAAAAAAAATATCAGTTCTCTTTTTGTATTAACAAATAATAGTAATAGTAATAATGAATACAACAACAACAACAACAACAAACACAATGAATACAACAACAACAACAACAACAACAAACACAATGAATACAACAACAACAACAACAAACACATTTCATTGTATATTTAGAGCAAAGTACATTAGAGATTTGGTATTCAATCACATCAATGATTTAACAAAGCAATTAGACGGTGGTGATGGTAGAAAACAACGATCATTAAAAGGAAGAGATATAATCAAGTTACCTCTTTTTGGAATGATATCAAGATATGCAATGCCTTGGCACTTTGTTAGACACTATCTACCAACTGATTGTAATCAAATACTATTAGAAAGAAGAATTAGAATGATCAATGAATATTATTATCATCCCAATGCAACATCAGATACACTCGATCATCTATTTGCACATCTATTGGGACGGTCTCATGGTGTCTTTGAATTAGATTGGGAGTATTTACAGGACAATGGTTATAGATTAGGGATTAGAGATGAAAAGAAATTGGAATACATCGTTACTAAATGTCCTCAAAAGAATTACATTTTTGATTGGGCAATGGAGCAAGCATGCAAATACAATCATCTATCAATTGTCAAGTTGATTTGCTCAAACTTTAAAGGTGTACAATTAAAAGAGATAGGAATGTATATTGCTTGTAGTAAAGGATTCACTGACATCGTAAAATATATACTCGATAATAGAACTGAACAATGGGGTGAAGATGCAATGGTAAGAATATAAAATTGAATCAACAAAAAGACATTAAAAGAAAAGAAAAGAAATAATAACTAATTCAATCTCTCTCTCTTTTTGTTTAATACAATTATGTAGGATGCAGCAATACAAAATGGTCATTTAGAGGTTGTAAAGGTTATTTTTTTTGATAAAATAAATGGAGGAGGTACAAGGAATGCTCTAAATTATGCCGCTGATCATGGGTATTTAGAGATTGTTAAAGTATGTACTTTTGAATATTTCAAATAATAATATTAATATTAATATTAATTGATAACATCCTTTAAATATATTTAGTTCTTACATGAAAATAGTGATAAAGGATGCAGTTGTTATGCTATGGATCATGCAGCTGAAAATGGGCACTATGAAATTGTAAAGTTTCTTTCAGAGCATCGTACAGAAGGTGCATCAACCAATGCTATGGATGGTGCAGCTAAAAATGGACACTTTGAAATTGTAAAGTATCTTTCAGAGTATCGTAGTGAAGGTGCATACAGAGCTATGGATTTAGCAGCTGAAAACGGCCACTTGGAAATTTTAAAGTACCTTCATTTCAATCGTAGTGAAGGTGCAACAGCCATGGCTATGGATTGGGCAGCTCAAAACAGACACATTGATATTGTAAAGTACCTTTGTGAGCATCGTACTGAAGGATGTGTAAGATCTCTAGAATATGCTGCTAGGAATGGTGATATTGAAATGGTATTATATCTAATCAACAATCTCAAAGTAAGATGTTTCAATTTTACTTTAAAAGAAGTACTTGATAAAGGTCGTTTAGATATTTTCCAAATACTTTATGATCATTACAAGGAGAAGAGTGATATTTGGACAAAAGACATCATGGATTGTGCTGCTAAAAATGGGTACATTGATATTGTAAAGCTACTACATTTCAACAGGACCGAAGGTCCATCAAGAGGAGCGATGGTTGGTGCCGCTGCAATGGGCCACTTTGATGTAGTCAAGTTTTTACATGAGCATCGTACTGAAGGTGCAACAAGAGTAGCTATAGATTATGCATCTCAAAATGGCCATATTGACATTGTAAAGTATCTTTATCAGCATCGTAGTGAAGGTGGAACGACCGATGCTATGGATTTGGCAGCTGGAAATGGACACTATGAAATTGTAAAGTATCTTCATGAGCATCGTAGTGAAGGTGCAACGACCACGGCAATGAATAGGGCTGCTCGAAATGGCTACATTGATGTAGTAAAGTTCCTTTCAGAGCATCGTACTGAAGGTGCAACAACCGATGCTATGGATTTGGCAGCTCAAAATGGACACATTGAAATCGTTCAAGTATGTAATATACATATATATATATTTTTTGTGGGATATGATATCTAATATATGTATTTATTTTTTGTTTTTGTTTCTAGTTTTTACACTTTAATCGAAGCGAAGGGTGCACTGATAAAGCTCTTTCATCTTCTTTTTTAAAACAACATCTGGAACTGGCATCTTTTCTAATCAATGTCAGAAAAGAGAAATGTAGTGAGGAATTACTGCTAGAGGTATCGTCTCTTGGGTACTATGATATTGTCAAGTTGGCTCTCACACAATTTGTTGTTAACAGCACAGATACCATGTCATCAATAGAATCACTTACAAGAGTCATAAAACAAATGAAAAATAGCGATCATTTTGAAGTCTATCAATTACTAGAGGATCATTTCAAACAACTTCAACAAAAACATCAACATGCCATAGCTGGTAAAGGTTTACTTGGCCAATTCAAGAAGTTATTTGGGAAATAAAATAATAAAGTAATTTGCTTGTTTCCAAAGTTTCTAAAAAAAAAAAACAATTAAGTAGCTATTCTTTTTTTTTTCAACCACCAAGTTTGATGCGACCAGCAATAATACTAGTTTACAAATTCTTCTTCTTATTCAAAGATGACGACTACGACTATAGTATTCACATTCTGTATTTAGAGTGAAATACATAAGAGAATTGGTATTCAATCATGTGACTAGTCATTCTAAAGGACGATCATTAAAAGGAAGAGATATCATCAACTTACCTCGTCTTGGAATGATATCAATCTATGCAATGCCTTGGGAGTTTATTTGTCATTATCTACCATCGGATTGTAATCAGATACTACTCGATAGAAGAAAAAGAGTGATTAGCCAATACTGTCATCATCCCAATTCAACATTGGATACACTCCAACATCTATTTGAATGGTCTGCTATCGTTGACTTTGATTGGGAGTATTTAAAGAGATGGTCTTTGTGGTCGTTTAGGAAAAGATATATTGGAATATATCATCAAGAGATGTCCGACAGAGGATAATAGTATTTACGATTGGGCAATGGATCAAGCATGTTTGAGTGGTTACTCTCTACTGTCGAGTTGATACACTCAACAGTAAAGAAGAATGTACAACTCGACAACACAGCAATGGAAATAGCTTCTTATAATGGATTCATTGATATTGTAAAACTACTTTATTTCAACCGTAGTGAAGGTGCAACTACAATTGCTATGGATTGGGCAGCTGGAAATAATCATTTCGAAATTGTCAAAGTATATATATAAACAACAAACAAATCCATATCCCTATCCATATTCTCTAACCCATTTATACTTTTATTTTAGTTTTTACATTTTAATAGAAGTGAAGGATGCACAAGTAAAGCTCTTCAATCTGCTTGTACCAAAGGACATTTTGAAATGGCATCTTTTCTAATCAACGTCAGAAAAGAGAAATGTGATGAAGAAATACTTCAAACATTATCAATACATGGACACGATGAAGCTGTCAAGTTCAAGTGTAAAATTTTAAAAATGTCATAAGGTTTTGGTTTTAAGAAACCAAAATCTCCTGGAGGCTATGTCATAATGTATTGAGGTTATACCCAGAAAATGGTTTGTTTAGAAGATTATAACAACTTTTTGAAAAAAAAAAATTGGTTCTCCCACATTTTGTTGGTACAGAGGGAATAGAATCAATTCAAGAGTCTTGGCAAAAACACAATCTAGAATACCTGACCGCGGTCATTTTGAAGTCATACAACTACTCGAGAATCATTTGAAACAACTGCAACAACAAGATAATCTACCTCTTTGAAACCAATAACAAAAAATAATTGTAATATTAAACTCTAAAAGATTTATTTACTTTTGATTTTAGAAATCACCAATCTTTAAAACAGCACGGAATCTAGCTTTGGAAATATTCTTTAAACATTCTTCAGCTTGCTCGAGTGGATAGACTTGAATCATTGATCTGACATTTTGGTTGGCTGCAAACTTGAGGGTGGCCTCTGTGTCACGACTATCACCCGAATAGGATCCTATTACAGATTGATTGTTGCTAATGAGCAAGAGTGGACTGACTGCGATGTTTTCAAGGATACCGGCCAAGAGTAAAAGCTTGCCATTTGACCCAAGAGCCTTGGAGAGCTCCTCGATTGAGTCTTTGGCGGGTGCAGTGCACATAATGGCCTTGATACTACCAATAGCTTTCAAACGACCGACAACATCGGGTTGTGAAGAGTTGATGTAATGGTGTGCACCTAGTTCCTTGGCAAGTTGTTCTTTCTCGTCACCTGATGAAACGGCGATGACTTCATACCCAAGCTTTCTGGCAAACTGGATACCCAAATGACCGAGACCGCCAACACCATGGACTGCCACCAAATCACCTCCTTTAAGACCGGAATCACGGATTGATTTAAATACTGTGACACCTGCACAACAGAATGGACCGGCTTGGAGGAAATCAATGGCGTCTGGGATACGAGCCAATGCATCGTGTGGTGCAACTGTGTATTCGGCATACCCACCGTTGAATGTCAAACCACACCCACCAGCACTCTTGCAAGTGACCCAGCTGTCAGCCAAACAATCTTCACATTCTCCACAGTGACCTCCACCAAAGTATCCAACACCTACACGATCACCAATCTTGAATCTTGTGACTCCCTCACCAAGGGCATCGACAATTCCAGCCACCTCATGACCCGGTACCCTTGGGAAAATATTACCAACGGCACCACTGGAAATCATCATGTCAGAGTGACACACTCCACATGCCATCACTTTGACTCTTACCTGTCCCTTTCCAACTTGTGGAATTGGTATTTGAGTAATCTCCCATTTTCCTAAAAATCAAAAATAACATAAAAATAAAAAGAAAATTGGAAAAAAAAAAATACAAATGGAAAGAAATAATATTTGAATATTAGAATATTAGAATATTATTATTATTATTATTACTATGAATCTCTTTAAATTTAATATTTTACATACCAGCTGAAACAATAACAGCAGCTTTCATAGTGGTAACTTCTTTTGGTTCCATTTTTTTTTAAAAAGACAATAAATATGTATTTGTAAAATAGATAGATAAAATTACTTAAAAATTGTTGTGCGTGTGTGTATGATTGATTAATAATGTTTTGATATCTCAATAGTTTTGGTTTGGCAATGACTTTTATATAGATTGAGAGTCTACTACATTTTTCAATTTCATACACGTAATCTAGTACATGTACACCCACCCACCTTACTGGAAATGGCTTTAGCACAAGCAAAAGAGCCAAAACAAATAGATCACCCAAATTCCATGTATTATCTTTCTCAAAAATTATTTTTACCCACCATTGCCTGCAAATATCTCACATTGACCTGAACAGTGATGTAATCAATGTGTCACCAAATCCGACCAATCTTGGTACTACCAGATCTCTCATGACTCCAAGTGATGTCAACCATCTCCACTCAACCTACCAACTCGGAAGGTTTTCAATTTATTCAAGTAACTTCAACGATAGATACTCTTGAGAAGACCCACTCCTTGAGATTTTTTTTTTGTTGTCTTTGAAATGGAATGTGATATGATCTCCAAATCTACTCTATCTGTCAATCAATATGACTTTCATATATTTTCATATTTGTACAATCATTGATTTAATTTAAATAAATGGAATAAATTGAAATTATCTTTTCTTAACAAAATAAAATATTAGATGTTCAAGTCAAAAATTTGCATCATTCTTTTTTTTATTAAATAGTTGAATGTATAATGACTACATTTAATTGTATATTTAGATCGATATACATTAGACAATTGATATTTAATCATATATTGTATAACGAAACAATTGTATCCTTATCAAGGTAAAGGAAACAAAATAAAAGTAATGATGGTAGACAACGATCATTAGTCGGAAGAGATATCATCAAGTTACCTCTTTTTGGAATGATATCAAAGTTTGGGTTACCGTGGCACTATATTAAACATTATCTACCATCGGATTGAATCAAATACTACTTAAAAGAAGAAGAAGAGTAATCAGTCAATACTGTTGTCATCAAAATGCAACATTGGACACACTCAATCATCTATTTGAATGGTCTCAAGTTGACTTTGATTTGGATTATTTGAAAGCATTAATCACCTATTTTAAAAGAACGTTGGATGATATAAAAAATCAAGAGATATTATCAATAGAAGAGACAGAAACGAATGACTTTCTCAGTTGCGCAATCAACATGGCTTGCAAATATGGGTATCTCTCAACTGTCAAATTGATTTGCTCTTTCAAATATGTACATTTCAAACACATAGCAATGCAAAAAGCTTGTATAATGGATTCATTGACATTGTACAAAAAAAATATAATGCTATGGAAAAGACAGCTATGGAAAATGGGCACTTGGATGTTGCAAAGTACCTTTATGAGCATCAAGGCACCCCCCCAATCTTCCAGATACTCTCGAATGGTTATTTACGAGCCTGCTAGAAAAGGAAACATTGAAATGGTATCATACCTTGCTCACACTTGATCAATGCAATGTTGTGCCGGTCAATTTGAAAAAAGAATTGATTCTTCGATATGGACAAGAATAATATTAAAGAGTCTGTACTTGACTCTACCAATATGCATAATCTACCCTCAATTCAGTCTAAAGTCCATCTTGGTCGCCTCCATTCCTTCAATCATTGGTAAACTGTTTGATGTGTTTGCAAAGAATAGTAATCAAAAAGATGGATACTGCTCTCTTTTATCGATGTCAAAAGGATATACAAGATTTTGAAATCATATCCATTTGCTGCCAAAGAAAAAAAAGCTTTAGAAAAATGAAAACAACAATCATAGTTTTACAATTGATAATAATAATAAAAAAATAAATAAAATGATTTAATTAAAAAAATAGATTCTCTAATATCATTCAAGAAGCGTCTTCGCTTGGCTCTAGATCGGAGGGGGGGGGGGGGGGGGGGGTGAACCCCTTCCAGATCAAATTTGTTGTCACTCTTGAAGACTAATCTATAGACAAATATGCAGGAGAGTTGTTAAAAGCAATAATATCTGAAATTTACATGGGAAATTTAGTAATCTTAACTAAAATATCAGAGACTCGACGTCTTCTCGATCGCCCCATTATGACAATTTTTTGTTAGAATGCAACCATTCGAATATTCTCCTGTCTGTTTATCGTATCCATGTGATCCCTCGTCTTTCACAAACACATAACAGATAAAGAACAAAGATAGATAGATAGATATCAATCAAAATCATGTCGAGTATATTAGAAAGATTGGCAGCATTTAAGAACAAACATTCGATTCAGAGCATCTCAAAGAATGTATCGTACTCACTCTTGAATACTGTAAGACATCTTTCGTCAAAGGAAAAGATTATTATTGCTTCTGTATCGACTGCATGGTTGGGCTTTGTTTGTAAGTACCGACTTGTGTGTATGCGCGCTAATGGTGTAAATTAACTAATCATTCCTCTCTTTTGTTCTTTCTCTCTCTTTCTAAAAAGACAACCCAGGAAGCACTTCTACAATCACTGATGAAACAATGGATGAGTTTCTAGAGATAGCAGAGTACATGATGGAACTTTCCAAATCAGGTGCAGAGGGAATAGCTATGTTGTTCGATATGGATCATCCATTGTTGGAACATATCGCTGCTTGGTTAGAGCACAGCAAGCATGCAATGATCAAATTAGAACCTCATTTGGGACGTGTCATGATTGTTCTTGCTCGTTTCCTACACAGCTTGCTCTATGTGGTGATTGAATCTGAAGAAGGAGAGAGCCCTCTTCCAACGCTGGCAGAACGTTACCAAGGTTTTCTTGGTCACCCTCTAATTCAAAATCTTATCAAAATTTGGAGAATCATGTTAGCTAAATGTATGAACAGACATACATACATACATAACATACATTATTCACTGTTATAACAGTACCGATCGTTTACAACTAACTAATAATCTTTTTGTAAAATGTAGCACCTAAAAAGAAAATTATATTCTTTAATTTCCTCAGCGTGCTCGATGAACAAATAGAGACTGAGAATGTTAGATTCATATTGTTGGCGCTCTTGGCAAAAACATCACCTGATATTCCATTGGAGACCTTTCCAACTGAAAATATTCTTTCCTTTTACCATCAGTTGAAACCCCTCTATGCCGGAGGCTGGACATACGACTCGATCGATCAAACACTCAACCGTCTTGCCAACATTTTAGCGTCAAGATACAGCGATGGTGATATCGAAGAGCCACTCTCACAAATAGAAACATATGGTGGATACCGTTACCGAAGATACATTCCCAATTGGATGCTTGAATTCAAAGAAACAATGCTCCTCACGGCGTTGGGATCGTCCCTTGCCGTTGGCACTAAAGTGGTGCCTGCCCCATTACAACTTGCCTCGTTGGCCTTCTTGTTGGATATGGATTACCTGGGTGATAAGAGTGTATATGTGGTTAACCTCTTAACGGGAATAACCACCTATATTCTGGGAAGAAACAACTACAAGGCACTAGGAGTTGCTCTCTCTACCACTTTTCTCCCAATCGTTCTCAGACAACTTTTCATCAAGAATATAGAACAAATTCGCCAAAGTGAAATTTACAAACAAAAGGTCATCGTCGACTTGCGTCATTATATCACCATTCTACACACGCTTCAGAAAACAGCCAAAGCAAACCAATCAAGTATTCAAGAAGAAGAGGAGGAGGAGGAACAAAATATTAAAGCACCACAAGATGTAAAGGAGATAGACACAACCTCAATTGCCGGTGTCAACCAAGAATGAAGACATCACAATTAAATAAATAAATAAATATTAATATTAATTAAAAAATAGATCATCGATCAATGTAAAACTGATAAAGCTTCAAATGATGGGTGGGTACTATGATATTGTAAAGTTGATCCTCCACAGTTTGTTGGCACAGATACCAAGTCTGTAAAATCACTTAAAAAGATCATAAAAGATATGAAATATGGTGACCATTTTGAAGTTAGAAAATTACTCAAAGACCAACACAACAACAATTAATTAAATAAATAAATAAATAAAATAAAATAAATTTTAAAAGTTTAAATTGATAATAAAAGAGGTAAGTTTATCTATGTTTATTTATTTATTTACGTGCAACAACTCTCTTGACTGCGTTTACAATATTTTGAGTTTGGACCATAGCATTATCTTCCAAATTCTTGGCGTATGGCATTGGGACCTAAAGGAAAAAAAGAAAAAAAAAAGGATTAATTAAAATTCAATAAATATATATATTCTCTCTTTTCTTTTCTTTTCTTTTTTTGTTTAGACTTACATCAGCACCACAAACACGTTCAATTGGAGCATCGAGATAGTCGAAAGCGTTTTCAACCATTTGGGCAGCGATTTCAGAGCCGACACCATGTTGAGCCCAACCTTCTTCGACAGTGACCATTCTGTTTGTCTTCTGGATGGACTTTACCAAGGTTTCAGTGTCGAGTGGACGGATGGAACGCAAGTTGATGACCTCACAGTTGATGCCTTCCTTGGCGAGGATTTCAGCAGCCTCTAAGCATTGAGTGACAATACGTGAAAAGGCGACAATGGTAACATCGCTACCTTGACGCTCAACCTTGGCCTTGCCAATTGGCAAAAGGAAATCCTTGTCTTGAGACTCTGGTGAAAGAGTAAACTTGTAGTTGTATAAAATTTCAGATTCGAGACAGACAACTGGATTGTCGTCACGGATGGCAGCCTTGAGGAGACCACGATGATCTTCGGCTGACCATGGGGCAATGACCTTGAGACCTGGGATTTGTCCGTACCAAGCAGCAAAACATTGACTGTGTTGAGCTCCGACAGAGGTTGGTGGGCCGTTTGGACCTCTAAATACAATTGGGTTGAAAACAGTACCACCAGACATGTAATGAGTCTTGGCTGATGAATTGATAATATGATCAATAGCTTGTAAACTAAAATCAAAAATAAATTAGATTAGATATCATATATTACTTTCAGAAAGAGGATACCCATCGATAGATCAATCAATCAATCGCAATGGATAAGTGTCTTTGTTCTCTTTTCATACCTGAAATTCCAAGTCATAAACTCTACGATTGGTCTGAGACCAGACATGGCAGCACCAGCACCAATACCGGCAAAACCAATTTCTGTGATTGGGGTGTCGACGATTCTCTTTGAACCAAACTTGTCCCAGAGACCCTTACTGATCTTGTAGGCACCATTGTATTGAGCTACTTCTTCTCCCATCAAGAATACTCTCTCATCTCTTTCGATTTCTTCTTCCAAAGCACTGTTGATGGCTTCACGAACTGTAACCTAATGAATAAATATAATTACAACAATATAGATTAATATTAGAATATATATTACATTATGATAATATTATCATCATCATCATCATCATCATCATCTTTTGGTCTTTATATGTTTTGATATTATTATTCTGCCGAAATCATGATGGTTCATTTAAACACTGTTTGACACCAATTGTGTTGTTGTGGTGGTTGTTCTATATTCTATCTATCACTTGATATATCTCTTTTTCTTTTCCTTCCCTCTTTTCACTTTCTTCTTTCTTCTTTCTTCTTTGTTTAACCATGTACATCTTTGTTGTTGTTGTTGTTGGTATATCTTTTTTAAAATAAAGTTCTTTCTTTCTTTCATGTTATGTCGTCTTTTCTTTGTTGTCTGTAGTCTTTGTTTCTATCTACTATCTGTCTGTCCTATGTTGTTGTTTGTCTGTCTATGTTGTATATTATGTTGTATGTATATAGTCTTGTTGTGTCGTGTGTATAGTTCTTTGTTGATCATACCTCTTTTGGAGCAACAGTCGAGTATGATCTGACGAATGAAGATCTGAGTTGTGATGCAACTTGTGGTGTAATAACCTTCTTGACGATAGCGTTCATCATTTTTGTGTTGTATGTATGAAAGAAGAGAGAATAGCTACACTGTAATGATGATCAATGGTGCAATTCTAGTTGACAGAGCAATTGGGAGCAAGCAAGAAGAAAAAAATCATTTAGAAAAAAAAAAATAAAAAAAAACAAAAAGTCGTCTTGTTCACGTCAGACTGCTGCACAGAGAGAATGATATCTTCACACTAAACAATAGATACACAAGCATACAAACGCACACTATCATTGGAACAAAGTTAACTTAAACAAATACAAATATCTCTTTTATTATTTAACTCATTTCATTTCTTATATATCTTTCACCATATATTGAGAAGAGGAAAAAGGACAAGAAGTGAGATAGAAAGATAAACTTGGGGTCTATGTCATAAATAAGAAAATAAAGAAATAAAGAAACAAACAAATAAATCGTTCGTGTAGAGATACAAATAAAATTAAATGATTTTTTATTCGTTCGTCTAGACAGGGAGGTGGGACAAAAGGAGTTCATTGACAAAAATTAAATTACTTTCCAAAAACGGATAGCTATGAATATCTCACCACCTTTTTCTTTCAAGGGCTCACCAATCACAGCAAGCTTTTGAGGGGTCCTCTCTATTGCCCACAAACTCCAACCACCACTATTACTAAAAAGAAGAGAGACAGATCCATCCTTTTGATTGAAAAGGGAAAAAAAAAGAAACTGGTTTAATTTATTAATAATTATTTTCTTTCTTCTTCTTTTTCATTCTCTTTTATTCATTATTATCTCTCTTTTTTGTTTTTTAAAAGACAAGAAGATATTCAGTTCAGTTCAAGTTCAGTCTTAGTAGATTGAAAGAAAGATAATAATAATAAGTTAAAAGATAAAAGATAAATAGAGATATCTTCTATCTTTCTTTTTTTAAATAAGATATATCTGTATGTATACTATACAGACATCATCTAATATCTATCTATCTTATCTATCTATCATAAGAGAGAGAGAAAGAGAGAAAGAGAGAAAGGAAAAGGGAATAATTGACTAATACCAATCATAGATAGATATCTATATTCATTTATTTATTTTAAATAGTTATTTATTAAATTGTTGTTGTTGTATTTATATATAAAAGGTTCGTGTCAAGCAAGACCTAAGAGTAGAGCAGAAGGAAGGGAGAGATGAGTAGATTAGTAGCAGATAGAGATAGACAGATTAGAAGAGTCATAGCATTAATATAATATCTAATTTCCCATTTTAATGGTGAACTTCAAAAAATGAACTTTGGCTAACTCTGAGATTTTTTTTTTTTGATTTGATTGGCTGTTGGATCAAACCGCTTTCCCTTCAACCTTCCTTTTTCCTTTTACCTCTTTCTCTTCTTTCTATTCCTTTCTTCATTATAGATATATTTGTATTTGTAGAGAGAGATGCAAAACATTGAAGATTTGGTTCAAAAGTTGATGATTGACCAGTCATCATCGTCATCAACTTTGACCTCCTCCTCGAAATCAATGACTCCTACCACTACAAACATCAAGATACCTATATCATTAAATCTATTGGATAATTTAAATGACCTCAAGTCATTGTCACCACATGGTGGAGTACATTCTCCACAGATGCACAGTGCCAATAGTAGTGGGTCCGGTGGAGGTGGAGACTCATCTAGCCAGTCTGGGTCATCGTCATCATCCTTTTCAACAGTCTCTTCAGCCGTTGAATATGAAAACAAACTACAACAAATCAAGGATATAATTAGCAAGTTGGTGAGCAAGTATGTGGGAGATCAAGTCTTTCGAGTTGATTTATTTCAAGGACTTGAATCGCCTTCTTGGGAATTACTGGGTGGTGATCAACGTCAACATGTCCAACAAGACGACCCATTATTCAGTATACTAAACGACAATCATCAAGAGTTGAAAGAAAAGATCCAGGCCAGTTGGAGAGAGCGTGGGGAGGTGTTGATCAACTGGTCAAGCGTCATTCTCAAAGTGCACCAGGTCTTGTTGAACAGCACATTGTATCATCAGCTGCTAAAGAGGATAGCAGCTGCCAATGCCGACGATTCCGTGTCGTCGGGGAACAACTTGTTATTGTCGCGTGTAGAGGGTGCCAGCAACAAGGCGAGTGTTGGTAAATACCCAGTGTCTCTGTCTTCCAATAACTTGGGTGCCCTCGCACCACCTTTGGGACAGCAGCAGCTGCAGGTCGACCCCAAGACAGGCCAGCCTTTCAACGTAGTCGATGCCATCAAATCAACACCCGTCACCCCATCACAAAGCTCACCCGTCCTAAACAACACGAGTGCACAACAAGGTAACGGTGCACTAGATTCACCAACCTCACTAGAGTTACGTCAACCTACTCCTCTTTATAAAGAGACGAATGGGTCTGGTAGTAGTAGTAGTTCATCCTCATCATCCTCTTCATCTTCGTCGTCGTCATCATTTAAACCAGAGAAACAACCTGTTAAAATGGTTCAAAATTCAACATCTAATTCAACAGCTAGTAGTGGGGGTAGCTCATTCTCCTTGTCTTCACTACTCGCTCAACAAGGTGCTGCCAAACAAGAGCTACCACAAGGGTTGAGAGAGTTGGCTGAACGATCATCCAAATACGATCAGTCTAGATCCGGACAACAATCATCATTACCACCACTCCAACCACCTCCACCATCATATCAACAACATCAACAACAACAATCTCAACAAGTCCCAAGAAATGTATATGATTCACCGACGATTAATCCAAATATTAACAAGTTACCATCAAATTTTGAGACGGATCCTGTCATGTTGCCAGATGGAACATCGTTTGTTAATTTGTCGGCACCTTCACCAAACCAACTGCCAATGTCAATGAGCTCGCCAGTGTCGAGTCAGTCTGGGTCGTCGTCGACAACGTCCATCCCTATTCCACAGGCCAGTCTTATGTCACCTCCAACATCGGCCGCGTCGTATGGGTCGAATACGAGCAGCATGTCGCGTATCTCTAGCTCCCCGTACGGCGAGGGTATGCCACCCACTCGTCTGACCGAGTCATTCTTTCCAACCTCCTCGTCTCGTGGTCCCCCAACCTATGATAGTATGAGTATGCAGGTTGGTAGTGTTGGCAACAACAACAACAACATCGCTCTTCCATCTTCACCATCATCACAACAAATGTTAAGATCTTCTGGTGGTCTAATGAGAGGTTCAACTTTAAATCAACCAAATAATAATAATAATAATAATAGTAGTGAACCAATTGGAATTACTATTCAACAGTCATCGTCATCACAACCACTTCAAGTACCACTTATTATTACCACTTCACCTTCATCACATTCAACTTCATCTTCATTTAATAATAGTATGAATTTAATTTCATCAACTCCACCAAATATGGGTGTTGGTCAAGTTGCAGGAGGGATGATGATGTCAACATCAGTATCATCTTCATCGTCGTCGTCGTCAAAACCTATTCCAATCTCATCGATTGGTATACCAGCACCAATCAACACTTTGGCACCTGCCATTGACAACACTATTGTACCAGCGAGTAGTTCATTCAAGGCAACGTACAGCAACCAAAATGCAGCCAATCATCATGGTCAGTCGGTGCAACCAATCACCAACATCTCAACTATGACCGACCAAGTATTACCATCTTGGCTTGACCTCACATACACTGTCAATGGTAATGTGAATGGTGAAAAGTCAGCAGACGACTTGTCAATTGATTTATTCTCATTACTTTTGATTGAAAAGTCTGGTGGTAGATTAGACCATTTGTTAGAGTCGAGACTGATTCAACTCTTGCACGACAAGATACAGTCCGTGATTGAGGAAAAGTCCAATGTCTGGATCGAACATATCTTTCATCATTGGGTCAAGTCGGTTAATATTTTTTACCATCACGAGATTGTTGGTAAGATTGGCGAGCTTGTCAAAGAGTATTCCAAGCATGTTTGGACAGACTCCAAGTATCAGTATTACCTCAACACGATTGTTCAGTTGAGACGTATGTATCCTCCTACAACCACAACTACTCCTACACATGGACATCAACATCAACCAACAACACAACAACAACATCAACTATCAATAATGGTATCAAAACAAGAAGAAGTACAAATGAAATTAATTATGAAACAATTGATTGATGATGCATTGGGATTGGTGTTGGTTCAGGATCACCAATCTTTGAAACATGTTGAAAGGTTGGCAGTTGGGTTGATGGGACATAACCTTGCATCGGTGCGTCAAAGTTCGGTTTGTCTACTCAACGTTATCTATGATTCACATGATTGGCAATTAGAGTCACCTTTGAAACCAGTGATTCGTGTGATTGGTGATGCGTTCCGTGTAGAGTTGGATCTTGAAGTACCACTTCCAGAAGACGTACTCAATCGTATCTATGTGCTGACTGTGACACCGTCGATTAGTAACAAGGCTGGTAAACTCAACAACAGTGCCACAATATTCACTCGCAACAAGGCACGAGTCGATGTGAGTGGCACCAAACTATACCATGAAGCTCCCTCCTCATTTTATCGTGCCGGTTACTATGATTGGATTTTCGTCGAGCTTGCAAGCACCGGTCTCTACAAACCATTTGATTTCAACGCCTACAAAATCAAATTACCCGCCATCCAACCAACCCTTCAACAATCAACTCAAACAACTATCCCCAATCAAGAATCAACTCTTATTCAAGGTAGATTTATTGTTCATCCAAAATTACGTGAAGAAATTATGCATGAAGTAAGAAATGAAAAGAAAATGATATATGGTAGTACTTGTTTATTAATTAATTGTTTGTTTGTTTAGGTATGGGTAGATTTACAAGATGCAGTTTGGGATTCACATAGAGGAGAGATTCAAAAGAAAGGAACATTACAAAACTTGATAGATTCTTTGGATGGATATCATATGGATGGTGTGACGACGTTGTATGTGATGGGATTGTTGGAGAGATTGAATCACTCACATCCATTCTGTCCGACCGATAGAGAAATACCTAATCGTGCAACTGGAGGATCGAATCTATTCCAACAACTGGTTAGTAAAGCCAAGCAATTGGGTATTCGATTGGTGGTGGATTCAACGACTCGTTTGTCGTCGAGAGCAGCTCATCGCAAGTATAATCGTTCGATTTGTTACACACTCGATGCTAAAGGTCAGTTGGGCAGATTAGAGGGAACGGATTCGAGCGAGTTTACTTGGCCCGATTGCGTGCAGATTAATATGCGAAAGTTGTCGGCTTGGGAGACACTGGTCAACGAGACGTTGGGATGGGGTGAGCGTGGTGTAGATGGTATTCGCGTCGACGGCGGTCATACTTGTCCACTCATATTCCGTGCCAATCTCGACGAACTCTATCGTTTGGACAGTGATGACCAACCACACTATTCCAACCAACAAATCTTTGATGGTGAGATTGTCATGTCGCCGTCTGAAGAGGGTAAGAACTTTGGATACTGGGGTACGACACCGCCATCACCCAAACAATCAACTCTGTTCTACCCCAATCCACTGTTTATCAAGTTGACAAGAGAGATTTGGAATCAGTACCCAACCTTTATCTTTTTGGCAGAGGTCTATTGGGAGAGAGAGTTACACTCGATTATTTCGGGTTTAGTTCCCTATTCTAGTGCCATACCACGTGCATTGGCATCGGTCTTTGACAAGGGTATTAGCAAGGATGGTATAGTGTATGATTTACGCCAACGTTCGAGTGTGCGTGCACTGTATGATTATTATGAGATGCGTATGACTACGTATCCCCAAAACTCGATCATTTTGTTCCCGTCGTCCACTCATCACTCTCCTTACCCCTTGCAGATATACAACGCTGGTGCGTGGGCAGCTGTGGATATGCTCTACTTTTTGCCAGAGATTCCAATCACTTATATTGGCGAGCAACAAGGTTGGTACTATCACGTCGACATCCACTCGAGCCGTGTCAAGGTGGGTATGTCGTCGACACCATTCCAACTACAGTACCCACAGATCCGCGGACATTATGCACATCGTGTGTCACTGCGAAAGAACCATACACTGTTGCGTCGTGGTGGTATGATCCCCTTACTATGCTACCATCAACAGGGATGGCACGACCGCGTGTTTGGATTTGCTCGTTTCTCAGGCACCGAGTTGGCCATCATCGCCATCAACTTTGATAACCACGACACTGAGTTTTACGTCGATTGTAGTCCGTTGGCCAAGATATCTACCGAGGAAACCACCATCTATCGTCTGATTGATCTCATCAATCCCAGCAACCCACCACAATACTTTTCACAACAGGAACTGCTCTATGAGAAACACTTTGTCGTCGTGCCGGGATACTCTAGTATTTGCTGGGGTGTCTACCACCAAGTCAAGAGTCCGGCTGCCATCCGTGTGCTCTACGAACACAGTATGACACGTCTCAAGCAGCTGCTGGCCGACAATGTCGATCCTTCCAACAATCTCATCTACTCGATTTTGAAAAAGGGGTTGGCATCGGTCGACGACTTTGCAGTGTCAATCGACGACATTGTCTCTAATCTCTCGGGCAACAATGAAAAGAGTTTTGCTCAATTTATTCAACAAGTATTATACCATCTCACACGTTCATTTGATGGTTTTAAAATTATTGCTTACTTGGATTATTTATCAAAAAGATTTAATCAACAAAATAATAATAATAATGATCAAAATATTAATAATAATATTTTAGTAAGTCCAACATTTTCATCATCATCTTCATCTTCATCAACTTCAACAACTATACCACAACAAATTAAAATTAATAGTAGAGTTGCAAAGATTTGTAAGGATATTTTACAACATAATACATTGGGACCGATTGTATTTATTACACCAGAGATTGGTAGATTCTCGACGGTCGGTGGTGTAGGTGTCATGTTGGATGAGTTGACACGTAGTTTGATGTTGTTGGGTGTGGAGGTACACATCGTGTCGCCATACTACAATTATGGAAAGGGTGGACGAACAGGGTACTTGGAAAAGGAGGAGGGTATCAAGTGGCAGCGCAACGTCGTCACATATGTCGGACCGGACAAGGTCGAGGTTGGTGTGCACTCTGGTGTCGACAAGGGTATCCATCTTCACTTTTTACATCATTTTGAGTATTTCCCAACTCCCTATAACTCCGGCTCACCAATTCACCAACTCAAGACTATTGTCTTGTTTGCCAAGGCCTCTCTCGAGCTATTGTGTCAGATCAGGTTACTGCCATCGGTCATTGTCACAAACGACTGGTTCTGTGGTCTGGTACCTGGGTATGCGCGTGCGGGTGCTTTTGGCGCCACATTTAATGGCACTACATTCTTCCATCTCGTGCATAACTTGGAGGATGCGTATCAGGGTCGTATATACCCCGACGGCGGCGACGATCTCAATTGGATCCATCAACTACACCGCGACCTTATCATGGACCCCACTTCGCATCAACCATGTCTCAATGCGTCGCGATGCGCTCTACTCACCTGCAACAACTGGGGAACTGTCTCCAAGTCATACTTGTATGATTTGCTGCGCACCAACCCTCTCTCCAGCCTGTTGCATCGCTTCCCACAGGCGTTTGCTCATTCCAACGGTATTCGTGTAAAGGAGCGTCGCACACAACTTGCAACCATCGCACATGACCATCGCGAAGCGAAAGCTATCTTGCAAAAGAAGTATTTCAACCATGTCGATGACACTATCCCCATCTTTAGTTTTGTCGGACGTATCGTCCTGCAAAAGGGTGTGCATCTGATCCTCAACGCCATGCGTGAGCTCGTGCAACAGTACCAGGGCAAGATACAGGTGTTGATTGGCGGTATGGCCAATATGAAGGATCCCTACGCCGCGTCGTGTGCATGGAGTATGCAGGCGTTGTCCAAGCAGTACCCCAACTGCTTCTGGGCCGACCCTGACGCCTTTTTCAGCGACGGTGCACTCGTCAACCTTGGCTCAGACTTTGGTCTCATGCCCTCTCTTTTCGAGCCAAGTGGTGTTGTGCAACAAGAGTACTTTGCAGCCGGCACACCCGTCATTGCGTTCAAGACGGGTGGTCTAAAGGACACGGTCTTTGAATACAACATGCTCGATGAAACAGGCAACGGATTCACATTCGAAGCACACAAACACAGCGATTTCGTCCAAGCTGTCAACCGTGCATTCAACATCTTTTCCAATCCCCATCACTACCAAAAGATCCGCGAGAGATGTTATGAATCAGTCCTCGACATGCAAGTAGTCGCCGAAGCTTGGGCAAAGGAATTCTCAAGAATGAGAAGATCAATTTGGGCTGATGCTTCACTCATTGAACAATCATATAATCATTTAATTAAAGAAAATAATCAAAACAATAATAATCAAAATCAAAATCAATAATAATGATAAATAAATAATAAAGAATCAACACATGTTATATATAATATAATTAATAAAATCTTACTTCCCCATAGGGAAGTTATTATTTATTTATTTTGGTTTAATTAATTCTTTTTATATTGATCCATGACAGTTATGAAATTTGGAATATTTTGACAACGTGGTTCATCCCAACTAATAGAAAATTCTTCTGGATAATTGGCTTGAGCTGGAATGGTAAAAGTAGAGGTTGATTCTGGATCAGAGGATTCACAGAAATGTTGACCATTTTCACCATGGAATCCATTTCTAAAACTATTGATTACTTCCATAATTTGTTCCAAATGAGTGGCATTCATTTCAGAATGCTTTGATCTTCCGTTGACTGATGAGATAATTGTTCTTTCATCAATATCAAATTCAATAGAAAACATTGATTGTTTTTTAAAGTTTTGAGATCCAATATTGAATTTTGTGAATGATTCACCAACATCATCACATTGAACAACACATCCATAAATTGAAATGATTATAAATGTTAATAAAAGGAATTTCATTTTTTTAAAAAGTAAAAAAGATATTTAATTAATTGATTTTTAGTTGTTATTGTTATTGTTGATTTGTTGGTTTGATGATATTTAAAATTAGAATTCTAATTGGGTATTTATAGTTTTCGAATTCTCATGATCCTTTTTTACCTCTTTTGTATTCTTTTCGTCTGATTTTTTGGTACAAACACACACACCCTAAAAATATGTCATCAACGAACCACTGATTGTTTTTCTATCTGTAGTTGGAATTAATTCAATTATTTCGATAAATTGATTGTTATCATCATATATGTGTGATGATGATTGTTTCACTCCGTACGTATATCATCAACAAATGTAGAAAGAGGATGATATTAAAATGAATGATGGTGTCAAAGGTCAAGAGTAAAGGGGTCATGGTGTCACCATCTAAATAAAAATAAAAATAAAAATAATAAATAAACCAAATATACCTTCTTTTTTATATAACTATTATATTATATTAACAAAAGTTAAATAATAAAGGTCACAAAATCTATAGACTGATGATGAATTCCAAGAAAAATAAAACTGAAGTTGAAAACCCTATGATTTGAACTTTGAAATCTCGATCATTATATATTTAATATTAATATTAATATCTTACAGATAATAGAGTAAGAGATATTTATTTATTTATATATACACAAATATGTCTTCAGGTAATAGTAGTGGAGGCAGTAGTAGCAGCAAAGGAGGGAGAATGAGTTTCAATGTCCCTTATTCTAACCCTCCTAACAGTACTGTCAATTCTTCTAAAGACGTTGTACAACGACCGCAAAAGAAAACCAAATCATCATCTCCAGAGTCTAGTGGTGGTGGTGGTGGTAGTGGACACATACAATCTCCTCCTTCATTGGCATCACCAACTAAAGGAGGTTCAATACGTAACAGTAGTGGTGGTAGCAGTGGTGGTAGCGGAACACCAAATAACATTGGTTTGGTGTCACAAACGTTTGATTTACGAAACAGCAATGATCGCACTCGCGATGAAGAAATGAATGATGATCATCAAGAAGAAGATAATATCAATTTTGATGATGATGATAAAGTAGATCAAGAAGTGATCAAAAAACAACCTTCTCCTCCTTCTCCTCCTCCTCATCCTCCTCCTCGTCCACAACCACCTCAGACCAAACATGTACATACTCAACAACAGCAACAAAAGAATACTAATAACAATAACAATAACAATAACAATAGCAATCAAAAGAATGATAAGAAACCGGATCGAGACAATGATGGTAGTGAATCTGAATCTGAAGAAGAAGAGGTAGAAAAAAGTTCTTCAGAAATAGAAGAAAGTAATGATGAAGAGGAAGAAGAAGAAGAGGTAGAACATAGTTCTTCAGAAATAGAAGAAAGTAATGATGAAGATGAAAAGGAACGTGAACGTGAAAAGGAAATGGAAAAGAAAAAGAGACAAATGTATATACAACAACAGCAACAACAACAAAAAAAACCAAAGGACATTAATGAACCTATGATACAAGATAGTAATTATGACGAAGAAGAAGAATTATCAAAAGTAACAGACAATCTATCTTCAAGAAAGAAAAAGACCATTATTCAAGAGGATGAAGAAGAAATAGAAGATCAAGAAATGGGAGAACAAGATGAGGAACACGAAGATCAACATCAAAAAAGATCAACATGGGATTTAAAACCTCAAACATTTGAACCAATACCAAAATATCAAACATTGATCGAACAACAACAACAACAATCACAATTTATGCCAATGGCATCACAATATTCTCAAATTGGTGTACCTTTTGATTCATTTGAATCGGAACACGATCATTTTCAACTCAATTTAATACCATTGAACCCTAAAATGCTTAATCTTCCATCCCAAACACACTTTTTCGAATTATTATCAAGTTTATCTGTTCAATTTAATCCAGATCACCAAAGATTATTTAGTATGTATCGAAATATAAACATATTTATTTATTTATTAAATTTTTACTAATTATTATCTTTTCTTTTTTATTTATTTATTTAGTTAAAGACACATCATTGTTTAAAAGAGAACTTCAAAAATATTATAAGGATAGAAAAAGAGTGGAAATATTCCAAAAAGAATTGGGATGTATGATCAATCAACAGGAAGTATTGTTCATGATTTTATCGCCTGTTGTTGGAGAATCAAAGTCGGTCACTCAAGAATCCATGGTTAAACTATTATTATCAATCCCTGCACTCCAACAAGATATGATTACAATGTTACTTGGAGAATATCTTGTTGGATTACAACCAGAGTATGTATAAATATTTAATTTCGTAGACAAGAATAAGAAATGATTCTAACTCAACTTTTATTATTCCTTAGTTTGGTTAAATTGTTGATATCGCAATTTAGATGGTTGGAATTGGCTGGAGGTGACAGTTGTATGATTTCTTCTAGAGTATTGGATCTTTTTGATATGATGAGTGATCAAGTTGAACTCAAAAAAGATTTGATTGGCTTTTTACCAGAATTGTGTGAAGATTCAGGACATGCCATGGCTGTTGAACACTTGTTACAACTAATGAGCACAGATTCTACATACACTGTTGTGGTTATTGATGCATTGGGTGCATTCAATCTAACCGATACAACTAGAAAAAAAGCAAGAGATGCAATGTTTATTCAATTATCTTGTTGTGTAACTAGTGAATTACCAGTTGTTCTAAATGCTCTTTTACAATCAATTAATCCTTCAGAAGTTACAGAGGTAGGTCAAATTAAATGAGATGGCGGGCCTTTAAAATTGATTTTAACTAATCCTTATTTATTTATTTATTTTCTAGACAATTAAAAAATTAAGAGAAAATATATCATTTCCATCAACAGCAAGATTAATTAGTTCATCTACTGGATCACCAGCAGGATTATACAATCAATCCAATATGTTGGATAGAAAGATTTTAGAACAAAATTCAGATGAAATGGTTGTATTGGACACTTTAAAAACAAATTTTAGATTTAAAAAGGATTTGTGTACTGCTTTTATCAGGGAAATATCATCCAATAGTAAAACATTCAACGTATTTGATTTTTGGTTACTTTTAGTTATTTATTCATTTTGGAGCCAGCCCAAAGACATTGAATCTTTACTTAAAAAGAAAATCATGTCTGGTTCTTTAACAAAAGCTACTTTATTATCAAGTTTACAATCTCATAATATTTCTTTAAAACCGTAAGAAAGAAAGAATAGAAAAGAACAAAACAAAAGAAAAGAAATTTATTTATTTACCAATTGTTTTGTTTTTTCTAGATATTTTAAAATATTATTGATTTTATCAGATTCATTTTTAAGATCAGCAGAACCAAAAGTTAGATTAATTGGACATCATTTTTATTATATTTTATTTCAAGTTTTTCATGATGAAAGAGATACTGTTCTTAGTTCATTATTACTTCATATTGGTTCTGGAAATGTAAATATAATATATTCAAGTAAAGGATTCAATTTTAATTTATTTATTTTATTTTTTTTAGATTGGAGAAGTTGATGAAGCATTATCAGTATTATTAGAATTATCAACCAATTGTGGAGAGATATTAAAAAGACATAATAATTTTATCAAAAGAATTATGGATCAACATGAAATGTTATTGGAACACCAAATCAGAAAAGTGTTTAGATTAATGGCAACACAATCATTTAATATTCAATTGGATGGGGATTCATATCGTGTAGAGAATAACAAAGATATGAATGAATTGGACATGTATACTAGAAAACTGTCAAGTGGTAGTAGTTTAAAGTATAAAAAGTTTGGTATCATTTCTGGTTGTGCTCAAATTCAAGTGTTGGCCAAAAGAGTTTGCATCAAAGATCGTGATAAAGGCGAAAAACTAATTGATGTTCCAGCTGAAGTTTCAGATCGTGCAATGTATCTATTTAATAGTCTATCAGAAAGTTGTAAAAAATCAAAACCTGTATGTTAAAAAAAAAACAAAAAAAAAAGAAAAAAGATAATCAGTTATTTATTAACCAAACTTATTATTTTTTTTTTATATTTATTTAGTTTGATAAATTATTAACAGCATATCTTTTTGATGAAATGCAACAAATTTTTACAAACCAATTTTGTCCAAAGTTTATAGACCATATCGCAGGGTATGCATTCATAGTTTAACTAAAATGATAATATTATTTTTTATTCTAACCTTTTTTTTTATAATTTTATTTAGACTATTTATAGATATGGAGGAATTTAATAATTTATTTAATAATCATATTGGAAGAATAGATGGAGTTTGGTTTAAAAAAGATGATAGTACAATGGCAGTAGATATTTATCCAAAGATTTGCAATCCAGCACAAAAGGATAACGTATTGGTATCGGCCCCACTCTTTAGATTCCTACGAACATTTGTACGTGCATCTAAAAATTCATTGGAAGATCTCAGCGGTGTACTCGAAGTACCATTGGTCATGTTTGATGAAGAATTATTGGAATTTGATATGGTCAAAGGCAAGGATTCCTATGCACTGGCCATCTATTATGCAGTTGATTGGATTCGTGAAACAATCAATGCATTCTCTCCACAAATGGATCTCTATCACAATGGTGTATCTCAAAGGCTAAAGGATTTGATTGTGGTCGAAGAACGACTCAACCATGTTCTTTCTCTTTGTCCTTCATTCAATGCTCCCTATGGTTCATTCAATTCTGATCTTCGTAAAAACCTTTCAGTTGATTTAAAGAAAATTAAAAAGAAAAAATTGTCTTGGTTAAATGATGAAGAGTAAGTGAAGCGAAGAAAAACAAATCAAAATGATATAATACTTTTATTAACCTTTAATTTTTTAGTTGTGATCATTATTTACCACATTTAGATGCGATTGGAATTCATTTAAGAAAATTAGATTTAAATTCACTTTTAATTTTACAATCTAATGTTAAAAACTCTCACGATGGTACTTTTAATATTATTGAATTGGATGTATGTAACATTTTAAATAATAATTATAAATTTAATTATTTATTCTTTTTTTTATTTTTTTATTTTTATTTTTTTTAGGCACCACAATTACATTATTTATTAGTTGATTTCAATAGAAAGATAACATCATTGTTGTCATCTGAAAAAAGAAATCCATTTGGTCATGGATCTTCACAAAGATATATATTAGATTATAGTTTTATAGAGATGATCAAAACATTAATGGCAATATTCCCAGCACTTTGTGTACACCTTGAAAGAACTGTACAGACAATTGAACAACTCTTCCCAGATCAAGAAGAAATGTTTAAACAATTCAAAGTAGCTCAATCAAAGTCAAAACACAATCCAGAAAACCAAGAGTATAAATTGGCAATGGAAAAAATGGATGATGTCTTTACCAAAAGTCAAAAGATATATTCTTTGAATCTTGCAAATACCCATCTTATTTTTGAAATATTTACAAAAATATTATCTTATGATTCATTTGATTTTCAAGATTTACAAGTATGTAAACAAAAAAAACAAAAAAAAGGTATTTGATAATATTAACTTTTATTTTATTTTATTTTATTTTTTTTAGGAAATCATGGCATCAGTTCATGAAAAAAGAACAACCAAATTAAATCTGACAGCAATTGATCTCAGTTTTAAATTATTTAATTATTTTGAAAAGTTTTGGGTTTCTTTATTACAAGTAAAGGCATTCCGACCATGTACCAGTTTGTTAACTCTTTTAACCACATTGTATAATAATGATAAAAAGAGTAGCAAAGGAAACACCAATAGAAATGGTGTTGATCCAAAGGTACAAATATTCAACTATGCCAAACAGGCAATCGGTCAATCTTGGGGTAGAAAAATTCCTGTATGTTCGAAAACAATAATAATTTAACATACAACATTTATTTACTTTTTCTTTTCTTTTTAGGCAACATCTACATCATATTTATTAAAAACATTATTTTCACATGCAGAGAACCAAAAAGAGGTTGGTATTATTATTTTATGTGAATTCTTTGTTGTAGTTTGTGCTACAAACAATCTGAATGCTTTGGAAAAAGCAAAATCAAAATCAAAATCAAAAGCAAAAGGAAAGGCAAAAGGTAAAGGAAAGAGTAAAGCAAAAGGAAAGAGTAAAGGAAAAGGAAAAGGAAAAGGAAAATCAACTCATGATAGTGATGATGATGAAGAGGAACAAGAAGAAGAGGAAGAAGAAGAAGAGAATGAAGATTCATCGGAACAAGATGATCATCAAGAGAGTCAAATGGATGATGACAAGTTGGGAGAAGAATCGATCAAAATGATGACAAACACTGTTTTTAATTTGGTTGACCCAGAAAGAATTTCTCTACGTATTTTCAATCCTTCAAGCAACATGGTCTATTTTAGAACCCTTTTTACACTCATCAACGAACAAATGGCACTTGTTGATATTAATAGTCAGAGACCAAAGGATATTTTAATACAATGCCAACATCTTGTTGCAATGTGTGACATGCTCCTAGAGTTTTCAAAAGAAATACACTATGTGGCCGATTCTCTCAAACATGGCAAAAACTTTGTCATGGAATTCACCAAACACTTTGTCCCAATCATCGACAAACTCTTTGAATTTAGTATTTCAAAAACAAAAGATATTATCAAAAAGTTTCAAGATGTTACTGGAGCCTTGCAGGTATGAAATCAAAATTGAATCATTCATCGATTGATCAATGTGGTGGTTACTAATACTTTTATTATTATTTATTATTTTTTTTAGCATCTTTGTACACAGGTCAAGAATACAAAGGATCAATCTGGTGTTTCTTTGGTTCCACTAGCCAAGAAAGCAATATCAACATTTGCAAGTGAAATTATGGTTAAATTTAGAAAACATAAATGGCAAAACAATGTTTCATTCCAATTACTAAAGACAAAAAATGCTCCAACTCGTGGTGGTGGTGGTCGTGGTAGTGGAAGTGGTAGTGATGATGATGATGACGACGATGATGACGACGACGAACAATATAGTAATGATGACGAAGACCAAGATCAAGATCAAGATAATAGCGAGAGTTCAAATTACGATGGTTCATCTTCAAGTGAATATGATGAGGCAGAAGAAGTTAGTCAAGTTGAAGACTCTGAACAAGAAGAAGAACCATCAGGTGATGATCTTGATGATCTTATTGATGATTAAATAAATAAATCATTTATAAATATTATTCTTCATATGAAAAATTTGAATAGTCCAAAACAGATCATCAACGTCAATACAAAACTGCGATACGTTTGTAGGAATGATTAGTTATTGAGTACAAGAACAATATATTAGACAATCAATATTTATTTATCTTTTTTTTTGGTTGTTGGTTTTCGTTTTTGACTGACGTGATGGTTTAAATGGTTTCTGAGCAGTTGACAAACCTCAAAATGAATTGTGGGCCAACTCGACTATATTATAAAGCCCACCTGTCGATACTTTTTGTAGTAGTTCTTGACTACATTTTTCTTTTCTGACATTGATGAGAAATGATGCCAATTCAAAATGATTTAGGTATAAAGAAAACATACCTCTGTCAGTACAACCTTCAGTGCGATTAAAGTGTAAAAACTAATAGGTGTTGATGATTTGAAATGGATGAAAATAAATAATAAATTGTTAGAGGATATCAATATCATATTTATGATAATGTAGTTGTGTTGTTACATACTTTGACTATTTCAATGTGATTATTTTGAGCTGCCAAATCCATAGCATCCTTTGAACCGCCCTCTGTACGATGTTGAATAAGGAACTTAAATGTGATGATGGGATCAGCACTGGTTAGTATTTGCAATTATTTTCAAAACAATACATACTTTAACAATCTCTAAATTACCATTTTCAGCTGCTCCATCCAGAGCATCACTCGAACACCCCTCAGTTCTATTAAAATGAAGAAACTATATTTTAATAAAGAAATTTATATTATTTGTTAATGAATTGAAATGTAAAATTGCAAAAGGATGACTTTTAAAACCAACCAACCCAACTCACCTTTACGACGTCTAAATGGTTATTTGCTGCTTGATCCTACAATGATGGGAAAGAAAAGTGGGATAATTAATTCATTATTTGTATTTTTAATATTAATTCTTTTGGTTCAACTCTTACCATTCCCCTTGTAATACATTTTCCAGTTCTATTCTCATGTAAATACTTTACAATGTCAATGAACCCATTACTAGAGGCAAGGTCCATTGCTATGTCATTTAGGTGTGGTGCTCCTTTTATAGAGTCTATAGATATTATCATCTTGACTGTCGAGAGATATCCATTTTCGCCTTTATACAATTGTTTTGATATATATTACAATTGTCTAATGTATATCGATCTAAATATTGAATGAAATGTGTTGTCCATTGTATCTTGTGAAAGGGAATTGTAGGTATTGAGAGCAACAAATACACCAAGCGACAAGATGAACTAATCATTGCATAAACAGAAGAATTATTTTTTGGTTAGAGGTGTGAGCGAGCTAGCGTTTGCGCGAAACGATTGATTGGTCAGACAACAAAGCAACTATCTTGCGTGAATAAAAATCTGGTTGAAAAGTCCAAACAGACCAACATAGATTCGGAAAACTGTAAACAGAGTATAAGAACAGGCATAATTTTCACAAATATTTTAAACATCAATAATTATTTTTAATTTGATTTTTTTGTGAAATTAATTGTTGCTTTAAAGTTGAATAATCTAATTGCTTTTGTTGTTGATTTGGTTTACCTTCTCTTCTTGTACTACTACAACCATATTGTTTAGAAATAAATAATAGGAAATCATTTAGGATAGGTACCATTTCTCTTGAATTGTTTACAGATAACAGTAATTGTCCGAGTCGAGTAATATTATTAGATTGATCGGAAATGATTTGACCATTTGCATCCTCTGAGAGTTTGTTATTTAAATTACCAAATGGTTGTAGATAGCCATCGATATGTGGTTCCAACTCCGGTCGAATCACTGCTGTGTTTGATAATCTAGCAGACATTCCCTCTAATTCCATTTCCGCTTCTTCTGCAAGCATAGCATGATGAACTATAGTTGATAGTAATTCGGTCACTTGAATGTTCTCTTCTCTACCTCCAGTACCATTGGCTTGATCACTAATAGAATAATGCATATCTTTGAACCCAACCAAATGTTGAAAGTTTGGTGGAGGTGAAATATAGGTTGGAATAATGAATCGATTGAAAAAGTATGGGTTTCCAGCAAGATTAGATTCATCAACCAGGAACCCAAATGATCTACTAGCAGGATTAGTCTCATAATCTTTTGTTAATTGGTGCAAGTCTTGAACACTATCTATTCCACCTCCCAAATAAGTACACCAATCATAATTGTTTTTTCTTTCATTTGATGTTGCATTTTGAACCAATTGTTTTAACTTTTCATTATCCTCCATATCATTCCAAACTATCTTCTTGGTATGAAAGTGTTTCCAATCTACTTGAATTGAATAATTGTCAAATTCAATTGCCAAGTGATCACGACGATCTTTATCTCTCTTCACCATATCAAATAGATTAGGTAAATAGTCCCTTGTCTGATCATAATCTACAAATAGAGTAATTGGTATATTTGAATCATTCAAACCTTCTCTAGTTGCCATTAAAATATCATTGATTTGATTCATTTCTTTTTTTTTTTCTATTTTGATTGATCTTAGGTCTAAATTGATTCCTTTGATCAACGATGATGATGATGATGATGAAGATTCTTGTTTTAATTGATTCATTCCATTTTTAAAATCAATAGGTTTATCATTATCCATAACTTTAAAAGCTAGAAATGTATTATTCCTAAACAAGTAGAAATAAATCACAGTTTAATATTGAATTCAGGCCCATGATGATCGTTTTGTTTACTTACTCTATTGAATGATTAATTTTCAATTGTCTTTTGAGTGTATGTTTAGCTTTAATGTATTGATTCATATCGATTGGTTGAGTTGATCCATGATATGATGTGTACAATGGTTCATAGTATTGTAATTTACATCTTGACTTTATAGATACTAATTGTCTAAATGCGTATGTATTGATACTTGAAGGTATAACCTTTATCATTCTCGACGAGAATATATATAATCTTTAGAATGAATAAATGATCACAACTTTTGATTTAATCACATATCATTGTGTGTTGTTAATCTAGTACTACAATCTTAAAAAGATCCGTTTTTTTAGAGGTCAATATTGTCATGGTGACATGTGTAAGTTATTTTTTTAATTATTTGTATTTTTTTATTTTTATTTGTTTTAATCTTATATTTTTTTTAAGATTGTTGATGTTGAAGTTGTTTCTTTGTATCCCAATCTTGTAAAGTTTCAATGATATGTTTAATTGATTTTGATCTAACCTTTGCAACATCTTCCCAAACGACGACGAGGGGGATGGCCGAACTCCAAGCAAGGGTCAAAAAGTATTTTGCATTCTTTTCCATGTCACCGTCGGATTGGCCTGGAGTGATGTAGGAACGGTCTTGCTTGCCTGGAACGAGGGCATCCAAGAGTGCCAAAAAGAAGATGCTGTCTTGGAGGAACTGGTCCTTGAAGCTTTGGATGAGTTTGACCTTGCTCTCGGGGTTGATCTTGCTGTTGGCCCATTTGAGGGCTTGGGCCTGATGAGCAGTGGCCACGTCGACAACGACCTTGTCACCGAGGAAACGACGGATTTGCAAGAGAATGGCACGGTTGACACGAAGGTCGCCGTTGAGAATATCGGTACCGGCGATACCGGCCACATTGAGCTTGAGCTTGTGGCATATTTCCATGGTATAATTACAGAGTTCGAGCTTCTTAAAGACGCTGTTGCCGGGCACGATCTTGAGTTTCTTGGGATCGACTGTGCCGGCGGGACCAACCTTGTCAAAGACGCGTAAAAATACAGTGCCGTCCTTGAGGTCGTCGAGCATGTTGACGACCTCGGGAATGCCAAGTTCCATGCCGTTGATCCACTGAAGTAGTTGTTGGTCGTGGTTGTTGCTTTGTTCAGACGACTTGGCGACAAAGTCATCGAGCTCCTCGTCGGCACCCATCTTGTAGGTGGGCATGGCCGGACAGACACGCATAATGTCGGCGACAAACAACAGGTTGAGCTTGCTGTTTTCCGTCTCGACAATGTCGGTTGGTGTGAGTAGGCCGAGACAGCCAATCTTGGCGGCCATATCCAACACAATCTCTGCACGCTTCTCCCAGTCCTTTTCGGCGAGGATCTCCTTTTTGCGCGACACTTGTGGTGCAATCTGGTCAAATAGATAGGCATAGTTTTCGCAATCCTCCATATCGTCGGTGAAGTTGTTGATTTGACGATTACTGTTTTTGCGCAAGTGGTAGTTGAACCAACGCAACATGATCTTTTCGTGCTCGAGTGCACGGAACGCATTACGCGTCTCGGCACGCATCAATGTAAAGAGATTGTTGTTGCGTGATGGGTTGGCCGATTGCAACAAACACAACTCTACCACCTCCCAAGAGAGATGGTGCATTTGCAGTGGTGTAATCGTCTCCAAATCAACAACTGTACCACTTTCATACTTTGATCCAAGTGCTCTTGATGCATTGATTGCAATATTCAAATTATCAATCTTATTACCTTGTTCAATATTTCTTTGAATCACTCTTTCATCTACCATTCCCTTAAATATTTTATTAATTAAATGACTAAAAAATATAAATAAATAATAAATAATATTAATATTAATATCCAATATATATTTCTCTATTCTCTATTTCTCTAAGATTCTATTTTGTTTTTACATACCATAAAATATTACCATCACGTAAAGATTCAAGTAATTCATAAGGAGATGATGGAACTGATAAAGATGGCATTGATTGAGCCAAAATGTGATAGATATACTTTGAAGCGAAAACTCTCTTTGATACAAGTTGAGATTGGAATTCTTCTTGCCAGTTTGATCCAATCTCTTCGTAAATAGTTAATAATACATTCATGTGAACATTTTCATCGGTTGATAATAATTGTTCGGCGGTAATAGTTTCAACACCCAACGATTGCAACGTTTGAACAATGTATTCTGCCTTTTCAACTTGTCCAGTTTGATTTGAAAATTCTGTAATTGAAAATTCTTGTGGTTCCAATTTACTTAATAATTTACTATATAATTCCAAGTTCTAAAATACAAAACAAATCAAATAAATCAATATAAACTCTTTTTTAAAAGATGGTTTGAGAATGTGATGTGACTTACAGAATCAATAGAAACTGAAAATTGTTTTGGTGAAAGAATGGCATTGGTTGTTGTGGTTGTAGTGGTCTTGTTGTTGCTATTGTAAGATGAAGCTGTTGTTGATGTTGTTGTTGATGATGATGATAAGATTGCAGATTGTGCAGATATGGTACTTGATGATGATGATGATGAACCTGTTTGTTGATTATTTGGAGTATTAGTTTCTTCAATAATATAATTAGTCCAAGCCAATAATAAATCTTCTGGAGTTGATTTGGATGATTGTTTGAGTAAGAATTTAAGTTCAGGAGTTTCAACTTCAATGGCTTCAAGACGAGCTTGAGTAGTTTGTAATCTTCTAGAGGCGATATGTTTTTGTTCTTGTTCTTCTCTTTCCTTGTCCAATTCTTCCATAAAGTCATCGTCACCTTGTTCTTGTTGATCGTCTTGACTATTGTTCTCTTCTTCCTCTTCTTCTTGTTGTCTTCTCTTTTCTTCTTCTTCTTCACGGATTTGTCTTTCTTGTTCTTCTTGTTCTTCACGTTTCTTGCGTTCTTCTTCTTGAACACGTTTGCGCTCTTCTTGGGCAATACGGGCATCTTCTTGACGCTTCTTTTCCTGTTCTTCGACCTCCTCGCGACGCTTCTTTTCCTCTTCCTCGCGTTGGACGCGTTCGACACGCTCGCGCTCGATACGCTCCTCGGTTTCGATGCGCTCCTTTTCGAGCACCTCGCGTTCGAGACGTAACTTTTCTTGCTCCTCTTGCAAGCGCTTGGCAATCTCTTCGCGCTCCTTTTCGACGCGCTCTTGCTCTTCGCGCAACTTGATACGCTCCTCTTGCTCGAGTTCCATTTGCAACATGAGTTCTTCGAGACGCTTGTCCTCTTCGATTTGGTCTTGCATCTGCTTTTGCTTCTCGAGCTCGAGTTGCTGTTGTTTGGCCAAGAACTCCTCTTGCTTGCGCACCAGCTCTTGCTCCTCTTCGACACGCTTGCGCTCCTGCTCCTCTTCGACGCGCTTGACCTCGGCCTGGCGCTCCTCCTCTTCGCGCTCGCGCTGCTTGCGTTCCTCCTCCTCGACACGCTTGACCTCTGCCACACGCTCTTCTTCGCGTCTCTCGGCCTCCTTGCGCTCCTCCTCTTTCTTTTTGCGCTCCTCTTCCTCGTGCACGCGTTTGGCCTCGGCCTCTCTCTGCTGCTTGTCGGCCGCCTCGCCGCCGCGTCTCTTGGGACGGTCGTCGTCCGAGTCGTCTTCGTCTGACGTGGTGTCGTCGTCAAAGTCGGCCATGCCGCCCTCCTCGCCATTGGCGCCGCGGCGACGGTTGCCCATCGTCAAGTTGGAACGCGAGTACTCGCCGCCCTTTCCACTGCCGCTGCTCACCGTTCTGTTGGCCACACCAAAGAATGCAGTCTCGTATGCAAACATTCTTCTACTAAAATCCAAAATCTCTACCCATTTCTTCATCTCACTTGGATTATTTGCTAAAAATATATAGGTTCTTCCTGGTGTTGCTACTTCAAAACATGACTAAAACAAAAAATAAAAACATATTAATAAATCATATTTTGATGTAAATAATATTATCTTTTTTTACTTACTTTAACATATTTTGAGGGAATATCAGTACCAGTGGTAGCAGCTCTAACAGCTTGTACAGTTTTCATAAAAATACAACCCATTTCAGGACCAAAACCCTTGGCTTTGTGATAGACCAATTTGTTCTTTTTCAAAGTGTACCATCTCTTGTTCCAATTCTTGAGACCTTTCATTAAACCTCCACCACGCTTTCTCATGATCCATCCTTCAAAATAGGGTACCTTTACATAAAGGTTAATCTCTCCCTTTTCATTCTTTAATAACCCTGTTGTACATTCTCCAACATATCCTTGTTCTCTAATTGTCATATCTCCTGATAATACTTCGACTAAAATGGAAATAAATAAAATTAATATAATTAAATTCCCAAAAAAAATAAATATGATTATTTAATAGTTACCTTCATCATCACCCATATTATATAATTCATTTTCAGTGATGGCAGCAGTTGTTGGAACATGAGTAATAATATGAGCGATAGCTTCAGCTACATTCATAGTATCATCAACCATAACTGTCTTATATTGGTTATCTCCTTTGGCAACTTTAATTGGTCTATATCTTTTCTTAAATTCAACAAATTCCTAAAATAATATATTATATAAATTATATTATTCAACATTCATTGGAATTGGAATGAAATGAAATGGAATGGGGAAAAAAAAAATCAGATAGATATTTTTTGGAGTAGAGGAGGGGAGTAGAAAAAAAAAAAACCAAGTGTTAGAGATATTATTATTTGTTTGTTTGTTTGTTTGTTTGTTTTGACATGTACACATACCATCATAGGAGCCTCCTTTGAACTAAATAAAAGTGCTTCCTTTTGATCTACTTCACCTTCGAGTCCGTAGAAATCCAAGGGGTAGTCATCTCTGAACCAAATGCCGTTTTGATCGTCTCTTGGGGGAAGGAAGAGACCGTATTGGTCGGCATCTACGTCCATCTCCTTTGCTATGTGTAGTCTAGCATCTTTAACTGATTTCTTGGGGTAGAATTGAAACTTTTTAAATACTTTCTTATCTACCAATCTAACCTTCAAACTGATAGTGTCAGTAGACATCTTCTACTTCTACTACTAACTATTGCTCTCTAATAGCTACTACTACTACTCTATATAATAAGCTGACACTTTCTTCCTCTTTATTCTTCTGCAATATATGTACAATGAATGAACTACTACTACTTATTGTTATTATCAAATGATGCTGATCTTTTAAAGTATATCTATCTATATCTGGTGTATTCTATCTATCTATCTATCTATCTATATATATATCTCTATCTATCTATCTATCTATTTATCTTTCTATCTTTTCTTCTTATTATAATATAATAATAATAATATCTAAAATTACAAATAAAGAACCTAATCGATGATTGATTTGATTTGATTTGTTAATTAATTTGATTGATTGGTGGGTGTGTATATTCAGCTATAAAAGATGGATGGCTGGCTAGTACTACTATTAATCTTTGAATGGTGTTTTGTGTGTGTTTGAAAAAAAAGCTGTTAGAGGTGGAAGATGATCTTTTTTTGATAAAACAGCAGGGGTTGAGGTGACCTCACAAGATATTTCTCTTTTTTTTTTTTTTTTTTTTTGAAAGTTGGATCTTTCGAGTTCATCTCGCCTCGATGAAAAGACTATTTTTGTCATAAATATAGTTTTACTAGTACAACAATTAACTACGTAAGGGGATATTAAAACACTCATTCCTTTACAACATTGAATTTACCACAGAGTACTCAATATAATGAAAGATCAAAGGGTTTGGGTTATCACATTTGGTAATCTTTGAGTTCCTCGTCTAGCGATACACAGTTCGAGATTGCTTTTATTTTTGATGGGATACTATGGATAGAAAGGATTACAACAAAATAAAAGCAATCCGGACTTGTAAGAGTCAGTAGGTCTATCACTTGACCGAAATAATTATTTCAAATAGCTTTCTCATTCCATTCTCCAAAATGATTTATCAAAGTAGATTTCTTATTAACAACAAACCAAATCAATCAATCAATCTCCGACACTTTAAAATCAATGATCTACTTTGAATAAAATAAAGATCAGAGTTTCATTAATATCTACTATCAGTACTCTATTTCTTCCGGAAGGCTGGTGACGTCAGGTGCGTCACCTCATACTGGGTATTGGCAACTTCAATCAAGAGGTCATTAGATTTTTTTTAAATCAGATATTTTTTGGTTTTTTAATCAATTTCAGCCAATAAGGTCAGTCCATCCTTTGTCTCCTTTCACTTTAAATATTAACCCTAAAGAGATACATAAATATATAAATAGATAACAAAAGATAGAGATAAATTAAAGATGAAAGTATCAATAATATTAATAGTAGGAATCATTGCAATGATGTCAATGTTGATTGGTGGTACCGTATCACAATCATTACCAACCAACTTGTTTGTAAACTTTATACCAAACCAAGTAAATGAAACCTGTGAAGGTGATGTTGGTGTTGGTGTTGGATACTCTTTCGCTATCAACCAATGTATCCAACTCCAAGGTCGTTCCTATTACTTTGTAGTCGATGCTTTGCGTGCAGGCTGGAAAGTATATAATAGCACCGAGTGCAAGGGCAAGTTTGACGTAGAATCTTTTAAAAACGGATCATGTGTCTTTGCTGAATTTGCCTGGACACCCAGTTGGACTACCATGTACATCTCTGAAAGTGAGGTCACTTCGCCAAGCGTCCCATTGGACACTATCATCTACTCGCAGTACTCTGAAAAGGACTGCAAAGATCTCCAATTCTACTACTACTTTGTCACTGGTTACCAATTCGCCACACCCTACTTTAACAGTACCTTTTCGTGTGACAGTCAAACCCCAATGGACTACATTTGCATGGAAGGATGTAAAGGAACCGCTAAACATTGCTGTGTCAGCAAGGAATTACCAACTACCTGTGAATCTGACACCAACTCTATTTATTCATGTAATACCATTAATTAAATAAATAATAAATAATAAATAACAAATAACAAATAACAAATAATAATAATGAAGAGGAAATAATAATAATAACAACAACAAAGTCAATTTTTAATATGAAGAATATTTCACAAAACACAAAAGTTTGGATAATCAATAAATATAATATAATTTTTTATTAATAAAAAACTCGAATAACCTTGAGTATCTCTGAATTCTCAAGTCTGATCATCCTCATTTTGTTTTCAAGAGCAACCATACACACTAGTAATAATAATAAATAATAATGACTATTACAACTAGTACTACAAATACAAATAAAGATTCAACAACCACATTTTGTTTAATATTTAGATCAAAATATATTAGACAATTAATATTCAATGAAATACATGTGATATCAGAACTATTGTACCCAAGACGTCCGAAGATATGATAAAATCGTTAACTGGAAGAGATATCGCCACTATCTATCGTCTTGGAATAGTTCAATGTCTCCATTCCTAGCAGGATAGTCCATAGCCGATTCTGAACATCCTTCACTGCGATTCTCAAAAAGGAACTTTACCACTTCAATGTGACCATTTTTAGCTGCCATATCCATAGCATCGGTAGTTGCACCTTCTGTACAATTGAAATGAAGATACTTTACAACCTCCATTCTGCCACACTCAGCAGCCCAATCCATAGCTCTGGTGGTTGCACCTTCAGTACGATGCTCATGAAGGTATTTTACAATATCTATGAATCCTTCTCTTGATGCTATTTCCATAGCATAGGTAGTCGCATCTTCACTACGCTGCTCATGAAGGTACTTTACTACATCAATGTTGCCACACTCAGCAGCCCAATCCAAAGCATTGGTTGCACCTTCAGTTTTGTGCTCATAAAGGTACTTTACAACATCAATGTATCCATTGCGAGAGGCCAGATCCATAGCATAACAAGAGTATTCCTCGGTTCTATGTTTATATAAAAACTATTTAAATTTAATTTGATGATGATGAGAAGAATTTATAATAATTAGTATTTATTGATAATTGAGTGAGTTGATTCATCATATGAATGAAATACATACTTTGACAATATCTAAATGACCATTAGATGCTGCATTATATAAAATATTATCCATACTACAACCTTCAGTTCTATTTAAATGAAGAAACTATTATTTTGAAAATAAATAAATAAATAAATAAATTGTTTGTTTAATTTTAACCAACTCTAGTTTACCTTTAAAATATTTAAATGTCCATATCTTGCTGCATTATCCTAATATACAATAAACAATAATTAATTAATTAATTATTACTTGGGTCTTTCAATTCAATTTGTTACCATTGCATATGTAGTACATCCTTCAGTTCTGTTATAGTGTAAATATTTTACAATGTCAATGAATCCGTTACTACAAGCATCGTCCATGGCGTTTTGCATTGCTTCTAGATCAAGTTGTACACCTTTGATCGAGTCTATCAACTTGACAGTTGAGAAATATCCATATTTGCAAGCAAGCCACATTGCCTGTGAGAGAAATGTATGATCTTGATCAACAAGACACCTTTTTACTGTATATTCCAATACATCTTGATTTATATAGATACTATTGCATTCTAAATACTTCCAATCAAATCCAACCACTTGAGACCATTCTACTAGACGTTCAAGTGTATCCAATGTTGCATTTTGATGACAACAGTATTCAGTGATTACTCTTTTTCTTCTTTTCAATAGTACCAGAGTACTATCTTTAGGTAGATAATGACAGACAAATTGCCAAGGTAACCCATACTTTGATATCATTCCAAGATGAGGTAATTTGATGATATCTCTTCCTTTTAACGATGTGCCATCCGGGTCTTCATCTGTCCTTAATTGTCTTGATATATCACCTACATGATTGAATATCAATTGTCTGATATATATAGATTTGAAGATACAGTGAAATGAAGTAGTAGGAGTAGTAGTCATCACAATAATAATAATAATACTATCCACGAGTGGTACGCACCTTTAATGATTTTAAGGGGGGTTAGATATTTAAAATTTTATTTTTTTCCTGCTTTTAAAAAATTGCACCTCACTCTGTCAACTGAGGTTGGTTGATCAAGGAATGGGTGTCGTAGTATTTGTATTTGTCGTAGTAGTATTTCAAATAGTTTTGTATAAATGTGATAAGAAGAATAAGATTCAGAATAGTAATATTGAAATTTCACCAGTTATCGGGGTAGGAGAGGAAATGTGATCTCTACAAAGATCTTGTTGTTATCGGGGTAAGAGAGGAAATGTCTATTGCATATCCGACAAGATTTTTTTTGATTGTTGTATCTGATTCTGCTTTGAATGGTTCCGTCGAGAGATAATTAATATCTTCAAATCAACTCAACAAACTCCTATGATGGATGATTATAAATAGTTGTCTTTTCCATTCATGAAGAGATCCTCTTATATATATATTTCACAACAACAAATCAATGTATTGCCTTATTAATAATAATAGATTATTTGTATTTGTAATACTACTATTTACAATTGTAGTTCTTACTACTTCCACTACTACTGCCCAATCAACATCATCATCATGGGTGACAATTGAAACATATAATGAACCACAATGTAATTTGGATAGTTCAAGTATCGGTGGAATTGTTATGCAATCGGGAGACTGTGTCCAAGGACAACAAGTGACTTGCAACTCGAACAATGATATTATCACTGTTCAAGAATTCAACGATCAGGAATGTCAAACTACCGCCGCCAATGTCACACAGTACACGTCTGGTGTCTGTAACACTGTCTCTCAAGTCCATGGTTTCTACAAGACCTACACTTGCTCACCAACAATGCCATCATTACCAGCCCGTTCATTGTCCATCTCAACCTACAGTGCCTGTAAACTAAATCCAAGTCTTCTCACTGGGTTCCGTTGGATCCCATCCTACAAGTGTATGGCCATTAGAAGAGATGAGATCTCTGGTACTGCTACTTCTGCCTCTTCCTCTGTCGGTACGTCGGCATCGGCATCTGCTTCGTCGGCATCAGCCTCATCAGGATCAGCCTCTTCAGGATCAGTTTTACTTCCTTACTACAACCATGACAACCATGCCAACAAGATTAGTTCAATGGATTTGTTAGACAAGTATTTTGATTTCTTGGACACTATCAACTTTAATCAATTAAATGGAGGCCAAGAGGATGATAATGTCGGTGTTCTAACTCAACCACCAGGTGGTAGATTGGGAACTACTGGTACTGGCTTGACAGGATCAGGTGTAGGATTCGGTACTGGAACCGGGGATACTAGCGGGAGTGGTCCAATCAACTTTGTGTCATTTGGTATTGTTGTTTGCAACCAAACCGACAATAAGCTATTCGCCTATTTCAACGGTAATCATCCAGGATCGACCTCTGGAACAGCTGGTAGTGTCTTGTCGACTGGTAAATACTCATCCGGTGATCCATATGGTTCCAATATGAATGTTCCAACGAGTGTGACAACCGGATGGTCTGGTGGTACTGGTGCTACTGCTAGCTCTGGAAGATCCGCCACAGGAGGTGATGGTAGTGCTACTACTGCCACAAGTGGAGTATCTGCCTCAGGGGGATCGTCGGCCAGTTCAAGTTCAGGTTCAGGTTCAGCATCAGGTTCGGCAGACTATAACGGATGTTCAATACCACCCAACTTGTTTGGTGGTGGAAAGAATGTACAACAATGCTATCAAAATCAATTATTATCTGTCACTTGTACTCCACCATACCATTCATAAATAATAATCAAACAAACCAAACAAACAAACAAATAATAATAATAAATAAAATATTATTATCAAACTTGCAAGTTTTGGGGGTTAATAATGTTCCTCAGCCGCTGTGTCAATCATTATAATCAGATTTTTTATAGAAGTATATATATATATACACTTATACTATAGCTGTAACATGACTACAACTAATGTAGTAATAACTACAACTACAATTACAAATACAACTACATTTCATAGTATATTTAAAGTACAATATATAAGACATGTGATATTCAATCAGATAGGTAGTATAATGAAACAATTGCATAAAGGTAATATTCGTTATGATGATGATAGAAAACAACGATCATTACAAGGAAGAGATATCATCAAGTTACCTCTTATTGGAATGATATCAAAGTATGGGTTACCTTGGCACTTTGTTTGTCATTATCTACCTAAAGATTGTAAAGATAGAATAACAATTAAAAGAAGAAAAAGAGTGATTAGTGAATACAGTTGTCATCCCAATGCAACATTGGATTCACTCGTTCACTTGGTAGAATGGTCTCAAGTTGACTTTGAATGGGAGTATTTGGATTTAAATGGATCAATAATAACCAATCAAGAGATATTAGAGTATATCATCAAGAGATATCCTGTTGCTGCTGTTACTACTGCTGCTGCAAAATCTTCAAATAGTAACAATAACTTTCTAACCGAAGCAATGAACGTATCATGTAGAGAAGGGTATCTATCTACTGTCGAGTTGATAGATTCTATGTTTAAAGATGATATTAAATTGGAAAAGTTACCAATGGATATTGCTAGTAGTAAAGGGTTCATTGACATTGTAAAATATTTACATTATAATAGAACGGAAGGGTGTAGTTCAGATGCTCTTGATTATACAGCTCCAAATGGTCATTTAGAAATTGTTAAAGTATGTATATGTATTTGATTTTGTATCTTAAGATAGATTTGATTAATTAATTAACCAATATTATTGATTTTAAAATCGATATTTATAAAGTTTCTTCATTTCAATCGTAGGGAAGGTTGCACAACCTATGCTATGGATTGGGCTGCTGGATATGGTCATATTGAAATTGTAAGATTTCTTCAAGAACACCGTAGTGAAGGTGCAACAAATCATGCTATGAGTAGGGCTGCTCAAAATGGACACATTAATGTAGTAAAGTATCTTCATGAAAATAGAACTGAAAGTGTAACCGATTGGACGATGGATTGGGCAGCGATGAATGGTCACATTGAAATTGTCAAAGTATGTTATATAAACACATAATTAATAATTATATTATATAATTTAATATCATCCATCCTCCCTCTAACAATATAAATGTTACCTTACTTAAGTTTTTACACTTTAATAGAACTGAAAGTTTCAGTTTCCATCCTATCGCTCTTCGAGCTTGTAGCAATGGAGATTTGGAAATGGCAACTTTTATCATCGGTGTAGGAAAAGATCAATGTAATCCAAAAGAATTACTCACCGTTGCCTCTAGAGAGGGACATTACGATATTGTCAGATTGATTCTCTCACAATTTGGAGCTCATGGACAGTTGGGAAAAGGATTCATTGAAACAATCAAAGGAGATACACAATGCATAAACACAAAGATTATCCATCTACTCGAGATTTATTTAGAGAATGGTACCATTTGTCCAGCAGACTCCTAAAATGAATAATTAAATTAAATGATTTAGAATAATATTTCGTTTGGTTCCTCATGTGCTCATGTTTACCCTGTCTTGTCGTCATGGGATATTACTATTATTATTATTTGTTTTTAAAAGTAAAATAATAATATATCCTATCTCATTTTGCAGCAATGCATCATTTAATACTCTTTGCAGATTTTGAATATCATAAATAATAATAATGAGTACTCTGACAACTACCACAACTACCACCTCATTTCATTGTATATTCAGATCGATTTATATTAGACAATTGATATTCAATCATATCAATGATATATCAAATCGATTGGCTGGTAGAAAAGGTAAAGGTAATAATGATGGTAGACGAAGATCACGAAAAGGAAGAGATATCATCAAATTACCTCTTCTCGGAATGGTATCGGTCTATGCAATGCCTTGGCACTTTGTCTGTCATTATCTACCAACTGATAGAGACCAAATACTACCTGAAAGAAGACAAAGAGTGATTAGTGAATACTGCTGTCACCAAAGTGCAACATCGGATACTCTCGAACATCTAGTGGAATGGTGTCAAGTTGACTTTGATTTGGGAGTATTTAAATAGAAAGAATGGTTATGCAATAGACAATCAAGATGTATTAGAGTATCTTATCAAGAGATATCCTTCCATGGGAAATAGTACCACCTCTTTTCTAGTTGAAGCAATGAACACTGCATGTGAGTGTGGATATCTCTCAACTGTCAAATTGATAGACTCTATAAAAGATGTACAATTAGATCTTAAGGAAATGCAAACAGCAATTATTGTAGGATGGAGCAGCAATGGACAACCATTTTGAGATTGTAAAGGTAAACTAAGTTTGTAATAATCGATCTCTATACATTTCAATAATGATAATAACACATTTTTTTTTTGGAAATAATAATTTATAGTTGTAGAGTTTCTTCATTTTAATAGAACTGAAGGTGCATCAACAAAGGCGATGGATTGGGCATCTGAATATGGCCATTTAGATATTGTCAAAGTATGTATAATATTATAATATACATAATATTAATTCAAAGTTATTCAAACCAACATGTTAACACTCCTCTACTCATCATCCAATTTTACATTTCATTTTTTGTTAAGTTCTTACATGTGAAACTCTGAAGTTGGAACCAATCCTTTAGATTTCGCAGCTAGCTTAAAAAAGGTGGATACTTGGATGTTGTCAAGTTCCTTTATAAACATCGTAGTGAATGTGTATCAACCTCTGCTGTGCATTGGGCAGTTGCAAATGGTACAGAAATTATAAAGTTCCTTGAAAAATATCGTACCCAACCAATCAAAGAAAGATAAAGACAAGGATAAATATAAAGATAGTGGATATGGAAACAGAATAGAAAAATGTATTTTTTTTTCAAAAAGTATTACAAAAAAAATAATAATAATAATTTATTATTAATTATTTATTTATAATTTCTTTTGTTTTCTGGTAAACTTGACCATACATGGAGCCTTTGGACCAGCTACCAAGTTGGTGTAATCTGGTTGTGGGATGGGTCCGAAGTCGAGGTCATACTTTTGGAGGAGGACGGACCAGATGGTCTTGATTTGAAGGAAACCAAAGTTTTCACCTGGACAACCGTGCTTGCCACCACCAAAGGCAATGTACGAGAATGGTTGCTTGTCTTCGGCACGCTCGGCATCGAAACGCTTTGGATCAAACTCGTTGGCATTCTTAAAGACAGTGTCGAGACGCATACCGACCGATGGGGAGACGGCGACGAGATGGCCAGCTGGAATGGTCATGTCCTTGTATTGGACTGGTTCCATGACCTTTCTCATGAGGAAGATAAGAGGGGGGTGGAGACGGAGAACTTCACGGACGATGGTTTCGAGACGGGTCATCTTACGGAGACCGTCGAAATTGATTTCACCGTTGAACTCGTCAATGTGGATGGTCTTGATCTCGTTCATGACTTCGGCGAGGTATTCGGGGTTGTTAAACATGTAGTAACCGGTCCAGGTCGAGGTGATGGACGAGGTGTGTTGGCCGGCAAACAAGAGGCCGATCATGAGACCGACGATCTTTTCGTCGTCGAGCACCGAGCCGTCCTTGTACTTGGAGGTCATGAGCACTTGGAGCACATCGTCACGCTCCTCGGTCGATTGACGACGCGCCTTGATGATCGAGTCAAAGATGGCGGCGACTTGGGCACGTGCACGGTCACGCTTGGCAAACGAGGGCAATGGGAGGTTGGGGAAGAAGAACGAGATGGGGTTGAGACCCTCCTCGAGGTCGTGGTAGAGATCGGCCAAGTTGGAGGCTTGTCCGAGGGCCTTGTTGATGTCTTGGCCCATCAAACAACGCGAGGCGGTGAGAATGGTAAGCTTGTTCATGTCGGTCAAGAGATCGACTTCGCCGGCATCTCCCCACTTTTCCTCAAAGAACTGTTCGGCCTCTTCAGAGATGATACCAACAGCCTTTTTCAATTGGGCAAGTGTCAAACCGTTCTTGACGAAACGGAGTTGCTCGTACATGACTTCAGTGGGCGAGTCGTAGACGACGCCTGGGCCAAAGACGGGTGTGACGAAACGGTATGCTTCCTTGGGGCTCAACTCTTCATCGGAACCACGAAAGAAGACAGATTGTGCCTCTGGTCCAATAAGAAAAGTCATCTTGAAACCCATCAAGTAGAGAGTAAAGGCATCACCCACCTTGTCGTATGAATCTCTCACCAATTTCAATGGATTGGTGGCAAATTTGTGGAAACATCCAATAAATGGTATGGCTCCAATCATTGGTGGTGTTCCTGGTACATTCTACAAATAATATAATAAGAGAGTAGGTATTGACATGTTAGAAGATATACTAAATACTTGATCAATAAATCACACAAACACACACAACATTAGATCATGATTGAACTATTGTGAGGGTGTGTATATGTGTGTTGTGTGATTTATTGATTGTGATGATTCATACCTTTTTAAATAATGACACTAAAACAAGTGCGACTACAATACCAATGACGATTTGTAACATTTTTTAATGATATATATATATAATGTAGTATAATGAAAGGAAGAGGGAAAAACAAATTTATTATCGTATCTTGTGATAGATATTGAATAATAAAATTGAGAGTGAATAATATATATAAAATAAACAAACTACTATTACTACAAATAATGAGTGAACAATTTGATCGTCTTGTTTGTTCGTGCGTCAGCCTCTTTGTGAACAATTAAAAAAAAAAAATATCTTTGAAAAAAAATTGGGCTTGCTCGCCTTACTTTCGTTTAAGGCAGAAAGACAGATGGTAGATCAGATCACTCGGTTCATAACAGCATTACATGTAGTGCTTGCTGGTACTCACTCTATTATCAATATTATAAATGAACAGTCAACTGCATAGATCTATGGGTAGATTCATGAAATGGTAGATCATCCCCACATCATAGTCATAGTGGTTATGTGGGAGTTCATTCGCAGTCGCAGCAAGAGGAGAGGATAATATTATTTATTCTTGATTATTTGTATCTTGAATCTGTTTCAAATGATTCTTGAGTAGTTGTCTGACTTCAAAATGATCACCGTATCTCTTGTGGAGTTTAATCTCTTTTATGACTCTTTTAATTGATTCTTCGCCCAGAGTATCTCTAAATTGTTGTTCGAGCATCCATTTGACAATATCATAGTGTCCTTTATCTGATACTTTTAGTAGTAATTCTTCTTGATCGTATTCGTATTCCTCTTTGTTTAGGACATTGAATACTAGAAATGATATCATTTCAAGAGATCCTAGGTAACTAGCATAATCAATAACTCTCAGAGTGCATCCTTCACTTCTATTAAAGTGTAAAAACTAATAATACCACCAAGTTAGTTATGATCATTATTTATAATTAATGTTATTTGTTTACATACTTTAACAACTTCAAGATGACCATTTGCAACTGCACTGTTCATAGCATCGGTAGTTGCACCTTCAGTACGATGGTCAGAGAGTAGATTTACAATTTCAATGTGACCAAATTCTGCTGCTCTATCCATCACCTCTGGTGTCCAAATATCACTCTGCTCTTTGAAATGGTCATAAAGATAATAAAATGTATCCAATGATTTACCAGAAAACAATGATTCTTCCAAAGTATATGATCGACATTCTGCCTTGACAGTTTCAACCAGATAGGTTAACATTTCAATGTCTCCATTCCTAGCAGGACTGTCCATAATCGATTCTGAACATCCTTCACTACGATTCTCAAAAAGGAACTTTACCACTTCAATGTGACCATTTTCAGCTGCCATATCCATAGCTTCCGTAGTTGCACCCTCTGTTCGGTGCTCATGAAGGAACTTTATAACCTCCAATCTGCCACACTCAGCAGCCCAATCCATAGCTCTGGTGGTTGCACCTTCAGTACGATGCTCTGAAAGAAACTTTACAATTTCAATGTGTCCATTTCCAGCAGCCCAATCCATAGCATCGGTTGATGCTCCTTCACTACGATGCTCATGAAGGTATTTTACAATATCTATGAATCCTTCTCTTGATGCGTGATCTATAGCATTGGTAGTCGCACCTTCAGTACGGTGTTCATGAAGGAAATTTACTACATCAGTGTGGCCACACTCAGCAGCCCAATCCAAAGCATGGGTTGCACCTTCAGTTCTGTTGAAATGAAGGTATTTTACAACATCAATGAATCCTCTACGAGAAGCCTGATCCAAAGCATAACAAGAGTATTCTTCAGTTCTATGTTTATATAAAAACTATTTAAATAAATTTTTGAATAATTAATTATTATATTAAATTGTTGAGTTGATTATCAATGAAATACATACTTTGACAATATCTAAATGACCATTAGATGCTGCATTATATAGAATATTATCCTTACTACAACCTTCAGTTCTATTTAAATGAAGAAACTATTATTTATAAAATAAAAAAATAAATAAATTGTTTGTTTTATAATTTTAACCAATCAAACTTACCTTTACAATATTTAAATGTCCATCTCTTGCTGCATTATCCTACAATAAACAATAATTAATTAATTATTTTCTTTTTTTTAATGTCTTTTTGATTTAAATAATTTGCTTACCATTGCATATGTAGTACATCCTTCAGTTCTATGTTTGTGTAAATACTTTACAATGTCAATGAATCCGTTACTACAAGCATTGTCCATGGCTGTTTTCATTGCTTCTAGATCAAGTTGTACACCTTTGATAGAGTCTATCAACTTTACAGTTGAGAAATATCCATATCTACAAGCCTGCCCCATTGCCTCGGTGAGAAATGGATGATCTTGGTCAACAGGACACCTTTTTACTATATATTCCAATACATCTTGATTTATATAGATACTATTGCATTCTAAATACTTCCAATCAAATCCAACCACTTGACACCATTCTACTAGACGTTCAAGTGTATCCAATGTTGCATTACGATGAAGACAGTATTCAGTGATTACTCTTTTTCTTCTTTTCAGTAGTATTTGATTACAATCTTTAGGTAGATAATGTTTAATATAGTTCCAAGGCATTGCATAGATTGTGATCATTTCAAGGTAGGGTAATTTGATTATATCTCTTCCTTTTAATGATCGTTGTCTACCATCCGGGTCTTCATCTGTCTTTAATTGTCTTGATATCTTTTCTACATGATTGAATATCAATTGTCTGATATATTTAGCTCTGATGATAGAGTGAAATGCAGTAGTAGTACTAGGAGGAGCCATCAAAATAATAAAATAATACTTTTGGAAGTGGTCTGTCCCTTTAGCTTGTTCAATATTATTATCAAAATTTATTTTTTTCCTATTATTTTAGTTCAGCTGATCATTTCAGCTGATAACAGCATTATTACGGTTCAACAATACAAAGATCAAGAATGTCAAACTACCGCCGCCAATGTCACACAATATACTTCTGGTGTCTGTAACACTGTCTCAAAAGTCAATGGTTTCTACAAGACCTATACTTGCTCACCAACAATGCCATCGTTACCAGCCCGTTCATTGTCCATCTCAACCTACAGTGCCTGTAAACTTAATCCAAGTCTTCTCACTGGGTTCCGTTGGATCCCATCCTACAAGTGTATGGCCATTAGTAGAGGTTCAATCGCTGCTACGGGTACTTCTGCCTCTTCCTCTGTCACTACTACACCTTATTCGTCTGCATCTGCATCAGCTACATCAGTATCACCATCAGCATCAGCTACTTCGTCATCGGCAACGGCGTCGGCATCAGGGTCTTCAGGGTCTTCAGGATCAGTTTTACTTCCACACTACAACTACAACCATGACAACAAGATTAGTTCAATGGATTTGTTAGACAAGTATTTTGATTTCTTGGACACTATCAACTTTAATCAATTAAATGGCCAAGAAGAGGATGATAATGATAATGTTGGTGTTCCAACTCAACCACCAGGTGGTAGATTGGGAACTACTGGTACTGGCTTGTCAGGATCAGGTATAGGATTCGGCACTGGAACCGGGTCTACTGGTAGTGGTCCAGTCAACTTTGTGTCATTTGGTATTGTTGTTTGCAACCAAACCGACAATATACTATTCGCCTATTTTAACGGTAATCATCCAGGATCGACCTCTGGAACAGCTGGTAGTGTCTTGTCGACTGGTAAATACTCATCCGGTGATCCATACTGTTCCAATATGAATATTCCAACGAGTGTGACAACCGGATGGTCTGGTGGTAACTCTGCCAACTCTGGTAACTCTGGAAGAGCGGCCACAGGAGGTGATGGTAGTGCTACTACTGCCACAAGTGGAGTATCTGCCTCAGGGGGATCGTCGGCCAGTTCAAGTTCAGGTTCAGGATCAGGCTCAGCAGACTATAACGGATGTTCAATACCATTCAACTTGGATGGTGGTGGAAAGAACATACAACAATGCTATCAAAATGAATTATTATCTGTCACTTGTACTCCACCATACCATTCATAAATAATAATCAAACAAATAAATAATAATAAACAAATAAATAAAAAAAGTATTATTATTATTATCAAGCATCGATATTGATGTGGGGGTTTGATGAAAAAAGGGGTAAATCAGATCGATCTTTGTTTTACAAATCTTGTACACACCATTGCAAGTTCATATATATTTCCGAGTGAGTATATTATAATCATATTATTATTTTTTTATTTATTTATAAAAAGGAATGAATATTTATCTAACTATATCACTATTTTTATCTGTAAAGGTAATAACATACATCATTGTTTATTTCAGACAGAAAGAATTAATAGGAAAAAGTATAACATGTTTGGATAGATTACTTCCTCCTACCCCTGAAAAAGATGAAACTTTATTATACTATATGTAAGAGCAAAGGATAATGAGATGATGCGTGAAGAATCAAATTTCTCAATTCAATCTAATAATACTCTTATTTATTTATTTAAAATCAATCAGTAAATATTATTTGATTAATGATATAGTTGATTATTTTATTGTAATTACTAGACTATTACTTTTAGTTCTTTATGTAAGATCAATATTGACAATTATAGATATATTTAATTTTGATGTTGTTAACAAACTACTTTGATATTTTAGAATGATAGAATAGGATTATTTTTTACATTTATTTTGTATTTTCTAGATACCTATTCTTATCTATTAATGTATCCATTGACCACTACAATTACACAACAACAATTGGTTTCATGGAATAAATTGGTTGCAAACCCAAAGAGGGACTTTAGAGTTAAGGATGTTCTTTTCAACACTTTACAAAAGTTTGGAGAAATCATCGTTGTTTTTTATTTAAATAATAAAAAGTTATCAATTGGTATGTAATCTATCTATAACAAATTACTTTGATTGTTTCTAATAGAATAATTCTAATTTTATAGGAATATTATATCTTTTCAATTTATTCAAAAGATATATAAAGATAAGGATTGGTCATTATTATTCAAAAGAGTTTAGAATGGAAAGTGTTGGAAAGGAAGTGAGTGATGTTGTTTTAATGAAACTCTCACCATTACTTAAAAAGTATTCAATACCATTGGATATAATTAGAGAATTCTATGATCCCAAATGTCCTTCTGCTAGTTGTGTTTCGTTGGGACCTTATAGATCAGTCATTCAACTACCAAAAATATTCATCACCAAATTAACAAACTCAAATGATCAATCAACCTATCAACACGTACTAGATTCGATAGTCCACGAAATATATCATGTTAAGCAATGGCATGCAGTATGGGATTTATTGGTATCAAATTTTCTCAAACCATGTGTAGAATCAATTTGTTTCATAGCAATCATTCAAATTCAATTCGAATCTGTTGGTGGAATGGAATTTAATCAGTTGTTCAATAATAATATTTTTAATAATAATAATAATATTTATTTGATTTTAAAAGTATTGGTACTAAGTGATATTGTCAATAGGAAATGTATTGATTACCTATTTTATATTATAGTATCAGTTATGAATTTAGTACTGAAATGGCAGCTGATCAATTTGCATTCGAAAATGGACATGATCTAAGAGAAAATCTCTTGGGTCGTTGGGAGAAATGCTCGAGCTTTACCAATCCAGATTATTACTACAATCTTGTCTATCGTCCCTACCCACATCATTATTTTAGAATTCAAAGTTTAAATAAACTATCAAAAAAATTAAAATAAATAAATAAATAAATATATTTATAAAGTTTCTTCATTTCAATCGTACTGAAGGTGCAACTACCGATGCTATGGATAGGGCAGCTGAAAATGGCCACTTTGATGTGGTTCAAGTATGTAAAATAATAATGTATACAGAAGGAATAGGCTGGAATTTTGTATTCAATTTGGAATATTCTAACTCTATTATTATTATTAATATTATTACTATTTATTTATTATTTATTATTGATTATTAGTTTTTACATTTTAATCGAAGTGAAGGATGTACTAAAAAAGCTATTATGTATGCATGCGACCGTCGACATTTGGAAATAGTATCATTTCTAATCAATCTCAGAAAAGAGGAATGTACTGAAAGACTACTCGAAAGAACAGTAAATTTAGATGGTCCCCAAGAAATTGTAGAGTTTCTTGTCTCACAACTTTTAGGTAGCTTGTCAATAGAATTAATTCAAAGTCTCATAAGACATTTCAAACAACGTGGCTATTTTGAAGTCAGACATCAACTCAAGAATCATTTGAAAGCTATAGAAGCTTCAAATAAACAAACAGTCACAAAACAAAAGTCATATCAATAGTCATCACTCAAATAATAATAAGAATAATATTCAAGCTTGAATATACAACATGTTTATTTAAATATTTTTTTTTTTTTGTTAATCATTAAAATGACCATACTCACAACCACTACAACGACTACTATATTCACATTTTATTCTATCATCAGAGTGAAATATATCAAAGCTCTGATATTCAATCAGATAAGTGTGATATCAAATCGATTGAATAAAGATGATAGTCGACGACAACGACGATCATTGATTGGAAGAGATATCATCAAATTACCTCATCTTGAAATGATTACAATCTATGCAATGCCTTGGAGCTTTATTTGTCATTATCTACCTGATGATTGCAATACAATACTATTGGAAAGAAGAAGATTGGTGATTAGTCAATACTGCTGTCATCAAAATGCAACATTGGATACACTCGTACATCTATTGGAATGGTCGACCGCAGATGTTGGATTTGATTGGAATTATTTAAAAGAAAATAGCAAGAATATATTCAATCAAGAGATATTAGAGTATCTCATCGACAGATGCCCAGATGAAGAAAAAGAGAAGAATAACTTTCTCATCGAAGCAATGAGAGTTGCTTGCACATATGGTCACCTGTCGACTGTAAAGTTGATAGACTCAATAAAAGGTGTAGAACATCATAACATAATGGACATTGCTAGTAGTAATGGATTCATTGATATTGTAAAGTATTTACACGGGAATAATAGTATAACTAAAGGTTGTAGTAAAGATGCAATGGTAAGTAAGATTATTATTCAAGAATGGAAAAAAGATATAATTTACTAAATAATATCTAATTTCGTGAATGATAACACATTAATTAATTAATCAATCAATGCATTATAGGATAAAGCTTCATATAATAATCATTTAGAGGTTGTAAAGGTAAGTTTAAGTTGGTTGGTTGGTCGTACATTCATAAAATATAATCAAACACTAATTCCAAATAATAATATTTCAAACAATTATAACATTAGTTTCTTCATTTCAATCGTAGTGAAGGTGCAACAACCAAGGCTATGGATATGGCGGCTGGAAAAGGTCACATTGATGTTGTACAGTACCTTTCTGAGCATCGTAGTGAAGGTGCAACAAACATGGCAATTGATTTGGCAGCTGTGTTTGGTCACACTGAAATTGTAAAGTATCTTCAAGACAGGACCAACGCACATATTTAGCACATCCAGTCAATAAAAGCAAATCCATATAAAGCAACAAAAGCTATGAACGGAGAATATTAAAGTATGTAAAATAAACAACAAATCACATCATCATATTATTGTAAACTAATTAGTTCACGATGTGCTAAATTAGTTTGTTTAAAAAAAGACAACCTTTATCCATCCTTCAGAGGGTATATTTGTAGAAGTGGGAATGGTATCTTTTCTCAATGTAAGGAATGAGAAACACAATGCAATCTGGAACCGCCAATGATACCAAAGATATGGAAACAAACAATAGTGTTGTCATTAATTATGCAAGTATACCATAAATAAAATATACAATGCATCACTAGAGTAATTTAATTTAATTCTAGATATTAAATTTTTAAAAAAAAATATCCATTCATACAATCGATTCTTAAGAATAATTATTTTAATAATAATAATAATAATAATAATGGTTACTACTACAACATTTCATTGTATATTCAGATCGATATACATTAGACATTTGATATTCAATCAGATAGGTGTGATATCAAATCGGTTGTATTCAAAAGTTAATGAACAAGGTTACAAAAGTAGTAGTCGTTCAAATGAACAACAACGACAACTACGATCACTAAAAGGAAAAGATATCATTAAATTACCTCGTCTTAAAATGATATCAAAGTTTGGGTTACCTTGGCACTTTCTAAGTCATTATCTACCTAAAGATAGAGTCGATCTATTAGTATTGGAAAGAGCAATCTCCAAATACTGTTGTCATCGTAATGCAACATTGGATACACTTGAACGTCTATTGGAATGGTCGACTCTGGTTGACTTTAATTGGAATATATTGCAAAGATATATGAAAGGATTAGAAAGAAATCAAGAGATATTGGAATATCTAATCAAGAGGTGTCCTGCGAGTGGATACAATAATTTTCTATTCCATTTTTTGGAATTTGCGTGTAATAATGGTAATCTCTCAATAGTCAAGTCGATAAAATCTATCAAAGATGTGGTGGGACTAGACTCGACATCAATAATAATGTATACTGCTTGTATTAAAGGATTCATTGATATTGTAAAATATTTACATGAGAATCATAAAAGTATAGGATGTGATAGAGATGCAATGGTAAGAAAGAAAGAAAGCAAATTAAAAACAAAACAAAAAAAAAAATAGAAATAATTAATATTTAATTCTTCAATTTTATTATTCACATCATGAATGTATGTAGGAAAATTCAGCTAGATATGGACAGTTAGAAGTTGTAAAGGTAAGACTATAGTTAAAAAATTAAACAAATAATTTAAAAAAAACTAATTTACATATATCTTTTTCAAAAAAATATATAATATATTATATAATATATAGTTTCTTCATTTTAATAGAACTGAAGGGTGTACAAGAAATGCTTTGAATAAAGCAGCTGAATATGGTCATTTAGATATTGTCAGAGTATGTATATGTAGTATATATATGTATTCCAACTGGAAGGTGTTTCAAAATATTAATAATATTGACACACTTTAGTTTCTACATGAACATCGAACTGAAGGATGCAGCAAAGTAGCTATGAATGAAGCCAGTCGAAAAGGATTCATAGATATTGTAAAGTTCCTACATCAACATCGTACTGAAGGTGCAACTACCATGGCCATGGATTGGGCCGCTCGAAACGGCTATATTGAAATTGTAAAGTTCCTACATTTCAACAGGACTGAAGGTGCGACCACTGATGCTTTAGATTGGGCTGCTGCATGGGGCCACTTTGAAATTGTAAAGTTCCTTTCAGAGCACCGTACTGAAGGTGCAACAAACGATGCTATCGATGAAGCATCAATCAATGGTTACACTGAAATTGTAGAATACCTTTCTCTAAAGAAATAATCATTTAATGAATAATAATTATCTCTATCTCTATCTATCTCTTGAATATCTCTCTCTTTTGCTTGCTACCAAAAATTAAAACCATGTACCCTCCCCAAAATGAAAAAAAATCTCTCTCCACGAGGCTAAATCTTTCGTGTGGATTATCATAAAAATCGTGTGAGTTGGCACAAAACCCACCTCATGCGCAGATCGACTTGCTCTGAATTAAATATAAAATCAAAGAAAGGGGAAGAAACCTTACAAGGTTGTTGTTTGTTTGAGGATCATGATGAAGCAAACCCAAAACTTTTTTTCTTCTCTTTTTTTTTTTTTGTTCTTATCTGTATTATTATTATAGCTACCATTATTATATCTATTTATTTATTTATTTATTATTTTATTTATCGATCTAATCGATTAGAGTCGACAACCATCCATCCATCCATCCACCCACTCTTTTTATCGTATCCATACCCATCCCTATCCTCAACTAGATATAAATGGTAAAGTCTTACTCCTCTAGCTACAACTAGTATACACCTGCAAATACAACATACAGATCAGACAGACACATCAGACAGACCATCGACCATACTTACAGATCTAAAATACAATCCAGTCATGTATATATATGTATTTATGATTCGGTCGATGGGTGTTGGGATAAATAGCAGCTAATCACATATGATTGATAAAGTGTACTATCGATCGATTGATTGGTTGATTGGTTGGGTATGCAAGGTGGTGTCTATTATCTATCTGTTCGCGCGCACTATACCACCACACCCTAACCCTCCCTCACCACACACTGTTTCCTCTTCATCCCTACCCTCACGACCACTTTTGAGCATTGACACCCCCCACAATGCAATATAAAAAAAAAACCATACACAACACAACACTACACACTCGAATGAATATATATCTGGATTGTGGGTGTGTATAATATAACAACAATAATAATATAATAATAATAATTCTAAAAAAGAAGAATAATTTGTTGGTGATAGTAATAATAATAATAATAATCATATGATGAGTAGTTAAATTAGTATTGGGATTATAATATTATCATCCAAAACAATAATAATAATAATTATTATAAATAATAATAATAATAGATATAATTAAGAAAGGAATCAAAGAGCTGACCTTGACACATTATAGGTAAATTGAATAATAATTATAATTATTATTATTATTATTATTATCTTGATGATTCATTCATTGACAACAACAATACAATCTTGATAATTTGGTTTGGTTTGGTTGGGTCTGAAATCCAATTTATTTTTTGGTTTTAAAATAATCTCTCTCTGTGTTCGTGTTGTAAAACTTCGCCCCGTTTTTTGTTTTGATCAATCACAAACAACAATAATAATCCAGCAACAACACTTTAACAAAAAAAAAAAGATAGATAGATAGATATTTTTATTTATAAAGTTGTAGAATAATAGAAATAGAAAGATAAAAGATAGATAAATAGATAGATAGATAGAACAGATAGATAAAAGAAAAAGGGTATAGGAATAAAGAAAAAAGACGACTAGTCAGTAATAATAACCAACACACTCACTCCTCACACACTTTCACATGTGTCATCCACAAACAAACTCTGTCGCTGAGAGTGAGAGTGAGAGAGTGGTGTCTCCCTTTGTTTTAATCTCAACAACAATCAACCACAAACCAAGCTCTCTCTCTCTCTCAACTACTCAACACACCCAAACCCTCAACCAAACCGGTGAATCATCAATCAAACCAAACGATCAAAACACAACAGTAGGAGCAGTCTGATGACAATCGCAACAAACAACAACAACAACAAGAAAAGTGACACTTTTAAAAACCAATCAATGATCGTTGTCAATTCACCCCTCTCTCTCTCTCTCTCTCTCCCATCCTACTTGCCTATCTACACGCACTCTTTTAAAAGTGATCAGGAGAGAGTGTACGTGAGTGAAATATACGATACATTTAAATATATATATCGTTGTTGTTAATTAATTGTGTGCACAATTATATATTATATAATTTAAAATAATACTAATAATAATAACTGTACTGTCAGCAGCAGTAGTATCCTAACTGTAACAGTAAAACAACAAATAGATCGACAACAGCAATACAGTAAAACAACAACAACAAGGTAGAGATAAACATCACCATCATCAAACATAACATAAGATTGATTTCATTCATTTATAACATTACATTCTTTAACAATATAAATTGTTCTGTGAGTTGGAAAGAAACGAGAGAAAGGATTATAATAACTGTACCACTGCCTACCACTATCTTCCTCTTGTTCTTGTATTATTACTACTCATCACCATCATCACCATCATTTACACAACCAATTAAAAATATATATACTATAAATAATAATAATTTTAATTAATTAATTAATTTAATTTATTTGTATTTAATTTATTTGTATTTGTATTATATTTATTATAGCTTCTCAAAAAGATAAAAAGATAAACATAAAGATATGGGATCATCATCATCAAAATCAAGTGCGGTTATACCACCATCGATCGATTTTAGAGCCAAACCAACGGTCGATGAACTTGGATCGGCCAACAATGGAGGTGTCGAGATTTCAAAGAGCATATTGGATTTTAATTTGGGAGAGCGACCATGTCCCCTCAAACAGACGGTACAGGACCAATTCACCATTGCAAATATGAGCAAAAACAAGTTAAAGTTTCACTTTGACCCTTCGCAACCCAAAGAGTTTCAATTGTCGTTTAGTCCGTCGTCGGGCTCGATTGAAAAGGGCAAGACAAAGGCCATCAAGGTCAAGTTGGTTGTCAACCAAAAGATTAATATCAACCACAAGGTTACACTGCGTCTCGAAGGTGGCGTCAGTCTCTTTTTGACCTTTAGAATACGTTGTGAGGTCGGTGTCTTTGGTATTGACCCACATACACTCGAACTCGTCGAAGACGATGGATACCGTGTACCCAACATATTAGTGCTCATGAAACGATCATTAATCGAACATGGTGGTCTCCAACAAGAAGGTATCTTTCGTCTAGCCGGTGAACAAACTGAAATCAAGCGTATAAAAGAATTTATGAACAAAAATGAATTTAATAGTAGTAATGATATTAATACTGTTGCTTCACTTATAAAAGTAAAAAAAGATAAAAACAAAAAAGAAAAATGGATCAATCAAAAAGTGGAAATCAATATTAACCAAAAAGAATTATTTTATTTTTATTTAGATTTGGTATAGAGAATTACCAACACCAATATTAAATTCAATTCCAACAGAGAAAATATTCCATTGTCAAGATGTTGATGAATGCGTAGAATCGGTCAACAAGTTACCAGATATGCAAAAAAATCTACTTGGTTGGTTAATGGATTTATTACTTAAAGTTGCTTCTTTTTCTCCAATTAATAAGATGACTGCTCAAAATTTAGGTAACTATCATAAAAGTTATTATTACTTTATATAATTTATTGATTGATTGATGACTAATTTCATTTTCCTTTTTTATTTAATTTATTTTATAGCTATTGTTGTAGCACCAAATCTTTACGAAGTATCAAGTGCCAATCCTATAGAAGGTTTGGTTCTATCACAAAAGTGCGTACAATTTTTACACAATGTTCTATCTTTTAAACAATCTCATCCCGATTATCATGGTTCAACCATGGCCATTTCAAATGTTTAAACAAAAAACAACAAAAAATAATCAGTAATCAGTAATAATAATTAATAGTAATAATAAGTAATAATAATTAATAGTAATAATAAGTAATAATAATTAATAGTAGTAATAAGTAATAATCAAGTTTGTTTCCTTTTCGTACATTCCGATTTTTTTTTTTTAATATCAACCTTGCTTCCTTCCTTTCCAATCATCACATCAACAAAAGTTTGTTGTCTATTCTTCTCAATAACAATTCTCTTTTTTTTCCCCCAACCAACAATCACAATGTAAATCTTACACACGACGAAATCAATAATTTAATTTATAGTAGTAGTATCAATCAAATCAAAAATCAATCAACCAAACAAATAATCAAAATTAGAGAGAGTTTGGAAATCACTCTCTATTTTTTTTTTTTTTTTTTTTTTGTTCCTTCTTTTCCACAACAAATACAATCAATAACAACAACAACAATACATAATCCCAAATTAACAACAAAAAAAATGTACTATTAATAAGAAAGTAAAAAAAAAAAGGACAATAACAAAGGGTCCTTTTGAAAATGAATAAAACAAAAAGTCATAAAAGTCTGTATCAAATTTCTTTCTTTTTGTTTTTTAGATATATTTATATATAAAGGGGTAGTAGTATTTACAATACAAAGAAAGAGAAAACTAAACTATTCAATTTATTATGATGTGAAAATATATTTGTTTGTTTTGTTTTGTTTGAAAAAGAGGTTAATCAGAGTTTTTTACTGATATAATCTAGGGAATGAAGGATCTTCAATAAATGATACACTTTGACCACCTGTTAAAAGACTGACACCTGGATAGACTGGTTGCTCTAGATTTTTAAATGCAACGCCTTGCACTACACCATTGAGATAGTAGGACAGTGTATGTTGGTTCATATCGACCAACAATCCTACCCGATCACCTTGGGCAAATGGTTTGGCAAATGGTACTCCATTGCCACTATTGTTTGCTTTTCTTCCATCGGCCAAGTACCCCCATCCTCCATTACTAGTTAAATATGATTGCCATACTGGGAATGATTCTGGTATCACTCCAATTACTAAATGAAATCCTGTTTGATTAAAACTAATATAAGAAAATAAATATTAATAAACAAAGTTGGATACATTCTATTCCTTTTTTTATATTTAGCATACTTTAAAGATTCAACATAAACTTCCCAATAGGTGCAACCAGAATCAAGTTCAATTCTTTCAGAACCTCTAACTGATTGGTAGCTTCCCAAATAATCACCGCCGTGAGTTACTGTTCTTTCATTGTTGGAAAGTACCATTTTACCTTTTTTAATTGTATCCCATCTACCCTTGTAAGTCTTGTGACTCCTATAAAATGATTTCCATGAAAGATGTAATTTAGGTAATTTAATATTTTTTGGTCCAAATCTATCGAAAAATAAATGCTACATGGAAAGAATAAAAAAAATAAGAATTAATAAATAATTATTTAAACAATGAATTAATATTTTTAATTTACCTTCCAAACATCTTCATCGTCTGCCATTTCTTTAAAGAATCTATTCACCAAGAATAAACATTTTATACATTTGACATCAAGGAATTTACAAATGGTAGTTAATATTTCGACTGGAAGATATTCCAATTGTAGATCGTATTCATGTAATTGTTCAATATGACTACTTTGTTCTTCATGTAATTGTTTTTCGGCTTCTGTACTATATTGATGATTTAATATTTGATCAGATGATGTAAATGGTTGTCCCATTTCCAATGATCTTTGATTTTCATTATTATTATTATTATTATTGTTGGTATTGTTGATATTATTATTATTTAAATGGCAAGATGCCATTAAAGTGTCTCCATTGATTCCCATTGTTTGAAATTGTGCTTTTTTCCAAGTTGATCCAGGTGTTGATGATAATGAGCATGGAGATGATGATGATGAGGATGAAGTAGATGATGTTAAAGATGTTCTATCGTATTCTAATGTTGCCATTCTAGGTATTAAAATTGGTGGAGTAGTAGTTGATGGATTGGGATTTAAACGATTAGTATCAAATATTTGATTACTAGTAATATTATTATTAAAATTATTTCCTGCTGCTGTATGATTCATATTCAACTCTTTTATGACGATGATGATGATGCAAGTGAAAAAAAACAAAATATAATTATATTATTATTATTATTATATATATGTATATAAAGAGACAGAGATAAATTAAATTAAATGATGTGGGGAGGGAGGGTGTGAAATCGAGATTATTATTATATTCTAAAACAGTCGTATGGTTTTTTTTTTTTGTAACTTTTAGTATAATAAATTATTATTACTATCAAAAAAAAAAAAGGTACGAAAATTGAAAAATCAATAGACCAAATGCGGAAACACAATCAATGCTACTATCTATCCTATCCAATTACAATTGCTATGAAGTGAAGTGCAGATACGATGGTTATGGTGGTAGGTATTGGTAGGTATGATGGGGAGGGTGGATAATTCCAATTTCCCGCGCTATAGTAATTTTGAAAATTCTGGTCAAAAGATGGAGTAAAGATTATTTAATTGTATACAATTAGTGTCTAGAATATTTTTGGAAAAAATTGGAAAATATAGTAAACTAACCAACCATCATCCTTCAATTGATCCATCCACAAATAACATCAAAAGTATATAGTACTATATATTCAAAATAAAACCAACGACTATATATATATATGTTAAATATATAAATATAACAACACCCCCCTCTTCTTTCAATATATATCATCAACATACAATCGTCTAAAAAGTATTCATTTTTTAGGTTGTTCCTGCTCTACACAATAGTACACCTACAAATTTTTTATCGTTTAATATGATTGGCTGACTCTTCCAAGGGTGGGACCCCCGCTCAAGAGAAGACAGGACGGTTCACTCTCTCCTCCCAAGTAATTTTAGTGAGAGAGTGAGAGAGTAAGAGAGAGAGAGACTGTGTGTGAGTGGTGAGAGTAGTGGAGTGGAGTGGTCTAGTTTCGATGCTGCTATTCTTTCTTCCTAATATGGGTAGAGAGTGTATTTAGAATATTTTGAAAAACACTAATAAACAACAACAAAAATAATAATAATAATTGAATAGACTGACTGACTGACGGATGGGAAGGAAGGAATAGAATTATGTTTGGTTGTTGAGTATTATGTGTTTGTGTATGTGTATGTATGTATGCATACATTCATGAGTGTGCACAACAACGACATGATCAACAAACACCTCAAACACCACATATCATGAATAGACTTATTATTATTATTATTTTGTATGTATGTATGTATTGAACGAATAGAAGATAATAAAAAGAATGATGTGTGCGCCAAGCATTACCACACGTCACCCACACTCACTAATGCTCACACATTAATAAAATCCATTTTTATCAAGACCGATTGTCCATCAAAGTGGGGGGTACTTTGGATAATAAAATAATAATAAAGAAATTCGAAATAATACCTATACTACTTACTTTGTTTTTTTGTACACAATTCATTTTTGTACATTCAAATTTATGTTTGTTTTTTAAATTATCTGTATGTATGTGGGGTTGTAATGATCGAAATTATCTTTGTCCAAAGAGAGTACTAATCTGGTTAGGTTGAATTTAACAACAACAACAACAAACTATAATTAAAACGACGTCGTCGTCCTCGTCCTATACTAGTATTTTTAGTCCCATCGCGTACGCTGGTTTATTTAATTGTACAAATTTGGTCAATTTCGAAATTGTTTTTCCACCAATCATAATCAACTAGATACATTTGTAACATTTGAACCATTTGAATGGAATAATGTGATTGATACACTTATCTCACCTTACTTTCACTTTCATATATATAGGAGATTAAAAGATATGTTAATTTAGATAATATTAAAAAAACAAAAGAAAAAGGAAAAGGAATCATGGAAACAAATATCTATCTAAACGAATGAATGAATGAATAGGGTATATGAGTTGTTTTGAATTGTAATAATTATTACAACAATAATATATAATATATATAATATTTAAATTTATTTTTTTTATACAACAATATTATTATTATTATTATTTTAATCAAAAAGACCAAAATCGTCAACATTTGCTTGACCTTTTTTATCAGCACCTGGTACACCAGCATCAGCTTTCTTGGCAATTTCATACTGTGTACGTCCAATAATATCTCCGTCGATCATTAAATAGAGTTTGGAACGTTCTTCTAGATCATCTACCTTTTCAATGAGGACATATCCATCGTGTAGGTCAGTGTAGAGACCTTGGACATCAGAAGGTTGTTTGCCAAGCTTCTCGGCGACTATTGTTTTGAGTTGGTCGAGTGTAGTGGTCTTGGAAATACGAACTTTCTTGGCATAGATATCGTTGATTCCAACATACAAGGTTTTCGAGACGGTAGGTGTGTAGGCTCCAATCACACCCAAATCCTTGGCCAATTGGACAGATGCTTCGTTGTTGTCGTCGACGACTTGGAGTAGCTCGTTGGTTGTTGAACGCATGCCCTTGAGTGTCTCTTTATCATATTTTGAAATATTCTTGGTCAAGTACTCGCCAGTGGTAATGTCGATACGATAGTACTTGTGAATGTAGAATGTTGGTTGCAAGGAGAGTGTTTCAACTGGTTTTCCACCCGACCCTCCACTCACAGACACCGACTCTATATTGACTTGTAAGAGTTCATACTCTGACACGGTCAACACATTCTCTTCTTTTAAAAGAATTGGTCTCAATACCAAAACTGGAACTCTCATTTTCTTTTGTGAAAAGTAATTCATTACTGGTGTTAATTCACTTGTAAATTTAGTTATATTCTAAGAGAGACAAAAAGCAGAGAAAAGAAAATACTGTAAATACTAACAAGTAATAGAAAATAGATAATAATTAAATATACTAACCATTGAACCCAAATAAGTAGTTGAATCTTGTGATGCACAATTATGACTAAATGACATAAAATCGACCCACTTTGAATGGAATTCTAAAAATAGGCATATATCAATATTAGTTTTAGTTTTAGATAATCCATTCAAGATTATATTTATGTATTTATACATACCTGTAAATACTTGTTGTTCTGGTTTTACTTGGTTATGAGTGTTTGGAGCACGTCTTCTTATACCACCCTTTCCTCTTCCTCTACCACTACCATTTACTCTTCCAACTGTTGGTTGTGTTGTATCTAGTTTCTTTGATTCTTCATCTTCTGGGTCTTCAATGGGTTCGGGAGGGATCACTCTAAGAGCTTCACATAGTTTATCCTTTTGATTCTCGATTGTAGGTACCTCTATCGATGGATCTACATCAATTCCAACATACATATAAAGATTCTTGCTCATTTTTAAAAGTTATATATATATATTATTATATAGGTTTGTTTTGTTGTTTGTTAATGTTTGTTGTTAAATATATATATATACAAATTAAATAATATAATAAATGTACAAAACAATATAAAAGAGAGTCTTCTTATTGTTGATTGATCGATAGTCGCTGCTCTTGCTCTAACAACAATAGTTCAACAATGAAACCTTGTTCTTTCCAAAGCTCACTATAGTTTCTAATTTCTTTCTAAGGTAGATATTTTTTTTGTAGTGTCTTGAAAAATCTTAGGTCAAATATAATCTATTTCCGATTCAAGAAAGTATAAGACGACAGTCATTGAATGAATAAATTGATTTAATTTAATTATTTTAAATACAATCCAGAATCATTTTGGAATAATGTATATATGATATAGATAGATCAATGTCAAACATGGTGTATTATCTAAAAACCCTAGCTTGAGCATAAAAATATTAATATTATTATTTTTTGAGTAGTTCTTTTTTTTTTTGTTATAACAGTGACTATGACTTTAGCTACAACTACAACCACCTTCACATTTCATTGTATATTTAGATCGATATATATTAGACAATTGATATTTAATCAGATAGGTGATATATCAAATAGATTGTATCCAAAAGATAAAAGTTATGATGGTAGTCAACGATCATTACAAGGAAGAGATATCATCAAGTTACCTCTTCTTGAAATGATATCAAAGTTTGGGTTACCTTGGCACTTTGTTTGTCATTATCTACCTAAAGATAGAGATCAGGTACTATTGAAAAGAAGGAGAAGAGTGATTAGTCAATACTGCTGTCATCATAATGCAACATTGGATACACTTGAACATCTGGTAGAATGGTCACCTGATGTTGGGTTTGATTGGATGTATTTAAAGTATATAAACAATCAAGAGCTATTAGAGTATCTAGTCAAGAGTTGTCCTACACAAGAAAAGTATAACTTTTTCAAAAAGGCAATGGAGGTAGCTTGCACAAATGGTTATCTCTCGACTGTAAAGTTGATAACATGTTCTTTGATAAAAGGTGCACCATCATCACAAGTCGATCACCAAGCAATGGACATTGCTTGTCGTAAAGGATTCATTGACATTGTAAAATATTTACATTATAATGCTCAAAAAAGGGTATGGATAAAGCTGCTCGAAAAGGACACATTGAAATTGTAAAGTTCCTACATTTCAATCGTAGCGAAGGTGCAACAACCAATGCTATGGATTGGGCAGCTGAAAATGGCCAGTATGAAGTGGTAAAGTATCTTCAAGAGCATCGTAGTGAAGGTGCAACTACCAAGGCTATGGATGAGGCAGCTCGAAACGGACACTATGAAATTGTAAAGTACCTTTCTGAGCATCATAGTCAGAGTGAAGGTGCAATAAATAAAAGAGAATAGATAAGATCAAGTCAGTCCTGTCAGAACTGAAAAGAATAGGGAATGCTATGAAACTAGACATCTACTCAAGATTCATTTGAAACAGCTATTAGTCACACACATACATTTCAAATGAATAAATAATAAATAATTATAATAAATTCAAAGCCTTCAAAACCGTCGCCCCAATAAAATTAATTTTTTCACAAACATAGAAATAAAGTAATAATAATAATAATAATGACTGCTACTACTACCTCATTTCATTGTATATTTAGATCGATATATATTAGACAATTGATATTCAATCAAATCAATGATATATCAAATCAATTGTATTCAAAAGAAAAAGGTCGATATGATGGTAGACAACGATCATTAAAAGGAAGAGATATCATCAAATTACCTCGACTCGAAATGATATCAATCTATGCAATGCCTTGGCACTTTATTTGTCATTATCTACCAAAAGATTGTAATCAAATACTACCAAAAAGAAGAAGAATAAGAGTGATTAGTGAATACTGTTGTCACCATAATGCAACGTCTGATACACTTCGTCGTCTCGTAGATTGGTCATATTTCATTTCTTTTTGCATTGATTGGTTGTATTTGAAAAGAAATCTAATGAATATTCATAGTCAAGAGGTATTGGAATATCTCATCAGTATACATTCTAGTAATGATACTACCTTTGTCACCGAGGCAGCGGGTGTAGCTTGCACATATGGTCACCTATCGACTGTCAAATTGATATACTCTATCAAAGGTATACAATTCAATTGCCTAGCAATCGACTATGCTTGTAGGAACGGATTCATCGATATCGTCAAGTATTTACACGACAATAGAGCTGAAGGGTGTACTACTAATTTAATGGTAAGCAACCAATTAAATCGATTAAAAAATATCAATGATCAAAGAATTAATTATTAATTAATTAACATCATCAATCAATCAATCAATCAATAATTATTATAGGATACTGCAGCAAGAGGTGGTTATTTTGATATTGTAAAGGTATGTTGGGGGTTAGGCTTATATATAAATGTAAATGTGTTGTCATACTATAATATTAATACTCTATCTTTTTTCAATAATTAGTTTCTTCATTTTAATAGAACTGAAGGATGCACAACAAAAGCTTTGGATAATGCTGCAATGAATGGACATTTAGAGATGGTCAGAGTATGTATATATATATAATTCAAATCCACCTATTCCCTAACCAAACCTAAACCTAACCTAACCTAATATACTATAGTTCTTACATGAACATCGTACTGAAGGATGCACTGAAGCTGCTATGGATAATGCATCTTTAAATGGACACATTGACGTAGTAAAGTTTCTTGGTCAACATAGAACAGAAGGTTGTTCAAATGCTTTGGATCGGGCATCTCGGAATGGACACATTGACGTTGTAAAGTACCTAAATGAGCATCATAGTGATGCTTGTGTATCAACTGATGCTATGGATTGGGCTGCTGAAAATGGCCACTTGGAAGTGGTCAAGTATCTTCACGAGCATCGTAATGGTCAAGGTGCAACAACTGATGCTATAGATAATGCATCTAAAAATGGTCACGTTGAAATTGTAAAGTACCTTTTTGAGAATCGTACTGAAAGATGTACATCCAATGCTATGCATTTGGCAGCTGAAAAAGGACATATTGAGATTATAAGGTACCTTTATCAATGTTATAACATTGACGAGATTACGGCTGGCTGGTCAATGACAATGGCAGCTCGCAATGGTCACATTGAAATTGTAAAGTCATTTTATGAAGGCGGTGTACAAATATTTGGTGACCCAAAACTGGCTTTGGAAGATGCTGTTAGACAAGGAAACATCGAGATGGTATCCTATCTTGTTCACACTTGCAATATAAAATGTCTAACAGGAACACTAATAACGGCAATACAGGCAGCGAGTGAAACGGAGACATGCAAACTTGGATTGGATGTTTTCCATTTTCTTTTTGACAATTTCAAAGAGCAGAGTAAAATTTGGACACCAGAGGTGATGGATAGAGCAGCAGAATTTGGTCAGATTGATATTGTAAAGCTGCTTCATTTCAACAGGACTGAAGGTGCAACAACTGATGCAATGGATTTAGCAGCGAAAAATGGTCATATTGAAATTGTTAAAGTATGTATAGTATACATGATCAAACAATTGTTTTGGCCTAACATTTATTATTCATTCCAATTTCTATTTATTTCCATATTCTATTTATTTATTATTAGTTTTTACATTTTAATCGAAGTGAAGGATGCACCAAAAAGGCCGTTATATCTGCTTGTTTGGAAGTACATTTGGAGGTCGCAACTTTTCTCATCAATGTAGCCCAAGTGGAATGGACCAAGAAGGACCCACTAATTAAAATTCTAAAGAGAATATCTGATCCATGTCCAACCAATTATCATTATGATATTGTACAGTTGCTAATCTCACAACCATTCGATGAAGGGGATACGGAAATGATCCAAAAGAGAATACAAAGAATTAAAAAATCCAGGGTAAAATTAAAAAATGACAGTTATGCTTATGAAACTAGACATCTACTCAAGATTCACATGCGACATTTAGAGTCTATTGGAAATGAATATTCGGATGATATATAAATAATTAAATAATAATAATTAAATAATAATTATTATCTGTGAAAAATGATTATTTAAAAATTGTCACAGCGAAATAGGAAATGAATCAAGTAGATATAAATACATAATAATATTTGTACTTTTAAAAAATGTTTTACTATGTTTTTTAATTATCTTGGCCTGAAACAGCGGTTAGCCTGAAAAACTATGTTCATTTCTTTGTTTAAAAAGATCTCATAAATAGATCTGATATGTATGATTGATTTATTGTTCTTTTCCGGAGAGAATGGCAGCTTGGACAGCAGCACCATGGGCAACGGCCTCATCTGGGTTGATAGAATTGTTCAACTCCTTGCCGTTGATATACTCTGTAAGAGTAGTTGTACCTTTGGAATACGAGTGGTTCCACCGACGAGGATGATTTCATCGACGGAATGCTTGTCGAGGTTGGAATCACGGATAACCTGCTCAACGAGGAGGATACATTTATTGAAAGAGGTCATGGTTGAGCAGTTCGAAACGAGAACGGGTGACAAGTGTGTTGAAATCAAAGTTTTCATAGATACCATCGATTGCAATAGAAGTGTAGAGATTAGAGGAGAGGGAACCAATGGCACGCTCGCATTCATTACGGATTCTAAGCTCGACCAAAAGGGCAGACCACAAACTGCAAAGAAGTGAAGATGCTTTTTGTGAAAATCAAAACCATTATTTTAAATATCTGAATAGACGGGGGGGGGGGGGGAACGTAGTAGCAGTCATTATTAACATTGTAATACTTGTATAGTAATAATAATAATAATAATAATGACTACTACTACTACATTTTATTATGTATTTCGATCGATTTATATTAGACAATTGATATTCAATCAAATCAGTGATATATCAAATCGATTGTATAATGGTAGAGAACGACGATCATTAGTGGGAAGAGATATCATCAAATTACCTCTTCTTGGAATGATATCAATCTATGCAATGCCTTGGCACTTTGTTTGTCACTATCTACCTACAGATAGTACTCTGGTACTCAAAAGAAGGAAAAGTGTGATTAGTGAATACTGCTGTCATCATAATGCAACATTGGATACACTTGAACGTCTATTGGAATGGTCTAAAGTGGACGTTGACTTTGATTGGGAGTATTTGAAAAGAAATAGCAAGGATATAACCAATCAAGAGATATTAGAGTATTTAATCAATCAGAGGTACCCTACTACTACTACTCCTGTTGATGGAGATAATACCTTTCTTTTAGAGGCAATCAAGGTGGCATGTAATAATGGCTATCTCTCAACTGTCAAGTTGATTTACTCTATCAAAGGCTTGCCATCCAATTACCAAACAGCAATGGACATTGCTTGTAGTAAGGGATTCATTGATATTGTAAGGTATTTACACGAGAATAATAGAACTGAAGGATGTAGCATAGATGCAATGGTAAGAATCGATTCATTTAAAGAATATATCAATGATCAAAGAAATAATTAATTAACATGATCATCATCAATCAATCAATCAATATATTATAGGATAATGCAGCAAAAGGTCGTTATTTTGATATTGTAAAGGTAAGTGATAAGGGGTTGATATAATGTTGGTATTATATAATATTAATACTTTCTATCTTTTTTGAATTATAGTTTCTTCATTTTAATAGAACTGAAGGATGCACAACAAAAGCTTTGGATAATGCTGCAAAGAAAGGGGATTTAGAGATGGTCAAAGTATGTATAGATAATATTTCAAATCTACCTGTATAACCCTAACCTAACCTATTATACTATAGTTCTTACATGAACATCGTACTGAAGGATGCACTGAAGCTGCTATGGATAGTGCATCTTTAAATGGACACAGTGACGTAGTAAAGTTTCTTGGTCAACATAGAACAGAAGGTTGTTCAAATGCATTGTATTGGGCTGCTCGGAATGGTCACTTGGATGTTGTAAAGTATCTGAATGAGTGTCATAGTGAAGATAAATCAACAGAGGTTATGGATATAGCAGCTAATCATGGCCACTTGGAAGTGGTAAAGTATCTTCAAGAACATCGTAGTGGTGAACGTGCGACTACCCAAGCTATGGATCTTGCAGCTTTAAAAGGTCACATTGAAATTGTAAAGTATCTTCAAGAGCATCGTAGTGAAGGATGTACATCCAATGCTCTGCATTGGGCAGCTGAAAAAGGACATATTGAAATTGTAAAATACCTTTATCAACATTATAACTTTGAAGAGATTACGGCTGGCTGGTCAATGACAACGGCAGCTCGCAATGGTCACATTGAAATTGTAAAGTTCTTCTATGAAAGCGGTGTACAAATATTTGGTGACCCAAAACTGGCTTTAGAAGATACTGTTAGACAAGGAAACCTTGAGATGGTATCCTATCTTGTTCGCACTTGCAATATAAAATGTCTAACAGGAACACTAATAACGGCAATACAGGCAGCTAGCTGTGAAATGGATCCAGGATTGGATGTTTTCCATTTTCTTTATGATAATTTCAAAGAGCAGAGTAAAATTTGGACACCAGAGTTGATGGATTATGCAGCTTCAAAAGGACAGATTGATATTATAAAGCTGCTTCATTTCAACAGGACAGAGGGGGCAACAATCTATGCTATTAATAATGCAGCAATCTATGGTCACTTAGATGTTGTAAAGTTCCTTTCAGAGTATCGTAGTGAAGGTGCAACAACCCATGCTATGGATGGGGCAGCTAAAAATGGTCATTTAGAAATTGTTAAAGTATGTTACAACAAAAGCTATAGTATACATGATCAAATGTTAATTGTTTCGACCTAACATTTATTATTATTTCCATATTCTATTTATTTATTATTAGTTTTTACATTTTAATAGAAGTGAAGGATGCACCAAAAAGGCTGTTGTGTCTGCTTGTAAGGAAGGGCATTTGGAGGTCGCCACCTTTCTCATCAATGTCGTCAAAGTGAAATGGACCAAGAAGGACCCACTAATTAAAATTCTAAAGAGAATCTCAGTGGCATCTCAAAGCAGTTATGATATTGTACAGTTGCTAATCTCTCAACCATTCGAAAAAGGGGATACGACAATGACCCAAAAGAGAATAGAAAGAATTAAAAAATACAGGGCAATATTAAAAACCAGTAATGCTTTTGAAACTAGACATCTACTCAAGATTCACATGCGACATTTAGAGTCAATAGGAAATGAATATTCAGACCTCCTTAAATAATAATTAAATAATAATAATAATAATAATCATTAAATAATAATAATTAACCATTTTAAAAATTGTAAAAAGATCTTTCGAAAATTCGCTCTTTTATTTTTGACAAACATAGTAATAACTAATTAGTTATAATAGTAATAATGACTACTACAACAGCAAAAACAGCAACTCTCTAAAGAAAGTCCTGTATTGGCTTGGCCAAATCCAAATCAAGTAGAAATGATTAAATCAATACAGGACACCAACTTTGAGAATCTTTACTAAAGAATCAACAAGAATTGGATAAAGAAACAAAGAAAAAGATTATTGATTTAACAAAAGATGATATTCAAGTAAAACAAGAGATACCAATAGTATAAAAAAAGAAAAAGATAGATTCGATCAATTGGAAAAGGTTAATCAATGTTGTTTGAAGCAAAGGAGGAGAAATTAAAGAGAAGACAAGAAAAAGATGATAGATCAATGGAAATACTTTACAACCAAAAGTTGACAGAAAAGAGAATACAAGAATTGGAAGGCAAGTATGAAAATACAAGACAAATAGATGAACAATTACAATCAATTATAGACATGCAAAATGAAATAAAAGAAAAGAATCTTTTGGAATTGGAAAGAACAATTCAAGCCAATCAAGAAAAGCAAGAATCACCTGTTGCACAAATCATGGTTGATCAAATTTTACCAATGATTTAATAGAAATGGTCCCAAGAAACAATCTAACAGCTACAAATGATTTGGTAAAACAGTATTTAAATTCAACAATGTCCTCTACTAAACTATCTACAAATTTAGGAAATGAATTAAAAGAAATGGTCAAGAATCAAAGAATTAGTGTCATCGATTTAATTGTATCTTTTGCTCAAGATGTAAAAAGAAAACAAAAGATTGGTAGTGGAAGATCAAACAAAGGTCTTTATGATAGCGAGATTGAAAGAATAATGAAACCATATCATAGAAAGGGATTTGAAAGAGTAATAGCAAGTGACCAATTAAATTTATTGGAACCAAAAGACAAGATGTCATTTATTATGAATTTGGACCACACAACAAACCAGGAAGTCATTGGGTTGCAGTATACGTTGATGCAGATAAAGATAAATCTGTAGAATATTATGATTCATTTGGCCAAGAACCAACAGATGATTTTATGAAACAATTAAAAGATTTAATTGATGAAATCAATCCAGATTATTATTTAAAATTCAAGGTAAACAAAGTCATTGATCAAGCATCAAATAGTACAACATGCGGTTATCATGCAATTAAATTTTTATTAAATAGATACAATGGTATACCATTTAAAGAATCAAGTGGTTGGAGTGATATAACAAAAGAGGAAAAGAAAGCAAAAAAGATGAGAGATGATTGGAACAAGTTTGGACTCATTTAATAATATTAATTATTATTTGTATTATTATTTGGTTGATTTGTTGATTGTGATAGATCAACTGTAGCACCACAACATGATGCTTTTTTTATTCTTTTCATAAAATTAAATAAACTTTCAATTAATAAAGTTCCTATTCCAATTAATAATGCTATAGTTGCAGAATCCATTTTTTTATTATATATTTAAAACAGAAAATTATTTTATTTTATATAGAGTGATGCAAATGATTCATCAGACATTTACATAATGTTTTTGGTTGGTGAATTTTTGTCTGTTCGTATTCACACAATCCCAACTGCTAATTCCTCGTTACAGCCTTGTTTAACAAATATTCACTACCCGTTGTTTTGAATTGTCAGTGAAACTATGGAGGTACCGATTTAAATAAATAATAAACAACTATTCAATGTCAAATTTGCAATATAAGGTTTCTATTTATTGAATTAGATCTAAGAAGTCAGCAATTAGTTTGGTGTTGCTATTGTTCCAGTGACTCGAGACCATAACATTCGTCCTCCCCAATGTATGAATCTAATGGCAGTGTCTCTTCCTGGTACCAATCCTCTGAAGCCTCTGGTAACCCGATTACAAGCAAGTGTTGGGATATGTTGTTGTCTTCCTCAAATTGTTTGTCGTCTTTCAACTTTTCTTCTGTGGACTTTTTGTTTTCTTGGTCTTGTTCCTCCTTTGTACCTTTCTTTGGGAACTCATAGAATATGGGGTTCATGTAGAGATCGCTTGACCATGGACAGACGACAATGAGTCGAATATGCATGTTAGGATCATCGAAGTTCTTACGAAGATCTGTAGATGAGCTGATGGAGTCAGAGCTCAAAGCGCTGTGTTTGGCAGAGATGGTGACCTGGAAGAGATTGTTGGGGGCGAACAGGCTATCAATTGCTTTAAAGTTCTTGGCCTCTGGAATCCAGAAGGTATTACCTTTTGTGACTTGATAGAGTTTGGAAAAACGAGATGGTATACTTTGTGGCAGGATTAAAGTTTGAACAGATTTGTCTCTTTTCGATATTAACGTGTGACTACCTCCCTTGGCAAACTGATGGTGAACATAAGATTCATAGAGTTCATCTGCGAGTGTTTGAGTTCCTCTTGGGTTTTGAAGAAAGAAGCCAAGTTGATTTGGAGATCACGTCTGTGGATTTTTTCCAGTACTGCCAACAGAACAAATTTAGATGCCCACTTGAGTCCCACTTGTTTAAAATCCTCGTCAACCACGTTGTGGATCAGCTTGCGGCTGACTTCGGTGTCATCCAAGAGAGGGGATCGAAGAACTGCCTCAAGACACGCAATTGAAAGTGCGCTGTTAAGGAGTCTCTGTTGGCCTTCAACATCTGCTAACTGCAGAACGTAGCTCGGGATGCCTCCCCACTTGTAAAAACCGACTTTTACCTTGTTTGGTGGCATTTCGTCAAAGAGTTGAAAGGGACGACCACCAAATAAAGAACGTATCGATAAACTACATCTTTAATCACTCGACCCCAAACGCACTTGGAAATAATGTGGTTTTGGACAATCTCAACCCCAACTACTTTAATTACCATGGTTGCTCCCAATCAATCAATCAAATGCGTATGTTTGATCCAGGATTGGTTAACAAGTTGGTACGTACTCAACACATTTCAATAGCCAAAGAGTATGTGGATATGGCAACACTAAAGAAACTAGTCATCCACCCATTCCAATTGAAATCTCTCAAAGTATCTATAAAGCCCGAATTAAAATCATCACAACCCATGGATGATGCCAACGATGTTGAAACGGCCCAAGCAAACTATGTTCAAGAATGGAATGAATTTTGTATGAACTTATCAAACAACTCGTCACTTGTCAGATTGTACATAGAGAATGAACAGTCAAGACAAATAGTCTATTCCGAGACACTGGAATTGGAACGAATCCAAAGATCATTTAGATCATCGTTTATCCAAGGTCACTCTAAAGTGTCATATCTAGACTTGTCCAATCTATACCATGTACTGTCACCTCCTCTCTTTAATTCCATTCTCTTGTACAATGAAACCATCACCAAGTTGGTATTGACCAATGGCAGTCTACAACCCAAACTACTTGAATCGTTTGCAGAATGTTGGCTTCAAACAAGAGTATTACAGCTCTGTCTATTGCAAATAATGCACTCATTCCAATCAAAGAGTTGGCAATGGGTTTCAGCCAAAATAGTACCATCACAATATTAGATTTAACCGATAATTGTTTTGCCAACTATGCAACCGATATGTTTACCTCTTTTCTTGAAATGGACTCTATTCAACATTTAATCATCGATGAACCATTAATCAACCCAAACCATCATTATTTTACCAAATCCAAATCATTAATTAAATATTATCTATTAGATTCTACTTGTGGTGTTCCATTATTCTTTGGTTGCTAAAAATTAAATAATTAAATAAATAATATCTTTTTCTTTTTTTCCTTTTTGAAATAAATAATTTTAATTGAATAAAGATAATATTTCCTTTTCTAAATGATCGACCATTTGTAAAGGAGTTTGTTGTTCATTATCTGTTAAATCTTTTCTTGCTCCATTTTCCAATAATAATTTGATGACATTGTAATGAGAACACATGCAAGCATAATGCAGTGAAGTCAAACCATCCAAATCGCTATCATTTATATTTGCTCCAGACTCTATCAATAATTGAACCATTTCCAAATTACCTCTATCACAACCCCAAATCAATGGTGTTCTTCCTTGCTCATCTCTTTCATTTACCATTATTTTCAAACTTTCTTCTTCAACAGCTGTAGCAGTTGTTAACATTTTTCTTACAATATCCAATTCATCAGATGATACATAATAACATAAATCTTTTTTTCTAAATATAATAAAAATATAATAAATTAATCAAAACTATCATTCTTTTGAGGATATATAACATACTGATTCTTTGATTCTTCTAATATTTTTTCATCGACCATTGAAAATCTTGACATGACTGGACCCATGGTACCTTTACCTTGTGCAGGTTCTTTTGCTTCTTCATCATCACTATCCGATTCAAATATATCATCATGGTTCTTTTCTTTCACTTCTTTTTTTTCAGTCTTTGTAGAGGAAGCAGAGGCATTCATTTCATCCTCTGTTTCCTTTGTAACTTGATCTAACCAATGAGGTACCAATGTTTCAAGGAATGTCATATATTCAATCTTTGCATCTTCTTTATCCATATTACCAAGATCATTCCAACTATTCCTAAAAGATCATCATCGTTAGTAATGAGATCCTCTATCTCTTTCTCTTTCTCTTTTGTTTCTCTTTCATACCATTTAGATCTACCAACAAAATCAAATAAAGAAGGTTGTTTTGTATTACATTTCCCGACAGTAGCTTGTTTATAATGAGCATAAAAGAATAGTTGTTTGTCGTTATTGATATCTGCAATCTTGTGTGTATTCAAATATTTAACTGCTTCATCAAATGTATGATTCAATATTTCTAATTTTTTATTTATATCTAATTCTTGTATATCTAAATTCATTCTCTCTTCTATCTCTATAAGTATATCTATATATATCTATGTATATTATATTATTAATTAACAATGAATGAGAACAAAAGATGAAACTTTGATGATTGTTCATCTAAAAACTATACTCCAAATTAAATTTGATTTTATTATGTTCAAAGTTTATGATGAGTCAACGACTGATGATTCATTTCAAGTATATTCATATTTCGTAGTACATATACAGAAAGTATTTAGATAGATATATACCAGAGAAATGAGTGATGTTGAACATTTGAAAGCATTTGTGAGTAGAGATGGTGATGAACTCATCATTCAAAAGGCACCAGAGGGACATGTTAGAATCGAGGTGACACACTCGGTCTTGTCCGATGATATATTAGGTACAAACAATTGGAAGAATTTCCCAATAGATACTACTATTACAAGTTTAAAAGAAAAGGTATATATAAACAATCATTCATTGATGATCGTTGTGTTGTAATAATGGTAGTTCTAATATTATTATCTTTTTAATATAGTTACATAGAATAGTAGGAACAGACCCAAAATATATGAATTTACAACTTAGAGAGAATAACAAGACTACGGTATTGGTAGATAATGATGGATTCCAAGACGGATCATTGACATTGAATCATATACCACATTTACTCGAGGGTGTTAACCTCAACATTCACATTATCGATGTCGACCCAAACAACTATGTCGCTAGCCTACAAGACATTGATAGCCAACCATCAACTAAAATGACCGACGAAGAATATGATAAGCGTGAAGGTACCTATAGAAAATGGAAACAAGAACAAGAACAAAAACAACCATCCACCACCACTCAACCATCAAGTACCACCGACGACAATTCAATCGAACCATCATGGCTAAAGATTGGTGACAAGTGTCAAGTAAAGAGTGATCTTCGAACTGGAACCATTGCATATATTGGCTTAGTCAATGATACTGTTGGTTACTGGGTCGGACTTCACTTGGACCTCCCATTAGGCAAAAATGATGGTACTCTCAAAGGAAAGAAATATTTTGATTCAATTGATAAATATGGTGCTTTTGTTCGTGCTTCCAATCTTAATGTTAATTCTCAACAACCAAATGAAATTTAAATATATCAATTAAATAAATATATTATATTAAATTAATTTGATTGGACGTACCAACACTACTTTCTAAAATTCGAAATTCCCGCCAAATTTGCAAAGGCAGACAGACTTGCATTGAGGCTCAAAAAGTCATTTCATTCGTAGTAACTATTATTAAAGATACAGATATTGATAGATAGATAAGATATAATGATGAATAGTGAGAGTAGATATAATGTAGGAGGAGGAGGTGGAGGAGGTGTAAGAGGTCAACCTACACCATCATCATCATCATATCATCCTCCAACTTCAACTAGTACTACTTCAACAACAACAACAACTAATCATAATGGTGGATCATCTGCATATAAACAACAACAACAACAACAACCAGTACACCATCAATACCAATATCACACTGAAACACCTGTAAAATCAACATCAACATCAACAACATCAACATCGGTCGGCGGAGGGGATCCCTTTAAAACACCAAAAGTTAAGAAACAAGAAAGTAATAGATTATTTGCATTTGAACAACAACCACCAATACCTACACAAAAGGATAAACAAAAACAACAGATTGAAGAACTATTGAAAAAGAATCAAGAGCTAGAGGAACGAGTGACAAAGCAATCACAAGAGATTACAAGTCTCGACAATGTTAGAAAGGAACAATTACAAGATCTTGCAGATCTACAATCTTCATGTCACAAACTAGACAGTTCAAACAAACAATTACACCAAATCATAGATACTCAACATCAAATGATTCAAAATTTAACTCATGATATTAATTTATCAAATAAAAAAGTAACAAATAGAACAAGAACAAAAAAGAATAGAAATGAAATGTATTAATTAATTATTTATTTGTTATTTATTTTAGGTTGAACAACAACAAAATCAAATTGATGATTATATAGAACAAATGAGTAATACTGGAAAGACAGATTATGAAACATTAATTAGATATGCAGAGTTGGAAAAAGAATTGGTTCAATTAAAATCAAATGATGATAGAAATCAATTATTAGATGCAAATAATACAATTAAAATTGTATGTTTATTATTGGATTATTATTGTTATTATTTACTTATTAATTAATTTATAATTGTATTTATAATTTAAGTTGGAAAAAGAAAATATGGAATATAAACAAGGAATTATTGATTATCGAGCTGAATTGGAGAAATTAAATCAATTGATTATATCACAACAAAATCCAACCAACAATCAACAAGCACAATACGATCAATTATTAAATGATAATAGAGAATTGGAAAATCAATTGAATTTATTTCAAGAATCAAATGATAAACTTGGTAATGAATTGAATGAAAAGAATGAATTAATTAAAGAATGTGTATCAACTCTATCAAAATATGAATCTGATAATGTATGTCGAATCAATTATAATTAACTCATCAAACCAACCATTTTAATTGTTGATTAATTAACATATTCATTTTTAGAATATATTACATAATAATAATTATCATCTTGAACAACAATTACAACAATTACAACAACAACAAAGAGGACAAGGACAAGGACAAGGACAGGGACAGGGACAAGGACAAAATGGAATAGGAGGAGAATTTGGAGTTGCAAGTGTATTTGATGATACCTATCTACCAAATGGTAGTTACTTGACAGCATTTGCACAAGAGTCAAACGCCATTTCAAACGAATTGAATGATATTAAAAGATTAATCAAAAAGATTGATGGTGGTTTACATTTATATCAACAACAAGGTCAAGGTGGACAAGGTCAAGGATTTGGATCTTCAAGAGTAGGTGGTGGAGGAGGAGTTGGGGCTGGATTTAGGTCAACTTCCGGAGTAGGAGGAGTAGGAGTAGGATCTCAATTTAACCCATCAACAACAACAACAGCTACAACCAATACACTATTGCAATCAACCAAATTAAATATACCTTTTGATGAAAATGCATTGATCAATAACTTGCAAATCATTAAAGAAGATGCACAGAATATCAAACGAATACTTACTTCTCAATGCACCAATTATTCAGGGAAGAATTGTGCAGTCCAATAATAATAATATAAATAATAATAAATTGTAAAAAAGATAGAAGATCAAAGTATGAATCAGACTTGATTCCAAAAACTACCAATCCAATCATTGTCATCCCACCACCACCACAATTTGGACGATTCAATGCACCCCCATTTTTCGAATGGTTGTATACAAAGGGAGGGAGGGGGTAAGGTTAGAAAGTAGTAGTATGGTCCATACACCATATTTGTTTCTTTGACTCGATGATTGAATGACATTGAATGTGAGCTAACAAAATTTATACTCTATTCCTTATTATTTTACTTACTTATTACTTTCAAACTATTTTGTTGTTTGTTGTTTAGAATCAAAAGAGAGATTTAAAAGCTAGAGAGATAAGAGAAAAGATAGAAGATGGAAGATGATAGCCATAAATTTCAACCAATAGATATTCATCAAAATAATGTAATTGCAAATGATGATAAAGATTCATTGATACAACAACCAAAACAAAAAAAAGAATATGCGATCCATGAATATCAAGATAATGGAAATAGTTCAAAAACAATAACATTTATAGATGATGGTAAAGATGTAGGAGGAGGTGGTGGTGGAGGAGTTGGAGGAGATCAAGAAAATGATAAATATCAAGTATCTTCAATGTATCATTCACACGATAGTCTTTATGCAAACTCGACCAGTTCAAATGAAACTTCTTTTAATTATTTTTGGAGTCCTCCAGAGAGTGCCTATTCAATGATTGTCAATAGTCATCCAAATGATACTCCATCTCTCTATTACTCTAGTACTCGTACAATTAATAATAATCCATACCATTCAATCAATCATCATTCTAAAATCAAATCTTCTGATCAAGAACAACAACAAAATGAATTTGATGAAAATGATTCATTTGCAAATAAGGATTTTTTAATTACTTTAATATTGTATGAAATATAAATATAAATATAAATAGATAAATAGATAATTAATTATTCTTTTTAGATTTATAACAGGATTCTTTTTTATATTACCATGGTTTTTTGGATGGATCTATCGAAATTCAAAACATAGATTTGCAAGGATATTGGCAATTGGATCATGTATAATGACTGTCATATCATCCGTTCTATTTATAGTTTACTTTTTCTTTTATGATGATTTTAATAATGAAAATAATAATCATCAAGGAAAAGATTAATAATAAATAATTTATTTAAATATATATATAATATTTATTTGTTTCTATATTTGTTTATTTATTTATTTAGGTTAATTTTAAAGTTATATTTTTCATATTTAATAATAATGAAACAAAACAAACTACAAATACGTAGCCAGTGATAACGGCCATGGAAGTTTCAGGGGTGGCATAGATGGTACGCATTGAAAAGTTGACCAACCCAGTTAGGATGTTGGCGAGTAGGAACATGGAGAGTTGGTTTCGATTGATGGAAGAGGTGATGACTCCGGCGTGTTGGAGATACGATGTAGAAATGGTAGAGACGAGTAGGACAATGGCAAAGTTGAAAATGTTGAGTGCCAAGATAGCAAGTACGTATGGTAGATTGGTCATACGTCTCGAGATGGGTTGGACATTGTCTTCAACCCAATAGAGTATGGCAAACAGTGCAGCAGAGAGTGCTAGCAATTGCAATACGTACAATCTCCACTCCTTGACAGAATTGCGTTGCTTGAATATAGTGGTTCCCAATTTCGTACCAATCAAATACAATGAAAGGTAACCGGCAAGACTACATATACCCTCCTTATTGGCAGATATTAAATTGAGACGTGGATGATTTAATATATAATCACTTAATCCATACTGTGACAATAGAACTTGATAACCAACAATGACAATACTACCAACCACCAGATTCATATTTGGTGACATCTTTAAAAATGATAAAACAATAGCTACAAATCCCAATGTAAAAAAGAAATTCCAATGTATACCATATTCTGTTACATGTTCCTTAAAATAAATAAACATTAATAAATAAATAGTCACTTTTAATTTAATATGTAATATTTTTTTAGCTTACTTGATAATTTGTAGATTTTGTTAAAACAATTCTAATTAAACCTAATAACATTAAAGGTAGATTTGACATGAATGCATGTTTGGCCAATGCAACTCTTGATAGTTTTGGTTTCTTTTGTTTTTGATCCTTTTCTTTTTCCTTTTCAGCTGATGATGATTGTTCAGTGATTGATTCTGATCTTGCTTGTCTTGATACCATAGCACCTGACAATACAACTGAACCTACACCAATGTCCATCAATGATATACCAAATGTCTCAGTCTTGCTCAATCTTCTTGGAAAGACTGGAAAGTCAACTGCCAAAATACAAACAATCGTTGCCAACATGACAAACGATCTATACTCTTCAATAAACTTCTTTCTTGGATGATTCAATGCTATTAATGATTCTGGATTCTCTCCAAAATTAAATAATTTAACAGATTCTCTAATAGAGAAAAAGAGATAAAGAAGAAGAAGATGTTATCTGTTAATAAAACTTGAATGTTGTATGTATTCTTAAGTTTTAAGTATGACTTACTGAGAGAATAAAGGTAATATAAAACATGATAATAACATGAAAAAGAGTAATGGTACTAATAGTTCGATAAAGGTGACTGATACGATAAAAGGTAGTACAATAGTAATAAACTCTAAAAAGAATCGAATGAGGTTTGGTACCTTTTGTGCCTTTCTTGGGAAAAAGGTACCAAACAATACTCTTTGAAATAGTACTGATACCTATAGAGTAGAGTATAGTATAGTATACATACAAGAGTAAAAGGGGGTTAGTAAAGTGTTACACTTTATTTGCTCTTAGCCATCATCATCATCTTCGTCAGCTGATCACACAATGTACATTAATTAACTAAAACATACAGGTACAATATTTAAAATAAGACAAGTTTCTAGTAAACTAGAACCTGTTAGATTTTGAACAAATGCTTCATGTTCAAGTTTATATTGTTCATCCATCTAGTATTCTTCCTGTCTCTCTCTCTTTGATTAAATTTAATAACTGATGTTCAAAATTTAGTTAAAACTTTATTTTAATTAAATTTTTTTTTGGGTGGAGCATCATCACCTCTTGAAGAAAAAGAAATAATATTGTTTAAAAGATTAATGTAGATAGATAGATAGATAGATATATTTATTAAATAAATAAATAAATAGTAATAGAATGATAATTTATTAAATTCAGACTACTATACTAGTAGAAGGAGAGAGAATGAATACTAGAGAGAGATAGAGAGAATGATAGATAAATTAACAAATATAATAATAATACAAATAATCAAAGAGATTGATAGTAATGTAGATTTGATATGTCTATTGATGACTTGTAAGAAGTTGTTTTATCATTATGTTAGACATGTTGTAAAGTTTAAACATTTGGAGTATAAGACCAAAATGACAGGCACAAACCATTATGGTTGGGCATTACGCAAATTCAATTTGAAGTCATTTGTTGATATCATCAAGAATACAGTGTCTGATACGCTTACAATACGAGATATTGGTGAGAAGGACTATCATCGTGATTATTATTATAATAATCAATATGAAGCACCACCAAATGATAGATTGATTACAACTACTATCTGTAGCCATAATGGAGAGATGGCAATCCCAGAGTCTACTCAATTACTCTATTGTTATCGATCCGTCAATCTCCTACTTATCCACCACGGTCCCATGGTCGTCCAAGGTAAATTGTTTTTTCCCAACAATGTAAAGACCATATTTATGGCAGGCACTCTCAATTTAAAGTATTATTCATTTCCAAGTGGTCTAGAGTCACTCTACTTTGATTCTCCCAACCGAAATTCATTTCCAATTGACCCAACCCTATTCCCCAATCTCACCACTTTGACAATAGATTGGGTGACACTTGATAGTGGAACGGTTCTTCCTAGCAGCCTGACAAGTCTCAAGCTTGTAAACGTGACTTTTGACTCGACCGAAATCTTTTATCCATTGACATCTTTGGTCGATTTAAATCTACACACATTCAATCGATCCATAATAGATGTCTCTCGACAATCCTCTCTCAAATCCCTCGCTATCAAAATGAATGAATTATGCGAGTTGTGTCTACCAACTGAATGGCCACCACTCACTCATCTCGTCCTCCCCCCTCATGTTCATTTCAACCAATTTGACCGATTCCCTTTGACACTCAAGCACTTGACCGTCTCCTTGTCGACTCTTACTCGAATTGATTACCATGTTGGTGTCTATGTCAACATTCCTCTACCACCTTTTTTAGACTCGCTCTATATTATGGGTTTTAATATGCCCAATCTCATAGGTAGTCTCATTCCAATTGGTGTCAAGACACTAAAGATCGATGATACATGTGACTTGGATACCGAATGGTCACCATTGCCATCATCGATAACAAGTTTGGATATTACATGCTCTAAAAGGTTTCTTAATATTCAACAAGTATTATCTTCCAATTTAGTTCATTTTACATATGCTTGTACATATGAACCCTTCGAATTGAAGAAAGATAAAACCCCTTTATTTCCAATAGAGTACCCAGAGTCTCTTAAATCACTCAATTACCCCAAATTGGTTGGTACCTATTTCATTCCCCATATTCCAACGACCATTACATCTCTATCTTTGAATCTTTGTTCAAATCCAACCGTTATTTCTATATTTGATAGATTACGGCTACCAGCTCATCTGATGCAACCACTCCCACCAAATATCACACAATTATTAATTCATACCAAATCGCAAACCAAAACCACAATCCGTTTTGATGATATAATCAACCAAACCAATGTCCAAGAACTATCAATAGTATTGGAAATGAATATAGAAATTCATTTATCTATTCGAAGATTGGACCATTGCAATATACTAGTGATAGACAAACCATCTTTGAATGGTGGAATCATGATATTACAACAACATCAATACATATCGGGGATTACTCCAATCTATTTACATTTTGATAATGGTCAAGTGACTTGGAGTAATAATTCTTGACTACTTTAGATTTAATAATAATATTATCAATTAAAAACAAATAAATATAATAATTTAAATAAGTTATTTTTGACAAACTAGAGGACGAAAATTATCTATATCACCGTCTCTTGAAACACAATTGAGATTTTTCAAAATTGTTTGTAACTTTTCAATCAATTCAAGATTCCATTTTTAAATTTGTACAAACTAGAATAAATTTATAATTAGTTGATAATCGCTTCCAATCCTCTCTCTATTAACACTCTAAATCTATCTGTATTGATTTTTGTGATAAATAAATCAGGAATTATAAAAATAAAATTAGATTGCCAAAGAGTTTTTTAATTTTCCATCTTTTAAAAAATATAGTCAAGATCTTTAGATATAATATTATAGATATATCAGTATAAAATAATTAATTATAGATATATCATTATTATAAATATTTAAAAAATACAAATAATAATGAAAATTATAAATATAAATGATCCAAAAAGAAAAAAGAGGAGATGAAAATTAAAGAGAAATAGAAAGAAAGAAAGAATAGGATGATAGATAATTTAACAAATCATATAATCATATTAAAAATAATTAAAGAGATTGATAATAATTCCGATCTTATATGTCTGTTGATGACATGTAAGAAGTTGTTTTATCATTCTGTTAGAAGTGTTGTAAAGTTTAAACTAATGGATCGAAACATCACGACAATAGTTGGACAATATAATACAATAGTGCATGACTTTTATTTAAAGTCATTTATGGATATCATAAAGAATACATTGTCTGATACTCTAATCATACGAGATATTTATCAAAACTACCAAAGTAATTGGTTGGTAGACTATCAAACACAACCAAATGATAGATTGATTACGACTACCACTTGTAGTCATAATGGGGAGATGGAAATACCAGAATCAACAGAAACACTTCACCTTTATAGTTCACATCATATAGAGTACTATAGAAGTGAAATTGTCAAAAATGGTGTTTTCAAAGTTCCTGATAATGTCAAGAACCTATTCATCCGAACTGAACATCTCAAGATGATGGATCATATAACAATTCCAAGTGATCTATATTCATTACGTTTTGTGGCCCATGAAAGGGCACAGTCTATCAGCGTGTCTAGATTTACCAATTTAACAACTCTCTTTATTCAATTTGTTGAATTGGAAAATGAAGAGACACTTCCAACTAGTTTAACAAGTCTCACTATGAAATTGGTCCTCTACTCCCACTCGAAATTATTCCATCCATTGACTCGTCTAGTACATCTAGATCTCTATATTCTCGGTCTTCCAATACTAGACTTGTCTAGACAATCATGTCTTGAATCATTGACCATTGGAACCAATGAATTTAAAGGGATATATATTCCTCCACCTACACATTCACTCGCGCTGACTCGTCTCAAACTCCCACCTACCTTTAGTCCCACCAACACCCCTATAGAACCAACCAGCCTATTTCCACAGTCACTCAAATACTTGACAGTATCTTTGGAAACACTGACCGATACCAAACTCCAAGTCAGTTATCTCCCACCTTCTTTGGACACATTATCAGTTTTTAATTGTTTGAATTCTATCCCGAAAATACTTATTCCAAATAATCTTAAAACACTTGAAATCAATTTCGCAAGAAATTATCTATATTTTCCAGATATCTGGATCCCTCCCAATTTGGTTCATTTTAAACTTGAATGTAATTTCCAAAATGCAAACATCAACCTTCCAACTATATTTCCAGCATCTTTGGAATCACTAGACTATTCTAAATTAGGTATACCCTATCACGACCTAGTTATTCCAAACACCATTTCATCTCTCTCTATCAACTTTATATCTAGTGAAACCATATCGATATTTGATCGATTGACAAGACTTTATTCATTGCCACCAAACATCCAAGAGTTAAAGATCGAGGTTGAAATGTCAACGATTACTAAAATCCGACTGGATGATATAATCAAACGAACCAATGTCCAAGAACTAACCATTTTGATAACCTTTCTTAAATCAACTCACCACCTCTACTTTTCCATTCGAAGACTGGATAGTGAAAACGTCCTAGTTGTTGAAAATTCAACTATGAATGGTGGAATCATCTCCAAACATCAACTACAATCCATGGAAAAAGAGGATACCAGTACAGATACTCCCATCTATCTATGTACATATCAATCCCAAAACTATGAAAAAGTATATTGGACTATAGTCTAGATTAATCAACTCTTCAATATATATATATTGACCCATCGACAAAAATTATATAATATTAAATGATTCAAGAAAATAAATAAAAAAAAGCACAAGAACGTATCGATTTGCAATTTTGACACATTCATGTATGGAGATAGAGAGATATAAGATAAGAGGTAATATAGAGGAGTGATGATAGATAAATTAACAAATACAAATATATTACAGATCATTAAAGAGATTGATAATAATGTAGATTTGATATGTCTGTTGATGACATGTAAGAAGTTGTTTTATCATTATGTTAGACATGTTGTAAAGTTTAAACATTTAGATTACAAGATAAACTTTAACGAACCACACTATAGTACACTCTTTTATGAGTACAATTTAAAATCATTTGTAGATATCATAAAGAATTCAGTGTCTGATACTCTCATCTTAACAGACCCCAATATTGTGGCTTTCAACAATAATGAAAATAATGGCAAATGTACATGGTTTCTAGATTACTTGTTTCAACTAGGTAATCGACAGATTACAACTACTGCATGTAACTATAATAGTGAAGAGACGGAAATACCAGAATCAACAGAGACGCTCTATGTATATCAACCAAAAGTAAATGCAAAGTTGCAACGTAAATTGGTTATACCTAGTAATATCAAGACTCTAGATATCTTTTTACGTGTCGCCAAATTTGAAGATATAACATTTCCAAGTAGTCTAGAGAAACTCTACTTTATGTCTTCCAAACAATCAACAATTAATATGGCTCAACCCTCACTCTTTACCAATCTTACAACGTTATCTGTATATAGTCAAAGATTTCAAGGTGGCTCATGCTCCTTACCACCCAACTTGACCAGTCTAAGTATATCAAACTCACACTTTGACAGTCACCTCTTTGATCAGTTGACAAGTCTAGTGCATGTGGATCTACACCTACTATCATCAATAGATAGCTCAAGAATCATAGATTTGTCTAAACAAGTAAATCTAGAATCTTTTATACTTGTAGACTGTAACAATAATCAATCTCTTGGTGATATACATATTCATCTGCCTCTATCATCACCATTCACTCGTCTATCCCTTCCACCAAGATTCATATCCAAACAATCAACCAACCTATTTCCATCAACACTCAAACACTTGGCAGTCTCTTTGGAGACACTAAAAGATTTGAAAGTCAACCCTCTCCCACCCTGTTTGGTCACTCTGTCCATTTTGGCTTGTAGTAGTTCTATTCCAATTGACCTCATTCCAAATAGTGTCAATACATTAAAGATCAATTACACATCTGATGATTTGGTATGGTCATTACAGTCATCAACAATTACAAGTTTGGATATTACCTATTCATGTCATATTTATGGTAGAATCCCTTTCTCACTACCTCTTAATTTGGTTCATTTTTCACTTGGCTGTGAAAGAGACCCTTTAGGAACTCATCCCATCTATCTTACTCTATATCCTCCAGAGATTTATCCAACTTCTCTTGAATCACTAGATTATTCCAGGGTGTTTGGTGTGTATGACAAACTAGTGATACCAACCACTCTATCATCTCTATCTTTGAACCTTTGTTCAAAACCAATAGCATCGATATTTGATCAATTAAAAGATAATCAATCACTACCACCAAATATCAAACATTTAGAGATAGAGGTTTCATCGGCAGACACTAGAATTCGATTGGATGAAATCATCAACAAAACCAATGTTCAAGAACTGACATTATCATATGAAAACTTTCCTCTTAAAAATCATATATCTATTAGAAGATTGGACGACCGCAACAAGAATGTATTGGTTATAGATAATATAACTTTGAATGGTGGAATCATAGAAATGATCATCAACATTGATCAATCCAATCCAATCTATTTACATTTAGAATGTTTTCATAATTATCAAAAACTATGTTGGAGTAATAAAATTAGTTAAAATTAATAATTAAATATTATTATTATTATTGTCCAACAACCCTCAACTTGTACAAGATAATTGATGATGGTAACGACCAACCCAAATCTATTCAATTGCCAAATCTATTCCCAATCTATTTACACTTGAAATATTATAAAAATGAAAATCATCCAAAAACTATGTTTGAGAGAGTTTTAAAATTTAAATAAATAATATTAATTTGAATTAATTGTTGAGTTGTTTCACCTAGATTGAATTGGAGGTGATCTTTTTACTTTAACAATTCTCCAAGTTGTTTCACCATTTCTTATACTTTGATTAAATACTGGTAATTGTTTGCCGGCCTTATCACCCAAACCCATCGACAGTGCTCCATCTTCAATCTTGATTTGTACTTTTTTAATGGCTTCTATCATTGGCTTTGGACATGTAAACTCGACCACTGTGCTTGGAAATGTATCGGTATGTTTGACACCGGTCAAGTATTTGGTAGAATAGATTCTTCCTACCTGTCCCTCTATAATAGCTTGATAGGGTCTATCATCTGGTAATTGATTATTATCAATTAGAAATTGAACTTCTGAATCTCCCATTGGTCTATACTAAAAATATAAATATAAATAGATTAGTTAATCAAAATTCTAAATATATATATATATATATATCTCTTTTGACTTGTATATTTACAACATACAACATTGGTATGAGTTTGAAGATCATAATCTAAAAAACTAGGAGCTTCTAACCAAATAGAAGATGCACCTTTATGTGTTATATTCTTTAATAGTCCTTTATCGATTAGATCTAATTCATAGGGTAGTAAATGTTTGCTTAACTTTCCAATTGGACCTGCTCTCTCTAATGCTTTTTCATATTCCTTTAAAAGTTCTTTTCTACATTGTATTTCTAATTTATCCATGGAGTGGAGAGTGAAGAGATTGAAGCTAGCTCTATCTAATATATTATATTATATTGTCACAATGAATAATACAAATCTCTTTTAGTACTCACTAACATATAGTACAGTATACTATGTTTCATATTTGTTTTCGAAAAAGGAAAGAAAAAGAGATCATGATATGGATGAGGGAGAAAGTATCAAGAAAAGGAAGTTCATGTGAACTCCATTTTTTTTTTTTTTTTTCATTCGAGTTTGCCGTTTTAAAAATAAACGGAAAACAATCTCGAGATTGATCACTTTTTAGGTGACGCATGACCTATAATCACAGTCTCTTGTACGCCCGCTCCTCTATTTAAAATGTTTTTTTTTGTTGGAGGTTTTCACAGCAAAGATCGGTGTTGTGGAAACAGCGGCTTATCAAACACGGGATGTCTTTTAATAAAAATCTCTCTCCTCGCTTGTTACTACTCCACTTTCTCACCTTTAACACTCAACTCTCTCAAAGTGTTCCAATCTTTATCATACCTTCCTCCTCCTCCTTTTGTAGAAGAAGCCTTCATTTATAAATATATATTATCTCTATCTCTATCTCTATCTCTCTGTATATATATATCTTTATCTCTTTTTTTTAGAGTAGAGTTGTAAAAAAAAAGAATACAGGAAGAAGAAATTCGAACATATAGATAATTTAAAAAGAAGAAGAAGAAGAAAGGTGAGTTTTACTTTTATAGCATCATAAATTCCATCTACTCGGCTCTCCACCTGTACACCCATCCACCCCCCCCCTTCTCCTATATAGTTTTCCTTAACTTTAACAAAGAGATAGAGAGATAGAAAGACGAGTGCACTTGTAACACTGGAAAATACTACTATGACCACATTATCATAACCAAGAGAATTTTATTTAAATGATGATCTTGTTTTATTGTTTTTGTGTTTATATATATATATTTATGTGCATGGTATTGGAATGGTATTGGTATTGGTATTGGTTCCAATGGAAAAATAGTGGTAAATGGTAAGTGAGTGAGTGAGTGGGTTGGTAGTGGTCAGTCACTGACTGTGGTGATTATCAACAAACAAAAACACTGTCTTTTGTCTTGTCGTCGTTGCTTTTTCTTCTTATTCTTTTTCTTCTTCCTCCTCCTTTTGTATGTATGTATGTTGTTGTTATTGTTGTTTTCATCAATAGATCAACTCTACAGCAGTGAAAGTAAGGAAGGAAGGAAAGAAAGAAAGAAGGAGTAAATAGTAGAAGAGTAAAACCAAAAGACAAGGTAAACTAAACGAAACTTATAGATCACTCCTCACTCCTCACTCTCAGTGTCACCATAATATCCATCCCTCTCCTTTACACCATTACATCATGGTAAAGAAGGAAGAGGAGCACACATAATATCAAGTAGATAGATAGATAGAACAAAAAGGTAAAACTATTCCAAAAATGTGGAGTAAGAGTGAACCCCGCAACCCCTCACACACAATTGAAAACCAACAGAACAGTGGCTGTAGATTGTTGATATTTAGTGGTTGGTGGGTGAGGGGTGAGGGGGTTCGCTCAATGCTCTCTCTGACTAACTACAGTGATCGTCAATTGGTCATTCTATCATCGTCATTCACTCACTCTCACATTTTTAAAAGCAGTAATATCTTGTGAACAATACTACTCCTCTCCTACTCCTCCTCCGCTCCCATTATATCTAAATTTTGGATATATATTCATTATTTATTTTTAAATTGTTGGTTATATCATCATCACTATCATCATCACTATCATCCGTGTGTTTTGCAATCAGAAGAAGAAGAAGAAGAAGAAGAAACTTTAAACAAAAAAGCACTCAACTCACACCTCACACACACAGGATCACTTTTTGCAATTCAATTACTTGGTTGGGATATTCCCCACCCACTTACTCACTCTGTAGTAGTACCATACCATACCATACCAAGTAGTAGTCTAGCAAGCAGCTCTATTATTTTAATATCATATTTACAACTACTAGTATTAGTATTTTTCTCTCTTTTGTTTGTTTTTGCTTTGATGAACCGCGACAAAGAGAGAGAGAGAGAAAGAGAAAAGAACAACAAGGCGACTAAATTTATTAATAGGGTATACTACTAGAATTCCTATATATCCACTTCCACTCCACTCAACCCATCCATCCCTATTGCCAGTCCCTTATAAAATGTTTGTATTGTCATTGGAAAAAAAAAAAACAATCTTTTATTACATCATTTTTGTTTTTTTTTTAGATTAAAGAGTTCAAATATATATACATACAATTTCAATATTAAAACAACGCAACGACGAGTAGAGTGAATGAGTGAATGAAAAGAGGGAGATTTATATGTAATATATAATTTATATAATTAGAACATCGAATTTATTGTTGTGAACAAACCTATGTACATTTTGTATTATTGCAAAATCTCAATTATACGATAAAACCCACCATAGCACCAACTAAAGTTCATTAATCATCCCCCAATCGTCACCATTCCATCCCTCCCTCCCCTTTTCCACTTATATATATTATTTTTTAAAACAAACAAATAATATTATTTATAATATATTAATTATTATTTATACAATAATCAAAATATATTTTATAATTATATTATATTTATTATTTATTTATTTATTTATTTACAAAAAGTTTGTTTTTCTCAAATTGTAGGAAATGACCTTTATAAACAATCAAAATCATTGGATATCTATATTCATTCTTTTGACCATTTGTATTTGTAATATTGCATTGGCCAGTGAAAATGGATTAAATGCATTTCCACAATCAGTCAAATTATCATTGACACCAGTGTATGGCCAAATGAAGGTCAGTTGGTTCACTTCACTCGAGAATGGAGTTAGTTTGGTACAATATTCACAGAGTCAATCTGCGCTACAGGCATCGTTGATGAACATCAAGTTGCCAGCCGGATCATCAGTCTACACGGCCAATGGAACTTCATCGGCCTTTGCTACAGAGTCCAATTGGTTTGGATTCTCCAACATGGTGTTGCTCGAATCACTCGAGCCCATGACCACCTATTTCTACGCCTGCGGAGGCAAGACCGCCACCAGTGCCTGGACCAGCGTCAGAAAGTTCACCACTGGCTCGTTTGGCAAGCCAACATCGACCGGCAGCGTCACACCCTTTACCGTCGCACTCTACGGCGACATGGGTTTTGGCGGTGGCTTTAATCAAACCGTCCAAGTGTTGGTCGACAATCTCGACCACTATGACATGATCCTTCACGTCGGAGACATCTCCTACGCCGACTATGACCGTGTTCTCCAAGGTAACCAAACCATTTGGAATGACTTTTTATCAACCATTGAACCAATCACTTCAAGTATTCCATACATGTCTACTCCTGGTAATCATGATGTAAGATTGAAAACAAAAACAAACAAACAAAAAAACAAAAAAAATAGATACTCTTTATTAATTTTTCTTTTTTTCTTTTATTTGATTAGGTATTTTATTCATTCCAAGCATACCAACAAACATTTAATATGCCAGGTTCATCAAATGAACCATGGTATTCTTTTGATTACAATGGAGTACATTTTGTGAGTTATTCTACAGAGTCTGATATATCACCATTCACAAGACAATACCAATGGCTCAAGAACGACTTGGACACGTATCGTAGCAAGAATCCAAAGGGATGGGTCATTGCCTATGCCCATCGTCCCTACTATTGTTCGACTCAATGGGACTGGTGTCGCAAGCAGACGCTCCGTGCCTTGATTGAGTCTACAATTGGCGAGCTTTTCCAGCAGTACAATGTCGACATGTACCTCGCTGGCCACACCCACGCCTACGAGCGTACCCAGCCAGTCTACAAGCAACTGCAAATCGGAAACTACCAATACCCCGGTGCCACCGTCCACATGATCGTCGGGACACCAGGAAACCAAGAAGGCTTGGACACCAACTGGATCTACCCTACCCCAGCTTGGTCAGGTTACAGATACGCTGAACTCGGTTACGCCACCATGTCCATCGTCAACGACACTCACCTTCTTTGGCAATTTATTGCAGACAAGGATCAACAATTAATTGATGAACAATGGATTGTTAAAGGTTATTTCGATTAAAACAAAAAAACAAATCAAATCAAAACAAACAAATCAAAATTAATAATAATAATAAGTTATTTTTTTTTTCCATGTTCGAACCCAATAATTTAAAAAATTGATCAAAATTCCCAAACAAATGAATTCAATCAATTTCAATAGACATAAAATATTTTCCCCTATACTATATAATAATATCAATATCAAAACAAAACAAAACAAACAAACAAAAAATTACAAATTACTTTAAGATTAGTATTTTGTAAGATTAGTATTTATTTTTTTAATAATTAATAAGTAATTTTTTATTAATTTAAATAAATTATTAAAATTTAAACTATACTTTTATTTCTTATTATTATTTCTTATTATTATTATTATTATTAATTCTATTTTCTTTTATAATTTGAAGTTGTTTTAAACGATTCTCAAATAGTTGATTAATTTCAAAATGAAGGATTGGTTTGGATTTGGTTTTGATCATGACCCGTCTAATGGTGGTAGAACTATCAAATTGTGACGTGATCAACTTGACCATATCATAGTGTCCACGAATGGATGTATTGATTGATACAAATCGGAGTAGATCTCCATCACATTTCTCTTTTCTGACATGGAGTAGAAAAGATGTCATTTCTAGATACCCTAGATAACAAGCTTTTTTGATAGCTCTACTAGTACATCCTTCACTTCGATTAAAATGTAAAAACTAATAAATAAAATGTGTTAGAAGAGAATGGATATACTAGTTTGTTGTTTTTTTCATACTTTGACAATTTCCAGGTGATTATTTTCAGCTGCCATATCCATTGCCCTCTTTGTTGCACCTTCTGTACGATGCTTTTGAAGGTACTTTACTACATCCAAGTGACCACCACCGATGCTTCATCCATAGCCTTGGTAGTTGCACCTTCACTACGATGCTCTGAAAGGTATTTAACAATTTCAATGTGGCCATTTCCAGATGCCTGATCAATAGCACTGGTTGTTGCACCTTCACTATGATGTTGATCAATTTCGGGCCATACTCTCGATGGTACCATGGACACTTGGTCGTAAATGAAATAGAAACTATCCAATTTACCTCCAAAGATTGCCGCTTTTAAAGTATCTATTCGACATTCTATCTTGACAATGTCAACTAGATAGGATAACATTTCAAAGCTTCCAGCCCTAGCAATGTTGAACAAAATCGATTCTGAGCATCCTTCAGTTCGATGTTGGTAAAGGAACTTGACCATTTCAAGTTGATACTTTTCGGCGGCCTTATCCATTGCCTTTTTGTTGCACCTTCACTACGATGCTCGGAAAGGTACTTTACAACATCAATGTGTCCATTTTTAGCTGCCCAATCCATAGCATCAGTAGTTGCACCTTCACTACGATGCTCTGAAAGGTACTTTACAATTTCCAGGTGATTATTTTTGGCAGCCCAATTCATAGCCTTTTTTGTTGACCTTCTTGACGATGTTCATGTAAGAACTATAATAAAAATAAATGAATTAAATGAAAGCAACTCCTCCTCATACTTGGGCCAAGATCATGCGATAAATACCTGAATCATCTTTAAATGACCATTTTTTGCGGCACCATGCATTGCATTCTTTGAACATCCTTCAGTTCTATTAAAATGAAGAAACTAAATATTGAAAAATAGAATTAGATTATTATCTTTTTAACCAACCAACCAAATCAACCAACTTACCTTTACAATATCCAAATTACCATGTTTTGCTGCCATATCCTATATAGTTGATCATTGATAACATGTTAGAGATTGAATTAATAATTATATAATTCTTTTTGCTTACCAATGCATATGTAGTACATCCCTCTGATCTATTTTCGTGTAAATACTTTACAATGAATCCATTCTTGTACAAGCAGCGTTCATTGCTTTCTTGTCTAGCTGTACACCTTTGATAGAGCATATCAACTTAACAGTCGATTGATAACCATATTTGCAAGCCACCTTCATTGAACTATTAAGAAAGCGATTCTCTGTAGAAGGACATCTCTTGATGAGATACTCTAATATCTCTTGATTGCTTATATTATATTGTCTTTCCAAGATATACCAATTAAAGTCAACCCCTTGACACCATTCTACTAGACGTTCAAGTGTATCCAATGTTGCATTACGATGACTGCAGTATTGACTAATCACTCTACTTCTTCTTTCTAATTCTATTTGATCATGTTCGAAATCATCATCTTTAGGTAGATAATGACAAACAAAGTGCCAAGGTAACCCAAACTTTGATATCATTCCAAAAAGAGGTAACTTGATAATATCTCTTCCTTTTAATGATCGTCGGTTGTGACTTGCACTATTATCACCTACATGATTGAATATCAATTGTCTGATATATCGATCTAAATATACACAACTACTCGAGAATCATTTAAAACAACTGATGATCAATAATAATTATAACAACAAATGAAAGATTGGTATATATTTTGACCAATAACAACAAGATAAAAAAAAATTAGGAAGAGTAGGAGTACCGCCAACAAATTGTGGGAGTATCAACTTGACAATATCATAGTGTCCTTTCATTGATGCAGTTAGTAGTAGTTCTTCATCACATTGCTCATTTCTGACATTGATTAGAAATGATGCTATTTCCAGTAATCCTCTATCACAAGCAGTCTGAATAGCTGATCTAGTACATCCTTCACTTCGATGCACAAATGATAAAGTCATCCTAGTCTTCATCGACTTGACATCTCTTGATGAGATATCCCAATATCTCTTGATTTCTTATTTGATGGTTTTTGCTGTTGTATCCTTTCAAGTACGCCCAATTAACGTCATTGTGAAACCATTTCAATAGTTGTTCGAGTGTATCCAATGTTGCATTACGATGACAGCAGTATTGACTAATCACTCTACTCTTTCTTTCGGGTAGTAGTAGTTTCTGATCGTCGTCTTTACTACTATCATCTTTAGGTAGATAATGACAAACAAACTCCCAAGACATCGCATACTTTGATATCATTTTAAGACGAGGTAAATTGATGATATCTCTTCCTTTTAATGATCGTCGTTGTGGTTGTTTAGCAGTACTATCTTTATCTTCATCTTCATCATCATCATCATTTTTATCTTCTTTTGGATACAATCGATTTGATATATCACCTACATGATTGAATATCAAATGTCTGATATGTATATCTAAACACAGAATGAAATGTGGTGACGGTGGTGTTCGTTGTTGGTGTAGTCGTCATTATTATTACTTCTTTCTTGTCAATGCATTCTTTGTTGCACCTTTATTAATATTAAAATGTAAATCAACTTTTTCAAGTACAGGAATTTATTCTTTTTTTTAAGCTTGAATATTATTATTGGGATTGTTTTAAATGATTCTCGAGTAGTTGAGTAACTTCGAAATGGTCTTGTATTAAATTTTCTTGCATTTGATTTATGACTCTTTGAATTGATTCTATTCCAGTAGGTGTACCTGTGAATTGTGGGAGCATCAACTTGACTAGATCATAGTGTCCTCTGATCGATGCAGTTAGTAGTGCATCATGATTGCATTGCTCATTTCTGACATTGACTAGAAATGATGCTATTTCCAGTAATCCTTTTTCACAGGTAGACTGAATAGCTGCTCTACTACATCCTTCACTTCGATGCTCTGAAAGGTACTTTACAATTTCAATGTGTCCATTTCGAGCGGCCCCATCCATAGCACCGGTTGTTGCACCTTCACTACGGTGCTCATTGAGGTACTTTACAACTTCAATGTGACCATTTTCAGCGGCCCAATCCATAGCATTGGCTGTTGCACCTTCACTACGATGTTGATGAAGAAACTGCACAATTTCAATATGACCGTTTCGAGCAGCCCTATCCATAGCATCAGTAGTTGCACCTTCAGTCCTGTTGAAATGAAGAAATTGTACAGTTTCAATGTGACCATTTTCAGCAGCCCAATTCATAGCCGAGGTTGTTGCACCTTCTGTTCTATGCTCTTGAAGATACTTTACCACTTCAATGTGACCGTTTCCAGCGGCCCCATCCAAAGCATCAGTAGTTGCACCTTCACTGCGATGCTCATTGAGGTACTTTACGATTTCAATGTGACCTTCTTCAGAGGCCCAATTCATAGCATCGGTTGTTGCACCTTCTGTTCTGTGCTCTGAAAGGTACTTTACAACTTCAAAGTGACCCTCACCAGCGGCCCAATCCATAGCAGAGTCAGAGCATCCTTCTTGACGATGTTCATGTAGGAACTTTAAAATAATTGGGTTATTAAATATCATATATATATGATTCTGTATCAACATACTTTAACAATATCTAAATGTCCATTTTCAGCAGCCCAATCCATAGCATCGGTTGTTGCACCTTCACTACGATTGAAATGAAGATACTTGACGATATGTATGAATCCTTTTTGAGCTGCTAGATCCATAGAATCCTTGGTGCATCCTTCTTGACGATGTTCATGTAGGAACTATAAAATAATATGAGAATGGGAAATGGGAAAGCTAAGTGGGTGAGTTATTAATTATTATTATTATTATTTTGGAATTACATACTTGAACAATCTCTAAATAACCTTTCTTTGCAGCCCAATCCATAGCATTGGTTGTTGCACCTTCAGTTCTATTAAAATGAAGAAACTATTATTATTATAAAGATGATATGTCAATATTATAATATTTGTTAATATTGACAAATTTGTTATAAACCAACTCTACTCTACTACTACTACTACATACCTTTACAATCTCCAAATTACCATTTCTCGCGGCTTCATCCTATCATAATGATCGTTGATGAATAATAAAAAGAGAGAGAGAGAAAGAGAATTAATTAAATATTTCTTTCTTTTTTTCAAAGGTCATTTTTGAATTCAATTGCATTTACTTACTATTGCCTTTGTACTACAACCTTCAGCTCCATTCTCGTGTAAATACTTTACAATGTCAATGAATCCGTTACTAGAGGCAAAAACAATTGCTTTGGGATTGCTCTTTACAGCACTTTGCATCAACTTGACAGATGAAAGATACCCGTATAGACATGCCACCTTCATTGCACCAATAATGAAAATGTCATCCTTGTCTCCATCAGCTTGACATCTCTTGATTAGATACTCTAATATCTCTTGGCTTGTTATTTGATTGCTATTTCTTATCAAGTACACCCAATCAATGTCATCTCTAGACCATTCTAGTAGATGATTGAGTGTATCCAATGTTGCATTACGATGACAGCAGTATCGAGTGATAACTCTTTTTCTTCTTTCAGGTAGTAGTTTCTTATATCCTTCGTTACTACTACTACTACTACTACAATCATCTTTTGGTAGATAATGACAAACAAAGTACCAAGGCATTGCATAGATTGATATCATTCCAAGAAGAGGTAATTTGATGATATCTCTTCCTTTTAATGATCGTTGTTGTCTACCACCACTACCATCTTTACTACTTTTATCATTTGGATACAATAGATTTGATATATCACCTACATGATTGAATATCAAGTGTCTGATATATGTATATCTAAACACAGAATAAAATGTGGTGGTAGTTGTATTCATTATCGTAGCTTGCGTATCGTGTTATTTATTATTAGTATTAGTATTTTCGAGCTTTTTTTGGGTGCACAAATAAGAATAATTGTTTTTTTTAAACAATTGATAAATAAATCATTCTATTTATTAATATAAATGAAACATGTATTATTATTTTAAATAGTCCTGTTGAAATATTGATTGATTAAATTGGAAAACATCTTTATCTTGTTGTTGTTGTTGTTATAATTATTGGTGATCTTTCATCATCTATAGTTGTTTTAAATGATTCTCGAGTAGTTGTGTGATTTCAAAATGGTTTTGTCTGCGATTCAAAAGTTGTATTTCTTTCATTCGATTTATGACTCTTTGAATTGATTCTATTCCCTTATTAGTAGGAGTACCGCCAACAAATTGTGGGAGTATCAACTTGACAATATCATAGTGTCCTCTAATTGATGCAGTTAGTAGTAGTTCTTCATCACATTTCTCATTTCTGACATTGATTAGAAATGATGCTATTTCCAGTAATCCTTTTTCACAAACAGACTGAATAGCTGATCTAGTACATCCCTCACTTCGATTAAAATGTAAATACTATAGCAATAAAATAATATTAAATAAATAAATGATCAATCAATAATTAATGTGATTTGTTATTATTATTATATATACTTGCGACATACTTTAACAATTTCAATGTGACCGTTCCGAGCTGCTCCATTCATAGCACTTGTTGATGCACCTTCACTACGATGCTCTGAAAGGAACTTTACCACTTCAATGTGACCTTCTTCAGATGCCCAATCCAAAGCATCGGGTGTTGCACCCTCTATTCTGTGCTCGTGAAGGAACTTGACAATGTCCAAGTGATTATTTTGAGCTGCTAGATCCATAGCATTAACCGTGCATCCTTCTTGACGATATTCATGTAGGAACTTTAAAATAATAATAACAGAGAAATGGGAAATTAGTTGTGGATTTTTAATATTATCAACCAAGGTACCAAGTCTACATACCTTTACAACCTCCAAATGACCATGTCTCGCAGCTTCATCCCTACAATTGATTGTTGAAGAGAGAATTAATTAATTAAATTATTTCTTTTTAATTCTATTCATTTGTAAACTTACCATTGCATCTTTGATGCCTCCACCTTCAGTTCTATTCTCATGTAAATACTTTACAATGTCAATGAATCCGTTACTAGAGGCAATGACAATTGCTTCATAATAAGTCTTTACAATATTTTTCTTGATCAACTTGATAGATGAAAGATACCCGTATGTGCATGCCACCATCATTGCAGTAATAAGAAAACCATCCTTGTCTCCATCAGCTTGGCATCTATTGATTAGATACTCCAATATCTCTTGATTTCTTATATCAATGATATTTTCTGTCAAGTACACCCAATCAAAGTCATCTTGAGACCATTCCAATAGATGTTCAAGTGTATCCAATGTTGCATTGGGATGATGACAGTATTGACTAATCACTCTTTTTCTCCTTTTGTTTGTTTTCTGATCTCTTTCGCTACTATTACTACTATCATCTTTAGATAGATAATGACTTATAAAGTGCCAAGGCATTGCATAGATTGATATCATTCCAAGATGTGGTAATTTGATGATATCTCTTCCTTTTAATGATAGTCGTTGACTACCAGCATCATCATAACTATCTTTTGATATATCACCGATATGATTGAATATCAATTGTCTGATATATGTATATCTAAATACAGAATAAAATGATGTGGTGGTAGTTGTAGTAATCATCATTATTATTATTATGAATATTATTAGTTTTTTAAAATAAATAGTATTTTGTAAATGTTTTTTTTAGTTATCTTTTTTGTTGTGGTTGATCATCTTGAATCTGGTTTAAATGATTCTCGAGTAGTTGGATGATTTCAAAATGGTCTTGTACTTTTTTCATTCTATTTATGACTCTTTTAATTGATTCTATTCCAGTGGTATCTGTGAATTGTGTGAGCATCAACTTGACAATATCATAGTGTCCTTTCATTGATGCAGTGTGTAGTAGTTCTTCATCACATTTCTCATTTCTGACATTGATTAGAAATGATGCTATTTCCAGTAATCCTTTTTCACAAACAGACTTAATACCTGCTCTACTACGTCCTTCACTTCGATTAAAATGTAAATACTAATAATAAAAATACAACAATAAATAAATCAATAAACAGGGTTTGATCCAAATCAATAATTAATAAATAATGTGATTTTGGTTTGTTTTTTTTGTTTTATATACTACATACTTGGACAATTTTAATGTGACCATTTCGAGCAGCCCGATCCATAGCATAGGTAGTTGCACCTTCACTACGATGCTCGGAAAGGTATCTAACAATTTCAATGTGGCCGTTTTCAGCTGCCCAATCGATAGCATTGGTTGTTGCACCTTCACTACTATGCTCAGAAAGGTATCTAACAATTTCAAAGTGGCCGTTTCCAGCTGCACGGACTATAGCACTTTTTGTTCCACCTTCTGTTCTGTGCTCAGAAAGGTACTTTACAATTTCAATGTGACCCTTTTCAGCGGCCCAATCCATAGCATAGGTTGTTGCACCTTCGCTACGATTGAAATGAAGGTACTTTACAATTTCAATGTGTCCTTTTCGAGCTGCCAAATCCATAGCATCGGTTGTTGCACCTTCACTACTATGCTTTTCAAGGTACTTGAAAGTTTCAATATGGCCATTTCGAGCGGCCCCATCCATAGCATCGGTAGTTGCACCCTCACTACTATGCTCTGAAAGGTACTTTACAATTTCAATGTGACCATTTCGAGCGGCCCCATCCATAGCATCGGTAGTTGCACCCTCACTACTATGCTCAGAAAGGTATCTAACAATTTCAATATGACCGTTTTCAGCTGCCCAATCGATAGCATCAGTTGATGAACCTTCTGTCCTGTGCTCTGAAAGGAACTTTACCACATCAATGTAGCCTTTCTTTGCAGCCTTATCAATAGCATTAGTAGTTGCACCTTCAGTCCTGTTGAAATGAAGATACTTTACGATATCAATGTGTCCTTTTTTAGCTGCTACATCCATAGCATATTCAGTGCATCCTTCTTGACGATGTTCATGTAGGAACTAGAAACGGGAAATTAGTGGCTGAATAATAAATAATAATTATATTAATTATATTAATTATAATTTTGGAATTACATACTTGAACAACCTCTAAATAACCTTTCTTTGCGGCACCATCCATAGCAACGGTTGTTGCACCTTCAGTTCTATTAAAATGAAGAAACTGTATATGTTATTATAGTTTGAAAAAAAGATAATAAATTGTTAATAAATTGTGACAAATCAAAGACAAAGTTGTTCTACTCTAACCCTAACCCTAACAATACTTGCAAACTCTACTACATACCTTTACAACTTCTAAATGACCATGTCTTGCAGCTTCATCCTACACGTTGAACGTTGATGAATAACAAGAGAATTAATTATTATTTCTTTTTTTTTTTGTCATCGTACAATCCAAATTGATTACTTACCATTGCCTCAATAATATGATCTCCACCTTCAGTTCTATTCTCATGTAAATACTTTACAATGTCAATGAATCCCTTGTTAGAGGCAATGACAATTGCTTGGTAGTAACTCTTTACAATACTTTTCTTGATCAACTTGATAGATGAAAGATAGCCGTATGTGCATGCCACCTTCATTGCACAAATGAGAAAGTCTCTGCAACCATCAGCTGGCAATCCCTTGATTAGATATTCCAATACCTCTTGATTTCTTATTTCATTTCTATTTCTATTTCTATTTTCTTTCAAGTACGCCCAATCAATGTCATCTCTAGACCATTCCAATAGATAAACTAGTGTATCCAATGTTGCATTGGGATGATGGCAGTATTGAGTGATTACTCTTTTTCTTCTTTCGGGTAGTATCTTCTGATATCTGTCGTTACTACTACTACTATGTAGATAGTGTCTAACGAACTCCCAAGGCATTGCATACTTTGATATCATTCCAAGAAGAGGTAGTTTAATGATATCTCTTCCTACTAATGATCGTCTTCCTAGTCTACCAAATTGATTTGATATCACACCTACATGATTAAATATCAAATGTCTAATATATTTAACTCTAAAGATAGAATGAAAGGTGGTTGAAGTAGTAGTCATTATTATTATTACTAGTTTGTTGTAGAAAAAAAACTCAATATACTTTTTCAAGGGCCCTTGGTTGGGTCTTATTTTATTATTATTAATATTATTATGTTTTCTACTATTTAAATAAATCATGATGCATCAATGTTGATTACTTTGATCTTTGAAGATGATTTAAATTTGTAAATGATTCTCGAGTAGTTGAGTGACTTCAAAATGGTCGTGTATTTCTTTCATTCGATTTATAACTCTTTTAATTGATTCTATTCCAGTGGTACCAACAAATTGTGGGAGTATCAACTTGACAATATCATAGTGTCCTTTGGTTGATGCAGTTTGTAGTATATCTTCATTGCATTGCTCACTTCTGACATTGATTAGAAATGATACTAACTCGAGTGATCCATTGATGCAAGCAGACTGAATAGCTGCTTGAGTACACCCTTCACTTCGATTAAAGTGTAAATACTAATAAATAAATAAATGTTTGATATGATTAATAATGTGATTTTTGTTTGTTTTTTTTATATACTACATACTTGGACAATTTCGATTTGATTAAATTTGGTTGCCCAATCCATAGCTTGGGTAGTTGCACCTTCAGTACGATGTTCGGAAAGGTATTTAACAATTTCAATGTGACCATTACGAGCAGCCCAATCCAAAGCGTCGGTAGTTGCACCTTCACTACGATGCTCGGAAAGGAACTTTACGACATCCATACGGCCATATCTAGCAGCCCAATCGAGAGCATCAGTTGAGCAACCCTCAGTCCTGTTGAAATGAAGATATTCTATCACATTCATGTGACCACCTATAGCTGTCATATCCATACCATAGATTGATGCACCTTCACTACGATGCTCAGAAAGGTACTGTACAACATCAATGTGACCATTTCCAGCTGCTCCATCCATAGCATTAGTTGATGCACCTTCAGTTCTGTTGAAATGAAGATACTTTAATATTTCAATGAAACCATATTCAGCGGCACGATCCATAGCTGCGTATGTCGCACCTTCACTACGATGCTCGGAAAGGTATCTAACAATTTCAAAGTGACCGTTCATTGATGCTTCATTGATGGCATCAATTGTTGCACCTTCTGTTCTATGTTCGTGAAGGAACTTGACGATATCCAAGTGATTATTTTCAGCAGCCTTATCCATAGCATTAGTAGTTGCACCCTCTGTTCTATTGAAATGTAGAAACCTTACAATGTCAATGAATCCATTATTAGCAGCCCAATCCATAGCATTAGTAGTTGCACCCTCTGTTCTGTTGAAATGAAGATACTTTACGATATCAATGTATCCTTTTTTAGCTGCTAGATCAAGAGTATACTCAGTGCATCCTTCTTGACGATGTTCATGTAGGAACTTTAAATGTAATGAATAAATGGAAATTAGTGGGTGAGTTATCAATTATTAATATTTTGGAATTACAACATACTTGAGCAATCTCTAAATAACCTTTCTTTGCGGCACCATCCATAGCCCATTTTGTTGCACCTTCAGTTCTATTAAAATGAAGAAACTGTATATGTTATTTTTGAAAAAGATAGGATACATATTGTTAATATTGACAAATTTGTTATAATATTACATACTACTTACCTTTACAATATCTAAATGGCCATGTCTTGCAGCTTCATCCTACAATTGATCGTTGATAAGAGAGAGAATTAATTAAATATTTCTTGTTATGTCTTTTTTAATTTAATCATTGCTTACTATCGCTTCTTTTGTGCCTCCTCCACCTTCAGTTCTATTCTCATGTAAATACTTTACAATGTCAATGAACCCCCTACTAGAAGCAATGACAATTGCTTGGTAGTAACTCTTTACAATACTTTTCTTGATCAACTTGACTGATGAAAGAAAACCATTTGTGCAAGCCACCTTCATTGCACTGATGAGAAAATGATCTTTGTCCTCATCGACTTGACATCTATTGATTAGATACTCCAATATCTCTTGATTTCTTAGTACATTGATATTTCCTGTCAAGTACACCCAATCAATGTCATCTTGACACCATTCCAATAGATGATTGAGTGTATCCAATGTTGCATTGGGATGAAGACAGTATTGAGTGATCACTCTTTTTCTTCTTTTGATTTGGACCTGATCTCTGTCGTTACTACTACTACTACAATCATCTTTTGGTAGATAATGACAAACAAACTACCAAGGCATCGCATACATTGATATCATTCCAAAAAGAGGCAATTTGATGATATCTCTTCCCACTGATGATCGTCGTTGTCTACCACCACTATCATCTTTACATTTATCATCTTTTTGATACAATCGATTTGATATGTCACCTACATGATTGAATATCAATTGTCTGATATATGTAGATTTGAAGATACAATGAAATGTAGTTGTGGTTGTAGTTGATGTGTTGGTCATTATTATTTCTTTTTTTTTTTTGTGTCAGAAGAATGAACAATAAAGTGAGGGAGAGGAACATATGATTTAATTAATAAAACAAATTAAATTAATTAAATTGATCATTGCAAGTAGTATAATATTATGTGTTATTATTTTAATTAAGATTACTATTTAATTTATCTTTTTGAAGTTTGTTATTTGTTTTAAATGATTCTCGAGTAGTTGAGTGATTTCAAAATGGTCTTGTATTTCTTTCATTTGATTTATGACACTTTTAATTGATTCTATTCCAGTGGTACCAACAAATTGTGGGAGTATCAACTTGACAATATCATAGTGTCCTTTGGTTGATGCAGTTTGTAGTAGTTTTTCATCACATTTCTCCTTTCTGACATTGAGTAGAAATGATACTATTTCCAGATATCCTCCTTCACAGGCATACTGAATAGGGCTTTTCCTACAAGTTTTATAAATAGTAGTCCATCCTTTACAGCCATTAAAATGTAAATACTAATAGTAATAAATAAATAAATAAATAAATAAATAAATAAATAATAAAATTCAATAATATGATGAATGCAACATGTTGTTGTTGTTGTATACATACTTTAACAATTTCAAAGTGACCATTTCGAGTTGCATAACCCATAGCATCTGTTGTTCCATATTCAGTACGATGCTCGGAAAGGAATCGTAGAATTTCAATGTGACCATTTTGAGCAGCCTCATCGATAGCATTGGTTGTTGCACCTTCACTACGATGCTCATGAAGATACTTTACCACTTCAATGTGGCCCTCACTAGCTGCCTCATCCATAGCATTGGTTGTTGCACCTTCATCGCGATGCTCATGAAGGAACTTTATCATTTCAATGTCGTTATTTGAGGCTGCCCAATCCATAGCATCGGCAGTTGCACCTTCGGTTCTATTGAAATGTAGAAACTTTACAATGTCAATGAATCCATTATTAGCAGCCCAATCCATAGCATCGGTTGTTGCACCTTCACTACGATTGAAATGAAGGTACTTTACAATGTCAATGTGGCCACGTTCAGCTGCCGAATCCATAGCATCGGTTGTTGCTCCTTCACTACGACACTCTGAAAGGAACTTTACAATTTCAATATGACCATTTCCAGCTGCTTGATTCATAGCATTGGTTGTTGCACCTTCAGTTCTGTGCTTATGCAGATACCTCACTACATCAATGTGCCCGTTTCCAGCTGCATCATTCATAGCTCTCTTTGATACACGCTCACCACGATGCTTACAAAGGTACTTTACTACATCCAAGTGTCCTTTTCCAGATGCCATATACACTGCAGCTTGAGTACATCCTTCATGGCGATGTTCATCTAAGAACTAAAGTTAATTAGGTGGGATGGTTGTTAATATTATTATTGATAAATAACATTCTCATTGGATGTTTACATACTTGAACAATCTCTAAATGACCATTCTTTGCTGCACCATCCAAAGCTTTTGTTGAACAACCTTCAGTTCTATTAAAATGAAGAAACTATTATTTTATATTGTTAATTGAATAATTGACGTTTGATTGTTACATAACTCTAACCCTAACCCCCCTACCTACTACTTACCTTTACAATCTCCAAATGACCATGTCTTGCTGCTTCATCCTAGATAATGATTAAAGAGAGAAAGAGAGAGAGAATAAATTCAACTATTTCTTTTTTTTGAATTGCATTTACTTACCATTGCCTTTATAATGTAATCTCCACCTTCAGCTCCATTCTCGTGTAAATACTTTACAATGTCAATGAATCCGTTACTAGAGGCAAAAACAATTGCTTTGGGATTGCTCTTTACAGCACTTTGCATCAACTTGACTGATGAAAGATACCCGTATTGACATGCTACCTTTATTGCACCAATAATGAAAATGTCATCCTTGTCTCTATCAACTTGACATCTCTTGATTAGATATTCCAATATCTCTTGATTGGTTATACTCTTTTTATTTCCTTTCAAGTACACCCAATCAATGTCATCTCTAGACCATTTCAATAGACGCTCGAGTGTATCCAATGTTGCATTGGGATGATGACAATATTGAGTGACTAATCTTTTTCTTCTTTTGGGTAGTAATTTCTGATCGTCGTCATCTTTAGGTAGATAATGACAAACAAACCCCCAAGGCATCGCAAACTTTGATATCATTCCAAAAAGAGGTAACCTGATGATATTTCTTCCTTTTAATGATCGTTGGCTACCATCATATCTACCACTTTCATCGTCATCATCATCACTTTCATATATACTACTTTTATATTCTTTTGGGTACAATAGATTTGATATATCACCTACATGATCGAATATCAATTGTCTAATGTATTGAGCTCTAAAGATAGAATGAAATGTCGTCGTAATAGTCATTATTATTATTACTATTTGTAAAAACAAAATAATGATACTAAAAATACTAGATATCTAAAAGCTTAGATATGATGGATTTTTATTTTATTTTTTTTATTAAATAATAATAATTATTCATACCAGTCATCTTTTTTTCTTTCATTTCTATGTTCTTGTTATTATTATATTTATTTATTCATTTCTATCAGCAGATGTAAATGATTCTCGAGTAGATGAATGATTTCAAAATGGTCGTCCATGGCATTCAAATGTTGTATGACACTTTGAATGGGTTCTATATCTGTGAATTGTGGGAGCATCAACTTGACAATATCATAGTGTCCTTTCATTGATGCAGTGTGTAGTAGTTCTTCATCACATTTCTCATTTCTGACATTGATTAGAAATGATGCTATTTCCAGTAATCCTTTTTCGCAAACAGACTTAATACCTGCTCTACTACATCCTTCACTTCGATTAAAATGTAAATACTAATAATAAAATAGAACAATAAATAAATCAATAAACAGGGTTTGATCCAAATCAATAATTAATAAATAATGTGATTTTTGTTTGTTTTTTTTGTTTTATATACTACATACTTGGACAATTTCAATGTGACCATTTCGAGCAGCCAGATCCATAGCATAGGTAGTTGCACCTTCACTACGATGCTCGGAAAGGTATCTAACAATTTCAATGTGGCCGTTTTGAGCAGCCCAATCCAAAGCGTCGGTAGTTGCACCTTCACTACGATGCTCTGAAAGGTATCTAACAATTTCAATGTGGCCATTTTGAGCAGCCCAATCCAAAGCGTCGGTAGTTTCACCTTCACTACGATGCTCTGAAAGGTATTTAACAATTTCAATGTGACCATTTCCAGCGGCACCATCCATAGCCCATTTTGTTGCACCTTCAGTTCTATTAAAATGAAGAAACTGTATATGTTATTTTTGAAAAAGATAGGATACATATTGTTAATATTGACAAATTTGTTATAATATTACATACTACTTACCTTTACAATATCTAAATGGCCATGTCTTGCAGCTTCATCCTACAATTGATCGTTGATAAGAGAGAGAGAGAATTAATTAAATATTTCTTGTTATGTCTTTTTTAATTTAATATGATTGCTTACCATCGCTTCTTTTGTGCCTCCACCTTCAGTTCTATTCTCATGTAGATACTTTACAATGTCAATGAACCCCCTACTAGAAGCAATGACAATTGCTTGGTAGTAACTCTTTATAATACTTTTCTTGATCAACTTGACTGATGAAAGAAAACCATTTGTGCAAGCCACATCCATTGCACTGATGAGAAAATGATCTTTGTCCTCATCGACTTGACATCTATTGATTAGATTCTCCAATATCTCTTGATTTCTTAGTACATTGATATTTCCTGTCAAGTACACCCAATCAATGTCATCTTGACACCATTCCAATAGATGATTGAGTGTATCCAATGTTGCATTCGGATGAAGACAGTATTGAGTGATCACTCTTTTTCTTCTTTTGATTTGGACCTGATCTCTGTCGTTACTACTACTACTACAATCATCTTTTGGTAGATAATGACAAACAAACTCCCAAGGCATCGCAAACTTTGATATCATTCCAAAAAGAGGTAGTTTGATGATATCTCTACCAACTAATGATCGTTGTCTAACACCACCACTACCATCATATCGACCACTTTCATCGTCATCATCATCAGTTTCATATATACTACTTTTGTATTCTTTTGGATACAATAGATTTGATATCACACCTACATGATTGAATATCAATTGTCTAATGTATTGAGCTCTAAAGATAGAATGAAATGTGGTTGAAGTAGTAGTCATTATTATTATTACTATTTGTAAAAAAAAAATAATAATAATGAATAATAAAAATGATAGTGTAACTATTATTCATACCGGTCATCTTTTTTCTTTCATTCTAAAATTTAAAGTATGTTCTTGTAATTATTATATTTATTTATTCATTTCTATCAGAAGATGTTTTAAATGATTCTCGAGTAGTTGGATGATTTCAAAATGGTCGTCCATGGAATTCAAAAGTTGTAGAACACTTTGAATGGATTCTATATCTGTGAATTGTGGGAGTATCAACTTGACAATATCATAGTGTCCTTTCATTGATACATTTTGTAGTAGTTCTTGATTACATTTCTCATTTCTGACATTGACCAAGAAAGATGCCACTTCTAGATGTCCTCCTTCACAAGCAGACTGAATAGCTTTGCTAGTACATCCTTCACTTCCATTAAAATGTAAGTACTAATAATAATAATAATAATAAATAATAATAATAATAGTTTTTAGTAGGTAGAGTAAGCAACATAAAGAATGAATATAAATAATTAATTAAATTAATTTTGAAGATTGTTACTAGTTTTTTTTACATACTTTAACAATTTCAATGTGACCGTTTCCAGCAGCCCAATCCATAGCATCGGTTGTTGCACCTTCACTACGATGCTCTTGAAGGTATTTTACCATTTCAATGTGTCCTTTTCGAGCTGCCTGATCCATAGCTTCCTTTGATGCACCTTCAGTACGATGCTCTGAAAGGAATTTGACAATTTCAATGTGACCGTTTCGAGCAGCCCGATCCATAGCATCAGTTGTTGCACCTTCACTACGATTGAAATGAAGATACTTTACCATTTCAATGTGTCCGTTTTGAGCAGCCCTATCAAGAGCATCGACAGCACCTTCAGTTCTGTTGAAATGAAGATACTTTACCATTTCAATGTGACCTCTTCCAGCTGCATTATCCATAGCCATTGTAGTTGCACCTTCAGTACGATGTTCAGAAAGGTATTTTACAGTTTCAGTGTAGCCAAGTAAAGCTGCCAAATCCATAGCCCATGTAGTTACACCCTCTGTACGGTGCTCTTGAAGATACTTTACCACTTCAATGTGTCCATTTTGAGCAGCCCAATCCATAGCATTAATTGTTGCACCTTCACTTCGATGCTCTTGAAGGTACTTTACAATTTCAATGTGACCTCTTCCAGCTGCCATATCCATAGCATAGGTTGCATCTTCAGTACGACACTCTGAAAGGAACTTTACAACATCAATGTGACCATTTCCAGATGCATTACACACTGCAGCTCGAGTACATCCTTCTTGACGATGTTCATGTAAGAACTAAAGTTAATTAAATGTGTGATGATTAATGGTGGGCTGTTAATAATAATAATTATTACTGATAAAATAACATTCAATGGATGTTTACATACTTTAACAATTTCAATGTGACCATTTCCAGCTGCATTATTCATAGCATAGGTTGTTGCCCCTTCAGTTCGATTAAAATGAAGATACTATTATTCAAAGTTGAAAAAAGAAACAATTAATTGTTAATATTGAATGATGATAGATTGATTGTTAATATTATAAACCAACTACTACTTACCTTTACAACTTCTAAATGACCATTCTGTGCTGCTTCATCCTATAATAATTAAAGAGAGAAAGAGAGAATTAATCAAATTATTTCTCTTTTTTAATTAATATTCAAATTTGCTTGCTTACCATTGCCTTTGTACTACAACCTTCATCTTTTGTGCCTCCACCTTCAGCTCCATTCTCGTGTAAATACTTTACAATGTCAATGAATCCGTTACTAGAGGCAATGCCAATTGCTTCATAATAACTCTTTACAATAATTTTCTTGATCAACTTGATTGATGAAAGATAGCCGTATGTGCATGCCACATCCATTGCACAAATGAGAAAGTCATCCTTGTCTCGATCAACTTGACATCTCTTGATTAGATATTCCAATATTTCTTGATTTCTTATTTGTTGGTTGTTGCTGTTTTTGTTGTTGTTGTATCCTTTCAAGTACTCCCAATCAAACCCAACATCATCATTTGACCATTCCACTAGACGCTTGAGTGTATCCAATGTTGCATTGGGATGACAGCAGTATTGAGTGATCACTCTTTTTCTTCTTTTGAGTAGTATTTCAGTACAATCCGATGGTAGATAATGTCTAACAAAGTGCCAAGGCAGCCCATACTTTGATATCATTCCAAGGAAGGGTAATTTGATGATATCTCTTCCTTTTAATGATAGTCGTTGTCTACCACTACTACTTTTATCTTTTGGATACAATCGATTTGATATCACACCTACATGATTGAATATCAATTGTCTAATATATGTAGACCTAAACACAGAATGAAAGGTGGTTGTAGTTGGGGTATTCATTATGAATAATAGCTCAGATAAATTTTTGTGGCCCTTATAAATATGGACCAAAAAAAGAGCTGAATAATATTAATATTAATATATTTCTATTTATTTGTTTAGATATCTTGCATTTTATTTATTCTATAGATTACATGTTTGACAATTTCTGTTGCATATTCTTATTGTATCTTTTAGTAACTCTTTTCTTTTTAATCAAGATTACTGATGCTACTGCAATGGCAACAGCACCAAATACTCCGACAACAACACCAACAATGATTCTCCATGTGTTTGATTTACTGTCACATCCACTTTCAGCACTCTTGTCGATCAATAATGGTGTGAAATCCGGATCGAGTGCACACGATTGACATTGTGGCATACTAATTCCAATGAGTACGGTTGATTGATCAGATGATGATGATGATTCAGCCGTTTTGTTGATGATTGATGTTTTAGAGAATGTTGGTCTGCCATCTGATAATACATAATCGATAAATCTACCTGTGAATTGAATGTTATCTTTGACTACACGAAGATATTGAATGTTGTTGGATAGTTGATCGTATGTCAATGTATCAATATTAACATCTTGACAATCAAATTCAATTGATTGATCATTGTTGATGGTTGTTTTGAATATAACTCTGAGTGTTGTCAAGAATGTTGAGAATGTCCAATCGCTGATGTTGACCGATAGTTTGATTGAATTGGAATCAATGTGGATCACTTGATTTCCAAAATGAATATCTCTTGGTTGTTGTGAGAATGATATCGTTGCAATTACTTGTGCTGCTGTTGTGTCACTGTTGTTGAGTTGATAGTTGACTGTTGTTGTTTGTGTTTGATTATTAACAGTTAATGTTGAATTCCAATTGTTGGTCAGTAGTTCATTGACGATATTATCGTCACTGTCTATTTCTTGAATGGCAATCATTTCAAATTGGAAATCAATTCCATCGATATCAAATGATGTTGTTGGTGATGTGTATTGGGTGTGTAGATGGTTTTTTTTCAACATTTTCAATGAAATATATCAGTGTCACATTTACATTTCCCATTGATACATTGACCGTGACCATAACAATTAAATGGACACGTTAATTCATTACTATCTGATCCTGATCCACTTGATCGATGATGGAAATAAATCCAATTATTTCCATTATTTGTTGAATTATCGACAGTCAATCTAACCAATGCTAAACCATCACTTGGGTCACTGACCAATGTACAATTAATCAATGATTGTGATTTTGATGTAACTTGGCAATCTGTATCGTTCAATTTGATTGATACAATAGTTTGATTGTATGGTCCGAAATCACCATAAATGCTAATTAATTTTCTATTATTTAAATCATATGATCCTGATGCAAAAGTAGGGTATTCTAAAAATAATAATAATAATAGTAATTAATATCTTTGAGATTTCTTTTTTTTAATTTTCTATAATACATACTGCCTAAACATTTATCAGAATAATAACCAGTATCACAAACACAAACTCCATATTGATCACAAATTCCATGACCCGAACAACCAGTAGTATTACATAAACTTTCGAGTGAAGATAAATTTGCAAATATTGGAGTTGACCAAAACCCATTGACATTTATGGTAATATTTGTCAAACCTATACCTGACCAATATTTTGTTTGGTTGCATTCTACAACCCCTGAGCTGATATTAAAAACTGTGCAAATAGATGGGTCACCATTGAAATACACGGCCACCGATCTACCAGATCCTAATCCAAAATATCCAGTAAAAGAATAATTTGAACCAACCTTTATAATATTATCCCAAGAAACCAAGGTTTCATTTGATGGATAAAATGCTAATATTAAAAAATAAATAATAATAATATTAATAAAATAATAATAAATCATTGTATGATTTCCTGAAAAGATAGTTACCAGCAACTTCTACATATAAGCTTTGTGAAAAATATCCATTGGATATGGAAAGGCTGACATTATCACTTCTTTTGAATGTTAATCCAGTGGTGTTACATTGAAAGTAGGCCTGAGGGATAATTGAGCCGTCTACAATACAATCAACTCGACCATTAATTTTAAAAGTATGAGGAATATATGCATTGAAATTATAAACAAAGGCCCTAAATTGAACGACACCTGTTGGCAATTGTCTGTACAAAAGTGATTCCATTTCAATTGCAACTTCCACAACGGTGAAATTGTACGTGTACGATGGGTACATACTATCCAATGTAAGTGCTACGGTTCTTGGTGGTCCAACTTCTCTTAATCCATCAAAGAAACTAAATCAAAAAAAAAAACAAAAAAAGGTAAGTTTTTTTTTAAACCATCTCATTCATATATGTTGATATGAAGAACTTACCTCAAATGTTTGTTTGAAATTAATGGGCGAAGCAAGTATCTATTATCAACATTATTTCCATATCCAATGTTTTCTCCAGTGATGTTGCCTGATCCTTTTACTGTATAAATCATGGTCGAATCCAAAACAATATCTATCATAATGAAAATGAATAGATTAATATTATTAATTAACCATATATATATATATATTTGATAATGTGTGAACATACTGCATTGAAAATCGGGATCGGGGATAATATCGATTTGAACCGCTATAGTATTCAATCGATAACAAAGGAAGCAGTCTGGTACACTTGTAATACTAGGACATCCTCTGATACGCAATTTGTTGGAACAAAATGATTGTGGTACCGAGGTTGATGTAATTAAAGGATTGTTTGAAATATCAAACAAAATATTATTTGTATTTTGAAATATATTCCATGGAATGGCACCTTGTAACTTGTTGTTTGGGAATTCACTTTTTTCAAAAAGTGGGTGATTATTTGTTTTAAATGTTAATATTCAATTTGTCAATTATAAGATTTGATCGTATACATACTAGGATGAAACCGACTGTGGAACATTTGGGAATGTGGTTAGGTCTCCGTTTCGTGATTTAATTGATTCGAGTGTATCGGGATACACTGAGAGTGGGAACTCTGTAAACGATGAAGTAACTATGAATGCCCTATAACATGATGTTGGTTAGAATTGATTAATTTAATACTATAAATACCAGACCAAACCAGACTGACTGTCAGGTCACATCTATACTCAGAGTATACATACAATGTTTGTAAATTTATAAAACTAGTCAGTGGAGTTGCAAGATTGACATTAAGTTGAAACGATGATATCGTCCTATTTTTTTTTTGTAAAGAAATAATTAGCACCAACAAACTAACTAATTAAAAGAGGTTATGGGTTTCTGTTTATACGTACAATGAATTGAGGGATTGAGGTGATGAGAAGGATAGATTTGCTTTGCTTTCCAGTGTTGCTAAATAACTTTTTGAAATCAATTGATTGGAGTAAGAAAAAGTGAACGATCGTTTGTTTCGCTTGTTTTGTTATGATATTTACAAAATGGATACCGGTGTGTTTATATAGGCGTCCAAAACAACATTGGGATCCTCTTGGATGGGATACAAGGTAAGTTCATATAACTTTGGGAACGATGCCGTCGTAAACAACAACGAGTCAGAGGATGGTACATTGATGGTAAGGTAGAGCTTCTCCAAGTTGGGATGTACAGCTGTGTTGGCATCGATCAATACCCTTCCGATTACGTAAAACACGACAGATTGAATGGCTGGACCAAAATTAAACACCAGGTCTTGTCGAATCACACAACCATCTAGATGTAAGGTTGTTAACAATGGGAGACCCGTTCCAATAAACGTAGGAATCCTTGTAACTGACCCATCATTAATGATACTATATAAATTAAATTAAATTAAATTAAAAATGAATCAATCATTTCACATCCACCGTCTCTCTTAATTATCTTCAAACTTACTCTATGACTTTAAGAGCAACCGAAGTACCAATGTAATCTAGAATATTGAAAGAGGGTGTCTTTAACATTTCCACTCTTATCCTTAACTCGACCAACTCGGGAAATACAAACTCTGTTTGTAAAGGAGGTAATGCTCCAGTTGTTGTTGTCGGGTATCCATCAAGGTTACTAATAAACAAAGAAATAGTCAACAAACATAAAGTATATTTCGATCTTAATACACTTACATTTTTATGATATGATCATTAGTCGGTGAACATGTAAAGTACCCTGAACTACAAATAGCAGCTTCATTTTCTTGAATCGTACTACCGTATTGTCGAATGATCCATATTGCAGAGTTTACTATTATCTAGTATATATATATATATATATATATATATATATATATATATATATATATATATATATATATATATATATATATATATATATATATATATATATATATATATATATATATATATATATAGAGAATTAGAATGATTATATATTTATATATATATATTTTGTAATATTTATTTACACTCTTGAACTGACATAATCTGACACTCTCTTTGTACCACCAAGTAACACAAAAAAAGAATTAAAATTCGAAAAAAATCTCTGTCCTGTTTCATTTATATCACCGTCTGATTAATATATCTGTTTGTCTATCTATATATCTATCTATCTGTCTATGTGTATGTCTATACATCGTCTATAAAATTACTTATTGACGTGGATCGACAAGAGAAGATGATCAGGCTCTCGTTTGCAGATCTCAGGGATGATATCATGTTTATTTAGATTTTTACAAATATCTACAGACTTTCGACAAGTCATATGACCGTTACCGTTACCAGACCAACAGCTGAAATATCTTATGATGATGGTGTCACTAGGTGTTAGTGATTATTATGAACAAAACAATACTGCCTTTATTTAAAGATTATATAATATTTAAATATTTATTATAAAAATATTTCTTGATGAGCGGTTTCCGTAATTGATGTACCAGTTCTGTCCAATGAATGAATCGATTTCTTGGTTCATTGATATCAATTTGAGACTAATTATTTATAATGATATCATTATTATTTAATGTAAAACATACCTTTAACTTGATACATCTCTAAGTTGACCAAGAATCTTTTATAGAAAATTCTTCTCTGATTGATCTTGTTGTACATTTATTACATGATGCTTTTTGATGAATAAAGATGTAAAAGTTTTTGTTTATGTTTTAGTTTTTAATTTATTTAGATATTAATAAATATAATATTTATTTATTCTCTTTGCTACTATTAACTTTTCTCTTATCTCAAAAGGTATAAGTGTATTAAGGTACAACGGGAACATCAACCTACAGACACAAATGTAAGCAATCATTCAACAAAATCAAACATTCAGCCAATTCTCAATACAATATCAAAGAAAAGCTCCTGGATGCTACTGACAAATGCACACACGATCCAAAGTGTTTGACGGACTTGGAATCGTCAAGAAGAAAGTACAAATCCCAAGACAGAAGGCCCGTCAATTCACGAATTAATGTTATCATTACCGATAGTCTCCGTATGTGCAGAGATCACAAGAAGTTGATATAATACACCTACTCTTCTAGTTTAATAAGATTCTAGGTACTATCATAGGAAAGATCTGTTCTGATTATGTTGTTGACACTATCGTCTTATCAAAAGATTTCAATACAGCGACAATGAATACGAGTAGTCTCGAATGGATGAAAAATGATCAGTATTGTTTTTATTACTGTCTCTATTTCTTTGTAATGATCAATAATTATCATTTTTCATCCAAGACGCGTAGTAGATAGATATCTTTCTTGACCAACTCTGGGTAAGTATAAATAACCAATTTGAACAAAGTAACATTATTAACCCTTTTATTTCTAGTTTCTGGTATTCTCTCTGATCGATCAATCAACACAACAATAACAAATATCATTGTCATAGCTGATGATAAACATAACATGTTAATATATATATAATGAATTATAATTAATTAATGACCAATAGGAAGGTCTTTCATTTGGATAGAGATTGGGATTTCTTTGGATACAGATATTTTTGTAGTATCGATAGAGACACTACCACCATTGTTACCTGTAGCAACCACCTTGTTATTATTCGAATTTAAACAAATTTGAGGTAATTGGAAACGACTTGGTGTTGGATAATTTTTGTAATTGTAATAGTCGGTGGTCATGTATCCTGGATTGGATGCATTTGCGTTTTTGACATGTGCAGACACTACAACACAATGTTTGTAGTCATAGTACACTGTTTGATTGGTCAATGGACCAGAGTAGGATGGATCAATGCCAATTTCAAGTACTTTAAATTGACCTAGTTTAGTTTCTCTTGTCCATTGCGAAACATTCTTTGGATACCCAGTAGGAATATCATAAAATAATGGTAATGCATAACAATTACCTTCTCCATCCAACATATATGTAGTTTTCTATAAAACCAAATCAATTAATATTAATACTTTAAATCTTTTTTAAAAAACTATTATGATTTCATTTACATTTGATTGAAAACTCCATAAACTACCAGTTACAGGACCAATTTGAGTATACATAATATAATCTACTCTTTCACGTTGAGTGGTAAAATCTACAGATATGTTGGCGTGTTCGTAGAATGTCATTGCTGTCATTTCATTGTTTGGTCCTGTTGGAAGATAACTATTCCATGCATTCACTAAATATGATGCAGTGTATCCTTTAAATGATTGTTTTAAACAGTTTTTATGATGTTTGTTATTGATTTCTTTGTTGTTGTTGATAGTATCATCATCATCATCATCTGTTAATGAATTTGATGATACCAAAATTAAAATTGTAAACAAAATGATTAATATTTGTTTCATTGATTGTTGTTATTCTTTCGTTTAGTTTGAATCTAATTAATTAATTAAAAAAGATATTTTAATATTGTTGTTGAATCAATCTATTTAAAGTAGCTGAAAGTCCAATCGTAATAATTATGCTACCACACCAACACAACACTGGTTTGTGTTTATTTCAAAAAAAACAAAACTAATCAACACCTCATCAATCGACCTAATTAATGTACAACTTTATTTAATTATAATATTATTATTATTTTGTTGTTCTTTTTAAAAAGATTAAAGAAGTATTTTTAGATTTACCCATTTTAGAACCAATGATTTGTAAATCTAGGTGATTTGCCAATGCCATCAATTCTTCAAACCTAGATATTCGAGCGTGTGGCAATTGTACTCTAATATCTAGATCTAATCTATCCATTTTAAGAATACTAGACAATAATTCAAATAGCAGTGGGAATGGATGTTTTTTGGCTTGGTCAATAGTCATGATAATAGTCGTACGTGTGATTGTTGATTTAAGTTTAATTTGTTGGATGGGGAATTGAATTTGTTGAATATTTGGAAATTGTGTAACGAGCGATGATACGTCATCCATCATTGTCGATGTGATTTGCCGTCTAAACGATGGTGACAATTGATCGTACCATTGATCATTTGAAAGGATTAATTTTCTTAGTCCTTTTAATTGTTCGAGTGGCTCTGCATTGAATTCTGATCGACCCCATCCAATTACCGTCAGATTTGTAAGAGATTGACATTTTGAAATGAGAACAGTGTCAATTGGACTCTCTCTAAAATATGCATTTCTTGACAAGACAAGACTCGATAGATTGGGAAAACGATCCAACACGTATACTCCCAATGCTGATGAATCAGTAATCTCTAGGTGTAGTTTGGTAACAGTTTTTAAATGCTCTGTAATCTCCATATCCAACAAACTATTTGTAATCGATACCGACCTAATACACTTGAATGCCAAACTGCATGGATTCCGCTGTCTCTTGATAATGTCATCCAAGGTTAATCTGGACAAGTCAAAAGACATGAATAAACGGTTGGCTATAAAACTCCAAATATCCTTGTTGATGAGTGATAATTGTAATCTTGAATGATTCATCATTTCTTTATCGACCGTGAGTGGTTGGTACGGTGTCACACTCGAGAAATGAACTGGACAATTTTCTTTAATCTTACAATATTGATCGATCAATATTTGATTATTAAATAATCCATGTTGTTCCTTGTCCCATCTATTCTTCCAATTTTGATCAACCATACAAGTACAAAATTCTCTTGATTTCCAAACCATCATTATTATTTTATATAATATTATATTTGGTAAAATAATTATATTATTATAAATATTATTATTAATTTGATTATTAATTTGATTATTTTGATTATTATTTTGATTAACATGATTTTGATTAATTTGATTTTGACTTTGATTTGTTTGATTACTTTTAATAAATTTAATTTTGTTTCTTTTTTTTTTTATAGATGATATTGAACCTTTATAGATATAACCCATTTGATTCATTTTAATTATATCATTATCATAAATTACATTATCTGTATAAATTTTAATCGTTGATAAATTTGTTGCCTGGTAATTATAATCTAATATTTTGCTGAGCGAATCTAAAAACATAACATTGATGGTAATGGATTTATAATTTTTTGATAGTACAAAATCTTTTCTTATCCATTGTTTGGTTTTGATTTTGTTGGCTGGTGAAGTTGGCAGATGACCCTTGGCTTTTTTCACATTTATATGTCGTAGACGTGGGAAATCACCTTGAACCAGCTCTGCCGAATCTTTTGTATAGGTGATACCAACCAACCGCCGTTTAATATCACCATGTAAACTATTCCAATTAAAGTCTAGTTTATAGGGTACATAGATCTTGGTTGGATGACATTTCAATGGATTCAATTCTTTTAAAAATCTTTCAACCCTTTGATGTTGAGGGAAATTTACAAAGTCGACAGTTGTTAGGTGTTTTAGTTGACTGATCCATTGAGACATGGTAGGTTCCAAGTTACACCTGACAGTCAGTTTGGAAAGATATGGTATCTGTGAAATCACTAAGTTGATCGTACTTTCACGTCCACCATCCACTATCAATTCATTGGCATGTTGTAATATTGAAAGATGAGAGGTGATTGATTTGTCAATGTTTCCAACACCACCACCACCAAATTCAAAATGATTGATAGTAATAATGGAAGGTCTCTTTGATAGACCGTATTTTAAATTATAAACTCTCCACAAATCCAAATAAAATACAATGTCAGAAGAGTATATATATTCGCGTGACACTAGTGCAAACATTTTCCTAGAGACCAATGCAAGAGACAGTCTCCACCCCATACCAATCGACTTGCCTCTTGCCAAATGTCCACCACCACCAGTTAGCTGTAACCGTGTGAATATAAATGCTGGTACATTGCCCTTGTCGTGGTAGTAACGATGAAGAGAACACATGTCATCTCTCTTTAGTGCCCAGTGTTGGAGCATTGGTTGCATGGTCAGTGCCGAGTAATACATTGAGCCGGTGGCCAATGACCTCGATTGTAAAAACATATCTTTCATCTCTTTATGATGTATACATGTACACACATTGTACCCAATAAATGCAAGTCTAATGATCTTTTCAATGATTGGCCATGGTAAACTAAGAGTTAAATCTAACTCCTCCGTCTCCTCATCTTGGTCATCATCATTACTATTATTATTATTACTACTATTATCTTGTCCTTTTAAATAATTTACAAAGTTTTGAAACATATACATTTATATATCTATATATTATATAATATTTGTTTGTTAACAAATATAAATATATAACTTTGAGGAAGTAGTCTGTGTATTCTCTCTTTCTACTCTCTCTCTACCCAAATTTTATTTTTCGAATTTTTTTGATTTTTTTTTTTTGTGATCATGCGACAGTCCTTGCTCATTGATCAAACAAGTCATACACATCATAGTTGTATTATTATATTAATCAGTATCATCATAATATATATATTAAAAGTAAGGATCTCTATATGGAATGACACAACACACACACAAGGACAAGATAGAATAGAAAAAGACGACGATTAGAGAGACAATCGTGATCGGTTGCAACACACGACACAACCACACACCATCTATAGTGCAGATGATGATGAATCGTTGTATACTACTACTATTATCAACATATTAAAATGGTTAGAATACAAATAGTCATACAGCAGCAGACAACATACGTAGAAAGAACAAGAGGAATGAAATCAACAACAAAACAATAACACCTCGATCAAGGTGTTTGTTTGATGAAAAAACAACAATATTAGATTATAGATACAGATGAAAGGAACAAGATTACTCATTTGTATATCTTTTTTTATTTATGTATTGTTTGTAGTGAGCCAACAATTACCAAACTTTTTCGAATTTGGATGCAATGTCGTCAAGTATTTAAGATCAAGATACACCTCTGAGATTATCAAGGCTGACTTTGCTCAATTTGTCCAAAAGGCCAAGCAACCAGCTGCCATCACCACCTCTGATGCCAAGCGTGTCGGTGTCACTGCCCTCACCATGACTGGTATCTTCTTTGCCGGTGAAGTCTTTGGAAAGAACTCGATCGCTGGTTACTGGCCAGGTTATGATATTGATGTCAAGAAGATCTAAACTATAGATCTATGATTTTTTTGTCACATTAATATTCGAAAATAATAAATAATAATAATATAATAATAGTATATGTTTAATAATAATAAATTACAACAGCTGCAACAGAACTATTCTATTTTAAATAGAAACAAACAAACAATATTGTTTAATTATTATGAATCATCAATCCTTCTGGGATACCCCAGATCATGGCATTGCAATCTTCAAGAGACTGGACATACCAAACAAGACTGGATTTTTGAGACCTGCAAATTTTATTTAATAAGCCATCAACCAATTGCAAACAAGGCAGCATTGATCCTCTCAACTACGATCAACCATCCAATAATATCATTGGTTTCTTATTATGCATCACCTTTATTTTCAATCAAAACCATGGATATCAACTCTGCTGCAAGGACCCTCACAACTCTCGAGTCTGTCCCTGTTCATACAAATCGATTGAACGATAATATCAAACGATGTGTTATGAAAAAATTAATGACCAAGAATCTTTTGTTGTCATCAATCACAGAAACAAAGAGGTTGCATAAATGAGTAATTAATTACTTTTGAAACTAGCTCTTATTGTCGACACAAAACTTGTGACAAAACACGTATAGGTAGAAGTAATAAGTAAATAGATTAGATAGCAATCACATGACTGATGAGAGAAAGTATGGGATCAGGTTGAGTAGACTAAGTTAGTCATGATATAATGATAGAGTGATAGATAGATAGATAGATAGAATATAATATAGTATATTGAATGATGATATTTATTATCTATTAAGTCTATTTTATTTTATTAATTAAAGAATAAATTAAAGATATGTGGGCAAGGGATCAATTTAATTTGATGGTTGGTGGCTGGTTCGAGAAAAAAAATCATAGCTATGAGTGAGAGGAGACGATCACCATCTGCGCTGAGAGAAAATAAAATTATTTGAAGCCAACATTGGCTTTCAAAAATGGGTGTTATTTTTTTTTGCAAAATTATCTTTAGCAACAGGCTGAGCTGAGCAAGGAGAGAGAGGAGATGAAAAGTGCTGTTCAGTGGATCATTTTTTAGCTTTATTGTTTTGTATTTTTATTATTACTGTACTATTCTATTTTTTTAAATCAAGTATGTAAAAAGTTACAATAACAGGTTTATGTAGAAGAGACAAGATATAGATAGATAAATACAACAATCATTGTATCGTTTGAAAGAGAGAGATATTTTGTGGAGACGAAAACGAATTGCATTGGAAATTTCTTCTTATTTCTTTTTTTTTTGATGTTGTTGTTGTTGTATTTGTTCGGTTCACCCCCATCACCAACCACCAATATCATCATGATCATATTCCAATGATCATCCCAACACACAAGAAAGAGAAAGAGAAATAGAAATTATTTATTAATCATCAATTTATTCATCTTTTGTACCTCCTCCTCCTACAAAAAAAAATTATTTATATAAATAATTATTTATAGAGTTTTTTTTTAATTATATATATTATTTAAGAAAGAAAAATGTCAAAGGTTGTAAGATCATCAAAGTATCGTCACGTTTTTGGAACTCAAGCCAAGAAGGAAGAATGTTTCCAAAACCTCAAGGTGACTAGATCAGCTTGGGATTCCAACTACATTGCAGCCAATACCAAATACTTTGCTGTCATATGGGAAGCTGGAGGTGGTGGTTCCTTTGCAGTCCTCCCACAAGAGCACTCTGGAAAGAACCCAGCCAACATTCCATTGTTTGCTGGTCACAAAAACCCAGTCTTGGATGTTGCTTTCCATCCATTCAACGAAAATTTGGTGTGTTCAGTCTCTGAAGATTGCAACGTCATGATCTGGGGTATCCCAGAAGGCGGTCTCACTGCCAACATCACCGAGCCACTCCAAACCCTCACCGGTCACAAGCGTAAGGTCGGCACAGCCATTTTCAATCCAGTCGCCAACAACGTCCTCGCCACCTCGTCTGGTGACTTTTCGGTCAAGACCTGGGATGTCGAACAAGGCAGCCAACTCTCTTCAATCGACGGCAAGCACTCTGAGATTATCCTCTCGGTCGAATGGAACTACAACGGTTCGCAAGTCGTCACCACCTGCAAGGACAAGAAGGTCCGTGTCTTTGACCCACGTTCCAACGACGTCTCTGTCGAGGCCGTCTGCCATCAAGGTGTCAAGAACACCCGTGGTATCTTTGTCAAGGACAACATCTTGACCACCGGTTTCTCCAAGACCTCTGAGCGTGAGTTCAAGATCTGGGATCCACGTAACATTGCCGAGCCCATCACCGCCACCGTCGTCGATACCGCCTCTGGTCTCTTGATGCCATTCTACGACCAAGACAACAGCATCCTCTACATGGTCGGCAAGGGTGACGGTAACATCCGTTACTACGAAATGGTCGATGAAGCTCCATACTTCCATTTCCTCTCCGAGTTCAAGTCTGCCACCCCACAACGTGGTGTCTGCTTCCTCCCCAAGAGAGCCCTCAACGTCTCTGAATGCGAAATCGCCCGTGCCCTCAAGGTCACCACCAACGGTGTCGAGCCAATCTCGTTCCGTGCCCCACGTAGATCCGACATCTTCCAAGACGATCTCTTCCCAGACACCTACGCCGGTGAAGCCGTCCTCGAAGCCTCCCAATGGGCTGCTGGCCAAAACGCCGAGCCAAAGACCATGTCCCTCGCCCCAGGTTTCACCCAAAAGAAGGTCGTCCAAGATTTCAAGCCAGTCGTTCAAAAGGTCGAAGGTCCAAAGAACGAAAAGGAATTGCGTGAAGAATACGAAAAGCTCAAGACTCGTGTCGCCTATCTCGAATCTGAAATCGTAAAGAAGGATGCCAAAATCGCTGAACTTACAAAATAAACAAAAATGATAAATAATAATAATAATAATAAATATTTATCAAAAAACACATTTAATTTAATTTAACCTAAAAAAACAAAAACAAACACAAAAAAAAGGTTGAGTATTATTTATTTTACAAAAGAGATAGATAATGGAGTATATATATTATTTGTTCAATCTATTTAAATTCTTTACTGTAACAGAAAAGGTATGTTTATACTATAAGTTAGGTTATGCATGAGATGACTCTAATTGAGCTAATTGTATTAACACATATATCATGTATACATATTATGATCTACCTTTTATTATTGCAGTCAATCAAACCATTTCAAAATACAATTCAAAAACAAATACTATATTATTATTTAGACCCTAAAGATGTAGTCTATGATATGGTGGGACCTATTCATTTCAAACGTAAACTAAGATTGAATCTAGTATCTAAACAATGGTTTGAATGGGTTAGTGAATGGTTATCAACGAATTGTACAATGATAGCATCCTCTGGTAATGTGGTCAACCGTATACTTCATACAGATATGGGAAAAGATAAAATCAAATTAGAAAGATTACATCTAAAGTATCCACCACCACCAATACTAGTTTGGAGGAACGTCAAACATCTTAGACTTGATATTCTAATTTGCTTTTCTCAATCATCTGATACAAACGAAACCTTACAATCATTTATCAAATCAGTGGATACATTTGAAATTGATGATTACAATACTTGTCTACAAGATATTATTGACTCATTTAAAGATGCTAATCTAATTCAAACACTTAAAGAGAGATCTAAATTGCCAGGTAAACAACCAATTAGATTATTAAATCTAATGGAGATTCAATCTGCAAAAGATATATTATCTAAGCATGATATATCACCTTTATTCCAACCTAGTTCTATTCTCATTAAATTTGGGTTTCCCCACTTGGATGCCATGAAATGGCAAGATTTAATGTATATAATGTCAAGATCAACTGTAACAAAGATTACATTCAATTACTGTACATACCTTGATACAGAGGTAGAGACTGCAGGGCTAATCCAAAATGTTGTATTACACTATAACAACAACAGAAACAGAAACAGTAACAATACAGGTAGTTGTACTACCTATACAACTCCATTTGCATCTGTAACTAGTCTACATATCGGTCCCATCAAAACAAACCAACAACAACTATCATTATGGTTAACACCATCGATATTCCCATCACTACAATCACTCTCTGTCCAAGTTAGGAATACTGAAACATTGGCTGCAATAGTTGATCAATCCAAACAATTCTCAAGACTAGAATCATTTGAAAGTCACTTTAATGTATTCATTGGAGATACTGTAGAACGCATAGGATCACTTCTCACCGAGAATCTAGATAAGAAACCAGACTACCAAGACATTGAGCAATCTTGTTTGGAGAGTATTGGTGTTAAAACACTCAAACTTGGACGTACTGGATACTCTATCAATAATCGATTGGATCTATCAAATAATACAATCATCGATACGGTCGAGTTGAAAAATGTATTACAATCGGGCTATCCATTTGAAGTTCCACAATTTAATTATAAGCTACCACCAAATTTAAAAGAATTAGTTTTGGATCATTGTCATCTCTGTGAATTGAATCACATGATGCGCAATTACAATGGACACCAAGATTTAATCATAAAGATAATAGGATTAGCTCCGGTAATGGTACTACAACAAGATGATTTCGATTGGATACAACATAAAGCAGAGATTAGAGAGGTGGTGTTCTTGGGTGGCAACGCTTTTCAAAATAAGGAAAATATTGATGAGCAATCAACTACAATGATTCTCGATCAATTGTATCATAGACATCTAAACAATATCAAACCAATTGAAATGATATTAGGTATTGAAATTGTCAACTCTAAAATAACACCAATTCTATCAACTATCTATCATGCCACAAGACATACCCTTCAAGTAAAATATTAATTATTTAAAATTAATATCTGTATTTCTATTTGTATTAAATTGTAAAATAAAAATAAATGACACATCATACCCAGATATTTAAAGACAGATAGAAAAAAAAGGTATCACTTGAAACAGAACATCAAAAACATAGAAAATATCTGGAACGAAGTGCTCAAAACTTGAAAAGCGGTACGGAAAAAGACATGATGCATTCATTCATTCAAAAAAAGTTAATAATAGTCTTGTCTGTGTGTTACAGAGTAAATAGTATCATCATATGATCAATAAACTATTCAGTAGTATCTTTACAATATCAGATTTCGAGTATAATGATGACAATGACAACAATCATGTGATCAGCCTTCTTCAAAATACAATTCAAAAACAAATACTATATCACTTATTAGATTCTAATAAAGAGGTAATTAATTAATCTGATCTAACAGTTTATAGATTTATCTATAGATTACTTGATACTAATACAAATCTATTACTTAGGGATCAATTAATTTCAAAAGTAAATTAAGATTAAATCTAGTATCTAAACTTTGGTTTGAATGGGTTGGTGAATGGTTATCAAATAGGATGATGATAACATCAGTCAATGATATAAAGAGAATGACTCTACCACCACCTCTAATCCAACATATACTTCATACAGAGATAGGAAAGAGATACTTGAATGATATCATATTGACAGATGCATTCACCTCTTTGTATGATAAAGATCAAGGATATGTTTCATCTGCACAACCACCAAAGGTACCACCACGAATACTAGTTTGGAGGAATATCAAACATCTAATACTATTTGATTCATCTGTTCTAGTCAATATGATGTCAAAGTCACCTGAAATAGTAGATGCTACTAAATCATTTATCAAATCATTGGATGTATTGGATATTGATGATCCCACAAATTCTCTCAAAGATACAATCAATTCATTTAAAAAGGCTAATCTAATTCAAACTCTTCAAGATAGAGCCGGTATGAATGGTAAACACCCAATCAGATTATTAAATCTAATTGATATTCGGTCTGCAAAAGATATATTATCTCCACCAGATATATCACCATTATTCCAACCAACTTCAATAGTCTTTTCATTTAAACAAGATGACAACAATGGACAAGAGATGAAATGGGAGGATTTACAATTTATAATGTCAAGATTGACTGTCAACAAGATCGACATTAATTACTATACAGATAAAGGTGTAGCAAATCGGATTTCAAACCTCATACAAAATGTTGTATCTCATAGCTATAACATCGGCCTAACAACACCTAGCCCATTCACATCAATAACTAGGATAAACTTCTTTTCATTTCAAACAAGTGAAATGATATCATCATGGTTAACACCATCTATATTCCCATCACTACAATCACTTGTCATTAGGATTAAAGATTCTAAAATATTAGAGACCATCATCCAACAAATTAACCAATTTCCAAGAGTCTTGGATTCATTTGAAAATTATTTGAATCTACCCGATGACCAAGACATTGACCAATCATGTTTAGAAGGTATACGTGTTAAAGCTCTAAAGTTTGGTCGTTCTGGGTACTCGGTCAATGACAAATTGGATCTATCAAATAATACAACAATCGACACTATACAATTACAAAATGTAATCGAATATCAAATATACATTCCAAACTTTGATTATCTACTCCCAAGAAATTTGAAACGGTTGACCATGATCAAAGGTCAATGTGGTCAGTTGAATGGTTTGATGAAGGGTCATCATGGTGGAGACCAAGATTTAACCATTCGAATCGTATCACCACTACACACAAAAATACTTCAACAAGATGATTTTGATTGGATTCAACATAAAACAGAGATTAGAGAGTTAAACTTTGTCTTGGGTGATGATGGAATGGATGAAAAATTGACAATAATAATACTCAATCAATTATATCTTCGACACCTAAACAATATCAAACCAATTGAATTGATTACAGGTATCAATATAATCGGCTCTAAAATTACACCAATTCTATCTACTATTTATCTTGCCACAAGACATACCCTTCAAGCCAAATACTGATTAATCCATCAATCAATCAAATAAAAATAAAAAAATCTTGGTTTCATATATATACGTGACATTACTTTGTTCGATGTGTTGGAGACTATAGCGACACAACCTTGTGTAGTGTTGGTCGTTGTTGAAGAAGAGAAGAAGATGATCGATGTTGTCTTGAAAGAGTAACAGGATTGGTTGTAGTAGGTACAGCTTTAACTGATGAAAATATCAAAGATGGACCTACTTTCTACTACTTGGTTGGCTGAATTCCTCGCTATTCCATCATCTATTCCACAGAATCATGTTTGTCATCTGATCAACTACTTATTCTTTATCCAGTATGATTATCAAGATACTATTATTTCTTTATTAATGTGCAAGATGATCAGCGCACCGACTACGAAAAAAAAAGGATTAGAAATTTATTAATTTGTTGGTCAGCAGTTGTTCGTTTATCTAGATGGAATATTAGTCATGGATTATCTGATCAACAGTCTATACAGTAGTATTCAATCGATATCACAATACCTATATTACAATGACGAAAAGGTATGTTTATACTATAGGTTATGCATGAGATGACTCTAATTGAGCTAATTGTATTAACACACATATCATCATATCATACATATTATGATCTACCTTTCATTATTGCAGTCAATCAAACTTCAAAATACAATTCAAAAACAAATACTCTTTTATTTATTAGATCGAAAGGTATATATTTCAATTACAAGATAGATCAACTGTTTATGATACTAATTTAAATTAAATCATAAATCTACACACAACGTTAGGGAGGATTAATCACTGATAAATTAAGATTGAATCTAGTATCTAAACAATGGTTTGAATGGATTAGTTCATGGGTATCATCAAACATGGTGGCTAAATCTGCGGTCTGTTTCACAGCCGGGAGCGTCAGTGTGAGGAGTCAAATTATACCACCTCCTATTATCGAATACGTGATTCACACTGACCTGGGAAAGACAACATGTTTATACAATGGTAGATTACCTCGTCAGTTCTTCTATTTGTATCCATTCTGGTTCACCTTACCGATGGATGTCCCAGACTATATACCTTTTCAAATAATACCAAAACCATCTTCAATACCACCAATCACAGTTTGGAAGGCAATCAAACACTTTAAACTATATGATATATCTCATCTAATCAAAGCGTTTGATTCCACCCCCTCCTCCTCCTCCTACTCTTCTCAACTCATTCAAGCTACCCATGCATTTATCGTATCGTTGGATACTTTTGACTTGTCTTTTCCTCTAAGAGGCGGGGAATGTGTTGAAATATTCGAAAATACTTTATTATTGCAAGTATTTGTTGAACGAGCTACCACGGGTAAACAACCAGTCCGGTTTCAAAATATCGTCGACCTGGATACAGTGACAAGATTATTATCCATACCAGAGATATCACCATTTTTCCAACCCCACTCGATTGTCTTATCGTTTGAGCCAAATATGCCAAAGACAAAATGGGAGGATTTACAGTTTATCATGTCAAAATCAACCGTTACCAAGATTATAATCGAATATCAAACCAAAGAAGACGCCATTGCATTTTCAAACCTCATCCACAATGTTTTATCTCAAAATAACAACAACGACAATAACAACAACAACAACAACAGAGGTAGTCCATTTGCATCAGTAACCAAGATAACATTTATTTTCTTTAAAACAAGTGAAAAGATATCATCGTGGTTGACACCATCTATATTCCCATCACTCCAATCAATTGTCATTAAAAAGGATGGCTGTTCATTGAAAGACCTTGTTCGCCAAATCAACCGGTTTCCCAATCCACTTTTGTCATTTGAAATCGGCAATGGACAGGGTTGTTTGAGAGATATTCACGTCAAAAGTTTGACATTGGGTAGCGGACAATTTGATTTATCAAAAAATACATTTGTCGACAGGCTTGTCATCAACAACATCGATCAATCAAAACATACTCTAATCTCTCCCAACTTGAAAGAGCTGGTTATGCCCAATTGTTCCTTTAATCTATTGAATCAACTATTGAAACCAAATCCAATGTATGACAATCAAGATTTAGCCATTACAATCACACCACAGATCGACACAGATTTATTTAATCTGTTAATAGAACTCAAGACACCCAAGAAAAACAATTTTGATTGGATTCAACATAGGCAAGGAATTAGAGAGCTAAACTTTTTGGGTGATGGATTAGATGAAAAAGCAACAACAATGATACTAGACCAATTGTATCGTAGACATTTAAACAATATCAAACCAATTGAATTGATTACAGGTATCAATATTGTTGACTCTCAAATCGCACCAAATCTATCAACCATTTATCGTGCCTCTAGACATACCCTCCAAGTAAAATAATATCAATAAATAATAATAATAATTATTAGTTTATCCTTTTCCCAAATTTGGGCAAAAATAAACTTTTTGTTTTTCGAGCTGAGATAATATCATTTTAACGCACATTATTACATTATTATCAATAACTCTCTCTCTTCACTAGTTTACTCTTTTTAATATTATTATCTAATAAAAGATAATCTGATCAATAGTCTGTTTAGTGTCTTTTCAATATCGGATTTCGAATATTGCCATTTCAATGACGAAAAGGTAAGCTACTACTATTATTAATAGTTGTCGAGAATGCTTGTAACTAATATACATCTTTATTACATATAATATAAACAGTCAATATACGTTCAAAATACAATTCAAAAACAAATACTCTTTTATTTATTAGACTCTAAAGAGGTAATTAATCTTATATTCACACGCACTAATGTGGAAATTACTTTTAAATATGTTTCTAGAGATCGATCAATTTAAAAAGTAAATTAAGATTAAATCTAGTATCTAAACTGTGGTTTGAATGGGTTGGTGAATGGGTATCATCAAATGTGACAGCGACATCAGTGGGGTCACGTGTTGTTGAAGGGATGAATTCTCTACCATCTCCTCTTATTGAATACGTGATTCACACTTGTCTTGGAAAGACATATTTAAAAGATTGTAAATTATCAAGTGGTCAGTTCCTCTCACTGTACCCCTATAGGACTAATAGGAGGGGGCCTCTTGGAACAGATTGTCGACCTTTTGGATATATACCACCAACGCCACCACCACGTTCGATACCACCAATGACAGTTTGGAAGACAGTCAAACACTTTACATTCCTTGATCTTTTTGATCTAAACAGAGTGTATTGCTCAAACTTGTTCCTAGAGATTGAAGCGACCCGATCATTTATCGAATCGTTGGAGACTGTCGACGTGTATAGTACTCTCCAAGACACTGTAGATGCATTCAACCGTTCTCTATTCATGCCAGCACTTGTTGAACGAGTTGCCAAGGGTAAGCAACCAGTCCGATTACATAATATAATGGACATTGGATCGACGGCAAGTTATTTATCCAAACCAGAGATATCGCCACTTTTCCAACCCCATTCTATTATCATATCGTTTGAGCCAAATATGCCAGATACCAAATGGGAGGATTTACGGTTTATCATGTCAAGATTAACCGTTTCAAAGATTAAAGTCGATTTCACAACAACTACAGGCATATCATCTCGATATGAAACACTCTTTCAAAATGTTATAGAATCCTACAACAACAACAACAAAAACAACAACAACAGTAATAATAGAGGTACAACTTTAAAAAATAGTCCATTCTCATCAGTAACAAGTATAGAGTTTGTTGAATTAAAAACAAGTGAAAAGATATCGTCGTGGTTGACGCCATCGATATTCCCATCACTTCAATCACTTGTTGTCAAAGATGGATATAATTTGGCAGACCTTGTTCGTATAGTCAACCAATTCCCGAATCCACTTGTATCGTTTCAATCCGGCGATAAAGGATACCAATATTCTTTAGAAGACATTCATGCCAAAAGTTTAACAATTGGAGACTATTATAGTTTTGATTTCTCAAAGAGTACCTATATCGACACTCTTGTCATCAACTATACCAGACAACCAAAGTCTACTCTTTTACTCCCACCCAACTTGCGGGTGTTGCATATTTCCAATTGCTACTGTGACCAATTAAATAAACTAATGAATGCCAATCACAACCAAGATTTAATCGTTAGAATCGCACCACGGACCGACGAAAAATCAAGGGTACCAAAAAGAGCAGATTTTGATTGGATTCAACAAAAACAAGGAATTCGAGAGGTCACTTTTTTGGGTGGCGATGGATTAGATGAAAAATCAACAATAATGATACTCAGACAACTTTATCTTCGACACCTAAACAATATCAAACCAATTGAATTGGTTACTGGTTTGAATATTGTTGATTCTCAAATCACACCAATTCTATCAAATATTTATCATGCCTCTAGACATACCCTCCAACTCAAATATTAATCAAATAAAACAATTTAATTGGCACTTTATCATTGCAATCATAACTTCTGTAGGGGTCATATGAAATCTTATAGTCTATAGTATGGAGAGTCTCTTCCATAGTTGTAATCGAGTTGTTTTCAAGTCCAAAAGTGTATTGTCCACCTCAACCTCCACTGCCATGGCGAACCCCGAGATGAAGATGTTGTGTCAAATCTCCCGTCCTCAACTACCGCTGTAGGAGTCTCTACAACCATCAGAGTAATGACCCACTACTGGTATTTTCAGAGTCATGTCACATCCAACTCAACGAGAACCGTAGGTACCTAAGCCAGAACTCCCACTCAAAAATACCAAAGGATTAAAAACCCAAATGTTTTCTTAGGTGTAAACAATAAACATGAATTACAAACCATGTTCACAGCATACCAAAAAATTAATTTTTTTCAATTTTTTTAGGTTTAGAAAGGGATCTTTGTTAGAGGCGACTCAATTTTTATTTTTAGTATGATTAACCTCTATTCTAACACTTTAGATATAGTTAATAAATATGGAACAGATCACAATCGAAGATTTCTATAATCTTCTAATGAAATCATTTGGGGTTTTAAAAAAAAAGGTAGTTTGGATATTATGTTGGTTTTTATAAATCGATTTCATTGTTACTAACTCTTTAAATTTTAATTATAAACCATCTCATTCATTTATATAAATATATCTATATAGACTTGGCCCAATCTCATTCAAAAGAAAATACTTTTTCATTTTTTAGATCAACCAGAGGTAATTATTATTATTATCAGATGATAGAGATCTAGAGTGGGAGATACTCTTTAAGATTCTATTATTAATACTAAATAATTTAAAACTTTTAAATTATTTACATTTATTATATAAACCTTTTCTTCTAGTCAATAATCAGTTTCAAAAGTAAATTAAGGGTCAATCTAGTATCTAAAAAGTGGTTTGAATGGGTTAGTGAATGGTTGTCTAGTCGTACAATTGTATGTCCAGGTCGCTCCTCTCTTGTGAGTGGACTACCTCCCATCATCGAGTACCAGCTTCATACCGACCAAGGAAAGAAGGAATTAAGTAATCTTCCTCCACCTACGCCTTTGATGATTCTCCCATTTCCGATACCAATATTAGAGTCAATGCCGGTGCCAAAGAATAAGCCCAGTAGTTCAATTCCACCAATTACTGTTTGGAAGTCAATCAGGAATGTCAAGATGGTGACCCAAAAGAAATAGTAAAGGCTAAGTTTGTCCAGTTTTATTTTCTAACAACCAAAGACAAGATGTTTAAAACTACCCAAGATTTTATCAAATCACTTGATAGGTTGGAAGTGTTTGGTAATTTAGAGGAAACAATCAAAGCAATTCCCCAAGAAACCCTTGCCCACCGAGCTGCCTCTGGTAAAGAACCAATCTGGTTTCACAATCTCACCGACATTGCATTGACCAAGAAACTATTGTCCAATCCAGTATCATATTTCCAACCACTCTATCGTCATTGCATGTGATCAAGATATCAAACCGGAGGATTTATCGTTTGTCATGTCAAGATCAACAGTATGCGGAATTGAAATTAATCAATACACCAGCCTAAAGAACGCATCTCGATTCGCCAATCTTGTCCAAAATGTTGTATCTCTCCGTGGCTCTTTGAGAGTTCCATTTTCATCTGTCACCAGATTAGATGTTGATATACTCCAAACCAATGAAAAGATATCATCATGGTTGACTCCATCCATATTCCCGTCACTCCAAATACTTGTCGTCAATGGAACTAGTTCGGCCCATGACGATCAAATATTGAGTTCGGTTGTTGTCCAAGTAAACCTGTTCCCAACTCCTCTAGAGTCATTTGCCACCGACCAAGGATACGCTTGTTTGGGAAGTATTCGTGCAAAGAGTTTGACATTTGGAAAATGTAAACGGTTGAATTTCTCAAAGAATTCTTGTATCGACAGTCTCATGATGCAATTTACTCATTCAGTAGAATCAAAATTTGCTATTTTGCTCCCACCCAAATTAAAAGTATTGTATGTTATCAACGAGTATTTTGGCTTTTTGGGGAATTGGATGAAATCCAATTATCTTTCAGATGTAGCTATCAGGATCTTATCACTGGCCAATTCATTTCCATCTGAGGATTTTGATTGGATCCAAAATAAAAGAGGTATAAGAGAATTGTCTTTGTCTGTATTAGGTGGCCGTGCAATAGATGAAGAAACAACTAAAATGATACTCGACCAATTGTATCGTAGACATGTCAACAATATAAAACCAATTGAAATGATTATAGGTTTGAAAATTGTTGATTCTCAAATCCCACCATATCTATCAACTATTTATGATATCTACCAACATTCTCTCCAAGCTAAATATTAATCAATTAAAAAAATATCAATCAATAAATCAATAAATAAATAAATAAAATAAATCAAATCTATCAATTGTCACTCTATAATTATTTGGGGCACACTTTGCTTCAAATATCTGTTCTATCTGTATGTGTATGTTGAATTGATCAAAATTAAAAACTGAAGTCTCCTTTATGATGATGAGAATAGATGAGGAATATACTCCTTTTCCAGCCGGAAAAAAAAAATTTCCTCCCAACTGCACGTTAAATGAGAGTACTTGCAGTACGTAAAATTTTTCAATAATACTACCATTATTCATGACTGTAGGTCTAACCAGTCATCTATGACCACTCGGTGTCATTTGCAAGGAGATGGCAACTTCTATATCATTGATGAATAATGAATAATTAGTAATTATATTTCATGTTTTGCCCTACTGAAATATCTTCTAGCTGCTTTGTCACCAAAAGATGACTTGAAAATTTAAACATTAGCTCTTTTTGCCCTGGATCAATAAATAAATAGGTCTCTCTCTCAAGAAATGATTCATTTATTATTTACATCTTATTAGTCGTAATTCACAGCAGATACTAGTTGCTCGCATTTAAAAGAGAATCAGATAGTAATGCAAGAGATCAAAGATTATTTGATCAGTAGTCTATTCAGTGTCTTTTCAATATCAGAGTCATGCTATCACGATGGCGAAAAGGTATATGTACTATGAGAATTAAAATTCCTTCTACCACTACTACTACTACTACTACTACTAGTTCTATTAACACAATAATATTATCATTTGCTTAAATTGCAGTCAATCAAACTTCTTCAAAATACAATTCAAAAACAAATACTCTTTTATTTACTAGACTCTAAAGAGGTAATTAATTACATCTATCTATCTATCTTTTAGTTATATCTATTCAAGTGCTGTGAAAAATTAATGTATATCTATTCGTTTATATCTTATATATTTATAGGGATCAATCATTCAATTCAAAAGTAAATTAAGATTAAATCTAGTATCGAAGCAATGGTTTGAATGGGTCAGCGAATGGGTATCATCTAAATGTACCATGTCATCATCGGTCTATAGACCAACGACTTGGCTACCTCCTCTTTTGGAATGCCTACTTCATACTGGTCAAGGAAAGAGATATATGGATGGTCTAAAAGTGGCGCCGCCAATTACAGTTTGGAAGACAATCAAACACATGATACTCGATGAAACGAGCGATCTAGTCGAAACGATGAATAGATATCGTTCATATTCTCAACTCTTTCGAGCTACACAATCATTTATCAAATCGGTTGATATTTTGGAAGTGTATGATCTATCGTCGACAGAAAAGTTAATGACCAACTATGATATGATTAAACTACTCAGAGAGAGAGCAGAAACTGGTAAACAACCAATTCGATTACTAAATATCACCAAAATTGAAAGGATGGCAACATTATTATCCCATCCAGAGATCTCACCATTATTCCAACCCCACTCGATAGTCTTTCCATCCGAAAATGACAAATGGGAAGATTTATTATTCATCATGTCAGGATCAACCGTTTCCAAGATTACTTTTGATGCATATTTCAGGTTTTCGGAAAGTCTCATACAAAATGTAATATCCTTGTCCACTTTAAAGCATAGCCCATTTGCTTCGGTAACCAGACTAGAGTTTGTTGATCTCTGCTTTATGACTCGAGAAATAATATCATGGTTGACACCATCAATATTTCCGTCGCTCCAATCACTTTTCATCATAAACTATACATCTAAAAGAATTAACCCAATCGTTGGCCAAATCAACCAGTTTCCCAATCCTCTAGTATCGTTTGAAATAGAAAACCTGCCTTTTGGATGTGATGACTTGCAAGACATTCGTGTGAAAAAGTTGATACTTGGGTCCTATCATCATTTAGATTTCTCAAACAACTCGATAATAGACACTCTTGTATTGCATTACAACCCTTCAAAACAAAGTTATGAATGGCATTTTATATTCCCTCGAAACTTGAAATGGTTGGATATGATCGACAGTCGAGACTATTGTAACTGTGTTGAATTGAATCGCTTGATGACAATCAATCACGATGGTGATCAAGATTTAACCATTCAAATCAACAAGTCGGCCAAAACCTCACAAAGACTCAAACATGAGGATTTTGATTGGATTCAACATAGACAAGGAATTAGAGAGTTGTCATTCTTGGATGATGGATTAGATGAAAAAGCGACAATAATAATACTCAATCAATTATATCTTCGACACCTAAACAATATCAAACCAATTGAATTGATTTCAGGTATCAATATAGTCGATTCCCAAATCACACCAATTCTATCAACTATTTATCATGCCTCTAGACATACCCTCCAAGTAAAATAACTCAAATATTAATCAAATTAAATAAATATTAAAAAAAAAATAGGAAATTGAAAGTACTTGCACCGTCACTGGCTTTTTTAGTTGAAATTTGTCGAAGGGCCCACCTTGAAAATATCTCGAGAGGACCAAAAAAGGTAGATAGATATAGATAGATGATAGATAGATAGATAGATAGATAGATAGATAGATAAAATATGTTCTTACCATTAACAAAAGAACAAACATCAAAGTTTTAATCAACAAAGTAAAGGATATTATCATAATGGGGATTTTGAATGAATCATAATATTAAAATTAACCATTTAATGTTATTTATTAAACTAAATTAATGTTAATTTAAATGCCTCTTTTGATCATAGGTATCAAAACAACCTACTAAAACACTTCCCATTCCAAATGTATGGATAGAGTCATCGTCATCGTCATCATCATCGTTGTGTTTGAGGGCATGTTCTAGACGACCAAGTGATCCTTTTCGAAGTTGGTTTCCAGTGGTCGATGAGATGGTATCTTTTGGGAAATAGTCACGACTGACAGTATTGAAATCATAGGTGGTAGAAGGAGATGAGTTTGATCTTCCAAAGGTTTGTACTCTTCGTGGTCCAGATGATTTACCACCACCACCAAAACTTGATAGATTTCCACAACTTGTACTTTGTCTACTTTTAAATGTATCTTTACTATATTGTGGTATAGAATTATTATTATGATTATTATTATTATAGTGGTTTGAACCTCCACCTTGTTGATGATGGATTGGTATTGGTGAATTATTTTGATATATATTATTTAATGATTTTGATGATTTATTATTATTATTGGAGTCAGTAGATGAAGATGAAGATCTACTACTCTTGTTAAATATAGAAAATAATTTCATGATTTGGATATTATTTTTATTTTTGGTTTTAGGGGAGAGAAATCAACAATGATTAATAAGTGCTAAAAGATTGATTGGATTGATTAGAGGGGAAAAAATGGAATTTAAAAATTAAAATTAAAATTAAATAAATATAGTTAAGAGTATGAAATGGATGGATGGATTCACAACAACAATTGTTTAGGAAAAGAATGTCAGAATTGGTATTACAATAATAAAACAAGAATGATTTAAAAAGTTAACTTGTTATTATTTAATGTTGGAATAAAATACCAATGGTTGGTTGTGAGGATGGTAGGACGAGGATGGATGGATTATAATCAAAATAAATAAATTTAAGGGAAAAACAAAGAATTATAAGAGTGATGTGAGCAAAAAAAAAACAACTTGTTTGTTGAATGTGGATGACAGTGACAAGGTTGTATATAATAAATAAAATAAATAAATAAATATATGTAATATTGGTATTTTAGCAAGGTTGGTTGGTCGAATTGGTGGTTGATGATTTATCAAAAGTGAAAAGAAAAGAAAGAGGATGATGAAGATTGAAAGATTAAAATACGATATTCTAGAATCGTCTTTATATACTGTTTTTGTTTATCATCAAATCATGACAATCCATCATCCAACATAATGATAATCCTACATATGCGGGAGATGTGTTCAACAGTTGACAGGAGGATGTGTATACATGTGGTGTGACTCTCAGTCAGTCAGTCAGTCAGTCGGTCAGTCAATCAAACAGAAAACAGTTTTGAAAATCATTTAAAATAAAATAAATTGACATGACGAGTGCTGTAGTAGTAGTAGTGGGAGGAATACCAATAAAATATTGTTTGTAGTGGTTGGTTAGTGGGGTGTTCTATCAAAACGACTATTCTATAGATAGTTTGTGGGTCACGTTGTTGGGAATACACATTCAACTTGTTGTTTGTTGATGTTGATGTTTTGGGGTGATGATATGATGATGATATTGAGAATCAATATTAGATACTTATACTCTAGACCAATCAATATTGATCTCATCTCTTGATTTCCATGTCTTGTGTTTACCCCTCATTAATTCCCATACCCCACCACCACTTCAATCAAAATACAACCACATTCATATATTCAAGGCGTGGTGTGGGGAGGAAATCCATATAGAATGAGAGAGTGGGGATGGGGAAAGGGTTCGAATTTCGAATATATCTATAATTATATTCCGTCCGTCCGTCTTGTCTTCTCCACAATGCTATCACTTTGATTTATTCTCCATTCTTTACACAAAACACAAGCGCGTCCATGGACTATATACATATGCTAAATGATTGATAATTTACGTGTGTCGTGGTCACAACTACCATTCGTATTTTCATAATCTTCTTGTTTTCTTTAAGATTTATCACTACCAATTCTTCAAAAAAATTTTGGTTGGTGATTCTGCAATAAATGCTAATTTAATAATACCCATTCCTCTATTTATTATAAATAGAATTATTAGTATTCTCCCTCTTCTCTCTCCTCCATTAAATATTTAATTAATAAATAAATGGGAATGGGAACATTATAGTTAATTTTGGAAACCACACCATTATGATTCTATAATTGTTATAACAATTAATAATAAAACATCGCAATGATTATTGTTTATTTAATTATTAATTAATTAATTTAATGATGGTGATTGTTAATCGATAGATTGAGTTTTTAAAGAGCAACAACACAAGATGCACCGCCAAATGGATTGGCAACACAGGTTTGACCAGCGGCACATGGGACAATGCCACAATTGACATTGGTACTGAAACAGGCTGGTCCATAAGTACCTGGGAAGAAGTAACAGGCAGTTCCAGAGGCACAGGTTGGGCAAACTGTTGGGGTGACACATGTGGCTTGACCATTGACTACCAAACATGATTTACCTTGACCACATGGTACGATACCACAGTTACCATAGGTGTAACAAGATGGAGCAGCTCCAGCGGCACCATAACAAGCTTGATTGGTTGGACATCCACGTGATGCGCAAGATGATGCAGATGCAACAGCAATAAATGCTAAAATTACTAAAATTAATTTATAAATATTCATTTTTAAATTGGAGAAAAGAAAATGAAATTGTTGATGTTTGTTGGAGTTGTAAAATATTATTTAATTATTTAATTATTTGTTGTAGAGAGGAGGAGTAATTTTCTATTACTAATTGAATTATCTAATAGATTGTATTGATGAAAATAAATTTAACTGAATGTTTGCATTTATATAGGTTTCGTCTGTCCAGCTATACCTATCAACTACCAGCCTACTCTATTTCCAAGTAATTATTATGATGCCATAATTTATTTATCTTGCCGACCAAATTCCTCTATTTAGGAAAGTTAGATTGATTGATTTCTTGTTTAGAACATCAATAATAGGAGGAATAAAATTATAAGGTTCCTAGAGCTATAAGAGAGAGAGAGAGAGAGAGAGAGAGAGTAAAGGTAAATGGGTTGGAGGAGGAGGGGGTTACACAATTTCATGAAAACCATCAACCCGTCTATAACAAACTAACCTATACCTACCTACCTACCTATTCGTTTGATCATCTCTCTTTGTCAATGAATTGATGTAACCTTCCTTCCTTTGTTTGTCGTTTCCCACAAAATGCCTTTTCTTTTCCTTTACACAACTTTGAATTTTCCCGAGACTTTAACACCCTTTTAGAACTAGTCAAAACGACCAACCATATCTCCCAACCATTAAGATTGGCCTATCTCTTTTCTCTCTCTGTTGTTGTTGTGTTGCTGTGATGTTCATCCAATGAAAATTTCCCACAAGTGTACCTTTTCGGGATTGACGGGTGAAGAGGAAGAAGATATGATTCGTCGAATGCAGATCCCTTTTCATGAAACGGTTCAACCCATGAATCTATTACCAACACCACCACAAACCAACTAATCATTGTTTCATTCCTTACCCACTTTACAAAAATATTCTTTTAAATTGACTATAGAGGATGTTGATGATTCTTAAAACTGATTATAATTTACAAATTACTGTTTGGTTGATTTATTATTATTATTATTATTATTACTTTGTTATTATATATATAAACCTTCCTTTTCTAATAATAATTGTTCCAATTCTTCAAGTTGTTTTAATTTACGTTGAATGATTGTTACATTTTCAGAGATTGATTGTGAATAGATGGGATCGGGGTCTTCAAGATATGCTTCCTCCAAATCCTTGTTTGATTGTTCTAATTTCTTGATAAAGTTGGTCAAGTCTTGTATGTTAAACTTTAATACCTCTTCATCGCTACTAAAGTGTTTGGTCAATGTACTCTCTTTTGTTTGTTGTTGTTTTTCATCATCGTCCTCGTCATCACTTAATTCTACCTTTGTTTCTAATGTTTCAATCATCTTTTCTTGTCTTGATTTTATACCCATATATGTTGATGTTGTACTCGTAGAAGAAGAAGAAGTATATGATGATGTATATGTTGTTGAATGATTATTATTTATTTCGTTACTACTATTACTATTACTATTTTCATCTTTTGGTAATGTTGAATTATGTGCTTGAACATAACTATCTAATGATTCATCCTCCATCCTTTATTTGTATATATTGTATTTAATGACTAAAGTAAAACTATAAAAGTAAATTAATTTATTTTGTTGTTGCATTTTCATCAAACCAAGTTCACAGATTCGAAAAATATAATAATAGTATTTTTATTAGTCATTCATTTTCATTAAAGATTAGTTAGTTAGAGAGAAGGGGAATAAGAAAGAAAAAGAAGAAAGTGAAGAGATAGAGGATGAGTTCATCATCTATGAAATATCAAGATGGGTTTAGTGCATCAACCAAAGAGATTGCATCACTCAAACCTTTGATATCTGCATTCTTACAAAAGGCAATAGGTAGCAGTAAACTAGAATCAGTTGAACCTATCATCATTGAATGTTTAGATCGTAAATTGGAATTGGTTGATATTAAAAGTATGTAAATAACAGAAAGAAAGAAAGAGAGAGAGTAATGATATAGAGAGAAGATGATGACTAATATATACTTTCCCCTTTATTTTTGTTGTATTATCTCTCTCTCTAGATGTACTAGATAAACATTTAAATAAAGAATCATCCATTAGATTATTAGATTTAATAGTTGATGATGTTAATCAACAAAGACAACAAAATAAAAGAAAGCATGAACATGGTGATGATAATGATTCACATAATAGTAGTAACAATAGAAATGGACATGGTAATGGTTCATCGTCATCAAGAAATAATAGTAGTAATAATAATAATAATAATGGGTCAATGGATGAAGATTATAAAAAGAGAGTAAAGGTTGATCAAATGGATGATTCATCATCTTCAAAAAGACGATCATCAGATCGTGATAGAAGACCGTCGTCATCGTCATCGTCGTATGATGATCGAGATTATGGAAGAGATAGAGATAGAGATAGAGACAGAGACCGTGATAGAGACTATGGAAGAGACAGCAAACGATACGATGATAGAGACTATGGAAGAGACAGAGACTATGCAAGAGGAGACAGATATTCGTCGTCGTCGTCGTCATCAAGATCACATTATGAAGATTCTAGAGACATCCGGGCCGGGAGGGGTGACCGGGGGGATAGATATTATGATCGAGATGGGAGAGATGGAGGAAGCAATGGAGGAAGATACAGAGATGATGGTGGCAGGAACTCCACCTCCTCCTCTCAGAGCTCTTCAACCCATGATTCAAGAAGCTCCAACAGGAATCATGATCAACCATCCTCCTCATCCTCAACCACCAACACCACCAGCACAACCACCAATTCAACGTCCTCCTCCACCTCCTCCAACAGCATTCAAAAGGTTCCTACCTCCTCCACAGTATCACCGTTAACATCTTCACCAATCATTAAATCTACTCTAGATCAACCAACCTCTTCTACTACATCTACATCCGCTACTCCAGCTGCTGCAACAGCATCAACAACAATGGATAAAATTCAAAGTTTAAAAGCTAGATTAGAAGCAAGAAAAGTTGAACTTTTAGAAAAACAAACCAACAACAATGCTTTGGCATCTCCTCCCTCTCTTTTTACTCCAAATATCATTTCACCACCTGTACAGGTAACAACTCCGATTGTTTCAACTCCACCAACAACAACGATGGAAACAAAAGAAGACACAAACATGGTAATAGATGAAGTGAAGAAATCATCTCCTTTTTCAGAAGAAAAGATGTTTTTCGATCCAAGATTAGTACCAAAGGAAAAGAAAAAGAAAACAATAGAGTCATTCAATTTAATGACCAAACCAGGAAAGTTTACTAAAAAGGCAGATAAAATACGTATGGAACAATTGCAAGAGGAACTTTCTAAAAAGGATATCACTACACAGAGTGTAGTCACCAAGACCAATATAGTGGTTGACGAAGTACCAGATATAGAATGGTGGGATCGTGACATTTTAGATGAATCATGTCAATCTTATGATCAATTCCTTCAAAGTGACAGTCAATCAACTACTTCAACAACTACAACTACTTCAACTACTTCTTCAATGGATACAACACAAGATGATAATGTTAATAATATGGTTATCAAGAATCAAAATTATTTAATCGAAAATGATCAATGGTATTATGTAGAGCATCCAGTGGTTGTGTATGCACCGGCACCCAATGCACCACCATTAAAGTTGAATATTGTGCCACCACTCAAAGAAAGAAAAAAGATGAGAAAGAAACTCAGACGTGAAGCATCCAACGAACGAAGAGAGAGAATAGCAGCGGGTCTCGAGAAGGCACCTCCCAACAAGGTCAAAATGTCGACCGTCATGCGTGTACTCACCACACAAGCCGTGCTCGATCCCACCAAAGTCATTGAAGAGGTGCGATCGCAGTACGAGGAACGTCACCAAATACACGTGCAGCGAAATGAAGACAACAAGCTGACACCCGAACAACAACGTGAAAAGAAGGAGCAAAAGGCGTTGGTCGACGCTGCCCGTGGATTGACATGCACCATCTTTAGAGTGGGCGATCTGTCACATCCACTCAATCGTGCCAAAGTATCGAAAATGGCCGAGAAGCTGTGTGGCAGTGGTTGTGCCATCATCTGTGCACAAATGTGTCTGGTCATCATCGAAGCTGGTGCAAAGTCACTCAAAAAATACTCCAAGTTGATGACACATCGTATTGATTGGGCCAATATGCCACCCGTCACATCTGATCGTTCCGATCCCAACGGTCTCTACAAAGAAATTCTCACACAACGTAGACAATATTATAAACAACAAGCAGGTGTTAAATCAATGCAAATTGAAGGACAAGAAAGTGGAGGAGACTCAACAGGAGAAGAAGATGATAAATACATTCCAATCAATTCATGTCAAAAGGTTTGGGAAGGACCCATACCAAAAAACAACTTTTCAATCAATTCAAGATTCCATTTTGAAATTTGTACAAGTGAAGCTCAAGCAAGAAAATATTTAACTGATCATCATGTTCCTCATTTTTGGGATATTGCTAAAAATTATATTGATTCAATATAATCCTAAGAATTCATTTAAATATGAAAAAGATAATAACAAATCAAATTAAATCAAAATAATAATAAATCAAATAATTTTTTTTGAAATTAATTAAAAAAAAAAAAACCAAGGTCTGAATTTGATTGAAATCCATTTCAACACAAACAACCCAAACCCACAAAACGAAACTCGATCCAAAACTGATCGAAAAAGAAAAGGTATCCATTCTTCTTGTTTTGGATGGACCTCACGAGAGCCCTCCCTTCTTGAAAGAATTCACGGTGCCACTTTTCAAAACCTCCCGCACAACCCATGAAAATAATGCAAGATAATATTGATTCATAAAGTAAAGTAGCTGTAGTAGACATATATATATTTATATTTGTTAAATATTAGAAGTAGTAGTAGTAGTAACTGTTCATTATTAGAAAGATTTTTGTCTGTCAAAAAAACACACAAAGTTAGTTGTGTTTGTTTGAAAGGTTCAAAAAAGAATTCAATTCAATCGAAAAAGGTTGATTGATGGGTTTTTTTCAAAGTACAGAGGTATGAATTCAAAGTAAATTTAGAGTGTGTTGAACCATCCTAACCTCTATGTTGTATACGTAAACATACATTCGTTTTACAAATAATAAATATATATCATAATAATAATCAATATTAATATATTATTATTTTATTTATTATTCATACCACAAACCCATTTATATATATATATCATGGCTAACAACAACTAGCAGGGAGTTAAGTATTAAAACAACAACACAACACAACAATCACAACAACAATCATTAATTACAATTTACAATTTTACAATTTACAATTGAACCAAAATCTATTTATTTAATTTTTCTAAAAGAGATGGACAATAATAATAAGAAATCAATTATTATAAGTTTAGATAATGAACAATTATCTTTTTTACATACGAATAAACAAAAAATATGTATTGTTAGAAATTTAATGGACAAGACTATGGGTAATACTATTTGGGCTGCATTTCAACCATTCCAACATAATGTAATCGAGTGGAAAGACCAATCATTTGGCCTGTTTGCTTCCTCTGAACTACACAATGTGGCGTCAAGACCAAAAGGACCAATTCCAAAGGACTGTGTAGAAGATACTGCCTATAGTCACTTACTGTACACTTTTAATCAAGGCGCCTTTACAAGATCATTCTTGACACAAGATCCAAAGGAAACACAAAGACTCAATAATCCATCGTCACCCAAAACCTATACCATTGTCAACAAGAGTGGTGGTTTAGAAACATTTGGACTATTCCAAACTTTTGAAGTATCCATTAACAACAAACGATTCGAACGTGTCCAGTTGGATGCTCAAACTGTCGGTAATGAAGAAACCATCAAATTCCAAGTTCAACCACTCCCAACATTCTTTATCTTTATCGGTCCTGATACCATTCAAGCTGGTGATCATATCCCTACACTCCCAAGTGATGGCAGTCATTCCCCTTTTAAACTATCATTTGATACTTCCCATACCCAATCAAAAAAAGTATCATATGATTCAAATACAAAAGAATTTTATTTATCCTAAGATAAATATAATATAATAATACAACCCACACTCAATTATATACTATAAATAAAACTTTTCTTTGATTGGTTCATTCTTTTTAAAAAAAATATTTGATTGACCACCCCCTCCCCAATCAAAATTAAAATACACTATCTAAATGAATCATTGTCATTATAATTTATGTCATAAAGATAGATAAATAGATAGGATGGAAAAAAGAAGATTAGGAAAAACAAATATAGAAGTATCATCGATTAGTTATGGAGGGTCACCTTTGGGAGGAGTTTATGGAGATAATGATATAGCTTCTCAAATTGATTCAGTTCAATGTATGTAATGTTAGAACAAAAAGATTAAAGAGATAATAATATTAAATAATCTTTTTAATTTATTTGTTTAGATGCAATATCAAAAGGTATAAATTTTATTGATACATCACCATATTATGGTAGCAAGTTATCAGAGACTGTGTTGGGAGATGCATTAAAAGGTGTGCCTAGAGACAAGTATTATTTGGGTACAAAGGTTGGTCGATATGGATTGAGTGATTTCAACTTTTCGTATGATACTATAATTGCATCGGTCAAGGAGAGTATGCAAAGAATGGGTGTTGACTATTTGGATGTTGTACAGTGTCATGACATTGAATTTGGTGATTTGGGTCAAGTGATCAACGAGTCTATCCCAGCACTACTGAAATTAAAATCAGATGGATTGGTTAGACACATTGGAGTGACTGGATACCCACTATCGGCCATAGAACGAGTGGTAGAAGCAAGAGGACCGTGTCTAGATGTCATTCTATCGTATTGTCATTACACGTTGAACGACTCGACATTGCAATCGAGTCTACCAGTATTCCAACAACACGATATCGGTGTCATCAACGCCTCGTTTCTTAATATGGGTATGTTGACAAATCGTGGTCCACCTGCATGGCATCCAGCACCTGACAAACTAAAACAAAAGTGTGTCGAAGCAGCCGAGTTGTGCAAGAGTCGTGGATCAGACATTTCAAAGTTGGCACTACAATTTGCAACCATGAATCCATCAATACACACCAATCTAGTTGGTATGCCTTGTCGTCAACAAGTCGACTTGAACCTTGAAACATTATCACAACCAATCGATGATCAACTCCTACAAGATGTCCTTGAACTATTCAAACCTCTTAAAGATTTAATTTGGACATCTGGTAAACCTGAAAATAACTAATACATAATAATAAATACATTACTTATCATTATTATTATTATTATTATTATTATTTCTATCAATCTTTTGTTGTTCTTGTTGATTTCTAAATGCATCAATATGATTCTCTAATACACCTTTATATTTTGGTCTTATTTGTTGTTGACGTTGATTTCTATTATTATTATTCTTATTCTTTTGATTTGATTGATTACTATTATTGTTATTATTTGATTGATCTTTTGAAGGTAATACTACCCATTCATCATTATCATTATTATTATTATTGTTATTATCCATTATTGCTAAAGTATTTATCTCTTTTTGAAAATGATAGAGTAAAAAAATGAAAATAAAACGAATGAAGTTGTTTGACAAAGAGAGCAGAGTTTAGATGTTTTATTATTATTATTCTTTTAATTTAGTGTACATATATATATATTTTTAATAATGAATTCATTAAAAGAACAATTAGAAAAGAAAAGAAAAGAAGTACAAGCTTTAAAAGAAAAGAAGGAAGGTGGAGCAGGAGGATCGGGATCATCATCATCATCATTACAACCAGCACAAAAGAAATACAAGACAAGAGGTGAAATTGAAAGAGAGGAAAGAGAGAAAAAGGAAGATGAAAAGAGGAAAAAAGAACAAGAGATATTAGAAAAGAGGAAAAAGGAACAAGAAGAAGAACAAAGAATAGAAAAGGAAAAACAAGATAAAGAAAAAGAAAAACAAAATGATCAAGATGTATGTATACACTAAACAAACAAAAGTATACTTGTTTATAAGTACTGATTACTTTTGTTTGATTTCATTTCTTTGACCGTTTAGTTTATATTACCAAAAAGTTTAATTATTAAAAGATTAAGATTAAGAGGACACCCAATAACTTATTTTGGAGAGACTGATCAAGATCGAGCCGAAAGATTAAGATTGTTGGAAGAAAATGAACCTGTTGAATATCACCAAGGTGAGAATGATTTTGCAAAATTGCTTAAAGAGATTGACGACGATGGCGATGATGTACATGACGAAGATGGAAAAAAGAAGAAAAAGGATACCGATTATCTCGATCAAGACAATGAAGATGATTTAAAGGTCGAGGCAAAGAAATCAAAAGATGGCAATATTTATTACTTTCTATGGCGACTTCTTAAAGATTGGCAACAACATTTGGATGAACGTCCAGATGAAGAAAAAAAATCGAGACAGGGTAAACATGCAATGGCTATCTTTTATCAAGCCACAGCTCACATTAGACCATTGTTTGGACATCTCAAAGATAAAACACTACCACAAGAATTGTTGGATCATATCTATGAAATTTCAGAGTTTTGTAAACAAAGAGAATATGTAAAGGCAAATGATTCATATCTTCAAATGGCTATTGGAAATGCTGCATGGAGTCTTGGTGTAACCATGGTTGGTATTCATGCTCGTTCTGCTAGAGAAAAAATTAATTCAAATCAAATTGCTCGTATGTCTAAAAAAGAAAACAATCAAAAAGAATCCTTTAAAACAATACTAATCTATTATTATTATTATTAATATTATTATTATAGATGTAATGAATGATGAAACTAAAAGAAAATATATTCAAGCTGTAAAGAGATTAATCACATTTTGTCAAAAGAAGTATCCCAACAACCCATCAAAATGTGTTGGATAAAGATAGACAAGATAAATATAATATTGAGATAGTAACAATATTATAATGGAATGTTTAAATCACTTGTTTGTATGTTCACAACTACATGTACTAAAAATGAAACACACAAAGAAAGATTATATATTATATTATATATTTTTCAAAAAGAGATTAACTGGATGGATCAAAACGAATGATTCAAGACTGGTCTGAAATGTGTAAAATAAAGAGAACAAGAGAACAAAAGAAGAAAGAAGAAGAAATATATTTTATACTTTTGGTTTGGATTTATTTAATTAAATGTTTATCTTTAATATCATTAATTGTTTCTAGTAGACCTGTTTTAGCTTCTGCAGGTGATTCAAATGGACGATCAAATGGTACACGAATATCAAACCATTCATCGATACCTTTACGTTTGGCAATGGTATTGAAACCGGCACTATCAACAAAATAGACAAATGATTCGTCGATGGGAACATCACCATATTGCTCGCAAATGACACTGATGGCATCGATATGCTTGTCGTTGATGGTTTCGATGATTTCACGACTTTCGACACACACTGCATCGGGTGTAGCTTGTTTGAATTTTTCTAGATCGATACGAGACGTACCTTGTCTTTCGTAGTGGTATAGATCAGACATGGTGATAGTATAGATATCGTGTGTACTACTATTGAGCATTGATTTTCCACCTGGATGACGTTCCAAGTATTTTTGTTTAGCTAGTTTACATTCGTCGCTATCGTCGACCAATCTCTTTACACGTCCACTGAAATTAACACGTGACAGTCCGTATTGAGCGGGTGGACGATTACGTGGTGTCAATGGGTAGACTACCAACGACACCTTGCCAAAATGTTTAAAGTGGCCGACATGAGGATCGTCCTTTTTCAACGACACGACCACTACCACGTCACCTTTATCCGACCCATCACCAAGCACTGCGTATGGCACGATGCTGCCATAGACAGGTGAGCTATTTTCCGATTCCATCTTGGCCAACATATTGACCGATGACATGGTACCAGACTTTCGCATCATCAACAATGATTTACAAAACTCTACTTTACTCAAAGGTGATACACTCGGTCCTTCCTTTTTACCTGTATCACCTTCATATTTTGGTATTTCTCCTCCATACATATCTAAATATTTATCTCCTGTTCCTTTTGGTATTTCTGGTTTAACTTTAGTTGTAGTAGCGGTAGTAGTATTATTATTATTCTTTGATGAAGATGATGATGAAGATGAAGATGTTGAATAATACTTTGATGTTGATGACCATGATGATTGTTTATAAAAGGTTGAATAACAACCAGCAGTAGTAGTAGTTGTCTTTACAATATGATTGTTTGTTGTTCTTTGTAATAATACATTATGTCGATTTGTATTTTGTATAATTGATTGAAAGATTCTATTCATTTCTTTCTTTTTATTAATGTTTGTACAAATATAACAAGTAATTCAAGTATCATCATGATTCGTCTGCAATGAGCTGTAATCTATTTTTTTATTTTTTTTTACTTTTGAAACAAATTAGTATCTCTCACCGTTTTCACCTTTGTTCACTAGTCTTTACTCCTATATTATATCTCTATATTGTTTATAAATATATATTAGAGAGAAACATTTCTCTTTTATAGATAGAGAGAGAGAGATGTTTACACCACCATCATTTATGAAACAAAAATCAAAGGCATTGATGATCAATCTTGCCAAACCATTAGCAGAAGCAGATGATATGGGAGAGTTGGATATTACAAGTATACTGCGTAGTGATATAGATGGAGATATTAGTATACAAGATCAAGAAACTATAAAAGATGCTCTGAAAAAGGGAATCGATCTACGTCAATACTCTAAACAAGTTGAAGATGAATTAAATACATTAGATAAAGAAACTATTTCTGATTGTAAATATAGATAGATAGATAGATATAGATATAGAGATAGATATTAATGATTGAATATTGTATTCTTAAGACTTTTTAGAAAGAGATGAATTTTTGGAACTTTATAATCATGTTGAAGTAGTTGATGGAGTATTGGCAAGTTTAGAAAAGATGTTAAACGACTATTACAATGAATTGAAAAGTGTTGGATCAGAGATGAGCTCACTTCAAGAACGTTCAATGACGATGAACTATAAATTAAATAATAGAAAGTTGACAAAGGAAAAGTTATATGAATTTATTGATGTTATTACCATTTCTCCTGAATTCTCAAAGTAACTATTTAGAAAAAATAATTGAAAACTACACTTAATTATTTATTAATATATGTTTGTTTCTTTTTCATTTTAGTAAACTATTAAGAGATAATATAAATGAAGAATATATAAGTTGTTTATCAAAATTGGATACAAAGATAACATTGTTTGATGATTACAAAAAGATATCACCGACTATATGCACAAGCAATGAACCTCAGTTGAGTAAATTGACGGTGGCATCGATCCAAAAGATCCAAAAATTCCTTAGAGACACATTGTCCAACTTTAAGAAACTGTCGGATCGACGACACACACAAAACCAATTGGCAAAAATGTCGTACCTCTTCCAATTCCTCTTCAAGTACTCTACTTATATTGCATCGGAAGTCATCAATACCTATGTCGAGAATAGTGATAAATACTTTACAACCTACTACAAAAACTATTCAAACTCGTTGCTCAAGATGCAAGAGGATGCACCGACCAAGGCCGACCTCATTGGTATTGGGACAAACAAGTTAAAGACATTATTTGGTGGGTCCAACTCGGCCAAGGAAAAGGAACGTGATCGTTCCACTGTATCAAATAACCTTCTCAACAGCTCGGCCACCGCCAACAGCAAGCGTGGTGTCGACATGCTCTCCAACGAAGTGTTGGAAGCTCCAGTCATTGAACCACCTGCTTCTGCATCGTTTTTCGAAACCAACTTTTCACCAACCTCCTCTTCCAACCTTCCAACCATCAAGTATCCATTTGAACAAATCTATCGCTCTCTAGTCTTCTTTTTAATGGATATCACAATTTCTGAAACTAAATTTGTTTCTGAATTCTTTCTTGGTGGTGAAGATATGATTCAATCAATTTTTATTAAACCAATTAATCTTTTAATTGTATGAAATAGAAAAAAAGAAATAGAAAAATAGAAAAAGATTATTTTACTTACTTATTTATTTAGGAAACAACTGAAACTTATTTAACAAATAATTATGATATAGTTAATATAATATTAATGATTGGAATGTTGTATAAATATAGAAAATATATGGTTGAAAAGGATATTGGAGTATTGAATAATATGTTTGATAAATTATTGTCAATGTCAATGGCGAGATTTAGCAAGGTGTTGGAGATGATTATGGAAAGTATTCGATCGCTTTCGATGAAGGATCTAAAGCCAATTAACCATTTACAGCCACACTATCTAATGCGTAGATATGCAGACTATTTGGTTGCCTTGTACAGCGTGCAACCATTTATCCCCACCGAATCACAACAATTTGTGTCGCGTTGTGCAGGTTTATTGCGCGACAGTTTGGAACAACTCTTGGCTCGTATGGGTGATGAAATTGCTGAAAAGGACAAATCCTCGGGCTCCAATAAATCACCACCACTCACTGGCAAGGTTCGTGACCAAGTCGTCAAGAAAACACCCAACCAAACCATTCTGACAGCCAACAACTATGGCTTGATTCTACAGGCAATGGCTGAACACGGTGCACCCGAAGAAGACACGTCGGTGCAACAGATCCAAGCTGCCATGGCCAGAACCATCCAGCGATACGTCGAGGATCAGTTGGCCGAGCTTAAATACTTTACACCCATGTTTGCATTTACCAATGAATGGGCACCGCTTGTTGAATCCAACGTCAAGATTAGTCTCGACCAAAACCCATCGTTTAACGGGCAGGTCGTCGAGTCGATCCTATCGAGCTTCAAAGCCAATTGGGAAAGTGTATGCGCCAACGTCAAGGCAAACTCTGCCAAGTACTTTGAACACTGTCCATTGGCCCGTGCCATCTCGTTTGACGTTCTCCTTGAAATCCTCTACACCAACTATCGTCAAATGATCATCATTGTCAACAAACATTTCCCAACCCTCCAACAATCCCCTCATTATAAACCTATCCAAATCGTTACCGACATGAGATCAATGAATTCTAATCTTACTCTAGATGATATTCCTTTGGTCTAAAAGAAGAAATAATAATAAAACAAGAATAATAATAATATTTTTTAATATTTAGATTTATTAATTAATGTACTAAATATTGATTATCAAATATGTGAATGATACCAAGTACCTATCACCTACACAATCCAATATTAATTCTTCCTTTTTGAATAATATATTATTTATTTTTATAATTTGAATCCTTTTAGAACAAATGAAACGGATTCATAGGTTGTAGGGAAAACGACATTAAATTATTCAAATAAATTCCAGATTAATATTTGTCCAAGGTTTCAAACTTGTACCATTAAAAACCTCATTTTTATTTGTTCAAGTATAGGTTCTACTTCTCCTTCGAATGTCTTGATCTGATAAGAATCTTCCAAAAGTATTGATAAACATGACCATCTCGCAAAACATAGTTTTCTCCAAAAATCATCATTCTGAAAGATATGATTCCATGTCTTGCAAACTAAAATATATGGGAATGATAACATGTATTTATCACAACCTACACACTCTAATATAATCTCTTTAATAATTATATTTGAAAATGTTGTCATTCTATTTCTACGATACAAAGAATTAAAGTTTATAAAATTAGTTTTCTAGTTTTGAAATTCAATTTTTTTTTCTATATATTATTTGAATCATCATTATACTAATCAGATGGATTCTATTTAATATTCTATCATAAATTGATTATTAAATATATTTAATCTATTATATTCATTTATTTTCCTATTTCTTGGTAGCATGATAATTCTAAATACATCGTGTAGCTCGACCAATGAAGACTTGTACTCAACCTCTTAATTGGAACTAAAAGATTTACAATAAACAAGTAGGTCATAATATTAAACTTTACCAAAAATATTTTATTATTTATTAAATTATTAAAAACAATCTTGTAAATAACAACTAACAAATACATCAAATCCATGAGCTTCAAGTTCTTTTGTTCTTGGTACCATGATTTTAGCGAATAAACTTTGGAGGTCTTCCATGGTGGACTCGAAACCAATTTCTTTTTGAACAGACTCCCAAAAATCAGGAATACTATGATTCTTGTCGGAATCGTAAATACATGATCCAACTTTAATGTGTCCAGATGTTTTGTCAGAGTCTTGATTATAGTCCTCAAACTGATAGCTAAATTTTACACACTTTCCAGAAAAATCCATAAAACTTCCATTACAATCCAAGAAATATTCATGTGTATGTTTCATTTGTCGATCAATTTCCCTAATTGATTCGTAACAAACAGATTCTAAAAGAAACAAATTCATTGTTTCTTGTCTATTTCTATAATCATCCAAAATACTCTCATCAAGAGGTGCCATTTGCTTTACAATTCCTATTGAATGTAACATTTCTTCAAGTCCCTGATCATTTTTGAGATAAAAGGGAATATACCCATTCTTTATGAATCTGAGATGAGCAGATCTATTATATCTGAATTTGAAAAGATCTTTCCAACAATTGACATCAATTCCTAAAAAGTGGAAACTTGATCCATAATAGGCATCATATTCAGAGCCGAACCAACTTTTATACTTGTTAGAATTACCACCATAAGTTTCAATTTGATAATCTTCTGGTAGGATAGATAAACTTGACCATCTTTCAAAACATAGTTTTCTCCAAAAGTCATCATTTTGAATGATTTGATTCCATGTCTTGCAAACAAAAGGAAATGGGAATGATAACAAGTATCTATCACCACCTACACAATCTAATATAATCTCTTTAATAATTAAATTTGAAAATGTAGTCATTATTATTACTATTTTTATTTGTATAAAACTATAAATGATTAAAGTTCTTTTCAATAATTTTATAGTTCTCTGGGTAATCTTTTTTTTTTTTTGAGAAAATTTATTTATTTTTTCATTATTTTAGAAACAAATTAAATGGGACTCTAAACCCTCATCTATAAATTATAATTTTATTATTTATTTAGTCTATTCATTACAAAAAAACATTTAAACCAGTGTAAAATTATTATTTTTTTTTATTATGGATAACTACAAGATTTAAATCTGGTTGATGAACACTAAAATATTTACTCTTCCATCTACAAATATAATTTATTTTTTTAGTTGATTACTGATCATCAGGCAAATAAACATCTATCCACATTTTAAAACAATAGTGTTTACAATATGCTACAGATGTATTTATCCTCTTCTATTTGTTTAAACCCTAGTTCTTTTTCAACATTTTTCCAAAAATTCAATACAGATATATCATTATTACCTGTATTTTGGGAATCCATTGAAAAGGAACCAATTTTAATCTCCTCCCAGGAATCAGAAATGAAATGAAATTGGAATTTGATTTTCTTTCTAGAAAGGGACATTAGATATCCATCAACCAAGTATTGGCCATTATTTTCATCATTGTATAGTGAAATGAGACTGTATACAACAGACTCTAATAAATATACTTCCTCTTTACTTTTTTCTTTTCTGTAGTCATCCAATCTTTTTTCATCCAATACTTTCATTGTCTTGACCAAGTTGATTTGATTTTCTCTACTGTCTTCCCATTGTTCAAGGTAGTCGAAACAAACAGGTAAAATCTCTTCTTTTAGAACCCTTAGATGATAGGTTCTATTGTATCTTGATTTGAATAGATTGTTCCATGCATCTATTTTAAAGCAATCCTTTTCCAACAAATCGACAACCTCTGAAAACCCTGTCTTTATAAAACGTTGTATCTGGTATTGAATGAGCTTCACTCTTTTTGATTTTGTATTCATATGGTAGAATTGATAAACTTTTCCATCTTGCAAGACATAGTTGTTTCCAAAACTGATCATCATTTCTAAAAAGTTGATACCAACTCTTGCACACTAAAAGAAAGGGGAATGATAACATGTATCTATCACCCCCTACACACTCTATAATAATTTGTTTAAAAAGTATTAAAGATAACATGAACAAATAAACATTGTAAAATATATTAAAAAGTAAAGTAAATAATAATAATAATAACCAAAAAAACATTTATAATATTCCAAATTTTGATTATAATAAATTATTAATATTTGACCTTTTGGGAAAGGGATGAGATATTATTTAACCTTGTTTATTTTTTCTTTTTTATGGACAAAGAAGGATCGGAAGCAATTTTTGGTAAAAAAGGAGGAGGTGCATCAAAGAGTGAGGGTGTGACAGTACCTCTACGTTTTGAATCTTTTGAACTATGCTTGTTCTTTGGGTTATTGACTGGCATTGTTTTAAATCCATTGCTACCACCAAAAGACGACGACGAGGAGGAGGAGGAGGAGTCATTACCAGTACTTAAACTAGCACCCATATTACCACTACTACTAATAAATGGAAACCCTTTCATGGTGGATGATCCACCACTACCACCAATCATCATTGAATCTCTACCTCTAGAGATGGTTGGTGACAGAATGATTGGTGATGATGGGTCATTACTGTATTTTTGATGGTTGAGCATGAGGATCTGTGAGAGGAGAACTGCTGGGTCATTGGGATCGAGTGATATGAGTTTAGACCCAGACAGATTATCCTCTTCCATGTTGGTCAGCCCTCTGCTTTTTAGTCGTTCAATGTGTGCCTTGTTGTCTTTGATGAGTTGGTCGACGATACTATGTGTCTGGTCACGTTCCACCTCGCTCTCTAGCAATATTTCAAGTGAAATAGCTGCATCTTCTCCATTAAATCCAGACAATATTATAGACCGACTATTGATTGGTCCACTAGGCAATGAAGAAATGATTTTAGTCGAATGGAATGGTAAATTAAAAGAGAATTGGTATTTTTTGGAAAACGATGATATCTTTGTAAAAACGGCGCAATCATTAAATATAAATAAATATCGATTATGATAATCATCTTTACCAACTTCTCTCATTTTTACCATTGTCTCTTTTAATATTTTTCTTGTTGATTCTAAAATTTGAAATGGTACTCCTAAAAAAAAAAAAATAGAAAATTAAATAAAATAAATAAATAAATAAATAAAATAGAAATATATATCTTTTTCTTTTGTTTGTTTCATACCTTCAACTTGATTTTGAATTTCTAATAATCTTTGATTATCATCTTGAATCTTTTGTTGATAATTGATATGACTTGCTACTTCTACCAATTTATTATAAACTTTTTCCAATTGTGGATAATCTGGATTCGTTTTTAATGTATTTTTCATTAATTCCTAAAATAAATAAAAAAATAATGAAATATTAATATTTTAATATTCTTCCTCTACTTCTACTTCTTCTTTTTCTTTTTCTTCTTTGATTTCATACATTAAAAAATAAAGGGTATTTACAAATTCTTTGGATTGGTTTAATTAAATAATCTTGAATTTTTAAACCTCTTGATTGAGGATGATTCATAATCTCTAACAAGAATTGATTAAATTGAGGACTTGATTTACTCAATTCATCAATCAATTCCAATGATTTTAAATGATGAGTACAATATTGTGAATACATTTTTAAAAATTCAGTCTAAATTTATAAATAATAGAAAATATATAAGTAAAGGATTAGAGGTCAAGTGAGTGATAATAATTATATCTTACCAATTTTGTAAAAACTATAACAGTATTATGTAAATTTGGTTTACCCAAACCAGGAGCCTTTAAATCATTGATTAAAGTTTTACTTATATTCTTGATAATCTCTATATTTGAAAACAAACCAAATAATATGGTTTTGTCGAATCCTCTTGTTTTTAAAACTTCAAACATTTCCTTGATCATAAATTCTAAATCTCGTTCATAGTCTACCTCTGTTGCCAACAGTTCATTTAATTTGTTTTGTTGTCTCTCTTGCATTGCTTGATCTGCAGAACCTGCCACTACAGGTTGTTGTGGCATTAGGAATAAACTATCCAATGAAGATGTTGATTTGGTTTGAGGTATCGTGGATATCATTGTTGGTGTTGAAAGTTGTGGTGGTGGTGTAGTTCTATCAAATTTTGTTGTAGGAAGCAAAGCTGATGCTCCTCCAGTCGTCAAAGAAGCTCCAATCGATGGATTTGTTGGCATTGCAAGTGATGATATTATTGGCATTGTTTCATATTCATATTCATCTTGTTGTTCTTGTTCTTGTTGTTCCGGATCTATTGGTTGTTGTTGTCTAATAGATTGTGCAACAGAAGGAGATGAAAGAGATGACAATTTTGTCGGTATTGGTTGTGGTTGTGGTGGTCTAATTGGCAAAGCTCTCCCTTGATTTGGATTCTCTTTGCTCAATTGAATATTAGTTGTTGATTTTCTTGAAATTGATGATGATGATGATGACGATGATGTTGACAACGCAGAAGATAAAGGTATAGAATTAATTGTATGATAACCTAAACTATATGAACTACGAGGAGGAGGGACTGGTCTATTGGCCTTTGGTGATGTATAGATTGTTTCCGTCTCGATGGGGATATTAGTGACAATGGGGTTGTTGAGCTCGTCGGTGGTCTGTTGTAACTTGGCAATTTGTTGAACTGCATGCAGTGGAGATGAAAATGTGGTTGAATGATGGTGTTGGATGATGACAGAGGGTGGTCGTTGGACAGTCGCCTCGTGTGATTGTAAGTCCAATTGTGACATGGAGGTGGAGATGGAAGTTGGTTGTGGTGGTGTTGGTGTAAGCACCTCTGCCGACTTTTGTCGCATATGTTGTATTGACACTTGTCCATTATTATGATTATTATTATTATTATTGGGTAGTGTTGATGTTGTTGGTAGTGTCAGACTACTTCGACTGTTTCGTTTGGACAGACTGAGCGGACTCCCACTAAACGAGTCTTGTACTTCCTTGTGCTTTGCCTCATGCTCTGAAAAGAATTTAATCCTATTGGCAATCAATGTTGATGGTGTCGATTTACTTGGTGTCCTTGAATGATTTGATACATTATTATTATTCTTTAAAGGTGTTATATTATTATTATTATTATTTACATTTGATGAATAATCTAAATTCTCTTCACTTTGTGATAGAGTAGTATTACTACTAGTATTACTAGTATTACTAGTATTACTACTACTACTACTACGACTACTTTTTGTTTGATGTACTAGAGGAGGAGAGGATGGTGATGATTGTATTGGTGTTGATAGATATGATGAAGAGTTTGAATTTTGTCCATTATTATTATTATTATGACTATTATTTAAACCATTACTGTTATTATTATTGCTGTTGTACAAAGATAGTGTAGATGACGACGATGAAGTTGACGACGATGATGAATAAATAGAATTTGAATTAGCATGATTTGCCAATTTGTTTGTGACGTCGACTGCAAAAGCATTTAATTTCGGTGATGATGAATTGGGAGTTGTCGAACTTGAACTAGCCATATTTGATTTAATATGTTGTTGTTGTTGTTGATCAACATGTCCATTATTATTATTATTATTATTAATATAATCTAAATATGTTTTAGGGGGGAGTGGAGGAGGTGGACCAGTTGGTTTCCTAGTTGTTGTAGTAGTTCCATTTTGTTGTTGAAGTTGATTAATTAAATCACCAACTTTATTATTCACCATGGTTGATATCTCCAATCTAATCTCTTATCCGTTATCTATATCTATCTATATCTTGTCTATCTATTTATCTATATTAATTATTTGTCCTAATATTAATAATTAATCTATTTTTAAATATTAATATGAGAGTCTATGGTATAGGGTTGTTATTATTATTATAAAAAGTTGGTATATTCTAAAAAGTTAATATTGTTAATGCAACCAGTTTGGTATTACTGTTGCTCGTATGTATGTATGTGTAATTATAAAGAGAGAGAGTGAGTGAAACAACAAACAAACAAAAGAAAGGGATGAAGAATTTTAGTTGTAGTGGGAAACCATGGTTACTTCAAAAGGGGTACTTCAAAAGGTAAAAATAAATTTGACATATTATTATTTCCTTTTTTAAAACTCTCTCACTCTGTCTCTCCAATTGATTTTAAAAATTAATATTATTCGTCGTTTCTAAAACTTGGGGGTGTGATCTTTTGATTTAAATCAAAAGTGAACATACTATACTCTACTTCTATAGGTTGTTTGTTTTGTTTGGTTGTTGTTGTACAGATACGAATTCGATTTGATTTAATGTGATGTGATGTGATTGAGATGAAGTTAAATATCATTTACAATCAAAATTATGATTATTTAGTTGGTTTAATTTGATTGATTGATTGAAAGAGTGTCAGGTTTATGTTATTATTATTTTTTTTATTATTACTATTTTCAATATTTACTAGTATTCATCAATGATATCATTTTGAATTAATATAATAATAATTGTACGGATGTTGGATTGATTGTTGTTGAATTAAGGAAACTTCCATTCTTTTGAACAAGAAGAAGAATGGAGGGAAACAAGGGTAATTTAATTAATAAATAAATGTACATCTCCCCCCCATCACTGTTTTTATAATAATCATTTTGTTTTCAACACTGGAATTATCTGATTTATATATATATATACACAATTCTAACCCATCACGACGACTACTATAATTAAATATATATTCTTTTTTTTACCATTGTTAAATCTTGGGGGAATGAATGACAAATTAAAAAGATTCTACACAAATATTTATATATTGTAATTTTGATTTTGTTTTGGTGATGAGTTGGATAAAAATAATATTCCCTTCAAATGTTAATGAGCAAGATGATTAAATTTATCTGTTTCATCATTTGATTGATCTGAGTGTGTGTGGTTTAATTTAAATTGATTCAACACATCCAAAAATATACCCATGACACACGCACCGTTCCTGTGTCATTCAATTTAAATGATTGACAATTTTGATTGGATATATTTTTATTGTATTTATTTAAATTTTATATTATTATTATTATTATTATAATTGAGTTAGTGTTTTGTATGTATTTGTATGTATTTGTATACCCCCTTTTTTGTTTGTGATTTGCCCATTTGTTTTGTGATTTTTAAATAATTCTTAAACTCTCTTTTTAAAGTTGAGGACCAGCAGCCAAAACTTGTGGGGTAGCCTTTGATTGATACTTTTTAAAGTTTTCGATAAAGAGGGTGGCCAACTTGGTGACGGTGGCTTGGTACTTGGACTTGTCGACCCAGGTGGATGATGGCATGAGGATGTCGCTGGGAACGTTGGGACATGCGTTGGGGACGTGGAGACCAAAGACGTCCATCTTGGTGGTGGCTTGCTTGGCGAGCTCGCCGCTGTGGATGGCGTCGATGATGGCACGGGTGTATGCGAGACGGATACGCGAGCCAATGCCGTAGCTGCCACCGGTCCAGCCAGTGTTGACGAGCCATGCGGTGGCTTGGTGGGTACGCAACTTTTCGGCAAGCATCTCGGCGTACTTGGTTGGATGCCATACGATGAATGGCTCACCGTAGCACGATGAGAAGGCGGCGGTTGGCTCGGTGACACCGACCTCTGTGCCGGCGACCTTGGCAGTGTACCCTTGGATAAAGTGGTACATGACCTGCTCGGGAGTGAGCTTGGAGACGGGTGGCAACACACCAAAGGCGTCGCAGGTCAACATGATAATGTTGGTGGGGTGATGATTGGACATGGCTGGGAACTTGGTGTTGGGGATAAACTCGAGGGGGTATGCGCAACGGGTGTTTTCCGTGATGGTCGTGTCGTTGTAGTCGACCTTGCGACTGATCTGGTTGTAGACGACGTTCTCGAGCACGGCACCAAAGCGAATAGCATCGAAAATCTCTGGCTCCTTTTCGCGCGACAAATCGATGCACTTGGCATAGCAACCTCCCTCAATGTTAAACACACCCTCGTCGGTCCACACATGCTCATCGTCACCAATCAAATAACGTTGGGGATCGGCAGACAACGTAGTCTTGCCCGTGCCAGACAAACCAAAGAACAAAGTAACGTCTCCCTTTTTACCCTCATTACATGAACTATGCAATGGAAGTACTCCACGCTTTGGCATCAAATACATCATAATGGTTAAAACTCCCTTTTTCATCTCTCCAGCATATTGTGTTCCTAAAATAATCATCTCTCTCTTGGCCTAGAGAGAATCAAAAGAGAAGAGAGAGACTATTAACTACATTTTCTTTTCTTTTCTTTCTATTTCTTTTTACATACAAAATCAATTGAAACAGAGGTAGCACTACTCATACCCTTTGTAAAACGATTAGCGGGGAATTGACCGGCATTGTAGATGGTGTAATCTGGTTCACCAAAATCCTTGAGTTCTTCCTTGGTTGGACGAATCAACATGTTGTTCATAAAGAGAGCGTGGTAGGCACGTGCACAAATGACACGCACCTTGATACGGTACTTGGGATCCCAACCGGCAAAACCATCAATGACAAACAACTTGTCTTGCGTGTTGAGGTAATCGATAGCACGTTCACGATTGATCATAAACGATAGATCGTCGAGTGGAATGTTGACTGGACCCCACCAAATGTCACCCTCGGAGCTTGACTCTTGCACAATACGCTTGTCCTTTGGACAACGACCAGTCTTTGCACCGGAACGGGTGATCAAAGCACCGGTACTAGTAATAGCAGATCCAGTTTCAAAAGCCAATGCTTGTTCGTATAATACTGGTACTGGTGGATTATGGAAAATGTTGGTTGTATTGGTAATATGATCATCTAAATGTAAATGTTCAACATCTATAAAAGAATAGAGAAGAAAAAGGTAGAGAGTATTATATTATATTAGTGAAGTTCACACAACACAAAATTAAAAAATTAATTAAAATGAGATGAAACGCATAATGACAAAAAAAAAAAAAAAAAGAAAAAAAAAGAAAATGTGTTGGTAATATCTATCTATATAGACTCTCAAAGAGCTGAGCTCAGTAGTACTCATGTTAGAGAGAGGTGGAGTAGAGTAGAGTAGAGTGGAGTGTATAAATGAGTGACTTACCCAAAGAATCACCATGATGAGTATTGGTTGGTGAATGAGCGGATGGTGGAACATCAGCTGTAGATGATTGCAATGACTTTGTAATTGATTCTTTTACTGCTTGATTCATTTTTGTTTTTCTATATTTCTATTACTATTCTATAAAAAAAAAAGGTATAATAGTATAGTATAATAATAAAAATATTAATATTAATATTTATTTATTTAATATATATATAGAGAGAGACAAAAGTGATGAGAATGAATAGAATAGTAATTCGTGTGTAGCGAGGAAGATAGTTGTTGTAAAAGATTATTAATTGATTGGGGGGGGGAAAAATGTTGAAAAATTAATTTAATTTAAAAAATTGTAATTACAATTTGTTGTTGTTGTGGAAGCATGATGCATTCAAGAAGAAGAACATAGATAGAGAGAGAGAGAGAGAAAGAGGAGGAGAGAGATAACCAAGAACAACAAGCTTATAAGCAAGAGTTTAGTTTAATTTTTAAATTAAATGATATCAAGATATTTTGTCGTTGAAAATTACCTTTTTAGTTTAGTGGGCAAATATGATAGTATATAAAAAAACGTAAAGTATAGATAGAAATAGATATGGATATATATATATAGTTATCTATTCGTCGTCGTTGTGTATGTGTGTGATGATGATGACAAAGGTTGTCAAAAGAATGAGAACTTCTCTCAAAAGTCTGAAGCACAGAGAACAGCAGAGCTCTGCTGCACAGGAAATTTCGCGCGTTCAATTTCAAAACAAATAATAACAAAACAAATTTTTTGTTCGGTTTCGGAACTTGGGACACGGGTCACAATAATGGTTAATGATCGTTCGTCATCATCATTATCTATCTATGTCATAATCCGTATAGGTTGCTGTGTATAGAGCCTGGTGTTAGGGTTGGTTGTTACATGTAAAGGCCTTTATAGTACCGATATTTGTGTAGACATTGATCAACCGAACGATATGCGAAAGAGATATGATCAACTAAAGAATGAAGCTTTGAAACTAAACATGTATTCATCACCTAAAAAGAAAAAGAAGAAGATTAAATTATTCAACTATTATAATAATTGAATCAAACGCTATTATGTGGAACCTCTTTAACAAGGTTGTAAGGATGTGGTGGACATACTACAACAAACATAATGTAACCTAAAAATGACAACGATGACGAGTCATTGCTACTATAATAGAAACCGAACCAAACCCCTACGTCTAGAGATATGTGGGGGGCAAAGACAACAACGATGTGTTTTTTAAAAATAGGGATATCTTTGACAAAAAGATATTTCTATTCCCAGGTTCTCTCTCCACATCTTTTAAAAGATTGGTTGTTAATGTATCTATCTGGTTAGATAGAGATAAAAAAATTTTTCAGATGAATCATTTTATTGGTCTGTCTTGGAGATAAATATCAAAAGTTTACGACCAACTCGTCAATCGCGTCAGTTTTGTTTCGCCCCGTAAAACCATCATATTTAAGATCATTGACCGATCGTGAGAGATGACAACTAGTTGATTCAAAGTTAACATTGTTATCATAATCATTCATCTTTGCCCAGAGACGAGTCCTCTTCCTCCTCATTAATCTACAATTGTCTCTTTGCAAGATGTGGTGATTGGTGAGTACTGTTTAGGTGTGGGACACCAATTCGTTGAAGGTTGGGATATTTGAGCGAGTTTTTGGCTCTTGCGAAAAATTTACCCCATGACACGCACGAGTCGGCCTCTTTTCCGCATGCCATCAAAAATGCCCCAAAACCAAACGAAACACCATTAATTAATTAATTTAAGGACACAAACCGTTTTCTAACCCTAATTTGAGCCCCTCTCCCGCATAACAATGAATGACGCCTTAAACGTAACGTCTTTCTTGGATGAAACCACATCTGCGCTCAAAATAATCATCCATCTTGTTGTTGGGGATCTGATCCCCAACACCTCAAACCCACTAATCTAGTCTATCAAATGGAGAGCATCGTGTTTTCGTGAGTACCACCCTCCCCCTCGACGTCCTCATTGCTACCCCCCCACCCACATCATCCATTTGTGTGTCGTCTTTTGAATCTGTTTGAGCGTAAAAGCAAAAAGAGGAAGAGGAAGAGGAAGAGACGCAAACACAACTAATGATGAATGAATTGTGTTCTGTGTTTTATCCATCTCCTCCCATTCTTCATTAGTTGAACCCCCTTTTTTTATTCATCATAGATTAGATTCAGCGCTCCACCACAACACGTTTATTAATTAATTTCGATAACAAATAGACAAGAACAAGACGCCAGAGCACCAGTATTTGCCCAACAAATTCATCATCGTCACACATCTACAACAACCAACACAAACAAAGCATCAGAAACAACAAACGACAAAGTCAAAATCACACTCACCTCTTATATATATATAACTATAAATCTAAATATAAATATTTATATATTTTATTTGTAAACAGAAAATCTCAGAGCATAGTACCCAAACAAAGACATATATCTATAGATCAAGGTAACACAACTCCTCATCCCCAAAACTACACTGTTTTATTTCCAACGATCAGCTGACATACAAGACAAACCAAGACACATAGATCTTTTTATTGTTTAAAGTATTTTTTTTAAAGATCTTTCAAAATCTAGGTCTTCTCTACACTTTTCTTGTTGTTGTTGTAGTTGTTTAAATTTTAAATTTAACTTCCTTCTACTCTCTCTCTACTCTACTACTTTCTTTGTTTATGTATCCCATCGATATCCATCTCAAAAGTTGAAATTGGAATCGAGATTAGATTTGTGTGAAGCATGGTTTGATCAGCGAATCGAAAGTTTTGTAATTTTTGTATTTCCCAAAGAGGAGGAAATTTTATAAAAAACCAAATACTACTGGATGGTAGTTGGACAATTGTTGGAACAAACTCCAAATAAAAACAAAAAAACCAAAAAAAATCGATAAATTAATTAATAATGACCCAAGGCCTACAATACCCATGCCTCTACTCTATGCGACTACCATGGCATGGTTGAGCAAACAGGGAGATCTCCTAGATTAATGTTGAATGATAAAATGGTCGTTGTTTGGTTTGTTGATTTTCGGTCATCACAACCCTCTCATCCTACTCTTGTTGTCGTCATTCATCATTGTTTTTACTCTTTTTTATTATTTCCAGAGATAAATAAGAAAAAAGAGTTTGTTGTGTTATTCCACAATTCACGCATTTAATAGATAGATAAGATCGATCGACCATTTTTAAAAAAAAAAATTGGTATTTTAAAACACAGGTAAAAACATAAACCACATCACACATACACACAACACAACCAACACAAAAACAGATCGATCCATACACCCCAATTTCAACGAAGGGTAGATTTTCTTTAAAGTATCAGATACAGATCAATATTATAATAATAATAATAATTATTCTTTGCCACTCCTTCCTATCCATCACATTACATTCCATCCACAAACAAACAAACAAAAAAAAATAAGGAAGAAGAGGAGGCATGAGAAGGAAGTACTATGTCAGTTTTAGTAGTATAATTTCAAAAAACATAACTTGATTAGTAACCCTAAACCTTGTGGGGTATGATGATAGCAGTGATTGTTTGCAGGGTGGTACCTGCAAAGGTAAAAAGTTTTTGGTTTTTTTCAATTACCACCACCAATTTCTCTTCACCATCGCCCTTTTTCTTTTGACCGCCCAACAGCCAGCCCCCGCAACGATCGTGGGGATTATTAATTAATTAAACCATCATTAATTAATTTAACTTTTGGGCTGATCTGAAACTTGTGGTGTTGGCGTTGCAACGATCAAATATCTACCCCCCTCTTCCTCATCCCTACCCTCGTGTCCCTCTCTTTTAAACACAATGTAATCGCCAACGACGAGGTCGGTGATGATCCATAGTATCTTTTCAAAAATCCAACGACGATACTTGTTCAAGTCAATAACACAAACACAAAACAAACAACAACAAAAAAACCCTTACTCTTCAATTCAAATCAATCATTTTTTATTTTACAATAGTAGTAGGACGAATCAAACTGTTTTTTTATTATAGATAAACCAACAACCATTAACAACAATACATAAATTGTATATATTTAAATATTATTATTTGTTTCCAGCAATACCAACATTCCAAAAAAAAAAACAAAACAAAACACAATCCAATCAAAAAAAAAAACAAAAGTAACAACCATAATCTTACCATCATCCATTTATGTCTTTCCTCTTTTAAAATTCAATTTATTACATTCATTCAATCATTCGTCATCATTTCAATTCCATTCCAAATCTCCAATCTATAAAAAAAAAGACTCGTTAGGATTACGATAAAGATGTCTTTTGAGTAAGATTTCGATATCCTAGAGGGTGACGGTTACAAGGAGAATGTTGGTGGAGTGGCGTGGCGTTTGAGCCCAAACTATTTTCCACTTTTGTTTCAGCGAAGTCAAAGAAGGATACGCCCTTACATGAAAAAATCGTACGGGTTTTTTCATCCTATCTTGCTGTCGTCAACTTTGGTGATGCAAACCAATTAATTTAGCTTAATTAATTAGTTTGCGTTCCATTGTTAGAACACAGCCCGTTCGCCCTCTGTTGTTGTTACCGGGGCTCAACGAAGAGGAGGAATGATCAACCATCATCATCATTATTTTACAACGATTAAAGTTTTTAAAACTCTTCACACACACATACATACATAGACATAGACACAAATACACAACACAAGTTTAAACGCGCCTCTCTATACCTATATACCGAGATATATATATATATACTATATACTATTTATTTTATTTATTTATTTATTTATTTAAACTTTTGGTAAATTTAATTTCATCCTCAAATGAATTCATGTGTGCATGGTCTTGGCCAACATCATCATCATCACCACCACGGCCACACCTTACAAATAATCAATCATCGTCGTTTACCGACACATCCACCAACACCATCATCATCATCATGTGCCCACAATCTTACACACAATTTTTTTTCCTTCCAAATCTTAACTTGTGTGAGAGGAGGATTGTGGGGGCTCAATTAATTAATCTAATTTTAATTAATCAATCCTCATTGTTTGTTGCCATCAGACTGTTTATTTTTACATATCTCCAAAGATCCCCTGCCATTACCATCGTCGCTACTGGAATCGGCTATTTTATTGTAACTGTTTGGTCAATCAATATTGATTGACAGAATGATGGTGGGGAGGGGGTCATGTGTCAATCAACAAACCTAACCCTTCACCTTTTGTGGTTGCTGACACCCATCACCTGACCTGATGTTCCACAAACCTCATCCAATCCAACCAACCACCCAAAACGCACACGGTCAACATTTATGTTTAGTCTCTCTTTTATCTCTGTGACATCACTAAACACACAACAAATCAAATCTTTTGTATCGTCTCGAGACCTTCACCTTTTTTTTTATTTCCATACATATTTTTAATTAATATATGAACCAATTAACAATTATTAACATAACAAACAATCTTATTTTCCATCCATTATAATATTATATTAGTATTATTATTATTATTATCCACATTAAAGAAGGAAAGAAAGAAAGAAAGAAAAAGTAAGTCAATACAATTATCATCACAAACTCCATCACTCTAGTTGCTATTGTTGTCATTGGCGAAATATGATTGTTGTTGGTTTGTGTGGGTGTGAGTGAGTTTATTGGATCCAATATACTCACTCGAGTTACCCAACAAATATTTTATTGTTATCCACTATTCCCTCAATCCTCTACCTCCACCTCTACCACCTCCACTACCTCCACTTCCTTTGCCATGTCATCCAACCCAACAATCTCCTTCAAAGAAGGGTTGAAAATACGACACATCTTGCCATTTCCATCATCCATGTTTATAAATATCATCATCATCATCATCATAACAGAAACGAGTATATCACAACACAACACACAGCTCAAACTCAACTGGATATTAATATTATTAATTAATAATACCCCAAGACATATATACCATGTCTATTTTTTGTTGGGCTTTTTTAATTAATATAAATCTTTTGTGGTGTTCTATTATTAATAATATTGTTATTGTTTGTTGTTATTGTTGTTGTTGTTGGCAAGCAAAAAAGGGTGGATGGAAAACATTATTTGAAATATGGTTACAATCTGATCAGATTGAAATCAATCATCGTTAATTCCAACAACACCAACATTAATAAAAAGTGGAAGAGGAAGTGGAAGTGGAAGAGGAGGAGAAGAAGCAGAAACAACACCAATACACGGTTGATATATTCGTTATTTACTATTCTCACAACGTTGTTGTTGATGAATGAATACAATATATTAAAAATAACAAACCAAAAAAACAAGGGGCAAAGTAAAGGCGCTGGCAATAGAATGATTTCGTGCCCGTAATGCACTAGTTTAGAAATTAAATCAAACCTACCATTCCCAAAAACAACAACACTAACTAACTAACCCACCCACTGAGCCAATTTGGAACAGTGTGAGGGTGGGGTAAATGCATCATCATCAGGAGGAGGAGGAAGAGGAGACACCACCTTTTGTATGATTAATTAATTAGATCCATCCTCTTCCTCCTCACACCCCCTACTTTTTCATTTCCACCACAACCCAACACCAAAACCCAAACACCAACCAACCAACCACATATGTGAAACATATTGTGTGATGTGGTAGGTAGAGCAAGAGAGGAGGAAGAGTATAGATCCAATGTACATTTATAGAAGTTAAAAATGGGTTTATTGAGAGGTTGTGGGAATCAAGATCTATTCGTGTATGAACCACTACATTCATATTGAGTAGATCACTCTCTCTGATGTTGTGGTGGGTGTGAGAACAAAACAAAAGTGGAAACTGTGGTGGGGGTGTACTGGAATTCCAACATCATCAATCAGCAGTCAGCAATAGTATAGTAGTATAAGTTGTGTGTTGCTGGAGGACACACACAAGCATATATTATATGATTTTTTCATCATCACAACATCATTGGTCGATATTGACAATAAGCACTGTTTTTGTTGTTTCTCTCTTTCTCTCTCTCTTTTCCCCACCCCCCTGGTCACACAACACAATGTGTCTTCAATTAATTTAAAATTGAATTCAAATCTAACCATTCACTCTTTTTCTTTTGGAATCCAATAATTTTTAGAACTACTCCACTTACTTTTTTCAGTCATCCACACGCCAGTCAAACCCCCATACGCTCATATTTCGGGATTCCATAACGATCACGTTTGTGCAATAACAAGTAAGTATAGTACACAGCTCGGGTCGAATACTCTCCATCCACACTCACCTCCATCCATCTTGACACTGATTTAAATTTGTTGTTGTTGTTGACCAGCCAACACATTAGGTATCAGGTTGGTTTGGTTATGATCATCGTCATCACAACAACAACATAAACAGTAGCAGCAGTAGTAGTAGTAGTAGTAGTAGTATCAAATCCAAATCTCTTGCTCTCTCTCTTATTCTCGTCATTTTTATTATATATATATATCTGTTACTTGCTCGTGGATTTTGTTCTAGTCCAATCTAATCATCATCATCATCATCCTCCTTTTTCCCTACTAGAAATTCCATTTCCACTTAATAATAATCATCCACAAAAATAATAATAATAATAGTTTTAATAATAACGATACAATAACAATAACAGAGGACAGATTTTAGGAGAGATTTAAAAAAAAAAGAGTTGATCAAAAATATCGCTAATCCAAAACCACAATCATCAGATAGATAGATTGATTCATCAATCAATCCATCAATCAATCAATCAATCCATCCGTCCGTCCATCCGTTCCCATTTTATTTTTATCATCACCATTATCATCATCACCAACAACAACAGCAACATCAAACCAAAACTTTTTGGTTCAAGAATCATTTATTTTATTTTTTAAAAAAATATCTCAAGAACAAGCAAATTTCCCTCCTTTCTCTTCTTTTAATTTTAAATATTATTTATTCTGTAACAACAAACAACCAAACCAAAACCCTATTTATTTATTTATTTAATTTATTTATTTATTTAATTTATTTATTCCAAGCTTTTAAAATTCCATATTTATTATTTATTCATTCATTAATTTAATTATATTAATTCCAATCCAATCCAATTTCCTCCCCAAGTTACACTTTTAAAATTAAAAAAGGAATTAATAATTTTGATTGAAACTCTATCATCAGTAAGTCTAGTCTCTCTCACTGCCACAGCCAGCTAAAGCAAAGCAAAATTGACCCATTAGTTTTCTAAAAGGTAAGAATCATCTATTTATATCTCTTTTTTGTTTCACTCTTCTCTTTCTCTTCCGACATCACATCATCAACGATGACACACAATTAATTTAAAAAAAAGACCGCCCGCACCACCACATGTGTTGTGTACCAACAACTTGAAAATACTAGGGGTGGGAAAAACCAAACCATTTCATCAAGTTTGATCATCACTCACCCTTGTCATTCACTCACTCATTCATTCATTCATCATCAATTATTATCATAAATTTATGGTGGATGCATCATATGGCAAATTGGGTCACAAATATCTATAGATCACAACCAGCGAGGATGGATAGGAGAGTGAAGAAAAGTGTCGTGTCAATATCGATAAAACATATGTTACATCTTTCGTCGTGATGCCCCCCTTTTTTTTTTTTAAAACAAACCCTTTAACTATTCATCCAACCCCTAAACCACAAAACAAAACAAAAACCACCCACACATGCCTTGCCACACTTTAGTTTCATTGATCACTGTTTCACACCATCATCATCATCATCATCATCGATGCCACCTTCACTCTCTGACATGTGTGTGTGTGTGTGGGTAACTACACAGCGCTATATATGTACTCGCATTTCCCACATGATCCTTGATTAGGCAAACAGATGTTATGTTCTCAGAGAGGGGCAGGCAAGGTAGGATGGTTGTTGTGTTGTGTTGATGATGATGATGATGATGTTACATATGTGTTTTCTTTCTTTTTTTGCCAACCCATGGATTTTGAGGTTAATTTTAAAAAAGGAAGGTAGGAAGGAAGGAAACCTACCTACCTCCAACAACTCCAACAACACTTGGTAAATTAAAGTTAATTTTAATTTCATCATCCTATCCTCCTCCTCCTCACTTTTAATAATTAATTAATTAATCAATCATCAATCGATCAATCTTTTTTGTTTATCTCTATCTTATCATCATCATAAACAACAACCAACAAAAGAGTAGTTTTAAAAATTTTAAAAGAAGAAGAAAAAAAGAATACCTTTGGAAAAAAAAAAAAAAAAGAACTATTCATTTAAAACAAAAAGGGTAATATTATATTATATTATATTATAATATTTAATTAATTGTGTTTCGTCGTCGACGTCGTTAATATTGGTATCTGATCGGATCCAGATTTTTCCACATCCATCAATCAATCAAATCACCCACACATTTCCATGTGCAACCCCCCCCCCCCCCCCCCCCCCCACCCCACACACACACTACTGTTTGTTTTCAAATGTTGGTTGATGGTTGCAACCACAAAATCATCGACAATCTTAAACGTGCACATTCTTGGTTTAACCTCGGTGCTATCTTCTTGCTCTTTTTAAAAAGAGGTGGACACTCGTTAACGTCGCCGAGAGCGGTGACCGCTTTTCTTTTTAACGACGATCGTCTATTTGTCTTTTATCTGTCTTGGGCAGGCGACCATCATATATGGACAATACCCTTGGCATTTGGAATTCAAATGCGTGTTGTTGTTGGTATGTGGTGGCGGTCGAAGGAAAGGGAAGGGTGTGTGAGTGTGTTGACGAATACCCTTTACAATATATCCCAAACTATAAAAGGATCAACTGTCAAATTAACCAACCAACCAACTAATCAATCAATCAATCACATAATCTAATTAATTAATTAACTATTCTTATTCCAATCTAATATATTAATATTAATATTTCTATCCTTTATATCTTTTAGACAACTACTTAATATTTATTTATTTATTTATTCTATTTATTCTATTTATTCTATTTATTTATTTCTCAAAACTCTTAACAAATAATTATTTGTAGTATGGAAGTATTATCACACTCAAATTATATTTATTTATCACAAGGATCGAATTCACAATATCCAAACACCCCATCCTATATGTTTGGTACAAACAATAACAACGAAACCAACAACAACAACAACAACAAATCATCACCATCCTCCTCTTCGTCATCGTCGACTCCCGTCTCTGGCTATTCATTGCCATCTTCCCCAAACTCTATGGTTCCCTCTCAATCATCCTACCATAACCATGGTGGTGGTCAACAACACCATCAACACCAACAACAACAACAACAACCCAACAACTATAATAATAATATAAATTACAATAACTATAATAATAATAATGTTCCAAATTCACCAACATCAATAGGACGTCAGCAACAATCTGGATCAGTGTCACCTGTTCCATCGTCGTCGACGACGACAAGTCCAACATGGCGCAAATGTTGTGTCAATGCAAACTGCCTATTGTGTAATTTGGGAACACCCAGATGTCTTTGCATGAACCATCCATCGTGGACACTTATTTTGCGTGTTGTATTTTTCTCACTCGCCAATATCTACCCCGACAAGGAATTCTTTAACCTTAAAAAAGAGGTCTATCTCTACCTCAACGACCACTGGACCATCCTCTCACCCACCCAAAAGCAGTCCAACAATTGGAAGCGTCAGGTGCAAGACGCTCTTTCGCACTCGCGTTTCTTCAAGTCTGGACGTCACACCCTCCGTTGCAACGGGTACTGGCAACTCAAGCTCCCATGCAACCCATGGAACTATGCCAACTCTAAGCAATTTGAAGCACTTCGTTTTGAAGAGTTGTCAAGTCAACAAGGTGGCAACGGCGACAATGTCCCCCTCTCCCCACACCACTCCATGTCTTCACCAAGTCACCATGGTAGCAGCAGCAGTAGTAACGGGTCATCCACCCCATCATCTGAAATATCATGGCGTATTGAATCCAAGTCTAGTAACAATGGAATCAACTCTTCATCATCGTCATCTGCATTCCTCAAATTCAATAATAATATTGTTGAATCTAAATTAATGGATATTAAACAATTATTATCTGAATCTTCTAGTCATCACAACCATCATAATCATAGTCATAGTCACAACGACCATCATCACCAGAGTGATTCATTATATGATCATCCATCATCACCCCTTTCCGATCCAGGACAATACCAACATCACAAACAATCCTATTCATCGACCCTATCCACTCCATCCTCTTTTAGTAGTCGTCTCAAACTTTCCAACTCTATTTCATCACTTTCATTATTATCAGAAACTGCTTCATCTGTCATTTCTTCGTCAAAACCAAAATATAATAATAATAATAATAATAACAATAATACTTTATCATTTGAATCATCACCATCTTTTCATAGTTATCATTCCCCTCCATCTCCACAACTTCAACAACAACAACAACAACAACAACAACAATTACCATCTTTACAATATCCAATTGAAATGAACAATAATAATAATAATAATAATAGAAATAATAATAGTAATAATAGTATAATTGGAGGATTTAATAGTTTAAATTATCATTTGGATGAAGAATTGGTTAGTTCAAAAATTCATCAAATGAAATCAATTTTAAATTGTACTGTTTGAAAATAATAATAACAATACAAATCAAAACAAAACAAAAAAAGAAAAGAAAAAAAAAAATTATATAGAATTTTTTTCCAAATCAATCAAAATAATAATAATAATACGTACGCGAATCATAATATTAATAATGTAGAAACACTCCACACTGTCAACCATACCCCTCATATACATACATACATACATACATATAACAAAAGTAAACAACTTCATTCATAATGCGGATCATATTTAATAATAATAATAACCACATATCCTTCATCCAATCCATCCATCCATCCATCCATCAAATAATAATAATAATTTAATTTAATTTATATTTCCAAAAGTAATAATAATATTTGTACAGTTTAATTTTAACAAAACCTACCCTCCCCAATAAAATCTTATTTATTTTCTCTAAAAGAAAGAAAGAAACCTATCTCTTCTCAATTCAACGACTTTTTTTTGTCCATCGAACACGGACCCATAGCTTTGTCCTTTTTCAAAAAAATCGATTCAAGATCGATGTCAAGTTTTCCCAGTTTTTTTTTTTGGATTTTTTTTAGTTTTGAAAACCACTCTGTCTTTCTCCCTCTCTCTGCCGAGTGTTTGCTTGCTGTTGTGGCAGTTATATAGTCCTGTCCTAAAGCAAAAAGGATACTATAGTACTAAATCTTTTTATATATATTTAGATATAAAGAATTCAACAAAACAAAACAAAGATATTCAGGGATTATGAATTATTATTAATAATTGGTGGTTGTGTGTGTTATCATATTATATAAATAGATATCGACCAACCAACCAACCTGCATAGCAATAGTATCCAACATTCAACCAATAGTCAACAGTCAATAGTCAAAAGTCTATTTGTAATTTTATCAACAACAACAACAGCCAAAAGGAACAATATATATATATATACCCTCCTCTCCCTTTATCGACAAACAAAACAAAGTGTAGGTCCCATAGCAATCTCTAAACATATCAAAAGATTAAAAGTAAAAAGAAGAAGAAGCAAAGCAGCAGATAGTTCAATCGTGCTGCATGCAATCAATCAGTTATCTTTTACCTTAATATATTATCGATTTTAACTTCTCCTGAAGAAGAGGAGGAGAAAGAAAGAAAGTCCTAAGGAAAGAGACATTCGAAAGTTTTTTTTATTCCTATCATATGACTGTTAGAGATAGATGAGCAAACAAACAAACAAACAAGCAAACACATATGCACTAATGGATGGGTGTGGTGGAGGTGAGAGATACTATCGTTCCCCAAATAGTTTCATTTCATCATCTGCTGTATCACCACACTCTCTCTAACCCACCACACCAAAAAGTAAAACCCATCCCCTCATATCATCAATCCAAATCACGATTTGCATTGTTGTTGGTGTGTGTGTGTGGGGGTAGAGGTTGTTTTTTTTTGGATGGTAATCAATATGGATTGATGGGATTGATGCGCGGTGGCAGGGGGGTGTGTAACAACCAATACAAGGTGGAGTAGTAGGTAGTGATTGGATCGATCGGAATATCACATGTTACACATCAATATATAACCATATGTGTTTAAAAAAAAAAACAACATCCTCGCATCAATCAATCAATCAATCAATCAATACGATCAATCCACCCAACCAAACATTAATACTTGTCCATCCAATCCATCCATTGTTTTTTCACATTTCTCTTACCAATCCCAATAATACCAGTAATATAAAATATTATAATTATAATATTTGTTTTTTTTGAATTATCATTATCAACAATAACAATAACAACACACCATCTCATCTGGTTTTAACCAAATCCAAACAAATAATAATAATCATATTTCATCATCAATCGTTATTTTAATTTTTCTGTGGGTGGAGAGAGAAGAGAGTGTGACAATAGCAGTCGACAGGATTGTCTCTTTGGAGAATATCAATTAAAAAATTAAATTTATCATCATCCATATTATTGAATAGTTTTTTTTTTTCCATCCATCCCATTCATTCATTCATTCATCAATCAAATTAATCAATCAATCAATCAATCAATACAAAATACTATCCTATTAGCTAATCATCCCATCTATTGCAATGGAATATTGATTGAAAAATCAAAATTATCGAGTCGTCCGTCATTGTCATCATCAAAAAAAAACACTTATTCCACCAGTAACTCATCATCCATCATCATCATCCCAATTATGATTAGATAATAATAATAATATTATTATTATTTTTTTAACCATTTCGAAAATGTACTGACAGATTTTTTGTTTTTCTTTTTTCTTTTTTTTTTAGGTATTTTTATTATTATTATTATTTATTTATTTATAATTTATTTATTTTCCAAAAGAAATGGAACCAACAATATTATTACCAAACGAAGAAAGATCTAATCAATTAGTAAATATAATTGTAGTTGGTCCAACATGGTCTGACAAGGTCAAGAGTACATTGGCAGCATTCATACGAGATTTATTAAATGTTGAACAAAGACAAAAATTGGAACAACAAATTAGATTGGAAAACGAAAAATACAACCAAAACAATACTCAAGAAACGAGTAGAGGAGAATCGAGTGCAGAATGTTACAACAAATCGACACTATTGGATTTAAATTTGAATCAACCCAAAGTACAAGCACTGGTTCATTGGAAACTTTTAGAATATGCAATCTCTGAATTGGACTATTTGGACATTATCTTGGATGAATGTAAAGATAGTATGAATCAAATCGAAGGTGGCGATAAAGAACATAATACAAAAGTCCTCAATAATATAAATAATAGACTTGAAGATATTTCAATTGTAATTAAATTCTTATCAAAATCTAATAATATTAAATCTTCAATTGAATATGTAAGAAAAAAAAATAGAAAAAAAAAGAAGAATAAGATAATCTTATTTATTTATTATTTTTTTTTTTGTAGAATGAATTATTAGCAAGTGTTGAATCACATATTAAAAGAACAAAAATTAGAGTTAAAAGTCAATTAAATCAAGTTAGAAATAATGATGAATATTCAAATGTTTTAAAATATGGTTGGATTGAAAAAAGATGTGGTACTAAACAAACTTTTAGAACTTGGAAAAAGTAAAAAAAAAAAAAGAAAAGAAGAATCAAAATCAAAAAATATATATTAATTTACTTTTTTTTAATTTTTTTTAATTTTTTTTTATAGGATGTATTTTTTATTAAAACAAGGAGGAGAATTACAATATTATATAAAAGATAAAAATCATAGAAAGAGTGTCATTCAATTAAATGGAGCAGCATCACCATCGATGCAAAAACAAAAATATCAAAATTTGGAAGGAGAATTGGGTAAAAAGAAACAAGGCAAGGGATGGAAAGTGAGATGGATGCGTCTTACCGATCATTCATTGATGTATTTCCAGTCGCACAAGGAACGTAATCCATTGGGTATCATTAATTTGGCCGAATGTAAAGAATGTTCCATCTACAAGGAAGACAGTAACAAGTTTGTGGTGGTACTAAACACTGAGAGTTTCTATTTCAAGACAAACTCACCCGAAGAGTTACAACGTTGGGTAGAGGCTGTACGAACACGTCTATCTTGTAATGCTGAACAACAAAACAACAAGATGGACCTATCACTCTTTTGTCTCAAAGGTATTATCGATTTGACAAGTGTCTCTCAAATTGTTGATTGTCAAAAATTTGGAAACACTCAACCTCACTCGGTCACCATTCAAAATGAGAAAAAGAATTATTATCTATCGTTTGATCAAGAACAAACTAAATTGGATTGGTATAATCTATTGATGGAACAATTTAAATTGAGTGGTGGTGAAAGTCGTCGTGCATCATTTATTGGTAATCATCAACATCATCACCATTCTCCATTGACCAAGGTTTCAAGTGCTGGATCAGTTATTTCAGCCATTACAGGAGGTCGTGTAACACTATCACCATTGTCTGATCGGTCTGGAACCACTCAACATTTATCAGCACCCTCTACCCCTCTATCTACCCCTGCATCCCCTTCATCATCTGCTACCAATATTCAACGTAAATGGGAATTTGGTTCAATTAAACCAACTGGCAATAGTGGTGGTGGTGGTGGTAGTTCATCTCCATCAAATAGTAGTCAAAATATTTCCTATTATAATAATAATAATAATGATGAGGGAAATGAATTTGCATCACAAATATTTAAAAAGAATCCAAATAGTTTCTTATCAAGATCATCTTTAAAACAAAGAATTCAACAACAAAAAGAACAAGAAAAGGAAATGGAAAAGGAAATGGAAAAGGAAATGGAAAAGGAAATGGAAAAGGAAAAGGAAGAAGAAGAAGAAGAGTCGGAAACTACTACTACTGCAAAGACCTCTACTACCATTTCTACCACATCTACTACATTACCACCAAAATTAAATTTATTAATTTCAACAACACTTAGTGATTCAACAAGTGGAAAAGGATCAGATGATAGTGGTAGTAGTGGTGGAGAAGAAGATAGTAATAGTAGTGGTGGAGAAGATGGTGAAGGATTAAATGCAATGCCAATGTCATTGAGAAGCGAGATTATGCGTAGATCAGCCATCAATATGACCAAGACCTTCAAGTTGGAGGTTTCCTTGCCAATTGACGCACAAGACAATGAAACGTACACCTTTTTATTCTCAGACAGTGTGTTGGTCGACCAAGTCAAATCATTTATCTTTAGACGTGTCGCCTCACTCCATTCTTTACCCATCCTCGATTATCGATTAGGTCTTGACGAAGACAACATTTTAGAGATTGAATTCTTGAAATTTATCTACTCTAATACTCTTATCGAATTGGCATTAAAGACTTGTGGTATTGTTCGTTGTGGTATCTATCATTGTCGTAAAGATCGTCGTACAAAAGAAAAATTATATCCTGAAAAGTTTGGAACTAAATCACAACCAACAAATAATATTATTAATATCAGCAGTAGCAGTCCTCAACCAACAACAAATACAACCATTACAAGAACTACTTTACCATCTTTATTACCTTCATCTTTGGTTATTAATAATGATGAATCGATCACCTCAACCAATTCACCAACACCTATTAATACTACTACTGGATTTATAACAAAATCAACAAGTTTTGATGGTGCTGATCAAGTAGAAAAAGAAGAAAAAGAAGAAAAAGTACAAAGAAGAAGGATCAATTATACAGGTAGTTTCAAAGATTGATTCATATTATAAATTAATTGAAAATGTAGTGGGATGGAATTTGGAAAAGGAAAATGAAACATTTACAACTATCAAGACTTGTTCACCAAAATTAAAAAAACAAGATAATACATTTTATAGAAAATGTTTTACTGACAATTGTCAATCGGTTCATAGTTTTCTTGGTGTTGATCCCAAACAAGGACCCATGGCATTTTCACTGGTACGTGATTTTAAAGACAACTATCGAGGTATCTTGCATACAAAGAATGGTGCCAAAACATCATTTGCCGATCACAAATCTATCAATTTTGGTAATTTGGCTAATCTTAGTAAAAGATTAAAACGTAAAAAAATCATTTCTCATCTTGTCAATTTAATGAATAATAATGAACAAAATACTATTAATAATGGATTTAATGTTGAAACTAAACATTTATCATTGGCAAGTAATCAAACTGAATTACAAAAGGAATTATTGTCATTGGAAGAACGTCAAACTACTAGTGGATTCAAATTTGGTATTGTTGTATGTCAACCAGGTCAAACAAGTGACAATGAATTGTTTGGTAACGAATGTGGTGGACAGGAATATGAAGAGTTTTTGGATTTGTTGGGTGACCGTATCGAGTTGATGGGTTGGCAACATTATTCGGCTGGTCTAGATGTTAGAAACAATAGTACTGGTACACATTCACTTTATACAGATTATCAAGGTAATGAAGTGATGTTTCATGTATCTACCATGTTGCCATTTGACACTAGAGCAGACAGTCAACAAATTGAAAGAAAACGTCAAATTGGTAATGACATTTGTGTCGTTGTTTTCAATCAAGGCAAAGATATCTATAATCCAAATATTATCACATCACAATTTAATCATATTGTCATTGTAGTAACTGTCATTGACAGTGAAACCTACCAAGTATCACTTTCTTGCAAGGATGGTGTTGCACTTCCCATAGACCCACCCATTCCATTCCAAGGACGTGTACAAAAACAAGAAATCCGCGATTGGTTACTCACAAAACTGATCAATGCTGAAATGCATTCTCTTCAAGCTCCTTCCTTTTCCCAAAAAATATCTAGAACTAGAGAAACTTTATTAAAATATTTTATTGAACAATATTTATAAAATTTAATAAAATAAAAAAAAAAAGTAAAAAAGGAAAAAAATATATAATTAAAGAATTTGAAAAGTTGATTTTTTTTCCAAGGACAGAATAAATTCACGGGTTTTTTAAAAGCAAAACAAAGCTTGAGTTTAAAAGTATAGGATGTTTATTGCAAGTGATTGGTTTTGTCAACTTGTTGTGACGATATTTAGTTATTTAGAAGAGAATGCTCTTTGCTAGTTCCATATCAGAGAATGCTTACTTATTGTTCATCTATTGTGATCTTTATTACTTACATCTTCCAATGTTGAGAATATAAGGCAAACATGTACCATACAATCGAAAAGTTTATCAAGTCTTGTGATATCTGTCAGAAGGTCAAGAAAGGTGACAAGGGAGGATTCTTGAAATCACTTGAAATACCTGCTCGCAATTGGCTAGAGATATCTTTAGATTTCATGAAATTACCAGAATCAAAGAATGGATTCAACAATTTACTAGTGGTAGTGTGTAGACTGTCAAAGATGACACACCTTATACCATGCACAACTTTTGAAATTGATGCTAAAGAAACAGCTCAATTATTATTTCAACAGGTATTTAGATACCATGGATTACCAATATCGATTGTCTCTGATCGTGATCCCCGTTTCACAAGTGATATGTGGGAATCATTGATGAAGATAATCAACACGAGATTAAAACTCTCAACTCCCGCTCATCCTCAGACAGATGGTCAAACGGAGAGGATGAACCGGACTGTGAGAAGCATTATTACCAAGTACCATGAAGAGTACAAAGAGGAATGGGATAAATGGATCCCAGCAGTGGAGTTTGCTATCAACTCTGCTAAACAATCGTCGACTGGCAAGTCACCATTCGAAATTAATTATGGTTTTCAACCATTCACACCAACTAACTTGGCTTGATTAAACTTGGCCACTTTGTTGTCAAATTCACGAGCTTGCTTTGCCTTTCTTTCAGAAAGTGATTCTTGGTTATTTACTCTACCAAGAGTATGACAAAGATCAGAGGAGTAATTTGATTTCATCCGATCAATCAGCTCTGTCTTCATTTGTAATTCTAGTCAATCTTTCCACCTCCATATTTATTATTATTATAGTTGACATTATTTTTATTATTATTTTGTGGATATAAAAATGTACCATGTTCATTCCACTGTCCATTATCATGACGATAATCTTGACGTTGATACGATTGAGTTTGATCTCTTTGATCTGCCTGACGATGATGCACCATCCTCTCTCCTTGCTCAATTTTTAATTTTTTTTAATTTTTGTTGTGATTCTATTTACAAAAGTTCCCTCTCTTGACATCATTTCTATGTCTTTATTAATATTTTTAATAAGGAAATGTATGTGATAATGGAGAATCGTGCTTTTTTTGTCCATCTGATTGTTCGATGGCTCCATCCATGAGCTTGAAATATTCAAGACTATCCCTTCTACTCAAATCACAGGTGTTGCTGACACTATTCAATTGTCGTCATCAAGTATTTCCAACCAACAATCCTTGACACTGTGTAAGCTAGTGTTGTCTTCTTCAAGGGAAACTATGACCTTCCATCCTTATTATATTAGAGACATTGCACAAGCCGACACAGTTCCCAAAATGGAATTAGTTGTAGTCAAGTACTTGGTTCATTATACATCAAGAGTACTTTGATGGGTGGCTCATTGATACATGTTACAATAGTATCTCACACCACATTTGAAAGCAAATCTTCTGAAATAGAGAAGCACACCCAACTTTCCTTGTCTGCCGAGGCATCATTTTTACTAGATAATCCGTCTAGGGTTTAGGTAGAACTAATGGTCTACTATGATAATAACCCCTGTTTGTTTTGGATCAAGGTATCAAAAAAGTATTTTAATGGGATGAGGTAAATTAATATGAGAAGCCGACCTTGGCAACCTACAAATTATTAAAAGCCCAGATGAATCCAGTACTGTTTATACCCTTAACTTTACCATTAAATCTATAGTAGATGGACAAACCAAAACATTAACCAAGACATTGCTATGACATGGTAAACAATCGTCTCTATCACATCGTTCATACCACGATCATCAATACTATTTGTTTTCAAGAAAAAATTCTTTATATAATTTATTCTTTTTTATTATTCCATTTTTTTTAATATAAATATATACATTTTTAATTAGTAATGATTTCATTTTAATTTAATTTTTAATTTTTAATTTTTAATCTTTTGGATGATCAAAATCAATATTAAATTCGTTTGCTAAAAATAGATCCTCTGTAAATGATTGAGAGGATATTTGAGGAGAGCCAAAAGAAGCTATTCTATTGTTTATCATGTGATTGCCAAGACCAATACTATTACTATTATCAGGATTTAAACCTTCAAAAGGTGGATTGTTGAAATGATCGTTGGATTGTGATGAAACAACAGGTGAAAAGCCCGTAGTATCAAATTTAAAAGAAATTGGTTGTGGTGATTGTGGTATGTTTTGCATAAATGGATTATTTTGATTCTGTTGAATAGATGTTGTTGACGTTGTACTAGTAGTAGTAGTACCAGTTGGTGGATTCATTTGTAGCAATTGTTTAGTATTTGGTGAAGTATTTGGAGATGGTGGAGTGTTTGAACTACTATTATTGTTGATGTTGTTATTATTGAGTGGATGAAGAGGAGGTTGTAATTGATGTTGACTCATATTACTTGTGCTAGTGTTTATGGGTGGTGTAAATGCAGCCGAAGAAGAACTCTTTAGATCATTTAGATTACCACTTGATTGTTGTGATGCCAATGTGTTATTGTTGTTGTGATTATTATTATGAGTAGCACCTGGAGTAGAGGGTGGAGTGTTACTACTGGTAGTTGGTGTTTCAGCAGCCTCGGCAACCATTGGAGACTGGGTGTCTGCCGGTATGTTGGTCGAAGGAGATTGAGGTACACTAGATTTGGTGCCTCTCTTTGTAGATTTGGCCGGTTGATCTTCTGACTTTCTCTTGTTGGCTCGGGTCGTCTTTTTGGGTGCCGCGGCTGCATTGTCTGGTGTACTCGCTGGATCAGATGATTCTGTTGTGGTGGTGGTGGTGGTTGATGATTTTCTTGTTCTTGATGATTTTCCCTTGGTCGATGAAGTTTGTGTTGGTGTTTGTGGTTGTGGTGTTTGTGGTTGTTGTGGTGTTGATACTTGATTCTGTTGATTTTGTTGATTTATTTGTTGTTGTTGATTTGCTATTTGTTGTTGTTGCTGCTGATTAGCTACTATTTGTTGTTGCTGCTGATTAGCTACTATTTGTTGTTGATTTGCTATTTGTTGATTTGGATTGGTTATAATATGACCATTTGGAGAACCTGCAGAAGGAGGATAACCATAACCACCAGGTATTTGACTATATGCTACGTATGGTGGAGGAGGTTGAGCATAAGGATATTGTCCTGGGACGGCACCATAACCAAGGATATAACCACTAGTGGTTGAATAACCCTTTGGCACATAATCTGTCTTTGACCGCATCAAATGAGGATGAGGCATTCCTGGTCCAATAGTAAATTGTTGAGGTGGCATTTGTTGTTGTGGTGGTTGTTGTTGATGTGGATGCATTCCAGGTGGCAATTGACCAACTGGTTGTGGTTGCTGTTGTTGTGGACTAGGAGCAACAACAAGTGGTGGTGATACAGACAAGTCTTTTTTCTTTGGTGATTGACCAACCTTTTTACCTTGTTGTTTTTCTTGTTGTTGTTGAGGAATTGGTGAATCTGGTGGTGGTCCTTGAGGATATCCTCCAATATGAGGGGGTGGAGGAGGAGGTTGGGATGATTGTACAATGGGAGAAACTTGAAGTGGTGGAGATGGGTTGCCAGTATACTGTGGTGGCTTGTTGGCAGCTTGATTGGCAGCTGTTGGAGTCAAATTTTGATAAGTAAATATTTGACTCGATGGTGTCCCTGGAGTACGTGGTAAATTACCAGTTGATGTTTGTAACATTGGTTCATGTTTTACTCCATTTGTATAATAATGTTGTTGTTGTTGATTTGGTGGTATAAATACTCCCATATGTGGATGCATAGTTGTTGGAGTTTGTTGTTGATTTGGTGTAGGTGGTCCATGATGTTGAGTAGGTTGTTGTGGTTGCGGTTGTGATTGTTGTGGTTGCGGTTGTGATTGTTGTACATTACCATTATGATGTTGACCTACTATATGATGTTGTGAATTATTATTATTATTATTATTATTCAAAGTTGGAGGATGTTGTGAATTTGGAATAGTTTGATTTACAACCATATTATGTGGTATTTGTTGTTGTTGTTGTTGTATATATTGTTGTTGTCTATGCCTTGTGATGATATCAGACATTTGTTTAATGGTCGAGTTTTGACCTCGCAATTCCACATGATCCTGTTTATAATAATAGTACTCCCAAAAAATTGCCCACCATTCATATAAAAATCCATCCTTGGCATCAATAATCTTTGGTATATCACCTGCATTGCTCTTTAACAATTCCTTTTTAAACGCATCTCCACTAATAGAATATCCTGCTTTTGTTAAATAATCTAATATATATGCATGAAATCTAAAAAATAGAAATAGAAAAGGAAATAGAAATAGAAAATTAGAAAAATCAATCAATCCATCATCTTTTTTTTTTTTTTTCATACAATTGAGTTGTATCAGTATCTTTTGTCATGTTGTTTCCTTTCTTTAAGTAATTGAATAGTATACAGAGAAATAAAATAAAAAAAAAGATGTTTATATATTCTCTCTCTTTTTTTTTCTTTTTTTTTTTTTTCTAAACGATCATTCAAACTTTCCTATATTAGAGAGTTCTAAAAATAAAACAAAAAAACAAAGTTAATTGTCATATATTATATATATATCTTTCTATTTCTTTCTCTCTCTTACTGATTGATTTGTTGAGGATGTTTTTGTTTTTTTTTGTATGTACAAGTATATCTTTTTTTGTGATTGTTGTTGTTGTTTGGTTGGTTGGTTGTTGATTGTTGTTGGTTAATCTAATTGTACAAAAAAAAAAAGAAAAAAAGGATTATCTATCTACTAGTAGTTTTACTAATCATCATCCCTATTGTCTCGACTATCAATATATAGTAGTAATAAAAGAATTGAAAAGAAAAAAGGTGGTTAGAATAAAGATAAAAAATACCTAGGTTATTTAAATTAAAAACTTTAATGAACCCCTTAAATCTATTTTTTTGAAATTTTTTTTTTTTGGTCAGCTGAAAAAGATAGAGAGTTGGTTGTTGTGTGTGTGTTTGTGTGTGTATGTCACATGATATGATTGGTTTATAATGGCTTTCACACAAAAGTGCACTATAAAAAGATAGATATCTAGATCAAAGATGCATAGACCTCTCTCTCTCTTTCTTTTGTTTGTTCTTTTTACCAAAACAAAGATATTTCAAAAAGTTTCTATAATCTTTTTAAACAAACCATGTTCTATACATGTCTAGTATACATATAACCTCTAATAATAATAATAATATTATTATTATTTATCTTTTTCTTTTTCTTTTTCTTCTTTTTCTTCTTCTTGGTATCAGCTTAATGAAAAGAGTTTGGTTGTTGTTGTTGTTGTTGTTGTTGTTGTTGTTGTTGTTGTTGTTGTTGTTGTTGTTGTTGTTGTTGTTGTTTGTGACTGACTCTTTCTTTCTTTCTTTCTTTCTTTGTTGTATTATATTCTTTCTTACGATTTTAGTAGAGGATGGGGGATGGGGGTTGTATATAATATTATAATAGGGATAGCCTCGACTGGAGCTCAACTACCCTCCAAAAAATTTTAAGGGGTACAAAAACTCAAAGAAAGCTGACCACTATTTTTAATATAGACAAAAATTTTTGCTCGAGCAAGCAGCACATAAAGTTCTAAATCGTCTCATTTCTCTCTCTCTCTCTCTTTGTGAAACAAAGAAATCCGATCCTATCCTATCCAGTCTCTTGTGAGAAAATAAATGTTAACAAGTATACGTGTGACTTTGTGTGTGTCTGTTAGAGTGAAAAAACGAATAGCACCTGGTGTAGTTTTGCAAATTATAAGCCAAACCAAAATAAATAAAATCTCTGGGCAAAGGTGGTCCTTTGGACACGCCACTGTTTAAAAAAAAACGGTGATCATCTTTGCACAAAGATAAAAAGTGTAGAGACAGAGAGATAAACAACAACAATGATGATGACAGAGGCAGGTATGATCGACTCGATGCACGAGGAGAATGTTCAAGTCGATCAACTGCCACTCGTGGTTCCACTCATCGAAGATTACGATCCCCTTGGAAACACCAAACACATCATCACCAAATCTCCCCTACGAAAAAGTAAAAGTAATCATATTCATTTAAATAATAATAATAATAATAATAATAATAGTGGTAGTATAGTTCATTCTTTATCATCATCTTCATTATCACCCTTATCATTTTCAAAAAGAATTGCAATGGAAAAGAAAACAAAAGAGGATTCAAATCAAGAATCATTAATGATGGATGAATCATGTAGTACATCATATCAAGAAAACTATCATTATAATGGCGGTAATGGTAAAAGTCAAACAACTCAATACTTGACACCACCTCGTAATAATCATCATAGTCAAAATCATCGGTCTCCCTCATCTTTTATAACAAGTGATTATGATGATGTTGATGATGATTATGACCAATACAATGAAGACAATGATCAAGACAATGATCAAGATGACTCTTCTTCTTCTTCTTCATCTTCATCTTCATATTACAATTATCATAATAATATAATGGAAGAATATGATGAAAGTGATATTAGTACTCTTAGAGAGAGTACTGGTAGTAAACATCATTCAATTGATTTTTCTTCATCCATACAATCTTCTTTATCTATTCAATCTTGTTTATCTTCCTATCAACAATCAACTTTATATAAATCATCAAGTATAAATAATTATAATACCTATATCAATCAAAATAATCAAAATAGAAATTCAAGTATGGATCATTATCCAAAATTACCACCATTAAATGTAACAAAGAAAAAAAGATTACAACAACAAAGAAAGAGTGATCCAACCAATAATAATACTTCATCTCAACAATTATTAAAGATATCAACAACCAACAAAAAAATAGCTTATCCAGATCATCATAAAGATGATTTCTTTGATTATGTACAAACTACTCCATCTAAAAAACATTTACCTTTGGTTCAACAATCACAACAACAACAACAAAAACAACAAAAACAACAACAACAACAACAACAACAACAACAACAACAACAACAAAATAGATCTATTATTTCGGCAGATGAATATTTTCAAAATAATCAAGAATTTAAACAATTGTTAACAAGGGTTGAAGAAAACTCTAGGTATCAGGCAACACAATTTTATGAATTAATGTATAGAATTCAATCGATTGGTCATCAAATGACTGATTTATTGGGTGAGAATTTAGATATTTATGGCAATTCAATGAACGAGGCATTGGATGAATCGTATGATAGCATGGCCAAAATGAAAACACTGATTAATAATATGGAATTATTAAATGGTGATATCTTTTATATCTATAAATTATCAGATCAAATTAAACAAACTAAAAAAACAATTAAAATCTTGTCCAAATTAATTGATAAATTATAATAATATAAATAAAAAAGTGTTTTTTGTTGTATATATATAAAAGAAAAGTTTTTATTATTCTTTTTTAATAATTTAATTGTCTAATAGACATGAAAGCTTTAACAATATCATTGGTAACCATTGATCTTGCTTGTTGATGTTGTTGATTCATTTGATTCATAATATTAATCAAATAACTTTTAACTTCAGAAGTTAACATTTTTCCTGTTGAATATTTCTCTGCAATATTTGATAAAACATCGTCATCTTCTAAAAAGTAAGTTAAATATTCATAGGGAACATCAACTGCTAAATTTGCACCAAACTTTTCTTGTTCTTCTTTGGTATCACGACCACCTGAAAAGGCATGTTTGGTAACCTTGTCCTTTACTTGTTGAGGGGTATCTGAAAGATAGACTGCCGAGTTTTGATCGGAAGCACTCATCTTTGTATTGTGACCTTGAAGGGCAGGGAAAAACTTGCTATGAATCAAAGATGGCTTTTGGTAACCAAGACGAGAAGCAACATCACGTGTCATTCTAAAATAGGGATCTTGATCGATAGCACATGGAATCAAACATCTAATAGATTTTATCTGATCACCATATTTACCAAAGATATGTGGGAATGAATCTGGAAAACTTGGTGCTGCTTGAATTGGTGGAAATGCAAATTTACCACATGAATCACTATCTCCAAATCCAAAAATTCCCTTTACCTAAAAAGAAAGGAAAAATGTAAATGAAAAGATATATCTTTTTTCAATTTTCTATTTTTCGTCGTACTTGATTTAAAGTAACACATTTACCAATTTTAACAACATTTGGATATAAATATTGAATATAATCCAAATTTGAAAAGATGAAAGTTTTTTCAATATCAAAACCAAGAGCAATAATATCCTTTACATTTTCGACAGTGTAATGAATAGATTCCTCCAATGTAATATCTTTCCATAAAAACTTTTCATCGTTTGTCATTTGAATGACCAATGGTACATTGAATACCTCTTGAAGGTATTTGGTGAAAATAAATGGTACAAGATGACCAAAATGTAATGATCCACTTGATGGTCCTCTACCTGTATATAAATAAAATGGTTTACCTTGTTCATAACAATCTAAAATCTCTTTAAATTCTCTTTAAAATACAAAATATTAATATAAAAACATAGATTTTTAATTCTCTTTTTCTTTTACCTATGAGAAAAAAAGATACCTCTTTTCAAAAAATGATGAGCTTTCTTTTTTGTAAGACGTTCAAAACGATCAATTAGATCTTGATGAATTTTAGTTGAACCAAATTGATCAATCAACTTGTCATAGTTGATTCCTTTGGTTGATGATACTGTCCATGGTGTAATTTCTTGTGTTCCCTCTTCTTCTTGTGATGACTCAACTGTTGGTTGATTTGTATCTGTCATTGTTGTATTGAATGTTTATAAAAAAGTCAAAAGACGATCTTCTCTTGTCTTTGTCTAAAAAAAAAAAAAAAAAAAATTGAGAAAATTGTTTAAAAATAATATCATATTCTTTGTTTATCTCTTTTGGAGTAGTTGAGTATTTCGCAATTTGAGAAGATAAAGAGAATTAATATTCTTTATACTTTATCAAATCTTTTTTGTATACCCTATGTATCTTTTTATTTTTTTTCATCAATCACATGATATAAAGAATCAATTTCAAAAACGCTCTAATGAATAAAAGCTTGCAATAATACAAATAACACAGTTGTGTTTTGAGAGATAAATAATCAATCATATTGAAAATTTTTCAATAATATGGTTTATGTGTGTGGGGGTGGTTACTTTCTTTGTGTGATCCAGTTTCACTCTTTAAATTTCATTAAACCCGATGATCCTCCCTTTTGATCATCCAATCTCTTGTCACATCTGTGGCAACCGAGAGGATGATCCTCCTCAAAAAAAGCCAAGAACGAAAACGGAAACTGTGTAACTCTTGTTACAAAGTAATTACAAACAAACGTCAAACTATTCATTGTGAGGACTTTGTCCATTTCGACCCCCTCGTTCTCCTTTGAAGCCCATGCGTGGCCTCCAACTCGCTCAAGACGATTCTCTAATTTTTTTTTAATTTTGTCAAATTTTCCTCAGCACCTGACCGACAATAAAACAAGCTATCAGCTGTTAACTTTTTTCTTTGTGTTCATCCACTGCAAACTTTACAGGTAAGGTCTTAAAGACAAAGCAGCTCTCTCGTCCCAAAAAAATTCCGACAAAAGACCTATTCTCCGTCTCGTCTATCTCTCTCTCTCTCTCTCTCTTTGTACTATTATCATTATCTCTTACAAAGAAAAAAAATTAGCACAATGAACTAAAATTCATCGGTCTATTTTTTTTTATTTATTTGGTGTGATTTCCATCTCATCTCTTTTTTAAATCCTCTCTCTATTTCATCTCTACTATTTCTCACAAACAACTGCACTACTCTACTACAAATGTTAAAAAAAATAATATTATTTTTTAACCCTACCACGCTCGTCTTTTTGCCAATAATTTTACTCCATCTAGTCGATATGGAATAATTTTTTTTTAATAATTTTTTTCGTACCCAGCTTGTTGCTTCTTCATCTGTTCTCTATTAAATTTTATTCTTTCTATTTTTTATCTCATATCACCTATTTGATAAACTATAAATTCCTTCCAACTATTCTCTTGTCAAATCATTCATTTCAAGTTTATATAACATTACATTTAAAAAATAATAATTTTGTATTTATCTCTTTTGGAAAAAAATTAATAATAATAATAATTTAAATTTTTAAAATTTAAATACCTTTTCTACCTTGTTAAATATATTTAAAAGATTCAAATGACTAATTAAAAATTCTATTTATAGTAATTAGATAAATTTAAAATGGGTAAGGAAAAGACTCACATTAACATCGTTGTCATCGGTCACGTAGATGCCGGTAAGTCCACCACCACTGGTCATTTGATCTACAAGTGCGGTGGTATCGACAAGCGTGTCATTGAGAAGTACGAAAAGGAGGCTGCCGAAATGGGTAAGCAATCCTTCAAGTACGCCTGGGTCATGGACAAGCTCAAGGCTGAACGTGAACGTGGTATCACCATCGATATTGCTCTCTGGAAGTTCGAAACCCCAAAGTACTACTTCACCATCATTGATGCCCCAGGACATCGTGATTTCATCAAGAACATGATTACCGGTACCTCCCAAGCCGATTGTGCCGTCCTCGTCATTGCCTCCCCAACTGGTGAGTTCGAAGCTGGTATTGCCAAGAACGGTCAAACCCGTGAACACGCTCTCCTCGCCTTCACCCTTGGTGTCCGTCAAATGATCGTCGCCATCAACAAGATGGACGAAAAGTCAACCAACTACTCCCAAGCCCGTTACGACGAAATCGTCAAGGAAACCTCCTCTTTCATCAAGAAGATCGGTTACAACCCAGAAAAGGTCTCCTTCATCCCAATCTCTGGTTGGAATGGTGACAACATGTTGGAACGTTCCCCACACATGGCCTGGTACAAGGGTCCAACTCTCCTCGAAGCCCTCGACGCCATCGTCGAACCAAAGCGTCCGGTTGACAAGCCACTCCGTATCCCACTCCAAGATGTCTACAAGATCGGTGGTATCGGAACAGTTCCAGTCGGTCGTGTCGAAACTGGTATCCTCAAGCCAGGTATGAACGTCACCTTCTCCCCAGCCAATCAAACCACTGAAGTCAAGTCTGTTGAAATGCATCACGAACAACTCACCCAAGCCCAACCAGGTGACAACGTCGGTTTCAACGTCAAGAATCTCTCCGTAAAGGATATCCGTCGTGGTATGGTTGCTGGTGACGCCAAGAACGACCCACCACAAGAATCTGAAAAGTTCACTGCTCAAGTTATCATTCTCAACCATCCAGGTCAAATCCATGCCGGTTACGCTCCAGTCTTGGATTGTCACACTGCTCACATTGCCTGCAAGTTCACCACCATCATCGACAAGGTCGATCGTCGTACTGGTGCCGTCGTCCCACGTGAAGGTACCGCTGAAATCGTTCTCAAGAACGGTGACTCTGCTATGGTCGAACTCACCCCATCCAAGCCAATGTGTGTTGAGTCATTCACTGAATACCCACCACTCGGTCGTTTCGCCGTCCGTGATATGCGTCAAACCGTCGCTGTCGGTGTCATCAAGTCCGTCACCAAGAAGGATCCAAAGGCCAAGACCCCAGCTGCTGGTAAGGCCGCCGCCAAGAAGAAGTAAATTATCGATCCAGTTAGTTTAACAACCTCTTGCAATAAATTTATACTATAACCCCAAAACAAACTCTCTTCTTTGTATTCTTTTATCCTTACAACTCTTTCAACTCTTTTATCCTTTCCTTTGTTTCCTTTGTTTCCTTTCCTTTGTTTCCTTTGTTTCCTTTCCTTTGTTTCCTTTGTTTCCTTTCCTTTCCTTTGTTTCCTTTCCTTTCAGTTCCTTTCCTTTCCTTTGTTTCCTTTGTTTCCTTTCCTTTGTTTCCTTTGTTTCCTTTCCTTTCCTTTGTTTCCTTTCCTTTCCTTTGTTTCCTTTGTATCCTTTGTTTCCTTTGTATCCTCCCAGCCATCTTTGTCTCCTCTCTCTCTCCTCTCTCTCTACTCCCAGCCATCTTTGTCTCTCTCTCCGACCAGCGTTGTCTCTCTCCTCTCTCCTCCCAGCCAGATTTGTCTCTCTCTCTCTCTCTCTCCTCCCAGCCAGCTTTGTCTCCTCTCTCTCCTCCCGGCCATCTTTGTCTTCTCTCTCTCTCTCTCTCTCTCTCTCTCTCTCTCTCTCCCCTCTCCTCCCAGGCACCTCTCCTAGCCAAGAGAGGCACCTCTCTTCTCTCCCAGCTTGAGAGGCACCTACTCCACCATTCACCTACTTTACCATCCACCATTCACCTGCTTCAATGGTGATGATGAATGATAGGAGTAGGTTACTACTTGTAGGTAGAGACTCACAATAAGCGGTCCAAATGACGATTGAGAGGTGGCTCTCTTGCCACTGCCATCTCCTCCCAGCCAGCCAAGGTATCCTCGAAGCACCTCCCATACTGCCCATGTGTCTTGGTTGAGTATCAAGACGAATAACTAATGAATAACATATTGGTGAAATATAATCCACAAGGTGGTCATGTTTATTGAGAAGAGGAAGAGGAAGATGAATCAGAGTCTGAAGAGGAATCCAAACCCAACTCAGAATCAGAATCTTGGGGAGGAGAGACTATTGATTGGACCCATGCCAATAGTGGCATAACCTTCCTAACATTGGGATCATTCTTGCAAACAATGAAATGTTTGACGCGTCTGTGATAGACGTAGATCCCAACGGTAGAGTCGAAGAACGGGACGATCGTTGGTTGGACAAATTGGACGACCTCGGGAAAAGTAGACAAAAGGGCCAATATTCTTCCCAGATTGACTGATCCGTTTACTAGAGTAATAAGTATAAGTATGTGATATGTTGGTTTCTTATTGATTGATTGATTGATATTTACGATTGTTCCTATATGATGCTACTATAATGTTGGGAAGAGGGTCAATGGTAGTGTGGGTAACCGCTCCCTCAAACAAATAGGTCCCAAATCTCTCCTCTTGAAGGAGTTCAAGTAATTCACTGTAGAGATGAATTGCAACGGCGTCTAGAGCATTCGACATTGATCTTCTCTCTCGAGTTGCCAATCGGTTGACCAAATTAATATTCTCCATTCCTCTTGTTGTTGTTGTTGTTGTTGTAAAGTATATATAATTGATAGTGTTGTAATAATCTTTGTTTGTAGAAGTTACAACTGATATTGTGAATCACAAGCCATTGCTAGTGTCTGTGTTATTGTTGAGTAAGAGGAGGAGGAGGAAGAGGGGGTAGTTGTGACGCTTGAGCCATCAGAGGATGCCAACCAGTATCGAGTCATCTATCTCTCTCTCTCTCTCTCTCTCTCTCTCTCTCTCTCTCTCTCTCTCTCTCTCTCTCTCTCTCTCTCTTGATGATTCGAGTTAGACTGTTGTTCTTTGTTTCGGTTCAAGAAATAGAGGAGGAGGACGAGGAGGATGAAGGAGATGGGGGGGAGTCAAGGTGAACCCCAAACCAGCGAAAAGAACCATCATAACCATTCTTGATATTATCTTTGCTACTATTCTAGTCTAGTATAGTGACACAAGTCTAATTGACCGCTTAGCGTTCTTCTCTTCACTCTTAGGTATCATAGAGGTGGTTGGCATGAAGTTGGTGTTCTGTTGCACCCAATATCGACTTTGTCTAATACTAGTACTTGTATGTAGTGACACACTGTAGGAGGTGTCTCTAGCTACAAATAGTAACCAGTCTAGTCTTGAGTATGGCCAATGCCATCTTCTCCTCTTTCCTCTCCTAGCACCTCTCCCCTACCTGCCACGGACATGATGATGATATGATGATGAATAAGCTGCAAATGAGTCCTGAAATAATTAGTTGTAATAATGAGAGTTGTAATAATGGAGGTGAAGTGTAATCATAGAGCAAAGTTGAAAAGATAACTGAAAGAGTTGTATGTGTGAAAAATTCATGAACAACAACCCACCAAAAATAATTCCTAAACCCAGGATAATCTCAAGCTCGTAGTGTAGAATTCATAACAAGTTTAGTTTATTGATATACATATATGGACCAAATCAATCCTCTTCTTCTTCCTCTTCTTCCTCCTCTTCTTCTTCCTCTTCCCTGGCATTCTTTTCGTTTTGCTTGTTGATCTTGTTTGCCTTTCTCTGGCCACGTTGCTTGATTTTGCGATAGATCTTGTAATGTGTGTGGCACATGGTCTTGTTGTAAGCGTAGGCAAGAATGAGTTCTTCACAATCCTTATCCTTGCAAGTGTTTGGTCGAAACACCATCCGGTTTGTGAGAGGGATTCCCTTGTCCAGGGAACAATTGGTGCTGCAGAATGGAGTTGGTTTGTCGGCTCTGATCCACTTGCTATCAATATTCATGACTTTGGATCCGCAGTTCAAACAATTGCGGTCGACCCTCTCGATGATAGCAGCGTCTACGATTGGAGGTGGAACAGGTATTCCAATACGAGGATGTGGAATTTCGTCTTCAACAAGCTCTGGGTAACGCATGTACTTGTACTCGCCATCCAACTTGAAGTGCTCGACTACGACAATCGACATGAGTCTGAAAAGTGATAGAAATGAATGATTTAGGTTAGTACAATTGCAAAGATAGTAGTAGTAGTAGTAGTAGTAGTAGTAGTAGTAGTAGTAGTAGTAGTAGTAGTAGTAGTAGTAGTAGTAGTAGTAGTAGTTGTTGTTGTTGTTGTAGTAGGGACATACTTTTGCACTAGTTCGTGATTGCTCGAAGTAACAGTAAAGATAGAGTTTGAGTGAACAGATACATTGTTGTAAACTTGTTCCAAACAACGTACAGCACGCTCGAGAAGGAACTCGCCATTGGGCAATTCGATGTCTTTGAATTTGGCATCTTGGGCAGCCCTTCTTACCAAATTACCTATTGGCTCACGCGAAACGTGTGGCTTGTGGCTATTCTCGTCATCACTCTCACTGTCGGTGTCTTCATCAGCCTCTTTGGCTAGGGCTTGGGCGTCAGCCTCTTCGAGCTTGCCACAAGTATACTCCATGTGTTCTTCCATATCTTCGAGATGTCTCCATGTTTGACAACCTGGGCAATTGACCTGACCTAGTTGGTTGGCACATCTGAATCGGTGAGATTGGTATTGAGTTGTTGTCAATTGATTGTTGCAATTCTTGCAAGTAATAATTTGTTGTTGGTTGTTCTTGTTGTTATTATTGTTGTTGTTGTTAACAGGAGTTGCTTGTTCTTCTTGTTTGACTTTGAATTGATCCCAATATGAATTCATTCTAGCCTTATCACCTCTGATCTCTCCCTCGAGCGCGAGGATTTCACTCTTGAGTCGTTGCACCTCTTCACCACGGTTCGCATACTCGAAATCGGTTTCGTCTTGGATCGCGAAGAATTGTTCGATATCATCGCTGCAGTTGTTGTATCTGGCCTCGAGGGCCGAGAAGATGGCAATGTGTTGACTGACCAAGTCATGCTTTTGTTTGTATTGTCGGTACTTGATTATTGTTTGTTGGCACAAGTCGCGATACTCTTCCTTGGTCATGACATTGGCAGTAGAAGTAGAAGTAGAAGTTGTACTGGTATTGTTATTGTTGTTGGTATTGGTATTGGTATTGGTATTCTTGTTGTTATTGTTGTTATTGTTGTTATTGTTGCTGTTGTTAACAGGAGTTACTTGTTCTTCTTCTTTCTCATTGGCAAAGACTTGATACCAATATGATTCCAATCTAACCTTCTCACATTCGATCTCTCCCTCGAGTGTGAAGATTTCACTCTGGAGTCGTTTCACCTCTTCGTCACGGTCCGCATGCTCGAAATCGGTTTCGTCTTGGATCGCGATGAGTTCGTCTGGATCGCTGCAGTTGTTGTATCTGGCCTCGAGGGCCGAGAAGATGGCAATGTGTTGACTGACCAAGTCTTGCTTTTGTTTGTATTGGCGGTACTTGATTATTGTTTGGTGATGAAAGTTGCGATACTCTTCCTTGGTCATGACATTGGCAGTAGAAGTAGAAGTTGTACTGGTGGTAGAGGTTGTACTAGTTGTACTGGTAGTAGAGGTAGTGTTGTCTATATCCATTAGTACAAGGATAATAGTAAACTAATGAATAGAACTAATTATCTCACAAGAGTGTATTGATTGACGAAAGAATAAGTGGTGATGATGACGATGATGATTGTTGTCGGTAAAGTGAAGAGGAGGAGGAAGAGGGGTGGTTGTGATGCTTGAGCCATCAGAGGATGCCAACCAGTATCGAGTCATCTATCTCTCTCTCTCTCTCTCTCTCTCTCTCTCTCTCTCTCTCTCTCTCTCTCTCTCTCTCTCTCTCTCTTGATGATTCGAGTTAGACTGTTGTTCTTTGTTTCGGTTCGAGAAATAGAGGAGGAGGACGAGGAGGATGAAGGAGATGGGGGGGAGTCAAGGTGAACCCCAAACCAGCGAAAAGAACCATCATAACCATTCTTGATATTATCTTTGCTACTATTCTAGTCTAGTATAGTGACACAAGTCTAATTGATTGTTCTCTCGATTGAGTGCTCTTCACCCCAACAACAACAACAACAACAACAACAACAACTCGAAACCAAAATCCAAAATATATGAAATAATTGCATTGTATAGTTAGATACCACTATAGTGTTGTGACTCTTGGGGGTCTTGTTGAGGGGCGATAGATAGAAGGGACTAGAGGGCACAAGGAAGATGATGGAGAAGAGTGCCAATAGCTTTGCTACCTGCTTTTGCAAGCCTTCTGTGACACGGCCTCCCTCGTTTCCAGTGCTCTGGCGAGCAAACAACCATACACGATTGATTTGGTTCATATCTTGATCCTCGAACTGCTTCCTAATCTGGTCGAGGGATTTGTAATTGTTGTTTCGTTGATTGGGTAAATTTGGTTGATTGTTGTTGTTGTTGTTGTTGTTGTTGGGTTGATTGAGTAGATTTGGTTGATTGTTGTTGTTATTGTTGTTATTGTTGGGTTGATTTGGTTGATTGTTGTTTCGTTGATTGGGTTGATTGTTGTTGTTGTTGTTGTTGGGTTGATTTGGTTGATTTGGTTGATTGTTGTTTCGTTGATTGGGTTGATTGGTTGATTGTTGTTGTTGTTGTTGTTGTTGTTGTTGTTGTTGTTGTTGTTGTTGTTGTTGTTGTTGTTGTTGTTGTTGTTGTTTCTTCTATTGGCCAACAATGCAACATTCATTTGATCTCGCCTGGCGTTACGAACGATGGCTTCGTCATTCCGTACTTTGATCACTCCACGTTTGGCAATGGAAGTCAACACTTTGTTATTTGAGAGGTTGTCGATGGTAATCAAAAATATTGACACATTGGTTTTGTTCCAATCGAAAGAGTGGAACCATTTGGCGGCATCCAGGTAGCAGTTGTTGGCTCCGGCAACATTCTTGAAACTATGGTTGAGTGATTCTATAATAATACAAATGATAGAAAATAATACAATAATTAGTTAATGATTCATTGTCTTGTAATTCATGTATTTGTACAATAACATACTATCTATAGTATCAATATCTGGACAATCTTGAGAGAATCCCAAAAGATAGGAGCCAGAGCGGGAGTTGATGGTGGCATTTCGGGTTTCAAATACAGAGATCAACGAGTCAAAGTATTTGTCAATGATACCATATGGTATATCCAAATATTGAGCACCAAAACATTTGCGGCGAATGTAGGTATGGAGGACCACCTTTTCGGACTCTGTAGGGAACTTGAAGGCAATACGGTTATTGGTAGTCTGTTGGTTCACAAATCGATTGCGTCCCAACAAGTGGACGACTTGCTTCTTGATGAGAAATTTCACCAACAACTTGGTGTTTTCCGTGAGAAGGTTGGCATATGTATCGTCTCTAAACATTCTACGGGTTCTAAGAGTCGAGATGTTGTAGACATTGGGGTCGGTTGCCTCGTCGCAGTATGCCACCAAATATCGAAACAAGACGAACTGGAACCCCACTGGATGGGGCAGAGTTGTGAAGCCTAAAGGAAAGGCGTTCTTTGCATAGACGTATGCAAAGAGGTGACAGACATCAATGTCTTCGAAACCATCGATAACAATCGGACCACCATCATTGTTTGGATCTTGAGAAGATGAAGATGAAGTTGAACCAGAGTCTGAATCTGAATCTGAATCTGAATCTTGGGGAGGAGAAACAATTGATTGGACCCATGCCAATAGTGGCATAACCTTCCTAACATTGGGATCATTCTTGCAAACAATGCAATGCTTGATTCGTCTGTAATACACGTAGATCCCAACGGTAGAGTCAAAGAATGGGACAATAGTCGGTCCAACGATTTGGACGACCTCTGGGAATGTAGACAACAGCGACAATATTCTTCCCAGTTTGACAGATCCGTTTGCTATAGTAATAGTAATAGTAAATAATAGTATAAGTATGTGATATATGATATATTGGTTTCTTATTGATGATTGATTGATATTTACGATTGGTCATATATGATGCATATATAATGTTGGGAAGAGGGTCAATGGTATACCTTTGGTATCTATTGTGGGTAACCGCTCCCTCAAACAAATAGGACCCAAATCTCTCCTCTTGAAGGAGTTCAAGTAATCCGGTGTAGAGATGGATTGCATTGGCCTCTAGAGCATTCGACATTGATTCATATCCTCTCTCTCGAGTTGCCAATCGGTTGACCCAATTGACAATATTCTCCATTCTCTTGTTGTTGTTGTTGTTGTTGTAAAGTATATATAATTGATAGTGTTGTAATAATCTTTGTTTGTAGAAGTTACAACTGATATTGTGAATCACAAGCCATTGCTAGTGTCTGTGTTATTGTTGAGTAAGAGGAGGAGGAAGAGGAGTAGTTGTGATGCTTGAGCCATCAGAGGATGCCAACCAGTATCGAGTCATCTCTCTCTCTCTCTATCTCTCTCTTGATGATTCGAGTTAGACTGTTGTTCTTTGTTTCGGTTCAAGAAATAGAGGAGGAGGACGAGGAGGATGAAGGAGATGGGGGGGGGGAGTCAAGGTGAACCCCAAACCAGCGAAAAGAACCATCATAACCATTCTTGATATTATCTTTGCTACTATTCTAGTCTAGAAAAGTGACACAAGTCTAATTGATTGTTCACTGCTCTTCACACTCGTAAAAGAATAATTGAACCGTAATTCAAAAATTTACCATTATTTCCCTGAGGGTGAAAAGCACTCACTCGAGAGAACAATCCATTAGACTTGTGTCACTATGCTAGACTAGAATAGTAGCAAAGATAATATCAAGCCAAGCTAAATGATGGTTTACCTTGACCCCTTCTCTTCCTCCTCCTGAACAACAGTCTAACTCGAAGCATCAAGAGAGAGAGAGATAGAGAGAGAGAGAGATGACTCGATACTGGTTGGCATCCTCTGAAGTTCAAGCGTCACAACTACCCCTCTTCCTCCTCCTCTTACTCAACAATAACACAAACACTAGCAATGCAAGGATATATCATATCATTCAGAGATACTTTGACTCGTTGACCAGTATCTTTGAAACTCGAAATGCCACCATCAACTCCCGTTGTGGCTCCTATCTTTTGGAATTCTCTCAAGATTTATAGATAGTATGTTGGTACAAATACATGAATCATTCACTAATATTATTATTATATACTCAACCATAGTTTCAAAGAATGTTGCTGGAGCCAACAACTGCTACCTGGATGCCGCCAAATGGTTCAACTCATTCAAAGCAATGTGTCATTATTTCTGATTACCATCGACAAACTCTCAAATAACAAAGTGTTGACTTACCTTGCCAAACGGGTGACCAAAATACGAAAGGTCGAAGCCGTCGCTGCAATGAGGGAATGTAAATTATTTGTACTTTCAAGTAAATGAGTATAGTAGTTGGCAATATGAGAGACATCATAGGGACACCCTTCCAAGAGTGAAACTAGATGTGAGATATTATTGATGACCGATGATGCTGCATCGGTGAGTATCCTATCCAACTGTTCAGTATTGCTATTGGTCGATATCGATGACAATGTCTTGGTATCGATAATGATTATGAGGGAAGTTTGTTTGTCCCAATTGTTGTGATGCGTCTGTTGTAGTTGTTGAATCGATTGATAATTAATCTACCTTTTGCTTCAACAAAACTCAAACAAAAATTATCATTTAATTTGAAATTCTTTCTGAGCTGAAGCCTCAAAACAAATCGGAGCTGATTATTTATATTATTATTGACTACAACAACAAGAACAATAATTCAAAGAGAGAGAGAGGGTGAGTGATTCCTCTTGATGAGAGAGTACTATTGCAATGGAGTATACCCTCTCCCTTCTTCCTCCACTGATCAACAGATCGATATTTGTGATATCTTTGTTGTAGTATCAAGAAGAGACAAACAGGGTTGTATTGGCCATTCAAACTTATCTATTGCTGTTGCTCGATGACACTGCTGGTCCAAAGGTAAGTATATACAATACAAAGTATAAATTGAGTACATCATCAACTAACAATTGAATCTCTTTCACTATCACTCTGACAGAGTTAGATTTGTGCTAGCATTGTAATATAGCAGAAGCTCCTCTCTGCTGCTCTTTCTGTTTCAAGTGAGCCAGCACAAGATCCAAACGGTTCCGGTCCAGTTGTTGTCGAGAACATGGATGCCATCGACGCTTTCCACTTCAAGTAGTTCAAGCAATGATCCAGTGTTGAGATGGGCTGCAATGTTGAAATGAGTGCATTTGCTGTATATCCTCTCTATAGACCGTGGAACAGGTGGTCCTCCACACCTATGTCACCAGAAAGACGTTTGGTCCACACTACTTGAGCATACCATATGCCATCATCAAGGAGTACTTTGGCTCATTGCAAAGTATCATGGAGACAAGAGACGCTACCATCAACAGTCGAAATGATTCTTATCTGTTGGCATTTCAAGGTTGTGAAGAGAATATTCATAGTATGTATTACACTTTGACATTGTTACATTACACTTTGGTATTGTTAATTTACACTTTGACAAAGACAACAACGATAACTAATATTATTATTATTTTAGATGGTACCTTCGACCTTTTGTAGTGCAATTCATCTCTCGACGCCATTGCAATCCATCTCTACACTGAATTACTTGGACTCCTTCGAGAGGAGAGATTTGGGTCCTATTTGTTTGAGGGAGCGGTTACCCACAATAGATACCAATGGTATACCATTGACCCTCTTCCCAACATTATAGTAGCATCATATAAGACCAATCGTAAATATCAATCAATCATCAATAAGAAACCAATATATCATATATCACATACTTATACTATTATTTACTATTACTATTACTGTAGCAAACGGAGCAATCAAACTGGGAAGAATATTGTCACTTTTGTCTATCCAAATCGTTGGTTAATGAGTGGTTGCAGAGTTGGGGGTATGTGGAACATCCTACTTCTTGGAAGAGCCCACGCTGATGGTGTCGAGAGAGGTATTTACATTATGGATTGTGGCTACCAGGTGGTCCACCGTATTGTCTTGGATCAAGGCATCATCAAATTCGTTGATGTTGACTACGCTCAATTCAAACAAGACATGCTCAACATGTCTGAAACTTACTATTTCTACTCAAGTGATATGGGTGGTTATGCCAGTCGGTTGCACACTTCAAAACATCTCATGAAGAATGTGCACACTGACAATCAGGTCAAGGATGCCTTCTCCAAGGCATTTGACCAGGTCAGAGACGTTGCCTTTTGGGCAAGATCGTCCAACACTAGATTTGAAACTGTAGCATGATTTGGTAGTTGACACTCCTGGAGTCCTTTGGTTGACTAGTGGTGCTGGTGGAAGTGGTGCTGGTAGAAGTTGCTGGTAGAAGTGCTGGTGGAAGTGGTGCTGGTGGAAGTGGTGGTGGCAGCTGCCACACTACAGTATCGATGATCAAGCATGTCATTGTCTTGGCGTTTCAAGATTGAGATGATAATGGTATGTATTAATTATTATTACTTTACACTTTGCCACTATCACTTTACACTTTGCCATTATTACTATTATTGCTACCAAAAAAGACAACAACAATAACTAATATTCTTTCATAATTATTAGAAGAAGTTCAATACACCAATGTTGATGGATTGTTAGAAAGTTTACGATGCATGGTGGTGTCCTCAAATAAGAAACCAACAATCTTGACATCATCAACAACAACAACACAACACAACACCTAAAAGAATACAATAATAACCTCGGATGAATTCCAATCTGTGAGATTTGTAATTGACTGTTGGCAGATCAGTACTGAATATTCAACAATCAACAATCGATTCAACAATTCATTACAAATCTCATAGATCGGAATTGATTGACCAGGATGGATCAGTGCCAATCTTGGTGACTGTGTTTCCAAAGCACCTGCTCGCTCTCGGGATATATATAATCATTCATGTGTGACTGTTGTTGTTGTGCTCACGTCATTGTTGCATATTATCGATCGATTATGATCTCTTTATCTAAATAAATGTATACTACTCAAAAGCTTGAACTCCAAACGATCTTTCAATCAATAGTAGAAATAGATTCTTTGATTTGTCAATATTCCCAAACTATTATCGTTTCAGGTCATTCAGTTCTTTGACACCACCGATGGAATCTAATGTACCGAGAAGTCAAGCACGTCAAAGTCTCCAAAAGAATGATCTTCATGTGGGGAAAGTCATCCAATACATAGTATGTATTAATTACTATTGTTACTAATTCATTTACATATATATATCACTCTCTAGAAAACCTAGGATCAGAGATCATGATGACAATGATAATAACAGCAACAAAATTAAGGAATACTTTGTTGTTCGATCTCTGACTACCTACCAGTAAATCATATTCTTGATGAAATCTCGATCCATGCCTGGGGGCATCAATGATACTTTGGCAGGGGTTCGAACTTCCAGAGAGCAATATCGATGGTGATACCACGTTCACGCTCAGCCTTGAGCTTGTCCATGACCCAGACGTACTTGAAGGATTGCTTACCCATTTCAGCAGCCTCCTTCTAGTATTTCTCAATGACATGCTTGTCGATTACTTGCCCATTTCAGCAGCTTCCCTCGAAACCACTCTCGTCAATGTTCAAACAAACAATTGTGGTACAAGTCTGGAAAGTGGTAGTAGTGGTGGTTTACCAAAAAAGAAATGGGGTTGCTCGTTTTGTAAACAGTAATAATAATAAATATATCCATTGAACAAATAAATATTTATATCTATATTCATTTCAATTTCTTCTTTATGTATTTGTAGTAATTGTAATAAATATAATTCAATGGGAAGAATTAGTTTAGATTTGCTAGTAGAAAGTGTATCAAAAGGAATTGAATTGAAACAAATCAAAGCAAAAGAATCCATATCCTTATTGATCGAAAGATCAAAATCAATAGATCCAATTCTATACCAATATTTGAATGTACATACCAAACCAAATGCAATCCTAACAAACCAATATTCATTAATACTATTATATATAGGAGATCCAAAACACTCAAGACAATGAAAAAGAATGGGTATTGATAATGGCAGATAAATTCAAAAATACTAGTACCATTGCCAATGATATCATGACGATTCGTAAACAACTATGTCTATCGATCCAACAAGATTTGGATGAATTCAAAGAGACTGTTACCCAACAACAATCAGTCAAACAGGAACTAAACATCAACTCGAGTCCAACCTTTTCGCCACTCTATACCAGGTTATTACAATTGGAACAATTCCTCTTTCAATTAATTTGAATCGTGACCAAGACCAAAATAAATTACCAAAGAAAATGTTGGTTTATTATTATTATATTATTGACATGTACCGATTATTATTATTACGAGTTTTAGATTCTTATTAATAATTCTCAGTTGAATATGGTTGTTGTGGTTGTTTATCTTTTTGTGATTGTTTACTAAATAAATCTTGTTCTCTCTTTTGTTTCATACGTAATAAATATCTAAGAGAAAAGAAACTGATTAGTTCAAAAAAGATCTTCTTTTCTCCTCTTTTCTTTCTTGTTCTTCTTTGTTACATACTCATCATATTGACACTTTTCATATGCATGTCTTTCATCAGAACATTTCCAAGGTGCATAACTTTCCTTTACTCTACAATTGTTTAATGGTATCAATAAATGAGCACAATAATCTCTAAAGTTTAAAGGAATTGCATTTGCTTCCAATTCTTCTGATGTTGCAATCATTACTAAAGTATATGTATATGTATATGTATATAGACATCATGTTAGTTGTGGTGGTCATATCTTTCTTTATCTCTTTATCTATTCCTTTACCTCTAGTTCCATCTGGTCTAATAGTAAGTGGTGGAGTTTCGTGATGACCCATTTCTCTTATTCTCTTCTTTTGATAATATATATAAACTTAAATATGATCGCAAACTACTACTATTATCTCTTTGCTCACACACCAACACCAAGCAATGACGCTCGATGATCATCATTAAAATTTAATTTTGACAAAATTTCTTTCTGTACATTCAAACTTTTCTTTATCGATTATTAAACAAGTAATAGATAGATAAATAGATAATAGAGAGAGATGGCAGGATTACTTAATAAATTGATCCCACTTGCTTTAACAGTTGGTACTGGTTTATCATTGATTGAAGGTTCAATCTATAATGGTAAGGAGAATGAAAAGAAAAGATAAATAGAAAACAATCATCAGTATGACTTATTCTTCTTCTCTTTTCCTTTTCTATTTAGTTGACGGAGGACAAAGAGCAGTTATATTTGATAGAATAGCAGGAGTTAAAGATGTAGTAGTTGGGGAAGGTACACATTTCATCATTCCATGGCTTCAAAAGCCACACATTTTCGATGTTAGAACTACACCAAGAACCATCAAATCAGAGACTGGTTCAAAGGATCTTCAAACCATCAACATTCAACTTCGTGTATTATTTAGACCAGACACTGAAAAGTTACCACAAATCTTTTCTAAACTTGGTATGGATTATGATGAAAGAGTTTTACCTTCACTTGGTAATGAAGTATTGAAATCCGTAGTAGTAAGTAAAATAGAATCTATATTTGATCGTTATTTCATTTTCTTATTCTTTTCTCTACTCTCTAGGCACAATATGATGCAGGAGAATTAATTACACAAAGAGAAATTGTATCAAGAGAGATTCGTGAAGCATTGACAAAGAGATCAAGAGAATTTAATTTAATGTTGGACGATGTATCGATTACACATCTTTCGTTTTCCCAAGATTTCACAAGTGCCATTGAACACAAGCAAGTAGCTCAACAAGAAGCTGAACGTTCCAAATACGTAGTCATGAAGAATGAACAAGAGAAAAAGGCTGCCATCATTAGAGCAGAGGGTGAGAGTGAGGCTGCCAAACTCTTGTCTCAAGCAATGGCATCGGGTCCAGGTTTTATCGAATTACGTCGTATCGAAGCTGCCAAGGAAATCGCAGAATCTCTCGCAAAGAATAGTCGTGTCACTTATCTACCAAATTCTGGTAACATGCTGTTAAATTTAAATACTTCAAGTAAATAAATAATAAAGTGTAAGGAAAAGATTGGTTATATATAATTACTAGTAATTTAAATTTATTTCTGAAATAAATTCATAATAATAGTTTGGGAATAAAACAATATTGACAGAAAAGAATCTACTATTGATTGAAAGATCGTTTCGAGTTCAAGCTTTGAGTAGTATACATTTATTTAGATAAAGAGATCATAACCGATCGATAATATGCAACAATGACGTGGTCACAACAACAACAGTCACACATGAATGATTATATATCCCGAGAGCGAGCAGGTGCTTTGGAAACACAGTCACCAAGATTGGCACTGATCCATCCTGGTCAATCAATTCCGATCTATGAGATTTGTAATGAATTGTTGAATCGATTGTTGATTGTTGAATATTCAGTACTGATCTGCCAACAGTCAATTACAAATCTCACAGATTGGAATTCATCCTAGGTTATTAGTGCTATTCTTTTAGGTTGTTGTTGTTGTTGATGATCTCAAGAAATAATGGCAAAGTGTAAAGTAACAATAATAATTAATACATACCATTATCATCTCAATCTTGAACCCCCAACTCTGCAACCACTCATTAACCTCCCGAAGAATGGGACAATAGTTGGTCCAACGATTTGGATAGAAAAGTGACAATATTCTTCCCAGTTTGATTGCTCCGTTTGCTACAGTAATAGTAATGGTAAATAATAGTATAAGTATGTGATATATATATATGTTGGTTTCTTATTGATTGATTGATATTTACGATTGGTCCTATATGATGCATATATAATGTTGGGAAGAGGGTCAAATGTATACCTTTGGTATCTAGTGTGGATAACCGCTCCCTCAAACAGATAAAACCCAAATCTCTCCTCTCGAAGGAATCCAAGTAATTCAGTGTAGAGATGGGTTCAATTATTTATTTGTTTTAGAGTTTTGCTCAAGCAAAGGGGAGATTAATAATTCCAGACTTGTACCACAATTGTTTGTTAGTGAACATAGACGAGAGTGGTTTCGAGGGAAGCTGCTGAAATGGGTAAGCAATCCTTAAGTACGCTTGGGTCATGGACAATCTCAAGGCTGAAAGTGAACGTGGTATCACCATCGATATTGCTCTCTGATTGATTATTGTGCAACTATGCCTACCAACCCTTTAGGATATCAATATTCAGGATGGTTGGTTCACAATGTCATTAACTCTCTTGATAATATTACATTTGAATTTACCCAATGTTATCCACAATATGATGATTCTATTTTTCTATTTCTTTGCCAACTCTCTTTCCAAAATCAATGAGTTCTCTTGAGTTTGCATGTGGAAAATTCAAAAGTATTCAATAAATTGGTTATATATAATTAGTAATTTAAATTTATTTCTTCTTTTCTTTCTTTCTTTCTTTTGGTACAAAAAATATTTTAGTTTTGATTGTTGGTTTCTATATATTATTATTATCTCTAGTTGGGGTTAGTTAGAATAGTCGTGTAGTTACTTGGGAACCGCCCTGACTCATTTTTCTCATTTGAACCAAAGAACCAACCTTCATCTTCATATTCTATAGTTAGGAGTTCACCTTCTTTGATACCCAATTCACCTTCGCAATCGCTGTGATAGTCATAGAGCACTTTACATTTACTACCGGCCACATCGACCTTTTTCGTTTGGGTAGAGTCTGTAGAGAGTACAAAGTTGCTTGGGAACATGCCAATTTTGCCATCGCCTCCAACTACTGTACCTCTCCACCATCCAGATTCATCCTTCATGATAACTTTGATAATGTTGTTTGATTTGAATGATATTTCATTTTCTTCAGTCTCTGAATAATCATAGAGTGCTCGTACTGTATCTGTAATCACCATATCCTCTACTGATCTTGAATTGGTTACATTGGCTCCATTTATAGGTGATGATGTGACACTATCCCTACCTCCGCCACCACTACTACTACTAATTGAACTACCCAAACTATGTCTTGATTTACTATTTTCTCCATTTTGTAATGGACTGTTGGCTTGTGATGTAGAAAGAGCAGAGAATGATAAATGAGATGATGATTGATATGGTTCATATTGTGATTCTGCTGGTTTTTGTGCTCCACTCATTTTCTCCATTATAAATGATTGTATATCTTTATCTCTATCTATATTTTCAAATCCTTTTCGAATATTCTAAAGAGAAAATAAAAAATTAATAAATTAATAAGATTGTTTTTTTTTCTATTTTCTCATACTTCATTTGAAATTGAAACCAAAGGAGGAATAGTTTCAGTAAATTTAATAATATCCAACATCCAATCTTTTGTTTTATCCAATCTTTCAACTTCAAAACGTTGTAGGTCATCTAGAATTTTAGGCATTTCTTCGTGATAGAATTTTGTTTGATTGAGTTGTAATTGTTTGACCGAATCTTTGTATTCATTGTCTGCACGATCAGCAGCCTTTGTAGCAGTTTCAACATTCTTTCTTGCCTTTTGTTCTTTGGCACCTGGAGGTTGTTTGCTTAAATCTTCATGTGCCTCTTCTTGTTTCTTTTTCAACTTTTCATAATTTTGTTTTGCTTTTGATTCATTTGCTTCTGCAGTCTTTAAATCTTTTGTTAATTTTTCTCCTGATGCTACCAACTTGGGAAAGTAAAAAAAAAATATATTAATACATATTATAATATATATATATTCTCTATTTGTTTCTACTTACAGCCTTCCTTTGTTTTCTTGATTCTTCTAAATAAAATTCAACGTTGCTAGCTATAAGCTTTTCCAATTTTTGAGAAAATTCATCATGTAGATTAGAGATTGCTTCCAATTGATCTCTATAGACTTGCCATGAATCTCTTAGTGTTCCAATCTCCATGTCTGGTGCCAATGATTTATCTTTACATAATTTGATCATGCTCTTGGCATAGGCCGATTCGATTTGTTGTTGTTTTGATAGGAATTTACTCATCGTATTGGTAAATACTTTACCATTTTCTACTTTTTTTACTACTCCTTCAAATTTATCCTAAAAAAAAAAGAATAAGAATAAGAAGAATAAGAATAAGAAGAAGAATAAGTATGATAATGATAATGATAATGATTATCTCTCATTCTTTTCTTTAATTATTTTCATACCCATAAATCTTCAGAGAAACCTCTAGTTCTAATTGCCGATGTCATCTTTCGGTTAGGGGTTTAGTTATATATATATATTAATCTTTTTTTCTATATCTATCTATATCTTATGTTATCTAGCTATGATTCTCTCTTCTCTTTTTGTTAAATAATTGAAAAAGTCTCTCTAATGTTTATTGTCTGTTGCTTGCTTGCTTGCTACTACTGTTACAATCAAAAAAAAAAAACAAAACAACTCGAGAGGAGTGTGAGTACAAGAAAGAAAGAAAGAGGGGAGAGAGATAGAGAGTGGGTGTTGGAGTGTTAACAAATAAATATAGTATGGTGTGTTTGGGTTATGTCTGTTTGTGTGTGTATTATTAACGCTATAGGCACCCCCCTTAATCAAAACAAACGCAGCAAACCTAACCAATGTGTTTTTTTTTTTTTTTTTTTTTTTTTCAATGGTTGGTTGACTGCTCTCCCACTCCTACTTTATTGTCCATCACCTGAAATCACTATGGAGTGAAAATGAATGAATGAATGAATGTTGTTTGTGTTTGGTATGTATGAATGAATGAATCGCGATTGATTAATGTATGGTGTACAAGAAATACTTTGTGTAAAATTTGGTTTTATTAATTAACTTATTAATTATCAAAGAAATGAATAGGCTTTGAACCTATTGATTGATTGATTGATTGATTGATTGATTGATTGATTGATTGATGTCAAAAGGTCATTCAACAGTATTCCGTTGTTTATGTGATGAAGTATACTATAACATGTAATATTCATGATCAGAGAAACAAGTCCAAGAGACTCTTTTTCTTTTGCGCCAAAAAAAAAAAAAAAAAGGTTAATTTTTTATATTTTTTTTTTTTTTTTTTTTGAAGATCATTGGTGGGTGCGATGATGTACTTTATTTTCTAAACTATATAACACCTTCTAGATATCTTTAGAGAGATATATGATGAAAATGTCAATCATATCAAAAAGAGTAATAATAATCTCTTCTTTATTATTATTACTTTTTATATCATTATCATCTTCATCTACTTTATCATCTTCTACATCGGAAGAAATAGGAATTAGTGTAGTAAGTTTATTATTACCATATACACAATCAAAAGCACAAGTATATTACAAGTTGGAAGCCAAGAATGGATGTTTTGATTGGACAACCAATAATCCCGAACTCTTATCACTCGACATTCAATACGAGTCGCAATCAGCTGCATCTTGTGATCAACCAAACCAACAACCTATTCAACCTATTCAACCTATCAATGATTTAACAACATTGTTGTTGTTGGAAGAGAATCAAGAGAAATGTAGCAAGTCTGTATTGGTTGGAGTAAAGTCTGGATTCAGTGAACGTTTGTCGACACTGATCATTGCCGAGGAAAAGAGTACTGGTGTTAAACTGCGTTGTGAGGTGTTTGTAGACCGAATCTCACAGATTGGTATCAAATCGACCACTAGAACCATGTACAAGGATTCGGTTGAAGTGCTCGAAGTGCAAGCACTCGATTCACAAGGCAACATTTTCTCGACCATCTTGGGCGTCGAGTTTGAATGGACCGTGTCATCTGGCACCATCCTCCAAATCGTCCCATTCAAAGACCACAAGATGACCAATAACCCAGTCCTCCTCTCCATGGAACAACGTGGACTACAAAGTTCCCAAGTCCTCGTACAAGGTATCGATACTGGTCGTGCTGAAATCACCGTCAAACTCACCGAACAAAATTATAAACCTGTCAAACCAACCTCGGTCGTCATCTCTGTCCTTGAACCACTTAGTCTCAATCCTTCTCAATTACTCTATGTTATTCCTGGTACTCAAATTCAATATATTCTTCAATCTGAAAAACGTAATCAAATTGAAAGTAAGTAAAAAAAAACAAATAAGAAAAGAAAAGAAAAGAAATATTAATATTTTTAATTTTTAATTTTTTTATTTAGAAATAAATATGCCAAATTCACAATATTTATGGTCAACAAATAATAATAAAGTTGGAGTAGTAGATAATAGTGGTTTATTTATGGCAATTAATTTTGGAAAGACAGATTTGACAGTTCAACATGTAGATATGAGTGAAAATCGTGCTCATACATCGATTCATGTTGTCAATCCATCGTATCTTGCCATCAAGGTCGAAGCATTGAATCTACCAAATGGTCAAACCGCCCCAGTCACCAATTGGAATTTGATTCAAGGTAAAAACTATACACTCATCGTAGAGTTGTATGATGCCTCTGGTCACAAGATTTATAATTCCGACATTTCCTACAATGTTGAAATCTCTAAAGATTATTTCCAACCAATCTCTTCTTCTTCTGTTCAATCAAAAACTCCTTCCGATCATTATCATATTAAACCAATCTTGGATGGTTCAACTATTATTAAAGCTAGTTTATTAAAGATTTATGTAAATAGAAAAGAAAAAAGAAATATAAATATAAATATAATATTAATTTTTTCTCTCTCTTTTTTTTGATATTTTTTTTAGGATCCAAAAGTAGGAAAATTTATAAATTTAATTAATCCAATAATGGTAGAACAAGAATTAATAATTAGTAAACAAATCAAGATTGAACCAAATACAGTTTATTTACCATTTGTAAACAAGAATACTCAACAATATCAATTCAAGGCAATTGGAGGATTAGGAGAATACAATTGGTACACAAATAATCGTAGTTTGATTGATATCGATCAACAAGGTATCATTCAAACTACATTTAAAAAGGGATCTGGCAAGGTCATTGTGGTTGACAAAAAGAATCCACATAATCGTGATGAAGGTCAAGTACATATTGTTGACCCTAGTTTGATCGAGTTTGTACCATCCAAGGTTGAAGTAGAGATTGGTCAACCACTCGTCCTCTCTACCATTGTCAAGACGCTTACCCACGGGTTTGACAATTGTTCAGTAGTCGATCTCTCTTGGAAGTTGCAAGATTCAAAGATCTTTTCAATCAATCCTGTCACTCAAGACCAACAAAAGTTGACTGCCAACTATTGTTCTAGTAAACAAATCACACCCATCCGTGAAGGTAATACATTGGTAACGGTTGAATTGGGCGAGACCATGAAGGCCCAACAACGTATCTTTGCCTATCCACCTCTTCGACTTGACAAGGATGAAGCTCTTGTTACCCTTGGTTCATCGGTCGACATTCAACATCAAGGTGGTCCAGAACAATGGTACTTGGAACCAAAGTCTTTCTTTCAGCAAGTAGATGCCGAGAATCCAGCATCTGTCAAGATTCAAATCATCAATCCTTCTAGTTTCCGTGTCACTTGTTTGGCTCATGGTGAACAATACATTACACTTTGTGTAGGAAACAAACCAACCACCACAAACCCATTCCCAGCTCAACCTTGCGTCAAATTATTTTATAATTGTCAATTACCAAAATCTTTAAAATTAATTATGAATCAAGAAAATATTAATATTAATAATAATAATAATAATAATAATGATTGTAAAGATTTAATTACTTCATCCACTTCATCTTCTTCTACTTCTGAAAATATATTAAAAATTAGAAATAATCGTCAATTGGAATTATCAATTCAAGTTTATGATCAAAATGGTAAAGAATTTACAAATCATTCAACCCTTTCTTATGATTGGTCTACTACTAGTGGAAAGAATCTTGATCAACTACAACTAGTTGAATTTAATCAACCAAATTCAAAAAAATCAATGAATCAATTAATATTATTTGATCGTATTGGAAAGACAATGATTTTTGGTAAAATGGTTGGTTATAATATTGATATGCTTAATCATGAACGTATCACTACCTATAATCCTATTCAACCACTTGTTGGTCAATTGGAATTGGAATTATTATCAAATATTCTATTAGATCCACAATCAACTACAATTTATCTATCAAACAAGAATCAAATTCCACTTCAAGTAATTGGTGGTAGTCGTCATTTTACACTTTCATCAAACAATACAAAGATTGCAACATTGGAGAAAAAATTGGATCAAATTCGTTTATTACCAATTTATCCAGGTTACCTCAAGGTCACAATCAATGATAATTGTTTAGAATCAACTTCATCATCGGTGGTTTTAATTTCCGATGTCAATGCAATCAATGTTCGTGTTGAAGAATTAATTTCAATTGGTAAATCAATCGATTTGGAATTGGAAGCATTGGCTAGTGATGGTCAAGAATTCTCAAAGGATCAATATCAATTTATCAACTTTATTCCACATATTGATAATCCAAGTGTACTAGAGGTTGTTCCTAACCCTAGTCTAGCAGATCCCAAGAAATACATTGTCAAGGGTATTGACAGTGGTGTTGCAACTCTTACCTTTTCAAGTCACAATCCACAGACTGGTCAAACCGTTACGAGTCGTGCCATCCAAATCACCGTCTATCCTCCCTTTACCATCTCTCCTCATACCTTGCATCTAGTGCCAGGTAGTCACTTTCAAATCCAACCACAAGGTGGTGTTGCTCGTCAAGTCATCACCTTTGCATCGACCAATCCATCGGTTGCATCAATCGGACGTGACATTTCTGGTGAATTGATTGCCCACGGTATCGGAGAAGCTACCATCACTGCCTCTTCACACTATGTAGATCGTGATGCCAAAAAGATTTTCATTGGTCAAGATCAATTGACAGTGACCGTTAAAAATATGACTGGTATCAACTTGCACAGTACTATTAACCGTTTGGTTGTTGGTAATGAACTAAAGTTGCGTGTCGTAGGAGATAATGGTGAAACACCATTTACCTATGGTACAGTCGACCTTGCATTTGGTTGGGAGTGTCTAGATCACTCTATTGTCCAACTCGCTCCAATCTATAGTAATACAACCGTCGAAATGGAAGCTAGTTTTAGTGTACGTGTGATTGGTCGTCAGGCCGGTTCTACACAAGTCATTGTCTATGCATACCACCCAACCTCTGGTGACCGTTCCAAACGTATCTTCCAATCACCTCCCTTCCAAATTGACGTTATTTCAGCACCAGCATTCCCAACTCACTCTATCCTACTCATGCCAAACAGTCATTATGAAACCACTACTAAAACCAAAAACCTTCAGTACAACAATTTGGTCCTTTTAGATAATAATCAACAAACCAACCAAGTTTGTGCCAATCAATTAATTGTACAATCTCAAAACAAGTTGTTGACCAATGATCGTGTTGGTCATTGCTATTTAGAGGTTGTTCGCGATGGACGTATCGATACTACTTCATTGATCAAGGTTTCAACAAAATTGGTTGCTCATCTTGAACTTGTCCCAATTCATTCGACTAGTATGGTATTACCAATTGGTGCAACCGCTACCTTTGGCCTATACCTTCGTGACGATCTCGGTGATACCTTTACCGATTATGGTGCCATCCACAAAGCTATCAAGGCTGAACTCTCCAATGTTGGTATTATCTCTGTCAATATTGAACCAAATGATGACGACGAACACTCTGGTACTGTCAAGAACCCACCTCTCCTTGTCCAAATTCAAGGTCTCAACGTAGGTCTCGTCACACTCCGTATCTCTTACAAATCAATCGACGATTATATCAAGATCTTTGTCGGTCGTCTCATAGAGCCTGATGTCCCAGTCCTCCATGTCGGTGCCTCTTTACAACTCTCCCTTGCCACAAACCTCTTGTCCATGCGTGGATACTCTGTTCCTCAACCAGGTGATCGTATCTGGACAAGTTCAAACGCCAACGTACTCCAAATCGACAGTGCTACAGGTCGCGCAACTGCCAACCCACAAAAAGCAGGCCAAGCTATCATCTCGTACACTCGTAATCCATCCTCTCAAGTATCGGTCCTCGTATCTAGAGTTGAAACCATCAAACTCGAAAACCCTAACCAAGTTGTCATTAACGGAAACTCTGAACAATATGTCTACCCACTCCGCTTCTTTGCCAGTAACGGTCAAGAGTTTACTCAACCAAAGGACAGTAGTGCCATTGAACAAAACTACAACTGTCAATGTAGTGTTCAACAAAGCATGTATGCTTCGGCCACTTGTATCCGTGGTACCACTCCATCGACCTATCACAACTATAGTTGTATCATCCGTACTGTTAGTGGCGAACAACCAGCCTCTACCAATTTGGATCATCTCTCTCTCCAAATCACAGTCTCCAACAATGAAAAGACATACGTTGCCGAGCAAATCTACAACATTCCATTTGAAAATAGTTTCCGTATCATTTACAAATCGAATACCAATCTCTCCCCATCCAACCCATCTCTTCATCTAAAGATTCAAGTCAACAGCCACAGCAGTAATCAACTATTTATCAATGAACAAGGAGGAGGGGAAAAGAAATTATTATCAATTACTCAAGTTGCATCATCAACACCAAATGTTCACGAATACATTATCACTCCACTCGATCAAAAGGTATCATTCTCTCAACCCATTCCTATTCACATTGGAAATAGTAATCAAAAGGTCAAAGGTTCAACCATCCTAGTAAACTTTAATGTCAATGAACCAAAGAACAACAACAACAACAACAACAATTCTACTGAATCTAGTTCATTCATTCCATATACTACACTTGGTCGTGTATTGGTTGCCATTGGTATTGCTCTCTTAACTTTCCTTGGTACCATCTACTATAACCAAAAACCTCGTACTACCATCGAGGTGAAAACTCCACTACGTCACAACAACAACAACAACAACAACAACAACAACGCTCCTCCACCTTCTCCATTTAGATCACCCATCCCAAATAACCTTGGTAGCAGTAGTTTACATCAATCTTCTTATCAACCACCTCAACAATTTAATTCTCCTATTAGATCAGATTCTTCTTTAAATAATTCAATTTATAATTTTGATAGATCAAGGTTTAATAGATAAAAAAAAACAACAAACAAGAAATAAAATTTTAAAATCACAATTTGATAGAATAAGAGAATTAGGAATATTATTTTATTAATTAATTTGTATTGTTTTAAGTTCTAGTATATTTAATATTATTAGTCGGTAGTAGGTGGTGCAATTTAGGAATAAACAGTTTATTTAATTTGTAGTCTGAAAGACCTGTTAGAGCGAGATCGTGTTTGTGCTCAAAACTATAATAGAATAGAGTGCGCAATATTATTGTTGTGATTCTATTTACTATAGTTCCCTCTCTTGGCATCATTTCTTTGTCTTGATTAATATTTTTTAATTTTAATAGATGATTACAAAATACTTTACATTCATCTTGACAACAATTATGTGTATAATCTTCCAGAGTTGTGAGATATGGGAATTTTGGAATGATTTCTTCTAACCATTCTTTCATGTACTTTGGATTAGTGATTTCACCTGTCAGATAGGTGATATTATAAAGAGTTACTCTTTTATAAATAATAATTTGATAAAGCTCCATGGAGTGTTTTATTTTCTAAGATTATAAATTTCTTTTGCTAAATTAAATAATTCTCTACCAAATTCAATTGATTTTGTATTTTGATCTGGGACACCTTCAAATCCATGGATTGCACCCCACCAAGCACAACCAATGGCTGCGGTACTATCACTATCACCACCGTGGATAGCAGATCTTTCAATCATTTCCTTCCAATTGTTACCAGATCCCAATAGAGCATCATAGGCAATGAGAACGCTATCGTGTCCAGAACTACCACCCCAACCATCAAATGAAATGCTATGATAAAAGTTGTCTCTTTCAATGTTTTCATATTTGGCTGGAAACTTTGGATAGTCCGAACCAATAGATTCAACTTTGAGTGGAATAGAACGAAGTTCCAAATAAGACTTCCAAGCATTTTCAAAATAATTGATCCCCTTTTCGTATTGTGCCATGGTACGATTTGGTTGTGATTGACTATTGGTGAGATACTCTTTTGCCTTTGGGAGGACTTGATCATAGAAACGAGTACCCCATTCTCTAGCTGGAATACCACGAATGGCATAGGCTGTAAAGAGTGATGATACTAAAGCACCAAGGAATCCAACTGGATGATTGTGTGTAATTCTACCACTTTCAATGGCATAACGAATCAATTCGTCTTCTGCTTCGGGCGAATAGTATTTCAATCCAATACACATTGATCTCATTGATCCTCCACATCCTCCTCCACTTGGTGCATATGGTATTTCATTCCAATTTAACTTTGTCTTTCTCATTCCTGGTGTCATTAATGATACTGACATTATTGTTTGTCTTCCTGGTGCTCTTCCCTTAAAATTAAAAAAAAAAGGAGATTAGAAAAGAATAAGAAATTAGAAAAGAATAGAATAGAATAGATTTTTTAGATTACATACAGCCATAGTCTCCATACATTTAATATATTTCTTTGCAATCTTTTCACAATTACGATTAAATAATTCATCACCTTGTAATGGTTTTTTGGTTGGACGTGAAATAGCAACTGCTGTTGCAATATGCATTATAGTATCATCTGAAACTCTCCATTCTCTTGGGTTTACTCTTTAAATAAAAAAAAATAAAAAATAAAAAAAAAGAAAGATACAATGTTTAATAAAAGAAGAAGAAGAAGAATCTTATAAATGTCAGATACAAACTTTATACCATCAACCATACCAATATCACAATATTGTTTATAAATTGCATTTGGGTTCTTTAATAAATGATATTATATTAGCATTTATTCATTATACTATCTTGAATGTTTGATTAAAGTATACTTTACTCTTTCAAACTCCCAAATACCATTTTTATAACCAATAGCATCACCAACTGCTGATAATATCATTGTAGCTGAATATCTTTCTTCCATTCCTTTCTCTCTATTTCTAAACTAATTGAAATCAAACTAAACTACTCTCACAACATCAAAGTACTAGAAAGTTTTGAACAGTAAAAAAAAATGAATTAAATTAAATTTTGTGTGAAGTTCTTCTTGGAATGATGATCAAAGAATCTAATTAATTTTATTTTATTTTATTTTTCTAGAAAGTAGCTTTTGGTCTATTTTCAAGATAAGAAACAAGTTGTGGTAAAGAGGAAATTGATTTATGTTGAGACAATAGGTTGGTGTAAGTGGAAAGTTGATCGTTGAAACCAAAGTATAAGAGATTATCGACGACGTTAAAGATGGCAAGATCGGCATACGACAATTGAGTGCCTACAAAGAATTTGCCACCGTTCTTGGTGAGCAAAGTCTCCAAACGACCAACAAACTTTGGAATAATCTTGTTTTTGAAATCATCGACACTGGCACCAAGGTTCAATGTCTTGTAGAGATGATCCAAAACATCTGGTGCTACATTTACAATTGAATTGGAAATAGCCTTTTGTTCTTCATTGTTGTCACCACCTGTAAAATTGAATTTGTTAGCCAAATACAATTGAATTGCCAATGACTGAGAAAGTTGAATCTTTTCATCAATATAATATGGAACTAACAAAAAAAAATAGAAAATAGAAAAAAATAGAAAAATAGAAATTGATTAGTAAACAAATCAATGATTCATTTAGATATATTTTATATTTACCTTGACCAAATGGTAATTGATCAAGAATATTTTGTGGGAGTTCATTGATATCATTAATTCTAATATCAGTAAATTTAACTTCAAAATAAGTTAACAAGAGACGAATTAATTCTCCCTTTCCTCTTCCATCAAACTAATAATAATAAAAGAAAGAAGAAGAAGAAGAAAAAAAAAGAATTAGAATATTTTAAATGAAGAGTATTTTTATAAATATTTAAACATACATAGTAAAAAGTTGGTTGTGACATTGTGTATATATATTTTAGTATTAGAATTAATTATTAAAAGTTGTATAATTATAATTATAATGACCATCGTGATCACTTATTTATAGTCATCGGTTTTGGGGACTATTCTAAAAGTGAAATTGAAAATATCGGCAAAAATGGGATGTTCTCTGATCTTCTTATTCTTTTTTTCTTTTTGTGTGGTTTTAGAACACGATCTCTGTGAGAAGGTTTGAAATTTCATTTTGTTCTCCAAGAGAATGTGCATTCCCTCAAGAGTTGATCTCGAAGATGATTATTATTAATATATTGTAGAGAACATTGATCATCAACGGGGATTTATTTTCCCAGTGATATCAATCAATCAATCACAATCATGATTCTTCTGCTCTCTTCTCTTTTTTGTTTTATAAATTTATATTTTTTATTTTATTTTTGTTTCCAGGTTTCCTTTCCTTTTCTTTAATAACAATTTTGTTTCCGTTTAGTTTACATAAAATCTTCTTCACCAAAGTTTTCCATTTCATTATCGAGTTGGAGAGTTTTCTTTGTGGCAGCAGCCTTTGTTGGTTTCTTTCCTTTGCCAACTGCATTCTTTTCTTGTTTGATTTTATCATTTACAATGACGGTGAGTGATTTAACCAAATCGTTGGTTTCCTGTGATGTCATATTTGCAGTTGCATTCTTTAAAATTGTCTTTATGATTGTTGGATAATGATATGATTTCTATATAGAAATAAAAAGAATGTTATGGTTAATAAGAACAATTTTTCTTCTTATTCTTTTTTCTTTTTTCTTTTTTCTTCTTTTTCATCATTCTTACTTCAAATTTAGTAACATATTTTGAAAGAGCATTTGAATAATTTTCATAATCCTTTTCAGAGGTTGGGTTCATAGTATCGAGAGAACATTGAGCAGTTGGGGTGGTTTCTCTGACCGAGATACCTTGAAAGACATCGTTTGCATTTTGGAGATCAGCTTCCTCTTGCATTTCTCTTTGTTTCATCTTGTCTTTGTAAATGTCAAAGTCGTCTGTCGATACCTTGTCCTCCTTTTCTCTCAATTCGAGTGCCTTTTTGAGAGCTTGAGCCTTTGACAATGGCTTTGGAGCTGGCTTTGATGGAACCTTGGTTGGTTCTTCAACCTCTTCCTTTTCCTCGGGCTCGGCATCCCAATCGTCCATACCATCACCTTGATCTCTATTTTCTTCTTCCCATCTGTTTCCTGCTACTGGAGTATAATCTTCTGAATCTAACATACATATGTAGAATGGTTAGAACAATGATCATCATCGATTTGTTGTCAAGTAAACAAGAATGAACAAGACGTCCCATTCATTTCTATATAGACTTTGACTTACCCCAATCACCCATATTATATTTTGATTTCTCTATATATTCTTTTTAACTAGTAAAGTATAAAAGCTAAGCAAAGTAATAAGATAAACAGAGAAACTCAGAACGAAATGAACCAAATCAAGCAAGAAAATAAAAAAAAAATTAAAAAATTGAGCGAAACCATAGGAGGAATAAGTTGTTTCTCTTCATTTGTTGTAGTTGTTGATGTTTCAATATTGATAGTAATAATACATATTGTTTATTTGTTTATTTGTACATTTAGTGTAAATATTAGTATTAGTATTAGTATTAGTATTTCAGTTCAATCACTCGGTCACACTTCAGCAGAGTACACCTCAAGACATGGATGAGGTCTCGGTCTCTTTCAAAAAACAGAGAATTTAAAGGGTTGTATTATTTTAGATCACTTCACGATATCTTGTCTGACGTCGTGTGGATGTGGATATTTATAATGATCCACTCGAGTTTTAGTCAAAACCCTGCGAAATCATCCCAATGTCTGACTATCATTTTTCTGTGTAAGACAATGGTTTCATGAAATCCTGTCGGTCCGAGAATCTAGGCTACATCTTTACGTTGTTTAGACACTCAACAAGCCACCAGTCTACCCAGTTGGGCAACCCAAGAGATATTATTTGATGCAATATTTGATATTTTAAAATTTTAAAATATTTTTATTCTCCTTTCTTTGTTACCAAACCATCCATACGGAAATCTATTTAATCCCTCCTCAAACAGATGTAAAAGTGATCATTTTTTCTTTATTCCTCCTCTTCTCTATATATTTATATAAATTTTTAAAATATGAAATTATTATTATTGACAATTATTTTAGCATACTTTTCCTCCTCTGTCATGGCTGCCGATTCATATGAAGTGATTATAAAATCATTTTGTAGTGCTGCTGTTGCTGGACAATGTGATGGTACTGCTACGCAAACCTATTATACTGCTAATACCGCCAGCTGTCAAAAGTTTGTTACCTGTGACACTTCTGCTCCAGTCGCCTACAGAAAATGGGCATGGGATATGAACTCTAGCATGTTCAACTTTACCACTTTTTCCGACTCTGCTTGTACCACTGAAACCGTTGCTGCCCAAATCTACCCTTGCCAACTCGAAGAGAATGGATCAGTAATCCAATGTCGTCCCACCGACAATTACTTTGTCAAGCCATGGTCTTCAATCTGCATGATCTCTACCAATGCCGATGACGGAGGAGGTAATAACAGTGGTGGTGGAAAGGGTGATGGAAGTTCAACTTCTTCTACTCTCTCTGTTGGATCTACAATGGTAGTCTTTACAACAATCGTTGCAACGATCATTACTTTATTATTTTAAAATAATAGTAGTAATAATAATAATAATAGATTCAAAATAAATAAAAACAAAAATTATTATTTATTTATTTTAAAAACCTAATCTGGTGTTATGTGGTAATAATAATAATATGATAATTTATATTATTTGTTCAACTCTATTTCTCTTATAGATCGATCTATTTAGTCATATTCATTACATTATTTCACAACTTGTGAAAACTTGAAATATATGAAAAAAATCGATGTTTTTCAAATCTCTTTTTGGTTTTTTATAATAAATTAAATTATTTTAATAATCTAGGTTATTTTTTCAAGGGAAGAATTTTATTTTGAGAATCAACTCTGTTGCACCAAAAAAAATCCGAACCTACCATACACCAAAATAAAAACTAAAACTAAAAACATTAAACGTCTAGTTTAAAAGGTATCGTTTATAAACAAATCATTTAACCAAAATGTAAAGTATATACCTCAAATATATAGAACATATTACAATAGAATAGAATAGAATAGAATAGAATAGAATAGAATAGAATAGAATAGAATAGAATATAAATTATTTGTATACAATTATATTTATATATTTTTTTAAAAATTTATTTTCCCATTCCCACAAATACCAATTATTCCCATTTCCCAATCTCAACATTTCAACATTTCAACTCTTGCACTTTTATTTATATAATTAATATTTAAATAATGTTTGATATCATTTTATCAATTTATTATTTAGTATTATCATTTTTAGCAGAAGTTATAAAAGATAAAACTTTAACAGAATCAAGATTAAAAAAAGAAAAACCAATCAAAAAGTTTATTCTTGCAAATAAATATATTTTAAAAGATAAATAACAACAAATAATATAATATAAAAATGAAGTACACATATATGGTATGTTTGGATGGATCTGAAGCTAGTCACAAGGCTTATTCATGGGCTGAAGCTGAAGCACTCCAAGATCAATCTAGAGAAACTGAACTTATTTTATTAAATATAGTTTCAAAAACAAAATTAGATGTAAGTATAAAAATTAAACCAAACTAATTGAATATTTAATACTATCTTTATTTATTTATTCTAATTAGTTTATGGATGTATATTATAAAGAAAGAAAAGAATTAGCAGTTAAAGGAGTGGAATCATTTTCAAAAGATTTGGAAAATTTAAAGATTCCACATCAATCGCTGGTAGTTGAAACTCATAAAGATCCAAGACATGCAATCATTGAATACGCTGAAAAATATAGAGTTGATATGGTTTTAATAGGATATGAAGATAAATCAACTTTAAAGAAATTGGTCGATGGTCATAATGTTGCCGATTTTGTCTTGAAGCATTGTGCATGTCCAGTTCTCATTTTCAAAGATCTCTCCCAACTAAAACATATTCATCAAGAGAATCAAAAATCTCTTCATCGTTCTGGTTAATATTTAAATTATATTTGTAAATAATAATAATAATAAACAAACAAATTAAAAACTTTGTATATATTTTTTGTAAACTACTTATAAATACCAAGATGTGTCATTAATTAAATTTTTACACAAAAAAACAAAAACTTGAACATGTGTCTTGCTCCCTCATTTAAAAGTAATCGAAGATTAGAGAAAGAGAGGATAGTCAATACTGAGGAGAAAGATAAGATAGATAGGAGAGAATGTCGTTCAATCTTGATGATTTGTTAAATAGTGCACTTGATGAACTAGAAGTTCAAGAGGAATCAAAAAAGAAGAATGATAAGTTGAATGCTACTGCTGCTACTGCTAGTTCACCATCAACTACTGCTACGACTAGTGCAACATCAACTACTACTACAACAACAACAACAACAACAACAACAAATACAAATACAACAAATACAAATACATCAACTGGAATGGAAGGACTATTTAATATGGATGAATTGAAAAAGTTTATAGGTCAACAAGGAGGTGGAGGAGATGCAGTCAATGCAAAAGAACAAGAACAAATATTCGAACTGTTACAAACTCTGTCACAGGCATCAAAGGATTTAGATAAATTTGGTGGCGGTGGTGAAGGAGATACAACTACAACTGCGTCACTGACACCAAACTTTGATGACTTTGCAAAATCAGCAGATACATTTCTTGGTGGAATGTCAGACAGCGAGAAACAAGAGTTTGCTGCTAATATGGAAAAGTGGTCAACTCTATTCCCAGAAGGAATGGGTATGGGTACAGGTATGGGTATGGGGATGGGTCCAATTCCTGCTGCCGGACCCATCCCAGCACCACAACCAAATGTAGATATTAAGGATTTCGAAAACAACGTCAGTCATTTATTAAAAGGATTTGCTCAAAATGCTGCAAGTCAACCAACCACAACCGCAGCTGATAAATCAGGTGGTTCCAATCCAATGGATGCATTTATGCAAACAATGATGCAAGGTATGGGTGGTATGGGTGGTAATAGTCAAGACACTGAAGAACTCATCAAACAAGCAATGGCAATGTCATCTGGTGGAATGGATGATTCACATCTCAATGATACTGTCTCTGAATTTTATGATTTATCAATGAAATATATTATTGAACATGTATGTTTGAAAAGAGAAAAAGAAAACAAAAGAAAAAGAAAGGAATAATAATATTAATAATATTTATTTATTTACTCTTACTCTTTTTTAAGTATCCAAAATGGATTGAAGATAACAAGAATAATTATACAGCAGGAGAAGTTGAAAAGTTTAAAGAACAATATGTATCATTTACAAAAATATTTAGTACCGATGAATCCAATCAGACTTCTGACGAATTGGTCAATTCAGTCACCATGTTGGGTCAACTACCAGAAGCATTTTGTGAACAATTCTGTGCCGATGTACAAAAGGATTTAGAAAAGGATGTATTTAACAACAACAATCAAAATAATAATAATGAAAAATAAAAAGAAAAGAAAAGAAATAGAGAGTTCTATAAAGTATATATTTCTTTTGATTTCCTTTTTTGTTCATTGGTCGTCATCGGCACACCTCTTTGTGAGTGTCGTTTTTCTTGTTGCGCAACCAATTTTTTTCGAGTTTTCTCCGTCTCGTGAAATTCATTCAAAAAAAAAAAAAAAAGTAATAGGGGGTGACCACCGAATCATCATCACACGAGACACCTAAACTAGTTTGAGTTTACTCATCTCATCTATTGCTTTGTTGTCTTTTGTTGTTGTCTTTTTAATCAATCCGAATCCCTTCCCTCATCTCACAACAACAACAACAAACAACATACAACAAACAAACAAACAAACTAGTGATCTATTATTTAATCATTAACCTTTTTATTTATTTACATATATATTTTTCAGAGTACGGAGAAAGATGATTAGAATCGGTCGTTCAATATCTTCTTCGCTCGTTGGTAATACCAATAACAGTAGATTAATATACAATACCTTTATATCAAAATCATCAACATCGACAACAATAGCAGCAGTAGTACCATTAATAACAACTTCATCGACTAAATGTAATATTATGATGATCAATTTAGATTTTTGGAGAAAGAGATAATTAATATCTATCTCTTTTCATTTTTTTTTTTTCTTTCTTCTTCTTCTTTTTTAATAGATACATATAACAACAATAACAAGTTTAAGAATTATTCACATGGTCAAATTTATAATGGAGCAAGTTTAATTGTTAATAATTTATTCAGATCATATACAACAGGTCAAGTACCACCAACAGGTGAAAAGAAAGATACTACTGTTGCTGAAGATACTACTACTACTCCTACTACTACTACTACTACTACTACTACTGTTGAAGATACAAAGATTAGTATAACAAAAAAAGAAGTAGATCCAAAGAAACCAAAAGAACCAATGAAAGTATGGTTGAAAAACATGGCAAAGCATTATTGGTTGGGAACCAAGTTGTTGGGCAAGAACATTGGTATTGCGGTGCGTTTGGTCAAGTTGCTTTCCAACGGACACGGTTTGTCACGTCGTGAGAGAAACTTGTTGGTACAAACATCGGCCGATGTGTTGCGATTGGTACCGTTTATTGTCATCATGCTCATTCCATTTGCCGAGTTGGCATTACCCTTTTTGCTCAAGATCTTCCCAAACTTGTTGCCAAGCACCTATGAGTTCAAGGATGAAAAGGACGAGCATCAACATCTCAAGCAAAAGGGTAACGTGTCGATGACCAAGTTCCTCCAAGAGACCTTGGCCGACATTTCGTGCGAGTTGCGTGAGAGCAACATCTCGAGCGCCAAGGAGTTCCACGACTTTATGCTCAAGGTCAAGCAAGGTGAGCAAGTGTCCAACGTCGAGATCCTCAAGTTCTCCAAGTTGTTCCGTGACGAGATCACCATGGAGAAAATCTCGCGTCCACAACTACTCAACATGCACAAGTATTTGGCTGGCTCCAGCTTTGTTGCCAAGTGGTATTCCAACGACTACCTCAAACAACAAATCACCAAGAAACTCAAAAAGATCAAGCAAGACGATATCCTCATTAAAAAGGAGGGTGTCGAGTCTCTTACACTCGAAGAGTTGGTCGATGCCGCCCTCGTGCGTGGTTTCAAGGTCAACGGCTGCACACGCAAGCAGCTCGAGAACCAGCTCGAGCAATGGCTCGACATGTCACTCAACAAGAACGTCCCCCCATCCCTCTTGATTCTCAGTCGTGCATTCACTCTCGAAAAAGAGTCTACTCAAGCCCTCGAAGAGACACTCGAACATATCCCCGAAGAGGCTCTCAACGAAGTACTCAAAAAGTTGCCAGATGTCTTTGAGGATGCTCAATCGGTAGAACGTCGTGAAGAAAAACTCGAAGCTCTCGCCGAGGAAGAAAAGGAATTAGATGTAAAGGTTGCAGAAGACAAGGAAAAGGCTGAAAAAATTGCAATTGAAGAAAAGGAAAAGGAAAAGGAAAAGGAGACTACTATTGAACCAAAAGTTGTTGAACAACATGCTATCGCTGAACCAGAAAAGGTCATCGAAACATCACCAGAACAACCAATCAAAAAATTGACTCCAGAAGCAAAAGCTGAACGTTTATTAAATGATGATGATGATATGGAAATTCATAAAGAAAGTGATACTAATAACAGTAATAATAATATTAATAATAATAATACAACAACAAAACCAGAACAAAAATAAAAAGAGGGAAAGTAAAGTATTTTTAGAATATAAATATAAATAGATTTTTAAAAAGGGTACATGGAACAAATAAATGAAACCCCTCTTTTTTTATACAATCAATCAATAGAGATATAAATATAAATATATCTTGGTTTTCCATCGAAATAAATCCAATCAAACTAACCCCGAACCCCCAAATACCACATACTACATCCCCCTTCATATTCATTGCAAATATGTGGTTGTGTTGCTATTCTCATCAACATTATCTACACTTATTGTACTGGCACTAGATACTAAATATCGAATGGGGTTACGATTTCCAAAAGAGTGGGATGTGGTATATGTGGTTAGGAGTAAAACACAAAGTGTTAAGATACGGTTGGTAAAAGATTGATTCACCATCATCATCACGATATCTGTATAAACATGTTGTTGAATTTCAAAAAACAATCTACATTACATTCATTCATGTATACGTATCATCAATCCAATGATGATTTAAATTAATCATCTACCAACCAACCATTTTACATTAATTGTTTGTTTTATTGTATTCAAATAATTATTATTAAATCAATCAATCAATCAAATCCCATATATATATATATATAAATATATATTATTATATATTAATTCTCCAACTATCATTTATTTATTTATTTATTTATTTATTATTTTAAAATACCTAAATAATGAAACCAATTTATTTAATATTAATATTAATATGTGTTTCAGTTTATGGAATAGATATAAATGTTGGTAATAATAACAATAATTATAAAGAAGTGATTGAAATTCAAGTTGATAGAGTTCAAGTATTGTCAACTTCGGTGACTATTAATTTTACATCAAATTGTCCAACTTTTATGCAAGCATCTGTATGGGGATACACTTGTCAACCAACCAAACGTATCAATGAAATACAATGTACTGGGTTGGAGCCAGGTACCACTCAAGCCTACTTGGTTTTGTCTCAATGTGGTAGTTCCTTTTTCAACACATTCCTCAATCTAAAGACATTCCCAGCAGTTGGTAATCCAGCCATTTCCTTTAAGGTGTTGGATTCAACATCATTCCAAGTATCACATAGAGCTATTGGTGGTGCACCCTATCAATCAACTTACAATGTTACTGTTAGAGGTGAAAATAATGGTTTCGAAAAGAAAATTGAAAATACCTATTCAAGCGATCAAGTCATTCGAGTTCCACCCAAATCATCTCCATCATCTTCATGTACCTATATAGTAACAGTCACTGTCTATAATGATTATATAACAAATACTTCTGTTGATTCAATTAAATTGTAAAATAAACATATAAATTAAAAATTAAACAATCAACTTTGATCAATTTGATGAGATCTCATGTCTCTTGGTTGAAAAAAAAAAAAAAAAAACGAACGAATAAACACAAAACAATTAACGATTCTCTAATTTCTATTTAAATACAATATACATATATACAAAAATGGTATGTAATACAACCTACCTACCTACCTACCTACCTACCTACATTTATACCTACATTAGACACATACTAATCATTTCTTCTATGTTGTACCATGTATACATTAGGCAAGAGGAGGCATTAAAATACCCAAACCAGTTAAGATAACTAAACCAACTAGTACTAAATTGTATGTTGTCTTGAACAACGATCGAGATCGATAGTAGATATATGTACATGATAACTAACATTCTATATCCTCTTCTTTACAGACAACAAACAAATAGAGATAAACAATTAGCAAGAGAAAAAGAGAAACAAGTATTCCAAAAGAAAATAGATTCAGTGTAAATATATATAGTAGAAACAAAAGATAGGATAGATAGATAGATATAGATAGATAGATAGATAGATATAACATACAAGACACCTAACTAACTATGTTTTTCTGTAGCCCCGATGATACAGCACATCATATGTTTTTTTCATACAATGAAGCATTGGTACCACCATACTATGTGATATTAGATACCAATTTTATAAACTTTTCATGTTCTCTAAAGATTGATATAGTGGAAGGATTGATGGATTGTCTCTATGCAAAGTGTATTCCATGTTTGACAGATTGTTGTGCAGCAGAGTTGGAAAGACTCGGACCAAAGTTTAGAGTGGCATTAAAGATTTCAAAGGATCCACGTATTCAACGTCTACCTTGTTTCCACAAAGGTACCTATGCCGATGACTGTATTATAAATAGAATTACCATGCATCGTATGTACTTGGTAGCTACATGTGATGCCGATCTCAGAAGAAGAATTAGAAAAATACCTGGTGTCCCTTTAATCTATCCAAAGGGTAAAAGATATACAATTGAAAGATTACCAGATGCTCCTGGTGCCAAGTAAAATAAATTAAACATAACAAACAACAACAACAATAAACATAATATTTAATATTCTTTTTTTTAAACTATTTACTTTTTCTATTATTTATTGTTCTAATAATTGAATAGTACGAGTAAGAATTTGAGTAGCTTTCTTGAAATCTGAAAGGTTAGCGTATTCATTGTCGGCATGATAACAATCTTCACGACCAAAACCAGTGATTTGAACGTCGAAACCACTGTCTTGGAGTTCCTTGACCAAAGGCAAGGTGCCGCAGGTAGAGACTGGCTTGAGTTCGCCGGTGGCTTCCTTGGTGGCTTGACCGAGTGCCTTGTAGCCGGCAGAGTCAATGTTGCAGGCAATACCTGGACTGCCGACACCGACCCACTCGATTTCGACTCTTCCCTTGACACCGTCCTTTGGGATTTCGTACTTGTGGAATGGACCACGTGAACGCAATTGGGTGATGTTGGCATTGATGTCCTTGACATAACCTTCGATCTTGGCACGAACGTCGGTCATGTCGTAGAATGGGGTGAGACGGATATCACCGCAGATGGTGGCTTCACCTGGGATTTGGTTGTAGGAGCCGTCGAGCTTCTTCCAGAGAGTTGGCTTCATCGAGCTGCTGACGTCGTAGCCGTACTTGGCCTCTTGGGGGTGTGCTGGGAAATCCTTGTAGAAACGTTGTTGGATCTCGGCCAAGGCTTCGTTGGCCAATTCAATGGCGTTGACGGTGTGTTGGGGCATGGCAGAGTGCAACAACTTGCCGTGGGCCTTGAGGTTCCAGTTTTGGGAGCCTCCGGTACCGATGGTTGGTTGCATGTCGGCCGAATCGACCCAGTAGAGTGGGCCGTTCTTGAGATGGTTCATCTTGCCTTGCTTGTCCAACTCGTCGACTCCGACACCTGGAATCTCATCATTCTCCTCGGATGCAATGAACACAGCGTTGATCGAGTGCTTGAGAACTGGCTTCTTGGTGGCCAACTCGATAAACAAATCAGTCAACAATGCAACATGTCCCAAACAATCAGTTGTACCTCTACCATATAATTTATCTCCTTCAATTGTTAATTTGAATGGGTCTAACAAAAAAGTAAACAAAATTAATATAACTCTTTCATTCTATATATATATATATATTTATCTATCTATCTTACATCTTTCCCAAGTTTCTGGTGAAGCTGGAACAACATCCAAATGAGAACCAACAAAAGAGATTGACTTTTCAGTGGTACCTGGGTATTGAATCAAGATATTGCCTCTACCTTCATGGAATGCAACATGTTGAATCTTTAATGGTCCTCCATTTTCAACCTTGAACTTGTCTAATGCCTAAAGTGTAGTAGTAGAGTAGAGTAAATATAGAGTATAGAGAGAGAGTGAGTAAAGGTTATGTATATATGTAGTTATATCATGTAGTTAACTCTACATACAGCCAAGACATGACGACCAGCATTATCTTCAACTGGGATCAACTCGGGTGGCTTGTTTTGCAAGGTCTTGGCCTCACCAATCAACTTGGTTAAGAGTTCCAAGAAACGTGGTTCATTTAATTCAATTGCAGCTACAATATCAGCCATGTTTATCTATTTATCTAATTTAATATATAAATAAAATATAGTAGTAGCAATGAAGATGATATTAAATTTATAACTGTTGTTCATGCATTGTCTGATCTGCGAACTCTTCAAAATTCATTTTTTTGATTTATTTTTGATTTTTTTTTGAGCTAAAGAGACATGCTGTCAAAAAGGCAATGGAAGATTCATGGATGATGTGGAATGTCCTTCAGAAGGATATATGAATCGGTTCTGAAGGAACTTGATACTTGTATAAGATAATATCTTTCAATTATATAGCAAATATTTCTCAACAATACATTGAAAGGTCTAGTGATACGATAGACTTGTTTTCCTTTGAGAGAGAGAGAGAAAGTATACATCAATATGATTGATGCTCCTATGAGAGAGAGGGAGAGAGGAGAGAGAGTATTGAGAGTAGATACCTACCTCCACGTCACTCGGATGGACACTTTACCAAAAATATCCATTCACTTCATTTGTCAAATTTTTAGGTCATTTTAATTTAAATTGCAGCGTAACAAGCAAGAGTGGTCATCGAATAACTATTATTTCATTTCATTTCATTTCATTCTCAAGCTTTTTTAGAATAGAATATGATAGATAATAATAATAATACTAATAATACTAATAATACTACACACAAAGATGAAATTAAAGAAGAAGAAGAAGAAGATACAATAACAATAACAACAACAATGAATAGTACAGAACAAGAGATAGAGGAAAAGGAGAAAGAAAAAGAAGAACAAGACACCAATAAAGAAAACAAAGATGGTGATAATAATGAAAGTTTAAAAGAAGAAGAAGAAAAGAAACAAGATGATAGTAGTACTACTATCAGTGATACTACTGGTACAAATGAAAATACCACTACTACTACTACACAAATACCTACAATGATACAATCACCACCAATAATTGGATCACCATCGACCAATACAACACCTGGATCATTTAAAACCAATTTGGGTAATTTCTTATCAAACTATTATGTCAATCCTAAACAACCCGCCATCTCGCTCTACTCTGGTATCAAGAATTCAATCACAATGATTAAAGATAATCTACCTTCTCCTCCTTCTTTGGTATCCAATTCATTCAATACTTTGACCAATCTACCATTGATATCATTTGTACAAAATAATATCCCTTTTCCAATATCATATAGTGGTAAACCAACAACAACAACAACAACATCCTCTTCTGTAAATACAACAACTACCTCTACAACTACTTCAACTTCTACTATTACACCTACTACTTCATCATATCACCCATTAAAGAATGAAAATGTTGAATTATATTTTAATGAAATCAACAAGAGATTGGAATCATCTGATCATTCACATTTAGTAATTACCATTGATTCATTTGTTGATAGTATCAATACTCAAATAATGAATTTACATTCATCTCCACAGTCGACGGATGACAATAATATTGATACACCCAAGGTCGATTTAAACTCATCAGCCGTCGTTCCAATGATAAATTCAGAAGTGATTCAAGGATTTTCAGAGGATATATGTCAATCGATTAAATCATTCATGTCAACGGCACTACCAATGTTGTTAAACTCGGTGGCTGGTATACCATTTCAATCGGGGGTGGTACCACCACCAAAGGGTCAATCGACGACACCTTGTATTCCATCTCTCTCGTCAATGACACCACTTGATCGTGAGATTGTGGCCTATGAATACCTCGAACAAACGATTACCTCAAAGATATATCGTCGATTCTTTTCCTATCCTCCCAACATTGAAATGGACACACGACTATGTGAACACATCTCCACCTTTCAATTTATCACTCCTGCCAACTTGGATATCGATCCCGACCAATTCATCAATCCAAACAACCTCCAACAACAACAATCATTTGAACAAATTCAAGAACAACTACTTAGAATGACTAGTTGTAAATCACCTCGTGATAAATTAACTTGTATAAAGAAAAGTTTTAATTCAATTTTTAAATTATTAAGTTTTGACAATCAAAATAATAATAACGGTAATAATAATAATAATAATAATAATGGTAAATCATCATCAACACCTTCAACTCCAAAAATCATTGGAGCTGATTTATTATTACCAATTGTAATCTATGTATGTACTGACTGAAGCAATGTTAAAAATGAATTATTATTATTAACCAAACTGTTTGGATTGATTTATTGTTTGTTTTTAGGTTTTAATTAAATCAAATTTACCATTCTTATTATCAAATATTGAATTTATATCATTGTTTAGAGAACCAACTTTAATAGAATCAGAGGTTAGTTATTATTTTGTAACTTTGGTCACTGCTGCCACATTTATTCAAAATATGACAATGGAATCTTTAACTATTATTCATCCAAATCCAACAACTAAATCTCCTACCACTACGACTGAACAATCACCATCTTTGGTACCAACAACAACATCAACAAAAAAGGATGGTCAAGATAAAGAGAGACAAACAAAATTAGATTCAAACAATCAACAAGATAAAATAATGGAAATTAAAAAGGATGATGAAAAAGATAAAAAAATAATACCATCAACTACAACTACAACTACGACTCCATCAAAACCACCATTACCACAACAACAACAACAACCATTATCACCTAGATCACAACAAGATGAAATTAAATCAAAACAAAAACAATGGAAATACTATAAGAAAACGGCAGAGGAATTAAGTATAAAGGATATCAAACAATTAATGACAGATTTTAATCAGTTGGTTGATTTTTGGTATGACAATAATAATAGTCATCAGGATGATAACCCTCCTCAATAGGATCATAACAGATGAACAAACAAAATTTGTTATTATTATTATTAAATAAATAATTTTATATCCAAATTATTTATTATTATTATATATTACATAGTGTGTGTGGTAAATTACAATTATATATATATATGAAGAGGAAGAAGAAGTGGAAAAGGATTGGATGAAGTTGATTATTTATTTAAATAAATATATCAAATTGTTGTTGTTTTGTTTGTTTGTTTGTTGTTATAAAGTCAAAGTTATAAAGTCATTGTCGATTGTTGTTGATGTAAGACTAAAAGTTTTATCTGTACATAAAGTTTGGTGAGGCTAAAATAATAATAAAAGATGGATGTATATAAGTATATTGTTGTTTCCTCGCTCTCTACTTGTTTGTGTGTAATCTTTTGATTCATACCAGACAAAGTGGCAGCTTGAGCAGTGGTGACTGTTGGATTGGTAGTGTTGGTCTTTTTAACGGTAGTTCTGGAAAGCATTTTAAGATGGGGAAAGTAGTAATAGTAAATATTAAATGTATGATTTGATCAAAGTTTGTGCAAAGAGAGCTGAGTTGTCTTGAGGAGGAGGACAAAATTAAATTTGTAAAATTAACAAAATAATCATAAATATCTTGGTTGGAGCCTTTTTTGCAGGATTACGGGGTGAGTACGCCACAACATGGTGGGCGATGAGCAAAGATCTCCAATGAAAAGTTGCACCCATCTTTCGTTTCGGGATGTGACGACTTGGTTGTCCCTGCCCCCAGGGCTAAATGAATGTTGGTTGGTACAGTCTCAATATTGAACTTCGTATCAAGTAATTCTTTTTTGGATTCCCCTATCCTTGCAGTGAATGGTTTAATCCCAAACAGGCATACTTCCGCATCAATGCCTTCTCTATCTCTCTCTCTTAGTGATAGTGATTTGGGTTGGAATTGCCTAAAAAAAAAATACGTCTACACACACACCCTACAATCACCCTTGGTCCTGAACGACTTAGGAGTCACATCAACCCCTTTTTATGATAAATGGAACAATATATAATATTGAATTGGAGAAAACCCGTATCCCTTTGAATAGTCTTCTGATGTCTATTAATAAATAATATTATTAAAATTGGAAGTGTGATGTATTCATGTGAGTGATGTGAGAGAGAGAGAGTTGGTTTGGTTTTTCTTTTATTGCCAAGAATTATATCTTTAAATTATTTATTTGATTCCTACCCTTACATATTTATATATATCTATCTATCAATTATATTGAATTGTATTATATCTATCTATCTATCTATTTATAACTATTAATTATTGTTATTTCTCTCTGTTCCAAATAATGAAGATTGTAAGTACTTTAACATATTTTTTTTTGTTGTTTAAAGTTTCCAGTGTTTGATTTAAATTTAGAAACAATGATACTCTCTCGTTTGGATCGGTCGACATCGATCGTTGCATTGGCACTTGTTGTTGCTGTGACTCGGGTAGAGATGGATGCAAAGAGGAGAGCGGGCAGCCCAATCCCCTCAGAGTCCTGAAACCGATTAATAAAAAAAAGTTTTTAATCGGCACACGCAACCCCCCAACGTCTTTGTGCTAAACCTGCATAGATTCTCTGAATCGTTGGGATTGAGCGCTTAAAGGAAAAAGGGCTACTTGTATCACTCTCTCTACTATCTATCCTTTTATCCTTCCATCACCACACCAACATCATCCATATTTATTTATTTATATCGATATTGTTGTTGCATTGCTTGTTTGCTTGCTGTTTAGAGCATATATATTAAACAACACAACAAAACAGAGCATATATCATATATATCACATATATACTAGTATCCAACCAAGTCAATAGATAAAAGATAGGTAGGTAGTAGTTTAAACAGTCATTACTATTATAATAATAATAATAGTAATGAGTAGCAGTCGTCTTTTTATATATATATATATATATATATTCGTAGACAACAAACAAGTACAACATTCATAGATAATAGTAATAATACACCAGTAACATATGACAATGACAAACAAACAATACTACTGTTTGTTCTATTATTAGTATATGTATTATTATCATTGACTATATTAGTTGATAGTCTATTTTGGGATAATAGATGTTATTCTATCTATTCACGACAGGGACAACAAGGCAGTTCAGTCCAATCCCAATCTATCGATCTATTATTGTTTCATACCCTACATTCCAATCCCAACAATACAACCCCAACCCTTACATTCCCGACAACAACAACAACCAACAGGACAGCAGTTGGTTGAATGTCGATCGTCGACCGTCGTCACAAACAAACTTCACTCTATGTTGTCCTTACCCTAACCCCCCAATTGAACAAGTTGACACACACAATGGAGAGGTGTGTCAAGAAGAGAAAACATAGTGGTGGAAAAAGAGATCGATCGGGAGGGGGAGGGGTTAGGATAAGGGTGGAACGGGAAAGCAAGAGATGGGAGATTATGATGATGATAGTGATTGATGATGATGCCTTTGGTTGACACACACACACACGCGATATAATAATAATAATAATAATAATGAATGAATGATTTAACTTAAACAACAACAACAACAACAAAACAACATCAATAACAACAATAACAAACAAGAACAACAACAAACAAGTGTATACATAAAAAGTAGTACATACACACAACACATAATATTATACAACAAGTAGAAGACAATATTGATATTGTTATAATCAAATCAATCATCATCCAACAAAATTGTATTCACCATCCAGTGTGAGGAAAGAGTGACTGACTGACTGACATACAACACACATATAATAATATACATTTTAATATATTCGATTCCAACATCACCAAAAAGAACAGATATTTATAAATTATAACAATATCCCAACATCACCAACAAACAAGAGTGTTGTTTGTAGTAGTAGTAGTAGTAGTTCAACAATCAATTGATTGATTGTGAATTAGTCAATTATTCCACTTTTCAATATTGTTCCAACATTCCATATTCCATCCATGTACACTATTTGATTTAGTATTCTTCCTTATTTATTTTATTTAAAATACCATCCATCAGTCCATCCAACCCAATATATACATACATACATATATAACAATCTTCATTGTATTGTTGTGAGTGACATTACAAATAATTAACTATATAGTTTTATATAATAATTATTATTTTCAATATCTTCTATTTATTCTATTTATTCTATTTATTTATTTATTTGTGTATAACAACTTTAAGATAAGATTATTACAAAATCATTAATCCAAAACATTGATTTCTTTCACAAAATTTTAGAAACAACTTTATCGTCAATTATCAAGGAAATCGGATAATAATAGTAATAGTAGCAACGGTGACAACAGTCGAACTAGTAGTAGTTCTAGTAGCAGTAGCAGTGGAGGTGGTAGTTTAATTGACTGTACAACAACAAATTCAATCAAGAAAAGAACTTTAACCTATCCCTCTTCTTCATCGTCATCATCGCCGTCACTAACAACCGCTCCTAAACAACAACAACAACAAGAGGACAAAAGTCAACCCGCGATTGTCGTTGTAAAAAACAAACAAACGACCGATTCAATCGTCAATATCAATAACAATAATAATAATAATAATAATAATAGACATTCGATAAATTATACAACCTCACATTCCCTTTCATCATTGGATCGTTTACCACCATCACTAACATCGTCATCGCCATCCACCAGTTTACAACATAAACTTTATTATCAATTGATTCAACAATTACAACAACAACAATCACAACCACAACAACCAAAACAATTGGATCAATTGGAACAACAACAACAACCAACAAACTTACTTTCAAAGTCCAAATCATCATCTTCTTTAAATCAAACACAATTATTGTTAAAGAAACAACAACAACAACAACAACAAGAAACTTTGGAAACCCAAAAACCAAACAAGAAAAATACATCATCATCAAAGATCAAAGAAAAAGAAATGATTCAAGCAAGTGATTTTTTTGACCAATTGTTTGGGTTGTTGAAACATATCATTATCGATACCAAGACATTGTCATCGATATCGACCAATAGCAATACTGAACAGTTGGATAGGATACTCACCGATGCAGCATCATCGGTCATCAATAATATCTCACATCTAGTTTCACTCTTGGAAGGGTGTCCCTACGATGTCTCTCATATTGCCAACTACTATACTCATTTACTTGAAAGTACAAATAATTTACATTCCCTCATTTTAGAATTAATTGCTGCTTGTAGAGTATGTTAAACAAACAAACAATATATATATATCAACATATCAATATCATAATAATACTATACTTACTTTTATATTTCTGATTTCAGGCAATAATATTAAATCCATACGATTTCTTAACTGGAAATAATTTCAAGACTGCAAAGTCACATTCAATTGAGAATGTCAAAGTGGTAGCAATGGCATTGGAAAGTTTTAGAGATATGTTTTTCAAAGATGATCAACTTTTGGAAAATGAACAACAACAACAAGAGACATTGCAACAACAACAACCATTAACAGTTCAAGTACCAGAATATCAACATACTACAACTACTACGGATATTGGTGGAGATAAAGAAGCTTTTAGTTCACCACAAGAACAAGTATCAATTAATAATCATCAAATCAATAATACAAGACCACAATCACCAAATTCAAATTCTATAACTGGTGTAAAGAGTAACTCTTTTATAAGAGTGTCTACCGATAATGCATTTACGCGAAAGAGTAGTGATGCGACATTGAATCTACCCAATTTTGCAACTGGTGCCGCATCGGCGGCATCGCCATCATCTACATTGCCACCAGTTGTCCCACAACTTTCATTGGCTTTGTCTGGAGGAGGAGGTGGAGGAGATACGCAAACCCAGACACCGCGAAGACAGTCGATTTCACCGATTCAGGCAATCAATGATTCAGCCGAAGCCATTGAAAAGAGTTCAATCCAACTCATACTCAACGTCAACCGTATCATGGAGGCATCGATCGAAGGTGACTATGACGCATTGGTAGCAGCTGCCAAAGGCATCTCCAACGAGGTTATCCATATAGTACGCGACCTCAAACTCAAAAGTTTGGGTGTCAGTCTTAAAGAAGCTGTTGTCAATGTGATATCATTGTCAAAGCTTGTACTAAAGAATCGTAATGACCAATACTATCTCGATCAGTTGGAATTGGCTGTCTCCAAAGTCAACGAAATCATCAAAAAGACAATCTATGCAGTCAAACATTTCTCAACTACCACTAATAATATAACTGTACTTGGATTAGATGAGAATGAACAAGACAATAATAATAATAATAACAATAGTAATAATCAACAACAACAACCATTGTCACCATCATCAACCACATCTTCATCAGGTACACCTAGTCTTGTTGAAGAAGAACAATTAATACAAAGTGTATCTGATGATAATACATCTACAACAGTCTCTCCAACCATTGTATCTACCTCTTCTACAGTTACAGCACCAACACTTACAGTTACCAAACAAGATAGTAGTAATAATCTAGAAAAAGAATTGCTCTTGCAAAGAGAGAGAGAGGATCGCGAAAGAATGGATAGAGAAAGAGAAAGGTTAGAAAAGGAACGATTCGATCGACTAGAACGTGAACGTTGGGAGAGAGAATACCAAGAACGTGAAAAAGAACGTCTTGAACAATTAGAAATTGATCAACGTCTTGAAAGAGAAGAACGTGAAAGACTACAACAACATCAACAACATCAACAACAATTATTATTACAACAACAACAACAACAACTATTACAACAACAACAATTATTACAAGAACAACAACAACAACATACTATTTCTTCTACAAGTACAAAGAAAGAAAAAGAAAAAGAAAAAGATGAAAAAGGCAAGACTATAAAACTTGGATTTTTAACAAAGTTGGTGCCAAAGGGAAAGAAGCGTAGTCCTATCCCACCATTTGGTGAGGGTGTAGTGTCTGTCCCTAACAGTCCCGCGTCAGTATCACCAAGTGCTACTACTCCACCTTTGTTGAGTAGTTCTATTGATAATAATAACAGTAATAGTAATACGGGGTATAGTACACCAGCATCAATATCAAGTGTTACACCAACAAACAATGGATCGACAGAGAACCTTACACCTATCAAGCTATCACAATCAGTTCCAATTTCACCTTTGAATATGGGGTCTCCCAAGATCGAGCCTACTCCTGCTATCAACGTTCCAACTCATTCTTCAACATCTGCACTTGAAGGAAACAATAATAATAATCTTAACAATAATAATAATATATTACCAGAATCACCATCAAGACAATACTTGCGTAAAAAGACTGAACGTTCATTGGCAGTTGGTTTAGTAACTGGTAAACATTCTCAATCTCAACAATCATCACAATCACCTGTACAACAGGCATCATCGTCATCATCGTCTGCAATGTCACAACTTAATTTATCGTCATCTTCAACTACTCCATTTGACAGTCCGGTACAATCACGTAATAATAGTACTGTATCATCATCAAATAGTAATAGTATAAATACTATTCAACAACAACAACAATTACAATTACAACAACAACAAACCAAAGTAAATCAAACAAGTCAAAATATTTTAAATTATATATTATCTCAACAATCAAATAATCCAAATAATAATACTACTACTACACCTCTAGATCAATCAAAGATGATTGAACGTATTGCAATGATGATTAATGAATCATTACCAAGTATGATGGTATCATCACCACTTTTACAATCATCTACGTCGACTTCGTCGAGTGGTAAGAACTCTCCATCGATTATTGCACAACTTAATAATCAGATGCGTCAGTTTAGTGATGCATCGAATATTGGTGAGAATCAGTATCAGACGGTGGCATTGAAATTCAAGATGACTCGAAAGTTGGTTGGAACTATCAAGAAAAAGGGAAAGAATGTGTTGACTGGATCGACGTCTGGTTCGACCACTACCGACGAAGACACTGCTCAGTTGTTGATTACAACGGCCAGTCAGTTTGTAGAAGAGACGGTCGTGTTGGTCAACAATGCCTACGAGTTGGCCATCATGATCAACAACAATGTACAGAGTTTGGCACATTTGACAAACGACCAACTCAACGGCGAGGTCAAACAAGTGTACCATCTACTCAATAGTCTTATTGATCTGTCTCTTGCGGCTGCCAAGATTGACGGTCAGTCTTATCTACAAGGTATGGTCAAAAACACAAGACAACTGCTCGAAAACTCGAGTGCTCGTGGTGCTGGCAAGGTTGACCCGTTGCTCGTGTCATGTGCACCCATGTACCGTCAGTATGTTGAGAGGTCACTCGACAAGGCAATCATAGCACATTGTAATAGTGTGCGTGTGGTGGCTGTGCAGATGACAACCATCATCATCTCGATTGCGACCAAGCCGTGGGACGCCAACGTGCAGCTGCAGTTGTTTGCAACGTCCAACACTTTTTGCGATACACTTGTACGTTTGCTCGACGCGGTTGCCAACAAGCTGTATATGGTGACCAACCCAGTACACGATATTGGCCACCCCATCATCGAGATGGAAGATGATGACGACGAGGACGTCAATATCTGGGTCGAGGGCAATGCATCGCACAACCTAAAGTGCGAGTGGGTGAGCGACGAGGGGTCCAAGACCGGCCGTTATGTGCCCAAGGCCGGCACGTTTAACAAGTTGGTCGAGCAACTGACACTCGACAAAAACTATGATATCTCCAAGTTTACTCGCACCTTTTTGTTGACGTACCGATCGTTTACCAACCCCAACAAGCTGCTCGACAAGTTGATCCAGCGGTACACAGTGCCCGACGACTATGATCAGGTGCTCCGCGAGCGCGTCCAGTTGCGTGTCGCGTCGTTTATCAAGACCTGGGTCGAAAAGAATGCCAACGACTTTGACCCGCTGCTCACCGACCGCGTCAAGACCTTTATCAAGGACCGTCTGCTCGTCGACGAGCACTCGGACGTTGCCCGTCTTTTGATGAGCATCTTTGAGCGTCGCCAGGCCGACGACCTCGAGCAGCAGCGTCTCCTCGCCAACCCAACCTTCCCAGACCTCATGATCCCCGAAGGCCAGCGTTCGCCGTCGTCTCTGTTCCTCTTGCTCAACGAGAGCGAGGTGGCCCGCCAACTGACCATCATCGAGTCGACCATGTTCCAGCGTATCGACCCATCCGAGTTTCTCGAGCAGTCGTGGAGCAAGAACCAGCTCAAACACCGTGCACCCAACATTATGCACCTCATCAACCGTGCCAACAAGTTCTCGTTTTGGGTGGCCTCTCAGATCCTCTGGCAGGACGATATCGCCGACCGCGCCAAGGTCATTGAAAAGTTTATCACCATTGCCAAGCACTTGCGTGACATGAACAACTTTAACACCCTGCTCAACATCTTTGCCGGCTTGAACCAGTCGTCCATCATCCGTCTCAAAAAGTCGTTTGCCCTAGTCCCCCAAAGTGCCATGGCCACCTACTCGGCCCTCGAAAAGCTCCTCAACTCGAGTGGATCCTACCGTCACTACCGTTCCACGCTCAAAACATGCTCCACACCCTGTCTACCCTACCTCCCCATCATCCTGTCCGATCTCACCTTTATGGAGGACGGTAACCCCGACACCATCTCACATATGATCAATTTCCAAAAACGCGAGCTCATCTACCGTGTCATCTCTGAAGTACAAGCTACCCAACAGGTCAAATACGATTTCCCCACCGTCGAACCCATCCACACTCTTCTCATTGAATTGCCATCTTCCTCTTCCGAAGAATTGTATCAACTCTCTATTCAACGTGAACCAAGAGAATCAAATAATAATAATCCAAATAATAATAATAATATTAATAGCGGCGGTAGTACTCTTACCGCATCATCAAGTACAACTAGCAGTAACTTATCCAATTCACAACAATATGGTACCATTAGTAATCATGTAAATATTCATCCCGATATGCTTAAAAAATTAAGAGATAAAGATTTTAGATAAAAATAAGAATATATAATATAATATAAATAAATTCTTTGTCCCTTTTTTATTAATAAATAAATATTAATATTTGTTTAATATTGTCTTCAAAAAGAATTGATTTTTAACATGGGAAACCTAACCTAGTGATTGGACTCTGAGCCATCACATACCAATTATCCAACCATTGGTAGTCTTTAAATACCTTGATTTCTTCAGGCCACTGTAATCTAAGTTCATGGACAAGGAATCTGGCATATTTGTGACAATTTGTGATAGGTCCCCAAACTTTGTTACCATCGCATTCTTGTTTGATGAAATATGAAAATCGATGACCTGCCCATGCACCAATGGACTGTGCATTATCTCCATTCATTTGAACACCGGTGGTATCAGATTGGTTGAATGTGACGGTTGATGGAGCTTTACCAATAAAGGTCGGAGAAAATAATAGGAGACTTCTTGAACGACGACCTCCTATAAAACTAACAACCTTTTGGTTATTATCTGGATCTAAAACAAGATGCAACTCTAGGCCAATCACATTGTCTTTTGTAGATTCACCACAGATATCGATAAGAATTGAATAGTGGGTGGGGGAGGATGGAGTTAAGGTTGGATATCTGAGGATAAATACATCACCAGCTTTGAGCATACGTTGTGATAGCACTGAAGGAGGAAATTCATAGCTTTCTACAATACCATATTCAGTAAAAGGTTTGTAAACACAATTCCCCATTTCTACTTGCATGTATTAATTTGTTCTTAATGTGTGATATGTAAATAGTGACTGATGAACAAGTTGAATATTCTGATTATAGGTCTGTGTTCGTAGTTTATTAATAAATTTAAAAAATATATTTAAAGATTTATTTATAAAAAGTATAAAAGAAAGTAGATGTAGTACTTGGCAGTTGTTGGAGATGAAACCACTTGTGACAGAGACCAGGTTGTGGGACCGTTAATCTATTTGATTCCTGGGTATTTAATCATGAATTTAGGAATCAAATGGATCAACGGTCCCACCTCTTGAGAGATTTTGCATTGGTCCTGGATCAAGCGCTGAGTTGTCCAATGGAATCCCCAGATCAAATTCAACTTACAGAAATTATCAACAAGTTAATCGAAAAAGGAATGATTGGTCAACACTATGATGGTTTCCAAAATTTCAAGTGCCCTCTTTCGCAGACTCGAATAGAATTTATTATTATTATCTGTGAAAGATAAAACAAGACCTAGAATTTTTATTTATTGATTTAGAATTCCCCAATCTTTAAAACTGAACGGAATCTAGCTTGAGAGATATTCTTTAAACATTCTTCAGCTTGCTCTAGTGGATAAACTTGGATCATTGATCTGACATTTTGGTTGGCTGCAAATTGCAAAGTTGCTTCAGTATCACGACTGTCACCAGAGTATGATCCAACAATAGATTGATTTTTGGTGATGATTTGCATTGGATTGACGGAAAGGTCGCTAAAGATGGAAAGTAATAAAAGTGTTCCATTGAATCCAAGTGCCTTGGATAGTTCTTCGACTGCCTCTTTGGCTGGAGCAGTACACATGATACACTTGATGTTACCTAGTGCTTGTAGACGACCAACTACATCTAGTTTGGAGGAGTTGATGTAATGATGAGCTCCCAACTCTTTGGCCAATTTTTCTTTTGCGTCACCTGATGAAATGGCAATGACCTCAAACCCAAGCTTTCTTGCAAATTGGATTCCCAAATGACCCAAACCACCAACACCATGTACTGCAACCAAGTCACCACCTTTTAGACCTGCATCACGAATTGACTTGAATACAGTTACACCTGCACAACAAAATGGGCCGGCTTGGAGGAAATCAATTTCGTCTGGAATCTTGGCCAATGCGTCGTGTGGTGCGACAGTGTATTCAGCAAATCCACCATCATAAGTTACACCACATCCACCAACCTTTTTACATGTCACCCAACTATTATGTAGACAATCGTAACACTCTCCACAATGACCTCCGCCAAAATACCCCATTCCAACACGATCACCCAATTTGAATCGAGTGACACCCTCACCAATTTCATCTACAATACCAGCTACTTCGTGACCGGGTACTCTTGGGAATACATCTCCAGCTCCACCACTAGCAATAAATAAATCAGAGTGACAAACTCCACATGCCATAACCTTGATTCTTACTTGTCCCCTTCCAGTCTTTGGAATTGGTATTCTTGTCATTTCCCATTTTCCTTAAAATAAACAAAAAGAATAAATTATTAGAAATATAAATAAATAAATAGATAGAAATAAATATTTCAAAAACATACCAGCCGAAACAACACGAGCAGCTCTCATTGTATTATTTGGTGCCATAATAATTTTAATTTAATTTAATATGATGATAAATAGAGATCTCTTTGATATTTTAAAAGTGAAATTGGGTAAAATCTCTAACAGTATTTATAGTCATTGTATTTCGACGATGACTTTTTCGTTGTGGATATCTCTAATTTCAACGTCACTCTGGTATAGAGTCTATCGTTCAGCTCTACTTCTACCCCATAACTCTTTAAAGATATAAATGTACAACATGACGATATATAACTCTACTAGTCGACACAATATACACTTTACTTTTTTTTGAAAAATGGAAAAAACAATAATTTTAAAAAAGGAAATAGGATATACATAATTATTACATGTATAAAATATGTGTTGAGTAAAACTTTAAATATATATTTTTAGGGCATCGATTGTTCTCCTTGAATTTTTCGATATTATAGAAATTGTTTACAGACAGATTAATGTGATAGATACAAAAGTTAATTGTCATTATAACCACAATTGAAATTGGGAGGGGTGTTATAGATTATTTGATTGGAAGAATGGGGTAATTTTCATTTATTATTTTTAAAACCCCCCCTTATCTATTACTTGTTTAAATTACTCTTCTCTCTCTTTCTTGACTTGAACCCAACCCAAACAATCAAGTAGAAATCTATAGAACACATAAACCAGTTTTTTGTTTATTGGTATTATCACATATCACCAAAAATAGAGACTGAGACAGAGAGAAATAGAGAAAAAAAGAAATAAGAACTTTAAATATTGATATTGATATATATAAAGATAATCAATAATGACAATATCTCTATCAATCATATCGATCAAAGTAATATCCATCATATCTCTATTTGTACTTTCGATGGTATGCGGAATGATCCCATATTTTTTGAAAAGGAAATTAAAGAATAGCAACAAATGGTTGTCTCTATGCAACTCTTTTTCTGGAGGTATATTTTTCGGTGCTGCATTGTTACACTTGTTTGTTGATAGTATATCTCAATTACAAAATGTAATATCTTATCCTATTGCGTATGTTTTAACATTTATTATTGAAATCAATCAAGATATATTTATATCATATACTAATTATTTCTTTTTTAGACCATTATGTCTTTGTGCTGGTTTCTTAATAACTTTCTTTCTCGAGCTTTTCCTTCATATCTATTTAGAACGACATCCTAAATTATTAAATAGTAATATTAATAATAATAATAATAATAATAATACTTCCTCTTCTTCAACGATACTCCATCATCAACATCAACATATTAATAATAATAATCAATCAACTTTGAATTTTGGAAATACAAATTCCAATACAACATTTAATTTTCTAAATTCACCAACTAATAATAGAAGATCTATGATACTTGATAGACCATCAACACCAAATATAGTTAATACATTGGTATTTACTCCACCACCAAACCATCGTACAAATGTTGATAATGACAATGAATGTACTCCAATGTTAAGTGACCATAATAATAATAATAATAATGATGATGACGATAAAGAAGATGAATCAAGTGATAGTGGCGATTATATTCCATCATCAAATCATTCATCTATTTATTTTCAAGATGCTTTGCATTTAAGTAGCACAAGTATACAACAACAACAACAAGAGGTGACTAAACAAGAAACAACTTTGACAAATCAAAACTATTTATTACCATTTATATTGGTATTTGGTCTATCTGTTCATTCACTATTTGAAGGTTTGGCATTTGGACTTCAATCGACAGTACCTAAAATATTGGATTTATTGGTAGCAGTATTTAGTCATAAACTTTTAGCTTCATTTGCACTCGGTGTTAGTACCATTATATATAGTAGATCATTGGTTAAAATGATCTTGATCCTATTTATATTCTCAATATCTTCTCCCATTGGAGCCTCGATTGGTATTGTTTTGGTGGATTATAGTCAAATTGGTAATGTTGTACCTCCCATTTTACAAGGTTTGGCAAGTGGTACCTTTCTCTATATTTCATTGGTTGAAATTATTCCAAAGGAAATTAAATCAGATTCTGAAAATGTCTTTATAAAATGTCTATTATTATTATTAGGTTGGTCGCTTATGGCAGTTATAGCAATTTGGATTTAACAACAATAGTGTGTAGAAACAATATTATATTAATTTTAATAAAATAGATAGATACCGACCATCCGATCGATCGGGTTTAGTATATAAATAATATTATACTTTTTAAAAAACATGCATATATTACATATATATATATATATATATATACTAGTATGATATATATAGATAGTTTTTATGCTTTCCTTGGTTTATTCTTCTTTTTATCCTTTTTTAAAAATTGATCCTTTGCTTGAGATTTCTTGATTTTGATTTTACCATTTCCATTACCATGACTGTTATTTTTACTACCTCCACCATGTTTACCATTATTTTGTTTAAAACTATTACTATTATTCTTATTTCTTTTATCATACTTTTTAAATTTTCCATTCTGTCCAGAAAAATTAAAATTATTATTATTATTTTTGTAATCTTCTTCAGGTTCATAATCATAATTTATATCATCTTCATAATTTGGGCCATCATTTTTATCATTATCATCTCTATCTCTTTCTCTTCTATTATTATTATTTTTCTTTGAGTTATTATTATTATTATTATTTGATCTATTATTTTGATTTTGATTTTGATTTCTCTTATTATTATTATAAGTAATATTAAAATTTAAATCATCATCATTATCATCATCATCTGAATCATCTCTTTCTCTTTCTCTTTTCTTTTGACTATTTCTATCATTGTTTTCTCTTTCTTTTTGTCTTTGTTTTTCTCTTTTTTGGTCCTCTTGGTATTGTCTTTCACGTTCCTTTTCAATTTGTTTCCAATAACTCTTTGAATTGGTATTTTGTGATGCTGCATAGTCATCACGACGGTGTTGATGTTGGTGATGATGATGATCATCATGACGATTATAATCATGTTCCATATCTCTTTCTCTTCTACTCTCAAAACATTCTGCATCATTGTCAACATCATACCGTTTTGTTCTCTTTTCTCCATAAGTACGAGAATCATTTTGGTAATTATTATTATTATCTCTATTATTATCTCTATAATCTCTTTCTCTTTTGTTATTATTATTAAATGTTTCTCTATAATTATTATTATTATTATTATTATCATTATATCTTGAATCTCTATTGTTGTCATTATTATATCTTGAATCTCTACTATTATTATTATATCTTGAATCACGTTGTTGATAATCTCTTTGTTGATTATTTCTATTGTTATTATTGTTATAATCAACATCTCTTTCTCTACCATGTCTATTATGATTATTATTATTATTGTCATCATAGTCCCTGTGAAATTGTTGTTGTTGACGAGAGAATCTTTCCAAACGATCTTGGTTTTGTTTATCCCTAGCATCTTTTTTCTTTGATCGATCTGCACTCTTTTGGATCTCTCGTTGTTGGTGTCTCTTGTTCTTTTGACTACGTTCATGGAGAGTTTCAGCTGATCTGTCGGCTCTATCAGCTCTCAACTGTTTGATCACTCCAAACATCTCATGAAACAATCTAGAGTTTTCCAAATACCATAAATTCTTTCCAACACACATCTAAACAACAAATCAATTAGCCTTTTTTATAATATTATTATTATTATTAATAATTAACATACTCTTGGATAATGTCCATAAGAACCACACTTGAAACAAAGAAATACTTGACATTCCTCTGTAAAATGACCAAATTCTCCACATCTATAACATGGTCTCTTGTTTGGAACTCTACATTCAAATCCATAATGATCACGATCACCACAATTACTACATTGTATTGGTGTATCTCCTGTATAATATCTTTTACTCTAAAAATAATAATAAATATTGTTAATATATATTTGTTTTTTCTTTCTTTCTTTCTTTCTTTTCTTACATTAAAATGAGAATTATTTATAGTTGGTTGACCATTGACAGATAATTGTAATTGATGTGTTATAGTTTCAATGGCAGGTGCTACATCGGTATAGACATCGGTTAAATGGTAAAGTAGATTGGTTGCTTTGTCAGATTTTGTTTGTTTGATCACTTTTTCATTGTCGAGTTCACCCAATGTAGCTTTGAGATGTAACAAATCACTTTCATCACGTCCCATCGATCCTCCATTGTACTCGGTATCTTCTTCATCCAAATAATTGTCATAATATTCTTTAAGTAGTTTCCAATCAGTTGTACTAAGACTACTAATAGCATCGGTACTTTGATTTAAACTGTCTACTAATCTATTTGCTCTATGTTGTTGTGGTGGGGATGACAACGTTGTAGATATTTCATCTTCTTCATCATCATCATCATCATTTTTGTTGTTTATAGTTGATGTATCTAAATCATTCAAATTTAATTCGTCTTTGTCATTGTCGTGATCGTCTTGATCATCACTTTCATCTATATTATAAATTTGTCTTATGGTTGTTGAAGTGGTTGATGTCGTTGTTTGTGGTTTACTATACTCTGATATGAATTGTGGTAATTTAGTTGTGTTGTTACTATTACTATTACTATTACTATTATTACTATTATTATTATTATTGGAGATAATACTAGATATAGGTTGTTGTTTTAAAGAAATGTAATCATCTTCATCCGATAGTATTACAATTTCGCACTTGTTTGCTCCCATGTTGTTATTCCTTTTGGTTTACTACTACTTTCTTTTGGTTATGAACTATAAATAATAAAATAAAGATGGTGATAGAAACAAGAGAGAAAGATATAAGGGAAGATATATATTCACACCTATTTGATCATCTATCTGGGTAGCAGAATATATATCTATACAAATAAATAAATAAATAAATATTCTCTATTTCTTCTCGAGTTTAATATCAAAATGTTTATTCGTTTTTTCATGTAGCCGACAGACAGGTTGGACCAAAAACCGACTCGACAACAACCAGCAGCCAACCAAATTAAATGAATTTATTCGTTTAATGTTCAATATATATATATTGAATATATACATCCAGACCAGACAGTTTGTTTGCAATACAGACAGTATGTTGCAAGTTCCACTGACATTTATAAATGTTCCTTGGTTTATGGAACATTTATAAATGTTAAAACTTAAACCAAGGATGATCGAAGGATGGCCCAAATGGATGGTATGAATGTTGCTCAGTTCAGGGGGAGAGAGAGGGAGAGAGAGAGAGAGAGAGAGAAAGACAGAGAAAGTATTATTATTTGTTTGTTTGTTTGTTTGTTATCTTCATAGATCTATCTCATAACGTTTTGTTGGTTGTTTGACAAAGAAAAAAAAATAAAAAAAATTGAAAAAAAAGGTGATCATTGTACCTTTGGATGATTGAGGGTAAACGAGACTGCAGTGGCTCATAATAGTAGTTGTAGAGAGATTATACTATATTAAATTTTATATATACAAACATGTAATTATCGTTCATTCATATATCAATACAAGTCATCACTATCATCATAATCATTATCATCAATCGTCATAATTATCATGATAATAGAACACAGTAGTAAACAACCATCATACATTGCTCATTGCAGATATCACTAGTGATATCATCATCTGACGATATACAATGAAAAGATGAAACATACGATGATGACGAGATAACAACAATAATAGTACAACAACAATAGTACAACAACAACAACAGATTAGATAAAAGATATAATAATCTATGCAATATGATAATGATTGATGTTTGAATAGATAGATAATGTGATTGATTGATTGATTGATAGATGCAACAACAACAACAAGACGATTATAAATACTAATAATGAATTATTATCAACCCTTTTTACCTAATATACATATATAGAATGGAATCACAATTGTGCCCAGTCAAAGCCCAAACCCAAAAGGATTGTCAACCAGCTTGTGTCAAGTATCAAGAGTTTTACAATGGTTGTTCCCAACGTATTGAAAAGTTGGTTGATGACGAAAAGGCCAACTGTTTGGGACAATATTTAGAGTATATCCAATGTGTTGACAAATGTGTATGTGTAATTTAAGATCTTGATTAGTAGATCAGATGTACAGCAACGAAAAAAAAAAAGAAGATCACAAAGTTGACTAATGCTAATATATATATATATATATATATTGATCATTTATTACTATCACTATCATAATATATATAGGCCGCAAACACTTTGTTCTCCAAGTTAAAGTAAATTAAAATAGATTATAAATCAAAATACACATATCAAATAGCAATACACATTATATAATACTAAAAACAACAAAAATATCAATCAACCAATGACTTTTTATTTATTATTTATTGTGATGATAAAGTTTAAATCAAGTATACTCTTGGCTATGACGATGTTGTTGATGATGATACATCCGAATTCCATCAACTCTACCCCCCAATTCAAATCAAACTACCCCCTCCTTCTCTCTTCTAAATATAGAAACAAAATATATGACAATGATGATATATCAATATCGTATGATATGGTCACCCTCTCTTTGTATATCTATGATCATGATGAATGGTATGATAACATATGTTGTTTTGATACCAAATCATCTCATCCTATGTCATGGTAATACTAATCATTGATGATCATCATCATCCTATCCACTTTTTTTATTTCATTCCAATACGAAAGTTGGATAGAAGGATGGATGGAAGGATGGATGAATGGATGGATGAACTATTTATTATTATTTATTATTATTTTGATGTAGGTGTATATATTCATTGTATTATTATCAAGTTTGTTTGTTTGGTGGTGTAATATAATATAATATAATATAATAAATATTTATTTATTTAACTTTATTTTGGGCAAAAACGTAAGAATACAATCATTCATTAGATAGATAATTGGATCCAATTACAAGCATCAACGAGATGGTATCTACAGTAGGGATTGACTCCTTCGTCATCACACATTGGAATTCCTTTTTTGAACATCTCTACCCCCATCCACCAACACATTAATTACCCACACTTTCCTCATTTAGCGGTTGGCAAGTATTGTGATTCAAAAGATCATCCGACCACAACGATTAGACTAGATCACACAATGTTAAAGATGTTAGATGAAAATGATGATGGATGATGGGGGTAGACATATCATGTTGAAGTATCACACAACGATTTACTAGTACCGAAATCTAATCAATGACTAACGAATCCAATCCAATCAAATCAAATCATATCAAATCAAATCAAATCAACCAATAATGAAATCAATAATTACTGTTCATGGATAGTAGTAATAGTAGTAGTAGGGTTAGGGTTGTTGTTGTTGTAATGTTAATTAATCTGTCTCCCTTTTATTCCCCCTTTTTAAGAGGAGAGAGGGTGAACAGATTCAAATAGAATCTATCTGGTCTGTCTGTCTGTCTGTCTGTCGGTCGAGTCGAGTATATTTTAGGGGGTGGGAGTGGAAACAATAACTATTATTATTATTTTGTTTGCCCATCATCTTGTTGATCAACAATTTATTTTCATTAAAAATAAATCTTGGGAGGTTCTGGTTCTCCTTCAGGTTTCAGGTTCAAGTTAAAACATAGCAGTTGTCTATCTCTATTCCAATGTTAACTTTCTTTTAAATTCAAGTAACCTCTACTTTATCATTACACTTTTTTAATTTATAATTACATCCATTCATATTCAATCATCATCTTTTAATATTTACAAATAATATTAATAATAGAATATTAATAATATTAATATTACCCAAAAACTATTATTAATTTAAATTAATAACCTCTTCATAGTCATAGGAGTTTGTAGTAGTAGAAAATGAATACTATTTTATTAACTATATTAGGTTTGGTATTATCCTATGTTTTGGTATGTAAATAAAACAACAAAGTCATTTTCTAAAATAATATACCGTATTAACCAAACCAAATTAATTTGATTAAATAAATAGTATCATAAAAAAAGAACCTATAGAATGCCACCAGGACCATTTCCTTTACCAGTGATTGGAAATCTTCATCAAATGGGTAAACATGCACCAAAATCATTAAAACAATTCTCTGACAAGTATGGTGGTTTGACCACTATATTCCTTGGAAGTGTTCCAACAGTTGTTGTTTCTGATCCAGCTTTAATCAAAGAATTAATCGTTGATCGGTCTGAAGAAATTATTGATAGATTTAATTCTGATTCTGCTAAAATCATTGGAGGTAATAGAAAAAGAAAATATTTATAATATTCTATTTATTTATTTATTTATTAACATTTATTTATCTACTTTAGAGGAAAAGAATTTATTATTTGCCAAAGGACCATATTGGAAGAAATATAGAAAGGTATTTACCACTGCAATGACAAAAGCCAGATCATTTAACATTGCATCTAGAATTGAAGCTCAAGCAGTTTCATTGAATCGATTCTTTGGTACATTTGCTACATCTGGTCAACTTGTAAGTAAAAACATATAGAAATATATATATATAGATACTCTAAATACTACTTACTAATTATTATTATTTGTATTTAGTTGAGTCCACATGTATATATTAGAAGATATAGTTTAAATGGTGTAATTGATTATTCATTTACAGATGCAGTTGATTATGAATCAGAGAATGAACATGTTGTGATTAGAGCTGCAGAGATTATGGAGGATCTATTGGCAACTGGTAATCCACAAGACTTTATTCCAATATTGAAACCAGTATTTAATAGCAAGAGAGTGTTACTTGCTAATACGGTCGGACAAGTATGGTCTTATTGTCAAGACGCTATTGATTTACATAAAAAGACTTTGGATAGAGAGAAACCACGTGACATGTTGGATGTATTGTTGATCGAGATGGAAAAATCAGAGGACAGTGCATTCTTTGAATCACAAGATGACAGTTTGGCCAAATGTCTAACAGACTTGATCATTGCCGGTCATGAAACCGTCGCCACTACATTGGGATGGATGATCATCTTTTTGGTCAATAATCCTGATATCCAAGAACGTGCCTATCAAGAATTGATCAATGTAGTTGGTAAGGGAAACTTGCCACAGCTGCACCATAGAAATGCTACACCCTATCTCAATGCCATCATCAAGGAAACGATGCGTATCCGTACGCCTGCACCACTCGCACTTCCTCGTTGCGCCGTCAATGACATTGAAATTGGTGGTTATGTGATTCCAAAAAACACACAAGTTCTCATGGCAGTCTATGGAATGGCAATGGATGAAAATCATTTTGAAAAGCCTGAAGTATTCAATCCTGATCGTTGGGTATCCAAACAACCCTCACCAAATAGCTTGACCGATTATGCCTATATTCCATTTGGTGTTGGTCCAAGAATGTGTGTTGGTATGGGTGTTGCTAAAGATGAATTGGTAAGTCAAAAAAATTAAAAAAAAGAACATTATTATTATTATTAAAAACTAACCAACATATCTCTTTCTTTCTCTCACTCTCTTTTATATGTTTAGTATTACATTGTATCACAAATGTTGATCAATTTTAAATGGAGTTCACCAGATGGCAGACCATTGGATGATGAAGGAATTTGTAGAGTATCTCTAGAATATAAACATTATCAAGTTAGACTTGAGCATAGATAGGATAGATAGGATAGATAGAAAGATACTTTGATTTATACAAAAACATAAGAAATAAACCAACTTTACTTTATCATAATGAAAGAATCGAGGAATTGATCACAAGTTCATTTTTGAAAATATCTTCCACAACATCGCACGTTTGGAATCTACAATGATTTAACTCGTTTGCAGCCCATTACAGAATGATCAGTATCTTTTGTGATAAAGATAAATGGATCACATCGTCAATCACTAATCTATTATTAGTGACAAAAGAGAAAGAGATAGTTTGTTATAAAAGTGTGTGTTGGGCTACTTTATAAAGATCAAATTGGATCTTGTTTCCGTAAAGATAATCTTGAACAGATCGTTTACTGCAACAACACAAATGGTTTATGATAACCTGAGACCAATTCGTTATTATCCTAAGGTCAGATCCCAATTGAAGATTCGAGGTGGTGGTCATTAATTTAATTAGCGAGGGAAGATCACAAAGGGGTCGCCCTTTGACTTTAGCTCGTTTTCGGTCAATGCCTAACCAAGAAGAACAAGACCATACCTTCCACATTGAGAGTGGGCGATGGGTTAGAAACCACCAAGAGAGAATTTTTCGACAATTGTTTTTATGTGTTGATTCATTCAAGCATCATCAGACAGAGGGCCAACAAGGAGAGCATAGCCAATCTTTTAAATGGATGTGTCTGCTTGTCAAGGGCAATCTCCCTTTGCAATCAGTCGAAAAACTAAAAAATCAAACCGAAACATTGGTTTGGAATGTGGGCGAACGTCGCGGCCATGCATACCATACATTGGGGGGCCAAATGCAAAAGGACAAAAAAATCAATCAAGGTACGAGCCTAAAAATACAAAGCAAGACATGCAAAGATCCACCCACCAGAATGACAGCGCCGGCTGTGACTGGAACACAAAAAAGAAAACAAATTATAATTACGCTTAAAATCATTTAACAGATTAGCAGAAAACGATTGGCAGCCTCCTCCTCAAACAAAAACTTGAAAGCCTTTCTTTCTTTTGCTCTGCATCACTATAGAACCATTCATCCATCAACTTAACTTTGGTTTGAGTGCGCGCAGACAAAGAGAGAGAGAGAAAGAGAGAAAGAAATCAATAATTATTTTTTTTTCAACCAACAACAATCAACAACATCATCATCACCATCACCGACGACTTTAGTTCTGATCATTCGTTTTCCCCTTCTCCCCTAGTCCAATAGATAGATAGATTAGATAGATAGTTATTAGCAAATAGATAGATAAGAGATAGACATCAATCATTATATATATATATCTTACACCGTCGTTTAAACTATTTATACTTGACATCATCCTTTTTTGTATTATTTACAGGCACCCTCTTCACCAAGATAATATCTTCATTTTCCCCTCTCATCAACTTTATATATATTATCTATATATATTATATTATATATCGTTGACGATCTATATATCTTATTATCACTATCAAAATATTGTTTGTTACCTCTTTTACAAAGACCTTTTTTCGATTTCGTTTTTTTTTTTTTTTTCACACCCAACCAAACACCTTTTTTTTCGATCTATTATATTACGTATATTAAAAATATATTAGATCAAACCAACCAACCAGCCAACCCCACATCCACATCAAATTTTTATTATTATATATATAAAGATAAAGATTAATATAATAATATAATAATATAATCATATTTATTATCAAACCCCATTTTTTTTTCTCTTTCTTTGTCCCAATCAATCAAGTTTATAGGTTTTTTTTTATTTTTTTATTCATAGATTTAATCGTCATCATCAGTCGTGTACTGTCTGTCATCCATTCCTTCCCTTCTATTTTCATTTCTAGAAAACCCAACCAACCAACCAACCAACCCAACAACCTATCTTTTTAATTTATGTTTACTTTATAATATAATATAATATAATACAAACTTATACAAATACACATACACATATTATATATATATATATATATACATATACTCTTCACACATATAATATTTATTTATTTATAATAAAAAACAGCAGTACAAATAGTAGCAGGGAGAGAGCAGTATCTAGATATTCAGATATCAACTCAACCAATCAGTTTTCAGCAAGTCATCAAATTAATCAATCAATCAATAGAGAGGATAGGTGATTTTCGTGATTGCAAGGAGATTGGATCAATCATCCCCCGTCGTTGTCGTCTTTTGCACAAATCTTATGGGCTTTTGAAAATATTTGACTCCTTTTCCCCCATTCCCTCCCGTTACATCCCTCTTTTAGAGCTTTCCAAAGATGGTGAAGCAAATATTTCCATCTTCCACAACAGGATCACCATCCTCGCTTGGTAGCGATAGCGATGCTGAGCAGCAACAGCAGCAGCAGCTACATGCTGCCTTAAAGGTTAAGAATCCTTCACCTTCCTCCTCATCCTCGCTCTCCTCCCGTCCTCCACCATTCAACTTTGCCTATTCCTTTAAAGATCAATCCACAACAAACAATAACCAACAGCAACCAACTACTCCTCCACAACAAAATAATAATAATAATATTCAAATACAAACAACAACAACAAACCAAACAGATGTAGAATTAAATAAACAACAACAACAGCAACAACAAGTACAACAACAACCCCAACCAATCAATTTTTCAAGAAAGGGATATGTATTTAGCGGAACTTCTTTAGGCACCATAGGCAATAGTTATAATAATAATAATAATAATAATAATCATAGTAATAGTAATAATTACAATGTTGGTTACAACAACAAGAATAATAATGGAGTAAATAACCATACCACCAACAGTAGTAGTGATAGTGAACAAGACGAAGATGATCAACCACATCAACTACAACAACAACAACAACAAAGACAATATAATCATCCACAACATCAACAACAACAACAACTACGACAAAATGATCATTACGATAATCAAGATGACGATGATTATGATTATGAATCTGAAAAACTAGAAATCATCGAAGAGATTGGAAACCAGGAACAAGACGATCAACAACATGTTGACAATAGTATGATGGTTGGTGGTAATGGATCAAGACACCAGACAGAAAACGACAGTGATGTCGATAGCAGTAACGACGATACTGAACCAACATTAATGTAAGTTCATAGAATAGACTTTTTTTGTTTTTTTGTAGTAGTCGAGTTGGACAGACAAACAAAGAGACGGATGTCTGTCTACTAGTTATAATAGAGAGATTTGGTAGTCGATTTGAATCGACGACACTCAAATATATGTTATAGTAATGTCTCTAGTACACTGTCGTGATGATGATGATGATGATGTGGAAACTTATGCAAACGACAGAGAGCTATAATACAACCAACAACACAACTGCGCAGCAGCAGGTGTCATCGATAGAATGAATGTGATCATTTTGATTGGTGGTGGTGGGGGTTAAGTTTGCAACGTGGGTTAACTTCTTGCAATTATAGGAGGTGGGTGTTTAGATAAACACTGTGTGTGTGTGGGTGTGTGTGAGTGATTACATTGTGGTGTTGTTTAAAAACTAAACATCACCATCATCATCATTTCTTCTTCTTTTTCCTCAACTGGCCAGACCACAACCTTATCTTGTCCTATAATAACTGTAATAACAACACTTCCTTGTTCCGTATTGTATTGACAAAACAACCAAGCATCGTAGGGGGCAACCAACTTAACTTGACTTGGTAAACCAACAGCAACAACAACAACAACAACAGTCAGTTCAGTTCAGTTGTTTGACATCCAACACTACAACCATCCACCACTACCACCAATAATACCACTACCAACAGTGTGTCTTCATTCGCACTCAAATTCCATCTATGATTTAAATCATTCTAAATCAGTAGTGGTACTCCTCCTCCTCCTCCTCCTCCTCCTTCACATTGTTGTTCTTTCTCCTGTTTGTTTAAAAATATACATTCTTCTGTATACTATATGTCCTCCTCTTTCTCTTCCTCCACCTCCTCTTATTTTCATCATCATCAGTAGCATCAGTAGCAGACAGGACAGGATAGACATAGGACAGACAATATTCTCATATTATAACTACTATAACAACTTTATTTATCATTCATTATTTATTAATACCCTCTTTTTTTTTTACTACTATCCTTGCTTTCTCTCTCTCGCACATTCTCATTCTCGCGTCGCGTCCCTCCATCAATCCATCACGCGTTGTTTTGATTTATTCTAAAAAAAAACTTTTTTAATTTCTTTCATCCTCTCTCCTCCTGATCACGCCTCTTGTTCTTGTCCTCCTATTATTAAAACCTACTTACTCATCATCTGATACATTCTCTATCTTTATTATTATTTATTATTTCAACTGTAATAGTACGTCAGTAGCATTAGCAACAGCAGCAGCAGCAACAACAACAGGATCATCACCAACATCAGAGGAAACGGCAGTGATCAACACCATCACCATCATCATCATCATTTGCCAACACCGACAAATATAATAGTAGTAGGATCATCGTCGTCGTCATCATCATCGACTCCCACCTTGTTGTTGGCAGATAGTAGTGTAATTGGTAATGGTCATAATAGTAGTAGTAGCAGCAGCAGTGACAACAACAACAACAACAACAACAGTCTAGATCATCAGTACTCTAGTAATGTAGTATCAAGTAGAAGAGACTTGCCAAATACCAATAACTCCTCCTCCTCGCATTCACATTCCTCTTCCACCTCCACTGTACCATCATCATCATCATCATCGTCATCAACAACATCGAATAATACTACTAGCACAAGCACCACTTCATCATCAAGAACCACACCTGTATCTTCACCCTCTACGATTCAACCGTCATCATCTACAACATACGATCACAGTTCTATTATATTGGAAACCAAGACATATCATAATTCCAATAACAATAATAACAATAGCAACGGCAGTAATTCACCTCCCAAACATAACATAAGTGGTTTCCATCAACATAATGATCATAGTAACAACTTGACCGGTAGTAGTAGCAGTAGTAGTAGTAGTAGCAGCAAGCAGTACAATTCCTCCAAATTCACCAACACACCAGAGAAGAATAGTAATAATCATCAGATGATTACGACCTCTCATCAACAACAACAACAACAAATCAATATAAATAATAATAATATTCAACAACAACCACACCATCTTTTAAAGATTCAAAATACGCCAACCAAACAACAACCAATGCAATTACAACATCAACAACAGTACCATCAGGTACCTCCACCAATACAAATGTCACCAATTCAACATCAAATGAACATTCATCAACAACAACAACAACAACAACATATGAATAATAATAATAATCAAAATAATCTTAATAATAATATTCAACAACAATCATCATCACCACCACAATCATCAACATCATTATCGGCGACTGGTGAAGTGATAATGAATAATAGGGGATATGAAGTATGTGGTGTTTTGAATCAACATACCAAGCCATGTCAGCGTATTGGTAGATGTCCATTCCACCACAAGATTGCTGGTAGCGGCGGCGGCGGCGGTGGAGGAAGCAATTCCAATTCCACTTCGTCGATGGCCACCAATACATCGGTTGCCCAACTTCAGAGCATCGGAGACAGTTCTACGACACATTCTGGAGAGCCAGTCGAGAGAATGGCATCTTCAGGGTCATCATTGTCTTCATCCACTTCATCGACACCAACCATGTCAACACCAACCTCTATATCCTCTTCTTCCTCCTCTTCTTTGCCAATGGCATTGGTACCATCACCATCATTGTCATCGTCTTCAACAACAACAACAACATCGTCATCATCATCATCATCAACATCATCGACAGACCAAACCAAACAGGAAAAGGTTAAAAAGGTACCTTTTAAACTTGGTTGGACCATTGACGAACACGTTAGATTCCTCCATGGAATCAATATGCACGGAAAAGGATCATGGAAAGAGATTTCCTTGGTCGTAGGTACAAGAACACCCACTCAAATTCAAAGTCATGCTCAAAAATACTATCTTCGACAAAAACAATTAACAAAAAACAAAAGAAGTATTCATGATTTATCTCTTAATGAATTATTACAAGTTGATGATGAAAGTATAGGTAAGTTATAAATGAAAAGAAAATATAAATATATCTAAATAATAATAATAATAATAATAATTACCAATTATTATTATTTTTTTGTAGAATTGGATAATAAAAAAGAAACCAAAGAAGAAAGAAAGAAAAAGAAATCAAAAAAGAAACAAGAAAAGATTGAACAAGAACAATCTAGTCAACAACAACCACCAAATCAACTACAACATCAACAACAACAACCATTACAACAACAACAACAGTTGCATATTCAACAACAACCATTACAACAACAACAACAATATCAACAACAACCAGCACCTGGTGCTTTGGTTCCAACCAATCTCTTGTCACATACCAATAATTCTTCATCGTCGTCTTCGTCATCATCCCCACCACATCATCCAAATGGAGCTCCTACTGCCTATTATAATAATGGATATAGTTCACAACAACCACAACAACAATTCCAACAACCAAATTCATCTTCACCACCACAGGTTATTTCAAGTCCACCTAGTAATGGTCGAAACAATGGCTATTATGGCCAGGGTTATTATTCAACTCAGCCTGCTCCTCCTCCTGCAGTTGCTGCTTATCCAACTCAAAATGGTAATCATCAACAAGGTAATAACGAACAACAACAACAATCATATATAACTACACAAACACAACAACCAACCTCTGCACCACAACCACAACCAACTCAACCATCGCCATCATATGTTTATCCAAGCCAACCAACTGCCGTACCTGCTGGAGCATCACCATATATTCAAGTCATCCATTCACCTCAACCAACCTATTATAACAATGGTTCTTCTTCACATCACCAACAACAACAACAACCAACTCATTATAACAATAACAACAACAGTGGTTCAGATACATCTTCTCAAACACAACAACAACAACAACAACAACAACCAATAACACCTTTGATTACTAAACAATCAATATTCCAACCTGCACCACAAGCTGGGTCATCCTATCATTCGGGTAATTCCATTCGAGCACAATTGACTCCAACTGTTCCACCACAATATAATAACCAATATTTTTATCAACAACCTCCACCTCAACAACAACAACAACAACAGCAACAACAACAACAACAACAATATTCACATTATAATCAATATCAATCGGCAGATTTAAGAGGCAACATTTTCAATCACCAACAACAACAACCGCAAAAGGAATAATAGGATAGTTAAACAAAAAAGTAATAATAATTAATAATATAGATAAAAAAGATATAGATATAGATATAGTATAGATATATAATAATAATAATAGATACCATTATGGTTTTTTTATTAGTGTAGAAATAACAACATAATATAGAAAGTCGTTTCCACCTATCAATTAATAAAAAAAAAAAATCATATTTATTCGAACAAAACCAACTCTCTTTAGATATATATCTCTCTTTCTGTCATAAGTACTTATGATGTAAATCATTTTCCCTTTTTTGGTCTTCATGTTATCGTGTACGGTGATTGTCCACATTGAACATTTCACACACACAAATAAGTAATCTCAAAAGATGGGTGGTTAATCTATTTTAAGAGTTTACTGCTTACCTCAAAGGTTTAACAATTATTTCATATTTCCATCTTTATAAATTGTTTATATATTTCTCTTTACACAATGTTAATTAAATATTTATTATTAATAGGGATTTTAATTTGTAGTTTCAATATAGTATTTATTAAATCGGATCAATGTTTACAAGTATTTTCAAAACCTATTAAATGTTCACCTATAAATCATGAATGGTAAGTGTCATAAATAAAGATGGAAATAAATCATACTTAAATTGGTTTCTTTGTTGATTTAGTGGAGAAAATGATGAGTATGGAGAAATGTTATTATGTAATGCAAATCACTATTGTTCAAATTCTACAAGTAGTAGTGGAAGATATCCAGTATGTAAAAAGTTACCTGGTCGAGATGAAAAGTGTGATCATCGTATAGGATGTCAATACGGGTATATGTGTGCAAGTAGTGGCCATTGTAAAGATTTTGGGTATGGTCAAGTTGGACAAGAGTGTCGAGATGACAATCAATGTTTGGATGGGTTGTTTTGTATTTGGAATGGAACACAACAACAGATATGTGGTGCACCTAGTAGTTCTTGTGTAAATGATGTTCAATGTCCATTTGGACAATACTGTTCTAGTAAAGAACAAGTATGTCTTGATAGACTTGTGGATTATCAAGAATGTGACAGTAATGAGGAATCATCTCCAAAATGCCAACCATTCTCTCATTGTATGCCATCTGATTCGTGGACCAGACAAGATATTTCAACATATCAATGTATTCCAATGTATAGTGTAAAGATTGGTGACCCGTGTCTACAGACTAGTGATTCAGAGTACATATCAAACAATGAATGTCCTGGTGCCAAATATAGAAAGGAAATTTCCGAAATAGTTAACTATTATCTATATATATTATATATAGATTGATTAAATTAATGAGTTAGTGGTGAATGTTGATTCATTTCTTCTATCGATAAAAATATTTACCCTTCCCCAAAGGTTTGTGGGAAAATATCATTTGGTGGTTGATCTCCAACTTGGGTTTTCAACGTCAAACCATCATGGTTACCAACTCCAGGATTTGCTTTGACTAATACCTTTGGTCTTGATTCAATGTAGATAGAAAAATTTCTGTTTGCTTTTCTAGCCAAAGAGTTGTATGAAGTCGCAATTGACATTCTAGAATTGGTGTCCACCACATCACCAAGGCGCTCCAAATACTGAGCACAGGTTCGAAAATTGGTTTGAATTACTTGAAGTTTCTTTTCGGTTCGTGAGACTCTACTGACTATATCATCGGTTTTGTCTTGAAGTTCTTCAAATCTCTCTTGTATTTGATTCAAGATTGTTTCTGTGGAAAGAGTATTGGTTGACAGTTCATTTGTTGTTTAATGGCTTCTTGCGCTTTGCTCATTTTCTCTTGTGATTCACAAAGTTTGTTGATTTGTTGTTTAATGGCTTCTTGGTCTTTGTTCATATTGTCTTGCAATGTACTTATTTTAGATATCTCTTTCATTATTTCTTGGAGCGATGGCTTTGGTAATAATTCTTCTCTAACTAAGTGAGTGTAACTGTTAGACCATACATATATATATATATATATAGATATAGATAGAGTTTCAGAGAGAATGCATGGTTTGAGCACTTGTTATCAATGTTTGTGCGAGTTGGGGATCTTGACAAAGAAGGATCGCGACGATAATATAATAATTAAACATACACTCCCGAGTATCATTTATACAATCCACGATAATTCTTGTTTGTTGGTCTCTGACCTCTCCCATTTGGTGATCACCCATCGCTAACTAGTACAGTAGTAGGGAGACTTGAAACCTTTCTGCTTTAAACTCTTGGTTATTCAATTAGTAGTCAATAATAATATTAACTTACAAATAATAAATTAAAACATCTTTTGACTGGGTGTGAGGTACACTTGAGGGGTGTGATTTTTAATTAATTAAATTTAATATAAAAATCAGGCAAGGCAAAGGGTTACATCAATTGATGTAGCTCGAGAGAGAGTTGGTCGACCAAGACAAGCATAATACATATAATATTATATTATACATACATAAAATCAAATCAACTTTGTTATTATTAAAGATTTATTTATTTATGTGTACAGAATGGTATCACATGATACCAGCATTCAAATCAATCAAGATCAACAAGATTCAACTCTAGATAATAATAATAATAATTCTTCACAACCTTCTTCTTCTTCTTCTTCTTCATCTAATACAACAACAACAGCAACAACAATAGTTAAATCAAACAATGATCATTATATTAATTTAATGATATTACCAGATGTAGTGATCAATATAATATTTGGTAGATTGTTAAATGATGATGATCGATTGTCATTGTACTTTAGTTGTAAAAAGACTTTTAAAAAGAAGTTTCTTTGTCTTGACAATCATCAAGACTTTATTGTAAACAAATACCCTTCACTTTTGGATTGTGTCCATACCATCACTCTATCTCCGTCACGTTATTATTGGTTTGTCAATAGAATTTCAAAACAAAGATTAAACAATCAATTGGGTTCATCATATGGTGGGGTTGATAATAATAATAATACTTTATTTATATATAAACCAAAATTATTAAAATTAATACTTCAAGTACCATTAATTGGTGAGCAATCAAATTTCAATACTGTACATATAACTCCAAACGATATAAATAATAGAAATAATAATCAAATAATTGATAATCATACTCAAAATAATAATAATAATAATAATAATAATAATAATAATAATAATAATAATAATAGTACAACAACTGGTGGATTATTGGATATTGTTAATTTAAATGATCCATCAACATTTACAACATCAATCAATTCAACCATTTCAACAACAAGTAGTTCACATTTATCCAACTCTGCATCATCTGCTTCTTCATCTACTTCATCAGTACCACCATACTATTATAATTTAAAATATTTACCAGAGTCTATTGAAACATTGGTGTTTCCAGATACATTTAATCATCCACTCACCTTTTATTTACCAGAGTCTCTTGTATGTGTCAATTTTGGTAAATCATTTAACCAACCACTAGAGACTGGTGGAGTATTATCAAGACACCAAAATATAACGCAACTATGTGTCGGTAGAAGATTCAATCGTGAAATACAAAAGGATGCGCTACCACCCAACTTGGAATGGCTAGATTTCACACCTGGATCATTGTTTTTGCATCCAATTACAGTATCATTGCCTCAGAATTTGACACGACTAGATGGATTGACAGCATTACCTTCTGTACCATTACCAGCGACTCTTACGTCACTGTCACTTGGTAATTACTTTAATACAGAGTTGCCAGTTGATTGGTTACCATCTGGATTAAAGGAACTTTCATTGGGATATTTGTTTGACCAACCTTTACCTCCCAATGTACTACCTGCACATTCACTCCAAGTTCTAAGGATTAGTGCACTGTATACTAGAAAGTTTGAACCAGACTCATTACCACAATCACTACGAGTACTCGATTTTGGAACAGAATCATTGTATGTTGAAAAGTTGCCACCTTTGCCACGCTCACTTTGTCATTTGGTGCTTGGATGGTGTTATAATTGCGAGTTTGAAGTTGGTGATCTACCAAACGGACTAGAGTCATTGGTGTTTGTTGGAAATGACAGTTCTTATCACATGCCATTCCGTCCGGGTGTCCTACCACCATCACTCTTGCAATTAAAAATTGGGTGGCGCTTTAACCATCCTTTCGAACTAGGATCGATCCCACCCCTTTTAAAAAGCCTAGAGTTTCATAGAGAGAGTCTGTTTGACCATCCCATTCCAATCGGTTTGTTACCAGACTCTCTTGAAACTCTAAAGTTTGGTTGGCGGTTTAATCATCCGCTAGTTTACAAATCTTTGCCTAGAAACCTCAAATTTTTAACATTTGGTGATAACTTTGATCAAAAGATAAAGTTTTTTGATGACGTGAATGGTGATGATGATAATGAAAATTATAGTTATTTACCATCAAGTTTGGTATATTTAGTTTTTGGACACGACTATCCTCACAAAATATCAAAGTCTTCTATTCCACAATCACTGATTGTTTTGGATCATCCCAAACTCCATTTCAACTATAGTGGTATGGTTGTTGGTCATATCCAAGATTATAGTGAGCTATTGGCTCATGTACAACAACAAGATGGTGCTGAAAGAGATGGAAATATGTCCACCACATCTGGATCGGCAACAGTCATTATTGGATCAGATGGTGGTATTCAATTGATCAATCATCATTACCGCCACCATCAGGGTCAAGTTGGATTCCAATCATTTATCAGTCGTTACAGAACCTATATTATATTGATAATGTCGATTCTAGTACTTGGTGTTTTAATATTTGTCATTCAAAAATTTATCACTGCTTTAAACCCAAATAAAGTTAATTCTCAAAACTCTTAAAAAAAAAAGAGAGAGAAAGAGTTTATTTATTTATTTATTTATTTATTCGATTTAGTTTATTTATTTGTTTATTTGTATCTCTTCCCTGGGGACAAAGAAATATCTATTTCAAACAATTCGAAAAATATATTTTTTAAAAATTAAATCAATTGTGGTGATTCGGAGCACCCCGATTTCCTTGCTAAATACCACACACCAATGATTGATTGTTTTAAACACAAACACATTGTGTTGTTGTTTTAGATAGAGATATAGAAAATCATGATAAAGGATATCATTGTATTTGTATTTGTAGTATTATTATTTATTGTTGTAGATTATACAACTTTAGCACTATCTAAATCTTCAACAACAACAACCATTGAATATTATTTTAAACAAGATGATATTAGTAGTGGAAGTAGTAGTAGTAGTAGTGGAGAGAGTTCAAAAGAATGGTATTCTCTAACTTCCCAATATCAAGTTGTAAAGGGTAAAAATGTTCAAGGTTCAATTGCTTGGGTATGTGCACTATAATATTATAGCATAGGCATAGACAAGGGAATATTTATTAAAAATTACTTTCTTTTTTATTTAGGGATATTTTAAAGATGATATGTTAATTGATGGATGGGGTAAATTATCAATTGAAACATCATCGATTTTAAATGATGATGTTGCATTCAAGGCAGCTGGTTATTTGGAAGGTTATCTGACATGGCCACACATTTACAACTTTTCAGTCAATTTGTTCAACACCAACTTTAACACTACCAATCCAAAGGAATTCCCAATCGAGGTGATGAACTTTATCTCTCAAAACTACAACTATATGACTCAACTAGTCAATAGCACAACTTCACAAAATGATCCATACTATCAACAAGTATCAAATGCAATCGATCAAATTCAAGGTCTTTATCAAGGTTATAATGATGCTGCCGATTCTGATCATGTAAATATAAATATTAAAAGTAGAATATATTAATATTAAAATATTAATCAATTAAATTTGATTTAATATCAATTTAGCAATTAACATTTTGGGAAATGTATTTAATTTCATTGTATGTTGAAATTGGTGATATCATGTCTGCTGTAATGCCATCATCATCACATGAATTTAAACCAATGTCTAGAGAAGAAGCAGAGACTGTTTTGGCAAAGACCGATCATTGCACTGGATTTATGAAACTGGCATCCAACGGTTCAGAACTTTACATCGGTCATACTACATGGGCAGATTACACCTACATGATTAGAATTTATAAAAGATTAAAGATTCCAGTTGCTTCTACTCCAAATGGTTATGGTAAATTTAAATAGAATTATATTATTTTGGAAAACAAATGTATATATTAATCTTTTTTTTGTTTTTACTTCTAGAAACATTAATGGCAAGTTATCCAGGATTATTAGTATCAACTGATGATTTCTATATGATTAGACCATCAAAATTAATGGTAACGGAAACTTTAAATACATTGTTGAATCAAACATTGTATTCTTTGATTACTCCGGATTCGCTGATGTATTGGGTACGTAATCTAGTGGCTAATAGATTGTCGAATAGTGGGTATGACTGGGTCACCTACTTTGTCAAACACAACTCGGGCACCAATAACAACCAGTACTCTATCGTCGACTACAAGTTATTCACTCCCTATGTCACTTTACCTGCCGATACATTGTGGGTCGTCGAACAGTACCCAGGCGGATACCAAGCTGCAGACCTCACATTCAACCTTTTAGAGAATGGGTATTGGGCCAGTTACAATCGACCTTATTTCCAAGAGGTGTTTGATTTAATGGGATACCCATACTATGTAAATCAATACGGCGACCTCTTTACCTACGAGTATAATCCACGTGCCAATATACTACGTCGTGACCAATCTAAAGTCGATTCTCTCGATGATATGATGAATGTCATCTCTTATAATGAGTATCTGACCGACCCGTTGTCAACAGGGTCTGCTGGTGGTGCTATTGCCGCGAGATATGATCTCAAGGGTGGACCTGACCATCCATACTCTTGGTTCTACCACGGTACACACGGTGGTATCGACGGCAAGGTGATGAACAGTGCTATGTTTGACTCTTACACTGTGCTAGCTCGTAACGGTCCGACTGTAACTGACGAATGTCCACCCTTCACATGGGCAGATTGGCAAGACAACTCTCATGCTGGTATGCCCGATGAATTTAATTTCCCTTGGATTTTGATTCAAATTTAAAAAATTAAATAAAAAGTTATTATTATTAATACTATACTCATCTCATCTCATCTCATCTTTTACAACTATAATTTTTGAGGTTTATTATTAAAAATATTATTATTTTTTTTTTGTTTTTTTTTTAAAGAAAGTATTCATTTCCCAGGGCTGATTGTCTTTTTTAATTTACTCATTCCAAGGTATCAAAAAAATGAGAACTCTGCACTTCACTCCACCAAAATCAATCGAATCTTATTCTCTATTCTTTTTAGGTGTGGTTGATGCAAAGGGTGATCAACACCCTCTATTATTGACAGTACAAGCCAGCCTCATTTTTATAGGTTTAGTGCACCTTAACAACAACAAATGATGATGATGATGTTTAAACAACAACAACAACAAGTTCGAATAGAAAATAATCATAATCATAGTATTAGTAGGAGTAGTAGTAGTAGTACAGTTATACAAAGTTATAAATATATATATATATATATATTTATATATATATTTATATATAAATATATTTAAAATATGCCAACAATAGAATTAGAACAATTGGTAGTACCACCAGTACAGTATGATAAAATAGAGAAGATGGATTGTGACATGATCAAGTCAATCTCATTGCTCAATACAATGGGAATATCAATGACGGGGTTGGACCAAGTGTGTATTTATATGATCAAGACATTAAAGGATCAACAAAAAGGTGTGGCTGGTGCCAAGGGAGGCGTAGCAGCTATGGCAGGTGTTGGAGCTGGAATGGCTTTTTCTCCTCTATTTCTCATTGGATTTGGTCTGTTGATTTTCAGTGGTGTTGGAGGTGCTGTAACGTCGGCGGTCGATTTGGCTGTTGGTGAAAATAGAATGAAAACTGTAACCAGAAACGTAAAGAAATTGGAACAACTTCAAGCACAAATTAACACAATCTTGTCGGAAATGTTCGATATGTTTCTTTTAATAGTTGATCCCAACCAACAACATGAACAAGAACAAGAACAAGAAGAAAGAGAGAGAAAAAGAAAAGAAAAAGAAGATTTGGCATACTACCTTACATTGGTTTATTTTGGTATGAAAGAAGGAACGGCCATTGAAGCATTTACAATGATTCAAAATGAATTGTTATCCATCCCAATTGACAATCGTAATATTAACGGATTCGTTGACCACATTCTGGGTGGAAATCAAGGAACCTATGTTGGAAGGATCCAAAGGTCAATTGGTTTAATATTATTGGGTCGATCTACAAACAATCCCCAAGATGCAATCGAATCATTTAGAAATGCATCAGTCTCTGAAATCAAAGAAAATGCATATGCCCGTATCGCCTTCATTTCCACCATTGGTATTATTGCTCCAACTGCCAGTGCTGCCATTCGAGCATGTGCAGTGGGAGCTGGAGCCGGAGCTGGAATCATGGTTGCCAAAGCAACTGGAAAGTTGGCAGTAGCAGTCCTTGGCAAAGTATGTATCATTGCATCACCAGTCATCAGTCTCGCAGATTGTATCATTGAAGCAGTAGGAGACAGTGGTTTTATAAAAGCAATCAAGAAAATCCAAAGTTGGGGTGAACAAGTTATGAAATTCTATTCTTCCTACTTGCGAATTATCCCAGAAAACCAGGATATTCAAAAGATACCAAGGGTAATAGAAATGATTGATGATTTGAAACTAGATGGATGCCCTCCAGCTTTTGTTGGAATGTTTGGACTGGCCTCTAAAGGATACAAATCGTTGGATCTTGGAACGACAACATATTATTTTCAACCACGTGAGAATATATGCATTACAACATCATTTGGAACTGTAATTCCAGAAACCTTGAGAATGGATTTAGGTGTAACCCATCTAAATCCAACCACCAAACCCAATCATCTAATTGTTTCATGTGAATCTTTAAAAGGTGTTTTTATTTCATTCAATGTTCGTCAATGGAAAGGTAATAAGACTATTGCTTTTCAAATTCTATTGCATCCAATCAACCAAAATCTTTCAACTTCATATCGTTATGAAAATAATTAAATAAATAAATAACCAACCAATTATTTAAAGGTGAAAAAGATGTGAAATAAATGTATAAGCCAAGGGGCCAAGAATCACTATAGTATGTATGTGTGTGTGTGTGTATGTTGATGCAAAGGAGACCATCAACCCTTTCTATTATTGGACAGAGATAGAAACTCATATTTTTAAGTACAAGACGATAATAAATACACCACAACAACTACTTCTTCTGAGGATGATCATCATTCTTTAATCAAAATTAAGTAGTAGTAGTAGAAGTTAAAATATTTGTATTTATTTAAATATGTCAGCAATAGAATCAGAAATAACAACACCAGTACAAACTCTTGATGCAATAGAAAATCAGATGGGCTATACCAATAACATGGAGACACCACTAAAAGATCAACAAAAAGGTATTGCTGTTGCAAAGGGAGGCTTAGCAGCTGTAGCAGTTGCTGGTGCTGTATTGTCTGCTTCCCCTTTATTTCCGTTTGGATATAGTCTGTTGCTTCTAAGTGGTGTTGGAGGTGTTGTAATGTCGGTGGTCGATTTCATCAATAAATAAATATAATATTCATTGTATAGGACTCAGTGGTGGATCATTGATTTTACTTGTTAAATGGGCCAATCAAAATAGATAAATTAAAGTAAATAAATAAATATAGCTAGCTGTGGATGGGAAAACTCTTCCTTAATCTAATTTATAAAAGAAAGTAGACTTTTTGCAATGGTTGTGTCTGTGTGCGTGTGGGTGGTTGATGATCAAAGTAATATTATTTTGCTGGTTAACACAAAAAAAATGTGTACATACTTTTTAAAAGTCATTTCATAAAAGTAGAATTATTTATATGTGTATATAAATTTGTATTTCAAAAAAAATGGTTCCAGCAATAGAATTAGAACAAAGATATGATGAGATTGAGAAGATGGATCGTGACAAGATCAAGTTATTCTCATTGCTCAATTCAGTTGGTCATTTGAAGTCAGATTTGATTAGAATGTGTCAAGAGATGGTAGAGACACTTAAAGATCAACAAAAAGGGGTCGCTGTTGCAAAGGGAGGCGTAGCAGCTATGGCAGGTGTTGGAGCTGGAATGTCTGCTTCCCCTTTATTTCCGCTTGGGTATGGTCTGTTGATTCTTAGTGGTGTTGGAGGTGCTGTAACGTCGGTGGTCGATTTGGCTGTAGGTCATACCAGAGTTTCAAAGGTGAACAAGGAAACAGAGAAATTGATCAAAGTTCAAGAATCAATCAACACAATCTTGTTGGACATGGTCAATATGTTTCTTTTACAAGTTTGTCACGAAGGTCCTAGTGATAAGGAAAGAGCCGAGCTGTCATACTATCTTGTCATGGTTTACCTTGCCATGAATCAAGGTGCAGCCACTCAAGTATTCAAAATGATTCAAAATGAAGTGTCATTCATCCCCATCGACGATCGAAATATTAATGGATTCATTAACCATATTTACACTGCAAATGACCAAACCTATGTTGGTATGATTCAAAGTGCCATCGGTGCCATCTTGACAGGATCAAATAATAATGCAGATGCCATCAAATCGTTTAGAAACGCATCGGTCGATCAAATCAAGGAGAATGCCTATATCAGGATATCGATCATTGTGGCCATTGGTAGTATCGTTGTTCCAACTGCCAGTACTGCCATCAGAGTCGGTGTAGGAGCCGGTATTATGGCAGTCAATGCCGCCAAAGCTAGTGGAAAGATGGCTCTATCGGTGGTTGGAAAAGTATGTGTCATTGCATCACCAGTCATTAGTTTGGTCGATTTTATAGTATCAATATCAGGAGACAGTAGTTTTGTAAAAGCAATCAAAAAAGTAGATGATTGGTGTAACCAAATTTTAGAATTCTATTCTGCTCTACTATTCATTACTCCATCCAATATCCACTGTATTCCAAGAGTACTAAAAGTAATCGATAATCAAATCCAACTACTTGATCATCCAGTTTCAATTGGAATGTTTAGTATGACCTCTAAGGGATACCAATTGTTAAATCTTGGCACAACAACATATTATTATCACCCCCGTGAAAAAGTATGCATTACAACTGGTTTCGGAACTGTCACTTCTATTCAACTAAATACTGCAGATGCAATCCACGAAAATCCAACCTCCAACCCCAATCATATTATTGTATCATGTAATTCCTCAAATAGAGATATATTTATTTCATTAAATGTTTATCAATGGAAAGGTAATTGTAATCTTGTTTTTACCATTAAATTGGTTCCTTTCAACATGGTATCAAATCAAAATTTTTAAATGAATTAAAAAAATAAATAAATAATATTAATGAAAAGGATATAATCAAAGTGTGTGTGAAGAAAAGGTCAAGCAGACATTAAAGAATTGATCAATAATAAAAACAGATCATTGATGAATGCTCCAGATACCACTTTAACAGTTGTACAACCAACATTTAAAAGTTTGATTAGAGTACCATATATCAAAAGAATAATATTCAATCAAATAACCGAGATATCAATACAAGAGTTTAGATCACAAAGAGGAACCCAAAACAATGATGATGATGATCACGACGGGTTTGTTCGAGCAAAGAAAGGAAAGGATATTGTCAAGTTACCTCATCTTGCAATGATCAGTATTTATGGTATGCCATGGAACTTTATCAAACATTATCTACCAACATGGTGTGCAACAATTGACAACAAAGAGACTGTATTAAAGAAAAGAAGAATATATGTAATCACTCGATATTGTTCACATCCCAATGCAACATTGGATACACTACAACATCTATTCGAATGGTCACCAGATTATGATCCTCATCTTCTATCAAAGATACATTTTAAAGAATTATCAAGAAATGTTGCCAAGGTAGGAAATAGAGATGTATTAGAACTACTTGTTAACAAGTATCCACTTATCAATCTAAAAGGTGTTGTTGAAGTTGCTTCTAGATATGGACATCTTTCAACATTACAATTATTAAACACCGATCAATATCGTAGAGCTAGTTGTGACGAGACTACAATGGATATTGTTGCAAAGAATGGTCGTTTAAATATTTTAATGTATTTGCATTTTAATAGAACTGAAGGTTGTTCATACATTGCGATGGATTTGGCATCTGAATTTGGTCATTTAGATATTGTCAAGGTATAGTACCATAGAGACTGTGATTAAAGGCTTTACAACCTTTATCAATTACTTTTATTAATTATTTTATAGTTTCTCCATTTTAATAGAACAGAAGGATGTTCGATACATGCTATGGATAATGCAGCACGTAATGGTCATTATGAAGTTGTAAAGTGGCTACATGTCAATAGAAGTGAAGGATGTACGACTCGAGCATTGGACTATTCGGCATCATTGGAAATCACTCAATTCCTTCTTACCAATCGCACTGAAGGGTGTACAATAGAGGCATTCGACAATGCAACATCAAGAGGACGGTTAGATATAATTGAATATCTCCATCAAAATACAAGTAAAGAGTGTACATCTACAATGAGTTTGGCAATTATCAATGGTCACATTGATATTATAAAGGTATATAAAAGAAAGATAGTTATAAGTTATATCATTGCTATATTTAACCATCAGTCATATCTTTCTATTTATTGATAGTTTTTGTATCAAATTAGAACCGAGGGATTCTCAGACTCTTTAACTATTGATAGAGTTAAAATGAATGGTAAATGTGATACAATTGGTATTATAATATTCCTTCTCTCTCAGAGCAGTAGAGTAGAGTTTTCAAATTTGTTTTTACAAAGAGCAATTCAATCAGGTCGATTGGATATTATACAATTTATTCATCAACATTATCCAACATCTGAAAAATGGTCTCAACTAAAATCACTAGACTTGGCTTGCTATTACAATCATTTTGAAATGGTTAAAGTAAATATAATTTAATTTTAAACAAATAATAATATTTATTATTTATTAATTATTTATTTAATTTAGTGGATACATTTTAATCGTGTAGAGGATCGGTGTTCAACTGACTCAATGGATTCAGCTGCCATGAATAATAATATGGAAATGCTTCAATTCCTTCATCTTAATAGAACAGAAGGATGCACAACCGATGCTATGGATCTAGCTTCAATGAAAGGTCATTTGAAAATAATAGAGTTTTTAAATGACCAACGAAAAGGGTGCACAGTAAGAGCAATTGATGAAGCTGCTTCAAATGGTTTCTTGGATGTGGTAAAGTATCTCCACAAGAATCAGACTGGCGCTCAGCAATGTACGTCTTCTGCTTTTAAAATACCAATTTTGTATCCCCACTACGATGTGATTGATTATATTCTTGACAACAAATTAATTTCAATATCAGAAATTAAAAATACTATCAAAAGATATGCTGGTCAGGAGACATATTGGGAAACTGTTGATTTGGTTAGTAGATATTATAATAATAATAATAATTAATGTAAATATAGAAATCATATATTCCAAAACGGTTATTATTAAAATTAAATAAAAAATATTATTTTATATTCCTTGTTACTTACTAATTTGAATTTATTTATTATATTATATTTCGATCAAACCAATCCATGGCTTCAAAATAACCTTTTTTCAAGTGTTTTAAAATTTCTTTAGATATATTTTCTTTGCAAAAGAGTAGAGGATATTTAGGCAAAAGATAATCCAAAACTTGGCAATAAACGGGTAAATAGGTATTTGGTTTAAGAACATCCAAAGAACATCCTTCTGTACGATTATTATAAAGAAATTCTACTATTTGAAGACCACCATTTTGTGCTGCGTATCCCATTGCACTTGTCGTGCATCCTTCTGTCCTATTATAATGTAAAAACTATAAATATATATTTATATAATGTTAATAAACATAATTATGAAAAGTGATAATAAATTTCAAAATAATTTACCTCTACTATTTCTCGATGACCATACTTTGCAGCCATATCCATAGCTCTATAGGTCGCACCTTCTGTTCTATGCTGATTGAGATAGGTTATAATATCAAGGTGTCCATATTGTCCTGCAAAATCCATTGTAGTGATACTCCATATTTTAGAGGAGGTCTTGAAATGCTTATCAAGATATTGAATAATATCCAATCTACCCAACTTTGCGGCATTGTTGACTGCAAGTGAGGTACAAGATGATTTGAGTTGTGTATGAACATATTCTATCATCTCTAATTCCCCATTATTCGATACTATCCTGTTGATTAGATTACTTGGGTATTTTTTCTTTACTATCCTATTCTCGTGTAAAAACTGTAGAAATAAATAAATATTAATATTCTCTAAAAAGGAGTCAGTGTTGATAATTATTTAATACCTTTAAAATATCTAAATTATTATTATCGATTGCATATTCAATTGCATCCAAAGTACATCCTTCGGTTCTATTTTTATAAAGGAATGATACCATTTGTAAATCCAACATAGATGCATGATCCATTGCATTCTTTGTGCATCCTTCAGTTCGATTTAAATGAAGAAACTCGAGTATCTTTAAATTAAAAGAATGATCCATAGCATCCACAGTACATCCCTCACTTCTATTGACATGGAGCCACTCTAAAATTTCAAAATGACCATTACGTGCTGCATTATCCATAGCATGTGTTGAACATCCTTCTGTTCTATTAAGATGGAGAAACTATAAATATAAAAATAAATATAATTAATAAAAATAATTGTCAAGGTATGGTACCATAGAGACTGTGATTGAGGTTGTAATCACAGTCCGGACATACTTTGACAATCTCAAAGTGTCCAAATTCAGATGCCCAATCCATAGCATTCTTTGTGCATCCTTCAGATCTATTATCATGAAGAAACTATAAATAAAATATAATTATAAATTAATACACAATAGTCAAAAGAAAATGAAGAAGTATTAATTATTGTTACCTTTAATATTTCAAAATAACCATTACTAGCAACTTGATTCATAGTGATCTCCAAACATCCTTCAGCCTTATTATCATGAAGAAACTATAAATGTATCCAGTTAATATTTAATTTAGAGTATTCTTCTGTAGTTATTATAACATACTTTAACAACATCAAAATGACCAAAAGTTGCAGCATTATGCATAGCTCTGCTGGTACAATGCTCATCTTGACTATGCAAATACTCCAATACATTTAAATGACCATATTCCGCGACGGTTTGCATTATTTCCTTATAGTATCTTGGTTGATCCTCCTCCCTTGGAAGGGAATCTATAAACTGTAGAGTCGAGAGATGTCCATTTATAGCTGCGATATCTGCCATATCACGTGGATCACCCAATGACAGATGAGTTGGATAATATTGAGTGATAAGAAACTCTAAAATATCTCGATGACCATACTCTGCAATATCTACCAATAGATCCAAGTAACAGTGACTATGTTGCAAAGGTGTAAAATCTTGTGACCATTCTATTAGATGTTTTAAAGTATCCAAAGTAGCATTTGGATGAATACAATATATTGATATGACAATATCTCTTCTTCTTTTTAACAGTACTTGTTGTGAATTGATATAATGTTTAATAAAGTTCCATGGCATTGCATATTGTGTAATCATTCCTAAAAGAGCCAAACCAATAATATCTCTTCCTTTTTTAAAACTTTGTTTGTTATTTTCATCACCTCCTTCTCCTCCTCCTCCTCCTCCTCCATTTAAATGATTAAATATCAATCCTCTAATATATGATATTCTAAATATACTTTGAAATGTAATAGTAGTAGTAGTATTAACATTATTATTATTATTATCTGTATCTTTCATATGCAAATTTAAAGAATGAAAAATCGATGACATGTTCTTCATTCAACTCTGCCAAGTTTGTTTGCATTTTGCTAATTAATTAAACTTTTAATTTAACTTCAAGAAAGTAGAGATAGATACTATACTATACTATATAATTAGAGAATGGATTCATTATTTCATACAAACAACTCACCGTCATTCTATTCAGTTGTAAAGACTATTGATAAATATGAACACCTAAAGTTGGAAAAGAATGTTGATACGGGTGTTGCAGAATTGATTCTAACATCATCAAATGGTTTAAATCTAATGTCTGATCAATTCTTTGATGGTAAGCGATCGTATAGATAGATAGATATAGATATGTTAACTAACTTGTTATTTGTCTATTGCAGAATTAATATCAATCTTTGAAACTATACAATTGGATGAAAAGATTAGAGTAGTCATTATTTATAGTGACGGTAAGATATTCTCTGGAGGTTTGGATTTGGCAGCTGCATCTAGTCAATTGTCAGATACAGAGGGTACAGTACAAGAACAGAGTTCAAAACTATTCCGTTTGATCAGACGTTGGCAATGCGCATTTGACCGTATCGAGAAATGTCTCAAACCTGTCATTGCAGCTGTACACGGTCACTGTCTGGGTGGTGCCATTGATCTGATTACTGCATGTGATATTAGATTGTGTTCATCTGACGCTACCTTTTCCATTCTAGAGACCAAGTTGGCTATTGTAGCCGATCTCGGTACACTACAACGTATTCAACGTATCTGTGGTGTTGGTAATGCTAGAGAGATGGCATACACTAGTCGTCGTATCGACTCTGCCACCGCATCCCGTTACCAACTCGTAAATAATGTGTATAGTGACAAGACCACCCTTCTCCAAGAAGCACATAAGCTTGCCAAGCAGATTGCCGCCAACTCACCCCTCGTAGTCCAGTCCACCAAGATGATCCTCAACCACTCACTCGACCATAAAATCGATGAAGGTCTTCTCCGTGTAGCTCTCCACAACACCGCCTTTCTTCGTTCAAATGATTTAATGGAAGCTGTTTCTTCATTTATGGAAAAACGTACTCCTATATTTAAATCAAACTTGTAACTCTACAAACCCAACAAACAAACACATATTCAAGCAATCCAACCTATTCCACTTTTGTAAATAATACATAATTCATTTAAAATCATCATCATTATTATTTAATTAATTAATTACTCTATTAACTTTTACTTCTACTTTGACCTACATTCATTCGTTCATTCATTCATTGTCGTCAATGCAATCAAATTTAAAGTCATGGTGGGAATGGGCAACCAGTTCAATTCAATTCAATTCAATTCCTTGAACAAAGTGTTGCTTTTAAAAAAGGAGAAGACATCTATGAAATTTTCAATCACATGAACCTGAGATCTGTCGAATCGATTGTGATGATGATGATGATTCACATAACTAGTTATTAATACTTCTTTCCTCATCTTCCACAAACTCGACTCATTATATTGTTGTTGTTGTTTACTTTTTATTATTATTATTATGTTTAAAACAAAGAGATAGATAAAGAGATAGGAGAGAATGAATTTAAAACTTAAAGAAATAGTTGCAACTAATAATGATAGTAGTAGTAACAGTCTACGAGGTCGTAGTAGTAGTATGATACAAGGACAAACATCACCTACAGGATCTAGATTTATTAGGTTGATGAATCGATACAAAGAACTAGAGATGGAATGGTGGAGTACTCTATCTGAAGAAGACGAACAATTACTGCAAGACGAAGGATTAGACATAAAGAATATGTTGTTCTTTTCAGAGGTACTCTTTACAGTGGCTCGATTCAAACCAATGATGATGTTTAGTTATCTGCCTGAATCAATGCTTCAATCATACCACGAAAGAGTGATCATTGCAAGTGGACTACTTCAAACGCTACCTGACATTGTCTTTAAAAAGTGTAAATCAATCGAAACCGATAATACTGTATTCGAAAACACTGCTGTACTATATTTTAAACAATCAATTAAACAATATCAACAACAAATATTAAATCAAAATAACAATCAAACTAATAATAATAATCAAAATAATCAATCGAATAATAATGAAGAAATAATAATAACGGCAACTTCACCAAGATCATTATCATCATCACCATCATTAAATATTAAACAAATGCTTGGACAATTATCACAATCTACGATATCCCTTTTCCAAAACATTGACCAACACGGAGAAAATACGGATCTGTTGGCAAAGGAAGTGGAATTGGCTGAATTGTTTGATTATCCAACCAATCTGCCTGAGCATATTCGAGGATCAGAAGATCAATTCTATGATGTTGGTTATTCTTGTTGTATATATCAATCAAAAGAAAAAGAATTGAAACAACAACAACAACAACAAAACCCACAAGAAATGGATGATGATGAAAGAATTGTAATGAGTTATTTCATTCCACGTCACCAATTACATATTATTCAAGATAGAATTAAACAACATCATCATACCTACGCTACATTATTTAAAGTTATCTTTGGTTTAGATTTAAAATTACGTATTGCTCAAGCTTGGGATGATTAAAAAATCAATTCCAAAGACAAATCCAAATAATTAAATAATTAAATAAATAATTTACCATCCAGTTATTTATTAAATGTTGCACCACTAAAATCTAAATTTGGGTTCTATTAAATATCAACAACAATAATAATAATTAATTAATAAATTACAAGTAAAATTATAATTAATTTAATACTTACCAAATCTTTAAACTCTTGTAAATGTCTTTCTTTTTCTTCATCATCGGTAGTTGGTAAACCAGCAGCCTTTTGTCTTTGGTTAAACATCATTTTCTCAACCATTGTTCTTGTTTCACCGTCCAAATCATTGAGTGATGAGTTTTCGGGTGTTATCTGGGTAACATCAATCTCTTGTTCTCCTTGTACAATACATGACCACCATTCTGATTTAATCTTGAATAATTCTATTGTAATTGTTTTACCATCGACTAAACATAACATATGATTGCAATCAATATATATCTTTCATTATTGATAATATATTCTATTACATTTACATACCAACACTCCAAGTTGAATCATCAATCTTTATTGATTTATGTAATGTACCATCTATATATATTTCATTTGATATTTTATTCTTTACTGTCAAGTATTGCTTATCCATCTTGACAAACAAGTCTCTACCTCTAACTACCACATCCGAGGTGATTGTGATCGTTGCCTCTGTCAATGTTTGACTCCAACTATATTTATCTGTTTTGTGAACTTTACTTGATGGTATACTCATTCTCTATATATTATATGATAGACTATCTAATCAATCTATAGATTCTATTCCTTTTTCGTTTCAATGCAAAGTATACACCAAAATTAAAATAGAAAAAAAAAAAAAACTAATGATGATGCTGTGAAGGTGAATCATTCTAATCTTCAACGTACCCGATCCCAACCAAACGACAAAGAAAAAGGAAGGAGAAGAGAGAGACTTTTAAAGTAGTCAGTTAGTTAGTAGTAGTTAGTAGTAGGGGTGTACAGTCAAAATACACCTTGAAATGCTTGGATTTAAGAAGAAGATAGAAATATTATAATATTAAAGAGATTACAAAAGAAAGAAAGAATTAGGTATTTAGGAGGGATGTTTAGATTATTAACAAGGACAACAAATCAATGTATCAACATCAACAAGAATAACATTATTACAAATAGTAATGCTAGTTGTATAACAACAACAACGACAACATTAAGTGCAAGAGGAATTAGAGGAGGACAAGTTAAAACAATTACAACATCAACACCCATCACAAAAGAAACGACATCATTATCAAGTTTAGCAACCAATTACTTTTCAAGATTCTATAATAATGCAAGTAATAATAATGCTTCAAGTGTAGATCAGCAGCAGACACTTACCTCTGGAGATTATACAGTATCAGAACCATTATTAAATAATGAACTATCGTCATCGTCGAATATTTATAATAATTCATCATTATATAATACTGCTGATAATATTGGATTATTTGGTATTAAAGAATTAAAGACACCCACTGGATGGTTGGATTTATACGATCGATGTCATGAACGAGGTAGAGAGATATTGGATCGATTGAATCATACCAAAGTCACTGACAAGGACAATCTACAACATTTGTCAGAGACTTGTTATTTGATTGATGGATTGTCACAGACTATTTGTGAATTGATGGATCCAGCCGAACTGTGTCGTAATGTGATGTATGGAACTAAACATGGTGATGCAGCTGACGAAGTATTCAACAAGATGTCATTGTTTGTACATGAACTCAACTCTAATCAATCAATGTATGACTTGTTTAAAGCCATCTATCAACACCCGGAACATCGTAACTTGCCACCTGCACATCGAGTGTTTGTGTCTGATATGATGAACGAATCAGAGATTAATGGTATTCATCTACCCGATGAATGCAGAAAACAAGTGATAGATCTCAAAAACATGATTGCCTTTCACGGACAAAGTTATCTTCAAGAGTCTTCAAAACTGCAAAAAAATCAATTACCCATTCACAACTCTCACTATGTCTATGTCGATAAAAACACACTTAAAAACTTACCTGCAGAGTATAAAACACATCTAAAGAGACGATACAATGATATTCGTCTTGATAGTTCTCCTTTTACTCTATCAGGTGTTATGACCCATGTTGATGATCCTTGTATTAGAAAACAAGTTTATCAAAATAGTAAATATTATGTTTCAAATGGTATTGTATAAAAAAGTAAAAGAAAAAAAAGTATACTTTCAAAAAAAAATAATAACTAATTGTTATTTAATTTTAGATATTGATTATCATTTAGAATCATTTATTAATTTAAGAGATCAATTGGCAAAGAAATTAAAGTATCCAAGTTATTCAGCTTATCATTTATCTTCAAAATTAATTGAATCTCCTGAAAAGGCTACAAATTTTTTAAATGTAAACTAAAACTAAAAAAACAAACATAAATATTGATTTATTAATATTATTATTTATTATTTTTTCTTTTAGAATTTATCAAAAGAAACTGAAGAACAATCAGATATGGAATTAAATTTATTACAATCATATAAATGTAAAATGGAATATACAGGTGATCCAATTTATCAATGGGATTATCAATACTATACAAACTTGATTAAAAACATTCAATCTCAAGAGAAATGTATACCAACTTCGACGGAATTGGCAGAATATTTCACATTGGAAAATGTGGTGGAAGGATTCAATACGATTGTACAACGACTGTTTGGTCTTAGATTGGCAGAGGTACCAATGTCAAATGGTGAATCTTGGCATCCAGAAGTCATTAAATTGGGTTTGTTTAGCAAGACTGAAGGTGAATTGGGACATTTCTATTTGGATCCATGGTATCGTCCCGACAAGTTGACTACTGGTGCAGCCAACTTTGTTCTTCATCTTGGATATCGTCGTGCCAATTTCAATCAACTAACCTATGAAATCCCATTAATGCAAGATTACCATTCACCATTGGTAGCTATTATTTGCTCGTTTTTAAAGGTCAATCAACCATCACCAACACCAGGCGTCGTTTACAATCATCGAAAATCGCAACTTGGTCTGGCAGATGTTCAAGTATTGTTTCATGAATTTGGTCATTGTATACATAGTCTATTGTCACGTACCGATTTCCAACATCTAGCAGGTACAAGAGGACCAACCGATTTTGCCGAGATCCCCTCCACACTAATGGAAAATTTTGTAACAGATTATCGTATCCTCTCTACTTTTGCTCATCATCATCAATCTGGTCGTCCCATTTCAGAATCTATAGTAAATTCCTATAATGAACGTTCAAATTTATTTAAAGCTATTGAAACTCAAAATCAAGTAAGAAAAAAAAAAAATAGATTATAATTTATTTATTTATTTATTTCTATTTTTAGATAACAATGGCAATGCTAGATTTAACATTACATGGTAAACATCCATTAAATCAAAAAGCAGGAGATATATTATCAGAATTGAATGTTAAATATTCGAAAATACCTGGAGCGATAGGACAACCATTTGTACAAAACTTCTCACATCTCTATTATTATGGATCTTGTTACTATAGTTATCTACTGTCAACTCATTATAGCAAGAGAATTTGGAAACAATTCTTTGGTGCAGGCGGTGATGTTAATCGAGAGAGAGGAGAATTCTATCGAAGAAAATTCCTTCAAAAGGGTGCATCTCAATTACCTCAATCTATTTTATTAAGATTAGGTTTAAAACAACCAGCTGGTGGACAAACAGATTGAATAAATAATATAAGGTACTTAATTAATTTATTATTATAGTTTCTTAGAATAAAAGGGAAACAAATGAAATCATCAATACTGAAGAGAGTGAAATGAGGGAGATTGAAGAACCGGCAGCACCAATAGAGTAACCCAAAGTAGAGCATGGTAATGGGAGGAGACCCTCTATAACACATACAAGTTCACTGGTGAGCTCCTTGTAGATGGGAGCACAATCGGCAAGGGAGCCACAAAACTCTTCACCACAGTGTTGCCAGAAACAATTCTTGACTGATTGACCAGCTTGTTCATTACACTTGTGTTCGACGGCACAAGCAGTCATTCTCATGCTGACAGCTCCACAGGTACGGATTTCGTCAACAGATGATGCGACTTGGGAAATGCAAACACCTCTATCACTTTGGATACAAGTACATTGAGAATTTTCATTGCATGGGTCTAATGCGAGATTGGGGTCATTGCAATTACCGCTAAATTGAGTTTGATTGTAACCATTGGCCGATAAGAGTTGACAAGTGCCACTGAAACAGTCGAGACCCTTGGAGATATCACAAGCATTGGTTTCATCGGTAGCTTCGTCTCCACATGCCTTTGTTTCTCCGAGTGAAAAGTATGGTACGCAAATTGAAGAATTGCTTCCCAAAACAGTTGGAACACACTTAGAATAAGATCCACATGGCTTTTCATCCAAACCAATAATACATGGTTGTTGGTCGGAAATACGGTCGAAACAGTCTTGTGAGGTAGTGTTACAGTATTTACCATATGCACATTGGTCGTTATCAGTACATCCGTTTGTTCCAAGGGTGCATGCACCTGATGTACATTCAAGTCCTTCAATACATTGGTTAGTGTTTGAACATGTTTCCTAAGATAAAAATTAAAAAGGGGATAAATATTAATAATTTGTTGAGCTTTTTTTTTTTTTTCTTTGTTACGTACACCTGATTGAGCATAGTTATAAGCACCACAAGTACTGTCTACACATTCGTATCCAGTTAAACATTCGTTGTCATCACTACATGGTCCACCTTGATCAGATTTTTCAACTAGAAGCAAAGGTTAAAAAGAAAATGATTGTAAGTTTTCAAACTGGAAATAATAATAATAATGATATTTAACTTACTGCAATCAAATGTAGTTTGGTCACAATAGTATTTGGATGAACAGAAACTAACAGTCAAAGATTGTTCATCAGTAGCACTATAATATGAAAATAAACCAATGTGGTGGTTAGGGTCGATCATAACTTTTCTAAAAAGCTTCATATCGAGGGCTTTTATAAAATATTTATTTTATTTGATACTGACCATGATGAGTCGGAACACTTGATTGTTACACCGGGTGGGAATGTCATATCTGAATCAGCACATGACCACGAGGAGGCAACGTTGATTGAAACTAGTATGATTACTAAAATGGCAAGAATTAATCTCATCTTTTATGTTTTTTTTATCTAAAATCTATATAGTTAGTTACAAGAAACAAAATGGAATGAAACTAAAACAATGCGGTCGCTGTATGACCAACAATAAAATCAAATTAATTGTTTTTTTGCTATACAGAGAGAGGTGGCCACCTAAATTTCGATGATCAAACACCAACTTGTGAGACGGCTGATATTTATTCGGATCACCGATTTTCCGAAATGTTGATGAAAATTTAAAAAAAAAAAAGTGATCTTTTTGAAATATCGTACAACAAGCCCACCCTAAACGTCAAACCAACAGTGGTCTCCATGAAAACCAAGACATGATAGAAAAGAATCTTTACATCTATGCATAGGAATAGAAGAATAAAACAGTCGACAATTAGGAATGTTTAATTCAGACTTCCAACTATCCTGGTTTTATTCTATAAACTAGTTCTCTTCTCTTTGAAAAAAAAAAAAGCAAAGAGAATCATATTGGTCAAGAAACATTATTCTCTTTGAGATTTCATGATTCTCTCTTTTTGTTTTCAGTGTATGCAACTTAACAACATAAACAATAACAAACAAAATGTGATTGTTGATAACAATCATTTCACTAGTATAATAATAATAATAACATAATGCAACCCAATTGTTATCTATCCCGAGATACAAGGATAGAAGATGATATTAAAGTAAATCGTCCATGTGGACCATTCACAGATCGAATTACATTTAAAGCTACTTTGGTTGGATCATCTGGCGTAGGAAAGACAACACTCCAACACCGAATCTGTGGTACACCTATTGATCATATGACCTCTTCTACAATAGGTGCTGTTTTCTATCAAGTTCCACTTCAAGTCGATCAAAAAACTCTTAATATCAATCTTTGGGATACTGTATGTTATATATGAATATAAAGAGTAGAGTATATCTATATAGATCATTATTGACCTCTTTGTTATTATTTATTTTTGTTTAGGGAGGACAAGAGAAACTTAATATATTTAATCTTCTACCATTTTATTTTAGAGGTTCAGACTTTATCTTTTTAGTGTTTGATCTATTTGATCGTCAATCTTTTATGGATTTGTCTAAATGGTTGGACAATGCGAATCGAGCAGAAAGTTCTCGTCGTATACCACCAAACACAATCGTGGTTGGCAACAAATTGGATTTGGAAAGAAAAAAAAAGAGACTCGTTAGCTTGGATGAAGCTCAATCATTTGCTTTTAAAAGAGGATTCCAATATATTGAAACGAGTGCTCTCGAAAATGAGAATTGTGAACTCATTAAAGAGTTGGTCATTCATCATATCAAAAAAACAATTAAAAAAGAACAAGACGATTTAATAATTAAAGAAAATAAAGAAAAGGAAAAAGAAAAAGAAAAGGAAAAGGGAAAGGAACAAAATAACAAATAATATTTATCCTTCTTCATTTTAATTACGTGTAAATAAAATATAAACATATTTGTTTCATCCTTTCTTTGGATATTATATAATTTAAATTTTTGTGTGATCTGTTTTTCGCACATACCTTTAAGAGAATTCGATCATTCTCTCATCTCTATTTTAATAATTCTCCCTCAATCCAAAAGAATGTCGAATGTCAACAACAACTACAACAATACTTCTCATTAAATAATAATAATATCTCTATTGTATTTGAACATGTGTTGTAACGAAGGTACAAGAAATGATGGTGATGAGCCTCATATCAAATCTATAAAAAATCAAATAGATGAGTAAATTCAGGACCTATTGAAACAACCAAATCGCTGAATGGTTTACCAGCCAATTTTCTCTCTAGTGTAGTCTTTCCTACATAAGATGATCCAACCAATTCAAATAGATGGTAAACCAATTATGATTCAACTTTGGGATACTGTATGTAGAATTTAGAATAATACATTAAAAGAACAGAGTTGTTTAAAAAGTAAAAATCTATTTATTTACTATTTACTATCTATAGTTTGGAGAAGAAAGGTTTCGTCATTATCTACCATTTAGTTATTATAGATCAGATTATATATTTTTAGTGTTTGATATAACAAACCGTCGGTCTTTTTTAGATTTACCAGAATGGTTGGAGCATTTCAATCGCTTTGAATTGGACCAAAAATCATACACGATTCTTATTGGCAATAAATTGGATTTGGAGAATCAGAGATTGGTTAGTTTTGACGAAGCTCAAACTTTTGCTCTTAAAAATGGACTACAATATATTGAAATAAGCGCCCTACAGGATGAAAATTTTGATATCATAAAGGATTTGACTATTCTTCATATCAAACAAAAGATTAAAAATGAACAAATAGTTCAAGAAAAGAGGGATAAAGAAATTGTTTATTGACAATAAAATAAACCAAACCTCTTTATTAATCCCACAAAGGCTCCAACCAAAAAGAAAGAAATCAACTTTTATCAGAAAACCCCACATAAATCTCTTTGATGGTGTGGTATTTTTTTTTTTAAAGTAATTCTTTTCCTGTTCTCTCCTATCGGGAAGAGTAGTACTCAGAAGTTACAAAGTTTTATTAATTATACATTTTAATTGACCAGCAAGAAATAAAGATTATCTCGAGAAGAATTAAAGTTAATTTGTTCTGGGGGTTGTCCATGTCTATGATACATGTTATATGGACGTTGATCATGTATCTTATTGTATAGTGTCAAGCATGTTGGATTGTTTTGGGTTGTTGCTTGTTCTAAAAATAAATTGGTTAAAGATATCGCTTTTTTTTTTTTTTTTTTTTTTTTTTTCTCAGCACTATAGGCTGTAATATTGTGTTATATAATTATTCTATGTTATTATTATTTAGTAAATTATTATATTATTAATATTATTATTGATAGATGACGCAAATATGGCACCCATCTTCTTCTAATTTTAGTACCATACTTGCGGTGAAACCTTAAGCCTTGGGTGCGTCCAAAACCGACTGCCGCTCTCAACTCTCGCGCCGATTTACTCCCCATTGTGGACACTCGTCTTTACGTGTTGCATATTGTATTTGAAATGTCAAATGGCTTTCTATCGCGACGGCCCAGTAGGTCCTCCACTACCTTCCCGTTACTTGTTGCAGTCTGGCTACCCAATCTCCTACTGAGAAGGGGAAACTAACCCGGTCATCCTTCCGTGGGGGTGTCCTGTCCTCTAGATCCCTAAAGTCGGATGGTTTTTCTCCTCAATCCCCCCAATTGTGGTCAAGTTAAACGTTGGCGCCAAAAGTAAAGTTCGAGGACAGGATTCGAACCTATGACCTTTACGTTCCCGGGATCGCACACTCCCGACTCACTTGCCACGCCATGCCCATGGTGTGGTATTGTCAAATTTTGATATTATATTTTGGATTCAATACACATATTAGTTTCCCTTTTGGTCTAGTGGTGAGGATTTTCGCCTGTCACGCGAAAGGCCCGAGTTCAATTCTCGGAAGGGGAGAACCTTTTTTATATGCAGGACTGAACTTATCACTAAAGTATGTACTTACATAAAGTAAACGCTAGCGAACCGTCATGATAGTCCACGTGGAAGGAAATACTATCATTTTATCTATTTATTTATTTATCTATTTCTATTTATTTAAAAGAGATTGCCGATATTCTTCTTCATAATCATAGTCATCATTTTCACCCAAGCTGTAAACCCTAGAGGTGGCCATTTTTGTTGGTTGGGGATCACCATATCGATTTAAAGACAGAAGATCTTCTTGACTCTCCTTGTCATCATCCATTCCAACTCGTTGTTTGTCAATTAAGGAATAGTCAAAATCTTTATCTTGTCCATTAATGAATAAATCTTTCATCAAATCTATAAATGCATCTATTTCATCATTATCCTCTTCTTGTACCACGACCATTGATTGATCATCTTTTTGTCCATTGTCATTATTTTCTACTTTTGTTTCCTCTTTTTCTTCTTCCTCTTCTTCTTCCTCATCTTCTTCCATTTCTTCATCTTGATCATTTCTATCTCTTTTTTTTTTGTTTTCAAGTTGTTGTTTTAATTGATTTAAAGTTGATTTTCTTTTATACATTTCTTTGATGATTGATAGTAATTGTTGTTTGTTATTAATCTGTAACCATTTGTAAAGAAGAGGATATGGTTGATTATCATTAAAGATATCATTATTTTTGCGTGTTAGAGTTCCAAGTTTCGAGGTGATATCTTGAATCTCTTGAAACTCTGTTTCAATTCTTTTAATTGACAATTGTTCCAAATGATAATTATCCAATAATCTTTCAGATAGTGTTGCAGATGATTTAAATGGTTCTCTTCTATCACTTTCGTCTTGTTCATCATCATAATCATGGTTATATTTTGAAATCATATGATAATAGATAAAAGGATGACGATCAATACACTTTTCCATTGAAAAGTAATCAGTACCAATCAACTTGTCAACCATATAATCATATCTCTTGTTTTTAGTCTCTTGATAATTGAATCGATTATTATCTATTCTATCTCTATTGTCTTTACTTGTTTGTTTTTGATATAATCTATATAAATGATGTTCAACTGAATATTTACAAGAAGAATCAGATCCATCATCATCAACAACATATATAGATTCAATGTATTCCAATTGATGCAAGTTTAAACATTCACCATATTTCTCTAAAGAGATAGATTATAAAGTGTTAATAATTAAACTCTTGTTCTATACTATGCAAACACAATACATACCTAAAAACAAAACAATATTTGTTTCAAATAGTTGTTTTATATAATCTTTATCAATATTGTTATCTTTGCCTTCTTCTTTGTTATCTATGATATATTGTGTATAAACATCTTTAATTATTTGTTCTTCCATTTCAAGAATACAATTAAAAAAAAAAGCTCATCGATTTTCTACAATTTACAAATATATTTTATGTTTTTTAATTTATTTATTATTTTAATTTCTATTTTTATGTTTTAAGCAATCAAATGTTTAAGAATTAAATAGAAATCGTAAAATACAGCAAATGTAAAATATACAAATACGATATATCGTGCTTGATAGACACGTTGAGGTATTGGAAGAGGGATTGGGTAATGATGGTAATGTGAACGTGAGAAATTCAACATCATCACAACGAATAGACCAGCTTGTAGGTTGAGTCCCAAACTAGTTCCATTCTCCATAACCATGAGGAATCCTCTTGGATTAAGAATAGCAACCAATAAAATGAACCCAAATCCAACAATATAAAGTGTATATTCTCTAATATTGATATGTTGTTTGGTAGTAGTTGCCATTGTTGTTGTTTCCTCTTTCATTCTAATTTCACCACTTGTTTCACTTTCATCTAATTGATCAATTGGTGAATGTCCACTACCACTACTATTGTGAAGGTTTGGATGTTGTTGATTATTTCTATTCTCCCTAGAATCAATCTTTTGGTTTAGTGTATTGAACAAATCCGATAATTTTGATTTTGTTTTATAAACTAGTCCTAATAGTTTAGGATGATCAACCATTTGTTGTTGTTGACTACTACCAAGATCAATATCTTCCATTTCTTGTGTCTGAGAATGTCCTAAAATGATATTATTATTATTATCAGACATATTATCAGAAACAGATGAATGTTCAACTGAAGATGACATTGATAAAAGTGACTGTTTTTGTTGATGTTGATGTTTTTTGTTTGTTGATGATTTTTGGAGACTTGATTTTCTCCAACTATGACTAAACCCATCCAAAGTATGTTTGAATCCAGTACCAACTGTAATAAAACTAATTGAAATGGAAATGACAATAAATATATCAGTGATTCTAGCTATCCATAAAAACTCTGGATAAAATTGTTCAACAACTCCCATCAATGGTATAGTTGCTATTTGTCCTTTTTTCTCGGCTCTAAAAAGAAATAATAAATTGATTAATATATGTATATTTATATTTAAATTTATATTTACTCTAATAAAGAAGGATAAGAAGGATTATTTGGATCAGGTAATTGAGGGATAATTCTTAAGAGGAACCAACACCAAATGATATTTAGGATATAGACAGTGGTAAGAGAAGAAAAGACAGTGAGATAACACTTCTTCATTTCCTTTTTTGAAAAGACCAATTTTGGGAATACGATGGGTAGGACACTGACACTACCACCAAGAGCAACGGTCGAGATGAGAAAACTCTTTCCAATGTCAAACCAGTTGTTTGATATTTCATGCTCGACCGAATTGGATATGATACCAGTGATAAAGACAATCACAACGAGAAGTGTACCTTTACCAAAGGTAAAGAGCGTGATAATGTGTTGGAGTGCTTCCGACCCAAAGATGATGATACATGTAAAGATGATAATGACTGGCACGATTAAATAAGAGTGGTCAACCTTGAACAATTGTCCATATGCCTCTGACCCTGCCAATCCATAACTGATAAGCACCGATGTGAAATGAAGTATCACTGAAAAGATAAATACAGTATGAGAATATTTTCCAAGGAATTTTGACCCCAAATAATGTAGGTTTGGTGTTGCTTCTGTTTCCAATGAAGCAGCAGATGAACTAGTTTGAATAGGTGAGGATGGGACAGTACCACTAGCAGGTATTGTCCATTGATTTAATGGGACAACCTCTTCCTCTTCCATTCCTTCTCCTTCTTCCTCTCCTCCTCCTCCAAGGGGAGGTGTAGAAGTACGTTTTCTTGTGATGGGAGTTGTTGCATTCGAAGTGGTGCCAGCGGCGGCTGATGGTGGACTGGTCGATCCATCTCCATGAGGTGAAGATAATGAATGATGATGATGATGTCCAATTACAGTTGACGATTCTTTACTCATATCTTGTAACTCCAACTCGTCATTTTCATCGTCTCCAATGACAATACCAATACTGCTACCACCTCCATTCTTAAAGATACGGTTATGATTATTATTGTCAGTGACACATTGTTCAAACTTTGACTTGATTTCTTGGTTACTGTTGATTCGAATGATTGAATAGACACGTTGCAATATCTCAATGAGAAAGAATGTCGATAGAACTTGCATGACATAGCAGAGTGTGTAACTTGCAAGGAACGGGTCGAACCCACTCTCTGCAAGCTTTACGGGGATGGCAAGGATACCTGTACCCAAGACACTCGCCACCACGATAAAGTAGAGGTATACTAATACCAACACTGGTGTCCTCTCTGTATCGCTATCGAAAACAGCCGTAGAGTGTGGTCCAACCACATTCTCTTCAATCTCTAGTTCCAATCGTATTCTATTATAACTGTCGTCACCTCCACTCATACCGATATTTCCTCCTCCACTACCACCTCCACCATCAGAGCCATGCATCATTCTATTGATAAATTCACCTGCTCCTTTTGTCCATTTCTTTATCATTGTTATTACTTTGTTATTATTATTATTATTATTATTACAATTGACTCCTATTACTATCTATGTGTTTACTATCTATCTATCTATCTGTTTATTTATCTTTGATATTTCTCTACATTTAAGAGTACGATATATATGTCGAAACTAACTAACTATAATATAATATAATAATCTTATTCTGAGCATGAGAAAAAAAAGATAGATAAAACTGGTTGAGTTTGAACTTTCCCAAAGTCTGGGTCAAGATTCATTATTTTAATTGAACAGGGAAAAAAACTTTAAAATTAAAAAATTAAAATAAAATAAAATTTATTATTGAGTACATATTTTTTTACAGAGTGTACCATCATCGTCGAACCACCACAACAATATGAAATTTGGTTAACACATTTATTATTATATCACACCACGGTCACAGTTTGTACAACACACAGCCACTTAATAATGTAGATTAAACCCTCTTCCTCTTCCCACCACTCCCTCCCTATTATTTTAAATTAGGAGGGAGGGAGGGTGTAGGTAAATAACATACATTGCACTACCTACCATCACTTCCCAGCAGCAGTAGTAGTAGTATATTACTACTCTCTCTACTCCTCAACACCAAACAAACAGAGAGATAGACAGAGAGACAGAGAGAGAGAGAGAAATAAAAGAGGAAATTAGAAAAAGATAGAAAATAAACAACAACAACAACAACAAGAAAGAGTAAGTAAAATGAAAGATAAAAGATCAATCAATCCTTTATTTGGTTATGATTATGGTTATTGTGTTTATTAGAGAGTGAGCGACAGCTGATGTGGTTAAAATATTGATGATGAATATGGTGGAGGTGAGAAAAGAGAGAAGAGATTGAGTGAATGAATGAATGATACACTATTCATTTAAAATATTATTGGTTTCTGTCTCCTCACCAATCCTTGAAGTTTCGATCATAACAATAATACCAGAGAGAGTACTACCTATTACAACGATACTAACAGTTGTTTTTTAAAAATAGAATTAATCAATCAATCAATCCTCTAATCCCAATAATAATAATATTCAAGTTAAACTATTAATAATTGTACATGATAGCAACAAGAGTAGAATTAGTAGGATCAAATTACACACTCTCTCAAAGTCGATAATTAATTAAATTGTTTAATTAATTATTGATTACAATGGGTTCACATCATAGTAAACAACGAAGTAGAGGAGGAGGAGGAGGAGAAATGACAAGCAATGGTGAATTTATAAATAGTAATCATGAATCATTTGGACCCTCTTCTTCTTCATCATCGTCGTTTGTTACAATGTCTCCATCATTTTCAAAAAGAGGTGAAAATAAGATTAAAAGTAGTGGATCAAGTACATTTAACCTTTTGCGAAGAGTTGGTAGTACAACTAGTAGTAATAACACAACACCGACATTGGATGGAATGTCACCTGCTTTATCATCATCAAACATGATGTTGGATGTCGATGACCATCTATCCAATCTATCTCTAATGATTTCAAAAAAGAACAAAAAGAAAAAACCAAAGAAACTATTGAAACAACAACTTGTATCATCCTCTTCATCCACAACAACAACTCCTTCTCATCCTCTTCCTTCATTACCATTGGAAGAATTTATTGATGAAAATAATCAAGCTCAAATTTATTTAAATAATAATAATAACAAAAATGGTGGTGAAAAGGATGATGATTCAAATCAAGATTCAGAACAAGACAATAGTGGCGAAGAAGAAGAGGAAAGTGATGAAATTATAAATATTATGGACGATGATTTATTTCAACTTTATGAAACAAATGGTTATTATGATGATGATGATGAAGATAATATAATACAACAAGGAATGTACACTAGAAATGTATCATTGGCATCGATTACATCATCGTCGTCTCCTACTACTACTACTAATCTTCAAGGTCGCCATCCATTTTCAGCATCATCCAAGTTGTCGTATGGATCGTCATCGTCGTCATCATGGTTTTATCTACAAGGAATAGACAGATCACTATTATCTAGAGAGAATGACAGACATATCATAGTACTGTCGACACATGAAATGATCGATCGTCTATGTCTAGAGATTCATCGTACATCTGAGGTAATAGGGTTGTCACTGATATCAACCTCTATCCTTTTACAACACTTTAAATTTGATCATCACAAATTGATGCAACACTATGTCGAAAAGGGGGAGAATGCAACCTTTCAACTGGTCGGTCTCCCACTCTCCCTACTAGATCTCATCAGCCAAGAAACCGACGCTCACAATATCGAATCATTACAAGATTGCTTTAAAACTTTAAAAGAGTCTCTTAAACTATCAGCTCTTCGAAAAATTGCTTTTGATGGTATGGATACATCAATTTCAACTAATCGTAATAATAATAACAATCAATATAATAATCAGTATAATAATAATCAAAATAATCGTCATCGAAATCAAAATAATAATACAATTAGAAATAGAATTAGAGTTGTTAGATGGACATTAAACGATCGTGAGAATTCTAGTCGTCGTCATTCATCGACCATGACAACTAGAGTCAACTCTTCAAATGATATTCTTCATGACACTACTGACGCATTGTCATCATCATCATCATCGACTTCAACCACTGTCAGAAGATATAATCATGATTATAATCCATATTCTAGGTTTTCACAAGTGGCTAATCATAATCATCACAACAACCGATTAATGGTGGGTCATCATCATCATCATCATCATCAACAAGACGAGGACGACGACGACGACGATCAACAAGACAATCAAGTAGAGGATAGTCATAGAATAGCTGTTATGGAATCTTTGGTTTCACAAGTACTGGATGTATTTCCAGATTTGGACAATGAAAGAATTATACATGCACTTTCACAATACGACAATAATCACGAACGTATCATCAATGCCATTTTAGAAGGTGTTTTAATTATTCCTTCTAGGTCTCAAACCAACAGTAATATTAATAACAATAATAATAATAATAACAATAATAACAATAATACCATCCCATTGGTATTACCAATACAAGCAACATCAACAACATCTACTACTACTACTACATCTTCTTCAAATTTAGATTCAACCCAATCAATTATAGAATCAATTAATAATAATAATAATAAAGAAGAAAAACAAAACAATGAATCATCATCTTCATCCTCATCTTCATCCTCTTCATCTCCTTTATCAAGTCCAAAACAAGAACGTGGTGAATTAACAAAGGGCAATAGTATGGCTAGTATATTTAGTATTACCAGTGATGAAGATAATGGATTGAATCCTTTAAATCCTCATATACAATCATTACGGTCCTATGACATTGACAATCCTCCTCCTTCACCTCGTCCCATTAGAAGATTACCCTTTATATCAAAATTATTAAGAGATAGTAACGATGATTTACTCATCGATATCAACAACAAACACACAAATAATCTAAATAATTCACAGACAATCAACAATAACAATAACAATAGTAACAATAGTAACAATAGTTTACATGATTCTTCATCGGAATCGTCTGAATTATTTTGTAATTATTATCGAAATAGTGATAGAATTAAAAATAGAAGAGCTAGTAATCTAAATAATATTAGTAATTATCAAAATAATCAAATCATTTTGGAAGAAAATGATCAAGAAGAAGAACAAGAAGAAAAAGATAATCAAGATGCTGATGATGAAGAGGAAGATGATGACGATAATGATAATAGTGAGGAGGAAGAAGAAGATGATTGTATACAATTATTTTCTCCATCTACCGTTGGATCCTCTATTATCACAAAGCCAATGTCATTTAGTAGTAACAATTCATCATTTTTATCAAACATTGATGAATTTAATATTAGTCTTGGCGATTTTAATCATCATCCACTAAGAAATTTAACAAGTACAACATCAACTACTACAACTATAAATAATAATAATAATATTTACAACCACAATTCAAATTTAATTGTGAATCGACAAGACATTGAAGAGGAAGAAGTAGAGGAAGAACCACAACAAAATATAGTTGAACAAGACATTGAAGAAGAGGAGGAAATGGATGAAAAGGATGGAGCTGATATTCATATGGCAAATGGTGCAGAAGAATATATTCAAGATGAAGAAGATGATGATGATGAAGAATTGGAACAACAAGAAGATGAAAATGGAGAAGAAATTATTATTAATAATAACCAACAAAATAATAATAATAATAATAATAATAATAATAATAATAATAATAATAATAATAATAATAATAATAATAATAATAATAATAATAATATTCTACCTCCTTGTTTAACAATAGAAAATAATGATGAACAACAAGAAAATAATAATAATAATAATAATGGTGACCAATTAATGTGTTTAGTATGTTTATGTGATATTGAAATATCACATTCATATTCATTGGCATGTAAACATACTTATTGTTTGGATTGTTGGAAATCATATCTTTGTACCAAAGTTGATGAAGGAATTCAAAGTTTACATACAAAGTGTATAAGACCACAATGCAAGTATGTACATCAAATCAGTCAGAGATATGATCAGACATTTTTTTATTCACATCTATTCTACTTCTACTTTAGTTTAATAATAGATTTATTAAGTTTTAAAAAATTGATTGGTGATACAAAACAATATCATAAATATAGTTGGTATTTTTTAAAATCATTTATTGAAAATAGTCCCAAATCATCATGGTGTACGAATCCAGAGTCATGTTCAAAAGTGATCTACTATGATGGTGTCATTGATATTCCTCTTACACTCAATGTCACTTGTACAAGTTGTGATTGGCGATTCTGTTTTCATTGTGGTGAAGAAACTCATCACCCTTCAACTTGTAAACAACTGTCGGATTGGAAATTATTAAAAACAAGAGAAGAAGGTCAAAATGCTTTATGGTTATCTCAAAATACTAAAAAATGTCCAATTTGTAAAAGTAAATATTAATCAAATAATAATAATAGAATAATAATATTTTTAATCCTAATTTTGTTTTTTTCTATTTTTTTTAGTTCATATTGAAAAGAATGAAGGATGTATGCATATGAAATGTACATGTCAATATGAATTTTGTTGGCTTTGTAAAGGACCTTGGAGTGAACATGGGGATAGAACAGGTGGATTCTTTTCATGTAATCGATATGATCCTTTGAAACATGATACAGCCGATCTCGACAAATCATTTGGTATCTATGTTCATAATTTTCAACGATTCAATTATCATCACAATGCTAAAAGGGTTGCCATTCAAAAACAATCTCAACTTGTTTCTCTTGCTCCTGAACATTCAAAATATTATATCAAACCATCCCCAAAACCAAAACCAAATCGTATCCATCCAAATCATCAACATTATAATAATAATAATAATAATGGACATTATAATTATAACAATCATCATCATAATCATAATTTGGAATCTTCATCTTCTTCAAATGTTGTTGACGACCATTCACTTTATGGTAGTCATGATGACATGGAACAACCAAAAACTAATACTACTACGACACAACAACAACCAAGTTCATGGGAAAAAGATTACTTGTTTGAAGGAATAGAATTGGTGATTGAATGTAGAAATGTATTGAAATATACTTATGTCTATGGATTCTATATACAAGATGAAAAGGAAAAGGAATTATTTGAATTCCTTCAAGAGGATTTGGAAAAGAGTACAGAACATTTGGTTGAAAATCTATTCAAGGAAATTGATAATCTTGCATTACCAACAACAGTGGTATCAGTGATCAACAATCCATCTCCATCTCAATCACCTTTATCTGCAGCTCATCATCATCATGTATACAACCAACAACAACAACCTCAACATCAACCTCAACACATTTCACAAAATCAACAATATAATGGTGTTTCATCATCCAATTTATCTGTATCATCTTCATCATCATCTTCTTATTATACCAATACCAATACTAGTTGTAGTAGTAATCATCAACAACATAATAACAATTCACAACCCCACCAGTATTATAGTTTTGAACAACAGCAACAACAACGACAACTTCAAATTCAACAACAATTACAACTCCAACAACAAGCTCATATAACCAATTACATCAAGATTACTCACAACTTTTTGGAAAATTTGTTGAGTGGCATCCACAATGGGTTGACATCCAACTATGCACCTCCATGCTACCAACAAAATCGACGAAAAAAAAGAAGTAGATATGGATTTGGTTTTATCAATAGTAGTAGTCATGGATACCACCGCAATAATAGTAGTAATCAACAACAAGGTCAACACTCAAAGAATGTAATTTCCATTTTAAAAAGAAAACTTACATTTTCAAAAGGATAAGGATAGAAATAAACCAATTATTTATCTTTTTTTTTTTATTTAATTGTTTAATGAAGAGGATGAAGAGGAAGGAGGAAGGAGGAAGGAAGAAAGGAGGAGGATTAATATTATTATTATTATTATTATTAGTAATTATCGAGAGATTGATTATATACATGTTTAAACCAAATATCAAATTAAACTTTGGTATTTAATATATATATTTATATCTTTTGATGAGAGGAGGGATCAATCTTTTTTATTGATTTGATTAAAATGATGGTACAGTATTGGTAGTACCAGATGCGATTTGACCAACGGTATTATTATTAGAATTATCGTTGAGACAATTGGTATTATTTTTGAAACAGTGATCACTGTTTTGTTCCTTCTTTGAGTCTTGTTGTTGCCAATCCAATCTATTAAATGAATCATTTTTAACAAATACATGGTAATGTGTAACCTCGCGGATAGATTGTAATTCGACGGGATTGATAAAGAACAAAAAGTCTTGTTGGTGTTGGAGTTTGTGTTGGAAATGCGTGATGAGGTGCTCTTTGGCTTCTTGATGAGTCAATGGTTGTAGACACCAAAGTACCCAATGCGTAATACTGTCATGACAGTTATATGGAAAATCGTTTAATTTAAAAGCTAATTTTTGTTTTACATCTACTGGTCTTACAACTTTTTTCTTATATACATTATTATTATTACTATTATCACTACTACTTGAGTCATTATTATTATTATTATCATTATTTTGGTTGGTTATATTATTATCTACATTGTTGATGATTGGGTGTTGATGATCATCCTCGGTTGGAAAATCAAACATTTTGGATAGGATATAATCTTTGGTTGAAGAATAGGTTGCTCTGACATAGACCATATGATCCATCATCTTTGTAGTGTCTTGGTCTTTTCGACCCAACTCTCCTAATCGGTCTTCGTTGATGACATTTTTTAAATCATCCCAAGTTCTCTCGATATAATGTGTCATGTTCCTTATATATTCTATGTATATATATATTTATAAGCTATTGATTTGTTGATTTTGTTGTTGCTGTTGTTGTTTTGTTGACTACTACTCGTTTGGTTGTATGTGTCTTCTGTCATATAGTAAACAAAATATATATATATTATTAGTTATATAAATATTATAAAGAATGTGTGATATTTGTTCTTTCTCGTCGTCGTCGTAATAATAATAAGATGGAGATGTGTTTGCAGTATGTATACTGAAGAAACAAAACAAAACAAAAAATAAGGGGATGGGAAGATTTCTAAAACAAAAATATCCTCCTCTTGTAGTCGTGGGGATTTTCAATAAGCAAAGAAAGTAAAGTAAATGAAACGAAATGAAATGAAATGAATGAATCAAAACACAAAACTTTTTGAAAGTAAAGTAAGTAATAAATATGAATTTTTGAATGTTCTACCAAAGAAATTATTGTTTGTTGTTCCGACCTCTAGTCAGTGTGTTAACACACAGACACACACAATTGAAAGGAGGGGTGGGGGTTGACGAAACGAAACGACTCTTTTTTTTTTGACATAGGTACAAATATCTAGATATATTGACACGCCATCATGAAATACCCACCTTTATGACGTTGTATAGAGATATAGATAGATACTTGTGACTAGCTAGCTAGCTGCGGCTGTAGCTGTAGGTGGAGCGGACTATAGTTTTTTTGCGAACCGAAAAGGTGTGTCCAAGGTAAAGGCCGTAATTAAATAAATAAATAAATAAATAATATTCAAGTCGACTTGGTTGTTGACGACGTTGATGGTTATGAGAAAAAGATACCTATTGTAGAAAAGAGAGACAGAGAGAGAGAGAAAGAGAGAGAGATATGTTTTACAAAATAAAAATGAATAAACGTGGATCCGAACAGTCATAGTCTAAAGGTCAGAGTTAAGGAAAACCTTGGGTTTGGGAAAATGATATTAAATATTATTATTATTATTAAAATGGAAGATTATCTTTAACCTCCTCAAATTTCCAACCTAGGTTGCCAAACACATCGCTATCAAGGTTGCGATGTACGAGCCATCATACGACAACGCTCGGTACGATTGTCAAGTGTTGTTTTTTTTTTCGACCAAAGCCCATCACTTTCCCGAATAATTTTAATAATATCTCTGAGGAAATTTGGAGTTCTTTTTATCGAATGATCAGAACTTTAAAATAGAATGAACTTTAGAGTTGAGTCTACGTCCTCTGATCCGAGTTGAAATGACTAAAGAAATATATTTTCATTTTTAGATTCTTCCCTTTTTTGGGATCATTCCTCGTTGAAGTTTGTGTCATCTCTATCTACTCATGACAAAGACAATAGAATTCTTTGTTTTTAAATCAATAAAAGAAGAAAAGAAGTAGTATTTTTTTTAAAAAAAAGACATAATAGAAAAAGTATTTGATTTGGAACTATGTAATGATTTTATTATTAACATTGTTTTAGAGATGGGATTGGTTGGATCACTATTTAAAGAAATAGAATTTTGATTAGTATTGGATTTTAATTGTTTATTTAAAAACTATTTAAATTAAAATGTGTGTCAGACAAAATGATAACGCGTGTTGGGGTTTGTCATCAATATGATACAGAAGTGTCCAAGTCCTCATCATTCACATGCATTTAAAATTTAAATAGTTTTAATTATGTTTGTGGTTTTTAGAAACTTACATTATTTATTTTGTTGGATTATTGTTGTATGGAAGAGACAGAGAGATAGAAAGGAGAGGAGAGAGGACAGAGGGAAAAAAAGAACTCAAAGCATCAAGGGATATTATAGAATGGGCAAACCTAAAAGATCAAGTAAATAAATACTTTAAGAAAGGTAAAAAAAGAGATAAGATTAGTAAATATGAACAAGATAAGATATAAAAGAGTGAGGAATAAAAGAGATTTAGAGGTTGATTATCAGAAGACCGTACGTGTTATATTTCACATAAAATCAAAGAGCTGGGTTTAGATATTGTAACCACGTAGTTTCATCATTAAAAAATAGAGTAGAAGAGAAATGGACAGAAAGAAAGAATAGATATATATTTGTTTTGAACTTACAATTTAAGCTGTGACTTGTTGAAAAAATGAATCGTTCGTTCATTGCTTTTGAGCCTTGCTCCACGCAGAACCTGCTGATTTCGTTTTTTGAAAAAATTAAATAAAATTCATTTCTTTTTTGTTTTTTTTTTTTTGCCTGTTTGTCCTTTTACGTTTGAATGTAAGAGCATGCTCCTATGACAAAGCTAAAATGGGTTTGCTGTGATGGTTGTCAGAAACATATTATAAATTATGTCCATTACCTCGGGAAAAGAAACTTTATTATTCATATCATCCATGGATATGATAGATAGATAGATAGAAAGATAGAGAGAATGAGATATATTGAAACAAACAAGAAAAGGGTTCTTTTCTTTTATTGGGTGAGAGATTTGTGAGGTTCACCAAAATATTCAATAAAAAAATAAATTAAAAAAGACTTTGGTTGTGGAGGAGCGTTGTTTAAGGAAAAGGACTAGAAAGTATAGTACTATAGTTAATTTATTTATTTATTTATTTATATATATATATTGTATTGTAATAGATATAGTTATATAGTTAGATATTAGCAATGGGACATGGAGATGAAGATGATGATGGATGGGAGATTAGTGGATCAAGCAAACAAGCAAAGATGAAAGAGTTGCAATTAAAGAGACAAAAGAAAGCAAATGATCTGCAACTCAAGCGTGAACAAGAGGCTAAAGAGATTGAACAAAAGAAGAAAAAGATGGATGAGATGATGAGTGGACAAGGCTACTTTAACAAGTGGGAGGTGCTCAATGACGATGTCGAAGACTCTGAAGAGGCAAAGCGTGAAAAGCGTCGCTTGCAAAAGAGCAAGCAAAAGAAACAAGAGGATGGCGATGGCACCACCTTTGTCTATCAAAGTGCTTTCATCAGAGACGAGGAAAAGAAAAAGAACCAAAAGAAACATCAACAACAAATGAATTCACAGTATCATCAATTGGCTCATCAAGAACAAAAGGAAAAAGAGAAAAGAGATTTGGAATTATATCCAAGAACTATTGAATTGGCAAAAGAAAAGGTAAATAGAAATAGGAAAAAGAAAAAAGAAAAAGAATAGTATTAATATAATGTTAACATTACATTTGATTTGATTTATTTTGTTGTTTTAGTTTAATTATGCAAATTATTATGAATTGATGGGAAATGTTGAGAAAAAGTATCCAAAGGTTGTTGATATTCAAATTAAATATATTGCTGAATGTTTGGAAGAATTCTTTGGTCATGTTACAATGGATTCAAATAATTTAGTTTCTGTTTTAAGTGATACTGGTATGTAAATATATTTATTTATTTATTATTTATTTATAAATATTAATTTTGTTTGTTTTTAGAATTCCCATTAAAACATTTATCAACAAGATTTGTTGATGAAACTATTAGATTTTTAAAACAAAAACCAGCTGATAATGTTGCATCTGCCGTTTTATTCTTGATCAATACATTACTATCTATTCTCAAGGGTGAAAAGGGAGCAATCAAATCAAGTGGTGTTGGTTTATTGATTTTCTTACAAGTCGTTTTTAAATGCAATGCTTTGGTTCCACTCTATCTAATCGAACATTTCAAGACTGTTTTCGCAGCCAATAATCTTCAACATGTTAAACCAACCATTGCAAGTCTCTATATTTGGTTGATTATGCAATCAATTGAAACAAATCCAAATGTTGCTTTATCTTGTTTGTATCAAGAAAAAAAAAGAAAGAGAGAGAGACATAATCAAACAAAATTACTAATTATAATTTATTTTTTTAAATAGTTTGGTTATCAATATTTTTACCTTTATTATTAACTCCTGGTGTCAAAATTCCATCAACAATGAATGATTTAATTCAAAAGTTTACTACTAAATTATTTGAAAAGGAAATGTATGTCAAAAGAATATTAATAATATATATAGTTGAGTAATATTAATATATTTATATTTTGTTATATTAGTAAATTTTCAAGTCATAAAGAAGTAGATGGAAATATTTTAGCATCAAGTTTGGAATTATTTTTATGGTCAATTCATAAAGAATATTCGTATGTCAACATAAATAACCATGGTCTTGATTATTTAAAATATTAATTTTTTTTCTAACTTTTAGAACACAAGAGAATATTTTAAATAATTTAAATCAATTATTATTTGATCCAAAAAAATTATTCCCATCAAAGAATGTATCACAATCATATTTATCAGTTTTGGTTGGTAGCACGGCAGTAGCTGATACCAAACAAAGAGATCGTATCATTTTGTCGATTATCGAGTGTTTAAAGATTGACAAGAAATGCTACGAATACATAAAGGTGGATTCATCAAAGAATGTTGCACAGATCAACAACATCCTCTTGTACATATCGTTAAAGTGCGACGAATTAAAACTCAACAAGGTACTCGACCGCGAGCAAATGTATGGTCTTGCCAAATACTGCAAGGAGCAATACACAGCAGTCCTCGAAACACCACCCAAAAAGAGACAACTTCCTCGTAGTGTAGAGGTTAAAGACATTGAAATGTGTCTTATTAGTCTTAAACCAGTTTTAAAGAGATTCAAACCATCTGGTTCAAGCAGCAGCAGCAGTGGTCATAATAGTAGAGGTGAATCAAAAGGACGTGGATTTTTATTTACATTCTTTATCATTCTATTACCATTGATTGCAGTATTGGCATTTTTTATCCGTTCATTACTTTGTAACCCTGAATTCCATCAATACCAAGAACAACTTCATCTCGAGAAATATCTAACTCAAGATCATCTAACAAATATTAAACAATATGTTTGTTTTAAACCAAAAGGTTTTTAAAAAAACAAATAAATAAATATTAATAATAATAATAAACAAACAAATAATAATAATAAACAAACAAATAATAATAGAAACAACATAAATAAATAAATAAAAAATTAGGGATTTTAAAATGATTAATGCGTTTGCAATTCAAAACAATCGGGTTATATTTTATATTTATTGTGTATAGGTATGTAAGGAAAGAGAAGGTAAGGAATATTAAAAACTAAATTTTGATTCCATTATCTCTTTAAATTATTATTAATTAATTAATTATTATTATTATGATGTGATTTTATATATATAATGTATATAGAGGTTTGGTTTGTTTGTTATTCTTTTTTTTTTTGTTTAACTAATATCAATTGTAACATAAACTAAAGCATTACCTTCTCTTGGTTCATTCATTGAACGAAGAGTTGACCATTGATTATGTTGGATATTATAACGATAGGCATCAGACAATACCTCTGAAAAGTAACCACCGACTACATATACGTTGTCCTCATTGTCATAGACGACCGAGTTTCTAACGTCGATTGGCTTGATCATATCGGCCATGGTGTCGCATCTAGGTGGGTCAGTGAGAACTTGATAGCGGTCCAAGCAAGAAGAGATGCGTTTGGTGCCATAGCTACCACCCATGAGATAGATAGAGTCGGAGCGAGTGTCATAGATGGCGCCAGGACCATCACGCATCTTTCGCATGCGCAATAGACGGACCCATTTGTCTTCGGCAATGTCATAGCGTTCGATAATGTCGAGGGCCTTTCCGTTGAAGCCTCCGATAGCGTAGATGTAGTTCTTGCCGTCATAGACAGCCGACAAATCAGATCGTTGTGTCTTCATGGGTGCCAAAGACTGGTACTCTTGCGTAAAGAGGTCGAAACGGTCGACATGGTTGGTGAACCAACGGTCCTTGCCACCAATAATGTAGACATAGCGTTTGCCGTCGTAGATCGTGGCGTGACGTGATCGTTCGCTTGGGAGGGGTGCTACATTCTCCCAAGTGTCGTTGTAGATGTTGTAGCGCTCGACCGTGGTGAACGAGATGTTGCCAGACTCGCCACCAAACACGTAAATGTGGCCGCGTCCATCATAAATGCCACTGATACGATTGCGTTCGTTGGTCATTGGTGCCACATAACTCCATCGGTTCTGGTTGATCGAGTATCTTTCAACCGATTGTTTTCCTTTACCACCAATTGCATAAATGAATTTTAATGTACATTTAAAAGGTAAATTTGATACTTTAAGTAAATTGATTTGATAATTATCATTAATTGATTTAATAAAATTATTATTATTATTATTATTTGTTTGTTGTTTGCTATCTACATTGTTGTTGTTATTTACTATGTTGTTATTTTTTGGAAGAGAGACTAATTGATTTCTAAATTTAAATTGCCATTGAATATCATTATTTTCAGTTGATGATACTTCAGAGATGGCTTTGAATAGATCGTTAAAATGAGCCTTTTGTTGATTTGATTCGTGAATGGATTTGGGAGATGAGGAGTGTCCAAAGAATCTACTTCTTTCAGCCTCAATGTCTGACAATAACTTGTTGATTCGTTCACGTTTGTGTTCCATTCTAGAGCGATGGTTGACAAAATCACTGTCAACTTGGTTAAATAGATCCGAAAGGATACGTTCAAACTCTTTACGCAGTTGTTCCTTACAATCCTCGACAGGATTGTATTTGAGAATACTCTCGACAATGTCACTTTCCACTTCGAGATAGTTTTTGTATCGAAGGAAAATGTCTCGCATGTTTTGATTCTCTACATTGTTTTGTGCAACAATCTCACCATACGATTGGATACGATGTTTGTTGTGATGGTGATGCAAGCAAAGCTCACACAATGACATTTGACATTGATCATCAAAACAATAGTATTGATATTCTTGTCCATGTACAATACATCTAGTATCTGCTGGTTTCAACGCAATTGCTGGTGTCAAATATGGAAGCTTCAAATTATTTGATTGATGATGATGTTGTGTTGGAGTTTGAGTAGATGAAGATGAATGATGTTGAGAATGATGATGAGAATTTGGTGTTAATGAATGTTGTTGTTGGTGTTGATTCATTACAGATATATGTGGTGAAAGTGGTTGTTGTTGTTGATGATGATGTGGAGAAAGTGGTGGATGTTGTTGTTGTTGTTGTTGTTGTACCTGTTGTTGATGATGTTGTTTATATTGATATTGTTGATGATCTTGTAAATACATTTGAAACTGTTGATATTGTTGTTGGAATTGTTGTTGTTGAATCGATTGGGATAGATAGACAGGGGTGGATGCAGACAACGGAGAGGAGGACAGATTGGAGGGATTGGAAGAGGAAGAGTTGAGGGGGTTGTTGGAAGAGTTGCTGTACAAGTAGGATGGATAGGATTGGTTGAGTTCAGACAACAACGAGTTGCTGTTGGACATGCCCGTAGAGGCGTTTCGGCTGAACCCTCCGCCACCCTCGCTGCTCGTAATCGACGAGCCGTGTGACCCACCCAATGGATTGTTTGACTTTTCCAACAAAGAGGACGACAGAGAAAGAGGATTCAAAAAGTTTGAAGATGGGGACTGTGGAGGGGGTTGATGATACATATTGGGAAGTAGATTGGACGTTGAGATGGATGGTAAGGGTGGAACCAATGTTCCATTACCACCAATCATTTTGTTGTTGTTATTTCTATTGGCGTTTGCGTTGATCGTATTATTATTATTATTATTATTATTGTTTCCGTTGCGTGGTGATGATAATATATTGGCGTTTGCGTTGTTATGATTATTATTATTATTATTGTATTGATTATGAATCGCAGAAGAGGGAGGGAATGAAGAGGTGGAAGTGAGAAGAGGGGACGAGGAGGGAGGGATTTCCGTAGATTTAAAGAGTGGCGACTTTGGCGACAAGGGCGTAGGTGAAAGATAAGAGGACAGCGCAGGTGTGCTGGTGCTCGATGATAACACGTTGAATTCCTTGACTGGAGAAAACAACAATGGTGAAGTAGACAATGGTGGCGAATAAGATGGCGTCGATGAACTAATTCCCGTAGAAGAGTTGATACTATTACCATTACTATTACCTTGTTGTTGTTGTTGATTAAATAATTTATAATAATTTCCTCCCATAGAAGAAGATGGACCAGAAAAAGAAGAAGAACTTGAATTGGAGATAGCAATGGCAATGGAACTGCTACTGTTGAGTGGTGGAGGGGAAGGAGAGGATGAGGAGCCGAGTGACTTGTTGGACGAGTAGTCGGCAAGCGCACGGTACAAAGAGTCGTCGACACGAACGTCGCGAGCAGGTGTTTTCAAACGACACTGCACACAATAGTAGGTGATAGAGTCGCCTGGAATCGAATTCTTGTCGACAAGACTAAGATCCAAACAATCGGAACAATAGCTATGATCGCATTTCAGTGTCTTTGGTTTGGACAATATAGATTGACATACTTGACAAATCATACTTTTATCTCCATAACCCGATGGTGACGACGACGAAGATGATGATGACGGTTGATGTAATTGTTGATGATGTAAATTATTATTATTGTCTTCTTTCATTTTTTTTAGATTAGCGCTATAACTACTAATAATTTATAAATTATATCATTGGTACATATATAGATAAAGATAAAGATAAAGAAAGAGATAAAAGATAAAAGATTAAAGGTTGTGAGAAAAAAAGAGAAATTAATTATTAATTATTTGCTTGCTTTGTCCACTTTTTTTTTTTTTTTGGATTTTTGATTGAGTCCTCCTTTCTTTTAAAAACTACAAGAAAGTTGAAAGAGAAGTGTGGTTTTATTGTCACACCACCACCCTACACGGCAACGGGCATCTGACGACATCTTTCTCTCATCTGCAAACAACAAACATACATACCTTCTTGAGGGTTTAGTTTAGATTTAGAGGAAGTTGACTTTTGGCTGAAAGGAATAAATAAAGGGAAATGTAGAGGTTGATGTGACTTTATATATATATACAATAATAGTACGAGAGAGAACTATATACAAATGAACTGAATAGTTGTTGATGATGAGACTGGAACTGTGATTTGGTTATTATGTGAGATACGTAAATATAAATAAATATAAATTAATAACAAACTAAAATGATGATTATTATACTAAATAACGAACAAAATGAGATATTTAATGAATAAAATTAATTTAACAAACTTTTACTTGTTCTCTTCTCCTCTTGAAAAAAAAGAGAATATAAAGATAAGAAGTAGTATTATTTGTATTTTATATCTACAAGATGGGAGGAATAATAAAAATAAAAAAAAGCCTACACACCTTTACAATAAAGGACACTGAGGGTAGCGAGTGTAGTAAGTGGGTGTGACAATAAAAAGTAAAAGGAATGACAATAATCTAAATATAAATATAAATATATTCTTTTTTTTTTTTTTTGTCTTCTATTCTATTCTATTCTATTCTATTATTGTATGTGTATGTGTATGGGTATATCTGTTTGTCTCGTGGTGAGAGTAGTGTATAGGAAGGAGTTGGACTGACTGTATACTCTATTCTCTATTCTATCTATTCTTGAATATGCGTGTTTGTAAAGTTAAAAAAAAAAAACAAACAAACAAAGAAAGAAAGAAAGAAAGAGATTATATGTATATATCTATCTGTCTATCACTAACACACAAACAATTTAGATATGGATATGAAGTGATATCTTCTTTGATATGATGCAACAAAACAACCCAGACAAAAACAAACAGACAGATTGATGAAAGAAGAACAAAATTTGCTGGCCTTCAGATTTCTTTCATTTAAAAATGAAATTGTGGCAAAGGAAAAGGAAACTTCTTTTGATCGCCGAATCAAGTAATATCTAATTTTTTTGTTTTCACAATAACCCTTCGGTTAGGAGGGGAACTGCCAAGATTAGGAGCTCAATGACATCATTCAAGTATGTGGTCTCGTTGTCATGACCTAGGTATATTTATAAATATATAAATATATATATATATATTATTAGTTAAATAGGTCAATAATAATAATCAGAGTAGAGTAGAGAGTACTCAAAGTATGAAGTTTGTGGTGCCCAGGATCACTTTTGATTATTGGGGGGTGGGGAGAAACCTTGGTCGAAATTAGTTTAGAAATTTGCACTACACTTTACTTTCATTTCATTTTTCACTTTACTCCAATAGATTATATTATAGTACTCTCTTATACTTCTTCTTCTCTGTATACATGTATATAATATAAAAAAAAATGGCAAAAGATAAAGATAAAGATGATGACGATCATCAACAACAACCCAAAAGAGACTTTACAGATGAAAGCAACAATCACAATCAAGATAACAAAGACGATGAAGACAATGATATAGATGAAGAAGTATATATACCATTCAAACTATTAGTTATTGGTGATCCTGCTTGCGGAAAGTCATCAATAGTTAATAGATATTGTTTGAATAGTTTTGAATCAAATTATAAGATTACAGTATGCATTAGATAATAATAAGAGATGACGAGGATGTTTATAGCGTTCTAACATAAAGAATATCTGTCCTGTCTACCTATGAAACTATATAGATAGGAGTAGATTCATTAACAAAACATCTAAGAGTTGATGGTAAGATGGTATCATTATTATTGTTTGATGTGGCTGGTCAAGAACGATTTAGACATATGATTAGAAGTTATTTTCAAAATGCTCATGCTGCCATTATCGTTATGGACGCAACTAGAGTATTACCAACACTCAATGCATCATCTATTTGGAGACAAGAGATTGATTGTTGTTTTCCCGATTCTCCTCTACCAACTATATTATTAGTCAATAAGGTAAATTTAAATTTAAATTAAATTAATTATATATCAAACTAAACCAACTTATTTGTTTGTTTATTTAGTGTGATTTATTAAAAGATAAAGATGCAATCATTGAAACATTGGATCAATTTGTAGTTGAACAAAACATTGATAAATATTTCTTTACATCGGCCAAATATGGTACTGGTATCGATGAATCAATGGAATATATAGCAAAGATATTATTACAACAAGAAATTGATAGGATTACCAATCCAAGAGATAGTTTTAAATTACAACCAAATAATAATAATAATACCAACGCATCATCATCCTCTCCGACATCTTCATCCTCTTCTCAACGACGTAATTGTTGTCCATCTTAGCAATAGTTGGGGAAACTAAACTTGTAAATATCATCATCAACCATTATCGCTCATAAACTTTATTTGTACAAATTATTATTTATTCTATAGTTATTTTTGTTCAGGGTTGTGTCCCATTTTTGGTACATGTGAGATATTATCGTCGTCAAACAGATTCATCATCTTTCAGGTCGTTGGGTTGACGGATATTTTCGTGATGAAATCGGCGGTCTGACCAATTTCAGTTGGGGTCATGAATTTTTGGCACCCACGATATTTTTTTTTTTTGAAAAACGAGCACCGGTATGGTTCTCGAGGTGGGATCAAGAAAAGAAAACAGTAAAAATGTAGCGCAAGAAAGGTACCTTTGCCCATGCCACCATCAGTTAGCACATTTTTTTTGTTTAACCACCAACTTGTCAACCAATCGTGCAGCTCTCTTGCCCCTTTTCTTTCTTTCTTGTTCCTTCCTCCTCATCTCATCACACACTTTTCAGTCTATTATTATTCTATTCTATACGCATACATATACAAAAAAGAGAGAGATAGATAGATAGAGAAACTTTTTTTGTTTGTTTACGCTTCTTTTTTTTCACTTTCACACATCAACAAAAAGTCAAACAAGATCTTTATCTTATCTTCTTTATCTTTTTGATTTTATTTTTAGACACCCCCCCTCCCTTCAATCGATTGTGTTTGTGGATATAATAATAATAGTCGGGTTAATAGTTTTTTTTTTTTATATATAATACTTGTAATATTAGTCAATCAAATTATTATTGTAACACCCAACTATCTTTTTTCTTATTTATATTACGAAATATAAATAATTACACTTTTTCTTAGTCATGTTAAAATTAATATTTGTAATATTAGTTTTAACAAACATTATTTTGACAATGGGAGCACCCATTCCAAACATTACCAATATTTATGTCTGTCCAAGTGAATCTGGACAGGTCAAGTTTTCTTTCTTTGGACCAAGTACCGACCCCGAATACCCCCAATACAAGGCAGCCGCCGTCAAAGCCTTTTCAGACAAGGCTGGTGATTTTTGCACCAAGTACAACCGTTCCACCGTCATGTACCACCCAGACGAGTCACCCGCTGTCATCAACTCGCTCGACCTTGTCGAGGCTGGCGTCCAAGTCGTCATCGGTCCACCATACACTGGTACCAGTCAGGTATCGTGTTTGATTTTGGGAGCCTTCGAAGTACCCAACCTCAGTTTTTACGCCACTGGTACCGATCTTTCCAACCCGGGCAAATACCCATTCTTTAACCGTGTCATTCTCGACGATCTCCAACAAGTACATGGTATTTTGGCGTTGGTCAAGTATTTGGGATGGGAGCGTATCTCTTGCGTCCACACCAACGAAGACTATGGTATTGGAGGTGCCAACATTTTGGTGCGTGAGGCCAATTTGATTGGTGTCTCGGTTGACACTATCCAATCGATCGACACTGTCGACGGCGGTGTCCCACCACCCGACTCTGAATACGACCGTGTCTTGTCCAACTTGGACGACGTCAAGGCTCGTGTCATCATTGCCTATGCCATCTTCCCAATCGATTGTACCACCTTGTGGGACCACGCTCGTAAAAACGGTATGCTTGGCCGTGGCTACACTTGGATTGTAACCGACGGTTGTGCCGAATACGCCAACGAAAACCCACCCGATGACTTTGAAGGTGTTATTGCCTTTTTCCCCAACTACAACATTGGTCCAGGTTTCGATGCCTTTTACAACGAAATGGTTGCTGTCGATGTTGACGGTGCCTTTTACAAGGGATCTGCCTTTTCCTATGATTCTGCTACCGCCGCCGTCCTTGCTCTTGACAAGGTCTTGGCCAACGGTCAAGATGTCGACGATGGACCCCTTGTCCTCAAAACCATCCGTGAATCAAACTTTACGGGTCTCTCTGGATCCGTCACCTTTGACCCGGAAACTGGTGATCGTAGCGGTGGTCAATTCTCCCTCCTCAACTTTTACAATGGTCAATTCAACAAAATCGGTACAATCGATCCTGAAACTAGAGCTGTCAACCTTTCAAGATTAATTATTTTCATGGGTGGTACTACTGATATTCCTTCAGATTGTAAGAATCTTAAAAATATTAAATATTTTGAATATTTTACTAACATGTTATTTACTTTTTCCCCTTTTTGTTTAGATGAGGTTATTGAATACAGTGTTGCATTGAATGCAGTTTTAGGAGCTATTACTGGTGTTTGTACATTATTGGTATTATTTATCGGTGGTGTCATTGTATTCCAATGGAGAAAGTTCCGTTATTCTTCACCATTATTCTGTCTCTTTATTATTGTTGGTGTATGTATTAGAAACACAAACAAAACAAAACAAACAAATAATTTGTTTCTCTTTGTTAAAATTTTTTTTTTTTTTTTTGTTTTTTAGGCATTATTAAGTTTTGTATCAATTTATACATTATTACCAACACCAACTGATAGATTATGTATTGCATTCCCATGGACATTGGGTCTTGGTTATTGTATTGTATTTGGTACATTGTTTACCAAGACATGGAGAACATGGAGACTTTTCTCCAATGCTCGTAAATTCAAGATTATTTCCATCTCGACCAAGATGATGTTTAGCGTTGTCGGATCATTTGTGTTGCTTGAATCTGTCTTTATGATTATCTGGACAACCGTTGACTATCCACAAATCGAGGCTGCACCCATCTACAAGAGTGGACAGGCTCAATTGCAATGCGTACAACAATACGAACCATGGTGGTACGTCTTTGTCTTTTACAAGGTGTTTTACATTATTGTCGGTGTCTTTTTGGCATTCAAGACACGTAACGTTGTCGATTCGTTGAACGAGTCCAAGCCAATCACCATGTCACTCTACAATCTTACCTTTGTCATGTTGATTTCCGTGCCACTCGGTTTCATCCTCAACGACTATCCAACAGCCGTTCTCGTCATTGAGGTTGTTGCTATCCTCCTCTCGTTCACTGCCACAGTCTGCTTACTTTTCTTGCCACGTGTCTGGTTGATTATTTCAGGTCAACAACATTCTATCGATACCCGTGACTCTTCCTACAACAGTGGTGGCTACTCGTCCCAACAAAGTGGTGGTGTTGCCATGAAGTCCTCTACCGCCTCTGCCACTGCCAAACCAACCTCGTCGGAAAAGACAAACGAACGTAGTGCCCCAAGTCACACTGAAAGCACCGGTTCCCTCCGCGCCAAGGGTGACATGCAATCCGTCATTGTCTCTGGTGGTGGTACAGTATACACAGGCGGGGATCCAATCCCAGCTTAAGAACTACCGAGAACTATTAATCAATGACATCAATAATCCTAATAATAATAATAATTTAACCTTTTACACTTTTGATTGTATAATAAATCATAAGTTTTAAAGATCTATCTATGTTTGTTGCATTTTCCATTTATCATTATTGGTTTGGTTGGTTATCTATCATTTGGATCACCACAACCATTGCGGACGGATCATTATACCAGACAGAAATAAATCCAGTGTCATTGCCGTTTGGCATGAAGAGCTCTGCCTGCCGCACCGGTGAAGGAAGGAAGACATGATCTTGCAATGTTGGAACCAGTGTAAAGTCATGAATGGCCAAGGTCGCTGATATTATCCCCTTGCTATCAAGCAAGGTTGGACCCTCGAATTTTTCATCTGATGCTTAAAACAATCAAATTAAATCAAATCAAATTTAAATAAAATAAAATAATTTAAAAACACCCAAAAAAAACAAAGTTATAAATTTTAATTGAAAAAAAAAAAAACTAATGGGATGGTTGGTGATATCAACATTCGCGATGATCACTCACTACTTTAAACTGGCGAGATACCCGTCAATTTATGAAAAAGACTTTTTCGGGTGAATCTCGCGAGCATTGGTGTCACCTAACTAGTTCTTATACCAGGTTCTACTATACCCTCACTCGCCCTAACCTACCCCAGTCACAACAAGATAAAGGATGTAATCTCTCTATTTTTTTTTCTCTTCTTTTATTAGTTGTAGGGTTGTAAGTATCAAACCCAAACAGAGATCAATGCAGAGAGAGGAGAAAGGAGTATAGCATACTAGTAGTAGTAGTATCCCCATTGAACTAATTAATTAATTTATTCAAATATATATATATATATAGTACAAGATTAGATTACTCTCTCCCTAATCATCCTACTACTTCTTCTTCTTCTTCTTCTGACAAAAACAAATCTAATAACAGTTATTAGACAAAAGAGGAGGATGCAATAATAAGTTGTAGTGTGTGTTTAAACAGAGAAAAATTAACGTATGTAAAAATCGTAAGAATGATATCACCCACACCACCACACAGTGTTTAATGGATTCATTAATCGATCTTCGTCAGACTAAACAGAGAGGAAAGAGATGGGGGTGGGGAAAAATAAGATGGGGGTTAAATTGCGATTTTATTCTTATCCATCCAATTCCATATAACATCAGATTTTTCAATCTTATCAATTTAAACAATTGTATAGTAAAAATCGTATTATTCAAAATAATAGTAATAATCTCTAGAGTAGTAGTATTAGTGTAAAAAGAGTATAGAGAGTAGCATGGGGGGTTGGTTGTAGATAGATTAAAAAAAAAAAGAAGGAAACATCATCAACAAATTGATATTTATTATTATTATTATTATTATGATATAATATAATATATTAATTAGTTTGTTTTGTTCAATCAATAGTTTTGTTTGGAATAATTTCTCAAAAGGTAAATAATAACAACAAACAACACCAAACAATAACAAACAACAACCACCACCACCATCCATAAAAGATATTTTTTTTATATTGTTTGATAAAAAAAAATATCAAAAGAAGAAGATGAAGAGGTTAGAGAATTGCAATTCATGTTGTCATTAGATTTCATTTGGTAAAAAAAACAAAAATATTTTAAATATTGTTTTGTTTTTTTTTAATGACAGAGTTCCAGATTGTACCAACAAAAATAATAATTATAAATAAATATTTATATTTATTTACCAAATCCAGTTTCAAATGACTCTCTCTCATCAATAACAATTATTGAACAACAAACGAACGAATGGAATCCATTTTTTTCATTCTATCCTATCGTCACAATAATATTATTACTAAAAACCAAAACAATTTATTAATCAATTATATTGTACAATAATTTAATATTTATTTATTTGTATTTTTTTAAAAAAAAAAAAAAGTAGAGGAAAAAGAATGGAAAATATTGAAGATCATTCATCATCATCGGATGATGAGAATGGATTTGTGAATAAATTTGGAAGATTTGTCATTAATCAATTTAATGAAGAAGAGAAACTGAAAAATGAACAACAAAAAGTACAACCTATTCTCAGTTCACCCAACACTAAAATTATCGTTGGATCTCCAAGTACCAACTCTTCAAAAAATATAAACTCTACTTCAACTAAAATTAAAAGTCCTCCTTTTCAATCTATTCAACAACAAAATAATCAAAAAAATAATCAAAAAAATAATCAACAAAATCAACAAAATAAGATTAATCGTAATAATGAAAATACCAGAATCTATAGTCCAACCATTACAATTAAATCAACACCAACAACAACAAAAATTAATCAATCCAAACAAGATAAGAATAATAGATTATGTGCAAATTATTTTGATTTAAGAGATGCATTATCATTGTCAAAAGAACAAAAACAACAAATTAAAGAATGTCATCAAACTGAAGGACCAGTTTCAGGAATCCCTCCAAATGAACAACAAGACAATAGTGATAATGAAGATAGCGATGATGGATCATTTAAATTAAGATATAATGATATACCAACAACCTATGAAGAAACACCATCCTATTCATCGGCATTTAATATTTTACAAAGACAACAACAAAAGAAAAACAACCAAAAACAACAACAAGATGGTGGTGTTGACAATCACAAAGAATCAACTATTTTATTTGGACAAGAAGCAACATTTGATCCAAAACATCAAGATGTCTTTACTACATCGTCATCGGAAGAAGATGAAGAGGAAGATCACCAATATGGAGACCATTTGGAAGAGATTGAACAAATAGATGAAGAATTGGAAGCTGAAATTGATGAAATGGGATCTGCTTCAACATCATCTATTGCTTCCATGTCAAGTTCCTCATCCCTACATACACCCGTTCAATTATCTGGATCATTGTCATTTACAGCTCCAACCAAAGCCGGTGAAACTCATATTATTACAGAACTTCAACCATTTAATTTAAATAGTCCTGTATTTTGTAGAATTCAAACAACTTCCACCAGCAATAATTCTCAACAACAAAAAACAATTGAATCACATACAACAATCGATACAGTAAAATATGATGATGTTAGTAAATCCACCATTGAAGTTCCAGATCAACCAATTGAAAAATCAAAAAAAAGATTAAGTTTTTTTAAAAGAAGATCATCATCATCATCATCACCTTGTGGATCAATAAATAAACACAACAAGAAACAACCAAAACAACCACCAATTCCTCTTATTTCAAATGATAATAATATTACATATAATGATATTTTATCCGATGAAGGGTATGTAAACTGAAAGATATATACAAATCTATTTCGGAAAATAATTATTAATATTCAAGTCAATTTTCTTATAGGAAATATTCAATGAAAGTAATATCAGAATTATTAAACAAACTATTTGCATCTAAAAAATATAGTACTTTAAATATATTTATGGGTTTGGCTTTATTACATAGTATGTAAAAGAGAAAAAAATAATATTATTTAAATTTAATGTATTTATTTAATTTCTTTTAATCTCTCTCTCTCATTTAGGTTATTATAAACAAGTAGTAATTAGAAATTGGAATTGTGTTGATGATAAAACATTTTTGGAAGAGGGATTAAGATATCAAAAGTTTTGTACTGCTACGTATGGAAGAAAATTGTATTATGGTATTATGGAAAGTAGTCCCGTCAATTTGATAAAGGGAATTGCTGGAACTGATTCACTCAACACCAAAGTTATCATTAAACATCTTGGTATTGATAAAAAGGATATTATTGCAACTAAATGGTTCAGCTCCAAGTATAGCCCGGGACACTATGTAGCAATTGATCATAAGACCAAGTCGGTGGTATTGGCTATCCGTGGTACATTTAATCATTTTGATGTTATCACTGATCTCGTCTGTACATCTTCCAACTATAGTGGTGGAGGTGCTCATTTGGGAATGTTACTTTGTAGTCACAAGAAAATGCAGGAATTGGAAAACATACTATTACAACAACTATCAAATCATCCTGGCTATCGTCTCATTGTTACTGGTCATAGTTTGGGTGCTGGTGTTGCTAGTTTTTTTACTTTTTTATTTTACGATGGTAAGAAAAAGAAAAAAAAGAAAAAAAAAAGAAAAAGAATTAATTATTTATTTATTTCTATTTTTTTTTTTAGCACATCCAGAAATACCAATTCATTGTTATGCATATGGTACACCATGTATGTTATCACATGAATTGGCGACACATGATGTAGTCAAAAAGTTGATTACATGTTTCTCAATGAACAATGATATTGTTAGTCGTTTGTCTTTTTGCTCAATGTTTTATCTTAAAGAGGTTCTCGACGCCATCCTTTCGCAGAGCAAGACAAAGATACAGAGAGGATTCCAAATTGTGTCGGCTGGTAATGGCTTGGGTGAGAAACTCACCAAAAAGCTGAGCAAGATTCTAAAGGTGTCACCAACCATTGATCTGTCGCATGTCGAGCATCGCGAAAGTGGAGAAACACAAATGTACCCAGCTGGCAATATGTACCGTATCGTCAAAATCTCCAAAGGTGTCTATGTCGCCGAAGCAGTAGACAGCAAATCATTTGACAAGATTATCGTATCCACTACCATGTTTACCGATCATATGCCTCAAAAGTATGAATTTGGTTTGGCAAGCGCACTCGAAAACTTTGGAAAGACTGAATTGACAAAGAGACCTCCATCTGATACTACAAACGTAAAGGGTGTTCCTGCTGGAACTGTTATCGATGAACATCAATTAAACAAGGTGAACACTACTACTACTACGACCACTCCAACTCAACAAGAATCAATTATTCAACAACAGGCAACAACAACAAATCAACAACGACAAGAGATATTATCAAATGACTTGGCAAACTCTGAACATCTTACAGGACTATTGGTCCCTACTTCACTTACAGCCTCTTATTCTGCAGCTGCTCATCTTCCAGATGAATAAACATTTATTATTTATTTTTTTTAAATCATTTATCTTTTCATTTTACTTTTGACTCTATAAACAATTAATAATATATTACTGAGTGGTAGGAATTCAAAGACTTTCATAAGTATTGATGAAGTTTAATAAATTAATAGTTGGTGATAAATCTCGCAGATTCTATTGAATTGGTTTTATTTTTGTCTCCCATGCCCATAGTCATGAACCCATATATCTTAGTCTATATATAAAAATAACCAAAAGAAAACCTGTTATTTGTTCCTAAAAACGCGGGAAAATTTTTTTTTAAAGTAATTCTTTTCCTGTTCTCGAGGATCCTATCGGGAAGAGTAGTACTCAGAAGTTACAAAGTTTTATTAATTATACTTTTTAATTGACCAGCAAGAAATAAAGATTATCTCAAGAAGAATTAAAGTTAATTTGTTCTGGGGTTTGTCCATGTCTATGATACATGTTATATGGACGTTGATCATGTATCTTTTTGTATAGTGTCAAGCTTGTTGGATTGTTTTGGATTGTTGCTTGTTCTAAAAATAAATTGGTTAAAGATATCGCTTTTTTTTTTTTTTTTTTTTTTTTTTTTCTCAGCACTATAGGCTGTAATATTGGGTTATATAATTATTCTATGTTATTATTATTATTTAGTAAATTATTATATTATTAATATTATTATTGATAGATGAAGAGAGAGAAAAAAATGATGAAGGTGTTGAGGAGGATGAAAAGAATGAGGTTGAGGTGATCGATTATAGATGTAGTGTACGCAGAGTCTTGTACCTCTCTAAATGACTAGGTAGTGCGATCTTGTAGACAGTAGGATGGTTGTAGTTGGAGGAGAATCGAAGGATGATAGTTTGTATTCGTTCTGTAATCGTATGTATTACTGATTCATCGGTTTGGTTCATTAGAGCCAAATGCCATCGATTACATAATTCTAACGTCTTGTCCCAGTTTACTTTTATAATATGTCGCATATCATTTAGCAATCTAGCTCGCAGGTATTGTTCAGTGAATGGTTCATCTCTTTGGTGACGTAGATCATTACGTCGGAACCATATTCGTTCGAGTGTTGCAGCAATCAAGTTTATAGTCATTGGAGGTTGTTTGAGGTTGAGGAGGGTGATATCCCAAACTGGTGGAGTAATGTTATTGTCAGCAGTAACCTCTTTCAGTATCTTTACTGGTAGTGTGGTCTCTTTGCATTGAAAGAACAAATGCTTGGAAGATTCATCTTTGCCACACGATACACAGATTGAAGCGACTGGGTCACCCCTGACGAGCGGGAGACATTTGGTTACATACTTCCAAACCAGATCTCGACCCTTTGGTAGTACGATGGTAGATAGAGCAGCTAGTGCATTCATTGGATACACTCTGTCATCGGTTGCTAAGATCTTTTGGCCTGGGGTCGGGTCGTACACATTCCACTTTTCGTTGGCTATGGTCAGCCTTTGAAGGTACACTTGTTTGAGAGGTACTCTTCCTCTTTTGTCTGGTTCCATTGCTGGCTTGGGTACAGCCTGAACCTCGGGGAATTTTGGCGATGATCACGGTTGATTTAGCAATGCAAACATCTTAAAGTCAGGATGGTGTAGTTGGTTATCACAAAACCTTAACACGGTTTGGGTCATGGGTTCGATTCCCATTCTTGATAAACCTTTTTGCTGGCCTCCGTTATATTTTTTCCAGATTTTGGTTCTTGTGAGCATAGTGTCATACTACTCTGCTCCCAGCGAGTATTTAAACCCAAACATATTCAATAAACATTCATTATCTTATTATATTATCTAATCCTCACATACACAGGAAAAATTTCGTCATGTGCGATTCATACTTAGAGATTTTTAAATCGCACATGACGAAATTTTTCCTGTGATATAGATATCACATAGTTATATAGTAGTTACAGTTCTCCTGTCTTCTATCGTTTTATCCTATTTCTACCGAATCCTGATCGAAACACGACTTAAAAATCTTGGAATTTTGTTTTTTTTGCCGATTTCTCTTTTTTTTTTTTTGGAAGCTCCTACTCGATAAAAGAAACAATAAATATTACAACCATATGTGTTTTGAACGGGTAGACAGGAGTTCGTAAAAAAAGTCTTTTTGATTGCAAATTATTGGGATAAACATACTATTAAATTATATTTTTAAAATGATCTATTCAATTTCCTTATCTACAATGGGTCTATAATATTCCAATTTGATTAAATTTCCAAATACGGTCTCCCAATGTAATTTATTGAAACCCCAATTTTAGTACAATAACAATTTAATTTTTCTTTTTAAATCAAGTTACTACAATCGAAAAAATAAGTTTGAAATCCCATCCATATTTGCTATTATTGGCGACCTGAAATAGGATTTGTTAACAAAAGGTTACGCTCAAAGATCAATTTGGAAAAATTGAATGAGAGATACTACCGTTACAGTTTTTTTTTGACAGAATATTAAAGGAAATCCCACACATGTATAACTGTACGAAATTAACCTCCCCTCTCTAGTTGTGGGGTTCGTATGTGTTAAAAATGAATTCCTAATTACAACCACCGTCATTTCCATTGTTTGTTTACTCTGATAATGTGGACCATTTTTTTTGAATCCTACTATCAAATCACAATGAAATCGGATAGTTTGCTTAAAGATTATATTCCCCATCTATTCTATACGGCAACAATTATCAACACATATAAATATAGATATTTAATGCAGACAGTTTAGTCTCCTTTTAATTTTTAAATTAATGCCCACTATCTTTACCAGATCTAACTCTTATACTTAAATAGCACAGTCAAACAAAAAAGTATCCATTTCAACTTCAATAATATACCCTATGGGGGGAATCGATAAAAAGGACAGTGGAGTAGTTTAACGTCATACTCAGGACGATCCAATATTACACAACCTCAATAGTTATGATCTACCCGATACAAATCGGTCGACTGTTTTTTTTTTTTTTAATAAAATCTTTGACCTCTTCATCACCGCTGAAGTCATATTGTTTATTTATAATTTAATGATTTAATTATTATTGTTGTTTAATTTGGAGTAGTTGTTAGGTAGTGGTTAGTTTTAGTTAGGAAGGAGGATGGTCGATTTTTTTTTTTTTAAGCATCTCATTTCGTGGCATCCACCTGTAGGGTGGAGCACTACTCTTTCGATTGCGAAGTTTTATTGATTGAAGTCTTTGTTTGACCAGCAATGGGAACTGAGTTTCCAAAGAAGAAACAAGTCCAATCTGTTTTTTGGGGTGCCAAATGTCTGTTCTATTTCCATCCAAGCAAAAATGGCAAGTCTTGGTGGGAGCTATTAGTTCTATTTGTTCATCAATACGACGGGAAGCTTCTTTACCTGTTGAATCGAGGGGGGCTGAACGGTTCTGTGAGTTACGATCCATAGTTCTTTTGTTAGATTAGTGACCAGATCGTGACTCTTGGAGGGAGTGCCCAGTGTCACCATCCATATGTATGTGTGTGTCGAGTAATGGTTGGTGGTTGTGTCTACACCATGATTATCTATCTTATATCGTTCTGTCACAGGAAAAATTTCGTCATGTACGATTCATACTTAGAGATTTTTAAAAGTTTTTCCAGCTCAGAAAGTCACCTCAAATAATGAATGAATAAAGACTATAGTTTGTGAATACAGTAGTAAAACAGTATCGAAACAATAGGAATTATAATTAATAGGTGGAATTTAATTATCATTACAACAAGTCGATACAGTTTGAAAACAGTATTCACATTACTATTACAATTGGAAATGAACATCATCAACATCTCATCAAAACATCAATCAACAACATAACAATACGAACAACCACAGGAAAAATTTCGTCATGTACGATTTTTCTTTTTTATATTATTTTATTCAAAATGATATAAATATTATTTTCTATTACTTGTATAAAGAATGACAGAAATAAGAAGAGAAATATCTGACCTACCAGTTATAAAAAGAAAAAGAAAGAGTTTACAGATTAAATATACAGGAAGGAATTTCTCAAGAGAAGAGGTAGTATTGAGAGCACAAGCACTATCTGATGCTTTAGAAAGAAGAGGTAGAGGTTTAATTAGTGTATTACTTCCTTTCGGAACTAATAATGAAACTAAATGGAGACCAGGAAAGTTTACCAACTTTGGTGATCCAGTTGACTTGTTCAATCCTGATGAATACGATGGAGATCCTGTGGAAGAGCCTCCTTACTTTGGTGCTATTCTTTTTTATATTTTACCAGAGACAGATATAGGTTTAAGAGCAGGAGGGTATGGATACAGGAATGATTGCTTTTATAATGCAATGATCAGTATCTATCCAAAAATCAATAAAGTCTATCTAACACCAGAATCATTAAAAGAAGAAATAGGTATAGAAAGAGATGATCTTGTGCCATTGGACAAGATGAGCAGAATTGAATCAAAACTGCCACCACATATCAAGATATCAATAAGTGGTGATCACGTTTATACATCAACTAGAGGGAATGTAAAACATAACATTAAAATAGTACTTAAGTTAATAATTAATTAATTGATTCTAACAATAAAATTGGGTATCATCATCAACAATAATTATCTTATCAGGGAAATGTTCAAATACCAAAATTGAATAGAAGTGTTCTATTTATTTTTTGAACAATTATTTGGCAATAGTAATAACACATACTAGTCAGTCAACCAAATCAATCAAAATAAATAACATTTAACAATTGTTGTTAAAAATACAATGATGATAAAACCACAACGCATGGTGTTGTATTATGTGAACAAAAAGCAATAGTAAATAGTAACACTTAAAACTGTGAATGAAATTTCATTCCATGTAGGGTGTAGTATTAGATGTTGAAATTTTGCCATTTGGATTGGATGTATTAACATCAATGGATTGTTGTTATTACCGTCATTTATATTGGGTGGTTATATATATATAGAGAGAGAGAGAGAGATACTTTAAAGGTAGAGATTGTAGTTTGTCATCTGAATGGGTTGGGTTGGTGCTTGCTTTTAAGTAAGTGAATGATATAAACCTTTGAGTTTCTAACCAATTTGCAAACCAATTTGCAATTCCTACCTCCCAAATATATTTATATATAAGTTTTTCAGACTGTTCACATTATCTTGGGGTCCCCTAACATGTACATAGTAGTATGTATAGAGGTTAGATGAATGTGAGTGAGGAGTTGAATGTTGGTCTTTTTGGATTGGTTATGACAAAAGAGAAAGAGAGAGCGAGAAAGACCAACAAGTATTTAAGCGATCACTTTTCCATACTTTTAAAATCATTCTCTTTGTGTTTCCTAAACTTAACTATATAATAATCAACCAATAATTCAAATCGTAAGTGGAATGAATGATCCCCAGATAATAATATTCTATTATTATTATTATTTTAATTATTATTATATTTTCTAATTGGATTATTCTCTTTTTCTTCTTCTTCTTTTTCTTTTCTTTTTTTTTGGATGACTGTAGATGGAATTCAAGTATTGCATCCTTTTAATCTTAGTTTTGATTGCTTTTATTTGTATGATCAATCCTGCTGCTGCAGAGGCTGAAGCTGTCCTAACTTGTTGCTCATTCTGTCACCCAATGAATACGCCTTGTATGAACTCTTGCGACAGTGGATGCTAAAGCTATAGCTATAGTTTAAACATTTATCTACCTCCATCAATGATTGTCAGCCAATCCATTAAAAATCAAGGTTGATCAAATACAAAAAAAACTAGCAACCATCAAGAAAGAATGAACTTTTAGTCATTCTCTTCAAGATCACCAATAAACCTAAAAAAAACTTTTTTTTACTTTTTGTTTTCCTTCTTTCCTCTTCTTTATTTATTCCTGGTTTTTTTACAAACCTCTTTATTTTTCTTTTTTCCAATCTTTTATTTTCGTTCTATTCCCCCTACTTCCTCTATTTCTTTATTTTTGGTTTTTTTAAGAATAAAAATTGTAGAAATGAATAGAGTAAATTTTGGAACTTTTTCTTTTTTTTATTTTTTTCTTTTTTTTTCTAACTTTTTTTTTTACTCTATCTACTCTACTTACTCTATTAAACTAAAGAGAAATAATAATATAAAAATAATTGGTCATTATAGCACGCGCCGGAGGCAAAGTGCGTTACTTATTTAATTGTGCGTCAGCACACCATGTCCGAGCTGCTGCTTTGTTGCTTGTTCTAAAAATAAATTGGTTAAAGATATCGCTTTTTTTTTTTTTTTTTTTTTTTTTTTTTTTTTTCACAGCACTATAGGCTGTAATATTGTGTTATATAATTATTCTATGTTATTATTATTTAGTAAATTATTATATTATTAATATTATTATTGATAGATGAAGAGAGAATAGAAGAAGATGATGGTGTTGACGCATATATGACACCCATCTTCTTCTAATTTTAGTACCATACTTGCGGTGAAACCTTATGCCTTGGGGGCTTCCAAGACCGACTGCCGCTCTCAACTCTCGCGCCGATTTACTCCCCATTGTGGACACTCGTCTTTACGTGTTGCATATTGTATTTGAGATGTCAGATGGCTTTCTATCGCGACGGCCCAGTAGGTCCTCCACTACCTTCCCGTTACTTGTTGCAGTCTGGCTACCCAATCTCCTACTGAGAAGGGGAAACTAACCCGGTCATCCTTCCGTGGGGGTGTCCTGTCTCTAGATCCCTAGAGTCGGATGGTTTTTCTCCTCAATCCCCCCAATTGTGGTCAAGTTAAACGTTGGCGCCAAAAGTAAAGTTCGAGGGCAGGATTCGAACCTATGACCTTTACGTTCCCGGGGTAGCACACTCCCGACTCATTTGCACGCCAAGCCCCGAGGATGGTCGACTGGGGGTTCAAATATCGTATTTTTCAAAATTAGACATCAAAAATTCCCTTTTGGTCTAGTGGTGAGGATTTTCGCCTGTCACGCGAAAGGCCCGAGTTCAATTCTCGGAAGGGGAGATTTTTTGCTGCTGTCGTTTGCTGCTGTCGTTTGCTGCTGTCGTTTGCTGCTGTCGTTTGCTGCTGTCGTTTGCTGCTGTCGTTTGCTGCTGTCGTTTGCTGCTGTCGTTTGCTGCTGTCGTTTGCTCTTTTTTTCAAAAAAAAAACGATGTGATTGAGTTTCATTAACCAAAAAAAATATTTGAAAGATTTATTATTTCAATGGATTATTTATGTAATTTAATGGCCCTAGTAATTTTAGCAATTTGTAGGATGACTTCTTTATCGCTAGCAGTGATTGGTTTATCCTTGACGGTTGGAGATAATTTGGCCATGAGGTAAAAGAGTTGATCCAAACCAGATTCACCGACTGTAACGGCAGCGTCTCTAAACTGGGCAACCTTGTTGTACGTATCGCCGTCAAAGTGGTGTGGAGGCGGCGAGATTAAATTCTTAATCTCTGACTTTTTGCCCAATTGTTTGACGTGTTCGTTGATGGCGTCCCATCCAACATGAAGATGCTCAATGCAAAGCAACTCTACATTTTTTTTGAAATCTCTAATGTGTTGACCGAGCTCGATACATTGTTTCAACGTTGTCACATCGCTAAACGATCTGATAATCTCTGTAAACGAAATGTAAAGGTCTTTTAGGACACGTAATGAACGCATTCTAAGTTCAGAGAATTTGGTAATATCCATTGAATCGTCGCTCTTTGAAAGGTTACTGCTACTGCTACCACCATTCTTTGGTTCGGAATGTTGTTTGATTAAATCACCAACTACACCCTTTGATCCTTGTAGGGCAGATGAAGCAGATGGAGCAGATGATGCTTGTTGTTGTTGATTACCATTTCGAGTAAACTCTACAGCTGAAGAAGCTCTAATAGGTGGACGATGATTTAAAAGTGATTGAATTTGTGGAGTTGATGCATTCTTTGTTTTAATTGGAATTGGAATTGTCTTTTGTTGTTTTGTATAGTTTTGTTGTTGTTGTTGTTGTTGTTGTTCCTCTTCTTGTTCCTCCTCTTCTTCTTCTTCTTCCTCTGATGTTTCATAGTAATCTTCAACATCTTGTAAACTTGAAATATTTCGATTGGTTTTGTTGTTGTTGTTAGTATGGTTAGTATTAGTTGATGTTGTAGAGGTTGGACTATGATGATTATTATTATTATATTGTACAAGATTTGATGGATGATAAGGAGAAGTATTTGGAGATGATTTTGGTGAACTCTTTGGAATTGGAGTAGAAGGACGTTGAATAAGTGCTGGAGTTGGTGGTCTATTACTATTGTTATTATTTAATCTATTGATTGGTTCTTTTGAATGATTAGTAGGAGTGATAAAGGATTGAGATGGAGTGGATATTGTTACAGATCGTTGAGGAATGGTTTCAGAACGTGGTGTTTCAGATATGGATACATCGGTCATGGCACGTTGCATTTTGTTGACAATGGGCACTTCAGTGTCGGTTGAACGTGCCAACATGTTTCTGGGAGGTGGGACGGGCTTTTGAGCGGGCGTCTTTTGGGTGGCGGCAGCAGTTGGCTGCTCTGGCTTGCCTGGTGTGGGAGGCAACTTGCGACCAAAGTTAGGGTTATTTGATACGAGCAGTGGTGCAGGTTGATGTGCGAGGAAGGAGGCGGGTTGTGGTGACGAGCTGTACAAGGCAGAGTGGCCACTACTACCAGATCCCAAACCCGACAAGAACGAGCCACTTCCACCAGTCTGCTCAGTCTGAGACATTTTAATCACCTCTTCAGCCTTTTTCTCCAAAAACGATTCGATCGCTTCAAATGAGGGACGCTTGGTGTGGTCACGATGCAAACAAGACTCTATTAACTTTCTCATTTCAACATCGGTGATTTCAGAGGGGATTGCTGGTGGCAATGCCTCTTCACGCACACGAGCCAGCTCCAAGTAACCCAACTCGTCATACTCTTGGTATGGTCGTTTGCCCGAGAGAATCTCAATCAAACATGCTCCATAGCTCCAAACATCGGCTGCTCTCGAAAACTTCTTTTGTGTAAACACTTCGGGTGACATGTATAAAAATGATCCCTCTACCGTTGCTCCATAAAAACTTCTTGTACTTGTAGTTGCTAAACCAAAATCTGCCAATTTAATACAAACTGGTGCTTGTAATGATAATGATACAACCTAAACCAAAAAGGAAAAAGAAACAATTAATAATTTAATAAAATAAATCTTTGATTTGTTTTTGTTTCATACCAAAAAATTTTGAGGTTTTAAATCTAAATGTAAGATTTCACTTCTATGTAAAAATGCCATACCTTTGGCAATATCATAAGCCATCTTTAATCTTAGCTCTGGTGTAAATGGATAATTTATATGATCTGATAAATATTTATCTAAACTACCACCTTCAACAAACTACACAAAAAAAAAAAGGAAATAAAATTAATATTGTAATTTTGATTTTTTGATTTTCTTTTTGTCCATACTTCTAAAACTAAACATTTTGGAGAAACACAAAAACCAACAAAATGAACAATATTTGGATGATGTAATAATTCTTTGTGCATTTCCAATTCCTTTTCAAATTCAGAACCATCAGACATTTCAGAGATGACTTTGACAGCAACCGATAGACCTCTCCATTTGCTCTTGTAGATGGCACCATAACCACCACCTCCAATGACATTGCCAATATCCAGCTCTTTATAGTCGAGTACTTGTGACATTTTGGAATCAATCTTGATCGACAAGAGATGACGTCCACTGTTGGCAATGTCCATGGCAACGAGCTCACGAACCTTGGTAGTGCACAACACCACCATCTCTACTTGAATGTCCAATGCTGAATTCTTTTTAATGGTTCCAGACGATGGAGTAAACGTCAATTTTATATTATTAGAGTGTACTGGGATATTAGAGATACTGTATGATACTTTGGATGACCCCTTGTTACTCATTCTAAATTTATCCTTTAATATAACTCCAACTTTACATTTTTCACCTTCTTTAAATCCAAAATCAATATGATATTTTGAAAAATGTATTTGTGATTTATCATTTTCTAAAGAAAAAAAAAAGAAAAAAAGAAAGAGTAAAAAAAGGTTAGAAAATGATGATTAATGTTGATCTTTTAGAAATCTCTTTCTTTTTCTTCTTACCAGTTGGATAAATTGAATGCCTTGCTCTATATTGTGCTTTGGTTCTATCTTCGATGGATTGTTCCAACATTAAAAGTTTTAATTGTTCATTTTCTCTACCTTCTAAATCTCCATTACATCCCCTAAAGTTAATTAATTTATCATAATAAAAAATGGTTATGTTAGTTTGATTGGATGATTGATATTATCGGAATGAATCGGAAGTTTTAAAAAAAATTAAAACTTGTTGTTGTTGGATGTTGGATTGATGTTCTTTTTTGTGAAAAGCCCGCACTACTCCTCTCTCCTCTACTTTAGGTATTTTAAAATTCCCGCCCCGCTATGCTCGCTCTTTCGCTTTGCCAAAATAAGATATTTTCTGGAAGATTTTTGTATCCAAAAAAAAAAAAAAAACCAAAGAGCCTCTTCTCTCGTGTGTTTGCTTCTTTTTTTTTAAAAATAGATAAAGTAGACTGTTGTCTTTGCTTTACTTTGCTGCTAATGAATGAATGAATGAATGATGTGTATATTTGCATACCTTTTTAAAAGTTGATATAATACTTCATTATCTCTTTCATGATCTACGTCACTTGGGTTATACCATTTATCCCATTCTTCATCACCACCTGTTGAAATTGAGATCATTTCTCCTTCTTTCTCTCTCTGTCGGGTGTGTTTGTTTGTTTGTGTGTCTGTCGATAGTAGTACTTGTTGTTAAATACTAAATAGCTCGCTAGCTAACTGTTTGTTGGGTGGGGTATACTGTATATCTACAACTAGAGATACACAGTTGAACTAAAGTAATGACTACTTTTTTGGTGGGTTGTCGTCGTCGTCGTCGATGATAAGTCGTATCGTATCAATCGTTTCGTTTTCGAAATAAATAAATAAATAAATATAAACTATGGTTTGTTGTTGTTGTTGTAAATGATTCTTTCTTCTTTTGATATTATTAATATTATTAAGTATTGCTAATGTGTGTTTTATCTTCTGCTGCCACTATTTTAATTTAAGTTAAAGATGGGGTATAATAATAATAATGATATGACAGATATTCTTCTTATTTGCAATGAGTATGAATGAATGATGAATTTAAAAGAAAAGGAAGAAGAAGAAGAAGTAGGAAGAGATAAAATGTAATGTAAGAAAGAGAGAGACACTATGAATATAATAAATGATTTTTATGATAATTTAAAAACTATGAAGCGACCCTTTGCGTTGTTGTGGGTGTGATGAGGAGATCGATTTGTTTGTTGCAAAGCCGCCGCAAAAAAAAGTTCGAGTTTGCGCTCTTTTGCGGTTTTTCAAAGTGCAATTGCCTTTTTGTTTTTCGCAAATCTAGCCACTACGATTATTGTTGTGGATGGGTTGTGGTGGTGCTGAATTTGGGTTCTTCTTCTCTTATGTTGTTGTTGTTGATCTTTATTTATGCTATCTAAAACTAACCAAACAAACAATCAAAAACAAACAAATATAAATATATATATATTATTATTATTATTTAGTAGTTATGAATTATTAAAATGTGATAAATAATAATATAGATGGGATGGATGTGGATGCGTTAATAATAATATATAAAAAGAGTAGTTTGTGTAGTGTGTGTTGTTTGTGTGTGAAGTGATAGATAGATAGATGGATAGATAGAACCAAGCCAACATAAAGAAGAATAGTGGGTGGGTGATTTGTGATGTTGTACTGGAGAGAGACGACGAGATTGCTCTAACAAAAGTACACTAATTTTAAAAAAATGTGTGGGTATCCTCGATCGTGCTGAAATATAGGCAAATCGCGCCGATCAGGTTGTGTGGTAGATATTTGCGTGGGTGCCCACAATTGCCTTGATCAAGATCTCTAAGCGAAAAAATTAAAAAATAAAAGGAGAGGAGGTCTTTGGTGGAAAGTGGAGTGAGACTCCTCTCGCTTTTGGGTTTTTTGTTTCACGGTTGTGAGGTGGTGGCCACGAGGAAACAAACCAGGACATGCACGAGTAAACCATGGTTTAAAACGACTGATCATCATCATCTCCATTGTCCATGTCATGTCATGGGGTACTGGGGGTATTACTTGCAAGTACCTCCTCAGTTGTTCTTTTTTTGGAGCGCCATTGTAAAATCGAAAAAAAGACACAGATTATAGATCAGATAAAAAAAAAAGTCTTTTTATGAGGTGCCAAAACACAAAAATGGCACATTATAATGTGGAATGTTCACTTCACATTTAAATGTGTCCTTGGAAATAAATAATTTAAATAAATTATTAATTTTTTTAAATTAAATTATAAATTTTATTGTTGTCGTTGTTGTTGTTGTGATTGATTGTTGATTGTCTTTGATATTCTTCAATGATGGGAAAATAGTTACCAAGTATAGTTTGGATGAATTGATCGTAAAATGAAAAGGTTGTTTGTTTGGTTTGAGTGGTTGTTGATGGTGATGTCAATATGGATGATTGATTCAGCTCTGATGATGATATTTTTTTCCAAATCCAATTATTATTTCTAAAAAAAAAGATAATATCCATTTGATCAATGATAGAGTGATCAGAATGATTTAATTGATTATGAAATAAAATTAAATCTCCATTTCCATGTTCTTCTAAAATTGTAATCTTTTTTGGTTCAACCAAAGTTTCTTCAATTTTTGTAACTTTAATTGAAACATTAAAGTTTGGTGTTGTAGTATGACTATTAAATTCAATTTTAAAGGTTGCATGATCTGATTTCTCATAACCACTTGTAACTTTTCCAAATGGATGTGCTTTACTTCTATGATTTGAATCAAAATGTGAATTCATTACAATATTGGTTGAAAATTTACATTTAATTGTCTATATATATATATAAATATAGAATGATTCAAACAAATTGGTTAACAAATAAATAGGTTGGTAGATAGAGTTATATATTTATATGTGTGTACATACAACTGAATAAATAAAATAAAAATCTGATTGGGAATTTGATTGTCTTTGAATATAATCTTGAATTTCATTTACCATATTATCCAGTACTCTATTCTCATCATCATCACCATCATTACTTGATTCCAATGTACCAACTAAATGATTTAAATTTAATTTTTCATTTGTTGTAGTAGTAGAAGAAGAAGAAGAAAGAAGAAGATGTAGTAGTAGTAGTTGTTGTTGATGTTAATAAATTATTATTATTAATATTATTATTAATATGATTAAAACCAAATATATTATTCATTTCTTGAAAAGGATAAATAGTTGATTTATAAGTTATATTTTGATTGATTGATTGATTAGAGTTTATAAATTCCTCAGCTGCTGGGGAGTTTACCCAATTTGTAATATTTTGGCATTTCTGGTGTGGATTGATTGAGAAAAATGGACTTTCAAAAATCTTTTTAAAACTTGTAAATTGATCAATCTCTTCTACATCGATGTCATTTGAAAATTGACCTTTATGACCTGCCTTTTTCTTTTTATGAAATATATTATTATTATCAATAAATATGATTTTTTTCATTGATTTTAAATCTGAAGATGTTGTTGTTGGAAGAGGTGGTGGAGGTGGAGGAGAGAGTGTACTAGTTGATTGTTGTTCTTTGTTTGTAGGTTTCTTTTTCTTTTTTGAATTTTTTTGTTGTTGAATGGTTAGTGTTGGATTGTTGGTTTCCATCTCTGAGAATATTTTCAATTTCTCAACCAATTGAATTGAGTGTGTTTGGTAGTCTTGTATATAATGAGTTGTCCAATTATCCAGAGGACCAACTTGGGCTTTAGCATTTTTAAAGTCAATGCCAAGACAAATAGTTACTCGTGAATATTCCAATCCATTGTCACTAAAAGGTTCAATTGAAAATCCATAGTCTATTGACATTCGAGTATTATCTGCGGTGGGTGGACAAAGAGGAGTTGATACTGATTTGAGACTAACCACAAACCCATCTTCAATTGTAGGATGTGGTCCTATATATTTCATAAAGCATACATCTCTACCTGGCAATCTAACCGATGGTTTTGCATACATCAATGCGGAGTGTTGGAATGATTTAGCCAAACTAGAATCAATCAAATCACAAACCAAACTACAATCTGTCAATAACCTATTCCAATAACAATATTTTGTTTGGTCTGCTATAAAGTGTGATACATTGATAGGATTCCTATATATAAATTGTAGAAAAATAAAATAGAATTAATAAATGGTTGTTTGTACTCGAGATTTTGATTGGTTGGTCAATTTACTTTTCAATTATGATTTCAAATTTAGAATTTACACTATTTAAATCATCTCTATTTGATTTCCAGTATTTAATGATTGAATCATTATTATTATTTTGATTATTTTGATTATTTTGATTATTATTTTGAAGTTGAATGGCAACCCATTTTTTAGAATTATTTATATCTGTATTTAATTCAAACCTTGATTGTAAAGATTGTGTCCACAATTTTAACCTTTCCTTTTTAAATGTTTCTTGTTGTTGTTGTTGATCCATTTTCTTTTTTTTTTTTTTAATTGGACAGAAGTTGTAGTTGTTGGAGCTTCATTTGCTTTAGGAATGCAAACAACTGGATAGTGAATACTGATGGATAAATATAGTTGGTTGGATGAGTGATGATTTTAATGATGAAGATCAGGTTGGTCAAGATGAAGGTGTGTCTGTTTACCTGTCTGTGTGGTGGTGGTTGGATGGGGGGTTGGATATTCTTCAATGAAGTGGGGGTGTTGACAGTAGTGACGTTGAGTGAAGTGATGATTATTGCAAGTTGGTATTGACCCGGCGCCGGTACTATAGCTAACTAACTAACTAAACTAAACTAAACTACTACTTATATAAATAATAATTATTATTTTTTTAAATTTCAAACAAATGACTTGACTTGACTTCTTGGCTCTCTTTCCTCCTTTCTCTTGTGATCATCTACATTTGCAAATGCAACAAACTGTTTGATGAACTTAAAACGAGGGGGAGGGTGGGAGGGATTGGTGCAGGTCGGGGTGGGGGGTTTATAAATATAGAGTGTGTAGGTCGTTATACTATATGTCGTGGGGTGGTCACGATAGAGAAGCTCTAAAGAGCGAATAAATGATGATGGCGATGGATGTTTGTTGGAGGGGTATGCAGTGAGTGTTGAGCGCCTCAACAAACCTCAACACGCTCTCTCTATCTCATTGTACTTGTCAAAACAGGTCCTCCATTTTTTGTTTGTTGTTTTTTTTTGTTTTTTTTTTCAAAAGTTGAACCGTTTTAGGTTCAAGTGTTGAGATTCACGATTAATTTCGTTGACATGTCGAGGCATGGTGGGTGGTGGTACCCGCGAAATTTACAATTGCATTTGTGGTTTGCATTCCATTTCAAACCGTGGTATCCTGTCGGTCTGTCAATTGCCTAGGATGGTGCCGAAATGTTGCAATCTTTGCACAAATCAGGTAAAAACTCCGACGAACATTATAGAGAGAGGAGAGGGTAAGAGAGAAAGAGAGAGAGAGAAAGAGAGGGAGGAGAGATGAGGGTATTTTAAAATAAATCTAAAGGTCGTAACAATTTTTTTTATTCACCGTTAAATATCTTAAGACGAAGAAGATTGGTCTTCGGTATTATTATCATTTATTTGAGTTGAGGTCGAAACTAAAGAAGAAGAATCAGAGGAAGAAGCAGTGTTGGTGGTAGTGGTACTGGTACTGGGTGTAGTTGTAGTTGTAGTCAATTTAAAGTCAGTATTATAACCATGCTTTTTAATATCTTTCCAAGTTTCCTCTGGTTCTGCAGATGATTGTAATAGATACATCTCCATGAATCCTTTGAGTGTCAAGTATTGTTTGTCGTCGTCGGTGACATCGAATGACTCTTGAATCGATTCTATACTGTCTTGATCAAATGCTTGTCCATTGCACCCGATAGCAAATGCATTCAATTCTTCAATAGATAGTGCTCCGTCACCATCCTTGTCGTATCTTGCAAATATCTCTTTCAAAGCCTTTTCAACAGACTCTAAAAAATAATCATCTTCTTTATCTAATAAATTTGGTGTCTTTTGTTGTTGTTTATTGTTATTATTCTTTTTACCCATTCTCTCTATTATCTCTCTCTCTCTCTTAAATATATCTATATATATATATATCTATATTTGTATAACTACTACTTTTCAAATGATTCGTCGCTTTCGCCACCCCTAACTATGAAAATGAATTTTATTCAAATTATTTTAGAGACAAGACAGATTAATCATGAACGATCATTAATCTAGAGTCACTTATTAATTAATATATTAATATAGAGAGAGAGAGATATATATATAGAAGGAAGGATAGATAGATAGATAGATTTAGAAGATGAGAAAATATACAATAGATATATTAAAAGAGAAAAAAGATATTACTATTATGATGTATAAGAGTATAGAGAATATAGATGATTTGTTAAAGACGGTTCAACACAGAGATCCTGAATGGGCACTCATCAATGCATCGGTCATATTTGATGATCGTCAACTGTTGATGGCTATATCATCGGCACTTGTTCAATCGAAACCTCTTACTTCAAATATTCATTCTGAACTTGTATTTAGATTATCTCCTTCAAATAATGTTTGTACACACTCTAATCAAATCAATCAATTCTTATTCTTTGTATTAACATAATCTCTTTATATGTATTTAGATAAAAGAAGTATTAAAACAATTTGGGATTTGTTTGGAATCAAAAGAAATGTTTGTGGTTATGATTAATGCAGATGATGAAAAGATTGAAAGATTTAAATCATTGGTTAAAGGAAAAGAAATCACCTTTGACACTGCGGCAGAAGAACAAGAACAAAAGAAACTCTATTATCCAAATAGAGAATTCTTTAATCAAGATGTAGCAAAACAAATGTATAGAATTGTAGATAACCAAAATATTGTTGATACTGTATCACTTGAAAAAGAAATATTAAATGCAATGGCTGTAAAGGGTTATTTATAATAGTAATAGTAATCCTATATTATATATTATATATTATTTACAAATATTTGTTGGTTGGTTGGTTTGGTTGGTTAGTTGGTTGGTTGGTTGGTTTATTCACTCAATTTAATCTTGGAATAGGAACTACTTCGATAACGATTCTTTAGAGATGGAGAGATATACAGTTGTTGTGGAAACATGTTTCGGAATAATATATCATCTGGTGTTGTTGTTGTTGTTGTTGTGTTGGATGAATTATTGTTGACTGCACCTTGAAATGGAGAAGAGTCAGCCGATCCACCACCAAGTGATGGTACTCCAACAATCACACTTTGACGTGACGACATGGACGCTGATCTAGTTTTCTCTCTTAGTTTAAATGATTGGTGTGGTTGTAGATAATGTTGTTGTTGTTGTTGAATGATGTATTGGTGTTGATCCAATGGAAGAGTGGTCAATGAAGTTGGCCGACGTGATGGTGAGTGATGATAGCTGTTTCGTTTCTTGTTGGTTCTAAATCGACCAATTAATATATCAGATGATGATGATGACGGTACTTCATGACCTCCATCATTGTGGTTGTGGTTGGCAGTATGCTTCCAAAGTTGCTGTTGGGTTTCTTGATGTTGTTGTTGTTGTTGCATGATGAGTACCTGTTGTTGTTGATGTTTGATAATCTTTTGTTCTTCCATCATTTGTTTGGCTAGTTTTTGTTGTTCTCGTCGTTCCATCTCTTCTTGTTCAGTCTCTACTACGAGGCATGCCTCTCCCTCCTCCCCCTCTTCATCCGACTCTGGATCAGCCTTTTGATTGGCAATCTCCGACTCTATCAATCCCCGTCCGTCAAGAGACCACATATATCTGTCAAATTCAGCCGTCGAAACCAATATATTAAATTCCAAATCCTCCAATATTCTACGTTCCATCGTATTTGTATCTTGAGGTGTTATTCCTCCAACTATATATAGTATATAGTATATTTAATTATTAATAATTGTGCTAGAGGTGTATTTTGAGTTTCTCTATCTATACAAACCTACCTCTTGAATAAATATGAACGGGATAGAAATAATCATCATAGAATTTAGTAGAGACTAGGATACAACCGAAAAACATGCGATGGATGCTTAGTTTGTTGATGGGGTAGTTTTTGCGTGCCATCAGCTTGTCCATGTATATGAGGGCGACAATGTAGCACGTCTTGCTGCACCCAATGTATTGGTTGAGTCGCTTGAGGTAGTCCAAGATAGAGATGGTTGGTTTGTCGCCCATTTGGTTGTAAAACGCTTTGGACGATGCAGGCATGGCTGCAGCTGCGGCTGCATTGCTCGGATCAAATATCTCGTCTCCCACATCAGCCAACTCTGACAATATATATGACACTATATACGACACTGCATCACAGTCATCATAATCATACTTTTCCCAAACTTGTTGTAATCTATAGTCTCTTTCTCTTTCTATAAATTCTATAATTTGTTTTTGGTACAATATTGTCTCTTCTTCTTGTTGAGTTTCTTCTTTCATATGTTGTTCTACTATTTTATTAATACTATTACTTGATATAGTTGTTGTTGTTGTTGTAGTTGTTGTTGTAGTTGATAATGTTGGAGGTGGTTGAATATTCTCAATAAATGATCCCATCATAGTCTATTGTTGTTGTTGTAATCATAAATTTAATATATATATATTGTGCTAACACTATAGTATAGTTTTTAATTAAAGCTAACTGATTATTAAAGATAAAGAGATATATAGATAAAGAGTAGAGAGTATCAAAACAAAATGATTAGGAGTGAGAGATGAGAGAGGTAGAGTAGAGTAGTGGGTCAGTGAAAACAAGAGATTGATGGATGGATGGATGGATGGGGTGGGAAAGTTACTCAATCAGAGGGATGGGGTCGATCGATGCACCGCTCTACGAAAAGTCTCAATAAACGAGCGATGGGTGATAAAACCCAAACCAAAATTAATTGTACAATGACTTTTCATTCATTTTAGATGTCTGATATTTTTTATCAGTCGGAGGGCAATTCCCTACACCCAAGATTACAAATATGATTTTTGAGCCCAAGGTGATATGGATATTTCGGATCTACTTCAATCTCGTAAATAAAGTATAACTTTAAAGTAGGCAATGTTTGTTGGGTTCAAAGGTGGAAATCAAAGTAGATGAGGGGTCAACCCATTATTTATCTTTTTGAAATTTACCCCCTCATCTTTTGAAAACCAAACAGATAGTGCAGGCAATATATAGGAGACACCCATTGCTCAATAGAATCTATATTATAAAATATCCCTCTTTCTTTTAAAAAAAGTAATATTCTACCCATCCAATCCATGTTTAGTAAATAATTAATTAAAAAAGGAAATTTCTAATATTCGTATTAATACTTTTAGTTGGAAAATAGAACATGTATTCAAACCTAAAAATAAATACTTTAATTTTTTTTTTTTTTTTTGTATTTAATTTTATACTGGACAAACACAGAAAAATGTTTTTATCACGCTCTTGCGAGAATATATTTTGATCTTTTCTTTTTATAACAACACGTGTAGCACTAACCAGTATTATTATTATTTATTATCATCACATAAATCAATTATTTATTATACTTACATACATACATATACATATACATACATTATCTTTTCTTTTTCTTTTTCCTTTTCAAATTTATAATAAAACAATTTCAAATTTAAACAATTATACAATACATATATTTATATATTATATACTCTTATATTCTAATAGATTTTATTATTATAGTAACAGACAAGATTGATAGATAAATAGATTATTCACAGTAAATTTGATCATTTCATTCATTCAAATAAAAGAGAGTAGTGTATTGTTGGTGGTTCTACTTCAACAAATACACTAACAAACATAACATAAAGAGGCAAAAGACAATGAAGAGATTATCACTATCATCAAAGTCGACGTCGACTGTGTCATGGAGGTCACCTTTGATCTCTTTGTTTATACATTTCACTATACTTTTAATACTTTCAAGTGTTGTCTATACCTCTTCGATTATACATAATACCAATAACAATAATAATAATAATAATAATAATATAGTTTATTCAACTTTGCCAAATGGAAAAGAGTATGTAACAACAAAAAGTATTTTATTCACGAACTAACTCTATTACTACCTTTTTAGAAGTAAGGATTCATTATTAAATTCAATAGAGTTGGAGAATTCAGAACAACTTTATCATAAAATAGTCAATGCTGACGAATTTGTAAATGATGGAGATAGAAACCAACGCGAATCAAATAGACAAGAACAACAAGAACAACAAGAACAAGATGTAAATTTTAACAACAAACAAAAAAACAATGAACCTTTTAATACCGATCAACTTGGATACGTTTCGACTACGACCTCTTCTTCTTCGTCGTCATCATCATCTAATAATGATCATGGTGGTGATAAGAAAAAGATACAAGTTTTGGCTGCACCAAACAAAGTGGAAAATGCACCAAGACGTCAAACATCATCCAACTCTGCATTAACCAACCAAGGAGGAGGAGAATGTCAAGTGGAAGAACCTTGTAGAAAATGTTCACCTGACGAAAGAAAGAAAGACCCTTTTTGCGCAAAGACTGGTTATAAAAAGGTTCTCAATTGTAATAATCAAATAACTAGTTACTCTTGCACTGATACTTCTAGATTATCATCAAATATTTTATTTTTTGAAGTATGTAATAATAATAGAGAGAGAGAAAACAAAAAAGGTTGCTAACCAACTTTATTTATTTATTTATTCATTTTAGCTTGGAATATTAACAGTTTTATTGATATCATTATATTTTGTAAAGGAACGAAAGAAATTTATGATGCAACAAAATAATGATCGTTTGGCAAGACAATTAAATAAACTTTAATCGTCAACTTGTGGATCGATTGCGAATACATATATAGGAAATAATAATTAATTTTAACCAACAAAACAACAAATATATTTGTGATTTATGGATTTATTTAATTTAATTTGTTTGCAATTGAAGGATAAATTTGATTGATTTGATTTGATATACATACCTTTTTAAATAAGAAGAGTCTGAACTAGTATGGTGGTCACAACAATAAACAATTCTTTACCATATTATAAATAATAATTCTTTATTATTTTTATTTATTATTATTATTATTATTGTTCTTTATTAGTATTGTTTTGATATATATGAAAAGGATGTAAACTTTGATTGTTTTTAATTATTGGTCGTTGAGGTAGTGTTGTTGGTGTTGGCAGGGTTTAAATTTACATAAAAATCATTTAATTGTTTGATGCTTGTATTGTTGCCACCACAGACAATGACGATGATGTTTTTGGCATTGAGGTTGAGGATCTCTGGTGCGCGTTGATAGATGGCAGCTACACTAGCTCCACAGGCTGGTTCAACCAACACACGCTCATCATCGACCAACTTGAGGCAGGCGTCGACAGCCTCGAAATCGCTGACGAGGATGGTGACAACCTTGTGCTTGAGTGAGCACTCAAAAGCCTCTTTGCAAACGGATCTCGTGGCCAATGTTTTGCAGATGCTGTTGACTTGTTCGACTTCTAATCTGACCTGTTTGCCTTGTTTAACAGACTCGTAGAAACTTCTAGCGCCGTGGGTCTCGACAGCCACGACCGTAGTGTCGTCCCATCCGTGACGTTGTAGACCACGGACAATACCGGCAATGAGACCACCTCCACCAATACTGCATACAATGGCGTCTGGCTTGGGGACTTTACCCGAGGCCACATCAGAGGCAATTTCATCGATTAAAGTGCTGTGACCAATCCATAGATTTTCATGGTCGAATGGGTGGATGTATCCATGCTCGCCTTCACGCTTGGCAATTTCTCTGGCCAACAGGTCGGCTTCATCCCATACCTTTCCGTGTGCAATCACCTCTGCACCCTCTGCTCTAATCTTTTCTCTGGTCTCTTCTGGAATGGAGACTGGCAATACAATAGTCGACTTTACTCCCAATCTACGGGCAGCATAGGCAACACTCATACCTGCATTGCCACCACTGCTACACACCAAATGCTTGGCACCAGATTCTTTAACAACTCGGCTACAATGATATCCAACACCTCTAATCTTAAATGATCCAGATGGTTGTGCTGAATCTAATTTTAACCATATTTTAGTCGTATCCGTCGTAGTCGTAGTCGTAGTCGTATCTGTCGTCGTCGTCTTATTAATAACAGAATTCAACTTTAATGATTCTATCAATGGTGTATTTATATGTAAAAAATGTCTAAAAGAATAATAATCACATTAATATAAATATTTTAATAAAAGGGGATATCTCAAAATAATCAATCAATCAACCAATCAACCAATGAACAATTGATAAACGAAGTGTGGTTTCACAAATATTATAATATTCTACTCTGTTGTGTCACTTCGTCCCCTTCGTTTTTTCATAATAAAATTTGCTATTTTTTTATCGTATATAGTAATAATCGGCAACAGCAAGTGTGTTTGACGAGTAACTATTTGTGTTGTTTGGTAAGACAAACTCTAATCTCATTTACTCTGATTGATTGATTGATTGATTGCTTGATTGATGAATGAGTAGAGTGCAGTTCTGCAGAAACATACTTGTTTTGATCAATATCAAGGTCGTTGAGTTTATCGACGATTGGTGAAGAAGAGGCACTACCACTATCAATTATGCTTGTCATTGTTGTTGATTCGTTTGATATAAAGGAATTCCTTTTAAATGATGTATATATTTAAAATTAAATAAAATTGATAGAGGAGAGAGAGAATGAAACAAATAAATAATAAATAAATAAAGAGAATAAAATTTTATCTTTAAGAGGGCAAAACCAAACTAAAGAACGTGTTTCCACACGATTCACCACCTGACCTCTTTTGGGAGAGGGACATCAAAAAAATCCCTATCGCGAAATTTCATACCTTTCGAACGCTACGATTCTCACCCCCTCAGAACTTTAGTCTCGAAAGCCGATCAAGTTTTATCGAACTATTTAAAATTTTATCAACTTTATTACTTTTATTAATAAAGTTTATTATTTCATAATCTCTTATTATATAATTTAATATTAAATTAAATTATACATTAGACATTGAAATTCGAGGAAAAGATTGTTTTTGAAAAATGCGTATAATGAAGAAATAATTGAATCTTCACATAATTTTATGAAAAGTTCATTTATCTTTATTTAGATAGAGATAAATATAAATATTTATTTGGTATCATCATCATCAGAGGGAGAGAGAAAGATGTGAAGATGTTTAACAACAATGCAAATAAAACATCTTTGTTTAACAAACAGCCACAACAACAACCTACCCCTCTTCCCAACAATAATAATAACTACAACAATAATGGGTTTACTACTGCTACTTCAACTTCGACATTAAACTTTAAACAACAACAACCATCAGCACCATATAGTAGTACAAATGGGAGAACAACCAATGCACAGATGTATAACAATCAATATGGTGATCAATCATCAAATCAACCTCGTTCATCAACTTATAACAACAGCACATCAATCTACCAAACATCGAATCGTCAAGGAACACCACAAGTATCAAATCCTTTTGGTAATGGATCTTCAGATGCTACCAAACTTAGCACGTACAAGCCAAAGACAAACAACTTTAACCAACAGAATCAGAATCAGAATCATTCACCATTCAAAAAGACACAAATTGCACAACCTAAATTTGAATATCAAAGTACAAGTAAACAAAAACCTATTGTTCAACAACAAACTATACAACCCCCTCCACCTCCTCCATCTATACCTCAAAACAATAACAATAACAATGATGAAGATTTAATAATAGATGGTGATGATGATTTTGAATTTGACTTTACAGATGAACCTACTATTCCACAACAACCTACTACTACTACTACTACTACAATACCTACTAGTATTCCTGTACAATTACCACAACCAGTTTTTAAACAAGCACCAACTGTTCAACAACAACAACCAAAAGTAATCAATAATCCAATTAATCCATCATTCAAAATATCACCAAACTTTCCAGAATGGTATAAACCTCCAGAGAATGATGAATTTAATTTAGAGATTGATCAAGATGCATTAAAGACTTTTATATATCCAAGTAACTTTCCAAAGAGAGATTACCAATACAATATTATCAAACATGCAATCTATCAAAATACTTTGGTTTGTCTGCCAACAGGTTTAGGAAAGACTTTTATTGCATCGGTCTTGATGTTAAACTATTATCGATGGTTCCCCACTTCAAAGATTATTTTCATGGTACACACCAAACCATTGGTATCACAACAGATTGATGCATTTTATCATACTACTGGTGTACCAAGATCATCTATCATTCAGTTTACAGGTACTGTCAACCCAACCAAACGATCGGAGCTTTGGGAGAAAAAGAGAGTGTTTTTTCTCACTCCACATATCCTCAACAATGACATTCGTGACAAAAGATGTGATCCATCCAATATTAGTCTTATTGTGATGGATGAATCACATCGTGCTACTAAAAACGCAGCCTATTGTCAGGCGTTGCGAGAGGTGACCAAGTACACTGGACAACTGCGTCTGGTCGGGTTGACGGCATCACCAGGAAGCAAAAAAGATACTATTCAAGCGGTTATCAATAATTGTTTGGCTTCCTATATGGATATCAGATCAGAGAATTCACTCGATATTCGACCCTATGTATTTAAAAAGCAAATCGATGTAGAGGTGGTCGAACTCAGTCCACAAATCCAAGAATTGGTAGAACTCATCAACAAATGTAAATGGAAACCATACGACATAATCAAGCGTTCCATACCATACCTCGTCGAATTTCAAAAATTATCCATCTATTATGTTATCAATATGATGCAAAACCAAAAACACACCAACAATCCAAGAGGCCCCGATTGGCCATCCATCAACAACCTCGGTGTTTTACGTGCTCTTTTAGATTGTTCAAATGAATTGATCAAACATGGTCTAGTATGTTTTAAGAACAAATTGAAAATTTTTGCTGATAATACAAAAAAATGTTACAAAGAAACTTTGGACAGTACCTATTGGAAATTATTGGTTTCAAAAACACAAAAACTTATAGATGAAAATGTTTATCATGATAAATTAATTAAATTGGGTCAAGTTATTGAATCTCATTTTGGTATGGAAAAAAAAAAAAATAGAAATATATAAATATTTATTTATTTATTTATTAATTTTATTATATTTATTTTTTTAGTATCATCAACAACATCAACAAGAGTAATGGTATTTACAGAATATAGAGATTCAGTTAGTGAAATTATATCATATCTTGGTAATAATCCTTCGATCAAGGTAATGCCATTTTTAGGACAATCAAATGGAAAAGTTGTCAAGGGTCCAAAAGGAACCACACGAACTGTAGGTTCCAAAGGTCTAGATCAATCTGAACAAGCATCGGTTTTGAAAAGATTCAGAGATGGTGAATACAATACTCTGGTATCTACATCGATTGGTGAAGAAGGTTTGGATTTTGGTGAAGTTGATTTGATTGTTTGTTATGATACTCCTCAATCTACAACTAGAAACATTCAAAGAATGGGTAGAACTGGTAGAAAACGTCAAGGTCGTTGTGTAGTCATTTTAACACAAGGTCAAGAAGTTGATGCATACAACATGTCAAAAGAGAAATTGGATAAATTGGGTGGTAATCCAATTAATTATACTTATTATCAATCTCCTAGAATGGTAAAAAGAAAAAAAAAGAAAAAAGAAAATGAAAAACGAATATTTGTATTAACAAAGTTTTATTTTAGATACCAAAAGGATTTAATCCAATTGAAGAATTAAAAGAAATTAATGTTGAAGATGATAATGATACACTTGATGATTCTTTTTCAATTCATCGTAAATCTAAAAAGAAAAAGGAAACAGCATATCTGACAAGTGAACAAGAAAGATATTTACAAAATAATTATTCATCCTTGTTGAATACCAAACCAGACGATATCGATATCTCAAAATACTCTTATTTAAATTCTATCGAATCTCCAATTGCTGACTTTCAACATGGTGAACGAACAAAACTTCTAAACTCTGTCTCTAAACACATGGATTCAAAAAAAACTCAAGAATTAAATAATATGAGTTTATTATCAAAACTTAATACATCAACATCAATCAATAATTCAATCAATAATAATAATCAAAATAATAATAATAATATTCTTGACAATAATGATATTCTTGACAACAATGATATTAGTAATAGTAGTAGTAATAATAGTAATAATGGTAGTAATCATAATCAATTGAAAAAAACAGATGGAAAATTCAATAGTGATAAAATCTTTATTGATGATGATTTTGATTTCTTTGCAGATGAACCACCTCTTTCAATACCAACAGCAGCAGCACCAACATCAAATTCACCAATATATTATCAAAAGAAAGATCATTGGCAAGAATTGGAAGATTTATTGGTAAATCTATTACCTCAAGCATGTGTAATTGAAAAACCAATTGGTCCAAATGTAAATTATTTGACATGTCCTCCACCTCCTCAACCAAGAAAGAACAATAATAATAATAATAATAATAATTTACATAGAGAACACTCTATTCTTAAACAAAAAACAAGTCAAGACAATCAAGAAAATAAGAAATCAGGATCAAAAGAATTGGATCAACCAGTAGTAGTACCAGTCACTACTACCAAAGTAATTCAAGAGCCAGATATTATTCAAAACCCTATTATTTTAAAGAAAAAAGAAAAAGTAGAAGTGGTGGAAAAGATTCAAAAAGAAAAGGTTGTTTTAGTTAAAGAACCAAAGGAAACTGAAAGAGAAGAAGAAAGTGACTCTGAAATTGTTCCAAATACACCAGACAAGGATATTTGTAAATCAAGTAGTATTGATATTTCATTCCATACACCTTCAAAACAATCAACAAACAAGTTGTTCAAGTTAAAGGATTTGGAGGATATCATATCTCCCATCAAACCTATTCAACAACCAAAATTACAACAGCCAACCGCTGTAGTCACAAAACCAATAGTATTGGAGGAACCAAAGAAACATCAACTTGGTAGACTAAGAAAAGAAAAAGATGTAAAGAAACAAAAACAATCGTCATCTGCTGAAAAGAAAAGGTTGTCTTTGGGAAAAGACCATAACAATAGAAGAAAGAAATCAAAATCAAGTCGTGGATCAAAGTTTATAGATGATGTGGCAAGCGATGAAGATGATGATGAAATTGAAGATAGTGAAGAGGAAGGACTAGATAAATACGATTTGGAAGATTCTTTTATTTGTGACTCCTCTTCAACTGAGAGTTCCTCTCAATCTCAATCTCAAGATCAAAAAACCAACAAAAAGAAAAAAAGGGTATCAATGCATGCAATCTATCAGCAATCGTTGCTTACTCAAAACGATTTCTTTGATGGTGGACGTAAAAAGATTGGTGGATTTAAATTAAAGTTTGACAATCCACAAAATAATATTACAACCAAACTATTGCATCAATCAAATAATAATAATAATAATAATAATAATAGTATGAGTGATGACGAAGCAATGGAGGATAATCGTCCACTTTCTCAAATTGAAGATGAAATTGAATATACACAAGAAGAAAGTAAATTTATCATTACTAAACCGAATAACAACAACAACAACAATAACAATAACAATAATAAGCAAATAACCAGTACAACTACAACACCATCAACATCTTTCAATAGACAAATTGGTTTTACCAACAAAACTAATAATAATAATCACATAGGAGAAAATATCTTCAATCAACGTAATGTAAATAATAATAATAATAATAACAATGTACATAATCAACCTTTTAAACAACAACAACAACAACCAGATATTCAACCTGATAAAATGAAAATAGATGATAACAATAATAATAATAATGGACCAATACTTCAAAGAATGGGATCATCAACATTTAACCAAGGCATTGGTGCCAATGTTTGGAATGGAGCTGAAGAAGGTGGAGGATGGTCAGATTCAGAGATATAGGATTGGATTGAATGTGGAATTAATTAAAATAAATAATTTATTTTTATAAATCAATTTACTATTATTATTAATATTAGTAGTAGTCTTTTTTAAAGTGGTAGGTAGTGTTACTTTTTTGATTATGATTTTGTTTGTACAATTGATTTTGTTTTTTTTGGGATGTCTGTTTTTGTTTTGTTATTTACTAATAAATTTTAGTGATGTCTTTTTGTAATGACTATTTTCTTCTTTTTCCTCTTTGTTTAGTTGTTGTTTTGTTAATTTATTATATAATCTCCTCAATTCATTTGCCCTAAAAAAAATAAAATAATAATCAATAAATTAATAAATAAATAAAAACTATAACTATTATCTCTCTTTTTTTGCTTACAATAAATTTCTTTCATGAGAATCCCTTGTAATAAATTGTTGGTGTTCTTTAACCTTTGAATTTTCCTTGTTATCGATATGAACAATCAAAAGATTGGGAGGATTCTTGAAAATTTGTAGATTCTTTAACGATGCCAATGGGAATGACCATTTTACCTTTCCAATCTCCAAAGATTGTTTTACACTAATATTATAAAATCTTTCTGATGAAATTAATACACATCTTACCTAAATAAATTAAATAAATAATAATAGGTTAGTATAAATAAATAAATAAATAAATATTTATATTTATATTTAGATTTATATTTACTTGAGTTTTTCCTTTTCTATTAATTTTATAAACATAAAGATGTAATTGATAGAATGCAGGAGAAGGGATAAAATTGGATTCAAAGAATTTTTGGAATAGGTTTCTTGATACTAGACGAACGGCAATCAACCATTGATCTCTAATGTCCTCGGATTCTGCAACCCACAACTTTTCACGGATATAATTTTCATTGCCACGTTTCAATGCACTCTGTGTAAACATGCTGATACGTGTTTGAAGATTGGGTGATTCAGTATGAGTTGTCTCTGGATTGTTGGATTCATCTCGATGAGATGTGTTATGGTGATCACCACCACGATGATGGGTACCACTAAGACGTGATCCAGCAGGTGATCCACTTGCACCAGCATGTCCATTATCTTCGTTGCTTCGCACGTGATACACTATTTTCAATGTCTTTGGGTCAGCCGACTCATCACCCTCTACCGAATGAATATCCAATAAATCAATAGACCATATCTTTTTGTTAGTGTCTGGATCAACCTTGTATAATCTTGATGATGTTAATAATCCAATAAATGTTGTTTCTAAAAAAAAAGAGACATAAAAGTAAGTTGGTTTGATCAAAGTAAGTTTCTCTCTCTATATATATATATATATATATATATTTTATATCTCATACCAGAAGATTTATTCTTTAAAAAGGTTGAATGAGTAATATATCTTTCATCAAGAGGAATGATTTTATCGAATCTAGGTGGCGATGGGTAGAGTGCCGTATCACTGTACTTGTCCTCTAGATCGTGTGTACTTCCATTGGCATGTGGAGCAATCGACAATGATGATGCCGATGGTGACAATGTAGTAGTGTTTGTTGATGTAGTTGTCGCTGTACTATTTGTACTTGCACTATGAATCAATCCCTTTGTATTCATCATATGTGAGAGTTGACTTTGACTTGTCTCTATCTATCTATCTATCTATCTATCTATCTATATTGATATATATATATAATCTTTGTTATTTGTTGTAAAATATATAACTATTCAAAGATGTAAAAATAAATAAATAAATTAAATAAATAAAATAAGAAGTTGAAATAATTTCCAATATTTGATGACTTTTGTCAGAATGACCATCATCATTAACAATCAAGTCAAGCCAATTTTATTATTATTGATGTTTTAAAAATTAAATACACACAAACCAACCACCCTACCCTTGACCTAAACACACTATCTATTTTTCAAAGAGACACCACTCCGATCTTCAAGTTCATTCATTCATTCATTCAAGTAGCAAACATATAATTATAATGTTATTATTCAATAGAGATAACAAAAAGAAGAATAACAATAACAATGGTGATGGTGACCAAGTGACAGATGATACATGGGATGACAGCGATTTAATCAATGCTTACAACTCTGCGATCGACCAATATATCGTACGTACATACTAACTACTTTTGTAGAATACATTGACAATATCTAACTTTACTAACTAACTTGATTGTTTATTATTACACAATTTGTAAAGAGTTCACATAATCCATCAAAAAATAACAACAATAATAATAATAATAATAATAATAATAATAATAACAATAATAGAAAACATGATAACATTAGTATTATCATTCAAGATGATGGTTCAGTTGAGAATGTAGATGAAGAAGATGAGGAAGAGGAAGAGGAAGAAGAAGTGGTGGAGAAAATAGTAACACCTCCATCCAAGCCAACCAATAGAGCTATGAAAAAGGGTCCATCAACTTATAAACAACCACAATCACAACAATCACAATCTTCTACTACTTCTACTTCTACTTCTACTACTACTACTTCTACTCCAGCTCAGACTGCCAAACCATCATCGTCGTCAACAACAACAACCACCACCAAACAAACACCAGTGTCAAAGAAGAAATCCTATCCAAGTCATCATGATTATCCAAGCCATCACGATTATCCAATGCCAGCATCTTGGGATCCATATATTAAAAACTATATTACGGAAGAGACCAACCAACCCCATTATAACAACTATACACCAACACCACCATCTTATCCACATCCACATACTCTTCCCCCACCTACTTGCCACTCACCACCTACTCTACCCAAACTTCCAGCAAATTTACTTGGCGATAGTGAATCCGCCGATCTTTTATTGAGTTGGTATTACACTGGTTATTATACTGGAGCTTATCAAGAAAGAAAGAAACTAGTACAACAACATTACCAACAACCACAATACCAACAACAACAACAACAACAACAACAACAACCATCACAGCAACAGCAACATTACCAACCACAATATCAATATCAACCATCCCAACAACAACAACAACCACAATACCAACAACAACCATACTATTACCAACAACAATATCAACAACAACATAGACATCAACCACATTATTACCATCAACATCAACAACAACAATATCAACAACAACAACAACAACAACAACAACAACAACAACCTTATTCAAGTCAAGTATCAGCTCCACCACCACCTCCAAGATCATCAAAAAAAGTAACAAGATCACCAACCAATATGTATAATGACCAACAACAACAATAATAATAATAATAATAATAATCAAACCAATTGTAGCCTTTACTCTATATAATGAAAATCAAATAAATAAGTATAATTGATTCATTCATTTTATTCAAACAAATCAAACAATCAATCAGATTATATTTTGAAACTACGACAAACAGCGGGCATTTAAATTTGTTTTGTAAAAATGAAAAAATCGTTCAAAATTATTTTTTTTGTGAGCTCACCCACAGACTCTGCCCGCCACCGAACCTGTTCTCACAAGCATACATTGAGGATTCGTATCTTCCTTTTCCTCTTCTCTGTAACACAGTGATCATGGTATGCACAGAGCATAAAGCATAAGCCTTATACTATTCTATATCGAATACTAACTTTCATGTTACCTATCTACTTTATATCATACCTACTTTACTTTTCTACTTTTAGTCTTTAGTTCTCCCAGACAACTTCCAACACATTATCCGTATCTACAATACCAACGTAGAAGGTAAGCGTAAGGTCATGTACGCCTTGACTGACGTTAAGGGTTGTGGTCGTCGTTTTGCTAACCTCGTCTGCAAGAAGGCCGATATCGACTTCTCCAAGAGAGCTGGTGAACTTAGCCCAGCCGAAATCGAGCGTGTCACCACCATCATGAACCACCCACGTCAATACAACATCCCATCTTGGTTCTTGAACAGACAAAGAGATATTGTCGACGGAAAGTACATGCAAGCTTTGTCCAACGTCTTGGATATCAAGCTCAGAGAAGATCTCGAACGTTTAAAGAAGATCAGATGTCAACGTGGTATCAGACATCACTTGGGTCTCAAGGTCCGTGGTCAAAAGACCAAGACCACTGGTCGTAGAGGAAGAACCGTCGGTGTCGCTAAGAAGAAGGTATGATGAACAACGGAATAGAATAGAATATATTAAAAATGATCAATCAATCACAATCAAGTTTACTAACATTCTCAATTATTATTATTATCATTCTTATAGGGTGGTTAAGACCAATACTATTTGTTTGGATAGGCTATTTGAGAGTATAAGGAATAATTATACCTACTTTGTGTTTATTTCATCAAATAAAAATAATATCAATATTGAAAAAAAACAAAAAAGATCTCTCTTTAAAATCATCATCATCTTTCTTATCCCCTTTTATATCATTATATAATATTATTACCTTTAATATTATTTTATCTATTTATAGAAATTACTATTATTGTTCATTTCCAATTAATATTAATATTATTATTTAAATATTTTAATCACACCCAAAATTGGCAATGATGTACAAACTCAGTTCGAGATTGCAGTTATTAGTTTGGTTTAGTTTGGTTGAGTTGAAAATAGTCATTCAAAACATACGAAAGGATATCGATGAATAGGTCAGCGTCGTTTCAATCAAACATATACAAATAGATAGGATAGCATAGCATAGCATAAGAGTAAGAGTAAGAGTAAGAGTAATACTTGACATAGAGATAGGATTAGATAGGATGAGTATTACTATTAGAAAGAGTGAGGTATGTGTATTGATACTTGGTTTTCTAAAGGAAGAAAAGTTCTTACAAACTCATGAAATCTTTTCTAAAGAATGTCAACCTTATACAAAGGATCTACAAAAAATACCTGTATGTATATAGAGTATTTAGTAATAGTAATAGTGTATAGTTTGATTGTATTTAACAATTTATTATTATGAACAATAGGGAAAATCAGTTAAAACATTAACAACGATTCTAAACGAGTACATCAATTTGAAAGAAGAGAAACGAAAAAGAGAAGGATTCACTGGTTCCTTTACCGATCGATTCAATCAATCAAACATTCCTACCAATGATGCAATCTATCAAAACATCACTTCTTCTCTTGATAATCTCTATACAATGTTGGATGACTATGTTTCATTACGTTCAAAACTTTTAAATAACAATAATAATAATAATAATCATGTAAACAATAATAATCATAATCATGTAAACAATAATAATCATAATCATAATATAATCAACAACAACAACAACAACAACAATAATGTAAATGTAAATAGAAATAATAATAATATAAATAATAATAATCAATTAAATGGTAATGGATTGAAAAGAAAGAAAATGGAGGATAATACTAAATCTGTAAATAATAATAATAATAATAATAATAATGGTAATGGTAATGGTAATGGTTCTAAATCAATCATTTCAACGACAGATATTATTGATTTGGATGGTGGTAGTGATAATAATAGTAATAATAATAATAACCATACTACTACCATTTCAACCACTGTACATTTATCAGTGTCTACACCATCACCACCGCCACCACTTGCTGTATCAACGAGACCGCTACCAAGTGCTTCACCACCTCTTTTAGGTTTATATGGTGCAAGTGGAACTTCAGCGACTACATCAACGACATCAACCAATACAACAACAACAACAATGGCAACACCATCAAAAAGAACTACTCCCGAGGGTATTAGAAGTAGAAAGAATCAAACACCAAAGAAATTAATCGTTAAACCTCCAACATTCACACATGTGGCAAATCATAGCCACAACACCTCTCCAACACCCCTTATTCCACCTTCCTCTATAACATCAACAACGCATCAACCAAGTGATAATACTTTTGGTAGTAGTAGTAGTAGTAGCAGTCCTATGGGAGATGGTCAATCTAGTAATACAAATAACTTTAGTGGTGGGTTACCAGACCTATCATCATTTAATAATCAACAACAACAGTTGGATTTACTCGCTGGTGGTGATTTACCAATGATGGACTTTGGCAAAAGTCTTGAAGAGTTGTTAAATAATCCTCAACTACCTGAAAAACTTGCTGCTTTGATTAATACACAACTTATTGGTGTAGGTGGACAATTTTTAAATAATAATGGAAATGGAAATGGAAATTCACAAGTTGATAATAATAATAATAATAATAATAATGAATTGATTCAACAATTTCATCAACAACAACATCATAATCATAATACACAATCATTATTATCACCAGTTGATAATACAATTGGTGGTATGATACCAATGGATTTTGGAATGTTGGAAGTTGATAATATTATATCATCGATTGAAGCTGACCCAGACCTTAATGGATTTATTCATAGTTTACAACTTGGTGGACCTCCAAACAATACTGTTTCTGCTTCTGCTGCAGCTGCTGGTAATCTCCAACAGTCTAATCATCTACAACAACAACAACAACAACAACAATCTCATAATGATGCAATGTCATATTTTACTCAAGACGATAGATTCTATCTCCAAAATAGTAACAATACAAACACCAATATTAATCCTCCTCCTCTATCAACTTCAATCGATTTAAAGAAATCAACAACAACACCATCAACAACGACAACAACAACAACATCAACAAGTACCTCCCCAACAATAGATTTGAAATCAAATGAAAACCTACATCAAAATAATAATAATAATAGTAATAATAATATATCATCAACATCTTTATTAATTCCTGACAATATTGATGATTTTCTAGAATCGATCGATTATTCTCAAGATCAAGATCAATCACAACAGTAATTAATAGGATTCAAGAATAGTATGAATGATTGTGATTATGATTGGTCTATTAATAACTCTATTAATAATTACAAATAAAATGATGGAATAGGCATGGAATTGTATACAAGTACAGTAAAGATAAAGACAAAGATAAATAGTAGATCCACAATCAATTGATTATTTATTCATTTAAAACTAACCACCCCTTCCTGCTTCTTGTTGTTACCATTAGACAATTAATCAATTAGACTTTGCAGATAGATAGATATATTTTTTTGTGTGTTTGATTGGTAGAGATAATTATAATTAAATAAACCATCATTATGAATGAATGAAAAAATTGGAGGTGTGTGATTTTAATTTTTTTTTTTTTGATTAAAAAGTGATGTTTGAAACAAACCACTCAAACTCCTAATTAAAACCATCATTCATATTATTGCTAGACTAAACTATCAACCATCCATATCATTCATTTTAGACAAGCAAACAACAACGATATCAACACCACCCTCTCTTGCTATAGCTTCAAGGCAATATATATATATATATATCATAACAACAAATCAGCAATCAGGTGTATTAGATAGATATAGGAGTAGAAAAGAGGATATTTATTATTATTATTATAATCAAGAGATAGATTCCATCATCATCATAATAGATCTATCTATCTATATATCGTTATAATACATATAGTTATTATAAAAAAGAAACTAGAAAGAGCCGACATCAAAGGGGAGGAAGACACATCCAACCAACCAACCAAACATGTTTATCTTTTCCAAACACAAAAAAGAAAAGAAGAATCAGCACCACCAACAGCAACAGCAGCAGTTTGCTCCTCGTGCATTTGACTCTAATGTTGCCGTATTGATATTAGGTAAATAATCATAATCATAATAATAATAATAATAATCATCAATGATCCACTACACTCCTTTATTATAATAATGGAACGTTGGTGGACACTGACAACAATAGGAAATGGATTGTAAAAAGAAAGAGAGTAGTAGTAGTAATAGTAATAGAAAATAACCTACTATGAGGAAAATGAAATAGAGAGTTAATAGTTAATTAACTATAGAAACAAAATAATGAATGAATGAATGAATGAATGAACTTGGTGGATATTAAATATTTATTAAATTTCGATTTATGCTTTATAAATATATAGGTATACAAGAGTCGGGAAAGACGACTCTTCAAAGACAACTGGATATTATGTATGGTATGGCCGATATTGATCCAAAGTATTACCAACGTTTGGTGTATGGAAATACATTGGCCACTCTGATTCGATTGTTGGAGAGTACCGAACGATTGAATCTAAGCATCACCGATGACAATATAGATCGATCGAAAAGAGTCACTGGGACACCGGTAGAATTGGCTAGGAATCGTCTACCTCGTTTCCCACTTCGTCTATCATATGATTGTAAATGTCTTTGGGAAGATCAAGCCATTCAAAGTGCATATGAATATTCAAATATTTGTTTGGATTTTAGAACTCCTGGTAGAACTAAATAGTATGAAAAAGAAATAGAAATGAAAAGAACAAAAGACTTTTTAATCAAATCTAATCTATTTTATTTTATTTTGCTAGTTATATGGAAAATATGTTTAGAGTATTTGCACCAGATTTCTCACCTTCAGAAATGGATATTATAAGTGCATATGATCAAGTTGATCATTCCCAACATTCATCAGTATTACATCGTCGTGTAAAAGTGGATCTAACATCACCAACAACCAAATATATATTATCAAAGGATTGGTCGAAATTTAGTCATTATCGACCTCATTATATCATTTATGTTGTATCTTTAAAAGAGTATGACAAGTAATATATATATTTCTATCATTTCATTTACTTATTATTTTTTTTTCTATTTCTTTTTAGTTATTATCAAGATAATTCAACAAGATATGAAGTTATACCAACTATATCAACTTTATCATTGACTGATTCATCTACTTCGAGTACATCAGAGACAACAACTACTTCGACATCGGCAACATCAGCTGCTGCACCTATATCAGTCAGCACATCGTCGACGACAACAGCATCAGCGGTACCGCTGGAACCAACTAAGCATTATTCTTACAAGTGTTGTGGTAGACAGCAAAACCATAAAAATCTTTTACGAGAATCATTGTCAACTCTGGAATCATTGATAGCATCGGATTTGATGGATCCAAATGGTACAGTCTTTCTTATTTTCAATCATTGCGATACATATACTGAACGTTTGAAAATAGTCGATCCAAGTTGTTGTTTTGAAGATTATACAGGTGGAAATGATCAATCAAAAGCTACTGAATTTATTATTCAAAAATTTACAAAATCTGTAAGTAAACAAAGAAAGAAAAAAAAAAAAAGAAAGAAAAAAGATTTATTTCTAATTATCTTTTTTCTCTACTCTATTACTAGTTGAATGAAAAGAAAATATCATATAAAACACATTTAATGAATTTATTGGATAAACAAAATACAAGGGAACAATTTGATATAATGTTGGATTTTATAATACCAGATGCTGAAAAGAGAGGATTGGTTGATGAGATTTCACCAATATTATCGGGTGCCAGTACCGGATCGGTATTGTCGAGTTCAAGTGGATCCGTATCACATCCAACATCGATTCTACCTCATACCTCTAGTATTGTAGTTACACCCATTCAAAATGATAATCTTGTTGATATTAGTCATTCAAATGAATCTGTAAATAGTAGTAATAATAATAACAATAATAATAATAATAATTTTAATAGTAGTAGTAGCGATATTGGAACTCCAAGAAAAGACAAGAAAAAGGATAAAAAGGAAAAGGAAAAGGAAAAGGAAAGAGAAAAGGAATTGGAAAGAGAAAGAAAAGAAGAAAAGGCAAGAGAAAAGGAAAAGGAAAAAGAAAAAGAAAAAGAAAAAAGAGAACAACAACATCAACAACAACAACAACAAGGTCTTGAAAAGGAAAAAGAAAAGGAAAAAGAGAAAGAAAAGGAAAAGGAAAAAGAAAAAAAGGTAAAAGTGCCAAAAAAGAAAAAGATCAAAGGTTTATGTGCTGTTAAAGCTGGATTTGGTTCAATGCAAGGTAGAAGAAAGAATATGGAAGATACTCATGCAATTTATGAAAATTTGGTTGTATGTAGAATAGAACAAATAATATTATATCCTTCTTTTATTTCTAATTTATTTTTATTTATTTAGGAGGAATTAAAATTACCAAATGTAATTGATGGAGTTTGTTCATATTTTGGAGTTTATGATGGACATGGAGGAACTGATACATCCAAGGCATTGGAACCAATTGTACATAAATGTGTTGTCGATACACCAGCATTTATCGATGGAAACTATGAACAAGCACTCAAGGATGGTTTTGAGGCTGCAGATAAGCAGGTCATCCCCATTTGCGAAAAGAGTGGATCGACAGGTGTTGCTTGTTTGTTGGTTGGAAATACGCTATTCACAGCCAACATTGGTGACTCTGAACTTGTTTTGGCACGTTCATCGGGCACTGGCAAATCACCAACCTACGAATCGGTGCTGCTCACCTACAAACATTTGGCCAACGACGAGAATGAAAAGAAACGTATCACCGAGATGGGTGGTATGATTATCTTTGGACGTTTGTTTGGTAGTTTGGCAGTATCACGTTCCTTTGGTGATCGCGAGTACAAAGAAGGTGACAAAAAGTTTGTGTCTTGCGATCCCTACACAACAGTCACTGAACTCACGCCACGAGACCACTTTATCATCCTTGCCTGCGACGGTCTGTGGGACAAGGTCACCTATGATGAGGCAGTTCAAATGACTGCCAAACTCATCAAACAGGGTAAAACACCAACTGAAATTAGTGAAGCTCTTGCCAATGACTCTTTTGAAAAGGGTTCTGCTGATAATATTACTGTCATTGTTGTCATTCTTTCTCATGGTTAAAAAAAAACAAAAACAAAAAATACAAAATATATGTAAAAAAAAGATAATAAAAAACTAACTTTATTTATTCAAAAGAGAGTGAGATAGATTAGAGATTAAGACATAAATCTCTTTTATTTGAACCAAAAAAAAAAAAAGAAAAGAAGGAATCTTGTTCAAATAAAAAAAAGGGAAAATGGAAATATATAAATATGAACTTACAAAGGTCCTTATTTATTTATAATTATTATTTATTCTTGATATTTCAAAAGATGGGTCAATCAGCTAGTAGATGTTCTGAAGATGAATATTTAAATCCTACTTCTTTTCCAAATGTCCCATTTGCTCAACATAGGGTTGGTGATGTATACTTGGTAACTTATACTTCGAGTCCAAGTTCTTTGGATCCAACCACCAACCTAGATTATCATTATACTATTGTAATAGATGTGGCAGGTGAATCTTCTAGTTTTCCAAGAGGATTGGAATTGTATCTAGGTGTACAAGGAGAGTCAAGAGTTGTAAGACTTTGTCAAGAAAGACTAAAACATCCAAGAATAAATTATAGATCACATCAAGCAATTGGAAAGATACAAAATATTTATCATCAAGGTAAACCTCGTCAATGGTCAGATGGAATTAGGGATATTGTTGGTAATGAATGGTTTCCAGAGTTTGTAAACAAAAGAGGAAATATATTGAATCATCAATGTAATAGCCATCAATTTGCAAAATATTTGATAAAATATTTTGATTTAGATTGGCCAAACTATATCTATGTTGCAGGTGATTGGGATCAAAATGAACCATTAATGGTTGATCTTTAAATAAATAATAATTAAATAATTCTAGTTTTTTTTTGGATTTCGAGAAATGATAAAGAAAATCTTTAAAAAAATAAATTAAGGATTAAATCGTAAAATGGATAAATTGATAAAGTTTAAAACAAACTAATAGGATTGGGTGCTGTCGGAATTCCAATAGGGAAAAATTGGAAAAATTTCATTATTAACTGTCGACAGGAAAAACCACACAAGTTCTATATATTGTTTTTGTGTGGTAAATGTGTTCCTCTTCTTATTTTTTAAAAATATCCAGGCATGTAGGGGTAGGGGTATGAGTGGTTGGTGGTTCTTGAGCTTGTAAAACTTGTGATAGAGATGTATTGAAAGATTGCTGTGCCTGTTTTTGTCATTGGAACAACTTTGTCAGAATTCACCTCGATTCAATTTTAAAAGAGTCGCAATAGTAATTCACTGTGTTGGTTGGTTGGTAAATCATCCTATTATTCTGTTACCATTGGTAGGTAGAGTGAGTGGTATGTATTCCCCACGCCAAGTAGGATAGCTGTTTCAGGCTCGTGCCATCGTTGTTTTAACAGTTTAAAAATAATTAATTAATACATCCACAACAACAAATAATAACAACACAAAGAAGAAAGAAAAAACACCAAGACGATAATAAACAATAAAATTAGCATAATAACTTATAAAAAAAATAATATTAACAACAACAACAAAAAAGCAACATACTCTTACTCATCCGACCGACAAACAAGTAATTTAATTTAATTATTATAATTATTTAATCATCATCCATCCATCCATCAGCCAGTTTAAATTTTAATATTAAAACTGTTATTTATAAAATCTTCATCATCATCATCATCAACAACAAACTAATAACTAAAAGTTTATCAACGCATCAGACATTAGACATTCCTCCCTCCCTTTTGTTTAAAAATAATATAATATAATAATCCAGTTTTGTTTTTTTTTATTATAAATTTCAATAGTTTTAATAAGAGACAGGACAGACAGACAGAAAGACAGAAAACAAAAAAAAAAGAAAGACAGACAGATAGATATTTCACCAGTTTGACTGTAACAATTTCAAGATCAACATCTCAGCAAGCCTAACCAACATATTTGAAAAGAGAGAGAAATATTCGGATAATCTAATTTCATAGCGGCTTTGAAGACCTCATCTCACCTTTAGGACTGATAAAAAGTTGAAGCAGCAAAAAAAAAACAACAAAACGAAATAGGAATTACCAAAACAGGCAACTTTGGTTTGCCACACCAACAATTTCATTGATTTAATCACCAGACAGAGACAGACCAGAAGAATAACAACAGGAAAAGAAAAAGGGAAAGACGTTAGACCAACCAACTTCTCTCTCTCTTAGACTCAACCTATCAATCTATACATACATATTAACTAATCTGCGCAAAGTTAAATGTATACAAATCATTAAAAAAAAGGACAAATATAATAGAATATATAATATTCCCCCCCTCCCTTCACTTCTCTATCTATCTCTTTTTTTAAATAAGTAAAAAAAAAAAGTTAATATAGAGGTTTCTAATAATAATTAATAATTAATAATTAATAATCATTGTAATATCTGTATAAAATATATAATAATAATAACAAATATTTAAATATCTTTCAATTCATTGAAAATGATTGAAAATAAAATGAACAACACCTCGTCATCACAACAACCAAAAAATCAAACAAATATCAATATTGGTGCTAGTAGTAATAATAGTACAAGTAATAATGGATCAACAACACCAAGAGTTCAAATAGCTAAATTAAATTTAAATCAAATACAAAATCCTTATCATAATTGTAGTATTAATATATTAAATAATAGCAATAACAACATTAGAAATAGTATTGAAAGTAATACAACTAGTAGTATTACATCTGGTCATTTAAAGAGTATAGAAGAAAACAAAGAACAACGATCACCATTATTCACGAGAAAGAACTTTTTCAATGTTGGAGCAGAGAGTCCAACAACAACTACAACAACAACAACGCCATTATCAGAATCACCATTTACAACTACCAATATCATTACACCTTTAAATTCTTCATCGACATTAATATCTTCATCATCTGCATCATCATGTATAAATAACTACGAACAACAACAACAACAACAAATATGTAACAATAATAATAATAGAGTGGGAGTACCATTTACACAAGAATTTGAATCTATCAATTTACAAAACAATCATGGTAATTTATCAATATTGGAATCATCAATTGATTCTCCTTCGTCGTCGAGGATTAGTCGATTAAGAAAGGGTAGTTTACCTTTACCTTCATTACATTCTTATCGTGAACAAAAGATAAAGGGTGCCGAAGAGATGGGATTGACCAAAAAAGAGGTTGCATTGCAACAAAGAAACGCTCGTCATTTTTGGGGTACCATGTTGATACCGGGACTCGATATCCTCAAAAGCGATTTACTACAGGTCAAGGAGGAAAGTGACAGTCGATTGTTATTGTTTATTGCCGATCTTCGACGACAATTACGGTCACCCGACAACTCTCAACGCGAAAAGGATCTCTTGGTCGAACTCTTGGGTGTTGCCAATAGTTTTCTGGCACTCAAACCCAACCAAATCGAATGTGGAAAATACGCAGAGGATCTCCTCAGAAAATTAAACGAAAAGGATTTACAAGGCAAGATTAGGGATTCCGTAGTAAACCTTTTATTTATTATTTCAAACTTTGGTAGAATTCAAGAATTACTTGCTATTGAAACTGAAAAAAATCAAGATTCAGCAACAACAACAATGGAAAAGGATGATTTATCTTTAAACTTTAAAGGATTAATGAATCCATTGGCAACTCCACCAGCATCACCACCAGCACCTTTTTGTTCACCAAGAAGTAATTTAAATCCAAATCAATCAACCATGTCACAAATATTACCACCATCAATTCAACAACCAAAACAACAACAACAAGAAAGATTACTTCCACCAAATTATTCTCCCAATATCAATACTCCAGTTCAATTTAACAAGAATCATTTTAGAACTTTATCTTATTCACCAAAATGTCAAAGTCCTCCATTTGAAAGTGATGATGATGAAGAAGATACTACTACTACTACCACTACTAGTAGTGATCAATCTGCAACTAATGGTAGTGGTATTGATTCGAGTAGTAATTCAGATAGTGGAAATCTAAAAAAACGAATTGAATTGAAACGTCCATCTCCACTTTCTCAATCTACTCTTAATCAACCTATTATTCAACCACCATTATTATCAAGAAGAATCGTTGATCTTGTAAGTAATGCTAAATAGAAACATTAAAAATATTCATTTATTAATATTAATATTTCCTTTTTTTTAGATTTCTTCAAATAAAGGTAAACAACATTCAAATCAACAACAACAACAACAAATTACAAATCAACAACATTCAATTAAAGAAGAAGATTTTATTCCAGGTCCATTATCACCAGAGATTTCATCAGAGAAACAACAACGGGAAAAGGAATTTTCATCAATACCATCAATTACTGAACAACCAAGAATATTGGATCAAAGTCATTTTTTGGAGGAAATGGATACTTTTTCAACTTCTGAAGATGAAGAAGAAGAAAATGAAGAAATTGAAGAATCTTATCTTTCTTCATCTGATGAAGATAGTGATGAAGAGGATAGTGATGATGAACGAGAAGAAGAAGAAAACGAGAACGAGAATCTGCTGCCAGCAGACGATAAAAAATCGTCAACCAATCAAATGATCATACCACCACCATTGAAAAAATCTTTAACTAATCCTAGACTCGACAATTTGGTAAGTACAGTTTACAAAAAAAAACAAAAACAAAAATATCAGGACTACTGTACAAAAGTGATTCAAAAGTGATTCATTCATTCATTCATTCATTCATTCAATTCCTGGAATTTTAAACAATGATCAATAGTATTATAAAAAGGATCCTATTACTAATATATTATATCTTTTTTATTTTATTTTAGAAATCAATGACTACTACTATAACTGATCCAATAACTAAAAGAGTAAATTATCATCATCATTTTTAAAAAAAAGATCTATATTAATTTATTTTTTATTTATTTTTTATTTTAGCAATTGGTTAGATCAAAAAGTTTTAGTCCAAATAAATTTAAAGATTCAAAAAAACAAACGATTGGTAGAAGAAAGTTGACAAGATCATTTTCCGAGATTCCATCGATCAAAGTATTGGAAACAGATGTAGAAAAACAAATGGTTATGTGTAGAATATGTGAAGAGAAAATCAATTCCTCACTACTCGAAGAACATTCTAAATTTTGTGCAATGGCAAATCAAGAAGATATGAAAGCAATGAATGTTGAAGATCAATTAAGAGCTGTAAATATATTAAAAAAAAAACAAACAAAAAAACAAATATATTTATTAATTTATTTTTTCTATTTATTTTAAGATTGCAAAAATATTATTAACAAGAAGTACCAATTTACCATTAGAAAAAAGAAAACAATTACAAGAATTTAGAGAAATTGCTCAACAAGCTGTTGAACTTGGTATGAGAGATTGTTTTAAAATGATTATAGTTATTAAAGAAAAATTAAAAAGAATGGATCCAAATGATGATAATATTCCTTTAGCTAAAAAAATTGAATTATTGGTAAGTAATAGATAAAATAGAATAATATATTATTTGATTTTATATTTACTCTTTTTTCTTTTTCAATTTTAGATTAATGAAAAAATTAATGCACTTAGAACAGCAGAAGAAGTAATTAATTCAAGTCCAAGAATATTTAGAACAAGTTATCCTAGAGTATTGATATCACCAAGAAATGCAGATATACCCAATTTTTGTGATTTTAAATTGGCCACTGCAGCTGGTAGAAATCGATCAGATTCTGATCCAACTCAAACCAGACAAAGTCTATTGGATATTAGTAATTCAAGACCAAAAGGAATTCCGACAATTGATGATTTTCAAATCATTAAACCAATTACAAAAGGAGGATTTGGAAAGGTGTATTTGGCCAAAAAGAAAAGAACTGGTGACATTTATGCAATCAAGAGATTAAAGAAATCAGATATGGTTAAAAAGAATCAAGTCAATCATGTAAAGATTGAACGTGATATTTTGGCTCATACAAGTAATCCCTATGTCGTAAAGATGTATTATTCATTTCAATCACGAGATTATTTGTACTTGGTCATGGAATATGTTCATGGTGGTGATTGTTTTTCATTGTTGCAAAACTTGGGTGCACTCGAAGAAGATATGGCAAAAATGATTATAGCAGAAACTGTATTGGCTTTGGAATATCTTCATTCACTTGGTATTATTCATCGTGACTTGAAACCAGATAATCTTTTAATTGATAAAAATGGTCATATTAAATTAACAGATTTTGGTCTATCAAAGATTGGTCTTTTAGAAAGACAAACAGTTGTTCCACCAACTGTTTTTAATAGTGGTGGTAGTAGTAATAGTCCAAAGTTGGGATCGATAAAGAAAGGACCTTTACCATTATCATTGACAAAAAAATTACCTTATGCTTTATCTTCACCTTCAGTTGCTTTGGGAGGTCAACAACATATACTTTTACCACCACCACCACCTACTGTTATGACTTCATTGGATCGTCATAGAGAACAACCAAGTGGTAGAATTTCACCCCCTATTTTCATTTCTCATCAAGAAAAGGAAAAAAATCCACCTCTTTTGGCTCAACAACAAGGTGGAAAGGTGATAGGAACGGGAGGAACGACGACTATTCCTCCTCAAAAGGAAAGAAAACTTAGTTGTGTTGGTACACCAGATTATTTGGCACCAGAAATTTTATTGGGAATTGGTCATGGTAAAGCAGTTGATTGGTTTGCAGTTGGTGTTATACTTTACGAATTTCTTACTGGAGTTCCACCTTTTAGTTCACAAACTGTAGAAGGTACATTTCAAAACATTCTACAAAGAAAGATTAAATGGACCAATGATATGAGTGATGAAGCTCGTGATTTTATTGACAAACTCTTGGCTCTTAATCCTCAATCACGTCTTGGTTACAATGGTGCAGAGGATGTCAAAGCTCACCCATTCTTTAAAGATATCAATTGGTCGACCATTAGAACTCAAAAACCATTTTTCGTACCAGTATTGGAAGATCTTCAAGATACTAGTTATTTTGATGCTCGTAAACAATTTTATGATCTTAGAATATCAGATGACGATCATCAATTAAAAAAGAATCAACAACAACAACCAAGTTTAAATTCAAGTGGTAATACTAGTAATGACTCGAAATTTGATGATTTCCTTTATGTCAATTTTCAAAGTCTTTCAGAATTAAATCATAATTATTTAATTGAAACTAATCCTTATGTAATAAGTAGAAGAAGAAATTCTTTCTAAAAATTAAATAAATTTAAAAATTAAACCAATCAAATGAATGGAAAAAAAAAAATTAAAAAAAAAATCAATATACAAAAGGGGGGTTAACATGTATTTATTTTTATTTGTTTACTTTTTTTCTTTTTATAAATTCTCAACATGTTACCAATAATTGATATAGGATCATTAGATCCTACACTAAATGATAAAGAAGGATGGTTAAGAGTAGCAAAAGAGATTGATCAAGCATGTAGAACAGTAGGATTTTTTTATATAAAGAATCATTTTATAACAGAGAAAAGATTTAAAGAGTTTATGAATGCAACAAAGCAATTTTTTGAACTCTCTACAGAAGAAAAGATGAAGATTTATATTGGCAATAGTAAGAATCATAAAGGTTATGTAGAGATGCAAAGTGAACATTTGGATCCTACTAAAAAAGTAGATTACAAGGAAGCATTGGATATGGGTTTAAATTATAAAATGGCTGACCCAAATAACCCAACCAATACATTAAATGGTCCAAATCAATATCCACAATCACTTGGTCAAGAATGGGTAGATGTAATAGAATCGTATGCAAAGGATGTATTGGAAAAGGTTGCAAAAAGGTTAATGCAAACAATGGCATACAATTTAGGTGCACCATTGGATTATTTTGACAAATTGTTTAATGAAAGAAATGTTAGTACTCTAAGAATTATTCATTATCCTCCAAGATTGGCAGAGGAAAATGAAGATGAAATTGCTAAACTCGATCCCTCGGAACAATATGAAAAGATGGATACAGTTGGATGTGGAACTCATACAGATTATGGTTGTATTACACTTTTATATCAAGATGAAATTGGTGGATTACAAGTTAGAAATACTGATGGTAATTGGATTGAAGCAACTCCCATACCAAATACTTTTGTTGTCAATATTGGTGATATGATGATGAGATGGTCAAATGATCTTTACAAAAGTACACCTCACAGAGTCATTAGTCATGGAAACAAGGATCGTTATTCCTCACCCTATTTTTTTGAACCATATGGTGATGCCATTGTAGCTTGTCTACCATCATGTCATTCAGATTCAAATCCAATCAAATATCCTCCAATCACTTGTAATGATTATTTATCAATGAAATTTGATCAAACTCATGGTTATAGACAACATCAAATTGATTTGGAAAAGTTGAATAATAATAATAATCAACCAGAGCAATTAAAACAATAAAAAAATAAAAAAGATACATAGAGTAGAGTATTTTTGAGAAAACTACCTGAAATAATTTTTTAATTGATTGGTTTTTTTTTAATTTTCATCCCATTTTAAAATTGAATAATGCTTTGCCTCTTGATAAATAGAATGAATTTACTTTTACTTTATTATAGCGGTAAAAGTGAGCATAAATTGAATCGTCATACTTTGAAATGAAATTTAAATTGGCTATCTATATAAAACGTCCACCGGAGTTTGGCCCACATTGATCATCTAATGTGGGCCTATTAATCGTTCTCTCTACTTTACAATTGTACTAATAGAGAAAACAAAAAACCTCCTAACTTTGGAATAAATTCAAGGTTACTAAAAACTCCCTGGACGCTCAGCAATCTCACCTTATCACTACAAACCCCTTTTATATTTTTGTAAAAAGATTTAAATAAATAAATCATCTTTTTTATTTTTTATATTTATTATTATCTTTTTTAAATTTTGATTCTCTAGCAATTTCTACCAATCTAACAAACATTGGATCACTTGAAAAGTCTTGGCAATTCAAGCCGAGCAATGAAGGTTATTTGATCCATATCATCTACGTTTTCGCAATAGTCATATTGTAAATAATAGTCATCTCTGTCACTATCATCATCATCATCATCATCATCATCATCACTACTATCAACATCATCACTGTCATCGTCATTATCACTTTTATCTCTAGCAGATTTGATTAAATTGGCAATTTCAATGATAGAGTTTAGGATGAGTTCTAGTGTGATCTTGTTTGTAAAAAGTAATACTTGTTTCATTAACTTTTTCTCCAATTGATCCATCTCGATTAGTTTTAGTTGTTGTTGATAATAGAGCAACTGATTTGAATCTGTTTTTTCTGTAGTTCGACCAGTTCTTGTTTTCTTTGTAGATCCAATTGTTGTTGCAATTCATACAGCTGCTGCTGTTTTAGTTGATGATGAGTGCTGAAAAGAGACGTTAGACTTGGAGGATGTGTTGGCCTAGTCGACGTTGTTGTTTGTCTAGGTCCAGTTGGAGCTGTTGTTGTTGTTGGAGTTTGTTTTGGCGTTCGAGTTGCCGATCCTGATCCTTTTGGTCTTGCTCTTTTAGAACGAGATGTTGTAGATTGAGCTCGTCAAGTTGTTGTTGATGTTGTAGAGCCTACTCTTCTTGTTGTTTGTTGCGTTGAATGATATGATCTTGAATATGTCTAATCATTGAGTACTTGAAAGATAGTAGCCTGTGTTGGTCTTGTTGCTCAGACAATTCTATTAGACGGTCATTTCTATCTCGTGGATCTTGTTCTTCTTTAGAAGTATCCATTTTTTAAAAAGACATTTAATTGTTTAACTATTATATTTGTTATCATCTTGGATAATAATAATAAAAGTAGTACGGGGTATAATAATAATGACTTGAATTAAAAGAAAGATTAACAACAATGGTTTCTTTTTTTTTTTATTTTTAAATTTCCAAATGCCAATCATTAAAGTCCCAAAAATCAAAGCCTGGATGGTTCGCCCAAGGGCCTCCTTTGGGAGCTTTGGTTGAACATGTTTGTTTGATGGATGATGGTATGTTTTCACTAATATTGTGACAGAGTGGACTACAAGCTACAGTTTTTAAATGTTTTGGTACTGCCCGCCAAAGTGGTACTTTATCATAGTTGCTAGGGAATTCTAAATACTCACAACTGTCTGGTATAAATCCTTGAACCAATGATTGATCAAATTTAGGACCTAATACATAAAAAATATGAATATTTGCGACAACATTATTATTTTTAGGTTTACATACCAAATCTAATATGAGTAACTCCATTTGGAATATCTTTGGCTTTAACTTTAGATGGATTGGAGACTTGATAATCAAAATACTTTGTTGATGGTGGAATACATGATTTGAGTGGGAATTTGTATTCTCTATCCATACCAAAATACTTGATACTCTTTGGGTATCTGGTTCCATCAAATTGACAATTTAATCCTCTGATATAGAGTGTGGTGATGCTATCTGGGATAATGTGAATGGGTGGGACTGATTCAAGACCTTCAAGGGTCAAGGTGGTGACTGACCGTGGGATATGCAATTTATGACTAAGTTGGAGTGGGCCATCCAACTTTAGAGTTGTAACTGATGAAGGAATGGTTCCTTCCAAGACTGTTGTACGATCATCCTGTCGGTTTGAATATATATGTAGATACTCTACAGAAGAGGGAACACAATCAAGAGAGTTTTTGTCGAGGTTGATTGAGAGGTACTTTATACTTGATGGAAGAATGTATCCAGTCTCGATGACACAATTTTCAAGATATAAATGCTCGATTGTATTGGGTAGAGTCCCTCTATGCACATCAATATGTTTGTCATAGTCCTCATCTTCATCACTGTCTTGTTCACCAAAGATTTCGAATATGGTGAGGCTACGTAGTTGCTTGAGTTTAAATAGATAGGGTTTCACCAAATTGGATGTGATAGAAAGTACCCTAATATTGTGTGGTAAAAGATCTTGAATGTCTGAGCGTTTGTCAAGCTCTCCATATGGTAGATAGAGTTTTTCCAATGTATCTGGGAAGAGCTTTCGATATATCTTTTGATCTTGTAAACAACTGTTCAGTATGAGATGAGTTGTGAATGGTGGTATTGATCCAACTTGTATTCCTCCACGAGAGATTATCTTTGTAAAATGATCTGGTATGAATCCAGCTGGTATTGGTTTACTAATAAGATATTTTAGTTCTCGACAGTGATGATTGATTAAACCATCTTTATTCTTTTTGAAATAGTGTAGATCTCCCTCATTCTCGATATCTACACTATTATATCGTCGAGGTAGTTGTTGATTGATTTTTCCAAGAACGATATCATTCAAAGGTAATCTTGGAAACACTACACTGTCCTTCCATTTCATAGCATCTTTACAAGTCATCAATAGATTCATTACACTTTGGTTATCGTCTTGACGATATAATATTGATATCATTGATATTTTAAATAATGTATCTTTAACTAGATATATAGTAAAAGAAAAGAAATAAACATGAATATCATACATTGGATAAAATAATATAAACAATATATAACTTACAGTAATGATTAGATGTTGATGCATTTTCTATTTTCTTTATCGTCGTCGTTGTTGCTGTTGTTGTTGTTGTTGTTGTTGTATTACCATCCGTTAACAAATTGATACAATAAAAGTAAAGATTGATAATTGACGATATACAATCGTTACCTATTGATTCCATAGAAACACATATAAATAATGAAATAACTCGAGAATGAATAAAGATTAAAAGTCAAAATTTAATAAAAAAAAATTTTTTTTTTTAGTATTATCTTTAATATCAAGAGGTCATTGAGATATCATTGATTTTAAACAATCTAGATCTAACACAAATGCGGCATATTTTGCTAGAATTATTAATCATGGTGACTATCATCTACTAGTACTATTATCCAAGTTGGACTATTCAAAGATCTCTTGATCAATTAAAAACTTTTTATAATGGTAAGACGCTAGTGTTTTTAACCGCTATTAAAATGATTCAATACCTTCGAGTAGTCAAAGACAATTTTCAATTCTTTGGTCGATTCATTGATTATTGTCTGTGTCTTTGATGCCTAGGTGTTTGATACAACTAATCAACACAACTGACATCACGGACCAAATTGGAAAAATAAGAAGAATCCTTCTTTCTCATTTCATCTTTTAAAATATTTTTTGATAAACATAATAATTAAATATTAGTAAGCAAGTAAACAATCCATAGCCATATATAGCAAAGCTTTTTAGCTCAGTGGTAGAGTAGTGGGGGTATTTTTTTTTTTTAAAGTAATTCTTTTCCTGTTCTCTCCTATCGGGAAGAGTAGTACTCAGAAGTTACAAAGTTTTATTAATTATACTTTTTAATTGACCAGCAAGAAATAAAGATTTTCTCGAGAAGAATTAAAGTTAATTTGTTCCGGGGGTTTCAAAACCGGGTATATTTTTTTTTTTTATAAGCATCTCATTTCGTGGCATCCACCTGTAGGGTGGAGCACTACTCTTTCGATTGCGAAGTTTTATTGATTGAAGTCTTTGTTTGACCAGCAATGGGAACTGAGTTTCCAAAGAAGAAACAAGTCCAATCTGTTTTTTGGGGTGCCAAATGTCTGTTCTATTTCCATCCAAGCAAAAATGGCAAGTCTTGGTGGGAGCTATTAGTTCTATTTGTTCGTCAATACGACGGGAAGCTTCTTTACCTGTTGAATCGAAGGGGGCTGAACGGTTCTGTGAGTTACGATCCATAGTTCTTTTGTCAGATTAGTGACCAGATCGTGACTGTTGGAGGGACATATGGATGGAATATGTGTGTCGAGTAATGGTTGGTGGTTGTGTCTACACCATGGTTATCTATCTTGGATCGGTCTGTTGTTCGTATTGTTATGTTGGTGAATGATGTTTTGATGGGATGATGATGGTCATTTTCCATTGTAATAGTAATGTGAATACTGTTTCAAACTGTATTGACTTGTTGTAATGATAATTAAATTCCACCTATTAATTATTATTCCTATTGGTTCGAAACTGTTTTTACTATTTGTATTGTGTTGATTAGAGAAGGAGATGGAGGAAGGAGCGAGATATTTTTTTTTTGTTATTTTTTTTATTTTTTGTTTTTTTTCTGGGTGGTGATCTTTGATATAGGCAGTGGTTGTGCTCGCTCGCGCACCTTATTTATAATAATGATAATGATATAAATAATTGAACAAGGGGGCACACTAGGGCAATTAGTTGTGCTTTTAGTGAGTGTGAAAAGAAATAGTAATGTTGATAAAAGATAGTGGAAGATAGTTGATGATTGAGTATATATATACCCGGCTTTTTCATGGTCTCACAAGCCATATATATAGTAAAAAAAAAAAAAAAAAAAAAAAAAGGGGGTATTTTTTTTTTTTTTTTTAAAGTAATTCTTTTCCTGTTCTCTCCTATCGGGAAGAGTAGTACTCAGAAGTTACAAAGTTTTATTAATTATACATTTTAATTGACCAGCAAGAAATAAAGATTATCTCGAGAAGAATTAAAGTTAATTTGTTCTGGGGGTTGTCCATGTCTATGATACATGTTATATGGACGTTGATCATGTATCTTATTGTATAGTGTCAAGCATGTTGGATTGTTTTGGGTTGTTGCTTGTTCTAAAAATAAATTGGTTAAAGATATCGCTTTTTTTTTTTTTTTTTTTTTTTTTTTTTTCTCAGCACTATAGGCTGTAATATTGTGTTATATAATTATTCTATGTTATTATTATTTAGTAAATTATTATATTATTAATATTATTATTGATAGATGAAGAGAGAATAGAAGAAGATGATGAAGGTGTTGACGCAAATATGGCACCCATCTTCTTCTAATTTTAGTACCATACTTGCGGTGAAACCTTAAGCCTTGGGTGCGTCCAAGACCGACTGCCGCTCTCAACTCTCACGCCGATTTACTCCCCATTGTGGACACTCGTCTTTACGTGTTGCATATTGTATTTGAGATGTCAGATGGCTTTCTATCGCGACGGCCCAGTAGGTCCTCCACTACCTTCCCGTTACTTGTTGCAGTCTGGCTACCCAATCTCCTACTGAGAAGGGGAAACTAACCCGGTCATCCTTCCGTGGGGGTGTCCTGTCTCTAGATCCCTAGAGTCGGATGGTTTTTCTCCTCAATAAAAAAAAAAAGGGGGGTATATATATACCCAGATTTTTAATGGTCTCACAAGCCATATATAGCAAAGCTTTTTAGCTCAGTGGTAGAGCGGTGGGCTCATAACCCACAGGTGCATCGATCGATACGATGAAAAGCTATCCTTTTGTTATTTTTTTGCAGCCGTATGGCCATCGCAACCGCTCGTCTGCAACATGTAGAGCAGATAAATAGAAGTGATATATGTAGCTACAAAAAAATGAAATGATATTTTGCTGCTGAAAAACTTTTGAGGGCGTTCAAAAAAACAAAAAAAAATCACAAAAAATTAACGAAAATAATTACAATTATTTTGTTTGTTTATAAAATAGAGAGAGAGAGATAAGTTTAAATTTTATTTAAATAAAAATCATAAATCAATCCATCTTAATGACCCTCGACTTCTTCATCTTCAGAATGAAAAGCCAAGGTTAGGGCAGACATGCCTAAAAATCCAATGATACAAAAGGCGAGTTTAACGAGTTTGGTGAGTCTGGATTGTTTGATGGATTCGTTAAACTCGACGACCAAAATATCCATCAAAGCGATATAGATAAAAGTGCCAGATGAAAAGGCGAGGACAAGAGAGGTGGCAGTGGTAGAGGCGACCGATACCGATGCAGCCACACCAAGGACAATACCAAGAGGCTCTGTCAAACTGTACAACGAGACTAGCTTGAGTGTCTCGTAAAAGGAGCTCTTGTTTCTGACCAAAGACACACCCAAAGACATTGCCTCTAGCCACTTGTGAGAAATAATACCAATAAACAATGGATAAATAATATCATAATTGGATTCGACACCCAATGTAAATCCAGAAATAATAGAATGAATTGATAAAATAAATACTAATATAATTGGTGTTGGTCCTTTTAAAGAGGTAGTAGAAGAATCTGTTGATTTATCATTTTCCAATGTTATTATTATATCTTCTTTGATCATTGGTAAATGTTCATCACCTGTTGGTGTTTCAATATCTTGAGTAATTGTAATAGTTGTAGTTGGTATAGAGGAGGAGGAGGAGGAGGATAGATTAGGTGATTGTGGAAATGGTGAAGGTGGTCTACTAGTATCTATAGTAATATCTTGAAATGTACCATATGATGGTGAATGTGGAAATTTTGGTGAGACTGATTTTGGTTGCTTTTGTTCATCTAAATTTGAAGATTCAAGTATAATATAACCAGATGAACCACTTTGTTGTTTATATATTGTTGTAGATTCTTCCAATAAATTATTATTATTCTTTTTGTTTTTTTTGTTTTTGTTTTTCTTATTTTTTTTACTACCTCCATGACTATGACCATGATTATGACCTTCAAAACAATTAAAAATCTTTTCAATCATGAAAACGACTACAAAGCCAACGGGACACATGATAAATGCCAATGGTATGTGATGGTTAACCTCGCTCAACTTTTCAGAGCTTTCATTGAGCAAATGTACAAAGGCAATCGATAAAAAGATACCAGCCACAAAACAATTGCCCAATCCAATCACATACTCTTTCTTGCTATGTTTAATCTTTACATATTTATCCAATGCATATGGTATTAATCCAGGAAATCCAGATATCAATATTGATAATAATATTAATACTTTTAATATTATTAATTCCATCCTCTTTAAAATATATATATATATCTATGTATATAAAAAAAAAAAAAAAATGATGATACAATGAAAATGAAAAAAAAAAAAAAAAAAAAGTGTGTAGGTAGGTAGTAGTACAACAGATATATAATGACAATGATTGACTGTGTGTGTGTGTGTGAATTAATTAATCAATAATTGATTATCTATCTCTACCATTTGTAAAAACAATGCGGGTTTGCGTGATGAGAGAGAGTGAAGTGACGATTTTTGCAATTAAAAGGCCACTCGGTTCAACTTTTTTTTTTAACGAGGTGTACAAAGAGATCACACATCGCGAAAAAAAAAGAGATATTTAACTCTTGCGACACCTAATCGAAAAGTGAAGAGAGGCATTTAATTAAATGAAAATTGATCAATTAATTAATTGCCCAACCAATTTGTTGTTGTTGTTTTGTCAAAAGAGATAAAGTTACATTTCAGATGCATTGAAATGAAATGAAATGAGAGAAAGAGTTTGTTGTCTTTTCTTTTCTCTTGATATTTTTATTTTATTTTTAAATTTTTTTTTTTGCAACTGGGGGATAGAAAAAGGTCAAACGAACATTCAGAGTCATTTTCAAAATAAACGAGAATCATTTACAAATAACAGTGGAAATTCAATTACAACCTTTATACCAAAATCTTGATGATTTTGAATTTAATAGAAATAACAAACATATTCAAATCAATGATATATTAGTATATTGGGAGACTGAAAAAGATGATTCGTCGTCGCAGTCATCACAGTCATCACAGTCATATGTCATTTATGAAAACAAAATGATTAATGGTATTGATACTACACCAATATCATTAATATTAATCATTTTAAAAGAATCAAAGAGATCTATTGTATGTACTAGTAATAATACATTTCTTACTTTTATTAATTTTTTTTTATATAAGAAACTTTATAATGATCTTCTTCTTGTCATTTCAAATAGAGAAGAAATAATTAAAATTATAAATCAATTTAAATCTTCTCCTCCTCCTCCTATTCAATCTAATTTATTAAATGATATAAAATTTAGATTAAATTTAAAAAATTATTATTTAGATTTTGTAGATGGTATACGGTCAAGAGAAACGATTTTAAAATCATTATCAACTATAGTATTTTTATACTTTAGTTGTTTATTACCATCAATTGCATTTGGAGATTTACATAGAGACAATACAGATTCAATGTTTAGTGTTGGAAAGACTATAGTTTCTCAAGGTGCTGGTGGAATGGTTTTTGCATTATTATCGGGTCAACCAATGGTCATTTTATTGTCAACTGCTCCACTTGCCATTATGATCAAAATTACCTATTCCATCTCTTTGGATAATAATTTGGATTTTTGGTCATTTTATGCATTAATTGGATTATTTAATGGTTTATTTCTCATTGCCTATTCAATATTTGGTTTATCAAGATTAATGAAATATAGTTCAAGATTTATTGAAGAAACCTTTTCAACTTTTATCACTATCGCATTTTTATATGATGGTATAAAACCAATCATTATTTTATTTTTAAATTATCTATATCAATGTGATAATAATTGTGAACCAATAATACCAATATTTACATTATTATTATCATTGTTGACAGTTTGGATTTGTGTAAAATTGGCAAATTTTAAATATTCAATTTATTTTAATCGATCACTGCGTCAATTAATATCAGATTATGGTTTATTTATTGGTGTCATTTTAATTACTACTATTAGACATTCAATCTTTTTACCATTAAATAATAATCAAATACCAAAAATAGTTGATAGCGATATAAATGATATCATTCATTTACCAAGTGGATTTGGACAATTACCAAGTTGGAGTTGGGTATTGGCATTGGTACTTGGATTCTTACTCTCCCTATTATACTTTATCGATCAAAACATTTCATCCTCATTGGCATCACAAAAAAAACATGGTTTAAAAAAATGGAATGGTATGCATTTGGATTTATTAATAGTTGGCATAATCAATATAATACTTTCATTTATTGGTTTACCTTGGGTTCATGGTGCTTTACCTCATTCAAGTTTACATGTTAGAGCTTTGGCAACCATTATAAAAAATGAAAAAGAGGAAGAAAGTTTTATTTATGTTCAAGAGACTCGAGTGGCAGCATTTTTATCACATGTTTGCATATTTGTATCATTATTCTTTACAAATAGTGTATTGACATTAATACCAGTTTCAGTATTATATGGAGTATTTTGGTTTCTTGGTATTGGTGCTTTAATTGGTAATCAATTTTGGTCAAGATTATTATCATTTATTATTGATAAAAAGAAATTGACAAAACAAATGGATAAACAACAAATCAATATCAATCGATTCACATTTATTCAGTTATTATGTTTATTAATATTTTGTTTTATTAGTTTTTATCCAAACCCATATTTAAATTCAATCTTTCCATTCTTTATTTGTATCCTAATCCCTTTTAAATATTTCATATTTCCAAAATTATTTAATCAATTTGATTTAATTTATTTAGATAATTAAAACTTTAAATAAATAATAGAATAAGATTAAATAAGTAGTTGTGTTAATTTTATTTTAAATTATTATGAAGTGGGACTTGTTAAGAAAAAGTAGGTGAGGTTGAAATAAATATGATACTGGGTCATATTTGGGTTAAATTAATTAATTATAAAAGTAGTAGTAGTTATTATTATTATTATTTACACAAGTTTTGTTTGTTTTGAAAATTAATTAATCGGTTTGGTTATTGTTGATGATAATATTGTTGTTGTGGTTGTTGATGTGGATTATAATACTGTTGTTGTTGATGTTGTTGTGGTGGTGGTGGTACTGATGAAGTGGTTGGTGAAGGGTAAGGAGAGTATTTTGGTGATTTTGCATTGATATGTGATGGCATGACCATATTACGACCTGGACTTGGAAGAGTCATGGTTGGTGATTGTTGTTGTGAAAGAGGTAGATGATAGGACATGTCACCAGCCATTGGATGAGATGGGATCGGAGGAGAGTTATATGGTGATTGGGGAAGTGTCAGGTGGTATGGTGGAGGTGGTGGTTGGGTAGATGTATAATTGATTGGTGTCGAAACTAGACCACCATCGGGTGTTTGAATAAATCCTTCACTTGAATGAAGTAAAGGTGAACTGATTACGGTATTGTTATTTGGTTGTTGAGATATTTGATATCCATTATATAATGAATCATAGTAAATGGGTTGTTGTGGAGGAGGAGTGACTGTTTGATTTGAAGATAAATAATGTTGTTGTTGTTGTTGTGATGGTTGTTGAAATGTTTGTGGCGGTGTGGTGGTTAAAGAGGCGTGGTTATCATTCTTGATTTGGTTAGTAGATGAGGTTGAAATTGATGATGATGATGATGATGATGATGCTGGTGCAGTGGTGTTAGTATTAATCCATATTGGTTGATGTTGATGTTGATGATGATGATTTTCGGTTGGTTGATAATTAGAGTTAGTATTATTTGGTTGAGTGGATGCGTTGTTTGATGATGATGATGGAATTAAATGAGGTGATGATAATGGTGATGGATGCTGTTGAGTATTGTTATTATACCCTTCTCTTATTGATTGAGGTACTCCAAAACTTGAAACAAGTGGTGATTGACCAAATGGTTGATTTTCAAAATGAGCTGGATGAGGAGGAGGATGATTACTATTATTATTATTTTGTTGTTGTTGATCATTTGGACTAATAAATTGTTGTTGCCAATTTTGATTATTTGTTTGATTATTAATGGTCATTGAATTTTTACGACTACTACTACTACTATTTTGATAATTATTAATATTTGGTGAAGTTGAAGAATCAGATTCAGTTGCAGTAGAATTAATCCCATCACTACTTTCAATAGCTAGTAGGTCTTGAGAGACCGATCTACTTCGAGGTGTAGATGAAGAATAGTAGGTTGGAGAGACTGGTGATGGAGTTGAATCTACAGATGGCGATGTTGTAGAGGTTTGTAAGAGTAGGTCATCATCATTGGTCGATGGAAACAACATTTGAGTATCGTCAAATACGGCTGCCAACATTTGGGAGATACGAGGATCAGATCTTTTCAACTTGTCCAAATGTTTCTCCAATGCAACCTTTTTACAAACTATAGAATGTCTACAATAAAGTGAAGCTTCGTTACCCGGTAGGAAATCATCACACGGTGCCCACATTGTATTCTTTTTTGGTTGTGGATTCGTCTCTTTATAAAATTTTGGTATTTTCTTTAATATAAAAGTTAATTGATTTGATTCATCTTTTAATGATTCTAATCTAAAAGAAAAGATTATTAATTAATTATTCTTTCTTTTTTTTTCTTTCTTTTTATATATTTTTCTCTTACTTCATTGAAGTTATATCAATAAAACCAAAAACCATTTTACATTTTTGACCAGAAGGTTTTGTAGCAATTTCCCAAACGATTTGTTTCTTTGTATAATAGAATTTGGCGACTAGGTCCGATGTAAAGGTTGAAGTCTTTTCAAAGGTACCTATCCGAATTTTTTGAACTACAAAGTTGCTTGGTTTGATTTTTTCATCGCCGTTGGCTCCACCTGGTGACGGACAACTTTGAGGTGGTTGACTTTGTTGTGTAACTGTCATGACATGCGACGCTCCACTAAACAATGGTGATGGTGGTAATACATAAGGTGAGTAATAATAATGTCCCATATGTGGTATTGGTGGTGGTGGTGGTGGAGGTGGTCCATATGGATTGGTAGTACCTATAACAGCCGCATTTGTTGTGGTTGGTGGTGGAGGTGGTCCATAAGATGGATAATAATCTAAATAATAATAATAATAATAATAATAATAATAATAATAATAATAATAATAACAATAGAATTATTAATATTTTGAATTTTCAATATTTTATTTTGTTTTATTTTCTTTTTGTTTGTACTTACAAACACCTTGAGGAACCATTGAAGGTGATGACATTATAGGGGTTAGGGTTGGTGATGCCGTAGGTGTATCGGCAGGAGACCTTTGTAATAGGTTCTTTTTGATTTTCTTGAGATTCTCTTGATGATGATTGTCTGTATGATTTTGATGGTTATTAGACATCTAAAAAAAATTTTGAATAAATAAATATGTGATTGAATAGATTAAAAATAGATTTGAAATAGATTAAAAAAAAAAAAAAAGTTGATTGAAAAAATAGAGGAAGGATATTTTTGACAGGAATGGTAATAAAGGGCGTATTGTGTGTGTGCGTGTGTTGTACGATGTAAGCAAAATACGATCCAAAGGGAGACTCGAACCTACAGACTCTAATCTCCAAAACCACAGATCCTAAAAATACCAAAAAAAAAAAAGACGGGCAAAAAAAAGATCACAACCCGATCAAGAGCGGATCGGTGGAAATTGAGATCAACAACAATGGGTTTTCAACAACAACAAAATGGGTAAAAAAGGATTAAAACAGTATTACTATAGATGGATAAAAATAATGATGAAATGCAATTGTAGTATAAACAATTGTAAAATGAACAACAATGCTTGCATAAAAGAGTATATAATTATATACTATTTTTTTTTTTTGATTAGACGTCAACCAATTTTTTTTGGGGAGGGGGAAAAGAAATAATTTAAAAAAGATTTGATGATGATCAACTTGTCCCCAACACTACCTCCTCCACACGTACACACAAACACACAAGCACATAACTTTGAGGGCTGTCTATTATGTGTATATTTGTCATCTGAGTGATGTGGAATAGTGAGTGGTTGTTGAATGGAAATTACAATAGGATGATGTGAGGACAATGACAAAAATATTAAATGTAAAATGAATGCAGCTGATGTTTGTTCTCTTTTCTGTATTGGGTATCCTACATTTGTTTCTACGACTGGAGCTCCAGTTGTATGAGAGTGATGATACCACAACATTGGTTAAATTAAAAAGATTATAATAATATATTAAAAGTGTATTGATGAGGGTTTTATATATTTCTTTTTTTATGTATGTTGTTTTTTTTTTTTTTCTCTAAATCTCTCTAATATTAAAAATGAGATTGGTGATGGTTGGTAGGTGACAGGAGAAGGTTGTTTAGACACAACTATGAAAGTTAGCAGTTTCTGTTTGAAGTGGATGGTTTGTTCTAAAAGAATCTGATCTTTTGGGCGGGCTCATAGGTGGTGTTGGGAATGTGAAAAAAAAACCTAAAATCTGGAATGCCCGTCCATCCTCCTATTCTATCAAAATCAAAAAAAACACAACCTTTTCTCCTCTCTCTCTCTCTCTCTTTCATTTCTTTTATCTCTTTCTCTCTCTATCGTTGTTACTATTATACCTTTTGTTTGTAGTATTGGGTGGTACCTCTTTTTTTTTGAGGGCCAATCCTTCCTTGTTTCTCTTCTCTGTTTTTTGTTGATCGATAATAATGATGATGATGAATGTTCCTAAAACTACTGTCTGTCTGTCTGTCTGTCTCTCTCTCTCTCTCTAGGTCTAGCTATTTACATGTCTGGTAGGTAATAATATAATATATTATAATAATATAAATCGGATGATGTGATGTGATGTGTGACGAGGGAGAGTATGTACAAATTGTTTGCCATTGATTGGTTGTTCATTCTTTTCTTTTTTTTTTTTTTTTTTTTTTAAATCGATTGCTTTGATGTGATGGATGTTGTTGACGTTGGATGGATAAAAGAGGCATAAATCAACCTCATTAACGACGTTTCACGAATTTCCTATTTAGTTGAAAAAAACAAAAAAATATTGGGATAGCGCCCGACAGTGCATAATAATATCCGAGCTACTTATAGCAGCACCACAACAGTAGAAGAGAGCCTGCTACACTATAGAGGCGCACCCACTCCCCCCTACTGACAACTCGAATCCATCTAATCCAAACAGCGTTGCAGAGGAAACAGACTGATTGATTGATTGGTGCAACGAATACCGCCAACTGACTGGATGATCACATCCAGCGGTTAGTGTGTTACGTTTTCATTGAAAACCGATCTTTTTCAGCCTTGCCAGGGTTTCGGAAATGATTTGATTCTTTTGCTCTTGATTTGATTTGATTAGTTCATCCCTTTCTTTTTTGATTTCGATCGACATCAATAATGAATGATGACACCAAAAATAAGAAGGGAGATTAAAAGTAAAACGAAAAGGGTGATTGTATGAAACGATGCATTCTTGAGTAACTAAAACTACGAATAAACCTAACTACTACTAATTCGTCGTGGACACCGATACGAAAAATGAATAAATGTCATGAAAAGAGTGAAGTGTTTGTTTACATGAACCGATTGTTTCTGTTTGTAGTTGGAGAAAATAGCAACAATCACGTGACACTTATTACTTGACACTTTTGTTGTTGGAATATGTATCTCTATAACCTTACCCAAAAAAGAAATTGTCTAATCTGTCTAAATTATAGAATAATAATTATTATTATCTATATATCTCTCTCTATATAAGTGATGATTGGTAATGATACAATTGGTTGAGTTGTTGTTGTTTGTTGTGTTTCTATCTTTTGAAGAGGTTTGTTGTTTTGTGTCTTTTTCCTTGGTGTCTTTCCTTTCTTGGTCAAAGGAAGCGCCTACAGGGCACCTTTAATATTAATATTATTGATTATTGTTGTCTGTCTGTTTGATGATTGGGTAGAAATAAAAAGTATCAGGTTTGTTGTCTGTAATAGGGTTGAGACATGCGCGACGCAGAAAGAGGTGATGAAAATAAAATCGTGATGATGTCTCACTCATCAGTGTTTTTTTATTAGTTTTGTGATGACCAACAATGTGATCTAAAAAAAGCTTTTCCTTACCTCCTTCCTCATTTTTGGATCTTTAAAAATTTTCACCCAGTCCTCATCATCCAAAGGAGATTGTTGTTTAGACACACAGTAGTCAGTTATACTTTACTTTTTCAACAACCTTGATAAATGTGTCTAGAGAGTTTGTACGGGCGTGTCTACTGGATGGAAGATATCAACCCTGCAGGAGACTTTACAACCAGTGTTCTTGCAATCTACATGGTTCGGAGGTGGGCGTGACTCTTTGATATGGAACCAAATCAATTGGAAATCCAACCAAATTTGATTGTCCTCTTCTCAACTGTTAACATTTTTACTTTTGTGAGAAGAGGTAGGTAGGGATACGCCCTTTGGTAGTGGGTAGTATCTTGATATTTTTGAATAAGGTCTCATCCCTCTATCATTTTTTTTAAAAATAGTATCAAATTATTCATTGTATTTGTTCAACCTATCACTTCAAAGTCTGCGATGGCAGATGAATCTCTCCAGCTTGGGAACCTGTAGGATTCCATCTTTGTTTGGAAAATAGAGTGATTGAAAGTTTTCATCTAATGTTTGAATCTATCATTACCATCACCAAAGGTGGAACTAATTGATATTAATGATAATAATTTTAATAAAAATTAATTAAATTAATCTTTTTTTAAATTAAAAATATTGGGGAACCATATGCAGGGTATAAAAAATATTGTTTTTCTTTTCTTTCAGTTATTATTATAACAAAGAAGTTTAATAACAAATTTGTATCTCCTGCAACAACAACATCATCACTAAAAAAGAAAAGAATGGTGAACTATCATTTGTGATTCGTCAATGTATCTTCAAAGATGACAACAACAACAAAACAAACTTGATTGATGACAATTATTCATACTAATGTCAAATGGGTAGATTTATGAAGAAGACAAAGGAACCTTCCTTGAGCAAGGGAATCAAGTAAAATCACTCTCTTGGAACTTTAATTACAAAGAGGGTTCAATCAATAAGAATGCAGAGTATGTAAACAAAAAAAAACTATTATAAATTCTATATATTGATTAATGATTTTTTTTTGACAGATCAACAACCAAATTCGATGCAACTGTGGAGGGTGATCGTCTCGATGGTGACAGAATCAAGAATAAGAGTTTGATTCATCAACTATTCTTTTTTTTGGATAAACTCTTGTTCTTGATTTGATTGGCTTCCTCTGTTTTTTATCTTGGTGAAAAATAATCCATTAAATCTATTTAATCTATTTTTCAAAGAGCATCCAAGATTGTTTCACATTTCTATCGATATGCTTTTTTTTTGTTTTAAACCAACCTTTTTATTTTTGATGATTTAATTTAGTTTTTTAATTCACCACAGTCAGCAATGGAGATGACGGCAGAGGTCTTTCCGGTTTGGGAACCGTAGGATTCCATCTTACGGACAATGTTCATACCATCGACGACACGACCAAAGACGACGTGCTTGCCGTCCAACCATGAAGTTGGGACGGTGCAGATAAAGAATTGGGAACCATTGGTGTTTGGACCAGAGTTGGCCATGGACAAGATACCTTCACCAGTGTGCTTGTGGATGAAGTTTTCATCAGCAAACTTGTCTGTTTTTAGAGAATCAATAGGTTATTAATCATATTGTTCAAGCTTTAACATATGTTTTAAACACTTACCACCGTAGATAGATTCACCTCCGGTACCGTTACCACGGGTGAAATCACCACCTTGGCACATAAAGTTTGGAATAATACGATGGAAAACAGACTTTTTAAAGTGGAGGTTCTTGCCTAAATAAGTTGTAATAATAATAATAATAAGTATCAAAAGTTTGTTGACATTTTCCAACCAAATTGTTGTTGTTGTTGTTGATGAGTGCATAGAATACTAACCAGACTTTCCTTCACCCTTTTCACCAGTGCAAAGAGCTCTGAAGTTTTCAGCAGTCTTTGGGACATCCTTGTATAACTATAATAATAATTAAAAGGTTTGTTAGTAAGTTTTGAATTGGGGTATGACTTTTTCCTTTTTTGATCAACATACTTCAAAGGTGACACGACCAAAGACTTCTCCGTTGGCAGCAATATCAAAGAAAACTTTAGGGTTGGACATTTCTATATTAGTTAATATATATTAATAGTACTATTTACGACGAGAGTAGTTGTAAAGAATAAGAATATCGACGTTCACTCGGTCGCTGAACGATCTCCGGACTCCAATGATCATCACACGAAAAAACAAAAAAATTAATTGAAAAAAAATTAAAAAAGTTTGAAAAGTGGATCTGAAGAAAGGAAGTAAAGTATTAATAATAATAATCATGGTTCATAGGAATATAATATAATATGTAGTTGATTTGTTTTAATAAATTATTTGTTTTTTTTTTTGTTTTTTTTTACTTTATTAATAAAAAATAAATACAATTGGAAGAGGAAAAAGAAACAGACGTGTGTTTTTTGTATGTGAGTGGGTATATAGGAGATACATCAAAGAAGAGGAAGAAAGGAAAGAAAGACTTTAAAGTTGATTGGCAGTTATAAAGGAAAAGTAAATAAAAAAAAAAGATAAGCGTGATAAATTCCCAACTGCCAATACACCTTTTTTTTTTTTTCAAACCAACCTATCTTTCTTCTCCTGTTGTGTAATCTCTCTATTTTGTTTCTAGACCAAATCACACGTCTTTACCATTTACCTAAACCTTTGAGGAGAATGATAACACCCCAAATGATTGACCAGAGCCATCCAACAAATGGAAGACAGAGCTAAAATTAAAATAATAAAAAAAAAAAAAGAAAAAGTTAGAAACTATGATGATGATGATCATATGATAATGATGATTATATGTGTATTTGTGTATACTTACTTGTAAAACACCGATCAAGACACACCAAACATTGCAGTTATCGAGTACACCAAGAATGATGGTGCCAACACCTAATTAAATTAAAAAGTATAAAATAAAGAAAAGATGACGATGATGTTAATACTAGAGTACTAGAAAAGAGCAGTAGTTGATTATGATGTTTGTTGTTTACATACCGAATAAGAAGAAATCAAGGATACCACAAATGATCATAACATTTGATTCCAACATTGGAATGGCTGATGGCATAAAGTTGTCTCCTGAACCCATTTTTGATTGATTATATGATTATGATGATGATGATGTTATATGACGAAGAAGAAGAAGATAGAAAAGGTACTTTAAAAGCTATAAATAAACAAGTAATTAATTACTAACTGTGCACTAAGTAGAGAAGTAAGGTAATATGTTGAGTAAAATGAATAAAATAAAAGGGTTATAACCAGTGAGAGAGTGACCGTTTATAAATACACTATCAGAGGCAGTATTACTGTCCCTGCAAAAATAAAATAAAATAAAATTCAAAAAAAAAATTATATGAATAGCAGGTAGGGACTGAACCGTTCCCCTCATTGTCTTTTCATACATGCATACCGCCACCACACAACTTTTTTTTCTTTATGTTAAAGCTGTGTTGTGTGGTGCAAACATGCATTATCTTTGAAACTGACTCTTGTTGTTTGAGGAACCGTCAATGAAACCGATTGTATGGTACTGGCCCTATCCCTTCAACTACACAATCAAAATAAATAAAAAACACCGTGGCAATTATAATAGGTTGATAGCGGTGGGGAGGGGGAGGGAGTATTCTCGTCCATTACCAAATTGATCGATTATGGATCTGTTATAAAGTTAGAAAAAAAAAATTAAAGGAAGAGTTGGTTATTATTATTATTATTATTTTATTGTAGTGTAAATATATAAATATATATATATAAATATCACATCAATTTTTATAACTGACAAACACTATATATAGTATATCTAGTATACTACTGTATATATTAGATATTATAGTCCTTCCTATAGAGGTTTAAGCACCTGTGACTGGTTGTTCGTTCTTTCGTTCGTTTGTCCATCCAACCTATAAAAATAATTAAATGTTGCAACCATATAATATAAGACAATTATATTATATTATATGGTTGCACGATAGTACTATATGGATTATTGAAAGTAAACTCTTAATTCATCAGCTTCTTTAGCCATGGTTTCTAATGTTCTTGGTTCTCTTTCCTTTTCGATTTCAGTGTATATTTGATCAGTGTTTTCATAGTCTGTCTTTTGTCTTGGTATAATGTGAATATGTACATGTGGAACGGTTTGGCCAGCATTCTTGCCATCTTGAATGGCAAATGTCAAGCCATCACCATTAAAGTGTTTCTCAATCACTTTTGAAACAATCTTTGCCGATTTCCATAAATCTGCAATTTCATGATCTTCCAAGTCATAGTATCTTGGTACTACCCTTCTTGGACATATTAATACATGTCCTTTTAAAATGAAAATTAAACCAATCACAACCAATGTATATATTAGTTTTTAAATACAATCACATTCAAAGATGATTCGATCAACCATACCAGGTAATACAGGTTTAAGATTTACAAGAGCTACTGATAGTGCACTCTCAAAGAATATCTCTGAGTTTCTAATGACCCAAGGTCCAAACATGAATGGTGTTACTGACATGATCGATCGACTGATTGATTGATTGATTGATTATAATTGATTGTACTGACGATATATACTTCAAAATAATAAAAGTTAATGTACTAAGAGAGATTATTATATTATATTATATGTACAAGAGATAGAAAGAAAGAAAGAAAGAAAGAGTGTGAAATACTGTTTGCCACAGGGTAAACCATAAATTTAGGTGAAGTCGAAAATCAATTTAATTAAAAAATTCGTTTCATTCATCATTATTTATACATTCATGTTTGTTTCTTTTTTTATTAATAATTTTAATATAGTCTAGTCTTGTAGATATAAATATTGTTATATCAATCACACATAGACAGAAAACACACATAGAAGAAGAAGAAGTAATATATTTGAAAAGTAGATAGTAATTTGTAATAATAATATAATAAACAAGTAATAATAATAATATAATGGGTAAGGTTTCAAAAGAGTTAATATTATATTTTGTTGTATTGTATTGTATACTCACTCATTCACTCACTCACTCACACATACATGTATATATATATAGGAGCTAAAAAGGATAAGAAGAAAAAGTTGGCTAAATAAAAAAGGAGGAGGACAATCAACTGTAGCAGCAAACCACAAGAAATCAAATCAACAACAACAACAAAATGATCAAAAGAAAAAAGAAACAATCAGTATAACAATCGATGAAAATGGAACTACTTTGAAATTAAAATTGGTTGGTTCTGAATTGATTTGTACTGTATGTAACTAATTGGTTACAAATGTACAATATTGATTATTAATTGTTTCTTTTGTCTTTTTTAGAATTGTATTGAACAAAATACATTACCAACAAAAAAAGGAGGAAATACAAATGTTGATATCACAAAGATGCAACCAAAATGTGCAATGTGTTTTACTGGTTCATTTGACAAGAAAAAAGAGGTAGAGGAAAAGAAACAAGAGGCAATGGCTCAACATCAAAGTTTGGTCAAGAGTAAGACTATTGGCATTGGTATAAAGGGATTACAGAATCTTGGAAACACATGCTTCTTTAACTCGGTACTTCAAAACTTGACACACGTCAATATGTTGCGTGATGCATTTTTAGAGTTTCCAGGCGAAGAAAAGAGTACCATTAAATCAACCAATCAAATGACTATGGAAATGCATCATTTCTTTTTAAAAATGTATAAACAACCTTCAAGTATTGTTTCTCCAAGTGGTTTATTATCTGAAATCTCTAAAAAGTAAATAATAATGTAAAAAAGTAAAGAAAGATATTTGATATTTATTAATACTTTTAATTTTTACAAGATCACCAAGATTTAGAGGAGGAAAACAACAAGACTCACATGAATTACTTAGATATTTATTGGATGGGTTAATATCAGAGGAACAATCGGCTAGTACAAACAAACGTGATCCAACTTATATCGATCGTATATTTGGTGGTCGATTAATTAGTATTATTACTTGTTTTCATTGTGGCAATGTATCAAAGACCTATGAACCATTCCTCGATCTTTCACTACCTCTACCCATGTTGGCAGTGGCGGCCGACAAGAGACCATTACCATCTATCCAAAATTCTCCATTACCTGCCAATCCAAATAGATTTACTCAATTGGATATTGCTGATGATGGTGATGAAGGATTGGGTGAAGATTATTATAGAACCATCTATGATAATATTGATGGTAGTAGTAGTGGTGGTGGAAAACTATCAAAGAGTAAAATGAAAAGATTACAAAAACAGAAAAATCAAGCTGCTCGAAATAATAGTAGTACAACAGCAGAGGAGGAGGAGGAAACACCTATACCTATTGATGTGGAAGTGGAAGAAGCAGCTAGTAATGAATCAAAACAGGCAAATGGTGGTGAACAAGACGCATTAACAACATCACCAATTATATCTTCACCTGATGGAGCTGATGGTTCAACTCCTATTATTATTGGTGATGGAGGAGAAGTAGGAGAAGGAGTAAAAGTGAAAGAAGATTATATTAAAAGAGAAGAAGAACAAGATGATGGATTTACACCATCCCCACCAGTAACACCACCAACAACAACAACAACAACAGAGGAATCATTAACATCTACACCAACTACAACTACTATTGAAACACCAAATACATTTAGAGAATCTACCGACTTTATATTATTGGGGTCTCCTGCAGGAAACAACAATATTGAAAGTCATCAAGAACAAGTTCTATCAACTTTTAGTGTCATTGAAAATTATGAAAATCCATCATCAACAACAACAACAAAGGAAATATTGTCACCGATTTCACCGATTTCAATTAGTGCAAATACTGAAAAGAGTGATAGAGATGTACAGGATGATCCAATTGATTTAAGAAAAGGTATTCCAAGTGAAGCCAAATCTCTTGATCAATTATTGGCTTGCTTTTTACAATTTACAAATCCAGAGAAATTAGAAGGTGATAATGGTTTTATTTGTTCAAAATGTACTTGTAAAGAAAAGAAATCAGAAGCTGAAACCAAAGAAGAAAAATTAGAAGAAGAAAAGAAAGAAGAGGAAAAATTGGAAGAAAAGAAATTGGAGGAAAAGAAATTGGAAGAACCAGAAATAATTAATGAAGTAGTAAAAGAATTATTATCAACATCATTAAATGAAAAGGAGTTTGTAACGATTGAAACTTCAACTGCTGCATCTCCAGTTACTTCATCGTCAAGTGCGTCATCTTCAACTACATCATCAACCACTGCAACACCAGAGACACCTTCAACTAATAGTAATAGTAAAAAGAAAAAGAGAGCTGCTGCTGCTGCTGCTGCTGCTGCATCATCCGGTAAAAAGAAAACTTCTTCGATTCCTGAAGAAGAACCAATAAGAAGAAATGCAAGTAAACAATATTTATTATCAACTACACCACCATACTTGACAGTTCATTTAAAGAGATTTATGCAAACTAGAAATGGAGGATTGCAAAAGAATAGCAAACACATTCATTTCCCACATTACTTGGATTTGACACCATTCACCGATCCAACGTGTCCCAAGACCAGCAAACAATCACATCTCTACGTACTCAATGGTGTTGTTGAGCATATGGGTAGTATGGGAGGTGGTCATTATGTAGCACATATCTATGAAGATCAAAATGATAATTGGTATTATGTTAGTGACAGTAGCTATCGTAATCAAACACTTGGACAAGTACTACAAAACCAGGCTTATGTTTTGTTTTATAAAAAAGTTACTCAACCACAAGAGTCAACTACACAAACGTCGAAAATGAACAAGGTCGGCAAAGAAGACGAAGAAAAAGAAATTGAAAATATTTCAGTCGACAAAGACGATGGTGGAGGAAAGAGCCCTATTTTAGAGCAAGCAACTACAACTCTTACCAGTGATCAACAACCAAGCGACGAGAAAAGTATGACCGAGGAGGAGGAGGAATCATCTTCTCCACCACACAACAATAATGATTCAATTTCCAACAATAATAATAATAATAATAATGATATAACATCAGTTGATGAAGTTACTGAACAACCAGGCGAATAAAATTATAAATAAAAATTCTAAAAAAAAAAAAGATCAGTTTCCTTTTTCGGCAAAAAACTATTTTTTAAAATTAATATTTATATTTTTTTAATGGGCGAATGAATGAAGAGATCTTTTGGACAAGTCAGAGTGAGAGAGAATACATCACATAACGACCCTTCACCTGAAATTTTAAATCACACCACACTCCTCCCCTCCTATCACTAAACTAAATATATTTAGAACACAAAGATATCATAACATACAAATAAACACAGCAATAGAATAGAATAGAATAGAATTATATAATGGTATGAATGAATGCGAATGAATGATCTCTCTCGAGAGTATAATCAACTAACAAATCTTATTTCTATCTATAAATAACTTTACTTTACAATACTTTGTAGGAACCAACAATATGGATGCCCGATCAGAGTGCAATAGAATGTACAGGTTGTCAAAGTCCATTTTCAATTATACGTAGAAGAGTATGTAAATTAGACGAATGAAAGAGAGAAAGAGAGAAAGATAGAAAAGAAAGAGAGAACTCTAAACTTAACATATTATTGTTTATTTTTATAGCATCATTGTCGTAAATGTGGATTAATCTTTTGTGATCCATGTTCAAATCATTATACAGTATTACCAGCTGAATTGGGGTATTCAGGTGCACAGAGACTATGTCGGGTCTGTCATTCATCATTTGAACAAAAACATCAATTCTATGGTATGTACAAAAGTGAATGAATGAATTAAATATTGGTTTCATTTTATTAATATCTGTCTGTTTGTTTGAAAAGAGAGTGATGGATTTATAGGTAGACTTCAATTGAGATCATCAGCAACTTATGAATATAGTAAAGCATTACCAGATATTGGAAATATTAAAAATGGATTTAGAAAGTCCTATTTCCTTGCCAAAAAGGATGGAGATGAAATATTAGTATCCATTCTAACACCATCAACTCATTGTCCATGGTCAATGTCTTCAGATAAATTAAAACAAAAATTCATTAAAACTTTATCATCTATAAAGGTAAACAGAAAGAAAGAGAAAGAAAGAAAAGAAATAGATGATTTATTTATTAATGATTTATTTATTTTTATTATTTTTTTTAGCATAGTTATATTTATCCAATTTTAAATGTTGAAACATGTGGATCAAATGATAAATTATTTGTTTATAGAACTTTATCATCCAAAGGTAGTCTTAAAGATTTAATTTTTAAAGTAAGAGAAAAGAAAAGAAAAGATAAAAGGAAAAAAAGGAAGATATATTAATACTCTATATTCTTCTGCTTCTCTCTCTTCTTTTTAAAGTCAAAACCAATGTCATTTTATGATAGTAAATATATTACAAAAAAATCAAATTCATCTGGAGTGCCATTAAAATCGGTAAACAAATATGGTCGACAAATATTGGAAGCAATGATATTCTTGAAACAAAAAGGAATCAACTTTACAAATCTTCACACTGGTAATGTTCTTTTATCATCTTTATCAGATACATGTATGCTCAGCGATATTGAGAATAGTTTGGTTGGCTTTAAACCATTTTACCATGACTATTTGGTTGGTATGTCTGCCAACAAAAAGGAAAACCAAGAATCGATTTGTTTTGGTCATGTCCTCTTTGAGATGATTGTCGGGTGTCCGTTGATGGACCAACCCGTCACTAATTTCGCACCAGTCATACCCAAGGAAGCAATGGACATGTTGAATGCAATCTTTACCGATGCATCCAAACCAACCCCTTCATTGGAAGATATCATCAAACACTCATTCTTTGTGACTGGTCTACAAATTGAAGTTGCTCAAGAAGGCAAACTAAAGAAATCACATCTTCAATTCATCAAGGATTATGCTAACCTATTGGAACCGGTTGGTAGTATTCAATCACCAAGATCTACTAGTAGTACTTCATCTACACCACAATTTAAAAAACAAAATAGTTCTACTTCAATGTTGGAATCAAATTCAGCAAATGGAACCATGTCAAAATCAATATCATCAACTCAAATAGCTCAGCCATCAGTAGCTACACAACAACAACCATCTCCAGTTTCAGTTACCAATCCATTAATGGCATCAGTACAAGAAAAAATGAAATCAATGAAATTGGATCGTGATTCAAAACAAGCAACTTTGACGACTACTCAATCAAGTCCCTCACCACCACCTCCACCACCTCCTCCATCCCTCAAACAACTTCCAAAACAAGAAGGTAGAAATGCTCTATTGGATAGTATTAGAAATCCAAACAACGTTAAAACTCTTAAAAAGACAAATGGTCCAAAATCAAAACCTGATCCAATTAAAAAGAAATCAATCAAATAAATATAATATATAATATATATAGGGGAAAATGAAAAAGAAAAAGATTTATTATCATTTATTACTTATTATTTACAGTTGGATCAAGTAGATTAAAAACTTCATCTGAACAATTATTTGATCTAGCAAAATCAAGAGCAGTATGAAAATCCCAATTAACTTTAAAATTATTTAATAAATATTGAATCAATTCTATTGAATTATTTGTTACAGCCTTGAGAAATAAAATTAAAAGAAAAATAATTAATATTTAATATATATATATATTATATTTGTTTGTTTAAAGCTTACATAATTTAAAGCAGTAGTTGTACAAGTAGCATTACAATATTCTTTTAAATATTTGATAATTTTTAAATGATTATAAAGTGCAGCTCCATTTATGGCTTCGGCTGTGCAACCTTCAGTTCTATGTGTTCTAAGGAATATGAGGGTTTCTAATTGACCATATTTTGCCGCCATATCCATAGCTGCAGTGCTACAACCTTCTGTTCTATTAATATGTAAGTATTGGAGGACATCTAATGCACCCAATGCGGATGCATTATCCATTGCCATTTTGTTACATCCTTCTTGTCGATTGTTTGAAAGCCATTCGACGACATTTAGATACTTTGCCGCATTGTTCATCGCACGGTATGAGCAAGGCGCTTTGGCACGAAAGTGTAACTTTTGAATCATTTCAAGGTCACCTGTACATGCAACCTGATCGATTGCCTCTGAGCTACATCCTTCTGTTCGGTTGTCTAGTAAGTAGTCAACTACGTGGTGATACCCTCTTTTGGCGGCAAAGTCTAGGGCAACAACCGAGCATCCATACTTTTCATTGTGCAAATATTCGACCACTTGCAGATGCCCGTTTGAGGCGGCTAGATCAAGTGGATTGTTTGAATAGGATTCTGGGTATGTATTTGAATGGTTTGATTCATATGCTATATCGGTTGTCATGGTAGCATGTTTGTCAATTCGATTGGGCTGACCATCCCACGTATGTAGTAGTTTGACAACTTCAAGATGACCGTTGGTTGATGCATACTCGATAGCACGGTATGTGTATGGTTTACCAGCCTCTAGTAATATCTTGACTACTTGACAATACCCATTCAACGATGCCGTATCAATCGCCTTGTTTGTACAATCAACCAGAGGTAGCAGTAACTTGACAATCTCTAAGTGTCCAAATGAAGCTGCATTGTCCAATGCCAACGGTGTGACTTGGTACATCTTGGTGTCGAGTAGATAGGATACAATTTCGAATGACCCAGAGCAACAGCAAAGATCGATGACAAAGGTGCGTGAAAGGGCCAGTCTAAAATGTTCGTATGCCAAGTCATGATAGAGACGTTGAAAGATGCTATAGTCTGTGTTGTACTGACACACATACTTGAATGCTTGCATTGACATTCTCTTCTTTCTCGATTCACTCATCTTGGCCACCAACACCAACCAATACCGATTGCGAGCAGCCCAGTCAACCGTGATCTCTCGATACGACATTGAACATTCGCTCACCTGTACATTCACCAACTTGACCCATCTAAATACACATGTTGCCAAATACCTATTATTTATTATACTTTTAATTAATTTTATATCCATCACTTGTGAATGAATCATAAAATAATAAATGATTGTTATGGTGATGTTAGTTTGCTGTAGTTTTAAAACTTCACTCCAAAAAATGGAAATTAAATAAATTTGATTTTTCGAATATCTCTGTGTAACAGCTTTATTCACTATGACTCACTTTTTAGCCGTTGCACAGTCATATTATTACAAACAACACGTGATATATAGTAGTCGATGGATACTTCAGGAAATAATAATAATAATTATGATGATGAAGATATTCTTCAATCGACACAACCAGATGTAGATACAGAGGAGGAGTTGGTACCAACACCTCCCATTCAACAAGATGACGATGAAGAAGACTTACCATCAACACAACCAGATGACCAACAAGTAGAAGAGTTATTTACATCAACTCAACCATCTGAAATAGAACATCCTTTATCATTTACTGTTGATAATATTGATAATAATAATAATAATAATAATAATAATAATAATAATAATAATAATAATGATAATGTCAAAGATTGTTCTCAAAATACAGAACAAGATGAACAAGATGGACAACAACAACAAGAACAACAACAAGAAGACCAAATGGTGGTAGAAAATGAGTTATTTACATCAACACAACCAGACCCAGATCTATCAGAATCAATTAGTTTCTATTCAAACAATAACAAGTTAAATAATTCATTCCTCGATGAAGAGCATACAACTTATAATGAAGATGAATTTAATAATAATAATAACAATAATAATAATAATATTTCAACAACAAAAGATAATAATAATAATAATAATAATAATAATAATAATAATAATAATAATAATAATAATAATAATAATAATAATGTGCCTGTGGCAGTTTGTGATGACAACAATTTAAAAAGAGGAAATAGTTTAAATCTACCAAATGATTTTATACAAGAGGAAAAGGTCAATTCACAAAACAAACTATCAATGAATTTCGAAGTTATCATGTCTGATGGATCTATTTTGGAATCAAATAATGGTCATTTACATCAACGATTAAAGTTACTCGAAGAAGAGAATGCAAAGTATCTTCGAATGTGGCCTGATATCGGTGTACCTATTCTACCAAGAATATCTTATAACTTTTCATCCCAACCTTCAACATATCAAAATAATAATAATAATCAAAATAATAATAATAGTAATATTTATCATTTAAATAGAAATATTACATTGAATAATATAACTACAACTAATAATCCAACAACTAATCCAACATCACAAGTTTCAACAAACACTATTAATAATAATAATTCAATTCAACCTAATCTTTCAGCAGTAATATCTGATCAAACAACGATAACTCCAACTTCACAACTTACATCATCCCCAACTATTAAATTGGAAAATCATCATACAAATGATAGTAGTACTCTACCGACGACTATTACATCGTCAAGAACATTTCCATTATCTTTTAGTATGCCAATTAATTCCAATTCCAATTATTCAAACTCTGATTCATCAAATATAAGTTCATCATCAACATCATCAACTCAACCATTGATATCAACACCAACTTTATTATCTTCTTCATCATCGTCATCGTCAACTGGAACTATTAAAATGGAAATTGAATCAAATACCAATACTACGACTCAATTTACACCAAGAAAATATCCAAGTACAATGCTTATTGTAGATGATGATGAAGAAGATGATGGTAATGATAGTGACAATGATAGTAAACCACTTCAGACTTCAACAACTTCAACGACCTCAACAACAAAGTCAGAAGAACCAAAAAAGAAAAGAGGAAGACCATCAAAAAGTGCGACTGTGGGAGATTTAAAAACACCAACCAAATCAAGAGCAAAAAAGGCAGCATCACATCCCAATTTGAAACCATATTATATGGATGCACCTGCACCTACAACATTTCTTGAACCAATACCAGACCCAGACTATCAACCATTGGATACATCACAATCAGAGAGTTTTAACAATGCCGTTGTGACAAGATCACCTTCATCTCCTATAAAGTTGGATTATACTCCACGGTTTAGATCATCAACCTATGCCACCTATGTTGCAATGTATAAAAATCAAGATCCAATGTCATTTGAAGATCTCATGGAACGATCACAAAAATATTCTATCGAGGATCTATTAAATGGTGTTAAACGCTACAATATGGGAATCACACTCGAAGGAAGAATTACAGTCAAGGATTTCATTGGAAGTACGCAAAGGACAACATTCAACCCCAAGGATAATAACGTTTCCGACTCTAAACGAGGAGAATCTCTGACTGCTTGCAGAGCTTCCTATCATCTCTCTGAAAAGGGCAAGGTTACTGGAAAAATATTGACTCAGGCTCACAAGTATAAAAAACAATATGATAAACTTAATAATATTTATCCAGATTTTTCTCAAGATTCTATTACAGTTGTAATTGATTCTAGAGAATTTAGACATGAATCTGTTGCTAGAGTAAGAAAAAAAAAAAAAGAAAAATAGTATCTTTTATTAATCTATATATGTTTATTTTTTAGAATTTAGAATTATTAGGAGTTAAAAGTGTTGTTAAATATATGCAATCTGGAGATTTTTGTTTTGTAAAGAGTAATGGACAAACATTAACAGCTGATACTGTAGAGGAAGCAGTAATGTATCCATATTTGTTGGAAAGAAAGACTTGGAGGGATTTGGATAAAAGTATGAGAGATGGTCGTTATGATACACAAAAGTCTAGAATGATGTCTATGGAAATTCTTCAAAAAGAAGGTTTATTCTATCTTGTAGAAGGTGATCGAAATGGTTATAAAGAAAGAAAAGCTATTGAACCTTATATTTTGGATCTTGAAATTTTATTAAAAGTAATTTTAAAAAAAAAGAAAAGGAAAAAGAAAATATGAGGACCAACTTGATTATTTTTATTTGTTTTTTTTTGTAGAATTTAGATTTAATGGTAGTAAGTGAAAAATTTAATATTATTCATACAGAATCATTAATGGAAACATGTAAAACATTGGCAATGTTTGCTAAAATCTTGTCGACTGCTGAATGGAAACCAAGAGAAATGATGAAGTTTTCAGATCTTAAAAATTCAACACCCTATAATCCATTGGGCACAAAGGGTGAACAATTAAAACCATCTCGAGCAGTTGTAGAAATTGGTCCTGATATTTTCAAGGAATACGTTTTAAATGCTCAATATAGACAAGGCGTCATTGATACCTTTGCATCTCAAAAATTGGATAGAACATTGGTCATTCATGGATACGAAAAAATGATTAAAGATATCAACACCAAAGCCAATGCTCATCTAAAGAGTTATTTAACTCATAAATTCCTAAAAGAACCTTTAAAACTATTTTTTCATCAAACAACGCTAATTTGGGAAAATCTAGATCATGATATTTTAGCTTATTATGCTCTGCATCTTCAACTGATTGTAAGTAAAAAAAAAAAAAAAAAAGAAAACAAATATATAAAACTTTGTACTTACTTTTTTTTTTTTAAATTTTCTATTTTATAGGGAGGAGTAAAAGTTTATTCACCATTTGATTTGGTATCAATTGATAATATTAGGGCATTCCATGATGCAGATCAAGTAGCTACCAAAAAAATTAATGATTTAAACAAATGTTCTTACAAGGGATTGGTTGGAAAACCAGTTACCTTAATTCAAGAAGATCTAGATTCGGTTGCCCTTTCACCTCTACCACCTCCAAAACCCCCAAGAGCAACTTCAAAAAGAAAATTGGCAAAATCAAATGATAGTAGTGGAAGTAGTAGTAGTGCAAGTCAAAATTTGGTTTCCCAATTTTTTAAAACTACTCAAAAAAATGGTTAAAAAAAAGAAAAAGAAAAAATAGATTTGTGTAATATTAAAAATAAATCTAAACATGTATAGTATGTTTAATAGTTTATTGGATTTAAATCCCAAAGAGTAAAAAAGAAGTGGAAGATGGAATAGTTGAAAGTAACTTGATGTTTGTAGGTTTAAGCATAGATGACACTCTTGACAAACAAGTTGGCTTGAGCAGTTCCATGGATAATGTAACCAAAGGTATAAGAGGCACCAGCATTGATGTCTTGGTAACTTGGGAGAATGAGGAAATCAACAAATGGACCATCAATAACTTGAACATTCCAGATCGAGGTGGAGTCTCTCAATCTACAGGTGGCATCAGTTCCAATGACAATTTGTTTGATATTCTTTTGGCCATCGTTGGTGACAGTAATGTCAAATTGAGCAAATACCTCGCCGCCTCTGGAACCGTCATTCCATGATCCAACCAATTTGTGTTGAATGGAAACTGGGAATTGTGGATTATGTGCTGCAACAAATGAGATTGCAAGAAGCATAGCAAGGGCAAGAATAATGAATTTCATTTTTTGAGAATTGGAAATGTTTAGAAATGTTTTAGGTTGTTGATATTTGATTGATTGTTGATTTGATATTTAAAATGATGAAAAAGACCAAGTATTTATACTAAATGGAAATAGGGACCCAACATTTAATTTTTGAATTCAATCAATTTGATTTAGATAAATAGTCTGAATACAATTTTGATTATTTCCAATTTTTATCATTGTATAATCTATAAACTCTAATTTGGATTGGTTGTTTTTGAATAACCCCTTCATTCGATATTAACCTGTTTTAATCAAACCGAAAAAAATTTAGTGGTAAAGTAATCTCTTGACCCATTTTCATCAAATATTTAAAATCTTCCCCCCAAATTTGAATATTAAACAATATACATTCACAAATCTGGTAGGTGATGGACAACTGTCGTTGTTGTAGATGATAAATATAGATGATTCACACAAAATTATTGTCATGTCCATCAATATAGATTTTGTACAAATAATAAAAAAGAATGTTTTTATTTTTAAATAAATAACCAAAGTTAAGATAAATCATCAAACAAACAAATATATAAAAGAGAGGGGAGGGAGGGAGGGGTATATATACTATTATAGTCATGTGGTTCCAATCTTTTTCAAGAGTCGTCTGGATCATCATCATCATCATCATTATTATTATTATTACTATCATCATCATCCTCGTCTTGCTTTTTTCTTTTCTTTCTTTTTGTGGGAGTATTATTATTAGTATTATTATTATTATTATTATTATTATTATTATTATTATTATTATTATTATTATTATTATTATTATTATTATTATTATTATTATTATTATTATTATTGTTATTATCTTCAGGTTTAATTAAACCACCCCCATTGATAACAGGTGGTGGAAGAAAACTTAACTTTTTAATGAGTTCACTATCATCATGTATTTCAAATGGTTGGGAAAAGTTGAAAAAGTACTTTGATCGATCGCTCTCTACCTCGCAATTGATGACTGTCGAGTATTTAGTGTTGACCACTATAAAAGGCAAATGAATGCGATCGTTTTCGATCCGAATCGATTGTTGTTCCTGTTGTTGTACGATGATTTTGTTTCTATTGATCAACTCTTGGTAGACGAGTTCCAAGTGTGCCAACTCTTTGAGTGATTGTTTCTTTGATTTTAATCGCAGTTGAAGATCTTGTTTTTGTCTTTCCAATTCTGCCATTGAATTGGACGGTGTTGAATTGTGAGGCAACCCAATCCAACTGATTTTTTGTTTATCTTTGGATATAATATTCATTGCCTGGAATACATTAAGTACATCATAAATACGTCTCTTCATTGTATTTGTTTTTAAATCTGATTCTTTTGATCCATTTGCTACATTTTCTTTTATATATTCTGCTATAATTTCATTTGATACCTAAAACAAAACAAAAAATAAAATAATTAAATAAATAAAAGGTATGTTTTTCTTCCACTTCTTTACATACTTCAACATAACTAGTAGTTTGTTTAGATTGAACCTTTTGACAAACTTTTTGGGAAAGATAACTAAGACCTTTAGATTTATCTTCTTTTCCTTTTCTTCTTTTTGTTGACTTTTCATCATCATCGTTGTTGTGTGTTTCAAAGAGATGATTGAATCCATCGTGTAATTCAGAGTTGAATGCAACATCATCACCAATCTTTTTCCCTTTTTTACCTTTAATCTTTGATGTTGAGGTTGTTGATGTTGTTGATGTAGTAGAGGTTGTTGATGTATTGGGTGCTTTAAGATCATTCATTAAATAATAATCTCCCAATGTTGAACTTTGTGCTCCAAATGATGATGGTTGGGTTGAGGTAGTAGTAGTAGATGTAGATAAAGTAGTAGTAGGAGTATCACCTCTAAAAGGTGCTGATATATGATTACTTAAACCCATATAATTGTTTGGTGAACCAAGTATTCCTCCTCCTACTCCTCCTATTCCTCCTACTCCATTATCTGCTCTAAGAGAAGGTATTTCATTGTTTTGTATGAAACCTGAATCTTTTGCCATATGTTCTAAACCAGTGTCTCTACACATCTTTAATACTGTCTCATGAAGACTAAGACCAGCTTCATATGAATCTAATTCAAAATGTGAATCATTATGACTATCTCCACCTCCTATACACACATAATAATAGATATATAAATATAAACTTTTGGTATTAATAACAACCAAAGCTTTGGTTTAGTTTAGTTCTATTTTTAAAATACAAACCTCCAACAGTCAGAGGATTTGATGACATTATATCTTATTCTCTTATCTATCTAATATAATCTAATCTAATCTATTTCCTATATACAGTAATATTAATACCCATGTATGTATCAAGATGTGATATATATTAAACATATAAACAATGAAAATTTTTTCATGGTGACCACCTTCAGATTTGAATTAACTTAATTAGGTACATTTTAAAATAATGCAAAGGTTTGATTAAAAGAATGAAATTAATCAAGGTGATTTATTAATAAATACTTTTACAAGTAAATATATATATATTGTATTGTCATTATTATTGTCGATAATGTTTGTACTACTATTATTACAACAACACCATTTTAAAGTCGTGTTTTGGTTGGTTTAGTCTCTGATAATATCGATCAATTCAGTTTCAAATACCAAATATGCACCACCTGGAATACTGGCACCAGCACCTGAATCTCCATAACCCAACTAATTAGATTTAAGAATGAAAGTGTTAATTTATATTATGTCTGTCTATCAATCTATCTATCTTGCAACATACCTCTGGTGGGATAACCAATTTACGCTTCTCACCAATACACATATTTAAAAGACCTTGATCCCATCCTATATATTAAATGATTATTATAGTTGTGTTAATATCTAAAATATAACAAATCTTATCTTGACCATAATATCTTCTTACCTTTGATGACTTGGCCAACACCAAGAGTGAATTGGAATGGATCTCCACGATCTACAGAAGAATCAAACTTCTTACCACCATCCTATATATATATGTATATAGTAAAGACAAAAGTCATCTATGTTAATATCTAGTCGTTAATTAATTAAACTCTTTGTTCTCATTCTTACCAAAAGTGTACCGTTGTAGTGAATCTTTAATTTATCATGTGGAAGTGTCTTCTTGGCATCCTTTGTACAGCTTTCTGGACGATGCTATATATATATATATAACAATGTATGAAAGGATATTATAATATATTATTAGTCTTGTTTCATTTCATTGTTGAGATAGAAGCTTTTAAACATACCTTGACACCAATTTGGAGCTTACCAGTCTTCTTTGCACATTCAGCAAATTGAGAGAAGCAGATTAAAGCAATAATAGCTAATATTAATAATTTGTTCATTTTTAAAGAGGTTGTTATAACTATAAATAAAATAATGAAAATGAAACTAAAGGAGATCTGGTGACGTGACGATGCAGAGGCTTTTGAATTTCATTTTTGTTTTTAACTTTTGGATATTCAATTTTAAAGATAATAGTACTACCTTCGACAATACTGTAATTATTATTCATCTATAACTTTAAAGGTATTACCTTCGACAATAGCAAAGAGTATCATTGACTTGGTATTATGGAGTAATAGGTTGTATGATCGATCATTGATCATTTTGGCACTACGACTTTGCAGAGTATCAAAGACATGGTTAAAAATTACAAGCAGTGTATTTGTACAATACTATACTGCAAGATTGCAATCTACTCGAGGAGTAAACTATATCATTGAAGCATTGCACAAGAATATACAATCACCATTTTGTTTGTTACATCACTGTGCATTGCACAAGGTTGAATTGGTATTTGGGTATGATTACCAGCAAGTTTTGCACAACCTTGACAAACAACTTACTATATATGCAGAGTCATCATATGAATACCGACAAGCACTCGGCCCTCGAAACCAACAACTATTAACTCAATACCAACAATGCACACAACACCCAGATCACTATGATTGGTCAGTCCTAAAATACCAACTAGAACATCCAACACCAATACAAACACCAATGCAACCCCAAGTTATACCACGACACGTTTATGATAAAGGAACGCCAAAACAAGATCGATTGTATACATACGCTAGCTACTCAATCGTCGACGAAGATCTAAGAAAGCTAGAGTTGGAATGTAGTCCCAATACTATGACAACAACAACAAGCATAACAACAAATGCCCAAGTTTAAAATTAATAGAAAACAATCAAAATACATTAGAGAGACTATACTTGGAGACATCAAATACCAACATTTTAAATAATATATTTAAATCCAACATTGGACCTGGACGGGTGTTTAACAATTTAAAGTTTCTTCAAATTCAATATAGTAAACAATCACACATATCTTGGGAATATTGTAAATTGACATTACCTAATCTCGAGGTACTAAAGATGCAAGCAAAATCTCCAATCGAAAACCCTTGTCCTGCCCTGACTGATTATCTACTATCAAGAGATGAAAACATTCAATATGTGGCATCAATTAATTTACGTCTCGAAATGCTACCACTCATAGAAAGACTTTTCTATTATCTGGATCTAGTGTTACCCCAGAGTTACAGTAATAACTCTACGATATTTCCATTAATTAAATACCATCCATCACTTTTAGTGTTGACCATACGCAACCATAACTGCCACAAAACTTCCGATAATCTTTATCAACATATTCCATTTGCAACTTTTCAAAAGTTTGGAAATAGCCCATTGGGGAAGCATTTTGCCATACTTTGGCAGATTCGAGCAACTTGAATCGCTCACTGTCGGTGCAGGCTACAAACAACAGTCAAAAGATATCGAATTACTGTGTCAAGGTATTTCTCAAATCAAATCGCTCACATCTCTTGACTTGTCCCTCCAAGGATATGACCAAAATTGGAATCCATCCTATACACCAATGATCAAACAACTTGTAAATCTAAAGAGATTTAAAACTGGAATTGATGATTCAAGAGGTTCTGGTTACGATCAATGGATAACAACTCATTTTAATATTCAAACTATAGAATATAAATTAATTTTAACAAAAAAATAATATAAATAAATATTAATACAAACCTCTAATAAATTGTGGTAACTACAAATAGTTGGTTCTTTGTTGAATCTATCTATCTATCTTTTTTAATGAATTATTATTAATGGATTATTATTTTACTTTTTTTTATTATTTTTGTTGTAAAAGAATTAATTGTAAACCAGTGGTATCTTTACCAATTTCAGCCAATTGACAGATATTGCAGAGTTTACCCTTGTGTTGAGGTTGGTAGGATGAAGAGCATAGTGGACAACGAACCAAAGGAGAACCTCTGTAGATTGGGGTCATGGAGAGCGAGTCAATGACAAATGGATTTCTTTCATCATAGGCGATAGTGATGGAAGGGTCGGTTTGGTTTTGTTGGGAAAAGGCAATCACCTTTTTGGCTTGAGTACTGAGATCGCCTGGTGGTGAGAGATCCAAGAGACGACGAGCAAACGAAGCCGACAAGTCAAAGTGTTTGAGTTTGTAGGCATTGTTCATGGCCGAACGAAGTGCCAACACAAGATGAGTAGGTTCGAGATTACAGTGAGTAAAGTAGGCAGCCAATTCAGCAACACGGGTCAATTGGGTGGGTGGCAACTCCTTTCTCTGTGTTTCGATACGCAAACCAGTAATGTATTCACGACACACACCAATCAACTCTTTGATCTCGTTAAACTCTTGTTTGGACTCGACAGTGGTAAAGATGGCGCAGTGGAGGATATAGGTAAAGTGGAGGATAGCGTCGGTAAACTTACCCTCGGTGGTCGACTTGTAGGCGAGTGTGCGGAGACGTTCCAAGAGGTGTTGGATGTTGTATGATACATATGGCTGACCGTGCTTTCTTTGGAGTGGTTCAATGATGGGTTGGAGGGCAGCTTGTGACGAGAGAGCCACACGTGCACCCATATGAATGTTGATAAAGAATGAACGGACGGGTTCAAAGTTGACGATACCAACCTGTTGATTCAACATGTTCATGGCAGTCTCGAATGAGCCGGCGGCAATATGGTCAACTGCAAAGTTGGTGTTACGTGACCAAATTTGTCCAAATGACGAACCGGGTTGTGGTGGGACAAACATACTAGAAATGTCTTGTTTAGAGACAGAAGTACCAATGTCAATATCATCATCCCAACCTGATCCATCACCCTTTCCACCTTCAATGACAATGTCGTCATCCCAACCTCCACCATTACTGTCTTGTTGTTCGTCTCCTTTGTTTTTGTTGTTGTCTTCGGCCATGATGTCGTCATCGTCACCCCAACCACCACCTCCAATCTTGGGACCAGAGTTGTCAATTTCATCATCATCATCGACTGCACCAGAGTTGTCCATGGCAAACTTACGGTCTTGACCACCTAGCTCGGCAGAGCTCTTGGCAATGTTGAGAAGCGGCCAGTTGACTTCGGGAGCAATGTAGACGGGTTGAGGGGGGAGTAGCTTGAATGGGTTGGATGGGACAGAGGGGAGTTGTGTCTTGCCGTCAGCAGTGATCTGGCTGGCGAGTTGATCGGCCTTTTCACGCAGTCCGTTGATCGAAGCGGTGATGTAGGCCAAGCTGAGGAGACCGGCTTCTTGGAGCACCTTGATACGTTCGTCAATGTCGCCGAGATAGAGCGAGTATTGGAAACGACTCATAATATCGGTCGAGTCGTAGGTGATCATCTTTTTAAGCATCGATGTGTTACCAACCAACAAGTAGAGGAACGACAAACGGTCGAGCTCGCCAGTACGCGAGTATGCCATCTCGACAATCTGCTGGTTACCTTGTCTCAGTGCGACTTCGGCCAATCTGCTCCAACACTGCTTGTCGTCGAGTATCTTGGCCGACTGCAATGCAATGTCGAGGTTTCCACACTCGAGTGCTAAATTGAAACGAGTACGGTCGTCCTTGACAAAGTGGACGACTTCGGGATACCCCTTGCGTTGCAAGTAGGCAATGATCGACTTGCCAACCAACTTGCTCTCACGCAAAATCTTGATGACGTCTGCATATCGCTTTTGGAAGAGTGCAAGCTTGAGCAAGTACTCGGAACGGTCAATCTCGATGTGTCTGTTTTTGAGCTCACGGTCAATGGCAAACACACGCGACCCCTTGACACCGGTGAGGTAGATGGTGGTGTCGAGTGTCTTGATGGTACCATTGTCACCGTTTGGCAAGAGATACTTGAGATGGTTAGAGGTGGTGTAGATAAAGACACCATTCTCGTCCCACGCACCGCTCTTGGGCAAGACAGACTCGCTGACAATACAGATCTGCTCCAAACGTCTGGTGGCAAGGATCAAGCTGTCACGTGCCAACAAGGCAACATAGTTGTAGTCCTTGGACCAGATGACATAGCGAATCGATGGAGTAAACAACTCGGCAACCGCTGTCTTTTGTTGGATGTCAAACAACATCATCTTCTCGTCGGTCAACACCAACACATGGCCAACTGGTGCTGGGAACAACCATTCGACAGTTTGAGCCGGTTGGAATCTCTTGACTTCCTCATTGTCCAATCCCTTGATAATAACGTTGTTTTGTTTATCCAAAACGGCAAATCTATTGCTACCTACAAAAATGGCTGCTACTCCATTACCCTTCTTTGAATCAACTTGACTAATATCTCTTGTTGGTATTTTATATAAATGATAACTACCTCCATCAGCGTCCTAAATGAAAATAAAGAAACAAAAAAAAAAGGTTAATTGAAGAATTCTTTCTATTTTTTTTGTTTTCTTTTTTCATTTTACATACAGAAGAAACAAGGATAGATCTTTCAGAAGCATTGTAAGACATTACTTGAGTACCATTATTTGAAGGGATTTTAGTAATGTTAAAGAGAACTACAGAACGACCAGTTGAAAAGTCAAAAGAGTTGAAATGCTTTCTCTTGAGGTAGAAAACACCGTCGGATCCGTTGGGGACAAAGGTGGGACGCTCACGCTCCAACTTGAAGACGATCATACCGCTGTCATGACCGGCAGCAAACAAGTTGGCGTTGGGGTGTGCAGCAAGTGTCCAGAAACGGTCGTGTTCACGACGGATGGTCTGGATGGTCGTCTTTTTGGCCATATCCCAGACACGGATAGTCTTGTCTTCCGAGTCGGACAAGACAAGGTCTTGACGAGGATGGAAGAGTGCGCAACTGACATTATTGAAATGACCACGGAGCGTGTCGACGATCGGATCGTTCATACGCCACAACTTGACATGGTGGTCGTCCGATGCCGACACAATGACGGGTTGGGTTGGATGGAAAGCTGCCCAATTGACACCACGGTCATGACCCTCGAGTGATAACTTGACAATGACATCAGTGCCAAAGATCTCGTCTTGGAGACGTAGACTGTCATTGTCACGGTACGGTTTGATGGTGATAGTCTTTTTCTTGAGACCAGAGATATCCCAGATACGGATGGTCTGATCGAGCGATGCCGACACGATCAAGTCGTCCTTGGGATGGAACTGAGCCGACATGACATAGTGGTTGTGTCCGTTGAGCTCGGCAATGCATGTACGAGACTGCCAGTTCCAAATACGAATGATCTGATCGTCCGAAGCCGACAAGATCCATGGTGCCTCTCTGTGGAACTCGACTGTTCTAATATAGTCCTTGTGTCCCTTTAACGTAAACAAACATCTTCTCTGTTTGTAATTCCATACTTTAATCTTGTAATCATCTCCACCAGACACAAATAATGGTTGTGTCATATGAAAGTTAACTCCTCTTACAGGTCCTAAAAAAAAAAAAATTAAAAGGAAACAACCAATGTTAACATATGTATATATAGATATATCTCTCTCTCTAGTTTGTTGTTTGTTTGTTTATCATACCATCATGTTCTTCAAACTTTTCCAATAAAGTCTTGATTCTGTAATCGTATAAATGAATCGATCCTGAATGTAATGATGCCAAGATCCAAGGTCTAGTTGGATGAAAACTTAGACCTTTTACTCTATTACTTTTTGTTTCATATTTATATAACATTTCTCTCTATTCTATTCTCTCTTGTCTATAAATACAAAATATAATAATAGAAAGAGATAGAAAGGAAAGGTTATGTACTGAGAGTGAGAGATACTTGAAAGAAGATTAATATGTAGGACAAAGGTTGGTGAATCATCAACAGGCTTGAACAAAAAAAAAAAATAAAAAAAAATTAAATGATCTTCAGCAATTTGACTTTGAGTGTTTTTGAAACAAGAATGATCGATCATCATTCTTCCCTCCAACCCTAACCCGAACTACTAATACTGCTATATTATTAGTATTAGTTATTGGATGAATTAGAAGAAATGTATAGAAATACAGTAGCAATTGATATTGTTAAAGAGTTTTGGAATGTTGAAGAGGTATCAGTATGTATCATCAATGATCATAGTAAAGTAGTTTATTTGTTAACTCTATATTTCATTTTATTCTTCTTTTCTTCTTCTTCTTCTTCTTCTTCTAGGAAGTATTTAAACATTTAGTGAATAAGGGGAAATCTACAATTAGAGGATTAACAACAGCATTAAAGACAATACCAACCAATCGTATTAAACAATCATTGCAAGTGTTGTTACAACATCAATTGGTTGATTTTGAAGAATACATTATAAAGGATGAAGACAAGAACAAAAAGGGACCGGCTGAAGACCAAGTGTCTGATGCCTACTATGTAGCCAATGTCAACAATGCTATACATCGACTTCGCATTGGCAAGTATATCAATTTCATCAAGGAGCGATACGACCAAGAATGTGCTGTCATCATTGAAGAGTTGATGGACAATGGACGTTTGACAATGGAGTCGGTGGTCAAGCAATCGGTATCGTACTATAGTCAACGTGCTGGTTCTTTTGACCCAGAGGATTTGGTGCGTCGTTTTGAAGACCTCTTTACACAACTCGTTGTCGACCACTTTATCATGAAGGTACCCAAACCACGTCCCATCTCGCAAAATGATGAAGATGGTGAGGCAACTGTCAAGGAAAAGAGAGAAAAGGGTGGACGTGTGTCGTCTAACTCGAGCACCTCCAGCATGTCGCATCTAAACGATCCGTTTGCTATTCCCTCATCAATCCTCAACCGTAAACAGAAAAAGGTTGATCACAATCTCATCCCCAATACATCGATTGCCGTTGAAATTGATCACGATCAAGAGGAACCAGAAGATATGGATGACGACAATAGCTCAAAGAAAAAGAAATCAAAGTCCAAGAAACCAGTTCCCACAGCCAGTAAAAAGGCTGCCAAGAAAAGAAAAAAAGCTGGTGAAGAGGATGAAGACGATGAGTTTGTTGTCATCTCGGAAAGCCATAAAATCTCTACAGATGATAACATGGCCAACTCTCAACCAATCAAAAAAACAAAGGGACTCTCAACTGTATATAACGTAATCAATCAAGTAGAACAAGATCAACATGACCTCTTAGAAGAACAAAAAACTTATTGGAAAGTTAATTATGATCAATTCCTTTTAGAATTTAAATTAATGGTAAAAAAAAAAAATAGAAAAAGAAATGAAAAAAGAAATAATTATAATATTTATACTAATATTTTAATATTTAATATTTTTTAAGGCATGTATTGATTTTGTTGAACATAAATTGGATGGAAAATCAGCAGCATTATATGAATCAATGTTAAAACTTGTTAAAAGATCAATTAAATCTTCACCAGATCCAAATGCAAATATTAGTCGTATGTAAACAACAAATTTTAAATGGTTTAATATAGTTGGTTGGTTATATTATATTAACAAATCTATTTATTCTTTTTTTTCTTTTTTTTTGTTTAGCTAAATTTATTGCAGATGAAGTATTTAAAGATTATAATCAAATGGTTGATGGAATGGATCAACAAATGGATAACAAACATTTTGAAAATTATTTATCTTTAATGGCTGCTTCAAGACCTGCCATCATTACAAAACAAGCAAGATCATCTACACTTGAAACTGGAATTTATAATATTAGTAAGAATAAGAAATCTATATATCAAACCTTTTGATTTATTAAAAATTATTAATTTTCTTTTCTTTTCTCTCTTTTTTTTTAGATATATCTGATGTAGCAAAAGTTGTAAATCAAAAAATGTTGGAATCAATTATTAAACAAAAATATGGAGATGGAGGATTGAGATTATTCAAACTGTTGATGATTAAAAAGTTTTTAGATGCCAAACAAATAGCAGAAATGGCCATGATTCCACTCAAAGAATGCAAGGTGTTGTTGTTCAAGATGATGGAACGAGGTGTTGTTAAATTACAAGAGGTTCCTCGATCGGCCGATCATTTTGCAGCAAAGACCTTTTACCTTTTCTTTGTCAATCGTGATGCCGTCACGGAAATGACAATTGACGACATCTACAAGGCTATTTATAACACTCGTCTTCGTCTCAAAGCAGAGGCTCAACCACACGCTGATTTAATCAAGCGTCTAGAAACTGTACCCGACAAGGAAATGTCTGAAGATCAATCTAAAATCGTTACCAAAGTACAAAAAATTACAGAGGTTTTGGAAATTACCATTCTTAATCTTGATAGTGATTTATTAGTATTAAGTCATTTCTAATAGAAAATAAAATATAAAAAAAAGATAATAATACTCTTTTTTTTAATATTCCAAAAATATTAATCCAAACTTTTACTACAATAATTTTATCGTCTTTAAAGACCATATGACTAAAAGTTCGAGGTTTGATTTAAACTGAAACTAAAAATGGAACAAACAAATAGTTTTAATCGGTTGGTGGTTATCTTTATTTTTAATGGATGATCCAACAATTATAAACCATTAATGGATCCTAAACGAATATTCCATGGTATAGACGAAATGACGACAAACCACCATGTCCAACAAAAGTTTAAACAACCACGTTTGGTTGGCAATTGACCAACAACAAAAAATTTTTGGGGATGGTTGGCAACATTGGCCATGTTGTTTGCATGATCGATCTCATTTAAAGTGCCAGACCAAGAACCCAAGATGGTTTGACAAAATATTGGGATGGGTAGAGTTTTTTTCCAATAACTTGAACAAAAGATCTTGGTTCATTTTGAAAATTTATTATTAGTTTATTTTTGTTGAACCACCAATTAATCGCCGCCTCTTCCTTTTTCCTCCTCATCGTAGCACCAGCTCATGAAAAAACAACGTTTATAAAAGTTGTTTGCAGGGTTTTGAAAAAAGATCAGAATAAGGGTTTCAGACAGACACACGGCCATTCATTCATTGGTGGGCTTTTTCCGTCAGCGCTGCATAGGGGGTTTCTTTTGGCCTATCAAACTAACTAGTTTCTAGGGGTCTTCTAGACCATCTAGAAATATTTTGGGATCTCTTTGCAATACGAACGTTGTAACGAAAATTTGACAAATTGTTTTTTCAAAATTTTGCTCGCGTCCAGTCCTATTCAGGAAGGGTCACGCGGAAAAAAAACGTAAAAATAGGACCATGCAAAGGTCTCGAGTTCTATCTCTGCCTCTTTGCACGTTCACCCATTGAAGGCATCGCCTTGGCTTTGGATTATCCGCGGATGGCAAAATAGCCGTTGCATAGGTGTAGATTGTTTTGTGTGTTGGTTTAAAAATGAAACCCTGTCACCAAACGGTCGTTGGGCTACATCAGCGAGGAATAATTTGGGTAGCATAGACTATTTTTTTGTGGGGCATTTTTGAGAGTGGGGGACTGGGCTAGGCAGGTACTGATTAATCGATTAATTCACAACGAATCGATTTATTCGTCCTGCGTCTATTTACAGGTCGCTGCGTTTAGTCATCCATCGATGGGCGTAGACCAACAAAAGAAGTCTTGTGTGTCTTTTAAAGAGGTGCCAAGCATAGGCATAGGCATGGTGGTATGGATGGTCCATCCATCTACCCTAGAAGTGTCTCTCGCTACTTATATCCAACCCCCCACACAACCATTCATTCATGTATTGTGCGACATCCATCTATTAATTGAATCTAAGAAAAGTCTGTTGTGTTCAGCAGCAACAACATCAAACAACACAACAGACTTCATAGTCTTGCCCCACCTACTCCCTTTGAGCCAAGCCATCAGGCCTGAGGAGCAGGGCTTGGACAAGAGCCTAGTTGATTTGAATCGCAAAGTAGCAGCTGCACATTTATTTTCACATCATAGGAACCTTCTCTTTTTCTTTTAGACGCATTGCTTGCACGCAGCACTGCAGCTACAACACCAGCAACTTGACAATTAACCAATCATTATCAACCTTTATAGATCCCCCAACTTTCATATCACATATATATTTATGTACATATATATATAGTAGTCAGACAAACAAACAAACAAATAATATAAACTAATACTTACATAATACACATATAAAATAAAACAAAATAAGAGAAGAGAGAGAGATTAAAAAATTAATCATCCATCATCAGAAACTATTGTAAATAAAATATATAATATAAATATAAAAAAAGACAGACAGATTGATAAAAAAGACAAGATAGAGTAAAGATAAAAAAAAATAAAAAAAATATACAAGGTAAGAAAGAGTACCCACCCATCATACATACATATCATATCATACGTATATCATATACATACATAGAGTATAGTTAGTATCATATTTATCCCCAGTGTTTTTGAGATCAGGGCAATTTCAGGCAAAGGAGATTTTTTGTGATCACAAAGATACACTTTTACTTTTCCCTAAGAAAGGAAACTTGATACAGTGTTGCGCACACACTGACAAGCGAGGAGTAGGAGGAGAAATATATCAATTGAATAGGGACAGGGAGAGGATCCCTTTTCATTCCCTCCTCGTCCCAAACCATCAACCAATCCATCTTGTCATCACCATAACAATCTTACCCACACATCACATCCAACACACACACATAACTCTACACACAGATAATAATAATAATAATAATAATTAGTATCTGATTGAATTTGAACAACCCAATTAGATAAAAGTACCAATTAGTCAATTTGTGCAAACCCCCAAAAACAATATCTTCATAATCTCCTTGTCGCCCACTCGTTTAGGGTGACGCCCGTTTCTTTTCTTTTTTGGCCAATCAAGCAGCAGAAAAGTATCTTATCTTTTTAAATCAACCAATTAGCTAGCAATCAACAATTCAATCGTCATTGTTGTTGTGTAGTCGTCGTCGTTTACAATACCCATCACAACATCAACAACAACAATTAGTCGATCAATTAAAACAGTAGTACATTGATTGATTGTAGACTCTTTGTTGTTGTTTAGTCTCTCCTCTCCTCATCACATCTCATTCCCTTCCTCATCTTTCTCCTCCTCAAATTGCCAAATACATACATACATAGATGATTAGATAGATCTATCCTCTAAATCTTAATATTAATATTTAATAATTATAATTATTATTATTATTTAAATATTTAGATTGAAATATTAAATCAAATCTTTAAAAGATGAAGAGACAAACAGACGACCAAGACCCATACCAACACGAGAGTTCATCTCCACAACAACAACAATACCAACAACAACAGCAACAACAACATCACCAACAACAACAACCACAACAGTCATTTGATCAACATGAACAAGGAATAGTTATTAAGAAGAGTAAAGTCAAACACTATACAGGTAGTGATCCATCATCATCTTCATCCTCGACCGCTACCAATTTGGTCACTTCAAGCAATATTACTAATTTGTCAAGTGATGGAGACTATGATAATAATAATGGTAATAGTACCCCCAATAGTAGCCAAATGGCAGTGATGATGGGCCAATCTGGTGGGAATATGGCCATGGACATGTCTGACGAGAGTGGCAGCAGCGGTGATGACAGTGGACCACCAACCACTAAAAAGAAGAGTATATTTGACAAAATCCCACCACGTTGGAAAAAGAAGCCAGGTCCAAATCCAACTCCAACCAAACACTCCTCCTCCTCCTCGTCATCATCATCTCAACCAACCTCTCCACCCCAACAATCACATCACCATCATATTACCTCGTCGCCATCGACATCGTCCAACTCGATATCCTTGTCGACCAAGTTACCACCACACCACAACAACAATCCAGTTGGTTCTGGCGGTGCACCACCAGGTACTCCTCCATCATCCCATGGAGGATCACAACAACAACAACAACATATGAATAATACAAATAGTCCTCCCAAACCACCCTCAACGCATCATATAATGCCAACTTCAGTCAGAGTAGGAGGAAATCAAAATCAAAATAGTCAATCATCTTCCCGCGGTCCAATTAGTCCAGATACTTATACTCCACATTCTTCATCTTCATCATCATATGCCAGAACACCTTTTTCCAATTTTGAATCAACTCCAAATACTCCATCATCATCCTCCTCTGTATCATCTCCAATTACCATTAATAATAACAATAATAATAATAATAATTCATCATCACAATCTACATCACCAAATACTACCCGAATATCTTCATCATTATCTTCAAAACAACCAACAATATCATCATCGAATCAATCCAGTCAACCATCCACCCCATCTCCACCAACTCAATCTCAATCATCAAAACATCAACAACACCAACAACAAACGCCACAATCTCCATCACCACATGTTTATAAGAATCAACCATCCACTCCTCAACAACCTCCACCACAACAACAACCTCAACAACCACCTCCACCACCTCAACAACAAGTTGCAAATATGGTATTACCATCAATTCCACCAACATTACATCCAGATAATTTCAATTTATCAATGTTGTTTGAGAATCATGGAAATATAGTTAATAATGAGAGTATGCTCTACTTTGAGATTAACGATCTTATTGATGTGCATACACTCATCTCTACCATGCAAGAAGAGGCCAATATTGATTATTTCCAACAACTCTTTTACACTACACTCCAAGCTTTCACAATCCACGGTGACCCTACCCTGACCGTTCTCTGGGAGATGCTCCCCTTTCACCTCCGTGTCATTGTCCTCTCTCTCCTCAAAAACACGCAGAGCAATGACAATACATTTTTTTCCTACACTGTCTACCAATACAATGACAACCGTCCACAAACGACTCGTCTCAGTTTTGGTCCACAATCAACCACTCAGGCCGCCATCAAACTTAAAAGAAGATTATTAGGTTTTTTACTAAGATGAAATAGTAGTAGTAGCAGTATATAGTATATTTATATATATATACAAGACCATACCATTTTAATAATAATAATCAGAGGACTCTTAACATTTTTTTTTCCTTTCTATTTTTTCCCCCAACCAAACCCTTGCAATAATAATCAACTTCACATACTAATATCACCATCATATTAAATCAACCAATCAATCAATCTAATCAATCAATCAATTCAAACCATATCGATATCCACGGCTACACAAAAAAAATAATCCCCAACCAACCAAATTGAAAACCCTCCCCCCAAAATCACAAATAATAATAATTAATAATTAATAATAATAATATAAATATAATGAAACCAAACAGACAGAAACAATTCAAAAATAATAATAATAATAACAACAGGCAAATAATAATTTAATGAAAACAATTCCAGAAAAAAAAAAGTATATATTATTGAATTAATAAAAAAAACTCAAAAGTACTATATAACAAATGTACAATAATAATAAGAATTATTATATATATTTATCTGTTAACAAAAAAAAAAACTTAATTATTATTTATTTGATTTAATTGGTTTCACTTTGATTTTTTAATTTAATTAATAGATTTGAATAGAGTGTAGCCAATTCTTGAGATTTTGGTACACCTAGACCATCACGATGCATTGTATGTAGGTTACGAATGGCAGCTTCATTTTTTGGATTATTTTCAAAGGCTGATTGGTAGCAGTAGAAAGCGGCTTGGTAGTCGACTGGTGTTCCAAAACCATTAAAGTGCATGACACCTTGATTGACACAGGCATCCGAGTTTCCAAGTCTGGCACTCTCACTAAAATAATGTAATGCCTTTTTATAATTGACTGTTGGATAATTGGGATCATTTCCATTAAAGTATAATTCACCAAGTAGTAGTAATGCAGTTGGATCATTTAACCCAATTGCAATATTTAAATAATGATGTGATAGTTGATGATGAGAGTCTAATAATGTAGTGTCAATATTATCTATATCTTGTGGTCGGTATTCTTGTGGTACCAATCCATTACGATACAACATTGTCAATAGAAAAGCGGCTTCTCCACTACCTTGACTGGTTGCAAGTTCCATATACGATATTCCTTTTAGCAATGTTTCTTCGGTTGGTCCGCTAATATAAATTGATCCAATTCGATAACTTGATTCACAATTTCCCATCTTTGAAGCTTCGCCGAAATACTCGATTGCTTGATCCATCAATTCCTTGTTAACTTTAATCTCCACCTCGTCATCTTGAGCCTTTTCAGCTAATTGTTCAATGAGTGACATCTCGGCATGTTGGAAATAATATTTACCCAATTCATGCATTGCATTGATATCTCCATTCTCTGCTGACTTTTTCAACCAATAGATTCCTTGTTCTTCATTCTTTGTCATTTCAAATTTACCATTTAATAATATCATTCCAAGCTAAACAAACAAACAAACCAAACAAATTAATACTAAACAACTCTACATTATATAATATTTTAATTATATTTACAGTAAATTGGGAATAAGCATATTCTTGAATTGCACTTAGAGTTAACCATCTAAGACCTTCTTTTTTCTTTTCCATCTGTTGTTGTTGTAATTTAAAATGATTTTCTTTATCAAAGAGTACTCTTTTCTTTTCAGCTTTGAGCCATTGTTTGAAATCAAATTCACCTTCTTGTTGTTGCTTTCCATTTGATACCCAACCATCTCCAATAATAACGCTTTCATTGTTTGTGGTGGTTGATGTTGCATCGTCATAGTTGATAATAGAAGGAAAGATTGGTCTAAATAGATTAGAGATTGATCCAGTGAGATAGTTCATTGCAATTGCGTATTGACCTTCTGCCAAGTCCTTGTCAGCAGCCTTTTTAAATAACTCCATTGCTTTGACTTCATCTTGTTGCAAGTAGTTTGATAGACCTTGCGAGTAAAAGGTTGCAAGATGAAAGTCCAACAATGATTCATTCATCTCCAAATCTTGTTCATATTGTTTTAATCTCTTCACCTCTTCTTTACTCTTTACTCGCTCATCTTTGTTTAACTTTGTTAATATATTTGATATTATTTCTTTCGATGATAAAGTAGTTGATGAAGATGAAGAACAATAACTATAATAATTTGTTAATCTATTTGACATGATATTAAACTTTGTTGTTGTTGTTGTACTACTAGTAATTGAGCCACTACAAGTTAAATATTTTGTTGTAGTTCTTCCCAATATTAATTGTTTGAACATCTTCTACTTTGTGACTGTATTGGTTCTATATTTCTACAATCAACTTCTTCAATGAATGATGATAGATTGACTGTCATCTTTGATTCTCATTTATTTTCAAAAGTTTACACTCGACCCAACTTATTATTATTATTATTATTATTATTAAATAGTTATTAATAACTATCTTTTGTATTAGATACTATATAGTATGTTACATCATAATGATGACAAGTTAACTATTATTGGGTTGACTTGATGCATGTGACTTTTACTTTGATTCTCTCCTCCGATGTATGTTAAGTACTCCAAACAAGAATAGATACCACTCGACTCATAGAGAGGGAAGGGGTTGACCGACCTGACTTTTATATAGTTGTCTGTATCACCCTTTGTATTCGGGATGGTACACTTTTCTTCTTAATGTTTGATCACCTGGATACTCAAGGGTTGTCATGTTTGTGTGTGGGAATGAGATTCTCTCTAGTCATTTTGAACAAAGATAGGAGAGTGCCCCCTGAAAAAAAAATGAAAAGACCAAAACTTTTTCCTCTTTAAATTTCTAATTGTATTTTAATCTTTCTTTGACCTCCACTCACATGTATAAACTCGACTTACGTTAAGCAAAGAGATAACAAAATATATTAATAATAGTAATACTTACAACAACAACAACAACAACAACAACAACAACAACAATAAATAATAATCTAGATTACTTCATATTTAAAATAGAAGGAGATAGTCAAGAGAAAAGAGGAATCAGGAGATAGATAGATAGATAGATATTTAGATTGATAGTACATTCATTTTTAACAACACACAATAACAACAACAAGAATATTATTACATTACACAACATATAGATAGATAGAATCGGAGTGATGGGTGAAATATTACAGATTAATGTTCCGGTATGCCCCGAGCATATTAGTGTTTTAAACCAATACTTTAGCTTTCCATCGATTACCATTATATTTGCAGTATTGGCATTATCATGCTTTATATTTGCAATCATCATCGCATTCAAGTACAACTCGGTGGCTGTCTTTCACAAAAAGATTAGAACTCAAACTATTTCAAATACCATATGGATCTTATACTATTTAACTCTTGGTTTAAGGTATGCTGCTCAAAAGAGAAAGGAGAGTGTGTGAGAGAGAGAGGATGGATGGATAGATGGATGGATGATTCGTTGACTCTTTCGCGGTATCAAGAGACATGTTGTCCCGAATGGCAATGAAAAAAAAAAAAACAAACAACGACCACCTGCCTGTCCCCTGGTCACAATTGATCAATCAACTCAGTCAACTAACCTATATATATATACATTTTTTTTTGTTTAAACTATAGAGGAGCATCAAATACAATTAGATATGCAATGGATAGAGAAAGAGAAGAACAAGTTGAGAGAATATTCTTTATAGCCAGTTTAACATTACATGGTTTTACTGCATTGGCATTGACATTGGCATTGAACCATCAAAGAAGATATAGATCAAACTCTTCCAAACAAAAAACTACACACAAAGAATCAGATCCATTGATTCCACCCGACCAACAAGGCTCTGCTAAATTAATTACCACTGTCAAGAGAAATATTACCCTTCCCGAAATCATCTTTTTATTATGTTTTATTTGTTTCTTAACTTTTCTTTATGTTGAAATTGTGTATGTAAAAATAGAAAAGAAAAGAATATAATGATAGGTACTAATATTTAAATTATTATTTTATTTGTTTCTTTTTAGAGAGGAAAATACAGTTTTTTATTATATTTTATTGGGATTCTTTATACTTCAACATATTCCAATTCTAATTTTAGTATTGATGATTAGTTTTACAAGATCTGGAGGTGAAGGTCCAACCTTTAAAAGTAGAATATTTTTAATTTTGGGTGCCATTTTCAATATTAGCAATTATCTTCCATTATTTGTTTGGTCAAAATATTTACCCGGTAGGTAACAATATTTATATATATATATGTATTCCAATCAATTTATAAACCTTTACTCATTCACTATCTTTCAATTAATTTAGGAGGATGTCCATTATATGTATTTAGTTTTGTTGATTTAATTCAAATATTTGATTTTGCATCACTTTTATTCTTCTTTTTATTCTTGCGATCAGAATATGTTAGAAATGTTGAAGAATGTATTTGGACTGCTGTCAGTCAAATTCAAGTATGTCAAAATAATACAATACACCTGTGTAAATTAATTAAATAATTAAATATATTTATTTTAATTTTTAGGATACATTTGATTTTAGATTATTCTAAAACACTACAATATACAACTTCCTACCAAAAAGTACACAACTCACACAACAACTACCATCATGATCCACTTATCAACAATATATTTTGAAAAAGGATTGTTGGCATGTTTTTTTTTTTTATTATAATGAAACCTACCTACTGTTATTATTAGATTGGAACAATAAGGAGGAATGATATCATTAGGATCTATTTTAGTTAAATATTGACCAAACATTGATATTCATTGTACCTATTTTCCCACAACACAAGTGTACACAACAAACAACAAACAACAAACAAACAAAAGAGTCAAGTTTATAAAGTTTGATCTATCCCTCCCCCAAACCCAACCCAACCCAACCTCATTATCATCATATTTGAATTACAACAACTAATTATTATTCTCATCCAACAACAACAACAAATACCAAAAGTTCCATTTTTTTTTTATTCAAAAATGGATTGGATCCCTTCCCTCCTTCCTTCAACAACACTGATGAAAATCAATCAATCAATCAAAAGATCATGATCAATAAACAGTGTCCAACTCACATACACATATGTGTGCAGATAAAATTACGAATTAATTAATCAAAATGAGATCTTCTCAATTTCCAAGAATTCAATTAAATTCTTGATGTTTTTAAGTATGATATCATAACTGACGAGTTCAAATCAATCAGATGATTTAATTTACAAAAATGTCAACAAAGAGAAAAGAAATAGTAGAAGAAGATAATAAACAACAAATAAAGATAGTTAAAAGAGAAAAAGAGAGTGTATCTAAATATTTTGAAAAGTTACCTTCTACTTCTACTTCTACTTTGATTGATAAAAAGATTAATCATAAAACGACAGTTGTTAGATTACAAAGAAAGAATGGTGTAGTGATTCAGGATTGTGATCTTTATATTGGTAGAAGAATTAAAAGAGGTGGATGGGATCTACCTCAATCCAAATGGCACAATCCTTTTACTAGAGGCGTATGATATCGACATCGATGGATAGATAGATAGATAGATTGTAATAATTATTTTGATTTAATTATTTATAATTCTTTCTTTCTTTCTTTCTTTCTCTTTTGTTGTTTTTTAAACAATTATAGAATAGTGATGGATTATATGATATTGTAAACAAATATGAACAACATGTTAGAAAGAATAAAGAATTGATGAATTCATTGGAAGAGTTGGTTGGAAAACGATTGGGTTGTTGGTGTAAAGGAAAAGAACCAGGTGTCAATCCATGTCATGGCGACATACTTGTTAAATTATTAAATGAACATTTATTATTAAAAAAAGAGGAAGAGGAGAAGAAAAAGATAAAAGAAAAAGAACAACAACAAAGTGATAATAATATTATCATTAAAGATCAAAAGGTAAATTATTATCAACAAGAAGAAGAAATAGAGGAGGAGGAGGAGGAGGATGAGGATGATGATGATGAATAATAAGAGGATATCGTTATTAATGATCATCTCTACATGTAAATAAAATTATTATTAATAAATAAATATATATATATCATTATTTAATTTCCACTTTTTTTTTTTTTTTGATGGTACATCCACCTTTTCGTCCGGATATCATTTAATGGTGTCTGGACAAACTCTACACTTTTAATTGGAATCGGTTAGGATAATGACCATGGTTGATGATGCGTAGACAAGGTTGAGGGGGTATAGATCAAATACAGATGGATCCATTTTGATAGTGATTAAGAGAGAGAAATATTTATTTTAAAAATGTTTAGCAATGGAATGATCCTAAACTAATATTTTAAAACCCATATCACCCCACTCTTTAGACTGTAATGTTGGTTAGCAGTGTGTGTGTGTGATGAGTGTAAAGAAGGGTGTGAAAGAAGAAGAATAGTCCTGACATTTTTTCATACTCCCACACAACTCACTCCCTCTCTCGATGAAAATATGATGACTGATGATGCAATCATATCAAAAACAACTACTCCTCCTCCTCTTCCTCATCGTCGACCAATCTCTTTTTAAAATTGGTGGTAGTATATATGATATGAGTGTGTTGTTTGTGGAAGTATTAAGTAGTAGTTTTTTTATTAATCATTTTTCTATCTTTCTTTCTTTAAATATTCTATTTTATTTCTATATATATATATAAATATTAATATATAATTATCTTTGTCCATCCACATTTGTATTCATATTTTCAACATATATTAATAATTATATATATAAATATTAATATTTAGAAAGGATAAATTTATTTTTTTAAAAAATGATAAAAAATCATCATTGTCGTGGATCACTATCACCACATCATTCAACATTTGTATTTAGTTTATACATTATCGCAATTGTATTACTTTCAATTATATCTCATTCCAATCATCAGGTCAATGGAGAACTGATTGAATACTCGGTCAAGGGATTACACGTTGAAGGAAAGTTTATCAAAAATGGAAAGGGAGAAGTCATCCAGTTGCGTGGTGCCAATCGTCCCGGCACGGAATACTGTTGCGTGCAGTACGGAAAGATATTTGACGGACCGTCAGATATGGATCATCTCAAAGAAATGGTTAATTGGAACATCAATGCAGTCCGTGTGCCACTGAATGAAGACTGCTGGCTCGGTTTACACGCCAAGGAGAGTGACCACTTTGGAGCAGCCTATCGCAAGGCCATCACACAGTACATCAATGATATTACAAGTCTCAATATTGCCGTCATTATCGATTTGCATTGGGCTGGTGATGGAGGAGGTAGTATCTTGGCAGAGAAACAAATTCCAATGCCCAACAGTGTCAACTCTCCCACTTTTTGGAAGTCGGTTGCCAACACATTCATCGATAATACCGCCGTCCTCTTTGATCTCTACAACGAGCCATATCCATACGGTAACGATTGGGACAGTGAAAATGCCTGGAAGTGTTGGAGAGATGGAGTAGACTGTGGTGACACCATCACCTATAAACCAGCCGGCATGCAACAACTCGTCAGTGCCGTCCGTTCAACCGGTTCAAAAAATATAGTCATTCTTTCTGGTATTCAATATGCCACATCTTTAACAAAATTCCTTCAATATATTCCTGTTGATCCAATTAGTATGTATAAACAAAACAAAACAAAACAAACCAAAATATTTAATACATACATATATTAATTTCTACTATTTTTTCTATTTCTATTTCTATTTTTTTTTTAGATCAAATGGGAGCAGCAATACATTCATATGATTTTAATTTTTGTAGATCAAGAGGATGTTGGGATACTTATCTTAGACCAGTGTTTGAGAAATATCCAATTGTAGCAACCGAGACTGGACAACGTGATTGCAAGACGGATTTCATTCGTGATTTCCTTCACTATTGTGATCAAAATGATATCCATTATTTGGCATGGTCATGGTTGGTAGCTCCATGTGACAATCCATCGCTTATTACCGACTATGACGGCACACCAACTGTGTATGGTCGTGGTCTAAAGTTGCATCTCAACGCACTAGCCAACAACGAAGAGCCATTCTACAGTGACACATTTGATATGTTTAACGACAAGTTTACACATTGGGTTGACAATTGGTCCACCGACAAGGCAATGCTCTCCAACAGCTCAGATGTCGTTCACGAAGGTGAATATGCCATCTTTTATCATCCAGAGACTGACCAAACACTCCATCTTAGATGCTGGGGTTGCGTACAAACCGATATTCACAAGCAGGTAGAATTCTGGGTTAATGGTGGATTCCAAGGTGGTCAACAACTCGATCTATGTCTTTTACAACTCAACGAAGACGGTAGTAACACGGTGATGCAAACCTTTTCACTTGACTCTTTGCTTGGCCAGTCTATCCCCGCCGACAAGTGGGTCAAGGTGATAGCCGATCTCGGTGCACTTCCCAAAGGCACACAATACGATGGTATCTGGTTGAAACCACCCAATGCAACCTATCAATCACCTCTCTTTGTCGACAAGGTCACTATCCGTGCCTATATCGACCCACCAATGCCTGCTGAATGGCAAGATCAATCTGAAGAATCATCTTCTTCAAAATTAATAATAATGACTCAAAAATTATTCTTCACAACTATTATTTTATTATCTTATTTTTTATTATTTTAAATAATACTAAGAAATCATAAATTTTAATAATATTAATAATAATAATAATAATAATAATAATAATAATAATAATAATAATAATAATAATAATAATATAGTATTTTTTTTTAAATGAACCAATTATAATCAGTTTATAAAATTTAAAACCAAACTTATATAAAAAAAAATTAATTATAAAAACTTCTTCTTCTTTCCTACTTCCATCATTTTTATTATTTTTTACTTTTTAAAAAAAGAATGAATAATAATAATCAAATAATTGATAGAGATAATAAAAATAATAATTTTATGATTTATGAAAATGTAAAAGAAGAATTAAAACAATTATTAAGATTATATCAATTTCAAAAAACAAAGGTACTAGATAAAGAATTATATTTAGAATCAATTCAAACATGTCATGATAAATATCAACATCAACTTGGAGGATTGGATCTATTATATTGGGAGAATAAATATAAATTTAATCTATTCAAGTTTAATCTAAAGAAATTACAATACAAAATTCAAACAAATAATCAAAATATTACTATTGTAAAGAAATACAAGAATTATCAAATGATTTAAATTTTTTTAATAATAATTTAAATATTGAATTGTAAGTAAAAATAAATAGAATAGAATAAATAGTTATGAATCTAATATTTCTTTATTTTTTTAAAGAGAAGGATATTCAAATCAATATCAAATAATGGAAAATGTTAAAAATGAATTGGATAAATTAATTATTAAAACAAATGATGATATTAATATTGAAAAAACTTATAGTTTAATTAAATTTAATAGATTATCTCAATGTATGAAATAAAATCATATTGATTCAAAAAAAAGAGTATTAATACATTTTTTTATTTTTTGTTTAGATCAAGAAATGGAAGAGATTGAAGAAATTAAAGTAAAAACATCACAAGATCAATCAAGTCAATCAACACAATCAATAGATTCAATTGGTGAAAGTGGAGAAGCAATATTATACAATTTAGATAGAGAAATTCAAGACTTGGAATCAAAATTAAAAGATTCTCAATCAGCTTTTGATAATGCTGAAAAGTCATATCAAGAATTACAATCAAATCTTCATTTAAAAAACAATCAGTATCAACAATTATTATCACAATTTGATAAATTAAAACAAGAATTTAATAATATTAATTAATAATTTATTTTTTAAAAAGTAATCATAATAATTGATAATAATAGTATTAATAAAATTGGATATTGAATAAAGGAAGCAACACTTTCTTCAGAATCTTCATAGGCGGAAGGAATGGGTGGATCAATTTTGGCACGAACAGTAATCTTGTCTAGATACATTGGAGATTGATCACCTTCGGTTGGGTTGACCCAAATACCATCATAGACGACATCTTGTGGAAGACCTTCTAGATCAATGACAGCCTTTACCCAAGTGTTGGCTTGAATTTCTCCACCGTCAATGATGTCGCGGATTTGGTATGATTGGATAACCTTGCTACTTTGCTCTGCTTCGTCCAAATGTAACAACTCGATTTTGACTTGTTGACCACCTTGTTGTCCACCGTTGATGTAGAGTTCGATGGTCTTGTGGATTGATGGGTCGATGCAACCCCAACAACGGAAATAGAGGGCAGCGTTGGCAAGTGGTTCATAGTAGATGGAATATTTGCCTTCATGTGCGACAGAAGAGTCGTCGAAACGATGGACAGTGGTGTTTCCAGAAAAATCTTCAAAACGATAGGTCAAACGGTCATTGTAAATATCAAAGGTGTCTGTGATAAATGGCTTCTCACCATTGGCAATGGACAACAAGTGTTCACGGTATCCTCTACCAAAACCAGTTGGATGGCCATCATACTCTGTAATCAAAGCTGGACCTTCGCAACCAGCCTTTAGCCATGACCATGCCAAATAACCAATGTTGTTTTGATCGCAATATGTTAAAAAGTCACGGATATAGTCATTTTTACAATCACGTTGTCCAGTCTCCGTGGCAACAATTACATGTGATTCAAGTACTGGTTTTAAATATCTATCCCAACATCCTTTTGATCTACATTTGTTAAAATCATATGAATGTAATGATGCTCCTAAATTATCTACAAAAAAAAAAGAAAATTGATTAATTATTTTTTTAAATCTTAATATTTTCTATTTCTATTTTTTTAACTTACTTAATGGATCTTCTGGAGCATATTGATTAAATAAAGTTAAAGAGGTAGAATAAGAAACACCACCAGTAAGGATGATATTGGAAGCACCAGCTTCACGAACAACATCAACAAGACCTTGCATACCAACTGGTTCAAAATTGACATCCTTTCCACAATTGACTCCATCTCTCCAACATTCCCAAGCGGCGGGTGACTCCCAACCGATTTTTGAACCCTTTCCATCATCATATGGGTATGGCTCGTTAAAGAGATCGAAAATGACACCAGAGTTGTCTTTGAAAGAGGCGGCAACCGATTTCCAGAATCGTGGAGAGTTTAATTTGTTTGGCATGATTTCTTGTTTGATAGCCTTGGACTTTCCACCATTGGCACCGGTCCAATGGAGATCGATAATGACGGCGAGGTTGTGGTGAGTGAGCAACGTCACCCAGTTGATGATTGCTTTTCGGTAGGCGTCACCAAAGTATTCAGTCTCTGGCCCATTGGTTCCAAGCCAACAGTCTTCATTCAATGGCACACGGACTGCATTGATGTTCCAATTCTTCATCTCGGAAACCGAGTGGGCGTCAAAGGGACCGTCAAAGATTTTCTTGTGTTGCACGCAACTGTATTCTGTGCCAGGACGATTGACACCTCGAATAAAAATATTTTTTCCATCTTCATTGACAATCTTTAGACCATCAATCTTTAATCCTTTCATTGATAATTCTTTTCCATCTTGTGAATCTTGTCCAAAGATTATACCAATATAAAATATTACAAATAATAAATATATATAATATTTAAACATTTTTTAAAAAATTAAAATTATAAATTATAAATTATATTATTACTATTATTATTATTACTATTTATTACTACCTATCACAAAAATAACTATGGAATGATAATATTACAAAAAAAATAGAAATATAATTTTATATATAAATAATAAATAAAATAAATTAATGATTAGAGGGTAGAGGTGGTACAAGGATTGTTTGTGATTATTTTTGTGGATAAAATAAATTATAGAAAAAGATTGACAAATAAAGAAACAAGGCAGAGAGGAGAGGAGGTAATATTTCATTAAATTGTATCACCAAACTTATTCCATATAAATATTTTTGGATTGTTGTTGGACAAGGGAGGATAGAACCATCATTTTAGAAAAAGGAAGAATTGTAATTCTAAATTACATAATACTCTTTTTTCTACTACCCACACTGGTCACATGTGAGTGTGTGCGAGTGGTGGTTGTGATGTTAATATTATTTTTTGGTTGTATACAAATAAATGATAAATGATAATCTATTATCTTTTCATCACACTCTTTCCTCTTTACTCCCCCCCCCTTTTTTCTTTTGAACATGCCAAGATAAATCTCTTGTTATTGACTACAAATAAACAAAAGTTGATGTGTGTGTTTGAAAAAAGTCAGTCTTGTCAGCTCATCTCTTGAATTATTATTATCTTATCTCTCCAACATGTTAACATTGGTGGTGTGTGAGTGGGGTTCGAATTGGTAAATCTTTTACCCCCCCAACCAAACACCGCTGTTTAAATCTTTTGGATATGCGGGAAAAGAGGTGATATATATATAAGCGCATTAGGATATAGTTGGTAGGAAGACGTCGTATTCAATCTAAAAGGACTTTTAAAATAAATTAATTTTAATAGATGATATTGATGGTGATGATGATGAGGTTTGGTACATCTATATATATTTACGTTTAGAAACATTCAATATAGTCTACATTTGTTGTTATGATAATCCTACCGTCATATGATGATGATGATGATCATGTCATCACCTTTACCAAATAAATATTGTATATTGCATGATTGTGTTATGTAGTACTACGAGAAGAAGAAGAATTGTCAGAGTAATATTGTTGTTTACAAAATACAATTCAATGACGATAGATTAAATGAAATGACGATGATCTAATTATTTGATTTCAAAAGAAATTTATGATTTACAAGGAATATTTGTATTTATAAATTGGTGACGCGGCTAATACAGATTGAGAGGTGACTTTGAAGGGCTGAATGGGTGAACTAGGAATGACCGATATAGTGAGCCAAGTTCAAGTAAATTAATATAGAAGATCGTTGTCACAGTATCTCTTTACTTTTTATAAGAAGAACTAAAACTAATAGTCGGGTTGTTGGTGTGATTTAAAATACTTGGAAGTAACTTTTTTCATATAACTATTATATTATATAGTAGGATTAACTAGAGACTAGGTAGGTAGGTAGGTAGTTGTGTGTTGTAGTACATTGACTTTTATAAACATCATCAGAATATCTGAATCAGCTTTCCTTTCATTGTTCACACACACAAAGAGAGAGAAGATAATAATAATAATGATTATAATCCGATCGGAAATGGTTTTCAAGACCCCATTCTCCAGAATGAGATCGGCTGAGACAAGCAGCTGCTCGGGTGGTTCCAAAAATTGTGCCAATTTCAAGTAAAGTATGTACCATTATAATTATTAAAAATACTATCACCTCGTTGTTTGTTTGTTGTAACTTTATATTATTAAACATACTCAAGAGTTTGATTCCTCATCAATCTCTTCTCTTTTTATCTACCTCTATCACACACACATTTTTTTTTTATTATTTTAGTTACTTTAATTTTATTTATTCCTCCTATTATTGTTGTCTTTGTTTAATACTACTATATACATATATACATTAAATACATACATATAATAATATATACTATACTATATACCGTACAACTCTCCCTCTCTCTTTTACACTATTTAATTTAAATTCTAGATTTTAATTTATTTTCTTTCGAAAAACACAAACAATGACAACGATGGACAAAAACAGCAGTGCTCAAGTCGATCGCGACCAATTGCTTCCTTCCACATTAGTTTCAGCCACACTCTCTTCATCAACATCAACATCATTATCATCCACCATTCCTCATGCTTATCATCATTCACCAAGATCGGTATTGAATCAACCTACTAGAACATTACTAGCTCCACCATTAACTTTAATTAATAATAATAATAATAATAATAAACAAACTACAAATACTGCTATTACTACAACTACAACTCAACAACAACAACAACAAAAGAAAAAGAGTAATAATAAGAAGAAAATGAATGGTTCAGATTCAGATGATGATTCTGATCTAGTAACATTGACAAGAGCAGCACATGAACTAGACATTAAAAACTTTCAATTTGACTATACCAATTCATCATGTACGGCATCTAATTCTTCACAATCTGAGGATATTGAATTGATGGTTAGATCAACCTCTTTGAGAAAAAAGTATTACAACTATGGTAATGGTAATGGTTCGCTTGGTCATAATCAACATTTAATTCGTCCCCCAATCTCAACGATGGTTAATAATAATAATAATATAAAGGATGATGATCCTCATCATCAATCGATTATTGAACCTAACGCAAATAATATAAATACTGTAAATTCATCTTCAACATCACCATCTGAACCATCATCATTAAAATCAAATTCATCAAGTACTAGTACATCATCAACTTCATCGTTATCACCCAATTCTACGCCACCAATCAATTCATTACCACCAAATAATAACAATAACTTTGATACTGTCACACCAAACACTGTAAATAATCATAATATTAATCATACCATGACTGCAAGCTCTGTAACCAATCTACAACCACAACAACAAAAAAGAAACAACAACTATAACAAGATAATGATTGGTGGAGTTGAAATTGATCGTAGTACTCCAGTCAATTTCAATGTTGGTGGTAGTATATTTGCCACATCTCTAAACTCTATACTCAAGTGTCGAAACTCTGTCCTCTACAAAATCGTTGAAATGCAAATCAATGTTGTCGCAGAAGATGACACTATCTTTATCGATCGTAATCCAAACTATTTTTCATGTATCTTGGACTTTTTAAGAACTGATAGATATTTCTCACCTGTTGGTATCAATACAAAAGGTCTATTAATGGAAGCTGAATTCTTTGGTATTGAAGAATTGGCTGCTGCTATTCGTGATGAACCTGAAATTACTCGTAGTGATATAATTAATTTAATTAATTCGTACATATCAAACATTTAAAAAAAAATATTATTATTTTATTTATTAATATTTATTTTTCCTTTTTCTTTTTATAGATGTTATGATTATCCAAGATTTAGAGGATTATGGTTAACAAAATTAAATTTATCGGGGTTGGATCTTAGTTGTGCATTATTTGAATTTGCCAATCTTTCCAAATCCATTATCAAATCGACCAATGTTCAATCTGCCAATTTTGTTGGATCCAATCTAGAAGGTTGTTTTTTCGATAGCAACTATGGTATTGGTGTTAAATTCTCAAATGCTAAAGTTTATAATGCTACCTTTACAAATAATGTTTTATATGAAACTATTGCTTACAATACAAATTTTAATGGGTATGAAAAAAAAAAGAAAAAAAAAGAAAAAAAGAAAAGTTTACTAATTGATTTAACTTATTTATTTTGTAGATCTGATCTAAGAGGAACAAAGTTTGCATGTTCAGATTTATCAGGATCAAAATTTACAAATTGTAAATTGGAAGGATGTGATTTCTCTCATTGCGATTTGACAGAGGTTCATTTTACAGGATCTACTTTTGATAAATCATCCAACCTTAGTTGTTCAACCATCAAAGATTCAACCATTTTCGATAATACCAATCATGAAGTAGCAATTAGAAAAAAGGGTTGGAAGAAACCAAAAACTATTAGAAATCGTTCAAAAGTACTTTCAACTATACCTGGAATGGGATAAAGATAGGATAAAGATAAAGGTGTATCATCCACCTTTTGGGTTTTCAAATTATCTTCTTTTTTCTTTAATCATTCTCAAAGAATAAATTCAAACAATGGTTTCTCAATTTTTAAAAAAAAAGTAGTATAGTACACATCATCAATCATTAATTTTAGGTCAAAAAAACTGATCAGTTTTTGGTTGTATGTTCATTGTCATCGAAATAACTAAAAGAGATTGAGGGAAGAGGGAAGCTGTTGTTTTTGCGAAAGACTTGATTCTTGAGAAATCGAATTGAAAAATATCTATCACCGTGTCGTTGTTTGTTTTTTTGTTTCAGTTTAGAGGACGACGGTCGTCTGAGCATATGCACTATGACATTACCTAGGCTTATCTTAACATCAGCCATTGATTTTTTTGTAAAAAATCAGCTCACAGACCCCAGATATTTTTTTTTCCAAAGCAATTCTCATCCCAACCCAAAAGTAGAATGGTGGCAGATGACAAACACACCCTTATTTTTAATTTTTTCTTTATTACCACCATCTATTTAAGACCCCACTCTTTCACCATCATTTGTATAAACATCATCACAATCATCATACAATAATAATATAATATATCTATCTTATTATTATTATATTATCTATCTCTACTTTCTATTTTTAAAAAAAATAACTATCTATTTAATTTAATTTAATAATGTGTGGAATTTTAGCGATTTTAGGATCATCTGAATCACCTCAACAATTACGTAAGAAGGCATTATCATTGTCTTCACGTATTCGTCATAGAGGACCAGATTGGAACGGTGTATTCTCCTCTGGTGATTCTATCCTCACTCATGAACGTCTTGCCATTGTCGATCTCGAAAGTGGTGCTCAACCATTATTAAACGAAGATGAAACCATTGCCTTGACCGTCAACGGTGAAATCTACAACCACAAAGCACTCAGAGAACTATATCTTTCAAGCGGAAAGCATACATTCAAGACTCATAGTGATTGTGAACCAATTCTTCATGCTGTAAGAATTATAGAAATATAGAAATATATAGAGAATAAGACAGAGTATAATATACTAATCACATCTTTCTATTATTATCTTAGTATGAAGAAGAAGGTGACAACTTTGTAGATTCTCTTAGTGGTGATTTTGCATTTGTATTATATGATACCAAGACCAAGAGTTATTTAGCTGCTCGTGATCCAATTGGTGTTGGTATGACAAAATCAAATATCTATAATCATTCATATATATATATTCTAATTTCTTTTCCTTTTTGTTTTTTTTTCTTATTTTTCTTTTAGTACCATTATATATTGGATGGGGAAAAGATGGATCAACATGGTTTGCAAGTGAAATGAAAGCATTGAAAGATGATTGTGTAAGATTCCAATCATTCCCACCAGGTCATTATTATTCAAGCAAGACCAAGGAATTTATTAGATATTATAACCCCAAGTGGTTTGATGAACATGTACCAGAGTTCCAGACCGAAGCACAAGCATTGGCATTGATCAAAGAGTCATTTGAAAAGGCTGTTGTATCGAGAATGATGTGTGATGTTCCATATGGTGTGTTGTTGTCGGGTGGTCTCGACTCGTCGCTTGTAGCATCGATTGCATCGCGTCACGCCGAGAAGCGTACAGAAGACAATGAGCAATCGCCTGCTTGGTGGCCACGTCTCCACAGCTTTTGCATTGGGTTAAAGGACGCACCCGATCTCGCCGCTGCTCGTGACGTTGCCAAGTACTTGGGTACTGCTCACCATGAATTCAACTTTACCGTACAGGAAGGTATCGATGCGCTACCCGACGTCATTCGTCACCTCGAGACGTACGATGTGACCACGATCCGTGCCTCGACACCCATGTATTTCTTGTCGCGCAAGATCAAGGCTATGGGCGTCAAGATGGTCTTGTCGGGCGAGGGCTCAGACGAGGTCTTTGGCGGCTACCTCTACTTCCACAACGCTCCCTCCAAGGAAGAGTTCCACAAGGAGTGTTGTCGACGTATCAAGGCACTCCACAACTTTGATTGTCTGCGTGCCAACAAGTCGACCATGGCCTGGGGTGTCGAAGCTCGTGTGCCATTCCTCGACAAGCACTTCCTCGAGACTGCCATGGCAATCGACCCAGTCCACAAGCTGTGTACCGATCCCGAGGGCAAGAAGCGTATGGAAAAGTATATCCTCAGAAAGGCCTTTGCTACCACTGGCGCCGAGAAGCCATACCTCCCAGACTCTGTCCTCTGGAGACAAAAGGAACAATTCTCTGACGGTGTCGGATACAGCTGGATCGACGGTCTCAGAGACCACGCCGAATCTGAAGTCAGCGATGAAGAATTTGCCAAGTGTGACATTTACTTCCCAGATGACACCCCAGCCACCAAGGAAGCTTTCTTTTACCGTAGAATCTTTGAACAAATCTTCCCAGGTCAACAATGTCGTGAGACTGTCGCCCACTGGGTTCCAACTTGGGGTGCCTCTTCTGATCCTTCTGGTCGTGCTCAAAAGGTTCATCTTCAAACTACCCTCTAATCCAAACATCAACAGTTCTGTTGGTGATCTACAAATTAATATTAATAACGTTAATAATAATAATAATAATAATAATAATAGTAAAAGTTTAAAAAATTTAAATAAATTTAATCATTATATATTTGATGTAATTTTTTATAGATTTAAAAATCGAGTTGATGATTTATATTTGTTGAATATCATTTTGTTTACTGGTAATTGTTGATACTCTTAAATGACTCTTTCCACATCCAAAGTGCTACATGTCCCTCTGATCAATAGCCGCCTGCAGTCTAGCCGTACTTTGACATACATGGCTTAATCCTTGAAACAAGCATATGACTGCCTGGCAGGATAAACAGTTAAGCTTACCCCTTTAAAATCCAAGACGCCAAGGCAAATTGACCTTTTGTGGAAGTTTCGTTCAGTATTTGTATGCATTACCTGTTCATCAGTAATTCTAACGTCTTGACACAGTTTAATTTGATTACATGTCTCATTTAGTAGTCTACCTAGCAGATATTGTTAGGTGAATGGTTCATTAAGTAATATTCTTTCAAGTGATATTCATTGGAGTTTGCGCACAATATTTTGCGATGATGGCGGTTGTTTTGATAATGCAGACATCTTAAAGTCAGGATGGTGTAGTTGGTTATCACAAAACCTTAACACGGTTTGGGTCATGGGTTCGATTCCCATTCTTGATAAATCTTTTTGTTTTGCTGGCCTCTGTATTTTTTTTTTCCACATCTTGGCTCTCCTGACTGTCTACTATCGTTTTATCCAACTTTTATCGTTTTCCGTTGAATCCTGATAGAAAATTAGTGGGCAAAAAAAAAAGATTGGATTATTTTTTTGCCTGCACTCTTTTGGTGAGTCTCATTTACATGAACTAATAGTTTTCCTACTCCAATTAACCAAAGATGGGGAGATTTGCTGAAACATATCTGGAATAATATGGGGATTATTTATGACATTTTTTTTTTTTTTTAATTTTCTTTAAATTATTTATTTATGATTTTTAAATATTGTGCATTTGATAATGAACACAATAGTGACACTATCGTCACTAATAGATACCAGTAGAGTTTGCTATTGTGACAGTTGAACCTAGATTTGAACATCGTTCACCTCGAGATGTTGGCCTCGTGTAGTATAAGTAGGGGGGGGGATGTAATGCACTAGTGGTAAATTACACTGGTAACTGTTGTTCCAAATCACCCTTTTATCTCAACCAATGTTTCATCAGGTACATTAATAAGCCAATAATATAAAATCAATTATCATTAATTATAATCTTTTAAAGAAGAAGGATGATGAAGAAGAAGAAGAAAAAGAGGAAATGGATGAAGATGATGATGATGAAGAAGTGATGAAGAAATCCAAAAATCAATTTCAAAATCTGAAAAGAAATTAAAATCCCTAATGTTTGAAAGTGATGACGAGAAGAAGAAATAAATAATAAGGAGATAGATTTTCTTCTCTTCAAATGTTCTTGGCACGATCCTCTCGCTATTTTTTTGCCTTTTTCTCTTGCAGGAAAATGATTCACTATTATTATTATTATTATTATTATTATTATTATTATTATTATTATTATTATTATTATTTCTACTTTGATCATTTACTATTCTTCTTTGGTGGTAAAGATGGTTCATAAATCTACCAACGCGACCATATACCTGAGTTGTATCAAGATATATGTCGGTTGTTTCCAGTTTGACCAAATGACTATTTGATTCATCTGTTAATAATACTATAACCAATCCAATCTTGAATGTCAATCAAAGTTTGATCAATGGTTGTTGGTGAATTGGTTGAAATGTTATTATTACTAGAATTCTTGTTTAGATTATTAGTATTATTAAAAGTTGGAGGAGTGGTGAGTGTGATTGATTGAATGACACGTATCATAACGACATAGTGTAATGATGATAAATACAAAAATGTTGATGAAAAGTTTGAGTGTCAACAGATGGTTTCCAACTTGTTGAGTAAAAGGTTGGCATCGAATGGTGACGCAATATTCATTCGGTATTTTTGTACTTGACTCTGACCCCTCCAATCTCGATCCTTTCTTGACAATAATAATCGAATATTTGTCAACTTACATGTGATGATGGTCACGATGGTTGTTCTGAGTTATTATTATTATTATTATTATTATTATTATTATTAATTTTAGATGGGGTATGATTAATTGAAAGATGACATCATCTTTCTCTTCAGTTTGATTGTAGATGTGACACACCTTGAGATGAAATGGCGTGATGTGGTTCTTGAGATGGTACTGACGATTATACTGAATATTGCATTTTAGCGGTGAGGACTCGAATCTATTTTCGGTAGGATCAGACTGTGGTGTCTCATCACTTGATTCGTTCTTTTAACACTGCATCGGCGGGCTTTCGTTAAAGTAGATTGTTGTTTTGTGTCTGCTGTAGTTGAACATTCAGTGGTGAGGATGTTGTCGTTTTCGTGATATCATTGTCGTGGATGTAGATGATATGGTGGAACGTCATTCATCTCTACCTGTGGTCGGGGTTGATGTAGTACCTAGCTCCTCTATTCTCGTATATCCATTTGACAATGTGCACGTTGGCATGCTCGATTGCGTGCTTTAATGTTTTCGTAAAGGTATTATATTATTATTACTATTATTATTATTATTGTAGTTGTTGTTGTCTTGGCTTTGATTCTCTTCTTCTTTTCCTTCTTGTCATATGATGTGATGATGATGATGATGATGCATTCCTCATTCTCGATTAACTTCTTATCTCTTTTTGAATGATATCAATATTGTCCTTACAATCATCGTCCAATTGTGTGTTGTCTCTACCTCAGGTACAGAGACAGATAAACACCAAACTACCATCATTCTTTAATTATAACACTTTCCTATAAATGAATAGTCTGACTATTTGGGTTGGTTGGACGATCGACTGGAGCAAATCCCTTGACAGTCGTCGTCGTATCGCTCGAGTAGCTCACATCGTTTTCTTCATCCTCGTCATTGTCAATGGATACGCAGATGGAAAGAAAGTAGAATGATTCGAATATTCCATCTCCATCTTTCACATCAACTTTTCTTTTGAAACCTCTCCACTTCATCGGTTGTAGTTGCTGCTGGTAGTTGCAGTTGCTGCAATTGTTGTTGTATGTAGACGGTCAACTGCAATAATTTGATTGTTGTTTTGGTTAAAAGAAATCTGCTTCCACCGAATCGAAATGGTGATCATAATAAATTTAAAATTAATTTAATACAATTTTTTTTTTCAACTTGATCGATAGTCGTCTGGATCAACAATTATAAAAGGATTAGAATAAAAAGATGAATACAAAAGAATGAATAATTACTATAGTAATAATGAATAGAATATAGAATGAATATCTTTATATATTCATCTTTTATTATATTATAATTAATCACCACTTTACCATCTAATCTAAAGCTATTATGATTATTTATATGAATATATGGATTTAAATAGACAAGAATACAACTACTTGACAATCTCTTATTATTAAAATGTAACCATTTTCTATATTCTGTATAACATTTTAAACAATACCACCATGATCACCTTTGTCTCCCTTATCATCCACCGTACCATTATTTTTCATCTCCATCCATACGGTAATCACTCTTACCCTTAATAGGATTGTCATGCTCGAGAATATAATATCATATTATTGACCTCTAGTATAAAATATCTTTGTGATTATCATCTGTCACCAATCCTATAAATCTCATCTATTTTTCTATTTAATTTTCTCCATTAATTACATCTATCTCTTCTACCAATTCGTCTGCCTCTGCATCCAACCAGAATATTATTTTTATCTCTTGTTGGGATTGGTTTAGTTAAGTCATTTTCATTTCTATTGTTTCCCAATCATCTTTTCTTTGAACATCTTAGTTGTTTCATGTTTTATATCTGATGTCAACACAAAGCAAAATGATCATTCATGAATCTCATTCTTTTTTTGTAACATTATTTTACTGACATCTCAATACATGATCTATCGCTCCGCATCTACCTGCAATACCATGGCTCAATAGGACCCAAAACCAATGGCACATAGATCCTATCTGGAAACGACTTTTGTCAATCAATTTGAACTGATTCAGACCTAAAAAAATTAGGGTCTGTTCTCTCCTATCGGGAAGAGTAGTACTCAGAAGTTACAAAGTTTTATTAATTATACATTTTAATTGACCAGCAAGAAATAAAGATTATCTCGAGAAGAATTAAAGTTAATTTGTTCTGGGGGTTGTCCATGTCTATGATACATGTTTTATGGACGTTGATCATGTATCTTATTGTATAGTGTCAAGCTTGTTGGATTGTTTTGGATTGTAGGTTGTTCTAAAAATAAATTGGTTAAAGATATCGCTTTTTTTTTTTTTTTTTTTTTCTCAGCACTATAGGCTGTAATATTGTGTTATATAATTATTCTATGTTATTATTATTATTTAGTAAATTATTATATTATTAATATTATTATTGATAGATGAAGAGAGAGAAGAAGATGATGAAGGTGTTGAGGAGGATGAAAAGAATGAGGTTGAGGTGATCGATTATAGATGTAGTGTACGCAGAGTCTTGTACCTCTCTAAATGACTAGGTAGTGCGATCTTGTAGACAGTAGGATGGTTGTAGTTGGAGGAGAATCGAAGGATGATAGTTTGTATTCGTTCTGCAATCGTATGTATTACTGATTCATCGGTTTGGTTCATTAGAGCCAAATGCCATCGATTACATAATTCTAACGTCTTGTCCCATTTTACTTTTATAATATGTCGCATATCACTTATCAATCTAGCTCGCAGGTATTGTTCAGTGAATGGTTCATCTCTTTGGTGACGTAGATCATTACGTCGGAACCATATTCGTTCTAGTGTTGCAGCGACCAAGTTTATAGTCATTGGAGTTTGTTTGAGGTTGACGCAAATATGGCACCAACTCCGAAATTACCATACTTGCGGTGAAACCTTAAGCCTTGGGTGCGTCCAAGACCGACTGCCGCTCTCAACTCTCGCGCCGATTTACTCCCCATTGTGGACACTCGTCTTTACGTGTTGCATATTGTATTTGAGATGTCAGATGGCTTTCTATCGCGACGGCCCAGTAGGTCCTCCACTACCTTCCCGTTACTTGTTGCAGTCTGGCTACCCAATCTCCTGCTGAGAAGGGGAAACTAACCCGGTCATCCTTCCGTGGGGGTGTCCTGTCTCTAGATCCCTAGAGTCGGATGGTTTTTCTCCTCAATCCCCCCAATTGTGTCAAGTTAAACGTTGGCGCCAAAGGTAAAGTTCGAGGGCAGGATTCGAACCTATGACCTTTACGTTCCCGGGATCGCACACTCCCGACTCACTTGCCACGCCATGCCCTATTAGGGCGGCTGCCGGGGGGTCAAATATTTAATTTGGGAAATGGCACATATCAGTTCCCTTTTGGTCTAGTGGTGAGGATTTTCGCCTGTCACGCGAAAGGCCCGAGTTCAATTCTCGGAAGGGGAGATCCTTTTTTCTTTCTTTTTTTGCCCCCTGCCGCCGCAGCCGCTTGTTTTCATGTTTATCGTGTTCTCCTCTTCATTTACTATCGATCCATCAAGGTTTCATTCATTTTCATCAAATCCTCGCCGCGAAATCAATAAAAATACATTTTGGTAAAAAAAAAAAGTTTTAACTCCTTTTTAATGTTTATCGTGTTATCCTCTTTATTTCTGATAGATTCATCAAAGTTTCATTCATTTTCATTAAATCCTAGGGGAAAAATAATCAATTCAGACCACCAACAATTTAGAGAGATATTTGATTAAAAGATGTAAAAGTAGACCTTGGAACCCTCCATTAAATGAAATTCCATTTTTTTGACCAAAATTGGCAAAAGTGTTGGATATTAATTATTATATAGTTCTTGTTTAAATCGTTTAAAGCACCTTTATCTACATTCATCTTAGTTCTATTTTTTTTTACCATCGACATTTTTTTTTTTCGTAGTACTTGCTTGAATGATATCTCGGTGAAGATTTGATAAAAATGAATGAAACCTTAGTAAATCGATAGAGAATGAAGAGGAGAACACGATAAACATGAAAACAAGCGGCTGCGGCGGCAGGGGGCAAAAAAAGAAAGAAAAAAGGATCTCCCCTTCCGAGAATTGAACTCGGGCCTTTCGCGTGACAGGCGAAAATCCTCACCACTAGACCAAAAGGGAACTGATATATGCCATTAACAAAAATTAAATATTTGACCCCCGGCCGCCCTAATTTTTTGGGTCTGAATCAGCTCAAATTGATTGACAAAAGTAAATTTCCAGATGATGGATCATTGAGATGTCAGAAAATTTGTAGGGTGAAAAGATCAACTTCATTTCCTCTTTCTAAATTAAAATTTCTAGAAGTTGGTGCTTGATATTGTTGTTTTGGTGCTTGATATTGATGAGTTTGTTGTTGTTGTTGTTGGTGCTTTATATTGAGGAGCATTAATAATAAGAAATAATAACTGAATTTACCTTTTAGTTATTTATTTCTATTGCAAAACAAGCACAATATGGTCCATTTTAGAAAGTTCCAAGTAAAACTTTTAATTTTAGGATATTTTTGGCTTGCAATTAACCCTCTAGAATAAAACCCCTCATGTACTGCCAAACAATCCACGAATTATCTACATTCTGAGGGACAAAGGTTGCAGTTTTATGACTGAATATAAAGGAAATCACACCCTGTAGAACTAAACCTCTCTCTTTCATTGTGGAGAGAAATGATCAAATGAATTCCTAGTTAAACTGATTATCATTTCAATACAATTGTTTTTCTTACTCTCAAAACTGTCCACAGAATGGATAAAAGGAATAAATGATTAAAGGATGCCAAATAGACCATATAAAGACTTTTCTAGTGCATAAGAGAAACAACCAAATGTAAAACAATTTTCTTTAAATCAATTTTAGACAAGCTGAATGGGGATTATTCAACATTTCTTGTAAACATTCTATACAAAACCTTGATTGTTTAGGATATTTTTTTTGCCATTTGAAAGCTTGGAAAAAAAAAACAAAAACAAAAGTCAACACTTTTTTTTTTTTCAACTAATTTTCAATCAGGATTCAACGGAAAACGATAAAAGTTGGATAAAACGATAGCAGACAGTCTGGAGAACCAGATCTGAAAAAAAAATACAGAGGCCAGAAAAACAAAAAGATTTATCAAGAATGGGAATCGAACCCATGACCCAAACCGTGTTAAGGTTTTGTGATAACCAACTACACCATCCTGACTTTAAGATGTCTGCAATGCCAAAACAACCGCCATCATCGCAAAATTTTGTAAAATAATACAGGGCATGGCGTGGCAAGTGAGTCGGGAGTGTGCTACCCCGGGAACGTAAAGGTCATAGGTTCGAATCCTGCCCTCGAACTTTACCTTTGGCGCCAACGTTTAACTTGACACAATTGGGGGGATTGAGGAGAAAAACCATCCGACTCTAGGGATCTAGAGACAGGACACCCCCACGGAAGGATGACCGGGTTAGTTTCCCCTTCTCAGCAGGAGATTGGGTAGCCAGACTGCAACAAGTAACGGGAAGGTAGTGGAGGACCTACTGGGCCGTCGCGATAGAAAGCCATCTGACATCTCAAATACAATATGCAACACGTAAAGACGAGTGTCCACAATGGGGAGTAAATCGGCGCGAGAGTTGAGAGCGGCAGTCGGTCTTGGACGCACCCAAGGCTTAAGGTTTCACCGCAAGTATGGTACTAAAATTAGAAGAAGATGGGTGCCATATTTGCGTCAACACCTTCATCTTCTTCTATTCTCTCTTCATCTATCAATAATAATATTAATAATAATAATATTTTAATTTTATTAATAATAATGATTACTTAGAATACTTATTTTTCCCACTATTACAGCTTAGAGTGCTGAGAAAAAAAAAAAAAAAAAAAAAGCGATATCTTTAACCAATTTATTTTTAGAACAAGCAACAATCCAAAACAATCCAACATGCTTGACACTATACAATAAGATACATGATCAACGTCCATATAACATGTATCATAGACATGGACAACCCCCAGAACAAATTAACTTTAATTCTTCTCGAGATAATCTTTATTTCTTGCTGGTCAATTAAAATGTATAATTAATAAAACTTTGTAACTTCTGAGTACTACTCTTCCCGATAGGAGAGAACAGGAAAAGAATTACTTTAAAAAAAATTTTTGTAAAATAATACAATAATAAAATAATAACAATATAAGAATAATATAATAATAATATAATAATAATATAATAATAATAATATAAGAAACAATAACACCCAACAACGGGGCTACAAGCCCCTATACTAACAGAAACTCTAACTATTTTAATTAAAATTAAAACAAATAAACCATAATTACTCTATTGTCCGACGACTAGAGTCCAGATTTATGAAAAAAAAAAAAAAAAAAAAATTTTGGCCGTTTTTTAAAACAAAATAATTAAACTACTAACCATTGGTATCCTTTCAGGTGTTCTTTGAGATGCAAGGAGTGTACATAGGCAGATCTGTAACTAATTAGGATGAGCTTATTCGTACTAATTTCGCATCACTATCATCTTACCATCATCAATAAGATCCAGTAATATCATGATACCTTTGAAATAGTTTCGACTGGGTCCTCCTGATGAAAAATGTCTCCTAGTTGTTTCAAATCATCTACGCATCCTCCTCAACCCACGAAGAGAACAACCATTCATTGGTTATTATATTTAAGCTAGATAGATTAGGTATGTCATTAAAGACTAAAGAATTTTATAAAAGTTGGAATTATTATTATTGTGGGCCTTTATGAATACAACCATTATACATAAATAAACGTATTCAAACTATTATCCTTTGATTAATCTTCTAGCCTTGATCATCATTCCGACCGTCTCAAAAAATAGAATATATATATTCAAGTTAAATATTATATATATATAACTCTTGAAACTCTACTTCATCACCATATTCTTCACTCCCTCTCCCTCTCCCTCTCTATCTCTATCTCTCTCTCTATTACTTTCTATATCATTAATAATAAATAATCAACAAACAATAAATGAATTGCTAAAATGGTTCACATCCTGAACTTTTAAAAAAAAAATCAATTTTATCAACTTTTGTTTCTTTTAGTTTTTTATATTAATAATTATCTCTTTATTATTTATTTTTATTTATTTATTTATTTAATTTGAATCTAAAGTCTTGATAAGATTCACCCTTCCAATTTGTATTTTGAAGGAATTGTTTAAAGGTTGATTGATTTGGTACGAGTTGATTCGAGAGTGAGGTATCACAGTACTTAAAGACGAACGGATCGAGAACAGACTTTCTGAAATTACTGTACAAGGCTTTACCCATCATTTGGTATTCTGGGGGTGCTTGGCCGAGTCCAGAGGCATCCAAAAAGTTTTGTTCAGTTTGGAAACGATAGGTGGCCTTGAGACCAGTGACCTCTGAAAATGTGCTAGCAATGGTGCCAGGTGTGAGATACTCTGCGACGACTGCAAGAGTAGCACGGTTGTACTTGACAGGGTCGTGTAAAAAGAGTGACACTACGCGACCAGTCGATGTGTATGGATCGACATAGGGAATCTTTTGGTCAACGTCAAATGGAATGGCAAACGTGAATGATTGTGATCCATCAGAAGAATCAGTCTCTACCAATGGTCTTGAGAATTCAATTAGATTACTATAGAAAAATGATAGATACATTGTTGAAACGTATTTGGTAGTAGACTTTGGATCATTGGTAGCCTTTTCTTCTAAATACTTTTGAATTGGTGTACGATAGGTGGTGGTGGAGTCATCCAAGACAGTCGTCTGATCATTTGTAAAATGACCGCTATCAGTACCAGAGATGATGATATGAGTGACTTGAGCTTCAATGGCTGCATCGATTTGTACTTGGAGGGCTGCAAATTCACGTTCTTTAAAGTTTGGTTCAAATGGAGAGACTAGAGGTTTGACCAAGAATGCTCCATAGGCACCTCTAAACACCTGAACCAATGCATCCTTGTCAGACACGTTACATTGTACTACACGTACTTGTTTCTCTTGTAATCGTGCGACTTGATCTCGACGACTGTCATCATCAACAGGTTTACTTGTCAATGCAACCAATTGATATTCATTCTCTGATACCAATGTTTTAATTACACTACTACCTTGTTTACTAAATCCTTGTGTTATAACAAATATTGGTTTTTGATTCATTTCTTTTAATAATAATAATAATATTTATATATCGAGTTGTAGAGTACTTTTTAATCATATTTATACTACTCTTGGTTGTCTTTAAAAATAAAGAGTAGTATAACAAATCATGATGTATGCAAGTTATGTTAAGTTGAGTTGGTTGATATTATTGGTTGCTTTGTCATCTATTCATTGGTGTGTCTGTTGGTGTGGTTATAAATAAAAAGCTGTGAGGTGACGATGCAATGAAACGTTTGTTATAAACGAAATTAATTAATGAAATTAAATTTTCATGAGACGAACCATCAGCTTTAAATATATTAAACTTAATATCCGATCTCAGGTTCTTCTTCATTTTTGAATTTTTTTTTTTTTTATAAAACATGTGATGAATAAAGAATCGACGATAGTTTAGTTTGTTCAAACTATCTATCTCTTTTCTCTTCTCTTTATTTATTTATATTCCAAAAAAATGGATATTAAAATATTAATATTTAAAAATAGATATATTTTTAAAAAGATTATTAAAGAGAGAAATGAATTGTACAAGACATGGTATTGGAAGGAATGTCTGTCGAGACCTTTACATTTGATGATTGCAAATGGAGAGTTTGATATGTTAAAATATTCATTGTCAAAGTACAAAGAACAACACTTTATACTATTGTCGTTTGCATTGCAGAGGTCACAGACGAGCTCGTCAGCAACACCAATACAACCAATCGATGCTGCTGCCTTTGCCAATCGTCTAGACATTGCAATCTACTTGCACAACTACTTTTCACAAGAAGAAGAAGAGTCTGACAGGTTTACAAAAGCACTCATTCAAACATCCGACGCTATCAACTATGCTGCTAGAAACCTAAACTTTGAAATGGTCAAGTTTCTAACAAGTACAGTAAACCTAAATTGGAACAAACAAGCTATATTGTCTGCAATCAATCCAACCGTCAGTGATGGATTTGATGATCTAGTACTTGAAGAAAGAGGATTAGAAATTATAAAATATTTAATGAAACAAGGTAGATATTATACCTATCGAGATAATAGTACAAGTCCAATTTACCAAGCCATTCATTGTGGAAAGAAAAAGATATTAGAGTATCTTGTTGGAGTGTGTATATTGGATGTGGCAGAGTTTGGGTCAGAGAGGTTACTTGGAACACCACCAATACAAAATCGAGCCTATCATTGTGCTCTAAGATCTGGTGATTTGGAGATGATTGATATCATGTGGGCATTCAAGAGTGCTCATCATCCAGGTGACCAAAACAAATATCACGAGTCGTTATTGTCTGCCATTGCCTCCAACAAGATAGAGACCGTCAACCATGTCATTGCCAAGTTTCCATCGCCACCTCCTCACTTTAAACATTGTGCCTATATAGCGTCACCCTTTTTACCAAATGTTGCCCTCTCTGACCAAATGTTGGATTATATTGTCAATCATAAAGATATTCAATCTTTAATTCAACTATCAATCGATCCATACATTAAAGAAAATAGAATAGATACTATAACAAAATTTAAAAATCTATTTATGGTCTTTGGACAAAATGTAACAGATTTGGTAGAACAAGGAAATATTAGAGTATTGAAACATTTGATCACAAATATTGGTATAAAGATGGGTGAAGGAGTATCTATAGTATCGGCCATTGAAGCTGGTAATCCAGAGATCCTTCAATTTGTTTATGAAAACAAAATTGCAAAATCTGATCCTTCAAGAGAAGATAAACAAATTAAACAAAGTAAAATTGTTGTAAAATCATTATGGTATCATTCAACTAGAAAACAACAAATAGATGGTAGTGGTAGATATTTGGAATGTTTAAAATTTGCATTAGATACAAAGATTGTAGAAGTTAGACATATATTAAATGCATTGGTCTATTGGAATGGAGATAAAGATTTATTCAATACGATTCCACAACTATTACCTTTATTTCAAAAACTACATCCAAAAAAGTTGATTGGTATATTGGAGCATAAATTAAAAAATATAGAGTCACCAGTATTGACAAATGTACAATTATATTCAAACTCTTTTACAGAGAGACAACCATTTAGTCATGGTGTAAAGGAATTAATTGAAATATCGCCAACTGTGGAAATGTATTACAAAAAAGAGTGTGATCAACCATTGGGAGATTGGGCTTGTGAAAGTGACAATTTGGAGCTAGTACAATACCTAGTATCACTTGGTAATCCAAACCTTTTCACTAAAAAGGCTATAGATATATGTTTATATTACAACAAGTCATGTGACGTGTTACAGTATCTATCTAGTAACGTATTCCCCATTCCACTGTCATTTGGTGATCAAATGTTGACGGCTCGATTCATTTCACTAGACTCGCTACAATTTTTATTTCCAGCAGTGGTAGACTGGTCAACCAAAACAACCATTGTCTCATCAGTCAACAGCCTTGAACATGCCTATAAATCTCAACGATACCAAAACATCTACTACGCATTACAACAATTTAAAATTGTATCCCCCAAAGAGAAACCACTCAATCCAGAGGTTACCAACCGAGTTACATGTCCCGTTCGAGTTGGAGGTGATCTTGGGTATTGGCAAGCTTACCCAATCTATGTACTATTAATTCATAAAAAATTATTATCTTTTTATGATAATAGCCTTCTTTTTATTAAAGAAAGAAGATCAAGTGGTCTTCTCTGGTATGCCTAAAAATAGAAAAAGAAAAAAGAAAAAAAAGAAATGATTTTGACACACCACAATGATGGAATGGCAAGAGAGTGTGTCTCGACCATTGCATGTCTCAAAATGTAGAGATGATAAGGTATTCGTTGCACAAGTTTGCTTATCAACACTTTGCAGTACTAAGACCCATTGATGCAGCTGCCTCTAATAATAAAGATTGAGAAAGAAGTGTTATTATCAAGGTTACAATTTCAAGCTATGTGTGGTGGATATATATGTAATCTCTTATTGGGGTATTGATTGATTTGCATAAACCCTTGGATAAAACAACCTGTAATATTTTTGAATCAACAAATTAATTAATTTGGACACAACATTCTCATTGTTCTTTTTTTCATGTCACAATAATAATTTAAATAATTAACATGGCAGATGAAAATAGTTTATTAGTAGAATCATCGATCACGTTGGAGGAAAGATTGGTTAATCAAGATTATGCAGACTTTACATGTTATCTCTGTTTGGGATTGGTTAATGACACTAGACAATGCTCTATTGGTCACATTGCATGTTTCGAATGCATCAAACCATTGACTGAAAAAGAGGGCAATAAATGTCACTGTGGTGAACCAATCAACCTACAGAGCCTGAGTAGAAATTTGGTAGCCAACAATAGGGTAAAAAAATTAAAAGTATGTGTATGACGATATTTTTAAATTATTAATATAAACAATAAATGCCCATTTATTATTTATTTAACTTTCTTTCTCTTTAAATTAGGTCTATTGTGCCAACCATTTTAGATTGGTGGATGGTAAATGGGAAGAATACCTTGATCAACAAGGATGTAACGAAATAACCACGATCGAACAATCAGAGAGTCATCAGAAATCATGTCCACTTAACAAGTATAAATGTAAACATGATGGCTGTGATGCACAGTTGGTCAAAGTGGAATTAGATGTACATGAAGAAGAATGTGTTCATCAATTGGTAGAATGTTATTTATGTCAGGAAACATTAAAGTCATTGAATATGAGTGATCATTTACTTGTTATGTGTCCTGAAGTAAATGAAGACTGTTTAAATGGTTGTGGAGATACTTATCCGAGAAAAACAAGAGATGATCATTTTCAAACTTGTCCCGATCAAATTATATGTTGTCCATTTGGTGATGAAATCTGTAAAGAAAAGGACAAGAGAAAATATATGGACGCTCATGCTCAAGCTTCTTGGCATATTGCTCAACTTGTAATTAAAACGAATCAAAATAATAAGAAATTAAAGGTATTAAAGGAAACCTTTAAACATCAATTAAAATTTTATTATAATAGTATTATTAACTATCTCTATCTTTTGTGATATAGGAGGAAAACGACAAACTAAACAATCTAATGGTGCAATTGGTTATAGATAAAATAGCTTTAGGTAGCCAATTAAACAATCTCATCGGGCAATTGGATAAAGATAAAATAGCTTTAGAAAGCCAAATAGATCTTTGTATCAAAAAGGTATGTTAATATTAATATTATTGCACACCATCATCCATCTTGTTGTTTCAAATCCAACTAAATATATTCTATTAATAAAACAAGAAATCAAAGGAATGGATTATTCCAAGTGACCCTAACTCTAGTGGTTGGCAATCAGATAGTTTCAAAATAAGAGGCTGTACTTTTTATTTTGATTTGTTGAAAACCACTGGTGCAATGGGTTGGTATGTTAATTCTGACAAACCTGCAGTAATCAATTACACTATTGAAGTAACAGAGAAAGATGGTCTACTCTTTACAGAAAAAAAAATGGGTCGGGAAATTAAACAATCTATACATTTCCCATCAATGAGTGCATTCCAAAGAAAATCAGAAACAAATATAAAGCTTACCATCGGTGTATTATCATACACTAAATAAAATAAACTCACAACAATTTTAATCTTTTTGCAACAACATTCCCACTCAAATTGGATGAACATTCCAATTCATCCATTTATGTCAGAGTGCAATAATGAAACACATGTGTTTCAATATATTTAAGAAGTGTGTTAACAATAATCTCTCATCTCATTGTGGGGTATATTGATTGATTTGCTTAAACCCACTTGGATATACATATCTCACTCTGTATATTTATGTTACATCAAACAACAAATTAATTTGATAACACAACAATCTCATTGTTCTTTTCTCACTCATAATAATAATTAACATTACATTAAAACCTGTAAACATGGCAGATGAAAATAGTATATTTGTAGAATCATCTATCTCGATGGAGGAAAGATTGGTTAATCAAGATTACACAGACTTGACATGTTATCTCTGTTTGGGATTGGTATTCGACACTAGACAATGCTCTAACGGTCACATTGCATGTTTAGAATGTGTCAAGCCATTGACTGAAAAAGTGGGTAGTAAATGTCATTGTGGTGAACCAATCAACCTACAGAGCTTGAGTAAAAGTTTGGTAGCTAACAACAGTGTAAAAAAATTAGAGGTATGTCATAATAATAATAAAATCATGTTTAAATGGTTTCAATATTTATTATTAATTTATTAATATGCATTAAATTATAATAATAAAATACATTTAAATTTCATTCCCTTTAGGTCTATTGTGAAAACCATTTTAGATTAATAAATGGCAAATGGGAAGAATACCTTGATCAACAAGGATGCAATGAAATAACCACAATTGAGCAATCAGAGAGTCATCAGAAATCATGTCCATTTAATAAGTATTTATGTCAACATGATGGCTGTGATGTAGAGTTGGTCAGAGTGGAATTAGATGTACATGAAAAAGGATGTGTTCATCGATTGGTAAAATGTGATTTATGTCAGGAAACATTAAAGTCAGTGAATATGAATGGTCATATTGTTGCTCTTTGTCCCGAAATAAATGAAGAGTGTTTAAATGGTTGTGGAGATACTTATCCGAGAAAAACAAGAGATGATCATATTCAAACTTGTCCCGATCAAATGATAGGTTGCCCATTTGGTGATGAAATATGTAAAGAAAAGGACAAGAGAAAATATATGGACGCTCATGCTCAGGCTTCTTGGCATATTGCTCAACTTGTAATTAAAACAAATCAAAATAATAAGGAATTAAAGGTATATATAGGAGATTTAAAAATCAATTAAAAATTTTATTGTATTAATCAATATCTCTCTCGATCTTTTGTGTAAATATAGGAGGAAAACGACAAGCTAAACAATCTAATCGAGCAATTGGATTATGATATGATGGTTTTAGAGACACAATTAGATCTTTGTATCAAAAAGGTATGTTAATATTAATATTATTTATTTATTACAAGACATTTTTGATGTTTCAAATCTAACTAGATTTATTTCTATTATTAATAAACAAGAAATCAATGGAATGGATTATTCCAAGTGACCCCAAAGCCAGTACCTGGAAATCAAATCGTTTCCAAATAAGAGGTTGTACTTTTTATTTAGATTTTGGGAGAAACCTTTCAGGTGCAATGAATTGGTATATATTTATCGACAAACCTGCAGCAATCAATTACACTATTGAAGTAACAGAGAAAGATGGTCCACCCTTCACAAAAAAAAAAATGAGTAAGGAAATTAACCGATTTTTACAAATCTCATCAATGAGTGCATTCCAAAGAAAATCAGAAACAAAGATAAAGCTTACCATCGGTGTATTATCATACACTAAACCACTGCCACAAACATACTAATCTTTTTGGACAAAATCAAAAGTCAATCAAATACTAATACATTCAAGCCCAAGAGAAAAATAAAAATAGATATTTTTTTTAAAAGTCTTTTTCTTTTTATTTTCTGATTTTTCTTTTCAAAAAGCACACACCCAGTACTTTTAAAAGTGATTAATATTCTATTCTTTTTAATCATGGAATTTATAGAAATAACTTTAAAGAATCATTATTTATTACAAAAGATATTAAAATGTAGAAAGGAATTGGTGAATAGTTTGGAATGGCAAGAAAGTGTGTCTAGACCATTGCATGTATTAATTGCAGAGCAAAATGTAGAGATGCTGAGATACTCTTTGCACAAGTTTGCTTATCAACACTTTGCAGTACTCTCACATGCAATTAAAAATCAATCATCCAATTTATACTCTTCAAACATTCCCATACGTCCCATTGATACGGCTGCCTATGTCAATCGTCTAGATATTCTAAAGTATCTACATAAAAGATTAGACAAGGTAAAAGAAGAATTCTTTGGTGCACATGTTGGTGATAAATACAATATCTTAATATCACAAGATGCTATTAGTTGGGCTGCCAGACACTCAAATCTAGAGATGGTTCAATACCTAGCACAAGAATTAAAATGGTCAACTATAACCGACTCAATCATTATTGATGCTATCAATGGTCCTTCTGGTGGTCTTGATATTATCAAATATCTTAAATCTACAACAACTACCAATTGGGCATTTAAAGATGATGCACTTGGTCCAATTTATAGTGCCATTTCAAGAGGTGACATTGGAATAGATTCACTTTGCTATTTGGTTCAAGTGTGTACGTTGGAAACTGTTAAAAAGAGTCAAGACGACACACACATTGTCGGCTCTAGTTTGGTTGCAAATAGAGCATTCCATCATGCCATCAGATCAAGTAATCATAGAGCCATCGAAATTATTTATAACCGAGGTGATGGTATATACAATGAAGAAGGTGATGAATATAGTTATTGGGAGGCAATCATATCAGCAATCACTTCAAATAATTTAGAAACTATTCATTTTATAATTGATTTATTTAAATTAAAACATGAATCAGCTCTTCCTCCAACCAAAAATATTAGAACACCAACACCATTCCTTCAAGACATTGTATTATCAAAAAATATATTAGAATATATACAAAACTTATCATCAACCTCTTCAAATTTGATAAGTTTTAAATTTAATTTAAATGTATATATTAATAATGGTAGATTAGATTTGGTAGAATATTTATTAAATAATAATATGGCGTATAAAGTATTTGATCCAACAGAGTTGGTTGAAAAAGGAGATTTAACGACAATGCTTCATTTGACAAACAAAGTTAAACTACCAACCTCTCAAAAAGTATCGATTCTGTCGGCCATTGAAACCGGTAATCTTAAAATGATGCAACACGTTTACAAGAATCTAATGAGAATCGATCCATCTCGGGAAGACAAAGAAACCAAACAAAATAAATTGGCTCTCAAATTACTTTGGTATAATACAACTAGAAAACAACAACAAGAAAAAGATGGTAGTGGTAGTGATGGTAGTGGAGGATATTTGGAATGTTTAAAATTTGCAGTTGATAATCAAATTATAGATTTAAATAATATAGCAAATTCTTTGGTCTATTGGAATGGAGATAAAGAGTTGATTGAAAAGATACCAACACTAGTTAAACATTTAAAAAAGAATCAACCAAAAAGAATGGTATCGGTTTTACAATTCAAACTTGAAAACAATGAATCACCAACATTGACCTACAACCAACTGTTTAGTAATACTTTTACCAATAGACCATCGTTTTATCATGGAACAAAAGAGATTATCGAAATATTCAAGTCGTATTTTGAATCATCGATTCAATGTTGTCATCCATTGGGTGATTGGGCATGTCACAATGAAGATTTGGATTTGATCAAATACTTGGTATCAATTGGCAACCCTGCACTTTTCACTAAAAAAGCAATCGACAATTGTCTACGATACCACAAATCACCAGAGATTTTACAATACCTCATGGACAATGTATTTCAAAATGTAGAACCAACTTTGGAACAATTATGTATATCAAGAAATATGTCTATTCAATCATTATTATTAAATTCATATCCTTGGCTGTCAAGTACTTTAGAATCTGCTAGTGTGGCAACCTTTCAAACTCTATTTCAACAATCGTACATTTCAAAACAATACTGTAATATTTTTCATTTATTGGATCATCCAAATGGAAAAAAAGTGCACTACTCTTTACCACAATATACTTTCATGTCATCGGATCCTCTTGATCCTTCTATTAATAGTTTTTGGAAAACTTGTTATCCAATTATTATTTTAATTAGATATTTTAATATTACTCCAAAATTATGGTAAATAGAAAAAATAAATAAATAAATCGATTCAAGAGAGAGATTGAAATATCCTTTAATAAAGAATGAAATTTCGGGTTTAACCGTATACCGGTAAAAAAAAAAAAAAAGAATCAATGATACTTGTTTCCATTTTTGGATGTTTGTAGCGAGTTTGACAGTGTCAGTGAAATTGACACTATTTTTTTTTTCATTAATTTTTTTGTTTGCAATTGACCTGCAACCTGGTTTCATTATCTGTTTTACTCTTTTTAGTTCTTATTGTTTTTATTATTATTATTATTATATAAAAAAGAGATGTCATACGAATCTAGAATTAACATTTTAAGCAATCACCTTTCAACTGGTGTTGTTCATCAAGATGAATATTTATCTTCAAATCCAACTTCTGCAAAGGGTATAAAGAAACATAGAGAGAGAATAGAGAATAGAGAATAGAAAAAGAGACTAATATATATAAACAAACGTTTTTATTTTTACTTCTTTAGGAGCCAAGAGTGGAGATGATATTGTAATTGTAGCACCATTCCGTACAGCAGTTGCCAAGGCAAAGAGAGGAGGATTCAAGGATACTTCACCAGATGATATTCTTGCACCAGTCATTAAACATATTCTCAAGGTTACAAAGATTGATCCATCATTGATTACTGATGTTGTTATGGGTTCAGTTTTACCAAGATCTTCTCAAGTATGAAACAAAATCAAATCAAGCAAACGAATCGAATCAAATCGTCTTACATTTTCTTTTATTTTCTTATATTTTTTATTTTAGGGTGCAACAGAAATTAGAGTAGCATCATTAATTGGAGGATTACCAAAGGAGTCAGCATGTATGACAGTAAATAGACAATGTTCATCTGGTCTTCAAGCTATTGCTAATGTTGCAGCTGCTGTTGCTGCTGGACACTATGAGGTTGGTTTGGCCGGTGGTGTCGAGTCGATGACTTTGAACCCAATGTCATGGGAAGGTCAATTCAATGAGGTTGCCATGAACGATCCAGTTGCAAGCGGATGTTACAATACTATGGGTCAAACCAGCGAAAACGTTGCCGAGCGATTCAACATTTCACGTAAAGAACAAGACGAGTTTGCTGTCTTGTCTCACAAAAAGGCTGGTGCCGCTCAAGCTGCCGGCAAGTTCAAGGACGAGATTGTCCCAGTCACTGTAAAGACTGAAGATGGCAAGGAAGTTGTCATTGACAAGGATGAAGGTATCCGTGTCCAAACCACCGTTGCCGATCTTGCCAAGCTCAAGCCAGCCTTCAAGGAAGGTGGTAGCACCACTGCCGGTAACTCGTCGCAATTGAGTGACGGTGCCGCTGCCTGTTTGGTCATGAAGCGTTCAACTGCTCAACGTCTTGGTCTCCAAGTCGCCCTCATTTTCAGATCATTTGTTGCTGTCGGTGTCGAGCCAGCCATCATGGGTGTTGGTCCAGCCGCCGCTATCCCAGCCGCCGTCAAAAAGGCCGGTCTCTCCCTCGCCGACATTGACGTCTATGAAATCAACGAAGCCTTTGCCTCGCAAGCCTACTACTCGATCAAACACCTCAACATTCCAATGGAAAAGGTCAATCCAAACGGAGGAGGTATTGCCTTGGGTCATCCACTCGGTTGTACCGGTGCTCGTATGACTGCCACCCTCTACAATGAACTTAAACGTCGTAATGCTCGTTATGGTGTTGTTTCAATGTGTATTGGTACTGGTATGGGTGCTGCTGCCGTTTTTGAAAAGGAAAACTAGAAAAATATTTTGTACAAAAAAATAAATAATAAACAAAGTTTAATAATTAAATAATAATTCTTTATTTCTTTTAATTCTCCATTTTTTAATCATCATCTAAAGGAATATTCTTTTTAACTTTAACAGTTAGGAATAAATGAACACGACGATTAAATACTTTTTCCAAATCTTTTTTAGCTTCTAGGTAGATTGATTTGATGGTACGACCACCAGCACCGAGAATGGCAGATTTGTGAGAATCCTTTTGGACGATGAGATCGTGATCGATACGTAGATCTCCATTGGAAAAGTTTGTCCAACCGACCATTGCTTGTTGTACGGCGTATGGGATTTCTTGACGCATACGTTCATACACCTTTTCTTTTATGATTTCACTTGCACGAAAGATTTCAGTTTGATCAGTCTTTGATTCATCGTCAAATTCCCAATCTCCTTCAACTGCACGTGCCAACAAACTACCCTTTAAATCACCAACATGAATATTATTGGTTGCTGAAATGATAAAAGTATCTGAAAAGATTGATCCTTCGTTTAGTCGACTGATCAATCTAAGTAGATCCTCTTTTCTAACGATTAAATCAACCTTGTTTAAAACCAATATAAATTCTTTGACTCTATCAATATCGTCCTGTTGTTGTTGAATCATTTTCATTTCTTTTAATAGATCCAACATTTGTGATTCCAACAAAGTGACAATATGAGATGTATCGGTGGTTGTTAGAGCAGATGAAGCAGAACCAACGGTTGGTGAGAATTCGGATTGATGTGCTCCAGCGTCTACCACCAACAATACTACATCGGCCTCTTTTACCACACTCCATGCCATATTTACAAATTCTCTAATCTTTCCTTTCATTTCAAAGTGTTTAATGATACCAGGTGTATCGTGAAACACCAATTGTGTCTTGTCCTCTGTCAAAATACCAATGATATTGTCTCGAGTAGTATGTTCTCTACTAGATACCGCACAAATCTTTTCTCCAATAATAGTATTGACCAATGATGATTTACCTGCATTTGGTGCTCCAATCACCGCCACATTTAATCTTTTACTACCTTCTACTTTTTTTGGTTCTTTTGTCATTGTTTCCATTTCATATATTGCTTAAAATAGAAAAGAGGTAAGTAAATAAATATGATCTATATATATATATATCTTATATCTTTTTACATACAAGGAGGAGTAATATTATAATTTCTAACAACTCTTTGATATTGACGAGGTGAAGTTATTAGATCTTCTTCTTTTTGTTTAACAATCTTTTGTTTTAAATCTTCCAATTCCTTTTTCTTTGGATCTAATGTTTTAGGTTCATATCTATGAATTAATGCATAATCTCTTTTTATATATAAATCATTACTTGTATTATCTTTTCTATATGAAAACAAGTTTGTTGAATGAGTAGTAATGATGTTGGTTTGAATTAAAGTTTTACATATTGATTTAAATGATGATTCTAAACAACATTTACTTGTTATTGATGATATCATCTTTTATAGATCACTCTCTACTCTTCTCTCTCTCTTCTTTCTATATCTTTTAAAAAAGAAATATAAATCTCAAAGAGATTGATTGCTTCTAATATTATTCGTTCGTTTTTTTTTTTTTTTATTTTAATTTTGGAGTCAGATTTTGAAATCAGAGAAAAGTGATTCTTTTATTTATTTCATTTTGTAGTTTATTAATTTTCAGTTGTTATAACCATTGAAGTATCAACACCAGCAGAAATAAAGATTGGTTTCTTATTTTCAAAAAATTGAATTAATTTTGGATCGTTTGATAATTCTTCATCTCCGTGTCCAAGTTTACCATCTTCACCACATCCCCAACTATAGACACGTCCGTCTGTTGTGAGGAGCAAGGAGTGAGCACCACCACAAGACACTTGATCAACTTTGATTCTGTTTTCAGCAAAGAATGGGATCAAGGTGGGGACATAACGATTGATGGTATTGTTGCCAAGACCAAGACGTCCTTCAGCACCCCAACCACAAACATAGACCTTGTTACTCTCTGAAAGGAACATGGAATGAGTTGCACCACATGAAATGGATTTTATCTTTTCGGGTAGTTGAACCTTTGTTGCTTTTGCAATACGTCCAATTGCATCTTCGCCAAGTCCCAATGTACCAGTTTCATTGTTTCCCATTGCATAGACATTACCTCTTGCAGACAGTAAAAATGTACAATCATAACCACAAAATACCTTGGCCACTTTAATTGCCTCCATACCAGGTACCAAAGTTGGTGTATTATACTCGGCATCTGGATGCATCGTTTTATGTAAATCATGCATATCTTGTTGTTTTTCTTCTCCTGTAGCTTCTACTCTTTCATATTCTACTATTTTTTGTCCCAATTGTCCTTCAACATTATATCCCCATCCAAATGCATGTCCACTTTCTAGAAAAAGTAAATAAAACTAAGTAAAAGAAATATATTTGGTTTGTTTTTTAATTCTTACTTGTAACAGCAAAAGAATGATCAAAACCAGCATGCATTGAAACAACATCTTTTAGATTTTGTACAACTTGTAATGTTTGACTTCCTCTTTGTTCTTGACTTGATATTCCCAATTGACCAAATTCATTTGATCCTATTGATAATACTTTTCCTTGTTCTAAAAAATATATATAAGTAAAAGAGATCACACATGACATGTTATTTCTTTTTCTACATACTAGTTAAAATTAATAAAAATGATCTACCCAATGCAACACGTTCAATGTCTAAACCTTTAAACATTTCAGATTCAGTTGGGTATCTGTATACTTGGTTTCCTGGTAAACCCATTTGACCGTGATTGTTGGTTCCCCACATAAAGATCTTGCTGTCGTTGGTGTGTAGAAATGATGACATCCATGTAGTACCTCCTTCTTTGACTGATAAAAAGGGAGGAAGATGTGTCACTTTGGTTGGTATTGATCTATGTGATTCTGTCTTTACTCCCAATTTACCATCTGCACATGATCCAAACATCCATACTGTTTGTCTAATTCGATCTGTATTTGATGCAGTTGATGCAGATGCAGTTGTTGTACATGATCTTGATATATATAATAATGAAGAAGAGGACGATGATGATGAAACTATAGCATTATTCTTTAAAAGTATATTTGTTGATGGTTTACTTAGAATATTTCGACAAAGATTGATCATTGTGTTTGCAAATGATTCATTGTCTTGTAAACGAGTCATTCTTGTTCACATACTTTTTTTTTTTTTAATTTCAAAAAAGTAATATATTAAATTTAATATGTACATTTATTCTACAAAATCAATTATACAACTATTATTATGATTATTCTTTTTCATTTGGTACATTAATTGGTCTGATTTTTTAATCAACTTGTCGACCATGGTTGATTGAGATTTGGTAAATACTACACCACCAAAGGAAAGAGAAACTTTTATATTGGTTTTGCAATTGACTAGATTGATATTTTCACTTTGTACATTTGATAAATATTGGTTTATAAATTGGTTGGCTTGTTCAGTTGATTCAATGTCACGTTTGACAATTAGAAATTCATCACCTGATAGTCGTACTGGTAGGACTGATTCGTCTGCATATTTTTGGAAACGATTGGCTACAGATCTGAGGACAACATCTCCATTGTCATGTCCATGAATATCATTGATTTGTTTAAAATGGTCAAGGTCGATAAAATAAATGGCACAATGGTCAGTATTTGATATGGAGCAAAACTTTTGAATCTTTTTATAAAGTTGATATCTATTTTGTAGACCTGTCAATGGATCAATTGATAATGTATTTTTTAATCTTTTAAGTTTTAGTTTTTCTTGACTATTATCAATTATGATTCCTTGGAAAAGACTGGTTTTTTCAATATATTTTCCAGAGAGACGATAGTTTTTGATTGAAAAGTCCAATATTGTACAATTAAAAGAGGTAATTCTTTTTTTTAAAATATCTTGATTGATTTTATATGACTGACAAAATTGTTTGATTGAAATAATTTCAGTTGAACCATTTGGTTTGTTGTTGTTGTATTTTACAGTATTTTTGAAAAAATCAATTTCCAATATTAAAATTGATTGGACATTTGATATGATTTCCATAATTTGGTTATTTGATTTCTTTTGAATAGAATAAAAGGTGAAAAATAAAATACATAATATTATATAAAAATAATAGTTGATTGGTGAATACAAGAAATAGTCTCTATAAATAATTTGACCCAACATTGGTCTATTCAAATAAATCATTTCTGTTTTTATAAATAATAAAACCAAATATCTATTCTATTCTAAATATGGATGAAATATTCAAAAAGTAGTATATGGTTGTTCTAGTCTTTATCGATCGATATTTTCAGTTTGTAAGTTCTTACTCATATAAAAAAACAAAAAAACACTCTGACGCTTTAGATAGATTTAATTTATTGAGAGATTGAAAGATAGATATAGATAAAATAAGTTTTTTTTTTTTATATTCAACCGCCATCTCTCAAAGAAATTGTATGTTGAAACGTCAACATTCATATACACTATTATGTATTTTTTTTTCGAGTATAGATCCAATTTGTATAGATTATTATTATTTATTTTTTAACAACATACTATGATAGGTTATAAAACTATTTGTTTATACCTTCCTTTTTGTAGTCGTGGTGGACAAGTTTATTTACAAAAAAGGCCCTTATTTACTAAAATATATGGTTTTAATGGTTTCTATCGATAACAACGAGAAAATCAATGACTGGAAAATAATCACAAAAACATATTATATATGGTGTATATAATATCTACTGCTAATAATGACAATGATGATAAACAAGATAACTAGATAACTGACAAGATACAATAAACTAGACTGAACAAGACTCTACACGATAGATATACAATTATAACTAGCTACACGAATTGGGGAAACAAGAATGATCCACCAAGCTCGTCGCGACTTCTATTTATTTGTGTTTTTCATATTTTATGTATTTTCGGAATGCAGGGTGAACCTTGTTCTCTGACACTCTCGCAGTGACACCAAAGGCATGCAGCGTACCACGCCTTCCTTCATTCCTTCTTTTACAGTAGCAAAGAAAAGATCAAAACAGGTGCCTTTTGGGCTGCCTTGTGCCGGGATCGAACCAGCGACCTTAAGATCTTCAGTCTTACGCTACTACCAACTGAGCTAACAAGGCTTGGATGTTTCCAAAACAAATAATTGAAAATTTGAGCCCCCTAAGCTTTTTTTGACGATTTTTAAGGTTTCCATACTAAAATTTGGTTTATAAATATATTATTACTTGTTTTGTTTGGGGACATCCAAGCCTTGTTAACTCAGTTGTTATCTACTACCGTTGCTTTTTTGGTTTCCTCACTAAAATTTGGTGATTTTATATCCAAAATATCTTTTTTTTTTTGTTTGGGATCATCAAGGGCCTTGTTAACTCAGTTGGTTAAGTTTATAATGGTCTTGACCAGGAGATTTTTTAACAAAAATATAAATAATTGTTTGAAAGAAAATATAAAAGTGTAAAGAACTCAGTCAGACACACTTGTATGTGAGCCCACACAATTCTCAGGTCTGATGAATTTGACAATGATGTCGAAGAATAATTAATCCTTACAACTTTGAAGATGTGGTACTTGTTAGCTCAGTTGGTAGTAGCGTAAGACTGAAGATCTTAAGGTAATTGGTTTTTTGGTGATTTTTCACATCGATTTTTTATTAAAAAATGGGTGAAAAGAATCCTCAACAACTTTCTTTTCACCCATTTTAAACTTATAAATAATAAAATATTATTATATTATAATTTATAATTTTATATTAAATTATTTATATTATTATTTGTTTTATATTAAATTTAACTATATATTAAATTATAGTTTTAAATATTGATATAAATAATAAAATAAATTTCATTTTAAACTTATTTACTAGAGTTAATAGAGATAAATATAACAGATCACAATAATATAATAATGAAAGGGGCACCACAACTCTAGAATTAGTAGCAATAATGATGAGGTTTAAACCATCACTACCAAAGCCATACACTCACTGTTAACAGTCACTCGGAAAAGGATATTGTTTCATTGGGTATTAGAGACGAAATAGTCGCCAAGTTAAAAAAGAGATCCTCGAAACCTAACCAACCTCAACAACAAGGTATGTACACAACACACGCATCACATACTATGTACTACATTACAAAATCATTCATTTACTAATCATTTAATCAAGCTCTCTACCAAAGGTCTTCCTTTTCTACGAGAGCAGTGTAGCTCATGACGATCGTCATCATCATCATCATCAGCTCACAAAGCTTGCAAGCTCGACGAGAGAAAAGACTTTGCCAAAGTCGTCGATTTTTTTCTACAAGATTTATCCAAAGATCCAACAGATAATGCATACAGTTATGCATTCATGATAATGTCCTCTAAACCATTAAACACTTACAACCAAAGCAACTATTAATAAAATAGACAATAATAATAATATGTGTATAAAAATGAAAATTTAAAATAGAATGCGAGCATGATTCCCCCCATTCACACTCACTGATCAGCTCTCTCTGAAAATTCATTGTTAAAAATAAATCAACCATCATCAACATAGAGATATATACATATAATCACATAGAAAGATCAATCATCATGGACCCTATCTCACCTCCATTAAAAGCAAAGACAAATACTACGACTACTAGTAGTACATCATCAACAACAACAACAACTACAACACAACCAACTAGTAAACCAATTTTAACAAGTAGTGCATTATTAAACAATACAAATATTCTATTCAACTTTGAAAGAACAAAGAGTGATTCATCATCCTCTTTATCAAAGAAACCAAAAAAAGAAAAGATTAAAGAATCTACAGCAACAACTACTACAGCTACCCCAACCATTACAAGACCATGTAAAATATGTAACAAAAAGAGTCATCAATGGAAGAATTGTCCTACACCAGATATCAACAAGACATGTACAAATTGTAACAAGATTGGTCACATTGCTGTAAACTGTAATGTTATCATTTTAAATTTTAAATCTACTAGACACCAACAACAAGAATCATCATCATCATCAAGACCACCAAGAAAACAATTCAACAAGGATGAAGAATCGATCAATAACAAAGATATTAAACAATCACCAACAACATCAATGAAAGAAAAAAAACAACCAAAAGAAACAACCAAACCATCATCATCACCAATACTTTTATCTCAACAACAATCAATCCCAACCATTCCTCCTACTCCAACTACAATTACAACGACTATTCAAGAAACATTAAAATATTCAAAAACATTATCAAGTGAACAAATATATTTAACAGATGGAGATGATCAGTGTCATTCACTCTTTGATAGATTCAATAGTGATGACATTGAATTGGCCATAGATGATCAAATTGAAATATTAAAACAATGCAACATTCATTCAATATGTATCCCAATGAAAACAAAGTCTGGCTCCATATTTTACACCACCGACAATCAAAAAGTATTGTCAAATCAACAACCAATAGACAATAACAAAATCAATACGATTAAACAATTTATTAAAAAGGCAAATGCAGCAAATATATCAACACCACTATCAGTCAGTGTTCAATTGGATAATACCAACCTATTAAAAAATCCAAATTGGAAACAACAACCAGAACAATTACAATTGATATGTTTAAATAATAAGGAATTTATAGAATATTTTAATATTTTAATTCAAGATTTAATTAATAGATTTAAACAAGATGTTGGAGTTTTTAGTGGTATCTATTTTGATAATATTCAAACAGACAAGGATTCAGCTCAATGTACATGTCAATATTGTAAAGATTCAACAACAAATCAAGATACATCATCAACATTTAAACAAAACCTATCAACATTGATTCGAAATGGTGGAACAACAATCAAAAATAATCAATCAATGAATCAAATTATTCATTTCCAACAATCAAATCAATTTGATTCAAATATTAAATTAATTCATTTTAATAATTCATTGTTTGTATCAAAAAGGAAACCTAATTAATTAATTGTATTAACCAATTATATTTATTTAGGGAATTTTCATTTTTATCAAGATATAATAGAATGATTAATCAAACCATTGGATTAATTAAATTAAACATTCAAAAGATATCATTTGATTGTTTAAAATTTAGATTATTTTATTCAATGTTGTTAAATGCAAAATGTGGAGTTGAATTGGAAAACAACAAAGATCTTCCCATTCAAATTGCAAATCATCAATCAAAAATCATTTTTAAACAATTGAAAAGTGTATTTGAAAAGACTATTTCAATGGAAACACAGGGCAAGGGAATCAAGACATTAAATGATATTGGATTATTTTATCACAATGGTGATAACATATTGGATTATTTTAATTTAATTTCCATTTTAGAGGATAAACATTATCAATTTGATATTATAGATGAAAATATTACTCAAGATAAATTATCAAATTATAAATTAATTATTTTATCAGAATCTAATAATAATAATAATAATAATAATGGAATATTTAAAAAATTAACAAAATATCAACAAGAACAAGGAGGATCAATTTTAATATTTGGTGATATTGGATTTTCAACAACAACAAAGAAATCAATCTTTTCAAATTCTATCAAATATTCAAATATTAATAATAATAATTTGGTTAATAATGATGTTGATATTATTATAAATGATAATAATATTTCAAAGTATAATATTTTAAATTTAATTGATGAAACCAATTTAATATCAATTTCATCATTATATTTACCAACAAGAAAAGGTACAAGAATTGAACCAATTGGAAATGATTGTTTTAATATATTATCAATTAAATCAATCATTGATGATAATTTATCAGAAGCAGGAATAGTTTATGATAAAAAACAAAGAGTTGTACATGCTATTCATCCATTAGCAAAGATTATGGAACAACAATCAAAACAAGCTATTGGAGAAATTATTCATCAATCTATTCGTCTACTATTACCAGAACCAATCGTACAATTAACCAATGACAATGGACAACAATCAATTAAAATTGGTATTCTACATCAACAACAATCAATTTCAAAACATCAACATGATCCAATCAATCAATTAATTATTCATCTTGTCAACTCGACTCCAAATATATTTACAAATGTTGATATTAGTATAGTTTTACCAAAATCAACAAATGTAGAAAATATTATTTCCTCTTCCTCCTCCTCTATTCCATTTAACCAAAAATTACAAATTGTAAATTTTAAAATACCATTTATTCAAGATTTACAAACCATTATTATACAATTAAAATAAATACAATTCTCTCTATATATATTTTTATTTTATTTAATTTATATTAATTAATTGATTATTATTTATAAATTGAACATGTTGTTTTTGTTGTAAAAGATAATTTGCAACTGGCGAATTACAAATATTATTTGATTTGTTTTGTAATTCCTGATGAAATAATATAGTTTGTGAAAAGTCTGGTATCGTCGATAAATTATTATTACTATTATTATTTTCTATGTTATTTGATAATTTTCCTTTAAAAATTAATAAATCATCCATATACAATTCAAAATCTTCAACACCTCGAGATGTTGATTTACTAAAATTCCATATTTTCAACATGGCAAGTGAGATTGGATGATCAAAATATATACAAATACTATTTAAAGGATTACTTTTACTACGACCATTATTGTTGTTTGGATTGAGACTATTATAGATTGGATGATTAAAATTGGTAATCCACATGTGATTTTCATCAAAACTATTATTCACTCCATCCAACAATCGATAAATCGTAGGATTATATTGATCATTCAAATCTACAATATTATTATTCGTTTTGATTAAATTTCCTTCATAATCATAAAGTTCAATACCATTTAATCCAACTTTTGTTTTATCTCCATGTGTTGATAATATTACCATTTTAAATATAACTAAAAAAAAGAAAATAAATAAATAAAACTTATTCTTTTTTTTTTTTTTTTTTTTTTTCTTACTTACAACCAGAAGGTAAAAAAGGAGATTTATAATCTTGAGGAATTAAAATTTCATTTTCTTTTCTATTTTCGATTTCATCGATAATAATTTTTTGTTTATCAAAATTTGCAAAAGAGATGATTTGACCAAAATCAAAATCAATTGTACCAGGACCTTTTCTAAATACAAATCCATCAGGTGATAGATTAATATTGTCAAGAGAAATGATTACATTTTTAGCACCTCTAGAAGAATCATCGTGACTCTTGTTGTAATTATAAACTCTGATACAACTAATACTATGAATTTGACCCAAGTCAATGGTGAGTGTAGGATCTTCTGGTTGTGAGGAAAATGGAATGAGCCACATGTGTTGATCATTGATGGTAATGTTTTCACCATCCACCAATTTGTCCAATGTACGATAATCTCCAGTATGACCAGCTTGATTAATATCTCTTGGAGAGGCATTGATATTTTTAATACCAACTCTGATCAATTGATAATTATGATCGAATATTTCAATACCTGTCAATCCAAGATAAAATCTATCACCCCAAGTTGATTGAAATCTAAACTTTAAAGTTTTTCCTTTTGGATAGATTAAATTTTGAATATTTTGAGATTTGCTATTATTATTAATTTGATTGGTTGTTGAAATGATCAAAGGAGTATGTAAAATTTGTTTCATCATCAGTGGATTAAAACTTAGAGCCGATGTCATTGGTCTACCATCTTTATCAAGTTGTACTTTACTATAATGTTCTTGTAATTCTGTCCAACTTTGTTTTTCTTCCAATTCAAATGTTGTAGAATTATTATTATTATTATTATTATCAGATTTGTTATTATTATTAAATGCTTCTAAAAGTTCTGCTTGTTGTAATTGTTGTTGATAAATTGATGGTGAATAGGGATCATTTTGTTCAATTGATTGTAGTGTTGTTTCATCATTTGTAAATACTAAATATTCTGCACATTCATCACATGAATGAAGTGTTCCTTGTGCTTTTCTAATTGATCCTTTAAATATTATTATATTATCCAATTTAATTTCTATATTTTTAATTCCTCTATATGTATAAATTCTTGATTTATTATAATTCTAAATAAATAAAAAATTAAAATTAAAATTAATATTTTTGTTTTTTCTTTTTTGTTTTTTTTTTTGTTTACCCAAATTCTAATTAAAGAAATAATTAAAGGATGATCAAAAAGAATTGTAATTGTAATTGGTTGATCTTTTGAAAATGGAGCCAACCATTGATGCATATCATCACAAGTTCTTGGTACTTGATCAATTGTACGTTCAATTGTTTTTGGATCATATCCATAAAGTGAGGGGGATTCACCTCCTCCGAGGTCATCATTTTGAACATTTGTTTTGATTTTAGTTTTCAATTCATTTAATTTAATAAAGGAACCAGAACCATCAAATATATCGATACCAGAAAGTCCAACAAAATGATTATCTTCATGATTTGAAAGTATTGTCAATGTTAGACATTTACCAAATGGTAAATTTGATATCATAAAATGATCATTTTTCTGTTGTTGTTGTTGTTGTTTTGTTGCTGCCAAAATATTTAAAGAATTTGCATGTGATGGTTCAATTATATCATGAATTGCTATATTATTTTGATTGTCATCTAAAATATTTTGAATTTGAATTTTTCTTGGTGATAATAAAATTGATTGTGATGTTGTAGTTGATGTTGTATTTGATGATATTGGTAGATTAACTAATTTATGAATAGCAGTAGTTGATAATTTTCTAACTATACCTCTTGGGTATGGTGGAGCTTGTTGTGGGGTTGGTGGTTGTTCCAAATGATCAATGAAATTTTTTGTACCTCTTGGAGAGGTTGCGGTTTGAGTGGTAGCAGCAGCAGGAGGTGATGGTGATTGTTGATGAAATCTTTGTTCTGGTGATAATGATGATGGTGAAGCTGGATTTTCTAGTCGGGTATTATTCTTTCCTAATCGAGGAGTGACCGATGGAGATATTATACTTCCAGGAGAAAGCATAGGATCTTGTCTCTTTCTAATACTCGATGGTCTTTCCTTTTTTCGTTCATTGATACTTTCCAATTCCTTTTCTGCCAATTTTTCTCTTGGCGAAGGTGATGGAGATGATAGAGGTGATTTTAAACCAAGGTCAAGATGTAGATTCGATCGGTCATGTAAATGTTGTAATGGTTTTGTTTTTTCAAATAGATAAGATGTTGATTTTCTAGATATAAGTGGGTGTGCTTGTGATTTAAATTGTGTTGTTGGTATTGGATTTTCAACTGTTGATTGTTGTTGTTGTGTTGTAGTAGGCAAATTGTCTTGAGAAGGTTTTTTACGATGTGAATGAAATTCCAAATCTAATGATCCAAAATTAACATTTGATGATTTTGATATTTTTGGTTTAGTACCAACTGGTAGAGTTGGAGGAAGTTGAGAAACCAGAGGTTGTTGGGGTACGGGGTTTTGTTGGGATACAGGATTTGGTTGAGAGTTCATTTGTCTTTGTTTTAAAGCCAATTGAATATCAGGTAAATTCATAATTTCCATAAATTCATTATATCTTTCCTTTGGAATCAAATAATATTGATCCTTTGTTTCTTCAGATTCTACTTGTACAACAGGTTCAACATCACCTCTTTTTAAAGTATGGGGAGATGTATTGATTGGTGAAGAAGTTTGTGGAGTATGGAATATGGGACCTTGAATGACAGGAGCTGAACTCACACGAGATAAAGGATGTTTATGTGATTTATATGAACCATCACTATTTCTTGAACTTGGGTGTATTGGATGTACTACAAGTGGTCTATTAGTAGTACTAGTACTAGTATCCTTTAGATTTTTAGTCTTTTCATCAAATTCACCACTACTTCCAAGTTGAACACTATCCTCATTGTCTTCCAACAACTGTGAGGAGGAGGAGGATCCTCCTTTCTTTTTCATATCCAATATATTGGTAGATGATTCATTTTTTGACCATGGTGGTTGTTGAGAAGATGATCGTCTTGGAGAAATAAAACCAGAGGTGGTTGATGTTGTACTACTACTACTTGATTGAGGTCCAGTTACAATACCCAAAGTTGAATGTGATTTGGTTCGATGTTGATGTTGTATTTGAGGTGCATGAGTATTATAAGAGGAAGGTAAAGTTGTTGTTGTTTGTACAGATTCCAAAAGTGGTGAAATATTTAATTGTTGTTGTTGTTGACCAATCATTGCTTTTGGTGATATTGAATTGGGTGATGAAGATCGTGATGACAAATTTGTTGTTTGTTGAACAACATCCAATTGTATATTTAATGGTGGTTTGGTTTTTGATGATATTTCCTTGTCTGAATCATCACTATATTCTTCTTCTTCCTCAAATTCAATATCCTCTTCAATATCTTCAATTTCAATATCATCTTCACTTTCAGTTATTGTTGTTTCTTCATCTTTTTGTTGTTGTTGATCTTTTAATGATATTTTAAAACTTGTAAAAGAAATATTTCCCAATGATCCTTTTCTAGTTGTTTGTTGTTGTTGTTTCTTTATAATATTTGGTGATGTATGAATACTGTTACCAGTATTCGAAGTAGTCGAAGTATTCTCCAAAGATGGTGGTAATCCACTAAAAGTAGTAGTATTGGGATTACGATTAAAATATTGTTTTGAAGGTGTCCAAAGTTTATGAGAAGGAGATAGAGATATTTCTCTTTGATTATGCCTTGGTGTAGCAAATAAACTTGGTGATGAATGTAACGGGATGGAATGAATATTTGGTGTACTCATTGATCTTGGTGATACTGTATTTGGATTCATTGGATTAATTGGTACATTATTATTATTATTATTATTTTGATTATTATTATTATTTCTTGGTGATAATAATTTGTTTGGACTTGATACTATTGGTGATAGTTGTTGTTGTTGTTGTTGTTGTTGAATAAATAAGTTGTTATCGTTTGATGAATTTAATGTTGATCTAGAAGAGTTATTATTATTATTATTATTAATGTTATCAAAGTTTGGTGGTGATCCCATTAATATTTGATCAGATAATATAGAATTTGAGGAAGATGATGATGAAGAAGGTGAAAAGGTTGGTGATGGTGTTTTACTACTACTACTATTGTTATTATTATTATTATTTATTGTTGATCTATTTACATTATTATCAATATAACTTGTATCAAAAGTTACATGTTGTTGCTCTTGCAATATATTATTATTATTCTGTTGTTGTTGTTGTTGATTAAGAGATAGAACTGGAGGTGTTGATGATTTACCAAGACTATCAACTCTTCTTGATCTTCTTGACTAAAATAGAAAGAGAAAGGAGGAAAGAATGAATAGAAAGAAAGGGATCAATATAACACTCTATATCAAAGCAAAAGTAAACTATCACCTTCTTCACTCAACAACTACAACTCATACATTTAACATTTTGTTCTATATATATGAGTAAATGAGTTACTCTACTTTTTGTTTTGAAACTATCTAGTTGTTTGTTTTAATACATCTATGTATATATCTCTTTCTATTTCTCTTTTCTCTCTTCTATCTATCTAATAAATCTATTTTTTGATGTGTGTCTCTTGAATTTCTTTCTAAATTGGCTGCTTGAAAATGAAAAAACTCTCATGAGTATTGTTCAATTTATTTTAAATCAATTATTAGTTTGTTGTTATAAGTTAAACTAATTTGGGGTAGGTATTACAAAGGTTGAGAAAAAGAGAGAAAAGAAAAAGAGAGTGTTGGTTGATTGGTTCATTAATTGATTTGAATATTGTGATGAATAAATTGTGGTTGTTGTTGTTGTTGTTGATAAAGCGGAGCATATCCAGCTGGACCATGGTTAACAAAACCTGGATGAATCATTTGATTATGTGTTGGGTAAACATAAATGATTTGTTGTTGTTGTTGTTGTGGTTGTTGTGGTTGTTGTGGTCGTAATTGTATTTGTCCAACAGATTGTTGTTGTTGTTGTGGAACTCTTGATTTAAGAATAAATTTAGATAATAAGATCATTGCAACGTCGCTGGCAAAGAACCAAATATAAGAGGCATTGAGATGTGGACCAACCAAGAGACACCACTTTTCAGATTTCAAAGTAATGAGGAATCCAATACCACCACTGAGACCTGTTAAAAACAAATAACTAATCTTGGAGAGTAATCTATTATTGTACAAATAGATCAATTGTAGTACCAAATAACCAGAACATCCAACTCCGACAACTCCCATGTACAACATTTCCGACCATTCAGTTTTGTTGGTTGCATACATATCATCATAAATCCATCCAACAAATAATAATATAATATTTAATATTACCAACTAAATTAAATTAAAAAAATATTAATAAATATTAAATGGAAATAATATATTACTCTATATTTTTTTTTTATACATACAAATTGAATAGATTTCTTTTTTGGATCAACTAATTTATTATCAGATAGACCACACCAGAATAAAAGACATGCAATGGATCCAGTAAGAGAGACATCTACAATACTGAAAATAGTGTTCCAAATTTGAGCAAATGGTGGAGCATGGATAAGAGAATCGGCAAGCATTGCATTAGTCATCATAATACCATAGGTAAGGAATGTTAATGCATAGAAATAAGTATCTAAATTAAATGTTTAATATTAGTATTTTGAGGTTATTATATTATATATTTTTACATACTACTATTCTTCTTTAAAGCAATGAATCTAGATACACCAATATAAAGTGCCCAAATACAAAGTGGAATGAGGAATGGATCATATACTACAATGTTGGTAGTACCATTAGTCCATTGAACCCAATCAAAGCACATATTTCCTGTATTATTACCACCTCCACTAATTGATCCACATCCTCCAAATTCTCCACTTGAACTTGAACTACTACTGCTGCTGCTGCTACTTGACACAAAATAACTATTGTCACTACTACTGCTTGATCCCCAATTTAGACTATAAGAGTCTGATGAACTACTACTAATGCTATTATCCCATCCATTGTGACCATGACCATGACCTGCATGATGTCTGTTGTGATGGTGATTATACCCTTCTCTTGGTTTAAGATATAATGACATCTTTAAAAAGTATAGAGTATAGATATATAAATCTATCTATATATCTGTGTATGTGTAGTGTGTAGTGTGTTTGTGATGGTTATAATAATAAAAACTTTTAATCTCTGATCGTCATAGCAAGCACGATTCTCTCTCAAAGTAAAAGTGCCCCAACCACAAAATAAAATTTTATCATATGATTTTTTGACCTGAGTAAGTATCTCTTGCTAGATTCATCATTTAGTTTTTAACACACTCCACAACCCTAATAATAATAATTATCGATATTGACAGATAGGTAGATATACAACAACAATCATTTGATAATAAAATTTTAATTAATATACTTTATAAAGTATTTGTAGTGTGATAGGGAGGGGATGTCTTCTATCCATTGACATTCACAGATTTGTTTTTTGTGAAATTTTGGTGCACTGAGGGGAACGTTATTCATTCGCCATCAACGGTCACAGGCAGCACGATTATTAAATTTTGTGTGTTGTGTGGATGAGGAGAGACTCTCTTGGTTTAAATTGCTTTCAATATTATAATTCATTACTTTACTGTTTTATTATTATTATTATTATTATTTATTAAACTAGTACTTTTTTCGTAAATTTACTATTCAACAAAGGAGAGAGATACAAACAACCCCTTCTTATACATACATATACTATCATTATTTATACTACTACGCCTGTATTATTATTCTTTATTCTTTATTCTTTATTCTTTATTCTTTATTCTTTCATCATCATCATCATCATCATTTATTTCACGCGCACAATAAAGATTAAGATATCTTTACATTCATCATAATACATACATAGATACATAACATACACACACATAGTCAATATAAATATAAATCTTCTACTCTCAACACAATCAAAAAAAACAATAACAATAATAACGCACAAATCAATATTTAATAACTATACGAGAGAATATACTATATAAATGGCAGATGCACTAATAGAATATGAATCCGAGTTTATAACGATTACGGATGAGATTGAAAGAGGTGTAAAGGATTTACCTAGACTAAATAAAAAGCCTGCAGAGTTGAGGTCAAAGGCTGAAATATTAAGATCAAGATTAACTAGAGCAAAACAAAGTATGGTGACAAAGATAACACTATAGTCTCTATCTATCTATCACATCTGTACTAATCAATCTTTTCTATAATCGCCTCCACCATTTTACAGTTTTAAGAAGTTATAAGATTGAAACACGTGAATTACCAAAAGAAGAACAAAGAGAACATATAAACAAAGCAAATTCATTTGAAGAAAGAGTTAAAACAATCGAGAATGAATTAAATTGGGCAGAGAAACAAGGAGAAAATGGAGGTGCTGGTGCTGCTGGTGCAGAGGCTACACCACAAGACGATTATAATCAAACCATGATGCAAGCAAGAGCCATCCAAGAAAAGGATCTTCAAGCAACCGATAGAATCTTGGAAGAAGTCATTCAAATGAATACTGTATGTCAAAAAAAGAAGAAAAGGAGGATTGTATGATGATGATTTGGATGATGATTAACATTTCATTTATTTACTATCTTATTAAAGGTTGGTACATCAACATTGGAAGAAATGTCAAAACAAGAAGAACAAATGAAACGTATTGCAAAGGGAATGGATGAAGTGGATAGTAATTTAAAGTTGGCACAAAGACAAATAAGAGTTTTTGCAAGAAAAATGGCTACCGATAAATTGATCATGGGTCTTGTATTACTCATTGTCATTGCCATTGTTGTAACTATCATTGTTTCAATTGTTAAACCTGGTTCAAATGATAAAGTTCGTGATAAAGTTGTTGGTAGTGGTTCTCAAGCTTAAAAACCAATTTAAATAATAATAATAACGAAACGAATAATAATAACAAAATTAAATAACTAATAATAATAATAATAATAATAATAACGTAATTTTTCACACTATATTGAAAAAGAAGATTTATAAATGTATGGATACTACTTTATAGTTAGTTTAATCCATCTTTTTTCTTTTTCTTTTGTACCAAAATAATAATAATAATAATTAAAATTACATCCCCCCCCCAAAACAAACATCTCTAATAATAATAATAAACATTACTAAACTCCTCCTCCTTTTTTAAAATCCCTAAAATATTTTGTTTACAATTTGATTATTTATTTATATTTATATTATGTACCATTTTTGATTATTATATTTTATAGTTTATGTTGTTTTGTTTTACTTTTTTTTTTTTGTTTTTAGACAACTAAATCAACAGTTTCAGTTTCAATAGTATTAAGAGATGTTTGAGCCTTTGAAGTCCAATCAAGGATTTTACCCTTCATGGTTGCAATTTGGTTGAGATCTAGGATTCTTGGTTGTACCCAAGCAATGGCAACGGTTTGATCGATTTGGTCAATGTGTCCCTTGATGAGACCCAATGAAAGAGCCTTCATCAACAAATGTTCGATATCGTCCAATGGAAGTTTGGTAGTTTGTGCAATGGTTTTGAATGCAATAGTACGATGTTCCGATGGTGTTCTAAATGCAAGATCCAATAATGACAAGATTGAAATCTTTTGTAATAATTTTTGTTTATTATTAACAATTGCATCCTACAAATAAAAATCAAAAAGAAAGAGTATGGTAAGTAAATAACAATTATTTCCTTTTCTTTTGTTCTTATTCTTTTTTGATCTACATACAATTTTTGCAATGGAATCACGATGTTGATTGGTTAAATTTTCAAATTGAGTAATATCTCCAACATTGAATGCTTTTAATAATTGAATTAACCATGCTGATTGAGTTGATTCTAATGATTTAAGAATTGGATGTGTAATCTAGAAAAAGAGAGGAGAGGAGATTTAATTGTTGTTGTTGTTGTTGTATTGTAAAAATATACATATATAAATATATTTACTTACCAAATCACCAAAACTATAAACTTCACCAATTAAAGCAGCAATACCCAAATCAAAGGCAAGTGCAGTTTGCTTGTCAACAGACATGGTATCCAATTTACAATATGAAAGATATAATAAAGCATTTTGATAAAATTCACTTGCTTGATTTTTAAGCTAAATCAAATCGAAATTATAGGTTAGTATATATATATAATGGTTTATATTTAGATATAATATGATTCATACTCTATGATATTCAGTACAGATTTTATAAAATGAAGAGTAAACAATTGGTTCCAAACCAGTTACACCCTTTAATTCATCTCTAGCAGTTTCAATGGTAGTTTTACATTCTTGTTGGTTTTGTGAGTTCAAATGAATCGATGCGATAAAAGCAAGTGCTAAAATGTAACCTGATTTATCCTTTTTAACCTTTTGTGAGATTTGTTCAATAAACTTTCTTGCTCCATCATTGTCTAGACAATCAAAAAACAACAGTTAGCTACACGTATATACCTATATATATATTTAGTTAATCTAATAGTCTATTTGGTACAAACCTAATTGTTGAGCAATAACAATACAAATTTCAACCAAACTAAGTGGTTTCATTCTAGTTTCAAAGTCTTTGATAAAGATTTCATAGAGATTGACCAATTCCTTCTTTGCCAACAATTGTGGTGATTGTATTAATACTTTGATTTGTTCTGTAAGTTGATGCCATAATCTAGAATGATTGATTAATTGATGATGATGATGATAATGTATTTATTAGGTTTATAAATTCTATTCTTTTTCTTTATCTCTATTGACATACTTGTTATTATAGTAATCTCTTAATAATACGACTTGATCAGTCAACTCTGGGAATGAAACCTTTAAGTGATCTAAATATTCAATTGTTCTCATTTCTCTCTATCTATCTATCTATCTCTTTATTTATCTATTTATCTATATTTATGATTATTTTCTAAATTAAATGAGCCCTCTTTTGTGAACATCATCATCTTCATCACACTTTTTTTTTTTATTTTTTTTATTTATTTTTTTAATTATTTTCCGACAGTGTTACTATCTTTGTATTTTCTACTTAGCGAGAGCAAAAAAGATGAACGATCATACATAAAGAGAGACATACATAGATATATTGATACTAGAAGAGATAGATAGATGAGCCAATACGATAAAGAGATTTACGAGAATGGGTACACTTATTCGTGTGCAGAGTGCACTAATAATCATCCATGCTTTTCAGGGTTGGGTGTGTTTAATGGGAATGGTCTACCCTATGAAGCATACCTTCGCGCAAAGAATAGAAATGAAGAGTTGCGTGAGAGAATCAAACAGATTCACTTTGAAACAAGCCCAAAGCATCGTAAACAGTCTTCATCATCACTCTCTTTAGATCAACAAAAGTATGTCAATGGATCGTCATCGTCATCGTCATCATCATCATCCTCTGATTATAGTAAAAAACCATATAATCAAACACCTAGACAGTTTGGACCAAACTCTTCGGGATATGATCAAAGTCTTTATAAAAGAGATAATATTTGGGATACTGCTAATCGTGAAACACTCAATAAACTGGCAAGAGATGTTGCACACCAAAAGGCAGAATCTGCAGACGACTGGAACAAATCGTTGAATGCTAGATTATTGGCCGATGATCATGCAACTGGAAAGTATGGTGCTACAGATGCCCGACACGTCAAAGCACAAGAGTATGCAGAGAAAAAGATGTATCAGGCCGATCCCAACCACACCTACAAACCCAACTATAACCCAACAACCGATAATCCAGTTCGAAACGATCCTTCCTACGATCATGGTAACCATTGGGATCAGTTGTCTGCCCATGTCTATGATACGCTTCACCAATTCGATGGTATAACCTATGATACCAATGAATCAAAAGATGACAACAAATAGATAATTTTAATTTCACAAATGAACGGCTCGAGCGAGACCTCACATGGTAATAGTATCAAATTGATGCCATTCATAATATATTATACATCGGTAATCATATTTGTAACATAGAATAGAATAATAATGTAAAAAAATATAAATTTATTTTGATTATATATAGCAAAGTATATCCTTTGCTAATAATGAATTCTCAGTTCAATTTATTAAAACTATTTATAAGAATAATAATAAATCAAATCTTTTCCATGGATTATTGTTTTTTTTTATATCCTTTTTTTTTTTTTTTTTGTATGGTTTAGATGGAAATCATTAGAATATATATAAAAGTAAGAAATTGTGAGTACTACAAGAATATCATAAAAAAGGTTGTTGGGTCCTAAAAAAAGATCAATAAAATAGCTCCGAGAAGGGATAGTCTATTGTTTTTTTTTTTCCATAATATTTTTTTTACATATTTTCATCGGGAATGGTTTTTGAGCGTCAGGATGTCACCAATTTTGTAATATTGTGTATGGTGTATATAATATCTACTGCTAATAATGACAATGATGATAAACAAGATAACTAAATAACTGACAAGATACAATAAACTAGACTGAACAAGACTCTACACGATAGATATACAATTATAACTAGCTACACGAATTGGGGAAACAAGAATAATCCACCAAGCTCGTCGCGACTTCTATTTATTTGTGTTTTTCATATTTTATGTATTTTCGGAATGCAGGGTGAACCTTGTTCTCTGACACTCTCGCAGTGACACCAAAGGCATGCAGCGTACCACGCCTTCCTTCATTCCTTCTTATAAATTTCGATGATATATGGATAGAAATGTAGGAAATTGTGGGTACTACAAGAATATCATAAAAAAAGGTTGTTGGGTCCTAAAAAAAGATGAATAAAGTCGCTCCTAGTTGGGATCGAACCAACGACCCTGCGGTTAACAGCCGCATGCTCTGCCTACTGAGCCATAGAAGCGTGATTTTTTGATAATGGAAAAAACAATTTTCGCCTATTTATAGGCGTCGGGCCCCTATACTAACAGAAACTCTAACTATTTTAATTAAAATTAAAACAAATAAACCATAATTACTCTATTGTCCGACGACTAGAGTCCAGATTTATTATAAAAAAAAAAAAATAATAGGCGTCGGGGAATAATTTTTATTATTAAAAAAAAATTTAACCGACAACAGTCCACGCTCTCAGCTTCACCAAGCAGAGAACACATCACCAACGTTATGTCAATGCTGTTGCTATACCTCTTTCATCGCACGCGATTCTATCATGTCAACCTGATCGATGGTCGTTAATAAACCTCGAACTGATCTCAATTCTCTTTCATTTGGGCAAACTTACTACACCCATTCCCTCCTTCCTAACTAAAACTAACCACTATCTAACAACTACTACAAATTAAACAACAATAATATTATTAAATTATATGATTTTAGCTGTGAAGAGAGGCCAAAGATTTTATTAAAAAAAAAAAAAATTATAGGCGCCAGACAATAATTTTTTAACTAAACTTTCAACTCATTATTTTGACATACAACTACTGATTTAATCTTCTCTGTGATCTATTTTAATTTCACCCAGGTATACTTTGACTACTGAGCTTAAGTAGTTTTATATATTTATCTATTTTAATTACAAAATTAACAAAATATTCTCCCATTTTTTTTTTTAGATTAGAAATTGGGCCATCCAACTACTTCTTTAACAATTTCTCTGGTGGACCAGCATCTTTTTTATGTATGTAATTAATTCAAAATCGTCACCATATTTTTTGGAATCCAATAGTCTTTGAAGAAATTCTATTTCAAACTTGTCTGTAGAATGCGAGAGAATCCAATTGACAATATCATAGCGCCCATAAGATGTTGCAGTTTGTAGTAATTTCTTACCACACTTTCCTTTTCTGACATTTTCTATGAGAAATGATGTCATTTCTAAATATCCATTAAAACAAGCACAATCAATACCATATTTTGTACATCCTTCACTTCTATTAAAGTGTAAAAACTATAGAATAATAATAAGAATAATAATGTCAGAGATGATTAAATAGTTTGTTTGATTTGTTTACATACTTTAACTATTTCAATATGATTATTTTCAATTGCACCATCCATAGCCTTGGTTGTTGCACCTTCTTGACGATGTTGATGAAGGAATGTTAAAATTTCAATGTGACCATTCTGACTCGCCAAATCCATAGCTTTGGTTGTTGCACCTTCACTACGATGTTGATCAAGAAACTTGACCACTTTAATATGATTATTTTCAGATGCTTTATCCATAGCTTTGGTTGTTGCACCTTCCTTTCTGTTGAAATGAAGAAACTCTACAATTTCTATATGGCCGTTTTCAGCTGCTTTATCCATAGCATTGGTTGTTGCACCTTCAGGTCTATTGAAATGAAGAAACTTTACAATTTCGATATGGCCGTTTTCAGCTGCTTTATCCATAGCCAATGTCGTTGCACCCTCACTTCTATTATCATGAAGCATTTTTACAATAGAAAAGTAACCATTTCTAGCAGCAATATCCATAATATCACTTGTCCAAGTATATGATGTATTACCTCCTTTAGAGATCTCTCCACTAAAGAAATGATTATAAAGAAAATAAAAATGATCCAATTTACCTCGATATAGTAATTCTTTTAAAGTATCTATTTGACATGTCAATCCTTTTATATTGTCAACTAGATATGATAACATTTCAATGGTTTCATGATTGTTATTTGCTAAGCAGTCAATAATTGATAATGAACAACCTTCTGTACGATATTGATAAAGAAACTTTACGACATCCAAATGGTTATTCTTTATAGCATCATCCATAGCCTTGATTGTTGCACCTTCACTTCGATGTTGATCAAGAAACTTTACTACATTTAAGAATCCATTTCGAGATGCCCCATCCATAGCCTTGGTTGATGCACCTTCAGTTCTGTATTGTTGAAGAAACTCTACTATTTCAATGTGCCCGTTTCCAGCTGCATCATCCATTGCATCGGTTCTTGCACCTTCAGTTCTGTTGAAATGAAGGTACTTTACAATTTCAATGTGTCCGTTTCGTGATGCCCAATCTATAGCATCAGTTGATACACCATCACTTCTATGTTTATCAAGATATTCTACAACATGAATATGACCATTACTAGATGCAGTATCCATAGTATAATCAAAACATCCTTCTTTTCTATTTTCATTTAAAAACTATATATATATATAAAAAATAATAATAATTATTATTAATTATAATAAACAATAATTTCATTTGTTTTAATATATTATATATACCTTTACAATATCTAAATGACCATTTGTTGCAGAATCATGCAAAGCCATCTCTGTACATCCTTCAGTTCTATTAAAATGAAGAAACTATATAACATGTTAACAAATTTGATGAATGTATAATTTTATATCCAATCAACCTTTAATATATATATATCATACCTTTACAATATCCAAATGATTATTCTTTGCAGCGTTATCCTAAAACAATAATAATTATAATATTAATTAATCAAGTTTGATTCTTCTTCTTTTTCTTTTTTCTTTTTTCTTTTTTTTCTTCTTACCATTGCATATATAGTACATCCTTGATCAGTTCTATTAAAATGGAGATAATTTACAATAGAGTATGAACCATTTTCACAAGCCTCTTCAAAAGCATTCATTAGAAAACCATTCTTTCCAGCATCAGGTGGACACTTCTTGATCATGTGTTCTAGTATATCATGATTTCTTATTTTGATAAAACTATATCTTTCCATATAATCCCAATCAAAGTCAATATCGGGAGACCATTCCAATAGATGTAACAGTGTATCCAATGTTGCATTGTTATGATAACAGTATTGAGTGATCACTCTTTTTCTTCTTCTTTTAACCAATACTTGATTCAAACCACTATCTCGAGGTAGATAATGACAAATAAAGTTCCATGGCATTGCATACTTGCTTATCATTTCAAGAAGAGGTAATTTTATGATATCTCTTCCTGCCAATGATCGTAATCTACCATCATTACTAGTTCTTATATCATTCCTTGGGTACAATTGTTTCGATATATCACCAATATGATTGAATATCAAATGTCTAATATATTTATCTCTAAATATTGAATTAAATGTTACAATCATCTCGAAAATAACAAAAGAAAAAGAAAAGTTTTTTTTCAAGAGGGTTTTTTTTCTTTTTCAAAAAATATTTATTTATTTATTTTATAATTTAATATTATCAATATATTTTAATACTGCTTTCTTATTTTCAATGTCATGATTGTTATTAGCACCTTCTTTGAGGATAGATAGGTATGGATAACATATGTATCCTGGAGCTGTGTAGGTCAAAAGAGTGTGGACCCATTCTTGTGATCCGTATAGACCAACAATTCGCCAAGTTTCAAAGTCTTGAATAACCAATGGCATGTCAGTCTTTAATAAAATATCTAAATAGTCTATATCAAACTCTTGAATGGCATGATCGATATGAATAGCAAAATAAGTTTCAACCTTGTGTAAATAAAATGGATCATTTTGATGCGATTGATGATCCTTGAAATAATTGTAAAGGAAACAAATAATTGATGCCTGTCTAGTCTTTACTGCACGATCTATTAATTGTTTGAAAACTGCATTACATTTGATTCCATATGCATCAGCCACTGTAGCAAATGAAATTGAAATAATAATACCAAAATTTAATATTTGTTTTACCAATGTCATTAGTTTATCCAAATCATCTAGATCTTGATCCAAATCATCATGATCAATGATATCTATTTGTTGTGTTGTATCCAATAAATATGCAACCACATCCCATCTTTCTCTTTTGATCATTTGATTTAATAGATAATTTTCTTTTTCTTCAAAGTTGTGCAACTCGAATGGCATATTTTGTATAATAAATCTTACTACTGATATATCTTTTGGCCATTGTTCAAAATCACAATAGATCTCTCCAAATTGTATTTTATCTCTACCACCAATCAATTGATATGATTGTTTTACCAATTCCAAATGACCATGTTTAAATATAAATATAAATCCATATCTTTCCAATAACATTTTACAAATATTATTATTATTTTGATTATTTTGATTATTAATATTTTGATTGTTTTTATAAAAATGATTATTTATAAATGTTATTAATTTTATATGATAGGTTTGAATAATCAATGATACTGGTGATGATGAAGCAGGAGTCATTGAATAATATTTATAATACACTTCCATTGCCCAAAGATAATAATATTCCATTTTTGATTGAGAAGAAGAAGAGTCGGATTGATTTTGTTGTAATAATGATTCAATAGAATGATTGATATTATTTAAATTAATTAGGGGATGTGAATATTTTGTAAAGATTGATAATAAACTATTAAATTGTGATCGTAATTGATTATAATCTTTATCCCAAAGTATCATTCCAATACAATTATTGTGAATATGTTTTATATTATCGTCGTCGAGTGGTACAGGTGGTGGTGACAGAATATCAATACGATGATTGACAATATACTCCAACGAAGAATAAAAGAATAGACAGAGGAATATTCTTGGTGGCAATATAGTAGAGTATTCCTCGGCCATCTCCATGTACCTAGTCCGTAGTCTTTGGTTGAGATAGGGACTGGGTGATAGTTTAGATCCCAATGATGTATAGGCAGGTCCCATCCCAGTTTCAGACAAATCTTTAAATGGAACCATATATTTGACCAATTTAGATGGTCCGATGCAATGGACGATACTACGCATAATATCTTTTCTCCCATACACCACACAATACTTTAATAATAAATGTATATAATATCTTTCGGTTGGATGATGTTTTTGAAAGTATTCAAGTACTAATTTGGTATTTATAGTAGTTTGACTATCATCATCACCACTAGTATTATTTGTTTCATTGTTATTGTTGTTGTTGTTGTTATTATTATTACTCTGAAATATACCTTTAATCTTATCTATTGTACTCTTCTTTTTGTTGTTTATCAATTTAGTAATATCTTTTAGACATTGATTTGAGACTAAAAAGTTTATAAATAGATTCCAAATATCTATATTACCATGATAGACAATGATCCAACCGAAAAAGTCACCAATACTTAACAGAGATTTATGTGTACGTTCAGTGTTGTCATGAGTAAAGTAATCTTTGAATCTGGTTTGATAGGTTGTCATGAGAAGAGATACAATGTCGACATTGTCAATGGTGGCACTCTCAACGATGATATTGTTTTGTGCTGAAAAGACACCTTGAAAGTGTAGACGTGACCTTTCTTGACTAGACTCTAGTATATATTTTAATACACCATAATGTTTGTTTCTAACTACCCAAACGAGATCCATTAACAATTGATTATATCTCTTTCTCTTTAACTTCATTGCTTTTGGTACACAAGCACCAAGATAATAAACATCATCTCTAATCCTCTTCAAGATATAATTAAACAAATGTTTATTTTTAAATACTCTTGTAATTGCTTCTGTAGACCCATTTGTTGTTGTTGTTGTTGTATTATCATCTCTATTTATCTGTTTTTCATTATTATTATTATCAGTAGTAGTAGTAGTAATGTTCGTGGACAATAATATGAAGCCCATGATTAGGTGTCTCTCTCTCTCTCTTCTCTTTGTGTGTAGTTGTAAAATTAATTAAAAATAAAAGTTGTGTGTTTGCTTGGGTTCAGTGACTTGTTCAGATATTCTATGGTTCATCGATAGTTAATCATCATAGTTTGAATGAATATCCACCCCAAGAAAGAGTCTTCATCTTTATCGATTGCAAGATCATCAAAGCAACACTTCCAAGAATGATAGAAGAAGGCATTCAACCAACAAGTTGCCCCTAAAACATCGATTTGGATGATGTTCATCAAAACAATCTTTGTTTTTTTTTGTTGTTATTAGCATCTCGTAATGCCCGAGATAATGATATAAACATATGACAGTCTCCTTTAGAAGAATATCAAGGTAACTCACCCATTAAACCCAGTGGTTTGGTTTAAATGCAACAAAAAAGATTGTTGTTGTTGCCTACAATAACAAAAAAAAAAGGGGAACATTATTTTATTTAATATTTTCTATTGTACAAACAAATAGACTATTATTATTGTTGGTCTATCTATTGAAATGGTATGTTATAAAAGAAAAGAAATGAGAAAAAAGGAAGCATTTTGTTAACATTAAAATCTCTCTCACTTATCTACACAAAAAGTCAACAACAATATTAAATAATTTAAAAATACAACAAGAGTATGACCAGTTTGTAGCAGAGTTAAAGAATACCCATCCATCAGTTCAATTGAACAAATTCACTCAAGTAAATAATATTGTTATATTATTTTGTCATGACAATCAACCATCATCATCATCAAAGGGGAATGAAGAAAAAGGATTACCTACATCAAATCAAAAAGGTAAAACCAAAGGAAAAGAAAAAGGTAGTAAAGTCCAAGACCAAGAATGGGAGAAATCAATTTTAGAAACTAATCAATTATCACCATATATTAAAGCTGGTAAGACAAAAATATAGATATAATGCTTGGTTATGTTTGCCCTCTAACAATTATCTTTCTTTTTCTTTTTTATAATAGTATTAAAAATAATTAAATTAAAGAGATTTCAAACAATATATACAAATATATTAAATTGGGAGATGGTATGAATGGATTCTTTATTGCTTACAAAAGTATTAAAATGGTATTAATGTGTGAGGAGGAATACCCAACAAACACAAAATCTACCAACATTCTTTTAGTACATGCAATTGATGCCATTCAAAGAAACGACTCATTGTTTGAAAACAATCATTTTCTAAAATATTGTCAAGATGTACTCAATGAACAACAATACTCGTTATTCAAATCATCGTTGACACCACATCGAGTAGATATCGATTTAATATTATTATGGCATAATATCTACTCTTTTAATTTAAAGTACTCTCCAACATCACCACCACAAACCAACAATGAAGAATTGAAAACTAAATTTATCAATCATCTCAAATCGATCAATTCATCAATTGATGACTCTGTAATTGGTTGGATTGGTAAAATTATACGTTTTAAATTCAAGAATTTGTATATTGAAAAGTGTACAAGACTATTCATGTCGTGTAGTTATCCTACACAGGAATCCATCTTTTTCCAATACGATGTTGTCGTTCAACATCTTGCTAGTCATAATCTCACCGTTGAATACATCATGGATATGGGTGATGTAGCTATTGACAATCGAAAAGGTGGGTTCCTTTTATTGGTTACTTGCAAGAATCGTCCACTCGGTCAACAAGCCTATCAACAATTACACCAACTCGACCATCTCAGATTCTACAATGTCACCTCTGCCTTTGGCACCGATAATTCTCATCGTCCAGGTGACCCACTTCCAAAATTGACTCCATCTAAAATGTCAACCATCGTCAAAAATTTTGATCAATATTCTGTTGTTGATCATCAACAACAACAGTCGTCACAACAACCAAGAGTGATCCCACGAGATTCAAGTCCAATTAAATGGAGAAAGGTTGATAAATTTATATGTGTGAATAGAGTATCACCTCAGCAACAACAACAACCACAACCAAAGTCTATTGCTAAAATCAATTCATTGTCTTGGCAAATGATTAATAATATAGAGTTTTTCAACTTGATCATTGGTAATCTAGTCAATAACGAACAAGTATCATTAGTAGTTTGGTTGGAATTTGTTTCATCATTTTATTATGCCATTTCAGAGAGACACCAATTCAAATCAATCTTTAAAATCATATCCATCAATGATATATTATCAACACCTTCTATTGAACGTTTGACAAGATTTAAAACAGAGGCTGTTGAAATCATCACTGACTTGCAATTGAAAAAGGCTAGACTATTTATTCAAAATACTCAAATCGTAGAGTTTCAAGGTCGTGGTGTCATGATTGATTTCCTTACTGGCCAAATCTTTTTCATGAACCATGGTGATTCACAACAAGAAACCTGCTCCTTGTCAATCAATACAATACTTGATAAAATCTTACAGTCGTTTGACACCTACTATGCATCTTCTGCACGATCATCATTTTCAATGTCATCACTTCACCTCACTCAATTCTTTTTGGATCAAACCATCAAGAAAAAAGATGAAAAGGATGCATTTACAGCTGTAAAGACGAATGGTAAACAATTTATATTGGATATTTCTACTTGTCTTGAAAAGGTGACAAAGAACAAGGTAGATACCATACTCTATGCAAGAACTACAGTTGGTGATGAAAACTCTACAAACAACCAAATTGAATTATTGGATCAAATCACTAGCAAAGTTGGTAAAACAAAATCAATCAAATTTGAAAACACATTGGTTCATGATACCTATGTTAAAGGTGAAGAAATAGATGATTTAAATGATATCAATTCACCTTTGATAGATACTATTCAAGATCGTATTGATGATAAAAAATCAATGGTCGTTTGGATGACATCAATTGATATAGCATTTGCCAATCAAGAATATTTGTATATGTTTTTTAAAGAATATCATGATGATGATGATGATGATAAACAATCTGCCATTGTCAACCTAGTATCGGTATTTGCTCCTTACGAGTACATGAATGTCATCAAGAATAATCGATATCAATTGGAAGAAAATCTATATGAGATTTATCTTATTCAAAATAATTCAACCAGTGGTGGTGGTAATGATGGAATTCAATCAAAGGAAGAATTTATCAAATCATTGCCAAGTCTTGTTAGATTGTATTCAGAACAATGTCATTATCTTGCACAATTCATGTCAAATCCTGAACAAGTTAAATTTTATCCATTGTTCTTTCCAACCCCGTTGAATCAATCAAATGTACAAGTTTACATGGATCATTGTCGTCAAGCTAGTATAACACAAACCGAGTATTATAATGACAAGTTTCCCTATCGATCATCCACTTTTAACTTGCAAGGTAAAAAGAAATCAATTGAAGAAGTTATCATTGACTCGAGCAACAACTCGAGACATAAAAATGATTCCAGTCAATTCAAAATTTTTCACAATAATGTTAAAGAAATTAACGATATTTTAAAATCAATGATTCCAAATCGTCAAAATACAAGAGAAAATATAATGTAAGAAAGAAATATTAAAATCATAATAATAATAATTAGAATTAGAATTAACTTTGGTTTATTTTTTATAGTGATTTTAAAGAACAATTACAATTATTTTTTAAATCAAAAAAAGTTAATCGATTATATATTGAAACAACTGTTTCTCCAACTTTTACAACTTCAACTTCTACTTGTACTTCTACAACCTCTACAAATTGGAATTTTGGTGAAGAAGAAGAAGAAATTGTATCACCCATCAAAAAGAAAAAACTTGCAAATGGTCAATCACCAACTTTTAAAGATGGTAATTCTATTGAACACAAGAGAAAGAATGATTTAAATTCAACCAAAGCTAAAAGTTATTCACCATTATTTCATAATAATCAACAACAAAAGCAATTTGAACTAGAGGATGAAGAAGATGATAATGAACCAATTTTTATTCCTAAACCAAAACCATCATTTTCAAAACCTACTTTTGTCATTTCTCATTTGTTTGTGATTCAAACTCCAATTGGTAAAACCATTCGATCATCAAAATTGTCCTATCAATTCTATTTGGAGAAAACATTTATGCAAAAGGTCAATGTCATAAACTTTCACCAAGACAAGGAACAAGATTTATTCTTCTATATGATTACTGTTGGCTCTCAAGAAATCAAAAACCAAATCATTCAAAATGCTACTGGAAGATCATTTATTGGTAGTATGGCAAACTTTAATGTCACCTTTACATTTATCGATCCTTTGGAACCAAATTGTATCTTTTATTCAAGTTTAAACACCAAAGTTGCCAATGAAACTTTAAACAAACATTTTATTGATCGTATCTGTTTTTGTCAATTTCCAAAGAAACAAGGTTCCAATGAAACCATTACCATTGTCAAACTTAAAGACCAATCATCATTTGATCTCGCAAAACAAAGTTTTAAAACTATTCAGAAACTTGATAATAATATCTTTAAACTTTTTCAACAACAATAAATAAAACAATATTAAGTTATTTCTTTTATAATTATTATTATATATTAATATACTTCTTTTTTTTATTATTATTATTTAATTTTTATTTTATTAGTTTACCAAGGATCACCTTCATCATCATCTAAACTAATGACAGATGGAGGTTTTGTATATTTCTGATAAGGAAATGGATTACTAGCATTGTATTTACTAACTGGTGGTGGTTGTGGTGAAAAACTACTATTATTATTTGTTAAATATCTATTAATAGTTGGTTGGTATGAACTATTATTATTATTATTTGGTGAAAGTGGTGATTTTGTATTATTATTATTATTAATATTATTATTATTTGAGTGATTTTCAAAAGATGCAGAATCTGGAATAATGGTAGATGTTGAAGGTGAATAAAAGGATGATAGGTTCCCACTACCATTATTGTTGTTTGAGGTATAACTTGATAATAAAGAATTGGAACTAAGATAGGTCGGTAAATTGAATGGTGGTTTCTTGATTGATTGTTGTGACGATGATGATGATGTCTGTTGTTCAAGTAATGTTTGTTCGTCTTGCACTTTTTTAGCTGCTTGTTGATCCAATTTATTTTGATTTGCTTCAATTAATTGTTTAATATGTTCAAGTGATGCTTGAAGATTAATTAAATTATATCTATAAAAAAAATAATAATAAATAAAATTAATACATATATTTTCTATTTCTAATTTCTAATTTCTATTTTATATTTCTTTCTTACTCTAAAGAAGTTGAAGAGATTTTTGATAAAATATAATTTATACAATATTGTAAATCAGATTCTAAATTTCGTGGATGAGTTTGAATCAAAAGAAAAGAGATGAGAGGGAAAGCTTCGTCACCAGTGATGGCAAGGGTTTGGTCGCTTAGTTGCAAGAGACTGGATGCCTTGATCGATGTTTCAATCTCTGATGATGCTTGAATGACGGTGAGAAGTTTGTCAATGGGTGTTAGATCTTGATGTTGGAAATGAAACATTGCCTCTAGAGCCTTTGTCATGTGTACTGAAAACGCTCCATTCACTCCCATATCCTCCAGACTCAAATCACTCAACATTAACATTTTTTCATAATAGAAATTATTCTTTTCTCTATGAATATCTTTTAATCCATTATATACATATTTTCCAATTTTACCAAATATATAACTAAAGAGAAAATTAAAAAATAAATTAAGTATAAGTAAGTAAAAGTTTAAATATAAGTATAGGTATTTTCTTTCTATTCTATTTTCTTTTTACCTTTCCAAATGCATTGATAAATTATTCATTTGTCTTTCATTTGATCTTAATTCTTTATATTCTACATTTGCACAAACAAGATCATCCAAATATTTTTCATGTAATCTCTTTAATTGTTCCAATAGTTGTGATTCATTGGTTCTTGTCAACACACCAATTTCATTTTGAACTCTTCCAAGATCATCATCCAATTTATTAATAATAATTCTATTACATGGTGTTGATGGTGATAATAAAAATGTCTTTGAACTACAAGTATATAAAGAAAAGAAAATTATTAGTTATTATTATTATTAATTAATTAATTATATTTTTTGTTTATAGTTACTGATCAAAAGTAGGTTTTTGAGGTCTTGAAATTAAACCAAAATCTTCACCATCCATTGAAATGGAAGGCTTTATTCCAGTACCACCAACCAGAGGATACTCTATACAAAAGAAACGGTAGGGTTTGAAATCCTTGTTGTAACAAATCTCGTCAAAGAGAATCTTTATCTTTTTCGATGGGTCTGCCTTGTCAATGATCAAACTGTTTTCAATGGTATAGGTTGCATTTCGATTGTAGGTTTCATACTCGTCTTGATAGAATTTCGATCCAATCAATATATGTGACTCCAATACATGTTGAGTAATATTCATTCCATAGAGTGACAGGGAATGTGGAATACAAAGCATATAGCAACTAGACTCTATCACTTGAAATGTTTTTGGATACTTTAGTTTAAGTGTTTTTAGAAACACATTGTTATATAAATCTTCTGAATCCATCCTTTAGTATTTATATAACTATCATTTAAAAATGATTCAATTAAATGAATAAATGAATAAATGAATGAAGCTGCTGTTTACTACTAAGAAATTAAACTACTATAAAACTTTTATATAAATATATATATATGTTTGTATGATAAATGATGATTTGTATGTTTGTATATGATGATAATGATATTATGTAATGATAACAATGTTTGTTCTATTTTAACAAACTCTGATGTGATGGTAGTAAACAATGATGAATAAAGAAGAAGGGGGTAATACTGTTGTTGTAATATTATAATGTAATTGTACTATGATTGGGGGTTATTTATGACAGTGATGATTGGTGACTTGAAAAGCGAAAGTAAAAAAAGAAGTGAAAAAAATGAACCCCCCCCCTTCGAAATGCGTTTCGACCCCCCCCCCCCTTTCTTGCCAACTAGTCGTTTCTTTTTTCACAAAAATGGATAGAATGAATTAATCACGAGGTAATCAATGATGTGTTTAGTTTGTTTTGATGATCACTATTTAATATTTATTTTTTTAAAATGTATATATTATTATCTTCAATAATAATAATAATAAGTAATAAATAATAATATATTTTTGATTGATTGAAAAAAATTGTTTTGGAAATTATATATTATATATATTATTATTATTATTATTATTATTATTATATTATTATTACAATTATTATTATTATTATTATTATTATTATTATTATTATTATTATTATTATTATTATTATTATTATTTTTATCTTTATCTATTTTTTATCTTACAGCTTTTTTTTCTTCCAAAACAGAACTTAAAGATTGTTTTGTAATATTATATTTTTCCATGATGGTTGCAATTTGTTGATCTTTTTCCTTTTCAATTTCATCCAATTTCTTTACCAATTCATCAAGTGTAAGGTGTTCGAATTTGTTGTTGTTGCTGGTGTTATCCTTTTTTTGGAATTGGTCCATGTAGGCGGGTACAAATGGTTTCTTGTGATTGTTGTTGTTGTTGTTGGTTGGACGCATGGTACCAGTGTCGCCGTCATCATTGTTGTTGTTTACTACCATCGTGTCGTATTGATTGTTGTCTGTGATGACCATGGTGCCACTGTCGTATTCCTCTTCTTCATCGTCTTCGTCGTCTCTGGCCATCGAACGTGGTTTGAGTGGACGTACAGTTCCCATATCTCCACCCGATGCATCTGAATCAGTCTCTGAATCTGACTCTTCTTCACGTGACTCTAGTCCAAGGGCTGCTTCACGACCCTTTTCACCAATGATAATGTCTTGCTCGTCGATGAGTGGTACCAAGAGGTTGTGTCCGCGTGCACGGGTGATAAAGGGGTGTTTGAGGAGCTCGTCGGCCGATGGACGCTGTTCGGGCTTTCGCGTCAAACACTTTGCCAAAAAGTCGTTAAACTCGTTGCTCCATCTCTCGGGCTCGCTCAATTTAGGGGGTGGTCTGGTAGGGTTGGGGATCATAAAGATGACACGCATGGGATGCACGTTGAATAGGGGTGGCTTGCCCTCGGCCATTTCAATGCATGTGATACCGTACGACCAGATATCGGCCTTGTAGTCGTATCCAACCTCTTGGATGACCTCGGGTGCCATCCAAAACGGCGTGCCAATCACGGTCTGTCTCTTGGCCATCGTGTCGCTCAATTGTCCGCTGACACCGAAATCGGCCAGCTTGGACTCACCCATATTGTTGAGTAGAATGTTGCCAGCCTTGATATCTCTATGAATCTTTCTCACCGAATGTAAATAGGCCAACCCTTGCAACACATCCTTGCTCACCACTGCAATCTGTTCCTCTGACAATGTTTTAGTTGTAATCTTCATTGCATCACATACTGATCCTGCTCCACAATATTCCATTACAATCTAAAAAAAAAGTAGATAGATAGAAACAAATAATAAGTATATTATAATATATTCGATTGATCTATCTATCTATTTTACATACCCAAATTTCATTATCCTTTCTAAAACTACAATGATAGGTGATAATATAATTACTTTTACATTGTTTCATAAAGTTGATCTCTTTTTCCATATCTTCTAGATCATTATCAACAGCTATTCTCTTGATTGCAACTGGTATACCTGTTGCTTTATTAATAGCTTTCCATACTGATCCATATGATCTAAGTAAATAAATATTAAGATTACGATGATTAGATTCTCAGCTGTGTGTCTGTATCATTTATTCATTCTTCTTGTTCTTCTTACCCTTCACCTAACTTCTCAACAATTTGAAAGAACTTTTCTGGATCCTTTCTACTCATTGTTTCATCAGGTACATTTAATTTCTTTGATGCCATTTCTTTCTATCTCTCTACTCTCTACTCTTTTAATCTTTAAACTTTCTTTAACTTCTTATACACAACAAATACAAATAATAATAATAATACAAATTATCTGTTCTTCTTTTAGAATAATAATAATAATACAAATGATAGGTTGATATTGATAATAATGTTACTGGTTGATAATAATAATAATAATGATACTAACTAATACTGTTCGTTTGTGGTGATCTCGATCATCATCAAATTCTTCAGTGGTTGGCTTTAAAAACAAAAGAAAGAAAAGTTTGAAAATCGAAATAACAGTGGCTTGGAATTTATGGATCAATCTGTCAGTCGTCCTACCATATTAATTAAAGGGTTTTGTAGTATTCAATAGATCATTTAACTTTTAAAAAAGATAAATATTAATACAAGAATACAAAACATCATTTTTGTTTGGTGATCAATCATTGAAGTGATAGGGAAATATATATTAAACCAAATGGATAGATTTATATTTTATTTACAAGTTTTGGGTAACCAATTTATTGTTGATGAATCAATATATATAAACTGGATTAAATTAAATTCTTTATTTTAGAGAACAGACCTCCAAACCAACTACTTTTTTCGGGTACCTCGATCATTGATGGCTGCTGCGAGCAATGATGATGGTCATTGTTCTTCTTTGTGTCTCCTAACATTTTGATAGCTTCTGGAACTATATAATCTTCGAACCCATCAAGATCTTGTAGATCTTCAACATAACTTTTGGGATCAGCGTGGTAATGACTAGTTGTCCAAATCATTATGGAAAAACTTAGATCTTTAATTAGTTTATAATCTATAATTCCAGGTAGAGCATATTCTAAAAATATCCAAAATATAATTATATTACATTAATTATTAATTATAGTATTATTGATTATTTTACTTTATAAACAACAACAACAACAACAACAACAACAACAACAACAACAAAAACAACACCTAACTAAACCTACCTGTATAGTGTAGTAAGTAGTGATAGCATTTTGCTCCTTTTTCAAAATGGCTGTGGCTTCGTTTTCTGTAGATAATTAGATTGTTGATTTATTAGTAATTATTTATATAAACGATTAATTGATTGATTGATACAAACGTATAATAAAACCGAGCAATCCCCAACCTTAAAGTATCTTTATTCATTGGATTTGATGGATGGTCCATTTCCAATCCTAAATATTTAGCATCTTTTTCTAATTTTGTTAGATGACCATTATAAATAGAAGTAACAACAAAGGTGAATACAATGACTGCAGTGCATATTGATATAAATTTAAAAAGGAATAAAGAAAAATGAATAAATTTATTAATCTTTCCACCAACATCATCTCCTCCGTTCTTCAAACTGATTTGAACCGGATCAATTCGATGTTGATGTGTAATGGTGAGTGGAATTGGTCCTTTTGGTAATTCTGCTCCATCAAACTCCATCATTTTTAAAAAAAATATAAATATATCTAAAAAAAAAAATGCTAATCCTTTGGTTGGAATGAATGTGAATGATAATTTTTAATAATCAGTTATTAATATAATTATTAACATGTTGATGACAATGCAAATCACATATATTTTAATCAATCAATTAAATTCAACAATACCACTACTAGGAGACCACAAGTGCACACAATCATGGTCAATAATGAATGTGATCAATAAATAAATAAATACCCACCCCCACCCACCACCAATACGAAATTGAATAATTATTTTTTACAATGGGATATGTGTGTGTACAAACATCCTTTTCGAAATGATATATCTCCAGTAGCAGGTAATGGAGATTGAACAACTATACATGATTGTGTCTCTCAGCAATACCAAATCCTCTGATGGTAGGTATCAATTGTTACACCAGCCTATGAATAAAAGTGTTTGGCCGCTCAATTACCACGAACATAACCCTGAACTAGACCAACCGAGTTGTTGTGGATTAAAATGAGGTCGAAACTGACCGAGCTGCTATCAAATCAATTCCTGAGCTTTGACTTGCTTGATGATTATTTACCACCAATGTAATTTGCACCAAGCCCACCTCATTTGCATGCAAATGGCCATGCAAACCCAAGATACATCGTATTGAGCCTAGCCTACCAAACACTGCAAAGATAGATTTCTTGGTTCGGTTTTTTTCTCGCTTCCAGACTAAGGTCTCATTCCTAGAGCAGAGTAGAGAGGGAATTCCTCCAGGTCTACTACTAGAGTTCTAGAACTTTTAATTCTAATCTATAGATATAATCTATCTATGATTTCTTTTACAATAATCTTTGAAAAGTAGAGTAGTGTTGTTTGGGATAAAGTATTTTTAGATTAAATTTTATAAAATAGTGTTTGTCTTGTTGTGGATTTCAACAACGAGTATTGTCTTGTCGTTGGTGTTTATGACATCAATTAAAAAAGAAGCCATAGTACTTTAAAACGATGGTTTTTTTGAAGGCGATCATTCAATGAACGCTTTGGCTTTTTCAAAGACGCGCGCTCGCTGCCTTGTGATTCGGCATGATTTCGAGTTCTGTTGCTTTGCAGCTCGCAATACACTATTTTATGGGCATGGCCCTAACAATGGACATAGAGGTAAAAATTAATTTGGTCAGAGCATCGTGATGATGGGTGCATGAACCACGACCCTTGTATACCACCAATTGGGAAGTGTGTACTACTTGTTGGGAGCTGAGTGGTGATGGTGATGATAAGATCTGGGTGGAGCACTAGTACTACTCTCCCTCGATCACTCGTGTTGATAACGATGCAAGCTCTAGATCAACCCCCCGCGACACAACGAATAATACATTGTTTGTTGTTTTATTGTGTCTATAATGATGGGTGCTATATAGGGTATACACTGCCATTGTCTGTTGTAGAGTGAGTGGGTGGGTAGTTGGTTGGTTAGGGTCATCGTTTTTTTTTGTGTGTGTTGGGTGCTGGTCACATCTCACTCACTCATCAAACACCCAATTAACAAGATGAGTGTTTGATGTCCGATAAACTGACAACAACAACATTAATATTTCTATTTTTAAATTTATTTACACAGCACAGACAGACAGATAGATACACACACAACACACACAAACAAGTACACAACAACAACACAAACTCAATCCAACGCAACAATCAATTAATCAATTATCAAAGAAGATTGACTAATCTCTTTGTTTCATAGCCTTTTAAGAGAGATAGATACAGAAAAGGAAAATATACTTAGACTTTGTAAAAAAAAAAATACACAAGAGAGGAGAAACAATAATTAATTGTTGCCAAGTGGTAAGTTTTAAATTAAATTTATTTTTCCCATGCATCAACTTTACCCTATCACAGTATCTCAGTAGTAGTAGTTGTTGAAAAAAGGAGTAGTAGTAACACATGTAATAGTAGTAGTTGTAATAATAATAATCATCCTTCCTATCTACCTTCAATCGATTGATCTCAAACATGTTGGAAGTGTAGTTGTAAAGTTATCACACCCACACACCATTACCTTCCTTTCTTCCTTCCCTACACCCAAAAACAGTGGTGGTGCATCAAATCAGTTCCCCCCTGCCATACCCCCTCAACTCACACACACAACACACACACAATCACAGATTAATTTTTTTTTTTGTTGGTTGTTATTGATTGATGGCAAAGAAGAACATTTTGTGTGAGAGAGAGAGCGAGAGTGACTTGGGTTGTTATTATTTATTCCGAGTTGTTGTTGGTACTGATTTACTGCACTACCTCTCTTGTTGTTGTTGTGTTGTCCTTTGGATTCTTCTTATTTCTTCTCTACCTTTTTTATTATTATTATTATTTATTATTATTTATTATTTATTTCAAATTTGTGTATAATACAGAATAGACAGAACAAACAAACAGCACAGACAGCACAGACAGCAAACAGCAAAAGCAAGCATCACAACAAACAGACTCTTACTCACACACCCATACATTATACTATTGTGTTTGTCTTTAACCAATCAATCAATCAAATTTTTGTTGTTGTGAGACAATTGACTGCGTTGTCAACTGACTCGTCTTTTTATTTTTTTATTTTTCTTGTCTCAATAGTAGTATTAGTAGTAGTAGTAAACAAACAATACAATATTTATTCTATTCTATCAAGCAACAACAACATCTCCCAATTCATTGCCATTACATCATCATCATCTTTATAATTTATTTATTAATTTATAAATTCCCTTTTATAAAGATAGACAGACAGACAGATATATAATATTGGTTAAAGCAACAACAAGAAATAAAACAACTAAATAGAGATACAATATATAATCATAGATCATAGATAGAATGAATGGTCACGGAGATACAGCAGTCTCTTCCCCTAATGGGAACACATCGTCATCATCATCATCGTCGACATCAACGATGGTTTTTGGATCAAAATACAAGCACAATTTAAGGAGCCATCAATCAGTTGATAAAGTTCCTCAAAAATATAATGAAATTATCGAGGTAATTACCAATAACAACCACAACGACAGATAGAGAAAGAGAGAAAGAGATGTTTACCAAAGATAGTCATTGGGGACATGCCACCTTGTTGTTGGGGATTTTTTTTTTTACAACGATGAAAAAAAAAACAACAATTAAGGGGGCAGGCATCACATGACACATGTGTATTGTTTCAATTGAAACCCATTACTATTATTACCGGATTTGCCGTATCCATTAGCTATCATCTCTCTTTCTCTCTCTTTTTCAAAAGAAATAATATCTTTCTTTTAGAATCACAAATGATTTATTAAAATTAATTTTAATTTAATATATTTTTTTAGTTAATATTATCACCACAATTAGAATTGGTAAATGTATTATGTTCGATAACATTGGTAAAAGAGACAGTACCAAATACAGTGAATATATCAGAGGCATTGGTCAACTTTTTTGAAATACATTGTAATTTGAGATCTAGCTATTTATTAAAGTGGGCAATCGACAAGGAGATTGAATGTACCGCAAACTCGGCCACACTTTTCCGTGGTCTTAGCACAGCCACCCGATTGATATCGGCATTCTATAAACGAGCGGGTGACCAATACCTCAAATACCTACTCCAACCATTTGTACTCGATCTCTGCTCGAGAAACTTTAGTTTTGAAATCGACCCCGAAAAAGCATCCAAAGGCATGGATGTCAAATCAAACCTTGAAAGATTAATTACAATCACTCAACAATTATTGGATAAAATTTTAGATTCTTTTACTCTATGTCCAATGTATGTAAATAGAAAGAAAGAGAGAAACTAATTAACTAATTTACTAATACTTTTGTTTTAATTTATTTGTTTGATTAGAGCAATTCGAAATATATTACAACATACACAAGATAAAGTTGAAAAGAAGTTCCCAGAGATGAAGACAACTGTAGTGGGAGGATTTATATTTTTGAGATATATATGTCCTGCTATCGTTGCACCCGAGGTGTTTGGATTGATTCAAGATACTCCGACGACAGACTCGCGTCGTGGACTTGTATTGGTTTCAAAGCTACTTCAAAATTTGGCCAACGAGATGCCATTTGGTGTTGGTATCAAGGAAGAGTATATGACCTACTTGAATCGTTTCATTTCAAACAACTCTGAAAGAATTCATATCTTTTTTAATGATTTGGCAAATGTTCATGGAAATCACAACAACAGTCATCACAGTCATCAAATATCGCAACAATTGATGGAACATCAATCATCTGCATCAACAGCAGAGGTTGCTGAAAACGATTCTAGAAGTCGGTCAAGAAGTGAGAGTCCCCCATTAAAGCCAATTGGGTCGGTGCAGAAACTGATCAATGTCTCTAATATGGCCGAGGACAAACCGGTCGTGTACACGGATGACGCGGTCAATGAAAACATGTCGATGCTCATCTCGCAGCTATTCGAGCACCGCGACAAGATCGAGAGTGTCTTGGCCGAGACGGTCGACTCGGACTTTATCAAAAAGTTTGAGTCGGCCATGAACGCGCTCAAGCAGCAAAAACAGCTGTTTTTCTGCCTTGGAGCAGCAGCAGCAAAAAGAAACAACAGGAACGCGAACGTGAAAAAGAGCGTGAGCGTGACAACACGAGTGGGAGCAGCGGTGCAAGCGGCGCCTCTTCCAACAATAATAATGGCAATGTCCATGGTTCTCCTGTGCATAGCAGCTCTCTGCTATCGAGTGGTATGGTGACCGTCTCTGGAAAACACAAAAAGAATGGTGGGAGTATTTTCGCAGGCGGGTCACTCAACAACATCAAGACGAGTATCTCGTCCACTTCCATTGACATGCCCGAGGAAGACGTCCAGACCAGTCTGCTGACATCAGTCGCCGAGTACCAAGCATACTACCGCCACAAGCTCGAGCTCAAGGACATCGAGTTGAAGGGGTATCTCGACGAGATAGCCCACTTGAAAAAGGAACTAGACGACCACAAGAGTCGAAGCAGTCTCATGAAAAAACTACGAGACGAGGTGGAAAAAGAAAAGAAAAAGACTAAAGAGGCAGAGAGCCAGTTGAAAAAGGCCAATGACAAGCTCAAGAGCGTCGGTCTCGACCAGACCGCCGAGTCCATGTCACGCGACGAAGACTGTTATTCTGACATGTCCAGCGTTGCCGGTGACGATGACAACAGTTTTAAAAAGAAAAAGTCAGCCTCCAACACATCCATTTCAAACTTGGTGCGCAAGTCTGAGTCGTCCGCCAGCCTCATGAGCCCAGTTAGTGCAACCACCACTCCGTCCACACCCACCTTGCCACCCGTCTACCCATCCCCTTCAGCCATGCTCCAACAAAGCTCGACCTATGGTATGAACATGACCAAGAGTCCGTCCAACCATGACATGGTCGATTCTGACAGCACTCCCATCCGTCGCTCAACAACCAATACTAGTAATTTTGAAGGTGACGATACTGCTAGTAACGGAGGTGGTGGAAGTAGTCTTAGTGTTAGTAGAGTAGTTGTCACTAATGGCTCGACCAATGGTCAACAAAAACCAAGTACTCACAAACGAACAGAGTCGGCCGACCCAAGTGGCGACCTCAGCAGTGACTATGATGCCGAGACAGAAGACCGTATCATACAAGCATGTGTAGATGGCGAACTAGAAGAGGATGACCAAGGAATGGACCTACTTCAGTTCCTCAAAGAGTTTGGTGAAAAACAATCATCTAATGGTGCCAACAAGGATGGTGGCGACTCATCAACCAACTCCAACTCCAACGACAAGAAAAAGAAGTCAACTGGTCGATTCCTAGGTATCTTTGGAAATAAGGATAACAGTTCATCAAACAACAATAGTAATAATAATAATACCAAAGATAAAAAAGATAAAGATAAAGAAAAAGAAAAGGAAAAAGAAAAAGAAAAAGAAAAGGAGAAAGAAAGAGACCAAAAGAAATTAAAAGAAAAAGGGTTACAATCACCTCCAACTACTTCTCAAAATTTATCAACTAGCGTTCAACAACAATAACAATAATATATATATAATAATAATAATACTCACCCAACCCAAACAAACCATGTAAATTTATCTCTACGTTCGACAATTTAAAATCCAGTTCATATACCAACTATACTATACTATATATATTTATATTTATAACATATATCTATTTATCCTCAAACCCAATAATAATAATAACTTATATTAATAATAACAAACAACAAGTAACTATATCATTTGATTTTTTCCCCATCATCCACCCATCTCCTCTTCCTCCTGTATTTAATTATATCACAAACAAAACCTTTCACAAAATAAACCTATTAACACAATCACTCATCTCAAACACACAACACATCTTTAATGTTATGATAAACAACAACAACAACAATATATATAATAAATTAATAAATAAAACATTGATGTGTCATCATGATTTTACAATATAACAATTAAAACAAAAAGGCAAAGGTTGAGTTAAGTTTGATAATAATGATTGTTTATTTAGATTCGGATTCATTCTTAAATAAATGTTCAAGGATCAAGATTTATATGTTAAAGCCTTTAAGTAATGAAGAAGAGGAAAAAGGTTAATTAATTGTTCAAATAAGAGATATATATTTGATAAAGAAGAATAGATAGATAATATAATATATAGTGGTGGGTCAGAGAATGGATAAACGTAACTAATCACTAGCGTCATGGAGAGGTGCCTAGGTCCAATAAAACATCAGAGTCTAAGTCTCTCCGCGACACTCATTTTAGACCCGTTTAGTGAAATTTCATCATTCCCAACCAACTAATTCTATTATCTATAATCTATCTTGCTTCCATTGAATAATAATAATTGTTATAACATACATTAATGTGTTTGTGCTGATGAAAAATAATGGTTCGCTCGGTCGTCTTATGTTGCTTTTTCGAAAAGCAAAATAAAATTTAAATCGAAAAAAAAGATAATTAGAACACACAAACAAAGAATTTTAAAAAAAGCCCACTCTCTTAGATGATCATAACAGTTATAACATCTCTCTTTCTTTTTTTTTACAAAGGGTCTCATATTAACAAGTTAGAACTATGATACTTACTACTATAGCTATGCATATATCATATCATGGTTCGTGAACACTATTCGATTCATTGTGATTGAATGATCTAATCTAACCATCGATGATAGAACCCACACCAACTAGGGGGTTTGATCAAAAAAAAAAAAAAAAAAAAGGTTCTCTGTGTTTGTTCGAATGCCAGCGAAGATATTATATAATATATTCTCTCCTTCTCTCTTCTTTGCTCTTCTCTTCATGTCTAAGTTATGCAAATTATTAATCACCAATATTAAATTTCAGGGAAAACTCAACTCTTTGTAAATAATTAATAATATTATTGTGATGGTTTGTCTGTCTCTTCCAACCAAAATGTATAAATAGACGTGGAGAGTTTCATACTTATAAATATCAAATCAAACAACTAAACAAACTAACCAACCAACAAACAATAATTAATTATTATTATTTTTTACCAATTATAAAAAAAAATGTCGCAACAACCAACTTTATATTATGTACGTTTAAATTAAAAGATATCTGATGCACATCAGTAATAATTGCACCCAATTAATATTAATCTTCTTTTTTCTAATTTTTGTTTTAATTTTCCAACAACCTATAGTTTAACGGAAGAGGATTTGGAGAATTACCAAGACTTATTTTAAATTTTGCTGGTGTCCAATTCACTGATGTTCGTGTAGAGGATATTGATGATGCACTTAGGGCTCGTCTTCCATTTGGACAAATTCCATTCTTTGAAGATGGTAAAATCGAGTTGTCACAATCAAGATCCATTGTTAGATTCCTTTCATCAAAATACAAGATTGCTGGAAAGGATGAAAATGAAATTGCTCTAGTCGATGCTGTGGCCGAAAGTATTTGGGATGTTGTCAATCCATACTTTATTGTCAAGGATGATGCTGAAAAACTCCTCAAATACAAGACTGAAACCATTCCAAGATTCTTTGCCAATTGGGAATCATTACTTTTAAAGAATGGTGGTAAACATTTTGTTGGTCAATCTCTAACCTATGCCGATATCTCCATCTTCCATGCATTGGATTATCTAAAGTTTGTTGGATTGGATCAACTTGACTCTACCAAATATCCAACTCTTCAATCACTTTATAAATCAGTCTCTGAAATTCCATCATTAAAACTATATTTGGAAAATAGACCAACTGATTCAAAGTTTTAAAAAATAAATTAAAGATTTGATTGATATCAATCCAATCCTTATTTCTTTTTTTAGATTATTATTTCTATTTCTATTGTTTTTTATTTATTTTAAAACAAAAAGATATGGATTGGAAGAGAGTTACTATTAATTATTATTATTATTATTATAAGGTAGACCAATCATAATTGGACGGTATGATATGATTAAAAAAAAATTAAAAACACCATCAAATTGAGTGAGTAGAGTGAACTTGGAACGGACAGGAGGATGGATGAGAGATAAATAATATTATCGAATAATATTATTGGTTTTGGATTGTTTGAGAAAAGGGGGATCAATTGTACATCATATATTTTGTTTGTTTGTTGGATTTATAAATTATTTCTATTTGGAGAGAGAAAAGAGAAAAAAAAAAAAGATATAAAAAAGGTTAAATTAAATGTATAGATATATATAGTTGATTTTGTGTTAATTCTTTACAGTGGAACTATGTTTAATGAGCCAATCTAAAGTTTTATCAATATTGACACTATTCTTTGCAGAGATGGAGTAACAACAAACTTCTCTATCATTGATTGAAGCCAAATCGAGGAATTGAGCAATTTCCTCGACGGTAGCAGCCGATTCAAGATCATTCTTGTTGCCAACGACCAAGAGAGGGATTTTAGAAAGAGGTGGTTTGTTGATGAGATCGTGAAGTGCTTGTTTGGATTGTTCGAATTTCTCTGGATCGGCAGCATCGACAACATAGAGAATGGCATTGACACCTCTACAATATCTCTCCCACATGCCTCTGAATCTAGGTTGACCTCCAATATCCCATAGTTTAATAGTAACATTTCCCTTTGTAACCTTTTTCATATTAAATCCAATCGTTGGAATCATATCAGTTGTAAATGATCCATTCTAAAAAGAAGAAGAAGAAGAAGATGTAAATAGATTAGATAAAAAGGAAAGGAGGACTTGAATCTTGATTGATTGATTGAGATTGATTGATGTAGTATTTTGATTGATCATACAGAGAAAACGTTAACCAAAGTTGTTTTACCAGATCCTTGTAATCCGACCAATGTTAATTCCATCTCTTGTTTCCAAAAGAGACTTCGAAACCAATTTAATATAGAGTCTATAAAAGCTGAAAACATTTTCTAATCTCTATCTATCTAATATATATATATGTATGTTATGTATGTTTTTGTAATGTTTCTAGAAGAATAAAGAAAAAAGATAAGATTAACAATGAAAATGAATGAAATGAAATGACAAGAGAGAGTGCAGTGGTTGTTTGTTATAACTAAATGAAATAAAAGGGTTGTAATAATTAATTGGTTCGTAGTAATATTTGAGAGATGTGTGTGTAAAGAATGAATGAATAAATGAATAACTTTGAATAATATAATATAATACTCTCTCAGCTGATGATGATGATAACCTGGTTGGTTGTTTTTCACCTACTCCCTCACCTCCTTTCATTCATTCATTATTCACCCACACACCTCTTGGTGGTAGGGTGCATACATATTTTTAATAAAACCCTTTTAACTACTCTAATGTCTATATTCCTTTGATTTAAAGAATTCAAGATCTTTGTCGAATATATATATATATATAAAATATATATATGTGTGATGAAACCTACTTTGTTATATGATACTCTATAAAACTAACTACTATATCGGGTACTATTCAAACCTCTACAACTACTACTACTACAACAACTACTTTGAACTCTCACTTTTGCAAAGCTCATTCAGGCGACTACAATCAGCTTTACAGAAAAGTCTTTTAATCAATCATCACCTCTGATTTTTTCATCATGCAAATTCGATCATTCACTTCTCTTTGGGAAAACCAGGGGAGGTGTGAACGAATGAGCCATCCCCCCAGTCGTCCCTTACCCGACCCCTGCATACAGTTCCTATAAGAAAGAACACAACTCTCCCTCTCATTTCATTTTCATATGAGAGATACAATTAATTGTAATACAATAATTATTATTATGTGAACGACAAAAAATAATAATACTTCATTTTTGGAGGTGACCGATCTTGAGTTCATTGTTCAATAAAAAAAAAAAACAAAAATAAAATAAACCTAAAAAGGTGTTTGTAAAATTAAATAGAGGACCTTTCACACACAACTAACTTTATTTCTTTCTTTCAAGTTATCACATATTTATATACCCACCAAAGTAGTGTTGGTTAGATTAAAATCATCATTATCATCATCACCAAGTAATAGTAGTAGTCATAGTAGTTAGTTAGTTAGTTCATTCTCAACAAACAAGTCAAATACATAGTTAGTTTATACTTTATCTTTACTTTTTCTATGCAAACAATAGATTCAAATAACGATAAAGATAATAAGCAATCATCATCGACAGGTAGAAGATTAACAAATAGAAATAAAAACAAAATGTTAATGGAAGAACATGAAAGTGGTAGTCTATCATCGACACCACCATTCAAACTACCGTTTGGAGGAACAACAACTCCTTCTTCAGTTTATGGTGCCGATACTATCGGATCATCATCACCACCTTTTAGACTACAACATGGTAGTGTTCAATACATCAGTGCAAATAGTGTAGTCAAGATGGTTGGTAAAGAAGAGACAGGTGGACATGGTCACCCAGTATCGCGTGGTAAATTAATAGTCGGAGCATTGGTTGCTTTGCTGCTACCGGCCGTTCTCTATGTCATTGCGTCAAGGCAGTTGGGTGCAGCATTGAGCTACCCATTCTCACTTATCATCATCCCATCCTTTATATTGTTGGCACCATTCATCTACTTTAGCTATCGTGTCAAGGGGTCACGTCCATTTGTCAAGTCGCGTGGTGTCACCATATTGATGACCGGTGCATTCTGCTACTACTCGCTGATCGTACCCATCTATATCGCCTGTCTCATGGCAATCTTTTTCCATCGCGAGACTGATTTTGTCACCTATGTTCGAAACGAATATTATACGGGTGCAAGTTGGTTGGTCGCTATTCCAATCGCCTATGCACACGGATGTGTCTTTACACAGTTTGCTCTACTCTCTAAAACTTCACTTCGTAGTAAATGGTATCTCAGACTAGTGTCGTGGCCATCCTCTATCTTTTTTACTACCCTCATTCTAGCACTTCCACTCTTACTAGTGCTTCCATTCCTACCGGCCATTGTATGTACCCTACTCGCACTCATCCCCCTCATTCTCTCGTGTATTGGTCTCTACCAAACACTCCGCACCCTTCCACCCAACCAATGGGTTGTCAAAGACATCCTAGTCCGTTCATCGACCGAAGAAGATGACAGTCTCATCAACAAAAAACGAGTACATCGTGTCAATTGTGAACCTCCAAAAGAACATGAAATCGTTGATTTCCGTCAACCTCTTACCGTCGTTCAAATTGCCGATCCTCATCTCGGTCCAATCATGTCAATTGAAAGACTTGAAGAAATTTGTGAAAGTACAGTTAAACTTGTAAGATATCAAATGAAACAAAAAGAAAAAGGAAAAAGATTGAAAGAGATTATTAATATTTCTTTTTAGAATCCAGATTTAGTTATCTTGACTGGAGATTTTTTTACAGCAGAAGCCTTTTTACCTGGAGATTCATTAGAAAGAGCATTAAGACCATTAAAGAAACTAGCTGGTAAAACTTTTGCTTGTTTAGGTGTATGTATACAAGTTGGAATTGAATTGGAAATAGGAAAATTGAATCATTATTCCATTTATTTATATACCTTTTTTTTTTTTTTTTTTTGTTTTGTTTTTAGAATCATGATTATGAAGAAGGATGTTTAGAAATGTTGGAAAGTGCTTTAAAATCAATAGAATGTTATTTATTAGTTGATGAATGTGTATTATTTGAATCAAGAATTGGAAAGGTACAAATTGTTGGATTTGATTATAGAGCAAAGAATCGTCAAGAACATATTCAAAAGGTTTGTGAAGCCTATCCACCTATTCCACATGTACCAAGAATAGGTCTTTTACACGATCCAGGAGCATTTAAATTCATTCCAGTCGATTATGGAATGATTGCATTTAGTGGACATACTCATGGTGGTCAAATTGGTCTCAATTGTTTGGGTATCAATGCTAGTATCGTTGGTTTTGCCATTCCAGATCATGGTCTATGGCAAAATGGTGGTAATTATTTATACGTACATACTGGTCAAGGTTGTAGATCTCTAATGGGTACAATGGTACTAAGAGTTGGTGTACCAACTGAAGATAGTTTATTACAAGTATTCTTTGAAAATAATTAAAAATAGATAGAAAAGTAAAAGTAATAAATAAATAATTACAAATTTGTAAATACAATGATGCAAATGGTTGATTTATACAAAAAGGTAGAGAAATATACAAAAATTAATTTATTAAGATATGTGAAAAAACGCAAGGAAATTGGTTGGTAGGTTGGAAAAAAAAATGGTATTATTATATTCGGGATTATTATTATTATTATTATTATAATTATTATTATTTGATTAAAGATGAATTTCGTGGACTATAACTTCTTCATTTGGTTTATCACCTCCTTTACTAGTACTTTTCAAGTATTCGATCACTTGGATGAGTTCTCGTCTGACAAATTTATCGGCATAAATCAATGGTCTTTCATAAGATTGGTTGCTATTATTACTGCTGTATCTGATGCTGCTATTGTGTCGGTAGTCAAGTTCTTGTTGTTCTTGATCATCTTCATCGATTTCATCTTCATCATCTTGGATTTCATCTTCATCCATTTCCTTGTCTTCGTCGTCGTCGTTGTTGTTGTTGTTTTCATTGTCAAACAACAATGGTTCTTTTACTTTTGGTGTTGAGTGGTCGTTGTCTTGGTCGTTGTCATTGTCATCTTCATCGAGATCATCATCATCATCATTGTTTGGTACAATTTCTTCGTCTTCAGTGGTGGCAGTGGCAGATGGTTCGGTTTCCATTTCATCGTCTTCATCATCATCAACATCAACATTATTATTATTCTGTTGGTCGTTCATGTCTACAAATGACACTGTATGTTTGGTGATTGTATTGGTGGCAGAAGCAGTTGTTGGAACCTGACCATTATCCTCGTCTTTTATGATAGAGTGGTTCATCATGATGGTATCAGTTGGCGACGTCGACATTGCTATGCAAGCAATGGAATCTCTCTGTTGTTGTTGTGCATCATGTGACTTTCCAAGTGATGGGGGTATCACATCCCCTGCAGCCATTTGAGTTGACATTGTTCGTATACGTGTATGTATATATCTCTTTATTAAGTGACAAGTATAAAATGGATTTGTCTGTTCAGTGGTCTCTTTTGTTCTCGTATCGGTAAAAGGTTCCTGGAAATAGGAAAATCTGTGGAATAGTTTTTACAGACGAAAAGGCGGCAATCGATTTAAACCAAAAATGAATGCGTGCGATGCAATGAATGGGTTTGTAATGATGATTTAAAAATAAACCAAAGAGTACTAGGAAGTATTATATTTAAATAATAAAAAAGTAAAATTTAAAAATGTAAAGTGAGTGAAGTTCTTTGGTTGGACTCGAGCTAAAGTTGCTTTCTTGGCTTGATCAAATTATTATATATTATATATTATTATTATTATTATTCTTAAAGATAAAGATAAAGATAAAGATTATAAATAAATCAAAAAATGGTTTGATTCGATGATGATGAAGAACAAACAACAAAAAAGGTAAACAGGTGGTAAATTTGTTGTTGTTGTTGTGATTTGTAGGTTGTTTAATAATGAAAAGAAATATGACTATGTAAATAAAACAGGTAAGGTTGTTGTTGTTGTTGTTGTTGTTGCTGTTGTTGTTGCTGTTGTTTCCCAACAGTATAAAGTACTACTACTGGTGGCAGGCTACTAAACAACAAAACTGGTAATATTATTGGTGAGGTAAAAGGAAGGGGTTGGCTGCTTTGCTTTTTTGGGTGCTTATTTATATTATATCCTACTACTCTAACTTGCTAGCTGGCTGACTCGATAGAATGTGTTATATATTATTATTATTATCGTTGTGTGTGGGTGCGTGTATAAATATATATATTTTTAATAGCTATTTATATTTGGTATATATCTGTTGGGTTCTGCTACTGAAATAAGAGTATAGAGTAAAATTGATGTATTATTGTACAATTGTATAATGTATTATATTAGGGTTGCTGTGCTAGCTGGGAGATGTGTGTTGTAATTTAATTGTTGTTGCCGTAGCAATCTCTGTCTGTTTGTCAGTCAGCAGGAGGATGTTGTGTTGCTGCTGCTGTTGTGGTTGGTGTTGGATGTGCTTTAGTGGGTAGTGTTTAGAGGAGAAGGAGGGGTAAATTTGGAAAGACGTAAAGAAACCACCAATTAGATCACTCTAGATGTTGTTGTTAATGTTGTTGTTGTTTGTTATAGTGATGCTTGTTGATGATGAAATATGAATATCAATTTAGATTTAAAATATTTAAATGTACAAAGTATCTAAAAGATTGGTGGATGGATTCGATATTAATATTATTATGATTATTATTAACTGGATTTATTTATTTATATACAAGGGAAGATTATTATTTATTTGTACAAGAGAGATTATAAATGAACAATGAATGCTATGTTGGGGGTGTAGCTACTAAATCAAAATTGTATAAGAAATCGAAAGAAGAAGAGGAGAGGAGACCACAAAAATTTGAGTTTCCCAATGGGATGGGATATTGATTACCCCTCCCTGCAAACATATGTTTTGTTTTCATGCCCATTACAAGCATTTACCCTGGACAAAAGTTTTTGTTTTTATTTTAAATTTTCCGCATTGTTCGATTCATTCATTTCCCATATTACTATAAACAGATCAATTCAATAGTTCTTTTATTTATTTTTATCCTCCATATTGAAATTATATTTATTTCAAAATTCCCTGGGGATTAAATATCTAAAAAAACAAAAAGGGATGGTACCTAATCATCACTAAGATTAGTTAATTGGTGTGATATTGCATTTCACACACATTTGTCATAGCTGGCGTCTGCGATTTTTGTAGTGAGATGTCCAAAGCCCCGATTAATAGTTATATCTATTCTGCTATTTATTTGTTTGTATGTTGAATGGTTTTCAATTTTATGGGTGGCCGAGTCCGACAAAATCCAATCCTACATGATGAGAAAGAGATGGGAATGGAAAACAAAAATGAATTTCACGGATAAATATCCGGAACTCTACCTTTATTATTTTGATATTCGTAGTCATCAGAATCCAAGTTTATAGGATGCTAATATTTAATCCCTCCTCTTCATCATAGTATCTAGAATTGTCTTGTACAACAAGTCCAGAGTGAGCAATGACAAATTCTTTCAGCAGCATTGAATTCATCAACTTCGTTTCCATTTTGGAAGCTATCATTAAAATAATATTTTTTTTTATCATTGATTTGTAAAAAGATTATATTTTCACTATCACACATACAATTTCAAAGTTGGGTATCCATCAACATTAAAATCTGAACAAGATGGTTGATAGGCTTCACAATTTAATCGAGCTACTTGAGCAGCTATTCTCTTTTCAGAGATGGATGCTGCAAAATCACTGTACTCTGAAGCTAAGTTCTTGTGGACACCAAGGAACATAACTATTTATTTGATTGACAGAAAGAGAATTGAACAAAAGTGGAAAGAGTTTTATTATTATTAATATTTTTATTATTCATTTCTTTTTGGTTGGTTAATTTTTTGTACATACAATTCAACAAAATAATTTCCATCATTTAATTGATTTAAATTCTCTGGATTCACTGAATCTATTACATTGGAATCTGGTGTATTAATATCCGCAAACGTATAGATACTCATACAAAAGACTAACAAATGGTTAAATTTAGTAAGTTCATTTTTAATCATCTATTCTTAATTTGTTTTTTCTCGAATCAATTCTAGAATATATGATTGAATATCTTATTGTAGGAAGTGAGAGTAAAACGAGACATCAAAAAAAGAGAAGATTAAAAAAAAAGGCATATCGAAATTTATTTAAAAGGTGATTAATTAATTGATCTTATATTAATAATTTTATTTATTTATTTGTTTGTTTGTTCCAATCGATGGGAGGGGAAGAGGTTAGAAGACTTTTTATTTAAAAACCTTCAACATCGAATTCATTCTCATCTTCTTCATTGTCTTCATTGTCTTCAAATTCCTCTTCATCTTCATTGTCCTCATTGTCTTCAAATTCTTCTTCATCTTCTTCATCCTCATTGTCTTCATTGTTTTCAAAGCCTTCATCTTCTTCGGCAAATTCATTCTCGTTCTCTTCAAAACCTTCCTCTTCATCATCAAAGTATTTGGCGTTGTCTTGTACAACAAGTCCAGAGTGAGCAATGACGAACTCCTCCATGGCATCGGCAGTTCTTTCAGCGTTGAATTCAGCAACTTCATTTCCATTTTGGAAGCTAAATAATGATTATTAAGGATTAATCAAACCAAATATGATTAGTAAAAATAATATTTAATTTAATAGTTATATTTTTCACACTTACAATTTCAAAGTTGGGTATCCATCGATATTGAACTTGGCACAAGATGATTGATAGGCTTCACAATTCAATCTTGCAACTTGAACATTGATTCTCTTGGCAGAGATGGATGCAGCGAATCCACTATACTCTGAAGCTAAGTTCTTGCAATGTGGACACCATGGAGCATAACTATTATTCAAGTTTGAAAACAAAAAAAAAATTAAATATTAACAAAGATGTGTGATAAATAAATTATATATATATATTGTACTTACAATTCAACAAAATAATTTCCATCATTTAATTGATTTAAATTGTCTGGACTCAAATCTATTACATTGGCATCTGGTGTATTAATATCTGCCAATACACACATGGTCATACAAAAGACCGTTAAAAGGGTTAATGCTAATTTCATTTTTTTTAGTATATATACAATTAATATTTATTAATATCTATCTATCTATTTATCTATTATTATTATTACTATTATTACTATTATTTGATACAAAAATATTTTTGTTTGGAATGAAATGGTTGAAATGATTGATTTGATTAATAATAATAATAATATTAATATTAATGCTTCCAACCCAAAATTAAACCAAAAATAATAAATAACCCAAAAATCGCATTCAGTTCACTCTCTCTCTCGTCATAGCATGCTAGGATAAATGGATTGATTCATCACTGTTCTCTACAATTTCATCTTACTGCAGCTCAACCAAAACAATTCGATTCATTTCATTCCCATCCCAACACATATAATTTTGATATTGATTCTCATCCATTTTGCATATGATTTGGTTTTTGTCGACTTCACATCAATTCCCACCATTAAACTCAAATACTACCCCAGCCCACTCACAATCAATCACACCCATTCCAGTTGTTTTTTGAAACCCAACTCTTCCATATTGAATACCCATCAAAAATCTGATTGTTGATAAAAATAAATAAACAAACAATCAGAATCAGAATCATACCATATTCTGATTATATACAATTTTACATTGTCATTTACAGTATTGTTATTTACATCAACCAAAAAAAATAAATGCAAGAGAGAGAAAAAGAGAGGTAAAACTTTTTTGAACCAATTATTATTGAATAAAGAATAGAATATTCTATTTGTATTGGGTGATTAAAAAAGAATGATCTTTCTTTCTTTCTATCTATTGGATGATAATATTCGATTAAAAGAGTTCCTGTAATTTTTTGAGGATTATTACTATTTTTCAATATTAAAATTGTGTAGTTCATCGGATGTTGCGACATTCGTATGTTTCGGTTTGCAATGAAAAGACTTCATAGTCAACTAGATAGTAATAGTAATAATATTATGTCTCAATTAACTATTTGTACACACAGTGGATCATTCCACGCCGATGAAGCATTAGCTTGTTTCCTTTTAAAACTTACCGATCAATTCAAAGATGCTAGTATGTCGAATCTAACTATAGATCAAAAGAATGATGAATACATACTTACTTACTTGCTCTCGTTTGAATGTAGAGATTATTAGATCAAGAGATACTGAAGTTGTAAAGGCTGCTGATGTAGCTGTAGATGTAGGTGCTGAATACAATCAAAGTAAACATAGATATGATCATCATCAAGCTGGTTTCACTGAAATCTTTGGTGATGGTTTCAAGACTAAATTAAGTAGTGCTGGTTTAATTTACAAGTATGAATGAAACAACAACATCAACAACAAGACTATTTAACCAACAATAATATTGACAAACTCTCTCTCTCTTTTTTTTTATAGACATTTTGGTAAAGAAATTATCAAGAATAGATTACAACTTGATGAAAGAAAGGTAAACCTTATTTATAAAAAGGTTTATGCCAATGCAATTGAAGAGTTGGATGGTATGGACAATGGAATTGAAAGATATCCAATTGATGTCAAACCATTGTATGCAGTTACATCGACTATTGGTAACAGAGTTGCTAGTCTCAATCCAAGTTGGAATGAACCACAAGACGATGACATTTTGTTCAAGCAATTTGAAAAGGCAATGACAATGATGGGTGAATACTTTTTGGACAAGGTCGACTATTATGGTAAGAGTTGGGTTCCAGCCTACGACATTGTAGAGACTGCCGTTAAAAATAGATCATCGGTTCACTCGTCGGGTGAAATCATCATTCTCGATCAATACTGTCCATGGAAAGACCATCTCTACCACGTTGAAGATGTTCTATCCATTCAAACCAAAATCAAATTTGTCTTGTACCAAGATACTCTTGGTTCATGGCGTATTCAAGCTGTCAATCTCGACTCTCATTCATTTGCTCTTCGTAAGGCTCTTTTGGAAGCATGGCGTGGAAAACGTGATCAAGAATTAAGTGATATCATTGGTATTGAAGGTTGCATCTTTACTCGTACGTAGATTAATTAAAAACTTTTAAACTCTGATTAAATGATTAATTAATTATTCTTTTTTTATTTATCTAGATGCAAATGGATTTATTGGTGGACATAAAACGAAAGAAGGTGCTTTAACCATGGCAATCAAATCATTATAAATCAATTTAATATTTAATGATTAAGTAATTTTTGATTTATTGTTTGTTTTATTTATTTTTTTAAAAATTTAAGAATTAATTTCCTTTACTTTGGATTCAGTTGCTTTGGTAACTTGAGCAATGAAATCATCTGTCATTTTTTGGATATTCTTTTCAATAGTCTTTTCATCGTCCTTGGTCAATCTAAATTGTTTCACGACACTGTCAGTCGTTTCCTTGCGGTGTCTACGAACACTGACCTTTGCTTCCTCAGAGATCGTGTTTACATTTTTAAGAAGCTTATTACGAAGATCTTGTGTTGGTTTTGGTAAAGAGATACGAATCAATGTTCCAACTGCGGTTGGATTAAGTCCCAAATCTGATTTTTGTAATGCTTTTTCAATATTTTTTAACATCTAAAGAAAAAAAACAATAATAAGTAAGTATAAGTATAATATATTCTATTCTATCTTCTTATTTCTTATTTACATTTGGATCATATGGAGTAATATGAAGAGTAAGAGCATCTTTAATTGTAATCATTGCCATGTGTTGAATTTGCATATTTCCATTTGGCGTTTCAACGGTGATACGTTCCAATAGTTCTGGACCGGCACGACCAACTCTGATATCTCCAAACTGACGTTTGACAAAGTCCATTGTAGCTTCGCATCTTTGTTTCATTGTTGAAAGGTCTACTTGTTTAATGTTGGCATAGGGGATCTCTTCTTTACCCTTGTCCTTGCCACCACCTCCACCCTTTTTGGCAGCACGTTCCAAAAACATTGACGGTGTTCTGATATAAGGCATTGATGAAGATCTGCTCAAAAAGGTTCTGATCAATGGTGATGGTGCAGAACCTGGAGCAGTCGACAACAAAGTAGCCGAAGTGTATGAATAGGTTGGACTTATCTTTACACTTGATGTTTGACGTAATGGTTGTTGCTCACCATTATTCATACATTGTGTTAATAATTTTGATACTGTTGTTGGTTTGTTTACTACTCTTTGCATTCTTTCCTCTTCTTCCTCCTTTTCTCTCTAAAGATTAATAACAAAAAGTGATCAACACTTTAAGCCAGGGCATTGCTTGTTTGAACAGACACAACCCCCAATTTTGTTTTTTTTTTTTTTTTTCTCTTTCTCAATACCTCTTGAATCAAGCAAAGTTAGCTTTGCTCACCTCATCGTTCGAAACCAGTATTATTATCAATTACAAAGTGTAGATAGAGTATTTGTTTGTTTATTTATTTATTACTCTAACAGCACTAATGGTGGTAATAACTAACTGTTGTTTTGTTTGGAGATTGAAATGTTTATTAACCTCACACCAATCTCATTCAATGAAGAAGAATCTAGATTATAACCCTCTTTTGAACTAATTTTATAAAGAAGACTATTATCACCTCGACGTCTCAAGAGAGCTCTTTTAAATAAGGGTGTATCTCTGTGGGATGATTCATTGGGGGATGCTCGACGATCATCCGTTGTTGCCTAAAAAGATGGTTGGGACAGGCCCTATGAAATATCATGTGCGTACTTGGGAACAGGCCTAGTGAAGAGATTAATCGTGTGTATCGACTTTCGATATTTTGGTTATGTGATCGTCGTCTTCGTTTAGAGCCACATTCTTGGCACTCTCTCATTCCCACCCCTCAAGTCAAAAGGAGTTTCCTTATTGCGTATCAGTCAGTAATGAATAAAGGGTTGTGTCTGAAGAATAATAACACATTTGCAGGAGGGACAGGGATTAGGTTTTTTAGAAGGGAAGGGGATTTACATCAATCAATCACACACCATTACTTTTACTTTTAGTTTGTGTGTTTGTTGTTATGGTAGGTTAGGTTTGGTTGATGATTGGCGACGGATGATCTTGCTTTTGGTCTATCTGTCTATCTGTTGTGGTGTTGGTGGTGTTGGTATTATTGTTGTTGTGTTTTGCCCTTTCGACCTCTGTCCAGCCACCACTCACTATAGACCGCAACAATAAGAACAACAATAATAATAGCAGCACATGATGAACAAACTATAAAACTTATATCATAATTTAATTCAATTCATTTCATTACATTCTCTTTTGTCTAGCTATCGTATCGTATCGTATCATCGATCATTCAGTTATTTATCGAAGCAGACAAGATAGATGTAATTAAAGAGATAATAGAGAGAGAGAGAGAGAGACAGAGACTAGAGTAGATTGAGGGAATGGATCACCAACAGCAATATAAACATAAGCAACAACAACAACAACAATACCAATATACTATAAAACAAGAGAATAATAATAATAATAATGGTGGTATACCAAGCCCTTTACCAGGAGGTGTACCTCCTCCTATTAATAGTCAGTCGTCAAACAACACAAAAGGATTGGTCATACCCAAATCGAAAATGCCAACTTCATTGACACCAGAGGGAGAACAATTATCCAAAGATCTTGCACATGAACGATCAATGTCTTTTAAAACACAAATCAAGGCATCTAGTATACACTTGAGTACTGGGGGACTTGAAATTTATTTGGACCCGAATAATAATGTTTCGGCATCTGGCGACCCGGTTCCACCTATAGCATCAACCTTTATAGATACCTCTAATATTATTAAACAAGAATCTTCATCACCTTCACCAAATCCTGATACTACTAATCCAACAACGCCACAACAACAACATCAACAACTACATAACCAACAACAAATACCAACTACTAATCAACAATTACAACACCAACAACACCAATTGCAACAACAACAACAACAACAATTACAACAACACCAACAACACCAACAACACCAATTACAACAACAACAACAACAACAACAACAACATAGACAAGGAACACAAGGATTCCAAATACCAATGCATGGACAATTTTATTATTATCCAGCATCACAAATTCAATACCAAGGTGTTCCAATAACTTCACATCCACATGCTCATCCTCCTCAATCTAATCAACAACAACAACCACAACCGATGAATATTGATGAGTTATCATATCAACAACAACAACAACAACAACACCATAAAGATAATGAAGGTTAAAAAAAAAGACAAAGATAGATATATATATAATATATATATGAACCATATTGTAATAAAGCTAACTTTAATTTCTTTAAAGGACTGACGAATAGTTGGGCTACATTGTCATTCAATGAAAATATCCTTGGAAACCTTTAGCTGCTCATAGTGTGGGTGAGTGAAGATTTTTGATGATACTTTTCCACACCTTCGGCACTCACCCCCCTACCCAACTCCTATACTATCTATTGATTTTCATTCTATTTGTTCTTTTATCTATTTGTATTTATTTATATTTATTTATATTTATTATTATTTATTCAAAAGACATGTCGAAAAGAAAAGGAAACGATAAAGAGGATTACCTAGGTGGAGATGATGTTGTTGATCAGGTATCATCACAGAAAGTTCAACATGACATAAAGAGAACTAAACAAACCATTAATAATAATAATAGTCATAGTAATAATAATAATACACCTAAAAAGAACAACAACAACAACAATAACAATAATAACAATAAAAACAATCATAATAATAATCATAACAATCATAACAAATCAAATAATAATAATACACCTAAAAAACAACAACAACAACAACAACAACAATTAATCGCTGACAAGAAGAAGTTATCGACACCAACATCATCTTCATCTTCTTCAATTTCATCATCAACAGCTGAACAAGTTATAACTTTAACTTCAACATCTTCTTCTTCATCTTCATCATCATCATCATCATCATCAACAACTTTTTCAGTTGTAAAGAAAAAGGATGAAAGTAAAGATTTAATTAGAGTTTATGCTGATGGTATTTATGACTTGTTTCACTTTGGACATGCACGTTCATTACAACAAGCCAAATTACTATTCCCAAATACACATTTGATCGTTGGTGTTTGTAATGATGAATTGACTCATCGACTAAAAGGAAAGACTGTGATGGATCACAAGGAACGTGCCGAATCGCTGAGACATTGCAAATGGGTTGATGAAGTGGTCGAGAATGCACCATGGATTGTGACACAAGAGTTTATCGATGAACATGAAATTGACTTTGTTGCACACGGCGAAGACGCTTGTCTCGACAAGGATGGCAATGACATTTATCAATTTGTAAAGGATCAAGGTAAATTCAAGACCATCAAGAGAACCGATGGTATCTCTACCTCTGACATTATCCTTCGTATCGTAAAGGATTATGACAGTTATGTCAATCGTAATCTAAAACGTGGATACACTAGAAAAGAAATGAATGTCTCTGCACTCAAAGAAGCCAGTCTTCAAGTTGAAGAGAAATTCAGTCAAATCAGATCAAAAGTTTTGGATTCCGTAAAGACTTGGTCAAATGAACATCACATGTTGGACTTTTTGAAAAGATTTAGTGTAACTATAAATTACAAAATTAAATTTAATTATGATTATCTCTTATCAATAATAATACTTATTTTTGGTACTTTTTTTTTATAGAAACGATTACCAAATATATTGGCAATTGAAAATAATAATAATAATGGAAATTTATTATCACCAACATCTTCAAATGACGAATTTGAATATGATCAAGATGATGGAACAAGTCCACCAAACTATCCATTAAGTCCACCTACTTTGAGTGGTATTACCAAGGGTCCCCAAGATTATATTTAACTTCAACTTAAACTTCAACTTAAACAACAACACATACATCATTTATTTATTATATTAATTAATATTATTATTATGCAACAACAACAACACAACAGGAACAATATCTCTCTATTTGTAATATATATTTTTAAAAATTTACCAATTCTTTAATATTATAATATTTTTTTTTGAAAGTTTATTTAAATATTTAATTAATTCTAATTCTATTTTGGTTATTAATATTGGATTAACTTCCTAATGAACCACAATCAACAAAGTAATCTACACGTTCATCTCTACTTTCAGAATCAGATTCCGAGTCTGAATTGTTATAGGTGGAAGTGTTGGACATATTTTTATCACGGCTATGAGTCTTTACTTTACTGGCAAAAGAGACTCTTTTTTCTGGGCCATCATGATCGTCATCTTGGTCCTCGTCATCACTATTAAAGGCGGCTTCACCAGTCTCTGCATTTGCTACTTGAACACCACTATATCTCTTCTTTCTAATCAATCTCAACATTCCCTTTGAAGACCAGAATTGATGTTGAATTTGTTCATATTCTTGATGTAACATTGTTAATCTAAATTTAAAATAGAAAATAGAAAAAGAATTAATTAATATATATATTATTTTGTTACTTGACTTTGATTTAATTACTTTTTAGTATCAGGATTAAAATAAGGTTCACCACACATTGCTTTTCTCTTTAAACAAGCAAATATAGTACCATGAATAGTTGCCAAAGAACGATCAATACTTGTATTATCTATTTGTGGAATCTTTAAAATAATAGAAAAAAAAAAAAAAATTTTAATTTAAAAAAAAAGGGAAATTATAATTCTCTTTTTAGTTTTTTACTTACTGAAATGGAATCAGCACCTTGACATAGATAATTATTAATGATACGAATATTTTTAAAATATTTGGTATATTTGTTTTGGTGTGGATCCAAAGTCATATATTTCGATCGAATGGCAAATCGTTCTTTGTGTTTGGCTTCGTTACTTATATACATTAGGAATGGAATACAGGATGGATGTTTTTCACACAATCTAATAATGATACGTGTATCAAGATGTACACCTTCAACAATTAATGATTCATTTCTCTTTTCATATTGATCAATTAATGAATCCAATTTGTTAAAAATCATATCATTTTGTGCTTCATATCCTTGTAAAATCTAAAAAAAAAAATAGAAATAAATTAAATTAATATTAAATTCTATCTATCATTTTGTTTTCCTTTTCTTTTTTGTTTTTTTTTTGTTTCTTTTTACCTTTTCTTTATGAGATAAAGAAGAATTTGAAATAATTTCACCAGCATGATAGGTTGATGCCCATAAAATAGGTGATTCAGTACGACTAATAAATTTTCTAAGGATTTGACGGATGTTATCGGTAGAGATGACAGCAGCAAATCCAATACGACTAGCAAGAAGTGCAGTCAATGTACTCTTACCACATCCACTGGTACCTCCAAGTAGAATGGTAAATGAATGTTTCTTTTCCTGAACGTCACATGCAACTGGAAAATCAGATATGTATTGTGGTTTGCTGTATTGATAGGTTGACAATATGTGACCAACTATATAGTAGAATGTACTTCTGAGCAAACTGACACAATATACAGGTAGATTATCAGCGTTGCTAAAGTTGTTATAATTGTTACTGTTAAAGTTGTGTTGTGGTGGTGCTGGTGGAAGAGGATGACCTTGTTGGTTTTGTTGGTTTTGTTGTTGTTGTTCCACTTCGACACGACAGTTTTCCAATTGATCAAATATCGAACTTGTAATTTGTCTAGCGTGCAATGATTTACAACCCATGAATTTTAGTGTCAAATTTAAATGATATCTACTATATCTTTTAATATTATCATTTTGATGAAAGTAAAGTGCTTGATTTACATCAAAGAAATTAATATAATCAAATATCTAAAAAAATAATAGAGAGAAATAAAGAAAAAGAGATAGATTAGAAATCAAATTGTCCTTTCATGGTTGGAAAGATGGGTACATCATCATTTATCAAGAGATCGATCGGGTGACTATCGACGATCGACTGACGATCGACGATCGATCTCTAGATTTGGGTTCGATTTGAATTCTTACTACTTACCTCCTTGGTATTAGATAGATCTTGAAGTGGATTAGTTGAACTATGGTGAATGAATGGATGACCAAGTTTGCCATTGGGAGAATGTTGAGCGTATGCAACGCTTGGTAGAGGTACCAATGGTTTTGCACAAAACTCTTTGTTGTTGGTGAGAGCGTCCTCTACGATATATATGTATGCCAATGTTCCATCCCTTATACAATCTGCATGTTGAATCATTGATGATGCAGACAATGGATTACTATTACTATTAACGTTATTACTAGTAGTATTCAATGCAGATGACGACGGTGCAGTCTCACCAAGCAATGAAGGTAATGGTGGTAATGGAGCAACATTCATATTGCCATTAATATTACCATTACCATTAACATTAACATTACCATTGTTCAATAGATTTAACTTTGAAGTTTGAGATATTACTTGTTCCATTATTTCCTTGAGACTTGAGAGATATATATGTATATATACAAATTAATATATAGATGTGTGTGTGTAAATGAATAAATAGTTTGCAGCAACAGCAGTTGAACTGTTAGATATTATTTTAATGTTGTAAGAATAAGAGGAGGAGGAGGGGGAGGAGGAGGAGTTTAAATAAATAAATAATAAGACTATAATATAATAATAATAATAATATACACGGAGATGAGGATGAGGATGTGGGTAGGAGGTGGAAGATGGGGAGTTTGTTGGGAGTGTGTAAATGATGATTGTGTGTTTGTGTTTAACAATGAGATAGAACTTTTGGGTTCTACTCTTGGTGACCGAGGGTTGCTGGCTGAATTGTCTGTGAGGAAGATCTTCTCAGCTAGTGTAGAATATATAAAATTAAATTGTTTAATTTGTTGGTTTGGTTACAGCTCAGCTGATTCCTCTGCTTGAAAGGAAAAAAAAGTTCAAAAAAACTTTCAAACTTTGCCTTTATAATTTTAATGACAAGCATGCTCTGCGATAGGTCACCGATTCATTGAACCGCCGTTCAATTCAACCAACATATTCTTAATAATGAAGAACCTCAGAGTAGGTGATTCTTGACACATAAGATTGGTTGTTCATGTGCGTGTTTCGAAGATAGAATAAAGGATAGAGGATTGACAGATATTAAAATAAACAAATAAACAAACAAACTCTAAAATATCATTAGATTTTGTGAATCATTGTCATATTATTTATTTAATTATTTATTTGTTTTTTTTTTTGTCTAAACTAAAAGAGAGAGAGAGATACAACGAGACAACGCCCACACACATTTTTTAATAAGATTTTAATATAAAAAACGATCACACCCTCTCCACCTCTACCTATCACAACACCAACGTTCGGACACACAAATAATAATAAAATCACCGAATTTATGATTATCCATCAACCCACAAGACAGTTGTCACTCACCTATCTTCTGTCTGTTCGTTTCCACCCAACAAACCAAGGAAACAAGGATTAAAAATTAATTTTAAATATTTATTAATTATCATGACAAGACAGACGGACGTCTGCAAAAAACACAACAAAAGTATTTCAAGTCAGAACTAATAATCATCAACACAAACAAACAAACAAACAACCTTCATTAAACAACTAACTAGCTCAACAACTAATAGTAGTAATAATAATAATACTAGGGTTGTTGCAAACATTAACAAAAGAGGCAGATATTTATTTATTTATTCACAACAGATATTCAACACAACAACATATATTATTATCTATTTTAAAACAAAAGATACACCTTTTATATTCAACTTTAACAAAACAAGAACCAATACAATACATTTTAAATAATAATAATAATAATAGAAAGAAAGAATAAGAATTTAGAAAAAAGACTTACTTTACAAACACAACATAATCAAATAAGAATTTAATCTCCACATATATAGCACAATATAAACCTTATAACTCTAAAAGTGGAGAGTTTTATATATATTGGAGCAAAATACAAGACAACTATGAGTGGTAATAAGACTACGACCATAGTTGCAAGGTTTGGGTTACAATCATTTGTGATATTGCTAGTGATCATACCCTACCTCTATATACTCAACTATGCCATATTCCCGTGGATGCACGATGTAACCACCTTTATGAGCTCTGTATTTCATTCAATTCTCGCAACGGCGCTAACTTGCCTCGTCTTAATATCCTATATACTCGTCAGTTCAACCAGCCCTGGTGATTTTAACGATACTTTATCACCTTCTTATTATTTACTTTATCCAATCTCTTCTATAAATTCTGAAGAAGATAAAAAGTATGATGAAACATATAAGATATATATAAATAGAAAGATTATATATATATATTAATACATTGATTTATAATTTTATAGATTTTGTACAAAATGTAATCAACAAAAACCAGAAAGAGCACATCATTGCAGTAGTTGCAAAAAGTGTATTTTAAGAATGGATCATCATTGTCTGTTTATTGGCAATTGTGTTGGTCTATTCAACCAGAAATATTTTGTTTTATTCCTATTCTACGCTTCACTTTCCATATTTTATTTCTTTTATTTATTGGTTTCAAGATCATTGGAAGTATTATTGGATTCAACTCCTGTATGTGTAAACAAAAAAAAGAAAGAAAGAAATAGTATTTTTAAAAATAGATTATTTATTTATATTTAATTTATTTATTTATACTTTTTTTTTTTAGCAACAAACGGAATATAACTTTTTAGATATATCAAAATTATTTTTAATTGGATCATTGACAATATCGATGGTGATTATAGAGATATCAATTACATCAATGTTGGTGAATCAATTGTGGTTGTTGGGGAATAATATGACGACGATCGAACATGAAGGTACTAAAAGAAAACTATACGGACGAAAGGTGTTACCACACCAACTCCAACAATACCAAGACCAATTACGACGTAGCGACAAGGGTTGGATACATAATTTTTCAACTGTATTTGGTAATCCATCTTTATCTTGGATTCTACCAGTACCACCTCATATATTAAAAAATGGTTACCAGCAAAGAAAGGGTGACATTATGGAAGTTTAAAAGTAATAAAAAGTATTAAATAACCATGCGGCAAATAACAAAATCAAAATCAAAACAAAACAAATATTTAAAATATCAAGTTTAACATTTTGAATTTTATTATTATTATTAAAATCGATTTGGCAAGATAGTCAATGTTTGGAGAAACATCCCATACTACAATAGACCAATTTGTTAAAGGATGTTTCACGGATAATGACTGGTGGACTGGTCAATGATTTTTCACAAGCTCCACAAACATTTGGTGATTGTTGTTGTCTTGGTGATTTTGGTGGAGTTGTTTTAATACTTGAGGAACTTGAATTTAATGGTCTTTGTGGTGACTGGATTGGTGTACTGTTGATGGCCATGGAACTAGTTGTAGTAGTAGTAGAAGAATTATCTCCTATTTGGATCTTGTTAAACTCCAAAGTTGAATCAATTTTGGGTGTTGGTGTAGGTTTCACTTCACTCTTAATACTACTACTATTATTAATAATACTAATATTATTATTATGATGATGATGATTACTTTGATTTAATAAAGTATTCTTTGGAGATGGAGACCAAACACTAAGAGCTGATGGTGAAGAGGGACTGTTTGCCATTCTCTTTAATTTTGTCGATTTTTGGTGTTGGTGTTGATAGTTGCCACTGCTATGATGTTTGTTGTTGAGGTGGTGAGTTGAACCATTACTACTATTACTATTGCCACTGCTGGTACGATGACCTGAAATAGTATGATGATGGATACGTGAATTCCTAATGATTGGAATTGGTTGAGAGACTGATACTTTCATTTCCGTCATTTTTTATGTTTTTTTTCTTTGTTGTTGATTTGATTGGTATGATATGATAACTAATACAGTCCTAGATAGTACTAATATCTTTGTTATTCTTTAAGCTTATTCTTTAATGTGATTCAACTTTTTGAAAAAGTTGATTATAATATTTGATTGGTTGGATAGAGCTCGTTATCCAATTCCCTTTGATGGTAAGATATGTGACTCGATACGGTTAAGGCGGTTTTGATTATTATGAGTGCTCATGAAAGTCAAAACCAAACCAAAAACTGTGATCGAAAGTGTAGTAGGTATAGAAAGAGAAAGTGACGGGAAGAAGACTAGTCTATCTATCTATTATCTTTCTTGATGTATATTTATTATTTATTTGTTTAGAGAAAGAGAGGGGGGAGAGAATGACAAAAGAGAGAATGAAGTTTTTGGTGAACCCAAAGAAAGCCTTGCAAGCAACAGAACAGTTCTGCAGAAAAACGTCTGAAAACAAAAAAAGAAATAAAACAGGCTCTCGACTTTTTTCTTTTTTCAGGTCGTTTCTAGAGTCTGGGACAAAACGAAGACCAACCAGAGTTTCATCGATGATTGTTGTGTAGTTAACTTTTTTTTTTTTTTTTGTGGATTCTATTCCAACTTTTGTTGAAAATTTAATTTATAGTAATGTACATTTTATATTTTAAAAGTTTTTGGTGGATAAATGATGTTTCATTAATCGACCAACCAAGTCGAGATTGACAAGACCTTTTTTTTTTAGAATCTTGTTTAATATTTGAAGGTTTGTTTTGGGGTCCAATTGAATGAGATAGTCTAATATTTCAGGAGACCCTTGTTTAATGGTATTGATCATGATACTGTGGATCATTGGTTTAAAATCATTGGTGAAATTTGTTTGATAGTAATTCCATGCTTTGACGTTGTTGCAATAATGTGAATATTCTGCAATGTCTGGTGTATTGCGAGTGCTTAATATATGGGCAAACAGATCTATTTGTCCCTCTGCCAATGCATCTCTTGCACATGTCGAGTTAAATATACCAATGTTGAGGTAATTTTGAAAAGCAAAACGATCCTTTTTTAACCTTTCATAGGTTTCAAGGTCACCCGACTTTGCCACGGCAAAGATGATGGCATGTGATCTAACCAATTCACCTCGGTCCATTAGTTTATCGAAAAATCTAGATGGACGACCAGATGTGTATATCCAATCGGTCAAACAATCCGGTAGTGTTTTAAACACTCCAAGCATCTGGTCAAACAATTGATCGTTTTCAGTTAAAACAATACCAATGACGAGTTGCAGTGAATCTTCTGGATCTTGATTGACCTCGTACATGTCCAACGCCATTTTGTACATATCAACAGTCCAATCGTTATTTGGTCGTACCCATTTAAGTGTTTTGTAGGTTTTATATACAAGTTGCATCATTTCCAATGTACGTGGTGAAGCAGTTTTGGGTGTTGGGCCTAATATAGTATATTGACCATCATACTTTAGAATGGCACTGACAACATCAATATCCTTTCTAGAAAATGCTGCTAGTAATGCTACTGGTCCAATATAGGTATTTGTCACTACACATCTTTCCAATGTCGATAGTGCTTGTTCAGTTGTACCATACGTAAAAATCGTGACCAAGACCCCTGGAACCAATTGAAAGAGTGGATTATTCGTCGTATCTATCAATTGTGGGTTGTCTATTGTTGGTATATTTAATTGTCCAGTAGCAATATTGACAACATTATCAACTGTTGCCATTGATAGGTAAAATGGAATCAATTTAACCGATTTGTCAACTTTCAAACATCTTTCAACAAATGAAATGATAAATCTTAATGCTTCTTGACGAAATATATTATTACATGTTAATTTTAATATTATTATTATATTATAAATTATTTCTTCTATTTTTAGCTGATTACTATTATCATTGTTATTATCTATATTATTATCTATATTATTATTATGATTGATTAAAAAATTTAAAATAATATTTCTTTCTTGTTGATCAAAATAAAATTGTAAAAAGTGTAATAGGAATTGATGGATGGTTGGGAAATCCATCCAAGTGATAGATTGAATTACATTATTAAATGCAATCCTTTTTTCATATCTTTTTGTTAATAATTCTGGTATCTTTAAATTAATGACAGTGAAATGATTTGGAGTATTGATAATGTCTGTTACTGCTTGTTGACCAAATATTTTGTTGATTGTATTGTACATTTTAAATGGATCATCCTTCGATGATAATGATGATGATCCACAGTCTTCTTCTATTGATTTTGGTGAGAGTAGAGTCATTGCATTACCAACGATGGTTGATAGACAACTTGGGTTGATTCCTTTTTCAACAACCAAATATTCAACTACATCTGGTTGATTACCAAGTACTGCACTAGCTACCAAATCTGATTGTAGTTCTTGAACTGGTTTTTGTTGTTCAATCATACTACCACTACTACTACTCTTTTTCTTTTTATCTTTTGTATTTTTCTTCTTATTATTATTATTGTTGTTATTAGACTCTTCTTCTTCTTCTTGAAGTATTAATCTTTCAATATATGGTTGATGGTAAGTTTCAAAGACATGCTTTACAACATGTAGATTACTACCACTTTTGCAAATAGATTGTAGAATGGTGTCGTTCAAGAGAGTGAACCAAAGAGGTCTAAGAATATACAGTTGATCCAAGATGTAGATAGCCAAACAGTTTAGACCAATCGTTGAGAAAAAGTCTCTAACAGCTATTGTTGTTCCAAAGTCTAATAGATCCAAATGAGTACCCATCTTTAATCTATCCAACACTAAACCATGGTAACCCGCTTTACATATCTCTGACATTGACTTCCAATCACTAGACAAGAAAGAATAAGAATAAGAATAAGAATATGATGATCTACAGCAACAACAAAGGATACACATACATGTATTTAATTAAAGGACGTCTGTTTGATAAGACATGTGATACATAACGATGTGATGGTACATTGACGAGATATAGTTGCTTTCCTATCTCTTTAACATGTCGAAATATCTTTTCAACTAAATATTTGTTTCTAAATATCTCCATAAATATAAATATATATATATAACTTAGATAGATATAAAAGCGATCATCAATATAAAATGATTGCAATTATTAATAAATTGTTTTTTAAATAGAAAATCAAGAGCACAGCTCTGCATGATTCCTTCATTTTATAGATATTGAATGAATATCTCATTGAATTAAGATGGTTATATTACAGGAGTAGAAACAATCAACAAAAGACAAGGAGCAAGCAAGAAAAAATGTACTTTGTTGTCAGGCTATAAATTGTTTTTGTTGTTGTGCTTCCATTTGATTGATGTTTCTACTCCTGTAATATACACATAATGTGTTATTTTATTATTAATATTATTTTTAATTTTACATTTTAATTTTTATATATTAATTAATATTTAAAAAAATAGGTCTTCTATCCTTACCACTAGTAAACATTCATTTCCTTTATTTCGAAGTTTGTTATTCATACTATATAGTATACTATTTGATATTTTTTTAAAATGAACATATTCAATCAATATGGCTCCAATACAGTTAAAGAGAGAAGATACCTTTCATATATTGAACCGTAAAACTGAAGTACAATTCATAGACTCTGACGCTGACTATATGATGTTTGTACAAGAAACTTGGCTCAATGCATTTTTATGCCTTTGCACTCTCTGCTCTTTCATTACGCTACCTTCCTTGGTTTTATCGCACATTATCACTGGTTTTAATACATTGGTATTTTATGGAACCTTGTATGCAAAACCTCAAGAGATACAACACCATTGACCCAATGATATTTCCAACTCCATCAAAACCAACATACCATTTAATTAGTGAACCACCAGTAAGTATCAATGAAGAGTATATTTAACTTCAAAAGATAGATCGATCTATCAACAGTTTCTAAATTATATTATTATTATGAATTATTTTTTATTTATTCATTTATTTATTTACTCAGGGATGGAGAATGGAACATGGGGAAATGGTAGCTTTCAAAGACAAGAACATTTATGGACCACTATTACCTGTGCAACAAGGAAATGAATACATTTATTGATTTTTTGCTTCAAGATCACATTGTTTTAGAAGGGAGTGGTCCATGCTCAAACAAAAAGGGGACCGGAGTTATCAGAATTGTCAATGCCAATACCATTCTTGCTAATAATGAGGAAAGAGTAACTATAGACATAAATCCACATGAAAACAATTATTTTAATAATATTTCTAATATTTAATATATAGCTCCAAAATGGAATTGTAACGACTACTTTTACACCCACAATATTGACCACTCTTTAGAGCCCAAGGTCGTGGTTTCCATGGATGAAGGACCTCGATCGATTGTTCTCTTTAATTGGTACAGAAAATTACAGTCGCATTTACCAAAGGCTAAGGGAATTGACCTGGTGGTAGCAACGTCGATTGGAGGTGTAATTCCCATTCTTGTCCAATACAGAGGTTGTACATTATATAACATCATTAACTTTGCAGAACTTTTGGATGGATCATGTCTGTTGAACACTAGAAAACACTCTGGCGATCCTTTTCAACTTCCAGATTCAATTTTGAATAAGTTGTATTTTGATTTGGATAAAAATTTGAAATGGGTTGATCGTGGTCCCAAAGTGGCTATTGTTGGTGCGACTGTTGACAAGGATCAAATAGTGTCGCCTTTTCTTTTCAGAAGCTACACCAATCAACCTCGCCTCTCAAGGGTTGTTTAACAACCCTAAGAAACTCTCTACTTGCTTGTTGGTCAGTTCCACATTATACGACCCCATTGATGAATGTTGAAGGAGCCCCTATCATCGAAGGATCTATTATTGTATCTAGTCCAGTTGAACTCGCTTTGCTCGAGGCAAAACATCTATGGCCCCGCCACCCGCTCATAATTTATTCTTTGGGAACTGGAATTACTCCTCCCCATGGGAAAATGCAACTCCCATCAAGTTACTCTGAGAATATGGATAGACCCCAGAAGTCTAACGGAACACTGGATGATCTGTACGTCTCGAATATCTTATCACACCTCAAATTCGAGTCCTGGGTAGCAAAATTATATCGCCCAAATTTAATACGATATGAAAGATTAAATGTGGATTTTGACCATCGAGACGGTGATGACTACCAAGTATTACTGGGAGACAAGGATCCAAATTTGGCATTCATTTCAAAAACAATCCGTTCATGTCCCATAGTATTGCAACCTTGAAATACCCCAACGTATCCATATACATGTAAAAAATGTAATAATAAAAATAATAAATAAATAAATAAATAAATAAATAATTAAATTGTTATTCTTTAGGTGCAAATTTGGGGAACCAAGGTTTGACTTGAATTGTCATCACTCGATTCTCCATCATCGTCATTATTACCCGCCGTGCTAGTACTTTTTATTTTAAATCTTTTCTTTGGTGATGAAAAGGTGAAAATGGAATAGGTATCATCATCTTCATCACTGGAATTGTTGTTGTTGTTTTCGGTTGTTGATATGGTTGTTGCTGTACTTGAATTATTTACATTTTGATTAGTAGTTGTATTGTTGCCTTGTTGATTTACATTATTATTATTGATATTATTATTAGTATTATTCATTCCCATGATAAAATTATAAAGATTAGAGTTGCTTAAAATATTGTTGTTGCTATTTATGACCGTCGTCCCATCAGTTTCATCATCTTGTTCTTGACCGTCTTCTTGTTGTTGGTGATCAACATTCATACTATCGCTGTTAGAAATATGATTAATAACAGTAGTAATTGTAATGGGAGATTTCTTTAAAGGTGATAATAAACGTTTAGAAGGTGAAGAGTGTTCATTAAACTGTACATTGGATGTTTGAATGGTTGGATAACTTTGATCAACTTGATCCAATTCCGAGTAGATAAATTTGTTGGCTATATCCAAGAAACGGACCGACTTTGGTTGGTGAGGGGTACTATGTTCATGGTTACGACGTTTGGATCCGACAAGTCTCGTACTATTTACCTCATTCTTTTTGGATGGAGATGGTGGGGTCAATTGTGAAAGATGGCCTTGAAGCGAGTCAATCTCTTCAAAGGAGCCATCATTGGAGAGGAGTGTCTTGTTGAGAGTTGTGTAAAACTCTACAATCTGATCGTTGAGGGACTCCTCGTGTTCGGTGAGTGTTGCCGAATCAATAGATTCGTCACGTTTCATTGACATCAACTCCGCACGCTTGTTGATGAGTGATTCGGCAAGCAGACGGTTCTGGCTGCTCTTCCAAGCCACCAAATAACTCGTATCGTTGCCCAAATACAACTTGTCACCATGACGAAGAATATAAGGTCTATTTGGAACGGCGCGTGTTTTGTTGATAAATGTTCCATGACTCGACCCAAAGTCTACAACTTGTATCCTTCCTTCGAAATCGTGTGCAATAAAGCAATGTTTTCTTGATACTGTTGGATTTGAAAATATATAATCGCAAACTAAATATGATTGATTGATGGATTGATTGGGTTAGATATATAAATAAATATTAAAAAGATCGACCGAGACTAGAATGAATGAAAGGAAAGGAGGAAGAACCAAGTCAAACCAAACCAACCAAACCAAACCATTGTCAAGACAAGAATAGTATGCAAAGCAACCAAAGTCGAGTCGGTTCAGTCATCATCCAATCACTCACACATGATCGTCCAACTTTTGAGAATTGTTACACATACCAGAACTTGAACGTCCAAATACTACAAATTTCGATTCTTCAAGTGATATAATCGATGAATGTGAAGATTCACCACCCTTTACAAATCGGAGATGATCGTTTCTTTCCATATTTGGTTCAGCTGCCCAAATGGGACATTCCACCAATTCCCTTGATTTTGCTTGTTGTTTGTTTACTTTAATAATAGTTGATGGTGGTATATTTTGATATGTTGTTGGTGTTGTTGTTGATCCTCCTGATTGATTGTTATTGTTATTATGTTTTGGTGTTATATTATTCTCAGATGATGTTACATTGTTGTTATTATTATTTGTTATAAAATATTGTGGTTGAAATGGTGATGTTGTTGCCTTGTTGTTGTTGTTGTTATTGTTAATATTCATCTGTTGTTGTTGTTGTTTAATTAAATTATTACATGATTCAGGATCTTGAGGAGTTAAAAAGTTTAAATCTTCTAAACTAAGAGTTGGTTCAAGTGACATCTTAGAGAAGATAAAGAGGAGGATAGTATTTATAAATACAAACAAACAAATCACAAACTAACTAGGTGATGTAGAAATATAATAAATAAATAAATAATGATATTCTAAAAGGATAATACATAATTTCTATCAAACACTCTCGAAAAAAATGACATCACATGATATAAACTTCCTAGAATTCCAACTCATCCCAGCTTTGCACAAACATGAAAAAAAATAGAATTCTTTCAAATTTAAAACATGGATGGGCATACTACGAATTGACCACTAACTTACACACATCCCGATCTGAGGAATTAGTCATCGATCGTATGTATGTAAATTGACCAATCCAATCTATCCTATCCTATCCTATCGATCTGTCTATCTTATCTTGATATAATTTAATCTATTTTAGTTTTATTTAAATTGTAATAATACTTTTGACTTGTCTCTTTTGTTTTGTGTTTCATATGATTTATGTTGTTTGTTGGTTGTTATTGTTATTGTTATTGTTCATATCATCATTTATGTTGCGTTTGTTTTTTTGGATGATAAGTTTGAGAATTAGTAGTAGTGGTAGTAGTTAATTGTTTGTGTAGTACATGGTTGATATTTCCTTTTCTTTTCTTTTCTTTCTTTTAATCATCACCAACATGTAATAATTGATCAACACCTAATTTGAGATGAGATAATTCCTTGTAACGTTGTTCACAAGTCTTTTCGAGGAGATCCTTTTTAGTGATGATACCTTTGAGTTTGTTGTTGCTGTTGACGACTGGCATGTGACGGAGACCGATTGTTCTAAAGAGTTGGAATGCTTCAGAGACGGCAAACTCTTCGTTGACCGTGACAACTGTGAGATTCATGATTTCGGTGAGATCGACGAGTTGGTTGTGGTCGGCTGGATCAAAGGCGAGGTCGTCGAGATTGGGCAACTTCCATGCCAACTTGGTAGTATAGTCTTGGTGAGAGTATGCTTGTTCTTGGTTGGGGACATAGACGTCGTGCATACGTTCGAGTACCATGAGCAACTGACTTCTTAAAATGAGTCCCTTGACAAGACGGTCATTCTCATTGTTGACGACTGGGAAACCATTGTGTTTGGTTTCGTGCAAGATGTGGAGGATGTGACCGAGCTTTTCCTTTTCACGACAGAATACTGGTTTCTTGGCCATGACATGTTTGGCCATGAGGAGACGCATCGCCTTGGAAGGGTGTGGTTCGAGGTAGGGGATGTACTTCATCTCGATGAGAATATCAAAGAATGGGTGGATGCAGAGATCGGCCGTCCACTTGGCCACCATGATGGTGACCATGATGGGGATGAGGTATTGGAGCTCGTTGGTCGTCTCGATGAGGATGACGGTGAGCGAGATGGTGAGTCGAGACACACCCGCCATGAACGCGGCCGCGCCCATAATCGCGTAGGCGCCGGGATCAAGACCAGCGTAGTTGGGAACGATATACGACACGATGAGACCAATCGCACGACCATAGGCAGCACCAATGACAATCATTGGCACAAAAGTACCCGAGGAAATGCCACAGCCGGCCGTATAAGCAGCAAACAAAAAGTAAAACACGAAAAACACGAGTAATGCAAATATGCTGATACGGTGTGTGTTGGTGAGATCGACGCTGTTGATCGAGAGCAAGTTGGTAATAGCTTCCTCGTTGGATGCAAAGATAATGCTTGCCAGTTCGTTGTATTGACCTTTTGGACAGTTGAATTGTTTGAGACCTTCAATTTCAATCTCTCCGCTGCCGCTCGATGTGCCGTTGCCCGCCAAAACAGACTGTCCGATACCTCCATTAGAGAGTGCGCTGATTTCCTTGCAAGGGAAGATGAGTGGTAAAAACACCTGTAGAATGGTCGATACGGCCGAGATGAGGAACACCTCGAGCACACGCAGCGACTTGACCTTGTTGACCTTTTCACGACGCATGGCGACGACCTTGATGTTGATGAGTGTAAAGAGTGCGCCGGCAAACCCACCCAACACGCCAATCACAATGAATGGCACAAACTCGAGCAAGTTGTAGGCATAGTCTTTGTTGGCCACACCCATGTCAAAGATCATGAGACCGTGTTGAGTGAGGTTGGTAGCTTGCAAGAGACGCATCGTAAACGTTGCAATCAAACAGGCAAAGAAAGATCTCCAAGTGAGGGTGGTCGACCAAAACGACGATACTTCCTCGAGCGAGAACAGAGCTCCTCCAAGTGGCGCACCAAAAGCAGCTGCCACACCAGCACCCGCTCCACTCGTCACAAAGTCACGTTTATCCTTATCGTTTCTAAAACTACGTAAAAAGGGAATCTTGAATCCAAACTCTTTGGACTGTGCCTGCGAGAAACCGTTACCGACGATCGCACCGATATGGATCATCGGACCTTCAGCGCCGACCTGTAAATTGGACGACACGGCAAAGATCATCGATGCCAACTTGGTCCACAGTGTCTTGAATTTGAGAGTGTGCGGGATCTTGGTGCCGTTGAGGTATCCCTTGACCTCGGGAATACCCGAGCCGGCAGCTGTCGGTTCATAGTAGACCGCTAGCAACGACCCAATCGTCGCGAGCACTGTATTACATGTGAAATAGGCCAAGAAACCCAGATATATGTTTTCAGAGATGAGGTCCTTGGTAAACTCGAATTTGTAGTAGAGAATGTTGGAAACGCCAACATGTGCAAGATAGGCAATAAACCCAATGAAAATACCCATAAACAGCGATACCATCCATCGCTGCCATTCATGGTTCGAGCCCAAATCATTAAACTTTTTATACATCTCGTTACGATAGGCCTTGTTGTAGATGGTTACATAGTCCAAACATTCATACTTTGATATTTGTTGTTTGTCCTTTATCCAAATCGCACGTTCATGTGTCTCGTGCTTTTCCACTCGTTTGTGATGTTGATCTCTAACAATATCAACTGGTTTTGATACTACTCCTACAAATTGATCAAATCCCTCTGTCAATGCTCCTTCCACCTTTTTATTTGATTCTTTTACTCTGTTTTCCTAAGAGGAGATGAAAAATAAAGGTTAGATAAATAGTAATAGATTTATCTCTTTCATTCATTCTCATTATATTTGTTGATCTATAGCATACAATTAATCTATTTGAATCTTTAACCTTTTGACCTATTAATTTATAAGTTTTACCAATAGTTTTTGTAACTCTTGTCAAGAGTTCATCGCCTTCTTTAATTTCGTCTTGTGAATTGAGTAAACTCTTTTCTCTCCACATGCTTGGGTCTCTAATGATTGGTTCTAAAATGATACCACCAGATGATTGTTGTTCTTCATATTCATTGTCGTCATTGTATATTTCGTCTTGGTCACTATCCTCTTCATCGTCACTATCATTGTTATTGTTTCTTCTTCTTGTACGACGATTATTATTATTTGGATCATTTTGTGTATTGTTATTGTTATTATTATTATTATTATTATTATTGATTGGACGTTGATCGTCATCTACGTCTTCTTCTTCTTCTTCTATTCTTGGGTACAATGGTGCTTGTGGAGATGGTGTAGATCCTACAACCTTGTCATCCTCGACTCGATTCTTTGGATCAAATGGATTTCCACTCATCCTCTTTTTATTTTCTTATTTTCTGTTGTCGATTAATATAAATATATATAAATCTAAGTTTAGTTAAGTTATTCAATGATACAAGAGAGGTATATTAAAGAGTCAGTAATTGAATGATTAATAATAATAATAAAAAAGTAAAGTAAGATGATTGATTGAAACACGACACGAATGAGATGATTAAGATAACAGTAGTAGTAGTAGTAGTAGTAATGTAATGAATAATTATGTTGTTTGATTAATATAATATAATATAATATAGTGATCAATCAATCCATTCACTATTCGACTATATTGTAACCATGGTGAAACAACACCACCACGTTATATTTCTTGAATTATCATCGAGCGACTTGACCGCACACGACGATACGATACACACCCCCAGGAGAATGATTTTTTTTTCACCACCTCAAAATGCTTGTTGTTTATCTGATTTCATACTCTGACGGCGACGCAGCCGCTGTGTGATGTATTTTTGATCAAACCGAGGAGGAAAGGAGGATGAGGAGAGGAGGAGGAGTGAGGGCGATGTGTATGAGTGAATAGAGATCCTCTTGAATTGAAGCTTTGACCTTATTATTATTATTATTATTATCTTATGTATGAATCTGTCCTGTCTGTATTTATAAATATATCTTGAGAGTTGATTTCATTCACAGATCGACTTGAAATACATTGTGGTAAAAGAACACTTATAGAGAAGAGAGTTGTAATGAACAGAGTTGTTGTTGTTGTGCATAGTTCATACCTAACTAACTACTCGGGTACCTATTATATCTATCTCTTATCAATTGATAGAATCTTGAATTGCTGTGTCGAGAGTTATTACAATAAAATATATAAATATATAAATAAATAAATGTGTGTGAGATAGAAGAGAGAAAGAGAGAGGGCTATAAAAAATTAGTCGTTTGCACCATTGCCACCAACGGTAGAGGTGATTTGGGGAGAAAAAAAAAAAAAAAAAAAGGCAACCCCAGAATCGACATCTTTTGGAGGTACACACCTCCAGTCGATTGATTCTCTCTGAGAATTTGTATTCAAAGAATAATAGATTAATGAACACTCAGAAGTACGAAGAAGAAGAAGAAGTAGTAGTCTTTGTATATATCCTGTTATTCTCCCTTTAATTTAAATTAAATTATGTGTTGTTCAAAATACTTTAAATTAGCAGAATACTAAATAAATTAAATAAATTAATTAAAAAAATTAATTTCAATGTTTGCGAGACAACAAGCATTTCAAGAACAAAGCAACGAGTTTGTTTTCTAAAGTAGTATTACGAGTATATATATATATTTTATGAAAGAAGTAAAAGAAGATGGATTTACATTTCGATCCTTTGACTAATAATAATAATAACAATGGTAATGATCATAACCAACAACAACAACCGAGCAATATAGACGAAACAATTGCAAAAGCAGCTGAAGAAGTAACATCATACTTTAAAAAGGGTTGGAGTTCATTTAGTTTCTCTTCAATCGTTGAGACTGTTAAACAAAAGGTTTGTAATGAATTAAACAAAGAGTTTGTTGTGTAAAGAATTGATTATTATTAACACTATCTATCTATGTGTGTGTGATATGATACCATTTGTAGTCTGATGAAATTATCAATATTTATAAAGAGGATTTACAAGAGTTTGGACAATCGATTCATCAAGATAGTGTAAATACATTACATGTTGGTGGTGCTGGCAATGAGAATACAGTGATGGCATCTTCGCCACCACGTAGTCAAACAAACCCATCATTGACTGAAATGTTATCGTCAAAGATAACTTCATTCATTGCTGAATACCCTTCTCCCTATGATAATGGTAGTAGTAGTAATTCGAATAATAATAATAATAGTCATACACCATTATCTTCATCACCACAAATAACAACTAGTTTTGATGAAGTTAATAGATCATTGACAAACATTGACGATACTCTATACCTGGCCGACAAGAATCATAAAGAGTATCAAACGTTTAAAGAAAACTTTCAACTTGCCAACTACAGGGAATTGGTCATTTCCGCTTTGACAGGATCAGACAATAATCTCATTGTTGTACAACGAAACTATAATAGATTGGTACCTTCCAAAGTAACTGAATTTGATTTTTGGTGTAGATACTTTTATCAAGAGTAATTATCAATCAAATCAACTATTACATCAAATGAATGAATATATATATGTATTAATTGTATTCTTTTTCTTTTTTTATTTTATTTAGACATGTTGTAAAGAATCAACAACAAAGAAGAGCACAATTAATTACAGAGGCAATTAAAAATCTAGATGAAGATGATGAAAATATTAATTGGGATGATGATGAAGATGAAGATGATATTGTAAATGAAATTAAAAATCAAAGTATTATTTTGGAAAAGGAGAAAAATGATAAGTTAAAATTGACAGTTGCTGCTGTCGACATTCTTCAAAATGATGATGATGATGAAATACCATTGGATCAAGATGATGAAGAAATATATAATGAAGAGGAAGAAATAGATAACCCTCAACAAGAAATAGATAATCAACAACAAGAACAAGAACAAGATACAGATAGTCAACAAGAACAAACAACAGAAGAAACAGATAATCAACAAGTAACAACAGAAGAAGAAGAGAAAGATAAATGGTTCTTGATAGAGTAGAATTCTAATTGTTAAAACTCCTCCAATTGTAAATTTAATCCAACCAACCAAACTTTGAATACATGGAATATTTATCACACCATTGTTCAAATCACACAGTAATAATAAAAAGATAACCTTGATATTATTATTTTTTTATAAATATTATTATTATTATCTTTTTTTCTTTTCTTTTACTTTATTTTTTTATTGAGAACCCCATAATTTAATTAAACCGTCTTCAGAGACTGTTGTTAAAGTTTGAGAATCGAGACTCCAAATAGCACGATTATAAAGGCCACCTTGTCCATCCAACTGCTTGGTGATTTCAAATGATGATTTGCCAGAGAGATTTACAATGGTGAGTGACGAACCAGCAATGGCAATATAGCTACCACTATGATCAAAAGAGACAGAGTGACCGTGCTTGCCGTCAATGTCAAATGTTTGGAGACACGTTGATTTACGGAGATCCCAAACCTTGGCAACAGAGTCATCGCAACTGACCATAAAGTAACCATTCTCTGAAAACGAGATGGAACGTACTGCTTGAGTGTGAGCAGTGAGGGTGATGGCACGCTTGTTTTGGCTAATATCCCACAATGAAATCTGTCCATCGTCACTACCTACACCAAGAATAGCGCCATCTGGGTGGAAACGTACAGCTCCGCATGGCCCGTTGGCAGCATTACCATTCTTTAATATTTGATTCAATGACGATGATCCGCTGCTAATATCAAATAGTGCCCAACTACGATCACTTCCACCAACGGCGACGATATCGCCCGATGGATGTACATTGACAGACAAGACTTCACCGCTGTATTTGGCAGATTGACTTTGACCAGATTCAACATTCCACAATCTAACTGTACGATCACGTGATCCAGATACAACCGATCGTCCATTTGGTGTAAAAGCAACACTCTCTACACGCTTTGTGTGTCCCTTGAGTGATTTCTTTACGCTTGAACTATCGTTATCGTATACTGTAACCTCACCATCATCACCTCCACTACCAACTACAACCAACGATCCATGTTGATCAACACTTGATAATCCTCCAGTCGATTGTTGTGCTTCATTCGATGCCAAGATCGCATATGATTTAATTTCTTCAGTTGTTGGTAATTTCTCTGGTTTTGATCTTTTCTTTCTTTGTGCTGATAATCTAAAAATAAACAAAGAGATAAGATATTAATATATAATGATATAAATCATCTCAAACATTAATATGAATGATATCATTCGGATGACATACGCTTTAGATAAATCTCCAACTTTGGTAAGAATATCTTGTGGTAATTTTTGTGTATTTTCAACATCCATTTGATCATTATTATTATTGTTATTATTATTATTATTATTATTATTGTTATTATTTGTTACTGTTCTAATTGGTGTATTTGCGAGTGCACTAAAATATTGATAGAGAAAGAGAGTTAGAGAGAGATAACTTTGTTTTCTTGATTTAGAATACTATGATACAAACGATTTAGCAGCATCTCTTTCTTTAATTAATCTAGCAATGACACGACAAGCAGCATCGTATTGATAGAGTGAATGAGCCAATTCTTGACGAACACTTTCAAATTGTTGTCTAAGTGTAAATGTTTCCAACATGAGTGCATCCCATTCGTTTTGGAACATTTGAAGCATACCTGGGATACTAGTGGTTGTACCAACACGTGGTTTGGTACCAGCTCCATTACTATTATTGTTACTGCTATTGCCAATCTTGACGATTGTAACCAAATCAGTCAATGCCAATGGTTGTCCAGTAGTTGGTTCACGTCCATTTGCATCTATATACTTTTCAATCAATCTCTTTTCATATATATTTCCTGATTTAATCGATACTACTGGCTCTTGTGCCAATTCTCCTGATACTATAAATAGATAAGATAGATAGAAAGATAGAAAGATGTTAATAACATAATCATATATGTAGTATCTAGATCTATAAACATACGTGAACAAATCATATTGTATGTATGTAAATGATATATATAGTATATCAAGTATTACAAGTCGCTTGATTATGATCATAGACCAAACCTCATCTCATTGATAGAGTGCGTGGAGGTATTTTTTTTTAATTTTTTTAATTTTTTTGAATGATGGTGGAAGATCACAGTTGCAGGGTACTTTGAAGAAATATCGTAAGTGACTACTACTATAATTTAGACTATTATTAATATAACAAGTAGTAATAGTACATACCATCTCATATATATACAGTAAAAGAAAATGACAACACATGGAGAACGTACATTAAAGTCTGTTATGATCAAGCCAATCAGCTTGATCTTTAAATTCTTTACTCAGAAATCGGTTGTCCAAGTCATGCTGTTTGAACAGACTGACATTAGAATTGAAGGTGTCATCATTGTGAGTATATGATAGATATAGAAGATAGATAGATAGATAGATAGAAAATCTCTCAACAAGTTGTAGTTGTCAAGTACTAACATTCATCAATCATCATTTTTAGGGTCTTGACGAATATATGAATTTAGTATTGGACAATGCATTTGAAATATCGTTAAAGAAGAAGACTAGAAAACCACTTGGACAGATACTACTAAAAGGAGATAATATAACGCTGGTGTTTGAAGCGACTCCTTCTAATTAGCCTCAACAAACAATCAATCAATCAATCAATCAATCAATATATACTCTTTAAAAATCAATCACCTCCTTTTCCTTCTTCCTTTATATTAAAAACGAACGTTCAAAGTTGTTGTACAAATGAAATAACAACATCAATCCAAAACAAACATCAATTTATATTATCATTAACCGATAGTAACCAAACCAACCAACCCATTTGCAACATGACATATATTTAATGAATGAACAATAACAACAAGACAAACAAACAACAAAACATTGCAACAAAATAACTCGACTGCTTGGTTACTTACAAGATGATAATATTAGATAGGCGAATTCCACCAATCCCAAACCCACCTCCCCAATAACAAAGAATAGAATAGACTGTTTATGAAACAAATTAACAAACTTGTAATTAGATTAAATCCAATAAAATTAATATTTATGGAATCAATGAATATTAATTATATAAACTACCTGAATCCTGGATTGATCCATAATATTATTATTTACTTATTCCTCCCTACCTTGGAAGATCTTCCAACTCAACTCTTGAACTCTTTCATTTATTTTTTTGACTGGAACTTACTCAGAGTATTCAAGCAAGACATTGAATCTGATGAAATCATTATCAAGGTCCCGATTAAAGATTTGGATCGAGGTTGGACAAGAATGAGTACTAAACCTACAACAAATATACAGAGTCTGCACCTTTATAAATAATAATAATAATAAGAAAAAAAGAGTTTAATTGACCAAAAGGGGGGTGGTTAGTTTATGGTTCAGTTTTGTCATTATTCATTCAATAACTTTTTTGTTGTTTATAATAAATAGTAGGAGTAGAGATATATCAATCTTTTTAATTCATTGAATGAATGATGTACAAAGACAAAGATATAATAGACATAGAGGTCTATTAACTGATACAGATGAATCTAGGGAGCGGAGAAATGACCGTTTGAAACAACACCGAACTCAAACCAAACTATCTACAATCATGTCTGCAAGAGGCTTGTTGATCAATCCACTAGAGTTTCAAGTCATAGAGAATAATAATAATAATAATAATAATAACAATGGTCAAGATAGATTGATTGGTGATGATACCAACAACGCTACTCGAGTTAGTGGTGGTGTATTGTCAGTATTGGAAAATGATGATGGTCAAAAGAGAACTCTATTAATTCAAAATACAATTAATTGGATTAAATTTGAACATGTATGTAGTACTACGAGTACAAACTAAACCAGCATACGAGATCACTACGACTAATATATCAATTTTGTGGATTCCACAATAGAATGCAGGTAATACAAAAGGAGCAATTGAAAGATTAAGATATCTTTTATCATTTCCATTTGATTCAGTGTTGCATTTGAATATTAATACAAACAATGATCAATGGTTTGAAGGATTGGTCATAAAGATGGTGTGTCAAGATGAACATATTCTATTATTCATGTTTCAGTGTATTGCTAATCATTCAGCTTGCGACGAGTCGATTACTTTAGAAGCATGTTGGTGTATAACCAATTTAGCTGCATCATCAAATGAGATGGTCGTATCGAAAATGTTGTCAGCATCTCCTTACCTCATTCAATACCTTACTTGTAGGAATGCATTGCTACAAGAACAAAGTATGTGGGCACTTGGAAACCTAGCAAAAGAAAGTACAAACAATCGAGATATTCTATGTTCACAAGGAATTATTCCTCCTCTATTACATATATTTAATAATTTAAATTCAAAAGTAAGAATCATCATCATCTTCTATTGAAATATAACAAACTCTGACTCTATTATTATTATTTTCATAGAACTCACAATTTATAGTAACATGTTGTTTTACAATTCATGCAATATTATTTCCTGGTAAACTAAATAATTCAACATTGACAGATCGTATCAAACAAATAGATGTAGTAGTGTTGGAGACATTACTTAAAAATAATCTAATCGATGGTATACAAAAACATTTAGTGTCATCATCTATAGACAATGAAGCCAAAAGAGAATTATTATGGTTAGTTTGTGATTTGGCTTCACTTCCAATGGTTCACGTATTCTTTGATTCAATTTATATTAAATTGGTAAATATTTATTAAATCTAATTATTTGATTGAATAGAGTAATATTTATTTACCAACTAATATTTATTTATTTTAGATTGAAGGAATTAATATAATTTATAATGTTTTAAATACTGCTGCTGCTGCTGCTGATACATTTGATGAATCTGAATATGGATTAATATTTTTATATTATATTAGGACATTGGGACACTTGTATTCAAATGAAAAATTGGCATTTCATCTTTTAAATACAATGGAGCATAGTATTACTATAAAAATGATTGAATTTTTATTTAAAGTATTATCACTTTCAAAATCACCGTATGTAATACATAATTATAATAATAATAATAGTTACCCTTATTCATCTTTTATTTATTTATTTATTTTTAGTCAAATTATAAAAGAAACTATTTATTTATTAAGTAATATTACTAGTTTGGATTATAAAACAATTGGTCCACTTGCGCAACACGAACAACAACCATCATCATTTTCACGTATTTTTATCAATAATGGATGCGTTCCTATACTCTTTCAATCCTATTTTCGACATCCACCTTCGATCCAATGTCAACTGTTGTATCTCTACAATAATCTATATTGTGAACAATCTTTTGACAGTATTGTACATACTCACATCCTACCTTCTCTTGAAGAAATTGGAAAATATATCTATATTGAATCACTACCAAAAGAATTTAAAAAACTATTTCTCACCTCTTCCCAACGTTCTACAAAACAATAATAATAATAAATGAATAATTAATAATAATAATGGTTGGTTGGATAATAGGTAGTTTCACTCACTCTCTGGTTTATGGCGATTTCATCAATGTAGTTTGTAGATTGGTTTGGTTCCATTCCAGATACTTTCAGTGAAGTAATGTTCGTGCACATCGAAGGGTACGTATTCAAAACAATCCTACGATCTTACACCTACACTCAGAGTTAATTTCCAAAACTGACTTTTGATCTTTTTAGGGCGATCGCCTTCCGAAAAGGTTCGATAGGGAGTGAGCCCTCATTTCTAATTAAATCTTTTTTTGTGGTGGAGGCTCCTGTTTTTTTTCGGATAAGGGAGGGATGCGCCCTTGCTGTCAAAAAAGATATTACAAAGGGCGCTTCCCTGCCACCTGGACAATGACCTCTCATATTTTTCCACAATTATCCTTCAACGTTTCTGTCAATCCCCAATCCCGTCGTCTATATAAACTGTCTCCATCATCACAATCATCTTCATTACATTTACATTTATCTATCTATCTATTCTACAACAACATGTTTAATATTATAGATAACAATCATTTTAAAAAAAAAGTGTTTGTGCTTTTATTTTTTTTAGGTTTTCTTCAATCTTTTGCTTGGGCGGGTGTCATTTGGAGTAGTAACAAACATTTGTATTCAGATTCAGATGGTCAAACATTTTCCACTTCAGAGGCTGCAAGAAAGGTACCTATCTATCTAAAATATACACACAACTTTAAATTAATTATTAATTATTAATTATTCCATCATGTGAATAATATGTATTTTCATTTCTTATTTATTAATTATCTAATTCTTTTTTCTTATTTTTCTTTTTATTTCTTTTTTTAAAGGCTTGTGAAAATACATATTATTCACATGATGGAATAATTGAATGGGGGTATTTAGCAACCATTACATCTCAAGCAGAAATGACCTTTGTATTATCAAATATTGTATCTGGTACTAGTGCTTGGATCAGTGGCTCTGACGATAAGGAACAAGGTATTTGGAGATATAATACTGGACCGGAGATCGGAGAATACTACTATGACGTTTTCAATGAAAAATGTTATACCTATTGTCCAATGAACGATGCTGCCTTTTCCTTTGCCGATGGCAATGGTTTGGTTGTCAGTACAGCAGGTCTAATTACCAACAAGGGATCTGGTACATTGTACAAGGTGGTTTGTGAATTTGGAGGTCTTGAATCCAAAAACGTACCTCGTTTAACACCCATCTCTCAGCCAACCCAAGGTGGGTATGTATTGATCGAAGCCCTTTCCAATGGATTCAATACCACACCTGCAACAGTGACCATTGCACCTGCTGGTGACACTATCTACTACAGTCCATCGGTTAGAACCTATCCTACGTTGGTCGAGGCATATGTCAAGCCTGGTAACGGCGGTCCTATGACTATTGCCATTACTAGTGGTGCCACAACCATCTCTCTGCCATCAGCCTTCCAGCCACCACATCTTAGGGCTGTCTACCCAGTGTTTACAGCTGGTCAGCTCGTCACATTGGTCGGTAACAACTTTGGTATGACTGCCTCTTGGCTCACTGTCACTATTGGTACAGCCAACACTGCCTGTAACAGCATAGTCATACTCGAAGCACACAACATGTTTACATGTACGCTCACAGCCACTCTTGGCACCAACAAATTCCTCCCCGTCACCATTACTCTTGGTGGGCACACCAAAAAGTTCTTCCATCCCGCTCTCTACTATCCCTCCTCTGGTTACTTTGTCAAGGCGTTCTCTGTTCCAATGATTCCAGACATTGCATTCTTCCGTACCACCGACCGATTCCAGTTGTACGGCCAAATTGGCAGAGTTACCTCGGTTACAAGCACAGCCTTGAGAACATTCCTCCAAAACACACTCGCCAGTACCATCACCTGGAAACTATGGCAAAACTACTTTGCAACAGACAATACCTTGGTCACTCTTGTCGGCACGTCGGTTGGTGCATTTGCAAGTGACGTAGGTTACTACTCTTCAAATGTTCCAGATGCAACGGCCGATGGATGTAAAAGATTCCTTTTTACTCTATCCACAAGTGTAACTAGTATTGCCAATCAAGCAGATGAAGGTTATCTTTTATTAGCTTTTAATAATAGTATGTTAAATTTAGACAAAAATATAAATCAATTAATAATTATACTTATTTTATTTATTTTATTTAATTATTTCTATTTTTTATTTAGATCCAACATTTATTAAAAGTGATAGATTAGATTCATTTGAAACATCATATAATTGTCCAACATCTGGATGTTCGATTGCATTCCCAATGACCAACTATGGTTTGTGGAATAGTGAGATTGTATTTACTGCCATGGGAGTAAATATCACTGATTTCAAACAGAATGGTGATCGATTCTTTGTTACTCTACCACCTGGATACGGTAACACTAGACTCAGAGCAATTATTGATAATCGTAATCCCTTTAATTCGTTGCCAATCAGCTATGATCCTCCAACAATTGATACTGTAGTGATTGACTCTGGATATGCTACCATCACTGGTAATAATTTCTATTCAAGCTCATCTCTTGTATCTGTCACTGTAGGTGCCGCCGCTTGCACATCCCCATCGTTTTTAACCCCACACACCGTCATTCAATGTGTTATACCAGCCGATCCAACCCTTTCAACCTATGTCACCATTGCTGGTACACAATCCAACTCTGTGACACCAACTCTTGCTGCACCAAAAGTAACATCGGTATCATCTGCAGTCTCTATTTTCGGTGGATTGATTACCATTAATGGTTTCAATTTCTATTCAACTGCATCAGCTGTATCTGTTACAGTTGGTGGAATTGCTTGTTCATCAGTCTCCATTGTCGTCGCCAATACTCAAATCTCTTGTATTGCACCAGCTTCATCAGGTTCAAAGGCTGTTGTCGTCACAGTATCTACTCGTGTATCCAACTCTGACGTCCTTGCTGTCTATCAACCACCTACCATTTCATCGGTCACTCAAACTGCATCGAATACTATTTCAATTGCCGGAAGTGGGTTTGGAACTACTGCATCTGTTCTATCAATCACTCTTGGAGCATCGACCATTTCCAATACACTTTGTACAGCTGCCAGCACATCTGTTATTTGTTCGAGTCTCCCAACCACATTGATCAATGGATTAATTTCAATTTCTGGATCCAATCAAATTGCATTTAAATTTACACCAACTGTCACCACCAATACACTTTCAACAACACCACAAAGTACCATCACAATCAATGGTAATCACTTTGATTCACTCACACCAACATTTGGAGGATCATCAATCACATGCACTGGTACCTATACTCAATTAGTTTGTACATTCCTACCAAACTCAGTGTCGGGAACATTAAATCTCTCACCATCAGTATCAACATTGGTTACATTTGATCCATTTGTACAATCAATGAATCCATCAACTGTTCCAACAAGTGGTTCGACGGTTATTGTTCAAGGTGGACATTTTGAAAACCACTCTGGTTATACACTCTCAGTACTACTTGGAGGATCAACTCCACTGACATTCACCAAACTCGATCTTGATTTATTGTCAGTTGTAATCCCTGCTGGATATGGTAACTCAAAGTACATCAATGTCCAAGTAAATTCAAAGATTTCAGCACCAAACTTTTCATTTGGCTATGCCACTCCATCGATCAGCACTGTCTTTGTTGAAGAAGGGTATGTCACCATCACTGGTTCCAATTTCTTTACCAGCTCCTCTCTTGTATCTGTCACTGTTGGTGCTGCAGCCTGCACATCACCTACCATTTTGACTGCTCACACTGTCATCCGTTGTGTTGCTCCAGCCAATCCAAGTCTATCAACCTATGTCACCGTCTCTGGTACACAATCCAACTCTGTTACACCAACTCTTGCTGCACCAAAGGTAACTTCGGCTACCCTTGTTCCATTCTTTGGTGGGCTAGTGACTATAAGTGGTACAAATTTCTATGGTACCTCATCGTCTGTTTCAGTTACTGTCGGAGGTATTGCATGCACGTCAGTCTCTATTGTCACCGTCAATACCCAAATCTCATGTACTGTACCAGCTTCATCGGGTTCTAAAGCAATCATTGTCACTGCATTTGGTTTGACTTCAAACTCTGATTCATCTGTCGTTTATCAACCACCAACCATTTCATCGGTCACCCAAACTGCAGCAAATACCATTTCAATTGCCGGAAGTGGGTTTGGAACTACTGCATCAGCTCTATCAATCACTCTTGGAGCATTGACCATTTCCAATACCCTTTGTACAGCCGCTAGTACATCTGTTATTTGTTCAAACCTTCCAACCACATTGGTTAATGGGTTGGTTTCAATTTCTGGTTCAAATCAAATTGCATTTAAATTTACACCAACTATCACCACCAGCACACTCTCTGTCACACCACAAAGTACCATCACTATCAATGGTAATCACTTTGATGGACTTGTACCAACCTTTGGTGTACCAATTTCATGCACTGGTACCTACACTCAACTAGTTTGTACTTTTACGGCATCGGCTGTTTCAGGACCACTGTATGTGACACCAACACAATCAATCAATGTTGTGTTCTCACCATATGTCACATCTATCACCCCTGCTGGTCCAGTCACCACAAGTGGATCAACTGTAACGATTCAAGGCGGACACTTTGAAAATCACTCTGGATACACCCTTTCAGTGTTGGTTGGAGGATCGGCTCTTTCATCATTTACCAAACTCGATATTGGAACATTGGTTGTTCAAATTCCAGCTGGATACGGCACATCCAAGATCATCAACGTTCAAGTAAACTCTATTGTATCACCAAACTTTTCGTTCAACTATGCCTCGCCAACCATTATCAGTGTTGTTGTCGATCAAGGTTTCTCTACCATTACAGGTACCAACTTTTACTCTGATTCTGCAATTATTGCTGTCACTGTAGGAGCTGCCGCTTGCACATCTCCAACATTCTTGACCGCCCACACTACCATTCTTTGTGTCGCTCCAACAGACCCAACCCTTTCAACCAATGTTAAAGTTTCTGGTACTCAATCCAACTCTGTGACACCAACTCTTGCAGCACCAAAAGTAACATCAGTATCATCGACAGTCTCTATTTTCGGTGGATTGATTACCATTAATGGTTTCAATTTCTATTCAACTGCATCAGCTGTATCTGTTAAAGTTGGTGGAATTGCTTGTTCATCAGTCTCCATTGTCGTTGCCAATACCCAAATCTCTTGTGTTGCACCAGCTTCATCAGGTTCAAAGGCTGTTGTCGTCACAGTATCTACTCGTGTATCCAACTCTGACGTCCTTGCTGTCTATCAACCACCTACCATTTCATCGGTCACTCAAACTGCAGCAAATACCATTTCAATTGCCGGAAGTGGGTTTGGAACTACTGCATCAGCTCTATCGATCACTCTTGGAGCATCGACCATTTCAAATACACTTTGTACAGCTGCCAGCACATCTGTTATTTGTTCGAGTCTCCCAACCACATTGATCAATGGATTAGTTTCAATTTCTGGTTCAAATCAAATCGCATTTAAATTTACACCAATCATCACAACCAGCACACTTTCAACAACACCACAAAGTACGATCACTATCAATGGTAATCACTTTGATTCACTCACACCAACATTTGGAGGATCATCAATCACATGCACTGGTACCTATACTCAACTAGTTTGTACATTCTTACCAAATTCAGTATCAGGAACATTAAATCTCTCACCATCAGTATCAACATTGGTTACATTTGATCCATTTGTACAATCAATTAATCCATCTGGTACCATTCCAACAAGTGGGTCAACGGTTATTGTTCAAGGTGGACATTTTGAAAACCATTCTGGTTACACACTCTCGGTATTACTTGGAGGATCAACTCCATTGACATTTACCAAACTCGATCTTGATTCATTATCGGTTCAAATTCCACCAGGAACTGGAACAAATTTTTATTTTGTTGTTCAAGTAAACGCCAAGATTTCATCACAAGTTGTATTTAGTTATTCACTTCCATCGATCTCCTATACCAAGACCTCTGGTAATCAACTAACCATTGTTGGATCAAACTTTGGAAGCCAACTCTCAATCTCACTTGACATTGGTAGTAGTACTGCATCAGTGTCTACTGTCAATCACAACACCATTGTAACAACCATTCCAAACAATGCACAACAAACTGATCAAATATTGCTTACGGTTGGGGGCCAATCCACCACCTACTCGTCGGGTATAACTCTTCACCCCTCGATCATTAGTGTTTCTTCCGTTAGAACTTCTGGTGGAGTTATCACCATCACTGCTGCCTATGCCCCTGTATCGGCCATTCCACAATTTTACCTTTTAGGTAGCACCAACACACCTGCCGTGGCAATTACTTCGACTCATCCCTACAAGTTTACTTTGACTGCACCAGCTGGGTGTGCCGACCGATTGGTTTCCCTTTCACTCGGATCAAGCCCAATCTCTAGTGTTGGAACCATCAACTACTTGCAACCATCCATCACATCAGTATCCAATCCACCCTTTCAAAGTATTGCCCCCATCACCATCACTGGTGTCAATTTGCCAGCAAGTGGTATATCATTTATCTATGTATCCGATATAAGATACATGTGTACCAACATTCAATACGTAGGTGATACTACCATCACCTGCTCTTTTGATGGATTAAACTTGCATCCTCCCTACCAAACCATCAGTCCAGTATACGGTGATCCACCTATGACCATATATATGGTTGGAGCATGCTCCACAATCTCTGCCAATGTGTTCAAGTACCAACCCATTGCCATTACCACGGTCATTCCAATGTACAACTCCATCGAGATTAAAGGTACTGGATTCATATTCAAGGTTACTGGACCAGTTGTCATGATAGACAGTCCTACCTCTACACCATTGACTGGTTGCTCCTATACCACTACTACTGTTACATGTGATATGACCTACCAATTATATCCCCCTTATGTAATCTACCTTGAAGGTGGTCCATACAGAGCTATTTATGAAAATTAACAATAAATAAATAAATAAATAAATAAATAATAATTGTTACTGTTATAAATGAGATTATTTAAATTGATTTATTTCTTAATTGTGAAATATAAAATGACAGCCAAAACACCAGCGACGATGAAAAGGATAAGAGCGAGCCAACACATTTTAGTTCTAGCCGAACGTTGATGCTGGCTTGCTTGTTTAATTTGTACAACACCTTCTTGAGTATTCATGACGGTAGATTCGAGACTGTGCTCGATAGTGTTCAACATGACACCTTGTTCAGAGACCAAATTGGAGAGATCCATAAAGATTTCATTAATCTCGACGATGGATTGTTCGATTTGACGAATACCATCCTCACGTTCTTGGATGATAGAGTTTTGGTATTCTCTCTCTGACTCTACTTGACTCAATTGTTGACGACGAGATGCTTCCAATAAACTTTGGTTTTCTCTTTCAGTATCGTTTTCCTCTTCCTCATAGAATTGATTGTTGCCACCATATCTTCCAAATTGTTGTTGTTGTTGTTGTTGCTGTTGTGGTTGTGGTTTGTTTTGTTGTGGTAATGGTGTAGATCTTTCCTTCTTTGTTGCAACTTGTGCAATCTCTTGGAATTGTTGTAAACATGCATTATATTCTTTTACTAATTTTTGATATGATAATTTCTATAAAACAAAAGAAAAAAGAAATAAAGAAAGAAGAATATTAGAAATCATTAAAGAGAGTATGGATGATGATGAGGATTGGTTGGTTGGTTCATACAGTTTTTTGATCTCTGGCACGACTGGCTAAACTTGTTAAAGTCTTAACCTTTGATGATTCTGATGAAATGAGTTGGGTAGTTGAAGAAACACAAGTACGACTATAAGTAGGGGAATAAAATATATATGTTAGTTCGATAAAGCATGCTAGATATTTTGATCGGTTGTTGTTTGTTTTACTGTTGTTGATTCATACATTTTGTCTCTAACTTCCATAGTATCTTTTGGAGTACCTAATTGTTGAACCAATCTCGTAAGTGTTGATACGGCTACTGTAATTTGATGTATATTTTTGGTGGTTGCTTGGTACTCTGGAGAAAAACCATTATCATCATATGAAGATAGTCCATTGTTATTGCTATTGTTGTTGTTGTTGTTGTTGTATCCGTTACCACCTCCATAATCATCTACATCAATGAGATATTGCTGTTGTTGTTGTGGTCTACCTCCTTGATTGTTGTTATAACTACCACCTTGTTGTTGGTATCCTCCTTGTTGTTGGTTGAATCCACCTTGTTGTTGATTATTATATCCTCCTTGTTGTTGTTGGTTAAATCCACCTTGTTGTTGATTATATCCTCCACCTCCACCAAATCTATTATTATTAGAGTTGTTATTATTATAACCTCCTCCGTATCCACTATTATTGTTATTATTATTATTGTACATGTTTTTGATTTATTTATCTCTCTCTCTATATGTATTACTATCGAAACTATAGTCTCTCTCTCTAGAGTTGTGTAAACTTGTTCTTTACTAAAATGAATAAACAAACAAACAAGTTGTTTGTTGTTGTTGTTGTTGTTGTTGTTGTTTAAGTTTGATTTAAATATCGACTTGAAAATGTGATAATAGAATGAGAGTAATATAAAAGTTTATCTCTCTCTTTTTTTTTTTTTCTATCTGTTTGTTTGACTAATGCAGTAAAAATAATCAATAAATTTATTATTATTACCTTGTTCGTTTCCTCCAATTTCAGGGGTCACCTCTCCTCTCTAATTTTTGAAATTAATTTTTTCACCGGAACTTTCAGGCGATGCTCTCTCCCTCTTTGTTCATCGAAGAGAGTGTCCGAGATCATTAAATGTTGGTCATAACCTAATTGTTTCTTAAAACGATCGATTACACAACTCACTCATATCAATCATTCCGTCTATCCTATTTTCTATCTGTTCACTACATCTTTGGAGCATATGATATGTTTATCAAGACAACATATTACTTCATTTTTCAATGTTGCTTACAACAAAAATATCTAAAACACCCGCAAAGTTTATAACTCTAGAATTAATTGAATGAATAAAGTTAGTTTAGTTAAAGATATTTCTTTTCTTTTCAATTCAATCTCATCCCAACTTCTACAGTATCAGAATCCAAGTTTAACTTAATAATTATTTATTAAAATTAATTAATTAAAATTCGAACCACACAATTGTTACAACAGCAATATTTTTGTTCTTCACCAATGCAATGGTGTTGACAACAATCGTCATAAAGTGATTTACTAAAACAATTTTTTTACAAAATATTCATTAATAACAGAGGACACTGTTTAGTGTTTCATATGAATTAAACTCGACTTCAAGTTTTAAAAAACAATTAATATTATTATTTATTTTATAGTAAGAGAAATGAAAGAATAGTCAGAGATAGAGATAAGATGGATAATCAATCTATAGGTACTTCATGGGATTTTTCCCTATTTGGATGCTGTTCAGCTCCGTTTGTAAGTAAAAAGATATCTTTTACCAAAATACATTATCATTCCTCCTTTTTAATACTTACTTATACTTATTCCTTTATTAGATATCATTTTTATCATGTGCATTTTGTCCATGTCAAGTAGCAAGACAAAGAGCAACTACTTTTAAAAAGTTTGGATGTGGAGATTGTTTATTTTCGATATGTTGTTTTCCCTGTGCATCATGTATCAATAGACGTAGAATTAGACAAAATTATGATATCGTAGGAAACGATATTGGAGATTGTTGCTGTACTTGTCTATGTGGTTGCTGTACTGTTGTTCAACATGCCAGAGAATTAGATCTCAAGGGAGATAGACCAGGAGGGTTATTCATGGAAAAAGGTCCAAAAAAATTACATGATGAAGAAACTGCAAGTAATACAACTGCTCATCATGATGAATAGAATAAAATAATAAATTAATTCAAATAAATTAAACAAACATAGCCAAAAATAATAATTGAATTAGATAGAAAAAAAAGAAGTTAATATTTTATTTTATATTTTATAATGGTTGTAATGTAATGGTAATTATTATTAATAATTATGATTGGTTATTAATAATATTTGTTGTTATTGTTGTTGTTGGTTAATATTATAGGGGTTGTTAGGGTTATAGGAGTATTTGTATTGTATTTGTATTTTTGGAATTAAATTAAATAGAAAACATTTTAAACCATTTTCTATTATCATTAAAGAATTCAGTAATGTTGGAGATGATACCACGATTGAATACATTCCATTTACCATCTTTTCGGAGGTAAGAGTATTTGTTCATATTGATTACTTCATTGGTGGTATAGTTGAATAGAATGCCCAACAATTGAGCAGACAATAACTTCCAAATCCAAATCCAAGCAATCATACCATAAACGAAAAAGATTGAAATCATACGATGTGTATCATAATAATAGCTCAATGCATTAATCATATTACCATATTCCAATACTGGTCCATTTATATCTGCTTTATAAACTATAAAAACAAAATAATAAGTATAATTAAACATCGAGTTTAATCTTTATAATGTCTTTTTTTTTTTTTTTTTGTTTGGTTACTTACAATGATAGGCAACATAATACATTGGAACTGCAACCAAACTATAACTAAATAACATTAATATAAACATACGATGATTATTTGTACCAACACAATTGTTGATCCAAATACAATGATGATCATATCTAGCTACACAAACTTGACAAAATTTACAATGTTTTGATCTAATTGGTCTATTTGTCTAAAAAAGAAGAAATAAATAAATAAATAAATAATAAATAATTTTTGTTCCTATTTCTTTTTTTACATACAAAACAAGTAACACAAATTTCTGGAGTTGGTTGATTATTTTCCAAACAAGTTAAAAATGATTGATGATCATTTTCAACGGTAGATTTAACTACACCTGGATCGGTAAAAGGTAATTTACATAGGCAGTAGAAAAAGACGGCACTAAAGATATTGATGATTACATGAGAGAATACAAATTCGGTAGTGTCCCAAAACATCAACAAAAAGTATGACCACCAACATATAGTACATCCAATAATCCACCAAGACACTGGTAAGGGATTAGGTGAATCAGGAGGCCAAAACTTTGTCAATGCCAACCTTGCCAAATTACCATACAATATCAATAAAGGAATCGAAAAATAAATCTTAAAACTTAATAAAGTGATAAAGAATAAAAAGTTTCCCAACATTGCTAATATTATCCAAAATGTATTATTATTTTCATATCCCTAAAGAGAAAGAAAAATAAATAAAAAGGAAAATTAAAACATAAATTAGTATATGTATTATTAATTAAATTATTTGATATTATTTATCATTTTTTACCTTTTTTTCAATATTTGTATGAACATGATGTTCTTCAACTTGTTTTAAAAACTTTAAAACTGGATCAGTTGATCTTGTTTTTGCCAATTCTCTTGCTGTTTTATTATCATTATCCTAAAAAAAAAAAAAATTAAAATAATTAGTTATTAATTAATTAATTAAATGTTTGTTTTATATTTAATATATTTACTCTTATAGTTATTGAAGCACTTTCTTCATAAAGTACTTTAACAGCTTCATAATAACCTTTATAAGCAGCCCAATGGAAAGGAGTTCTACCAAGATTATCCAAACAATTAATCTCTGCTCCTTTTCTTAAAAAGAATCTAATTAATTTAACATTTCCCTATATATATATGATATATAAAACATTAGTAACTATTACTTTCTTAGATATCAGTATGTTGACTTACGGCAAAAGCAGCCCAATGAAGAGCAGTATGACCTTCATCATCTTTTGAAGTGACAGGCATACCACGATGCATGAGGTATCTGACTAGATGAATGTTATCGATGGGGGCAGAAGAGGAGTTGTTTGAAAAGGATACTGATACGGTTGGTTGAGAACATGACAAGAGTAGACAGTTGAGTCCACGCTTATCACGACGATAAATATCGCCACCAGCCTGTGTTACTAGATAATTTACAAGATTAACGTCACCTGAAAGACAGGCCCAATGTAATGGTGTTTGCCATTGTTCAATGTTTGGTGCATTGACATCGGCACCCTTTGAAACCAAATAGTATACAATGGTTGTATGGCGTCTAAAACATGCCCAATGCAATGCTGTATTTCCTTGAACATCCTTTTGATTCAAGATTGATTTAATGATTCTTGATGGTCCAATCGATGACGACGATGACGATGACGATGACGAAGACGATATTGATGGTGAACCACCAGCAGCAGCGGTAGTAGAGCCATTTGGTGAAGTTGTATAATTTGAATAGGATGAATAAGGAGTCAATGAATTCTTATTCTCTAATCGTTTAATTGTATCTTTGATTGCTTCTAAATCTCCAGATGAAGAATAATGAATCAATTCAGATACAATAGCTTCATTTTGATTATTGTAATGAATACCACTATTATTATTACTACTATGATGATGATGATTATTTGTTGTTACTTTATTTTGTGATTTAATTTTACTATTATTACTATTATTATTACTATTATTATTATTATTATTACTATCTACATTTTCATTATCAGAGTTGTATGAAATATCATCATCTTCATCATCTGTAAATGTATGACTTGTCATTCCTTACTATTATAAACTCTTTCTTCTTATTCTATCTACAGTACATATATTATATATATTAATATCTATTAAAAGCTCTTTGAAGCTCTCTTCTCTATTTTTTAAAAAACGTAATCGTTGACGGTGTTTTTTTTTTTTTATAAAATTTTATATAAACTATCTGTCTTGAGGTCCTTTTTAAAAATATATGTATAAAAAGGATTCTAGAATAGAGAATAAATAATTAAAAATACAGTGATGATGAATGAACAAAGGTGATGGGTGTTAGCATTATAGACACAGGAGCAGAGAGAGGAGGATAGGGGTGGTTTTTCTAGAATCCAAGGCAGATCATTGTTGTTGCTTGGGATCTGAGGTGCCCGTAACAAAAAACACCAAACAAAAAAAAAAAAAATTAAAATTTTATGGTTTCTTGGATATTTTTTTAATTTTTTATATTCAAAATATCTTTGGTGTTTTAAAATTTTAAATAAATCAGAGGAGGACTCTTTCCCTAGCTTCGATTTCCTTCCAATCATAAAACACTTGTCATGTGATCTTTGCTCTCTCTAATCAACATATCTACATGTTCGAACGGTTTGGAAAATCCATTCATCCATTCATCACAACTTAAACAAACATTTTGGAAAAAGATAGAAAGAAAGAAAAGAATTGGAAAAGTAATTGAAAGATTACGGTTTATATTTATAGAAATACTATTATTAATGATTAATTATTAATTATTAATTATTATTATGCTTGTTGTTGAATTTGTTCGGTTTGTTGAGTTTGTTGTTGAGTTTGTTGTTGTTGTTCATTCTGTTGAATTTGTTGAGGAGCAGCTGTAACGGGTGGAGGAGGGATTGTTGGAGCAACAATAGCAGGTTTTTCATAACAGACGTGACTCCAGAGGACAATGTCGTTGAGAGGTGACCGTGTGCCATCGAGATGTTGCTTTTCATTTCGATAGACAATATTGAATTTGTGGAGTCGTTCGTTACCTTGGTGACGGAGGTTCCATTCACGACATACCCATCTACCCATACCTAGACGGATGAGTTCGTAACCACCGCCAGTATTCATGTTTTCGTATACCTTGAACCAGCGATGGTTACCGATACATGGGGCATAGGGATATGGCTTTTCACGAGAGTATGGGGCGGGGTTACCCTTCCATGTAAACAGTCCTTCGTTATTCCACATTTCCATCTGCGTGCCGTCATCTAGTTCACCTTCAAATGTGTACCACCAATGGATGGCAGGCGGACGTGGGGAAAACATAGACCACATCTGGTCGAGACGCAGCGAGAAGAGTACCCAGTTGAGTTGGGGTGGCAGGCCAATTGGAAGACCGCAATCGACCGTGTTACAGTTCCAACCAAGTGCCAACAAGATAGAGGCGAGAGCGACGACGTTGAAAAAGGCGTGTTTGGACATTTTAATGAATCGAACCTTTCGGTTGAGACGGCGGTAGTAGTGGTTGGTCGCTTCATCCGGTACGCTACCTCCGATACTTTCCAGAACTGGGTATTGGTGGTGATTGTTTTGGTAGTAGTGTTGTTGGTGGTGGTTGTTAGTCTCGAGGGAGGGTGATTGGGGACGTACGACGAGAATCTCATCGCGCACCTTGTTGACAGTACGCTCGACAAAATCAACCGATTTCTTGAGATAATATTGGACCATGCGAATCTCGAGAACTCTTGAGATTGGCCAGAGCAATGGAGACGCGCGACAAATCGATGCTAGTGCCTTGACACCTGTGTGTCGGATACCTTTATGGTCCTTGGTGATGATCCAGTTACCGTGTGGCGTACCGATATCAATCGACTCGGATGCCGCTCCATCCATCAGACGTGACTCTTTTTCATCGGATGATGATGGAGCTGGTCCAACCTCTACCTCGGGCAATAAAAAGAATGTACTGGCAAGAGCAGCCATAATGTATCCCGGACGCCCATTATAGTATATTTGGAAGTCACAACGCTCCTTGGTACGAACACGGTCCATGATCTTGTCCCACAAGTAGGTTGGGAACAACAACAACGATCCAGTTGCACAAATGGGACTGAAAATACCCAAACGCATAAACAACCCAAATCCAACATGCAACATAAAGAATCCAAGTGCTCCAATAATCTTTAATGGGGCAGTCCAAACAGGCGACAAACATAAAAGGATACCAAAACCTTCGTAATACAGTACACCCACTGTCATAAACTTGAGCAAAACGGGAAAGTTGAGGGCAAACTCTGCTGCAAAAGTTCTAAAGTAATCCAATTGCAATGCAAAATAAGTAGCAGTATAATCCTTTCTCCATTCATCACCAGTCTTGTGTACATAAGAAAATACATAAAGGAAAAAGATTTGTAAAATAATTGCAAATGATGCTAGAAAAATAAAAGGAAAAGGAAAATAGGTGAGAAGATTTTAAATAAATAAATATTTGTTTAACTTACCAAAATTTGTTATATTATATTTTTTAGTTTCTCTTCTTAGAACATTTCTTTTAAATGCACTATCGATTGACCACACAGAACCAATTGGTAAAAAGAATGCAAAGTAACTAATAACTCTCATATATACATCTCCACCATGTCCAACTATATTATTTCTTGCTTGTAATGATAAAACAAAAATATAATGTAAAAACATTGATAATCTTGATCGATATCTAAATAATATATTAAAATAAAAAAAAAAGATTAGATTAAATTGTTGATTCCAATTTGATTATAAAGACTAGACATACCCAATCATTACACTAAAACAAATAACAATATTAACTAAAAATAAGAATTGCATAAATGGAACTGCTCCACTCATTAAATGGAATGAAAACCAATTGGTATTCCAATAATTATCTGCTACTACTGCTCTTGGTAAGAATCCTTCATCTATAGTATAATTGAATAAGTTAAATCTATAAATTGATTTTATATTTCTATCTATCTTTTTATGATCATACCTGAATAATGTGCTTTAATATCAGGCCATCTTTCTAGAATATCAACCATGCCAATAAATCCAACAAAGAATCTAAAAACAGCCAATGCTCTCTTGTCAACACCCAATATAGTCTCCAGTTTACTCACTGGTACTGATATTGTCTTTTTGCCATGTGTAAGTACCATTATTATTATTATTTGATCATTAGATATATATAAATATAAAAAAAAAAGAAAGATAGGGATTTAAACAATGAGAGAGAGAGAGAGATGATGAAAAAGATAATGGTATGGTATAAGAAAGAGGAGTAAAAAGTAACTGATTGATTGTTGTTGTTACAATGATGATAATATGGTATTGATGTTAAACCATCTTTATCATTTTAAAAAGAGAATGGGAGTGCAAGTGCAATTGCATTTGTGTGTGTTTACAGACTCTTTTATAAAAGAACCCCCACATCCCTACTACAACAAATTAACAACAACAGATTTATGAGTGTGGCCATCACTATGATTGTGTGAGTGAGAGGAGTTGCCACCTGACTTTATTTTTTAGACAGGGGTTTAAATAATTATAAAACACCCCCTTCACACCATTGTTTTGATTGATGAGAGTGTTACCATACAATGGTGATTTAAAAAAAGCGAGATTTTCTAAAGTGATTGGTGGTGTGTGGTACCATTTCATTTCATTTGAGTTGTTGGTAATTTCTAAAATTTTGGTTGATTTGTACAATGGATTTCAGCATCGTCATCATCATTCATCTGATCTGATCAGTTTTGATGGAAATGACTTGTATCCTTACTCCATTTATTTCTTTTGTTGTGATGGTTGTGATTGTTGATAGTCCCAAACATCATTTAATTTTGAAATATAAAATGCTCTTGTTGAACAATCCTTTCCGGTTGTTTTGATACCATAGGATGACACTAATTGCTTTAATTCTGCTGTTTGCATGTTGTCATAGTCTGGTCGCGTCACAGTTCCTGATGAACTTGTATTTTTTGTTGTTGTTGGTTTGTTGTTATTGTTGGTTAAAGACAATGGAGAGCCCTTTGATATAGATGGTGGGGTTTTGAGATTCTTTAAATTAAAAAGTGTAGAAGTTGTTGTAGTAGAAGAGGACATGTTTGTAATCCTTGTATGAAGTTGTTGTTGTTGTTGTTGAGATAATGGTTTACTGTTGTTGTTAGATTTTTGTGAAAGCGATTGTTGAGATTGTTCAAAATGGTCATGTTCATGTTGTGAGGCAAAATCATCTCCATATTGAGTAAATTGATCTCTTGGAGGTGAATAATAATTATTATAACTATTATTGGTATTATTATTATTATTATTAATAATAGGATTAGGACTATCATCAAGTCCTAATGATAAATCATCATGACTTGTATCATTATTAAAGTTATTATTATTATTATTATAGGTATCATTATTAAATTGGGGATTTAGAAAACGACTCGTGGGATGTGTACTATTGTTTGTAGTTGTTGTTAATGTTGTTGCTGGACTATTATTAGTATTATTATTATTATTATTTGTTTGTTTTGGTGGTGATAATATTAAAGGAGAATTATTTACATTATTATTATTATTATTAATTTGTTGTTGTTGATTATTTACAATTGAAAAAGTAAAAGGTTTAAAAGGCATTTGTTGAGGAGGATGAAATTTTTGATTTGTAATATCAAAATTAAAACTTGTATAGTCGAGACCATATTTGTAGAGTAATCTTTCGAGTTCCAAATCCTTTTCAAGAGTTGCTTGACCAATTGTATTGGTAAATTCTTTCAAGTGTTGATCAAGTTTTTGTCTTGCTTGTGAATACTTTTGAATGTAGTTTTGACTGATCATCTGAACCTTTCTATTTAATTTTGCGTCGGTCGTTTCATTTAAATCTCTTTCTCTCTTTCTATTTGTATATTGAGCAAGATTTTGAGGTAAAAGAGGTGATTCAGGTGGAGAAGTTAATGGTGATGTCTTTTCTTTTTCCTTTTCCAATTGCTGTTTTTCTAATAACTTCTTATTTTCTTTTTGTTGTTCAATTAATAATTGTTTGATTTGTTCATTTTGACGTTTTAATTCCAATTCTCTTTCAATTGCCAATTTTCTTTCATTTTCCAATTTTCTTTCACTTTCCATTTTTTCAAATACCTTTTTCTGTTTTTCCTCCATTTCCTTTTGTTCTCTTTGTAATTTTCTTTCAATTTCTAATTTTCTTTCTTTTTCCTCCATTTCTTTTTGTTCTTTTTCCAATTTTCTTTGATTTTCCAATTCAAGTTCCTTTTCCTTTTCCAATTCTAATATTCTTTCCTTTTCCTTTTCAATTTCCAATTGACGTTGATGTTGTTGGAATTTTAATTGGTTTTCTTTTTCTTCAATTTCCCATTGTCTTTGTTTTCTTTCGTTATCCAAGAGTAATTCCTTTTCTTTGAGCATTTCCAACTCTAATTGACTATCATAATAGTCTTTTGAATTTTCATCACCTCTATACTTTGCAATTGAATTGATTGGTTTTGAAGGTGTATGTTTTTTAGCCAATTTACTTGAATATTCTTTTAAAAGTGGTGGTGAAGTTGTTGTTGGTGGTGGAAGTATAAAATCAATAGATGGTTGTTGAGGAGGAGGTTGAGGTTGAATTTGAATTTGTTGTTGAGGTTTTTGAAATAAAATATTTGCCAATTGATTATTAAGGTTTGCTTTTTCTTTGGATGGTGAAACAGTTGCTTTGAAACCAGCCAGATCATATGGAGATTGAGTACTATTATTACCACTACCACCACTTGATTTAGCTTGTTGAGAATAGGGATCATATCTAAAACTTTCCAATTTTGAAATTTCCAAACTCTCTGATAATCCCATTGCCAACATTGTATTGTCTTCTTCATCATCAAATTCATCTTCCAAAGCTAGTTGTTGGTCTTCTTGCTTGGATGATGATTTCTTTTTTCTTTTAGATTCTCCCTTTTTACTTGAAGAGGCTGATGGTTTCTTGGGTGCTTTATAATATTTTGATGTTGTTTCTTGTCCTCTTTTAGATGAAGAACTTTTAGTTGTTGTTGTTGTTGTTGGTGGTGAAGTTAATTTTAATGATTGTTGTTGTTGATCAACAGCAGATACTAATGGATAGGTTGAAGTTGAGTTATAGATATCAATCAAATCTCTTGCACTAATATTTCTTTCTTTGGCACATGATTTAACATGTGAACTTCTATTCTCTGGTGATATTCTACCAAGATCTTTTTGACATAACTTACAAACTGAATTGTTGCTAATGTCATTCGATGTTGTAGTTATTGCTGTATTATTATTATTATTATTATTATTATCATGTTTAGATTTAGTTGTACTCATTAAAGTACTTGTAGTTGTAGTGGTATGAGTTGTTGTAGTTGTCATTCTATCAGACAACGATCCACATCTCTTTTTATGTTCATTTTTCTTTGCAACGGTGTATCCTGATAAATCCTTGTTGCATTGTTCGCATGTCCATTCTCTAACCCTTTCTTCACACTCTGTTATATGATTTTGTCGTTCCTAATATAAATATAAATATTAAATATTAATAAGATAATTGATCAATCTAATCTAATCTAATCTAATCTTTTTCTTTTCTTTATAGAATACATACCAAAATAGTTAAATTACCAAATGTCACATGACAAACTGTGCATTGAGTGATGACAGTCTTAAAGAATGGCTTTTGAGATAAAGGAGGTGTAGAACAGGCAACAAGCTGTTTAATAGATTGTGATGATTGCGATGCCAATGATTGATCGTTTATGAAATTACTTGTGTTTGTACCACCGCCAGTATGTCTTTGAGAATACGATATATTATTTGGTGATGATTGATCAATGTCTCTTCCACCTCCACCATCACCGTCTCCATTTGTATTAATAATATTATCAGAGTCTGTACTACCAGATGGTTGTCTTTGTTGTTGTTGTTGTTGAGAATGATTAGGTGCATAGAGAGTAGTTGGTTTCTGTGCCATCTCCAAATGATCAATACTAACTAATTGCTTGTGAAAGGATGGTTTCACCTGTTGTTGTTGTTGTTGTTGTTGATCCATCTCCTCATCATCTCTAGGTCGTTGTGTTTGAAAGTCGTTCTCTTGTACATCTTGTGATGGTATAATATCACTCATATCATCGTTGATTGTTTGTTTATCTTGACTCATCTGACTGACAATTCGATTGATTAGATTATATTATATGATTGTTTCTATGTGTGCTACAATAATTATAGTTATGAACACATTATCACACAGTTAAATTGATTGATTGATTGATGTCTTTTGAATGAATCGAAGAAATAATGTTTGAAATATAGCTACAAATAAATATAGGTGACCGAAAACTAAGACACAATGAATTTGACCGCCAATATATTTCCAAGAAATCGTTTAGAGAGATATGTGTAATATGTACATAAGTCTACTATGATATTTCATAGTAGTGAATTTATTAGTTTGTTGTTAAATTAGTATTAATAATATTATATTCATTCATTTACTTTTAAACTTGGAACAACTTTAATGTGAATGCTAAAATAAAGTGAAGTACTGATAGACCAATACCCCAAACTATTCCGTAATGCCATGGAAGTAGGAACCATGCTGATCTATATATTGCTGCTATAATCAATGCTAAATGATGTCATAATAGATTATATATTAGTAACAGAGAGATTACGTTGTATTGAGTCGACTAGTTTGTGACATACCAGATAAACCACCAAAACAAATACCAATAGCCATACCAAACATCGATGAAAAGATAGGTATAAATGGTGATAGTTTAGACTTTCGAAGAACGATAGATGCTATGAACCCTGTCAATAAATAACTTAGCGTACATCCTATAGTACACCAAAATGTTATTGCTAACCACATATCTATAGGTGACGATGATAATTAACAAACGATCATTAATATTCATTCAAGAGGACGATTAACTCTTTATGTATATCTGATATATCATACCTCCATATTTGTAGAATGAACCATGAAATAGAGAACCATTGATGATAGCATCTGTATTGGGATTGGTATCTGATATTGCCATATCGCTGATGACGAAACAAGCTAGTTTATCCTCCTTCCTTTTACTATCAACAACATTCAGTTGTCTAATCGATGAATATAGATAGAATTGTACTTGTAGTAGATAACTTTGTTTCTTCAATCATTAATACTCTATACACATAATTATCTTGTTTTTATCTGATTGTTTGACAAACTACACAATAGTTCAAAGTTTTTTTGGGTGGGCATTGCCATATTTTTTTTACAACAATAATTGTATTTATTTCAAGCAGTTTGTATTTGATTTGTTTCTAAAAGGTACATAAAATGTTGTTTAGATTTGATAGTCTTTGATGGATCAATATGTATAACATGATCAGAACATCTAATTTGGTTATTAATACCAAAACTATTATTATTATTATTATTATTATTTGTTGTTTGTTTAAAGATAATATTTGTTGGATTTTCATATTTGTAAAGTTTGGTTATTTCTTCACAAATACAATAATACAATTGGTCTTGGTTTCCATTGGGTTCTTGAATAAATACAGTATACTGTATTGTTGTGTTGATTGCATTGAAAAAAATTGTATTGTTTCGGTCCAATTCCAATGAACGACATGATACACGACTTTCTAAATCATTTGTTTTAAGATAAACCTCCTTGATGTAGTTTTTTGGGTTATCTTGAACAAAGACTATTAAATCTTTGTCTGTTTGGTTGATAAAGTGGATATTGAAAGGTGATGACAAGTATTGTTTTCCCTCGAGTGATGACCATTCTAAATGAAATTTTACAATTAGTTGGGTTTATCATTTGATTATAAAAGATAACATACTATTCATTTCAATATTAGGGGACTGTCTACTTTGAATAAATCTAATATTAAGATACATATGATCATTGAATACACCATGTATATTTTCATTTTCAAATTCGTGGAACAAGTTATTGATTTCAGGGCCGCAGCCAACTCCACAATCTTCATTTAATTGGTATTGATTATCTTGTTCGAAATGGTTTGAATTGTTTTTATCTATTTGACAGTAAATATGTGACTCTGATTTAAATGACACCACTCGAATTGAATCCATAAATATTGTGAATTGAATACCTTTAGTTGGTGAAATCCACTTTAATTGTTCGTTGTGCCTAAAATTGTTAATTAAATAAAAAAAAGGTTAAAATCAAATTAAATAAATTAAACAACTGCTGTTTTACATACATTTGGATATAACCTTGACCATATTGTGTGTTTCCAATGACCAATGTAATATCATTAATACATAAATACTCTGGTATAAATTTGGTCAATGATGTGTAGGCACAATCATCACAATTGATATAGGTTTCGATGTCTTTTCGATCAATATTGTATCGGTTGGTTGTTGTTAAACTAATGAGTGATTTTGGTGGTGGATCTATTAAATTTCTGTAATAGGTAAGATGTTTGAGTTGAGGTAATGATGATATAATTGGGTTTAAATCGATGTTCAATCTCTTATTTGAACATATAAAAATTTCCAAGCTCGTTGGAAGTGAGCCTTGTTCTATTTCACTGTCAAATAACGGTCCCAAAACCAACATCTGAAGCTTTGGCAATGATGGTTCTTTTTTAATTGGTTGGTTAAATCGTCCTAATAGCTTTAGTTTTGAAAGACCACTTGGGAGATCGATCTCTTCTATTGGGTGATTATAAACCGTTAGAACCAACTCTGTTATATTGTTTGGTATTGGTTCTTTAATAGGACTGGATAGTTGGTACACCAATCGTGGGTCATTTCTATTCATTCCTCTGATTGTATTATCCAATGATACCCTGTCTTCTTGTTTTGGCTCTAATAATTTGTTGACAAATCCTATCAACTCATTTGAATATCTTTCCGATGAAATTATAATTTCCTTATTCTTGAGAAATAAATCTCTATTTATATGATCGTCTGGATGACTGGTGGTAGCAGAATCAAAGATTAAAGGTTAATATTTCAAACTATTTAAAGGTAAAATTATTACATACCAACATAATAATTTATGAATAGTTGATCCAAGAGAATAAATATCTGACAGTTTTCCATATTGTCTAAGTGTGGCCTCCTATTATTTTTGAGAATGGATTAAAAAACTACTATTTGAGAATTATTCTTGCAAAGAGTACTTACCGGAGATAGATACCCCTCAGTCCCGTGAACACTACTATAGTAGTTATTGATTTCTATAGTATTTTCTTTTTCATCTTTGGCTTCCCTTTGTGTTTCTGAAATATATTTTGAAGCACCAAAATCACCAAGCATCAACTGTCCATTTTCTCCAAGAAATAAATTAAAAGGTTTTATATCTAAATGGAGAATATTCTTGCTTTCAAGTTGTTCCAACATTTTGAATACTTGTGAAGTATATGACCATATACTTTTTTCATCTATCCACTTTTTGTCTTGACTAAAAATAATGGTGATTAGTGAATCTAATATTATAATATTTCTTTAATTTGTTATCAATACATACAGTCTTAATTTAATAATTTGTTCGAGATCACCACCAGTGCAATATTTGGTGACAATATAAAATTGGTTGTTCTCGCCATCATCAAAATGATCGACATATTGAACAAAATTATCATAATTGATAAATAGTTTCATTATATCAACTTCTTTATGCAAAGTTTGTTGACCATGAGAGTTTCTATATTTTACTATTTTACAGACAAACTATGGGTACATAGATGAATATATTAATAATAGATCTGCTTTTCATCCTATTGGTGATACTAATACGTACTATTTGGGAGTTATTTAAACTAAATAAACTTGATTGTTGGTGGACCCAAATTTGTGTAAAATGATGTATTTCTTTTGTTTGAATTCTAGCAACTTCTGTGAGGTATAATATGATGTTGGTCCATTTTGTGATGGATCATATTCGACATAGATTTGAGGGCGAATAGTGATTGTGCTATGATTATCACAATTGAATTCGTCGATAAACTGGAAAGATTTATCCAACACCATAACCTTTACCAATACACTTTCAGATTCATCCAAATTTTGAATCAACTTTGACTCGTCTCTTGCCAAATGGTGGTGACAGAGCTTTTTAGATGAAACTATTAATAGTATTGTCAAGTCAAACTCGGTCGTGTTATCGATAGAAAAAGAAGAGGCCCTAGTTTTTTTTTAACGTGAAAATCTGAGTGGTACTGTCATTCTTTTGTTCTTGTTTAAAATATCTATGTGCTGGTTGGTAGAAATATATTTTGGGTTGTCTCTTGGTATCCCTGAAAAAAATATGGCCGTAGCGGATGAGTAATCGAAACTTTGCAATGATGGAGATAGCCCTCTTACTGTGGCTTTGAATGATTCTCCGAGTTTCAATGTCTTGAGTGAGGGTAATAAACTAGCATCGATGTCATGATTAAATTTGCTACCAAACTCTAATGTTTCAAGTTGGGTAATATTATTAAGGGTGGTGCGTTGTGTATATTCTTGGCCAAATCGTAATAACACTAAGCCATCTGGTAGTACTCCTTCTTCTATTGGTTGATTATAATCCTCTCCAAATTGTAATAACATTAAGCCATCAGGTAGTACTCCTTTTGCTATTCGTTGATTTTATCGATATCCAAGTTGCAACGATGTTAAACTATTTGGTAGTACTCCTTCTGTTATTGGTTGATCATATTGATGTCCAAATAGTATTGTTGTTAAACTATTTGGTAGTACTCCTTCTGCTATTGGTTGATTATATCGATATCCAAACTGTATTGATGTTAAACTATTTGGTAGTGCTCCTTCTGTTATTAGTTGATCATATTGATGTCCAAATAGTATTGTTGTTAAACCATTTGGTAGTACTCCTTCTGCTATTAGTTGATTATAATCATATCCAAATTGTATTGATGTTAAACTATCTGGTAATACTCCTTTAGCTATTAGTTGATTATATCGATATCTAAATTGTATTGTTGTTAAACCATTTGGTAGTACTCCTATTGCTATTGGTTGATTATATTGATGTCCAAATTGCAACGATGTTAAACTATTTGGTAATACTCCTTCTGCAATTGGTTGATGATAACCATTTCCAAATTGTATTGATGTTAAACCATTTGGTAGTACTTCTTTTGTTATTCGTCGATTATATTGATGTCCAAATTGCAACGATGTTAAACTATTTGGTAGTACTTCTTTTGTTATTGGTTGATTATATCGATATCCAAATTGTATTGATGTTAAACTATTTGGTAGTACTTCTTTTGTTATTCGTTGATTATAATCATATCCAAATTGTATTGATGTTAAACTATTTGGTAGTACTCCTTCTGCTATTGGTTGATTATAATCATATCCAAATTGTATTGATGTTAAACTATTTGGTAGTACTCCTTTTCCTATTAGTTGATTATATCGATATCCAAATTGTAGTGATGTTAAACTATTTGGTAGTGCTCCTTCTGTTATTGGTTGATCGTGGTCTCCAAACCGAAACGATGTTATGCCATCAGGCAACACTCCTTCTGCTGTTATATTATAAACCTCCATTCGAACTGACGTAGTAACGCACTGCCCACGCAAACTTTTTGGGTGATGTTGGACAAATTAATTGTGTGAATTTAATACTTTATTTATAATTCAATTTAAAATTTCGATTCAGTATCAGAATCGGGAGCCAATTTAATTAAAACACGACGATGATAATCAGTGATTTGAGTGCACAAAACCTGGTCAGATTGAATTGATTTGAGATAGTCGTCCATGATATAGCTTTCCTTGAATATTTGAAGTGAATGTACAAGATTTCTTTCACAGGCAAGCTTGAGAGGAAGGTTGGCACGTTCTTTGAGACGATTCATGGTTGGTGGAACAATGATGTTGAGGAAAGGAATGACAGCCTGTGGATTGGCCTTGGTGTATGATTTGACGACGTTGAGGGCGGTAATGGCGACAGACGAGGCTTGATCACCGATGAGGTGGCAGACCGATGGCAACAAGTCAGAGGCGACCGATGGTACGTGCAAGAGATAGGACTTGGCCAAATGGGCCGATGATTCTCTGATTTGGGCCTTGTCGTCCTTGCAGTCAGACTGACAGGTTTGGATGATGGCTTGGTTGAGTGATCCCTGTGCAATGAGGGATTGACCAGACACCTTGATAATCTCATTCAATGCCAATGATTTACCGTAACGGACACCGGCGGTACCACTGGCCGACAGGAGACTGGTCTTGACAAAAGCGACCAAAGTGTCAATCGACACAAATGACTTGGAGGCAGCACCGAGTACTTGGGCACCGAGCACACGCAACTCTTCGGCGGGTTGGTAGAGGAATTCGACGACGGTGGCAAGACACTTGTCGAGGTTGGCTTGATCGATCTTTGGTTTCTTGTCAAAGATGGATTGGAGAGCTTGTAATTTAACCTCTTGCGAAGTAGAGTCGGCTGTGGTGAGACCGACAATGAGCGAACCGACCAACTGATCGACCGATGGTGACAATGTCATCAAAAGACCGAGAGCACTGGCAGCGTTGTTTCTGACGACCTTGTGGGCATCGCCAAGTGCCTTGATAAAGGTGTGTTGGAGTTGATGAAGGAAGATCTTCATCGATGCTGGACACTTGGTGATCAAGAGACTGAGTGTCTCGAGGATGGCCGACTTGACGCCCCATGGGAACTTGTCACCGATGGTGAGGATGAGTGGACCGGTAATCTCCATCACCGATCCCTTGACAATGTCTTGCGAGGTGTGTTTGATGATAGTCTGCATCGTGGTGGTGGCAAGCTCACGTTGATCGGCCGAACCGTAACGCAAACCATTGAGGAGGAGTGGTAAGACGCATGCCAAACCCTTTGGAATACAGAAACCGGAAATGAGAGCATCTTCATCGACGAGCTCGTCGACAAGTGCTTCGACTCCGCTGTGAACGACTTGGAGGAATTGGAGGTTGTCCTTGCGCACAGTCTTGGTGACCAAAGCCATGGCTTGGTTGGCAGCGACTTGCACAGCCTTGTCTGGGTCGTCCAAAAGCTTGATCAAGCCCTCGAGGAGACCCTCAACTTGATCTTCAATGTCGAGACTAGTGGTAGCACAGAAATCGCCAATCAACTCGCAAGCACCGAGACGGATAGCTGGTAATCTGACCTCGGTCTGCTCGATCAACAATGGGATAAGGATTTCCAAACCGGTTGAATCGATAGACTTGCAAATCTTGGAGGCAGCCTCCTTGATCTCCTTTTTGTTGGCAATGTGTTCAGAGGTGAATGCTTCAATCAATGTCGACACGATAGTTGGGAGATGGTTAAAGAGACCTTGACTGGCATCTGATGCCAATGCAGAGAGTGCTTGTACATTGGATGTGGAGATTGGCTTGGCCAACAACTTTGGAATGACAAATGGCAAGACAATGCTACTCTTGACCAATACGATTTGACGAAGACCGTCGAGAGCGTTACTAGCAACGATTGGGTCACGAGAATCGAGTAATTGGATGAGTGGTGGAAGAATTTCATTTCCAGCCTTGCTACCAAAGGTGGCGTACAATTGGTCAAATGCTCTGGCGGCAGCTTCACGAACCTCAACGAGTTCGTCGCACAATGCCTTGTTGATACATCCGACAACAGCCGAGAGGAATGGTAAGAGCAATGAACGAGCCGATGAAATAACTTCAGTGAGACCGATACAGACACCTTGACGTGTTTCTTCCTCTTCGGAATCCAATCCACGTTGGAGAATTGGTAGAATCTCGGGAAGGATACGGTCGCCGAGTTTGCTGACAACATCTCCGAGTGTCTTGGCGGCAATTTGACGCTTCTCGATATTGGACGAGCCGATCGACTGGATGATCATCTCGACGAGCGATGGGAGAATCTCGCGGAGTGTCTTTGGTGTGTTGTTGACAACAAACTTCCAGATGAGGAGTACCTTTTGACGGACCGATGAGTTGACATCGAAACGCATCATATAGAGTGACGAGAGGATACGATCGAGACGTTCCTTGCCGAGAATCTTGTAAATGTCGGCACGGAGAACGGGCGAGTTGGACGACTCGACCTCTTCCTCTTCTTGGACGGCGTTCTTGCGGCCCTTGCGTCCCTTGAGGACGGGGGATGGCTCTTGTGGCTTCTCCTCCTCGACTGGGGTGTTGGTGGATGAGCCGGCGGCGGCAGCGGCGATGGCTTGGGGTGGCATGCCACTGAGACGGTACAAGAGATCGCCAAACAATTGGACAGCCGACAAACGAATACGCCAGTTCTCGTGGAAGAGAACACGTTCGAGTGATGGCACGATAACCTCGATACCATTGACTGCAAATTGGTTGATGATCGAGTTACCACAACGCATACATACTTCACGTACTGGCTCGTGGTCGTCGGCCAAACCCTTGAGTACTTGAGGTAGTACACGTGGCAAATAGGGCAAGAAGAGGTTGCCAAGTGAGATGGGTAAAAAGATAAACATACTCAACACACCCTCTCTTACATGTGGACGTGTGCTGTTGCACATGGTAATCAACTCACCAATCAACGAATTGAAACGTGAAATATCCAAAGCAGCAAGTACTTCAGACAAACCTTGAGCAGCACCACTTCTTTCGACTGGTCCTTGGTCAGACTTGACAGTCTCCAAAAGCCATGGAACGAGATCGACAAAGTTGTCCTCACCCATACCACGTACCAACAAACCAAGAGCACGGGCACAGATAGCACGTACCTCTGGAATTGGATCGAGCAACACTTGTTTGAGTGTTGGCATCAATACAGAGATGTATGGTACGATCTCCTTTGGCTCGGTCAATGAACACAAATTACCAACAATCTGGCAAGTCATCTTTTTGACCTCGGACGAACGTTCCTTGAGTGTACGTTCGAGAATTGGCATAATCAAAGACAATGAAGCAGCATCGATAGTATGGATATAGTTGGTGTTGAGAAGATTCTCCAACAACTCTCTCGAGTAGATATCGGGGTCGTCAAATGTCTTGAGAACGAGTGGAACGTGGATTTGGATTTCTGGATTACGAATGACCGATCCAATGTGTTGAAGAGCAATTCTGGCAGCTTGATGCACCTTGATATGAGTGTCGTTGAGAACGTTGGTGAGCTTTGGTACGATGGTTGGAAGACAACTAGAGAGTTGCTTGGGAGCGCAAAAAGCCATGGCACCGAGCAACTCGATCGAACCCTCCTTTGTACGCCACTGACGATCGTCGAGTGATTTCAAAAGGACTGGTAAAACAATCTTGACACCGTGACCTGATAATTGAGACATGATAACACGAGCGGTTTCAGCACAAGCCTTACGCACGTCTTCAGAACTGTCACCAAAGCAAACAAGTAACTTGGGGAGAATTTGGATGACATATGGCTCAAAGATACGTCCGAGTGTACTACAGATACATTCAAAGGCAAAGAGAGCACCTTGACGTGTGTATGGATGCTTCTTGTCGTCGACATAGCTAGTGAGTGTAGCAACAATATCGTATTGCTTGAGTGAAGAGATACCGAGACCCTTGATGGCACCGGCCAAACCAAAAGCATTTCCACGACGCTCAGCATAGTCTTGAGACATTTTGATATTGTTGAAAAGGATAGGGATGAGACGCTCACCTTGCTTTTTAAAGTGTTGTAATAATTGTGTGATACACTTGCTGACAGACATTTGTACCGGCTCTGATGGGGTGGCCAAAGCCTGTACAATCGAGTCGATAATGGTAGCGACACGTGGGTTGGTTGGTTCCATATGCTTGGCCAACGATCCCATGTACACAACCACTGAAGCACGTACTGTGTCTTGATCGGCCGATCCAGTGTCTGGACGAGCCAAAAACTCTTCGAAAATCTTGAGCAACTCGTTCGAGTACAATTTACCCTTGTCCGAGGCAATGATCTTGCAACCGGTAGCAACAAACTCTTGTTGTATATCCTCACGCACGTCTGAAAGACCGTACTGGATGATCCAGTCAAAGACGTGACGCATGTCATCGGCCGAGAGGACAGCAGCACCAAGACCAGACAATGCAGTGGCAATAGAGATACGAACCTTTTGCAATGCCTTTGTATCTCTAATCTCGTCGGGAATACATTCCTCGAAACGTGGGAACAATACATCAAAGGCGTCTTGACGGATGGTAGCTGGGAAGAGGCCAGCGACAGCCTTGAGAGCGTCAGCGTTGATGGTACGTACTTCAGCAGAAGTGTTGTAAAGCGAATCCTTCATAGCACTCAAATAGTCTTGAGTCATCTGGAGATTGGTACCGTTCCAGATCTTTTCGGCGAGTTGCGAGGTGGTGACCTCTGCATCAAACTTGGCAAACCACAACTTGGCAATGTAATGGTCTTCCCATGGGAAGGAGGGTGAGTGAATCGATGGGATACGCTCCAAACCTTGTAAACTGATCAGACGCACCTGGTGGTGTGGACTGATGAGTCCTTCCATGAGCTCCTTGATGTCGGTCTCCTCGACACCACCAATTACGTTAAAGATCGAGCGCTTGGCCTTTTCTTCGAGACGTGGACTGGTCGACACGACAATGATGAGTGCCGAGATCATCGAACCACGTGGATACATTTGTGTGGACTGTGGCACCGAGTGACGCTCGGTAATCTCCATTGACAACTCTTGGATGGTCAAGGAAATAGTCTTTTCCAGACCATTCTTGACAATAGGCCAGAAAAAGTTGAATGCCGATGCGGGCAACAACTCGCGTTGCGACAATTCCTTGAGATGGCCAAGTGTACGTTGGATGGCCGACAAGACCTGCATATCCGACATGACTGGATGGAAGAGGATATTGTCGATGAGATAGGTCGACTGTTGAGCATAGTATTGACCAATCTTGAAACGATGTGGGATTGTCAAGGCAAGACTAGAGTATACAGACTTGGCAGCCTCATACACAAAGTCATTCTTGAACAAATCCAAAAGGTTCAAGTAGACTGGTCCGATAAACTCACCGACAAAACGTGGTGAAGCACGGACCATACTTTCGAGGGCACGCAATACAACATGCACAACCTCGATCGACTGTTGTACGTCACGACGAACAACTGTCTGCTCTTGAATGGCCTTGAGACGTTCTTTGGCAAGACGTTCCTCTTCACCCGACTCTTTCTTTTTCTTTTCTTCAAGACGACGTTTAAAGTCTTCTTCCTTTTGCTCCTCGGCACTCTTTGCCTTGGGAGCCTTTCCACGACGTTCACTTGAAGTCGATGTCTGTACGGCAGTCTTGTGTTCCTCGTACAAGTCACCTTCTGGGTGTGCGAGAATGGCGAGTTGGAGTGGAGTAAACATCTTGAGTGTAGAGACGTGGTTGAAAGCCTTGATAAAGTTGGCAATAAACTGCTCAATCACTGGTGCAATATTAAAGGTGGTGAAAGCGGCAATGGTATTGATAAAAGCTTGTTGGTAGAGTGGGTTCTTTTTGTTGAGAAGACCGGCACTGCCAAAGAGGTGAGCGACGAGTTCACGGAGTGTGTCACTCTTGAGCATGTCGATTGATGTCTTTCCAATACGATTCATGCATTGTGGCCAGACACGACCGACGGTTGGATGATTAGACACGAGTGCCAAGGTGGCATAGTGCTTGGCATCAAGTGATGGCGAGAGAATAGCCTTGAGAATGATATTGTAGTGTGACTGGGTGAGTGGTTGTTGAGTTGGGTTTTGTGGCTGTTGCTTGGTGTCGACCAACTTGACATACTCGACGAAAAATACGTTTGTCAACTCGCTATTCTCCTTGACAAGAGTACGAAGCGAGGCGATGGCTTGGCGACGCACGTGCCAGTTACCGGGATGGAGAGCGAGTTGTAGCGCCGACTGGTAGACAAACTTGTCGCCACCCTTGACCGATGCAAACGACTTGATTTGTCCGATCGCCTTGGCAATGACAGCTGGCACAGTGTCTTCTTTGGCAACACGGTTGAGGAAACCAATTTGGTGCAAGAATGATTGTTGACCATAGATCAATGGAACGATGTTCTTGTCGGCCAAAAGCTTGGCACCGACGGTGGGGGTAGTAGCCAAAGAGATGATATAGTTGGCGACGGCGGCAGTAGTACCAGTCTCGCAGGTGGCTGGGTTCTTGATGTTCTTGAGGATCGTGAGCAGTGGCTCTGTGAACGATGTGTTGATGGCAGTCAATTTCTTTTCGTATTTCTTGGCGTCGACCTTGCTAGAAAACGATGTCGACAAGGCGTTGATGGCTTGTGTCTTGATGGCATCTTCGTCAGACTTTAAACTGTTTTTGGATCAACTTGATGGTTGCATCTGGTATTTGATCAAAATATTGTAACCATTCTCCAATTGTTTTAAATCCTTGAATTCTATTAATTTTTTGGACTAAAATAGAAATAAATAAATTAAATTAATAATCAAGGAAACTTGAAAAGTTTATCCTATCCTGTCTTTTTAAAGTATACTTACATTCTTTTTCGAGATAAGTTGAAACAATTGGTACAATGATTTTTGAAATGTTTAATTTTTCATTCAATTCAAAGGTATTGTTTGACAATGCTTTAAGTGCGTATAATGTATTTAATTTCAAATTAATATTACCTGGAGCTAAAGTAATTAAAAAAGAATATTAATATTATATATTATTATATAATTTATAATCTATATAATTATTTTTGACATACAAGATAAAACCTTAAGGATATCTTCAACAGAGGAAGTGAATATCTTAATGTCCTTTGTTTTTTGTGAAATGGCCGTGAATACCCGCTTGAGGAGATTCTTTTGAATAGAGGCAATTTGTAAAACTGGAATTAAAAGTGGAGTAATTTGTGATTTGGTAAGATTGGTAATATCAAAATTGGATTTTTCAAGAATGGTTGTAAGAATCATAGTAATTTCATCTGGTGATCTCTTGATAACTCTTGAAATGGTTGCTAAAAATTAAATAAATAAAATATATTAATAATCAAATAAATATATTTATATATATTTCTACTTTCTACATACGTAAGATAATATTTGTAAAATCATTTAAATCCATGATTTTGAATAATGGTTCGAAATAAAGATGGTTTTCAATAGAGAGTGGTTGTGGCGAGTTGAGAATAACCTTGTTATAGTAATTCAAATAGATGTCCTTGGTGTTGACCAACTGTCTTTTGGCAACATCATACTTTATCAAAATACCAATGAAATATAATGTCTGTACCGATGATAATGCGTCTGATGTATTATTAACATAATTATTATAAAATTCATAAACTGGTCTATTATTCTAAAAAGTAAAGATAGTTAATAAGATGATTTCATATATTATATATATATATATATATATATTATTATTATTATTATTATTATTATTTTTGTTGTTTTTTGACTTACAATCAAAGTATGAATTAAGGAAGATTCAGCATGACTGATTTGTGAGAGTGAAAGTAAATTTAAAAGTTTGGATTGGTTTGAAATCAAAATGTTGATTTGGTCGACCTTGAGAGCGCGGTGTAAACGCTCCAAGACGATGATAGAGACGGTGAGCAAGTGACTGATGTATGGGAACTTGAGACTAGAGTCTGGCTTGACCTGCTTCTTTGCTTGAGCGACAATGTTGTTGACGATGGCAGTGACGGCGGCATCCTTGTCGGCACCCTCGGGGGCATGTGCAACCGTATCCAACACACTTCTGACAGTGTCCAATACGACTTGGACGATACGCGAGTCACGGGTGACTGCCAACGTAGCCAAAGAAGTCTCGGTAATCTCGGATGCATGTTGTACGATGTTTTGTGGTGTGGCAGTGCTTGTGGTGCTGCTGGTTGTGCTGATATTGCTGTTGTTGCTACTATCTAATACAGGGGATGTGCTACTCCTAAGCTTTTCAAGAGTTGAACGCTTGTCTCTGAGTGTAGGTGATTGGAGTGCTTGATAGATTGACGCGATTTGATCTTCTTCGTCGTCTAATGCTTCTGCTTCTTGTTGTTGTTGTTGTTGTTCGTCCAATGACTCTACATTGTTGCTGTTGTTGTTGTCATCTGTCTCCTGGTTTGCGGCCGAGGAGGAGCCATTGACAACGTCCTCGGTGTCTCGCTTGACTGTGTCTGCTGTAACACTCATGATTTCAAATCCTTTCTAAACTTTCTTTTTTTTCTTTAATGACAATACATATAGTACAGTATGTGTTGTGAGTTGTCTATACTAATATTGATGAATCTGAATCAACGTTGAACCAAAGGCTAATGATTGATAATTCCAATAATAATAAATAAATAGATGATGAGGAGGTAGATGGAGGAGGAGGATTGATTTGATGGGTGTGTAAGAGAGAGATGAAACTTGAATTCAATTACAATACAAGTCAGCAACAACAATCGATTTCAATAGGAATGAGGAATGAAAGAAAATATTATGCGAAGTGGTATGATCACGCATGCCAAAGGCGAATTTGAGAAAAAAATAATATTTTTAAGGCGCCTTCACCTTTTTTGTCGTCTCTCACTTCACACAAGACCAACCAAACAAACTTTTTCGTTGCATCGAAAAACTCATAGAATACAAGTTGGTATTGGGTGTTTATTTCTTTTTCTTTTTTTATCCCAACTAAAAATAAAATAGTAATAAAATATAAAACCAATAAATTAAATTAATTGCCAATGGGGGAAAGTACTACTTGGATAATTATCTTATCATATCATCCTATGCAGTTCCGAAAAAGGACAGTTATCACCCTTTTTTTGAATTTTTTTTAAACTCATCATCCTCCAGACCAACCGATGAAGAAGCTTTAGAAATGAAGTGTAAAGTTTTATCATTCTTGTAGTGTAGTTTAGTATTTCTCCTCTTTTAGTAAGTATTTGAAATAATAGTAGTTTAATACTATTACTATTACACTCTTGTCATTCTTGATTTCATCTCATAAATACAGATACATATTTGAGAGACTTGCAGGACTGTATTTCATATTCTCACAAAATACTCATACTCACACACTTTATACTTTATTCAAACAATATTATTACATTACAACATTATAGTTATTATTCATTTCCCTTTATACAACAACAACAAAGAGAGATAATATATTCATTATATTATTACATATTATATTATATATAGATAGATCTAAATCATGACAAGTGTTAATGAAATTAGAAAGACATTTATAGATTTCTTTTCGGAGAAATGTCAACATACATTTGTACCATCATCGTCTGTGATTCCACATGACGATCCAACATTGCTATTTGCCAATGCCGGTATGAATCAATTCAAGCCTATTTTCCTCGGACAGGCTGACCCACGTAGCGAGCAAGCCAAGTTGAAGCGTGCTGTCAACTCACAAAAGTGTATTAGAGCTGGAGGCAAACACAACGATTTGGACGACGTAGGAAAGGACACATACCATCACACCTTTTTTGAAATGTTGGGTAACTGGTCATTTGGAGACTACTTTAAAAAGGAGGCCATCACATGGGCCTGGGAGTTGTTGACTGTCGTCTACAAGCTCGACAAGGAGCGTCTCTACGCTTCGTACTTTGGTGGTGACGCTGCCAAGGGTTTGGAGGCTGATACTGAGGCCCGCGACCTCTGGCTTCAGTTCTTGCCCGCCGAGCGTGTATTGCCATTTGGCATGAAGGAGAACTTTTGGGAGATGGGTGATACTGGACCGTGCGGCCCATGCTCAGAGATTCACTTTGACAAGGTCGAGGGTCGTAAAGGCGCTGCTGCCCTCGTCAACGCCGACGACCCCACCCTCATCGAGATTTGGAACAATGTGTTTATCCAATACAATCGCGAGGCTGACAAGAGCTTGCGTCCATTGCCCAACAAGCACGTCGATACCGGTATGGGTCTCGAACGTTTGACATCGATCATCCAAAACGTCGGCACCAACTATGACACTGACATTTTCATGCCAATCTTTGCCGAGATCCAAAAGGTCACTGGCTATCCCCACCCATACGGCGGCAAGGTCGGCTCGGACGACCCCGAACAAGTCGACATGGCCTACCGTGTCATTGCCGATCATATCCGTACGCTCTCCTTTTCGATTGCCGACGGTGCCGTGCCCTCGAGCGAGGGACGTGGCCAAGTGTTGCGTAGAATCTTGCGTCGTGCCGTCCGTTATGGCAAGCAAAAGTTGAACGCTCCATCTGGCTTCTTTGCCAAGTTGGTCGACATTGTCGTCCAAAACTTTGGCGACTTTTTCCCAGAGCTCCGTAACCGTCCACAACACATTGTCTCGGTTTTGGAACGTGAGGAAAAGATGTTTGCCCGTGCCCTTGATCGTGGTATCGTCGAGTTTGACCGTATGGTCGACAAGGTCAAGCAACAGGGTAGCAAGGTGTTCCCAGCCTCCAATGCCTGGTACCTCTACTCGTCGTTTGGTTTCCCAATCGATTTGACCAAGTTGATGGTCGACGAGAAGGGTCTCGAGCTCGACATGGACGGCTACCAAAAGTTGGCCGATGAAGACGCCGAGCGCGGTCGTCTCCGTCAACGTTCGAAAAAGACCGAGATGAACATGCAAGCCGAACCCATCTCGATCCTCCAAGGAGACGGTGTCAAGCCAACCATCGACTCGCACAAGTACGAGCAAAAGGAGATTGAAACCGTCGTCAAGGCAATCTACGACGGCAAGGTATTTGTCAACAGCCTCGAGTCAACCGACACCACCCGCAACACAGTCTATGGTATCGTGTTGGAGAGCACCAACTTTTACCCAGAGCAAGGTGGTCAAATCTACGATATCGGAAACATCAACTCGGTCGTCGACCAAACCACCATCTTTAACGTCAGTGACTGCAAGGTTTTCGGAGGTTACGTCGTCCACATTGGTTACATTACCGCCGATGCTGCCGCCATCAAGGTTGGCGACAAGGTCGAGCTCACAGTCGACTACACCCGTCGTTCACCCATCATGTCCAACCACACCTCTACCCATATGATCAACTTTGCCCTCCGTAATGTCCTCGGTGACAATGTCGAGCAACGTGGTTCACTCGTCGATGACTCCAAGCTCCGTTTCGATTTTTCCAACGACCGTGGTATGACCCGTCAAGAGATTATCAAGGTTGACCAAATCGTCAACGACCTCATCGCCAAGGAATTGCCAGTCAGCTGCAAGGAAGTCGATCTCGCCCGTGCCAAGACTATCAACGGTTTGCGTGCCGTCTTTGGTGAAGTCTACCCAGACCCAGTCCGTGTCGTCTCTGTTGGCAAGTCTGTCGACGAGCTCCTCGCCAACCCAACCAACCCAGAATGGACCCAATACTCGATTGAATTCTGTGGTGGTACTCACATCAACAACTCCAAGGATGCCGAATACTTTGCCATCACCTCTGAAGAGGCTTTGGCTGCCGGCATTCGTCGTGTCGTCGCCGTAACTGGTTCCGACGCCACCGTCGTCTTTGAAAATAACAAAAAGTTGCAAGCCCGTTTCCAAGAGGCCACCAAATTCACTGGCAAGGAGCTCAAGGATGCCATCCCAACCCTCACCGCCCTCCTCAACGAACACCAAGGCAAGATCTCTGCCTCCAAGAAATTCGAACTCGTCGAAATCCTCTCCTCCATCCAAGAACTCGCCAAGAAACAATACAAGGAAGAAGAAGCCAACCTCATCAAGGAAGCTCAAGTTTTAGTTGATCAAATTTCAAATCAATTGGTTGAATCTAAATCACCAATTTATGTTGGTACTATTAATGGTAAGAAAAAAAAAATATAAAAAAAAAAAAAGAAAAAATAGAATAATATATTAATATTTTATTAATTTTCTTTTTTTTAGCTGGATTAAGTAATACTTTAATGTCAGATTCAATTAAATCAATTCAAAAGAAATGTCCAGATACATCAGTATTATTGATTTCAAAGGATGAAGAAAAAGGAAAGATTTGTGTCATTTCTATTGTACCAAAGGGATCGACTGCCGAGACCAAGGGACTCAAGGCCAATGATTGGGTTGTCAAGGTATCAGCTGCTCTCGGTGGTAAGGGTGGTGGTAAGCCAGATGTTGCCCAAGGTGCTGGTACTGATATTGCCAAGATTGACGAAGCCCTTGAATTTGCTAAATCATTTGCTCAAAAATTAATTCTTTAAAACAAACTCCCTCCCTCCCAACCCTTCCTCCAATATATCATACTATATATATATAAATCAAATAAAATTTAGATTTCATTAATCAAATCAATCCTGTTTAGTCGAATCATCACGAAAATTGACGTATAGTTTAAAATATTTTTGTTATTTTATTTTTGTTGTTCATTACCTAATAATAAAGATTTTCTTGGTAGATTTGTTTTCTTTGCAGTATAGAGTAATTTGAAAAGACCTGTACCAAGAGGGACAGGGATACCCATAATAATACATTCAGAGACACCGACGATATCATCTTGACGACGATGGACAGCGGCATCGAAAAGATGGTCTGTAGTCTTTTCAAACGAGGCCAACATGAGTACTGATTCCTTCATCTTGGCGATACCAAAACGTGTGATACCGAGAATCTCACCCTTGAAACACATGAGATCGGCCATCAACATGATATGACGAATATCGATAGACATACCATGAGACACCATAATCATTTGAATTTCAGAGATGATAATGGAACGGACTGCCTCTATACCAAGTACCTTTTCCACTTCCATAATGTGATTCGAGCAGGTGTGGGTACCCTTGATACCAGGGGTGGCCATTACCTTGAGCAGGTCGTAACCTTCGACCAACAGTTGATACTTGTCTTCCTTTTCATTGGGCTTGCTGATAACGACACGATTGACAGTTGGAATACCGTGTACAATGACGTTGGGCAAGTTGTTTTTGAGGAATTGCAACGAGTAGAGGATGAGACGACGGTTGTGCTCGGGTGGCTTGATACGCAACTTCTCTCCGAGTGTTTCGATATTGGCGGGCTTGAGTTTGAGGCCCTTGGTGCCGAGAATCGACGCCTTGATCGATTCGGCCGACACTTCAATCTGCATAGAGTCGATAAAATGCTTGTCAATCTTGACAGACAGGTAACAACCACCCGACCGGAACACCTCCTTGATGTAGACTGATATTTGACCGAGGGTGGTCTTTTCGATACGACCCGTGACGATACGAGCAGCACGAATATCATCGTCGCAGTTGAGCGTGGCCGTGATAATAGGGGTGGAGATGGTCTTGCTAGCATTGATAATCTCCTTGATACGTGGCACACCCAGCGTGACGTTCATACTGGCAACACCAGCAAAATGGAAAGTTTTCAACGTCATTTGTGTGCCTGGCTCTCCAATTGATTGTGCTCCAATAGCTCCTACAGCTGTACCCGGCTCGATTCTAGCACGATTGTACTTGTCCAAACAAATATCGAGGAATTGGTCCATTTGTGTTGTGGTAATTCTGTGCAACTGGTCAACTGTCTGTTCCTTGTCTTTAAATGCAAATCTCGCGTCATAGCTGTCGCCGGCAGAGGTGGCATCACCCATCTCAGTGTCGACGGGTCCACACGACTCGATATCTTCATCTTCGTCGAGCATTGGTGGCAGTTGGAGGAACTTGCGCAATCTAACCAACTCTTCAATGTATCCTTCCACTTCTTTAGAGTTTCCTTTTTTAGGTTTACCGTAAAAGTAAGTTCTAATCTCCTCCTTGAAGTACTCTGTACACTGTATAAACTTGTTGCCATCCAATACACCTTCCAAATACTTTTTAATTTCAAATGGACGTAGTGTCTTTTCGTCGCGGCACTGACGACGGTTCTTGACGGCCAACATGGCACGGATAAAATCGACTGGACGCTCCTTGGCCTCCATACCGGCGGGATCGAGCCCGTCATCACCATAGATAAACTGGACGATGCCTCCGGTCGAGTCACGCACCGTATAGTCGTATTGGGTGGACAGATCTTCGAGCGCCTTCATCAGACGACGCTGCATGTACCCTGTTTCGGCCGTCTTGACGGCTGTATCGACCAGACCTTCTCTACCACCCATTGTGTGGAAAAAGAACTCGGTTGGGATCATACCCGTGTAGAAACTGTTGCCGACGAAACCCTTGGCCTTGGGTTCACGCGAGAAATGTGGGAAATGCGGGGTGGTACGATTCGTGAAACCGTTGGGGATACGCGTACCGTTGACAATCTGCTGGCCGACACAGGCAATCATCTGGGCAATATTAATGTTGGAACCCTTACTGCCACAGAGTGCCATGATCAACGGACTGTTGTAGTGAGGGAGCTCCGACACACAAAGCTTACCACACTCGTCACGAATACCTGAGAGGATCTGGTTCATTCTTGCTTCGAGTGTCTGTTCGACCGTGCAACCAGACGCGGCTGCCAATCGACCCGACTTGTACTCGGTGAGGAAGACATCGCACTTGTCGTGTGCACGTTTGATGATAGCGTCCTTTTTGGCGTTGAGGTCGGGCGATGGCTTGACATCGGGAATGCCAATAGAGAACCCCTGGTCTCCCAAGAACCGAGCACACAGCTTGGCCAGACGCGTCATGGCATTGGCAGCAATAGCCGGCGTAAAGTCACGCATCAGCACATGGAACAAAGAGTCTTTGTTACCACCACCAATGATCGACTTGTCAATCGACCCGCACATAAGTTCACTGTTACGGAAACACACGTATCCATCACGCGGACACATATACGTGTTCTTGGTATAGGTACGCGAGTTGGTTTCAAAGTTGACGAGTACATGCGACTTTACAGAGGGACGAAGTAAAACTTCAAACAGCTGTTTGCCAGTCCACAACTCGATAGGCTTGACAATGGTAGGTTGTGGCAGATCAATGTGTTCGTAGGCATCGGCAAAATGCGTACACATCTGAGTGAATCGTGCACGATCGTAAAACGCATCTCTACGCGAGATCAAGTAACTCGACGTCAAGAAATCCTGTGTCGCAGCAACCAATGGTTCTCCGTTACGTGGTGTGATCAGGTTGTTGGTGACACCCATCAGAATGAGTGCTTCAGCACGTGCTTCTTCCGTCTGTGGACAATGAATGTTCATTTCATCACCATCGAAATCGGCATTGTACGGTGTACACACACACTCGTTGAAACGTAGTGTACGCCAAGGCATGACACGTGCCTTGTGACACATAATCGACAGCTTGTGAAGCGATGGCTGACGATTAAACAACATGACGTCACCATCGATCAAATGACGCTCCACAATATCACCAATCTTGAGTTCGGCAGCAAACTTTTCACGGTTACCATATTTGAGCCACTTCTTTTCGCCGTCTGGATAGATGATATAATTGGCACCTGGATGTTTGTCTGGACCGTTGATAATATACTTTTGGAGACGTTGGATGTTGAACGATGTACAACGCTCGGGATACGTCATCGTGACAGCAATCAGTTGCGGGATGGCAACCTCGTCGATATTAAGATTGGGATCAGGACTGATAACGGTACGACCAGAGAAATCGACACGCTTACCCGACAAATTACCACGGAAACGTCCTGTCTTTCCTTTGAGACGTTGGGATAGGCCACGAATTGGTTTCTGTGGTTTCATCTGCAGTGGCAGACCAGGCAGCTCGGAATTGATGTAAATAGCAACCGACGCCTGCAAATAATCCCAATCCTCGACAACTGCCTGCATTTCAAGACGGTCGACGTTGGTTTTGATGTGATCGTTGATATGTAGGATTTCCGACAACTTCATTGTCAAATCGTCTTCATTCGAGCCACTGCCACCGTCCATTGGCACCGATGGACGGATCGACACGGGTGGCACCAACAAATGTGTTAAAATGAGACGTTCGGGACGTCCCACATCTGGGTCCATGTCTAACAGTTCCGTGTCTTGATACGAGATACGTTTAAACAAGTTAAACACCACCAGAGGGTTGAGATCCTCCTGTGCCTTTTTAACATGATTCCTCATCTCTGCATTGGCTTTGAGAGCATCTTCAAACTGTTCAATCAAGTCACGATGCTCTTCCTCTTTTTTGTATTTCTCGTGTATCAATTTCAAAGCCGACACCTTTTTCACAGGTCCATTGACAGAATTACATTTAGGACATATCTTTTTCTTTCTGCAATCTGTATACACCTTTTTAAACAATGCTCTTCTTTGTAAAACATCCAATTTTCTATTTCTCATCTTTCTTAGATATGTTGCTTTTGGTTCATCATCTAATAATACTGTTGAACAATTCTAAAAAAAAATAAAATATATTAATAAATGTACAGGGAGAGAGAGGGAAGATACAAATATATATATATTGTTTGTTGATATATAACATACTTTACAAATCATTTGTAATATATTTGTAATATTTTTAAAATAACCTATATGAAATACAGGTAGTTGAAGATCAATGTAACCAAAATGACCGACACAATCGACGATACTAAGACCACAAGTTTGACAATTGACACCCTTGTCTGATGTACCCAACTTGTTATCCAAACAACCATATGGCATTGGTGCTCTCTTTTCTTGACTAAACAATTCTCTATTTATAATATGTACATGCGAAAGTCTAATCATATCCTCTGGTGATAAGATACCAAATTGTATATGACCACTTAATTATATAAACAAAAGAGTATAAACAACCAAGTAACATATGTTAGAAATAGGAAGAAGAAGAAGAAGAAGAATATGTTTGAGATCTTTTTGATGATTAATCTTACATTTTCTTTGGTCCATCATCTTCTTTGATTAATTCATGAGACATGATGGACTAGATATATATATATGATATACTGGTATGTATGTATGTTACGTTAACGCAATGATATTCGTTGCGAATCGATTCTAGATTCCCTTTCCCTCTTGTATTTGTTTGTTTGATCCCTCTTTATCTTGTGTATCTGTTGTTACTACAACTGATTTATCATTCGTTTCTCTATTATTAGTTATATTGTTGTTGTTGTTGTTGTTGTTGCTAGAGGTAGCTTGAATCAATCACTCGATCGATTGTTGTGTATAAATAACTAAAAAGTAATTTAATGAAAACGATGAACTTGGTGTCAATTTTCAAAAAAAAAAAAATAATAATAATTTTCAACCGGGTTCACCAAAATATTTATTTATTTATTGCAGTCTTGGTCATCATCATTGTGGACAGAAGTAAATTTGTTGATCATACTCTGATCTGGGAGAGGCGTTGCAAATAGTTTCATAGACATCATCATGAATGCATAGCTGTATGCATCATCATCTGCTTTTGGGAGTCTCTCGACAGTGCCAAGATCAAAGAATATGATGCTCAGTCTAATCTGACGCTCTATGGGCTCGATCAATATCTTTCCAACATGTCGACGGTGAAGATCATTGTGCAAGAGACCATCTTTTGCGAACCGACTGATCTCATCCTTGACAGCCTTGATGAATGTCTCGTCCTCCATTGATTGTAAGTTGAAACGATTCCAAATACGTTCTTTTGTCCATAGAATGTACGCAGCCTCTCCTCCATGTAATCGTATACCTGACCATGTACCCTCTCGTTTTTCATGACTCCTTGTCCTGGCTTCTCGACCCCAACAACTCCGACTGGAAGTCCAAGTCCCGACACGATAGTCCATATGTCTGCTCTTTGACCTGTGATTCCAAGCTCATCCACACATTCGAGTTGTGCGCCAAGACCAGCGGTCTCGATGATCTCAGACAGAACAGCATGGACATAACGCTGAATGTCCGACTCGGATTACCACGCCAGAGTTTGATCTGGCTTGGTAAGCCCCCAGATGGGGGATTTGGTCGATTGGTCAGTATAAGCGACGTTGACAAATTCTTCCTTCTCGACGAGCTTGCAAGCTTTGTGTGTGGATGATGATGATGTTGACGACGACGACGACGAACCACTCTTCTCTCGTAGTACAGGAAGACCTCGAGTGGAGATGAGATCTCGAGCTGATCATGATTGAGAGGAGGGGAGGGGAGGAAATGAGTGAGAGGGGACACGAGGCATGAGAGTGAGAAAGAAGAGAGACAACGTGCATGCACTTACCTTTTTGTTCTTGACTTGGTTGTGTGATAGATCTCTTTTTTAACTTGGCGACTATTCCGTCTCTAATACCCAATGAAACAATATCCTTTTCAGAGTGATCAATAATGTATTCACCATCTATGGCTTTGGTAGTGATGGTTTTAGCCTCATCATTGTTTCCTCCTACCCTTTCTAAAATTGCTACCAATTCTTGAATTGTGGTGGTTTCTGTGATTGTGATATCCGATAGATCTATTAACTCTAACTATGTGAAAAAAGAAAAGGATAGTACTAGTAATTAAATTCAATTTTATCTTCTTTTACAACCTTTTCTCTCTAATCTCAGTATCGTGTCACGATACCACGCCGACGATGATTTAATTTAATAGGTAAGATCGTCTAGATTCCATTCTCTTTAAATCACCTCATCATCAAATTCCATAGCATCAACAGGAGGAGAGAGAGGAAAGTTGTGCAACTAGGTATTGATGTTGTTGTAGTAGTGATGTTGTCCACTTCCATATATAATATCTTGAATAGGTGAATAGGTGCTTAACTCTTTCTCATTGAAATAGATTTTAACTTGTACTCTATTGGCTATAGGTGTCGACTAGTCTTTTCAACAATACTATTCCTCCATGATCACGCAAATGTATTAAATAAAATTCAATTCAATTCCGTTGAAGTGTGTAATAAACAGTGTGTTGTTGTCATCACAGAAAAAGAAATCGAAAATAAAATGATATTTATGCAGGGTAGCAAACAGACAAAGAGAAGAGAGGAGGAGCTTTGACAACTATAAATATATATATATAAATACAAAATAGATAGACAATAGAGATAACTAATTAATTAATCAATCAATGACAGTCGACAATAGTCTGAATGATGATCAGATTGAAGATGACCACCACCATCACCATCACAAGGATAAAAAGATTCATCAACATATACAATGTATGATTGGATTGATCTACCGACCAATAACTTTAGTTTAAACACACTCACACACAGCTAGCTACTTACACTATTATTCTTTTTTTTTTGAAAAGTGGAATGGAATAGTACTAAATCATTTGATGTAGAGATTAAAAAGTTATCAGTGTTTGCAAATGTGCCAATTGGAAAGATACCGCTGCCTATCATTGGCAAGTTTGAAAAGACAAAGATACTCGATGAATTGGATGATATTCGTGTGCCTGCTGGATCGTTTCTGGCGATCCTAGGGACATCGGGGTCGGGTAAGACAACGTTGTTGTCGACGTTGGCCGGTCGTTCCGATGACCTCGTCATAGAGGGTGACATTTGTTTCAATGGACATAAAGTGTCACCGAGTGAGGCAAAGCAGTCGGTTGGATACGTCATGCAGAGTGACCAGCTGTTGCCCAACTTGACGGTCCGTGAAACACTTCGATACGCCGGTCTACTCCGTCTACCATCCCACCTGAGTCAAAAAGAGAAGCTCAAGATTGTTGAAGACATGATTGGCGAGTTGGCGCTGCGAGACTGCGCCAATCGTATTATAGGTGGTGGTGGACGTCGTGGTATATCTGGTGGTGAGGCTCGTAGAGTATCTATAGCCATCCAAATGCTTAGTAATCCCGGTGTCCTCTTCCTCGATGAGCCAACGAGTGGGCTGGACAGTTTCAGTGCACACAATCTAGTGTCTACACTACTCACATTGTCACGTCACAACAAGACGGTCATTTGCACAATCCATCAACCTAGGTCCGATATTTTCAATCTCTTTGACTATGTCTTGTTGCTCTCCAAAGGCAAGGTCGTCTATTTTGGCCAGACCAAGCATATCGTCAACCATTTTGCATATCTTGGATACGAGTGTCCCTATGATGTTAACCCATCCGACTACTTTCTCGATCTCATCACTATCAACTACCAAACCGAAGAGTCTGAGCGCGATTCCAAAGAACGACTTGGTCAGTTGATTTCCGGGTTCCGGTCATCCCCTTTTTATAATAGTGGTCAAATTGATCCAAACAATACCACAGCAACAGCAGTCTCAATCGCCGACGATGGGACTAGAACAAGCATTATCGAACAACAACCACAAAAAGATACAAAGTTTAAAATAGAGAAAAGAAACACATCATTTTTTTTGCAGGTATGGTTATTGTATCATAGAGCTGTCAAGAATATGGTGCGTGACAAATCAGTTGTATCGGCACGACTGGTTGAATCAGTATTGATCGCGTTGATTTGTGGTGGAATGTTTTATGACCTTGGAGATGACTTGGAAGGCATTAAATCACGTGTGGCATGCTTCTACATTGTCGTTATTCTTCAACCCTACCTTATCATCATATCAAATATTCTGCAGTTCTCTGAAGAGTTGTTGATTTATGATCGCGAGCATTATGATGGTATGTACGATACTGGACCTTACTGGCTGGCTATCAAAGCGGCAACACTACCACTAGAGATTGTTACGGCTATCATCTTTTCATGTATATTCTATTGGATGACAGGTTTGCGAAACGACTCGATTGACCACTTTTTCTACTTTGCTCTGATCCTGTTCCTAGCACAGTACACGTCGGCGTGTCTTGGGTTCATGGCCACTTCATTGTTCCGTTCGTTTGCGGGTGCCTCGCTCATGGCCAACTTGCTCATGACCTTTTGGGCCATCACCACTGGTTTCATTATTAATCCCGCCACCTTTGTATTCTATATGCGTTGGATTGCCTACACGTCGCTCTACCAGTACAGCTACGGTGCCTTGGCGTCCAACGAGTTCCGAGACAACCACTATCCCTGTCCATTCCCCGCCGGAGACATCCAATGCCAACTATTCGACGGAGACGACATCCTTGCACGTCTCCAACTTAAAACCGATAACATGATTGTCAATATCATCGTCCTTGTAGGAATTGCCTCTTGTTTTAATTTAATCTCTCTAATTGCTTTGAAATTTGTTGTACATAAACCCAAATAAACTTAAACTTTATAAATAATTCTATTCTATTTCTAATCCAAGGATTGATTGATTCTATTTATCTGTACAGATGAATGAAACTTGACCAGCTGACCAATTCATTCACACATTCTATTATTGCAGAGGTTTATTTTTTGGAGGACGTCCAGGTCTTTTTTTGGTTGGAGGTTGTAAAGATGATGATGAAGATGATAAAGAAGAGGATGCGGTGGCAGCAGCGGCAGCAGCAGCAGCTTTGTTTTGAATCTCTTCATGTAATCTTTTTGTAAGATATGATGATTGTAATTTATCGCGTTCAATTTCAATCGATGGCAATGGTTCCAATCCAACACTACTTCGCATCTCATTTACTTTTTGTCTTTGTTTTGAGAGTTGTCCCTCTTGTAATACATCTATTTGTTTTTGTATATTTACCTTTTCCATTCTTCTATCTTGTATTAATTTATCGACCTAACAAATAAATAATTAATTTAATTAATATTAGAAAATAAAGTAATCTATAGTTCTATTACTACTACTACTAACTACTACAAACATACAGTATTTAAATCTTTTACAATATCATTGAGAGCTTGTTCATGTTGACGATACTCTACAGTTAGAGCATTCTTTTCATTTATAAGTTCTGTCAATACTTGGTCTTCACTACGTAGAGATTCCATATGACCATATACAGTGTCTTTGAGTTTAGTGTATTCCCTTGTCTGTACTTTTATATCATACAAGAAATCTAGTTTCATTTTTTGTTCTTGTTTGTTTGGTTGTTGAGGTTGTTGAGGTTGAGGTGGTGGTATATCTATATTGTCATTGTCATCATTATCCTGGTTTGTTGTCGTCGTTGTAGTTGTTGTAGTTGTTTCTTCAAATTGTGGTATAGTTGTATCTGGTTCATTGTCATCATTGGTTGCCATCTCTTTCTATTTCTATATGTACATAATATTGTATTGTATACTTGTTACTAACATCCCCAAAGTACCTGACTTTCGTCCTCTTGGAAAAATAAAATTAAATAAAATAAAATGTTTTTTCATTGATCAACTATCTCTGTGATGAGTATCAGAGTACTTGTCGTTTTGTGTAGTTGTAGTAAATATTCATAATCTAAATTAGTAGAGTATATACATAGATAGAGTAGATAGATAGATAGATCATCAACTAAATATATAGTATAACTGACAACCAACCAACCAACCAACCATCAAAGTGTACGTGCTAAAACTGAATCATAGTTCATTCATAATGATAACTATAGTTAAACTAACTTTATTACTTTTAAATGAACGAATGAATGAATGAATGAATGAACAATTGATATATATATACACAAATGGATGCATTATTATACTTTATAAATCGAACAACAAATTAGAACATACATACATACAAATATATATATTTATACAACGACGAAAAATGATATCAAAAGTGATGGATATTTTAGGAAGAGGTAGAAAGATCCTCAGAGGTACTATTATCTCTAAACATCATACTAAAACAGCGATGGTTGAAGTACCAACCGTCTTTTTCGATGCCACTAAATATTCATGTGTCACCACTAGAAAGACTAAATACATGATCGACGATCCAGAAGACAAGTGCATCGTCGGTGATTTTGTTCAAATCGTACCATGTGCACCAGTCTCAAAGAGAAAGACACACACCCTTTTAAAGATCACCAAACGTCCATTGACTACAGAATTCATCCTCCAAAATCCACACTTCAAGGTTACCAATCGTGAAGTCACCGAACAAAAGACTGCCAATAAGATTAAATACATTCCAATCGATGAACTCGTTAGACAAAAGGAAAAGGATCAATAAACAACAAAACATAATATATTAATTAAACGAATCATTTGCATTATGTAAATTTAAACGAACGATCATAGAAAATTAAAAAAATGAATTAATTATTTATGAGTACTTTTCGGGATCTTACAGTGCTGTTCATGAACTTTCATTTCATTTCATTTATTTCTCTTTATTTCAAGAAGTAATAAATAAACAAATCAATTCAACAATTGAATGTCAAGATTTACTCAAAGATTAAACAAGAATGATAATAACAATAATAATAACAACAATCGAATGCAAATAGATGATGATGATGAATACAAAGATGATATCGATGAAAAGTTACTCAAACAACAAAAAGAGTTCTTAAATAGTGGAGAGAAACCATCAGCTGCTGTATCTAGAGCTGCTCCTCCACCTATTGTTAAGAAATCAACTATTCCTACTACAAGTACAGGTACAGGTACTAGTACAGGTACTAGGAATACAACTACTTCATCTACTTCTAGAATAACATCAAAATTTGGATCAACAACAAACAAAACAAATAATATGATACCAATTATTGATGAACCAATTGAAAAGGATGTTATATCACTTGGTGGTGGTGGAGATGGTAAATCATTACCTTCAATGCTTGGTAATCTTGGTCAACATCAACCAATGTCACAACAATATGGTGGTTCATCACCATTCAAAGGTCAAAGAGTGACATTTGATATGGACGATGATTTAAATGATGAAATGATGGGTGATGTAGTTGAAAAGGATATTGAAGATATTGTCGATCAAGAAGATCATCATATTACATCGGTCATTCAAAAGATCTATGAAAGAGATGTCTCTGATGTCATCTTTGAACCACCAAAAAAGAAAAAAACTGGTACTTCCTTTCCAGAACCTTTACATCGTTCTGTTAAATCATTTAGTGTAAATATATACTTGAACATACTCTCTCTAACTGAATTACTTACTTACTTTAATTTAATTTAGAGAAAACCATTTAAAGAAAATGTTGAATCAAATGAAGGTGGAGATGATAAAGTAACAAGTTTGGCAGGTGATATTGATAACGAAAATAAGAAAAAGTTAGAGACAATGTCTGATCAAGAGATTAAAGATAATCAAGATTTCATTTTAAAAAGTCTTGATCCAAAATTAATTGAAATGTTAAAAAGTAGAGGAAAAGCTAAAAATAATAATAATAATAATAATAAGGATGATGATCAAAAGGAAAAGACATCATCTTCTTTAAAGAGAGAATTACAAAAAGATCCAATTGAAATGTTTATGGATGATTTACACAAGGAAAATGAATTTAGAGTAAAACAACAACAACAGATCAAACAAGAGAAATTGGAACAAAAAGAAAAAGACCAAAAGGTTGATTTTGTAGAGGCACTTGAAAAGGTAAAGGAAAACGAGGAGAACAAGTGGATGAAGGAGCTAAGTGACAAGGACCGTGCCAAGCATGGGTTGGGACTTGCCAACTTTAAGAATTGGAGATTTGGATTCCGTGGTGAACTCATTGTCAATAGTGAGGATATCCCAACTCATTTGGGTCTACATCATCACGGACAAGATGCCGCCGAAGCAGGATACACTATTCAAGAGTTGTCACTCCTCATTCGTAGTACAAATCATTCTCAAAAGACAACTGCCTTGCGTATCTTGTCTGATATTTTTGCAAATGTTCATCGTGGTGTCTTGGGACCAAAGGCATTGGTACTCAGAGAAATCTATCTTGCCAAACTACCTAGACTGCTGCGTGTGACACTCGACTCGAACATTCCCACCGTGTCGGCTGCCTGCGTTGCATGTCTAGCATCGCTCTGTGTGCCATTGCAAGACGAAGAACTCTATGAAAAGAATGAACTAAAGTCTTATCGAGGACAAGAATTCCTTTCACTCAAACCACCCAAACCTACTCCAAAACCAAAGATCAATGGTATCAATCCAACTGGCAATGAAGAAGAGGAAAAAGATGACGATGAAAAGTGTGTAGATGACTTGGTTTCAGGTCTCATTGATATGGGTGTATTGAATCGTCTCAGATACCTCCTAGACAATGAAAAGAAACCAAGTGTCGAACCAGACTATATCAATCGTTGTCGTAACATTCTCAACATCTTTATTCGTTTCTCAAGACACTCTGAAGAAATTGCTCAAGAACTTTTTAAATGTCATTATCTCATTGAATCACTATGTAATATTATTTTATTGACCGGTGGTGAAGTAAATAATGAACAATCATTATTAATAGTGGAATGTAAAGCAAAGGTTATTCGATTGATTAGAAGATTATGTCAATCAGATCGTGAAATTATGCTTAAAATATCGTCTACCCAACACAATGTCATTCCATTGGTCAACCAACTATTCCTCTCTCCATCAACTGACCAAACCATCCTTTTGGAATGTCTCAAATTCTATCGTGTCCATGTTCAATATCGAATGGACACTACATTTATATTTGCAGGTGTTTTGGAAAGAATTTCAAAATACAATGATGATTTCTCAACCTATATCAATCAATTATCATTCAACATTTCATCCATCCAAGGAGATACAACTGCCACCTATCAATCAGTACTTGGTCAACTCGACCAAAATCTATCAATGGAACGTTCAATCTATAATCTCTTATCAGTCCTCTTATTCTCAATCAACACTACAAATTCTGATAAATCAATCTTACAATTTGATAAATTATCTTCATTTATTGATTCATCTTTAATTTTAATTCAAACTATTAGTGTCATTGTAAGTAATGAAAAAAAAAAGAAACAGATTGAAAAAAAATATTCAAATATTTATATTAACTTTTCTTTTTTATTTTTTATCAGTATCATACAATGAAAGAAAATAATATTAAAAATGAAAATCTTTTAGGATTGATTGGATTATTTTCATCAACAATACATTTCACAACATCATATTTTATGATTGCACAAAAATTAATGACCAAAGTTAATTTCAAGGTAAAAGCAAATATTATGAATCCCCAAAGTGGCAACAATACAGGCAACAAAGGAAGTATAATGGAAATTATTGAAAATATATCATCAACTATATTCCAACAATCATTCTTTGCTTCTACAATGTACACTGACATGAAGAAACAAATATTGACCTATTCCGGTGAAAATAATCATCAACAATTGGCTCAAGATGGTGAATTGACAGAATGGTGGTTATCTATTGCTAGATACTTGTCAGTATCTGTTGCAATCAATCGATCGATATCAAAGATGGTATTCTATCTTGACAAGAGTGAATTTTTCACTCACCTTCACTCTATACTCGTATCGACCACTGAATATAGAAACCAATTTGTTCTATTGGAAGGTAGTGGTGGTGAAAGAGATAATCTCTACATCTCTTGCAATAGATCACGTACCTATCTCTACTATCACCTCTTGGTATTAATGAACGAACTCTCATTTGATGAAGAGTTTGATCCATCTTTTATCAGATTCCATCATTCCGCTTCGATGGCATTGGTTCATTGTTTCCTACCAAATGATGATTCTCTTTTATTTAATCTTTTCAGATCAGTTACATTTAATCCAGATTATCTGTCTGATATTGGCTCAACAAAATCAACTTCTCTATCTAAAATTATGATTGATTTTTATCAAGATAAATTTTTCCCTTCAAATAGTAAGAAATCAAAAAAAAAAAACAAAAAAATGATAATCAATTAATTTATAAATATTAATACTTTTTTATTTTATTTTTATAGCAATTGAATATTCAAATAGATATCAATTAAATGTTGATAGTTTCCAAATAACACCTGCATCATTTATTATATCATTTGAAACATATGAATCATTGTTACCATTGAAATATGATTGGTATAATCTGCCATTGGAATATTTATATCAAGATTCCCAAGAAATTGTTGGAAAGAATAAGCATGGTGATTTTGATGATGGATTTGGCGATGACGATGACGATGATGACGATGATTTAATTGCTATCATTCATCCATTAATTGAATCATCACTTCAATTTATTCAATGTTTATATAATTCTAATTCAGAATGTAAGTCAAAACAAAAAAAAAATAATAATTAATATTTCAATTCATTAATCCATCCTTTACTATTATTTTATTTAGATATACAATCAATTGATTTAGTAAATGTTTATCAATCATTGATGAAAGTATTTTTAGTTAAAAAGGAACCATGGGAGAATAGAAATATTTCAGATTTGTTAAAGGTTCTATTTAACGTGTTGGTATCAAGACTAAGGGCAGAAAAGAGGGAACAAGATGATACAATTGTCGAGTTTGACTTTGGTCAATACTTTGGAGACCGATTCTACCAATTCTTTACAGACTTTGTCAACCAGTTTGTTACATCGTCCAACTCTTCACCCATCTTTTCAACCTATCTATGTATTTTTTTGCGTCAATACTATGCAGTCAACTATCGTCGTTTGATATGGTCCGATCTATTCCCAACACTACAATATATCAATTTGGAGAGTGACAATCTTCCACTTGGCAACCAATGCTATTTGGAACCTATCGAACCATCGTTTGACATGATCCAAATCTACAAGAATGCAATCATTCAGAGCAAAGCATCACCCTCCAAGGCACCCAAACTCTACAAGATTGCTAAACACCATCTACTTGCCTACCTCTTTTCCTCACCCTCTGAAGAATTATCAAACGCCTCCAACAACAAGAATGCTCTAAAGATTGACATTATTAAAGATTTATTTGATACCAGTAATAAGAATTTAAATGTAAGTCTCGTAACAAGAAACAAACACCACATAACAATGATGACAAATGGAAAAAGGAGGGAGGGAGGGAACATCATATGTACCTACCTTGCCTACCCACACAATTACAATTACAATTAATAACCCTCATATCATCTATCTATATTTTATTTAGGTCGTACAAATAGACATTCTTCAAGATCTGTCTGTCAAATTTGGTAATCAACAGCTTGTCCAAACGCTTTTAAAAGACGTCATAGATGTTTCACAGATTCATAATAGCTAATAGCAACACTGCAGCTGCTGTGGCTACACCAAAATAATAAATAAAATAAAATAAACATAAGAAAACGACGAACACAACACAACAGCTGAACGTGTTGATGTTTAGAGTAATCGATCACCACCTGTGATTCATCCATTGTGACGCTTTTATGAGCCATGTTGGGGCTGTCGTCTTTTCCGCCTCATTGCCACCCCATCCCACTGCTGATCATCGTCGTCTTTTCTTCAAAAGACACAAAACAAAATAAAAATAGAAAAAATCTTTGGTCTCTTGTTTTTTTTTGAATAATTTTTTTTTTTTGATCACGACACACAAAAAAGACGCTTTGCAGATCCCTCTCTTTAAGTTCACGCCTACAAACAACTACGACAAAACAACAACTACCAACAACTACTACTTGTTTGTGTACAATAATAATAAGAATAAATAGAAAATAAATTCTCCTTTCATCTCATCAACTACGAAGGTAATTATAATATAACATAATAATATAATCACATCCACCACACACATACATGTCATATACAAAATTCAACAGAGCGATCAATGATGGAAACATATGTTTGTTGATTGACTCATTCACTCACTCACTCCACATCCTACATCGATTACTTTTGTTGTAACCACAATGATCACTCATTCCATTTGCCCCACCCCCATCCATCACATCACTCACAAAGTCAAGTCGATTAGTTTTTTAAAGTAATCGTGAAACAACTCTAGAGGGAGGAAGAGGAGGAGGAGGGGGTTGTGCTATTGATCTTTACATTTCCATTGGTTTATTGTAATGAACTTAAACAAGAATCATCAACTCTCTTCTATCTCTCTCACTTTCCAAACCATCAACCCATCAACCAATATTGAATATAATTATTAATGTTAATTTCTTTTATTTTTTTGTATCATTTAATATAGGAAATCCAAAAGTAATCTTTTTTCTATTCATCTATCATTTTTGTACAATAGTTTATTAAACTTCACAAAACACATCTAAAAAAACAATAATAATAATATAAAAAAACAGGCAACAAAACAAATAATATATATCTATCTATCTTTTTCCACACACACACATAATGAATTCAACTGAATTGGTAGCAACCGGCATGGTTGAACAAGTTTGGTTCAATTTCGTCGACAACTTTGACGAAGACAATTTAATTAGTTGGGGAACCTTTTTCGCCCATCAATTCTTTTATTTCCTTGCATACGTCCCATTCTTTTTGTGTGACTTTATCCCATATTTCAAAAAGTATAAGATCCAACCAGTAAGTACTTACAAAAACAACAAGATCCAACCAACTCTCTTTTCCAATCATTTTACTTACCAACATCTTGTTATTTATTTTTTTATTTAATTTTTTGAATAGAACAAAGAAAATGATTTCAAATTACAACTTAATTGTGTATTAAAGGTTGTAGGTACTCATGTTTTCGTTCAATTACCAATGATGATTCTTTTCCACCCAGGTATTAAATTGATTGGGTTAAAGGCCAAGGCACCCATTCCATCGCTGGGCTATTTGATCATCACGCTCATTGGTTCCTACTTGATTGAAGATTTCTACTTTTATTTCATTCACCGTCTTTTACATCACGGCAAGTGGTACAAGTACATTCACAAGATCCATCACGACCATCAAGCTCCATTTGGTATCTCTGCCGAGTATGCCCATCCACTCGAGACCCTTCTTCTCGGTGTCGGTACCTGTTTTGGTCCATTTATCTTTTCCAGAGATCTCTTTACCTTGTGGGTCTGGTTGGCCTTCCGTCTCTTCCAAACCGTAGAATGTCACTCTGGATACGACTTCCCATGGGCTCCAACCAAATGGATCCCATTCTGGGGAGGTGCTCACTTCCATGACTTCCATCACGAGACCTTTGTCGGAAACTATTCTTCCACCTTTACCTACCTCGACCAAATTTTCGGAACATCGGACAAGTACTATGCACGTCTCGCAAAACAACAAGAAGAAGCAACAAAGGTTAAAAGTCAATAAATGATAATCACTTGAAAAAAAACAATTGAAGATACATGTATTGACTTTTAATTATTGAAACAAACTGTTCAAAACATAGTGTTGTAAGAAATAGATCGATGAAACAGCACAAACTTTTTGGTTGGCTGATCAGCCAACCTCGATCTGCGATAAAAAACAATATTTGTTTTTTTTATTTTGCTTTTTTTTGTGTTTTCATAGCTTTTTTTTGCTTGGCCCAATTAAACACTTTATCATTTTCATCTACCTATATATTAAATTGTATGTTGTATTTGTATAAAATTTAGAAAGAAATTCAAATTTTTTATTATCATATTTCGTTCATATCTTTATCTTCATTTATATTTTTAGTTTAAAATGGAGGACGCTATGGACAACGAAGGCTTTTATTTGTTAGATACTGAAAAAAAAAGTTTACATTTCAACACCTGGGTTAATTATTTATAAATCCCAATACAACATTGCCCAAGAAATGGTGACGCGAATCCAACGAGCCAATGTCTTAGCCAACAACCTACAAGGACTCAACTACCTGTTCCTAGGCCCCTCATTCAAATCTCTCCAACAACAGACAGCAGACGACTTGACTGTTTTTCTTTCCCGTGAGCTTTGTACGAGTCCCATTGCTCTCAGACAAGATGTTGAGGACAGAGTTCTAAATTCGAATACTCTTGCTATCCTAGGAACCAAATCGCTGATTTTTGACATTCCTTTTGTCAATACTCTCAAGAAAGGAGACCATCTCAGTCTATTGGTGATAGACGAAGCTCATTGGGGTACTGGTAAGGACAGTGCCCGAATTAGTTTTCTCAAATTTTTAAAAGATTTGAATCCCAGAAATTTGGTCATTCTTTACGTGTCTGCCACCATCGATGTAATCACCGAGACCATTGCCTTGGGAGAAAAAAATCTGAACTGGGCGGCCCTTAAGTTGTCCCACCCACAGAGATTCGCGACCCCAACATACCTTCCCGTAGAAGATCTGAATTTCTTCAACGATACTGCCATGGGAAATACAGACTCACTCGAAAGTAGATCCACTGTGGTCTTTAACAGTTATGTTGGCGCCATCAAGAGTTGGATGTCAAAATTGGACAACAAGTTTTTATTTAACCTTGATCCCAATCATCACTCCCAAGTCACCATGGATGTGCTTGGTCATATTCTTCCGACACCCGAAGACATTGACATAGCCCTCGAGCGAACATACTATTGGGATTCGCCCTATTCCAAGATGGTCATACTTAGGATCCCAGCAAATCAATCGATAAAAGACCTTAGAAAAGAGATTGTTAGCTTAATTGAACAATGCAAAAGTATGTATGAGAATTTTACCCTATGCCAGACCAAAAAACTAATTTTTTTTCTTTAGAATCGAACAAACTTGGTGCCGCCTTCCAGCCATTTGAGGTTATTGCCCTGACCGAGGATCATAAATCCATTATCGATCAACTTTCTCAAAAGGCCAAGGATTATTTAAGGGCTCAATCAAATATCACTCTGAAGGAGCTGGAGGATATCCCCTGTTTGGTTATGGTGAATCAAATGGTTGGTATTGGAGAAAGAATACCCAAATCTTGTGTGGCTTACGATATTCGCGCCCGATACAAAGGAGATTTTCAAGAAATGGAAGGTAACGAGGCTATGTTTGTCCAAGATATTGGAAGATGTGCAGGTCATAACAAAGAGCCTGCGAATGTGTATGTTTCTGTAAAAGGAATAGAACACGGTGAATTCAATTACAACTTTGATTTTAAAAAGAGACATGGCCTTCTTGACAAAAATGGTCGACCAACCAAAAACCACACAGAACACTTTACAGAAGAACGCATTTTTTCTAGTGCGCTCCCATATTGTTTCTCGATCGAGGCACAACCCCAGATCGGGAAGACAGGTGTTGTTCTCTCCATCATAGAGTTGTTATCAAAGAGATTAGATCCAAACAGACACATTCAAAATCAAAGACCCAGTATGCCAGATAAATACAAAAAAATAAAAAAAAATCAAACACGATTTTTAATTAATTTTAATTCATATATCCACCTCTTTGATCATTTGTTAATATTATAGCGAGATGGAAACAAATACAATGTCTCAGACATTACCACATCTTATTGAAAGAAAGATCATTCAAATTTTATGGTATAAACAATACTTTGGATTCATTCACAAAGAGATGATAGCAATGTCGATGGTGTGTTGGAGATGGTTTAGATGGGTGTCTCAAGAGTTTTCTGATCACTTTAGCTTTCGTGATTGTACATCGTCTGTGGAGCACCCAGGTGGATTGGCAAGAGAGTTTGTTCAACACATGAACAATCGTTATTGTATTTTAAAGTACATCAAGACATTCACCTCATCATTTAGATCGGATGATAACACCTTTAAAGATGATTTCATTCAGCCTATATCTAATGGTGTGGGCGATGGTGCCACCGATAGCCATTCATTGTTTTCAAAATTACAAACGTTGATAATCTCAAATTTATCATCAGCAACATTTAGTATAAGAATGGATATGTTGCAATTGATCATCAATCAAATAGAACCTGGGTCGCTTCAGAAGCTTGTCTATATTCATTCAACTCAAATGGGAGAGACATTCAATTCAATTATACAACAAAACAAGAAACAAAAGAATGTTTATTCAACGTCATCGTCATCACTATTAAGTAACATTAAACAAGTTGCCATTTATAGTACATCTGGTGAAGTGGATGGTATTGTAGATTTGGTCACAGAGGTTTCATCGACGGTTGAGAATTTGTCAATTGTAATCTTTAAATTTGAACCATCTGTTTATAGGTCAGTTCTATCTTTGGATCTACCTCTTTTAAACAAACTCAACTTGCAGCGTCAACCAATAGATTTCCCATTCGAGTTGCTTCTTAACCTCCCAAGTTTAAATAGTCTAACTTGTCGATTAGTTCAACCCATAGGACTAAAGATAACCAACATACGAGACACTAGAAACAATAGTGAAACATTTATCAACTTTATCAACAAAACTACCACATTGGTGTCTTTAAAATTGAAAGATACTCATCGTGCCGAATTAGAGGCAATGATTGGAAATCAAGTGATCCAAAACATTTCTATTCAATTTATTATGTCTGTTTCTACAGCGTCTTGTCCATTTCCACTTCCAACGCTTCGCAATAATCTATTGGATCTCGAAATTATTTGTAAATCACTATCATTGGATCCAAGTTTAGATTTATGGAATATCAAACAACCAATTCATCTAAAGAAATTATGTACCGATTCTTTGGATTTAAAGATATTACAATATCTACCTAAATTAGAGAATTTACAAGTTGTTGAATTCTCCAATCTTCAAACATCGATCGACCAAGGTCTTGTAGAGAACCTAGCTCTTTATTGTAAGAATTTAACTGGTATTGTTATGGATGGAGATAATGGAAAGAATACAACTCGAACTGAACAATTGGGTCATTTTATTGTTTGTATTTTCAAACATCTTCCAAATACATTTCAAGAGATTTTGATACAAAAGAGTAACAAAGACCTACAAAACAATTTACCTTTATCTCCTAAATATATTATACTCAGAAATGATCGTGAAGGTTTAACTTTAATTAAAAGAATTTAACAAGTATTAATTTTGATCAATAAAATATATATAAAATTAAAAAAAAAAAAAAAAGAATGAATAATATTATTATTTCTTTTCTCTTTTTTCTTTTTTCTTTTCTCTTTTCTCTCTTTCTTTTTATTTTTAATGTTTAAAGATTTTTTACTTTATCGATTGAATAATTTGATTCATTCATTTTCTCCCAATTATAAAGAGAATCTCTGAGCCAAGAAAAATGAACGACTTTAACTTGTCCTTGTTTAACTGCCTGGATGACTTTGGATGTGCCTTCTTTGATGAAAATGAGATGGGTGGTGGTCGGTGTGATGTCTTGGTGTACCTGTGCACCAAAAGATTCGGCCATTTGAACGATTCGAGTCTGATGCAACTTGGTGGCATCGATTTGTTTTGGAAAGATCCCACTAAAGACAATGTTGCAGTCCATCAAGACGCATTGTCGTAACTCTTTGACAACTGCCTTGGATTGGTTAAAGTTGTTGTTTTCGTCATCGGCGCTTTGTTGTTGCTGTAGAGATGTTTCTTGCAGACGCGACATGTATTCGTTTTGTATAGAGATTAAAAGACGTGAAAAGATTTCGAGGTAGGGTATCGATGCGTTGAATCGAGGGAATGTGAATTGTTTGGACAACTCTTGTATAGAGAATGGATAGTTGATTGTCGAAGAGAGACCATTCTCATCATCCTCTTTTGTAAAGTATGTGAAACGCTCGGGTGATATCAAATTGTCTCTAAATTGTCTCCATATATCCTCACGATCATCTAAAATCGCCAACGATTCATGAGCTGAGATCTTAAATATCTTGGTAAAGTGTGATGGTGTATTCCAAAGTGCATATGGTTTTCCAACTTGTTGTTTTGGTAAACTTTCACCAAATGATTCTCTACTTATTATTTGTTTAAATATATTATTATTTAAATCTAATAATTCAATTAATTTGAAAACATCTAAAAAAAACAAAAAGGAAATTAATTAATTGTTTGAACTTTGATTCTATCTTTTTTTTTTACATACAAGATTTTGAATATAAAGAAAAAAGGATTAAATTAAATAATGGTTGAAGACTTTGAAGAAATGTTGCAGCATATGGTCTAAATTTAACATAGTATGTATTTGATTCATCAACAACACACTTTATAACACTTTCTCCTTGTGTTTCATTTGATTCTGGATCTAAAAAAAAAAAAAAAGAAAAAAAAAGTTAATAAATATTTATATTTTTGATTATTATTATTCTATTACATACTTTTAGTACTATGAAAAAGAATATGATCAATATTAATTATCAAATTCATTTTATGTTCATCTTTGGCGTTTGGTTGGAAAACTAAATCTTTTCCAATCCAATCAGAATTTGAGTAAGTTTGAGAAGCTTGATTATGTTCTTGTTCCATCATTCTCATTTTTTCTCTTTCCTTTTCTTTTTCTTTTTCTTTTTCTTTTTCTTTTTCTTTTTCCTTTTCCATTTTTCCTTTTCTCTTTCTTCTTTTTCCTTTTCTTTTTGTTGAATTTGTATTTGTAATTGTTGTTGTTGTTGTAGTAATAGTTGTTGTTGTTTTATATTTGCTGTTGTTTTAATATTTACATTATCAGAAATTTGTTTTTCTCTTTCTTGTTGTTGTTGTTGTTTATGGTGATGATGATCCTTTTCATCTTTTTGTTTTGTTGTAGTAGTTTGATGATGAGGTTTGGTAGGTGATAGAGTTTGAGTTGGCATGGTCTCTAAAATTTTCATTTGTTGATGTTGAGGTGGTGGTTGTTGATGTTGTTGATGTTGTTGTTGTAATTTTTGTTGTATTAATTGTTGCAAGTGTTGCTGTTGTTGAAGTAAATGTTGTTGTTGCTGTTGGATTGTGTTTGCGGTCATCATCATGTTGGGTGGCATGGCAGGGTGATGCGGTTGGTTTGGTGGTGGTGGTGGTAGTCGACCATGTGGCATCATCATATTGGATGGATGGGGAGGCATCATCATGGGTGGTGGGATTATACTCGGGTGTATATTGGGGAATTGACTGTGAAGGTATTGTAAAGCTGCAACTCCATGTGGAATTTGGGGAATGTGGGGTGGAGGCGGGATAGGATGGTGTGGATGATGAGGGTGTCCGGGACCGAGATGATGCATAAAAGAAGGATGTGGTATTTGTGGTGGCGGTGGAGGTTGTTGTTGAAATACATTGTTGTTTCCAACAATCGATTGTGGTGGTGGAGGATGAGAGTGTTTGTTGTTGGGTAATAAAGCTGTTGCAGATGTGGTAGGTGCACCAGTTGAGACGTTTCCGACTCCAGCAGAGGACTGCTTTCCAATGGTTGGAGGAGGGATTATATGTGAGGGTTGTTGATGTTGTTGGAATTGCTGCATTGTCGTGGCAGTCAGTAGCGCCGGGGTCGTAGAGGAGGGTGGAGGTGGAGGAGGTGGCGTAGAGGGGGGTGGAGGAGGTGGAGGTGGCGTAGAGGGTGGTGGAGGTGGAGGAGGTTGGATAGTTCGCGCGGCAATCGCCGATATGGGTGTGGGCAACAACCCCGATGTTTTCGCAGTACTAGCTACATTACCCATCTTAAATTTAAATGTGGTAGGTGTTGCAGTCGTAATTTTCCCAAGTGATGAAGTTGGTATAATATTGGAGGAAGGTGGAGGTGGAGGAGTCGGTGTTACATTATCAATCTCCATATTATCAGCATCGTTCTTTTCGTCTTTATGTTCATTTGTTCCACTTGCGCTTGTAGTACTGGTCGTCGTCGTCTTTACATTTAATTTCTTTTTGTCTGATCCATTCTTATTGTTGGAGGAGTTGCGAGGTGAGGTACTTCTACCTCTTTTGTTGTTTGTATTACGACCATTTTTAGAGTTGCTTCTGCTTCGACTGCTGCTTCTACTTTGACTGCTTCGACTTGTGCTCCGACTGTAACTTCTTCCACGTCCGCGCGTCGTCTTGCGGCTACTACCACGTCCATTATTACCACCTCTCGAGTTGCTGCGACTACGGCTACTATCGCTGTAGCTGTAACTGCGTGATCGGCTCCTCGAATCATAACGTCGTGACCCACGACTTGATTTGGTGGTGGTTGTACCACCACTACGTCTGTTTCTCGATCGACTTTTGCTATCGCGACTCGTGCTCCTATAGCTGTGTCTACCCGAACGTCGGGACTTGTCGCGACGGTCTCTACTTCTCGATCTGCTTCTACCACGACGGTCTCTACTTCTGCTTCTTGTCCGACTCCTACTTCTACTCCTCGAGCTGTAGCTGTCGCTGCTGTAGGATCGGCTACGCGAGCGACTGCGACTACTACTATTGTACCGTCGTCGGCTACTGTATCGCTTGTTCTTCTTCTCTTTGATTTGTTCATACTCGCGCAACGACTTTTCAAAGTCGTCAATATCGTTCCTCTTTTGCTTTCGATCCGAGTATGCCAGCGGCACATACAACCGATTGCCAACGATCGACGGATATGCACCTTGCGACACAACTCCATGATGATGATGATGATGATGCACGTCTTTCTCATCGGCCGACGATCCACTATTATGCTCTCCTCCATTGTATAATCTACCACCACTACCATTGTTTCTTGTCGACGACGATGATGATATTGTTGTCTTTTTCGGGCTCTTTAAAGAAGACGACGACGACGATCCATTCAAAGAGGGGATATTATTATTAGATGACTTTTTCTTTTCGTCAACTAGTAGTTCTTTGGTGGTGGTGTCACCGAGACTGCTGCTGTCTTGTTCATCATCAATCTGACCCTCTTCCAAATCAATCTCTTCTTGTGTTGTTGCTGATGCTGATACTGTATTTATACTATTACTACTACTAGTCGTTGTTCCATTTGAATCTTGTTGCTGTTGTTGTTCTGCTGAAGGTTGATCCACCGCTTCATTCATATTTTATCATTCAGTTGTTCTATATGTCTTGTTGTTTCTGTTCTCTTATTGTGAATTCAACTGTGTTGGGTTGTAACTCTAATACTGAATGAATAGTGTTGTTGTTGTTGTTGTTGTTGTTGAATATTCGTCAAGTGGGGGTGAAGATGTTATTTTTGAACAAACAAGAATTTTTTTCGAATCTTTTAATATATATATATTGTCGTTGTATATATGATATTTATATGATGCTGACGATGATGATGACGATAAACCGTTTGTAATATATAAATGATCTATTCCCTGCTGACCGTTGATCTACAAAATGAACCTATTTTTTTTCATAGTTTGGCGCTTAGTTTGAAAAAAAAAAAACCATGTCCCGCCAAAACTCAAATCACAATTGTTGGGAAGAATAATAGAAGGACTGGACGAGGTAATGACCTAATTAAAGTATTTGTTTGAAAATCATAATAATGGTAGATTTATTAATAGAATAGAATATATGTGTCATGGAATGGAGGAGTAAAAAAAAATTACTTGATTGGTTCAAGTAGCTATGTAGTAGTAGGTTGGTTTATATATAAATAGATATATAGATATGGTTTTTTTTTTTAAACAAATATTTGGTCAAAAGAGTGAGGAGAGAAGGATGGGATGGGATGATGAGGTACATTTAAATGGTAATTTGTTTTTCTTTAAAGTTGGTTGTTGTTGTTGTTGTTGTTGTTGTGAAATGGGAAGTGAAGGAATTGCAGATTGTTGTTGTTGCAATTGTTGTTGTTGTAAAAGTAGTTGTTGTTGTTGTAGTTGGAGTTGTTGTTGTTGTAATTGGATTTGTTGTTGTTGTTGTACAAGTTGTTGATAGCTCTCCACCATATTATTTTCCAAATAGGCACATATCTTTGAGAAAGAAGGTCGATGTGATGGTTTGTGAGACCAACACTTTTTGATTAAATTGGAAACATAACTTGGTGTTTCCTTTGGAATTTCCGGTCTTTCTCCCTTTGCAACTTTAAATGGAGTATTAAATGGTACATTTTCATCATATGGTGCTCTTCTTGTAAATATTTCCCACAATACTAAATTAATCAAAGTAAATTAAAACATTAACATGTGTATTGTATTTGCTTTGTATTATTACATACTTATACCAAATGAATAAACATCAACCTTTTCAGTATAACTCTTTGAAGTAAATACTTCAGGTGCCATCCAAGACTGAGTTCCAACCATAAATGTCATTTGTTTATTAAATAGCCTAGATGTACCAAAATCTATAATCTTCAATTTACCATTCTCTGTCAACTAAAATTTAAATAGAAATTAAATTAACAATCAAATTATTATTATTATTATTTGTTTGTATTATGTTTTTTTTTGTTCAACTTTACATACCAAAATATTCATACTCTTTAAATCTCTATGGATGACAGACATACTATGAAGATATCTCATACCATGTGCAATATCCAATGCAAAGTTTAATTGTGTATTTAAATCCAAAGGACTATTTGGATTCTTTAAATATTCTGTTAAACTAGTAATTAAAAATAAATAGATTAATATTTATATATTTAATTATTAATATTATTTGATTGATTAGATTACATTACCTTCCTCTAGAACAAAATTCAGTTAAATGGAAATAACAATTACCATATGAACCAGAACCAAAACATTGTACCAAATTATCATGTTTTAATAATGTCATTAATGCTACTTCACGTTTATACTCTGCTTCGTCAAAATATACATTTAATTCATGTCCAAACACCTTTACTGCTACTTCTTTACCTTTCCAATATCCAGCATACACTCTACCTGATGCACCAGATGCTATCCAATGACTAATCGATACCTCTGAATAATGAATTTCATTATGTATTGATATTTGGTTTTTAACAACTTCATCCAAAATAAATTGTATATCACCAACATCCAATTCTGGATGTTCTGGTGATGATATTGAAAATTGATTAGATTGTTGTTGTTGTTGAGGTTGTAATGGTTGATGATGTTGTGGAGAATTAATTGCCACTGAATGATGGCTCGGACTTGATATAGTAGTAGCGGTACTACTACAATTATTATTATTATTATTATTATTATTATTGCTATTTTCGATAATATTTCCACTACTATTACTTGTTGATATAGGTGTTGTTGATCTACTTGTCGATGATGATGATTGTTGTTGTTGTTGTTGTTGTTGTAATTGTAATTGTTGTAATTGTTGATTCGATTGATTTAAATAAATAGTCGATGGTGGTTGTGGTTGTTGTTGTTGAATAAGCGATAAATTCGATGCTTGTGGAGAATATTGTGGTGAATGTGGTGATGATGATGATGATGATTGTTGTTGTTGTTGCTGTAAAATAGTTGGTTGTTGAACTCTCCATTCTTGATTGAATGGAGAAGAGAGGAAATGTCGGTAGGCGTCACACACCATATCCTCAAGTACTTGCTCTTGAACCTCGTCAAACAACGATGACGAAGGGTTTGATTTGTTGTCTTCAACATATCTCTTTTGCGATGACTCTAACCCCAGTTGGTTAGATCCACCCTCTTGAAAGAATCTTCTCCAAATATCCATAGCTGTAAACTTGCGTTCCATATCCTCTTCAATCTTTTTGTATCGTTCAATCTCCAAGTAAAAGTTTAAGTTTTCCATACTTTGACAATTCTCCATATATGTCTTAAACTTTATAAAACTTTTCGGGTCTCCAATAGTTTTGTAAAAGTTTTCTTTTGTTGCTTTCATCTCTGGTACCACTTGGACCGAATACGAAGATGACATGGATGGGATAGACGGTAAAATCAATGGAGGTGATGGAACACTTGTATCTGGGTGTTTGGCCATTGTTGTTGCTGTAGTAGTCGAAGTTGTCGATGTATTATTATTATTTCTCGGAGAATAGGGTGGATTAAATTGAGGTGAATTTGGATGATTACTACTTTGAGTAAATGAAGTTGATTTTGATATACCTATAGTGATTGAAGTTGGTCTACCACCACCATTCTGATTATTATTATTATTATTATTATTATTCTTTGTATTATTAGTTGGGAATGGGATAGGAGGTGCAGAGTCAAATGGAGAACTATTATAATAATTTGCTAAATGATTGGAATTTATATTATTGGCCAATAATGCTGATGAACTTGACCCTCCTCCCGTTGCAATACTTTGAATATGATTAACTGTTGCTGCAATTCCATTTAATATATTATTTTGATTGGGATTATTAATTTGATTATTTTGATTTTGATTTTGATTTTCTCTTGAATTATTTAATGGAGGTGATGTACAACCTGGAGATGATGGACTTGATGAAGTAGAGTATGACAATGACGATGATGTATTTAAATCACAATCGTCTTCGGTCGATGTTTGGTGGTGGTGGTGGTGGTGGTTATTTACATTGGTGATCGAACTACCACCTTGATTGGAGCATCCACTATTACTAAGTGAAGATGTACTGGTGTTATTGATATTATTATTACTATTGTTGATGTTGGCATTGGCCAAACTATAGAGTAGAGTATTGATATTATTGGTGCTGGTGGATGCCACACCCTGTAGAGTTGGCGTAGTTGTCAATGATTTAGATGATAAATTGTTGGGACTATCCTTTTTCTTGAATGAATCCAACCATTGTAATATTTTTGTTTTCTTTATATGTTGATTATTCATTTTTGGACTATTATTATGATTATTATTATTATTATTATAATTATGATCGTTCATACTCGTCATTTATAAATATATGTATATATATATATGTAATTAATTATTATCTATCTATCTTTTTTTCGTCGTATTTCTATCTATCTATCGTTTATTCAAGTCTTTTAAAGATGATTGATAGATAATTATAATTATTATAATTAAATATGCACTACTACTACCTACTACTACTACTACTCTGTAGTGATAATTATTTTTAAAAAAAAAAAGTTGGAACAATCAATTGTTATGATTATTATTATAAAGTGGATAGAGGTGGCAGGTGAGTGAGTGAGTGGATAGAGACAATAATAAGAATATGGATTACAAATAGTACAGTGCTGGGTACTGGTACACTCACTATATTATATTATGATGACGGACAGATTGGTGATGTTGTTGGTTGTGGTTGGTGGTGGTGGTGGTGGTGGTTTGTTGGTTGGAATGATAGTACTATGATGAAGTTGTTGATGTTGATGTTGTTGATGATGATGTGAATATTTGATTGATTGTTGATTAATTGATGAATGGATGGATGGATTGATGGATGGATGGATGGACGAGACTGTTGGGATTGATGAATTATTATTATTATTATATGTTGGTTATGTGTACTGAATGACTGGAGAAATGATTATTATTGATGATATTCGTTCTTTAAATGAAAATCAACAATAGCAGCAACAGAATCAACAGCAGCTGCAGCAGCTGTAGCAACAAACAACATCAATCCAGTGGAAGAGGTAGATCGAAAACCAATCTCCATCTGCAACCTACTACTCTAGCTGATGAATGCCCTCCTCCTCTCTCTTTGTGATTCCATTATGGTGTATTTGCTTTGTGTGTTGTGTTGTGGTTAGTAGTTATAATATGTATACCTACCGACCAAAATAAACTAAACCTAAACCGCACCGTTTATGTTTGCGTGTGAGAGAGTTGAGAAGAATATATATATATTAAAACGAGCAAGCATCATCAACATCTTAACATGAATGCTGATAGTGATAGTAGTAGCGATTACATTTTGTGGTTGTTGTTCCACCTTTCACCACATAGTGTTGCCGATACGATATATGTATAAAACACAACAAACATCCATCTTCCATCATTATATGTGATGATCGTTCTACTTGTTTACCACATTAGTGTGCACACTCACACACACTTGACTTGAATGGTGTGTGGTGTACTCAGTACAATACAAACAATAACTATACTAGTATCACATATGATTCATTTATTTGTATATCTATTTTTGGTCGTGCGTTGAGTAAAATCTCCCCACGCTCGACCACCTTCTCCTATTGCCAATATCTGTTTGTATGTGTGGTCATGATCTATTCATTATTCACTATTCTTTTCTTTCTCTCGTATAAAAAACATGAATAGAGGAGAGTACGAATCCTGGGAATTTTACGATACCAATGCTAATAGAGGCACCCAGATATTTTGATAATGTTGTGAAATTTCCGCGACGGGAGGAAATCATGGTAGCAATCTCCCATCCCAATGGGATGGTTACGAAAATAATAAAAGTAAATAAATGAAATTACCGAAAAATTACTATAAACAGTTTTGTTTCATTCCCTCCCATTGCGTTACTCTATTTTTATTATTATTATTATTATTATTATTTATCTTAATTTCCCTCCTTTATTATTATTATTTGTTGATTCACACACACATACACACATCTATCTATCTATCTATCTGTAGATTGCATTAATGATGACATCAAACCCTCCACCAACCATTGATTTTAATCCAAAACAATTAACTTTTAAAGTATGTTTTATTTATAGACTAGACTGATAGAGAGAATTGTTAATTAATATTTATTTATATCTATAGTATAATTGCTCAAATAAAAATATACCATTGACAATAAGTAATAATGGATCAGATTTAATAGAATTGATTATTCAACCAGAAGATGAGGATCTAATCACTGTACCAGATTTTAGATCGATTTCACCAACTAAATCTATACATTCAAATAGTTTGAATTCAGCAGTTCCATCTTTATCACCATCCAACAACACCACTTCAACCATTTTTGCAGAAAAACAATCAGCCTATCCAGCCACAGCAACTAGGATCCCTCTCAATCCACAAGAACATCGTTGTATTTATCTTAGACTCAACCAACAACAACAACAACAAGATGGCAAACCAACAGAATCAACCATCCAAGTAATTTATAAAACCAAAGCTGCTGGTCAAGGTGGAAGTAGGTTCTCAAAAGAAGAAGAAGGTGTAATCTCAATTCCAGTTAAAACTATTTAAACTTTTAAGTACTTTTAGAACACTTGTACATTTTTTAAACCAACCAACCAACTATTCACTTTTGTAAATAAATCCTTTTCAATTCATTGGATAATAATATATGTAAATTTTAAATGTTATGTGCAAAGAATCTTTATTTATTTATTTATATAATTATGTTGGGTTGGGTGTTGATGGTATTATGTGATTTGGCATAGGGAGAGGGGGTTGTTGGTTAGGTTTAGGGATATATTTTCTTTTTTGGGGGGGGGGGGGGGGTTTTAGGAAACAAAAATATGTATATATATTTAATCTACGGTTTTCGGTATCTATAGAGAGGAGAGAGATGACTTCAATAATATTTGTTTGTTTTTTGTGTTTCCAAAAAAATGAAACTTGAGTAAAAAGGAATTTCAAGGGTCATTTTGTAGGTTTGTTGTTCCAATTGGATTTGAATCCTATTTGAATTCTATGTACTTGGGAAAACAAAGTCTGGATTGGGAAGGAATTCATTTCGAACAAAAGTAAACGAGATGGAATGTTCACGAATGAATTTACGAGCTTTTCTTTTTCTCGGCCTCTGTTGGTTGATTGTTGATGTGATCATTGTAACGGTCGTTGGTGATGATGAGGGCATTTGTCTTTTTGGCGTATTGAATTGCATAACTGTCGTCATAGTCTTGAGGTGGGGTGATGCAGATCTGTCCCTTTTCAATCAACTCTTGCAACAACTGGTGGTTGTCAATCATTGGTTGGAAGTCGGCCAATCTCATTGGTGCATTGGGACCGGTTTGTTTGCGTGACACGACACTCTCGGGAAGAAAGGTAACGGCCTCGTAACCACGGTGACTGTAATAGTCCAACGCCTTTTTGATGGCAATAACAGAGAGCGAGTTCTTTTTGTTAGAGTACTTGATGGCAACATTGGGACCGTCTATAACAACCAGATATGGTTTCTTTTTAGACTTTCCTCCTACAAAAACAATAGAATCTTGTGGCATTTCAATCACTCCACGTGATCCCGGTAAAGGAAGGTTCAAAGGTAATTGGACTGCTGCCAATCCCGATGACGTCATAGGGGCAGGACTGCTGTTGTTGCTACTCGTCGAAGTGGTACTTGTCAACAATTGAGATGATGGTGGTGTAATGGGTTCAGCAGTAGGTTGCAACTTGGGAGAAGCAAGAGTAGACGGTGATCCAACCATTGACAATGATTGATTCGATGTTGTACTCTCACCGTTCCACAAGATTTCTTCTTCATCTGAATCTTGATCAGATTCTAATGATTCATCAGAAGGATCATCTGAATTTGATTCTGATTCTGATTCTGATTCTTCCTCTTGTTCAGATTCTTCAGATTCCGATTCTTCTTCATCATCATCATCATCTAGATCATTTTCTTCATCAGCTTCATCAATTTCATCTTGAATTTGGTGTCTTAATTGTTGTCTTTGTTGTTGATGTTGATGTTTTGGTTTTTCCTTTTCCTTTTCTTTGTTTTGTACATTGGTTGGTTGTTGTTGTTGAACAACTACAGCAGCTTGTTGTTGTTGTACTTGTTGAACTGGTTGAGCAACAAAAATTTGACCAATATTACCAACAATCAAATCTTTGACAGTGATAGTTTCCTTTTTCTCTACGATGACACGGTATCCTCTGACCTCGTGTTTGATGTCACCCACCTTACAGGGTACCTTGCATTCTTTGAGTACATGGCCATAAGTGAAACCACCCTTGCTTCTTGGAATGAGGGCAATTTGGTTGCTGTGGAAACGGGTGGACGGTGAAAATACAATGTTTTGGAGATCCTTTAGCGCGGCCTTTTGGCCAATGTTGCGTCCATCCGGCTGCAGCTGCAGAGTAAAGGATTTGGCCGAATCGAGTGACACCTTGTCAATGGGGATGAGCTTACCGAGGTACGACGAGTTGAGATCCTTAAACATATTGTCTTTTTTCGATCCCGATGGATAGACGGCACGGTATTGAACACCGGGGTGTTGCACAGATTGGTCGTGGTGACATTGGTTCGATTGAATGACATCGTATACCTTGCCATAATTGAATCCACCACGTGACCGTGGTACCAATACAATCTCACCCTTTACAAATGTATTGGATGCAGAGAATGCAACACTATCCAAATCATAATGAATTGGTGCCTCTCCCATCACTCTACCAAGTGTCTTTTCATCCTTTTTTCTCTTTTCTCTCTCTTGTTCTTTTAATAGTTTTTCATTTGTTATAACAGTGGTAGAGGTAGAGGTAGAGGAAGAGGTATCTTTACCATTCTTTGGAGTGGCAGTAGTAGTTGAACCAGAAGAGGATGGATGATCTCTTTGTTGTTGTTTTCTATTTCTAGATCTTCTATCCTTCTTTTGTTGACCATTACCTCCTCCTCCTGAATCCTTTAGATTCTTTGAACTATTATCTCCTTCTCCAGAAAACAATTTATTCAATTGATCAGAATCTAATAATAATAATAAATTATTAATATCCAAGTATGTAGGATTACTACTATTACTACTTTTGTTATACATACCAATATTACTATCTCTTTTAAGAATCTTTATACCACCAAATGATGAATCAGATGAATCTTTGGTTTTGTTTGAAGAAGATGATTTCTTATTGTTGTTGTTATTGTTGTTTGAATATTTACCACCTTTTTCTTTTCTATCCTTGTTTCCACCTCCTCTACTTGAATTAACATGTTGTTGTTTTTGTTGATCCTTCTTTCCATTACCACCACCTAGTGATTTGGATTTATTGGCAACTAATAATTCGGCAACGGTTGGATGATGAACAACCGGTTGTTCGATTTCAGAATGTTGTTGTTGGGGTTGTTTGAGATGTGGCTGGTGGACATGTCTACTTGCATCTTCATCTTCTGGTTGTTTTGGTTGTTGTTTGATATTTCTTCTTCTTTGTCCAACAACACCAACATTGGGAGCATTTATTGGGATATTGGGTTGAGGTAGTGTTTGGTTTGAAAGCAATCCGAAAATATCTTCATCTGAATCATCCAAATCACTCAGTTCACTTGCCGAACTCTCCTGAGAGTGGTTACCATTGTTGGCAGAACCGTGGTTGTTGTTGTTGTGGTTATTGTTGAGTATCTTGGAGTCTACAGCTTTGATATGATCGCTGATAAATCCACCACCACTGGCAATACCATTCTTGACTAGGGGTTTGGACGCTGGAGAAACAATGCCGTGACCCGCAAAGGATGAGGATCCGTGGCCACTGCTTCGTGTGGTTGTCTGCTGATGTTGTTGAAGATTGTTACTTTTAAAGTATTGTTGGATGTTGTTGGTTGTGTGATACGAGTAATCGCGATGTATGCCATCATAGTCATCGTTATCGTCTGAATCATTGGTATCATCATTGATATCTATAAAGTCGAAACAAGATGCTATAAGAGTATCATTATCGCTATCACTTAGGTTCATTTGTCTAATATTATTTTTCTTTTTTTTTCTTTTTCTTTTTCTTTGTACAATTATTATTAAGATTTGATTATTATTATCTAAGTTGTTATTCTTCTTTGGTTGTTTATGTATTTACTATTATTATTATTATTTATGAGGATATAAAGGATGAGATTATATTATTACTATTATTATTATTATTCTGACTATTTAGTGGCGTATATTGCATTGTAATTGACCAAGTTGTAATAGTCACCGTTGTTGTTGTTGTTGTTGTTGTTGTTGTTGTTTATTATATATCTTCTTGTTCTTTCCTTTTGTTGTTGTTTTACTATATATCTATCTATCTATCTAAATCAATCAATCAAACAAACTAACAAACAAGACTGTGTGAGATTAAATCAATCAATAAGGTCGTGGAATGCGTTGTCTGTCGAGTGAGTATGTAGATATACTATAGTATAGTATAGTATAGTATAGATGTAGTTCAGTTATACTGACTGTCTATCTTATCTATCTATCTATCTCTTTTTGCTGCTCTGCTTGCTGCTCTGCTTGATGCTTTCTTTTTATGATTTTACTTAGTTTAAACTGTACATCTAATCTGTTCTGTTTGTTGCAAATGCGTTACTACTATATTGAATATATGATTAAAAGGGTAAAAGAGAGAATGATTCTTCGTTTAAAATAATAATATAAATTTGTTTTACTTGTCTTGAAAATTGACACCAAAGCATCTTCCTTTCTCAACCAGACCAAAAAAAAAAATTTAAAAATTAATTTTTCTTTTCTTTCTTTTGTTCTCACAATCACTTTTTGACAAACATTCCTTCTAATATATATATGCCTTTGTTTATCAAGTATTCGGTTACGGGGCTGTGAATTTAATAGTAGTAAATATTTGAGAATGATATCACCAACCAAAAGATATTTACACTGATTTTCGTTGATATATCGGGTGGAGGGATAATATTAAGGTTAAATATAAACCTTAATAAAAAGGTGATTTATTTACATCTTCTTCTCCAAGGTCATCGCTAGTCTCTATGATGATTTTAAAATTATCAATGTATACATATTCTTCATTGATAATATTATTATTATTATTATTATTATTATTAGTATCTGTATTTTCATTATCCATTTTTTGTTTCTTTGGAATTATTTTACAAGTGGAATGCTGCTGTTGTTGTTGTTGTTTTTGTCTAACTAATTGTTGTTGCTGTTGTTTTTGATTATTTCTTTGATTTAGGTAATTATTAAAATTGGATTCTTCATCGTCGTCTTGGTCACCTTCTTGGTCATCGTCGTCCTTGACATAATCACCTTGGTCTTTGTCGTCGTATTGGTGGTATCGATTATTATTGAATTGTCTATATGTTCTTTTAGTCGAGGAAATGGGACTGTAGACTGGTGATGTCAAAAAGATGGTTGGTGTACGTTTAGGTGACACCAATATACGATTAAATAATGGTGTTGTTTGATTATTCATCATCATCATACCAGGTGTGTAGAGTTGTTGTTGTCGTTGTTTGGTTGGAGTTGAAAATTTGGTTGGTGTTGAAAATTTGGGTTGGTTATTATTATTATTATTAGTATTGGACACTGAAGAAGAAGAAGAGTCAGTGTTTGTAAATCGTGGAGATGAAGAGGAGGATAAACAAGGAGAGGATAAGGAAGTGGAGAGTGATGGAACTACAGTTGTTGTTGTTGGCGATGAAAATGTTAAATGAATGGATCCAACCATACCAGGAACACGTTTAGTTGGTGAGTTTGAAAATGGATCTTTAAATACATTTAAATTTCCAAGTGACCCACCATTCTTCTTTTGTTGTTGTTGGAATAATGATTTATGTTGTTGTTGTTGTTGTTGTTGTTGTTGTTGATTATTTTGGCCATACCCTAAACTAGAAGGGGATCCCATATCACCACCCGACATTATATTTGGTAAATATAAACTTGAATCAATCTCAAAACTTGAATCTAATGATGAGTTGAGTGATAATGATGACGAAGAAGATGACAATGATGACATTGTCTGTGAAGAAGAAGAAGAAATAGAAGAAGATAAAGAAGGAATTGATTCTTCATCAAATGATTGATTTGGTGATGACAGTAGTGTTGAGGTTGATAATGTTGACCATGAAGATGATAATAAAGAAGGAGATGATTGATTATTCATATTATTATTATTTTGATTATTATTTTGATTATTATTTGAAGTCATTATAAATCTTTTAATTTCATCTATATTCCATAATAAATTATTTGATAGGACAAGATTTGGATCTTTAAAGTGAAGTATGTTGTTACGTTTGATATGAATGTTTAACTGATCCTTTAGAGTAAATGAGTGGTGTTGGTAAAAGATAGAGAGAGTGTTGTTGATTTCTCTCTCTGAACATTTTGTACCAGATAGATCAATGTGACATATAACAGGTAACGCTGTGAGAGATGAAAGACAAATGTCAGTTAAAAGAGTATCTGCCAATACAATAGTATGCAATGAATTGAATCCAGAACGTCCATGAGAATTCTTGATATAATTGGCAGTAAAGATGATAGAGTCATCTGTAAGAGGTGTATTCTTTGCTATTAATTTAGTCAACGTCGAACATGCCGACAAGTGCACCAACCCAGTATCACCAACACCACGATTACTAGATATATCAAGTATTTGAATACGTGGCATTTCCTTGATCACCGACAATGCATCATTATCAATTCCAGTTGATGATATATCAAGTGTTATTAATTTTGGTAAATCTAAAAATATTTCCAAAACAAATTAATTAATTTCCAACATTTTGTTTGTCTAATATATATATATACATACTCTTTAGATAAGATATACCAATACTATCAATTCTTTTACATTTACTTAGAATTAATGATCTAATGGTTAATATTTCTTGAAAAGGAAAGTAAGTAAGTCAGTAAACACACACATACAATAATAATAATTTAAGGGGGAGGGGAATGTTATATTTTGAACATACGAGATATAGTATATACAGAAGAATTGGTTAGATCATGACATGATTTAAAGTCAAGATGAGTGATAAAGTCGAGTGGAAGAGCAACTGAATAATGGTAGAGCACAGAGGTTGATAGTCTAGATTGTTTAATCAAACAATCAATCAATGATTTCATTCTATTCAATGATTGATTATGTTTTTCATCATTATCAACTATTCCATTATAATGTTGTTGTTGTTGTTGTTGTTGTAGTAATATATCTTTGGTAGTTGTATTATTATTAATTGATTCTGATAATCTATTCTCTAACTTTGTCAAACATAGTTTGAATAATGATGATTGTTTGCTGATGATGGTTGATTTATCTTTTTCTAGTCGCATTATTTTCTATCACTCTTGATGTTGTTGTAGTAAAGTAAGTAAACACAAGTGTCACAAGCAGTGAGATACAGTGATTCCGTTACACTGATTTTCAAAAAATGGCGGGAATTTTGAAATATGCAAGTACAAGGGATTTTGGAAAATTGGTTTATTAATTATTATTAATATTATTAATTTATTGTTGTTGTTGATGTGTGATACTAACATTTATGCAATATATTGGAGGTATATAGTTGGGGACTGGGGGGGGGGGGGGGGGGGGGACGGTGGTACATACAGTTTGGAAGTCCATTAAAAGGTTACTATCGCTCGGTTGATGAATTGAAAATGATGGTAACCAATTAATTTTAAAGGACTTCCATACCGTCGATCGTTCGATGTCAACGAGCAATGTTGACATTCGTACGAAAACTTCTCTGACTCTTGTGTTATATCTAAAACTATGTTTTGATTCAATCTCGATGTGATCAAAGATAAAGAGTGATACTTTAAGCTATTGCCATGTTGGGTCAGTCTGTCGTTTGTTCTATTTGTTAGCAAATAGAAATATGTAAGATTAGTGATTGTTGGAGCTGTTGCTCACAACACCATTCGATACTACCTACCTACAACAGAGGAACGTGAAACAGTTGCGCATTATGTAGAAGATATAGATCTATGAACTGCTACATATAAATATATATATATACACTCTTCCTCTGCTTGTGATTGTTTAGCAGAAGATATGATAATGACAATAACAAAGAACTTTTGCGCAAAAGTTGGTTAAATATAATATACGCTATATACTCTTTGCTCATTGACCTCTCTTTTTCCCTTTCTTGTCAAGAATCAAATTTAATCACAAAAAAATCTTTTTTTTTGTATACTCTTTCTTTGGGACTTTGAAAGATCATTAGTGAATAGTATACTATTTCTTCTATCTATAATCAAATAGTGTATATTAGAGTATAATATATATATATATAGTAGATAGCACGATGTCTTCAAAAACGACATCTACTACAACAACAACAAATATTAAGGATGATAGTAACAACAACAACAATAACAACAACAACAATAACAACAACAATCAGACTACTACTACAACTACCAACAACCCATCAACATCAACAACAACATTAAATGAAGATGATGATAGTAGTGAAAGTGGATCAACATTGGATATACCCAAACCATCGATCGATGACATGTTGAACAAGATTGATGAATCTGCATTGGCACATTTAGACAAACCAGCATCGAGAAAGAAATATGCACACGAAGATTCATCGACGCCATCATGGTTTAAGCATTCAAAGCACTTTCTCATATTCTCATTCTCTGGCAAACCGATATACTCGAGATATGGTGACGAGGTAGCTCTCAATACATTCATGGCTACACTCAGTGCAATGTCATCGTTTATCGAATCACAAAAGGATGAACTCAGACACATCAAAACCGGTGACTATGTCTTTGTCTATCTTCATCGTGATCCTCTCTGTCTTGTATCTATAGCAAATACCGGTGAAACTCCTGCCATCATCTCTAGACAATTGGAATATATACATTCACTCATCGTATCAATGTTGACTCAATCAAATATTAAAGCTGTTTTCGATGCTAAATATGATTTAAGAGATTTATTAGGTGGTATGTAAATCAATCAAAACAAAACAAAATATATCAATATATATATTAATATTTGATTTGATATTATATATAGGTACGGACAAATTTTTAGATAACCTTATAAAGACTATAGATAAAGATATATCTATTCTATTAAACTCTGTAAATTGCCTTCGATTAAATTATACACCAAGAAATGATATCACTAATATCATTCAAAGTAACAAACATGAATCTGTATTGTAAGTTAAAAAACATAAACATAAATATAAATATATATTTGATCAATCAATCAACCAATTCTAATTAAATCAATTTTCTTTTAGATTTGCACTACTTGTATCAGGAAACAAATTAATTAGTTTTGTTAAACAAAAAAAATATTCCCTTAAACCTCAAGGTAAACAAACTATAGTTATAAATAGATTGAAAAGAAACCAATATTAATTAATATTATATTTATTTCTATTTTAGATATTCATATTGTAATGAATTTTGTTTCATCAACATCATCATTTAGAGAAAGTGAAGCATGGATACCAATTTGTTTACCCAATTTTAATAATACTGGATTCCTTCATCTTTACATTTGTTATATTCTACCCGATGTTTGTCTATTACTATTCTCTGCGCTACCAGAATCTTTCTATCATCTTAGTAACTGTAAAAATTTAATAGTTAAAGTATGTAAAGAAAGAAAGACAAATAATATACTATCAGATGACTGTTAATGATATTAATATTTTTTTATCTTTTAAAGGAAATGGAAAGTAAAGGATTAATGGAAGAATTAACAAAAGCAGTACAAAATCATGGATATACATCAGCAATGACAGGTGTACCACACTTGTTACACTTTATGTATAGATCGAGAACATCATACTTTAGCACATCGCCCAAGTTTACAGCACCCTATTCAGATAAAAAGGAGAGAAAGAGATTGTTCCGTCTCTACCAACATATAGTGGATCGTGTCAACAACTCTTGCTCCAAACCACACAAATACTTTTATCATACCAGTCGTTATGAGACTGTCATTGTAGCAGTCTCTAGTACCCATGAAATCTATGCAACCTTTTCACCTCTTGAAACCAAACAAACTGTATTTGAATCATTCTCATTTTTATTGCAATGGATTAAAGATAATGAATCAAGCTTATTCCTTCAATAAGAAAAAGAAGAAAAAGAATAAGATCATATCAACAAATATTAATATTAACTATACACACCATTTTATCGACCTATATTATCTTAAAAACACACAACTAACTATTTACAACTATAAAACAATCCATCCTCTCTCCATATACCATAAAATAAATCCTTCCATCCATCTATAATAATTATAGTTCTCTTATATATATCTTTTTTTTTACAATATATTAATTAATATATCCATATCCAAAGAGTTGGATATGTTAATTATTTATTTATTTATTTATTTTTTGGTGAAAGCATCTAGTTGTAAATTAGGGGGGTTGGGGCATTCATCCAATCGATTGATTGACCAAAATATCCCATATCTTTTTGATTAGATGAAAATAGCAACACTTGCTTCATTTATCGTTGTCTATAGATTGGAAAAATGACGATCATTCTACTTTGTTGTTTGGTTTTATGTTGTTCTTCTTTTTTTTGTTTGTTTTGTTGTTTTGTTTGTTGTAATACATCATTGTTTATTCAATGACAATCTTTCTATGAGCATATAATCTATTAACGATAGTTTGTCTCTTTAAACTTTCCAATTCAGTCAAACCAGAGGTAATGAGTTGCTTTAAATCTTCACCTGTTGCATTCTTGTTGTCTTTGAATCCACTGATTACACGTCTCTTTGAGTATTCTCTAAAGTTATAACTAGCAAACTTTCCAGCTTCACGTCTAAGATCTCTAAACAAGTGTAATACAATTTGTTTTTGTGACATTCTCTATCTATCTCTATATCTCTATATCTATCTATCTTGCAAAGAACAATAAACTATTTTGATTCTTCGTCTTGACAAAACATTCTTCACCAAAACTCATGTCACATGACTAAAAGTTTTGTCATTAAAAATTAAATAATAATCAGTATTTACAAAAAGGAGGTTATATTGAGTTTTTTTTTTTTTTTGATAAAGAGTGAACCTACTAAATATGTATACATAATTGTATATATACATATTAGTTGGTTAGGGTTTTGGGGGAGGGATTTATTTGTTTTTTTAATTGCAATAAATGAGTGATCGAGGGGACGGGTTTGATCTTTTCTTTTCTTTTCTTTTCTTTTCTTTTCATTTCATTTCTCTCTTTACATTTCATCATCTTGATGATTTCCATTTTGATGATCATTGTCTGTTAGGATTTCGATATAATCTCTTTCCAAAGCAGCAAGATCTTCTCTGGCATCATGGAATTCACCTTCTTCCATACCTTCTCCGACGTACCAGTGGACAAAGGCACGTTTGGAAAACATGAGGTCAAACTTTTGGTTGATACGGTTGAAAACTTGAGAGATGGCGGTGGTGTTGGCAATGTTGAGGACGGCACGGTCGGGAGCGTACGTGTCACCGCCTGGGACATTCTTGGGCTTCTCACAGTTGATACCGCACTTGAAACCGGTTGGTGACCAGTCGACAAACGAGACTGACTTGTCAGAGCTACGGATGGCACCAACAGCCTTGTGCACCTCGGTTGGAGCGACTTCACCACGGTACATGAGACAACATGCCATGTACTTGCCTTGAGTAGGATCGATCTTGGCAAACATGGACGATTGCTCAAAGGCAGCCTTGGTAATAGTCGACACCGAGTAGGTGTCAAACATGGTCTTTTCACGAGAGATGATAGGTGCGTATGAACACAGAGCAAAGTGGATACGTGGGAATGGAACGAGGTTGGTTTGGAACTCGGTAATGTCTACGTTGAGAGAACCTGGGAATCGCAACGATGCAGTGACTGACGAGATGACCTGTGCGACCAAACGGTTGAGATTGGTGTACGAAGGACGGTCGATTCCAATAGACTTGCGACAAATGTCATAGATGGCTTCGTTGTCGAGCATAAACGAGATGTCGGTGTTTTCAAGTAGGGCGTGTGTTGACAGAACCGAGTTGTATGGCTCAACGACAGCGGTTGACAAGTGTGGCGATGGATAGATGCAAAAGTCTAGTTTACTCTTCTTGCCATAGTCCATTGAGAGACGTTGCAAGAGGAGCGACCCGAATCCAGAGCCTGTGCCACCACCTACCGAGTGAAAGATGAGGAATCCTTGCAGACTCTCGCACTCGTTGGCCAGCTTGCGGACTCTGTCCAGACATCCTTCAACCATTGCCTTGCCCAACGAGTACTGACCACGAGCAAAGTTGTTGGCCGAGTCTTCCTTGCCAGACATCATATAGTCGGGATGAAAGAGACCCTTGTAATCAGAGTTTTTCACCTCGTCGATGGTACTGGGATCGAAATCCACAAACAGTGCACGTGGAACAGCCTTTTTACCGTTACCCGAGAGCGAAAAGAAAGTGGACAGCGACCCTTCATCTTGCTCGTACTGATCATTTCCATTAAAATGACCGTTACCGTTTGTTTGGTGTTGTTGACGTTTCTCACCAAGTGTACCATCTTTACCAATACCATGTTCCAATGTATACAATTCCCAACAACTTTCTCCAAGTTGTACTCCAGCTAAAAAAAAAAAAAAAAAAAATGGAAATGGAAATAGAAAAAAAATTAGAAACGAAAAGAATGGTATGATATGTTATGTAGACTGTATTATAGTATGTATTTACCTTGACCAATATGGATTGAAATGATTTCACGACCTCCCATTTATTGCTTTACAAATAATAATAATAGTTTTTAAATTTAAAAATAATAACAGTTTCAAAATTTGTTTGAAAATGTTTAGAATCTTTTAGAAAAGTAGGTAGAATAATAATAATAATTATAAATTATTGTTTATAGTATATATATATAGATTAAAGAAAGATAAATACTTGATGTTTTATGATGGAACTAACAAGTATAATATGTTTGATAAAAGTATACAGATAAAAGTAGAAAAAGAGGATAAAGATAAATACTTGATGTTTTATGATGGAACAATCGAAGTATAATGTTTATAATTTTTAATAAAAAAAAAAGAGATAACGTAAATTTATTTGTACCAGTACAAATAGTAAATTTAAATAATCATTGGTGGTTGGAAGAGAGAGACCAACCAAGCACCACAGCAAAAGAGGAAATGAATTTGAAAAACATTCATTCATTAATTTTTTGGCGCCAACCCCTCATAGTGAATCATCAACCCAAAGATGCAATCTTGATCTTATTGAAACTTCGCAGAGATATCACTCTACTCTATTGTACCTCTATTTCGAGCATAAGATCAAAGATAAGATAATATATCATTTTAAGTACATGTCAGCAACAGCAACAGGAGGTAGATCTACAAGAATGTTAATGAACAAAATAATAGATTTTGTAAAGAATGAGGTATGTTTATTGATTGATTGTGATCGAGATTGATTGGTTGATTGTGTTGTTTATGTTTATGTTTATATTATATTATATTGATTTGTTTATAGATGAAAAATAATGATCCATCACATGACTTTAAACATGTAGAGAGAGTAGTAGATTTAACAAGACAGATTGCCAAGAGTGAAAACTATCAAGGAGATATGGAGTTGTTAGAGGTGGCTGCTTATTTGCACGATGTTAACGATTGGAAGTACTCGGGTAGTGAAACGGCTGGTGTCGAGGCTGCTCGTTTATTCCTCGCCGATCAATCCTATCCAGAGGACAAGATTGAAAAGGTGTGTCAAATCATCCAAGACATTTCATTCAAGAATGAATTGGGCAACACATCAATGAAGAGTATCCCCATTGAATCAATGATCGTCCAAGATGCTGATAGATTGGATGCTATGGGTGCTGTTGGTGTAGCAAGAACCTTTTCATATGGTGCATTGAAAAAGAATACATTCTACGAGGAGGAGACATTCCAGAGAACCATAGGTGACAAGACACTCACCAAAGACGAATACATGAAGACTAGCAGAGCAGGTTCCTCAACGTTGGACCATTTCTACGATAAATTATTTATTTTAAAGGATCGTATCAAAACTCAGACCGGTAAAAGAATGGCACAAGAACGTCACCAATTTATGTTATTATTTGTTGATCAATTAAAAAAGGAAATTAAAGAATAATAACAATGATAAATGATAATATTTACACAAACCAAAAGATTAAAGATCTTGTCAAGCAAGTTTTGGGTTACCCCGATATCGATATCCAAAAAGATCGGCCCAAAAAATATATTTTTTTCTCCTCATGCAATTATCACGTATGGTTGGATGGATAGATATTTTTAGATACTGTTTTATTGTTGTTTGGTTGATGGATGGATTGATGGCTTGGTCAATTCGAATCCCCACATTGCAATGGAATCTTTGATTACAAAATATCCATCACATCCATCCTTCCTGACACACTGCGAATAACTTTTTTTGTTTGACCATTACTACTACTATTATTATTAATATTTATTTTAGATGGATAGAGAGAGAAAGAGATAAACAAAACAATGAATATTAAAAAATATTTATTTTTACTACTAATCATTTTAGTTTTAGGAAAATGTAAAGGTGAATTCAAAATGTGGGTTGGGTCACCAGAAAATGATTGGAATGATCCTAGTAATTGGAGTCCTGTAGGTATTCCAATAGCAACCGATGACGTCTATATCCGTGATGAAAGTAATCAAACTACCGTCATTTCTGTTGGACCAGTTGTATTTGGGTCTCTTATTGTGGGGAACTCACCACCCAATGCCAATGAAACTCTATTGCTTGCCGGTGGATTTTCATCAGATGGAGCAGTCTATGTAACCGGTGCAGCCATGTTGTTTCTTGGAACACTTGAAGACCAACCAAACTCTATTTATAATGCCGATATAATCATGGTAGATACTCCATCCACTTTATTAATTAGAGATGCCAATGTTACTGTCGTTGATGATATTTATAACTTGGGTTTAATCATTTTAGGTATGTGATGTAATAATAATAATAATAATAATAATAATCAATAATAATAATAATTTATTTAATCAATTTTCTTTTTTCTTTTTTTTTTTTAGATGGAAATGGAAACGCTTCGTCAATTGATAATACAAATAGTATAAAATGTGAGACTAATTCATATTACCAAATGAATACAATTTTTAATAGAAGTAATAGTACATTGTTATTAAAACCTGGTTCATCTCTATATTTTACTGGAGTTGAACAAGACGTAAGTACAAACAAACAAACAAGCAAGCAAACAAACAAACAAACAAACAAACAAAATATTAACATAATACTAATTTTTTTTTTTTAGGATACAACTAGATTTATGGATGGATCTAGATTATATGGAATGGCTGAATCAGGAATGAAATTTGAAAATCAATCACTCTATACAGATCAAGCTATAATTGAATTAAATAGTTCAGCCATTGCAACTGAAAATGCTTATATTCTTATTGGAGATCAAACCAAATTCAATATGACTGGAGCCTATACCACCATTTTCCCTCCATCTAGTGACTCGGTATTTGCATCGTCTAGATCCAATGCAACCATCACCGATGCTATCGTTGGTTTCGATCATACATTGTTTTTTTTGAACAATAGTCGATTCAATATTTTTGGTTCTTCTGATTTTTATTTAAAAGATTCTTTTATTCTTACTATGGGAGATGGAGGTTTTTTAAGTTTGTTTGAGGTAAGTTGTATTTTTTAAAAAAAACAAACAAACAAACCAATTTCTATTATTATTATTATTTATTAACCTTTTATTATTAATATTATTTAGAGTGCAAAAATGAATGTTCACCAATCAACAATATTCATTCAAAATTACCTCGATTTAGGTGACCTTGCCAATCTTAATCTATATGGTTCTCAAATTGTTATTGCCGAAAACCAAGATTATTATTCTTTTACTGCTAGTGTAGTGTACAAACAATTACTCTATTATTATTATTATTATTTTAAATCATACAATTAATTTATTTAATTCTATTTTTTTATTTATCTTTTTTTAGGGTAATAGTAGTATGACTTTATCTCATCAATCAAGTTTAACGGTAAATGGAATATTTTTTTTAACCGATTATGCTACTATACAGAGCTCGGTTAGTGATTTTTCAATTAAAGAACATATGTATCTACAAAATGATTCAATTGTTCAGATTAATTTAGCCAATTTCACTGTTGATGGTCTCCTTACTATTGTCGATCGTGCTCAACTACTCTTTAGTTCGTCAATTGTCTATATCAATGGATCGGCAGGTGCTTATGATCAGTCAAAGCTTTTACTAAACACCTCTATTCTTTATGTTCCAGGTAATTTTACTTTGACATCAACATTTTTATCCATGAACTCTATTATGATTGTCAATCAATATTTCCAAAGTGTATGAAATAATAGTAAAAAAAAGAAAAAGAAATAGAAAAAGTGAAAGAGGTAGGACTTTTATTAACTTTTTTTTATTTTATTAGGCTGGTCTATATTATGCATTAGAGACAAATTTATTAGTGTCTGGTGAGTTTCATTCATATGGTTATGCCTTTTTTGAAAATACAACTTTAATTTCAAATGGTACTGCAAAAGTATGTTAAATGAATAATAATAATACAATTCATTAATACCAACCAAATTTTATTTCTATTTAATTATTCTTTCTTTTTCTATTTAGTTTGATACTGCATTTTATGGTAAAAATGCAAATATTACAGTTCAGTCTGGAGATTTGGTATTTTTAGAAAATTCCAACTTTACTTGTACCAATTGTACTATATCTGTGCTGGCTGGTGTATTTGAATACCAACAAGGTACAAGACTTGAATTATTTAATACTACATTGACCAATAATGGAACAGTATCATCACTTGGTGATGTTTCATTGTCACCTGGTAGTAGTATTACCAATACTGGTCTATTTACAATATTATCGAATATTATTGCAAATGCCACTACAAACAATGAAACATTGCCAGCAGAGATTAATAATTATGGATCAATCAATTCACAATCAAATGTTACTATTGATGTTTTAATTAATAATTCTGGTAATTTCTCGATTGAATCAAATAGTAGTATCTATGTTCAAGAGTTTACTCAAACCGATGGTGGCAATCTACAACTAGTTGGTGGAGGTTCAATCACATCTTACCTTAACCTTAATATTCAAGGTGGATCAGTCTATGGCAATGGTGCAATTAATACTAGTTTGGATTTAAATAATAATGGTCAATTGGGTATAAAGAATATAACAAGTGAATTAGAGATCCATGGTAACCTTACACAATCTGGTAATAGCACAACAGTCATTAGAATTAATACTATTGATGATTTTACTAAATGTATGAATAGAAAGAAACAAATCAATCAAACTGATTTTAAATTAATATATTAATATTACATTTTAGATAAAATTAATCAAACAATTGAAGTAGCAGGAACATTATTAGTATATATGAATAAGAATCTATTGGGTAATGATGTCAATGTAACTATTATTAGTTATAATCAAACTAGTAGTAGTGGTGGTGACTTTGGCAAGATTAAAGTATTGACCTATGACCCTGAAAATAATGACGATGAAGAAGAAGTTGAATGTCAAGTACAACCAACCAAGGGTGAAAGAAACTATTCCCTCCTCTTACAAGATTGTGAAAATAGTACAGCTCAATCAAATCGAAACAAAGTGATTGTAGGAGCAGTAGTTGGATCTATTGTTGGTGCATCTGTGTTGGTTGCTTCTTATATCGCATACAAGAAATACCTTGCAAAGAAACTATTTGCTAAAAAGTTGGATCGTATTCAAGCTGAAATGAATAAATTATAAATCATCAAAACTAATAATTAAATAAATAAATAATAATAAATAATAAATATCCCTGGGACAAAGGCTCATTTAAAAAACTTTGCCAAAGGATAAATATCCCATTCACTTTGGGAAAGTTCACAAATATCTGGTCTTGTTTTTTTTTTACCAAGATATTCGTTGTATCTTCGTTGGACATGATTCCTCGCGATTAATTATTTTTTTTGATCACTCTATTATTTTCCTCTTAATTTAAATAGAGAGATAGAGAGAAAATAAGATGAATCACATTTATTTAATAGTACTATTGCTTGTTCTTACTATTGGTCATTGTCAAGGTGCTATAAAAACATGGGTAGGACCACCAGAGGAAAATGATTGGTCGGTACCTTCGAATTGGAACCCAGCAAGTACACCTACATCGGTTGATGATGTTAGAATTTTAGATGAAAACAACAATACAGTGGTCTTTTCATTTGAATCAGATGTAGAATTTGGATCAATCATATTGGGAAGCTCAACAGGACCATACACAAATGGTACACTTTTATTCTTGGGTGGATTTACAACTTTAGGAAAGATTAATATAAGTAGTGCATCGTTGATGTATATGGGATCATTCGTTGATCAAACTCCATACTCTTATTATACTGCAAACTTGATATCTGTTGATAAAGAAGCTGGTTTATTAATTGGTAATGCTACCGTTATAAGTCAAATTTATAATTATGGTTCAGTTTTATTAGGTAAGAAAGAATAGAGAAGAGAGAAATAGAGAGATGGATATAGATATTTATTTAAAGGATTGATTTTAATTTATTTTAATTTTTATATATTTATTTAGATGGTAGAGGATTAGTTGCATTTATAGAAAATTCAGCAAATATTATTTTTGAAGAAAATGCAAGTTACAAGTCTATATCTTTTAATAATAGAAATGGATCGGTTGAATTAAAAGCTGGTGTAGTTTTAGATTTATATGGTATTGAAAATGGTGTATGTAAATGATAGTATTATACTATCTTTCTTTTTTTGTTTTTATAATAATCAATTCTATTTTTTATTTTTAGGATTATTCAAGTTTTCAAAAAGGATCAAATTTATATGCATCAAAAGGAGCATCGTTGGGTATTATAAATGAAACATTTTACCTTGCCGAGTCAAATTTGGATTTTAATCAAGCATCCATTTATGCTCATGGAGTTTATATGTTGATTGGACATCACTCTCATTTTAATATGACTGGAACCTATACCAATTATGATGGGGACGGAGGTGACTCTCAATTTAATGCATTTGAATCAAATGCAACCATTGTCAATGCTACCGTTCATTTTAATCATTCTGCCTTTTACCTTTCTGATAGTCAGTTTAATATTTTTGGTACTTCTGATATTTACATGATAGATTCTTATATCCTAACTCTTGGTACTGGAGGTTATTTGAATATTTTTGGTGTATGTAAAAGAAAAAAAGAAAAAGAAGAAAAATTAAATATATACTAAAATTATTATTTAGGAAACAATTATGAGAGCATATCATTCAAATATTACAATTGATAGAATATTATTGTTGGATGAAAATGCTAAACTTTATCTATCAGACTCTGACCTTTATGTTTTTGGTAGCTCTACTACTCTTGCCATTGCAACTGCTGTAAGTATATCTATTAAATAGATTAATAGAAAATTAATATTAATCTTTTTCTTTATTCTTTTTTTTTCTAGGGAGATAGTAGATTATATTTAAATGATCATTCAGATTTGATTGTAGATGGACTTTTCTATATGACAAATTCATCAAAGGTTTCAAGTAATTTAGGACAATTTTTCATTCAAGGTTACATGGTAATGCAACATTTTTCAATGGTAGAATTGGAAGATACTGAATGCTATTTAACAGGACTCATTGTTTTATATGATAGTTCTGAAATGTTTTTTAACAATACATACCTTTATGTTAATGGATCGGTCGGTGCATTTGATAATTCTACTCTAAATATTGATAGATCTACACTTTCTATTCCAGGCAATTTAACATTAACTTCCAAATTCCTTTCAACTGATTCTATAATTAATGTTGATGAATATTTTCAAAGTGTATGTAAAGTTTTATAAAAAAAGAGAATTGAAACAAAAACCAATTAACTTATTTCTATATATAAAGCTTGGAGTTTATATTGGTTTAAATACAGATATATCGGTAAGTGGTCAATTCCAATCTATAGGAATTACTATTTGGCAACAAACTAGTTTAATTTGTAATGGTACTGCTAAAGTAAGTTAAAAAAAAAGAAGAATGATTAATAATAATATTATTCTTTTTTCTAATACTTATTCTTTTTCTATTATTAGTTTGATAGTCAATTTTTTGGTGAACATGTAAATATTACAGTTCAATCTGGAGATTTGGTATTTTTAGAAAACTCCAATTTTACTTGTACCAATTGTACTATATCTGTATTGTCTGGTGTATTTGAATACCAACAAGGTACAAGACTTGAACTGTTTAATACTACATTGACCAATAATGGTACAGTATCATCACTTGGTGATGTTTCATTGTCACCTGGTAGTAGTATTACCAATACTGGTCTATTTACAATATTATCGAATATTATTGCAAATGCCACAACCAATAATCAAACAAATCACGCAGAGATTAATAATTCTGGATCAATCAATTCACAATCAAATGTTACTATTGATGTTTTAATTAATAATTCTGGTAATTTCTCGATTGAATCAAATAGTAGTATCTATGTTCAAGAGTTTACTCAAACCGATGGTGGTAATCTACAACTAGTTGGTGGAGGTTCAATCACATCTTACCTTAACCTTAATATTCGAGGTGGATCAGTCTATGGTAATGGTGCAATTAATACTAGTTTGGATTTAAATAATAATGGTCAATTGGGTATAAAGAATAGAACCAGCGCACTAGAAATCTATGGTAACCTTACACAATCTAGAAATACCACAACAGTCATTAGAATTAATACTATTGATGATTTTACTAAATGTATGAATGAATAGAAAGAAACAAAACAAAATTAATATTAAATTGATTTAATATTTATATTAATATTCTCTATTATTACATTTTAGATAAAATTATTCAATCGATGGAATTGGCAGGAACATTATTAGTATATATGAATAAGAATCTATTGGGTAATGATGTCAATGTAACTATTATTAGTTATAATCAAACTAGTAGTAGTGGTGGTGACTTTGGCAAGATTAAAGTATTGACCTATGACCCTGAAAATAATGACGATGAAGAGGAAGTTGAATGTCAAGCACAACCTACCAAGGGTGGTAAAAACTATTCCCTCCTCTTACAAGATTGTGTATCTATTACATCCCAAAACAATAGAAACAAAGTGATTGTAGGAGCAGTAGTTGGATCTATTGTGGGTGCATCTGTGTTGGTTGCTTCTTATATCACATACAAGAAATACCTTGCAAAGAAACTATTCCAAAAGAAATTAAATAGTCTTCAAGTTAAAATGGATGGTTTCTAAAGATTTGTGAATATAGCAACCAATAATAATAATAATAACTATCTATGTACTATACTATATTTAAATAAATATTTTTTAAACCTTTTAAATCTAGGAGCAGTATAGTAGTACAATACGTATACTATTCATGCAAATATAGAAGGGAGATTGATTGATTTGCAGTTGATCTATAGATTAAATGATATTAATTAGGAGGTCACAAAACAAGATGTGTACACTGTATACTACTATAATAGTCATAATTATGATGCGTCTGTTGTTTGGCATGTTTTTCAAGAATGCGACCAACCATCACGTGACATCATTCGCTTCGAAATTAATTAAAAATTTAATTTAAACAGCAAAGTATTTTTTTTTAAGCAAACATAAATAGCGGTTTATGGATCATTGGGGAGTACTACTCTAATAATAAAAGAATAGAATAGAATAGAATAGAATAGAATAGAATAGAATAGAATAGAATAGAATAGAATAGAATAGATAGATAGATAGATAAAATAGAATGATATCAAGAAATTTAGTAAAAGTTACCAAATTAAACATAAAGAATCAGATAACAGCAGCAGCTGCTACATCTTTACAGGTACAACCAACTGCTGTTGGCAATAGAAATTACTTTTCAGTTGTAGATAAAGATAAAAAAAAGAAACCTAAAGTCCTTGTTCTTGGTTCAGGTTGGTCTTCTTTTGCTTTTTTAAAGAAATGTATGTAACATTAACATTATTATTATTATTATTGAAAAAAGAAGAAGAAACTAATTTGCTTTCTTTTTTGCTTTTCTTTTTTTTTGTTTGTTTTACTAGTAAATTCAAAATATTATGATATAACATTAATATCACCAAGAAATCATTTCTTGTTTACACCTTTATTGGCATCAACGACGGTTGGAACATTGGAGTTTAGATCGATAGCAGAACCAATTAGAAAGGCAAAGAATGATTTTGAATTCCTTCAAGCTCAATGCACTACGGTAGACCCAGAAACAAAGACCATTGAATGTACATCAACCTTGCATGACACCACTCCATTTAAATTACAGTATGATTATTTGGTCATTGGAGTTGGTGCAAGAAATGCAACTTTTGGTATACCAGGTGTATCGGAACACGCCCACTTTCTCAAAGAGTTGCATCAAGCTAGATCCATTCGTCAACGTATCATATATTGTTTTGAATCTGCATCATTACCAGACTGTAAACCAGAGGAACGTAAAAGATTACTTAGTACAATCATCGTTGGCGCTGGACCAACTGGTGTCGAGTTTGCAGCCGAACTAAATGATTTGGTCATTGAAGATATTGCTAAACTATTCCCCAATGTTCCATGCAATGAAATCAACATTACTATACTCGAAGCATCTAATCGTATATTATCAGCATTTGACTCTAAACTGGTAGATACTGCGGTAAAGAGATTTAGAACGACTGGTATAGATGTACGTACCAATACAATAGTCAAAGAGGTACTATCTGACGAGGTAATATTGACATCTGGTGAAAGAATACCTTTTGGTCTTTTGGTTTGGAGTACTGGAATTGGTAGTCATCCATTCACTGATCGTTTACCAATGGAAAAGGATAAACATGGTCGTATCATTGTTGATGATTTCCTAAGAGTTAAAAATATTTTCCAAAATAATAACAACAACAAAACAATAGAATCAACTTCAACCACCTCAACTATAACTACAACCGCTACAACTAAACAACAACAACAACAAGAAAATATTTATTCATTTGGAGATTGTGCATCACCACAAGGTAATAATAATAATTTACCAGCAACAGCTCAGGTGGCACAACAAGAAGGATACTACTTGGCACAACAATTTAATAATCGGGCAGAAAACAAAGAATTACAACCATTTGTTTTCAACTTTTTGGGTATTATGGCATATATTGGTCGTATGAGTTCACTCTTTCAAACAAACTCTGTTCATGCATCTGGATTCACTGCATGGGTTACATGGCGTTCAGCTTATTTAACAAGATTAGGTTCAATTCGTTCTAAATTACAAGTTCCTTTTGATTGGGCTCGTACCTTTATTTTTGGTAGAGATATTAGTAATTTCTAGAAAAACAAAATGTAAAGTAAAAATAACTAAATAAACAAATACAAAGTATACGCTAAATATAAAATATATATATATTTAATCATTTAATAATTTAATTATATTATAATATAATTTATTCCTTTGTTTTCTTTCTTTTAAATAATGAGAATCCACCTTCTTTAACATTCTTTAAAGTTGTAGTAGTAGTTGGTTGTTTAGTATTATTATTATTATTTGTATTATTATTATTTTTAACTTTTTGATTGTCAGTTGATTTCATTTGATCATTTGATCTCTTTTGATTCTTTTGATTATTAATATTTTTTGCTCTATCAGACATGATTTGTTTTTGTTCTTCATTTCTTTCTTCTCTTCTTTCTTTTTCTTTTACACCAAATTCAACTTCATCTAGATAGATTTCAACCATTTTTCTGGCGGTTGAAGCTTCGTTGAGATGACGATACACTTCATCATCCTCGGTTGGATATAATTCTAGTTGTTTGCCAATAGCGGTTTCAACATTTTTGACTAGATCAACGTCATGAGGAGTGACAAAAGAGATGGCTTTACCGGTACGACCAAAACGGGCGGTTCTACCAACACGATGGATATAATCTTTGGAAGAATTTGATAATTTGTAGTTGATGACAATTTGGACGTCTGGAATATCCAAACCACGACTAGCAACATCGGTTGCAATCAATACCTTGACAAACCCAGATTTGAATTGTTTGAGTGCTCTAAGACGACCCTTTTGATCGAGAAAAGAGTGTAACGATACCGTCTTGATGTCGAGTTTGTTCAACATACCCTTTACGGCTTCAACCGTTCTACAATTGTTGACAAAGATGATACAACTCGATTGTGGGAATGATTTGAGTAGATAGACCAAATGACAATCTTTGGCCAATGCAGGCATGTATATATAATGTTGTTTGAGTGTATCGACCGTATCATATTTTGAATTATCTTCAAATACAAACGGATCTTTCATTGGTACCAATTGAAGTTTCTTTAAATTATTGGTCATTGTCGCCGAATATAATAATGTTTGTCTATTTTCAATTGGTGGTAAATGTTCTACTATTTTCTAAAGAGTAAGTAAAAGAATGTAAGTATAGGATATTTATATATATATATATATATTATTATTTAAATATTTTTAGTTACTTCTATTTCTAATTCAAAATCTTCACAAAGAATACGATCAGCTTCATCGAGTACAAGGAATTTACAAAATTTGAGAGCAATTTTGAGACCATTGGAAAGATGACTGGCGAGACGACCGGGAGTTGCAACAATGATATGAGGACGTTTATCCAAAACAAGTGATTGTGCTACGGAATCGATACCACCAATAACGACAGCACAATTGACATTCATTGCAGAACCAATTGCTTTGAATTGTTCACCGATTTGAACGGCCAATTCACGTGTTGGTGTCAAAACAACGGCAAATACTCCATATGGATCTTCTGACAATAGAGAGAGGATTGGAATGGCAAAAGCAGCAGTTTTACCACTACCAGTCTTTGCACTAGCCAAAATATCTCTACCTTCCAATACCTTTGGTATAGTATTGTATTGAATATTTGATGGTTGTTTAAATCCTAATATTTTACAACTATTTACCAACCATGGTTGTAATTTTAAATCTCCAAATGATTTTGGTTTCTCTTCAACTTCTTCAATTTCTTCAATTTCTTCTTCCTCTACTTCTTCATCTTCTTCATCTTCTTCATTTTCAACTTCTTCTTGTTCTTCTTCCTCTTCATCTTCCTCTACTTCTTCATCATTTTCGTCTTCAACTTCTTCTTCCTCTACTTCATCTTCTACCTCCTCTTCTTGTTGAATTATTTCTTCTTGTTGAATCTTTTTCTTTTTAGATGATTCTATCTTTTGTTGTTGTTTTTGTTGTTGTTGTTTTGTTGTTTTAATTGTCATCTCTTCTTTATTTGTTTAAAGTTGATAGAGATAATAAATAAACGTTCAAAAATGGCTCGTTTGGCTCGGTTTTTTTTTGATAACTCGTCGATTGAATGCACTTTAAAATTTATTTATTAATTTCAATAGTTTAATTAAATAAACATGTACAAATCAACAATTAAACTATTAAATAGATCATCAACATCTTTAAATAGTATGTTTATGTGTTTAAAATGTTCTAAAAGATTCAATTGGTTGACTTTTTCATTCATTCATTTTCATTCATTTTAGTTACAAGAACCTATATAACAATAAATAATAGTGGAGCAGATAGATTAGAACAATTAAGAAAGGGATATGGTAAAGATGATCAAAGTAGAATAGTATCAATGGGAGGAGAAGAAGAGAATGAATTATCACAAGAGGTAATGCAAAGAGTGAGTAATATAAGAAAGATGGCTCCCTCTATCAAAGATGACCCCTCACTAGATGACTATTCATCAAAGGTTGAACAACAAAATGAACAAGGTGAAACAATTGAAATCAATGGTCGTACCATCCCAATCAATATACCAAGAGATAAGATTCAAATAGTTAGAACTAGTGATTATTAAAACTAAAATGTAAAAAAGAAAGAAGAAAATATATTTATACTCTAAATAGATTGTTGTTTGTTTATTGTTTTTTTTATTAATACTCTCTTATGATCGATACATATAATAATTATGGTTGTGAAGATAATTAAAACTATTGGAATTTGCTGATGGATTAACATGTTGATATATATTATTGTTGTTATTATTATTATTATTATTTTCATCATTGTTCATGTTGTAAGTGTAAACATTGGATGGACAGAATGAACAATTACAATGATGATTTTGATATTCAACAGGTAGATGTGGATGTGGTGGTGGTTGATGATGATGGTGATGTTGATGAGGAGGAACATTTAAAATTGGGTGGGTTAGAAGAAGTGGATGAGGAGGTGGAGGCGGAGGAGGAATAGGATGTTGATGTAGGTTTTGTTGTTGTTGTTGTTGTATACCATGTGGTATATGTGGAGGAGGTGGAGGTGGAACAGGATGAGGTTCTAGATGGTGTGGATGAGGGATATTTAAAATTGGATGATTGGGTTCATGCATCATAGGAATTGGTGGTTGATGATGGTGATGATGATGATTGTGATGTGGAAGAGCAACCGGTTGATGTAGGTTTTGTTGTTGTTGTATACCATGTGGTATATGTTGATTGTGATTATGAGGAGGAATGGGATGTTGATTGACATGTTGATTTTGTGGAATATGTGGAGGTGGAGGTGGAGGTTGATATGAATAATAATTGTATTGATGATAATCATCACGTGGAGGTGGATAATAATAAGCTGGTTGGTATCGGAAATTTTGTTGTTCATTACCATTTTCTTCTTCTCCTTCTTCTTCATCTTCATCATAATTTACTTGTTCATCATAATCATCTTCTTGTTCTTCTTCTAAATCTTCTAAAATTTCATCTTCTTCTTCTTCTTCTTCTTGATCAATATCAACCTGATTTCTACTACGATTACTATTTGAATTTGGTTTCTTTGATTGTGATGATTTGTTTGATAATTTTTTTAATTGTTTTTCTTGAATTGATTTTAGATTATTTTCTTGTTTGGCTTTAAGTTGTTCTAGTTGATTGGATTCCTTTTCACTTGCCAATTGATAGGCATAGTAGTGTTCTGGAATTTCATCATTTTCTTGACGTTCTTCAATCTTTGAATTGAATCTAGATTGTAGTTGGCTGATAAATTGCATTTCTCGGTCACCTGACACATAGGTGATACTAACACCATAGCTACCGAATCTTCCAGTACGTCCTATTCTATGGAAATAGGTTTCAAAGTCCATAGCCACTGGTACCTCCATATTGACAACCAAGTTGACACGTTCAATATCGATACCACGACTAATTAAATCGGTCGATACAAGTATACGTAGTTTGAATGCTTGTAGTTCCTTCATGACCGCCATTCTTTCAATTTGTTCCATTGATCCTGCAATATAACGTGTTGGCCAACCCTCTTTGCACAATAGTTTACACAACTCTTCTGCACGTACACGATTATTACAAAATACAACAGCTTGATAAAATGATACTTGTTCCAACAATATCAATAAACTATTTACTTTGGCTCTAAATGTATGATATTCAATTGTTGATATTGGTATCGAAGTAGATGAAGTATTATTTGTATTATTTGTTGTATTATTTGTATCTTTGATAATTTGATAATATTGTTTAATACCTTCAAGAGATACACCTTCTTCACCTTTACACATTTGAACGTGAACAGGGTTAGACATGTAACGCTCGACCATATTAAGGAGAGCAGTTGGAAAGGTGGCAGAAAAGGCAGCGATTTGTCTCTTTTTGGGCAACGAGGTAAAGATCCAATTGAAATCTTTGGAAAAGGCTGCATCGAGTAGTTTGTCGGCTTCGTCCATGATAAAGAGTTCAATGTCGTCGGTTCGTAGTCTACGTGCTTCAATGAGTGATCGGATGCGACCGGGTGTTCCGACGACCACCTGAGCACCGCCCAATTTAATCTCGTCTTCCTGGGTGGTCGATGCATTGCCTCCGACAAACGCTTCGACATGAAGTCTCTTGCCTGCATGCTTGGCAATCTCTCCAACGACCGATGCAATCTGGATGGCAATCTCTCTGGTCGGTGCCAACATGAGAACGAGTGTTCGTCGTGGTACACCTGACACTGCCTCGGCGTAACTGTCATCGTCCATATCCAACAACTGCTTTTTAGATAGTGTCGATGCAGTAGGTTGAGTGCAGTGTCTCAACACACGCTCGATAGCAATCGAACCAAACACCACCGTCTTTCCAGTGCCACTCTTTGCCTGTGCAACCATATCCACACCAGACACACCAATTGGAATAGCCTGTACTTGAACAGGTGACGGTTTCTCGAATCCACAACTCTTTAATGCTTCTACCAACACACTTGGTAAATTTAATTCACTAAATCCTATATCTTTTTCTATCATTACATCTTTTGTTCTATTTCTATTAGTCTGAGGAGTAGATGAAGATGTATTTGTAGTAGTTGTAGTTGTAGTTGTTGTGGTGGTTGATGATAATGATGATAATGATGAAGGTTGTGGATCTTCTTCTTCATTATCAACTAAAGTTATATCACTATCATCATTTGAAGGATTATTTTTATGATCATTGTTTTGATGATGTTTTATATCCATATATATACAAATAATAATAATAAAAGAATAAATAAAAGTAAAGTGTATTTGAAGGTCTGTCTTGTTAAATTAAACTATAAACTAGCCTTTGATAGTGCTCCCTTATTCAATTTTAATTTGTACAACTTACTTTTTGAATCACAAAAAATAAAATCAAACTAGTTTGTGTGTCTCTCACAGCAGTGCAGTTCGCAGATCAACGAAGAGGGAGAAAAACTATTGTTTGAATCATTCAAGTTGCGCTCACACTAATTTATTTTGTTGGGTATATATCTATCAAAAGGATGAATAGAGTTAATCAATATGTTTGGGTTGCATTCGCTGCTACTACCATCGGTCTTGCCGTTGGTACTCCATTGTATGTACAAATATTAGAAGAAAGAAATGATGATGAATGATTGTTTGTGTGAAATGAAACAATACTAATCACATCACACATCTTTATCATCTTTATCATCATTCATAATCTATTACAGCTGTAAGGATGTAGTTTCAAGTATGGTTGGTTCAAAACAAGCTAATGGTATGAAATAAAAAGAGAGCAAAAGGAAAAAGATGTAAAAGTAAAAGAGGGTCAAGTTACTTATATATATATATAAACTTCTTTCTTTTTCATTTTAGATGCAAGATTAAATGAATTAATGAGACAAGTTAACAGCAGTGTTAGTGATTTAGATGATGAACATCATTCTACAGGACATGGTCATGCGAAACATCATTAAAATAGATTTAGAATAGAATAGAATAGAATGACGATATCAACAACACATCAAAGCTAGCTAATAAGAAAGAGAACAACAATAATAAGGATATATAATAGTAATAGTATCAAAGATATTTATTATTATTATCCAACAACGAATATAACAACAACAACAATAATAACCACACCCACCCATGCCATTACACGAATCTTTAATCATAATATACAGACCAGGCTTGAATAGTAATAATAAAAAAAATGTATATAATATTATAAACCAAAAGAAAGAAGAAGAGACAATGAATCAACAATTGTATATATATATATATATATATATATTTGGATTAAATTCAATTTAAAACGAAAGACGACGATGATTACTTATTACCCACATTTTCGGTCATCACATTCATTGTCATCTTTTTTTGGTGATATCTTTATAATTAAGATGTTTAGTATTAGATCAAGTACAAATTTATTAACAAATAATATTAAATATTGTTTTACTATTAGTAAACAAACTACTACTATACATTTAAATAGATATCAATATAGTACTTCATCTTCATCATCAGCAACTCTGCAGAATATAGTAGATAAAAAAGTAGAAGATAATAGTTTTAGAGTATTATTTTTTGGAACTGATCATGTATCAATACATACTTTAAAGAAATTACATGATAATTTGAGTATGTATACAATTATACAAGAATATCTTTTTATTTACTATTTCTTTTTCTTTTTTAGAAATTGATCGATTAATTAAAGAATTAGAAGTAGTATGTCCAAATAACAAAGATGAATTAGTATATCAATATGCAAAAAAGGAAGGATTATCAATGTATCATCCAGATATTGAAACAGGAATGAAACAATTCCAAGTACCTGTATCATCAAAATCTGGTAAACCATTTGATATGGCTGTTGTAGTTTCATTTGGTTATTTTATTCCAAAGTAAATATATAAAAGAACAAACTCTTATTCCTTTTATTTATTAATTAATTTACTTTTTATTTTTGTACAGAAAAGTATTAAATACATTTACATTTGGAGGAATTAATGTTCATCCATCACTTTTGCCAAAGTATAGAGGTGCAGCACCTATTTATCATACATTGATAAATGATGATAGAGAAACTGGTGTATCTATTATTAAATTGGATCCATTAAAATTTGATGTTGGTGATATATTGGATCAAACAAAATACAAAATCAAAGGAAATACATTGTATTTGGAATTATTAAATGAATTGGCATCGATTGGAGCTAATAGTGTAATTCGGGTACTAGATCAATTTAAGAATCTAATTCCTTGGGCACAGGGAGAGGATGGAGTATCACGTGCACCAAAGATAAACAAAGATAATGGTAGAATAGATTGGGAGAATGATACATGTCAAGATATTTGGACTAAATATCGAGCATTTAGTGATACCATTTCAATCTATACACATTATTATTCAAAGAAATCAAAAGCTTGGAAAAGAGTTAAATTATATGATATGATTAATCCTCTTGTCAAAGGTAGTAATATATTTGGTATAGATTTAAATCAACAACAATCACAACTATCTATGATGAATGATATAATAGAAGATACAAAACATTTACAATTAGATCATACCATTCAAAAGAATGGACAATACTTTATAACATTTGATAGGAAAAAATCCTATTTTGGAATCATTTGGGTTAAATGTCTAGATGGTTGGGTTGGATTTAAAAGTGCTCATGAAGAAGGAAAGAAACGTCTACTAGCAAAAGAATTCTTTTTTGCCAAAGGTATCATTTCCCCAATCGGGGAAAATGATCAAAAAACAAATTTAATCTCTACTCAACAATTTAGAATTAATAAACAACAACAAGAAAACTAAATTTAAATTTAATGTACATAATATATTATATATTTTCTTTCTTTCTCTCTTTTCTCTATTTTATTTTCCAGCAGCTTTTTGAATTTGTGTAGCAGCATTTGACATTAAATTATCTTTTGTACCTTGACCAATATTACCAGAAACCTTTTCAAAATCACCCATGACACGTGATTTATGTTGTTCCAAAAAGTTTTCTTCTTCTGGTGATATGGCGAAACCAAGTTTCTTTAAAGCATATAAAATTTCAATACTTTGATCAATGTATGAATCTTTTGATATTTTTGCCAATTTAACATCTCTCTGTACAGAAATAATAAAGAAAAAATTAAGTATACTATTCTTTTCTATCCTTTCTTTTATCTTTTTATCTTTTTCTTGTCTTACTTGAATATTTGAAAGTTTATTACGAAGTTGACCTTGATCCTTCTTTGCAAACAATTTGATGACTTCAGGGGTTTTGAAAGCTTGAGAGACGGCAGCTTGAATAGCAAGTTGAACACTACCAAATTCACTGACAAGAGTCATATCGCCTCTCATCATCTTGTTGAGTGATTGTTCAAACTCTTTCATTTGCTCCAAAGTCTCTTTCTTTGTTTCATCGTATTCTTCTTGTGAAAGATCTTCTCTCAACTCTTCCAAGTCTTGTAATTGACTCAACAATCTATTTAATTGTTCTTCAATATTTGTCTTTAACTTTGATGTTTCTGATTGTCCTCTTGATGCCATAACTAAGATTATATATACTTGAAAAAGTAAATGTCTAAATTAAGAATAGAACTAAAAGGAGGAGAGAAGATCCTCGCAAAATCAGGGAGAACTTTTTTTTTTTTTCAAAATATTTTATTTATTTATTTTTTTTTAGATTAATTTGTTAATTTAAACTTTTCACTATTATTTAGGTGATGAATAAATAATTGTTTTAATCTATTATTATCAATTGTAAAACTAGAATTTAAATTTGGTATATCCAAATTGGTTTGTGGTTGATTATAAATTTGTGATCTACAGTATGGTTGACTGTTGTCTAAAGTTGGGATGATAATGACTATTGGTGATTCCATCATTACAAATAGTCTACAATGATTCTCCAAGCATTTATGTGAATGTAATGAATTAGACACTGAACATTTGGTTCCTGGTTCACCTAAACATACCATATTCCCACAATAGAGACATAGACATGATAGAGTTGTTATTTTACATTTACATTTTTGGGCAAATGGATAAATATATTTTTGATAGAGTGATAATAGGTTTTCTGGTAATTCTGTAAATTGAATTGAATTTTGATATAGTTGAATTGGTTTGACTAATCTATTTGGATCGATATTGACATTGTTGTTTGAAACATTTAATTCAAAACTAGATGGATTGATTTGACATTTATCTATTAATGACGATTCCAAAAATTCTAGATTATTAAATTGCTCCAATGAAAATGGTGACAATCTTGTAGGTTTCTTTTCAAATCCATCAATCAATAATTTAAATAATAGTATTTGTCTTAGTATTGGTTTTTTCATCATTTCAAAAGAAGAAGAAGAATTTATTTCAATTTCTTCTCTAATATCTTTAATTATATTATTTATACCTAAAAGAAAAATAAAAAAAGTAAATTAATATTTTTTAATTATTTCTTTTTTTAATATACCTACAATTTTGAATTAAAATATTTGGATTTGAATTATTTTCTTTAAAATAATATTTAAAAGTTAAATTTATAAATGGAAATAATAAAGATTCAATATTACTATCTAGAAATTTTTGTCTTTTGTCAATTTTAAAATTAAAAATAATTTTAAATAATTGTAAGATGAAAAATTCTCTATCAAAATCTGATTGAGACATTGCATAGTAGGGAGTATCTGAATAACAAGTAAATTGACGACTTTTTAATTCCAAAATTAAAAGATTTTGAATCACATTTTTCCAAAGACTTGAATATTTTTCGACCTTTTCAGATTCTAACTTTAATAACTCTAAACATGTACTTTTTTCATATTCTCGATTGGATTGTCCAATATTGGTTGGAATTGTAATATTGAAACTTTTTGAGCAAAGAGGACATGTTTTACGAGAATAACCAACCAAACATTTACTATGAATAAAATGACCACAACTTGTAAGATGATTTGAATAATGATCAATATTTGAGTAAAGTTTTGTCAATCCAAATGATGAACCATCTTTAATTGTATCTATAAATTGAATATAACCTTGAGGATTTGTCTTTTCAAATTCATTTAAACTTTTTCTATAGGATTGTCCAATCAATGATGATTTTGAAAATTTACAAAAAGTATGAATTGTTTCTTCTGGTAAAGGTCCATTTTGACATATTACACATTGGATATCAGTATCCTCGGAATCTTCTGAATCTTCCAAATCCTCCTCCTGCTCTAATTGAAACTTTAATTTCATTTGTTGAAGTTTCATTTTTTCTAATAATTTTTTTTGATTATCAGTTCTAGATTTGATTTGACTGTCAATTTCATCCTTGTCTTGATCTGTCAATTTTAAATTGATTTTTTCAAAATAGGTTTGAAATTGATCACTAATGGAAACCAAAATTTTAAAAATGAATTCGGTTGTTGGGATTAATTCATTATTGACAGTGGCCTTTGTATTTTTCCATCTATCCATGATGACTTGGAATATTGACATTGATTGATTTGATTTTGTTATAAAATTTGTAAAAATCATTAATAAACAATCATCCAATGGAGGACCTTCTTTTTCATCAGAATCTAATAAGAGTCTTTCTAGTATTGGCACATCTAATGGTTGAGTTGAAATATCCTTATATGATCCAAGTAGTAACGCAATCATATAATATAAATCATTGATTAATTCTTCTGATGGTTCCAAAGACTTTGACAGTTCTGGAATTGGAACTTTTGATTTTGTATGAATTTGAACCAAAAAATGACCAACCAATTTCATTAAAAATACTTGATCCAAATTTAATTTCATCTTTGTTAATGTAGGAGGATTGGGATAGGAATTTTTTGGTGATTGATATTTCCCATTGATTGTTTTAAATGATTTTAAATTTGTCAATGTATGATAGGGATAATATGGATCAATTAAATGCCAATATTCCTTTTTCAATGATTTGCTCTCGTCCAACATTTCATCAATAATATCCAATATCACCTTTTTAGATGTATCTTTAAATATTAATTCATCTCTATTTAATTTGGATGATAATTCTAATATATTAACATCCAATGCCAATAATTGTACAAAATGATATTTAATATCATCCACTGTTGGTTCAAGTGTTGCTCTACATTGTATAATTTGAATTAAAATAATTATTATTTCATTTACTAAAATAAAAAAAAGAGAGAAAGTTAATAAAAAAAAGAATAGTATTCATTTTGTTTTTGTTTGTTTTTTCAATTTACATTTAAAACTTGAATTTAATTGTATTAAAATATTAAAAAAGTTTTTACTGCCAATAGTTGACATTAAAACTTGTAATAGGAAAAGATCCATCATTTTATCCTTTGATTGAAATAAATAATATTTTACTTTTGAACCAAAATTAAAATGATTTAAATGATAGGTTGAAATGGTTTTGATTATTAATTGTATGGCCGACATGTTGATGGATTGTTGTAACAATTCAATAAAATTTGGTTTCTTTAATAATAAAGTTGATAATATTCTAAATAAAGTAAAATGTGGAATTATTGTAGAAGTACCATCCTCTTTTAAATCATTAATTGATTTACATAAACTATTAAAAAAATATTTTTCCAAAATATTTTGATTTCCTTCAAGTTTACAAATCGTCTTGGTTATATTACAAAGAGCAATTTCTTGAAGAAATATATAATCCAAAACATTTGAATTTGGAAAGGATTCCTTTCCCAATCCAATTGAATGAAATCCTTTTCCAACTCTAATCAAACCATCAATAATCTCTAAAGCTATATCTTGTTGTTGTTGTTGAATACAATTTAAAATCCTTTCATTACTAAATAATTGTGGTATAAATTGTAAATCTGATCTTGGACAATCTTCAGTTTCTATTCCTTTTTCATAAAATATTTTTAAAGTTTTTATATTTATATTCTAAAAAAAAAAAAAGAAAGAGAGAGAGAGAGAGAGAATTAATTATAATTTATAATTTATCTTTTTTTTTTTAGATATAATTACAGCAATATTAATTATTTCTTTAAATAAATTTGGATTTAAATTTTGATTTCTAGATATTAATTCAATCATCCAAATATCACCAACATAACAAGTAGCAACGAGATAGATGATTTTAGAATCTGGACGATCTTGACAACAAGCCGAATAAGAATGAATGAATCGTAAGAGAAAGAGGTATCTAAAATGACGATTACTAGATACCAATGGTGTTACAATTGGATAGATATGATGGAGTATATGTGGAAATTTGATGGTTTCATCTAAAAATTGAATATTAACTTTAATAGTTTTAGTTTTTGGATTTATGGTTTTAGAAAATCAAGGAGAACCAATCAAATTTGATTGTATGACTTGTAAAAGATATGCATATGATACTTATAGTTCATGTTTATATAAGCGTCCATCTGGTGGCTATGTACATATAAAAGAAAGAAGATAGATAGATTATTTAATATTAATTTCTATTTTTTATTTAGTGTTTAGAAGAAAGATTTAAAAATTTAAAGATTTGTTCAGATTATGGATGTAATTGATTCATAAATAAATAACATTTATTTTCTCTTTTCTCTCTTTTCTCTTTTTCTCTTTTTCTCTTTTCTAATGACGATAATGAGAATGATCTCTTTCACTTCTATCTCTTTCACTTGCTCTGTTTTCTCTATCGCCGCCGCCTCCGCCGCCTCCTCCTCCTCTACCACCTTCAAAACGTTCACCTCTCATTTCATAGGAAGATGTGTATTCACGTCTCATTGGGCCACCACTGCCACCTCCGTAGGGGCTATAACGGCTGTCGCCATAGGTTGGCTTGGTTGGGTAGCCACCTGTAGTTGGTGGAGCTGAATATGGGTATGGATAAGAGTAGTATCCACCATGAGCTGCTGAATATGGTGGTGGTGGTGGTGGATAAGTTGGTGGATATTTAGAATATGCTGGTGGATATGGGTATGGATATGAACGATCTAAAAAATGGAAAACAAGAAAATTAATAAAAGGTAAAAAAAGATTTGATTTTGATAAGTTTCTTTCTTTTTCTTACATCTTGTTTTACGATCAGCACCCATATATGAACCTGGTGTAGAGTCTCTTGGTTTAGATCTTCTTGACTATTAATAGTTTTTGGGTTGAAAGTTGTAAGAAGAGGGTTGGAGGGGTGGGAGTTGGTTAGTTGACGTTGTTTTCAATTGTGGTATTGTTAATGATGATGATGATGATGATGATGATGATTGATGATGAATTATTATTATTATTTGTTTTTTTTTTTTGACCCTAATATCTACACCTTTATTATTAGTAGAATCAATCAACTCTAAAAGAAAAAAAAGAAAAATAATTATATTTACTACATTACCTTTTGAACTTTAATTGGATAACCATCAATCTTTGTACCATCCATTAAACGGATAGCCTCATCAGCTTCTTCTGATGTAGCATAGGTAACAAAACCAAATCCTCTTGAAATCTTTGTATTTGGATCAACTAGTACTGAACAACTTTTTACCTAAAACAAATAAAAAAAGATAGATATTAGTTATCTTTCACATTCCCCTTTACTTTTTTCATTTCTTTACCTTTCCATAAACTTCAAACTTTTCTTTTAAATCATCTTCTCTAATTCTTATACCAAAACCTGCAACATGAATAGTATCACCAGTACCTGAATCAATACTTGAACTTGTAGTTGTTAATGGACTAAGATCATCTTTTCTATCAACTGGACTCATAACTCTATCATTTCTAAAAAAAAAAAAAAAGAGAGAAAAGTTAGTATAAATATATATATTTGATTAGAGATCTCTCTCTTATCTGTTGTTCTTTGTTTAACATACTCTCTATCTCTATCTCTTCCACTTGCTACTCTTTCATCTCCATAACGATCATATTCATCAGATGGTGATTTCACCATGACTCTTTTATAATTAATTTATAATTAAAAGTGTTAATTGTAAATGTAAAAAGAACTAGAGAGAGATCAAACAAAAGGTGTGTGACATTGAGAAAAAAAATAATAAAAAAAAATAAAAATTAATTTGTTTTGATTATAACTTTTGATATATTGCTATGATGATGATCAATATTTATTTATACTTTATACTTTTTACTTTTTACTTTTATTTATTTTAACAAGTAATACTTATATAATCATTTTCAAATTTATAAGGATCATTATATTCACACTGTTCAAACATTGTAGAAGAGATGCAGTTACCCATAGTACAGACTTGTTGAAATGGCATACCATTGTTGCACCAAAACTTAAAGGTTTGAAGTGTGTTTTGGTAGATGGTATTGTCGGTATAGTAGAAATACATTGCATAGTCTCCATTGCATTGACTGTCACCTTGTCTGAATCTTGTTTGACGGTACCCTTGTTTGGGAATGTATCCTGGATCTTGGACGACACTCATGACGGCAGTATCATCAACATTGTAAAAGTAACCATGATCGGCCCATGACACTTGGTAGCAATTGCCAACAGCAAAGGTCTTTTGTGATGATGGTTTGGTTGAATTGCTACAATACATGTTGTCCCAAGAGTAAAAGGTGGCTTCTTTTTGATTGTCATCATAATCGACCCAATAACTTGCACCAAACAATGTAATACATTCTCCTACCAACCAAGAATATCCTGTTCCATTTACTGCTCCACTACATCCATTTCCATTTGAATAAGGTGTAAAGTTTATATATGTTAATCCAAATACAGATGTCTGTAAAAGTATAAATATAAAAGTGATAAATAATTTCATTCCAAATAGATAAAGATAATTTAGAGAGAAAGAGAGAGAGAAAAGAAAAAAGATTATGATTGATGATGTCACAAGCAAGACGAGTGAGTGGTCACATGACCTTGTTTAACCCATCAATATTTTAAAATATCCTGAATGGGATATTTTTTTTTTTTCAAAAAGACAAGAAAGAAAAAGACACATGGTTTTTTTTACTTTTAGTTCTTTTTATTTAATCACAGACTATTGTAACATTTTTTTTGTTTAAATTTGGATGGATAGATTATAACAACAATGAAAGTCGCGACATATGATGATATATGTTCATAATATTATGTGGTTGTTTTTTTTAGAGTGATCCAACACACCTTTTTTGTTCTTTGGTGTTCTTTGTTCTTTTTTTAAAATTTTAAATTATTGCATATGGATAGATAAACTATAAATAACAATTAAAAAAAAGCAAGTATTAATTAATATGAATCAAAAAAAAATGAAAATAATAATAATAATATTAATAATTTGTTTAAACTATTATAGTTTTTCAGCACCAATTAATCAATCATGTAATAATTTATTTAATCAATTTCTTCAATCAAATGATTGTATTGTTGCATCAGTTTCTGGTGTACATAAATATAGTCTTGCTCAAGAAGGTTTAAAAGGTTTTCTCCAGGTTACAAGTGATGGCAAGTTAAATCAAACGGCTCCATTTACTAGACTCCAAACCTATGAAACTACTTGTTACAAAAACAAATTACAACCATTTAGTGTCCATGATGCTTTTTACACTAAATCTTTTGTAATTGATATTGCAAATAGTTCAATTCAAATTGATGGTGTGACTAATAGTTTGTTTTGTGATGACCAAGGTTTTGCTCATTTTATTCAAAATGATTTTTATTATTCTTTAATTGTATTTATAAAAAAGGAAAAAGAAATGAAATATATATAGATTAATATTTAATTTTTAATATTTTTTTATTATTTTTTTTTTAGGTAAGAGGGACAGGATCAAAAAATTGTCCATCTCTTCAATTTGGTGAACCATGTGGTATTCCAGATAATGGATTCAAGATTACGACCAAGGTAGAGTTGGAGGAACAATGGAATTATCCACAGGACCAAAGTAAAATAGAGTACAAGTACAAGGTGACGGTGACCAATAGTGAGACGTATGCAGTGTCCAATGTGATTCTTGGATTTGTTGGAGGTTGGACACCTGTTCAGATTTGGTCCGTCAATGTACAGGGTGATACGGTTAGCTTCCCTGATTGGTTGAGTAGTTTGGCTCCTGGTGCAAGTCATGTGTTTGGTTTTACGTCGTTGGCTACTAATCCTACTTTTAAGGTTGTTGGCTCGGTTAGACAGTAGTAGTAATAGTAATCCATTGTTGGAATAATAAATATCTAGTGAATCTCGTCGAGATCATTTTTTATTAAAACTCCATTCTTTACAATCCTAGGGTTCCACTTTTTCTCATGACTTTGAATCATGAGATCACAGGATATAATCAAGGAAAGGTAGTATAATTCAGTTGTAACGAATTTTTTTTTTTAAGAATATCACAAGAAGTGTCTATGTTGATTGGTTTTAGTTTTACCCATGTCTCTGTCAGATGCTTCGAGGTGGATGTATAGGGCTATGAGACGAACGGGCTGACAAATCTATTTTTTACTTTAAATATTAATGGATGTTTTGCTCAGTTGGAATAGCTATTGGATAAAATCGAAAAAACATTTTTTTTTTTTAAAGTAATTCTTTTCCTGTTCTCTCCTATCGGGAAGAGTACTCAGAAGTTACAAAGTTTTATTAATTATACATTTTAATTGACCAGCAAGAAATAAAGATTATCTCGAGAAGAATAAAAGTTAATTTGTTCTGGGGGTTTGTCCATGTCTATGATACATGTTTTATTGACGCTGATCATGTATCTTATTGTATAGTGTCAAGCATGTTGGATTGTTTTGGATTGTTGCTTGTTCTAAAAATAAATTGGTTAAAGATATCGCTAATTTTTTGTTTTTTTTTTTTGTCACATTAGCACTTTTGGCTGTAACATTGTGTTCTATAATTATTCAAAGTTATTATTATTATTATTTAGTAAATTATTATATTATTAATATTATTATTGATAGTTGTAGAGAGAATAGAAGAAGATGAAGGTGGTGAGGAGGATGAGAAGAATGAGGTTGAGGGTGATCGATTGCAGATGAAGAGTACGCAAAGTCTTGTACCTCTCCAAATGACTGGGTAGTGCGATCTTGTAAACAGTAGGATGGTTGTAGTTGGAGGAAGATCAAAGGATGATAGTTTGTATTCGTTCTGTGAATGTATGTATTAATGTTTCATCGGTTTGGCATATCATTTAGCAATCTAGCTCGCAGGAATTATTCAGTGAATGGTTCATCTCTTTGGTGACGTAGATCATTACGTCGGAACCATATTCGTTCGAGTGTTGCAGCGACCAAGTTGGTAGTCATTGGAGTTTGTTTGAGGTTGAGGAGGGTGATGTCCCAAACTGGTGGTGGAATGTTGGCAGCAGTAACCTCTTTCAGTATCTTCACTGGCAGCGTGGTCTCCTTGCATTGAAAGAACAAATGCTTGGAGGATTCGTCTTTGCCACACGACACGCAGATGGAGGCGACTGGGTCACCCCTGACGAGCGGGAGACATTTGGTTACATATTTCCAAACCAGAACTCGACCCTTTGGTAACACGATGGTAGAAAGAGCAGCTAGTGCATTCATTGGATACACTCTGTCATCGGTTGCTAGGATATTTTGGCCTGGGGTCGGGTCGTACACATTCCACTTTTCGTTGGCTATGGTCAGCCTTTGGAGGTACACTTGCTTGAGAGGTACTCTTCCTCTTTGTTTGGTTTCATTGCTGGCTTGGGAACAGCCTCTCTGCTGACGTCGTAGGGTTGGGTAAGCTTCTCCCACTCGCTGCGGCAGAGACGAACAAAGTGGTTTGGTTTGTCTTGGTTGAGTTGGTCCATCCATGATTGGGCAAATGAAACCTTTGCGACTCGATTGTCGTGGAGGAACCTTTCGAACATCCATGCCTTTTGAGCGTGGAATCTAGCGTTGAGGTCCCAGAGGTTGACCACCTTGGTCGATCGATCGTATGGAGCGTTTCTTGGACATGGTTCTTTTGGTTGGCTTTGATGGGTCGTACTCACGGTCGTTGCTGAACATGAACCAATCAATAACCTTTTCCAATCTGGTGATTGCCTCGTGACTAGGTGATTCAAGGTACGTAAAATAATTTAATTGTGACAAACCATATGTTTTGAGCAAAGCTAATTTACCTCTGTAGTTATTGTTGTGTTTAGGTTTCCATCTAATCAAATCGTTGATTACCTTGTCAATACGCTCTGGAAGGTGTGGTACCAAACCAAACTGGTTAAAGTAATAGCCGAGGTATCGTTCTTTGCTTTCCTTGTCCATCAGTGGGTACGGTAAATTGGTTGGACTGCCAGGTGACATGATCACACATTTGTCAGTGTTGACTTTGGATGAAGTAGCTTTACAGAACAGCTGAATCCATTCGTCCATTAGTTTAAATTCTTGGATGTTTTTGGCAAATGTAGACGTGTCGTCGGCAAACTGGAGTAGCTTTACCCAGTTGAGGTGGACAAGAGGCGGTGGCTTTCTCTGTTTGGTTCCGAAAGCTGGTGGTGGGAGCATAGAGAGAGAGACTGGTGGCTTTGCAGTTGTGGTGTCGACTGAGCTAAACACCCATGTCCATTCACCAAGCGACACCACTCTTTACCCCCTCAACAAGTGGGTAGACTACATAACGCGCCTCAACAACCTCGCAGACTAGACTATTCAACAAGAGTGATAAAGAGTGGTGTCGCTTGGTGAATGGAAGAGAGAGATTGGAAAAACAGCGTGTAAATACGCCAAAAAACAAATCCAAAAACACTAGAGTCAATGGATGTTTAGCTCAGTCGGAAGAGAGAGATTGGAATAACAGCGTATAAATACGCCAAAAAACAAATCCAAAAACACTAGAGTCAATGGATGTTTAGCTCAGTCGGAAGAGAGAGATTGGAATAACAGCGTATAAATACGCCAAAAAACAAATCCAAAAACACTAGAGTCAATGGATGTTTAGCTCAGTCGGAAGAGAGAGATTGGAATAACAGCGTATAAATACGCCAAAAAACAAATCCAAAAACACTAGAGTCAATGGGTGTTTAGCTCAGTCGGAAGAGCGATTGACTTCGAATCAATAGGTCGCAGGTTCGAACCCTGCATCACTCATTTTTTGTCAGGTCGTTCGCATTATGAATCTATTCAGAACAAATACCAAACGTCCCACGGTCTGATGGCTCTTTCCATTCGCATGGTGGTCTTGTACTTTTTATCCTCTACGTAGAGGTTAGTTGTAGATGACCATAAGAACCACGCGATAAAGTTGTCGAGTGAGTCGAATTGTTGGTGTGTCGAGGTAAGAGTGGTAGACTAGGGGGGATAATACATAGGATTTGAGAATATTGACCTTTGCCTTTAGTGTGATTGAGTCCTTTTTCCATTTGATCAGTTTCGCCTTTGCACCATTTACGATATCTTCTAGTTTCGAGGACAGCCCATCTTTCGAAAAGTTGAGGCCCAAGTATCTTTCTATACCTGCAATGGGGTAAGACGTGTCTCTGTTTTGTTGGTCTGGTATGGTTACTTTTGATCCGTTGTCGTCTGGTTCGATGAGAATGACTGATGACTTGTCCTCATTGACCTTTGATGAAGTTGCTTTACAAAAGAGGTCAATGCAGCTGTTGATGAAACGTTGCTGTTTGAACAATGTTGCAAATGATGCAGAGTCATCGGCGATGCCTACGTTCATCACTACAAAAATGACGAACAATCTACAACTAATTGGAACCGAGACCCAATGGAACTTTCAAACTCTCAACTTTAAAATCAACAGGAATCTCTCTCCTACCCAACAAGCCAACTACAATAACCTCACCTCAATAATTCAGCCAATAACAACAAGCTCTAAGCCTCCAACCTCCAACACAAATGATTGCAACTCAACACAAACAACACATATAAAAAAAATAATAACAACATTTAAAATACAATTTTGTAAAAAAAAAAAAAATAATATCATTTGTAGCTTTTAATATTTATTTAAGATTATCTTTTCTCTCTTTAAAGTCCCAAATCCAACAACAATTGATCATTTGTATGATTTGGAATCGTAACTTGCAACAATGGATCATGTTGCATAGCTCTATTAATGGTAGCTTCAGCGTTATCATTGTAACTCCAAGATCTACGAGCGATACCATTATTTACATCCCAAGCGAGCATCATACGAGCACGGCTATCTGCATCGGCAGAGCCATCGAGGACAAGACCAAAACCACCATTGATAGCTTCACCCCAACCAGTTCCACCACCATTGTGAAGTGAAATCCAAGTAGCACCACGATGAGCATCACCAACAAAGTTTTGAACTGCCATGTCTGCACAAAATTGAGAGCCATCGACAATATTACTAGTTTCTCTCCAAGGTGCGTCAGTACCAGATACATCGTGATGATCACGACTAATGACGACTGGTGCTTTAAGAGTACCATCTTTGACAGCATTGTTAAAGGCAATAGCAATTTCTACACGACCAATACAATCTGAATAGAGAATACGAGCTTGCGAGCCGACAACAAGACGATGTTGACCAGCTTGAGAAATCCAAAGATGATTATCATTGTATTGTTGATGGACGTTGTTTGGAATATCACCATTACGTAAACGTTCAATGACTTGGCGAGAAATGGTATCTGTTTTTTCGAGGTCAGTTGGATCATTTGAAGTACAAACCCAACGGAATGGACCAAAACCAAGTGAAAATATATCACCCATAATATCTTGTACATAGGATGGATAAAGAAATTCTCTTTCATTTTTCATTATATTTGCTTTGGCACGTTTACATTCCAAAAGGAAACTATTTCCATAATCCCAAAATTTCATTCCACGTGCAGACAATGTATTGATTGCCTCTGCATGACGAACCAAACTCTTTTCAACGAGCAATTTAAATTCTGTTGGATTTTTGACCATCATTTCATTTGATTGTTCAAATGTAATGTCAACTGGATAATAACCACCATTGAATGGATTGTGAAGAGAGGTTTGATCAGAACCCAATTCAACGTCTACATCTGATTGTGCCAACTTTTCCCAAAGGTCAACAACATTACCATGATAGGCAATAGAGAGTGGTTTCTTTTCAATTTTGGCCAATTTGATACGATTAATTAATTCGTCAAGATCGCTGTATACTTCCATAACCCAACCTTGTTTATGACGTTTGGTTACAGCATCAAGACTAACTTCAGCTACAACACCAATAGCTCCACAAATGACAGCAGCCTTGGCTTGAGCACCACTCATACCACCAAGACCAGAAGTGATAAATAATTTACCGGCCAAACTTTCAATCGATAAATACTTTCTACCAGCATTCAACAATGTTATAGTTGTACCATGAACGATACCTTGTGGTCCAATATAACAATAACTACCTGCTGTCATTTGTCCATATTGTGTTACTCCAATTGCATACATTTTTTCATAACTAATAGAAAATAAAAATAAATTAATAAAATATTCCTATGTTTTTTGCAAACTATTTACTCTTGACGAGAAGAATAATTCGGAATAACCATTCCATTTGTAATGATTAATCTTGGAGAAGAAGGTAAACTTGGAAAGAGGCCCATTGGATGACCAGAATACATTGATAGTGTTTGATGATCAGTCATTTGAGAGAGATATTTCATAATGAGATGATATTGAGCCCAATTTGAAAAGACTGAACCATTGCCACCATAGGTGATCAATTCATGAGGAAATTGAGCAACTTCCTTGTCTAGATTATTCATAATCATCAACATGATCGATGCTGCTTGCTTGCATTTGGCTGGATACATATCAATTGGATATGCCTTCATTTCATAATCGATTGGTCTAAATCTATACATATAAATGTGACCATACTTATCCAATTCATCTAAAAATTCCTTTCCCAATACTTGATGATGTATTGTTGGAAAATATCTAAGTGCATTTTTTATTGCCAACTAAAAAAGAAGAAGTAAAAAAGAAGTAAAGAGTTAATAGACAATTCTTTCTCTCTCTCTATTCTTTCTTTCTCTCTCTCTCTCTATTACTTTTTTATCAAATGAATCCAATTTAACAGGTCTACCTGGTGCATGAGGTACAGATAGATCAATACCTGGGTGATTAGGTAAAGGATCAACAATTAAACCTTTTGATAATGATTCTAACATGTTCTTAAACAACTACAAAAAGTATAATCTTTATGAATGATAAAACCGAAATTGAAAATGAATGAACGTGATTCAATAAAAAAAAAATTAAAAAAAATTAAAAAAAAATGGTAAATTACAAATTTCCCCAAGGAGATAGTTAATATTATATTATTTTTAAAAAAGATATCTTTTTTTTTTTATATATTATCCGATACTTATAAATTCTAATATGCATGATTAAAAAATATGTTTAATTTATTTATTCTTTATTAATAATTTGATTTGTTTCTAAAAGATACATAAAATGGCTTTTTGAATTAATAGTCTTTGATGGGTCAACATGTGTAACATAAATACTTTCTATTTGGTTATTAATACCAAAATTATTATGACTTATTGTTTTGTTTTGATAAAAGGTGATATCTGTGAGACGATCATATTTGTCAAGTTTGGTTTGGCCTTTGTAAATACAATAATACGATTGCTCTTGTTTTATATTGTATTTTAGAATAAATACTGAATACCAAATTGTTGAGTTGATTACATTAAAATAGAGTGTCTCTTTTCCATTCAGTTCCAATGATCGATATGATACATGACAATGATTTCGTGCCCCATCATTTTCCATACCCAATTCGTGATAAACCTCCTTGGTGTAATCTGTTGGGTCATCTTGAACACAGACTATTAAATCTTTGTCTGTTTGATTAACAAATAGGATACTGGAGGGTGATGACAAGTATTGTTCTCCCTCGATCCATTCTAAAATTAAAATTATTATTATTAGTTTGATTAAACCCCATGTGATTATTAGAGTTAACATACTATTAGGGGCAATATTAGTCGAATGTCTATTTTGAATAAATCTAATATTAAGATACATATGATCATTGAATACACCATGTATATTTTCATTTTCAAATTTGTGGTGGAATAGATTATTGATTTCAGGATCACAGTCAACTCCACAATCTTCATTTAATTGGTATTGATTATCATGTTTGAAATGTTTTTTATCTATTTGACAGTAAATATGTGACTCTGATCTAAATGACACCACTCGAATTGTACCAAGAAATATTGTAAATTGAGTCTGTTTGGTTGGTGAAATCCACTTTAATTGTTCATTGTGCCTATAAAAAAAAAGGTTTAAATAAATCACATGATTTCAAGTAATAAAACATATAATATTACATACATTTGTATATAACCTAGACCATATTGTTTGTTTCCAATGACCAATGTAATATCATTAATACATAAATACTCTGGTATAAATTTGGTCATTGATGTGTAGGCACAACCATCACAATTGATATAGGTTTCGACATTTTTTCGATCGATATTGTATCGGTTAGTTGTTGTTAAACTAATGAGTGATGTTGGTGGTGGTGGATCTATTAAATTTCGGTAATAGGTAAGATGTTTGAGTTTTGGTAATGTTGTTATAATTGGGTTTAGATCGATGTTTAATTTCTTATTAGAGCAAACAAAAATTTCCAAGCTCGTCGGAAGTGCATCTTGTTCTATCGGACTGTTAAATGATTGTCCCAAAACCAACATCCAAAGCATTGGCAATGATGGTTCTTTTTTAATTGGCTGGTTAAATGATCCCAAGAGCTTGAGTTTTAAAAGACCACTTGGGAGATTGATCTTTTCGATTGGGTGATTATAATCCATAAGAACCAACTCTGTTATATTGTTGGGTATTGGTTCTTTGATAGGACTGGATAGTTCATATACCAATAGTGTGTCATTACTATTCATTCCTTCCAGTGTTTTTTCAAGGGATACCCTATCTTCTTGTTTTGGCTCTAATAATTTCTTGACAAATCCTATCAACTTGCTTGAATATCTTTCAGAGGAAATTATAATTTGCTTATTCTCTAGAAATAACTTTCTATTTTTATTATCGTCTGGGTGACTAGAGCAGATCAAATATTAAGGTTAATATTTCAAACTTAAAAAGTACATTTCTTAATTGCTACATACCAACATAATAATTTATGAATAGTTGATCCAAGAGAATAAATATCTGACAGTTTTCCATATTGTCTAAGTGTAGCCTCCTATTATTTTTGATAAGAATAGATTAGAGATCTCTATCAACATGAAAAGAAGAGTAGCTACTTACCGGAGATAGGTACCCCTCAGTCCCGTGAACACTACTACGGAAGCTATTGGCTTCAATAGAATTTTCTTTCTCATCTTTAAGCTTATAAATTTGATTGGCGTCTCTAAAGATCTTTTGTGTTTCAGAAATATATTTTGATGCACCAAAATCACCAAGCACCAATTGTCCATTTTCGCCAATAAATAAATTCAAAGGTTTTATATCTAAATGGAGAATATTTTTGCTTTCAAGTTGTTCCAACATTTTGAATACTTGTGAAATGTAAGACCATATTGTACTTTCCTCTATAGACTTTTTATCTTGACTAAAAATGGTGATAAGTTGGGAGTCTTTTTATTTCTTTAAATTGTAGATACATACACAGCTATTTTAATAATTTGTTCCAGATCACCACAGGTGCAATATTTGGTGACAATATAAAATTGTTTGTTATCGTCATCATCAAAATGATCGATATATTGAACAAAATTATCATAATTGATAAATAGTTTCATTATATCAACTTCTTTTTGTAACAACATTTGTTGATGTTGAGAGTTTCCATATTTTACTATTTTACAGACACTCTAATTTAAATATTAATATTAATTATCTATTTTCATTCGAGGCGAATACGTACTATTTGGGAGTTGTTTAAAACTAAATAAACTTGATTGGAGGTATGCCCAAATTTGTATAAAATGATGTATTTCTTTTGCTTAAATTCCAACAATTCTGTGCTATAATGTTTTAAAGTTGATTTAGGACCGTTTTGTAATGGAACATAATCGGCATACATTTGAGAGCGAATAGTGACCTTGTTCCTGTTCTCGCACTTAAATTCGTTCACAAACTGAAAAGAACTATACAAAACCATAACTTTTAGGAATACTTTTGCCAATTTGTCCAAACTTTGAATCGACCCTGACTCGCCTCTTGCCAAAAAAATATGAGAGAGTTTTTCTTCTGGACCTATTAATAGTATCGTCAAGTCATACTCGGTTGCGTTTTGAATAGAAAAAGAAGAGGACCCAGTTTCTTTTAAAAGTGAAAAGCTTAGGGGTACTGTCATTCTTTTGTTCTCTAAAATATCTAGGGCTTGACCTGAAATATGTTTTGGTATGCCAGAAAAAAATATGGCTGGTTCGGAAGACAAATTTAGGCTTTGCAACAATGGAGACACCCCTTTTAAAGTGGCTCTGAACGATTGTCCAAGTTTCAATGACTTGAGTGATGGTAGTAAACTAGCATCGATGTCATGATTATATTTGTTGCCAAACTCCAATGTTTCAAGTTGGACAATATTAAGGGAGGTGAATTGCGTATATTCTTGGCCAAATCGTAATAAAACTAGGCCATCTGGTAATACTCCTTCTGTTATTGGTTGATTATATTGATCTCCAAATTGTATTGTTGTTAAACCATTTGGTAGTACTCCTTTTGTTATTGGTTGATTATATTGGTCTCCAAATTGGATTGATGTTAAACTATTTGGTAGTAATCCTTTTGCTATTGGCTGATTATAATAATATCCGAATTGCATTGATGTTAAACTATTTGGTAACACACCTTCTGTTATTGGTTGATTGTATCTATATCCAAATCGTATTGATGTTAAACTATTTGGTAATACTCCTTTTTCTATTGGTTGATTATATTGATCTCCAAATTGTATTGATGTTAAACTATTTGGTAGTACTCCTATTGCTATTGGTTGATTATAATAGTAGCCAAATTGTATTGTTGTTAAACTGTGTGGTAATACTCCTATTGTTATTGGTTGATTATAATATCCTAATTGTATTGATGTTAAACTATCTGGTAGTACTCCTTTTGTTATTGGTTGACTATATTGATCCCCAAATTGTATTGATGTTAAACTATTTGGTAATACTCCTTCTATTTTTTGATTATATTGGTCTCCAAATTGTATTGATTTTAAACTATTTGGTAGTACTCCTTTTGCTATTGGTTGATCAAATTGGTCTCCAAACTGTATTGATGTTAAACTATCTGGTAGTACTCCTTTTGTTATTAGTTTATTATAGTGCACTCCAAATTGTATTGATGTTAAACTATTTGGTAGTACTCCTTTTGCTATTGGTTGGTTGTAGTATTTTCTAAATTGTATTGATGTTAAACTATTTGGTAATACACCTTTTGCTATTGACCGATTATATTTATCTCCAAATTTTAAAGATGTTAAACTATCTGGTAATACTCCCTCTGTTATTGATTATATTGATCTCCAAATCGAATCGTTGTTAAACTAATAGGTAGTACTCCTTTTGTTATTGGTTGATTATAATAGTATCCAAATTGTATTGATGTTAAACTATTCGGTAATACACCTTTTGTTATTCGCTGACTCCCATGGTTTTGAAATTGCAATAACTTTAAACTACTTGGTTGATTATCATGATTTCGAAATTGCAATGATGTTAAACTATTTGGTAGTACTCCTTTTGTTATTCGTTGATTATATCTATCTCCAAATCGTATTGATGTTAAACTATTTGGTAGTACTCCTTTTGCTATTGGTTGATTGTATCTATCTCCAAATTGTATTGCTGTTACCCCAAGTGGTAGTACTCCTTTTGTTATTGGTGATTATATTGATCTCCAAATTGTATTGATGTTAAACTTATGATCATTTCTAGAATAGCGAATAAGTTACGCAAGACCAAAAGGAGTATCTTTAAAGTATAGCTTTTAAAATAAATAAAAAACAAAAATTAATTTTTTGAAGAATTTGAAAAATATTACCATTAAAATGATTCCAATCCCTTTTATATTTAGATTTAGATTTTGATTTATTTTAGATTTAATTATTTATTAAAAGCAATAATAGTATTTGTTGGAACAGGAGTAGATTGAATACTATTACTAGCAGATTGTAGAGGAGTAGATTGTACAACTTCTTGTTCCGAGATATTGATTGCATCCCAGATACAATGAAGCATTTGAAGGTTTGATGGTTGATTGTAATCATCACCTTGACTAATATTATTGTAAACCTTTACAATCAACATTGCCTCTTGATAGGGTGATAAAATGGTTGAAAACTTTTGATACACTTCTAGGAGCAATTGTTTTTCATTTTCCAAATTCTCTTTGATACCATCCAACAGAGCACCCAATGCTGCAATATATGAAGTTTTGTTCATATCCACCATCATTGAATCATCTGAACCTGGTACACTACCAATTTGTGATCCCGGTGTACTTGGTGTATGATTCAAATCATCGCCACCACGATTTCTTTTGGCAAAATTGAAAATCTTTGCATGATAAAAATCTCTAACATCTCTTTTTAATTGTTGTCTTTCTTTTATCAATGATTGATGTCTTGTTGAACAATCTTGTCTCAGTTCCCTAGAAAATTAAAAATTAAGTATAAGTAAATTTAGATTCTTTTTTTTGTTTTTCTATTATTTTCCTCTCTTACTTGATCATTAAAATTTGATGCTCATTAATAGTAGCTTCTTCAATAAAACTTGACCACCATCTTGAATATTTTTCATTTACAGTTGAAGTCCAACCAGTTGGAGAAGATGGAACAATATCAGAAGATGGAGTACCAAGATCACCAAATGCTGTAGTTGGAGTTGGTGGTTGTTGTTGTTGTTGTTGTTGTACTACATTACAAACTACTGGTTGTGGATTATCACCTTCAAATAATGCCAATTTTGCTTGTGTACAAGGATTTATAATTTGTTTCATTTGATCTGTATAAATTTCATGTCTTGATTTTAATGCTTGATAAAATAACTAGAGAATATAAAATAATAAATAAATTGGAAATCTATCAATTTCTTCTATTGTTTTTTGTTTCTATTTTTTACTTACTTTTAGAGTATTTGTAATTGAATTAAATTGTAAAGGGTCAGATTGGTCAGGAGGTTGAGATTTTGTATTAAATTCCAATCTTTCAACAAGGATTGAAAGATCCAATTCTTCGGCTGGAATGGGAGGATTGAGTACTTGATCAAATTGATCTTCTTGTTCTTCTTCCTCACCCGTACAACCTGGAATATCAGATTGAGTTGGTTGTTTACCATTTTTAAGCATTGCATTTTCTTTGAGCAACTTGTTGGCAATCATTTTACTTTCTCTAGTTTCTCGTTTTAATCTTTCCATTTCAAGACGCATATTTTCCAACTTGTCTTCAATTTCGTGGACATAGGCTTTTTTTCTTTGACGATAATTTCTACTTGCTTGATTTTGACTTGCTCTTCTTCTACTCTTTTGTTTGTCAGATCCATCGTCTGGTCCATCATCATCATAATAATAACTATTCATTTGATTCATTAATCCTGCTGCTGCCGCTGCAGATCCAGTAGGTGTTGATATATTTGTATTACCATTTAATACAAATGGATTGGTGGTTTTCCATATAAACTAGATGAACTTGATGAACTACTTGTTGGTGATGAACTTGGTAATACAACAGTAGCAGCAGCAGCAGCAGGTGGTGGTTGAGTAGGGGGAGGAGGATTAGTAGTACCATTTGAAAATGTAGTAGTTGATGGTGTTGGTGTCAAAGCATTTGTAATTTGTGATTTTTGTACTAATCTTTGTAATTGTTGTGCCATTTGTTGTTGTTGTGGTGATGTTGTTGAAGAAGGTGATGAAGTTGGTAATGTTTGAATTGGTTGTTGTTGTTGAATTGTTGGTTGAATTGGTGGTTGTTGAATAATTCTAGGTTGTTGTTGCTGAGGTTGAGGAGGTGGAGGTGTTTGTTGAATTGGTTGTTGTTGTTGTTGAATTGGTTGCTGTTGAATTGATTGTTGAATTGGAGATTGTTGTTGCTGTTGTTGTTGTTGTTGTTGTTGTTGTAAAATTTGTTGTTGTTGTTGTAATTGTTGATATGCCTGAGTTAATTGAGCAATTACAGAAAATGGATTGGTATTAAAATTATTTGGTTGTTGAATAGATTGTTGTTGTGGTGATTGTTGTTGTTGTTGAGGTTGTGGTTGAGGAGGATAACCATTTCCTTGAGCAGTAGGTTGAATATTGACACCAAAATTTGAATTACCATCTTGATTTAAAGCAGCAACCAATAAATAATTCTTTTCATCTGTAAATGGTAATATACCCATATTCTCAGTTCCATTCATTAAATATGTCTTGAAATTATTTTGTTGTTGTTGTTGTTGTTGTTGTAATTGTTGTTGTTGTTGTATTTGTTGTTGTAATTGTTGTTGTTGTTGTTGTAATTGATGTTGTTGTTGATGTTGCAATTGTTGTTGTTGTTGATGTTGTCTCATTTGAGTTAAAACTGAAGTTGGTATCATATTTGGATTATTTGGATTATTTGGATTATTATTATTATTGGCATAAGAAAGATTACTATAATCATTTTGACTTGTATTTAATTGTTGTTGTTGTTGATGAGGTGACGAAGGAATATTATTATTGTTATTATTATTATTATTATTATTATTATTATTATTATTTGACATTATCGGACTATTTACATGTTGTTGAGGTTGAACAATAGGACTACTTAGATCATTTCCAGTTGGACTGTTTGGATGTTGTTGTTGTTGTTGTTGAACCATCATTTGTTTCAAGTATGGGTTTACTACTTGTTGTTGTTGTTGTTGTTGTTGAACAACATTTGTGTTGTTGTTGCTACTACTACTACTACTATTATTACTAGTATGAAGAGTAACAGGAGAAGGTTGATCAGATATACCAAAATAATCATACCCTCCTTCGAAATTGTTAGAGTAAGAGGAAGAGGTAGATGGAGGAGGAGGAGGAGGAGCCACCTGCACTTGGTTGGCCACCACTACCGGCGAATACCCATTATGATGATCGGTAGTGAAAAAGTCTGTTGGCATTAAATGTTGTGGACCAACAACATTATTATTATTATACATGGTTTTATATTAATTGTTTCTTTCTCTTATTATCTTTCTTTCTTTACTTTTCTTTTATTGAATGATTTTTAATTTTTATGTATTTGAATATATTGTAACTTTTTTGTTTGTTTTTTTGTTTAGTTTTAATATATATATCTTGCTAGTTTGTTTGTGCTAACTGTCTGTGCGTATTTATGTGTGTGTGTGTATAAAACAAAACAACAACAAAAAGAGAGGGGAGGGGGGGGTTTTAATGTAAAAGTGTGGGGTATATTGAATGAAACCTTCTTTTCCTCTTGTTTGTGATATTTGGTGGCTCGTCACTTAGGGAATCCAATTTTAAAACAATATTTATATTTTTTTTATTTTCGATTTTTTCATTTTGGTTGTTTTTTTTTTTCCTTCCTTTTCGATCCTTTTGCTCTCAATCAACCCGTAAAGATGTGAATACAAATAAAAAAAAACACACCCAAATGTTGACGTTAGAAGTTGATGTTATAAATGTGTGTGATCACAACATTCATCATGATGAATGCAATGCAATGCATTAATTTTTTTTTTCTTTTATTATTATTATTATTATTATTTTATTTTGTATAACAATGATCTGGAATTTTTCCTTGACTCTAAAAAATTATTAAATAAAAGAAAGAAATTATTGGTTAAATTCTATTATCTATTTTTTTGTTTTTTGTTTTTAGATTTACCTTGAACATTTGAAAAGTAGTAAAAGCAATATTTAAATCCCAACCACTATTGACAAGACAATCCTTTGCAAATTGATTATTCAATGAAGTCATTGTCATCAATTGTTGGATGATTTCTGCCTCGTTTGCGGGTGGTTGGTTTGCTCCGCCAGCAACACCATTTGGAGTAGCAGCAATGGGAGCGGTAGGTTCACCACCGTCCAATGATACTAATCTGGGCGATCTGATATATGGTCTAACGTTTAACTGTTCATTTAAAATGACAGCTTCCCAACCATTTTTAGCAGATTCGGATCCAGGTTGTGCTGGTACCAGGACAAAGGTTCTATCAAATGATCTCTTTGTAAAGAAGCTTGCTTCTGTAAAATGACCATGTGTTATTACATAGAGTGCCTAAAAAAAATTAAAATATAAAATAGAAAAATATAATTAGTATTAAAGAATGATTTCAATTTCTTTTTCTTTCTTTTTCTATTTTGTTTTACCTCTGGAGCTCCTGGAAAAGCAGGTGGTACAAAAAAGACATCAACAACAAAACTTTCAAGATTATGAACTGTTATTGGAAAGATTTTGAAGAAATCTGTGATTTTCTCTGATCCATAGATCAAGAGATTGGTCTTTTTGATCAAATCGGGTGATTTTATAAGGTTTCTGTTTTGTCTGATATAGGTTTTCGATGTACCTCTGTGATTTGATTCTGACGATGAAAATGTCATTGAAAATTTGGATTCTCCAAAATATGCGTTCGAAATTTCTACTCTTTTTTTATCAAATGATGTAAAATATCTAAATAAATAAATAAATAAAAAGAAATAAGTATGATATAATATATATTTTTGATTCTTTCTATCTATCTATGTCTTACTTTTCTAAAAATCTAAGAGCAAATTGTTGTCTATCTGGAGTTTCAAAAAAACTTGGTCTAAGTGGTGGAATTGGACTTGGTGGAAAATCTGATGGTCCAATTGGAACACTATCAAGGAAGTTCATATCTGGAAATCTTCTTGCAACTTCCCTATAAATTAAATTAAATATTAAATATTAAATATTTCTTTTTCCTTTTTTTTTTTTCTTTTTTTATCTTACATTCTATAATTTGGTAAAGAACTAATTGGATTATTTGAAAGTAATAATTCTCTAAGAGGTAATTCTGATAATTGATCCAATTCACTAAACTTGTTTAAATTGTTTGAATCAAAGCTGTAATTGACAATATGATCAAGTTTGAATTTTGAAATGGTAGAGTATGGTGCCAAAGTTGTAATATTATTATGTGCAAATGATATAGTGTTTGCCTAAATAAATGGAGGAGGAGGAAATTTAAACTTTAAATTAGTAGATTAAAAGATTATAAAATAGTTACGTTGACCAAAAAAAAAAAAAGAAAAGAAAAAAAAAGAAGACTTGTATCCTTTTTTTTTTTTTTTCCATTCCAAATCAATTCATTTTGACCCAAGAGAGAGAGAGGTTTGATTTTTGTTTGATTTTTGTTGGTGTTAAGTAATGATGATAGATAATTGATGATGTACCTTTGGGAATTTGTCTGTGATGATTCTGAGAAGAGGTCTAATGATTTTTGGATCGTTCATATCTACACCATGACCACTAGCAAGGTATGAAAGATCGAGCATTGGTGAATCTTTTTGATAGGTGGCGGTAATGTGTTTTTCAATCTTTATCATCTTGGCGTTGATTTCAGTTATTTTTTCTTTCATTGCTGATTTGTGATTATTTTGTTGACTTGGTGCCAATGTTTGTCTAATTCTATTATTTCCTGGTCCTGATCCTTCTCCTCTTGTTATTATTAACTAAATAGAAAAATAAAATAATTAATAAAAAGAAAAAGAAATAAAGAGTTTTGTATATAAATATGACTTACTTTATCTTTAATATATCTTGATCCACTAACTCCAAGTAATGATACTACATCTTCTGGTTTTTCTAATTGTAATACAAGTTTTTGATTTTTATAATAATGCTTAAAAAAGAAATAAATATAAGTATTCTATTCTATCTATTCTCTATTCTTCTATTCTTACAGTTTTAACATGCATATTTGGTTTATATGCTTTATTTTTGAGAAAGTCAATGACATCTATTGGATCAGATGTCATTGGGAGACCACCTATAGTAACGACAGTTTCTTCCATACCGCCACCGTTGTGACCACCTCCTCCGATGCTAACACGTCTTGGAGCATTCTTTTTTGCGTTTGATCGTACTATAATACTACCAACACTAGCTCCTCCACGTCCTCCGCCACGACCACCTCCACCACGTCCTCTTCCTCCTCCTCCTCCTCCACCTCTTCCTCCTCTATTTGACATGTCTTGAGAGTATAAATAAAATGTGTATATATGTATAAGGTAAAAAAGGTATAAAGGGTTGTTCTTTTGTTTCTGTGTTTCTAATCGAAATAAATAGATAGATAAAAACACTCAAAGAAGATGTATATAATTAAAAGAGAGAGAAACAAAACTTGTTGTTTTTGTTTCTTTTCGTCCGCACGAACAGACAGGAATTTTTTTTTTTGTATTTTTTTCGAAAATTTATCAATAGGTCTTTTTTATCTTTGGATTAGGTATATTAACATATTCTTCTATTCTTTATCATTCTATTCTTATCCCAAATATCCAAAAATAAAACATTCCAAAGAAGTTCTTCTTATTTTTTTACTCAAAAATAATAAAAGATAGTTGGTTTGGAGGACGGAGAAGAAATCAATATTTCTTTAGATCTCTATGGAATCTTTATTTATTATTTATATACAAGAGATATTAATACTTTTATTTATTTATTTATATTTATTTTTTTGTATTAGAGTCTATTTACATAGTTTCGTAACTCGAAAACTTTTGATCATGCAATACGACGATTTTTTATTTTTTTGTTTTTTTTTGTTTTTTTTACATTGGTTGTGGAGGGATGAGGTTAAAAACGAACGATTCGTATATTTCATTTTATCATTCATCTTTTGCAAAAGGTAATTAACTCTATACTTTATCTCTTTCTTTTTTCTATCTCCTTCTCTTTCTTTTTTTAATGATGAAAACCAGGCATTTGTCAGAACACTCCATGTCGACAAAACCGAAGCTACCTTATAAATTTTGGCTGACACTATACTCTACAACATACAATCTCTATCTCAACTCAACTCTTATCAATCAATTTACTAATCATTCTTTTCTTTACTTTAAAACAGATTTGGTTCATAATTATATTTTTGAGTGTCCCTAGGAAGAAGTGAAGAGTAGTCCCAAGTCTTCTTTTTGTTTTTGTGTTTTGTAAGTATAAACTTCATATCTCACTATTTTATATAAATATTATTTGTTCAAAATGATGAATTAATTTACGGTTGAACCTTTCATTCATATGTACTTTTCTTGGAGGTGTTTTGATAACATTTATTGTCTCTGATGTACAAATAATATTTATATAATATTTATCCCTTATCCCTCATAAACCAAACTTTATACTAATCAATATCTCTTTCTTTTTTACTTTAAAGGTTTTTGTTTGTTGTATTTGAAAAATGATTAAAATAAATATATTTGTTTCAAAATTATAACTGTCTTCTTTTTGTATATTGTAAAATATTATTTTGTTTTTTTTTCAACAAACACTACAGAGTGAGAATTCTCTCTCTTTGTCAATTAATTTTTTTCTTGAATGAATCATTGCAACGTTTTGAGGTTTTTTTGTTTAATTTAATTTAAAAATAACAAACAAACGAATAGATAGAAAAAAAAGAGAGAGAGAGATACTAGTTTAGTTATCATTACAGTCATATTTATTTATTTAGAGAGAGAGTAGAAGAGAGAAGAGAGAGTAGTAGTAAAAGATGTCACAAGATCCATTTTATATGGTACAAGCGTACGTACTTTTAGTATACAATTCATTTCTTTACATCTCCCTCCCTCTCTTACTTACTTACTTATCTATTCTTCTTCTTTTTTCTTTTTTCTTTTAGAGATGTACAATCATCATTAAGATTATTAACAAATGATCATACAAGATGGAAACAATTATTATTAGAGACCAATACAGCGACAAATGATGAATTTAAATGGACAACCAAAGAGTTAAAGAAAAGAGTACGACGACATGAAGAGACGTTGAGAGATTTATCCAATTCCAATATAGTAGCAGAAAAGTTTAGAGAAAAGTATTTGTTGACGTTTGACGAGATTGAAAGTAGAAAGAGATTTGTACGTGAAGCAAATGCAACGTTGGACATTATCAAACAAGACTTTAATAGTCCGACAACACATCAAAAGATTGAATCGGACAAACAAAAAGAGTTGCTCTACTCTGAGAAGCGAATGAATATTGAACAAGATTCTCGTTATAGTGGATTGCAACGAGCCGTAGAAGAAGACAATAATGATTATCTACGTGATAATATGATGATGCAACAACGTTATTACGAAGATCAAGACCAAGGTTTGGATATACTCTCTCAAAATGTCATGGAATTGGGTGAAATGACAAAAGTAATGGAAACGGAAATTAAATCTCAAGGCAATATATTGGATCGTCTTGGTGAAAGAGCTGCCAAATCTCAAGGTGCTCTTGGTAGTATGATGAGAAGATTGGATAGATTTATGACTCAAACTAGTAGTAAAGTTCAATGGACCCTAATAGCTATACTTGGTGTTATTTTCTTAATTTTAGTTATTATTTCTACTACTATATTAAAAAAGAAATAAAAAAACGTAAAAGTAAAAAGTATATTATTAATTTTGTAAAAGTAAAAGTAAAGTAAAGTAATGTAAAGTATATAATATTTATTTATTTTTTATTTATTTGTTTGTAATGTTTATTTATTCATCATCTGATAAATCAAGATCTTCAACTTGATCAACTGATTTATCTTCAACTTGTTTATAAATTCTTTTCTTTGGTCTTGATTCTTCTTCTTCATCTGGTTCTTCAGATTCATCTAATGATTCTTCTTCTTCTTGATCATCATCCATTTCCATTTCTTCATCCATTTCATCTTCATCATCCATTTCATCTTCATCATCTTCATCATCTTCATCTTCATCACTTTCAACTTGTTTGGTTGATTTTTTCTTATTTGGTTTTACTTCTTCTTCATCATCTTGACCATCATATAATTGTTTTGAAGCAATAAGAGCTTCTTGAGTTTTAAGATTCTTTCTAACAAATGCATCCAAAACAGTTTTGATAGCATTTGATTTTGATTTTTGTTTAAGAGATTCAACAAATTGATCAATTTGTTTTGAATCTTTTGGAGAGAATTTAACCTTGTCACGAGCAACCTTTACCGAGTTGGCTTGTTGTTTAATGGCACGAACAATATTTTTAAGGTCATTGACAAAGTTTATATTTTTGATGGTATTACTCTTGACAAGACGTTGAATGTGAGTGATGGCTGGCACAACCAATTCTGGGAATCCAATATGATAAGAGTGAACATAGATTGATTCTGACAATACTTCAAGTAATTGTGCTCTCAATCCTTCTCTCAATTGGTTGGTACGAAGTAATGAATCTTTAATTGACAACGTTGTCAAAAAGTTTAGATATTTACTCTTTACTTGTAATTTACCACTTGATGTCTTTGCATTTGTTGAAAATAAATTTGATGACAAAACCTATAGAAAGAGAGAGACAAAAAAGGAAAGGAAATTAATTAATATATATTTATCTATTTATCTATTTTCTGTTTTCTTTTTTTCTACTTACTTCTAATAAATATGGAATAGTATTAATGAAAATATCATTTGATTGAGAGATTTTGTTTAACATTTTACAACAAGTAAAAACAAGTGGGAAATATTGAGCAGAAGGTTTGAGAGTGATGACACCAACCAAAAGTTGAGTGATTGGATAGATGAGGGTAGAGAGTTGTTCTTGTTTTGGATAGGCACAAACCAATTCAACCCAAGCTCCAAGACCACTAACATAGATCCAATTGTAAATGTTTAGTACCGATGCATGTGTGGTGTCGTTTAGAGTGTTACGGAGATGGATAGCCAATTGACGAATATAGATAAAGGCATGACGATAAGATGATGAGAAATCGAGACCAAACAATTCAACAACACAGTTTACCATGAAATTGATGATTGGCAATGATTCGACGGTTCTAAATTTACTATTTCTTACATAGGTAAGATAAAGTCCCTTTAAACAACTATCAATAAATGGATATGGTGTCATAATTGCAATCTTTCTAATACAAAGGAATGAAAATACTCTAACTGATTCATTTGATGATCCCCAAAGTTCAAGCAAAATCTAAAAAGGTAAAAGTATAATTAATTAATAAATATTATTTTCTTTTTCTTTTTCTTTTTTGACTTACAGTTAAAAGATTATTTGGGAGAATTTCAAAACAAGAGACATAAGAAATAACCTTTACAAGACCTTTTAGAACGACAAGAGACATTTTTGGATCAGAAAGTTGTTTTAAAAGATGAATAAGATTTTTAACATAGGCTTTGGCCAATGGTTCGATTTGAGTCCATTTTTCAGTGGTTGATGGTAATTTTGGTTTGGCAGTCTCTTCGACATCGGCAACATACCCGATAAAGGTATCGAAAAACACTGGTAGGTTCTCGAGTGCGAGAATCAATACATGGTTAAATACTTGACTGTTTGTAATTTGCATGTTCATTTGACGAGAGGTAAGAGTCTCTTGTCCCTTTACACGTTGCATCTTGTCTCCATCAGTCTCTCCAGTACCAGTATGAGCGGCAGTCTTGAATGCAGACAATACCTTTTTAATATTCTTTACTGTCAAATCTTTTCTTGTCATTAAAATCCAATGATCCATTAATTCATTTGTAATTTCTCCTCTACCATGTTTTGGTTCTGAAATTTCTTCTTCTTCACCTTCTTCATCATCATCATCTGATTCTTCATCTTCATCATCATCATCTGATTCATTTTGTTGACCAAATTCTAAAAGATGTTTTTCATTTTCACCAAGAAAAGAAAAGAGTGATGGATCCTTTTGTTTTAATTTCTCCAAATCTTGTTTGTGTTGTTGAATTTGATCTTTGAGTGATTTAACCTTTTTAGATTCTTGATCGGCAACCATAGTTGTCTTTTTTGATAATAATTCTTTTTCTTTTGAATCTAATTCTTCATTCTCTGATTCTTCTTCTTCAGATTCTGATCCTTGATCCATTTCTTCTTCATCATCTTCATCTCCATCTTGATTCATAAAATCTAATTCATCATCTTGATCTTGTTCATTATTTTGATCAATCTTTACATTGGTAGTCTTTGATTTTGGTACTTCAGTTTGTTCCAATTGAATATCTTCTTCTTCATCTGAACCTAAAAGTAGTCATATATAGAATAAGAATAAAGAATATTAATATACATATATTATATATCTCTCTCTTTTATATATATTTATATTTACCATCAATAGTAATGTTTTTATTTTGAAGTAATTTATCAAACTTTTTTTGGTCCTTGTTCTTGAATCTCTTTTCAACACGTCTTTGTTTGATTAATCCTCCGATATCAACCTTTTTTGATCTCTTGTTTAATCCTCCTGCCATTTTTGTAACTCTTTCTCTCTCTCTTTTTAACAAAGATACAAACAACAATATTGTGACAAAAAGAAACGAGTTATTATTGAGAGGGTCAATAAAAAAAAAACGAACGAAAGAAAGAAAAAAAAATTAAAAAAATTTGTTGTTGTTTTTTGAAAAAACCGAAAGTACTTGAAATCAATAGAATAAATATAATAATATTAAATTAGTAAAGGCACAAGACTTGAAAAAGGATCACAATTGACTTGAGATCAAAGTGATCGAGAAAATGACAACAACAACAGCAACAACAACAACAATAATATTCAAAGGATGATGGTTAATTGTTGAATTGGTTGGTATGATGTTTAAACTACCCTCATGTTAATAGATGGAAGAAACAAGAGGTTGTGCAACACCAATGATCGTTGCACACAAGAGAAACAGGCATACCCTACTCAAACGATTAATCGAATCAATTGCAACCAACACCTATACAAATTTGGATGGTGTCAAGAATTTTATAGTCTTCTTCTTCTTCTTCTTCTTCTTCTTCATCCTATTCCTCATCTTCGTCCTATTCTTCATCCTCTTCAAAATGATAATTGATTATATTAAATACTTGAACAATGGTTAAGATTACAATCTGTACCTGATACATAGTTGGTTTGGTTGTGCTGTTAATTAAAACTAGCATTGCACTGCTATCAAATACATACTGTACGTGCCATCTACCATCAAATACCATGTACCAAGGTTGGTTCAAGCAATCCATCAAGTTGTGTAGATATTCAAGTGTTGACCGTCATACCAAATCAATTACCCAAATCACCAATGTTATATGTCAAACTTCAAGAGAAGGTTTATTTTGTCGAGTCAGACCCGAACCAAGTACTTGGATTATAAATGCCATGTGGTTGTAATAGTTAAAGGGTTTCCCGTCGTACCAACGGGAATGGAGAAAGAATGAAATGTTACCGAGTGAAAAGATTGGTTGTCCCGAGAACTAGTTTCTATAGATATCATAATCAAGGAAAAAATGGATAAATGGATAATTGTACGCCGCCCTTCGCCGAAAAAGGTACCAAGCCAAAATTTTTTTTTTTTTACTACAAAAGTGTATTTTAGATTTATTTGATTTAATTGGTTGGCGCAAGATTTCCCTTGTCCCTGTACAGATTATTAGTTTAAATAAATGTTGTTATTATTATTTTATTTTATTTTTTTTATATGTGTTGTTTGTGTTGAGTTGCAATCATTTGTGTTGGAGGTTGGAGGCTTAGAGCTTGTTGTTATTGGCATACATTATTGTCTTGTTTAATCTATTATATTGATTCCTTATTTCATCATGTGTTATCAGCTTGTGTTCATCTTCGTTTTCATTAAATAGGAGTGAGGCTATCGCAATCCATAGGTTGTGAAGTATTATTGAGGTGAGGTTATTGTAGTTGGTTTGTTGGGTAGGAGAGAGATTCCTGTTGATTTTAAAGTTGAGAGTTTGAAAGTTCCATTGGGTCTCGGTTCCAATTAGTTCCGTGTATAGCAGTTGTAGATTGTTCGTCATTTTTGTAGTCCTTTGGCATTGGAAGAAGTGATGAACGTAGACATCTTCCGGGATCACTTGGCAGCTTGGGCACTGTTCTTTCTTGACATAAACTAGTCCAGGCAGGCAACGAGCAAAGAATCTAAATGTGGTGTTTCTTCCTCTATTGTGTTGGATAGTTTTGACGGTTTTAAATATTGATTGTGGAGAGGTGTAGTCGACGTAGTATTTATTTGCAAAGTGTTTTTGCCCATCAGTCAAGAGTTCTTTTGCTGTTGTTTGGTATTTGTTGTCTAGTAGAGCTTGGTATATTTCACCCAAGGAGATTATTTGGCCGTTCTTGGATAGTATAGGTTTTGATCTCATGGTCAGAGCTTCACCTTTCATTTTGTAGATGATGTTGGTGAAAGCTGTCCATTCTCTTGCAAGTTGAGCCAGGTACTGTGAGGTGCATCTTCCTTCCGTAATTTGCTTTAACCAAGCTCTTGCGTAGGGTGCAGTGTATCTGTTGTTGTATGCTTCATTCCAGTATCTATTTATAATCCAAATCTTCTGTGCCATGCATCGTAGTCTCATGTCCCATAGTGCTATTCCACCCTCGTCCCACGGTCTGATGGCTCTTTCCATTCGCATGGTGGTCTTGTACTTTTTATCCTCTACGTAGAGGTTAGTTGTAGATGACCATAAGAACCACGCGATACAGTTGTCGAGTGAGTCGAATTGTTCATTTGTTGGTGTGTCAAGGTACGAGTGGTAGACTAGGGGGGGGGATAATACATAGGATTTGAGAATATTGACCTTTGCCTTTAGTGTGATTGAGTCCTTTTTCCATTTGATCAGTTTCGCCTTTGCACCATTTACGATATCTTCTAGTTTCGAGGACAGCCCATCTTTCGAAAAGTTGAGGCCCAAGTATCTTTCTATACCTGCAATGGGGTAAGACGTGTCTCTGTTTTGTTGGTCTGGTATGGTTACTTTTGATCCGTTGTCGTCTGGTTCGATGAGAATGACTGATGACTTGTCCTCATTGACCTTTGATGAAGTTGCTTTACAAAAGAGGTCAATGCAGCTGTTGATGAAACGTTGCTGTCTGAACGATGTTGCAAATGATGCAGAGTCATCGGCGAATTGGAGGAAAAGAATTTTGAGTGGGCCGTCGGTAATTGGCAAGCCAGCTTGAGGGTCAGCTGAGAGAATGTATTTCGCCATGGCTTCGATCACCAAGACGAATAGTGTGGGGGATATTGGGTCTCCCTGCTTGACCCCTCTACCGATGGTGAAGGGGTCAGAGAGCTTGCCGTTGACGAGTATGCTAGCTTGCGTGTTTGTTAAAAGGTTCATAATGGTTGACTTTAGCTTTGGTGTGATACCAACGTGCGTAAGAGTTCTTTCGATTGATCCGTGTGAGATGCTGAAGCCAAAAAGGTACCAAGCCAAAAAGGTACCAAGCCAAAAAGGTACCAAGCCAAAAAGGTACCAAGCCAAAAAGGTACCAAGCCAAAAAGGTACCAAGCCAAAAAGGACCTCCCCTGCCGGGAATCGAACCCGGGGTGTCAGTGTGAGAGACTAAAGTGTTACCGACTACACCACAGAGGATGGAAAGTGATGTATCTAAAATGAGGCATTTGCCCTATTTATAGGACCATCGCCATCGAGTTTTTTGGAATTTTTCTGTAATAGAGAGAAAGAGATAGAAACAGAGAATTACGTATAGAGTACTATAGAACTTCACTCAATCATCAACTATCTTCAACTATCTTTTATCAACATTACTATTTCTTTTCACACTCACTAAAAGCCACAACTAATTGCCCTGCCCTAGTGTGCCCCCTTGTTCAATTATTTATATCATTATCATTATTATAAATAAGGGGCGCGAGCGAGCACAAGCACTGCCTATATCAAAGATCACCAACAAGAAATAAATAAAATAACAAAAAAAAATATCTTGCTCCCTCCTCCATCTCCTTCTCTAATCAACACAATACAAAACAGTATCGAAACAATAGGAATAATAATTAATAGGTTGAATTTAATTATCATTACAACAAGTCAATACAGTTTGAAAGCAGTATTCACATTACTATTACAATTGGAAATGAACATCATCAACATCTCATCAAAACATCAATCAACAACATAACAATACGAACAACAGAACGATATAAGATAGATAATCATGGTGTAGACACAACCACCAACCATTACTCGACACACACATACATATGGATGGTGACACTGGGCACTCCCTCCAACAGTCACGATCTGGTCACTAACCTGACAAAAGAACTATGGATCGTAACTCACAGAACCGTTCAGCCCCCCTCGATTCAACAGGTAAAGAAGCTTCCCGTCGTATTGATGAACAAATAGAACTAATTATAATCAAATTACAATGGAAGTTTGAAAACAAAAAAATAAAAAAGAAAAGGATATTAATTTACTTGTTCTATTCATTTTAGATTATAAAAATGTTGCATGTAAATGAAAAAATACATAAAGGATAGGTAAACTTTATTTTGAAGCTTTGAATAGACTCTGTTGGGTGACCAATTTGAGGGCGGATGCCACAAGGAAATGAGACAGTTCCTTTTTGGTTGTGGTCTATCCTATTGTTGTTGATTGGAATGGTGAAAATAAGGTTTGGAAAAGATTGGAAAACAAATTAATAAAATACTAGTAAACAAAGAGGTGAAATATAGATTTGGTTGATATTATAATAGAAAATTTATTATTTATTATTAAAATAATAATATAAAATATAAGTTCGTACAACTAGGATATTATTAGACAGACTATTTATAATTGATTGAGGCTGGTTTATTTGCCTTGAATAGAAATATAAATTTTAGTAGACTGATTTATTTCTATCCTATTTGAAGAGTATATATGTAGAATTTTGTTTTATTAATATTTGTATTTTGCGGATGTGTAATAATCAAGTCATCTAGTGGTTATCCCCGATAAACACTATTGGTATTTCATATACTATTCTGTTATTGTATTGCTTTACAACAGAGACCAACAAGAGGTAGCTCTTCTAAAACGACCTATATTTTTTTTTCATAAATCTTGACGGGCAACTCAGACAGTAATAATATTATAGTTTATTTACATTTAATTTAATTTATTATTGTTATATTATTAATATTTAAAGTTGGTCGAATTGATAAATATTTGATAAAGTTTTAATTAAATAAAGCTAGGTAATGATTCCATGGCACCTCATCTCGACACAATCTACTGCAAGACAATTTGCACCAGATGAAAATGAAGAGAGTATGGTCACTCTTCCTATTGAGGCGGAAAATCTGGTGTATCTGGTGTGTATCCCTTGTTGAAGGTTAAGAGATTGAGGGCATTTGGAACCCAATCTTTTTTTTATGCCTGTAATGTCGTGTATGATTTTTCCCCATCTTTCTACTTGTAGGCATAGAAATAGGTTAGCGAGGCATAATTCGCATGGATAAATCTTAACGTCAGATCGCGAGAGGTTGGACATTTTATGAGTGGAGTAGGGCAAAGTTCTTGTCGAGGTTGGAGTTGTAAAGGGGTCTCAAGTTCTAGTTGGCCTTGTCAGTGATTTGTTATGTCCCATTTTTCTTGCTTGATATTGAAGTAGGAGTTGATGGAACTGTTTCAGTTCTAGTGGTTGTTTGGTATCTTTGTAGGGAGGGATGGTGGTTTTAGGGTTGGGAGAGCCAGTTGCAGGCCATTCGGTCCAGCATTGTAATGGTGTTGGTAAGTTACCCAGAGGTATCCTGTCAACAGTCTTTTCCCCCATTTCCCTTTGTAAGAGTTGGGGTTTGTAAATGCTTGATCTATTAGTCTGTGATCAACTCTATATACAAAAAGTAGGTGAGTTTGGATGGAGCATATGTTTTGAATATCTTCATTGTTGCTCTAAGTGTCTACTCTAAATTTAATCCATTTTAGTAAAGATGATCGTATGTTGAGGATGGAGGGTAGTTGTCTCGAGATTGGTGATTAAGAAATCTAGGTATCTTTTGTTGGTACCTAAAGATAATAATGAACAATGCATTGTGAAAAAAAAAAAAAAAGAATTATTTGTTTAATGCCTCAATGGGCAAAAAGGGCCTATAAATAGGCCAAAAGCCTCATTTTAGACACATCACTTTCCATCCTCTGTGGTGTAGTCGGTAACACTTTAGTCTCTCACACTGACACCCGGGAGAGTAAAGGTTGAACTTTGATTGATTGATTGATCTATTGACACTGTTTTTTTTTTTTTTAATGCATACATAGGATGAAATGAACCGTACAAGGTAAAGACCAACCAGTCAACTTTCATTAAACCTCTGGCCGAGCTGATCATTACCTTGTATGATTCCCACAAAAGCATTTGACTCTGTATCGTGAGCAACCTGGTTTGAACAAGACTCTCAGGTCCCACTATTTGTTTGACTGCACACATCCAATAACGTATCCAATAGTCAAGCGAGTTGTTGTACACCAATACTAATCCAAGTTAAAAAAAGAGGTAGAGTAGAATCTCCATTCAAGCAAGTATCATACACTGGAATTGTCAGGGCCAACATTGATCAATGTATAGATAGTAAGAAAGAAAGGAGTAATAACGAAAAGTACCGAAATTTTTTAAAAAAATGATCAACATTGATAAGAAAAAAATAAAATAAAATATAAATATAAATTACAGGCGATTAAAGATCTTGTTATTTATTGATTTACAAAAAAGTTTTATACAAAATAATAATATTGATTGATTATTATTATTATTATTGGTTGGTTGTTTTTAAAAAGGTCTGGTTGTTCCAAATCTCTAGTTGTTGAATTATATAATGTATTACCTATACCCCCCCTATTCATTCAAACCAAAGAAATGGAACCCATTGTTATTGATTGGTTAAAAAATGTTTAAGATGAATAAGAGGTAGTGGCTACACTAGCAGAAGAAAATGGCTTGACTTCAGTCGATGACGATGAATAGGAGGTGTTGGATGACACTCTTGAAACGCCGTTTGGTGATCCAACGTTGGATCCAGTAGTGGAATACAATGACGTTCCACTTGAAACTCTCTTGAAAAATGGACTAAAATTGGTAGTACTGCTAGAATAACTGTTTCCAGATTGACTCTTTGTTGAAAATGGTATAACTGGTGTTACTTGTTCCTGTTGTTCTTCTTTTATAACTTGAGCTGGTACTATTGGTACTACTACGACTGCAACTGGTTCTGGTTGTGGTTGTGGTTGTGGTTCTTCTTGTTGAATTATAATTTCTTCTTCTTTTACCTTTATAGTTTCAGTTTCTTTTTCTTCTTCTTCTTGATCAAAAGCAACTTGATCAATAATAGATGATTGCTTTACAATTGAAACTGGTAAAAGTTCTACTACTACTGCTCTTTCTGGTTGTTGAATGATTTGATCTTCCTCTTGTTCTTCTTCTTGCTCTTGTTCGTCTTGTAATTCTTGACGACGAATTTGATAGATTGGAAGAGTACTCTTGTCTGGTTCGACTATACTATTATTTACATCAACCCATCCCGATTGAGTAATACCATTATTAACCATGACAAACTCGTCGTCTTCATGTTTGGTTGTATATTGGTTTTGGGTTGTATTATTTGATTTTCTAAAGAAATACATAATATAAAAGTGTAGAGATATGTATTTTATATATATATATATAAATATAAATATTATTTAATTGTTTGTTTGTTGTTGTTGTTGTTTAAAGAAAACACTTGACTCGATCACATGCAAATTTAGACAATATATATTCGAGTAGAAAAAAAAACAATGCACCCAAAAATATTTTTTATTTTTTGAGGAAATTTGTGTGAACGTGAAGTTCCTCGTTTTGCAAAAAGGAAGATAGATATTCGTGTTTTTGGTACTATCATTAGAATCGATATCAATATTCTTTTTATTTCTTAAACAATGATAATTTTTTCATTAATTGATCCAATAATTGATTATTCTCATCAATATCTTTACCTTGATCAAATAGATTTTGTTGAATTTGAATTTGATGATCTTTTGGTAATTTAAATGATTGTGATGATAAAGATTCTTCTTTTTGTTTCGGTAAAGGTTGATATTTTTCAAACTATAAAAAATAAATAAATTAATACTTTTTTTATCTTTTCTTTTCTTTTTTTTCTATTTTCTTACATGAGATAATTTTTCTTTATAAATATTAATTTTATGAATCATTGATTTTAATTCATTTCTTAGATCAATTTCAGCATTTGAAAGTGGTTTACCTTCATTTTCCACCATGGTAAGAGCATTTAATTGTTCATTTAACAATTCATGTTGTTTCCAATAAAATGACATTTGTTCTTTCAAGTTGGTTTGTTTTTTTCTAATTTCAATAATACTATTTTTTAAATTGATCAATGTATTTTTTTGATCATCTGTTATTCTTTCTAAACTTTTTAATCTAAATAAATAATAGAAAAAGTAAAATTAATATTTCTTTTTTTTTGTTTTTTTTTCTATTTACCTAGATTTAATAAATTGTTCATTTTCAGCAAGAGTAACATGACGATCAAAAATTTGTTGTCTAAAATTTGAAACAATTGAAAGAGTATCTTTCATTGAATTATCTTTTAAAATTACTTTTGGAATAAATGCCAATTCTTGAACCAGTCCAACAAGTGGTTCCATTCCAATATACTCCAATTCATCACCATTATTATCGTTATTGTTTTTTTCATTTTCTTTAAATTTTGAAACTATACCATCCAAATCAATTAAAATACTTCTAAGAGTATTTGGTAGAGCAATCAAATAATTACCCAGCTTTACATCATTTAAAATGATCAAACCAATAATAGGAGTTGGAATATTATCACTTGTAGTAGAACCATGAATGATTGTAGTCAAACTAGTTTCATCCAATTCCTCTTCAATCGAGGTCTCTTGTAAACCATTGATTTTTTTGTATAGTTGTGGTAACCATGTAAATTGTGCACAATGTACTCCATTATTATGATAGAAATAGGCAGAATTGGTTAATGAATCCATCAATACCGATGGATTTGAAAATGATAAATAATTTGATGAAATATTATCTTGAAATACCATTTCTTTAAATTCTAATTTTTCATATTCAATTAATTCATTCTAAAAAAAGGAAAATTTAAAATTAATTAATATAATTGTTTATATCTTTTTTTTCTATTTTCCATTTTACCTTTAAATTTAAATTTTTTACATTAAAATTTTTAAAATGAGGAAAATTATCTTGACAAGAGATTGTAACGATTGAAGTTGAATTTGAAAGTACCAAAACAATTGAAAATGGAATTAATCTATTTTCATTTTGGTCAACAACCTCTTTTTCAATATTTGGAGCAATAGAGGAAATAGTGGTAATTTGTTTTTTTTGATTTGAATAAAAGATTGGACCTTGAATGATTGGAGTAAAAGATCTTTTATCAGATATTGTCAATTTGATCCATTTTCTATTTTCAATTTCATAAACTGAATTATTAAGAGTCAATGAGAGGATCCATTGAAATAGAGTTTCATAATAATTGGCCAATCCCTCTTGTTTATAGGATTCTTGTTTTTGTTTCAATATACGACTTTGTAATCTTTTTATAAAATCACAATCTACCAAACAATTATTTGGTATAATTGGACATAATAGATAGACATTACAATCATCTGCCACCAAATATATTGAAAATCTTGTCCAATCATTAATCAATGGTCCAAAACAAAATGATTTAAAAATTGGATTTGCTTGTTCCATTGAATATTCCTTTCCAATTGAATTATGTATTTCTAAATGTCCAAGATTAAATGATTGTTCTTCTTCATAAATTTTTGTTGTTATATTATATATTCTTAAAAAGAAAAAGATTAATATTGATAATTATAATTTTTGTTTTCCATTTCTCTCTCATACTTTAAATAATTATTTGAAAATAAGATAATAATATGAATATTACTAAGTGGATGCCAATCAATATGATTAATGATTGTATCAAGTTCAGTAATTGGTTGAAGTGAACTATCAACACGTAAAACAGCTTGAATAGGTTGATATTCAAATGTTTTAATATCTGGTTGTTGTGATTGTAATTGTTCAAAATATAAACTTCTAAATGTTGGATTTAAATCTATTATCGTCCATTTAAAAGTACCACAAACCATTAAATATCTTGCATTTTCATTTAATTGTATTTTATAAACATCATAATCAATATTTGTTTTAATTTCCTAAAAATGACGAATAAGAAATGAAAATGAAATGATTAGATAAATGAATCATATCTTATCTTTTTTGTTTGTTTTATATTTACTTGATATTTTATAGAATAAACTCCTTGATTAAAATCATTTTCAATTCTAATTACATAAAGTTGTTTAATGTATGGATTAAAGTAATAGATTTCATGATATTGATTACTAATGCTTAATAGATTCTTTGATTTAAATTGAAAGTGTTCATCATCTATAGTTGCATGATGTTTGTTATTACTACTATTACTATTATTCTTCTTTAAACCTTTTGAAAAGATTGGATGAGATGATAATAATGATATAATCTCTCTTAATTCAATCATTCTCTCTTAAAAAGTCTCTCTCTCGAACAAATACAAAAAAAAGAAGATAGATGAAAGTTGAAGATCTTCGTCTCTTCATCATTAAGTCTTCTTGGTTTTTGAAATTTTGGTTTTTTTTTTTTATTAAATATTTTTTAGTTTAGACAAAGAAAATGATTAATGATACACCAACAAGAATTAGAAAAGAGATTAAACATAGGATGATTGGGAATGGGTCTAGTTTAGGTCTTTCAGGTTCTAATTCTGGTTCTGCACCGTTGGCACCTACTTCGGGCAAGATGTTAATGTCGACCATGGGTACATTCTCTTGATCGACTTCGTCATCTACACGATTGATGTTTCTTGTTGGTATGGCTGTAATGACTCGAGGTAAACTAGTCATTGGTGTTGGTTCAGGTTCAATCGATCTGTTAAACATTGGATTACCTCCCATTCCAAAACCACCATATCTATCATCATTCACTGGTCTAATGTATGGTAACTCTGAAACTGATGAATTAAAAGTTGTACCATCTTCATGATTATCTTTGTTATTATTAACACTCTTGTTATATGGTTTTAAAGTTGGACTATAGGTTATATTATTAAATGGTGATGGTTGAACTCTATTTAAAAAGTTGTTTGAATTGATAGTTGGTGATGATTTATAATCAATATCTGATGGTTTATCAAGTGAAATTGGATCAAATCTATCATCTCTTAGGTTAAAGTTATTATTATTAAGATTATTATTATTATTATTAATATTATTATTATTATTATTATTATTATTTAGATTATTATTATTATTTGTTGTAGTTGGAGAAGATTTAAATTCATTTTTTTCCAAACCAAGAGGTAAAGTAATTCTTTCATTGACAGGTGTTTCTTTAAATTCTATTGTTTTTAAATCATCTTCATCTTCTTCTCCTTCGATTTCTGGACCACGTTGATCTGAGAGTATTAATGAATCATCGATACTAATATCCAAATCTTTGGCAAGTGAAACTGCTGGTGCATTTGAGTGGTCATCCGACTTTTTGTTATTCTTTTTTTCAGCATCATATAACTTGTTTTCTAGATTATTGGCATGACTTGCAATTCCTTGGTCACTTACCATTTCAACAGTTGAGAATGGGTTGTTGTCAGAAGAGGAAGAGGGTGAAGTTGCCAAATTTCTTTTCAATAATGTTGCTTCTACTTGTTCTTCTATATGATCCTTTTCATTTACCAATTCTTCTCTTTCCTTGTCTACAACAACAACATTTACGTTGCTGTTATTTTCCGTTACTACTTCTTCGTTGGACATTATTTAACTAATAATATATAGTTCTTTGGTTTTTTTTTTATAATAAATAAATAAATAAATAAATACTAGAGGGAGGGAAGGTATGGAAATTAAAATAATTTATTATTAATATCAATTATTTTCATTCATTTAATTATTTGATAAGATAATCAAAGTTTGCTGAGCAAACTATAGAATATTATTATTATTATTATTTATTAAGTTGTTGTTGTTTGTGGTTAATATTTACACTTTTTATATGTTTTCTCTCTCTCTCTTTCGAGTACTACTACTATGTGTTTTATGTTTTTTAAAAGAAGTAGTAAAAGACATTCATTCATTCATTCATTGTGTGTAATGGGTTTTTAGATCTACAATTCTAAAGATCGTTGACGAAATATAGAATTCTCCCATTTTGGAAACCAAACCGAACTTTCAATTTTTTCAAAAGGTAGGTAGTGTAGGGAAAATAAATAAAGACAAGTTTTAAAAAACATTTCTAAAATGGGTGGAGAGTGAGTAAAAAAACAAAATTATATTTTACTTTTTATTTTCATGGGGGTGGATGACCATGACATGACTAGTCGTATTAATCGTTCAAATCCAAACTAGATATTTTCTTTGGTAATCTTTTTTGACTAAGTTCTTCCAAGTGTTCAAATTTACACATTGTAATTGTTGGTTTTGAAAAATTAATATTAATATTTTCATTATTATTATTATTAATATTATTATTGGTTGTCTGATTATTAATATTTGTTTGATTTGTTTGATTAATTAATCTAGTTGAAGTAGTAACAGTAGTTGCTGGAGGAATTAATTTTTTGTTTTGATCCAATTTATGAATAACCAATAAAATGATATAAAAAATTAAAGAGAATACCAAACTTTTGGCAAATTGATTCCAAATTGCAATCATTATAAAATAAATTCGATCTGTCAATTGGATTCCAACAGTCGATTGTTGTTCAATTTTGATATCATTGACCAAAATATTAATATCAATTTGAATATTTGGATAAATGATTAATAATATTTTCAATACTATTAATAAACCAAATACCAAGGATTGTGTTGATATTGATGCTTTTGGTTTCTTTAAAATATATTGATATTTTGATATTTGATATCTATATCTATAAAATATTGAAACCATCTTTACCAAAACCATTAATATTAAACAATTAATTTCAATCATTGAATATTCAAAATTTAATATTTGATTATCAATTAAATAATAAATGATTGATGTACTTTTATATTCGTCAACTAAATTGAAACAAAAAAAAGGTAAGTAAAATGATAAGTTTCTCTTTTTTTTTTTGTTTTCTTACATTTAAATAAAGATTCAATTATAAAAGTTAATAATATTAAATAAATTAAAATATTTCCAAATTTAACAACCTAAAATTAAAATAGAAAAAGAAAAAGAAGAGTTAATACTTGATATAGTTTATATATGTCTTTTTTGATTTCTTACAAATTGTAATTTTGGTAAAAATTTGAATATAAAATAGATACTATTTTTAAAGATGTTCCTATGTTTTTGTTGTTGTTGTTGTTTAAAACTTTGTTGTTGACTATGTGATTTACTTAGATGAGTTGAAATGATATATCTATCAACTGCACCAATTTGTTGATTAACCAAATCTTGACATGTGACACAAAGATTAAATTCGCTTTCAACCTTTTGTTCATATGCTTTAAATACTCTAGCATCATCTGTATGTGCAGGATTAAAATCTGATAATTGATTCATCTTTTTTTGTAATTTGAATTGACATTTTGTACATAATAAATTGTTCTTATTATTATTATTATTATTATTATTATTATTATTATTATTATTATTATTATTATTATTATTATTCGATTTAGTTGGTGATATCATATGATTATGATTATTATTATTATTATTTAAATTTGATTCAGACAAGATAGTAACCATATCAATATTATAATCACCATCTTTATTGAATCCATTATATTGTGAGCAATGAGAGCATGTCCATCGATTGAGATGTAGATAAGGGATGCTATTGTAACAGTTACAGAAATGACACTTTGTATTGATTGATCTATAGGGGTCGTACCAATACAACCATTTCTTGAATGATATCCATAGCAGTACGGCTATTACAATGTAAAAGAATAGAGGTGCTATCAAACCAATCAATGTCAACGTATCATAATGATAAAAGTGATAGACATTAAAAGGTTCGATGATATCATAAACCAATATTGTATAATAATAATTTAATATATCAATCATCATTGAGTATATCATCATCCCATCTATCTAATCTATCGAGATTGGTTAACTTGAAATTAGACAATGAAAATGCGATCTTTTTTTTTAGAGGAGAGGAGTCTTTCTTTGCTTGAAACTCTCAAATTTTTAATTTATTTAATATTTTTTTTTTTTTAGACTACATTTTTAAGAGATACATTATTATTATTTGTAAAGTTATTATTTGTATAGTCATTTTTCATCATTTTGTTATGATGATGACGACCAGTACAACATAAAGGTAATTGAAGGGATTTAAAGGCAAGTACCATGACCAAGATGACAATGATAACGAGTGCACCACATACACCACCGATAATACCAATCTCGATCATTGCAATCTTTAATACATCATTGTTGGCAGTATCAAAGAGTCTTAATTGGTTTTGAACCCATTCTGGTGTTGGTATGGGACCATCAACGTTGTCTTGACCATTGTTATCATCCTTTTTAGTGGTAAGAATGGCATCACCATTTTCAATCAATGTAACTGCATTTGAAATATCATCCTTTGTATATGATTGTTGTGGTTGCATTGGAGATGATTGGTAGGATACTGGTAATTTAAATGGAAGTTGTTTACCATTACCATCTTTTGGGAATGTTGTATGATCTTGATCATCATAGACTTGAGTTTCATTCAAACTTGCAAGTTTTGAATCAGCAACAACAATATTCTTTTTTGGTGTCATTTCATTCTTTTTCTTTTCAACCACCGTTGTTGGAAACATTCTAAGATCAATTCTTCTTCTTTGATTATTAATTATATTAATTGGCTAAAAACATAAATAACAATATTAATATTTTTCTTTTTTCTTTTTTCTATTTTTTTTTTTCATCTTTGCTTACAATAGAAATAGATTTATAATTTTTACAAGTAAAAGTAACATTATAACTACCAACATCAAGCAATCTATAATAATCACCAAATAATTTTGAAGATTGAATGATATGATCATTATTTTCAATTTGAATACTAGCTTGAATTGGTTGACCATTGTTTGCATCGGTGATTTTACCATAGAAACCCATAGTCAATGGGATGTTGATAAAGTTTAACAAGGAATATTTGTTATCTTGCCAAAATTCTTCCAATTGATTTGGTGATGGTCCTTTTTCATTTGACAATTCAAGTGTAATTTCAAAATTATTTGAATAATCATAATTCCACTAAGAAACAAAAGAAAAAGAGTAAGTAAAAGATATTATGATTTGTTTTGTTTTTTTTCATTTCTTACATCTTGCATTCCACCTTCCAAAGTATACCAAGAAGCACCATTTGTAACACCAGCAAAAAAGTCTTCACTATGAAACATTTTACCATGATTCATTGAATAGGTAAGAGCAATTCTTCTAAATGTAGTATCATCTGGAGTTGGAGTATAGATTCCAGAAAGCTCCAAAGATGGGAATCTACCTCTTGTAGAATCATATGGATAATTTGATACCAATGCTCCACCATGTAAATTGGCAGACAAAACAAAATTTCTTGAATTACTCCAATCCATTATTGCCTTGGTTTCAGGTTGAACTTGTCCAAATCTTCTATTTGATCCTTCTTTTTCATTTGGGAAATTTCTATTTAAATCTAGAGAAAAAAATAGAGAAAGTTAATATTTTTGAATTCTTATCATTTGTTTGTTTTTTTTTTTAAAATCATACCAAAAGAATTTAAATTTCCTCTTTGACCTAATTCAAAACCATCAGGATTCATTGAAGGAATGATTGAAATTTTAACATTATTCATTAAATAGGTAACAAAGGGGTCGATACCATAATTTGATACAAGATGATCAATGAAATAGATTAACATTTCACGACCAACAATTTCATCTCCATGCATATTTCCAACCAATTTGACTTGTGGTTTTGGTTCCATTTGAAGTGGATTATTTGAAATATCAACGGCCCATAATTCTCTTTCACCAATACTCTTTCCAATACTATAGACTTTGGCAATTTTACTATACTTGTTTTCAATCAACGCCATAAACTCTGTCAATTCTTGGTAGTTGTGATAATGGTTGTAATCGACATTACCAGATGGTGATGGAATCTTGTTTGGAAGTGTCTTTTTTGAATTTGATTTCCATGATGGTTCTTGTTGTTGACGACTAATTCTAATTTTTCCAATGTCTCTAGTTGCCAATTCATCAACCTCTTGTTGTTGTTCTTCTACCAAAATTTGACCATTAAATTCCAGTACAAACTTGCTATACTCCAAATCCGACATATAAACATCATTACATTCACGAGTACGATGATGATCCAAAATAATCTTTTCTTGATTCTCTCGAAGATATCTAATTACATTTTCATCTCCATAATGTACTATTCTAAATAATGATAATTTATCTAATTGTCCATAAATTCTTTTTTCAATAAATGGCAAAGTTCCATTAATATCAATATTATTTGATGATACAATATTTAAAATTAAAATTATTATTAAAACTATTATAAATTTCATTATTAATTATTTTTTTTAAAAATATTTTAAAGTTTATTTAATTTAAATTTATTTATACCTTTATTTCCATGTTCAATATTATCTTTTTTATTGAATTTTACAAAAAACAATGTGGTTAAAATCAAAATCGAGTTTGTTAAAAATATCAACATGACATTTCACACACAACACACAACTATTATATTTATTTGTGTGTACACTGTACAATTAATATATTTATATTTATATTTATTTTTAATTTATTTTTCCTTTTCTTTTAAATTTTCATTTTGATTTTCCTTTTTGTTAGTTGTAACCATTTTAATAAAATTTAGGTCAAAGAGTTTTTCACTGATTGGAATAAACATTCCATAGAGATTCTTGTCAGATACGACTAGTAAGCTGCCAGAGATGGTACGAATGTAAAAGGTGGTACGGTTGCCTGGGTTGTAAATATCATTGATGGTGAGTCGATCGAGATGCATCACCTTGCCAAATGGGATTTCAAGTACGTCTTCACCTTTCCAACTAATTCCAGTTACATTTAAAATGAGATGTTTGATTTGAGGTGGTAGGTTGAAATTGATCTTTACAAACTTGGTGCAAAGTGATAGTTCGCTAACACCCGATGGGATGAATCCAATGTTGTTGGAAGTGTTGAGGATGGTGAGTGAGGTGAGTGTGTGTGGGACGATTGTTTGTGGGGTCAAACCATCGATCGCGAGTGATACAAGACGTGGTGGCAATGTGATATCGGCCAATGTAGGTGCGCCCGCCTCCAAGTGCTCGAGTGTGTCTGGCAAGAGTGATGTATTGAGTATCTGGTCAAACGATTTTGGTAGAACCAGTGATTTGAGGGGTAGACTCTTTAGTCCGACGAGGTGATCGGAGCTGCTGACATTGATGCGCAGGTGTGTTAGCGAGTTGGGGAGAACGACCGGGTCGAGCGGATTCTCACCACATGTAATTGTGAGACGTGTGAGATTGGGTGGGACCGAGCCGGCGTGCAATGCAGGCAGCTGTAGAGACAGCAACTCGAGTGTCTCGATAGATGCAGGCAACGCATGTGCGCCAATCTCGTGGTTGAAGCGGCATCCCAGCGTGAGGTGTTTCAAACCATCCGGCAGAACAATCTCGCTGAGTGCACGCTCCATCGAAAAGCCAAACACCAAATGCACCAAATGCTCGGGTAGTACACCCGGTCCAATCGGCTGGTTAAAGTTGAGTCCAAATCGTAAATGTGTCAATGCAGCGGGCAACGAACCCGGTAACATTGGTTGGTTGAATAGAGATGATAGAGTAAGCTGACGCAACCCCGCAGGCAACGATTCATTTGGCACCAATGGTTGATTAAAGTGGTATCCAAACTTTAGCGTCGTGACGGATGCGGGCAAGACCTCAGAGCCGAGTGGTTGATTAAACGATCGACCAAAATCAACTCTTTGTATGCCGTATGGGATTTGACCAGGTTTGATAAGAGTGTTGTATTCATCGCTAAACTTGAGGTGTGTCGCTTGCTCTGGTATCTCTCTAATCTCGTCGTCCACATAGTGCACGTGCTCCAACGAACGTACTATATTGGGGATCAACGACTTGAGTCCTATATGCTCCTTGACCAACTCGATGCCTTTGAAATCAAAATAGTCCACGTTAAACACTGCATATCTCTTGACCGTACTCCACAACTTTTTACATGTCAATCCTAAACACACCTTGTCTATATCATCACATTGTAATAATATTCCTAATAATACGTAATCTGATAATGTCAATAACATGAAAGAAATAAAGAAAAGAGATATATATATAAAAAGATAAAAGATAAAGAGAGAGAGCACAAACAAACAAACAAACACAGATACTTTGAAATTTTTTTTAATTATTATTCCTTTTTTCCCTTCTTTTTAATAATTTTCACCTTCAGGTTTAAATTCATAAATTAACACAAGATCTTTAGAAATACAAATACAAATACAAAGATGGAAATAATAGTATTAAAAGAAGTAATAACAACAGTTGATTTTGCAGCTAAAAAGCATAGAGATCAAAGAAGAAAAGATAAACATTCATCACCATACATTAATCATCCGATTGGAGTAGCACTCAATGTCATCAACGTAGGTCAATACTATGATGTTGCAACAGTGCAAGCAGCTTTGCTTCACGATACAGTTGAAGATACTGATTGCACCGAAGAAGAGATTCGTAAAGAGTTTGGTAGTGAAGTGGCATCGATCGTAATGGATGTTACAGACGACAAGTCACTCTCAAAGGTTGACAGAAAGAAATTCCAAGTATCTCATGCTCCCCACATTCAAGACAAATCAAAGATTGTAAAGATGGCCGATAAACTATACAATCTATCGGATATCATCAAAAATGCTCCACCATCATGGTCACTCTTAACTATTCAAGGTTACTTTGTTTGGGGTAAGAAAGTTTGTGATGGTCTAAGAGGTGTCAATGCTAGCCTCGAAGAAGCTCTCGATCAACTATTCCAATCAAATGTCATTTTCAAAGGTGAAGAATATCCAGTTGTACCTTGTAAAACTATTGAAGAAGAAGATCAATTACTTGAAACTTATTATCAAAATTTAAGATAATAAAAGAGATAAAAGAGATAAATAAATAAATATATGTATAGTTATAAAAAAAAAAGTATATTATTAATAATTCTTCGAAGTTCAAAATTGAGTAAGATTTTTTTTTTGGGCAAAGCGCTTCCCCAAACTTGCAATTTTTGAATTCATTTTTACCGTTGCAATCAAGAAAGTTAGTATCATCAAAGAGATAAAAGATATAGATATATATAATGGTATGTGTATATATAGATATGATGTTTATATAGTTGTATTAATATTTCTTTCTTTCAATTAGTCTAATAATAATAATAGTAATAATAATAGTAATACATTTGGTACTGCAACAGGGATATCAATGTTATCAAATGGTATATCACAAGCACAATTCAATTCAATATTTGATATAGGAGATGATGATATGGTTGGTACTGGTGGAGGTGGTGGAGGAGGTGGTGCTGGGGGATGGGATAATCTATTCGATGGTAATGGTGATGGTGATGAGGATTCTGATCAAACAAGTGGACAAACAGAATACTCGCTAAGAGATTGTATTATATTCTTGATTGATTGTTCTAAATCAATGTTTCTACCAAACCCATCAACCGGTGAAATACCTTTTAAAAATGCAATCAAATGTTTAATTCAAACTATCACTGATAAGATCATAACTTCTGAATCTGATTTAATTGGTTTATGTTTATTTGGTACTGTAAGTAAAAAAAGAGGAAAAAGATAAAACAAAAAAAAAGATAAAAGGTTTATAACTAACACTTTCTTACTACTTACTTTTTTTAGGATAAGAATAAGAATTTAAATGATTTTGAAAATATATATGTAATGAGTGATTTGGATACACCTGATCCAAAATTGATCCTTCAAATTGAAGATATATTGGCAGGTGATTTGGGTAGTTTTGGTGGCAGTGCTAAAAAGGAATTTGCATTTGGTGATGTTTTATGGACTTGTTCAACCATGTTTTCAAATTGGTAAGAAATAATAATAATAATAATAATAATAATAATAATAATAATAATAATAATAATAATACTATTATTAATATTGATACTAATGTTACTTTCCTATTCCTTTTTAGTAATGTGAAAATAGCACATAAAAGAATATTTTTATTTACAAATGAAGATAATCCAAATCAAGGAAATGATAATTTGAGGACAATTAGTTTTCAACGTGCAAAAGATTTGTCAGATTTGGGAATCGAGATTGAATTGTTTGCAATGAACAAGAATGAAGACGACGATACATTTGATTTTGGAAAGTTTTATCAAAACATTATCTTTTATCAAGACGGTGAATACATTGACAAGATTGATGCATCGAGTAAATTTGAAGCATTACGAGCTCGATTGAAAAGAAAAGAGTTTAAAAAGCGATCACTTGGAAAGATTCCATTCTATATTGGCAATAATCCAAATACAGTACCGATTGCTTGTCAAATGTATAATCTAGTATCGTCGGCGAAAAAGAGCTCGCCTACACAACTAGACCCGGCAAACAATCTTCCAGTCAAGACAATGATCAAGAATGTTTGTGTCGATACTGGTAGCACACTCTTGCCATCGCAAATCAAGTACAGCTACTATTATGGAGGTGAACCAGTAGTCTTTTCAAAGGAAGAGGTTGAAAAGATTAAATCGATCGATCGTCAGGGCATGGTGTTGATGGGGTTCAAGCCGGCCAACACCATCAAGCGACAACAAACTATCAAACACATGTCATTCCTATTTCCCGATGAAAAGACTGTCAAGGGATCGACTGTCACTCTCAACGCTCTGATTGACAAGATGATCGAGCTTGACCGTGTCGCTATTTGTAAATTCCTTCCTCGTGCAGGCACTCTTCCTCGTATGGTCGCCTTAATCGCTCAAGAAGAGATCATCAACCCAAAGGATTCAACTCAAATTCAATCAAGAGGATTCAATGTCTTTTATCTTCCCTATGCTGATGATATCCGTCAATTCCAATTCAATACAACAACCAAAGCAAATGAAAAACAAATTGATGCTGCAAAGAAAATTATTAAAACTTTTAAAATTAATTATAATGATCAATCTTTTTTAAATCCTGGTAAGAAATAGAAATGGAAATAGAAAGAAAAGAATTATTTATTTATTTATTTATTTATTTATTTATTTATTTTATAGGATTACAAAAACATTATAATAGTTTACAAGCAATTGCATTGGAAAGAGATAAAGTTGAAGATGTTAAAGATACTATATTACCAAATGAAGACAACTTTTCACAAAATGTAGACGTATTAAAAGATTATCAAAAATTGGTATTTTCAAGTGACTATAAAGTCTCTGCAAGTTCCTCTTTATCATCTGCAGCATCAAAGAAAAGAGATAGAGAGGGTAAAGGAATTGGTGATTATGATTGGGTTGAATTGGCTCAATCTGGTGGTATTGCAAAACTGACCATTCCAGAACTATCTGAATTCTTAAAGAATCAAGGTCAAAAGACACCAAGTAAATTTAAAAAGGCTGATTTAGTTTCACTTGCAACCAACTTTGTAAATGGTGGAAAGATTGATTTTACAAAATTATCTAAATTAAAATCATCTGATGATGGTAATAGTAATAGTAATAGTAGTACTCCAACTTTAACTTCAACAAAATCTACCAATTCTGACACTGCAGCAGCAGGATCACTTTATGGAAAACATACAGATGAAGAAGAAAATAAGAGACCAACTAAAAAAGTTAAACAACCAACAACTAGTACTAGTACTACTAGTACAACTTCAACAGCTGCATCTTCTAAAAAGAATATAGTATCAATTATAGATGACGATGATGATATTATGATGAAACCAGTTGATCCAGATGATTCAGATGATGATTTAGTTTTCCGCAAAACTTCAACTTCAACTACAACTACAACTACTAATAATAATAATAATAATAATAATGATGATTCAACAAAAAAATCAGGATTAAGTTCTGATTCATTCCCTTCATATCCAGCATCATTTGGAGATAGAAATGGTGGTAGTTTTGGATCAGCCGATATTTATTCTCAACCAAGTCAATCTCAAGCACCTAGTAGTGGTAGTTTTAATATTGGACATCCAACCAAACCAATGTGTAAATATGGAGCAGCTTGTTATAGAAAGAATGCTGATCATTTAAAGGAATTTAATCATCCAAAAAAATAATAAATAAATCTGTCTTGTACATTCAACCATCCATCTTTATCCATCCATCTTCTTTCTATTATTATTATTATTATTATTTATTATTATTTTAGATTAGAAAAGATCACCAGTAAGTTGTTCTTCTGATCTCTTGACAACCTTTAATTTATCCTTTTTCTTCCAAACAATCTTTGATTGTGGGTCTTTGGATGGTGGTGTAAGAGTCCAAGTTGGAATTGGCATTGGTGCTTCGTCATGTGTATCTACCAACAATGCAATCTTTCTTAAATCCTCTGGTAATTCTGCAATTGCTTCCCATTGCAAGTGTGACTATAATTATAATTAAAGTTAGTATATATAGTTTGTGTCTTTTTGTTTTCTTTCTTTCTTTCTTTAGTTACTTTTTCCTTTTCTTCATCATCTCTCTTTTGAGCAGTTTCTTGACTATATTTTGCGTAACTTTTAATGATATCTCTTAATTGTTGTTCCTCTGCTGATGGCTTGGCAGTGGTTGGTTGAGGTCTCTTGTATATCTTTGTGAATCTTTGTTTGATCTTGTCGAGCGATCCCTTTGACAACTTTTGTTGTTGGTCACCTTCTCCATCACCACTGTCTTCCATGAAATCTTCGTCATCGTCTTCTTGGAGGAATGGGTTACCAACAACCTTTCTCGCACGACCAAAACGATATAAACTATTTGATGCATTGGCACTCAACGAGAATGCATTCTGTTGACCAAATAATGTACCAATTGATCTTCTACAATATAATGATATACTTGACATCTCCTTCTAATATATACAAATAGATATAGATATAAATATTACTTTCTACTTTCAAAGATATCTTGCAAATGAAACAAGACGAAAGAGAGTGAGTGTATTGATTAGATCATGCATAGGTCCCCAGAATCTGCTTGCATAGAGCTCACGCAGCTTCTTCGTTATGAAAATATTTTTTTTTTTTTTTAAATTTTCACAAACGATGATCATGCTACTCACTTTGTTTGCTTGGGTGACCCTGCTCTTGCTGCCAACCAATCTATCTGCACTTTCTCTCTCTATCTTATTGTTATTATTGTTTCATCATCTATAATCAGTCAGCAGTTTAGTTTAGTCTACAACCACAACCTTCACAAGAGACAATCTCCTACTCCCTGCTAATCCTCCTTCCTCATCCCAAGTCAGAGTATTAATTAATATAATTCAACATCTAACAACAAATCAAATCAAAGAGATTCTTCTTTGTAGGTATCATATCATCGAAATAGATAATTAATAGTTAAAAGTTGGTTTTGTGTACTCTTTAGTATTGAGAAAGAAGGAGAAAAAGAATTAGAGATAGATAGATATAAGTATAAGATAAGATAGGACAGGATAGGATAGATAAAAGATACTTTAACGATACTCAATTGAATTCAAGTTATTAAACATTAATTGAATGTATAACAAAATGATGGATGGATGGGTTAGTTGGTAATATACAAAACTAACATGCTTGAAGAAGAGATCTTGGTGATTAACAAAAACAAAAACAAACAAATAATTCCTAGGATGATAAACCATTCATCCCATCCATCCATCCATCTATCCATTTAAACACACGCTCAACACAACAAACAATAATAACAGTAAACACCCTTTTCTTTCTTCTTCTTCCCACCAAACATTCCACAACCCACAAAACATCAACAACAACAACAACAACCATTTGTTATCTTGTTAATCTTGACCAACCTATAATGAAGAGACAATGCAACCAAATTTGGAATATGAACAAACGATTTACTACTGCTACTACGTCGTTTATGAAATGGGGATGAAAAACTGTTAATGCAAGGATGTAAACACCCACCCACCCCCTTTTCTCTCAACAACCATAAAACAAACAAACAAACAACTGTTGCAACAGAATTCTGCATCCATGGAACAACCAATTGTCAATCTCTGAGTGATTCTTTGATGTGCTGACACTCACTCACGCTCTATCTCTCTCTCTCTCTCTTTTTGCACACCAAAACCGCGCGGTTATACCCTCCCTTTTCCCCATCTCTCATTCTTGTCAATATATATATATTTAAAGAGTACACTAGTAATTTGTTGATTAGTTGATCTTATCATTTTTTTTATTCATCGTCCAATTCACACGCAACCCAATACAATTCTCTTTTACCAAAACAACAACTAAAACTATATATATTTACATCATTCCAATTTATTATAATATTAATAATATAATTCTATTTATTTATTTATTTATTTAATAATAGCTGTAACATACTTTTTTTTACTAAACCAAAATAATAATTGATCAATCATGTCCTGGAGAGCTCTATTATCACATAATTTACAAGAAATTAGAATTCACTTTTGCCAACAAGCTCAAAGCAGTGAAGGCCTAAGGTAAATAATTGAAATACCAAAAAACTATTTCCAGTTCCACCATTGATCATTATATTAACTTTTTTGTTTTATTTAGAAATTTCATTACAAAGAACTATACCGATTTAAAGAGATTAAATCCAAAGCTTCCATTGATGGTCCGTGAAGCTCATGGAATTGAACCTGTAATTTATGCCAGATACGATTGGGGACAAGAGGAAAAAAAGGTTGTTACTAATTTATCGGAACAAGAAGTCGAAGAAAAGTTAAAGGAACTCTGTTTAATGGGTACCAAGTTGGATAGATCACCAGAAAGTGACCTCAACGAAGATGATGTTGTTTCATCTTATAATAGACCAAAAAATACCTATAGAACTATCTTTTAAACATAATAATAATCCAAATAATAATAATAATAATACATTCCATCAATATTTTAAAATAATTACAATTAATTCATCCCGACGATAATATATAAATATTTCTTTTATTTTTAAATTAAATAATAAAAAATAATATAATATAAATAATAATATAAATTTAGTAATAACAAAAAAAAAAACAGTATTTATTTAAGTTGATTATTATTTAATTAAAAGTACAAGAAGAAGAATTCTTTTTTTTAGTTGTTGTTGTTGTTGGATATCATTATCATTTTTATCATTAGTATTAATTTTTTTATCGGGTAGTTTTATATATAGTATGGTTTTTAATCAATCAACCAATCAATTTAAATATGATTTGTTTGTTTTGTTAACCACATGATGAAGTCATCATCATTCTTTCATTTTGTAAAGATTCACCATGATGAGTTCTTCTAATTGTCTCGGCCATCATTGATGCTAAATTAAACACATATTAATATTAATACTTTTTCTTCTCTCCTTGTCTTTCTTTCTATATCTTTCTATACATACCGATAGAAATAATTTTTAATTTTGGACATTTTTCCTGATTATGAGTATTTGGAATGGAATCTGTGATGATTAATTCACTGATGGCACATTCATTGATAATGTCAATGGCATTGTTGGAGAATACACCATGGGTGACGAGTGCATAGATCTTTTTGGCACCTCTTCTCATTAGAGTGACTGCTGCCGAGTTTAGAGTGGAACAGGTATCGGCAATATCATCGATGATGATGGCAATCTTGCCTTGAACATCACCGACAAGAATGGTTTCCGAATCAGATGATGCAATGCTTGCTTTGTGGATGATTGCCAAATCAGTTTCTATTTTATCGGCAATGATCTTGCCACGTTTAACACCTCCAACACCTGGACTGACAATGACCATATCACCTTGGTCAAGTGGTTTAATTCTCTTTCTAATATATTTTACAAACAGTTGATCTGAACATACATTCTCTACTGGTATATTAAAGAATCCTTGAATTTGTGATGAACTAAAAATAAATAGATAGATAGATAGTAAGTATACTATAACTTGTATGTCTTTTTGTTTTGTTTTGATTCTCTCTTTCACTCACTGAAGATCTAAAGTAATGACACGAGTAATACCAGACATTTCAATCATATTAGCAACCAATTTACAAGTGATTGGGGAACGTGATTTATCCTTTTTCGATTGTCTTGCATAACCAAAGAAACTAATGACAGCTGTGATACGATGAGCAGATGCACGTTTGGCACCGTCAACCATGACCAAGAGCTCCATCAAGTAATCATTGACACATGGGTTGCATGTAGGTTGTATAATGTACAAATCAACGTCTCTGACCGATTCATTGATCACTACATGTGTCTCGCTATTGGCAAACTTTGATACAAACACCGATCCCAACTTTGTATTCAATTGTTGTGATATCTCTTTTGCTAATTGAGGATGTGCATTACCACTTAAAATAACTAATGGATGTAATGTCATAACTATAAATATAAATAAATAAATATAAATAAATATAATACAAGACAATATCCAAAAGCAAAGATATAAGCACAAATTTAATAAATTAGTCGAAAATGAGGAAGATACAAAAAATTTTTGAACTTGATGATCAAGTGTGAGAATTATTAATCTGTATTTCTTTTACTATTATATATTACAAAATAGAGAGAAAAGAGGAGAGAGAGAAGAGAGATGGAGGAAACAACTGTTATTGAAAAGACAAATGTAAAGTTGGAAAGATCATTGGAGGATTTGATCAAAGAAAATAGAAACGAAAAGAAAAAGAACTTTGTTCAAAGTAGAGTTCAAAATAGACATCATAATGGTGAATCAGGTTCTTCATCACCTTCATCTGACCCAATGTCAACTAGTTTGGATTCAATGATTAGTGGACAAAAGAAACAAAACTATGTACAAAGAAATAAAATAGATAGAAAGTATGGAAGTGGTGGAAGTGGAGGTGGAGGTAGCCACCACTACCATCAAACAAGCAATATTAAAATCACTGTACAAAATACATATTCTTCAAGATCTAGAGGTGGTGGTGAAGGTGCACATCCACTACTAAGAACAGATGATAATCAATATGGTGGTGGTGGTTATAGATCTCATCGTCATGGTGGTAGTCATCACCATCAACATCATAGAGGAGGTCGTGGAGGAGGATCACCAGTACAATATAGAAATAGATCACTCTTGGAAAAGGTATCAAAGATTGATCATTCACTCTTTGATCCAAGAGGTATCAGAGATTACAGTCAAGTAAAGAAACCAATCACTGTCAATATGAATGGCGGTAGAGGAGGTAGAGGAGGTAGAGGTGGAAGAAACTCACGTTACGACGACGATGGAGACTTTTATCAGGAAGAAGGTGCTACTATTCGTGTTGCCAATTTAGCACCATCTGTCACTCTACGTGACCTCGGACGTGTGTTTAGTGTCATTGGAGAGCTAAAGGATTTCGATATTCTACATCATCTCAAGCCTGTTCAAGCATCGATCACCTACAAAAACCCAGAACATGCTCTACTCGCAATCAATAGATTCAATGGAATTCCATTGGATGGTCAAGATTTGGAAATAACTTTGGAATCTAAATTAGATCAAAATGAAGAAGAAGAAGAAGAATATGAAGATGAATTGGAACAAGGTGACTTTGATGATGATATGCAAGATGATGATATCAACCAAGATGATGAATAAATAAATAAATAAATAAATAAATAAAAGATTAAATCGAAAAGATTATTATTATGAATAAATAACATCATTAATCTAAAAATAAAAATAAAGTAAAGGAGAGAGAAGTTGACAAAAGGAGAGGAAAGTTGGTTTTTTAAAAAACTGTGTAAGTTCAACCGACCAAAAAGGACAATGAACCTACGGTGTCATTATTATTCTTGTAGTTTTATTATCATCTTTTGGTATTTGTTTGTTTTTATTATTTATTTATATATATATATTTCATTCCTCCTTTAGAAGAAGAAGAAAGAACAAGAGAATGACAGATAATATTAAACTATCATTAGATCAGATCATCAAGAATAGAAAAAAGGAAAAGAGTAGTAATAAATCAGCATCTACTAAAATCAAGACACAACACAAGGTATTTATGATAGAGTAGAATAGAATAGATATATTAGATGTTCATCTAACACAAATCATTTATCTTTTCTAGGTAAAATCAACAACTACAACAACAACAAAAGTTAGTAAACCATCATCTTTAAAGATAAAGAAAAAAGAGACCAAACCATCTACACCAACCAAATTAAGAATTACAATCAAGAATGATAAGAAATCATCATCTCCTTCTTTAGTTGTTGGTGGTGGTGCATCTAAAAAGTCTGGTGCTGGAGCCGGAGAACTAAAGTCAGGTGGTGATTTAAAGACACTACGTATGACAATTGTAAATGATAAATATAAGCCTGGTAGCTCTGGTGCTGGTGCTGGTGGCAAGACAATCATCAAGAAACCAATTGGCTTGCGTACCAATATCACAAGATCAACTGATGAAAATGGAAGAGGAAAAATTAAAATATATAACAAGGCTCCAGGAGGAGGAGGAGGAGTAGACTATCAAAGTAATGGTAGTGGTGGTCATGGTTATGGTGGAGGTTACCAACAACAAAACAACAACAACAACGGTCTATTTAATAATTATTTCAATAACAACAATAATAATCATAATCATAATAATGGTTCACCAAGTTTCTCTTCAAGCAATGGTCATCATCATGGTGGAGGAGGATCATCATCACATTTATTATCAAGCAGAAATCCAAATCACAACTGGTCAAATAATGGTTTTAATAACAACAACAATAGTGGTAGTTTTAGTAGTGGAGGAGGTTTTGGAAGCCCAAAGCCACAACAACTGTTTACAGGTGCCAGAGTTAATGTATCAAACTTAAACTATGACGTAACACAAGAAGATCTCATCCAAATTTTCCAAAGAGTTGGAGAGGTCAAGAGTCTCAACATCAACTTTGATCGATCAGGTCGTTCCGATGGTACTGCCACCATTGTCTATTCTCATAGAAACAGTGCTGATGAAGCTGTCAGAACCTATCAAAACGCTCTTCTCGATGGTAAACCAATGATTGTTCATTTAAATTAATTGATAAATAAATAGAAATAGAAATAGAAAAGATAAATTGACAAAAAAGTAAACAGATAAATCAATGAGATTTATTTCGCTTTTCAAAAAAAAAAAAAGTCTTTGATCAAAAAAAGGTAGTACTAATCGCGATGAGAGAGACCCCAATTTTCCTACAAATTCTCGAAACGAGTTTGTGTCGCACGCGAAAAAAACAATCCTATTGGCCCAAGCCACTTTAAGAAAGATTTTTATTTATCGATTGTTGTCCTCCTCCTCCGACTTTTAAACTCCTCCTTCTTTCTCCTCGGAATCCTTTCAACTCAAGATTATATCATTCATTGTTGTAATCTTTTTATTTCCTACTCTTTCAGGTATTTATTTAAACAATCTATATATTCCACTAGGAATCCTCACAGTATGAGAGAATATATGAGGTGGCACCCGTCCCATGATTTTAGGATCACCACACCCACTATTCTTTGGATCCCAACACCCTTTTAACAAACAACATTTAAATAGACGGGTGATCCACAGAGAGAGTGTGTGTGCTTACAAAAAAAATCACTCTATTCTCTCTCTCTTTGTCATCACTCTCAAAGATCATCAACATTCAAAATCAACCCCCCTCATTTTATTTAATCTATCTTTTTTTTTTTTATCTCTATCTAATTTATCTCTTTTCTTTTCCCTTTTTACAACTTTTACAAATATCTAGCAATATATAATATATATTAAATATTAAATATTAAATTAAATTCTATAAAAAAATGGGTCACGTACATCTACTTGGAGGATTTTTAACATTATTATTCTCTGCCGCTGTTATTGGTATGAATGTCTATGCATTCCTTCAATCAACTCCATGGTATGAGATTGGAACCAACTCACAACTAGTTGATTTACATTTTGACTTTTCAAGAGATGGTGTAATTTCAGGTGACACTCTTACTGAATGGGACGGAGACTCCAAGACCAGAACTGTAATCTACACTTCTTTTGCCTTTGTCATTATCTCTTTTATTTTTGTAAGCATCAAACAAATCAAAAATATATTTTTGACAAAATGTAATAATTAATTAATTAATATTAATATATTCTTATTGTTTTAATAGGCCGTTCTTGGATTACTCGTTACTGGTGTTGGTATGCTCAAACACTTGCACAAGCATTCTAGAAAGTTCATCCTTGTTTCTGCCATTATTACCCTCATTTCAAATGTTTTAGCCACTGCTTTGTTTGTTAGGTAAACAACAAAAAAAACAAAAATGATCATTCAACCTAATCTACATATTATTCTAACATTTTTTTTTTATTTCTATAGAATCAATAATGCATTCTGTGATGATATCGAGGATGGATTAGCTGTTAATATCAATCTCAAAGGCACTGATTTCTGCTCCGAGTTTAAGGGAGAAGATTCAGTCTTGTATTGGAAACCAGTTATTGGTTGGATCATCACCTTGGTCGCTGCCATCGTATCACTCTTTTTCACCATTGCCGCTGCCAGCATCGTTCGTCACAAGAAATTCGGATACCATGTCATCCACTAAGCAACACTATATAACACCAATTAATTATATTTGTTAATCAAATGATTCTCCTTTTTTTTTCTTCTTTATGTAAAATATATATAAATATTTATTTATCTTTACAAGATATATAAAGATAAATCCAAATCTTATAAATAAATAAATAAATAATCAATCAATCTCTCAATCAAACCGTGTATTCTAAATTAAATTAAATGATTCCAATTTATATTTGGTTTGAAAATGGACCATTTCAAGGTTCCTACTTTAACAATCAAAATACTACCATCCCAAACAAACTCTCAAAATATCTTCCTCTCCAGAAACATAAACATACATAATTAAATATAAATCTTAAATAAAATAAAAAAGAGATTGAATATAATATATTTATATAATATGAAATTTAATAATAATAAATAATTATTCCAAAAAGATATAATATGATTATCGATAATCGACCCACTTTCCCCCCTCTCTCACTCTGTACTTCTTCTTTCGTCTCTCACCTTTTATTTTTTTTTTTTTACTTTTTTATTTTATTCCTTTCCTCTCCTCTTGCTTGAGGATTTATTCTTTTAAAGAAAGATTGTTGTAGTCATATTGTAGTAGCAGTAGTAGTCATAGTTCACGAGAAAAAACAAAAGGTAATAATAATAATATATAAAAAGACATTGTTTGTTGTTGTGCAAATTCTTCTTGTTGCAAAAAAAAAAAAATTAAAATTAAAAAAAAAAAAAAAAAAAAGATTGCAACAAGGGTCTTCTCTCTCTTTCTTTGTAATAATCAAAAATTTAAAACTCAACATCAACAAATATAACAAAAAAAGAGAGAAAGGGAGAATAGCTAAAGCAACAATAATAATAAAGTAGCCACACTCTATATTATACCCATTTCACATATTATAATATTATATATATCATCACACACATCATCAAAGAATCATCTTTATCCTCAAACCATCATTTTAGACTAACATTAACATCATTATCTCCTAAAGAGTTTTCTTTTACATATATATACACACACTTACATTGTATGTAGTTTTAAACTCGCACATGATGTGATGATTATCAGAGAGAGTGGTTGTACTGCAAACGATTTATTATCGTTTATACAACCCTCCTCCTCTGTCGTAGTCATATAGTACAACAATGAGTAAAAAAAAAAAAACTTATTCTTTTACCTCTTTTATATACAACTTATATAGACAAAAATGAACAATAATAATAAGATATTTCAATTTAAATTGGTATTACTTGGAGAAGCTGCTGTAGGAAAGAGTAGTTTGGTTCTTAGATTTGTACGTGGACACTTTTTAGACTATCAAGAAAGTACTATAGGAGGTAGGTTTAAAAGCAAACTAGAGCAGACAGAGATCATATAGACACAACAAGTAACCTGACAACGTCTCTCTCTCTCTCTCTCTCTCTCCTTTTTTATTTATAAACTTTGTAAATTACAGCTGCCTTTTTAGCTCAAACAGTTTGTTTAAATGATACTACAGTAAAGTTTGAAATTTGGGATACAGTATGTTATCAAATCAATCAATCAATCAATCGATCGATCAATCAAATATACATTCTTTAACTATAATGGATTAATTAATTTCTAAATTCAATTCAAAACAGGCTGGACAAGAAAGATATCATACTTTGGCTCCAATGTATTATCGTGGTGCTCAAGCAGCTATTGTTGTTTATGATATTAGAAGTCAAGATTCATTCGAAAGAGCTATCAAATGGGTCAAGGAATTACAAAGACAAGGAAGTCCAAATATTGTTATAGCATTGGCAGGAAATAAGTTGGATTTGGCTGCAAAGAGAAAAGTAGAGACTGCTGTAAGTTTTAAATCTTTAAAGACTATCCATGTCAACCCCCTATCAAAAAAAGTGTTCACGATTGGATTTGTATCTTATTATTATGGAGATATACAAAAGAGGTACGGGAGAGGGATGTCTCTTCCCCGTACAATTCCACATCCATCGGCACTAAAGTGAGGATTTGCACTATTGATGGGGCGAATCGGATATTTATAAAAAAAAAAACCAAAAATCTTCATTCTTGATTTTCGGCGACCAACAATCCATTAATAATGTTGTTTGAATTTCTCTCTCTAATTTATCTCAAATATATTTTAGGAAGCACAACAATATGCCGAAGAAAATGGGTTACTGTTTATGGAAACCTCTGCCAAAACTGCCCAAAACGTAAATGAACTTTTTGTAGAAATAGCTAAAAAACTACCAAAAACTCCCAATCCACGTCCAGGTTCTGGTCGTTTACCAATTCCACCAATTGAAAATAACAATCAAAGAAAAAAACCATGTTGCAGCAACTAAAAACCTTTGGATAGTCTCTGTACAATAAAAGTTTTCTTTTTTTTTAATCATCTACTCAAAAAAAACAAGTCTTTTTAAAAATATATTAATACTTTTTTATTAAACAATATTATTATTTGTTTGGGAATTATTATTATTATTATTAGTTTTTTGTTGACTATTATTATTATTTGGATCAACATTTTCTTTGTTATTATTCTTTTTGGTAATAATTTTTTCAGCAAAAGTGGCAGGGTTGATTGTTATACTCTTGGTACAATTGTCAGTTTTGTAAATACCAACAAGACGATCGGCAAGTTCAAACATATAGTTACGAAGAGAAATGATGATAAATTGAGCATTCTTTGTACTATCTTTAATATAATTGGCAATAATCGAAGTATTCTTGTAATCGAGGGCAGCATCAATTTCATCCATAAAATATAATGGTGTTGGTTTATAATGATGTAATGCAAATACAAGTGCCAATGAACTCAATGTCTAAAAATGATAAGAAAATATTAATATCAAATAAATTATTTTCTTTTTCTTTTTTTTTTTCTTTTTTTTTTTGTACCTTTTCACCACCTGATAAATCAGTAATACGTTTCCAACTCTTTTTTGGAGGACGAACACTAAATATAATACCTTCAGAAAATGGATCAGAGGTATCGGCCAATTCAAGTTCTGCATCACCACCAATAGTAATAATTCTGTACATTTCCTTGAGTTTAAGGGTGATGATGGTAAAACCAGCCATAAAGTCATCCAAACGCTTCTTTCTGAGATCATCGTATAGTTTTTTCAAATCATCTCTTTCTTTGGTAATTGCTTGTAGGTGATCTTGTTGTTTTTCCAAATCTTGAAGTTTCTTTCTATATTCTCTAATTGGATTGATTGAAGTTGACTTTAATTTCTCCCTTTGACTAGAAAGACTAACAATCTTTGCACTATTTTCATCTTTTTGTTGACTCAACGCTTCAAGTTGATCATCTGTATAAATTACTAATGGTTCATCTGGATCATTTTCAAAAATCTTTAATCTATAAAAAATAAAAAAAAGAAATATTAATATATATTATCAATTTTTTTACTTTTCTATTTGTTTTTACCTTAATTTTTGTTGATTTAATTCTTCAAACTTTCTAGTAAATTTACTAGCTAGATCATTATTTTCTTGGATGGTTTTTGTTAAATCTTCAATACTATTTGTAAGATCAATTTCCTTGCTTTTAGATTTATCATCAATCTTTTTAGCCTCTTCATATTCCTCTCTAATCTTTTTAATCTCTTCTACCTTTTCATCCACCTTGTCACTATTGTCATCAAAGGCTTTACGACAAATTTCTTCATCCTTTTTCATTGCCTCTTTCTTTTCCAAAAGACCTTTTAATTTGGCTTTGAGATCCTCAATTTCTTGTTTATGTTGTTCCAATGCTTTTTGAGATTTCTCTATTGATTTTTCTAAACTTTTAATTTGAACATTTGCTTTTGTTATACCATGTCTTGTTGTATCAATCTAAAAATTAAATAAAATAAATAAAATTAATATTATTTTCTTTTCTATTATTATTTGTTTTTTTTCTATTATTTACCTTTTGTTGTAATTCATCAACTAAAGTTTTTTGATTTTTTAAAGCACTTCCACCAACATTTAAAATTTTGTTTCTAATTGATTGAATTGATTTTTCCAAACTATCAACCTTTTCCTTTAACTTGTCATATTCCTTTTTATCAGTTTTGAGGGTTTCTTTGATTTGATCAACTCTTTCTTGTTTTTGACTAGAGACCTTGATTTGATGTTCGAGGGCTGGGATGGCCTTTGAAAGTTCTTCTTGTTTCTTGTGAGCAGCCTTGATATCCATTTCCATCTTGGGGAGGTCAAATTCAAGATCTGCCTTTCTACGTTGTAATTGTTGGAGTGATTGTTCGAGTGCACGCTTTTCTTCACGAATCTGTTGGAGTTGACCCTCCAAGTTGGACATGGAGTCGTTTAGCTTGCCCAATTGTTTTCTGTCTTCGACCGGGTCGCCAACAATCTTGGAACCCATGGCACCTCTGGCAACACGGTTACCACCACCAGACATGGCACCACTTTGTTCAATCACACCACCTTCCAATGTAACGACACGATACTTGGTGCCCTTGGTGCCAAAAGCAATCTTGGTTGCACTATCAATGTCATTGGCAATCAAAGTATCACGCAATGCAAAGTAAAATGCATTACTATAATTTGGACTCTTCATCTTTACAAGATCATATAATCTCTCTACACCTTGTGGTCCTCTAAATCTATCAATATTTGATGCCAAATGTTCAATTTTATCTAAAATAATAAATGTTGCTCTACCAAGATTTTCTTTTCTAAAAAAATAAAATAAAATAAAAATAATTAATAAAATGATTAAATATATTAATATTAATATATAATATTTTTTGTTTTCCTCTTTTTTTGTTACCTTAAAACTTCAATACATTTTTCAGCGGTAGAAGTAGTATCAACAACAATATTATCTAAAGAAGGAGCAGCAGTTGAAACGGCAACATCGTATTTCTTATCAATTGCACCAAGATCACCCAAACGACCATGGATACCAGGAAGCTCACCATTTTCTTTGAGTTTCATGAGACGATTCATGACCGTATTTCTAGAGGTACTTTCAGAGAGAGTTGATTTGAGTTCTTCAACCTTACTTCTAGTAGACAAACAATCACGATAGACAGTTTCTTCTTGTTGTTTCTTGGTGTCCAATTGAGAAGAGATTTCAACAATTTCCTGTTTGATTTGTTCCGATTCTTTCTTGGCCTTGCTAATTTCAGTGGTTCTCTTTGTGATGGTGACTTTGGCATCTTCAATTGCCTTGTTTGCCTCGTCCAAACGATGGACAGATGTCTTTAGATCCTTGGAGAGGACTTCAATCTCTGATTCTTGAATGTCAACCTTGCTCTTGATTTCCGAAAACTTTTTACTCCATGGCATCAATTCCTTTTGAACCTCTTCCATCTCTGCTTGCAGTTGAGCCGTTTCACCCTTGGTGGCTAGAGTCATCTTTTCAAGTTTCTTTTCCTCTTCGACCAATTGATTTGGTAGAACGGCAGCCTCGGTTTCAAACCTTTTGATATCTTTTTTACACTTTTCCTGTGTCTTTTCAGACTCTTCGATACGGTTGGTCTCTTCTTGGATGATAGATTCACTCTTTTTGATCATTGTCTTTAGATGTTTCTCTTCTTCCTTGTATTTGATGTATTTCTTTTGGAATGCAGCATGCTCGTTTTTAGTCTTTTGCACCAATCGTTCCAATTCTTCGAGTATACTGTTTTCAGATTTCATCTTGATCTCGCTTTCACGTAGCTTGACTCGACTTGCCTCCATTGAATCTCTGACCTTTTTGAGTGCCTCTTCAAAACCTCCTCTCTTGTCCATCAACTTGTTGTTGTTTAGCGTGAAGATGTATCTCTGCAACTGTGCAGCAATACTCTTGTGAATCAAAAGTTCAGTTTCAATGCGAAGGTATTCCTCTGCCTCGTCCTTGGCCTCTTCCAATCCTCCCAACTCTGTCTCTACTGCCTTGAATCTATTCAGTATAGTCGATCTTTCCGCATTCATCTCTTCCACCTTTTTATAGGCTTGTTCAATCTTTTCAACATATTGACTCGACCCAATAATCTCTTCCAAATATTCCAACAATCCATATGAATCTTTTGATGATTGTGCTTTTGGTTGCATTGTTGCAATTTGTTCAACTTCTCCCTAAAATAGAAAAATATAAATAAAAGATAAAGGATGTTTTTAATTTCTTTTTCTTTATATTTACTTGTAAAATAATAAATCTATTATATTCCATATCAATTCCTTTACTCTTAAGTAAAACATCAACATCTTCATAGGTTTTTTGTTTTCCATTAATAAAATATTTTGATTGATTACTCTTGTTTGCAGTACGAGTAATCACCATTTTACTATCTGGTACAACTTCATATGCTGCTTCTCCAGGCTAAACAAAATTAAAAAAGATTAGAACAAGATGAATCATTTAATTTAATTTAATTTAATTTAAACTTACTCTTTCAATAATATCTTGGAAATGAACGGAAACTCTAGCTTCTGTTAAACCTTTGTGAGTTGAAGAGTTGTGAATCAATTCAGAGATCTTGTTGAAACGAATGTTCTTGGCACGTTCACCAAAGACAAACCGAATAGAATCCAAAACATTTGATTTACCAGAACCATTTGGACCAATCACAGAACTAAAGCATTTGTGGAATGGCCCCAATTCAACCTTGCCAGCATACGACTTGAAATTCTCAATCTCTAACTTTTCAATAATCAATCTTCTAATTGGTTGATTACCTGTTGTTTGTACCATTGCTGATGTTGATATATTAACTATTTGTTGAGATGACTGTGTTGCATTTGTTATAGTTGTTGTAGTTGTAGTAGTAGATGTAGATGTTTCTTCATCATCATCTTCTTCTATTTGTGGTTGTTGAGACGATGAATTAGTTGATGTTGTTGAAGTAGTTGAAGTAGTTGAAGTAGTAGTAGGCGATGATTTAGTTGTATCTTGTGATGAAGCAGCTTTCTTTTTAGCAGCAGCAGCAGCAGGTGATGGTTTCTTTGCAGCGGCAACTACAGCTGCAACAGTTGATTGTGTAGATGAATTCTTTTGTTTCTTTTTAGTTCTCTTTTCATCTTCACTATCTATTTCATCTTCTGATTCCTCTTCTTCTTCTGATTGTTCACTGTCAGATGATGATGACTGTGACGACTGTGATGAAGATGCATCATCATCATCTTGATCAGAAGTATCTATTGATTGTTCATCTTCACTTTCCTCCTCTTCTTGTACAATCTTCTTTTTATTATTTTGTTGTGAGTTGTTTGTCTTGCTACTCATGTCTACTTATCTATACAATACATTAAACTAATGAGATACTTTGTCAAATGCTATTCGCCCGCTCTTATTTCCTCAAAGTTTAAAAAAAAAAGGAGGGAAAACCAATAACCAAATTAAATTCATTGTTCTCAGAAAACTCTATACATATACTCCGTCACACATGTTATATTAATCTCGAAACTAATGATGGATAATAATTATCATGATTGATATTATTCAAACATTATAATATGATTATACCAAGTAGTATACTATAGTTTAGGCTTGGTTCATCAAAATTTCTGATGTGCTATGTTATTAAATTTTACTGTGAGTCATTAAGTTTCGGTGAATTTCGAGTCATAGTTTAATAGTCAGCAATCAAACATTCATGTAGAGTTTAGAATGGTGAAATGGGGAAGATCTCCTCACCCCTTTCTTAGTGACTCGATCATAAAGCACAACAACAGCAACTATAAATAATCAACATGTTTAATCGATAATATCATCAAATCATTCAATACAATCAATATATATACATATATATAATACATATACTAAAGCAACCAACAACAACAATACAACCAACAAATATACATTTACTAAATCAATCAAACAATGGGATTAATCTTATCATTATTATCAAACTTTGGCATTGGAAAAGGAAAACAATATCGTATATTGATGATCGGTTTAGATGCAGCTGGAAAGACAACACTATTATATCGTTTAAAACTTGGTGAAGTCGTTACTACTATACCTACTATTGGTTTCAATGTTGAATCTGTAGAATACAAGTATGTATAAATCGATTTAATATTATCTATCAACCAAACTATTATTTAACATTTATCAACATTTACTAATCCTATATTGTATTCTATTATTTACTTTTTTTTTTTTTAGAAATGTAAACTTTACAGTATGGGATGTTGGAGGCCAAAACAAAATTAGACCATTGTGGAGACATTATTATTCTGGAACATCGGCTGTTATATTTGTCGTTGATTCAGCTGATAGAGAAAGAGTAGAAGAGGCAAAAGAAGAGTTGATGAATGCTATCAACGATGATGAATTGAGAGATTCAGTGTTACTTATTATGGCCAATAAGATGGATGATCCAAATGCACTATCAGTGGCACAATTAACCGATCAATTGGGATTACATAGTCTTAAAAGAAAATGGTATATGCAACCAACAGTTGCTACTAGAGGTGATGGTATTTATGAAGGTTTGGATTGGTTAAATAATACTCTTAAAAATCAACAATCAAAATAATAATAATATTTAATAATAATAAAATAAACTTGTACATATATAATAAATAATTTAATTAAAATGACCATAACGGTTTGTGTTCTTTCCTCTTAAAATGAACATTAATACCTTGAAAACCAAATAAATAGATTAAAACCCAACTTGCAAGTTGACTCATTCATTCTCTTATTTGCTTTCATAGTAACAGTAATATAAAAGTTAATATAATATAAAATTTATTAAAAAGGTAGGCAGATAGTGAGTGTATATTATTTATTCTTTCTTTGATATTTTTTAATTAATTAAATTTTTTTTGTTTTCTATACATTAACACTTCATACACAACAGAACCCAGCAATGAATCCTCAAATGTCAGATCTTGAATTCAGCTTTAAGGCTTATGACTATGATCGTAATGGAAAGGTCGATGTCGAAAACCTAGAGAGTGTTATGCTAAATGCCGGTTTGTTCTTGTCTCCTAGAAAGAATTTGATTTAACCTTCGCTGATAACCTTTACAACAAATACAAAAAAATAATTAATGAAACACCCAAACCTGTTGTTACCATGGGTACAATGCTCAAAGATAAGGTAAAGGATGGTTTCATTTCAGAGTCTGATGTTATTGATGTTGATGGAAATCTAGACGAGGTTTGTAATCTTTTACAAAAAAAATATCAAATAATCATAATTAATACCAAATATAATAATTATCATTGTTTCTTGTTACCGGTAACTTTATCCATTAATATGATATTCTAGACACATGAATTCTTAAAGAGATTTAAAATCACTGATGGAAAAATTAAATATTCCGAATTTGAAGTGGAGTTCAATTAGGAATTCCCTGGTTTCTAAACATTTGTTTATTGACATCATCTTTCTATCACCTAATTGACTCGGTGGAAAGAGGCGTAATGGCTGAGCACCAAATAATCTATAGTTTGGGTAAATACCTTTTAAAGTTTGAGGGTTTACAAGAGGCTTATTTCAAGCACCGAAATCCCACCAAAGAGATCCAACATATTGCAACGATCGAGTATCTTGGTGCCTGGAGCGTCACCTCCCACCTAATCTTCAAATTAATGCAACTTAGGCGAATTGGACCCGACGATTTTCCCGGGTTAAAAGGAATATTTGAGATATTAAGCAAGGACATACAAAAAGCAAAGAATAGGAAATATGCAAAGAGTTTTTATCCAAAAATGGCAGTCTTTGGTGGCTCTATTTTATATATTATGAAACGATGTCGAATATCAAAGATGCGTTTCGACAAGGATTGGTTCAAGTTGGAACATGCTGAATCCATAATGGTATATGTTATTGATTTGGTACACCACCCATACAATTTCGGACTTACCTTTTCAGAAAAGATGCTCATGGTCATCGAAAGAATAATGGAGTTCATCGAACATTACATATCGTTTGTTCATATTGTGATTTGTGAAGGGTTCGATACTGTCGAACTAACCAGATATCAAATGCGTGTTGTTCGTGATAACATTGCAAAGAAACGAGTTATACACAATCCTTTTAATAAACAATAACAATATTGTATTTACAATTAATTTATAGATAGGAAAGATAATTATTATTAATATTAATAATATTATTATATTTTTAGAAAAATTAAAAAGATCTCTGACCAAGGTTTCTCATTAATTTCGATTCGTTGTAATGACAATGAGTCATTAGCATTACTCGATACTTGTTTGTGTATAAATGATCAAATAACAATCATTTAACTGACCTCCCTTTCGACACTCTCGCATTATACTCCTCGCCATCAATATATATATTGTTGAAAGAAGATAGATAGACCTACCTAGGTATTCTAGAATGGGATTAATCTATTCATTATTATCAAACTTTGGAAACAAAGAAAGAAATCATCGTATATTGATGCTTGGAATAGATGCAGCTGGAAAGACAACACTATTATATCATATGAAACTTGGTGAACCGGTTACTACTATACCTACTATTGGTTTCAATGTTGAAACGATTCAACTTGCATCAAACGCCGTCCTAACTATATGGGACGTGAGCGGTGGATGTCCTGCATTGGTATGGTCTGATTAGATTAGATTAGAATGGAAATGATGGAGAAATGATTCATTCTAGTATGCACACCCACTAACTATATGTCTTTTATTTATATTAGTGGAAATATTATTTAGAATCAACTGATGCACTTATTTATGTTGTTGATGCATCCGATAGAGATAGATTGGAAGAAACTACACAACACATGATGAATCTATTGGCAAATGAAGCACTAAAAAACATTGTACTATTGGTATTGGCAAACAAGGCAGACTTGAATGATGCAATATCATCGTCTCAATTGGCCAATGAAATGGGTTTATATTCACTCGATATCAAATGGCATATACAATCGACCGTTGCTACCACTGGTCAAGGTATTTCACAAGGTTTGGAATGGCTCAATAATATTCTTCAAAAATTACCATCCCATATTTACTAATTAAACAATAGACCAATACTATCTTGTACATTATAATATAATACGAACAAATAATAATAATAATTTATTATTATTATTTCTTTCCTTTCTTTTCAATTAAACTTTTATGAACTGTACCATCGGTAGACATACCTTCGATCACGAGGTTTGGGTTGGTTAAATAATACTCTTAAAAATCAATCAGAATAATAATATATTACTTGGTTTTCTTTTTTTGATAAATTATAATATTTATTATCTTTATTCTTGAGATGATGGAGACCACAGAATAATTGTGGTAGGTATATATTATTATTATTATAATATTTATTATTATTATTATTATTATTTACAAGTGTACATGTTTGTTTGTTTGTTCAATAGTTTTCGGTTGGTGTTTATTTATTTAGTAGTATCATCAGTCAGTCTCGCTCATCCTCCAATTTATTCCTCACCTACTTCAACGTCACCTGATTCATCGTCTTCGCCACTACTACTGATACTACCGCTACTACTATTCATATGAATTGATTTTTGATTTATATTTTCTTCCAAGTAACCGTTGTTGTTGTTGTTATTGTTAGTATTTCGCCCTCCTTTTCTTTTTTTGATTGGTGGTTGTATGTGATTATTATTATTATTATTAGTATTTTGATTATTATTATGATTATTAATATTAGTATTATGATTAGTAGTTTTAACATCTCCATCATTATATCTTTTTCCACCACTACCAAATAATTTATCACTTAGTAATTGGATAGGATTTTGTTGTTGTTGTTGTTGTTGATGTTGATGTTGAGATGATTTGTCGTTGTTATTATTATTATCACTATTATCCTTATTATTGCCAACATTTTGATTGGGTGACGTATTGGCAGAATTTGGATTGAGATTAATCAATTCAGTTGCAACTATATTTTGAATCATTGATGGTGACGTTATTGTTGTTGCTGTTGTACCATTTGAACTTTCATTAATTGATTGATTTTGAATTTGTTGTGATTGTTGTTGTTGTTGTTGAGAAGAAGATGATTTTTTTCTTTGATCAACATCTTCAAAAACTATTCCTTTAAATGTCTTTCCATTGATACTAGTCTCTACAATTAATCCAGGTCCATTTACATTTCCTCTGAAATAAACTGTTGCACTATAACAAGGTGTTGTTTCAAAATTACCAGACAAATGTCCATTAAAGAATCCTATAATAAATAAACAAATGGTTAATAAACTATATTCCATTTCATTATATTATATTTACCAGGTTCTTTATCAAATTTTGAAATTATAGATTGATATTGTTCTCTAATGTTTTGGAAGTGAAGTGCACTTTCATTGCTAGAGATAATATCGATCATTGTATTATTACTATTACTATCCTTTGTTGTATGGGTGTTGTTGGAAAGAGCCAATGCCTTTTTGGATACATATTGTTTTTTGGTTGGTGTTGGAGTTTGAACTTGTGCTACTTCTCCTCCAACATTATTGGTCGTTGTTGTTGTTGGTAGAGATACGACAGCAGCAGCAGCAGCAGCAGCAGTAGTAATAGCCAATGAAGAAGAAGGTTGACAAATTTCATTTGATATTTGTTGGGTCGAGGAAGAAGAAGAAGATAGTTGTCTCAACTTTTTACTTTCAGTTTGTTGACGAATATAACATTTTTTACATTTATAGGATCGGTTGTAAAACTCTGATATTGGGAGGTTATCTGGTTTAGTGCCCCACCAAGCTTCATGATTGGGATGTGAGCAAGTTTGGAGGCCAGTCGAGTTGGAGGTAGGGGTTGGAATCGATCCATTTGAATTTTTAAGACTACCGCTGTTGTTTTGAGGAACAGATGAAGATGACGATGATAATGATGAACCAGATGGATTGTGGTGGTTGTTGGTATTATCTGGAACCTCACGTGGTGATTCTGGTGATGAATGAACACTATCAGCTGATCGATGTGTTGGCATTACCAAATCATTGTTGAATCCTCCACCAGCATCTCCATTGGACACAACCATTTCAGTATTTGATTCCATCATCATTGTTTAGTAGTAGGTAGTTTGGAATAAATCGTAGTTTTGATTGAATTATAATAAATAAATAATGACTATTAATCTTTTCTTGGGTATTTTTGATTTATAATAAAAAAAAAAAAAAAAAAGAAGTCTTTTAAATTTAGAATGTACAAAAAAAAAAAAACAGGACAAGTAAAATTAAAATAAGAAGTTATAATTAATATATATATATAATTTAATTTAATTTAGTTGTAATATGGTGGTTGTTATAATATGGGTGGTTGCGGTAGGTGGGTGGTTGTTGTTGTTGTTGTTGTTCAGGATGCGTTAGTATGGAAAAGAAATAAAATAAAAAAGATGATCTTTAGAGATGAAATTTAATAAAGAATACAATGGAATGGGGAAAAATGAAAATGGTGGAATGAATTGTAGAATAACAATGAGATGGGAGGAAAATTGCACAATTGTGCTTCGGTAGTTTATAAAAACTATAACATCAACTTCAATTTATAAATATAAATATGTATCGATATTTATATTAGGGCAAAAATTAATTAAAAAAAGAACCAGTTTGTTTGGTTGTGATAGAAAAAAAAAAAAAAAATTTTGATGTGGTTGAATCAAAAACAATAAAAAATTTTTGATTGATGGATTGATGAAATGTGCCTCTCTAGATTGTTTGTCAGTCTTGTCTCTTAATCTAATCTAGATTTAACCACACTAGAATTGATTCTCTATTATTTGTTTGTTTGATTGTTTGGAACTGGAGAGGGCAAGAGAGGTAGGTGTTGCTTTTGCAACAAAGGGGTGGTCAGGTGATTGATAGATTGATTTATGAGTTGGTTGGTTGGTTTGGTTTGGGTTGGGTTGATCAAGTATAAAGATCAATGAGTTGTGAAGATTGTTTGTTGTATTGTATTGTCTACTGCGGTTTGTTTGTCTTCTATAGATTGTGATGATATATTTATTAGAGAATGAATGTTGTTGTTTAATTAATAACAAAAAAAAAAAAATTCAATCAAATTTTTGTCTAAGGGTATTTTTTTTTTTTTTTTGTTCCGGATTTTTTTTTTTTTTTTTTCTACAATTTTGAACTTCGAAAATTGAGGGTTGAGTCATCCTCTCCTCACCTCAGCTGTCAAACTGTGATGATCATCACAAAACTTGAACAATTTGATTCTCTTCATATTAGTAGTCGACTCTATATTTATACATACATACATTCACAGAGAGATAGTTTAGTTTAGTTGTATAAAAACACTACACACATATAGATAAGAGAGAGAGATGTATATCAAAGCACAATTCTTAATGCTATGCTTCTTGTTGGTTGCACTTGTTGGTCATTATCAAGTCGATGCCTTCTCATTCAAGGTGTCGGCCAAGGTCGAAGAATGTATCTTTGAAGAGATTGAAGCCGACATTTCCTACACGGTCATGTTCCAAGTCACACAAGGAGGTTTCAACGATATCGACTTTACCATCATCACACCAGACAAGCGTGTCCAATACCAAGGACAACGTGAGACTGAAGGCACAAAGACCTTTATGTCTAGCGTTGCCGGTGTCTACAGATTCTGTTTCTCCAACAAGATGTCTTCTCTTACTGACAAGGTAGTCAGTTTCATGGTTGTAAAGGGTGAAACTACCCCAATGACTGAATACGCAAAGAAGGGTAAATATATATATTAGAGATAGAGATATAGAGATAAAGATATATATAACAACTCACATAATGGATGATAATTAACAACTTTAATATATTTATAAATCTATAGGTGATGTTGGTACCCTCGAAAGATTGATCATTGCTTTATCAGACAGTGTTCAAGCCGTCAAATCAGAACAAAACTATTTCAGAATGAGAGAAGCCGTTCATAGAAACAGTAAGACATACAAACCAACTATATTCAACCAACTGTGATATACATCATATTAATATATTTATATCTATCGATCAATTATAGCTGCTGAATCAACCAACAGAAGAGTATTATGGTGGTCTGTTTTCGAAACTTTCATCTTGATTGCTATGAGTGTATGGCAAATCTACTATCTTCGTAGATTCTTTGAAGTCAAGCGTGCTGTATAAATATATTAAGTTAATACATACATAAAATAATATATATAAACAAAAAAAACAAAAATCATTATTATTTTAAACACAAACATAGGATTGATTGATTAATAATATATAAGTACTTATACTTTTACTTTTAATTATGTATTATTATTGATATTATTTAAATCATCGCGAATTAATTAATTTTATTTGATTATATCTTTTATATATTTGTGTTTTGTATCTATGTCTATGTCTGTGTCTGTGGGTTTAACTATTTTAAAATATTATCCTTTTGTATCCAATTTTAATAATTATTATTATTATTATTAATATTATTATTATTATTGTTTTCTCTTTAATAAAAGAAAGGTGAAAGATCAATAATCTCAATATCTTTTGCAGCAATGGTTGAAAGTGGTAGTTGGGTTTGACCACCGATGAGAACAAGAACACTTCCTGCCATTGTCATGGTATGACCCTTTCGTTTGGTTGGAAGGGTGCCTTCGACCTTTCGAGTGACCCACGTGCAGTTGATCGTATCAAATATAAACAATTCACTCTCGACGAGAATAATGAGATAGGTTGCATAGCTGGTGATTGACGTGTACCCATTGTCTAGTACGGGCGATGTTCCTTTATAACTAACTGCATTCCATCTAAAGTTTGCAATATCCATCTTATAAATATCTCCATCGTCTTTCACCACCCACAATGCATTTGAACAATATATAATTTGATCATTTTCTTTTAATTTTGGTATACTTCCTGTTGAATAAATTTGATTCCATTTTAATAAATCTAAATAGAAAATAAAAGATTAATAAATGATCCATTCTCTTTCTTTCTTTTTGTTTCTATCTATTCTATTTACATACTTTGATTTGTTAAAGAACAAGTATAGATATCATTTAAATATTCTTTGTTTTCATTTATACCACCATATATTAAAATGGTGTCGTTTGAAATTTGACAAGAATAATGTGAATGTCTTGGGGAAGGAGGTGTCGATCCAATTGCATTTTTGATGTTTTCCCACCATAGCATCTCGGCATCTAAAATATAGAGATCGTTGTAGCAGGTGCCAGCACTATCAACACCTCCAAACATGATGATCTTGCCTTTATGTGTCCCAAGGTTGAGTGCCAACAGACTATGATTCATTCGATCCGATGGACCACGTGGTGACCCCACCCCAGAATTCTCTTCACCATGTGCCAAACTATTCTCCCAATGATACAATATATTGCCATTGTAAACTGGTAGTTTAGAGTATGTTTTTCGTTTAAGTGTTGAAAATGATGTCGATGCCGCCGACGATGAAGTTGATGATGAAGTGAATGATGAAGTGGATGAAGTTGAAGTCAAAGATGAAGGGTTAGGGTTAGGGTTAGGTAATGAACTATTAATATTATTATTTTGGATTAGTGATGATGATGATGATGCACCAGCACTACTATTACTATTATTATTATTATTATTATTATTACCACCAAGTAATTTGTTGAGTTTGTTTTGTGAATGTTTGTTTTGTGGTTTGGCTATTTCGTCGGTACATCCAATACCAATGCTCATAAATGCCAGGTCTGACAATGGTGGTGTATTTGGTGAGTTGGGAGAGCTTCGTCCACCATAGACTACCACACGTCCAATCTCGTTTGCCGTTGACGGACAACTTCCATTGGCCAACGACTGTTTATGTAAAAAGGTGGATGCATGATTGATCCTTGATTGAGGTTGTCCTCCTTCAACTGTGACTTGATACCACATATTATATAAAAGTCAAATCAGATAATTTTGATTTGTATCCAACTAAACTACTACTACTATCCACAAATGAAAGTTTTCAATTTCAATTTCAATTCCAACTAATCTACCTGTCTTATTGATTAATCAACTAGTTGATGATGATGAAAGATGGGAAGGAATATTAATATAAATATATTTATTCTCCTTTCCTTCCTTTCTTTGATTATTATTGTCGCTATTTTGTTGATATGATAATAATATTTAATAAAATTGATTTAAACAACAACAACAACAACAACAAACACAACACAAATAATTGTATCAGTAAGTAGAGTGTTTGGATGGATTAATTATTTGTGTTAAACTAGTTTGTATTTGATTGATTGATTGATTGATTGTTTTGGCAGACCACTGCGCGGGCGACAAATAATAATAATGAATGAATGATGGATTGATTATTATTCATTATCCTGTGTCCGCTATTGCATTGCTTGTGCTTGGGGATGGTATGTATGTAGAGTAGAGTAGGAGTACTACTAAAAGATAATAATACTAAAGAAGATTGGTTGGTGGTTTGGTGGGGATTTGACAGAAAGAGTGGTGGGTGGATGGATGGATGGGGTGATGGAATACGCAGCAACGTGGAATGATGATGATTATTTGTGATATATGATATTATTATTATTGTTGTTGTTGTTGTTGCTGTTTCGAACCTTACACCACACCAATAGTCTTACTCGTCTACAAATAAGAAAGAAAGAGAGAGAGAGAGATAGAGATAGACAACAACAATTGTGTAGTGAGAGCAATCTTGAGATGAGTCGACTCATCCCAACAATCATCTATGTTTAGAATTGGGGTGTACACAATATTTTCATTCCTCTTCATTTGCCTACTACTCTATCAATCACCCAACTACTATCTATTAATAGTTTAAAATAATAATAATAATAATGATAATCTAGATTTAGATTTAGCTAAATCAACATCTAACGAACCAAAGAAAGCTTTCCGATGCTCAACACCGTCACATATTACATATTAAGATTCTATTTTTTCTATTCTTACCTTTTCTTCTTCTTCTTCTTTCTATATATTCAAGAATGAATATATCTTGTTTATAGCTACAATGCTAAACTAAAAGTGTGTGTTGTGCAGAGGGGGTGGGGCAAATCAACTTTCAATTGATAAATGTATGTGTTTATCTTTGATCGACCGCTCGCTTGCAAGAGGAGGAATGAATGAAAGGTGAGAGATGGGAAGGGGACTTATGTGAAGATGGGGGAGTTTTCTTTTTTGTAGGCCACCTACAGAGATGAGATAGCCTGGCCTTGCTGGTTGTTGAGGAGTTGTCTCGTGTTAGGCCGACATAATGTGTCTGGGTTTTTGTTTGTTTTATCCAACCAAAATATTTTGGATAAAAATCAATCGATCATCGTAGTTATCATAAAAAAGATGTTCGATGATAATATCCACCACGGTAACCAAGGACTCAAACCCGATTAACACCCACAAACCTCTTTAAACACTTTCAAACCGAGGTGTGAGGTAACTCTAAAAACTCCTTTTCCTCTGTATCTTTATATGTATATATGTATATATATATGTATATACATAATACTCTTTGATGAATAATAATGAATGATGATGTTCATGAAGTGGACGAATAAAAATACGAAATAATAAAAATAAATAAATAAACAAACCCGAGTCCAACCTTTCATTGGTTTTATTTTTTTTTATTATTAATAATGATAAATGCATTTACATGTATATACTAACTAACTAGTATCATCGTTGATAATATTAATGTCTAATAGTATGTATATACTTGAAATATAGATAATGAATGAATGAATGAATGAATGAATGAATGAATGAATGAATGAATGAATGAATGAATGATAGTTTACTTACTTTACTTGATTGATTCATTCTTTTAGAAAACTTATCAAATGATGACTTTAGAAAGTTGGTAAACTCCTCCTCTACTCCTAAATCATATGGTGGTGGAAGGCGATGGAATAACAATAACAACGATTCTTCGTCGTCATATTCGTCGTCATCAACGACTACTGCTGCTACTGCAACAACACAATTAGAAGATGATGGTAGTGTTTATAGAGATAGAGCTGAAGAACGTAGAAAAGAATACTCTAGGTCAAATGAACAACAACAACAACAACAACCAACAATGGTAAAAGGACTTGATAGATCTCTTTTACAAAGAACAAGAGCTGAATTGGAACAACAAAAACAATTAAAGGAAGATGATCGTATTGACAAATCAAATCATCATCACCAAGATGATAAAGAAAGAGATGTAGTACCTCAACCTCAACAACAACCAAAAAAAGATATAAAGACAATATCAGATATTGGTAAATCGATTCACAATACAATGATGTATATTGAAATGAAAAAGAAATCATTGAAACAACAACAACAAGAGAGAAAGGGTGGTTTACAAACAGAGATATTCCTCCCCGGGAGAATGTGCTATCAATTCGACTTGGATCCTCAATTTTCACAAACTATACCGACTACCATCGTCATGAGCAAGGACGATAGTGCCACTACTACAACCTTTTCAGCACGTGAAAGACAACAAAAGGAAAGGTTGTCTGCTCGTATCGATCCAATCATGATGAAAAAGTTTATAAGATTATTTAATCCATCAGCTGCAAAAGAACAAGATGAACAAGACTTAAAAACTGGAATCAAGTCAACAACTATATCGGCGACCACGGCAAAGACTACGATCAATACTACACATATTGATGATGATAATGATGAGTATGTGTTATTCAAGATTGACAATTATCACAGTTTAGTTGTAGTACTAATTACAAACTCTTTATTTATTATTATTATTTAGTATATTTTCAGATTGTGATGATTATAAACCACAATTACCAAATACTACTACTAGTCAATCAACTAGTACGATTGCCAAGAAATCATATTTTGTACATACTGAAGAAGAAGATAAATTAAAACAAACCTTTAAACCAATGACTAGAGAAGAAGAAGAAGATTATGAAAAGGGAAGAAAAGGTATTGAAAAAAGAGAAGAACAGGAGGAAGGAGAAGATAATCAAGGAGAAGAGCAAGGACCTTCAATGCCATCAAATTATCAAGGTGGTTATTATGATGACAACGATGATCAATATGAAGAAGATGAATATGAATACCCAGATACAGATCAAAATTATAAAGAAGAACCAATTATGATGCCATCGCCTCCATCATCAGATGATGATATGGATGATCAATATGACGATGTTAGCGAATCACTCAAACGAAAATTACAAGAGGCAGACAAGGATAGTCAAGATATCATTGGTTACGATTCATTTGGAGGATTTGATAGAAAGTTTGGTGAAAGAGCCAAAGATATGGATTTAATGCTTTCATCCATTCAAAAGGATGATGGAAAATCTGGTGGTGGTGGCAATGCCCAAAAGAAACAAAGATTTGGTGGAGAAGCTGGAGAGAAAAAGAGAAAGGATAATAGAAAGTTACAAAAACAAATGGCAGGAATCGATAAAATAATGAAAGCAAAGGCTGATGCTGATGGTACAGTTCATAAAAGTTTAATTGAAAAGAAAGGAAAGAAATAATAATAATAAATTATTATTATTTGTTCGTATTATATTATAATGTACAAGATAGTATTGGTCTATTGTTTAGTTAGTAAATATGGGATGGGTTTTGGAGGAGGTAATTTTTGAAGAGTATTATTGAGCCATTCCAAACCTTGTGAAATACCTTGACCAGTGGTAGCAACGGTCGATTGTATATGCCATTTGATATCGAGTGAATATAAACCCATTTCATTGGCCAATTGAGACGATGATATTGCATTGTTCAAGTCTGCCTTGTTTGCCAATACCAATAGTACAATGTTTTTTAGTGCTTCATTTGCCAATAGATTCATCATGTGTTGTGTAGTTTCTTCCAATCTATCTCTATCAGATGCATCAACAACATAAATAAGTGCATCAGTTGATTCTAAATAATATTTCCACTATAATATAAATATAAATAAATATAAAAGACATATAGTTAGAGGGTGTGTGCGTACTAGAATGGATCATTTCCATTCTAATCTAATCTAATCTAATCAGACCATACCAATGCAGGACATCCACCGCTCACGTCCCATATAGTTAGGACGGCGTTTGATGCAAGTTGAATCGTTTCAACATTGAAACCAATAGTAGGTATAGTAGTAACAGGTTCACCAAGTTTCATATGATATAATAGTGTTGTCTTTCCAGCTGCATCTATTCCAAGCATCAATATACGATATTGTCTTTCTTTGTTTCCAAAATTTGATAATAATGAATAGATTAATCCCATTGATGGCGAGGTGTATATTGATAATGAGAGAGTGTCGAAAGAGAGGTCAGTTAAATGATTGTTATTTGATCATTTATACACAAACAAGTATCGAGTAATGCTAATGACTCATTGTCATTACAACGAATCGAAATTAATGAAATTTTCCTCCTTTTAAAATAAAGATTCATATGATATAAATAAATTATTTAAAAAAAAAAAGAATGGTGGTTCATGAATTCTTGAAGATCTGACAATCACATATTTATATATTACTAAATTGCTATTATTCATTGGTGATGTGATAATGGATAATGAAAAGCAAGTTGAAGACAAACGAGGAGTTGAAGTAGAAGAAGAAGAAGAAGTAAAACAAGAAACAAATGAAAACGATGCTACAAACAGTGATACCAAAGTTGAGGTAGAAAAAGAAGAGGTAGAAGAGGTAGAAGAAGAAGAAGAAGAAGTGAAAATACAACATAATAATCAAAAATCACCTCAAATCAATATATTACCTTCATCTGCTAATTGGTATAATAGTCAAATAGCTGATTGTAATAGTAATGCAATCTATGTTGTTGCTTCAAAGTTTACATTATTCCTTTTTGATGTTGAAAAAAAGTATGTAGATTCATACATATACCATATGTATGTAGTTGTGATTATAATGAAAGAATCTGACTTGTTTTCTTTTTTTTTAGAAAATATATAGGTGAATTGTTAGGACATACTGAAAGAATATTATCAGTATGTTTTAATAAAACATTATCAAATCTATGTGTATCCTCATCATCTGATAAATCTGTTAGACTTTGGGATATCAATACTCTTCAAAATATTAAATCACATAATATTCATCAAGTATGTATAAACTAACAGAAAAATATGTTTGTATTAATTTAATTATCGATCGTTTATTAACTTTATTTATTTTTGTTTTTTGTAGAATGAAGTAACATTTGTAACATTTTCAAATTTTATAAATGATATTGTAGTTTCAGGTGATAAAGATGGTAAAATAATAGTTTGGAGAACCTTTTCTAATGATATCAAGGTCTATCAACCCATTCCAACCAATTCCTCTCAAATTACATGCTTGGCATTTTCAAATCATCAAGATCTCCCAAACCTCATTACTATTGGGTATATGAATGGTATGGTCATTCTATTTGACATTGTTACAGGATTGATTGTTTCAAAGATTGCTGCACACACTGATGAGATTCAATGTCTCTTGTGGATTGATATCCCACCTCCAAAACCATCAAAATTAAAGGACCTCGATACAGAATCTACTCTCTCCTCCTCCCCTTTAGATAGAAAATCGATTACATTTGTATCTTCATCAAAAGATAGATCGATTAAAGTATGGAGACAAGTTGGTGAAAAGTTGGATAGTGGATTTCATCCAATTCATCAACTTGTACCTGGTAGGTCGGGAGGTGGTGGAGGTAATAGCGGTGGAGGAGGAGAAAAACAAAGAACTTGGCTCACAGTATCTTGGTCACCAAAAGAACCACAATATTTAGTTTCAAATTCACTATCTTCAGATTTATATCTTTGGAATTTAACATTGGAGAAACCAATACCCGAGAAATTTGGTGGTATTCAACATCAAAGAACTATTTTTAATATTACTCAAATCCCATATACCTCCACTTCTACTACTGTGAACAATACAAAATATCCATGTTCATTAATGACAACATCAATGGATAGAAATCTAATTTATTGGGAATCAATGAAAGGAAAATGGAAGATTTCATCAATTGGAGGGTTTGTCTATAGTATCACGTCGTCTCCATTTAGTCCAAACACCATATCGATGGGTTGCGGTGACAATAGTATTAGGCAATGGTCACCAACTGCAGAGTCGACAGACTATGATGCCAAATGGTACTGGAAAGGTATTCAAAGCAAGATCACAGCCATTTCTATTTGTCCAACCAATGGATGTCTGATTGCATTTGGGTTGGATGATGGACGTGTGGGAGTGTACGATATCGACAAGAACAATTCATTCTTTTTCCCAGGTGCACATCGCAAAGAAGTCTATGACGTGCAATGGCGTACCATTGGCACTGAAAAACTACTCATCTATAGTGTTGGCAACAACGATGTCTTTGAATGGGACTATAGCGGTGCAAGAGAAAAAGGATTTAAAAACACAAACGATTATATCAAGATTGCTGCAGATACTAGTAACTCTCCACCCATCAAGTTTGGTTCAAAAGGAGAGTTTTGTTGGAACGATGATCAAACCATGATTGTAATGTCCAACTTGAACGGTGAAATTCGATTGTTTGACAGTCAATTCAATCATTTGGCAGTCACCAAGGACCACAAATCATTGGTTAATCGTATTAGATGGAATCCTCATCCAGACTATAAAAATTATTTTGCTTCTGCATCTTTGGATAAAACTATTATCATTTATCGTACAGTTGTTTCAAGTAATGATGATAATGATGGTACGACAACAGTGAAATTGGAAATAGTTAAACATCTCAAAGGACATAAAGGAGGTGTATTCGGGTTATGTTGGTCACCACATGTACACAACATTTTGGCATCGTGTAGTGCAGATGCATCAGTTCAAGTTTGGAATACCGATAGTGGAGAACCAATTGGTAATCTTCGTGGACATGATGGTAGAGTGTTTGCAGTTCAATTTAGTTTTATGTATCCAAATGTCATATTCTCTGGTGGTGAAGATCAAACTGTCAGAATGTGGGATTATACAATGGCCATTTACAAAAATCCACCTACTGAAATATCAACCGTTAAAAAAACAATGAAATCTCATTCAACAAAAGAATCATCATCAACAAGAAATCATCATACAATTATGATTGAACAAGTTAAAGTAAAAGATGAAAAGATAATAATTGATTCAATTCCACAACAACAACAGTCACAACAAGTAGTCATAGTATCAACAGATCCAATTCAAAATAATAATTATAATAATCTAGAAAAGTCTCCTTCTTCTTCTTCTTCTTCTTCTTCTTTAACAACAACTACAACAAGTAGTATATTAGTACCAATTAAAAAGAAATCAAAAGTTATATTACCAATTCAATATAAATTACAATCACAAAATTTGGAACCAAATATCATTGGATTGGCAAAAACATTAATAGGACAAAAAGATATTAATAATAATAATAATAATTATAATAACAATGGACAGCAGCAGCAGCAGTTGGAATCAGTCTCAGAGTCTTCGTCAAATAATGTGAATTCAGAAATATTTGAAGATGGAGTATTTTCAAATATTAAAGGATTAAATCAAACAATGAAAAAGGAGATGAGTGAACATTTACAAAATAGAGAATTGGAGAATTACTTTTCACTTTGCACGTGGGATGTTGGTGGCATCCAAAAAGCATTGGCCAAGATTGCTAAAAATGGACAATTGTCACCTCACTATGTAGCATTGGCAGCTCAAGGTGGAAGAGAGTTATGGAAGAGTACATGTGAACTGTATATCGCACAATTAATTTTGGAGGGCGACTATCACATGGCAGTCTCTTATCAATTGGCCATTGGAAAGGTGATTGATGCCATAGAGCTCTATCGAAAGGCTGGCTATTTACAAGAAGCTATTCTCTTGGCAAGAAAGAGACTGTCACCAACTGACACACCCCAAATGAATGAATTGATTGAATCACTCTATTTTGAATGGGGTCAACTCTCAGAAGTATCCAATTACCTCAACAGTATCAAATGTTATCTTGCAGCCAACCGTCCTCAACTTGCCATCAATCTTTTAAAATCAAAACAATCAACATCACGTAATCAATCACTTTTAACAGAATTACAAAATCTTTATCAATTAGAATAAATCAAACGTTGAATCGATGATATTTTAAAAGACAACAGTAATTTAATAATACACATAATATATTATAATATTTATTTTCAACTTTTTTTTTTTGCTTAAAAATTGAATATTTATATAGTCGATTGGGTATTCCAACAACATCATCACATTCAACATATCAACTCATCAACAACATATTACTCATCAATAATGTAAAGAATCAGTTCCCAATCCCAGAAGAGATTATTGGAGGATATCTTCAACCCAACAACAACGCAATGGATGATTACAATCGTGGTGTATTAGAGTATACCATGGCCAATCGTACTGCGTATATTGACATTTGCCTCTCAAATACATACTCGATGTACATGTGTCAATAGTCAAGCTTTAAAGAGAACTCATCAAACTAGAACAATCAGTATATATGGAATTGGTCTAAGTGATCCTCTAAACCAATCGGAACTTCATGTCAACATGATGCTTCAAAGTGAAATGAAACAAAACTCTCTTTCTCGAGACCAAATGTGTCCTCTTCATCAATTGAGTTTGGAAAGTGGCCATGAACCAAACTTTGTACGAGACGACAGTTCACGTTCGTTTAACTGGGTGACAAGAGAGGATAGCTGTAGATGGATGCGTACAATGGCTCTGCTATCCAAGAGAATATTTGCCTTCATCTCAACATCGCTCTTTACAGATATCGTCATGGACACTACAGCGGATACATGGTTACATATCACAAATAACCATTGTCTCATAAAACAACCAAAAACATTGACACTTGTCTCCTTCATCTGACAATCAACTCTTCTTTTCTCAATCCTCTTCTTCATCTTCCTCATCCTCTCAAAGTGTTCAAGAGTTTCTTCAAAACGTTGAAAAGATAAACATCAACAATGCATATCTAGTTGAAAAGGTTTCAACTATTAAATCATTGATTGATTTGACACCAAATCTTAGATCGATCACTTTTAATTGTGAAGTTAGCAAATCAAGTTGGCTCGAACTATTTAGGGGAACCACACTGTCAACTGTTAAATCGATTAAATTTGGAAATGCAGTTGTTATGTATCCAGTGGTCACTGGTTATATTGGTTGTGGACGAGAAAGAGAAGGTTTTGAAATCGGCAGTAGTCTTGTCGGTCAACCGACATCATGTCTAACCAAGATTGTTCTTCCCCATTACTTTGATTGGAATGGCTTGGGTCAAGAATTCAAACAAAACCTTCAAGTTATATCACTCCTATACACCAATGACAAACCCCGACTGAATGCAATCGATTTCCCAAGATTGAGACACGTTCATACCCAATTGGAAGGTGTTTCCATCATCCCAGAGAATGTACATAAAGTTTCATATCTTGAAGATGTACCCTTGGATGCCATTAATATCCTCTCCACTCTAAATATTTCAACACTGAGAGTATTTAAATCAAAAAAGGATAAAAAAGATCCAGAGTACAACAAGATTCCAACTCTAAAAAAGATAATAATCTTTTCAAAAGCAGATGTTGATGAAACTAATGTTAATCATCTAGGATTTGATTATTTTGGTTCAACTTATTCTGTACAATTAAATCAAAGGAAATTAATCTATCTTAAACAACAACAACAACAACAAAATGAAACATCCTACAACAATCACAATAACAATAATAGTATCAACATTAAAGATAATAATATTGTTAATAATATTATTACATCAACCAATTATAATAACATTATTTTACCAAACTCGATTATTCAAAACATAATCGGAATGACATGGAAATTAAGAGAACGGTGTACATGTGTTTATGAAAAAGAAACTATTCAAAAATGGGTTGATATTGGACAAGATATTCTAAGAGATGAAAAAGAAATAGATAGATTCAACCAAATGAAGAATAATTGTCCAACCCATTTCTCACATACTACTCTCACTCAAATGTACCGACTATTGACCTATAATTTGAAAAGTAGTAATCGATCCAAATTACAATTGGCACTCATCAACAAGGATATATTTGCTTATATCACCAAGAATTGTTTTCCAATTATCAACCTCGAGTATTACGAGTGGCTTGATGTTCCTAACCATGCCAATAATCCATATTGTGTTGCATTCAAACACTTTACGACTTTAAGAGCTAATGGGCCCAAGAACATATTCCCAGTATACTCAAAGACCTCAAACTCCATTTAGGACAAATCACCAAAGTGTCACTCAACAATGGAGAGATTCTAGGAGACATTACCAAACAATCGGCCAACCTAACTTGTATAGATATCTCGAAAACACAAATCAACTGTGATACTAAAATAGATATATCAAATCTCCACAAACTAAAACATCTCACAAAATTGGATCTGACAGGAATAGAAGATCTTCACTGTAGTCATGATGAATTGGTGAATCAAATCAAGAACATGCCTCTCAAAAAACTATGTCTACCACATACATATACATCTGTATATTATTGTCTCCCACATCAAATGAAAAAATCTATTACCAAGGTTACAGGTGGTAGCTTTTCTCAGACACTAGAACAATTTGAAAACCTCAACCATATTGTTATTATCGAACAACAACAACAAGATCTCAATAATGATACTTTTAATTGGAAATTACCAAAAATTGTTACAAAGATTACATCTTTCAACTATTCCGCCTTTGGATTTATACAAAACAACAAATCAATCAAGAAATTAAAACTCTTGGATCGATCAATGGATGATATAAGGTTTTTACTATTTCTAAAGGATCTCTCCTCCTCTCCTGAATGTACTCATGTTCAAACATTTATCTATGGTTGCTCATTCAATTGTCATATACCAAATGATTTATATATTAATCTCAACTATACTATCAAATATAGTCGAACAAGTTTAGATTACAACTTTACACAATATCTTAAATTCACTAGAAATTAATAATTAACAATAAATATAAATAAAAATACTCTATTTTCTTTAAAAACTATTAATATTACTCTATTAAATTAATTTCGATTTATTTATTTATTTGAAGGAGGAGGTAATCTAATTTTTTGTCTGGTATTATTCTTTTTTAATAATTCTGGTTGTTCAGCTCTAAGTTTGTTTTTCTTTAACTTTTTAAAGTAGAGATAGAGGAAAGTTTGTGGTACATGGATGTTTGTCAATTTGAGTTTGTCGGCAAAGCTGAGAACCTCGCGTCTGTTTTGACCCTTGATCTGGATAAAGTATTTTTCGAGCTCCTTGATGTACTCTTTGGTGATGACAACGCCGCTCTTTTCGTACCAAACTTCGACGGTACGGTTGAGGATGGCGCCAATTTGGTAGCCGAGCGAAAGCAAACCGCCAATGGTCTTGACCGAGATTTCAAAGTTGAGCGATGGACGAGTGTTGATGGTGCCGTCCATAATCTCACGGTAAAAGTAAATGTTGAATTGGCCCTTGTCGGTACGACGGATACGAATCCAGTTGGTCTTGTCGGCCTGTGAGAGACCGCCGTCGGCCTTTTTAGGGGGATACAAATACATGTCGGAAAAGTGTTTCTTGACGGGCTTGGAGTTGAGCGAGGCGAGGTAGGCGTCAAAGTGGTCCTTGTGTGTCTCGTACTTGGCCTTGCACACAAAGGTGGGTTCGACAACCTGACTCATTGGGTTGTACGACGAGTGGATCTTGATCTTGGCCTGGTCGAGATCGGGCTCGACAAACGCCTTGAACATGGGAAACACGACGTTGGTGATTTGGAGCAACACGTCCTTGGTCGACGACTTGGCGACGACAATGTCACGCATGATACGCTTGATGAGGTCGAGATGGACACCGCCGGTAATAGCAATGGTCAAGTCGAGCAGTGGACGGAGCTTGGCAGTCAACGCGTACGACCCCTCGATGATAACAACACGAGAGCCCGACATGGTGATTTTTTGTGACTCGATCGTGGGCAACAGAGCGGCACCGGTTGGTGCACTCGGGTGCTTGATCAGTTTGGGGATGGTGACGGTCTCGCCACGACGCAACGCATTGATCGTGTCGACAACCAAGTCAAAATTAATCGATACCGGATCGTCATAGTTGTTGTCCTTGACAGTCTCCATCTTTACAAAATCTTGCAAATCAATGACGATGGCACCTACCAAACCAGACATCTTTAATGCCAAAGTAGTCTTGCCTGCACCAACTGGCCCAGCTACACCGACAACAATCAAACGTTGTGGATTTGACTCGGCCAACATTTCAATCGCTCTAATCGCATGGAAGAATCCTTGGTCAAATGACAAGGTAGTTGGAATAGATCTCATCTCATATACTCCTGTCTGTCCATTTAATTCTACTATTATATCTAATTCTTCTAAATGTAAATTTTCTTTTGAAAAACTAAAGGTAAAGATAAAGAAGAAGAAGAAGAAGAAGAAGAAAAGGTGTTAAGAATGTTTTAACTAGTTTGTTTTCAAACTCTCTCCTACTACTATTATTGTAGTATTATGTTTCTGTACTAAACATACGATCCATCTGATTCTATATCGTCTACAGCTTTTGGTATCTTTGATTTAGCTATCACTTTTTTCTCTTTAATCTCTGATGCTGTGGCTGGTGCGGTCGTAGCAGTTGTCTCGCTAGTACTAGTTAAATTTGGTTGTAAATGATTCGATAGACAACTGATTCTATCAAGTGCAAGTTGTTGTTGTTGTTGATTATCCATCTTATTATATATTCTATCTATTATCTATTTACACAATACAACAAAACTAATAACAACAACAAGTTAATAAAACCAACTTTAAAATCCTTAAATTAGGTTGTGACCGACAAACAAATTTTCGTTCGTTTGATCAAAAATATAAAATATTAATTAATTGTTTTAAAATATTTTAAAACCCAACAAAGAACAAGAACATTGTCAAAAGTAGTAGGTAGGTAGTGTAAATATATATTGATTTGGTTGTTAATACACCAATTACTTTATGTTTGTGTTTATATATTTCTAGAATACAACAAGATAAGATGTGTGTGAGCGTACACATCAGGTGATTGATATCAAAATTCTTATTAAAGATATTATCCTATATATAAATATGATTATTTCCTACTAATTCTTATTTCTTTTGATAACCATATAAATTATTCTTGTGAATGTAGTCAATGACAGGAGCTTCGGTGAGATAATTAATTGATAAACCCTTTGATATCATATCTCTAATCTTTGTCGATGAAAGATCATTTGTTATACCAACGGGAACATGATAAATATTATTCTTGTTGGCTTGTAAAATAGGATTGGCATCTAAAATCTCTTGGAAATTGGTTCCTGGTCTTTCAATACAAATAATACCATATTTATCTGATGTTATGATTTTCATCTACCAAGGAAAAGGAAAAAAGAGAAAATAGAAATAGAAAAGAAGAGGAATGAATGAGTGAGTAATGATAAAAGGGTGATTGATTAACTATTCTTTACTTACATCTTCTTCATCCCAAAGATTTGGTACATTAAAAGATGCCAATAAATCGGCACCACATATCAACTTAATTTGAACAGGTCTATAGGAAGCAGGATCCATAATTTGTTTGAAATGATTATTTACATAGAGATGAAAGTGATCGAGAACCTGTCTTGTCGGCGTGAAATCTAGGTTCATAGACTCCCACTTGTCCATCATGACCCATTCCGATGACATGACAGCTAAATTAACAATCTGCAATCTATAGTGTGCTGCAATCAATGTTGCTTTCTTGTAGGCATCACCAACAGGTGACATGTATCCTCCTATCACATGATATTTCTTTCCATTGTCTCCTGTATGATTATTACACCAATCTTTACAAATCTCTAAACAAATTAGAGTAATAAATAAGAATAAACAATAAAGAAGAAAGAGGTTAGTTACTCTCTCTCTCTATCTCTCTTTATCTCTTGTCCCTGTGTCCTCTCCTCTCCTCTCATCTTACTACTTTAAATACATACCAAACATTCTTAAATGCATAAATGTGATTGGATTGAATGATCCACATGCTAGTAAAACAACTGGTTGAATATCCTTGTTCTTTGTATCTGTCATCCATTCTTGATCTAATTTATCGATTGGGAATATATAGTCTTGTGTCATTATTATCTGTTGTGTTATTTGTTGTACAAATACAAAAGGGTACTGTTAAATTAATTAATTAATTGCGCAACGACCCTTTCTCAAAACAATCACATGTTGCCCAAGTTCATTTCTTTTTTTTAAAAAGATAATAGATTCTAAGAAGAAGAGAAAAGACAGTTTGTTTGTTGTCAGATCATTTAATACAACTTTAGAGATTAATATGTATCTATAGTATAGTTTATAGTATAGGATAGGATGTTCTGTTCAGTTTCTTTGATACAACAAACTATAGTTTGTTCATTCTCATTCTCGAAGTCTCAACAAGTTGGCTATACGATACTTATAAACGAGGTCAACAGACTTTCGATTATTCACTCAACGATGCAAGATCCAATATAATTCTTGGATCTTGTTGTTGTGTTGTGTGTAAGAATAGATATTATCATATGATATCATACACGTTCAACATGTTGTTTTAAAGGCATTGGCACTACCATTCTCCATGCTCAAGAGGAGTGTCTCAGATCTCCAGAAAAAACATTTTTTTTATTATTGAATAATGTCATTAAAAAAGCGTACAAAACAGGCAGTTTGAGAACCATTTACCTTTACTTCTTCTTCTTCTTATTTCCCTTACTATAGTAATATTAATAAAATAATTACTACTACGAGCTACTTACTTTTTATTTAAACAACTTATAATATATAATATAATACATAACAATGGGTCACCATCATCATCACGACTATCACCACCACCATCATCACCATCCAAAGTCTACTGGTGTAGCTTACCTTTTATGGTTCTTCTTGGGTAATATATCTCTCTCTTCTCTCTTTCTATACTCACCTTTGAATACAATCTAACTAACTTTACCCCCTTTCATTAATACAACTACTATAGGTGTATTTGGTGCTCATAGATTCTATTTACGTAAGTTATATTAATAATTAAAGCAATGCATTTATTATTATATCAATTTCTAACATGTTCTATTCTTTCATTTTAATTACAGAACGTTACACATCAGGTTTCATTTGGTTATTCACTTGGTAAGTTACATTCTGGTTTAGTTATATACATAGATACGCATTCTCTCCTCTCCCTCTTGGTTGTGTCTACGAGTTTACATCATCATGTGGTCTCAACGACGTCGTGACGACGACACTGGTTGATCGAGAAAATCTCGTATCACATTTCTTTTTTTTTCTCTCGCGTGCATACTTGCTTTTGAAAAATACGCTAACTTTTTCTCTCTTTCTTTCTATCTATCTATCTCATAAATAGTGGTGTCTTTGGTATCGGATGGTTAGTTGATTTATTCATTTTGGCCGGTATGGTTCGTCACTTTAACAACCACTATTTCTCTGATCCAACAGTTATTGTTGCACCAGCCCCCATTGTATACCAAAACCAACCATATCAACCACAAGCCTACGGAGCTTACCAACCACAACCATACTATGCTGCCCCACCCTCTGTTCAACCATACCAACCACAACCATACAATGCCACTGGCGGCTCAAATCCACCACCAGCTTACAATTAAGATGGCATTTATTTTTTAGATCAACAACAACAATAACAAGAACATTAATATATTAGTATCTCAACAACAATTAATAATAATAATAATAACAAGATGTAAATTTTAGACAACCAAAACCATAACAACAACAAAACAAGATAAAAACACTATTTTAGCTTGTCACCTCACCTCCCTTTTTTCTTTCTTTCCTTCTTTCTTTTTTGAAATAAATACAAATGTGCTTTAATATTCTTTTTCTCTAAAAGGAATTCAAAAAGTCAAAGTAGTTGGGTACATGGTAATGGTTGTACCTAGATATATATAAATATATAAACTTGTTGTCCAGGTCTGCCTTTATCATTTTTAATCACCACAAATCGGATAAACTAAACGTCTGGACAACATAGTATTTTATTAATTAAGTTTTGTCAAAAGGTGGTCTTTCCTTTTATGGTCCTCAAAAACAATTTGAAATGTATTGAGAATGTTCCTTCCTTGGTGAGTCTATGATCACGTCGAGCCCACGAAACATAAACGAGGAGTTGACATTTTAATGTTGTTGGAAAAAGTTCATTCAAAATTAATTTAAATAACTATTTCCATAAAAAGGATCTGTTGAAGTGGTTTGGAAAAAAGAAAAAAAAAAAAAGATTTTGATTTTAAATTAAATAAATATTAAATTCAAAATCCACCTAATTTCACTTTCGAGGAGAACCGATTATATCATAAAGTCTCTCTTTTAAATATATATATATATATAAACAGTGACAACAACAATAATAATAATACCAACAACATTAAAATATATATTTTAGAGAATAAAAAATAATAACTAAACCAAAATAATTTGTACTATTAAAATTAAACAGACAGAATATAAAATGACAACCACAAATCACAGTAATGATTTTTTGTATAAGACTACCATTAATGATATGTTGAATACAGAAAATGACTATTGGAGAGCTAAAAGAGAGAGACATATTATAAGTGTCCCACATGACCAAACCCTAGCAGAGACTGTCAAAATACTATCGAAAAACAAGATTCTTTCCATCCCAGTAATGGATGAACAAAATGATTTCTTGGGTTTTGTAGATATGATTGATATTGTCTATTTTATTTTAGGTCATTATTTAGAGGATAAAGAAATTCATGGTAGAGGTAAATAATTCAACTAATATTAATATTTCATATGTTTTTTGAATTTTGTTAAATTAATTAATTATTTCAATTTCTATAATATTATTTATTTATCTTCATTTTAGGAGCAAGTATAAATTGGAATGCATTATGTTTTGATATTGATACAGTTATCCAAAGAGGAAGAGGAATTGGTATGGTACCAATTAAATCTTTAATTAGTATGTAGTTTTAAAAAAACATTCTTCTTTCTTTTCCATATCTTTAAATTAAAGATTGATATTAATATTATCTTTCTTATTAGATCAATCTAAAATGGATTTATTCATTCCAGTTGATGGTACTGGATCTCTTCACCAATTATTAAAAGAAGTATTTAAAAAGAATATTCATAGAGTGATTGTAGTGAATGAAGATGCTTCGCCAAGTGGCTTGATTAGTCAGACTGATATGCTCAAGTTCCTTACCACCCACAATTCATTCCTTGGAGACATGTTGAGTAAATCACTTTGTGATTTGAATCTCATCAACAAGAAGGTTGTCACTATGCCAAGTGATAAGATTTCATTGTTTGGATACTACCTCATGCTTCAAAACGAAACCTATGGAGTTGCCGTCGTCGACCAAGACAAAGAGATCATTGGAGATATTTCAATTGCCGATCTTAGAGGCATTGAACCACAACAACTATCCAACCTTTTACAACCAGCCGCCGAGTTTTGCAACAAGGAACCAATTACATGTACCAGTGATTCATCATTAATAGGATTAATGCAAAAAATGGTTGATCATAAAGCACATCGTGTTTGGGTGGTCGAATCAAATGCATGTGAGAAACCAATTGGTATGGTTTCCATTGCTGATCTCATGGAATTCTTTTCACATTTTAAAATAGACCATAATAATAACAATATTTAACAAACAACATAAATATAAATATATATATATATAAATAATACATCTTAATTAGTAGTAGTAATACTAATTCAAACAAAGAAACAAACAAACAAACAAACAAATAAATACCCTTTTTGTAAAATACTTTTTTTTTAATATCAAAGATTACTTTCTTGAGTTTTGCGTGAAGTGAGTCACAAGGTTTGAAGATTAACCCTTAATTGAGTCGGTCCGATAATAATAGAGAGGAGGAGAGAATAGATTAGTTATTAGTTTATATACATATATATAGCAAGCAACAAGCATATAATAGTAGTAGAACAAACTAAACTCTAATCAACATATATATACAATGTTCTCATTATTTGGATTCTTAAAGTCATTGTTACTCTTTACAAATGCTTTAGCAATCTTGAATGAAAGATTCTTAAATAAAAGTAAGTAAGCTCTTACTTTACTATACAGCTAGTCAACAAACATGATGAATGATAGATAGGTTATCTGTAGCAGATCACATGATTTGAACATATCATATCAACTTACTTTTTCTATTTCTATTTATAGTTGGATGGAGTGTAAGAAATGATCAACCAATGGACTATGACTCTTTCAAATACAAATGTGTTACCCTTTTATACAACTTGCGATTCTTTTTCAGATGTAAGTAACATACCAACAATCACAATGATATCATTTCTCTTACAATTAATCGTTTGAATCATCATCATCATCTACTTTTAGTACCATTGGTTTGTTTTAATAGTATAGTTATTGTATTCTTACTCATATTTGGTTAAACTTTTGATAACTCGAGAATATTCTTCAAACAACCCGATATAATTATATTGTGTACATAAATAATAATAATAATAGTATTAGATTCAAGATTGATGGATCGACCAGAAAGCAAGATGAAACATAACGCAATAAATCATACATTGATTTTGGATTCGAACTTTATCAATCTTTTAACAACAACAACAACAAACAAGTCACTACTACTACTACTACAATGGATTGATTTGGATAATTATAATTATATTATATTATATACAAAAATATGATTCAGATGATTTATTATTTTAAATTTAACTTTCATTATCAATTTCTAAACGAATAGATTTAATAATTGAACGTTCTTCAATGTCATCATTCATGGTAACAGATGGTTTCGAGTCGATAGCCTTTAGATTCTTTTTAACGCGGTCTTGGAGTGGTTCCAACTTTGTGATCGATGTCTTGATGGACGATATATGAAACTTTTTGATGAATTTACCTTCCTTTTCTAGATCGGTGAGTTGATCACGTTTCGAATAGAGGAGGGTATTGCAATCGACAAGTAGTTGTTGGTACTCTGCAAACAATCTAGTTTTTCTTTCCTCGTCACTAATACCAACCAGTTCTTGTGGATAATCTTGTTGGTGGTGGTGTTGATCAGAAGTGGGTGGAAGGGGAGGACTAGTACTTCCATTTGATTTAGATCCACCATTTGGTGATGAGGAAAAGTCAGGTATTGAAAGGTTTCTTCGTGAAAATAAGGATGATAATGTGTTGGTGACACCACCCTTGGATGGAGATGGAGGGACTGATAGTGATGCACCACCACTATTACCACTATTTGAATGATTTCCATTACTAGATGGATGTAATTGTTGTAATTGTTCCTCTAATTTAATACGAACTTTTCTTTCACCTTCCAAAGTTTTCATTAATTCATCAACTTTTACTTCTAATTCACTCGTAGTAGAGTTACCAACCATACCAATACCAACTCCACCACCATTACTATGACCATTTAATTGCTGTTGCATTTCCTTTTTAAATGATTCAAATTCAATTCTATCCAATTTTAATTGTTGATTTTGTTTTTCTAATCTTTCTTCCCATTCTTTGAGATATTGTTTTTCAGATGAAGATGAAGAGTCTGGATGAATAACATTTACAATAGTAGTGGTTTGTTCATCACTATCACTATTTTCACCAACTATAATTGATTTCTCTTCCATTGAATGAATGTCAACTTCATTACTACCATTATTATTACTATTATTCTTTTGTAATTGTTGTTGTAATTGATTTTCTAAATCCAATTTAATTGATTTAAATAACTTCTTTTCTCTATTCCATTCATCTTCAATCGTGGCATTTGTTTCTTTTTCGCGATCTAGTAGTTTGGTGACTTGATCTTTTTCCAAATCCTTTTTTTGTAATTGTTGTTTGAGCCTGCTAACCTCTGTCTCTAGGTCCGAGGCCTTTGTCTTTTCAGTTTTGAGGTCATGTTCAAAAGTAGCTCGTTGTTTTTTGATTGCCGTTGTATCTTCTTCTATTTTCTCACGATTCGATTGTTCTCTTTCAAATAGAGTCTTGTATTCATTCAATTCATCCTCTACCGCCTTCTTTTCCAGTTTTTCTTTTTCCAATTGTGATTTGAGGTCGTCTTGTGATGTCCGAGACTGATCTTTAATGTCTTTTGCCATTTTTGTTTCTCGATCGATACGTTCCTCCAATTCTTGTGCGCGCTTTTCCAAACCGACTGCATATTGTTCAGCCTCTATACGTTTCTTGCTCTCTTCACCCTTTATCTTTTCATATTTTGAACGTTCCGTTTCATAGTGTGACACCTTTGCCACCAAATCCTTATTCTCTTTGGTCAATGAATCTATATTCTTGTCACGATCAGCTACACTTCCAGCCATCTCTTGTAACTCTTTTAACTTTTCCTCCAGTTCCTTCTTTTCCATTTTCAGCGTATCAATGATTAAATCCAATTCTTGACATTTCTTTTTACTCTCTATCAATTCTTGATTACAACTTTCAAAATCAACCTTTAATTTAGATAATTCATTTTCAATTTCGCCCTAAATACAAATTAAATAGTTAGCATTATTATATAAAAAACTATTATTAAATTTAACATCTTACAAATGATGCATGTTTATCTTCAGATTTCTTAATAGTCTCTTCTAATTCCTTTTTCATTCGATTGTATTTGGTTTCAGCCTTTTCTCTTGCAGTCAGTGCAGCATTTAATTGTGTATTGGTTAGTTTCTTGTCTTCTTTAAGTGTCAATAAATCATCCAACAATGATTTATTTATCGATTTTACTGAACTTATTATATCCTCTAATTGTTTAACTGATGCCATGATTGCTGATATTAATTATATTTCTTAAACTAGAGAAAGAGAAGAGTTGTTCTTTTTACTATAGTTTTGATACAACAATGATGATGATGATGACGGTTGATCACATGAATGAATTGAAAATACTCTGACTATTATATATTATTATATGTTATGTAGTATCAGATCACACCCAGTTTGTTTGTTTGTTTGTCTCTCACGAGCTGAGAAACACACCACTTTCACACATGTTTGATTAAAGTTCATAATAAAATTCAATTTAATTTAATTAAATTTAATTTTGGTTTGATGAACTATGAATCGTGAATGATGGATCAAACATGGATGTTGTGGGTGTATACATAACATATATATGTTATATATGTTATAGGTTGAATTTATTTATTTATTTATTAATTAATTATATGAGTTGGGTCAGTTCAGTGTGAACCTACCTTCTACTCTACATTACTTTAACTTCTTTCTTTATAGGTGGAAAAGTAAAAGAAGGAATATTGAGTGAAGCATAGATATCAAAGAGTGCCAATAAACTTGGACATGCTTGTTTGATAGAGATTGTAGTCAATGTGGCATTGGATATTTCTGGGTCTACTTCAATCTTGTCGTAGACGGTTTGTGCAAATGATTGATATTGTCGAGTATAGAGTTTGGTGTTTAGGATATCGGTTTCATTGTCATCGTATAAAAAGAATCGTCCTTCTACTCGTTGTTCAATCAACTCTACCGGTGTCTTGCAATAGACCACCGAGAAACGATGATCTTTTGGTTGTCCAGTCAAGTACTTTTTGATTTCTTTTAATGTTTCTTCTACCTTTTCTTGATCAACAATATTATCATTATTCTTTTGTAATTCATCTATATCTTTTTTCTCCAAAGAATAAATCATTGAACTAATTGGTGATCTATGAACAAATAAGAAATCATTCTTTAACTTTTCTTTTTTCTAAAATATATAAACACTATTGTTAGTAATTGTATCAATCAATTGAATTACTGTCTATCCTATCTCTTACAGTTATAATATTATCAATTGATTGTTTAATTGTTTCATTCCATTTTAATTGAATATCCAAAGGTGAAGAAGAAAGAGATGATTGATTCTTGTAATAATTGAAAAAAGGTAATGAAAGAGTAGAATAACCAAGTTTGTTGATTCGTTCCAAGAGTTGTGTCTTTCCAGCACCACTTGGTCCTTCTAGAAAGACAATGTGAGGTAGTCCTAGATCAACAGTCTCTTTATGATAGTTTATCAATGCATCGTTTGGTTTGAACCATTCTCTTTCTACACTTTCATTTTGTTCTCTACCTTGATGTGATTGAATTCCTCCTCCTGATGTTGATGAATAATATCCAAAAGAAGAACCAAATTGACTTGATCTAACAGTAGTAGAGGTCAATGATAACAATCTACTCTTTGTAAGTCTTTGAATAAACATTTTAGTATTCCCATCTCTTCATCCCTCTCCCTCCCTCTTTGATCATTTTTTCAAACAAAAGAGTATTAAAATAAATTAACCATTTTTAAAAAAAGAATAGTCTAGTTTTTAATCATTCATCCAAAGAACAATCAAGATCTTAATACAATGGATATTATAAGCTAAGCATTATTGACATACACATACACAACGAATAGAGTGTGGTGTGTTTGAAAATATATCTCTCAATCTATTCGCAAAAAACAACAATGGTGTGTGTGGTATACTAGTAGTGTGAAGACATATATTTCAATATTCTTTCTTGTGTGTGGCAATGAGAGACAGAAGTAATTATAACAGAATTGGTAAAGAGAGGGAGAAAGAAATGAAATACAGATATGTTAACATAACACCCAACTTACAATATCAATGAATGTTCATCCTCTACTCTGTTGTGTGGTTTGGTTGGTGGTGCTGTATAGAAACTAAAGCTAAAGTTCTTAAACATTGACATTGTTTACAAATTGTTGAACACGATGCAATGACAAACGAACACTAGTGTGGTGGTGGTGTGTTGGTGAACAACATATAATAATATGGAGTGGTTGCATTGGACAACTATGAGAATTCTAACGATGCTCCTTTTCAATAACTATGGATAATGCCTGTTCAACATCTACTACTCTGCTCTGCTACTCTTGGATTTGCACACTCCTATTTGGGTCGACTATAAATATCTCTTCCTTTCAACACTTATTATCACATCAAAAGTAAATTAAATCATATTTTACCCGATTAGATAATTAACTAACCAACAAAAAAAAAACCAAAAACAAACAAACTAGTTTAAATATATATTTATAAAAAAAAGGTATGAAAAGAATCAATTAAAAAATATTAATATAATATAATATAATATTATATTGTTTGTCATCATCATCAGAAACTTGCCAGTGGTAATTTTAAATTTTATTATTATTTTAATATTATTTTAATATATTTGGAAATGATAATTACCAAAACTAGTTTTATGATGACTACTGAGGGAGTAGTCAGTTGACACCAACAAACTTACTATTTTTAATTTTTTTTTATACTAATATTTTATTTCTTTTATTATCTTTTCTCTCTCTCTATTTTGATGATATTTATAGAATTAATAATTATTAAAAATGGAACCAATCGATGATTATGTATTAGTTACAGGTGGAGCCGGATATATTGGCAGTCATACAGTGATTGAAATGATTAATGCTGGATATACTCCCATCATCATTGACAATCTCTCCAACTCGTCGAGGGAGAGTTTGAAGCGTGTCGAACAAATCACCAAGAAACATATCGAGTTCCACGAATGCGATATCCTCGACGAAAAAGGACTGGAAGAGATCTTTGAGACGCGTCCCATCACCAAGGTAATCCATTTTGCCGGTCTCAAAGCTGTTGGTGAGTCGTCGTCTGTGCCACTCAAGTACTATGAGAACAACATCACTGGCACCCTCGTCCTACTCAAGGTGATGAACAAGTTTAATTGCAAAAACATTGTCTTTTCCTCGTCGGCCACTGTCTATGGAGATGCCAAGACCGTTCCCATCCAAGAAGACTCACCACTATCTGCCACCAATCCGTACGGCAAGACCAAGTTATACATCGAGGAGATTCTCAGAGACCTCAGTTTCAGTGACCCCCAATGGAACTGTATTCTCTTGCGTTACTTTAATCCAGTCGGTGCTCATCCAAGTGGTTTGATCGGTGAAGATCCAAGAGACATTCCCAACAACCTCATGCCATACATCACCCAAACTGCCATTGGCAAGAGAAAAATCCTCAGCATCTTTGGTAATGACTACAATACTCCAGATGGTACTGGTGTTCGTGACTATATTCATGTAGTTGATCTTGCAAAAGGTCATATTGCTGCTTTAAAGTATGTAAAAAAATAATATTAAATATTAAATAATAATATTTATTTCAATGATCATTGTTCTAACCTTTTTTTTTTGTTTTTATATTTAGTCATATAGCCAAAAAACCAAGAATGGTAGCATACAATTTGGGTACAGGTCGTGGATATTCTGTATTGGAGATGATCGATGCTATTGAAAAGGCATCTGGTAAAACGGTACCATACCAAGTTGTAGAGAGAAGAAAGGGAGATGTTGGAAACTCTTATGCCGATGCTTCCAAAGCATTTACTGAATTGGGTTGGAAAGCAACTTACAATCAATTGGATATGTGTGCTCATGCTTGGAAATGGCAATCTGAAAATCCAAATGGTTATAGTCCATTAGAACAATAATAATAATAATATATAATAATATATAATAATAATAATATATAGTCATATTATTTATCTATATCAACACATTCTATTATTGTTAATCAATAATAGATTTTGAAATACTACTACTACTCACTCTTTTAGCCAACAACAAAACAAAAAAACAAAAAAAAAATCATATAAAATTAATAATATATCATTACTAATACCCAACCAAACCAAATTATTTAAAATTGAATAATAAAAACACAATTGTAAACTCTTAAAATACATATAAAAATATATATTGTTTATCTCTTCCAGTTTTAGATTGAAAAGATATTGTATTTCTTTTGAATCTTTGTAAAAGAGGGAAATTAATTATTTATATGTACAAGTTTATTTTATTATTAAATATTATTATTATTATTATTTTGGTTGTTGATTTTTAAGAGTATTATTTAACCAATCCAAACCTTCATAAATACCATCACCTCTAGTAGCAACTGTTGGTTGCATATACCATTTTCTTTTAAGACTATGTAATCCCAATTGATCGGTTAATTGTGCCACTGATAGTGCATTTGGATCATCCATCTTATTGGCCATAATAAGTAACACTGAATCTCTCAATTCATCATCGTTGATAGCATTCATCAACTCTTCTTTTGCCTCTTCTACTCTTTCTCTATCAGCTGAATCAACGACAAATATAACAGCCGATGTTCCAGAATAATAATGTCTCCACAATGGTCTAATTTTGTGTTGACCTCCAACATCCCAAACTGTAAAGTTGATATTTCTATAGAAAATAAATAGAATATAGAATTAGTAAATGCTGAAAATCATGAAATGATGATAGATAATATTAAATAGATTTATACGTACTTGAATTCTACAGATTCAACATTGAAACCAATAGTAGGTATAGTAGTAACGACTTCACCAAGTTTTAAACGGTATAGTAGTGTTGTCTTTCCAGCTGCATCTAAACCGATCATCAATATACGATATTGTTTTCCTTTTCCAATACCAAAGTTTGATAATAATGATAAGATTAATCCCATTGTTTGATTGATTTAGTAAATGTATATATTTGTTGGTTGTATTGTTGTTGTTGGTTGCTTTAGTATAATTATATATATGTATGTATATTGATTGTATTGAATGATTTGATGATATTATCGATCAAACATGTTGATTATTTATAGTTGCTGTTGTTGTGCTTTATGATCGAGTCACTAAGAAAGGGGTGAGGAGATCTTCCCCATTTCACCATTCTCAACTCTACACTACATGAATGTTTGATTGCTGACTGTTAAACTATGACTCGAAATTCACCGAAACTTAATGACTCACAGTAAAAAAATTGAAGGAAATTTTGATGAATATAAGCCCTTTAATCTAAAAATAATACTAATACTGTAAATAGACATGTTATCTATCATTAGTTCTATTACTTCTATTATACGAAGTATCAATAATATCAACCAGCCACTTAAAAAAGTGTGAAGATGCAAAAATTGAGGATGGACAATGTGCTCATGCTTGGAAATAGGAATCTTAAAAATAATAATAATAATATCGGGTCATATTAATTTATATATATCTTCAACACCTATACTTTATTGTCTAACTTAATAATTTCTAACAACCCAAAAAAAAAAAGAATCATCGTCATTAATAATATCATTCATAACAACTAATACCAAACCAAACCAGAATATAACAATTTTAATATAATTGTAAACTTTTAATACTAGTATATCACCACATCCACATATTTTATCTAAAAATATACATTTTTAAAAATATATATATGTTTATGTTCTATTTTTGTACATTGACCAATCAAATGTATTCGTGTTCCAAAGGTCAACAAAGTATAGTCACCTTTTCAATTCATCATCACCACTACTTGTGGATATTATATGCTTTTCAATCTTTTATCGTTGATCATCATTAGATGCAACATTCAGGTTACATGTATGTTTTTGGTAACATGACACGATAATATTAATATTATTGGTTGCTACCTTCTTTTGTTTGAGTTCGCAACCACAAGTGTAAACAGTAGCCATAAATGTGTATATACAAAAAAAAAAAAAAGAACCCCCTTGTTAAAATAATCAACTAATAATTCATAAATTATCTCTATCTCTATCTCTATCTATCTTGTCTGATAATAATGTAGGTAGAGGTGGGGGAAATTAAAAAAACTATTAATAATATTATTATTATTATTATATCTAATTGGGTGAGTAATGTGTCTAAACAGAGAGAGAGAGAGAGAGAGTATGCATACCAATAATTTCAAGAGTAATTACTAAAAATGAAAATACATATTTGTGGTTGTTGAGGTTGTGGTGGTGGTGGGTGAGTGCAACAACAACAACAACAATGTATATTTTTAATCCTGACTTGTACGATTGGATAAAAAAATCTTTTGTCCCTATGGAAAAACAATATATAAATAAAACCCATCAAATTCCATTGATTTCCATTTCCATTTTAATTCAAACCATAGTTTAGTTAAATACCGATAAATAATAATAATAATAACAATAATGAAACTTATTATCTTTTTCATAGTTTGTTTCTTGACCATTCAATTATCTTTTGGTCGTTGTCCACTTCCAGATGCCAAAGATGAAGGTGCTGAATGTAATACAGAGTAAGAACAAAAAAGAGATAAAAAAGAATACATTAAAAAATAATTGTTGGTTACTAATCAAATTTGATTTGATTGAATGTAGTCGAGAATGTATACATCCATTATTTTGTTTGAATGGAGTTTGTACAAAACAACCAAGAACCGATTCAAAATGTACCAACCAAACTGATTGTTCACCGGCCATTACCGGTATGAGCTGTATCGCTGCCAAATGTGTTGTCACCTCAATGAATGGTGAAAGATGTGACAGATATCAATGTAATTCATTGGCACAATGCAACGAAGGTTATTGTGGTGATGCCAAATGTTTCCAACAATCTGATTGTGGTTACAATTCCTATTGTAACAAGGATACTCAATTATGTGAAAAAACAAATGTAAATAGAAACCAAAAAGAGAGTACTCTAAAGTAATGTTCCTAACTCTAACTTTTTTTTTTTTTGTTTAGGTAACATGTGAAAGTGATTCAAATTGTGGATTTGGAGGAGTATGTTCAAATGGAACTTGTCATTTAAGATATGCAGGTAGTCTTGGAGAAAAATGTTTAAAGTCTGAACAATGCAATATCTTTGCAGGATACATGTGTGATCCAATCGGCAAGAAATGTGTAAAGAGTGAAGCCTATGGAAAGACTTGTTATGTCGACGGTGAATGTAATGGTGGTATGTGTCGTTGCAACAAGGACAATGAAGATCAATGCTATGGATATGCTGGAGCCATCACAGACAGTCATTGCTTTAGACAACACCAAGCCATCCAACGTTGTATCGAGGACAATAGATGTAATCGTATGTTGCCATTCACATGTGACAGATGTTATCCCAAATACATTTGTTTCCTCTCTACTTGCTTTGCCGATAAGCTCTTTGACCCACGTTACAAACTCGAAGCCGAAAAATGTAGTACCGTCATCTCTGAAGCTGGATCTTTTGAAGATCTCCCACCAGGTGACAAAGCAGATACTGCAACTGGAGGATCAGGTTCGAATGATTCCTCCATGTTGGTCATTCCAATGACTCTCTTGTTAATATCCCATGTATTGACATTATTCATTTAAATTGTATAAATAAACTTTGAAAAAAAACTTACTTGTATCTAGATCAACTTTGTAAAAAACCAAGATTGTTGTTGGGGAAAAAATAAATAAATTTTGTATATTGTGTCTGTGTATTTAATAATTATTATTAGATGATTATTATTATTAATGAATGCCATTGTGATGGGGTGGTCGCTAGGTTGTGTTCTAAGAGAGGATAAAATTATTATTCTTTTTTTTTTCTTTTTGTTGTTTTTAAAAAGTTAATCTTGGATCATTATAATCTCCTGATAATAATCCATGTACACGAATTCTATATAAACATGTATATTTATAACCATAATTTGATAATATTTTAATTACTACATCACTATAAACTTGTTCATTCTATTAAAAATATAAATATCAATCTCTTTTTAATTATTTCCTCTCTCTTTATCTTTTCTTACATCAAAATTAAAAGTTTGTAAATGTCTATTCTTATGAATATCATATTTAAAGGTAGCAAGTGATACACCAGTATCGGTACTATTCTTGAGACCAAGAATTTCAAATTCCTGAGGGGAACTTTCAGAGTGATAGGTAATCTTGGAGTTTGGATGTTCAATCGAGACGGAACGGACAATGATGGGAGCAGACAAGTGAATACCAATAGTACCATTATTACCTGGGAATGCCCAACAATCACCAATATTTCGAATTGGTTCCAAAATGGTTTCGGGTGGATTGAGTCTAGGTACTGGACGCAACCATGCAGTAGCAATATCCAACCATGAAACATCATCGTTTTGGTAGGTTTGAGTGATGGGATAATGCTCAAGATCATAAGCAATACTTCCACCAGATACCCACAATGCAAAATCTGCTCTTCCAGTCTTGTCACTACTGTATTTCTCGAGTGCATCATCAATCAAAAGTTGAGTTTGTTCCAATGCTGTCAATCCCTTTGAAATTGAAATAAAATCTGGATTCTTTTCCATAATCTCTCTAAATGATTGAATTTGTTCTGTTGCTTTTTTTGAAATCAATACTAAATAAATAAATAAATAAATAAATAAATAAATAAATAAATATTAATAACAAAATATATATATACACGTCTATTATTATTTACATACATAATTTCTCTCTTTCAGTAGTTTGTTGATGATCTAATGATTGAACGATAATATTTAATCTACTATTGGCATTTTCTTCAAAAGCCAATAAAAGTTTTTGAAGTTGATCTTGACCAGATTTACCAATATCACCTTGGGATTGTTTCATTGCTTCTTGAAGTTTGTTGACTGCCGATGTGATGAGGGTATGAATCTCTTCCTTTTCAGTTTTACCGTGTTTTGTCAAATCACCCATGATTCGATTGACATGTGAATCCAATTGTGCTTTGTAAATCTCCAACAATTCCTTTGGATCGTTGGATGAACGTGTTTGAATCAATTCTGTTAATTCCTCTCTCATTGTATCGACCAAAGTATTGATCAATTGATTCTCCTTTTTTTGTTCCAACTTTAATTTCTCACTTTCCGTCATTGTCGTACTAATCAATTCAGTTTTAATTATTCCAAGTTTATTATCAAACTTGTTTTCCATTTTACTTTCATGTTCTAAAAAGAAATAAATAAAAAATTAATATTTATATTGGATATATTTCTATTATTTGTTTGTTTACCTTTGATATATTTATGAAGAATTTGAATGACTGCTTGTTCATCTACACCAGTTTGATGATGATTTGTCATGTTGATTGGGAATGATGACTTGTAAAATAAAACATAAACCAATACCAATACCAAAACAGAAACAAGTGTAACCCATCCAATCACCTTTGATTTCTTTTCAACATGTCCTTTATTTTGATGATTCATCTAAGAAAACAATAATTATTATTAATAAGTAAATCATTCTTTTATGTATTTCTTCTTCTTCGTCTTCTTTTATACATACATCTACTGGTGAATGAACCTTTGTTGATAATGTAACATTAATCCACATTAGACAACGAGATATTAAATTAAATACATATACAAATGGATATGATATAGTATCAAACATTCTCATAACCAATGATCTTTGTTTTTGATGATGATGACGCTGATGAACAGCTCCTGTATTTCCACCAACTCCTCCAGTTGCTTTTACTTTTGCTTGTGTAGGCTTTGCATCTGCAGCAGCTGATGCCTTGAAACTATTACCACCTCCACCACCATTCATTGAAAAGTCTATTCCATTATTATGTTGATGTTGAGAGACTACGTTGCTTCTTGTTGTAGTAGTTGTTCTTTGTTGTTGTTTGTTTATTGTTGTATTGTTGTTTAATACACTTGAAGAGGAGGAGGAGTGGGTAGGCGGGAACAATGCAGTTGTGGTTGTACTCGAAGTACCTCCATCATCAAAGTCATATGATGTATTGTTGTTGTTGTAGGCTGGGCTGCTTTCATCCTCATCATCTGTACTTGAGAAACCATACTTGGCGACACGTGATGTAGCCGGTGTAAAAGTAGCTCTTTTTCGATGAGGTGATTTCTGTTGTCCGTATGTTGGTTTATATGTTGACATGACTATTATACTTTATAATATAAGTATGACCCTATATATATATATATGTACAAACTAAACTAAATACTATATTATATATCTGTCTCTTTCTCTTTAAAGATAAAATAAAGATGTTCAAACCCGCACCCACCTGCGAACATCAAAAGATTAAAAAAAGGAGCCAAAAATTGATTTAAAATAATGAGACTGTTAGAATATTATTTCTGTGTGGGTTAGCAAAGAGATAGTCAGATTAATAAATTTATTATTAGAGTATTAATCTAGATTTCCAATTATATATTATTATTAATATTTTGGTACTAGTAGTAGTAGTAGTAGTTTTATTGATGATTTATTTACAGTCGATTTTTGGGGAGGTTGGGTAGGTAATAAATTATTGTATTATATTTAGTTATTATTATAGTTTTGAGAATATTGTAGTTGTATAGTTTTTTGATATATTTGTTGATTTAATAAAACATTAAAGAATAAAGTAATTGTCTACCAGTTTTACGATAGAATTGATCGAGTATCTTGTCCATTGAATCCTCCCAATTGTCATTGTCGTCGATGATGTTGATGAGTTGAAGGGCATGTTGAGCACCTCCGACAGCCTCTTCGTGTGTATCTTTTACGTGTAGATTGATGATGTGTACGGGTTGCATAGGTTCGACAATATCGCGATGTGAAATGTCATCGAGCACCATATCAAAGACACGTTGGTCAAATGTAAATACAATGTCAAAGCGTGCCTTTGTCTCTTCTTGCCACTTTTCAGGTGCTAGTTTGACACGCTTGTTTCGTTCCAACATGTTGAGTATACCATTCTGTGTGTACAGTTGTTGGTCTTGTTGTTTGAGACTGTCGTAGATGGTCGAGTAGGGTGTGCCAAACGAGAATATGTTGGGACGGTCTATCGACGGACCAGGCAATTTGCAATTAGAACTCGTACCAAACGATCGTATGTTCTTGAACCCCTTTTGTAGAAAGAGGTTATGTGCTTCTAAACTTCTGTTTTGGTTTGATGCACATACCATCGCTAATCTCTTTTGTCCTTTACCATGAAATGGAAGTGTAAAGGATGCTGTTGTCGTTACTACTACTGCTGGTGGTGATGATAATGGAGGTGAAATACTCATCGTCGTAGTCTATCTCCTATCTCCTATCTCTCTATCTCTCTCTTTCAAGCAACAACTTTAACTAACCTATGACCGATCACATTAGCAGTAAAAAACAAATTAATAATAAAAATAAAATGATTAATTTAATTTTTTAAAAAGGAAGGTTGATTAATCATCATCATCCAAAAACTATTTAAAATAGTTTAGTTGGGTCAGACATGATTAATAGAGTTTTTATTTATTTATTTTTGTAATTATTTGTTTGTATAAATTATTTGAAAAGATTATTTGTTTTTTTTAAATTATCAAAACTCAAAAGAAAGAATAATGAAATAATAATAATAGAAATAGATAGATCAACATTGACAAGACGAACAAATGATTAAAATTAATAATCTGAACCTCTGGATAATACTTCTTTACAAGTTGGACGTAATAAAAGAGTATGTTCAAATTGAGCAGTGTAAGAACCTTTTACATCGACAAGTGGTGGAATTGGATCAATTAGACCAAGATCACATAGGTTTTTAAGAGCCATAATATGTTTATCCTCACCTGATTGGTCCAGCCATCTTCTGGCAAAACATAGAGTTCCATAGTTTTTTGAAATGTGATGATACAATTGCTTGGATCTTGCTAAACGAATGGTGGCATGTGGTGCATTCTTTACCTTCATGTAATGACTACATTCCAAGTCTTCATACACAACACCCTTACCAGTACTACCAAATGTTTCAATTGCATAAAATTCATTCTCTTCCATTCTATAAAAGTTAAAGAAGAAGAGTAAGTTTAATGTTATGGTTGTGCGATTTAAATATCTTGATTATACATACTTTACAGATTCAGTACTACCTTTAACAATTGGGACTGATTTTCCAGCATGAATATCGTATTGAGCAATATTGTGACCACATAGATTACGAATTGGTTTGATTTGATGTACTTTTCCATCCAATTCAATTTCATGTGATTCCATAACCTCTTGGATGGCTGCACCAATGTCACATAGTCTGACATCGATACCTGCCTCTCTAATACCTGTATTGGTTGCTTCCTTGACTGCTAATCTCAGTGGATCAAACTTTGGATTAAAATTGACAGTAAAAGCAGAATCGATAATACGTCCATTGACATGTGTACCAATATCAACCTTTAAAACATCGTCATACTTTAATACTATCTTGTCACCTGTATTTGGTGAATAATGTGCAGCAATATTATTAATTGATAAACCTTAAAAAAAAAAAAAAAAACAATAACAAAAAACAAAAAAAGATAATTAGTATTATTTATAAAAAGTTGGTTAAATATATAAATATATAGAAAAAAAAGTATCATACCAGTTGGAAATGCAACACCTGCATTTAATGGATTTAATCCATTTGCTTCTACCAAAGTTTTGGTAGCAGTTTCCAAACTTTCAACCAAGTTTAATAATGTAACACCTGGTTTGACCATTCCCTGAACAAATGAACGGACCTGTTTGTGAACTTCTGCGGCTCTACGGACATCATTGATAGTATCATAGAATAGTTTTTCCTGATCTCTAAGCTCTGCACTTGTAGTACGATAAGAATGTTGATCCTTGTACTCACATATTTCTCCATGTGGATAGACACCATTTGGATAAAACTTTGATACTGGAATAGTTGGTGGCGTAGTTTGTACTATGAAAGAAAAAAATGTTAGGTATATTTATATAGATTGTTCAACTTTTGTCTAGATTCTCTTACCTAATCCAGGAACAGGTGCATCTGCAGTTGGTAATTCTCCAGATGCTGTCACACCTACTTGTAGAGATGGAGTACTAGTTTTCTTTTTCTTTTTTTTCTTTTTCTTCTTTTTCTCTGATTCACCATTTACACCATTCTCTAGATTGATTGCTACTTTAAACATGAATTAATACAAATTATTCTTCTTTTTTTATTGTCAAAATACTCTTACCTTGTTCATCCTCCTCTTCCAACTGTTCTGGTTGGACAATAGGCATTGTCTTTTCAATTGTCATCATATTTGTAAGAAAATAATATAAAAAGATCGATTCTTGTTGTTGGTATAAAATACAACTATTTATAAATTTTTTTTTTTATAGTTTTAATTTAATTGTTGGGGTATAAATATATACTTGCTGATTAATGATTAGTTGTATGGTGTGTTAACCTTTGTAAAAAAGTGTACAATCAATCATTAGTTCCAACCAAAGTTGTTCCATCATTCCAACTTGCCAAACAGGAAACAAAACTTTATCCAAACAATTAATCTTGCTCGTTCTACGGCGTTTTCAGACCATGGTAAAAATTATTTTTTAAAAACATTCCATCGGCGGAGTGACCAAGTCGAACTACGATAGTAGAAAACTGAACTACTTGTGTGTGCTACCAACCAATCATACAATTGATTTCATTGAATTTTTTTTCTCCCCAACAATTTTTTTTTCAAAGGAGATATTTTTGGAGCTCCAAGATTAATTGTTTGGATAAAGTTTTGTTCTGTACATAACAAACATTATTTGTTTACTCTTTTGAAGTCTCCTGACAACAAATAATATTTCTTTTTACTTAATGTATGTACAGTCATATGTAGGAGGGAGAGGAAACTACTGTTCTTTGTTTCATTGTGAAGAGTGACCACCTAATTGAACCACAGCCAAATATCATGAAAATTTTTTTTTGCAAGATTATTTTAATTTTTATTTTTTTTTTTTGAACCTACTCCTTTCCCTGCTCCCTTGCCTCACAATTAATATCATTTTCATCTCTGCTAACTGTATTATTTATTTAAAGATTACATAGAAAACATAATGTCAGACGACGAATCCGTTCCACAATACAAGGCCTCAAAGCCAGTTTCAATCGATCAATTGAAATCTCAAGATGCTGAAGATGAATCACTCCGTAAATACAAGGAAGCCTTACTTGGTCAATCCGTTGCTGGTCGTAAGTACACAGATACAGATACAGATACAGATAGAAAAGGATAGATAGAAAGAAAAGAAGATTAAAGACAACAATAGATTATTAATCAACTTGTTCAATCAATCAATCAATAATAATCTATATATATCAATTATAGCAAAGGATGATCCAAGAAGAGTAGTTGTACAAGACATGACTGTCATTTTTGAAGACCGTCCCGGAGGTAACATCACCTATCCACTCAACACCAAGGAAGCTGTTGAACAAATGAAAAAGGAACCATTTGTCCTCAGAGAAGGTTGCAAGTACAAGATCAAGATTAGTTTCAAGGTTCAACACGAAATCGTCTCTGGTCTCTTACAAATCAATACTGTCTACAGAAAGGGAATCAAGTGTAAGTACAAACAAATAAGTAGTAGTAGAGAATAAAGAGATAGAGATGATGCTAGCATTGAATGAGTCAATGGATTTTTTTATTTGAAACACACACTAATTGATTTTTTTTTTTACCCACCCACCTCTTCCCTTATTATTACTTTACTTTTTGATTAGTCGGAACTGAAAAGACCATGTTAGGTTCATTTGCTCCACAAGCTGCTTTCCATGAAGTTACCGTCCCAAGAAACGACTGGAATGAAGCTCCATCTGGACTTTTGGCCAGAGGTTCATACACTGCCAAGATTGATTTCGTCGACGATGACAAGCAAAACCATTTGTCCATTGAATACGCTTTCGCCATCAAGAGCGATTGGTCTTCAAAGGAGTAAATCTTTTAAATTAAAGGTGATACTTGCTTAATGGTTTTGTGTATCAATAATAATAATGCTTTGTTGTAAAATCTATATATATATATTTTAATTGAAACAAAAAAAAAAAAAAAAAAAAAAGAGTATTACCTTTGGAAAAAGAAAAGAATAAAACCTTTGAAACAAAAATTGTATTAAATAATAACCAAAAAAAAGACAAATAGATAAAGATAATAATATTATTTATATTTATAATTAATTATTGTTGATGTTATTTATTTGGGGGAGTTGTGGAGTTTTTGTTTGTTTTCTATTTACAAAATAAATATGTTTAAATATTATTTATATTATTGATATTATTATTATTCTATTTCTATTGTTTAGCCATTTACAATATCAACAGATGGACCAAATTGAACACCTTTGGGTTTGGAAGATGATGAAACCTTTCTTCCAGTTTTGATAATGGATGGGGAAGATGATTTGTGGTGATCCATGATTTCATTTTGTATGAGTTCCAAATTTCTATCCATTGATTCGGTATTGTCGAGCGATGAGTTTAATGGTCTACGTTTGGTTGCCAGTGGCATTGAATCATCATAGGTGTGTGTCAATTGACGGTGTCCAGATTTTGGTGATTGTTGAGCTGTTGGGATGAAGGTAGTAGAGGTGGTGCTAGTTGGAGTTGAAGTTGGTGAATAAGAATACATGAGATTATCATTATTCTCAACTGTCTTGTTTCTAGCCAAATACTTTGTTCTTGGTGACAATACAAATTCAGATTGTGACTTTACAAGTGGATGGTGAGATGATACTGGTTTCTTTGGTAATGCCATATCATTTGCATTGTTGTTGTTGGATTGTTTCTTTGGAATAAATGCAGGGGCATTGGTGTTGGACGATGGAATCGACGACATGCTACCAGATGTGATCATTGTTTTTCTTGCATGTTGGTTGTAAGTTCCTCTTGGTGGTACCAATTGTGGATCACTTGGATCACATTCTCTAACTACCATTAATGATGCTTTAATATTATCGGATACATAATCACATAATCTTAATAAATGGAAAAAAATAAAGTTTTGATATTTCATGAGGTTAGTGGATGAAATTAGAATAGTATGGGATGATGGAATTATAATAATCATATAATAATTTAATCTCTTTATCTCTCTCGATCAAACGTGAATGAGAATTGAATTAAAAATGGTTAGTAAATTCCCTATCAAATGTTAGATACTCACTTTTTAACTCTACTATTGTGTGGGCACATTACAATAACATCAATCTTTAATTGTTTAACCTTTTCCTTTAAAAATTCTCTTGTTGATCCCATTTCCATAAATACTAAACTTTTAATCTAAAAATAAAAAATTAATAAATGGTATATAATTATTGTTCTTTTTTCTTTTACAAACCTTTCTCTTGTCTAATAATTTACCAAAATATTTCATTGCTTCGTGGGCATCATTTCCTTGGCCACCTCGGTTATATGTTACTTTGGTCAAGAGAATGATCCAGTCATTTTCACTAACCATTCTCATTGCCCTGTAAAAAGCAGAGTATGATTCTTCTTGATCATCGATATAAACTAAAAATTTCATTGTTCTTATTATTTTTTTTACTATAATTATTATTATTATTATTATTATTTATCTGTTTTAAATTATTTATTTATTGGTTGGTTTTATATATTATTATTATCTCTAATCTTTTTAAATATTTAAAATTCTAAAGGATTGAAAGAAGGGGAGCTGGGTTGATATACTCTTTTTTTTTTTAGAAAGTATTTGACAGTTGAAAATTTAAATTAAAAGAAAAAAAAAAAAAATCTAATCTAATTATGATAATATTCTAAATAGATGACTATCTCTCTTACTTTAACCCTTTGAGTCGTTGTTGGATTATCTTTTACTCTTGTTCAGGATGCTTTAACCTCCTTTTTTTCTTTTGTAAAAATTTAATTTAATTTTTTTCGATTTTTTGTTTCCAAATTTGGTAATATTATTTGCGACCCATAGTAGTTGTAGATGTCTAGAGTCATATTCTTCCAAAGGTTCTCTCAATTGTGTGAACTCTGTTTTTACTAAATATGGTACCTATGGTCTCTAGATGGTGGGTGCTGTGTCCTTTGAAATGTGTTGAGAGCCATGCAAACCATTCAACACCATACTTAAAGTAGAACATGTGAACATCAAGCTTGACTTGTAGTTTTAGAGAGTTATTGGTTTTATCTTTTTAAATTAATTGTAGGGTTGAGTTTTTGTTTGGTCAGACGTACAATCTAAGATTTTGCGGTCCCGATTGATAATTCTCTACATGCTTTCCTTGAGAGTTCGTTTGTCATCATGAATAGAAAGTATTACTTGGTAGTAATCCTCTCTATTGAAAAAACTAATTTTTAAAACCTACCTATGAAAAGTTATTAGTATACATATTTAGGACAAGAGCTTATGGGTTGACTCGTCTATCTATCTCTAGGTCAGCTGGTCGACTAGTTTTCTTCCTTGCCCAATAGTTTTCGTTTTGTAAGTGAGGGCCCGCACTCCCTTGGCGCGCGTTTTTGTTCTATATATATCTGAAGATCACTCACTGCTCAACAGAGCGAGTAAAAACAAAAATAAAATACTAGACACCAATATTTTCCGATCAGATAATTAATATTAAATAATACTATAATATAACCTTTATTATTCCTATGTTTTGGAACGATGGTACCAATAGTTCCTAAAAAGACAAAGAAATTTATATGTTTCAAATCGATTTGTTTTGACGACCAAGAGTATGATTGGATATTTCCAGGATGTCAAGTATCGTTTAAATTTCTTACCCGACTGATCACTTGAAAACAACAATTCGGTGGTGCTCATGAACTATTATGATAGTTGTTGTGCTCGTTTTTAGTATGTACTGTTGATTTATCTGTTATATGTGTCACTCCCATGCCGCCTCAAAGTCGGTGCCATCCGCACCCTGGCCAGCCACGGCCATGATCAGTTCCTGCACTTCCAGCGTATTCAGCTCGTTGTACCCCAAGAAAATAACAAACGAGAAAAAAATCGATTTTTGGAGGTGGCTCGATTGCCAAATGAAAAAACGAACGACTGACGAATCAACCCATAAGCGCTTGTCCTAAATATGTATACTAATAAACTTTTCACAGGTAGGTTTTAAAAATTAGTTTTTTCAATAGAGAGGATTACTACCAAGTAATACTTTCTATTCATGATGACAAACGAACTCTCAAGGAAAGCATGTAGAGAATTATCAATCGGGACCGCAAAATCTTAGATTGTACGTCTGACCAAACAAAAACTCAACCCTATAATTAATTTAAAAAGATACAACACAAACATTGAGATAAATAGAATGAAATGAGCCATGTGAGGTCCGTTTTCGTTGTTAAAAACCGAGTTCACAACAAATTACTTTTATTCATTATTTTCACAAACAAAGATAAAAGAAGAAGAAGAAGAAGAAGAATGGGTAAAATAAATTATCAACAAGGATGGACCAACCCTCAAAGTAATAACGATAAGTACTTTGAAAACAAGTTAAAGTGTTCGTTTGAACAATGGTATAGAGTATTCAAGAACAATACATTCTCGAGTATTGTTATACCTCTACCAAAGATATTCATCGATTATCTCAACTCTGATCACTTTACAATGTCAGAGGAATCATTCCCAGAGTTTCGTACAGAAGATAATGGAGAGGATGATGAAGAATGGTCATCTACCACACCATCTGACATGTCCACAAAATTAGATAAAAGATATTATCAATCATATGATAGTGAAAGTGAAAGTGAAAGCGACAACGAACAAGACGAGGACGATGAAGATGAAGATGAAAAAGAAAAAGATAACAATAATAATAATAATAACAACAAAACAAATAGAAAGATAAGTGAAAAAGATTTCCCAGAGTTAATCAAAGAGATTGAAGATGCAATTGCAAAGTTGGGAGGTGAAGTAGTACCAAAACTCAATTGGTCTTCACCAAAGGATGCAACTTGGATGAACATTCATTCAAGTTTAAAGTGTCTAACACCAACCGATGTTTTATTACTTTTAAAGAGTTCTGATTTCATAAATCATGATTTATGTCAATTGTATGTAATACTAGAAATATCCTTAAAATAATTATAACTAATCTCTTTATTAATATTCAATGTTTATTTAGTCAAATTGAAAAGGATCAAGAGGAAATATTAAAAGATGATTCAATTTCACCTTTTACATTGGTACTTAGAAAATATCATAATCTATTTCATTCAATGGAGTTTAGATGTTTTGTAAAGAATAATCAATTGATTGCAATTAGTCAAAGAGATACTTCTACCTATTATAAATTCCTTCAAGAAAAGAAACAACATTTACAAGATTTAATACAACAATTTTTCAATACCATTGTAAAAGATAAATTTGATGATATTAATTGTATGTTTTAACATTTATATATATATATATATATATATGAAATGGTAGATCATTAATATTTAATTGGTTTTATTTATTTTTTAGATACTTTTGATGTATATATAACAAGAGATGATAAAGTATATTTAATGGATTTTAATCCAATTCATCCATCAACTGATGCTTTATTATTTGATTGGGAGGAATTATTTGAAGAATTAATGGAAGAAAAAGAAGAAAAAGAAACTAATAATAATAATAATAATCAAAATAATAATAATAATAATAATACATTGGAATTTAGAATAATTGAAAATAATGAAGGAATTAAACCAAATTTAGCAATGACAAGTAGATTACCAAAAGATTTAGTTGATCAATCAAATGGATCGGCAATTGATGAAATGTTACAAAAGTTTAGAGATCAACAATTACAAGGCAAATAAATACAGAATTCTGTGTTTCGTTTATTTTATAATTTAGCATTTTGAATGGCAACATTAAATCTCTTTTTCTCTTCATCTGTGATTTTACATTGTTCAGTGTAATTGGTTGGAATGAGTGAATCACAAATCTCTCTAAATCTACCAAGTGGACACATATTATCAACTTCTTGGTCATTACAATCCTCCATATGTAATACTTTTTGATTATAAATGATTTTAACAAATTGTTTGTCATCGTCCTTGGAACCAACAACTGTCTTTTTTTCCTTTTCCTTTTCCACCTTTTCTGATTCCTTTTCATATAATAAGAATTCCAAAGTTGAAGCAGTTTCTGGATGCTTGTTATCATCATACATTTTAAAAGCTACTAATAGACTGGCGAGGGTAGAGTCGTGAGCAGAGTAGAGAGCAAATTTGAGTGGATGGACCGATTTTTCATTGTTGGCCTTGGCAAACATTTGACGTGAAAGGTCGCCTACAAAACGGCCAATACCGAGCACAGACATGTCGGGGAACAGTCCCATCGACTTGTACTCTTTGGCAGCTTCGAGATACATACGCTCGACGACTTGTTGTGTGAATCCACGTGGCAGTGGAAGACCGTGGTTCTTGAAGCAGTCAAAGCTGTTGACCAAGCCGGCATAACTGCGCCAGCCTTGGAGATAAAATGGTGCATCGTCATCCTTGGCATCGTCAAAGATAGCTTGAACACGTTGATTAAACTTGGCCAACTCGCTCTTTTTCTGGTCGTTCAACACGACTGGATGCTTGGGTAGGAGTGACTTTAAAAAGCTAAATCGTTGACATGACCCGCGAGGATACATATTTTCGATGGGTTCTGGACGTATCTCAAACGTCGATGATCTGGGAGACCGCTCGTTCGACTCGGCAAACGAACCACCATAGAGACCGTGCATGAGTGATCGTGCCGACGAGATGGTTCGTTCGCGATCCGAAGACCGGATGTAAATCTCTGATGGCGTGTATTGTGGTGAGAGGAACTGGAGACGGTCGATAAGCAGAGTATGGTATGCTCGACCGACATTGATGAGATCCTTGGTGCCAAACACAGTCAACTGACCCTTGGCACAAGTCGGCTTCTCGGTATGATCGCTGATCAAGTTTTCAATGTTGTTGCAACTCCACATCTCTAGTGGATACCTAGTACTCTCTGGTGTACGTCTACCATGACGTGTAATCACCTGCATAAACTTGAGATGGTATCCATTTGGTTGATACTCTTTGAATGGTGTATGAATGGGTCTTGCATCTCTAAACACCGATGTCTCTGATTGTTCTTTATATTTTTTTATTTTCTCTCCAATATTTGGTTTCTTCTTTACACCATTATTGTCACTATTACTTTCTCCTGCCATATATATATCTATACTCTATCTATACTCTGTAATCTTTAAACAAATAGTAATATAATAAATTGCAGTGATTGATTGAAAATGAATGAAAAAGAGAAGAAAAAAATAATTAAAATTAATTTAATTTGCGCACTCAAAGTTTGGGAGAGGTGTGATCTTCAACAAACATGAACTTGCAACCTTTTTTGTATATTACTTTAAATAATAAATAACATAGATAAATAGAAAAGAAAAGATATGACTAGCGTTGGTTCAGGTGTAAGTAGACATTTTAGTCTTGTTAACAATTCATTATTAATCAATCTCTTTCTCTACCTACCTACTTGTATACTTTTATACTACTTTTAGTATGATTTATCAGTTTCAACATATTCACCAGATGGAAAGATCTTCCAAATTGAATATGCCAGCAAGGCTGTAGAGAATTCAGGTACTGTAGTTGCCATTCGTTGCAAGGATGGTGTTGTTATGGGTGTAGAGAAAATATTACCATCAAAGATGTTGTGTCATGGTTCAAATCGTAGACTTCATTCTATAGATTTACATATTGGTATTGTAAGTATATAAACACTTTTATACGATAATATGATTGTTATTAATCACAACGATGATTTATTTATGATTGTAGGGTATTGCTGGATTTTTAGCAGATGCTAGACAACTTGTTAATCGTGCAAGATCAGAAGCCAAGCAATATAAAAGTGTATATGGTCAACCAATCCCAATTAAAGTTTTAGCTCAACGAATTGCTTCGTATGTCATAAATATATCATATATATTGTATTGTTTTTTTTTGATCATTGATTTACTTATTATTATTATTTTCTTCTTTTATAGATATAATCATGTACATACATTATATGGTAGTGTTAGACCATTTGGTTGTTCAATTACTATTGCTGGTATCGATTCAACTGGCCCACAATTATTTATGATTGAACCATCTGGATCATGTTTGGGTTATTATGGTACTTCTATGGGAAAGGGCAAGCAAGCCGTCAAGAATGAATTGGAAAAGATTAACTTTACCGAAATCACTGCAGCTGAAGCTGTTAAAACTATTGCCAAGATGTATGTAGACTGATGATGATCATGATGATTATGATGATGATGATTCTAATTCTCAAACTATTTTTATTTTTACTATTACTACTATTAGTATTTACTCTGTACATGATGGTGACAAGGATAAGGATTTCGAATTAGAATTAAGTTGGATTACTCGTGAATCTAAAATACATCAATTGGTTCCAAAGGAAATTCACGATAATGCCGAAGCTTTTGCCAAGCAAGCTCTTGAAGAAGCAAACTTGTAAATCATCAAAAACAACCAACACCCTTTTTTAAAAATAGAATCAAGTATATATAATTGTCATCCGATATATAATAGTAGTGTAGCTTTGACAAACAAACGATTGATCAAAACAAAAACTATAATTAATAGAATTTAAAAAAAAAAAATAATAATAATAATAATAATAATAAAACCAACAACAAACCAAAATGATGTTATCATTATGTAAAAAAAACACATTGATATATATATATATTATTTATTATTTAATTATTTATTAAATTCTTGATATTGATTATGAATTACTTTTTTAATAAATTCAAAATAAATGAGTTTAGATATTTCAATATCTTTTCGATCGATTGATAATAATCCACCTCTAAGAGTTGACCTTGTCATCAATAGGATACTGTGACCCAAATCTCTAACATCAAAATGAAACTTTAGAATTGGTTTTAATACTCTAAAGTGTACTTTTAAATGTCGGACTGTTCTAAAGTATTCCATATCCAATTGTTTATGACCATTAATCATAAGACCACATTCAACGGTTGGTGGTAGTGGAACTGAACAGTGATGAAACATTGTTTCTGGCGAATCTAAAAAGGAAACATACTCTAGTTGTTTGGCTTGTTCTGGATCTAACTTTTCAAACTCTTCTCTTGTAATTTGTAGTCTTTTGATTGATTTGGGTAGAATTGTTTTGGCTGTAACATCATCACCAAGATTGATTTTCAAAGACAAGAATAATAATTGTTCCAAAGTGTCTGGTAATACTTTGGTCAAATCTCTTGATGATAATCTAATCTTGTTTACTCCAAGTCGTTTAACATTCTTGTTTAGATATTCTGGTTTAAAATCATCGTCGATTGATTTGATGGTGAGGTATTGGATGGGAACATTGGTCAGTGGTGACACGAGTGGAAGTGGTAGAGGACATTGAATATCGAGTTTAACCTTCTCTAGTCCCTTGGGAAGTGAATCTAGTTGAGAGTAATCTGTAATTGACGCAGATAGATAGCAAAGTGATTCTGGTAGAGCTTCGTGACCCCAACGTCCACTTGGCATGAGTAGAGTCTCTAGACTATCTGGCAGGGTACCTTTTGTAATAGTTTGAGAAAACTGTTCATTTAACTTGAGATACTTGAGATGTGGAGGAAGAACACCAATATCGTGATCAAATGATGCAGGTAGTACCAACTTGGTTAAAGTGTTTGGCAAGAAGCCCGGTTGAAACGATTTGTTAAAGTCAGAGTACCTTTCGATAATCAATTCTTTTAACCCGTATTTAAATAGTCCTTGATGAAATGGGAATCTATTTGTTGTACCAATAATCAATCTATTGAGGTGTGGTAGTGATTGATGACTCTCTAATGGCTTTGAGAAAGCAACATTGAGAGAGTCTAATCGATCGGGAAGCATGTCAATACTACGATGATTGTCTTTAGATCCAGAACCAAGGGTGACATGAACCAATTGAATATCTTTGTCGACTGCGGCTTGTTTGATGTTTGAACAATCCGTTAGTTTGTTGGGAAACAGTAAATGAGTGGTGGTTGGTGTCATTTGATCTGCCAACGATAGATTACGGTCAAACATCAATAGGTGACTAGTAGACTCTTCAATTGGTTTCTTGAAAGTGTTTAGTTTAAAAGGACCATATTTGAGTACAGTATACTCGTACAAAGCATCATCCGATGCAATGTCATATAATGAGAACCGTACACCACCATGATTGTCAATCATATGAAATAGTTTCTTGCAAGTCAATAGAAAACATATCTTGTCAGTGTTTCCATCAATCTCTTCAATGATTAATTTAATCACTGTATTTGGTAGTGTTTCAATCATCTTCTTTAAATATAATAATAATAATAATAATTCAAAAAAGCATCCATTAATATTATCCAAATATTTTATATTTTTATTTTTTTTCAACCATTTTCTATTTTCTTTCTTTTTTTTAGTCTGGAGTCCAGACTCTGAAGTATATGTATGATATCATATTATCTGCTTAATGGTTTTGAAAATGGTCACTGTCAATCAAAGGGTCTCACTATACCAGGGGTTTTAAAGGTTCAAATGGAAACTTGAAGGAAAAAATATTTATTTATTTATTTGTTTATTCCAAGTTTGTTGGTTTGTTGTTTGTTTGTTTGTATGTTGGTTTAATTTTTAGGACTACTAGATTTTGATGAAAGTCTCTTTAATTTGAATTCGAGTAATCTAATTCTCATGAATTTCTTTTTCAAAACCCAAGCTGTTAGAGCAACAAGTGCTGCTGCACCAACTATGGACATTGTAACGATTACAGGAAGCTTCCATTTTTGCTCATTATCACATCCTTCATCATCTCTAAGAAGTGATCCAAAACTATAAATTATTAAAAATGGAAAGAAATAAATAATGATTAGATTTGAATGGAATGAATTTAATTTTAAAAAGTTAGTTTCTACATACTTTGGATCAATTTCAACTCTTTCAGAGAAATATGGAATAGTAATTGAAATTAAAAGATTTGAATAATCTTCTGGTAATTCACCAGGTGGATAAATAATATCACTGTATAATGGGTCTTTGAGTGGGATACCGACCAATTGACTTTTCACAATGCCATCATCGACCCACATACGATCAGAGAATCTAGCCTTCATAATAGCCTCTCCAGTATAAATTTCATACCATGTTTCACTCACTGTAGATGTATCTGAGCTACATGCTGTAATCTTGTGTTGTGACAAATAAATTAATTCAATATTATTTAATAATGAATCAAAATGCCATCCTGTTAATTCAATATTATATTTAATTGAATTTGCCCAAATTGACATACTAAATAGAAATAAAAAATAGAAACGAAATTAATAATTAATATTTATAAATTCTTTTGTTTTTGTTTTTTTTTTTACATACTTTTGATTTGCAAAAATAATAGTAGTTGGATTAGAATAAAGAGTAATTTTAAATGATAATATTACATCTTCATTTGGGAATCTACCTGATAGATAGATGACAGGATTACCATGATCATCGGTTGCATTGGTGATTACATTCTTCCAAATGACATCAGTCATTTTAACAACTTTAATTATATTTCCATCTATATCTTTTTCTCTGATATGGGTAATAGCAACATTGAATGAACTCGTTGGTGTACGTATAGTTGTTCCACCAGAGGTATCTGATATTTCAAATGTTACATTACCTCCCATTGAAATCGGTGTGAATTCATTACAACTAATACCATCCCATTCATAGTCGCATGTACATTGACCGGTACTAACATCACATATTCCATGTTCACTACAATTCCCAGGACATTGTTTGATTTGAGTATAAAAGTAGATCGATCTGACAGTGGTCAATCCATCAACTGTAACATTTACAGGCATACCTGATCCATTTTGTGGTGGTGGTGGTAAACCATTAAACAAGCACATTGCCTTTGTTGGAGCAATGACCGATTTGATTTCACAATTACTGTCTGCTATTTGGATGGTCAAATTTTGATTAACTATATTATTTCCAATGATAGAAATCAACCCACTCTTTCCTTGAACAATAGGGGAACATTGATCAATTGATGGTGGTTGATAACTAAACTCTTTGGTAGTGTTTCTAGCGAATCCTCCATCATAATTAAATTCGATTGTTAAATTGTGACCAATGCCAGTACCAGCATTAACAGGGCATACCAAAAGAGTGTCAGTTGAAGTGGTACATGAATCTTGAATTAAAACTGTGTAGTTTTGACCTTGCTTTGTTTGAATGGTTACAGTACCATTTAGATTACCTCCCAAAGGGTCGATATTGGCCAATCCACTACCAATAATAGATACGACACCACCCATAACTGGTGGAGAGACTATACTTAGGATGATTGGGTTTTGGTAGACTACAAATTTAAATGTTTCACCCGATCCAATACCTTGAACTGATACGCTGGCTTCCTTGACACCTGGAGTAAAAGTGGATGGAGTTGTACAAATGATTGTACCATAGTCTTGAGTGTCGTATTGTTGACAAGATGTACCATCATTAAAATCAATGAGATTGGTATAGCTTGGTGCAAAGTTGTATCCCTTTACAGTGATAGATGTAGATTCTTGTTCAAAAATGGCTGGATATAATCTTGTGATACCAGGTCTAGCATAAAAGAATGGTGTTTTGTCTGGAATGGTTGCTTGGCCACCAACAGTCAGAGAGATTGGAATACTTCCAGCACCAGGACCAATTTGGAAAGACAGTACCTTGTGATCGGTTGTAAATGTCACTGGATAGGTGGTTGATCCAATCTTTAAGACTACTTGAGCGGGTGAGTTGAAAAAGTTGTCACCCGCCACTACTACAGTACCACCAGTTGTATTGACATTGGATAGAGTAGTGATAGAAGGTTGGATGGCAGCTACATTGAAGTTTATATTACCGTTGCCCCAAATATTAGTGTAGATGTATGCATTGGTACCGCCAACAGTTGGTGGAGCAGTTGTATAGAGTAGCTTTCTAATGGCATCGGTTGCACATGGTAGGTAAGCTCCGTTACCAGTTACTACACATCCTGGGAACGACCCTAAATTCCTCATTGGGATTTCCATGTCACCCCCAGTTGTTGCAACCCGTACAATGTAATTAACTGGTAGTTTGGGAGGGATTGGTACATAGGCACCCATATTACACCTCTTTAAAGAGGTACCAAAGACAGGATTACTACCAGCAATTCTATTGTAATCCAATCCATAGAGAACTGGTAAAGTGTCGTTTACGGCTGGTGGAGTGTACTGTGAATCATAGAATGGTGTGATGACATTATTGGTCATATACTCCTTCCATACACCACCTGCAGTGTAGAGTACAGGGATCCAAAAATAAGTAGAGTTTGAAAAGATGATGCAAGTACTGTAGGTAGGTAGCCAACTCCATAACTCTTGTCTATTTACTTCGTTCTTTACATAGGTTTGGATACCAGGGATATCTCCACCAGAAGTTGATGTTTTAAAGAATGGATACATGACGTCGATTCCATGGTCTTCGTACATCCCATAGAATTCCTGTTGTGTGCGACTGTAGATGGTTTGGTGATAGGTAAGGTGAGGATTACCATTTACATTGACAAACACTGGGTATGGGTCTTTGAAACCAGTGACCGTGCACGTTATGTATTGATGAAAATTAATCATACCAATGTTTTGACATGGTACACCTATTCTAACACCTTCAACCAATACGGGTGGTCCTACTTGGACCTCTAAACCAGTCATTGTAATGCCAAAGTTTTCACCAATAATAGTCACTACTCCGCCAGCGTCGATTGGTGGAATCAGTGATATAATGTATGGTGTTTGGTAAAAGAGGTGGGCTTTGGTGGTAGTCCAGTCAATATCACCGGGTGGTTTGAGCAATAGCCTATAACTACCCGTTCCAACACCACTTCCAATGGTACAGCTGATAGACGATGGATTGACTTGGACAGTTTTGATACAAGACAGTGGAGTGCTTCCATTTACATTTTGAAATGAGATTTCAGAGTTGGTTGGTGCATTTTTGATGGTAACCATTCCACCACGAGTTGGTACTCTACCTATTACTTGGATTTCATTTGGATCATTGTATTCACACAAGTAGGCGGCATTTCCGGTCTCTGCTTGTGCCCTAAGTGTCTTTTTTCCATTGTACAGAGTTCCACTGTACCCTATTTGAGAACCAAATGTAACGGCATTCAAGGTTGTATCCATTGACGGTTTATCTTTTTCCCATGGACAAAATGTATGACAGAGGTCATCGTGCATAGTATAAACCAAGTCACCCATCTCTGGACCATCTAAATATCTATAGGTACCTTCAGACGCCTGATCACTTATACCAGTATACATAGAGAAACTATTTCCAACAAAGAAATTATCTGAAACAAATTGGTATTCCAAGTATGATGATACTGTAAATAAATATCTATTTGAAACCCAAAATAAGACAAGTAGTAGTTAGTAATCAATAAATTGAAAGTCGATCATTTGATAGTAATACAAACCCAACCATTCCAGCAGGTTTGTTTGGTGCAGTTTTACAAAAGGTTTGGGCTGCAGCAAAGTTTTTCCATAAACTATAATCGGTAAAGTTTTCATAGTAATGTCCATTGACCGGATTCAATATTAAATCGGCATTGACCAAGTACTGCCCATTCTGACCAGAAAATAAAAGAAAATATGAAAATAAATAAAATACAAATAATGTGATTGTATTAATACCATTGATATTAAAGAACACCATCATGTGATTGGTTGGATGGGTTCTTTTAGTATTAGATCAACAACAATGATTTTAAATCGATTCGTATGAATGTATGAATTGATAGATTGATAGAATGTATGGTGTATGTATGTGTGTCTGTGTGTGTGTGTGTATATGTATTGTTTTGTTCAAGGTGGTCTGATTATCAAACTGTTAGATCTAGAGGCCTCAAACCTCAAAAACAACAACCAAACAAAAATAAAAAAAAAAAAGAATATCTTGTTGATGATCTCCGCAGCTCGCATGTGTCAAAATCAAAGAATTTGAACAGAGCCGGTACCTTGCTTTGGCACATATTGTTTGAAATTTGGATGAAACAGTTTGGTTGCCCGACCAATGATTGCTTGTATCTTTCTTTGACAATGACGGGAAATTCCACCGTTGCTTTCTTTTTGATCAGCTGATAAAAGAAAATGGTATAAGTTATTAAATGGAATGGAACTAAAAGGTTGAGATTAATCTCTTTTCAAACCATTTAAACTTATTTATAACCTTGGTACCATTTCATTGATTCAATTTGAATTAGATCGTACGACATGATGATGTGTTGAACTGCCAAACAAGTTTGCCAGGCAGGCAGGTAAGTTGTTTTGTTTGATTATTATTAAATGTATCCCACTCCTATTTATTATTATTGTTATTGTTGATTTTATCTTCTCTCTTGTTAACAAAGGTAATCGCTAGCATTCGAGCGTTCTACTTCTTCTTTTGTGTGATAACCAACCAATAAACCATAATAACTAAATATGTTATCCCAGTACTATTGTTGTTGTTGTTGTTTATGTCGTTCTTATTATTATTAATTATTATTATTTAAAGACCCTTTCCTTTAGTTGCCAACATAATAGCGTTTCTTTCTTTGATTTGGTGTCTTGCTTTTTGCTTAAAGTATCTACCTTCGTCTTCTGGTGTCAACAATCTAACTGGTTTATCTCTTGGTAATTGATCATCAATCTCGAATAACCATGCTGGGTATTCAGAGTTTGCGTCTGATGGTAGTTGAGTTGTAAATAAGCTTGGTGAAATTGCTTCCAATTTCAATGGAGCTGTTCCTCTGTCTGTAGTAGTAGTAGTAGAACTGAATTAATATACTACTCTCTCCTTTCTCATGTATATATATATCTCTCTCTTTGTATTATCATCATGATGATAACATACCAAACTTCTTTTTCTTTGATGGAGCACCACCCTTCTTCTTTGCAGCAGCCTTTGCAGGGGCAGCTCTTCCTTGCATCAAGGATATACCATGACTCTGTAATGCTACTATCGATCTACGAAAGAGTTGTGACATTACTACTAACTATTATTATACTCTCGTTTAATTTAAATTAACAAACTACTCAATCTAGCTGATCTTGTGCATTATGATGATTTTTCATTCTGGTGGGTGAGAATGAACGAAAAAAAAATAAAAAAAAATAAAAGGTTAACAAAAAACAAAAGACTATCTTATAAAGTATCTACTTTTACTTTTTAAATAGATAATATGTTTAAACTTTTATTTATGCAAAGCACAAATACGATTCGTGTACTTTAGATAGATCTGATACATTAGCAACCACGAATTGCAATGAACCAATGTTCGGCACTTCATTGTAACCACCCAATCACTGGGCCGATACACCCTGATTTTTTTTGATTTTTTTTCTCCTCTTGAGAAATGAGTGAACTTCTCCACTTTGGTTTACCATTGAAGAATTATTAATTATTTTATTTATTTTCAAATATATATTACATACATATTATTACATACATAAACAAGAAAGAAAGAAAGAAATGGTATGTTGATAATAATAAAAATAATAATAATATGATTTGATTGATTGCAATCATCAACCAAGTATTAATATTCATTTATTTTAATTATCACATGTGATGATGTATACCTTATCCTCCCCTTTCTATTTTAATGTATATATTTATATATATCTAGAGCAACGATATTTTAAATGTTGTAGTAACAGGAGCTGCTGGACAAATTGGATACTCTTTGATCTTTAATATTGTGAGAGGAGAGATGTTTGGATCGGACCAAAAGATCAGATTGGTATTGATGGATATTGCACCAATGCTCGATGGTATCAAGGGTGTTATTATGGAGATTGAGGATTGTTGTTATCCATTGGTCGGTGAAATCGTCGTCACTGCCGATCCAAAGGAAGCCTTTGCCAACGCAGACTATGCCATCCTCGTCGGTGGTATGCCAAGAAAGGATGGTATGGAAAGAGCTGACCTTCTCAAGGCCAACGCTACCATCTTCCAAGTTCAAGGTAAAGCTTTGAACGATCATGCTAAAAAGACTTGCAAGGTAAAAATGAAATGAAAAGAAAAGAAATATGATTGAATATTAACTTTACTTTACTTTTGTTTGCTCAATATTTATATTTATATATTTCTATATTTCTATATTTGTTTCTATAGGTATTAGTTGTAGCTAATCCAGCCAATACAAATGCATTGATTGCAATGGTGAATGCACCAAATATTCCAAAGGAGAATTTCTCATGTTTGACACGTTTGGATCAAAATAGAGCACGTGCACAAATTGCACTTAGAGCCAAGGTGTCGGTCAAGGATGTCCATAATATCATTGTATGGGGTAACCATTCATTGACTATCTTCCCAGACCATCGTTGTGGTTATGTCAGTTTGCCAAGTGGCAAATCGACCATCTCGGGTGCCGTCAAGGACGACACTTGGTTGCAAAACGAGTTTGTAGCAACCGTCCAAAAGAGAGGTGCCGCAGTCATCTCTGCCCGTAAGTTGTCCTCTGCCGCCTCTGCTGCCAAGGCTATCACCGATCATATCCACGACTGGCATCTTGGTACTCCAGAAGGAGAGTACGTGTCGATGGGTGTCCACTCGGACGGCTCATACAATATCCCAAGCGGTATCATCTTTTCATTCCCAGTCACCATCAAGAACGGTGTCTACACCATCGTCCAAGGATTACCAATCGATAAAAATACCCAAGAAAAGCTTGATGCCACAACCGCTGAATTAATCTCTGAAAAGGAAGTTGCTCTTGCTCTCTAAACTCAACACACACACACACACAACTCAACCACAACATATATCCTTTCAAACATTTTGTATAATAAATATAAATATAAATAATATATATATAATTTAATAAGTAGTACTTGAGAAATTCGAGGGTTCCTGAAATTTAGTACAATTCTTTGGTTTTTCCTTTGTTTGCTTGAAATTCAAGAGTTTTAATACTCTCATTTTGCAGGTTTTCGAACCATTAATTAAACAAGCAAAGCAAGACATATTTAATTATATTATTATTATATGTATAGAAATAGAATAAGGAATAGAAATAGTAGTTTATTGTTGTTGTTAATATTAGAGAATCAAAATAAAAGGAAGAAGAAATGAAAAGAGTAACTTGCTTTCAACTATCAAATTCGTCATTCTTAAAAGACGATCAAAGAGATAAACTTGAAGTTATATTATCAACAAAATGTTTAGATGAAATTCAACAATCATTTCATCAACAACCACAACAACCATCTGTTGTACCTACAACAGTTACATCTACAACTACCACAGTATCATCATCTACTTCTACTTCAACTTCAACTTCTGCAACTACGGAATTTGATCATTTATGTAATACATGTTCAATTAGATTTAATGATAAAGATCTACGTAATAATCATTATCGATCACAATTACATCGATATAATCTAAAGTTAAAGATGGCACATTTACCAATACTCGGTGAAAAGGAATTTGAACAAATGACAAACAACAAGGAAGAGGAAGAAGACAGTGACAGCGACAGTAGTGGTGGAAGTGACAGTGAATCGGAAAAGATATTGACCAATGCACAATCATCCCTGATGGATGATAATGACGAGTACCAAGGATACCAATTCTACGAGACCTCTATTGAAATGAACGATCCAAAACTAAAGATTGTAAGCAAAGAGTTAAAGTTGCAAGTTAATGTTTGGCGTTGTATTTTAGGATCGACTCAAGATTTTAGAGCCATGTCGTCGGCAGAGAAACCGCAGCTAGTGAATACATTCAACAGAGTGTGTCGTGCTGGCACTGCTGCCACTACACCATTGACATGGGCAGTGTTGTTGTGTTCGGGTGGTCGATTCGCAGGTGCACTCTACAAAGCACCCAATCTCAGCAAATCATTTGAACACAAGACATTCCACCGATACACTACGAGAAAGAAACAAGGTGGGTCTCAATCAACCAAAGATTCACAAGGTGGTAACAAAAAGTCGGCTGGTGCCGCCATGCGTCGATACAATGAAAAGAGACTGCGTGAAGAGGTTGCAGAGGTGTTGGAGTCTTGGAAATCACATCTCCAACAATGCAATTACATCTTTGTGTTTGCACCCAAGGGAAACACTAGAGACATTCTCTTTTATCCGGGTGGACCTATTGCACCAGAGGATCAACGTATACGAAACATTCCATTCCCTATTATCAGACCAACTTACTCTGAAACACAACGTGTAACCTCCACTCTATTCTCTGTTGATATAGATCTACTTGAAGATTTCTCTATCCTGGAAAAGGAAAAGGAAGCAGAACTAGAAGCAGAGTTGGAAAAAGAAAGAGAAAAGGAACAAAGAATAGCAACTGCCAATCAAATCAAACAACAATTAAAAGACACCCAAGCCAAACAAATTAGTGTCTATGAAACAGACATATTATTCAAAGCAACAAAAGCAAAGGATTTAAATGAAGTTAAAAGATTATTAGAAGATGATTTAGATTATGAATTACCAATTCCAAGTGAAAATGATTCAATTATAACTCCATTATCAATTGCAATTGATGTATGTAAACAAACAAAAAATAACAAACTATTTTATATTAATTATTTGTTTATCTTTTCTTTTCTTTTCTAGAACAAAGATAATGAAATGATTAAATATTTAATACAAATATTACCAAGTGATATTAATGTAAATATACCAAAATGGAATTTTAAAAGTTGTTTGATGAAAGCTGCATCGGATGGACATGTTGACTTGGTGTTGATGTTGTTGGATGGTGGAGCCGATCCTACTATTAAATCGCCAATTACCAACGAGACAGTATACGACAGTGCAAAGGGACACCAAAAAGTAAGAGATGCTCTGAGAGAATGGGCTGGTGACAATATTGGCAAATTTGATTACACACTGGCAAACATTCCACCTCTTACCAAACAAATGATTGCAGATCGTGAAGAAAAGAAAAAACAAAAAAAGCAACAACAAAAGGAAAAGGAAAAGGCTAAAAAGTTGGCTGAAAAGGAGAACAAGGCCAAAGAAGAGGAACAAAAAAAGAAAAAAGAACAAGATCGTTTGAAAAAGGTGGAAGAAGCAAAACTGGTACAACAAGTACAACAAACTAGAATTGCAAAGAATGATATGTTGACAGAACGTGAACGTCGTGCATTGGCAGCTGAAACAAGATTAGTTGGTGGTATTAAATGTACTCAGTGTGGTATCCCCATCGCTGGTATGCCATTTGAACGTTTAAATCATTTCTATTGTTCAACAAGATGTGTAGTTCAACATAAAAATAGTACAAATGTTAATGATTTATTATTGAACAAAAAATAATCAACTCCAAATAAATCAAACTATTACTATTACTATTATTATTATCTATTTATATTTATTTATTATTATTCGTTTAATGAGGAGTTATATTTCTTTTCCATCTTTTATCAACCAGATTACAATCGAATAATGGTTTACCTAGAAGATTATTTACATGATTATGAGAGTCACACATCCATTTGGAAAACTCTTTTTGGTTGTCTAGTTTGGGTGGAGTGTCTCTAAGAATACCCTGAAAGTCTTGTGCACAGTCTTTGCATGGATAGACCTTTGAAAATGAGTGTAGGAATTCAGTCATCTCTTTCTTTTTAGTATCGGTTGGTTTATCGGGATAGTATGCAGCCATTGTATGTAACATATTCCATCCACTGTGTCCAAGATCGATTAAATCCAATGGTTCTCCCATTGGTTCCCAAAAAGATGAATCTTCACTGATTCCTTTACCATTAAACATTCCCATTCCACCACTAATGATATCAAACATTTGTTTCTTCTTGTCTGATACTCCCAATACTGTACAAACATCACAATCTTCTTCTTCTTGTTGTTCTTTGTTTACGTGATCATTTTTACTTAATGGTATTATTATATCATTTGTATTGGTTGTATGATGTTCATCATGAGTTGAATGTTGTTGTTGTTGTTGTTGTTGATGTTGTTGAACACTTTTAACTCTATCTGATAATCCCATATTATATCTATCTATCTATTTATATATTCGATCTATATTCGTAATATATATCTTTCATTACATTCATAAATGCAAATGATAAATGAATGAATGAATGCATTAATATATATTTAGTTCGTCAAAACGACACCCAATTATGATCAAGAAAAACTTAAAACATTGAGTACGACTGGTTTTAAAAGTAATTAATTTTATCTGTCTATGTACATATCGCGCGCGTGGTTGGGTATAATCAATTCAATATGATTATCCCTTATTATTTATTAGTGTTATTATTATTCTATTATTAATTAAAATATTACAAAATGTGATCGTTATCTTGTGTTATAATATTTTGGGTATGGAAATGGATTTGAAAGGAAACAGTTTGTAATACTGTGTGAACCCGTTCCATTACATTATATTATTGATCTAATTACAAAATGATGGATATATATATATATATCCATTGACCAGAACGACTATTATGTTTCATTATCACTTGAACCTCCATGTTTAACTCTTTTCTTGTCTCTTTTATATTTATCTTCTTTTTTATCCTTTTTCTTTTCTTTTTTGTCTTTCTTCTTTTCCTTTCTATCTTTTCTCTTTTTTTGTTTAGCTTCTTTTCTTATTTGTTTGAGTAATAGTTTTCTTTGTCGTTTTGTTAGACTTGCCAAAAACTCTCTTTCAACATCATCATCACTATCACTGTCATCTTCCTTTTCTCTTTTTCTTGATTGATGTTCTTGTTGTTCTCTTTCTTCTTGTAATTGTAATGCCAACATTGGATCTTCTCTTTCTAATCTTCTCAGGTCACTCGGATTTTGATTGATAAGCGGACATGACCGATCACCTGAATAATGTCCCCATTGATGACATCTCAAGCATCTGACATCCTTTAATTCAATACCAAATGGTTTATGTGTAACCTTTATATCACTTGTATAGTTTCCTTGAACAGGTGCATTTGCAAGAAATGGGAACTTTTCCACATCTGTCATTTGTTTAAAGTGTTTCTCTTTTGTTCCTCCATCTCCTCCATCATTGTTATTTGTTGTATCAACCTTTTTTTCAATTTCTACTCCTGGTGGAGGTGCGTATCTATATAATATATAATAAATAATAAATATAATGTTAACATTATTGTCATTCATTCCTTTACTCTTTGTCAAAGAGATCGTATGTATACATACAAAAAGCCAACTTTAGATCTTTCACCTTCTAACTTTGAACCAGTCAATAGAGTTCTATTCTTGATAAACTCTTGTTCTTCTATTACTTGTTTTGATCGTTCTTCTTCTTTCTTTCTATCTGTTTTCGATCTCTCTTCTGCTATGAACAACTTTTTTTGGTTAACCTTGTTGGTAGGATGAAAAGACTTTAAGTTTAAGAATTTAAGTGACATTTCTTATTCAACAAGTAATAATAATAATAAAAATAGTTTATTACTATTACTATTATATATATGTATATATTTTAAAAAATGTGTAAAGTTCATTCTTGAAAATCGTGTTTGACCGACTTTGAAAAAGCTAGTTTAATTAAATTTGTTTGTTCTTCTTATTTATCTCTTTTTTGTTTGTTTGTTTGTTATCTACTTTTCGATAATAGTCAACGATGACGAGTAATAATACTACTACTGCTGCTACAATGGAACTAAAGAGTATATTGGATAGATTGGTCAAGTTAAAGATTGAGAATGCTCCCAATACTAATACAACTCCAACTCCTCAAACCCCTCCTTCTTCTTCTTCTTCTCTTGTCAATAACATTGGTAACTCACACAATAGTACTACCACAATAGTAGACACTACTCCACCAAAGAAACAACAACAAGAAGAGAATAGCAATAGTTTCTTTAGTAATGACAATGTGATCATCAGTCATTTAAATAGTCACAGTAAATCAAGTAGCGGTAGTGGTAGTGGTAGTAATAATAACAATAATAGATCATCATCATCATCATCATCATCGAGTCATACTCATCATAACCATCATAATCATCATCATAAAGGGAAATCAACTTTAAATAACAACAATAACAATAAGAAATATAATAATATTAATAATCAACATAATCAAAATAATCAAAATAATAATAATAATAATCAACAAGTAGTATCATTGAATAATCAACAACAATTAGAACAAGTAAACTTGATACTAAATGAAACTATTCAACTATTTAATAGTAATTCTTCATCTTCTTCATCTTCATCTTTATCAACGACGACAACAAATAATACATCAACTAATAATACAATAGTTGATAGTTCAGTTTCTACTGTTATTGGGAATGGAGATCAATATTTATCTATATTTATTCAATTATCACAAATTATACCATCACAAGGTATCAATATGGATGGATGGAGACAAGAGATTGCTAAATTCTTTCAATTGGTAACATTGGTTTGTAGAAATCTTCAACCTTCACTTGCTCAACACTCTGAATCGATTCATCATCTATTGGTATTCTTTATTTCAATTATTACTATCACTAATAACGTTGGTGGTACTGCTGCTAATGCTAGTCCATCCTCTCCATCTGGATCACCTGGTGGTGGACTGGTTGGTAGTAACAACTTTCAAATACGAATTGAATGTCTAAGAGCTTTATCATCGCTACTCTATAACAATGGTCCAAACATTCCAACAAAACATCAACAATCATTGATCGATCTCTTGCTACCCCTCATCCCAATCACCACCAACCTCAATGCAATCAGCCAACCACCCGACATTAATATATTGGCAACTGTTTCAATTGGTAACCTATGTAATCAATGTGGAGTCAAACTATCTAAATTCTATCCATCCATCTTTGAAAAGTTATACTCTAATCTTGAAAAATTATCATTACAATTGACAAATGATAAATTAATTACAAAGGTATGATATTAATATTAATAATAATAATAATAATAATAATAATAATAATAATGATATACAAACTTTATTTATTTACTCTTTCATTCTTTTTCTTATCCTTTTTAGTTTTGTTGTAGTACACTTAGATCAATTCAATTAATAACCAATCAATCAAAGGGTATCATTGATAGTAAAGCAATTCATTTATTGAATATTTTAAAGAAATTAATGTTTTTTGGAACAAACATTAATCCAAATGCAATGTTACCATCTCAATTACATACGGTCGAACCTATTCAAACACGATACATCCCAAGAAAGAAAAAGAATCATTATGATTCAGATGGATTGTCTAGTTCAGACTCTGATGTAGACGAGCGGGCAACTCTATCGAAAATACGTGTCTCTTCACTCAATCTCTTACAAGCGATTGTAAAGACATCACCAAAGCTATTTTTTGGATACTGGACTCAATTCCTTCCATCTTTATCCTTTCTCACCATTCCATCTATATTTACATCGATTATTCATGACCCCGATTACAGAGCCAAACAAACTTCTATCATTCTTTTGGGAACCATCTTTGATAATACCAAAGATCATTTATCAACTCTTTTTATTAGTCCTCCAACCAATAGTAGTAATAGTAAGAATACAACAACTCAAAAATCATCTTCATCATCATCCTCTTCGTCAACGTCATCATCAACATCATATACATCATTTTCACAAACACTTGTATCAATGATCAAAGAGACACACAAGGGTTTACTTGCAGTCTTGGAGGCTGAAAAAAATTCTCAATTGGTACCTCTTATCCTCAAATCCCTCTCTATTCTCATAAACAATACACCCTACAACAAGTTAGATGATGATATGTTACCTTTACTATTGATTCAAATTTCATCTCATCTAAGAGATAATAATAATAATAATAGTAACAATAATAATAATAATAATAATAATAATATGAATGAAATGTCAAATAATATCAATATTCCAGCACTTCAATGTATAGAAAATATACTTCAAACTGAACCACCAACCAATAGTAAATTGGAAATATCGAAAATATTAGATATACAACAACCAATTATTACCATTTTAACTAATCTTTGTAATAATGATTTACATGTTAAAATGCAAGCAAGATCATGTCTATGTGCTCTCACCAAATATTATTTCCCATCACTTTGTCAAGTTTATTCTACCATTTTAAATGACCTATTTGGTACACTTTCATCACAAACTCAAGATCAAACTTCAAGAATTCAAGCATCAAGAATATTAGAAGAAATTTCAAAAACTATGGATGAATATGGAAAATCTTCAATTAAATTTGTAAGTACAAAAATAAGATCAAAACCAACAACTATCAATCAATCATTACTAATATTAGTATTTGTATTTGTTTTATTTAGGATAATAATTTTGAAAAAGAATATTGGGATTATTTTTTTAAATCTTTAACTAATTTAATAGAAGATTCATTACCTCAAATAAGAGCATCCATTTGTAATTGTCTATCTCATTTACCATCTCATATTTTCTCAAGTTTACCTGTATGTAAAAAATCTACAAAAACAGTTGATTTATTTACTTATATTATTTATTTTTTAGACAAGATTACAATTACATTGTGTAACTGTTATTTTAGGATTATCAAATGATGATTCATATGTTGTAAGAGCATCATCATGTCGTACTATTGGAATGTTTGTAAAGATTGAATCGTTGAGTGACGATACTACCTTTTTATCAAAGGCGGCTAGTTGTCTTTACAAATCAATGTGTGACACTAATGTCAATATAAAGATAAAGGCGTGTTGGTCATTGGCAAATCTATGTGACCATCTTGTATCGATTAGAAAAGATGAAGTATTTAATGATATTCCTACCTTGATTCTCTCAAAAGTGGTAGAGGTGATGTTATTGGCATCGTATGATAATCCCAAAGTACGAAGTAATAGTGTTCGAGCACTAGGTAATTTTGCACGTTTTGCACCAAAGGAATTATTATATAATACAACACCTGTAGATATTCAAGATATTATTCAAATGATGAAAATTAATCAACAACTTCATAATCAAAATAATCAACAAAATAATCAAAATAATCAAAATAATAATCAACAATCACCACAAAAAGATCTACAACATCAACAAAATAATATTCAAATTGTAGATCAATATGTAAAGAATCATGATAAATGTTTATTGGATAGAATCATAGATTCATTGGTAATTAATGCGGAGGAAGCATCCAATTCATTCAATTTTGTAAAGGTAAAGTGGAATGCATGCTATGCACTTGGTAATATATTTTATAATCCCGATATTATATTTGATCTTGATACTCCACCACAATGGCTCCACTCTATCTATGGCACACTCATTCAATTGATCACTACCTGTAAAAACTACAAAATCAAGATCAATGCCTCTGCAGCATTGGCAACACAAGTTCACTCTCGATGTCAATATGGAAAGGATTATAGAATCATTCTAGACACTATTCTACAATCTCTAACAAATGTAAATACTTTAATCGATCATACCGAATATCAATATAAAGATATTTTAGAGAAACAAGTAAGTTTTAAAAAACAAAAAAAAAAAAAAGATATATAACCATAACCTACAATCGATTTCTTTTACTAATCACTTTGTTTTATTTCTTCCTTTTTTAGTTGGGAATATCATTAATTCATTTAATTGGAGAAATGAAACCAAATGAAATCTCTTCATTTATGGATTTGATTGTTGGTAACCATATTGTCTTGTACGATACATTTTCAAGATTATCAATTGACTTGATTAAACAAAAGGAAAAGGATCAGAGAGGAGGAGGAGGAGGAGGAGGAGAACATCAAGAAAGACCATCAGACAGTCGACCAACCAACAAAGAGTTTGCTAATGCCATTGAAACCATTAAATTGATTTGTGACACTTTGACAAACTCTAGCCAGAACTTGGATGCATCCAATAATAATAATACTGCTGCCATTGTCAATCGTTTCAAATCACTCTACGGTGAAACAAATAACTCTCACTATTATCAAAGTGATGATAAACGTGTATTTGATTCAGTTTCAATCCTTTTACCTTAAACCTAAAGGTAATAAATAAAGTTTTGTCAAGTACTAAAGTTTTTTAGAAATATACCGACTAATAATGGATGACCAAGCTACCAAGACATTTAACCAAATTACCAATGATAATCTCAGAGCTATAGTTGACTACTTATTTAAAACATGTGATTAAATAGCTATTAACCTAGGTAGCATATTCTTTGTGACTAAATGGTTATTATTAATTGCTGAAAAGAAGAAATATCACTAGTTGGAGTTTATTCGTTTTCTATTTCTACTAAACAATTTGTTTGGCAAACTTTATTTTTAAAAAAGAATATTTTAATTTTTTGGTTCTATACATTGTCAGTTCGTTTGATTGAACGACAATAACAAAATTGTTTTAATCATCCGCAGAATCCCATTCATGCGGATCCCATTCACTATCCGAATTTAATACACGAGAAATTTCGGTCGTACTAAACCTATTTTTTCGTTCACTCTTTTCTGACAGATAAATAAGAGATTTGGTGTGAAAACCCCAATGGCTCTTGTTTGACATTCCGGCTGGGTTGGTGGCTGGGCCCACCAAGCCGGTTGGTCCAATTCCAGTTTTCGGTACACATCGTATCCAACGAACTTTTCTTTCAATCTATTTAACATTTTTTCTTCAACTTTTATGCAATACTTGAATAAAAAAACTGGTCAGCGACGATAATTAATTTCGATATGTTTAGACTTACAATATTTCCTGCATGATTGAACTGTGAGGGAGATCGATTTGAATCTCCAAGACAAAGAAGATTTCCATTGGGATGATTCGGGTCAGATAAAGCGGGTATGGCTAGTTTTTCATGGGTGTTTGTAATTTTGTTTTCTTTCGTCATACTACTAAACTCTTGTGTCCATCCATTAATGTTGAACAGGCCCCATTTATTACCTGAAATGGATGGTAAATAGTTATTCTAGTAAAAATAAAGGTCAAAATATTATACAGGAAATTAATTATATTATATAACTTACCCAGGTGCTAATATAAAACCAAGTTTGATAATGGTGTGCAACAAATAGCCATGGTTCCATCCCATTCATTATAACTAGAGATAGCTAGATCAGTACCGCATTGAAATCCAGACACTTCATAGTCCTTTGATTCACAATATTTATTATCCAAAGTGCTCATCCCTCTGAATGGATTTGGGCTCTTTCGACTATTGAGAACTTTTGTTGGACTTTGGGTCTTGGTTTTCCAAATTTTTCTTTGAAACAGAAACTCTGAGTTTGGTAGTATTCATCGTTTAATTTTGGGTTGATCAGTGTCTTTAGTTTCCTGTCATTATCTCTAGTCGGGGCTCCAACTTAGAAAGAAATTTGTGAGTAAAATAATTATACTATTATACATTGCCATAATTTAACTAATTAATTTAATAATCCTTGGGTGTACTTAATTAGAGTTGTTTTTGACATACATTCTGTTTAGGATAGGTTTACCAATCATGAAATCATTTGGAATGGTTGTAAAAGTGGTGTCATGAATAAATTGAGCTGATTGTAAGAGTGGCATATTCTTTAATTTGCTCATAATGTCAAGTGATGGATCAGTGACAATACTAGTGAATGGTTGAAATACGATTGATGTTACTTGTGACAGATCAAGTGATACCAACGTGTTTGATGGTGTTCCTGATGGCTGTAATATCCTAGGTTGTACATTACTTTATAGATAGAAAGATAGATAGATAGACAGACAGAGTTAGTACATATAGTGTATTGTTTATCTTTGATACCTATACATACACTGCTAACAAGTGAAATGCTCCGTCAGTACCAGTACCACATTTAAAAAATGAACTAATACACATAGAGTTCGAGTCTTGTGCTACAGACAGTTGGTATTGTTGAACGATCCATTGTGCCGAACTTACTAAAAGATACAACGTACAAAATAAAAATGGTCAAGTAAGAAGATCATGATTATTGTGAAGCTATCATACATACACTCTGATGAAGATAATACTTGAGAGTTTACAGGTTGAATGTCATGGTTGTTGGTAATACATAGACAAATAAATAATGATAATACAATGTTGAAAACAAATCTGCTTAGGTTTAACACTCCTCCTGATCGTGTCTTTGTAGTGGTGAGGATGAGAGAATGATCATTTTAAACCCCTCTATCTATTTCCACCCTTTATCTATCTCTATCCGTCTATCTATTTACTACAAACTCCTATTGGTTGGACTTTTCAAACCCTAAAGGCATGTCATTCAACAATTTATGCATATTGATACAACGAATGAACACCATTTCAAAATACGAAACTAGAGTAGAATACCTTTATATATAGAGCATTTGTTGATGTGTTGGGATGTTCAAAAAAGAATAATCAAGATATTCTAAATTGGATTAAAGATAGTTTTGGTGGTAAATCAAATGACCTTTGGATGAATAGATCGGTTTGATTCAATACAATATATTCATTCAATGATTTTAAACTTGTTTGATCTTGGTTGTTGTTGTCATTACTACTAGTTTCACTACTTATCATTCTCTTTAATGATTATTATGCAATGATATAAATATGATGAATTCTACTTGTCGATTGGTACGTACCATAGATCTATGGCCGACAAGTAGAGTGGAAAAGAAAAAAATAAAATAAATATCTTGGAAGAATCGTCTTGACAAAATTTTTGGGGCGAGAATTATTATTATTTATTTATTTATTTATTTATTCTTTTTTAATTTTTTTGATATCAAATGGGATAATACCAATTATTAATATAAAATTGGTCAATATTAAAATCATTAAAATTGATTATTGTGGATCATGCATTAATGGGCAAAATTAAGATATCTCTTTTTGAAAAGGAAACGAGCAAATCCAATAAATCAAGTATTTTACATACTATATAATATAACCCTGTTTCCATTATGGAATTTCCATAAAAAAGGAAATTTCTTTTTGTATTAACCTTTGTGAAAGATATTCACAAACGATTAAAACCTTTTAATTTATGATATTAAATTCTTCATCGTCATCATATCCATTGTTAGAAACACCACTATCATCTTCACTGTTCTCATCATCTTCATTGTCAGAGTATAGATGTTGGTATATGAATTTTCCAGCTTTTGATGCTCGTTCGTCTATGGTAGTAGTGGTTGGTCTCTTTTGGGTGTTATGATTTGTTGTTGTTGTTGTTGTTGTTGTTGTTGTTGTTGTTGTTGTTGTTGTGGTAGTTGTCTCAGCAATAGTTTGGTGAGTAAAAGATCGACTTCTAAGTGGGTATATCAGAGATGGCAATGCTCTTTCTGCAGAATTTATCCTATTAGTTGCCTCTGGGGATTCGATTGGTAAATTATCTTCGATATCATCGGTATCTGGAAGTAAAAAGGATCCATATTGATCGTAAATATAACTATTCGATACATCAACAATGCTTATCATCGCATAGAGTGCATCTGCCAGGTCCTGACTTTCGAAACATAACTATATAACAATTAATTAAATATTCAAGGACAGAGATTAAAGTAAATATGTAAATTCAATCAGAATGAATGACATGTCTATTGAGACATGTTAATTATCAATAATAATAATACATACATAAATTCCAGCATACAAAGTGTGAACCAAATTTCTATTTGCATCACCAACACAAACTACTCCGTCTCTTGAGAATGATAATTTCTCGTGTCTGTGTCGATTTACAACACCTTTATAATTCCAACCCCTAATGTTAAAGATTCCCCAAAGTTGGTCTGCCATGTAAATAGATGGAATATCAACACGGCCAGGTTGTGACTATTATTTTAAAAAAATATTAAATATATAAATATAATCGAATGGTTTTTGTCGTAATTTAAATCTATTTATATATATTTAGTTGATACATACATAGGTTGAGACATAGTAAATATCAAGATTGGTCTTTGCAATGTATGTGAATGGATCCATTCCAAGTTCGACAACTGTTCTCCTATCACCATCTTCCTTATAAACATGACTGTCAAGCATACCGGATCTGAGCATAGACAATCCTGGGGTTGAAAGTTCAATTGGTTTAAATCTAATATCTAGATTAAATTGAAATAAATAAATAAATAAATAAATATATAATCAATCCTCATGTCACTAGTACATTATATGTCCTCCCAACCTATATTTTTGAATTTGATATACATACCAAAACCATAAATGGTAATTCCAGTGGCTAGAGTCATAGTAGTAACACAACTACCAATAGGGTCATTATTTGGATGACGAATAAAATCAGATAGACGTTCTCTTAGAGTTGCACCCTGATCTGTGTTTAGATGAATCTCGTCATAAAAATCCCTGCATTCGTCATTTGGTAGCATTTGATTCTCCAATGCTTCAGCAACTCTCTCTTTGATATTGTATTGGTGATCCTCTGGTAATAGTGATCCGGGTGGATCATAATCATCGATATAGTTTGTTCTAGTTAGTTTTGGATTTCCCCTCCCAATAATGGTCATTAGTTCGGCAAATTCAGCTAGATTATCGAATATAGAATAGGTAGTAAGTTTATAAATAATGATGTAATTACACTTTTTATATTAATATAACATACGTTGTTGAAAATTGGTACAAAAACTGTGATGTGACATTACAAACTTGCCATCGGAACCACCGACATTTGAACCAAAAAGAGGATAGGGATCAAACCACTGAGTGCCTGTATCAACAGGTATAGATGGAATGTTGAGTGAATGGTCGATAATATATCCATTTCCATTCTGGCTGTCTACAGATATCAGATACTATAGATTTGGAAAAAGTTGTACGAGATCTCAGATGAATTAATACATTATGCATTCTCCTCGAACAAGTGAATGATGATAAATGTTGTACATACCTTTGCATGTGCATGTCTGTAACCATCAGCAGCGATTTCCTCCTCTTCATGATTAATTTCATCGTTGTCACTAGCTTCAGCAGTGCGTTTCGTACCGGAACGACCCAATATGTCATGGTACCAAACCTGTGCCTCTATGCGGTGTTGGTCGACACATCCAGGTTTGACCAAGCCACCCTGGTTGGTTTCAGATGCTTTCTTGCCAGGAGGCGTGACACATTCATCGTAGACATCCTCGTTGTTTTCGTATGCCCTTTGTGTGTGTCTCTCCCAAAACTTTTTGATTGTGAGTTTGTCGGCACTCTTTTTGTCGGTATCGTCGATATCCTAAGTAAAAAAATTGATTTTGGTCAGCAATGAATGAAGATCAGATCATTTTTAACAGCAACAACAAATATAATAATTAATACATACAAGATATACTTCCAAAGAATCCATGTAAATGAAACCTCCACCGTTTATGTTATCCTGAGATTGCTTTGAGAAAAGGAACCACCATTCAGGGTATGTGGGAGTTGATACCTTCAAGTCGGCTGACATACCAATACATTGTGGATTTGTAAAAGCAATGACCGCAAACTTTTCTACGCCACTCCAAGTGCAAAAGAATAAGCAAACAACGGCGACCTGGAGAGAGAGAGAGATTTGGTGTTGCAAATACATGTATATAAAATATAAAATTAACTTAAAACACCAAAACTTGATAATCGGTAGGAGAACGAGGAAAAAAAAATCGATTTTTAAACATATGCTTTTCGGTTGTGATCGTTTTTACGAAAATATTCACATTTACAAGTGGGTACAAAAAATCGACAAACAAAAAAAACTAATAACCAAATCTTAAAACAAAAACAAAAAGACTGTATTTAGTTTTAAAAAAAATAATTATTGTGAGGGAAGGGAAAATGATTTCTCAAGAGGGATAAACTAGCTGCAGGTCAACACCCAATTAATAATTTGACTTCATTCTTTCAAACCAAACATATTATATTAATACAGATAATATATTTTTTATTTTTATTCATATTCTTTTTTTCATCTTGATACTATTATTTTTTACATATTCACCATTATTCTTTTATTGTGATTGTATACAACTCGGGTACATTCATTCAAATGCATCTTATCACTTTAATACTATAATATATCTTGCAAGACCTGACCTCGAACTTCGAAAAACAAAGATCTTTGTTTACCTGATATTTGCCAGCGGGCTGTTTCGAGAAAATTTCTTTTCTATTTGTTTCAAAGGAATCGCTCGCTTGCTGCATTAATGTGATACGATACACGGTCATGAATGTGTGTGGCAGATCTCTTTTATTAAGCGACTCGACGAAAATTATATTTCCACGATTCATCAAGATCCACAAAATATACCAACCAACGTATATTCGAGCTCACAAAGAAGAATTTTTTGATATGATATTGGCTACACTTGATTCAAAATCAATTGGAATACCACTACCATCAGATACATTAAAAAGAAAAGATCAATTATTCCAAAATTGGTATGTTATAATCAATCACAAATCATATTTGATGATGGGCCATCATAATTCTTATTCTCAATACTCATTTCATTATTCAATTTTTTCAAAAAGGATTGTTCAAGATTAGTTATGCCTCTTGTTCAACTATTCAAAGCTCCTAATATCGTTGAAACAGATGAATATAGAATAGCAATAGATATACTCTATCTCATTTATCCAAATGTCCCCAAGAAACTTGTTTCAAGATCCATTCACCAATTATTCAAATATACAATCAACTTGGACCAAGACGAGGATCAGGTTTTCAATCTCACAGATTTGAAGAAAGTGATTCGATTTTCAAGAGATGTCATCCCAGTCTATCTTTCACACTTTCTAAAGTATATTTATGTTAAATTGGACATTGACAAAGATCAAGATATTGTTAAAAAAGGATGATGATGAAAAAGGTGACTCCCAACATGGAAAGAAAGAAGAGAAGGAGGAGGAGGAGGAGGAGGAGGATGACGAAGAAGAGGATGAATGGGACGAAGATGAAGAAGATGATGGGACGAAGATGAAGATGAAAAGGATGATGAATATGAAGAAGATGAAGAAGAAGAAGAGGAAGTAGTAGAAGATGAAGGTCAATTGGAAATTACAAACAATCTTTTATTGCTAAACGAGATTGTCAAAGTAGTCTCGTTGTCGAATATTTATCCCTATGCCTTTTGTTGGCCAAATCTCTTACCAAATACCAAGACCGCCGGACATCATCATTAATCATACCACATCTATTGTCGTCGGTATGCCATAAAGAAACGATTCGAGAAATGGTAAAAGATAAACAAATTGTTATCGTGGACATCTTTGACCAGTTCTTTAGAGCGCACTGCAATCATATTGCTCCGTTTGATTTTAGCAATGAACATACACATGTCCCCTCCTATATCGAAATGACATCATCTTTCTATCACCTAATTGACTCGGTGGAAAGAGGCGTAATGGCTGAGCACCAAATAATCTATAGTTTGGGTAAATCCCTTTTAAAGTTTGAGGGTTTACAAGAGGCTTATTTCAAGGACCTTTTCAGACAAGATGCTCATGGTCATCGAAAGAATAATGGCGTTCATCGAACATTACATATCGTTTGTTCATATTGTGATTTGCGAAGGGTTCGATACTGTCGAACTAACCAGATATCAAATGCGTGTCGTTCGTGATAACATTGCAAATAAACGAGTTATACACAATCCTTTTAACAATATTGTATTTACAATTAATTTATAGATAGGAAAGATAATTATTATTATTATTTTTAGAAAAATTAAAAAGATCTCTGACCAATCGACCGTTGCTACCACTGGTCAAGGTATTTCACAAGGTTTAGCATGGCTAAATAATATTCTTCAAAAATTACCCTCCCATATTTACTAACTAAACAATAGACGCAATCTATCTTGTACATTATAATATAATACGAACATATAATTTATTATTATTATTTCTTTCCTTTCTTTTCAATTAAACTTGTATGAACTGTACCATCGGCATTAGCCTTTGCCTTCATTATTTTATCGATACCTGCCAAATTTATTATCCTTTCTCTCCAGCTTCTCCACCAAATCTTTGTTTTAAATGTAGTACAAATTAGTACTTATTCTGTTGTAACCAACTATAGATACCACTCTGAGAGATTAACGAGATACAACTTGTAATTAGATCGCTACTTGTATAATTTAGGTCGCTTTTTAATATTATATGTTGTTATTATTATTACTATAGTTTTTTATTATTTTTTGGAGGGGTTTATTTATAAATTGTTAACAAATCAAAACGGGAGATAATCACATTATGAGAGATAGAAACTTAACCACTTGAAACCATCACCATAACCATATCTTCTAACAACGCTGCACATGAAAACTTCGATTGGTCTGACACCTGGATTGAGGGTGACCTTTCCTTTGCCGGTGGTTTGGGTGAGACCCAAGGAAGCTCTCAATTTTTCTTCGGATGGGGTGCCTGGTACATCAATCTTGTTACCAAGAACGAGGAATGGAACATTTGAAAGTTCGTCTGATGATAAAAGAGCATCCAACTCTCTCTTGCTCTCTTCGAAACGTTCTGGGGCTGATGAATCGACCAAATAGACAATAGCATCTACTGATGTGTAATAATCTCTCCACAATCTACGTGCAGTTTCGTGACCACCCAAGTCATAGGTTCTAAATTTAATATTACCCATACTTAATTCTTCTGAAGCTAAAATAGAGAAACCAATAAATGTTAATATCCTTGTTTGTCATATCTGATCTGTACAGAGAGATCTCTCTATTTGTTTCAAACCAATTGAATTGAAGAAAATGTTGTTGTAACCAAAAAGGTGATTGTCAATATATCTTTTTGGGTTTAATAATAATAATAATAAACCCAACCAATCGATATCGACTATCCAATAACAAATATCATCATTCGAATTCAAATTGATTGATGTAACCATAGATCTCTCTCTCTCTCTGTCAGTTTGTTGTTTGTTGATGTTTTTTGATGATTCTTACTTGGATGGAAAGTTGGACGATTTTGAGAAAGACGACCATCCTTTAATACACCAAGAAGGGTAGTTTTGCCTGCGTTATCCAAACCAAGGAACAAAATTTTGGCATTCTTATTGTAAAGCCCCAAGAAGCTTAACATATTCCAAATCCAATCAAACAAGAACATTTTCTACTTCTAAAATTATAAATAGATTTTAAATTATTTGTTAGTAAACCTAGTTGTTATTGTTTGTTATTAAAGTATGATTATTGTTTGTCGTCTACTAATCTATATATCTCTCTTTAAACAAATATCTTTTCTTCTTCTTCTTCTTCTTCTTCTTCTTCTTCTTCCCCCTTTTCTTTCAATACTACTACTCTTCCTACCTTCCAATAAACAAATAAACAAAACTCTCTTCTTTTTTTTAAAAGTATAATAATACAATAATGTAATATTAAAAATGTAACAATAATGTAATAAATAAATAAATAGAAAAATGTAAATGTTGAAACGAACAAACAAAACACACACAAATGCTGAAACAATGTTTCCTATTAATATTCCTCTCTTCTCTTATTACTCCTGTATCCTAACTGAAACATTTAAAAAAAAAAGCAAAAAGGTTGGTGGTTTGTGTAATGAATTCTATCGTTTGTTTGCTTGTTTGCTGTTGCTGAATGTAAATGAATGGTTGAGTCATCAATATAGGGACAAGATAAAGGTGCAAACGACCGTAATTCAATGACCGTGTCTCATTATCTTGTTATTAAACCAATATAATGTCCTGTTCCTGTTCCACCAACCATTTATGCACAAAACTTTGTTGTTGACCATATGACGACGACGAAGTTCAACTGAAATAAACTATAGTTTCTCAAATTCTCTATATCATTTGTTGTTGTTCATTCTATTCTATTCTTATTCTATTCTCTTACCTTTGTATGTATATATGTAAAATTAAATAAAGATATAAAAAGATAAAAATAAGATAAGATAGGTAGAGTGAGTGTGAAAGCTGATACCCTTTTCTTCAGCTTTCCAACCAAGGTGACGAACAACATGATCCTCATCATCATATTTTGAAAATATTTATTTTTTTATTTTTTTAAAATTTTTCCCATTTGACCCAAAAGTCAAACTTGTAATTGTGAGAGAGAAGTCGAGTACCAAGTTCTTACCTACGTCCAAAGATATTTCCATCTCAAAGTAATCGATAGATAATATAAATAATATAAATTAGGTTTTATTAACATGTAAGAGTGAGTTTTTTAATTTTTAATATATTTTTTTTTGTTGTTGTTTGTTTTTTTGAAAAAAGTATAGTAGTCAGAGGGAAATAATATAATTAGGGTAGATAGAGTGATTGGGATTAGTGAATAAAATGAACAACTACCAATTCTCTCTCTCTCTAATGGATCCCTATTATTACTATTATTATTTGTTTGTTTTCCTTTGATTCTTTTTTTTTTAGACTGACAACTTGGCCAACTTATCGAGACACTTGATACCCTTTTCTTCGTATTCTTGCTTGGTGACCCAGAAATCTGGACGATCCTTGGTGAGTTCAGCCAAGACGGCACCACCGAGGAAGACCATGTGCTTTCTACGGGGTGGATCTTCGATACGGCACTTGAAGTTGGCGAGACCCTTTTCGTCTCCCTTGAGGACCTTTTCGAGGTAGAGAGCACGGATTTCCTTTTCCAAACGAGATGGGAGACCTGGATACATAGAGGAACCACCAGAGAGGACAATGTGTTGGTAGAAGCCCTTGTGGAGATCACGATCGGCCTTTTGAATACAGTCAAACAACAAATCGGCAACACCTCCACCTTCAACATCGACCAAGCTTGGATGGAACAAAGCTTCAGAGGCTTGGAATCTTTCACTTCCGACCTTGATAACTCTACCATCTGGTAAAGTGTATGATTCAACTAAAACAGTAGTTTCTTGTGATAATTTCTTTTCTTGTTCAACATCATAACTATAAAAAAAATATAAAAAAGATAGAAATAGAAATGAAATTAATATTAATTATAGATTAATTAATTATTGTTTGTTTTGTTTTGATTCCTTACGCAACATAACATAATTTTTCCTTGATTTGACGAACGGTTTCAAAATCGGCGGTACGGTTGAAAGCGTAACCACGGAGTAATAAGAGTTTGATGAGGTAACGAGTGACGTCACGACCAGCGACATCAAGACGACGGGTCAAATGTGGGATAGAGTAACCTTCGTAGACTGGGATAATGTGAGTAACTCCATCTCCAGAGTCGACGACGACACCAGTAAGGAGACCTTGGGCGTAGAGGGTGAGGACGGCTTGAATGGCAACGTAGACAGCGTTGAAACCATAACGTTCAAACATGACTTCAACCATCTTTTGACGATTGGTGAGTGGATTCATGGGTGGTTCGGTGAGCAAGATCTTGCAGTCACGGGTGTCTTGAACCTTTAACTTTTCCTTGAAAGCATAGTCCCAGACGTGTTGAATATCCTCCCAATTACGAATGATACCATTTTCCAATGGATAGGTAATTTGCAAGTTTGATCTAAGTTTGGCAGCTTCATCACCAACCATAATGTCTTTAATCTCAACGTTTTCAATCTTTTCTTCAGATCTGAGAATTGGACGACCGACCATCGATGGGAAAATGGCTGTTGGGAAATTTGCACCAGCAAAACCACATTTTACAAACTATACAAGTAGTTATATATAACTCTATTAGTTAACTATTCATCATCATACTTGCTTTAAATTTCCATCTAATCTATATATATATATATATTTCTCTCCTTCTTGTCGATAGATAGATATATTTATTGTTTGTATACTTACACCAGTACCGTTATCGCAAACAATGACCTTATTAGAGTCCATTTTGGTTTCTTTTATATAAATTAATCTATAAATGGTAACAACAACAATAATGGTAGAAATACAATGAATAGTTAGTTATGTGTGTTTCTGATTATTTGTAAATATCTATTTTTTTTTTTTGATATATATAGGTTGTTTGTTGTGATCATCATCAATCTATCTATCCCTTTCTCTCTCTTTGTGTGACTGATCAACAAACAATCAATCATCTCTTTATGTCATGTTTGTTGGTTGTTGTTTGTTGTCATTTTAGTTTAAGATTGATAAAGTTGCACTATGACTATTTGTTGTTATACTTGACACATACTAAAATACAAGGAAATAGAATACAAGTGAAAGATGCCGCACTACTCTACTTTAAATAAATAAGGTGTAAGTGCTCTTTTGTGATGATAAATTAATAACTAATATAAAAAAAAGATAAAGAGACAGACAGAGAGTGAGCAGAGAGCGTAGAGTGAGGGCAGCCAGAGGTGTGATGATCATTGGCAAAAAAAAAAAGCAAAAAAAATCTCCTCTTTTCAAAATAATTTGGTTGGGTTGGATTTTTTTGTTTGTTGAATTGGCCTGACAACTGAACTACTGCTGAGGCTTCATTCCATCAAAAGAAGAAGATCTTTATATTATTATGTAAATTATCGTAACGTTGTGTGTGGATTAGTTTCCCCTTTCCACATCTCTTGAGCTTGCGGATGGACTACCGTTATTGTATATTTTGTCGACATCTGTTGTTGGTAATAGTAATCATAATCATAATAATAATAATAATAAATGCCATAGTTTAATAATTTCCATTTAAATAATATTATTATTATCATTATTATTACATTTTTTAGATCGATCAATCAATCGATCAATCAATCAATTAATATTATAATATTCAAAAGTTATTGTATTGTTTCGAGGAGAGATAAGGAGTAGAGCAGAGTAGAGGTAAAAGTGAAGTTCATCTTAATTATTTGATACCAAGAGAGGGGGACAACTTCATCGATCCATAATAATTCAAGAGTGAAAAACTCATGAAAAAAGAAAGAATAAGAGGGTTATCATTCTCCAATTGTAATTATAACATTAAAGAGACAGACAGAGAGATAGCGAGATAGAGATAGAGAGAAGAGATAAAGAGAAAAGAGATATACATATATACTGGAGGAAAAGAAGAATAGAGTAGAGAGAGTGGGAACAATCATCATCGAATATATTTGTTTGTTGTAGGTATACATACATTTACATTACTTAATTAATTAATCAAATTTGATTGAAAATATATAGACGTGACATGTATCTATGTATACATCATCTTTGTATATTAGCTTGTTGTTTTAATCATTTATTTATTATTATTAATTTATTTATTTATTTAGCTTTTTTAGATTAAAGGAATAGATTGAATTATTATTATATTATATTATATCATTGGGTGGTTGTCGTCGTTTTAATAATATAATAATTATAATTATAACTTGGTCGACATTATTTATTTATTATTATTATTTTAAAAAAAAACCAAGAATAGATCAAAGAGATCAGAGAAATTACACCTATTATTGATACTACTACCCACAACAACAAACAAATAGAATATATATATAAATAGTAACAGCAGCAGCAGCAATAGTAGTAGTACCATAACAGAAATGGATAATAATGAGGTGACGGCTGGTATGTATAATTATTCGTCTGTTGTGTCACATTTCTTTATCTACTCCTTATGTCTACTGTCTATCCCTTCTTTTCTTCTTTTATTACTTGAATTCAATTCCACTCTGAAAGAAGAAGAAAGAAGAGGAAGGAAAGGAATAGAACAAAGGGTTGTAGACACATCCACTCTTCCTCCTCCTTTCTTTTTTATTTTGTACAACACATGACAACAATATCCTATATCCTATCTTCCTATCCTATGTCTAAATATAGATATATAAATAATATTTAATATTAATATGAAATTCCATTCCTCCTCATCATCATCATCATCATCATCATCATCATCATCATCATCATCATCTACTTTATCAAAACAATCAATAACAACAACAAAATCAACAACTACTCCAACACCTAAAACTACTCCTACACCATTTTATTTATATAAATATTTAGTTGATTGGTCATGGAAACCAGAATGGTCAGGAACAACTTTATCAAATAATTGTCTAACTGCAACGGATGCAGGTGAGGGCAAGGCATGGACAACATCTGTGGCATTGACCCCCATACCTCCAGGACAAGGACTATACTATTATGAAATTAAAGTTGATTTTTGTAATACTTCCAACTCTGTAAAGATTGGTAAGATATATATATACAAGATAAATACAGTAATACATAGTATTTATTCAACTTGTACTAATCCTATCATATGATTATCTTTAGTATTTGGAATATTAACATCATTATATTTAAATAATATATTAAAAAGAGAGATTGGAAAGATGGGAAGTTTAAAGGGAGGATGTCCATTTGGATACTTTCCACATTGTGGCAAGGGAGCACTATGCTATTTTGCCAGTGGATTGATATACAAGGATGGAGTACAGATACAAAAGACAGAGCCATTTACAAACGACGACACGATTGGAATGTGTGTCGACACGCGTTCCAACTCGATTTCGTTCTTTAAGAATCAAAAACTTGTCGCACACACATTCACAGGTATCATTGCTCAACTGTTTGACACAAATAGCGAGAATGATCAATCAATGCATCAGGATCTCTATCCAGCAGTTTCACTCATCAAAAACAATATAGTTTCCATCGTTCCAAAACCAAATTTCATTTTCCCATCAACAACAATCATTCAACAACATTCTGAACAAAATAGTAGTAGTAGTAACAACGCAACATCTACAACGAGTACTACATCTACTACATCGACGACTATCCCAAATAGCCACATACATCATCCACCACCAGGTTTAAATCATCATAATTCTACCATCATTACTAATAATACATTAATACCACCAAACCAGAATAATAATCATAATCACAATAATATATATACAACAAATAGTTCTACCACCACCTCCACGCCTGTAGCCACCACTTTGGCACCACCACCATATGGATCAACTCCAAAACCACCTCCAACTCCACCCTTGACAAGTGACCCAGGGAATTCATGCCCAGTTTGCGGTATTTCTCTTATATCAATTGGAAAGGATTGGGTATCTGTAAATAAGCATATAGATGAATGTTTAACACTTAGTTTATTGGATAATGAACAAGGGTAAGAATATAACAAATGATAAATAATAACTATATTCTAATCTAATCTAATCTATTCTCTATTTTATTTTAGACAAAAACCATTCTCAATTACATGTCCATATCCGAATTGTAAAAAGCCAAATTTAATATCAAAAGATTTTGTTCCACATTGTAATGATTCTCACTTTTTAGAAAATAATCATAATTATACTTGTCCACTTTGTAATGTAAATGCAACCAATCTCATAAGTCATCTAAGTAAAACTCATATTGCCTTGCCATCAGTTAAAAAGGAATCTTTTGTTGGAGTTGGTTATTCAAGTATGTAGAGAGAGAAAGAGTAAAAGATTGGAAATTATTATGAATCTATTATTAATATTTATATTTTAATTTCAATTTCAAAAGCCAATGTATTAGATCATGATTTAGGTGAAGAAGAGTGTCCAGTTTGTTTGGAGGAATTTTATAAAGGTCAAAGTGTTGCCAGACTCGAATGTTGGTGTGTTTTCCATGTTGATTGTATCTCTGCCTATTTACTTAAATCTAAAAAATGTCCTGTTCATACTTGAGAGAGAGAGAGAGATAGATATTTTCATTTCCAACATAATCATCAAGTAGACAGATATAGATATAAAGACAGATATATATAGGAAATAGTAAATAGAAAATAGAAGATTGTAAAACTGCCCACCTAAATTCAAACAACAATAATTCCATTCATTTTTTAAATAAAAGAAGAAATCCCCCTTTGTGTTTTTAATAATAATTTGTCCACATATGTATTGTATTATTATTATTATTATTTATAATATATTTATATTCCAATCAAGCTGCTTCGAGGTTTTGATTCCACGTGGAAGATTGAGGAGGAGGCAACCAACAAGAAATTTTTTTCAATTTTTTTTTTTTTTTTTTTTCAAGCTTGTCACCCAATCATCATCATGAACTATTTAAAACACACACAAAATAGTAGTAGTAAATTAAATAGAAACAAAAGAGAGAGTAACAAACGTCACCGTTGTTATTTAGTAGTACATTTATATATATTTATATATCAAACACAACATACACACATATAGAAAATGGGTCTTCCACTTGATGAATGGGTTGAAACTGTCAAGCAATGCAAATACTTGCCAGAGAACGATTTAAAGAAACTCTGTGAACGTGTCAAGGAGTTGTTATTGGAAGAGTCAAACGTACAACCAGTTCGTAGTCCAGTCACCATTTGTGGTGATATTCACGGTCAATTCTACGATCTCTTGGAGTTATTCAAGACTGGTGGTGAAATCCCTGAAACCAACTATGTATTCATGGTAAGAAGAAGAAGAAGTAGAACAAGTACAAAAAAGGCCACTCACTACACACACAAAAAAAAAGATTAAAGAAATAGATAAGAATATCAAGAAAGAGAGAGAGAGATATAGAAAGCAGAATATAGAATAGATAAAAGAGAAGATGACAATCAACATATATAACAGCAACAATAATTATTGATGAATAGAATAGTTTGATATAGAATGTGAAATTTTATATTGTGCAACACACAAAGAGAGATATATATATATAAGTATGATGATTCTAACTCTCACCTATTTTATATATTAAATTTACAATGATTATAGGGAGATTTTGTTGATAGAGGATATTACAGTTTAGAGACATTCACATACTTGCTTGCTTTAAAGGCAAGATACCCAGACAAGATCACCTTGTTGAGAGGTAATCACGAGAGTAGACAAATCACCCAAGTATATGGTTTCTACGATGAATGCCAACAAAAGTATGGTAATGCCAATGCTTGGAAGTATTGTACCAGTGTTTTCGATTTCTTAACCTTGGCTGCTGTAAGTTTTTAGATTCGATAGATACAAGTAGAAAACAACAGAATATCTTGCTTACTCTTTCTCTTTGTTATCTTTCTTTCTTTTAGATTGTCGATGGAAAGGTATTATGTGTACATGGTGGTTTATCACCAAAGGTTCGTACACTCGACCAAATTCGTATTATTTCAAGAAATCTTGAAATTCCACATGAAGGTCCATTCTGTGGTATGTTAATAATCAAAAAAGATGAATCAAAGAATTTGTTGTTATAGAACTGATATTGATATTATTATTTTTTTTTTTCCTATTTAGATTTAATGTGGTCAGATCCAGAAGATATTGAACAATGGCAACCAAGTCCAAGAGGAGCTGGTTGGTTGTTTGGATCAAAGGTAACACAGGAATTCCAACATATTAATAATCTTGATTTGATTTGCAGAGCACATCAATTGGTCCAAGATGGTTACAAGTACATGTTTGATGAGAGTTTGGTGACTGTATGGTCGGCACCAAACTACTGTTATCGTTGTGGTAATGTTGCCTCGATCTTGGCACTCAATGAAAACTTGGACAGAGACTTTAAGATCTTCCAAGCCGTTCAAGAAGAGAGAACCGTTCCTCCTCGTACTACTATGCAATATTTCTTTTAAACCAACTACTGTTGCAACCCATCAACCACAACCACAACCCTCCTCCTCCAATCCCAAACATAATCATAATCACACACAACCATCCACCAACTTCAACTTAATATATTTATACACCTGTAATCTTTTTTAATCACTCCTTTTTTCCCCCTCTTTATTTTTATTAACAGAGAGTTATAATAATAGTAATAGTTATATATAGTAGCATCAAGAACGGTAATGTTATATTAATATTAATTAATCAATCCCAAATCCAAATACAAATCAATAATACACATAATAATAAATAATAAATCACACACAATAATATGTTTTTTTGAACTATCACTTGGTTTAAACATTTAATATTAATTATTATTATTATTATTACAAACCTAAACCTAACCCTTCGTTTGAAGTATGCCAATGACATTGCAATGTAATGTAATTCCGTGAATTGTATTCAATGACCGTGTAGTCGCAAGTTGAGTTGATTTTTTTTTTGATCACCTGCTTTATTTATATTTATATTCTCCGGGGGTGGCGTTGAAAAGAGAGAAGTCAGTCTGACAAACAACAAGAAAGAGATAAAGAGATATAGAGAGAGAGAGAGAGAGAGAGAATATATAGTATAACCTATGCATTTTGTTTTAGTGTTGTTGTACATCATCACCATTCATCATCAGCGGATTCGAATGAATGTCGGTTGATCCATCATTATATATAATATACAATTAATCATCACACAAGCACAGTCACAGTAATATAATAATATAATACAAAACAACAACATATAGGTTGTATATATATATATATATACAACCAAAACAACTTTCTTTTATATCATGTCTATACACATGGATTTGAATGTGTACTCGGCATGGAGTATCATTGCAGTCAATGCAATGGTCGTATTTTACATTGTGTATCGGATCGTCAAATGGATGTATCGAAAGATCATCACTATTCGACAGAAAAGAGCGTCGACTACTCACACTACTACCGATAATAGACAATCTACAACCGATCCTGCCATCCCTCTATCTACAATGCTCAAGATGAACATGGTAGTTGCTGAATTAGACGGTGGTACCAAGAAACAAAGACACAAACAACAAAAGATAATAGATAGTAGTAATAATAGTATTGGTGGTGGAAGTGGTAGTGGTGGAGACAGTAAGAGTGATTTGGATCAATCGACTGATTCATCAACATCACAAACATTGACAATGTCCTCAACTGGCACCACATCTGGAATGAGAAATAGACATCGTCGAACTACATCTAGACAGTTTGTAGGTGGATTGTCAAATACTACACAGTACTATGATGGTGACGATAGGTTCCATATTGAAGAGGGGTATTCGAGTGACCCACCGGCACCGCCTCCACCACCTCCATCCCCACCATCCTCACCATACTCATCATCATCATACTATGATTATGGTGATGAGTATAGTATGAGTAGTCGCCTAAGTATGTCAACTTCATCGTCCACAACAACCAACAACAACAACTATAACAATACAACTACATCGATACCGTCGACACCATATTCACCAAGATCAATTTTATGGAGTAAAGAAGAAAGAGATCGTATTCAAGATACTATGGCCAAGCGACGACAAGATGTTATTGATCAACCACTATTGGAAGAGGTGGACAAGTTGGAAGAAGCAAAGACACTGTCCCGTCCACGAAAAATAGTGGTTGGCAAGCCGACAATGCATCAACTTCAGTCTACCAACCTCTTTAACTTTAACCATGCCGACCATATCCCCGTCAACTCTAATAACAGCAAGTTCCCCACACTGGCATCTGCCAAGGTCAACCCTTCACTCTACGTCCCCACCAATGTATACGGATACTACAAACAAGAGGGATCAGTCGTTGAAATACAAGAAGAGTCAATGATTGGAGGTCGTCATCCAACAACAATAACCAAATCAACCATTATCAATCCACATTTAAATACTGTAGAATCACAACCATCCAATGACTTGTTAAAATTACAAGTATTTTTAGAGGCATCAAAACAACAACAAGAACAACAACAAGAGCAACAACAATTTCAAAATGTAACTAGTTTGGATAGTGTTGGTGGTATTGGTAATGGTGGTAGAGATAGATTATTATCATCAGCATATTCTCAAGCAAGTAGTAATAATTATCAAGTTGATCAAAGTTTTCTTCAACAATCACCTCCATCTCTACAAACTGGCACACATACACACCTCTTGGAATCACCAGTACAAATATCACCAATAATGGCATCTGCCAATATTTTATTAAGAAGCGCAAATGATAGTATTGTATTAAAAGATCAATGTGGTGTTGTCCGAGACAAAAAGGGACGTAGTAAATTGGAAAAATCAATGGTTTCAATTGGTATTAATAGAAATAACCAAGACGATGATGATGATGATGATGAAGAAGGATTATGTTTGGGAGACGATGAAAAAGAAGAACAAGAAGAGGATGAATTTATTGGTGAAAAACAATCCATTTCTATTAATACAACCAATGGTCACCATCATCATGATCATGACGATGAAGACGATGAAGTTGATAAACTTTATAAAATGAATAGTAGTGGAATGATTGATTTTAGAAATAGTAATAATAATATTAATATTAATATCAACGGTATCAATAATAATAGTGGAGGAAATACAACTCCAAGTCAAACTGGTGTTACCGGTGGAGGAAGAGATGAATTATTATCATCACGTAATAGTATTTATACTCAATCATTAATTAGTAATAATAATAGATTCAATAATAATATTAATAATAATAATAATAGTAATAATAATCAACGTGATGAACAACCAATTACAACTATACCACATAGTGATAGTAATTTATTGTTTGCCATTTCAAATGATTCAGTTAGAACTAACAAATCATTGGAGGAGGATGAGGAGGAAGATTATTGTGGTAGTGATATTGATGGTGAAGATTTCTCTAGTGTAAATATGGATTATAATGAAAGATTTCAAGAAATCATGGAAGATCTTAGAAAGGTCGATTGTAACTCTATCCAAAACGATCGTATTCGTGTAAACAGTCAATTTATTGCACTTACACAAGACTTTGTTTATGCTTCAATGACCTTTGGTAGAGTTATCATTTCTGAACGTTATCTACCATTACGTGAAAAAACAATTCCTCCTATTGATATTGGTGGTTTAGCTGTATGTACAAACAAACCAACAAACAAACAAAAGATGAATGATATTATATTAATAATATAATACTAACTTATTGTTTGTTTTATGTTTTGTGTAGGGAGGAGATAAATTTATTGTACATGGAATATTATTTAAATTTGCAATTGATAAGGAAAACTTTTATGGTAGTGATTATGCGGCTGGATGTGTAGCAGGTCATGAGCTGAAAGGATTGATCAATGTTTTTAATGCGGGTATCAAGGATCTCAGTCTACCGCTGATGGCATTGGTCGATTACAGAGGCTTTAGAGTAATTGCCATGTCTATCTTGCCGGTGGACAAGGACAGCATTATATACGGGTCCAACGACTATGGCATGACCATTCACAACTCGGACAAGTACCTGTCGGAGCGACTGGAGGAGTGTGCCAAACTGCTCAACATCAAAAGTCATCATTGTGGCGAACAAGGAACTCAAGTACATTCACCGGCCGATTTAGAGGGTCACGATGGTTTCGATGGACGTTACTATCTGTTGGACTTTGCTCGGTTGTTTCCTCCAGAGGCACCTAAAAAGGGTATTAAAATGGGTCATCTCTATCGGTTGCTCAGACCAGAGTTTGTTAGAAACTATAAACAGACGTTGTGTAGTGACTCGTTTTCAAGATTTATCAAAGGTCATAAAGACGAAGAACACAATAGAGAGACTGTTGAAGCTACACTTTATCTCTTTAACACTACTATACCAGAATTGGCTGAAGAGTTGAATCGCTTTACATTGGATATTGACAATATCTACACATTCCCAATCACAGAGATCTTGCACAAGAATGGTGTCAATGTCAGATACCTTGGACACGTTAGACAGTTGTGTGAATCACCCGATATGAAATCACTCATCTTTGTCGAAATGTGTGCTCGTGTCATCAAACAACAAATCCGTCAAAAACTACGTTTCAAGATGAAGCAAGCTAAAATCCCTCTTGAAGCTCCCTATAGAAGACTTATCGTTGCCTACCTTAATCGTGTCCTAAGTACAAGTGACAAAACTGATATATTTTGGAATGATAAAATGAAAAAGAAATTATCTTTAAAGGTAACTAACTATAAACAATATATAATATCATCCAGTGTATTTAAATATTAACACACTCTATTCACTATTTCATAGTTTGATAAAGGATTATTTGATGATGAAATTAATGGAAATTCATTAATTGATGGACTGTCTGATTTCTCAGACAATCTTATCGATGGTAAATACCTACTATTTAAACGAGTCCAAAAAATGACTGGATTAAAGTTTACAACTAGAATCAATGATGAATATAGATTAAAACCAAATTGTTGGTTAGAAAGAGGTGATCATCCTGTATGTATATAAAAATATAGAAATACAAGCATGAATATGTATTAATATTATTTATTTTTGATTTTAGTTGGATATAAATGATTTGGATGAAATTGGAATTAGAGTAAAATATGTACCATTTATGAATGTAGCTCAGGGATATTTATTCAAGGTAAAGGGAGAAATGATGTTTGCTCACGATCCATTGGCAGCAACTAGATTCTTTCAAATGGCATTGGAGAAATTAGAGACTGCTTTGGAGACCGACCCAAACAACACAAATACACTTTGTACAATGGGTGAGGTGTATTCTCATTTGGGAGAGGGTAGTTCACAGGGTCTTTCACAGATCACCTTTTCACTGACCAACCCATACGTTCAAAAATCCTACGAGTACTTGCAACGTGCCATCTTTTCCAATCGTACACATACCACTTCACTATTTAGATTTGCACAGCTGCTTGAACGTCTGGGTGAGTCGGATCGTGCCGAAGAATATTACTTGGCATCACTCGAATCCAATCCAAACCATATAGCATGTCTCCAAGAATACGGTAATTTTCTACAAACCGTTCGAAATAATTCCAAATTGGGTGAACAATTCTTTACACGTGTATCAGAGAATCATCAATACCTTCACATGAAATCACTTCGAAAGAATGATATCAATCTAAGAGGTTCAAGTGGTCTATTAAAATTACATCATCATACTAAACCAAAAGGATCTGATAATTCACCTTCATCTTCAGGTTCATCCTCATCTTCATCCTCTTCATCATCTTCATCTTCATCTTCATCATCAACTAATCAACCAACAACAATCATGACACCAACATCATCACCAATCAATTTAAATACTTTAAACAAACCCAAATCAGCCTTTTTGACAGTTCCAAAAAGATTGGATGATACTCATAGACCATCTGTATTATTCCAAAGTGTACCAAATCTAAAAACCTATTCTTCTTGATAAATGTAATAATATATAAAGAATTGTAATTTAAAACAAACAAAAAAAAAAGAAAAGGAAAACTATTTTATTTATTGCTATAGTATAGGGTATTTGATTGTATTATTGGATTGAATTGATTGGCTAGTCTTTTTTTAAACTGTATCCACCCATATTATCATCACGTCTTGGTCCACCACCTTGACCTCCACCCCTTCTTCTCCAAGCATCATTATCTGCTGTATATGATATTCCTTGGCTGGAAGTCGTAGATATTGATGTAAATTGATATGATGAATTCATATGTGATGGATTGATTGTATTTCCAAGTGATTGTAAAACATCTATTTATTTAAAAATAAGGAAATCGTTAATTAAAGGTTTAGATTGTATCTGATAAAGTTCTACTTACTAAACAACATGGTTGATAGAGATATTTATTTATTTATATTTTTTTATTTATTTGTTTATTGATTTACTCATAGATGAAGAAGTGAATGTTTGTTTGTTTGTTGACGACAACCATTTTTATTTATAATTGTTTGTTTTGTTGAATTTCAGACAAAACTATAGTTTTTATATACTGTGGGTCTGTAAACTTATTTACACTTTTATGTTTCATTGATTGAACTAGTTTTAGTTTTATCATTATCATCAACAACAACAACATAATGTCGTCAAACTATTCAAATGTGGTGGGAGGTAAATTAAAGTTAAAGGGATCGGTCCCTCTAACACCTTCACACGACCTAAAGAAGAAGAAAAAGAAAAAGAGTTCTTCAAGTAGTAGTAGTTTAAAACGAGAGGAAAAGAAGAGACATCAAGAAGAACAAGAATTAGAAGACCACGAATCAAATAATACTAATAACAATGAAAAAGAAGAGAAAATATATACAGAATCGGAATTAAGACATCGAAAGTTACAAGCAAGAATAGAGGAAAAAAGAATCAAAGAGATGATTAAAATGTCTCACAAGGAAAAGGTTGAAGATTTTAATAAGAAACTTAATCAATTATCTGAACATCATGATGTTCCAAAGGTATGAAATAACTTATAACATCTAACTTCTAACTTTTAATCTATTATTTATTAACCATTGTTTATTTATTCATTTATAAATAGGTTGGACCAGGTTAATTTGATCATCATAAGAATGACAATAAAACAATCAAAAATAACGATACGAATATATATGTAAATAACTACAAAACAAGAATATTATACAATTATCATTACGATTATATTTGGTTATTTTTTATTTATTTATTATTGTGATGGCCATTGAGTATTCATACCAAAATAACAAGCATCAGTTGACATTTGCCATGTGTTGTCCCAAAAGCCAGTTGCAACGATACCACCTGCACCCTTCCAACCCCAATCACTTCCAACTACCATATAGTCTGGTGCAACAACACCTGATCGCATTGGAACGGCACGAAGTGCTTTTATGAATCCTTGTGGACTGTTTCCACTGACAACCAACAATAGACCTTGGTTGCATTCATTTGGAGCCAAGAATGCAATACCTTGGTCTGGTTCTTGATAGACAACAGGTCCTACAGAAAAGCCTGGACCATATTGAACTGGAAGATTGAATTCATATTTGGTGGTGACAATGTTTTCTTGTGGTCCACCCAATAGGATATAGTTGACAGAGGGAGAACATTCGACGACTGTAAAATCAACATCGGCAATGATTTGGGGAGATCCACGACCATAGGTATTCCAAACATTGGCGATATGTACTGCAGCCCATTGGAATTGTTGTTGTAGGTCGGCAGTGACATTGGTACCATAGACAATGGTAACGGGCTTTTCAAAGATTTGACGCATCGGTCCATAGGTTGGCGCCGATCTCTCAACGTCTAACCAACTCATATCGTCGGATGAGTTCCACAATGTACCGTATTTGTCGGGACTGGTGTAGTGGTAGGGATAGTATTCGACTGGGAACAATTGTCTATCGATCATTAGGAATTGTGGCATGTTGGCACGAACAGGGTCTGGTTTAAGAGCGAATCTTCTAATGTTTTGAGTTGACAACATCCAAACTAACCCATTTTGTTCTTGTACTTGGCTGATTTGGATACGACCGACACGTGATGGAATCTGTGTTTGAAGAATCATTATATTGGCACGAGTACCAGCAGATGATGGATTGGTCGATGTTATAGTAATGGTCTTTGGAATGGGTGGGAGGTTGAGTCCATTACCAACGATAGAGTTGTAAAATGCTTGCATATAGTCGTCACCCAAAATACCATTAAACCAGTGACCTTGATTTGGAATTTCACTAATTACCACGGCGGTGGCATTTTCACTTTGTTCGGCTGTCATTCTAGCCATACGCCTCGAGTGCCATGGATTAACATTGGTGTCATTCTGTCCGTATCTAGCCATCAATGGGATACCAACCAAATTGGTACTATACAAATCATTATCTTCGTCTGATATCGATGCCATCAGCAATCCTTGGAGTACTGGATCGACATAACTGAATCCAGGTCTAGTATTCATAAATACATAGAATTGTAATTTAACAAACCCAGCTGCACATGCACCTCCAAGAGCCATATCACCAAAATGAGACAACAATGTCCAACATCCATGTCCTCCCATACTATGTCCAACGAAAAATATTTTACTTGGATCGATCGCATAGGATTCTTTATCTTGTGTTGGTACACCTGGTAAATTTGATACCAAATAAGAATGTGAATTAAATACATTTATTCTACTTGAACTACTCCAATCATATCCCCAACTTGTTCGACTAAAAAGAAAAAGAAATATTTAAATGTTAAATAATATATACTTTTAAATTAAATTATAATAATTATTATTATTTACCCAGTGGGATATAAAATCCAAAGTGATTTTTGTTGAGCAATTGCATCAATCCAAAATTGTGATGAACTTTCTACACCAGCACCATGTGTAGCAATCATTACTCCACATGGAGAACCTTGACAGTTGCTTGGAGGGTTGACCATCGCATATTGGACAGTGTTGTCATAGTCGAGAAAGGTAAATAGATAGGGTGACGTGAATTGGGTACAATTAAAGGTAATGGTGGTCGATGCAATGTTGGCAGCGTTTGATCTAATCGTCAAGTATAATTCTAATGGACATGACAATTGTTGATTTTCCTCTACTGTAATGGTCAATGGTATCGATAATTTTTGACCTGGTTGAGCTGTAATCTCTGTTGCATTGGCCACTAAACCCAAACTAAATTGTAAACTTTGATCAGATAGTTGAGCTGTAAAATCTAAATTATCCAATACCGATGTATATGTATTAAATATTGTAACTGTTAAATATGGACTTGCAAGTTGACCACTAAAATTGATAATAATAATTAATTAATAATTAAACTAAAATAGGAAAAGTGTTCTTTTGTTGTTTTCATACTTGACAATATCAGCAACAAGATTTTGATTTTCAAGAACGATTGCTGGTTGAGGAGCTAGTTGTAATTGACAAGTGAAAGCACCCAATGGAGATTGATTGAGACGTACAGAACTATCCATACGTACGATAAACTGATAAGTAACACCAGACTCTAGAGATAGCAATTGTTGACCGGTACCATAACCATAGAAATCACCTGCAAACTCTTGAATGGTATTATTGCTCAATTGTCTGATGAAATAGGTTCTTGTTCCAGTACATGAAATGATATAGGGTGATGATTGATAGGCAGTGAATGTACCGACAGCATAGCCATACCACAACCATATATTCCATCCCCAAACCTGTTGCAAGAATGACCAATCAATAAATTGACTCCAATCAAGTGACAGTGATCCCGATGTAGAAGAGTTTAAAGAAACCCATCCGACCATTCCTCCATTGCCCAATTCAGATGGGTAGAGTGATTTATCTCCAATTGGGATATTAAAAATACCTCCATAAGCTTCCAATGTATCTAATCCCTCCTCTCTTTCACCTATTGGGAATGGTCCTATTACATTGTATTGTGTTGGTAAACTAGATGGATTTAAATCAACTATAGATTTTGTTGATGAAACTAATATAATAAAAGATATATATATGTTAATCATGATGTTCAAAGAGAGAGAAGATCCGTCTGATATTAATAGTCTAGTACCTATAATTAATAATAAACTAAATATAATTAGATGATAAAGTTTCATTGTATCTCTATTTCATTACTATTATCTGTACGTAGATAGATAGTTAGTTAGTTGATGGTCTTTGTTGATTAATAAATCACCTTGTCTTGATGAAAAATTTAATATCAGTTAAAACAAATCAACAGAATGGTTGAATGAAAAGGGGGGATCTGATTCTTGCCGAATGCTATTGATCCCAAAGATATTTAAAGAAGAATGAAAAAAGGAAGGTCATTTATTTACAAAGGAGGTCGTTCGGTAGATACAAATAATAGTATTGTTTGTTATTATTCTAAACTGGTTAGTTGGTTTGGGTTTGTTGTTGCTTTTGTTGCTTTTGTTTTAAATATTTTGTCTCCATGTCATAGAGAAAATGTTGTTTAGGAATTCCACCTTTACCTATAAATCCGATTACCTTTCCAGATGCGCTAACGATTCGATGACACGGAACGATCAGTGGGAAGTGATTCAAACGACAAGCTGTAGCAACTGCTCGAGGTGCAGATGGTCTTCCCATCTTGATAGCAACATCTTTATAGGAAGCAGTTTCACCATACTTTACTTTAACCAGTTCTTCCCAAGCTTGCTTTTGGAATGGTGTACCTATACTTTGGTCCAACTCTGTTTGAAATTCAAATCTTTCACCTTTAAAATATTCATCCAATTCTTGTTTAAATTGATTTGTTATCTTGTTTCCTTTCTTCTTCTCTTTGACAGAGATATCATCATTATTATCATCATCTTCTTTAACTTGAATATCCAATTTAATGTTGGTCAAACCATTATTTGATGCATGAAATCCTATCCATCCAATAGGTGATTTAAATTGATCATAGTATATTTGTTGTTGTTGTTGTTGTTCTTCTTCTTCTTCTTCTTTCACTTGATTAGACGAATCTTTATTCTTTGATTGTACAATCGATGTAGTCTTTGAGGAGATAGACTGTTTATTTGATGTTCGAATAGGTGCCATGTTTAAAAAGTTTAATAGTTGTCGTTTGGACATTTTAAAACAACATTGAATAATAAACTTTGGCACAAGAAGGCGGAGTCGTACTGCAAACAATAAAAAAAACAATCCAATTTCCAAGAAATGGTTTGTATATACCTTCTAGAACGTTTGTAAATAATTATACATTTATTTGAGAGTGTCGTCGTCGTTGAGAAAATGTTGTGAATATCCTGGATCAATATTATTATTATTATTATTATTATTATTATTATTATTATTATTATTATTATTATTAATAATCTAATTAATCTCTATCACCAATACCAGAGAGAAAATACTTTCTAAGGGTAAATGTATTGACAATAACAATAATACCAAGGATAACCGCTATTACAAAAAATGATAACAATCCAGTTTCATTCTTGTCGTGCTCTGTAGTACCAGGTATTTTTATGTTCATTCCCATGATTGTAACAGCCAATGTAATCGGTAGAAATATTACACTCAATGTTGTAAATTTACTCATTGATATATTTAATTTATGTGATTCTTCATTCACTAGTAATGAAATCTATATTATAGAAATTGGATAAATTTAATATCATTATAATGGTAGAATATATAATGTTGGATTGGTTGATTATTTACCTTTGACAAAAAGACATTCTTTAAATTTTCCAATAGATCTTCTGTTAATTTCATATTTTGTTTCAAAAAGCCAATTCTATCTTTTACATTACTAAGATGTACTGATGTCTCTTTGTTTATAGTACCTCTTAAAATTGATGATAAGATATCACTAATAATAAATAAATAAATAAATAAAAGTATTAATAAACATTTGTTATTATTTGTCTATTTTTTTTTGTTTCTTCATACTTTTTAATTAATAATGAAAGTAGAATTTGAGTTGAATGACGAGATGCACGACCAAGACGAATATAAGTTTCATTGAATTCAACTTCTTCAAAATCTAGAAAACTAAAGTCTTCCAATACTTCAACCTCTTTGGTTATGTTTTCATAGAGTTCCGAGTAACCTTCATTGACAGCATCGAAAAAGGCAAAGAGGAGCCATTGGGAACTAGATAGTTGTGATCGTGAAAGATACTTGAATGAATTGACAACATGATCAAAACATGATAGAGGATGTTTGTGAAAGACTACGATATAGTCACTAAACAATACAAGATAGAATAGATTCTCTCGTAGTTGATTTCCTTTACCACGACTCTGTACCAACTCGGAACAGATGACCAATAGGTATTCTGGAAACTCTTCGCATTTCTCTGGAGTATCACCATCCAATTTAATTTCATTAGTTGTCAGCGAATGAAGTCCAAGACAATGTCCAACGATATCAACTTGATCATCTGTCAACCCTTGTAAATCAATCCATGTAGGAGTATTTAAATGACTTGATACTCTTTTTAATCTTCTATTATTTGATTTTAATTCATTACTATTATTATTATTTGATTGATCAACACTCTTTCGTAGAGGATGTATATTCTTTTCATCATCTTCTTTGTTTTTTTCTTTTTCTTTGATTAATGTTAAGAAACCTAAATAAAAATAAATAAATAAATAGAGACATAAATATCAAATGACAGGATATATATTTGGACATACACATTAATTCATCAAATGTATAAGTTTCAAAGACATCTTTTTCTTCAGACACTAGCCGTATCTTTTGATGTGGAACAGGTTTGTGTAAAAGGTTTGGAAAAGTAATCTTTTCCTGTTGTTGATATTCATCGTGATAATGTTGTTGTTGAAGCAAGTGATCGTCATCATCATCAAAATTACTATCTCTACTTTGTTTGAATAATCCACTTTTACCAAAACTTTTGTTACTATCATTTGATTGATTCAAATTGTATTGTTGTTGCGTTTGTTGATAGTAATTTGTATTATTATCTTGCGTGAGTAATAATGGTGATGATTCTTCTTTAAACTTTTTTGGTACACGAGAACTTGAAGTTGAGGTTGGTGATTTTACTCTTTGAGGTGATGATGATGATGATGATGATGAAGACGATGATGATGATGGCGTAGTTGTAGTCTTTGTTGTCGTAGTCGTAGTCATTCTAAATTCATTTTCATTGTTGTTGTTGTTGTTACTGTCACGTGATGATGACAATCCACCACCACCTTGATAATAGGTATCTGGAGCATTTGATAGATCCTTTAAACTTCTTTCCTTTGATAGCAATCTGTCAACAGAGCTTGAAGATGAAGAGAGTAATGGTAGTTTCTCCATTATTACGGTAGGTCTTACACTTACAATCTCTCTTGTTTAAGAACTATCTATCTATCTATCTATCTAAACCATTACTTTTAATTAGTTAATTAAATTATGGCCAATCCTAAATATATACATGTAATATTACAATGAACTCTAGAAAAGTAAAGTCATGTGATTGATGATTTCACCTCTTTCTTTGTTTTAAAAACCCTCATTTTAATTTAATTTTAATAAAAAAGTGTTAGAAGGTATCATCCAACCTCACCACCACTACTATGATGGTGAATAAAAACCCATCGCGGGTGCTATAATGATTTTAATATTTATCTAGCCATTTATTATTATCTCATTTCGAATTCCCATAATACTGCAGTTGTCAATTATTAAAATTGAAAACTTTAACAAAAAACGAACGAATGTTGCGAATTTAGAAATATATAACTAATTTTGTACAGTACGGTCAGTTTGTTTGTTGTTTATGTGTGTGTATGCGTGTGTTGAATAGTAATGTCAGAGAAGAATCATAATCAAAACAAGAGAAAGCAAATGGAGGTTGACACAAAGGTAAAGACACCAGCAGCTGCTGTCGTTCCAACAAAAGCACCAACAGCCAAACCAGCAGCAGCCAAACCAGCAGCAGGAGCAGTAGATAAAAAGAAAAAGGATGATAATAAGAAGAAATTCAACAACAAATACAACAAATTCAATGGTCCTAAAAAGTATATCAAGAAGAAAAAGACTCCCAAAGCTGCAACAGCAGATGGAGCAGACAACAACAACAACAACAAGAAAAATGAACATATTGTAAAGAAACAAAAGGTTGCAGAGATTGTTGAACCAATCGTCATTGAACCACCTAAACCTGTTGAACCAATAGATGCTGCTAAAATAGGTTCAAATTGGGAGTTACTTGTAAGTAGTATATAAGAATGGAAAATGAATGAAAATGAACAATCATCATCTGACTCTTATTATTATTGATTATTATTATATAAAGAAAAAGAAAAGAAAGGTTAAACCACAACAACCATCACAAGAAGAAAAGAAACCAGAACAAGAACAATCATCATCATCATCAACAACAAGATCTGTACCACCAAAGAAAAAGGATGAACTTGATGGAATTGAAATAGATGAATCTAAATCAATATTTGATTTAAGAACAACTATTGATAAATCGTATGTTGTATATGAATGTCAAAGAGGTACAAAAGGTACAAACACACGGTACTTATTGATTTAATTTTGTTTGTTATTTTGTAGGAGTACAAAAAGAGTAGCAATTGATTGTGAAATGGTTGAAGTAATTGATGATGAAGGAGCAAGAAAGAGTTCACTTGGAAGTGTTTGTGTGATCAATCAATATGGAAATACAATTTATAAGAGTTTTGCTAAACCCGATCGTAGGGTAAGCGATTTTAGAACGAGATGGTCGGGATTGACCAAAGCTAAAATAGACAGTGCTCCACCTGCTGCACAAGTACAAAAGGCCGTTGCCCAACTACTCCGTGACAAGATTGTCATTGGACATGATTTGGCCACCGATCTCAAAGTACTAGAGATTCACGTCGACCCTAAATTCCAACGTGACAGTTCATCGTTTGATCCATTAATGTGTGATCAAGAGTTACAAGTTAAAAAGAAAAAGGATAGCCATTCAGCAGCTCCACAAAAGAAATTAAATCTTCAAGATTTAATGACCAACGATGACGATAATAACAACAGCGCTGGTGGTGCCAAAGAAAATGAATTGGTTACTGTTACTAGACGTATGCCACAATCACTCAAAAAGTTGGCAGCCATTCATCTTGGAGTACGTATTCAAAAGGGTCAACACAATGCCGAAGAAGATGCACTCACCTCGATGATGTTGTACAACAAATTCAAAAAGCAATGGGAAGACGAAACAACCAAAAAGTTTTATCATCAAAAGAAACCAAATCAAATCAAAAAACAAGAACAACAAGAGAAATATGATGAATATAAAAGAAACAAAGAATATTATTTCCAATCTCTTAAAAAATAAAAGACACAACAAACAAACCATATTAACTATATTATTTTCAAATCAATTAAATTAATTAATTATTACTATTACTTTCCTTTTCTTTTGGTTAATATATCTTTTAGTTTTATTGTTGTTTTTTAGTAGTATTATTATTATTATTAGAGGCGTATGGGATTTTAAAGCATTTAATCTTTAAATGACTACATAATTGTTGGATGGTGTCTTTGACAAAGAGACTGTATCGAATGATACCAATCAAGGTAAAAAGAATTAGTATGTATTGTTCCTCAATGCCATGGGTGATGGCTGATAAAGAAGAGGAGATGACGTTGGATGGTGAAGAGGTTGATACAAATTGATGGGAAAAATAGCGGAGAATGGATATACAGGTCATGACAATCATTGGAACCAAAGACTTTTGAAAGATGGAAAACTTTTCGTGACACATGTGACACAGAATCAAACGACTAACCAACTCTCCAAAAATGAGGCCAATTGTCACGTGAACAGTACGTGGATACTTGATCCAAATAGAATCATCTCCATAAAATGATGTAGATGTGTAATACCAAAGGAATGCACATGATGTAATCATAACCCAAACAAGTATATGTTTAAGTGCTGGTGCAATTGGTTTCTTTTTTTCTTTTAAATGATTAACAACATTCATTATACTAAAAAATAAATAATTAATTAATAAATAATGGTTATGATAGATATATTTTTTGTTTATACATACTTGATAACACATGTAATAAGAGTTGGAATTGAAATAGAAAATGCAATGATAACATTCATTTTACAATTGAGTAAACATGATGGGAGGAGATTGGTGATAGAACTGATGGATTCTGGAAGGAATTGTCCGAGTGGAGTAATCCAAGCTTCACCACCAAGTACAGCGGTACCTAAAAATGCAAGTACTACAATGATGATACCTTCATCGGGTCCATTAATCTTTCCTAAATGCAATACACCAGTATGATATTCCTCCCATGTTGCCAACCAAAATGGCATCAATGTTGTAACAAATATTTGATATAATGCTAAATATCCACTACCATAACTACCAATACTTGCTGCTGTAATTGCTTGAAACTAATTATATAGGTTTGATTATTATTATTATTATTGTTCATTTCCTTTCTTTTACTACTTTCTTTTACTAATGTAACTACATACAGTACAAACAACAGAATCACAACCATGATCGAATAATTGACCTAGTGGAGAACTACTTCCAGTTCTTCTAGCTTGTTTACCATCTACATTATCCATTGTTTGATAGAAAAAGAGGGCAGCTGCAGCCAACAAATACACCCATGTTGGAAGGATACCTTCATAGTTTGGTGTATACCAACCAACTATTAAAAAGCTTATAATAATACCTATTGTTCCTGTCAATGTAATCTAGACAAGATTATAACAATATCAAACAAACAACCTATTAGTACCAACCAAGTATATCGTACTCTCTCTACTCTACTAACTACTACATACTAGATTAGGAGCAACCCATAATGGAACCAACTCTACACAATAGTTCCAATAGTGTCTGAGAACATAATATGCTAATAGACTGTCATCTATACCAGAGTATTTATGATTTGATAGATTGACTAAAGCTTGGTCGGATAACTTCATCTCTCTCTCTCTCTTTTTTGTCTCTTCTTCTTCTTCTTGTCTCTCTTCTCTTTTATCTCAAATAAATTCTAAATGAATTTCTGTAATTGAACGAAGACTGCTTGCTTTGCGTTGTATATAGCACTCTCTCTCTCTCTCAAACACACACAAACAAGAATAAATTTAGCACCTCTTTTGGGGTGTGTGTTCTGAATGAAAGAGACGAACAAAACAAAAATATCTTTTTTATGTTCAAAAAGGGGAATTTCATCATTCCCGACTCCAATGTCAGAGGAAGTAATCGAATTATCCATCCACTCGTAGTTTGGACAATTGATTGATGATATGTTTGTGTTTCACCGGAGCCGAAGGAATAATTAAATGATAGTTATTATTTAATTAATTAATTTACTATACCAACACTTTTCAATAATAAATAAACAACTTACCTCGTCATACTTTGAAGAGAGTATGTTCAAAGAGATTTGGGTGGATGTCGCGATAGGTAGTAATACAACCCTTTGGGATCTTGTTCAAAAGTGTGTATTGGGTATTTACATATGTATATATATCCAAAAGAACCTTTGAACAAGATACCAAAGTTGATTACCCTAGAGCTTTGGAACCAAGAAACGAGACAGAAGAATTAACTAATAAAAATTATGATAGATAGAGATTTGATGAATCAGGTTTGTAGTAGTAAGTTGAATGTATCTTGTTGATCTTGTTCAAATCTCTGTCTATTGGACTCTACACATCAATACTGAATGTGAATACATTTAACAAAGAAGAAATCAAAAAAAAATAATAAAAAAGAGCTCAAATGGGTTTCATTCATTCTTATATTAGATCAAGGATTGATGAGTTCAATTTCATTATTTATTTATCTAGATATATATATATAATGTTAGTTATCTATTTATTGGTATCGATTATCTTTGGGTTTTGTATATCATTCTTTAATGTTCATGTATTCATCTATGAATCTCTTTATAATATTGAATGGGTAAGATAGGATAGATAGGATAGATAGAATAGATGAAATGTGTTAACACTTTTAAACTATTTCTAATCATTTAACAGAAAATAGTATTACCAGTGTTTGGTGGACAAGTGTTGATATACTCTTTACTCTTCTTTTATCCATTGAGTAAATTGGTTAAAAAGATGACAAAAGAAGATGAAGATAGTCTCAAACAATACAATAACAATGTAATGATGAATCTATTACATGACCCTACCATCATCTATCAACAACACAATCACAGTGTACATCAACATCAACATCAATATTCAACTCCAACTTCATCTGTCACTCCTACTATCAACTGATGACATTGTGCATTCATAATTATCATCCATACATAAATATATGTGCAAATGAGAATAGATTGGTTGGTAAAAGGATATATGCTTTAACATCCATCCATGGATGTTATCCTAACCAAAAAAGAAAAGACTCTTTTTGGCAATGACTCTCTCCACGATCGTGTGGTTATTCTCTAAAAGCAAATCAAACAATGGAAACATATCTCTCTCTCACTTTCTCTCTTACCTTTTTTGGTTCAAATATAAAGGTATATGGGAAGGACAATGTATAAACTTTCAATTCAATTGATAGACAAACAAGACATGCACGCAGAGATAAATAAATATTGGTATTGACTTTTTGTACAAATCTTTGGAAATCCAATTTATGTGTATATGTGTATTTGTTTCTTTTCTTTTCTTTTTAAATAAATTAATAATTCTTATTCTTGTTGTTTAGTTTCTTGAAATAACAGTTGTAGAAGCTTGATTATTTGCCATAATTTCAATATTGGTAATTTGAACATGTTGTGGCCTATAATTATTATTGAAATGATAAGATTAGTTACATTGGTTTGTTCAATTAATTATATTCTCTATATTTATATTACCTTGAAGCACAATAAAAGATATTATCAGCAATATCATCGGCAACGAGTGGATCAATACCAACGTATGGCTTCTTTGCCTTGTCATTGTCACCATTAAAACGAACTACACTAAAGTTGGTTTCAACGAGACCCGGGGAGACATTGGTAACTCTAATCTTGGTGCTGACGACTTCCATTCTGAGGACTTCGTTGAATGCATTGACAGCAGCCTTGGAGGCACAGTAGATGCTACCATTTGGGTATGGCATACTACCAGCAATACTAGAGACGTTAAAGATGTGTCCTTCGTTTCTACTGATCATACCTGGCAATAGAGTACGAGTGACACTAAACAAACCCTTGACATTAGTGTCAATGACCTTGTTCATATCATCAATTGAAAAGTTGGATACTTGGTCAACACCAAGAGCAAGACCAGCATTGTTGACTAGGATATCAATGTTTTTCATATCCTCTGGTAAACTGCTAACCATCTTTTCAATAGAGCTTTGTGATGATACATCACATTCAAGAGCTACAACCTTGGACGATGTATTCTTTGATTCCAAATCACTCTTGATTTCCATCAATTTCTCTAATCTTCTACCCAATATAATCACATGGTTACCATTTTGATGAAAGATACGTGCTACTGATTCACCAATACCTGATGATGCTCCTGTACTACAAGGTTGAAAGTTAGATTAGTTAAGTTAAAGAGAGAGAATGATCAAACAATCAATCAATCAATCAATCAATGACAACACATACATTAATACGATCTTGTTTGTTAATTGTCTAATCATTTTTGTATTTATCTAAAGCCTTGTTTGTGTGTCAAATATGATGAACATGCAAAAAGAGAGAGAGTATTTATGAAGATCGGGTAGTTCATTGTCACACCATTAAAATCAATTTATTTTATTTTTTAACTAAAAGAATGAATGTGTGTTTGGTTTAGAGGTTGAAACAGTCATCAAAAGCATGACTGTTTGGGAAATATAAGTTAAGAAGATGTATTCTTTAATTTAAAATTGCCGACTGACAGGATCTTTGAGATCTTCGAGAACTTTCAATATTTTCAGATCGATTGCAAGGTAAATATCTAACACTATACTATAGTATGATAGTGATTCATTGTTTAGATTTTTTGATTATTATTGATTTATTATTATTTACTATTTAATGTTTTACAATATATATATCATTTCATTTGATTTATTTAGATGTACAGATCTATTTACAACTTCTTGGTAGTAATATTTAATGATTTGATATGCTCTTCAATCTTGGCAGGATCGGTGACACCTTCCTTGGAGGCCCATTGCTTGATGGATCCGATTAATTGACCAAACTCCTTCTTGTCTACTTGATGATACTTTGAAATCAAATCACCAAAATTAACAGCTGCATTACTATTACCGTTATTACCACCAGCCTTGTTGTTTCCAGCTGCAGGCTTACGCTTTGGAGTTGCTACAGTTGATTCATAGACCGATTGACCTACTTCCTTGACATGAGAAGTCAACTTTAATTGAGTGATTGGCTTGAGCTTGAGTGAAATACTTGGGAATACAAATGATTCCTTTTTGACGGCATCAGTAGATTCACTGGTGGTGGCAGCAGTAGTGTTTTCTTGAACAAATGAAAGGATATGACCATCCTTGATAATCTCATCGATTGTCTTCCAATGGGTGATTTTGTTGCTGTCTACTGGCTTACCCCTTGGATGATGAGCAATGGTAATGTGTGGGAGATCATTGGCAGTTGGAGCACCAGACACCTTTAATGCCAATGCTGCACCACTAAGACCGATACCTTCAACAGTCAATTCAACACGACTTCCAACAGGATATCTAGTTGCTAATAATTGTGTAGTCTTTAACTTTAATTGTTCCTCTACAGTGGTGGTGGCAGTAGTCACACTTGAACTTACACTAAGTTCAGCCAATTGATCTGTGATGGTTGCAGTAGCTGTAGCAGTAGTTTCGGTAGAGGTTGTGGTAGTTGTTGTTGAAACTTCAACTTCATCTTCAACCTTATCAACATATGTCTTCCATTGCTTTGGTTCCCAAGCACCCATATTCATTGTGGAATGGTGACATTTGACAACCCAGTCTGATGGGAGGTCAAACCAAGAGAGGACAGTGTCTACAGACACCTTGTCCAATACAGAGCCAGTGTAGGACACCTTTTTCTTTAATTGGAAACCTTCCTTGCCATTGCGAGAAATCAATTCCTCGACCAACTTTGTCTCTTGGTCTTCGTCAATGTATTGTGGCTTCTCATCGATATGCACGACACTGCGTTCAATGTTTGGAATGGTTTGAAGGAATGCTCTGAATTGTTCGACATGCTTGATACGATCGTCGTACATCTCAATCTTGACAATACGACCTGGTGCAACCGAATCAATCACGTGATTGATAAAACCAAGCTTAAAATCCATCGTTGTGACACGGTCCTTTCCAACTTCACTAATCATCTTTAAACCCATATAATTTACATTTAATTGTACACTCTTTAAAATTCTCTTAATAATCTCTTCATAAATAAATGTTCTTCCAGTTAATAAACCTAAAACAACAAATAATAGTAGTAGTTAGTACATTTTATTTATAACTTTTATATATATTTTTAGATAGACTTACAAGTAATAGTATCGGGAGTATTGATTGATTGAATAGCTTGCTTTAAAACATTTTCATTGAACCAATCTAAAGATGGAGTGGATGGTACGTATGGATCGTCAAGAGTGGCAGTCTCTTGAAACCAACCCAAACCATCTTCACTTGGCATAGCCTTGAGTTTACCAACCATTGAAGGTGTCCACAACTCTGGATTTGGTTCTGGTGATTTGAAGAGAGTACTATCAAAATCAAAGATATTAAGAGTTAACTTGCTATCATCTGATGTTTGATTGACTGGGTGTAATAATGGATACAACTTGTTGAATGTTTCCTTGCTCATGTTGTATTTTGTTGTTGTACTATCGTTATTGGTGGTAGTAGTATTGGTAGTAGTATAGAGAGTAGTAGGAGTTGTATTATCTGTGGTATTAGTTACTTCGTCTGTAATCATTTTTATATATATATATCTAGAGAGTTGATGAATATCGATCGATTTTAGATAGATAATGAACAAATAGGTAAATGATGAAAACAACTGCCCTAACTCTAGATATTATAAAGACAAGCTCAAAACAAAAATACAATAATAATAACAAAAAAATTAAAGATCTTACTTTTTTATCACATGTTTCTTGAAACTTGGTCGATTCGCAAAATTGCCCCTATTCTTTGATTGATGGTTTCGATGGTAGGGCGATCTGCTATTGGTCATATGACCGTTTGCAGCAGGTGTATAATTTCGTCGTGTGAACTGATGTTGTTGTTGATGGTTATTATTATTATTATTATTATTATTATTATGATGATTCCAATAGGTCATATGATTATCACAGCTACTATAGTCGGAACCAAGTTTATTAAAATCAAGACGACGTCGCATTTGCTCATATTCTCTCTGATTGTTGTTGTTGTTGTTGTTGTTATAATTTGGATTACCTCCTCGATCATTCTTGTGTTGTTGTTGTTGATGTTGTTGGTTATTCTTTTTCTTTTTCTTCTTGTTCTTTTTCTTTTTCTGATCAGTATTATTTAATGTGTTGGTTGTATGTACAGTGTCGTTGTTCTTGTTGTTGTTGTTGTTATTGTTGTGATAATTTATAACCTTTTCTTTTGGTGATTGTATCGTTTTCTTTACACCTCCTCCTCCTTGCTTATTCTTATCATCAACTATTACTTTAGTCTCCTCCTCGGTTGCTGTATCAACCATCCCTTTTTTTTTCCTTTTTGGATTGCCCATACATATACTACATATAATTACAAATATAAATAGACAATGACAATATAAAAAATGATGATCTTTTTTTTTTTAAATATTATTTACAAATTTGGATTTATTTCTTTTCTTTTCTTTTCTTTTGTTAAATTGATATATATTTGTTTGTTTGTTCGTTTTTAAATAAATAAATAAATAAATATATAAATATAAATATATACAAAATATATAGAAAATAAATAAGTACCTACCACAAAAGAAGAAGATGCGTTAGAAATCAAATATCATATTCAACATCAAATTCATCTTCTTCATCTTGATTATCGTCATCGTCGCCATTATTATTGATTTTTTCCTATTGTTGTTGGATGTCATTGTCGGTGTTGTTGTTGTTGTTGGATTACTATTACTATTATCTGCTGATATGCCAATAACCTTTTCACCAACATTAGTAGTATTAGTGTTGGTTGTAGAGTCATTTGGTTTAGCATAACTATAAGTATGTTTCATTTGACATGATGAACCCTTTGAACAAAATCCCTTGAGAAAGTCTGGACATACTTGGGCGTCTCTTGATACGTGAACGTGGAGATAGGGACAATTGTCATTCATACACATGCCTCTGAGGAATTGATAACAAACAGGCATTTGTTCGGGATCCAACTCGGATACCTCCTTGTGTTGCAATGTGCAAGTTTCATCATCACACTTTCCAGATATAAATTTAAAACAGATTCGTACCCTCTTTGGGTCATGTTCAAATCTGCACTTGTCGCCATTATTACACTTGCCAAATCTATTAAAAAATAGACAATGTTGTTTTTGTTGTTTCTTTTCTTTGGATTTTAACTTTTTCAATGTATTTCTTATTCTTTCACTATAAAGATTTATATTAGGAGAGAGAGAGAGAGAGAAGGATCCAATTTAATCTTCATACATTTTCAAAAAATAAATAGAAAAAAAAGATTGATCGATTATTATTATTATTCAACGTACCTTATGTTTAATACTTTGTTTGTTTGTGATTGTGATGCCATTTGTCTACCATAATACTTTTTAGGTGTAAATGTTGAAAGTGATGATTTAACCATTGTTTTTTTAATCAAGTTTGTTTTTGTTGTTGTTGTCGATGGTAAAGAGTTTGTCGTAGATGATGATGATGGGTTTCCATCCAATTTTCGAATTAATTTGTTTCCAACTATTATATATTCAGTGTTGTTGATTGATACGTTTTTGTTTAATGTCTTGATTAATTTTGATGCAATTGGTTGTACTTTGCCAAGTACCTTTGGTATTCTCTTTGTCATGCCGATGGCTCCCTTTGGTGATATAGCTGTCATTATCGTGGTTGGTGTTCTATATTGTTGAATCCTACTAGAACGATAAGGATTACCACTAGCAAATTGAGATGATCTGTACATGAGTTGTTGTTGTTGTGCTTGTTGTGTTCTCCATATTTGTTGTTTTTTTGCTATTATTTGTTTTACTGTATTAAAAGATGATGATGGTTTTGGTGCAGGTACTGTTGTTGTTATTATATTATTCTTTGAGGGTGAAGATGGAGGATGAACAGAAACCAATGATTTGATGGGTTGTAGTGTAACCTTTTCGGTATTGCTATTAATAGATGATGATGATGATGATGATGGTATAGTCGGTGGTTTTGTGGATGAAGAAGAAGATGATGATATAGTTGATGGGTTTATATATGAAGTATTACTAAATTTCTTTTGAACTGGAATAGTAGTACTACTAGCAGGAGTTGTTCGAGTTGTAATCTGTATATAATGAGGTGGTTTAAACTGCTTTGCTACCATTGGTTTAGGAGGAGGAAGAGGTGTGGTCGTTGTAGTCGTTTTCTTTATGGTCGTTGAATTTCGATGATGATGTTGATGAGGTGGAGGAGGAGCAGTAGTTGATGTTGTCGTTACATTGTATTTCTTGCTTTGCTTGTTGTTATGACTATTGATAAGAGATGATAATGCAGTTATCCGATTAAGAATATCTTGTTCGTTCATAAATATAATTCTATGTGATGAGTTTAATAAAAAAATGAGAAGAATGAGAAGAAGTAGTAGTTTTTTTGAACTTTCTAAAAGTATTATTTTTTTATTATTTATTTTTTAAAATGAAGGAGGGAAACAACCTAATTCCTCGAAAATTAGATTGAACTGACATACTGAGGTTTGAGAGTGTCCCTCATTGTCTTATTTTCATTATTACTTTTTGATTATTTTATTTATTTTTGGAACAACAAATAGAAAGAAAGAAAGAAAGAATGGCACTTAAAAGAACAAAAGATCGTAAGAGAAGAAAGATGGATAGTAGTGAGAGTGAAAGCAGTGAAAGTGAAAGTAGTAGCAGTAGTGATAGTGATAATGATGACAACAGTGATAATAACAGCAATAATAGCAATAGTGAAAGTAGTAGTGAAAGTGAAAGTGAAAGTGAGAAGAGTGAGAGTGAAAGTGAAGACTCTTCTTCTTCTTCCTCCTCTGACTCTGACAAAAAGAAGAAACCAATAGAGCAAATTAGAAAGAAAAGAAAAGCACTACCACCATTACTTCTTGCCTCAACGTCTAAAACTTATTATGCGGTGGATGATGAAGATGATGATGATGATGAAGATGAAATGGATCAAGATGATGACGACTCTGACTATATATTTGGATCTGGAGATGAAGGAAAAAAGGAAAAGTCAACAACTCCATCCGTTTTCAATCTAAAACTAAAGAGAGAATCATTAACTCGTGGTCAATACACTGTTGGAGAATTAAAGGATTTCTGTAAAAAGTACCATTTAAAGATGTCTGGAAACAAGGGTACGTTGCAAGACCGATTGGTTGAATACTTGAACGACCAGGAAAAAAGTGGAATTATCAATATTGATTCGTCAGATGATGAAGCGGTCCGTAAAAGAAAGAAAAGAGAGCCTAAAATGACAGTTGGTTCACTTAGTAACAAACCAGTGTACCAACTCAAATTGTTGGCTGAACGATTTGGATTGTCGTTTAGACCGGGTATGATTAAAAAGGATTTGGTGTTGATGTTGGTCAAGAGTGGAGGTGTGGAACCCAAGGAACAAGCCAAGGAGGGAACCAAGTTGATGGACGACTACCATCGTGGAACGGTAAACTATGCACTAGCACCGGTTTTAATCGCACAAATACTCAGATACGCGTTCAACTCGGTCGCAGAGATTGACCAAGAAGACGAAACTTACTTTTTCCGTTGGAAGTTGTCATTGTCGACTCTATGTAAATGGGCACACAAGGTGATGGTATCGGGCACGTTTTTCAACTCGTTGTCTTTGGCTCGAAACCGTTCCATTCAAGCTTACAAACCAAACACACTCGAGATGCCACTCTACAAACATTTTGTCAATGCATTTTGTCTGCTCAAGAATATTGTGACGTTGGATTTGTTGGACGGCGACTTTATATCGTTGTTTGGAGAACGTCGTACTTCGACGAGCTATAGTCGTTACGGAAACGATAGTAAACGAACCTCGACCGACATTCAAAAAGAGTTGTTTGATAATTTACGCCATCTAACTGTACACGAGTCACCATTGTTGCTGTCGACATCCTTTGCAACCATTCCACATCTTATCGGATTGCAGTCGTTTACCTATGTCAAGAACAAAACACATCGTCAAAAGAATGAGTTTTCTTGGTCTTCTCAGTTTTGTAAATCAGCCCAACACTTTGAGTTGTATGATTTGCGCGATCTCTATCTAAAGGATTTCGTCAACATCGAATCGTTGTGTTGGACGCCTTCCAAATCCAGTCACGATCGTGACTACCAAGTCATGAGACACCTGTTCACTGTCAACAAACCTGCCATCACCAAGATTGGCATCAAAAGCCCACTACTGTCCTCTGAAGGGCCAGTACATGCTCCTTGGGGAATATCAACAAACCAACAACCTGCCATTGACATGGTTGTCCAAGAACTCAAAGAAAATGACCCAACCCTGACTCTTGAAAAGCTTGAATCAAATGCTCGTACAATTGTTATGGATTGTCTTAAAACCAAAAAGTATGTAAAATAGTAGTAAATAGTAGTAGTAATTAGTTAGTTTAATTAATCATTCAAATATTAATTATTTTAAATGTTTATATAGTTTACCAATTGAAAGTTGGAGAGCACCTTTTATTAAAGGAGTTATTTCAGGGTATGGAAGTGTAGATTTTAATCCAACTAGTTCATTTTTCAAGATTTTACAAATACCAACCATCAATCATTTGGTTCTTGGATTTATCAACCATGACTATGCAGAAGCAATCAACCAAGCACCCAACATCGACACATTTGAATATTTAGTCATCATCAATGATAATTCCAAATTCAAATCCCTTCTTTCACAATTAAATGATTGTATCTATCTATCAAATATTATCATTTATCTAGATGTACCATTTTATAAACAATATACTACTCAACATCAACACCAAAACTATATTAATGATGATAATAATAATAATAATAATGATGATGATGATGAAGATGAAAAGGAAAAGAAAACAAAGAAAGGAACAAAAGGTAAAGGCAAAAAGGAAACAAAATCAAAGAAAGAAACAAAATCTAAATCTAAATCCAAAATCCAAGGTGATGTTTTAGCCAATTCTCCCTATGAATTTGGTAGTATTCATTATCATGTTAGAAGTCATATTTTTAGAGAAAGTGTTTATAAAATCTATTTACAAAAAAAAGCATTCAATAGTAATAATAACAATAATAATAATTAATTAACTAATCAATCAATCAAATTGATTGGTATGTATCCTAGAATGTTACAAGTAAATAGATTAACTTGTAAATAAAATAAATAAATAAATAAATAAATAAATTAAAAATTCAATTTAAAAGCAAATGTGTCGTCAACAACAATAATTTCCTTTTTCCAATGACACCACATCCATAGAATCTAGATTCTCATTCTATAATATAATCAAAATAATATTTACTATTATTCTTTTATTTATTGTTGTTATCGTTGTTGTTGTCATAATGCTTCTTGTTAGAAGATTGAAACCATCAACTACTGCTACAACACTATCATTTATTAATTCATCTTTTATAAATAATAATAATCATTATTTAATTAAACCCTCAATTACAACAAGAACATTTCATTCAAACAATAATAATAATATTACTACTAATAGTAGATCAACAACTAGAACTATATCTTCATTATCAACATCATTATTTAATACAATCAGAAAAAGAACAATGTCAACTACTACAACTACTAATTCAGATGACCAAGTGTCATCTACAACTACCACCACCACAACAGCTGATCATCATGAATATACAAATAGATTAATTAATGAGAAATCACCTTATCTATTACAACATGCACATAATCCAGTAGATTGGTATCCATGGGGTACAGAAGCATTTGAAGAAGCAAAGAAACAAGATAAATTAATCTTTCTAAGTGTTGGTTATAGTACTTGTCAGTATGTATCAGGGTGCAAGATTATTGATTTGATTCAATTTAATATTGACGTTATAAATCATTTCTACTACTATTTAGTTGGTGTCATGTAATGGAAAGAGAATCATTTGAGAATCCAGATATTGCAAGAATTATGAATGAACTATTTGTAAATATAAAGGTGGATAGAGAGGAACGACCGGATATTGATAAACTATACATGACCTATATTACCGAGGTATTTGGACATGGTGGTTGGCCAATGAGTGTTTGGTTAACTCCTGATCTTGCTCCTTTGACTGGTGGAACTTGTAAGTTGATATATTTATAACCATGGTCACACATATCATCTCCAAACTAACTAAAATACTTTTGTTAGATTTCTCATCAAAAGCATCACATGGAAGACCAGGATTTGGAGTCAGATGTCAACAAATTGCAAATATTTGGAAAAAGGATAAGGAGATGGCTATATCTAGAGGTGCATCATTTATCGATTATCTCAAAGAATCAAAACCAAAAGGTGATAATAATGTAGCATTGTCAAATGCGACTATCACCAAATGTACAGGAATGATTACCAAACAATTCGATAGTGTCTATGGAGGATTTAGTGATGCCCCTAAATTCCCTCGTTGTTCAGTCTACAATGAATTAAATGTTTGTGGTAGTAGCGAGGATTTGGAACAACTCGATTTCACTTTACTTAAAATGGCCTGTGGTGGTATTCACGATCATCTTGGAGGTGGATTCCATCGTTACTCGGTCACTGAGGATTGGAGAGTTCCACATTTTGAAAAGATGCTCTACGACCAGGGTCAAATTGCAAATGTTTACATTGATGCATACCTACGTACAAAGAATCCATTATTCCGTCAAGTTGTCTATGATATCTTACATTATGTTCAAAGAGACTTAACTGATTCACGTATGTTCAAGAAAAAATCAAAGGATTAATTAGAAAATATATATTTATAATTATTTATTATTTGTTTAGAGGGAGGATTTTATAGTGCAGAAGATGCAGATAGTTTAAACAAAGAGACAAATGAAAAACAAGAGGGAGCATTTTATGTTTGGACATTGCAGGAAATCGAAAAGTTGTTGGGGTCTGCTTTGGATACAGAGGTGGTAGCATATATGTTTGATGTCAAACCAAGTGGAAATGTCGATCCTTCATCGGATCCACACGGAGAATTGACTGGAAAGAATATTCTTCACAAGGTCCATACAACTGAGGAAACAGCAAGTAAATTCAATCACACACCTGAAAAGATTGAAGAGATTGTAGAACGATCGAAAAAGATATTGTACGAGTACAGAACCAACAATAGAGTACGTCCACATTTAGACGACAAGATTATTACTGCTTGGAATGGTTTGATGATATCTGCATTTGCAAGAGCCTATCAAGTGTTTGGTGAAAAGGAGTTTTTAGTGTCTGCTCAACGTGCCGTCGAGTTTATTCAAAGTGGTAACTTGTATCAAGAGTCAAACCAGATTCTCATTAGAAACTATCGTCACGGACCAAGCAATGTGGAGGGGTTCTCAGACGACTATGCATTCCTCATTCAAGCACTGTTGGATCTCTATGAAGCATCGTTTGATGAGAGTCATCTAAGATGGGCACTCCAATTACAAAAGAAACAGATTGAATTGTTTTGGGATGAAAAGGAAGGAGGATTCTTTACGACCAATGGCCGTGACCCTACACTTCTCAGTCGCCAAAAAGAGGAGCATGACGGTGCAGAACCATCGGCTCAGTCAGTGTCTTCATGCAATCTTCTCAGACTCTCCAACATGTTGCATTTGGATGAATTTGAAGAACGTGCACAAAAAACAATGGAGGGTAGCTCAATCTACTTGGAAAAGGCTCCATTGGTCATGCCACAGATGGTATGTGCATTGAAATATCTGATCGATCCATTCTATCAAATCACAGTGGTCGGATCACTCGACCCATCTTCAAAACACTACTCGACCACTCAAGAGTTGGTCAATGTCATTCACCAAAAACCAATCCCCAACAAGGTACTATTGTTTGTAGACATTGATGCAGACATGGATAAGAGTATTTTTAAACAAGTTGATCCAGATTCATCTGTTGCCAAATACACACTATCAAATGATCAACCAACAGTCTATGTTTGTAGTAATGAAGAAGGATGTTATGCACCAATCAATACAATCGATTCAATTAATAATCAATTAGATAAATTAAAATAAATAGAGAGAAATGGAAATTAATTAACTTTTTTAAAAAATGATCCATTAATGGATCATTATAATTAGGATGACGATTCAATTGTTTGTTATTGTTTATTTTAAATGAATAAAAAGGATAATAATAATAATGTTATATTGAAACAAGGAAGGGTTGAGCGGTTTCCCAACACAAAGATCAATTGTCAATTAAAAAAGTCTACATTATTTCGGGGAGTTGAGGAAAATGCCCCTCCTCGCCTGTTAGATGGTACGAATTAGAACTCTTCTCGTTAAAAGTTGAAGAAAAAAATCAATACTATGTGGCATTTAGATTGTTGGTTGTCTTGTACCAAACTTTTGATCGATCCTCTAATTTATATATTTATATTTAGTTGGGAGGAACATAGATAAATGTAGTGTTTGGATTGGTTTGACGATAAAGGAAATCTTGAGAAGTGATATTATAGATTCCCAACATTTGACCGTATACCTGACCCTTGGGTGGGAGTGGTACCTGGTAGATAAAGTAGATTTCATCGTCTAGACTTGCTGCATCGACAGGGTCTGATGCTCCGTATGGCAAGTGTTTAGGTGAAACCATGACACTGTGTTTACCATTGGTTGGATTATACGATATGATTTGTGTAGACGCCACTTCGGGTGTTGGTGCCAAATACAATGTAATGATAGAGGTTGGCGATTCGACCTTGATAAACTTCATGGTATAGTAGAATCCAAGTCTAACAGCTCCCAAAACCGACCCATTATTGATTGATAGAGTGAGCATGTATTGACAACCTCCTTGACCACATGGTAGCGGGAGATTTAATTCAGATTGATCAATTACTTGATTTTCATCATCATATCTCTCTGATTCTTCTTCTTGATCATCCTCTTGCTACAATAGTTAAATATTATTAATAAGAAATAATTCATAAATAATTAATAAATCATTCTTTTTCTTTTCCTTTTTTGCAACATACATAAAATGTATACATGGCATGAACATAAACAATATTATTTGGATAATCAAATATGTATTGTGCTTCAGTGGCATAACAAGTTGGATAACAAACGGCTGCTACCTGAGGTAGGGTGATGTTTGGTGTTCCAGGTATGACGTTGAGTGTATCAATATCGAGTGTAACAATTGATCCATAATGATAGATATCAAAGACTATAAAGTTTTGATTTGTAGGATCCATAATCACATAATCAAAGTATAATCCTTGAACTTGACTATAGTTGTAATAAACAATAGATGTATCTAATTTTTGGTTTTTCTATAAAGAGTATAATTTAATTTAATTAAAATGAATGGCAATGGTAATATATGAATGAATGAATGAATCACTTACAATATCAATAAAGTCAATGACAGTTGTTTTGTTTACATAATCAACCCAACCAACACCAATTGCCAATACATCTGAGATGTATGGCATCTCTTGGTATATTCTTTGATCGAGTTCAGGAATGGTAAATATAGTTTCAGATTGACCATTTGCAACATTGATTGATCTATAAGTTACACCAACTTGATCAAATCCAAATATAGTTGATACCTAATGAATGAATGAAAGAATGATAAGTTAGAGAGAATAATTAAGATTATCCATCTTGTGGTTGTTTCATCATTACTACTACTTACAGTGGCATGTGATATTTGAACTAATATTGAAAGAAGTAGAATAACTACTACTGTTGGTGAAGAATTAGATGTCATTATATTATGTATATGTTAAATAAACAACAATGGTTTACAAATTTCGTCATCACTCCTTTTATCTTCTATACCAGACATCTCCGTCGTGTACAGAAATCAAAAATATCTTTTAATATCCGCCTAACACTCGTTTGATGATTCCTTTGAACTCTCTTCCCTCTCTCTCTTATATTGGTTTAAGATCTTATAGGACAAGACGATGATTGATTTATAAATATGAAAAGATCTTTCGTTCATTGTTACAATTCCCATGACGAGAACAGAGCCTTTACATCATGTTCAAATAATGATTACACCAAAATATCAAAAGATTTGTTTGTTGTTACCTGTTCAAATATCCTTACAACCTTGTATATTAATCCTTGATTCGATACCAGGGATAATAATAATAACAATAAATCCTGTACTGTAACTTTGACCACTATAGTCGGTGGTATTGAACATGTCTGCCTGCTGCTTCTGCTCTGTGTCGCTCTCTAATACTAATACTATTGAAATAGATAAAGTGACAAACAAACTATATCATTTGGTGTAGTATCTTCAACAAACAATATAATAATAATATTTGTTTAAGACGAAGATGCATATATTGGGTGTCTCTTACTTTTGAAAGAATGAGGGGTCGGCTTGAATCAGATGATCCTGTCCATTTTAAAACATGTTAAAAAAAAGTTGTATGAGTTTTCCTTTTGTCCCTCTTAAAACACCAAATTAGCTGTGAAGATTTTTTCATACGCAGTATTTCCCTTACCCTTTTTGTATCCATATTCTATCTGTACAATTCAACTTGTCATTCTATTTATATCTATCGAGTAGTAGATTGTAATAATACAGATACAGATACAGATATACAACAACAGACAACACATTACGACTATTAGTTAGTTAGTTAGTTGTAATCTTATTTATTTATTCATATATATACATATAACAAGACAGATAGATCGATCTAAAATGTCTAGTAAAAAAGATAAACTATCTAGAACTCCAGTAATGGAGAACATAGTCAATGCATTACTTTGTGCTGCAAACGATGGTGATGAAAAGGTCAGAACCACTGTCATTGCTTCCATCTATGAAATTGGTTTCCGTCAACCAAATATTGTATTGTCATTGGCTACTGAATATTTAAACAAGAATCAAAAGGTATGAATAGAATCTATCTATCAATCTATATATATCAATATATAGCTTACATTTAAATGTATACTGACCGACTGATTTGATTTGATTTTCTTTTATAGATTGACCTAACACATAGAGTAACATTATTGAAATCAGTTCATTCTATTCTTGGTGAAAAGAGAGATGAGATTGTCGATTCATTGTCACAACAATTGATTCAACTGTCGGTGGCTGAAATGACCCGTGACAAAGAGGTTGTACCAGATTGGCAACAAGCAGCCTCTTCTTTAATCGTTTCTCTTGGCATGCGTTACCCAACTCAAATCATGGACGAGTTGTTAAAGAGATTTGAAACTGGTACCATCCCACATTACTTTGTAATGAAAACACTTGGTGATTTCATTGGTGCCAATCGTATGTTGCAATTATGTTTGTTTGTTGGTTGTATGGTTGTACTTATTATTTTTTTTGTTTCCTTTTATTTTAGCAATTCCAACAATCCCAAGAATTAGAGATGTATTATCAAGAGTATTACCAATTTTGGGATCAATTAAACACGATAATATTAAATGGGTATTTGCAGCAGCTTTGGGACACTTTGCCGATGGTATAGTGTCGTATGTTTCCAATATAGAGGCGGGTAGTGACAAAACATTGACATTGTACTCGTTTTCAAGCGAGTTTTATCCTGCTCTCGAACTCATGTTTAGCAAGTGGTTGTCAACCAACCAAGAAAAGGTACGTCTGGTGGTCATCCAGGCAATCGGCTCGATTTGTGCTATTCTCTCGGTTGAACAACTCGACTCGCAGATTAACCGTATTGTCACGGGTGTCTTGTCACATTTGAAAAAGGAAAAGGATTTGTTACCCGTCACACAAGCATTATGCGGTATCTTGGACGTGTGTGTCAAGAACAACCTAAAGACACAGATTGACCCATTACTTGTGAGCATCATGGCAACACTCCACCCACTCGTCTGTCTCATCCCCGACTACAACAACCCAAGCTCGACCAAGACCTTTAACGAGGTGTTGAGATGCTTTGAGATTGTTGGACGTGGGTTTTCGGATCAGTTGGTGACATTTTTGTCACAAAAGCTCGAGATCAAGGAAGCACGTTCGCGATGCGGTGTGCTCAATATTCTCAAGCACATCATCTCGCGTCTCGACCCAGAACTCGAGGACAAGAAGAGCTTGATCTTGTCGGCGATCAAGCCATTGATTCTCAGCGAGACATCGTTGTTTGTCAAAAAGTATTTGGCACAGGTTGTCATCTCGATGGCGTCGCACCAGTACATCCAATTGCAGGGTGGTGAGTGTCTGATCGAGTTTATCATCAAGGGTAGCAGCCATATCGTCGACACGGAGATTGGTCGTCCTGCACCAGCCGCCCCACCCAAAAAGAGTGATGTGCCAGCCGACATGAATGTGACAGAGATTGAATTTAGATCGATTTGCGACAACATTCTCAACCTCATCACCACCACCATCCCCGACATGGAGAGTGTGTTGTGGCCATACCTATTTGAGGCTGTCACCCCAGCCGACTATACTGGCGCCGTCCCCGTCGTTGCCAAGTGTATCACCTACATTGCTGCCAACAAGCGTGAGACTGACGCACCAGACTATTTTATCGATTTTGACAAGGAAGTCAATTTGCCCAAACCAACCGCCATCATTGCACGTCTCTTTGTACTGCTCTCTACCCCACACCGTCGTAACCAAATTGGTGTGCGTGTACTTGAACTCATGCGTAATATTGGTCCTATCCTCCATCCATCTATCTGTGACATGTGGGATGTTACTCTGCCCAAGTTAATCCACTTCCTCGAAGAACACCCTGATTCCTCGGAAACATGGAACAAGACACAATGGGAAGAACTTGTCTTGCGTCTCTTGTCCGAGACGATCAAGAACGCTGCCGACGACGAGTGGACCGTTCACCTCGGTAATGCCTATGCCGACCAAATCGAACATTACAAGCGCGACCCTATCCTCAAACGCTCGCTCTACAAACAACTCGGTCTCCTCATGCAAAAGTGTTCGCACAAGGAGTTTGTCCGCTCCAAGATTGAAATCATGTTCAACTCGGTCGACTACACCAACGCACTCGAAAATGAAGGGTGTGCAATCGGTCTTGGTTACACTGCCGCCTCACACTTTGACATTGTACTCGAAAAGATTAGCATGTTTATCAAAAACAACATGGTCAAAAAGAGTGGTTTCTTTTCTAAAAAGGGTGGTCCCAAGGGCATCAAGAACTGCGTGCTTCAAAGTCTTGCCTATTGCGCCACCTATGCCCAACCCGCACTTCTCTCTTCGCGTGTCGAAGTACACATGATCAACCCCATCAAACCATCGATCGCCCTCCTCAAAAAGCCTGCCAAAAAGATCTCTGCCATTAAAATGATCGATCACATTGGTAAAGCTCTTCATCAAGATCGTATTCCAGGTTTCATCTTTAAACAACGTGACGACCTTTTCAAACTTGTCATTAGTTATATGAGTACTCCTCCACCATCTGTTAATCTTCAAACTAAAATTGATGGTATTAATGCTTGTTCAACTTTAATGTAAAGAAAAAGAAAAAAGAAAAAAAAAAGAAAAGAAAAGAAAATAATATATAATACTTACTTTTTATTTTTATTATTTTTTTAGTAATCTCCAACCATTATTACCAAATGATTTAGAAAATCAAATTGTGATGTTATTACTTCAATTTTATAATACTCAAAGCAGTGCAGGAGCAGCTGATGAACAAGAAGTCAATCAATTGATTACAGCCATTAATAATTTATTCTCTACCATTTTGTTCAATCAACCAACCATTGCATGTTTGAATCGTCTCATTCAATATTTGGATCCACTATCACGTTCAAAGGATGGACACTTGCGTGAAAAGTCATTGTTTTGTATTCTATATTTGGTTAAAAAGTTTATTGAATACAGTGCCGAATCTGAAAACTTGCCTGGCGATAAAAAGTTTGAAAACATTGGTACTACACTTTCAATTGTTATTCCAAGATGTACAGATCCAGAAGTTAATATTAGAAAATATGCAATTGAATCTATTCAATTAATCCTATGTAAGAGAAACAAAAGAGAGAGAAACAAATACATGTAGCTTATTAACAATTGTTATTTTTATTCTTTTAGATGTTGATTATATGTTAAAGACAGCAACACCAGAAATGAGAAGAGTTAAACCAATTGAACATCTTCATCCATTATCATCAATTAAAGAAACCATTACAACTACAGATGTTAATGAACAATTCCAATCTTTATTAGAAGTTGCTTCTGTTATTGCTAAAATGGTAAATATATTAAAATATTAATATATTAATTTAATAATACTTATTCATTTTGATTTTGATTTCTATTTTAGATGCCATTGGATGAATTACCAAAATTCTTGGAACAATCATTAAAGGGATTACAAGACCTTCAAACCTATAGTACCAATGGTACATGTATTATAATTAATGGATTGGTAAAGAGTAGAGGAGGTGAGTTGTTTGATCATGTTGGCATGTTGGTCAAAGGATTCTTGGCAGCAATGGAAGGTATTACATCAGACACTACAATGAATGGAACATTGGTTTCACTTCGTAGTCTTGCCAACCACCATTTGATTGCTGTATTGAGTCAATTGCTAGAGTTCCCAATGCCACATAGCGTTCATGTCATCAAGGCATTACAGATTGTGTCAAAGGACAAGAATTTGGTAGTACCAACCTTTAACCATTTGATGGATCTATTGAACAACAAGCCAATCTATGAGGATAAACCAGACCCCAAGGACAAGAAAAAGACAGTGCCATCTCAGTTTAATGTAGCACTCGCCACCACCTCGTCGCTAGGTGAGATACTCCAATTGGAAGAGTTGGAGGATGTTGCCAACCACTTTTACGCACAACTCTTTTGCACGGTCTCTTTGCGTGCCGGTACCACCAACAACTCGCTCAACTCAACCTCTGAACACCCAGGTGTAGGTGGTGCCAAGGGCAAGTCCGTCACTATCATCCCATCGCAGCAGTTGATCGCCACATTCCGCCAGTTCTTCAAGTGCACCAAGGAAGACGAGATGCTCGAGGAGATTGACAGCGCCATCGACAACTTGGACAAGGTCGACTACCCCAAGTCGCTGCAAGAGATCACTTCCAAGGTCGCTCAAGCACACCCCGACCTCATCAAACCTATTTTCGAGTACCTCATCCCCTACCAAAAGAGCAACTATGTGCCACAACGTGTAGTGACTACTGCTATTGTCGCCGAACTCGTCAACCACTGTCCCGACAAGGAACTGTTGCAACGTCTCATCAACACATTGCTCGGAGCACTCGTCGAGCCTGCTATCAAGCTCATTTCACTCAAGGGTCTCTCCAACATTGTGTCTTGCGGTGCCGAACAAACCAACCGTTACGCACCAACCGTCATTGACGCTCTTTCATCGTCGATCGATGATTCGGACGAAGTTATGGCCATGGAATCAATGCTTGGTCTCTCCAAGATCTTTACTGTCGTCGATGAGTCTCGTGTAGCCCCCATTCTCGTTAATATTTGCAACCGTATCAAACCAGCCTTTGAGAAACCCAACGATGAGATTCGTGCCGCCTCTTTCACACTCTTTGGCAGTCTCTGGCGTTTCGGTGGTGGCCTTGCATCCGATCCCTTTTACGAGCAGATGCATAACAACCTTCCATGTCTTGTAATGCATGTCAACGATGAAAGTGCAGCTGTTCGCAGTGCCTGCAAAACTACCCTTCGTCAACTTTCAGCTCTTCTCCGTGCCGATCAAGTTAAAGTGTTTTTCCATAAGCGTTCTTTTGATGCAGACGCAACTCTTGATTATGATGAATTCTTGGATGAATTATCTAAAGTTTTGGTAAGAAATGGAAATAGGAAATAGGAAATGGAAAAGATGATCAATTTTATTAACTCTATTATTTATTATTTATGTTATTTTTAGATTACATTCTACACTGACAGAATTAATTATTTCTTAATGACTACAATTGAATATTATAAGAGTAATTGGGTTGTATTACGTGGTAATGCAGCCACATTGACAGGATTTATTTTAGGAAATATGCCAGAGGAGAAACGTATTAGTACCACTCTTAATCCAGCCATTATCACTCAGTCTTTGATTCGTTTACTTGGCGAAAAATCAGCCGAAGTTAGAAAGAAGGCTGCCGATTCAATGTCTTATCTCCATACCTATTAATAATAGAATAATAATAATTAGAATAATAATAAACTTATAACATACATTTTTTACATTCCATTTACACATCCAGCTGGATCCAAAAAGACAATAAATTTAAATTTAAATTTAAATTTAATGCTTCTTCTTCCCCCATCATACTCTATTGTATCATTTTAAATCTTGGATGAAAAGACGGTTTAATTTAAAATGATTTAATAGAGTATAATGAGGAAGGTTGTGAAATGTTGTTGGACACATGTGTCGAGACAAACATTAAAAAATATAGTTGATTAAAGAGAGAAGACACATATGTGTCTTGATTAGTTATTTAGTTTATTTCGCTGCATGTGTTGACTATTCTCCAAGTACCATCTGAATTCTTTACAAACAATACTATTATAGGAGCCCCAAATGGTTACATCCTTTAGAACCAAACTCCTTGATAGTAAAGAATCTAATTCCATATATATATTAAAATCACTTTACGACGCCACGGTTCAATCTCGTCCACAGTGTATATTATACCGATGAAGAACAAATACATCTTTGTGAAAAGAAAGATGATTGCCCATTACATCGTTTTCCAAATACAATGACCAAAGCTCAAATAGCTCACTCTCTTCTCATACACTATTATCATCTTTATCAAATTGACCCCAACAAGGAATCGGTTAAAGATAAAGTCTGGAAAAAGTTTGTTACACCGTACGAGGAGTGTATCAAAGCATTTGGAAAGGAGCATTATTATTATGGCATCTACATTTTCAAAGATTGTATCAGCAACAAGAAAGGCGAGATCCCTGCAATCACCAAAACAGTCAATGACGATGGATTTTATCTCAACTTGAATACCAACATTCCACTAAAATACCACACAACTTTTAGCGATAAAGTATGGATACAACAACAATCAATGACTTCCACTGAAAGAGCAAATGAATTAATGTTAATTCACATGAAAGTTTTGGTGTCAATCTTGAATCAAATCATTCTCAAGTTTAGGGGTCCAACAATTCCCAAACCAAGTGATTTTGGTGACATCCCACATTTCAAACATTTTGAAAACTTTATCAAGAAGCTCATTTCATTGGCCAAGCTCAGCGAAGAAGATATCATCAAGATATGTACGATGCCAAAAGGTTGGGGTAACATTGTTCACTGTGGTCTTACCAGTGGTAGTGTTCCAAAGGACCATCCAATCATTAATACACAAGTTAACCTTGAACTCGATGGAAATGAACTATCTACTCCATCAAAGGAAAAGTTAAAGGAGTTCCACAATGCATTCCATCGTGTGGAAGCTTGTTTTCCCTCGACCACCACCGTATCATTCACAAGTACTCCATTGCACAAGTTTGCCTTGTCAAATAATGATGAACGTATGATATATATAAAAAAAAAAAAGTATCAATTAGATATATAAATATATTAACATATTTTCCCAAAGTATTACCAAACCTTCATCGTGGTAGGAGTGGTGTCGAAACCACTGATACTTATCAAGAGGTTTGGGATAACCTTGAGAATAGCCTGAATCTATTCTACAGTCATATGGGAGATCCTATGAAAAAGCAATCCATATTCGAGTTGGACAACAATCCCAATCACAACCATAATATGGAACAGGATGACCACTCTTCATCCACTTCTACTACTACTACTACAACTACTACTACGACCAGTACAATTCAATACCAAGATGACTCTGATGATGATGATTTAAATGGTGTTGATTCAAATGAACACTGGATCCAAAGAAAGAAACAAAGATTTGACCAACCTTTCCACAAGGAACAAGAAGAGGATTAAAAAAAACAATTCACAACTTAAAATAAATATATTAATAATAATAAAGTTTTTAGATTATAAATATATTGATATTTTATTAAATAAATAATTATTGTATTAAATTTAATTGATAAAAGAGTTTATGCTTTCAGATTTATAACCATCCTTGGAATAGGTGATTGGGAAGAAACTTTCTTCCATCTCTACAGAATTGTGTAACTTGTATCTACCATAGATGAATCCAACATCCTTTTCTTTGAATTTAGTCTTGTCTGGAATAAAACATAATGCATAGGCCATTCTCTCTGTTAAAAAAAAAATAGATCATTAATTTAACATTAACCATAATTGGAGTATGGTATATTTCCATCAAGGTTTACATACCATTCTTCATACTAGTATTTGAACCTGATCCATGCCAAGTCAAACCATGGTGAATACCACAACCACCTTTGGGGACTACAACTGGGACAACATCTGGTTTTTCAATACCTTCCTTTTGAGCAGCTTCGTTTAGGTTCTTGGTGTAAGATGGTGGAACATGGAAATTCTTGACCATACCAGAATGAGTGTTCCATTTATGACTTCCCTTTACATACTCTAAAGTACCATTCTCTGTAGAAACATCAGTCAATGCCAACCAAATAGTGACAACTGAAACTGGATTGAAAAAAGTTAAATATGGTTCATCTTGATGGAATTTGATTGGACCTCCACCAATTGGTTTCCACTAAAAGATATATGTTAGAAATTGTAAAAATTTAATAGAGATTTAAAATTATTTACAAATAAATCATCTTGAGCAAGACGAGCACCTTCCCAACCCATTAAATCGGCAGCAACCTTTCCCAACTTTTCACTCAATGCAACTCTAGCAAAACTAGGATCACACTTGAATGCATTGGCAAGTTCACGAGTAGTATCATTTCTTGATAAATTTGGTCTCCAATTTAATTCATCTAAAAAAAGAGAGAGAGAAAAAAAAACAAAATATTGAAAAAAAGAGTGAAAAAAAAAAAAATATTAATATAACATTATTTCTCAAATAGGGGAATATTATAAAAACTGCAAATTATTTAATTAACTACCCCTAAAAAAATACTATTTGATTCTCCCAACAACAGTTCCTTGAATTATTCGCAAGTGAATCACAATTATTAGTCTTGATGAAAGATATAAATAGATAGATTATTATGGAGGCCATCATATTCAATAAATATATATTTACTCACCAACCACCATAGCTAGCTATCATAGTTATAATATATATACATCATGTCAACTACGCTGACATCTGATCCATTTTACAAAGTACAAGCGTAAGTAAGGACCTACCATGGAGGATTGATATATCAATTGCAAGCACTTATGTATACGTATATGAGGTCGACTGGATTATTAACGATCATTGAATGTGTATATTTATTTATTTTAGTGATATTCAATCATCGTTAAAGCTGCTAACAGATGATCATCAAATATGGAAACAATTACTGGCTGAAACTAATGCTACTGCTGCCACCAAACACCAAATTAGATGGACTACCAAAGAACTTAAAAGGGTGGTAACCAGACATGAAGATACATTGAGAGAATTGTCAGACTCTATTGTAATAGCTGAAAAGAATAGGGAAAAGTATAGATTGACATTGGTTGAAATTGAAAATAGAAAGAGATTTGTACGTGAATCATTGGCACTACTTGTCACCATAAAACATGATCTTTATAGCAATAGTAGTAATGAATACCACAAGATTGATTACTCTGACAATCTAAAAGAATTACTATCCTCTTCTACTCCTCGAGGAGTAGGTCTTGAAAAGAGAAGGGCTGATGATCGACTACCAACCGAAGATTATGAAGTTCAAATGGGTGGCCAATATTTCATACAACAACGATTATACAAAGAACAAGATAAAGGTTTGGATCAACTACTCGATAATGCCAAGGAATTGGGTGAAATCACAAAGACAATGGGTACTGAAATTAAATCTCAAGGAATGTAAGTATTCAAACATGTTGTCCTATCCTATCCTATAGGATCCATATATATGTGTATTGAATACTATATTAAAATTAATATTAATATTATCTATTCTTTTTTTTTTTTTAGAATGTTGGACAAGCTTGATAAAAGAGCAGATCATTCAACAAATACATTGAGTGGTTTAATGAGGAGATTGGATAGATTTATGACTTGATCGATCCAACTCTTTGGAGATATCTGTCTATTAATTATAATAATAATAATTAATAAATATCCATGTAAATAATTAATTATTGGTTTTTGTTGTTGACCCTCTTTGAAAATAATGTGATCTCTCACAGCTGTGCATTTTTGATGCACCCCAAATTAATTAATTTATTGATTTTAATAATTGGTTACCTCTTTTGAAAACTTAATATCATAAATTCTATATTTTACTAATAATAAGAATAAACTCTGACTCTTTCAACCTATATTTTAATATACATTTTAAAAGGTTTTTTTTTTTTTTTTTTTGACAGCTCAAATCGATCAAATCTGTGTGCAAAGTCAGTATTAGATATTAAAGTAATAATTAACATAATAAGACATGTCTAAATCACACATTCAAAGAGATTGGGAACAAAGAGAGTTTAATGAAGAGATCAGTTTAAACATTCAAAAGATTATAGATTTCCTAAACAAGTTTGGTATGTTTCAACACAGGTGGTTTGATCGATCATCATCATCGTCATCATGTGAGCAAATCGGATTGTACTTACATTATATCTATTATCATTATAGATCTTTCAACTAGAAACAAACTAGCAACTGTAAATGAAAAGTTATCAATGTTGGAAAGACAAGTTGATTATCTTGAATCTGCAATCAAGACTGTCAATGAATAGATAGAATAGAGTAGAATAGAAAGATAGAGATAGATAGAAATATAGAGAAAAGAGAGATAGCATTATTTTTTGGTGCCATCTAAACCTTATCACAAACTTGCGCAACCATCCTTGTACTCTTTGACTCACAAACAGTAATTAAAGAAGAAAGAGGAGATAACAACAACAACAACAACAACATGTAATAGCAAAAACACACAAGTAAAATAAACCAATCATTGTATAATAGGAGAAAACTACAACATATAGGACAAGACATTGTTAGATCTAGATTTATATCGGGGACGACCCTTCAAACCTGTGGGTTAGGGGTCTATCATCATTGTCCGACGATATTAATAATAATTTGTTTGTGTATAAGATATAACTTTTGTTTATTTTTAGATCTCTCTCTCTCTCTTAAGCGAAACCATAGTTTGGAATCTTCATTCTAAGGAAAACGATAGCGATATTGTATGAAGCGACGATTAAAACAAGAGCGGCGATAAAGATATAGTTGTTGTTTTTGTCTTTGTTGAGATCAGAGAGAATGAAACCAATGGCACCCAAGGCAAAGATAAATCCAGCAGAGAGACCTTCGATAATGAATTGACCATTGACACGATACATCTGAAAGACCGATGGCTTTTGTACACCACGTTCATCTTGCGAGTAACCAATCGATGGTGGTTGAACGATGAAATCATAGATGATGCCACTAGACACTAAAAAGTAGGTGACAAACACAATCACAAACACCTTCATTGGTGATGGATAACTAAATGTTGGTGTCTTTAATCTAAGGCTTGGTACCTTGTAAAATTTGAATGGTAATTCTAATATTCCGCTCATCTCTCTAAGTTGTTTGTTGATGTTACTATTATATGTACAAATTTGATTTGGTTGGGGTTGGGGTGGGTTATATTGTTGATCTATGATATGAGATTGCCAACAAGTTGATTCTTCTTCTTCTTCTTCTATTACAAATACAGTGTGGAATGAATGAATGATCTTCACAAACAAACAAGACAATCTTTTGATTGGGGAAGGGTGAGGAGCGAAGAGAGAGGAACATCCTCATTTTGACTTTGTTTGTTTTTTTTAATTTTTTTTTATGAGTGGCCCTTCACCCTTAAAAAGGTCAAAACAACCTTTGACATCATCATCGATAGATAGATAGATATTACTCTTTGTCTTGTTGAAGAGAGAATAGTAAATAAGCTGATTAATATTAAAGAGGACAGAGTAGTATCAATCTAGTAGCATTAGCATCAGGTTAGAAACTTCATCCACCCCCTTAAAAATTTGAAAATCCACAACTTAGAAATTTCGAAAGATACTTCATTCATTCATTATCATTAAAAGTAATAGTAATAGTAATAGTACATATAGCATTCAAGTAAAGAGAGAGAGAGAAAACTAGGATACTAGTTTATCATTACAAGAATGAATTCATTTACCTCTGTTAATGTAATCGATAAAATACAACAAAAAATAGAATGTATTGATACATGGGGTATGTATATGTATAACAATCAAGCAAGATAGGAAGCATGTTACTAATGTATCGTTTCAATCAATAGAGTTTAGAGGTGTAAAGAGACTTTTACTTGGTACTTATGAAGGTTATGTATTGATATATGAGGTCACTGAAAGACCAAATGGTATGATATAGATATATAAAAGATATTTAAGTGTAGTGTCATTATTTTGTTAATTTATTCGTTTATATTTTCGTAGTATCAATTAAACTTGTTGATACAAAACAATTATCAAGAAAACCAATTCAACAAATGACAGTATTGGAACCATACAATATGTTGGTGATCTTGACAGATGGTGATCTCAAAGTATTTGATTTGGTGAATGGATTTTCACAAAGAACACCATTGACCAAGGCAAAGGGATGCAATGTGTATGCCGTCGCTCAAAACGGATCTTCACTCAGTCTCTGTGCAGCTGTCAAGAAAAAGTTGATGTTGTACAATTGGGATGGCACTGATTTCCTCGAGTCTAAAGAGTTTAACATACCAGATATCACCAAAGCATTGGATTATCGTGGCGACTCGATTGTCGTTTGTTTCAAAAAGGCTTATAATATTATCAACACCATCGATGGTAGTGTTCACAATGTTGATACTGAAAAAATATCATTTGCTACCTTTTTCCAAAACAATGAATTTTTAATTGTAAAGAATAGTATGTAAAGTAAAATTAAAACGTTCAATCAAATTAGTATATATTTATTTATTATTTCTTTTTCTTTTTTAGATATGTCATTCTTTATAAATACAGATGCAGTACCGACAAGAAAATATGCATTAACATGGTCAGATTCACCAACCAATTTGACGATTTACTATCCATTTGTACTTTCGATTGAAGCACGTCAAGTGGAGATTCAGATTGTTCCAGAGTCCAAGACAAACTCCAAGGCCATTTCACAGACACTCTTTATTAATGGTGGTAAGGCGATCACGTCGAAAAAGGATATCTACGTGGCCTCCAACTCTACCGTGTGGAGACTTGTACAGGTTCCCATCCTCGAACTGGTCGATCAGTTGGTCACCAACTCAGAGTTTGAAACAGCCATCAACGTACTCACAAATTCACCAGACACTTTGCCAGGCAAGCGCGACAAGTTGTCCAAGATCAAAATCTCGGCTGCCTATCATCAATTCTCAAGAGAGCAATACATCAGTGCTATGGAACTCTTCCTCAGTGCTTCATTTGATCCTCTCAAAGTCATTTCACTCTTTCCTGGTTTCCTTCCACAACTTCTTCAAGAAAAACTTTCAGTTCCAATTCAAACAAAAGATCTTGGTAAATTTAAAATCATAATATATTAATAATAATGATCATTTTGATTACTTATACTTTTTTTAATTTTTAGAAAAAAATGAAGATGCATTGGGAGCATTGGATGCATTTTTAGTTAGTATTAGAAAAGAATTACAGAAACCAGATAGACCACCATATAATTTAAATCCACCTGAATTACACAACTCTGGTTATGATCTTCCAACATTGATTGATACCACTTTGCTCAAAGTCTATATCAAATTAAAACCAAATTTGATATCAGTCTTTTTCAATCTCAAAAACAGTTTACACATTGAAGAGACTCAACGAGTGTTGATTGAAGAAAAGAAGTTTACAGAACTCGTTACATTCTATCAATCCAAAGCTATGCATCGTGAGGCTCTTTCATTGTTGGTCAAGAATAGTGGACCAAAGGAAACCATTGCCTATCTCTGTACATTAGGAAAACAACATATAACCATTATTTTGGAACAATCTAAATGGGTACTTCAATCTTGTCCTGATGAAGCTTTATTAGTATGTCGATAAAATAATCAAATATCCAATTCAATTTACTTAATTTATTCTTTTTTATTTTTATTAGATTTTCACAACTGAAAGAAAAGAAAAAGATGAATTACCACCTGATCAAGTTATTCCACATATTAGTGCTCATGCACGTTCATTGTTGATGGAATATTTGGAATGTATTATTAATAATCCTATTCATCCAGACAAAACCCCTGATTTCCACAATGCACTCATTTTCGAATATCTCACCAAGATCAACACCTTTATTAGACATTCACCAGCTCCAAGAGCTCAAGAAACACCTGCTGCCTCTGAATTGGGCAATCTTCGTGAAATTAGATTAAAGTTGATCAACTTTTTACAAACTTCTAAATTTTATCTACCAGAAAAAATGTTATCAAGATTCCCTGTTGATGGTAAGAGAAAAAGAAAGAAAAAGAGAAAGATAAAGAAAGAAAACAATTGCTAAACAATCTTTTCTTTTACTTTTTTAGATTTATTTGAAGAAAGAGCCATTTTATTAAGTAAGATTGGTAGACATGAACAAGCATTGGCAATTTATGCACATAAACTTAAAAACTTTAAGATGGCAGAGGAATATTGCGATAGAGTATATAATCGTGATAGTCAAGACTCGAGAGATGTCTATCTCAACCTTTTAAATGTATATTTGAAACCTGAAGGAACCGATTCCAAACCACTGATTGGACCAGCACTTGCTCTACTCAACAAACACTATCGATCAATCAACACTCCAAACGCACTCGGCTTGTTGCCTCTTGAAACCTCCATCAAAGAACTCTATCCATTTTTCGAATCTGTCATTCGTGACAATACCAAAACAAAAAGAGATAATCAAGTTATTAAAAATTTATTTAAAGCTGAAAATGTAAAGGTAATGTATCACACAAAAGTTAAAAAAAAAAGAGAGGAATATATATAAAACTCAATAATATTTGTTAACAGTTCAAACTCTTGTTTTTTTTTTACTATTTAGATTAAAGAGGAATTAATTCATTTAAGATCAGGTGTAATTAAAATTACAGATGATTTAATTTGTCCTTATTGCAATAAGAGATTTGTTGGTACAAATGCATTTGCTGCTACTCCAAGTGGTACTGCAATTCATTATGTTTGTTTCCAAAACCAACAAAATCAAAAGAATTTAATGAATGGGTCAAATAATAATGCAAACAATTTCCAACCTGGATCGTATGAATACTAATAACAAATAACAATAATAACAATAGCAACAACAAACAACAGTATTAACAATAATTATTAGACCATCAAAAAAAATAGCAACAACAACAACAATGTGTAGTGGCATGGATAAAATAAATGACCAAACAAACATATCTCGTTTTTGTACACATGTTAACATGCTAGAGATCAAAATGAGATCTCGTAATGCAATGTGTTTCTCGTGTTACACCACTCCTCCTCTAAACACATATTTTTTTTTTACATTACCATCGACAAATCCAATTGAGATAAATATAAAAGAAAAAAATATATATTACATTATATCATGAATGAATATTTATCCAATTGATTGGTTGTTGTACAAATATTAATATATTTAATTATAATAATAATCATGTCAAAGTATAGTAATTTTGTATTTAAAACTAATAATTATCCAATTAAATTTAAAAATCATTTTCATAATATCCTTGCTAATAATAGTTTTAATAGTACTATTACTACACCTACAAATGAAACCATCCAACATGTAGTAAATATCAATGAAGAATCAATTCATTTTGTAATCATCAAAACTTTAAAAGATAATGGCAAAAGTGAAGTTGGTGATGATTATAATTGTATATATATAGTGTATATTTTTAATTGCTCCAATGACAATATTCAAGACCTTACAATTCAAATTAAAATAAATAGTGATCATTCAGTTCCATTGTCTCTTGGTGATATTGAAAACATGAGATATGATAACTCTACCAATTCATTTAATCTTCCATTTCTCAACTGTCTCCCTTCCAATGGAGTACACTCTTTTAGGTATGTTTATAGCCCAACTCAATTCGAATATCCAATCTCCCATTAACTAACTCTTTTTATAGTTTTAAAAGTACAATAGATTTATTAGAGTCCCCTATTTTAGAAATTATCGAAATAAATTAAACATATGTATATAAATCTAAATTAATCTATTTTTTTTGAAAGTTAAACAAGTGTTTTATTTTATATAAATGATTTGATTGCTACCATATGTAGATATGGTTGGTAGATAAAGGATAAATTGAAACTCAAAGGGCCAATAAATTGGGGGGAGGGAGGGATTTCAAAACAAATTTACTTTCTTCCAGATTGGTTTGGATTCATTTGATTGGCTCTGTTATCCAAGTTACTTGGAGCTCCGCTATAACCAGATGATCTTTTTAAGAAAAGAAAAGAAAAGAAAAGAAAAGAAAAGAAAAGAAAAGAAAAGAAAAGAAGAAAAAAAAAATTAGAATAAATGATCTATTTCTATAAAAATATTAAATTATTTACCTTCCAGGTCCAGTTGATGGATGATTTGGGTTTTGTTGATTTGATTTATTGTCTTGTGCTTGTTTGTCCATTTTTAATTATTGTGAATGGAATAATATTGATGTTCATTCTTTTATACCTACTATTATAAATTAATTCATTTAAATCAATTAAATGGGAACAAACAATAAAAGTAATTATTTATTTCATTCCCAATTCGGTAGGATATGACCCCCACAAACCAACCCTACAGTTAAAAATCGAACCAATGAGTGCTGTTCAAGGTGATTTATTGGTAGGTTGGATTCACCCTCGCAGATTGACCACCGTAGTTGGCAATGAAAAAGTAAAATGTAATTCGTTCTCTCTTATCATCTCAAAGAGGGATCTATAATATTTACTATTCAAAAATATAATTATATTATTATTACTATAATTATGGATATAATATAAGCAGGAGAAGAAGTTAATAATTAAATTTAATTTTAGTTCAGTAAATAATGATTGTGAATAGAAAAAGTATTCTTCTTCTTGAAGAGTGCCACAATGCATACTATTTGTTAAGAAAAAATGATATTCTATGAGGTTGTTTTATTCAATCTTGGCATGAAATTGAACTTAGTTTCTTTTCTTGTTGAATATAAAACATATAAACAATGTGTGGATCGAGTGTATACACCAGACGAATTAAAGAAGTTCAAAGTATGCCAATTACAGACTTTGTGTCTGACGAGAAAGATAGCCTTTGCAAAATCAATGAGCAAGCCTACTATTCCTATCAACACAGTATGAAACGATACAATAATACTGCTAAACCTCTGAAAGACTATTATGTTGGATCTGTTGACTTTGCATTACCGGTATATCTCATCGTCAAGATCTTTAGATATACTTGGGATATGTTGCTAGACAAGACTATCCCACCCGAACCTACTGAAACCCACTACCAAAGATTCAGGATGGCTCTTCGCTTGGCTTCGGTCAACAAACAACTGTTTAGTGTGATTTCATTGTTTCCTGTATCGATGAAACTCTCTTACCGTGATTGCAGCGCTATGGAGAACAAGACATGGTGCGTTCTCAAACGTCCCACCAAATTGACAATGCAATTAGAAGATGCTAATTCACTCCTCGCCGTAAAGAATCTCTACCCTGCACATGCAGAGTTATTGTCAATGGTCACCAAATTCAAGATCACCCGACTCTTATGCAGACCATTCACGTTCTATCACTTCAACAAATTGGTAAAACAATGCACAATCTGTCAAGTTTGGTAATTGGTGCTATTAAATTGGATGAAAGACATTTTAGACTATTGGCTGGTATCACTACATTGGTCAAATGTGATTTCCAGAACACATTGCTTTGTGTCAAAAAAGGTCTTGGTCCCTACACGTACTTGGAAGAATACTTTGAGAATGTGAAACATCCAATGGTAAAGATGGTGCTACCTGGTGGATACCAAATCACCAACAAAATTATCGTAGACTCGCTCGTCACACTTGGTGCTAAAACCATTCATGCTGAACACAAGAATCTCAAGAAATTCATTGCCACTTACACCGCTTCTTTCTTTCCCCGATCAATGCCACCCAACACAGTACTATTAAATCCACCCCCTCCCATTGTAATCGATTACTATCGTGGCATTACCCATTTGCGTATCTACCTCGAACCATACCTTTTTGATACTTGGATCGAGAAAATGCACATATTCCCTAGTTTGGTCACGTTGGAAAACACAGGTGCCTTTGCCCTCGAGTTTGCTAGCAGAGTATATGAAAGTCAACAAAATCCATTCCTCTCTTATTTCATTGTCTGGTGTGGTTTAAAAGATTTGGTCCCCGCACCAAACACCAACTCTAAACTTGAATACCTTAAAGAAAAATGGATCTACTCTAATGGTACCAAAAGATTTGGTATCAAATCAAACAACAAGATAAAAAATAAAAAAAGGACAAAAGAATTGGATAATTAATATTTTTGGAATGGAATCTTTTTTTTTATTATTTATAATCCAGCTAGATAATGGTTGTTATTTTAAAATAAAAAAAATAACATTAGGTAGGTAGTACTACTAACTGACAGAGATATATAGCGATTATGAAAATTAACCAAATGCAGCACTGATGGCACCAGCAATAGCACCACAAGCCTTTGCAGCACCAGAAAATGCTTTGACCGCCTAAATTTTTAAAAAAATTAAAAATAATAATTGATTGATTAATATTATTGTTTTGATTGATATTATTATTATTTTACATACACCAAATAATGGGGTAAAGTTTGCCTTGTCCAACCATAACTCATTTACTTGCAGGAAATTGGAAGTGTAAGCGACTGCAACAACATCACCATCGATTCTGAGCATTAAATGACGGTAATCATCTCCTTCCTCTCGGTAAGCAGTAAGAACATGATCATATGATCTTGGATGAATTTTAAATTCTTTTCCTTCATATGATAATGTAGTGACTGAGGTATCTTTAAAAGCATTGACCATGCTTACTTGTTCTGCGTCAGAAGCATGCCAATTGGGAGAAGAAGCCATTCTCTTTGAAGTATTGGCATCTAAAATGACCAAAGCATCAAATTTCTTTGAGAAATTATCAAATGCATTGTTCATAGATTGAACATATTTCGACATATCCATTTTCAATTATTATTATTATTTATAAATATAGATAGGAAATAAAATTATTAAATATATGGGAGGGATAAAAGAATGATTGAATGAATGAATGAATGAATGATCAAAACTCAGTTACTCTTTGAATTCATTGTGTAATCTGCCTTGGTCACACACCAATGTGGTTGGAGGTAGAGACACCAATGTTATGATATAACCACTCTTGACTGGATGAAATTTAAAACCACCCGTCAAGGAGGTTTTTTATTCATACTTGCCTTGTTTGCCAAACTACAAATAAAATAAATAAATAAATAAATTATTATTTATAAAAATGAATGAATAAAGTTAACCCACTCCTCCGGAACAGGTTTATAGCTTTTGAGTTGATTTTATAATTGTTAACAATAATTATAAAATTTTCCAAGAAATAATTGATCTATAGCTTTGCTTTGCTTGAGTGAACTTTTACTTTTTATTTTTGTTTGTTTACTACGATATAATGAATAATAATAATAATAATATAAAGATATTAAGTATTGAAAAGGATGAACACTTGAACAGTGAAAAGATTGTAAATAGCGACGATAATAAAGATAAAGATAAAAAGGAAAAGATAACTGTACACTATGCAAACTACACATCGGAGCAATTGCTCAAAGAGTTGGAAGACTTGCGACAACAAGAACAAGAACTAGTAGATAAACTCAAACCTTATCAAGACCAAATAGACAAGGAGAAACAAAAGAATAAAGATATTCACCTCTTTCATGAATTGAGAGAATCTTGTCATAACATTGTCATGACTATAGGTAATTATATATAAGAAGATACTAACAACTACTGTATATAAATATATATATATATATATATATAATACGAAACAATGATACTAATCGTATCCTCTTCTTGTTCTTCTTCTTTTATCCTTTGTATATCCTATATATATATATATATAGCACATATGGAGAATGTAACACAAAATGAAATCTATAAATCGGTGAATATGGTATATACACCTAGAATAAAGAATAAGCAATTAGCGTAGTAGTAGTCGTAGTGTGGCAGTAGTGGCTGGTAGTAGTAGTTGGTACAAGTATTATTCTTCTTATCTCAACCTTCCCTTTCCCTTTCCCTTTACTATTAGTACACTCCAACCAAAAAAGACAAACAATGACTCTATACCAGAAGAAGATTCTTTCCAGTCGATTTCAAGACCATTCGGTTTTCAAAGCAAACCCTCGTGAAGGCTCGCACCTGTGACTCATCGGGTCTGCAAAGATTAGAATAATAAAAAAGGAAATGGTCTGACGACAACAAAACGACAACAACCAACAATCTATGAACCATATCCAATGGAATTATACAATTACTATTCACCAACAGATACATTAATACTCAAATAATTAATACAAAATGATGCTTGTCTAAAAAAAAAAAAATTAAAAAATTATATTATATTGGGGGAGGGGGTTGTTTATGTCTCCCAACATAATGGGAGGTGAGATATTCTATCGTATGAATGAGTGGGGTGGTAGGTGGTATCCAGAGAATGTGATTCGTCAGAATCCAGTTGAGTGGGTAGGGAGTGTGTGGTGATGAGGTGTTGGTGGGATACCAATTGAACCTTGTTTATTTTTAATCAACACACTCCTCTCGCTCTTCTTGAGAGAGATTTTTTTTAAAGAACTTTAATAATTTTTTTTCATTTTTTTTTTGTTTTTTCTGGCACCCGCTGAACCTAGCCGACTATCTTATCGATCACATTGTTATTGTTAAAGTCAAGCCTTTAAAAGGAGTAATAGCCTGTTTGTTGTCAGTATTAAATTAATACATACAATTAACTTATTATTAACTAGAAATGTCAGCTCAAACTGTTCTTTTCACTTCCGAGTCTGTGACTGAGGGTCATCCAGGTAAGTTAGAGATAAATAATAACAAAAATTATATATATACAGATAAAAACAATTAATATTAATATTCACAATCTTTTCTTTTCTCTTCTTTCTTCTTTTTCCCTTTCTATAGACAAGATCTGCGATCAAGTCTCTGATGCCATCCTTGATGCCTGTTTGGCTCAAGATCCATATTCCAAGGTTGCTTGTGGTAGGTTCAAACAAAAACAATAATGATCTTAGAGAGACAGACTAGATTTTTTATCGGCCGACAAAACACTATAGTATTTAGAACACAGATAGACATCAACATAATTGGATCAAAAAGACAAAAACAAGTCGTTGAATGTGATTTATTTGTTTACCAATACCATCAATACTACTTTGTCGTGTGCATGTTGATGTATCACACGACGTTCTACTTGATAGTGAATCATCAAGAAGAAGGGGAAAAAAAAAAAAGTCAAATCATGTCGTCGAGTTCTAAAGAAAAAATTTGTCGGTCGAAAAAAAATGGTGTCGGTCGAAGATAGAGAGAAAAGAAGATATTTTTTTTAAAACAAGATACTAATGATTTTATATTACTACTACTTTTAATTTACCTCTATTTTAGAAACTTGCACCAAGACTGGTTTAGTTATGGTATTTGGTGAAATTACCACCAAGGCTGTTGTCGACTACCAAAAGGTTGTCCGTGACACCATCAAGAAGATCGGTTTTGATGACTCCTCAAAGGGTTTCGATTACAAGACTTGCAACGTCCTCGTTGGTATTGAACAACAATCACCAGATATTGCCCAAGGTGTCCACGTTGGTAAGAACCTCGAAGACATTGGTGCCGGTGATCAAGGTCACATGTTTGGTTATGCCACCAATGAAACCGTTGAAATGATGCCATTGACTCATTACCTCGCCTCTGAGTTGGTCAACAAGTTGACTGAACTCCGTCACAACGGTACCCTCGCCTGGGCCCGTCCAGACGCCAAGACCCAAGTCACCGTCGAATACTTAAAGGAAGGCGGTCGTATGACCCCAGTCCGTGTCCACACTGTCGTCATCTCCACCCAACACGATGAAGACGTCACCAACGAAGTCATCCGTTCCGAGCTCCTCGAAAAGGTTGTCAAGGAAGTCATCCCAGCCAAGTACTTGGACGACAAGACCATCTACCATCTCAACCCATCTGGACGTTTCGTCATTGGTGGTCCAATGGGTGACTCTGGTCTCACTGGTCGTAAGATCATCATCGATTCATACGGAGGTTGGGGTGCCCACGGTGGTGGTGCCTTCTCTGGTAAGGATCCATCCAAGGTCGATCGTTCTGGTGCCTACGCTGCCCGTTGGATCGCCAAGTCCATCGTCGCTGCTGGTCTTGCCGAACGTTGTCTCGTCCAAGTCTCATACGCCATCGGTGTTGCCAAGCCACTCTCTGTCTTTGTCGACTCTTATGGCACCGGCAAGAAGTCCGATACCGAATTATTAGATATCATCAACAAGAACTTTGATCTCCGTCCTGGAGTCCTCACCCGTGAATTGGACCTCCTCAGACCAATCTACCAATTGACCGCCGCCGGTGGTCATTTCGGTCGTGCCCTCAAGGAATTCACCTGGGAAACTCCAAAGACCCTTACTCAATAAATTGGTTAAAATAATATAACTTTTAGTACATTTATAAAACAACATAAAAGTAGTTAGTGGTAGTGTGTATTCTTTATATATATATCTTTTCAACAATCAAAATTAATAATCGAATCTTGATTATTTGTGTAAATTGCATTTGATGAATGAAAAAAAACGAATGATTCGTTTTTTTTGTAAAGAGTATTTTGAAATTAATGTTCATTTGTAAATATAGTAAAAGATGTTAAATATAAGTAGATATAGTAGTAAACAAACAAGTAACAGTTTGTTATACTATTATACTCTATCAAGTAGTAGTGGTAGTAGTGGATCATATATTGTAACAAGAGATTATAGTAGTGGTAATAATAATAGAGATAGATCAAAAAATATAATTAAAGGATTAAATTATAAATCAATTGGTAATCAACAATCAAAGAATAAGACAAATAGTTATAGATTGGCAGATGATACAATCATTAGCCACAAGATTACAAGTCGAGGTGGACCAAAGAAATACTTGGATCAAGGTTTTGGTTGGGACAATGTAACATTTCATCAAGGTGATATCTCTGCAGAGAAACTAAGAGACCTACAAGAAGAAGGAAAAGACCTCATAGATTATAATCGTAATCTTGAACGTAAACGAGAGATTAGACAACAACTACGTAAAGATTCAAACTTGTCTAAAAACTTTAAAGGTTTAAGGAATCAAGTCAATCAAGAGGAGGAGGAAGAAGAAGAAGAAAAGTATGGTTCTTCCAAGCGACGAGACAAAGATGAAGAAGATGATGAAGACGATGATGAAGATGAAGATGAAGATGAAATTGAAGATGATGGTCAAGATGAAGATGAAAAAGATCCAACAAAGTTGGAATTTGGAAAGATGAAATCAAAGACATTTGTAAAGGAAGATTATATCATTATGAAACCAGATCAAAAAGATGACGAAAGCTTTGTTCGTAAACAAATGCAAGACGATGGTTTTGAAAGCGAATTGGCTCAAGATGATGGTTGGAGAGAATATGACGAGAAAAAGGGTGGAGTTCAAGCAGACTATAGTTACAAGGATGAAGAAGCCAAATCATTGGCAAAGAAGGGATTGACCAAGGAGAGTGGAAGTCTCTATTGTCAAGGATTCAAAATCGATGAAAAGTATCTAAAGTACTTTATGGATCCAAATCATATCGAGGGTGGTGGAAGAAGAGGTGGATTGTCAAGAAAGGAAAGAAAAAAGTTAAAGGCCAAAGAAGAGATGGCAATGTCTGGCAAAACAGAAAGACCAAGAAAAGAAAGAAAAGTTATATTTGACGAGGAAAATGATGAAGAACATACAATCCTTCAAAAGAAAATGGCCAATCGTATTATGAGCCTTTTGAATGAATCTGTCATCTTTAAGGATCACAATACTCGTTATCACTCGATGATTGCAGACTATCAACACGATCCAACCAAACAATCAATGTTTGGTTTCTTTAAGAATCAAAAAGATGCCTACATGGAAGAGGATGAATTATTCGATCCTGTTCTCTCCAAAGTTCACATCGTACTCACAAAAACCAAGGTTTCAAGTGATTTGAAATGGTTAAAGGTTTATTGGGCAAGAGATAGTGATAATATTGATAATAATGTAGACGAAGCAGAAGAAATGGAATTGGAAGGAATTGATGAAGAAAAGGAGGAAATGGAGGAAATGGAAGAAATGGACGAAGATGAAGAAGGAGAAGAAGAGGATGAAAATGGTGTAAATGTTGATGAAGAAATAGAAATGGAAGAGATTGAAGATGAAGATGAAGATGATTTGGATGAAGATTATGGTCAAGATGAAGAACATGAAACTAGGGCATCGTCGACAGATGAACCAGTATTGAATGATATTTTGGATGATCTTAGTACATTCAAGGCAAAACAAATCATGATCAAGAGATTAAGAGATACTTTACCAGATGAAGAAATTTCATCAACTGCACAAACTCATGGATTAGATAATATTGTATTATCCAAATCATTTAGAACATCTTCTTTACAACAGCAAAAACAACAACAACAACAACAACAACAAGACTACAATAACAAGGAAGCATTCTCATTTGGTAAATTTGGAAATGAAGTTGGATCAGAAGGAGTAGAGTTTCAAGTAAAGATCCCATCCTTTGATGAGAGATTAACAGTCTCCACACCAAAGGTTGGTAATGATGAGGATCTAAAGGCAGCACAAAGAAGAAAGATTGCTGGCTACGAAGCCATCACTGACGAACAGATTCAAAACAGATTGGTAAAGTTGACACCACGTCTTAGAATGTATATTGCCAAAAATATGAAGTCTAGATACGTTCCAAACCTCTACTTTATCTTGGACAAGGATAAAAAAAAACAAGAGGCATCGATTGACATTTTTGAAAATGTGATTGCCCCAGAAATGTTGGAAGCTGCCAAACAAAGTAGAAGTAGACAAATAGAAAAATCAAAACAATTAACCAACAAATTCATGGGTGTATTTAATAATAGTCCACAACAACAACAAAAACAAGCAACTGTTAATATGAAAATCCCAGGATACTCTCCAGAAAATGAAGATAGTTTATATATGGATGGTGATACTGCCAACGATGTAATTAGAACAGAGTTACTTGGTTTGGGATACAAAGATTTCAATGATCCCTATGAAAAACAAACTCCAAAACCAGAAACAAAAGAAGAATCATTATCAAAACAATTTATTCATAAAAAGTTTACAAGCCTTCAACCTCCCATCAAACAACCAACTCCACCACAACCAACTCGAGAAGATAAAGAAGCAGAGGCAAACAAACAATTCTTTAAAGATTTTAATAAAGGAATATTTAAAAAATAATATTATTAAAAAAGAAAAAAGAATATGATATAAAATATTTAAATTTATTACATATAGCAAAGATAGATGTCAAAACTATAGTTATAGTTAATAGTAGTTCAGAAATGAAAACAAAGAAGACTTTGGACAGTTGGTAAAGGAACTTCCAATCGAGAATCTCCAGACCATCACCAAAATGTTGTCAGTCGATATCCAAGAATGTTTCGATAAAGAACATGTAATTCAAAAGAGTATGTATAAATAAAATGATTGGCCAAAAACACTTTGGTTTTATAGATGTTAAATAATAATGATTAATATTAATCATTATTATTTAATATTAATTAACGTATCGCCAGAGATTAGCAATGCAATCAAACAATTGAAATCAGAGAATAAGGTTTTCAAAATGTATGAAGATGAGAGGAGATGTCGATGCATCACAATATAGCGAGGCAGATAGAGATAATGAATGTATGTGCGACCATGACGGGTATCACGATGTTTGGTTCAAGACTCCAGTACAAGCATTCAAAGAATTTGGAGACCCAGAGGAACTTGAAAAGATGTCAGAAGATTTCTAGGTTCGTGGATCATTATCGTTAAGTCATGGAACAGGTCAGACTCGGATGGTATAGAATTTATAATAAAATTACTAGTTAAATAAAATACATTCATCAATCGTTTCTTTACAAATTTCTTAATTTATTTGCACGAGTCCAAGCTTGCACGCAAAAATACAACAGCAACTTTGATGATTGATTTCTATGATTATACCAATCACCAACTACAAGATATGGAATATCAATAAATTAATCCATGTCTGCTACCTATCAATATTATAAAACAAAGAAACACGTGCATAATCCTCTTCGTCCTCATCCTCAATCATCCCAAACTCTTTCATCTAAAAGGGTCGTAATCCCTTTTTGATATTTGATTACAATTTAATTTTTTGCAATTTGTATTTTATTTCTGTCCCTAAATACAATTTGTCTATAATGTTTATTATTCATGTGTAATTTGAATTAAAACACTTTTATATTTCTTTAATATTTTACTTAGATCATCTCTTGATATATTTTCTCTCCACATTATTTCTTCCAAATGATGTAATCCTCTAAAATATGGACATAATCTAAAAATAAAATAAAATAAATTAATTAGTGTTGTATATTTTTTCTTTTGTTTCTTTCTTATTTACCTTTTAAATAATTGATAGGATTTTGTATTATCATCAATTTTTTCGAAAAAAGCAATTTCATGAGGTTGAGATTGTGAAGGCATTAATGGAAATGGAGTAGATTGATAAAGATGATTTTGAGGTGATGAGGAGTTATTATTATTATTAAAACTTCCAGCATTACCACCACTACTACTATTTTGACTATTTACACTACCATTATTATTATTTGGATGAGATAGATGAAGTGGGGTCATGATCATTAAATGTACATATGTGTGTAGTTGAACAATGAGATCGTGTTGCAAGAGCCATCCAACGATTTGAAGAAATACTACATAATAATTTTGGTGAATTTTACTAATGTGTTCTGCAAGAGGACGAGCTGTTGAAAATCGAAAGAGAATGTCTTGGAATTTGAATTCAGGAAACAGCGTCGAAAACTTGTTGCCCAAATCGACAAGGTCATTCGAGTTTCTGGGGTTGAGCACATAGACATTGTTTTTGGTCATCATATTGATGATCTTTGCTTTTCTCCAATAGACCAAATGTGATGCCAGACGATAGATTTGCGCCAATGGTAGATCAGTCTCCATTTGCAAATCTCTAAAATTTTTGGTTGGTTTGGCAACTTCGAGTAGACGAAGTAGTGCCGGTGAAATATCAGATGGTGGGATGGGAATGGAATCGTCGTCGGTCGCTGCAAATGGTAGTAGGGCGTGGTATGGACGAATAGGGTATTCGGGGTAATAGTCTGGGTTGATAATGTTGAGATTGAGGTTCACCCAACCATTGATACGCATGCTAACCACACGGTCCTCTTTAAGGCCATGATATATATCTTTGATTTCTCTGGCTAGCCTACTCGCTCGTAGTATTCTATTTGTAAGTTCTTCGTGATTTGGTTTCTCATCGGCAGAGATTGTATCCAAAGTGTGTTCGGTCAACCAAGCGTCTCTAATTGTCATCATTTCGTGTGCTTGCTTTGTTATATAATTACATCGGTCTTGTTCGTGTTGGAGAGCCGATGCAATCTTTAATGCCAATCGTTTTAAACTATCGTCCAACTTTAAATTCAAGTCACCCGATCTTGATGTCAATACAAATACTATATTAAATAATGTAATTTCATCACTTGAATTATTATTTTTCTTTTGTTGTTGTTGTTGTTGAGAAGGATTATTATTACTATTATTATTATTATTATTATTTATATTATTATTATGAATAGAAGAAGATGAAGAAGTGGTTGAATTGGTTGAATTATTTAATATTAGTTTATCATTACAATTGGAAGGTGATTGGTTTTCCCTATCACTAATATTACTATTACTACTATTATTTAATTTTCGATGATGATGATGATGATGATGATGATGATGTCCATGTTTCTTTTGATTTGATTTTCTATTGTTTCCACTACGTTTTAAACCATCTCTACTTGATTTATGTTTACCACCACCATTATGTTTCTTGTGATGATCATCACTACTATCATCTTCACTATCATCTTCCTCTTCTTCACTATCTTCATCCAATACAGTTGGATGACCAATAAACTTTGTATTTTCAATGGTCAGTTCAAAAGCTTGATCACAAAGAGTAGGTTTTGGGATGAGAATAGGTGTGATAATCTCTGACGACAGATTGTAGATGCTGTAAATGTCTTTGGTGATGTTTGACTTTGCACTGCTAGTTTGGTCTTGATTGAGGCCATCGTTTTCATTTGATCCTCCTCCACCACTGCCAGCACCCTTGCTTCCACTAGACCCCGGGGTCATCATTGGATGTTGTTGTCTAAATGCCATCATTGTCTCATCACTGACCTTTCCTCTAGTGACTGCTGGATACCTAAACATCAACTTGTCACCACCAATACTGGTATGTACAACGAATATAACTCCGAGTAACATGGTGTGACACAACAAATAACTTTGTTAAAATATCTTCTTCTTCTTCTTAATTGATGAACTACAACAAGTATAATGAGCAAAGGTCATAATTATGTATCAATTTTTTGAAATTTTTTTTTTCTTCGTCTAGGGTCGAATGATTTGATACAAAGATTGAGTACTCTAAAGAAACGACAAGTAGATAGACAGAAAGATAGATTGATCAATCAATCAATCATCAGAGTTTTCACACATATACATATATTTATACATATCACATCAACTATAGTTAGTTAGATATAGAGAGAGAGAGAGAAATGGGAGTACTTGGTTATTTCAAAAGTTATATAACAGGTGAAGATTCGTCATCATCATCATCAGATAAAAGATCATTACAAGAACAACCAGATTTAAAGAATGATAGTCAAGAACAACAAGGTGGTCAACAACAAAAACAAAAGAAACAAGGAAAGCAATCAAAAACAAAACAAGGACAACAACAAGCAACACCAACAATAATCAAAGAAGATCCATGGAGACTTGACAAGAGAAAAGAAAATCTTATACAAATATACTTTGATTCAGACCAATGGGTAAAGTCTATGGACAATAGACTCTATTCTAAAATATACAACTATGGCTTTTCAGTACAGAACCCAGAGAGATCAATGTGGACGTTTGGTGCATTGGGAGGAGCGTTTGGCTACATCTTTACCAACTCTTTTGTCAAAAACTATCCTCTTCAAACCATTAAATCTATTCTCTTGATCTCTGCTACATTTGGAGGAGCCTATTATTCATCAAACGTTATCTATGAAAACGTAAAGGATGAAATACCATTGTGGAGAGAACAAAGTTTAGATATTATCGATTTCAGAGACAACATCAAAGAAATTCTACCAATCATGTATAGAAACGAAAGATTCAAGATTATCGAAGAATTTGATAAAGAAAATAGAGATGCTATCAATTATGCTAGAATTCATTGGACAAAAAAGGAATAATAATAAATTAATAATAATAGAATAATAATAAATCATTTTTTAAAAACAACAACAAATGAACATGAATTGGAAATGGAATTATAATATAATTGTATTGGAATAGAAAAGGAAAAAGAAAACAAACAAATCTCTGGAAAGTATAGTATTGGAATTTGAATTTGAATTGAACTTGAAATATTACAGCCATTTAAGGTATTGTTGGTACTAGTTTATTAATCAACTTTTGTGTGAATGAATGCCTTTTTTTTAGTTAGGTTTAAGTTTGATGTTGTTATCGATCTATCGGTGTTTGTTTGTATGTTTGTTTGTATGTTTGTTTGTATGTGTATGTATGGTGGTTGGTTGGTTGGTTGGATTTGGTTGGACTTGGTTGATGATGATGTATTTATGTATTGGTTGGTTGGTTGGTGTTGGTTTGTTTGTTAGTTAGTTGTTTATATCAATATGTTATTATTATTATTAATTATTAATTATTAATTTGTTACTTTTTAATAATTTAATTGGTTGAAATTTCAAGTTGAGTGACTCTTTCGACACCACCGAGATTCATCATCAAACCTCTTGCTGATGGACTAAGAGGTGTAACATTACGTGGCGATGCATTACCTGGGGCATTTGAAGATGATGAGGTATTGTCAAAGCTGGACAATGCTCTGGGCGAGATGAGTGGTGATAGATTAATGGAAATCTTGTGTTTGAGTGATGTACTAGCGGCCATATGTGATGGAGCAGCACTGACAGTGATGGTAGTCATGTTGGAAGCAGCAACAGCAGCAGTATAATTCTCCAACAAAGCAACAAAGAATCTATCAGCAATCTTTGAATCCTTCATAAAATATAATGTTGGTTCAAATAATTCACATTCTCCTAAACATAATTTACCATTATACAACAACTAAAATAGAATCAAAAGAAAAAGAAATAAAAGAAATAATTAATATATTTTTTTTTTTTTTCTAGAGATAGATAATTAGATTTTAACATACCATATCAACTCTAGCATATAAAGGTTTAGTAATTTGTTTGGAAATGTAATCAATAACCTTTTGAGAGATTTGGATATCAGATGATGATGGAGTGTTGATTTGGACTGATCCACCGTGATCCTCTTGTACTCTAAAATCATTCTTGCATGGTTTCTTGACGATAGAGTGAGAGAACTTGCCGTTAAAGTAGAGGTATGAGAATTCACCTTGGGTAAGGACAGACTCTACAAATGGTTGGATCATCATTTGACTCTCCTTTAAGAGTGACTCAAACTCTGATTGGTACTGTGTCCAGGTGTCGAGTGTGAATCGGTAGGTACCGTAGCCGTTGGCACCAATGGTTGGCTTTATCACAAAATGAGTCTGGGTCTCTGGAAAGATTCTCTTTTCAAAGCCAAGTTCGATAAAGTCACGGATCGTCTTTCTGGTCTGACAAATGTCTCCTTGAGTGACATAGACTGTTGGAATGGTATCAATGCCACCGAGTTCATTCATTTCCTTCAAGTATACTTTATTCCAATTCCAACGGATCAATGAAGTTGGATTAAGTAACTTGATCTTGGGCATCGATTCGATCTTTTTCATCCATTGTTGGAACTCTTCAAATTTATGAACATAATCCTGGAAATGAAAAAAAATAATAAAGATGTTAGTCAGTCTGAAGATACAATCCAAGTGGATTCCAAATAATTATTTAAAAGTAAGTTTGTACATACCCAGAGTGATCGGATGACCAAACAATCGTATAGAGACCAATCTACAGACTTATCATTCCAAACCACAACAGAACATGAAAAGTGGGTGGAAGCAGCCTCCATCAAGACATGATCATCATGATTAAGAGTTGGATAGTCTAAAGATGTAAGAAAACCTACTTTGATTTGTTGTCTCATTGTGTATTTTGTTTCTAATATAGTCAGAGAAAGTTGGAGGTGGAATGGAATTTATTTGGTTAATATCAAAATTTTTGATCAAAACATTTTGGATCATAATTGCTTTAGCTAATATATTATAAATATAAATAACCCATCTTGCTAATTAATTAAGTAACTTGCCACGGCTCTCACTCAACAGTGCCCCTGTTACAACTTTCAATGTGGCACACACTCACACACACTGCCCAGCAATGATCACCATTGCTTTTACATAAAGATAAGAGGTATGATACAGGTTATTTTTAAAAATAATAAAATGGCATAAAGTTGATATTTATGACAACAAAAAAAACATACTTTTGGTTTATAAAGTTAAAATTAAAATGATATACAAAAAAGGTAGAAATACAATATTCATGAAGATCTCAAGGAGATTAATATGATATCGGCAGTATACCAAAAAATGATTAATACGAAAAAAAATTGTTTTGTGTCGATGTTCAAAGGATGATGGTTTGGTTGATGCTAATCAAATTGATCTAAAAAAACCACGCAACACTTTTAAGTTCATTAATTGGTCTCGAAAGAGATATCGTATCGAAATGTTGTTGCTGTTATTGTTGTTGTTGTGTTGTATCAAAATATTTGTGGTATCGTGTTATTTAATTAAGGATCGGTATGTGTCATAGACTGGTATTAGTCGGCTGGTTGGTATACAAAAAAACAAAATTGATATGGTGGTTGGGTTGGTTGGTGTGGAGGGTTCCCATATGAGTCGACAAATTAAACCATAACGATAAGATCAATATACAATGTCGACAGGTATTTATCGACTGGTAGTTATACAAAAAAAAAGAAATGGTGGGGAACGGCCAATGTACACATTAAATGGGTTTAAGCTCTGATTGGATGATGCAAATTTATATTATATTATATAATATATTATATATGTTACCTTTTAATCTCTTTGTAGAATGAAAACTCTATAGTTCTTCATCTCCTTGCAACCACAATGATCCTTTTTGATCTCGCGCTGTATCCCCGGAAGGGTTGTGGTCAAGAAAAAAAAAAGAAGAATAATATTAAATATTTCATATGATCTGTGAGTTGAGGACAAGCTAACACACGCCAAAATATCTCCCGACTCAAAAGCCCTCGCTCTGCTCGTTGAGTTTTGATTGATTGATTATTTTGGAAATTTTCTCGAGAACTGTTCACTTTTTTTTTTTACTATAAGCTCTCTGTTGGCGCGTCTGATGAGCCCATAGCCTCGGCTCGAGAGGTCCTTTCTTTCGTTTTGGTCTTATCGCAGGTAAAAATAACACACTTAATGCAAAGCAATGATTGTTTATCTGTATGGGCGAGGGCCTTGACTTTTTCATAGCAATAAAACGTATTCAAGCGAATAGACCCCCCATAGTCGATCAATAAAGATTCGTGCAGAACCTTTCGTCTTTGTCGTCTTCAACCCCCTTTCGATGGTGAACATATCCACACAACCAAGTTGGCTGTATTTAAACGACGACTCGAGTTGGATAATGAATGCCGACAAATCATCTCCAAAGTGTCGGTTGTTCAAGCCACCGTGGTTAATTCAAACCATCACTGGGACCCTATTATTAACTATTGAATACATTATCGTACTCGGCCAATAGACCAAAAGAGTGATTGTCGTTATCTATCTGTCCATCTATCCATCTATCTATTGAATTGACTACTTTACTTGTCTACATAGTTGCTTTCATTTACTCGTTGTTTTTTTTATCAAATCTTCAGTTTATTGTGTGTATGGTTGGAAAAAAAAAGTGTAATCTAGATGATCAGTGTAAAGGTTATTAATGGTTGCATATGTTGTTATTGTATTGTTGTTGTTGTTGGTTGGTATTGGTTGGTTCTGTATTATTGCTGTTGTTGTTGTTGTTATTCTATTATTACCCCTATCTATTAATATAATTATTTATAAGTATCTACAATTTTCTTGCATATTTCAGTGAATAGCTCGTTAACGTTAAAACCAGTCTGTGCTGATGTCTCAAAAAATATAACGTCACCAAGTTCAGAGATGTATTTGCTAACTTCGTCTACTTGTACTTCACGATGTGGCAAGTCAGCCTTGTTTCCTGCCAAGGCCAAAATAAGGTTGGGTGATGCTTGCTTTTGTAATTCTGATACCCATCTCTTTAAAGTTTCAAAAGTATTCTAAAATGTGGTAAAGTAAAGTAATAAGTTATTGGTTAGTCATTAATGTCTTATACTACAGTATAGTTTTAGTTTTAGTTTTCAAGAAAGAACAATAATATCTTTCTTTTCATTCCTCCTGAATTGATGGGTCGAAAAAAAAAAATCGATTTTTGATTTTCCAATCGACCTACAATTGTCCTTGTCCTTGTCCTCCACCATTATGATGCAATGAAATGAACGTCAGTTCTTGTTTCATTCTCATCTTCTTGTTTTTTCGAGAAGAAGAGGACAAAGAGAACAGAGAAGAAGATGCAATAGAAGATCGTAAACGGAGTTTTCTTTTTTTACCTACTTTTTTAGTAATATCATAAACAATAACAGCAGCTGATGCTCCACGGTAGTACATTGGGGTAAGACTTCTATAACGTTCTTGACCAGCTATAATATTATGAGGTAATCAATTGATTAGTATCGATATTAAAAGGGTGGAGAATAGCTACTAGCTAGCGGTACTAGCTACTTTCGAATTGTATTGTTTTGAATAATAATAATATTTACCAGTGTCCCAAATCTCCAACTTTACTGTATTTCCATTATCCAATGTCATATTCTTTACCAAAAATGCGGCACTAATTTAACAAAAAAGAAAAAGGAATGAGTAAATTAGACCAATGATTATTATGAGGTCAGTCATATTCATATTTCAGCAGGTGTATTGTATTATATATATATATATGAAGATATAATAATATAATAACTCCAACAGTGAAATATATAAATGATTGATTGATTGATCGAGTTGATTGATAAATTACCCAATAGTTGAATCAGTTGGAACGAATTCGTTTCTAACGAGACGAGAGGCTATACATGTCTTTCCAGTGTTCATATCACCCAACAATACCAACTTTACACCTTTTTCTAATTTGTTTCTATTATCTGTATTGTTTCCTTCAACGATGCTTGCTATAAATATTTTCAAAACAACAACCATATATTTGTTAATATATAAAATATCAATCAATATTGTTTAAACCAAAATAATAATAATATCCAACACTATGACCTATCGATCGATCGGTCGACATTTAAACGATCCATTTGTAATATCATTTGTTTGTTTCCACGAGTTGTTGTATTGATCGATCGATATATCATAGTATCTGATTATTATTATTATGTAACTAAAAACTTACGCGATACACCTCCATCACTTTTGTTAGAGTCACCTCCACAACATCCACCTTGTTTCTTTGACATTATTGTATATTTATATAATTATTAATATTAATACTCTTTGTAATAGTAATGAATGAAACTATAAATTATAATAATAATAATAATAATAATGGTGACAACGAATAATGTTAATTAAAATGTCTCGCTTCTTCTTTTTTGTTTCTATATTGCTGATGTATGATTGATGATGATGAGTTGACTATAATAAGACTGTGAAGAATAAATAAATAAATATAAACTAAACTAAACAAACTAATCTTGTATAATATAATATAATATAATAAAACTAAACTAAACTGAATTCCTCCCTCTCTCGTTTCAATATAATATGATATGAGGGGGGAATGAAGGAGAGAGATAGACCTGTGTCGTGTGTGGTTGTAATATTTAATAATTTGAGTCGTTGTTGTTCTGTGGTTGTTGTTTGTTGTCTGTCTTTTGTCTTTTTATGTGTTACCTTTTTTTTTAATCTAATATATGTCTATTGTTGTTGTCGTTTTAAAGTTATATAGGTATATGATAAGATAAATAGAGAGTGGACGCAATGATAGGTAAGTGTATAAATATAAGTAAGTAGGAGAAGTAGTAAGAATCTTGATGGGAGGGGGGTGCTGTTGGAAGCCTAACCTTTTTTTGAATTTTTTGTGTATTTTTCGATCGTGAGAATCCTGGTATCAAGCGTCGTTGTTTGTTTTAATTACTTGAATGGCTACCACGCGCAGATAGATAAATATAAACACACTAAATTTGATAAATATATATATATATATATATATATACACACTATAATACCACTATAACCTATTAACAATGGATGAAAAGGAGCCGTGCGGCAAAGATGCAAGTCCCTTGGTTCTGTAAAAAAAAAGAGTAGTTGCGTTCAATAAATTTATTTCCCCCACGATTGATTGTTGTTGTTTTTTTGAAGATATTATTTTTCCGTTCGAATTGACAACAATCGTGTTGACAACAACCGTAACCCCACCATCTTGAAGCTTCCATTAATATCTTTTTTTATCTTGTTATTATTATTAATTATTAATTATTATTATTATTTTGTTTAGAATTTAGATAAAACACAAAGCACTTCCTCAATACTCGGTTCTCAAATCTGATCCAGCTAGATAAGATAGATAAATGTCAGATGTCAGATGTTAGATATATCTTTTACAAATTTAAAATATTTTGACTACGTACGAATTAATGAATGTGGATGAGCATTCTTTTTGATCCACGGGTGATTGATAACATCATACATTGTTAATCTTTCACTTGGATCGCTGGTAAGTAGACCAAGGATTAAGTGTTGAGCCTCCATGGAGACATATGATGGGAATGTAACAACCCCCTTTTGAATCTTTTCCATGACAGCTTCTTCGGTTTCATCACAAAAGGCAGATCTACCACACAAAAATTCGTAGATTAAAATACCAAGACTCCAAACATCAACTTTGTGATCATAGTGTTGTTTGTTGACAATCTCTGGTGGCAAATATTCGACTGTTCCACAATAAGTTTGTCTCTTACTATTTGGTGCATGAACAGACCATCCGAAATCTGCAATTTTAATTTCTCCCTAAAAAAACAAACAAAAAAGTTAGATTGAAATAATAATTAATTAATTAATTCATATTGTACAACATACATTAATACCAATTAAAAGGTTTTCAGGTTTAATATCTCTATGAATAACATGTTTAGAATGACAATATCTAAGAGCATCAGCAATTTGTATAGTATACTAAAGAAAAAAAAAAAAAGAAATTGATAAATATGATTATTTTGTTTCCAGAATTTTAATATATTTATATTTAGATTTAAACATACAGTAGCAGCAACTTTTTCAGTAAATCTTTGTACAGCTTGTAATTCCTTAAAACATTCACCACCTTTGGCAAATTCAACGATGAGGTAGACTCTACTTTCATCATAAAAGTAACCATATAAACGAAGGATATTTGGATGACGCAAGTGAGACTGGATTTCGATTTCTCTACGAAGTTGGTGTTCAATGTTGGCAGCCTGTAATTGACTCTTGAACAATACCTTTAATGCTACTACAAACTTGCTCTTTTTCTCTCTTGCCAAATATACATATCCAAATCTACCTCTTCCAAGTGGTTTACCAATATCAAAATCATCAATTGTCCATTTCTTTTTACTTTTTTAAAAAATAAATAAAAGAATCATGTTGGTTAGTCCAAAATAATAATAATAATAATAATAATATATATATCATCAAATACATACTCTTCTTGGTATTGTTGTTGTTTTTGTTCTTGTAATAATTGTTTTTGTTGCATCATTTGTTGACGAGTTGATTGTTGTTGTTGTGTAGAAACAGAAGCAGATGATGACAAAGCAGATGAAATAGTGGCAGTGGGAGCTGCAGTAGTAGTAGTAGTAGGATGTTGTTGATTTGTAATAGGAGCCATTTGTGATTTGGACAACATTTGTGGTACTGGTTGTTGTTGTTTAAATGATGTGGGTGGTACAGGTTGTTTCATGTTGGATGGTTGATGTTGTTGATGATGTGCTGCATTCAAGACTGATGTATTGGATGTTAATATCTTTTCTTGTGATGGTAATGTAGTGGTAGTCGTTGTTGTTGGCTTTTGGAATGACGATCCTATAACCTTGGGTGCAGATGAGGGAACAGTGGACGAGGAGGTCATCTGAGGCGCCATCTTGGAAGGTGGTACTATTTTGGTGGTTGTAGTTGTAGCTGGATGATGATTCTCTTTCATTGCATTACTAGTTGCTTTAAAAGTACTCATCCCACCGCTTGTGGCATTTGTTTTATTCATTCTTTCTCTATACTCTATCTATCTATACTCTATCTTTATTATTACTATTATTATGATGATTGTTGTTGTGTTATGATTATAGTGATAATTAACTTTAAATTAAAATTATTTACAAAATGGATTGTTGGTTGTTGGTTAGTAGTAAGTTAGTAAAGTAGTATGGTTAAAAGGAGAAATATAATGTTTGTTTCAAGCCTCGCGATCACATGAGTGGTTCAAGTTGGAAAACCAACGGTTGAATTCTCCCGCCTGTTTTGAATTTGAAAAATTTGCTTTTTTTGAACTTCAAAAATGAAGCATGTAAGTATACATGAAGTATTCAATAACTATTTGCCAATTTATTTATTTTAATTCAAGTTGGTTTTAATAGGTAACTTTCAAGATCCGACAATATATATATTGGTCTTTTTAAATGCCTCTCTTTGCATTTCTGAACTTCATCATCCCTGTTTAATAATAATAAAACAAGATCCTGTTTTTAAAAATGAATAAACCATTTGTTTCCTATGTACATACTAGTATAAACCAACAATTTTTTAAAAAAAAGAATGACAAGAGATAAACCATTTTATTTGAAATAGAAATACCATTATTGATCAAGTGGTGTTTTCACTAGTGTTTGATGATGCTTTATCCATATCCTCTAAAAATTTTCTATAAAAAAAGAAAGAGAGGGTCAGGATTCAAGTTGTATTCATATTGTTTGTTTGGTCTGTTCTTTTTGTTTACTTACTTCCTAGATGCTTCCAACATTAATCTTTTTCTTAATAAAAGACTATTTTGTCTTGCTTCAGGTGTTCCTTGGAAGGAATCTGAAAACTTGTCTAGTTTTCTGGTTATATAATTATTATCGTTATTGCTATTGTTGTTGTTGGTGTTGTCTGTACATTGGTTTTGTGGTTCAAGTGGTGAAGGTGATATTGGAGAAGTTATATTGGTATTTGGGGTCGTTGTATTTGATGTTGTCGATTTATCTTCAACATCGGCAACAGTTGTTGTTGTTGTTGTTTGAATATTAATATTATTAACATGATTCATATCACCAGAGATTGATGATGTATGCGATACTCCATTTCCATTTATATTATCATTTGGTAATGGTTGTTGTCCAGTTTGAGGAGAAGAAGAAGATGATGATAAAGAAGATAAAGAAGGATTATTACCACTACTACTACCGATACTATTATTATTATTATTAACTATTGGTGTACAATTATCATTTACAATGTCATTTGTATTGTTATTATTATTATTATTATTATTATCGTCATCTTCAGTACTATGAGGTTCAATGATGATTCTTGATTCTAAAATATTATTTGTTGTTTCATTGATATCATGGGTCTGCATCAAATCATTGATAATCGATTGTCTTGGTATATGTGGGAATAATTCGTGTATTCTTTCTATATCTGATGGATTGACAACATATGCGTTGTTGCTATTGCTATTACTATTACTGTTATTTGGTTGACCTGTTTCGTTTTGTAATTCAATCAAGGATCTTCTACATGTTGGACATGAAGTTTGTTGTTCCAACCATGATCTTAAACATGAACTAGATAATAAAGAATAAATAAAAGAGGTTAGTTGTGATATAGATATCTTTCTATCAATTTCATACTGATGGAAAATATGACCACAAGGTAATTTTTTGGCAGTATCCATTCTATCTCTACAAATTGCACAATCATCATTATAAATAATCAATTCTTCTTCAGTTGCGTTTAAATATTTGGTGTCCATGTCTTCAACCAATTTACAATAGTTTCTATAACCAATAATCTTTCGTTTCAATTCAGTAAATACACCTTTGAAATAACTGAAAAGAACCAAATCCAATAATGTTGGCATTCCTTGAATAATAACAATATGAATTAAATGGACTAGATAGATGGGGAGAAAAAGGAAATGAAATGATTTTAGTGTCTAATAATAATAATAATAATTGATTGATTGATTGATTGATTGTTGTGTTAAACATACAACAAGTTCCAGCCAAAATAATTGAATCAGTTGCAAATTCTGTATAATAAATGTAGGCACCTCTTTGTTCCCAAACACCAGTTGCAGCCATATCAAATAAATGGATTGAATATTTAATCAAAGTTTGTATTGTTTCAAAAAAGATTGTGAAAAACTATAAAACAAAAAGGGGAGGAAGGAGGGAAGGATTAGTCAGTTTCATTATCTTTGTTTGTGTTTTTGTATCATACCTCGAAATTAAGAATCATAATGTTTGAAAGACCATTATCGAAAAATATGGTTGTTGAGAAATAGAAACACATTAAATCGGACATTAGTATCGATACTAAAAGGAATAATAACTTGAAATGAATTTTTGCATGTGTATTTGGTGAAAATGTATTTAACTATAAAGAAGAAGAAGAAGAAGAAGAAGAAAAAGAAAAAGAAAGTAAATAAATGAGGGGAGAGAGAGGGAAGGGGATCAAATGAATGAGTTGACATACATATTCGAATCTATCTCTTGCCAATAAAGAAAATAACTTTAGAAAACATTGGATGGAGAACCAAAATCCCCACATTATGATGGATCCAACTTCATGGTCTTTGACTGCAAAGACAAAGAATTTAGTGACTACATATAAAAAGAATCTTTCTCTAAAGTTCTATAATGATTGTGATTGATTGATTGATTAAGTTTCATTTGTGTTAGTGTCATCATCTCATTGTGATTGATTGATTGATGATTGTGTCATGTATATATTTGATTTGATTTGATTTGTTTTGATTGCATACTCTTTCTTCAATTTCTCTTAATTTACCAAAGAATAGGTATTGAACAAATTTACCAAACAAAAGTAACAAAGTGAATATCGAATTGACTGCTACCGCTAGATTGATATGACTTCTTTCCAATTCTCTAATGGTTGAATCATATGTTAACAATACAGTATCGAGACCTAGTATATGGGGAAGTCGAACAATCGTAGACACAATTGACAGTGTCAGATATGTCTCTATTAGTGCCATTGATGATCGATTCTGCTGCTGTTACTTTTACTCTACTACTACTACTACTACTTATGCTACTACTGCTACTACTCTACGACTACTACTACTACAAAGATATCTTGTTTTCAACCTCTTCATATATGGCAACAAAGTGTTTTGTTTGTTTGAAAGTTGATCGACAATCGTAGTAAATATAATATCTATAGATAGAGTAGTTTGGTTGTATATATAATAAATAAATATGTAATATAGTAGTAATGGATATCCTTTCCTTTCCTTTCCTTTTTTGTTTAACGCTTTGTAAAGAGACAGACAGACGCCAACTCCAACTGTTTTTTAATTTAAATTAAATTTGGGGTTGTTTGTTCCCAAGGGCTGTGTTTTTTACCTTTGTCCCAAAAAAGTAGGCGAAATTTGAAACTTTTGATCCTATTCTATTTTGAAAGTCAGTCTATGATATTATGATATATGATATATGTATATGCATATTTCTATTTGAATTTGTATATGTATTATTTATTTGATTTGTTTATTTGATTTATTTGATTTATTTGATTTATTAATTAATTATTTGTATTATTTGTATTTAAAATTTATTTTCAGCAACCCAATCTCTACCGATTGGACCAAGATCACTTGAATTGAAACCAAAACCTTCGACGAGTGAAACACTGTATGGAACAATTTGAAGACAAAGTTGGTTGATTTCATTAGAGATGGCTTCTGATTGATCGGACGATAGGTATTCGTATCTAGAGAACCATGGATCCTTGTCGAGGATGGTCAATCCCATTAATGATATCAATAGGTTCATAGCCTGTCTTTGTGTTTCGTTGGGACATTTGCCAACCTCTTGAATGAATCGTTCCAAGAGGAATCTTTCGGTAAAGACAATACCGAGTTGGAGAATAACGTCTCCTGCATCATTCCAAGCGTCCATCACTGGTTTTCCACTACCAACACTCTCCATCAATCTGCTGGCAACCAATGGAGTGGTATGGTGGAGACGTGCAGTCAACGCACCCATCAAAAACTCTGGTGATCGGATATAAGCACTATCAACACGTAATCTATGACTATCGGATGGACGTTCATATTCTGGTGGTGGTCTTCTACGTGCCTCTGTTAATATATGTTTTGCAACTTGTTGAAATAATAATACATTGTCACTAACAAAATAAATTAAATTAAAGAGTAAGTATAATAATAATAATGTATATATTTTCCTCTATCTTTTAGTTTACCCTTCAAAAGTAGTATAAATTTCCATTTCAGATTTAAAAGGACCGATTATATTTTCAGAGAGGAAACCTTGGCCACCACAAGCTTCACGACATTCTTGTAGACAGTTACGTCCGTGCCATGAAGCATAGGCTTTGAGAGCGCTGGCATAGACATGGATCTCTTTCTCCTTTTTATTCTCCTTTTCACACATGAGGCGGAGCAAGTGTTCGTTGCCAAAATGGACACCATAGTTGAAGGCGAGGTATGGGATGATACGACGACGATGGATGGCGTACGAGATGAGCTGACGTTCCGATCCAGCACTGCCATCACCAAATTGGCGACGTGAGAATGAGTAGTTGATGGCGGTCAGCAAGGAGACGCAGACGAATGCAACCGATCCCAACGAGATGATGTAACGACCGATTACGAGTGCGCCAATATTGTGTGCAAAACGTTTGACGGCTGGGTTGATGGGCGACGAGTAGATGCCAGCCTTGTTGACACCGCCGTAACGGGCGAGGAGCTGGTCGCGTGGGATGCGACACTGATCAAACATGAGACGACCATTGTCGACACCGTTGAGTGCCATTTTGTGGCCGCAGTCGGCTGCTCGCACACCCGGTACCATCGAGCCGTCATCGTTACGGATACGCACGACAAATGCATGCACACCCTCGTACTTTTCACCAACACGCAGCTGCGCAAAGACAACTGACCAACGGGCATGGGTGGCGGCACCGCCAATAAAGTACTTTTGGCTCGTGGTGGTTGGCGAGTGCAACACAAACTCTTGTGTCTTGTCATCGTATGTTGCCAACGTCTCGATCGCCTGCACATTGGAGCCGTGTCCCAGTTCGGTCAGTGCAAAGCAGCCCATCATCGAGCCGTCCTCTACATGCTTGAGATAACGCTCACGTTGCTCATCGGTACCCAAAAAGAGAATAGAGCAACCAAACAACGAAATGTGTACGCCAAACAAGGTGGATGCAGCAATATTACGGAGACGGTAGCATTGTGTCCAAGCAGCCACTTTGGAGGGGTCGGTCAAATAGTCCCACACTGACAAGTTGCCCTGCGACAACTTCATCATCTCGTGGTACTGTGTCAGAGTGAGATCACGGTCCTCCTTTAACGACAATCCAAATGCTGGACGTGACAAAAGCTCGCTTCCTTTCCATTGTGATAATAATCGTTTTCTCAAATCCCTATGATAGGGAAACAAGAATTCATTGAGTGAATCTGCATCGAATGGTCTTTGAATTTCAAATATCTGTGATGGTGTCGATCCACCAACAATATTTGAATTGGTTAAATTCTCTTTTACTTCTTGTTCCTGTACAGCTGCTGCTGAACAATTATTTGATTGTAAATGATTGTTTGTAACATTTAATCTTCTAGTTGCATTTTCCATGATTCTATTATTTTGAGTTGTAATGAATGAAAATGAATGAATATAATAAAAATTAATATAGGATAATAAAGAGTAAAGAATATTTTATATAAATAACAATCTTTAATTATCTATCTAATTATCTATCTATGTATCTATGTGAAGGAATAAAAAGGAAAGAAAAAGAAAGATAGTGTGTTGTTTGTCCAAGTTACCACCACTACATTTCTAATCTAACACAAACAACAACCCCCATTCGACACAAGAGGGTTAGGGTTTGATGGGTGAGTGTGTAGTGTCAGGTATGCATGATGATTGAACTTACCCTTTTAATATATTAAATTGCGTGATGGATGAATTGTCAGTGTTATGTGAATTATATGTATGAAAGAGTATTGTAGTAATAATAATAAACAGTAGTAATAAATATATATATACAAGGGAAGGTAATAATAATAAATACAAATATTAATGATTTAGGCTACTAAATGAATGCAATGCTGCAAATAGGGATTTGAAGTTTCTGTCAACGCGACACCCAGATATTTGCACACTTTTCATAGTGGTTTTGATCTAAGTGGAACCGCTTAAATACCGTTTCCCGAGCAGATCATTGTCGATATTTCTATCCTTAAAAAGATCATTGTGGTGTAGTGCACAGTCAATTCCGAAATGCCCTTAAACTCTCGGTTGTTGAAAAGTAAATGTATTGTGCAGTGTGTCGTTTAGTTTGACCAGACTTGATTGAAGACACAATAAACATCCGATAGGATAGGATGTCTGTACAAGACTGTATTGCTGCATCAGATACATCTTAAAAGTAATCGGTGTTTCTAATCCAATCTTTATTCGTTCATCCTCCTTAGCTGATAAGAGTTGTAGTTCCTCTCCTTTCAGCTGAGTGCCTCTTACACACAAACAATTTTGAAATTTTTTTTATGAGCCAAAAGTTGAACAACGAATGATCCCATCACAATGAAGACGAATGATCGAGCCTGATTTAGTAGTAGTCTTATTTAGATAGCTTTCATTAGATAGTTTAGATTAGATACATACACAATATATAAAATGGTATGTAATTTCTTACATATATACATCAAGAAGAAAGAGATCAGCAGATTTTGACATCAAAGGAAGATACTGACTAAAGATTCGATCATCAATCAAACGAAACAACAATATAGAGCGCAATCAAATCATTCAAACCATTATTCGATAAGGTATTGATTCAAAGAATCGTAAAGACAGAGTCAAAGACTGCAGGTGGTATCTATCTCCCAACCTCTGTATCGAACAAGATCAACGAAGCACTCGTCATTGAAGTTGGTACTGGAAGAAGATCAAATGCTACTGGTGCATTCTTACCAACCCTCCTTAAAAAGGGAGATCGTGTATTATTGGGTGAGACCAAAGGTGAAAAGATCAACGTCAATGGTGTTGACTGTGAAATCTTGCACGAAGCTGAAATCCTTGGTTTAATGGAATAAACAAACAATAATAACAATAGATATATAATATAGAAACTTATAAACATAACAACAACAACAACAACTCACATTCAAGAGGATGTGGATTATTACATTACATTTATTTAGAACAACAATGGATTCGAATCAACTAATTAGATGATTGGAAACATGATGATGATGATGATCCAGACTAGTTACAATATACAATCAACCAATGATCATTATTATATTATTTCCATTCCATTCTCCAAAGGTCAATTATCCAAAAGTGGGAAGAGAAGAACCTCCATCCATTTATTGTGGTGGGGGAGTGGGATCCAATATTGGACTATGGCAGGGAAAAATATCTGTTCAAAGGTGGGAGGGGTAAGGTTAGGGTTGTCTGTTCATAAGTGTAGTTTTAAATATTTTATTTATAATTAAAAAAATAGTGTTGCAATTGTTTGTTAATATTAAATTAATTCTTCTTTGTAACTTGGCAAGTTTATTTTGTTTTAATTTTATTCACAATCAATCAATCAAATACAAATAATGCAAACACTTAGTAAAATAGCATCATTTCTAAAATCAGCGTTAAAGGTTATAACCTTTCCACTGTTTGCATTATTGATACTCTATGAGAAGCTTTATAGAAGACAACAACAACAATGTACATTTAAAAGTTATCAGGATCCTTGTTTAGAGTATGTACATTCATGAATGAATTCTTTTGATTAGTTTCATCATCAAACTAACATTAACTTACTTACTTCCTTACTTCCTTATATACTTTCTCCTCTATAGGAATCAACAAGAGATAAAAGAAAAGAAAGGTGATTTATTAGGAGATGATGGTAAATTGGTTTGTTGTGGATGGTCAAGAAACACAATGTTTGATTATAATCCATCGGCATTATCATTGTATCAGAGAATGTTTAGATTAAAGGAATGGAGTTATTATGCAGTTGGATCAGAGACCTTTTACTTTGCAGTGGCTGCTGTTGATTTGGGTTATGCCATCAATTACCAAACCTTTTACATTGATTACGAGAATCCTGCCAACACTCGAAAGGATCAAGTTGTCATTCCCGGATTCTTTCGTCGTGGTCGATTCATGCCCAAAGATTCTTGTTTGGCTGGTAATCACATTCAATATAATTCAAAATCATTTAAAATTCATTTTCATGTAAATGATCATCCATTAGAAGAGGAGGAAGAAGAAGGTAGTAGTAGTACTAATCATCAACATGGAGAATGTACGACAAAAATGTTAACAAATGAATCAAAACATTTACATTTTATCGAAATGGCAAGTGAAAAGATGAAGACCAAAGTAAAGATGGAATTTGATGTATCACCAACCAGAGAATCGATGGTATTGGCAACTAGAATTGGAGAAAACAAATTCTATTACAATAGAAAGACTAATCTTATTCCAGTAAAGGGTAGTCTTTTAGTAGATGGTGTTGAGCATCTATCGGATCAGTATGATGGTAACAGACATAGTTTTGGTATATTGGATTGGGGTAGAGGAGTATGGGAGTATAATTCATTTTGGATTTGGTGTACTACTTGGAAGAGAATGGATGATGGTCGTACGATTGGATTCAACTTTGGTAGTGGATTTGGTGATCTTAGAAGTCACACTGAGAATTGTGTCAATATCGATGGTGTCATACACAAACTTGGTCATGTAGAAATTAAATACAACAAGGATAATCTACAAAGTCCATGGACTTTTACATGTCCCCATGGACGATTCGGCGATGCACCCATCACATTTACACCAATCACCAAGAAACTTGAAGTTGAGAATTTCATCGTCGTCTCTTCTCATTTCAGTCAGATCATTGGTCATTTTGCTGGCACTGTCATCCTAGACAACGGTGAAAAGATCACATTTGATAATATGTATGGATTCTCAGAAGTTCATTATGCAAGATGGTAAATGTAAAAATAAACAAACAAACAAACAAACTAAATAACAAAACAAACTAAATAATAATAATAATAATACTCGATCATCCAACCAACCCTCCCCTTTACCTTTTTAACTTTTGTATATAATAATGTAAAAAATAAAATATAATAAAATATAATAAAATATAAAACAAGCCTCTGATCGGCAATATAGTTTCTTTATACCGATGACTCCATTTTTTATAAATTAATTAAACTATATTTTTGGTGTGAAGGGGTGCAGTTCATTCGTTCATTGTCGTTTTGTTCATTCATTCATCTTTCAAAGTTAACACTTAATAATATAGATAAGATATATATAGAGATGTCGGATATAAAAGAAACATTAGAGAAAGCAAAGAAATTAGCAAGTTACAAAGCAGTAGATGATAATGTACGTGCAGGAATGAAGGTTGGTATTGGTAGTGGAAGTACGATCAAATATGCAGTTGATCGTATCAAAGAACTTGGTATACCATTGACATGTGTACCAACTTCATTTCAATCGACTCAATTGATCATTGCTGCTGGATTAGAGTTATCAGATCTATCTCGTACACCAGAGTTGGATGTTACTATTGATGGAGCCGATGAAGTAGATGCTCAGTTAAACTTGATCAAAGGAGGTGGTGCTTGCCAATTACAAGAAAAGATTGTTGCTGCATCGTCTAAAAAGTTGATCATTGTTGCCGACTTTTCAAAGGACTCAAGTCAATTTGGTGATAATTGGAAGAAAGGTATTCCTATTGAAGTTGTACCAATGGCCTATGTACCAGTGATGATCAAATTGGAACGTAGTTTTGGTCTCAAACCAGTATTACGTATGGCAGTTAATAAAGCTGGTCCAGTCGTAACCGATAATGCCAACTTTGTCATTGATGCTCAGTTTACATCGATCGACAATCCAGCAGATTTGGCAACCAAGATTAAAATGATTCCTGGAGTTGTTGAAACCGGTCTTTTCATCAATATGGCTGAAAAGGCTTATTTCGGTCAAAAAGATGGTACCGTTAAAGAAAGATCAATCAAACTCTAAATAGAACAAAAATAAAATTAAATGTAAATATTACTCTCCAAAATTTAAATTATTATTATTATTATTAATATTACTATTTATTTGTTCTGTCTGTGTTTTCTTTTTATTTGTTTTATTTATTTATTTTTGATTAATGTAAACCAAATCTATTTAAATGTTCAGTATCAGCAGGTTGTAATATCTTCCAAAGACGTTCATAGAATTCTTTACGAACGACAGGTACTTTGGAACGATCGCCTAGATAGAACTCGAAAAAGGTGGTTGCGAATCTTTGGTCTGTAATCTCTTTGACTGGTTTGTTGTCAAACAATACTACAAGAGTGTCTGCATCCTTTCTCAAAAAGTCAATTTCAGAGGTAGTTGGCATATCCATGTTGCCAGGGAACGCTGATTTTAATTGTTTCATTAATATTTCTACATCACCCAAATCCATTTGATATTTACGCCACATCATATCTGCCATTGTTCCCTAAAAAATTAAATTAATAAACAAATTAACTAACCAATTCATTCTTATCTATCTATATTTATACATACTTCAAAACCATTAAAGATATGATCCCAAGTTACTTTTCTAGTTGGTTTAATTTTAATACATAATCCAGTACCATTTGACATTAATTGTTCCAATACAACAGCTTTACCATTACAGAAATCAATTTGATCCTTTTTTGAGTGTTCCAACAATTGCTTTTTAGCTTCAGATTCATTAATATACATTCCAATTGAATAAACATTGAATTCTTAAAGAATATTTAAAAAGGAAGGAAGGTTAGTTAATCTCTTTTTTGACATTGAGAGTTTATGATTAATTTCTTCATACTAAACATTGTTAAAGCACGAGTACCAACAACAACCAATCTATATTCATCATTGCCTATCAAATATTTAGGATACTTGTAACCTGTTTTAATTTGTACAACATGGTTCTCGTGATCTTCAAAACATTCACATAAAGTATATCCACAAGCACCAATAACCAATGCTGCTGTCATTGTAGTACCAAAGTATTTATATCCATTGTCATGAGTATTCTTTTTATTATTGTCATTATTATTATTATTGTAACTATTGGTTGTATAATACTTTATAGAATTTGTATTATTATACTTGTTGTTGTTGTTGTTGTTGTTAATATTGTATACAACTCTACTACGAACAAGTTGAGTTGTCGTAGAATTGATTGATCTTCTTATCATTATTATTATTATTCCTTTCTATCTATATATTTATCTTTATCTCTACAAAAATAGAATCTGTACAGGAGACGAATGACTATACTTTTTGTCGTTTGTTCTGCTTTGATTCTTTGAACTTGCACAGAGAAATTTAATTAAAAAAAACATGAGAATATCTACCAACCCCTTCACATACTTTCAAACACACTACTATTAACCCAATAAATAATAATAATAATAATATCTATCTCTATCTCTATCTCTATGAACATTGTAAGTATAGATTAGTTGAATGATTGAAGGATAGATATATTGATACTTACTTTTGATTTCTCATGATTATAGAAACAAGATTTATTTAAAAGTGTAATAGGAGATAAAGGAATTAGATTGAATATATTCGAATGGGTACATTGGATAACAATTAGAGTCACTGATAGACCATTGACATGTTACACTAGACAATCTGTTAAACGGTACAATGATATAATCAACGTGACATTGGCCAAAGATGATGATGAAAACTTGGTTCGACTGGATACTAATCAATTGGCAGAGTTGATTAAATACAAGATACAAAGAAATGAGTACTCATTTCCAATCACTCAAGATACTTTAATACAAATATGTTCCATTTCAACAATGGATGAATCAATATTTAGATTGTTTTTAAATAGAAATGGTCATCTCTTTACAAAATATAATCTAGAGGAAATCATTCAAACGGTTTGTGATAATAGTGATACTTCATCATCATCATCATCATCATCGTCATCGACAATAAGAAATGCTCGTATATTATATAACGAGTTTAAAGATATTGGTATACAACACTTGGAATCTATAATCATAAAAAAGGAAATGATGATGGATCGAGAACGACATACTCTTGAAATGGTTAATACAATAGATGGCTTTGAATCAATTGTTTCTTCTTATCATAAGCGTATCAAAGTACCAAGAGAATCAAATCAAGATAACATTTCAAAAGATCTTTTAAATTCAACTTTAAATAGATTATGTAATAATAATAATTGTAATAATAGTCAACAAAATAATATTCAATTGATATTTAAAGAAATCAATGAAGTAATAGAAAGAATAATTAAATCTTTATCATCATCATCCACTTCAAATTTTAAAAATCCATCATATATTTGGATCAATTTAATTGTATTAAGAGTACTTGGTGACCAAAACAATACAAATAGGTTAGAAATAGTAAAAAACATTATAAAGAATAATACAAATAATGAAATAGTGGAATATCTATTCAAATTAGAGAATGAACTGTGTTTGGAGAATTGGGTGTTTGACATATTATGTAAACATGGAACTTTTGATCAAGTTGTATTTGGTAGTAAATTAATTGGTACGCTGGAAAAGAAAGCGTCATACAAAGCAATGGATTGGGCAGCAAATAAAGGAAGGTTGGATGTTGTACAATATTTACTAGATCACCGAAAAGAGCAATGTAGTCAAACTGCAGTACAAGGGAACCCACACTCTGACGTAGTAAGACTCATACTACAGTACAAACCGACACTCATGAAATTCGTTACTAGACAGTCAATACTAGTAATGGGTGATATCGATTTCCTTCAAGAGTTGGACGCTGACCAGCTCTTTGGCAAAGATCAATCCCATTCACTTGAGACACTGGTAATCTCACGAACTGTTGCCAAAGCAGTATTGACAAGACATTCACAACTAGCATCCATCAGGATGATCGATTATCTGTTCTTTACCTACACTGAACAATTTCCAGTCTATGATTTCATTTCAGAAGCATGTATGCTCGGACTTGAACAAGTGGTCTATCATTTACACCACATTTATTCAACACACAATAATATGACTATTACACCACACCCAAGTGTCAAGACAACTATATTTGATGATGCATTTCTCTATGGAATGAATCAAAATATTGTAGATTTTTTAATAGACAATAGAAAAGAAGGGTTTGGGCCTGAATCTTGGAAGGTTGTTGGTCAGAATGGTACGGTTCAACAATTTGAAATGTTAAAAAGATGGTCCCTATCACAAGAAAACATGGACATTATGATAACCAATTCAATTCGATATGGAAATATTGACCTTTATCAATATATTAAATCTAATATTGGTATTGATGAAACAAAATTTAAAGTACAAGATTTAAAATATGCAGCTAGATTATACAAGGATAAAATGGTTCTTTTGGGTGCTTCACATTTATCTCTTCAAGATTTAAATGATTTATTATTCCATTTATTATGTTTTGGTAGAACTGATATAGCTAGTCAAATATATCAACAAATTATAGTCAATAATAATAATAATAATAATAATAATCATATTGTTGGATTAACAGAAAACCAAATCAATTATTTGATTAAAAGGTTTGACCATCAAGTTGTCGATTTTTTGGTTGAAAATAATTTTTTAAATCAATCTTTTGTAGATAGTCATCGATTTAAATTATGTCATCCAAGTCTATACTATTATCAATCCAAATATTTATCAAAATATTTTTCAAACTTTAATAATATTTCTCCAATCATTGATACAATTAATAATAATAATAATAATATAAAATTACAAAATAATATTAAACCAACAACAACAATCAACGATCAAATAATAATTTTAAAAGTTTTAAAGAATAGATATTTGTTAAGAAGAATATTTAGATTAAATTCACCAGTTGCTTCTGTCTACAAACAATTCACATTTGATAGTTTAATTTCGTACCGACCAAAATTACTATTACTTTTGTTAAAAGCAAACCAAACGTCTGAAATTATAATTAGTAAAGAACAATTGGAAGATTTTTGTTGTAAAACAAACGATTTGGAACTATTCAAGTTGGTTTACTCGAGGTTCAGGTCAAGGTTTTCAGATAATTTTCTATTTTCTAAAATGGTATATACAAGACCAAGGAATTTAGATGTATTCAAAATATTGGCAAATCAGACAGACCCTGTTTTGGAATATAATGTCCATCAAATAGGGTTTAAATGTTCAGATGCTGCATTGTATCTTTACAATCTAAAAAGACTACCAGCAAGTATGGTACATGGACCATTTGGAACTAAATATTTCAACTATTCAAAATCTTTGGAAAAGGATCAATATCTTGAACTATTGCAATTGGAAAGAGAAGGATTGGATGAAAGGCAAAGACGTGCAACTTATAATGAAGATACACCTCTAGAGTTTTGGCAATACCATAACGACCAAAATAATATAAAATATTATGCCGAAAGAAACTTGTCTCCAAAGATTTTAGAGTTTCGTCTATATCATCCTCTAAAAACTCTTGAACAATCTACAGCAGATTCATTAGAAGGTTGGCAATTGACATTTAGTTACTATGCAAAAGAATCAATTGCAACATTGTATCATTTGGTCAAAGGATACGAATTCACCTCAGCTTTGCTTAGAAATTCATCAGTACTGGCTTACTTGATCAATGAACAAGACTATTTCCCATCACCAACAGGAAATTTCTTTTCAAGTCAGCCACCATCACATCTTTTATCAAAATACTATCTGCCCGGAATGATAAATCACTCCATCACACATCCAGTATCAACAAAAGAGGATTTGTTTGCTTTGCTCTATATGAACCACGATGTTTTGGATATTTATAGAAACATTGAACAATCTGGCTCTAGAATTGCCATCAAACACTCAACCTTGACCAGTTTACTGATCGCAAATATCCAAGACCAGGAACAACGAACAGAATTGGTATCTAGTATAAACCCAACCATGTTTATGCCAATTGAATTATTGCAAGCAATAGTAGACTGCTACATGGAGACTGACACTTACTCGCTTCCAATCCTCAAACATTTCTTGGGTCCAAAATTGAATGAAACTAAAATGGCTGATGTTGGATTTGATATGATTGGACTAATCAAATATACGTTTGCAAGTGCAAGAAATAATTCACGGACCTGCACCAACCATCGTTTTACTAGAATCTTTATCGACCATCTACTAGTGTACACATTGTCCAACTGCTCTATCGCCTATGTCTTACAACTATTGACAATTGTAAGAGATAGCGAAAAAGAAGTGGATAGATTGGTTGGAGACGCGCTCTCATCACCTAATTACGGCAGTGTACGTCAATTGGAGTTTAGCAAGATTTCAGATGATGGGGTTTATCAATTCTTTTTTGCCAGATTCCCATGTCGTGAGGAATACTTGTTTGCTCAACCATACATCAACCATCCCACTCAATATTCAGTTGTCAAACAAGTTTTATTGGATAAAGATCCAAAGGATTATAGATTTATCATCTATGCTTTAAAGTATGCCTATAGAACTGCCAATGTTCAAATGGCCAATGAAGCAATACAAGATTGTATTTGTATATTTAATGATGTTGGATCATCAATCAATGAATATGGTAGACGTAATAACATAGACATGACACTTGTACCAACTCAACACCCATCAATCTCCAACAACCCTGATATGGTTGAATTTTATCATAACAATTTTACCATGATGATTTCAAAATAAATGATTCTTCTTTTGTTCTTTTATTAAAATTATTATTGTTGCTGTTGTTGTTCTTGTTGTCCTTGTTGTACTTGTTGTTCCTCAACAATTGGTTGTTGTTGTTGTTGTTGAGAATTTGGACCAATAGCATAAATGAATTCTTCAACAGAGAAATCATATTTAACAAAGATTTCACCGGCTCTAGAGATCGAGTAGTAATCGGCAATGACGAGGGTGAGGCCATTGAGTTGGAGATTACGAAGCTTTTCAGATTCGTCGTATAATTTTTGGTAGGCTTGATAGACCTTGTCGTAGCCGTGTGTATATACAAAAGAGGTAAGGGTGGTCAATTCTTTAAGACCCAATCTAACTTGAACATAGTCACGAAGGGTTTCCATCTTTTCAGACAATTTCAAAACCTCAATAGTCTTGTCATGTTCATTGTTGATGATATCGATGAATTCATTAAACTCTACACGAGTTGAAATCTTTAATACACCATCCATATCAATATAATATTTGGATTTTCTTAAATTTGGGCAAATGCCAATTGTTAATCTATTAAATCTCCTACAAAAAATAATAAATAAACAAATAGTTAATATTAAATTCTATTCTTGAGAATGTTAATTTCTATTTTATCTAATTACATACTTTCCAGTTAATAATTTTGTAATTTGATTTTTGTTCTTGATTAAAACATTTTTAGAGAAATCTAAACAGAGGTCCATTTGATCGTGATTATTTAAATAGTGGTTTGGATCGTCTGTTGGATCATCGTGGAACATCCAATTGATAGAACGAACCTTGAGCAACTTGGTGAGCTCCTTTGAATGAGTGTCAAACTCTTTACGTTGGGTGATGTATTTTTCGACACGCTTTGCGTTTTCGTCACGCTCCACCTTTACCTGATCGGCCAACTCCTTGAGGTCGAGACGGTTGAGATAGCTAGCCCAAGTCTCTGAAGAGCTACGATCGAGATAGATGATTGGGTCGTTGGAGGCGTAATTGATTTCACTGTGGTTGAGGTTAAAAGCGAGGGAGGTAAACGACTTGTCCTTGCGTTGTGCCTCGGTGAGTGAGTCTCTCCAGGCAACATAGACATCTGCAAACTCTTGAAGAGCAAGATAGTTTTCTTGGAAAGAGTAGAGCGAGTCGATTGGGTTGACAGTCATTTGGACTTGCACCGATAGTTCTCTTCTCACCTTTTTGAGCATCATCTCCAAATCTCTAGATTGCTTGAATGAATCGTCACCAATTTGAACGGCAAAGTGACGATTGTCCAACAAAAAGTCTTTGATCGATCCGTTGCTACGTGGTTGGATAAAGCTGTCGACTTGTTGGATTTCAGTCAAGAAACGAGTTGCCAAATTACAGTAACCAAACAACTTTGACAATTGGTCGGGCACGTGATTTGGGTTTCTACAGTTCTCTATCATTTCAATATCGACACGTTTCAATACGTCCTTGCCCTCTTCCAATTCATCTGGAATAAAGAATGACAATGCATGTGGAATTTGTTGAGTATTTGGATCGGGTACTGGTCTTCTCTTGAATGCATCAATAATACCCATAATAATCTTCATATTATGTGAGTTTACTTTCTACAAACAAACAAAAAAGATAAGAATAGGTATGAGTCAGTTGTAACAATCTTTGTCCTCTATCTTTTTTTTTTGTTTATACCTTTTCCTCTGGATGAGCAGATAAAGTATCAGGATGAATCTTTAGATAGAATTGTTTGAGGATATTCTTTAACTTTGGTAATTCATTCTTTTCTCTATCGATCGTGGTAGAGTAGTGACGAACAACGGTTTGTAATTGTGATCTACTGCTGCTGAGTGTTGCAAATGAACTAGTAGCAGCTTTACTACCAATACTATACTTTAATATTGATTTAAACATCCTTCTCTCTTTCTCTCTCTCTTTCTTTTGTGTATCTACAAATTTGTAGAGTGTGTATGTGTACTAATACTACAATACAATGACTGCAAGCAAATTGCTTTCTGCACGAGAAAAACGAACGATCAGTACTAAAACTTTTTTTTTTTTTATTATTAAAACTCATTTCATCATCAGTCAACTTTATTATTATATTAAAATTATACAAAAATGACAATATTTTTATTATTATTTTAATATACAATATTGTATTTCAAAAGTTGTAATAGATGATGAAACAATTTTTTATTATTCAACCAATTTATTTTTTTAAAAAATGGAAGAGATAACAAATAGAGAACAATTAGAATTTATTTTGAAGAATGAAATTGATTATTTAAAGAGAAGAAATTCAATTTTAACTGATGGTAAATATAATTCATTCATTCATTCATTACAAAGTATAACAAATTGGTGAATATTTATTTCCTTTTCTTTTAGATAATAATAAATTAATAAATTTAGTAGCTGATTTTAAAAAATGTTTAATTGTATTTCAAAATTACCCAAATAATATTAAATTGATGGAAAAGAAGATAAATGAAATCAATGAGGTAGTTGAAATGGAAAGAAAATCAAAGGATAGATTATCACAAAACTATGAAACAAAGTTAAAGGAGAATGAAGAAAAACAAAATGAACAATTAAAATCACAACAAGAAACCATTGAAAAGCTACAATCAATTCTTGATCATTTTCAAACAGATTTAAATTATCAATCTTTAAATCATCAAAATGATATTCAAAATTATCAAACTCAAATGGAAGAGATACAACAAAAAAGTAAAGTATTCTTAAATTAAAAATACTTATTTACTATGATTTAAAACTAATAATTATTCTAATTTAGACTCTGAAAAAGAAAGAAGATTTAAAGAAATATATGACCAAAAAAATAGAGAGATTGAAAGATTACAAATAATTGTTGATTCAAAAACTGATGAATGCATACAATTAGAGATAAAAGACAAAGAATTGGAAAACAAATTAGTTGATCAATTAAAATTACAAAATCAACTTGAATCTTCAAAGAAATTAATATCTACTCAAAAAGTATGTAAATGAAATCTATATTCTAAAATATTAATCTGTTATTGATGGTGTCCTATATATCTAGCAAACATATGAAAAACAAATTGAAGATTTGAAAAGAAGAATACAAGAATATGAAGATACACAATACTCTACACCAAAGAAACCATCCTATTATCCACCACAATCCAACCAAAGCAGTAATAATAATAATAATAATAGTGGTTTTAATTCTTCTTCTTCCTCTTCAAATCAACAACGTAAATCCCATTACAGTTCCAATTGAAAAAAGTATAAAAAAGAGACAAATGTCTCCTCCAACCTATGATTTAAATATTAATCTTCTTCTTCTTGTTGTTGTTGTTGTTTATGTATATAAATTATTGTTCTTCGGTAAACTTTTTGTAAGCAGCTTCATCCATCAATTTGTCGAAATCGGCCTTGTTTACATTTGACATTTTCCAAATCCAACCATTTCCAGTTGGTTCTTCGTTGATGTCTTCTGGTGAGCCCTCGAGTTCGTTGTTGACAGATGTGATTTCTCCGGCGACTGGAGCATAGATCTCAGAGGCAGCCTTGGTGCTTTCAACAACAGCAATTGTGTCTCCAACAGCATGCTTCTTACCTACAACTGGGAGTTCAATGTAAACAATGTCTCCAAGGGTTTTAGTAGCAAACTCTGAAAGACCAACAGTAGCAGTGGTTGTTGTGTCCATTCTAGCCCATTCGTGGGAGGTTGAGTATCTGAGGGTCGAGTATCTTCTTACTGGGAAGACGAGAGCTGAACGAACTTGATTGTTACGTAATACTTTGGTGATGGTTGAAGAGAACATTGTGATAGATATATATACTGTACTATAGAAGGAAGGTAGATAGAGTAGAAATATAAACTGTTGCTTTGATTGAACACAATGCACATCCATAGGCAACGGGGAAGTGTGACAGCTCACGTTCACACAATTGTTCGAAAAAAAAAAAAAAAAAAAAGTTTGGTGCCCCCAAAAAAAAATCCCTCCCTCTTTCAATATCTGGAAGGTCGAGCTCCTTTCCAAAAGAGGTAAAAGAGACATATCTAGAAAGGGGGAAGGTTTGTTTGTATGTATGTATGTATGTATGTATATGATCATTAATCCTTTATTAATCTTTCTGCATGATAATAATGTTTATCGACCCAACCTTCTTGAGCATGGGTATCGACGGTCAATGCACGAAGTTGTTCTACAATATCTGGATAGTCAACATAACGCTTTACAATTTTAATCATATCTTTGGACTCTGGTGGAATTCCTTGTTCAACCATTTCTCTTGCCAACTTTAAACATGTCTTTGCATATCCAACCTTTGTTGTACCATATAATAATGTTCTAAAAAAGAAGAATAATTAATATATATATATTAATATTAATATTGATTCCTGCTTCAGGATTGATTTTTGATTTACATACATATAACATTTATAATCTGGTTTAATATTTTTTTCTCTCATTGTATGTAACATTTGAAGTGCAGATTCGAATTTACGAGTATGGCAATACAAACTAACCATGATACTGTAAGAGATGAGATCCGGTTCAATACTGTTCTTGGCAAAGTCATCTTTGAATATTCTTTCACAATCTCTAATCTTTCCAGAAAAGGCATATAATTTGAGGTATTGGTTCATGTGATAAGAGGTGATTGGGACGTCGAGTGTTTTCATATCGACCATGATCTGTTGGATACGTTCGAGATTCTTCTTTTGGTGGAATTTGTATTTTGATTTCTTGACATCGATTTGATTGTTTGCGTAACCTCCAATGACCAATGAAAAGACACGTTCATCTGGATTGTATGGGAAAAGATCCTTTCTCGTAAGGATATCATTGTATAATTTTTCGATGACTGATATTTCACCTCTCTTTGATGCCGACTTTAATAATGATGTATATGTAATAATATCTGGTTGATAACCATATAATGTCATCTCTTGGAATAATTCAAATGCCTTTAAATAATATTCTAGATAAAAATAAATAAAGATTAATAAATATATTCTACATCTTTAAAAGAATATTATTATATATAGTAGTTTACATACTGTTATCTGATCTTTTAGCACAACCATCAATTAAAGAATTAAATGTTACTTCTGTTGGTGTCATATTTAAATATTTAAATTCTTCATAATAATTAAATGCTTTTTCAATTCTATCATCCTAAATAAAAAAGAAATTAATTAATTAATTAATTTGATTAATAATCCATAACACTTTTCTTTTCTTTTTCTTTTGGTCTATTCAATATTATCTATCTATTTACCTTTGCACAAGCATCAATCATGACAGATAAAGTAACACTATCAGGATTCATTCCTTTAGTTTTGGCATCAGAGAATACTTCAATGGCAGTATCTATTTTTTTGTTTTTGATGAGACCATGAACCATGGTGGTGTAATTGACATGATCTGGAACGAGACCATATGTGTTTTCCATTACTTTTAAGATTTCAAATGGTTTATCAGTATCACCTGCATTCGAGTAGGCATTGATAACACCATCAAACATATGAACCGTCGGTGACATATTCTCCTTAATCACTCTATCCAATAATTTAAGTGCATTCTTGTAATCACCTTTTAAACCCATTGCTCTAATCGCTTGTGTATAGATTTTTGGTGTAATTTGTATATTCTTGTTCTAAATAAAATAAAATAAAAAATAGATAGAGTTTAAATTAATATATTGAATCATGTGATTGTTTTTTGTTGTTGTTATTGTTATGACATACATCTAAAAGTTGAATCATTTCAATTACTCTATCATAGTATGCACAAATACCCATTCTAGACATATACTGAATGACCTTTTGTTCGTTGAGAGGGTATTTGGTGAAAAAGACAGCAGGTGATATATCGGTTGTTTTGAACTCGTAGAGATGTTGTTTGCCTTTACCAACGATTGGGAATCGCTTCTTTATCTCTAAAAGATCAAAGAATGCTCCTTTGGTTGGATCTGACAATGGTGATGAAGTATCTGGTAGAGAGTGTGCAAGATCAATCTCTTGTGATGTTAAATACTCTGATATACTTTGTTGATTTACATTATGATTATTTGTATTGTTGTAATTTTCATCTTCATCTTGATCACTTCCTCTTTCAAGTACTTGTTTTGTACTCTTATTACTTTTACTAAATACTATTTTACTATTATCCTCTCTTTGTATTATATTATTATTATTATTATTACTATTGTTATTCGATCGACTTGAATAGGTACGATTATTGTATGTATATATATTATTAGTTGAAGAAGGATAAAGAATGAGACTATTAAATGTTGATGCTATTGATCTCCTCGAAAGATGTTTGAGTGACTGTATAGACAACATCTTCTTTGTGTGAACAGTTGATGAGAGATAAGATCTATCTATCTATCTATCTATCTAATCTACTATCTATCTATCTTAATATGTATGATGGGGAAGACAGCTAATTATGTGTAACGTAAAATTTGACACGACGAACGACTCGTTTTTTGTGTCATTATTAATTAATTTTTTAAAAGGTGGTGTCTTTCGCAAAGTAGTTTTATTCTCTTTATCTCTCTTCAACAACTTATATATCTGTATTTATCTACTTGGATAAAAAGAAGTTAATATATATTTAAAGATGCACGGAATGGTACCAGATGACATTGATTACATCAATGATACACCAACAATTCAAGAATATAAGAAACTCAAGAGAGTCATGAAGATCATGACCCAGTTCTATGTTGGAGGTAGTGCCACCAAGTTGGAGCAAGCAGAGTACTTTGAAGGAGAGTTGCAAAAGGTGCAGATGGACGAAGCACAGATCACCGCACAACTCGAGTCACTCAAGACGTTTGCACTCCACCCAAAGCGTAGAGAGTACGAAGAGGAACTCAACGAAGAGCTCGAGAAACTCTTTTTACTCAAGAAGAAGTTCACCACCAAGTCGGACGAGTTCCGTAAGCTCCACATCTGGTCCAACGGTATCGTCGATGTCACCAAGTGGCTCGAAAACGGTCTCGACGACTACTGCGTCAACCATCTCCAAATGGAACTCGGCAAGACCGTCGATGCCCCCGCCAAGCTCTCCAAGGAAGAGTTTTCAAAGTACAAAGAGGGTCTTGACGAGATCACCTACAATCTCCAAGAGTCACAAGACTTTTTCATGGCCTCGCTTGACGGTCGTCTTCGTCAATACCACATCATTGAAAAGGAAATGATCGAGGCTCAAATCAAGGTCATGAGCCAATTCCCACCAATGATCCCACGTACCTCTCACATCATCTCTGAACTCGAGGCCGATCTCGAATACGTCACCAAGAACATGGGCGAAGATCCATCAGCCATTGCCAAGCGTAAGAAAATGCTCGAAATGCACTCTGACTTTTTCAAGGTACTCCGTTGGTACAAGGACAAGATGAAGGTCCTCGGTGACGAATACGGTATCGTCGACCAAGACAAGCGTTCCGAAGAAGAGAAAATCAAGAATGCCATGAGCACTCAAGTAGAGTTTATGTCAAATCTCACTCCAGAAAATACTCCAGAGTTACAAGAATTAAAGAATCTTCATTTAAATTAAAGGAAAGATAGGTTTATTTATTCACAAACAAAATAAAATATACACATACACATAACATATTAATATTAAATTTATAAATACAAAATTAAACAAACAATTATTATTATTATTTTCCAAAAACTATGTTGCCTATTTATGAATCAACCAACATTTGATCAACTATTGATTGTTGTTGTTGTTGAACCAATTTATTATTATTATCGCTGTCATTATTATTGATTGTCGTAGTAGTTCTATTTTCTTCTTCTTCTCTATTATCCTTTTCATCTAAGAATTCTAAACCATTTTCACAACCAGGACAATTATGAATGGATTCATGAACCACTTGATCACAATCAAAACAAAATATTTTTTTGCAACGTGGACAACCATAGTTTAGATAGTTTGGTTTGATTGGTAATAGACATCCATAGCATTTTAGATTTGGTTGTATTGATTTTGGATTGACTTCTCGAAAGATTGGTACTTGGAAAAGGTGATGATAGGATCGAGCAAGATGAGGTGAAGAAACCAAAGAAAGTCCACATATTTGACAATCTGTAGGTAGTTCACAAAACTTGCTTTGGCATCGAGGACATGTATAGCCAACGTATTTAAATTGTTCGTGACAAACACACATCATTGGTGTCTGTGAAGTATGTTGTTGTGGAAATCCCATCTCTACCAATGCTGCTTCCACTTTACCAATGGTTGGTGGTGGTTGACAATGTAATATTAATGCTTCATTTAAATGATGTTCTGTTTCAATTACTTTCATTGTTCCTTTGGAAAATTAAAATTAAACATTAATATCATTAATCCATCCATAATTATCTTATCATGTTATATTTACCATTAGTTGCATCTGAAATATGTCTACAAACATATAATTCAGCGGCTAAATGTACAAATGATACTCTTATGTTTTCATTTTTCAAAGTTGTAATAGTTTTACTTAGATCCCCTGGATCACAAGTAGTCAAACTTGAATAAATAAATATAACTTCTCTACTACCATATTTTGGTACATAACTACAAATAGTGTAAAGTTTAGTAAGTTTAAACTTGAGTCATCATCATTTAATATTTATATTTACCTTAATGTAGCAATTGAAACATCTAAACTATTTTGAATTGAAGGGTCACCTTCAATGGTAGATGATACCATTTTCAATAGTTGAATGTGACGATTTGGATTACTTGATAGATCACTTATTTTCTCGGCCTTGCTATTCTTGGTGATGATGAGTGATAGTTGAGAGATGGGATTCTGATCAAAGAACTCTTTGATAAAGTTCTCTGCTGCAATGAGTACTGCTTGATGTCTATTTGGTTTGAGGTCATGTATTTCGAGTGATTTCGACAGATCGATCACCAGACACACATGTCTTTGCATACCACGACGAACACGTTGGTCATCCTTTAGTTGTCGACGTGTACGTGTGTCTCTGTCTTCTTGTAGTGATGGTCTGAGACCCTTTTCATCTTCTTCAATCGTCTCCCACGATCTTACAAACTTTTCCTCCCATTTATACTTTTGTGTACCTTGGTCATTGGTTTGCAGGACGTGATCAGTGTCTCCCTGACCATCCTCTGCGTCAAGAAGTTGTTTCAATCCATTATCATTTGCTGTATTGTTTGCTCCTCTTCTAGTATTACTCATCTATTTATATTATCTATCTCTTATCTCTTTCTCACAAACAAAACAACATAATAATAATAAACAAAAATGAATTACTTTTCCTTTTTGCTTTGATTCTTAATTTAATTTAAAATATAATGTTGCAAGTTGAAGATGCATGAAGACATCTATTTTCATATTTATTTATTTATTTTAATCAAAGCATGTTATAATAATAATAATAAAGATAAAGATAAAGAGATAATGAATAACAATAACATAGATTGTTGTTGTTGGTGTACAATGATCGTAGAGATGGCAGAGCTGACTTCACTCGAACTGTTATTGGGAGGAGCAATGGTTTTGACGGAATTGATAGAGACAATATCCTCAAAGTAAATATCACGGAGAGTGATTTGAATATAGTACAAAGTGTCTGGTGACAAACCATCAATTATGCAATTAAATGATTCACGTAATGTGATATTACATCTCTGTGTGTATGCACCACCGAGTGATGTAGAGAATGCAACAAATGTTTGACGTTCAACAGGTGTTTCAGTATCATTAACCATCCATGTAACATTTAAAGTTGTTTGTTCAGCTTTGAATTTAACATCTTCAATTATCAATACTATAGATAGAGTATAAATAATAATTATTAATACGAATAATATTTAGATTTAGATTTATATACTTACAAGTTTTAAATTGGAATAGGAAATAATTTGTTTGAGTCATATTATTGTTACGAGCTACTACTTGGACGTTATAACCACTTGGATCAATGTTATTGGTAATATTGACAACTACATTGGTGAGAGTAGTGTTGGAATAGATGGAACCGACACCTTCGATATCGACGTCATATGAACTACCACCTGGAACACCACCGGAAGCCGGATAGGTAACATTAAAGGCAGTGGTGTTGATTTGTTTGACCCAGATGTTTGGCTTTTGAAGTGCAGCGAGCGTTGTGAAAGATCTAATCGAATTGACAGGATAATCTACACATAGCACATTGATACCGTACGAGTAGGTAGTGCTTGGTTCTAGTCCATAACAAAAGAATGAATTGTTGGTAGGTGACGAGCAACTAACATTGGGGGTCAGAGTGATTTTAATGTTGCCAACTGAAGCTATACATGTATGGTTATAGATGAATGTAGCAGAAGTGGAAGTGATTATATCTTGTACTTCTAAAGTTGGGGCTAGATTGAAAAAAAAAAAAAAAATAGATTAATTAATTAATCTATTATTATTATTATTTTTAATTATATATAGGATGTGTGACATACTTGGAAGAGTTGTATAATTTTTAATTACATAATCGATAAATGGAGTTGGCATGTAATTTTCATAGGGAAGTGTGATACTAACATTCATAGAGTAACTTGTAGCTGCATTTAGAGCGGTAATTCGACATGAATTTGGGACACACATAGCTCCTTGACCGGCTGCTCCAGACGATTGCTTGTTTGCCAATGCGAATTGAAGGAACCAACGACTAAAAGGATTGTTTGCATAGTTAAAATAGACTGCATTTACACCTACTAGTGGATCATCCATATAAAATGGTATAGTGACCGTTACAAAGGGAACTTCGGGCCATACAGTCGCACATTTACCCAAAATTGTATTTTGGGCTGATTGGCAAGTGGGTGAACTTATCTGGAGTGAGGTATTAGTAGCACCATTAGAAGCCGATAGCATACCAAAACCAGTTTCAAAGGTTTCAAGTGGAACACATGCATCTGGTTTAATCATTATTCTGGCTGTATAAAAACCACCTGAACACTCACTGTTACAAAAATAGATAGTTAGATTATCATGTCAATTTAGAGTCTATATGATTATTTGTTCAAATGGTTCTATATAGACTTACGAATTTATGGGGTTTCTTTCATAATAATGGAATCCTGGAGTAGGGTACAAAAGATTATTGATATTCTTGATCATATAACTATTCAAACCCATTGCATTACAAGTTTCCAATGCAGTAGAGAATTTAGTAGCTTGACCAACTGTACAGCTTGCATCACTGTATGCATCTCTATTAATGTTTTAAAATTAAAATAGATTTTAGATTTGTTAATAATTATAAAACAGGAAAGAGTTTTTTAGTTGTAACTTACAATTGGTAATTTGAATTCAAATCATCGAATTGGTATTTAAATGATTTGTATGCGGTTCCTTCACTGATAGGGTAACATTGGCCTACTGCTACTGAGGATACTTTTACAAGACTTGGTGCTCCACAAAAATTATTGCTTGTATATACCAATACATGAATGTAAAAGTTTCCTTGAGCATTTGTTGTCAATGCAAATACACTTGAAAGAAATAAAATAGTTAAAAAAGAGAATAATTTCATATTTGTAATTAATAAATAAAGATATCTTTTTCGTTATAACAACAAATGATGGTTTAGTTGAAAAAGAAGGGAGGGGTAGAGCCTTCAACAAAACTTGGTTATTACAACGCTGTTGATTTTGTTGTTAATCGCCCCAATATCCATGCCTTTTTTTTTTTGGCATTTCATTGAATTGGATGAAGATCAAGGAAGAGATTTATAATTAATGTCGATATCTGGTTATAATCGTTCATGGTTGTCATAAACTCTAATTTTCTACTTTCTCTATCTTTTAGAGTTTATTTTCAAAATTATTTTTATCCTTGTGATAGAGTATCATTCGATGGAAGAATTGGTCAGAATCAAAGTCTGGAGAACACCAAAGTTGAGTTAGATTGATTTCGACCTTGTTGGTGCCAGGAATCAATTTTGAGGCATCCAATACCTTTTTGTGGTTGTGAAGTTGAGCGAGTATTTCGTCGTCGGATGGCTCTGTCTTCCACTTGACCAACAACGACTCGGATGTGTTGATGGCTTTGATGGCTTTGGCAGGTTCGCCTGCATTAATGTAAATGTTGGCAAGTTTGGCCCACTCGCGAGCCAATTCGGTCGAATGAGAGTGTCCCAGACGTAAAAATATGTTGTTGATGGCTCTTTCGGCATAGGTTACAGCTTCCTTGTACTTGTCTTTGGCAATATAGTAACGTGACAATGCATCATACACCTCTCCAATCTTTCTACTCTTTACATGATAGATTTGTTTACGAATCTCCAAACACTTGAACAACATCTCTTCTACCTCGCGAGGTGGTTGGTGGTGTTCAGTGTCAATCAATAATTTGGTGGCATTGCTAAAGATGGCACCTGACATGACCGATTGAGAGGTCAACATGAAGCAATCCATCTTTCCAAGCTCCAAAGAACAAATACTACAAACAAACTTTCTACCATTGTAGTCGTCATACGAAGCACCTTCTGGATACGAGTCATCTTCTTCTTGTCCCAAACTATTAGTATCAACTCTTTCCAATAATGTTCCTTTACATTGTTCACCACCAGATTCTAAACTTTGAGTTGGACATCTTAATAAATTTGGTCCAATTTTTCTAAAATACAAAACAAACAATAAATCAATTAATTATTCATTCGTTTTCTTTTCTTTTTTTCTTTTTTTTGTTTTAACATACGCATTACAAGCATGACATCTACAAATAAAGAAATATTCTTCTTTTAAACATTCTAATCTTTCTCGAAGTTCTAAATGGAAGGCGTGAGGACCATAGCAACCGGTGATTTCATCATTTTTCGATATATTTTTCAATGATTTGATAGTGATGGACGATCCATTGTACTGGAGGATGGTATTGTTATCACAAGAGTGATTGAGTAGTGAAGAGACTGGGAAAATGGCATAGGCAATTTTAATTGGAATAAATCGTTGAATGTTTCCATGATGACATCTTTCTTGATCATCGTCTTGAGTAATAAACACTGGAATCGAGTAAATGTACGATGACAGTTGACATAAATGTCTGACAATGGTTAGGATGGTTGCATCTTCCTTTGGAATTCCCAATTCATGACCACGTTGAACAAGGAAGCGTTGAATAAGAAAAGCTTCGATAATGAGTGCTACCAATCTTTCATGAGAATGTTGTTTGTAATGTGGATCAAACGAATAGATTAAATCGTAATTTGGATGATAAAGTTTTAAATCACCAATAATAGCTTCTGGATTTGGATCAACTTCTTCAAAATATAATGGCAATGTTGTACCACTATTTATAACATAATCTCTATTTCCACCAATATGAGTAGAAGTGTTATTATTATTATTTGAAGCATTTGATGTAATGGTAGAATCAACTTTTGGAATATATTGTTGTTCTGATGTTGTTTGACTACTTTGACTTTGATTTGTGGTGTTACTATTATTGTCGTTGTTGTTGGTATTATTATTATTATTATTTGACTCTTGTTGTTGTTGTTTATCTTTGTTCTTTTTCTTTTCTTTTGCTTTTTGAGCTAATAAACGAATGGTTAATAACCCTTCTGATGAACATAATAATAAGAATCCAATTGAACATTCCATCTCGTGATATTTAATGAAATCTTGATTCAAACATTTCTCACTACAATATTGTGAATGATTACATTTTTTACAACTAAATCAAAATAAATTGATTAATATATTTGTTTAGTTTGTTTAATTTACTTTATATTTATGTTTTACTTACAAAATAGGTGAAAGAGTTTCTTTAAAACAATTATGACAATGAGAAGAATAAGAAGCACGATCTAAACAAGTAACATATGCATTCTCTTTGATTAAGATTGTATTGGCTTTGATATCATCTGTAGCCTCTGCTATACGACCAAGACTCTCTGAAGCATATCTAAATGATACACGACTATCAACAATTGAAATCTTTTGGTTGTCTATAGATTCTTGATCCTTTCCATTGTCGTTGCCATTCGAGTCGTTGCTGCTGTCTGATATACCAGCACCTTTGATCTTTCCAATCTTTTCAAGATAACTTTCAATCGATTGTAAATCAGATCCATCCATTTTAATCTTGCTCACCAATTTATGTGCATCTTGGAAATCCTTTTTCGCCATGTTGTAGCGACGTAGACTAAAGTTACAAATACCACGACGATACAATAGTTTGTGTGCCAACTGTTCAGGGTTGCATTCTAGACCACGTGTAGCTTCCATTGCACCCTCTTCAAATTTCTCTAAATGTACCAAACACAAACATCTATTCGAGTGTATTGAAATGAGTATTTGTGGGTCTTTGGTAGGTTCACTATTATACAAACGAAGTGCCTCACCATAAAGTAACAGTGCGTCATAGTATTGTTTCTTTTGAAATAGTTCATTACCCTTGTTTTTGTAGGCTTTGCTAGTTTGTTCTTTTGGCAAAAGTGCATCCAACTTTGCACGTTCCTCTGCCTCTTCTTCATCCTCTGCCATGTCTTTCTTTTCAGTCTTTTGTTTCTTGTGAGGTTTCTTTGATGATGGAAAATCAGAGTAAAAATCGTCCAACAATAATTGTTCCTTTTCTTCAGCTGTCTTGTTGTTGATTAGACCTCCACCTCCACCTCCACTACCATTAACTTCCTTATTATCCTTTCCATTTACATCTTTTTCCTTTCCACTTTTGTTTGTGTATTTTGAATCTAGTATACTTTGTGTAGTCGAGTTTACAAACGTGTTGATTGTGTATCGTTTCAATTCCGAAACCAAATTCCAGAATCCCAATATAATATCAATCTTTTCGTTGATTTGCATTGTATCATATCGCATTCGTGCAGCCAAAGCAATGTTTTGACCCTTTCCAGTAATAGCAATTGGAGGTAGAGTACGAGACAATGCCTGTGTCAAAAGACTACGATGTTTGAGTTCGCCATACTTGCAACTCTGTCCAATCGACGATGTAGGTGGAGGTTGCATAGTAGCAGGGTTAACCAACATGTTTGCATTGGTTATCGTCCCCATATGTGCATGTTGTGCTCCATTACCCATCGCCAATCCTAATTGATTCAACATGATCTGATGATACTTGTCTGCAATCGTAGATGAAGTTGATGATGATCTAGACGATGATTTTGATTTAGTCGAACTTGATGTTGTTGTTGTTTTCTTTGTATTTCCAATAGTTGTTGTAGTTGTTGTTGTAGTAATTGGTGTGGTAGCAGATGTAGTAGTAGTAGGTGGTGATGTTGATATCGATGCAAATAGTGATGGTGATGGTGGAGTAGTACTCGTCGTCGGACTAGTCGTACTCTCTTCCTTTTCCTTTTCGGTATCATCTTTGTTCACTTTATCATCTACTATTGATAATTTTGAAAGTAGTGAAGATTCTTCATCATCTTTCTGAAACTTCATTGAAGATATTATTTCTTCTTGTTCTTCTTCTTCCTCTTGTTGTTGTTGTTGTTGTTGTTGTTGGTCGTGTTGTTCTTGTCCCACTTCTTCTTGTTGTTGAGTAGTCGGTGATGCAGATGCAGATGCAGATTGTGCCGAGTTATATAAATGTAGTTGATGATGATGCGCTACGTGAGTATTTCCTTGATGATTTGATTTTCTTTTACTAATTGGTGTAGATGTTGGCTTTGTCATCTATATGATCTTTTAATCCTATCAATCTATTTCTTCAATCTATATATCTCTCTATCTCTGTATGTTTGTCTTCATACTTTAACTTTTAAAATTGAAAGTGTCGACTTTTTGTAATTCATTGTCTTTTTTTCTTTTCCTTTTTTTAATTTACTATTTACTTTTTATATTTATTTATTTATATATATATTTACTTGTTATAGAGATTGTTCAGGAATGAAAACCATACCATATTGTGGAACACAAAGTATATTCTTATCTTTACAACTGTGACCACCCCAACTTCTCTTGTAGTTGCCTTTCTTGTCATAGACTTGGATGACATTTTCCTCTTTTTTGCTACCCTCCTTTTTAGAGGCGTAGGGAGCTTCCACAAAGATATCACCGTTGGATGGGTTGATGGCAATGGTGCATGGTATGGCCGATTCTTGACCAGTCGCGGTGGTGTTTCCAACCATGACAATCTCTCTCAATACACGTCCCTTGGTGTCCAACTCGATGATGAGGTCTTGGTGAGTGGCAGGCACAGCAATCAACATGGTATTGCTAGTTGTCACCTGAATACCATTATAAGCCAATTTATTCTTGACTGGGTCGTATTCATCGACCGATCCATCCTTGTGAATGGCAAATATAACATCTACATCTGGTATCCATACAGTTCCCTTTGAATCAACTGCTACTCCCAATGTTGTATTAAACTTGTTATTTAAAATTGTATTTTTATATTTTCCATTCTAACAGAAACAAAACAAAGAGTAAGTAAATAAATAAATAAATGATACATCATCATCATCACCATCATCATCATCATCATATGATATGATATGATATGATATACATACAACATCATAAACAAATACACCAACAACATAATTTAGATCACAGTTGACATTGGTACTTGTAATATAAATATCTTGATTGGTTTGATCGACAAAGAGACGTTGAAGACTACATCCAAGTTGACCTGGTTGATTTGTAGTCATGTTGTTATAAATACCCTTTACATTGCCTTTCATCGATGAGTAAAAGAGACCTTGTTGCTCGTCCAACAATAACAAGGTAGAATCATCCAAAAATGCAATATCATTTGCTACACATCTAATTGTTGAATTCTAAATATAAATAGAAAAGTAAATATAAATAACCTAATTCTATTTATAAATATCTATCCTCTTTGTCTCTCTTTCTCTGTCTGTCTCTGACTTACATCTTGAACCCAAGTAGTATAATTGTTTACATTGACACCCTTTGCAGTGAACTCATATAAAACCTCTGGATTAGCTGTCAAGGTATCAGTTAATAGCAAATTCCCTCCACCAAAGGTATTATTTGCTTGTGCAACTGTACAAGTCAGCAGTGATAGTAGTAACGATGCTAACACTAATGTAAAAGTATAAAAATAATTATTTTTCATTTCTCTCTCTTTCTCTCTTTCTCTATCTCTCTCTTTCTTTCTCTCTCTCTCTTTCTTAAAACTACTACTAATAACAACAACTGACAACTAAGAATAGAAAATATTAATATACAAATGATGAGAACACTTCTTGCTCAAGAACTCAGTGATATTTTAAATAAAGTAGACCAGTGCCGACTCGTTTTAAATATCTTTTAAAAATGTCACGATGTGGGGGGTAACACTGAAGAATGTTATTATTAATTTCACTAAGTGTGTCATTATTCTTCATCTTTCAAAGTCAACTATTAATAGTATTATTATTAACTTACACAAATATATATAAATTATTTTAGATGATGGTTGAGTTTAAAAAAGGTTTATTTATTTATTTATTTATTTATTACAATTTGCTTTTTTTTTTGTTTATATTATATTATTATTAGTTTTTTTTAAAGTAATAATGATAACAACAAAAGAATAAAACTAGCAGATAAATAAGATGATACAGTTAATTGGGTTCCAAATGATGGTTCTTCAGATTCAGAATCAGATGTAGATGATGATGAATTGGTATTACCACCAGAGTTGATCTTGGTAACTACAAGTTGAACAAGAGTAACGTCGTCGGCGAGGGTAGTGTTTTGTACTTTGTATTCCAAGGTGACACCGGTTTTGGTAACAGTCTTGGTGGAAAATTCACCGCTAAGTTCTTGGGCGGCAGAGATGAGAGTGTAGTTCTTGTTGACTTGAACGGCTGTGTTGGCAAAGTCGGCTGCGAGCTTGGCACCTCCCAATTTGACGGTACCATCTACTTTGACAACTGGAGTGTCACCAACGACAAGGGTGGCAGCGACAAAGCTGACGACGGCGGTTGCTTGGAGTTCGAGGTTACCGGTGACGTTGGTCGATTGTGGATACCATGTAGTGCCATTGGCGATGATTTGGTCGGCATCCAAAGTAGAGTTGGTGGTGTATAAAAGGGCAGATGGAGCCAACGTGACGGGACCACTGATGGTGGAGCCAGTGACTTTCAACTTGCCTTGGGTGACGGCAATACCACCAGCAGTAAATTCAATGGAAGAGTTGGAGACGGTCAATTGGGCATTGACACCATTGACGGTGATATCTACGTTGGCAAAGGTTCGAGAGGTACCGGTGATGGCTGCAACAGAGGTGAACAAGAGGTCTGCAAAAGAGGGTGGTTGGATGTCTCCAGTTTGGGAAATGGTGACGATTTGAGTGGTACCTGCAAATGTGATGGGTGTGGTGCTGGTCAATTGAAGAGTTTGGATCATGGTTTGGGCACCCGAAAAAGTGACGGTCGAAGTAGTTTCGGTGAACGAGAGGACATTGGCAGAGACAACGCCAGCAACTGTGATGGTGGCAGCAGTATTGTCAAAGGCGAGTGTACCTGCGACAGCGACGTTCTTCAAGAGTACAAAGTTTGGAGTTTGACTAAACCCGAGGTTGGCTCCACTTTGGACATTCACGATGGAACTGCTACCATCAAAATTACCACTGACAGTGACAGGCGAGTTGGCCAATACTACCAAAGTTCCAGTGACGTTCAAGTCGGCAAAACTACTCTCTCCTGCGATACTGGCGTTGACAAAGACGGTAGCTCCACCTTCGACAGTAACACCACTTTGGAATGTGAGGGTGGTAAGACCGGTGAGTGAGGAAGTGTCCTTGAGCGAGACAGTATCAGTAAAGTTGGTATCAGCCGAAAAGGTGAGTGAGGAATTATCACTGCCTGAAAAAGAAGAGTCAGCTGAGAAATTGGCAGCGTTGACCAAAGTAAATGCAGCTCCATTGGAAATGGTGAAAGTGGCAGTATCCGAGACGATGGTTTGGACGGTGGAATTGAATGCACCAGTAAAATCAACTTGTGATTTGGTTACATTGAGCAATCCGATGGAGGCACCAGCTCTGGCGATCAATGCTGTGTTGGTCGAGGTCAAAGACTTGACGATGAGTTCTCTCTCAAAGGTATAGACAGTGAATGTCTTTGCCAAGTCTCCTTGGTAATTAATTACAGCATCTTGTTCGGCTGTTGGAGCAACTCCACCGACCCAGTTTGCGCCCACATAGAAATCACATCCAGATGGTGTTGAACAATCGATCGTTGTATCATACTCTATAGCTTGTTGGTATGATTGATTAGTGAAAAGTGATAATAATAGGAATACAGTTAAGATTAAATATTTCATCTTTTAAATTATATAATGTGTGATGTAATAGGTAGATTTGTTAAAATTACAATGGAAAAGAAATTAATGATGGTTGATGTTCACTGTTGTTTAATTTATATTAGCTTTGGTAAACGGTTTCACCTCAATCAAATTCTTTTAAATATTTGTGTTGACGATTCAAATAAAAAAGTAAAGATAGATATCTTAAAATATAAACAACAACAACAATGTGTTGTCAAACTATTCAAATAAAATTGATAGTGTCGGGAAGACAAGAAATTCATTCATTTTTTCTACCTTCTCCTTGCAACAAGATGATTGGTCACGGGAGATTTTTTCCCAATTTAAGGGCGTCTTCAACGTTGTTTTATGACCATGGGTTACAACCACTCAAGGAAAGGGGCACCCCTTCATCTTTATCGTCACCATTTTTAGATATTCGTGTTTCGTTACCACAAAGATCAATTTAGAAGCTCACACTGATTGCTTCGGTGGTGTCTTCAGTGCCCCCTTTCCTTTGGAATAAAAAAGGAGAAATGAACGTCTCTGCTCTACTTCGCAATCAAAGCATCATTTACCCCCCAAGTCTAATAATAATATTATTAATTATTTATTCTTATTCTTTTTTTAACAATAGTAAAACTAATCTATGATTAATCTAAAATCTAAAGAATAATGACTCAAACAAATGAATAGCTTTTTTTCAAAGGAAACATCTGATCAAGTGTACCAGATTTATTAATCTCGTATATTAATATTCTCTATTTGGACTATTAATATTAATATTAAATATTACTTTATGTATTTAAGTATTATGTTACTAGAGAGTTTAAGGAATAGAACTCTTTCTTGACCTTTTTTCTTGTTATTAAAAAATATGGATGCCATTTCTAAAATGTTAAAAGAACAAACTCTTGACCAATCTGATACAACTGAAATGGTTAGTACAATACATTTGGCTGAAAAACAAATGACTGATGATATCAAGGCATTGGAGATATTATTGTCTGAACAGATTCAACCGATGATTGCCAAAGGTGAAGCTGTTAGATGTCAATTAGAGGATAGAGGTTTACTAAAACCTCAATCAGGATTGGGACACTTTTCAACTATTTGTCTCAACCCAGTCTGTCAAAACCTAGTTTGTCATCAAGCATGTAATTTGGAATACACCAAAATCCATCTTTATAAGTTGTCATGCAATGCAAAGTACCAATAATTGCAAAGTTTGTCCTTTAGGTTGTTCATATTCATACCATGTTCATGCAAAATGGAACAAAGGTGATCCAATCTGGAAATCTGCATTGGTTGTGAAAAAAGGAACTGATGAAATTAAAAAAGATTTTGATCAATTAGAAAAGAATTGTAGGTAGAAGAATATTAAATTAAATTAACAATTGCTAATTTACTTACTCTTTTGATGATATTAATATTAAATTATATATTTTTGTTTTTTTTTCTCAAGTAAAAGACCATTTGAAAATGTATACTGCTAAAAGAGAAGAATTCCGATCCCTCCTTGGATATTGGAAAGGAAATGGTCCTGTTTACATGGACCATTTTATTGAAACCAAAAAAAGAGAAATCCAATCAATGTCGGATTTGATCAATCAATCAAATGATGACAAGGTCACCAAAACCAAAAGATTAGAATCGCTCCAACAAGAATTACAAACCATTCTTTCAACACAAACCAATTATTACCTCGATTTGACCAATCATACCATTGAAAAGGTTACAGTTGGATTCTCAAAATTATCATCTGTGTTTTTAAATCTAATGGATAAATAATCCTATCTAATCCATCAATCCATTATTAGAGTTCTTTTGGAAAATAGTTTCAGTCTGAAATAAAATTGATTTTGTTTTGAACAATAAGATAAATAATATATATAATATAATGACAATGATAAGTACCTGCTACTGGAAATTATTTAATTAATTAATCTTTCCAAGAGTTTCAACAGGACCTCATCCTCTTTTTCTCATGTTAACTAATATTAATCCTCATGAGGAGTCGTCGATACCCTTTGAAATCAAAACAATCGAAAAAGAATCAAATTTTGAATTTTTTTAATTTGGTGGTGCTCTAAACCAAAGATGGATGGTAATGTTATTCTACTTCTTTTGAAACAAGCAATAACATTTATTAACTGTCATCATTTTTTACAATGCTATGCCCGTGTGATCTAGTTAGACATCAAAGACTATAGATCTAATCTATAGATCGACACTTGCTCATTATCATATGACACTCGTGTGAGTATCTTCTATAGAATCATTGCTTAGTACCATTTGATTTTTCACTATAGTACTACTAGTGGTTAATCTTTAGATTCACCTTGAATTTATGCGAACTACTACTACTACTACTACTATCGATCTATTGACAAATGTATGTATGCCACAATAATAACGATATGTATAATGCTCTATAGATTCATTTCATTTCACACGTGCACTTTGACTCAAATTACTGATACCATCTCTCACTATTTTATCAAGTTAAGATCATGCATGATTGTTATACTCAAAATATTGCTATTGATGATGATAGTGATAGTGTGGTTGGTGGGTGTTTAATATATTGCTTATTCAAATAATGATATATACTTAATAGAAGAGAAGGATGAAGGAATGGATTTGAATTTCTACGTCCTTTGGTTTGGAACCAACTGGTTAAATAGAAAGAGAGTCCAAAGTTTGGAAATCAGTTATTCTACTGTTAATTAATTAATTCCAACTACATTACTTCTACTACTTCTACCAATACCATTTGCCATAAATAATTATCGAATCATCATAATGTCTCCACCCATTGTAAGTATATATTATTATTATTATTATTATTATTATTATTATTATTATTATTATTATTATTTACATTTATTTATTTTCATTTAATTTAATTTTTTTTTTTTCAGGTTCAAAGTATCTATCAAGAAACCAATGTTTCATTATTGGTCAACCTCAATACAAACAAAGACGAACTTCTCAAACCATTTGTAGATGTGGCCAAAAAGATGGTTGCCAAGAAGAGACGTCAGAAATGCCAAATCTTGACAAACTTGTTTGCAGGTCCAAAGAGCGGTGGCACAACTTCATTTGTAGAGTTTAGTGCCAATATTTTGATGGGGCAATCAAAATCACCACAAAATATGAGACCCAAGGGACATGAAACACTCAACTCTCAACTTGGACAAAAGAGTACCTATGGACCGGTAAAATACCAAATCTCATTCGAGTACAATGGCCAAAAAGTATTTCAATTTATATTGGTCGATTGTCCATCTCTTTCATCATATGGTGACACTCAAAATCAAGATACTAGTACCATTGTCAAGTCATTTTGTTCTCTTCCAAGAATAAACAAATTGGTCTATGTATCCAACCCAGTCATCAACCCATCAGACACATCAGTTAGAAAGTCACTTGGTGAACTCTTTTCTATTGTACCAAAGAATGCCTCAAAATGTGTAGCTGTAGTTGTCACCAATTGCAGTTCTGATAAAACTGCTCAAAGAACAACCAACAATATCGGTGACATTGTACCTGATATCAAAGGTAAACCATCCCTTAATTTAGAAAATCTATGGTATGTCACACAAACAAACAAACAAATAATAGTAATAATAACACTATCCAATGTATATATACTAAGTTGTTGTTTTTTGTTTTGAAATTAGGTGTGATCATCCAAACAACAAATATGAAAAAGGAAACGTATCCATCCCAAGTGGAATGGATGCGGAATCTAAAAAGATTGCATCATTTTTCTTTTCACAAATTAAAGTACCAGAGGATGATGATGATGAAGAAGAAGAGGATGATGATGATGATGAGGAGGAGGAAAAAGAAGAAGATGGAGAATCATTTGATCCAAAAGAATTGGATGATGGATACAGTGACAGAAATGATTTGGTCCTAAAGATTGTAACACTTGGAGTTGTTGAAGAAGAAATCCTTGGAGATGTTAAAGGACTGAATGGTTTGATCGTAGACAAAATGCCTACAGTTGTCAAAAAGGGTGAATCGGTCAAGAAACAATTAGACGACGCCAAGTATTTGGTACCTGGCCAAGGACACTACTCTACCATCTGTATGAGTGCCGATTGTAGCAACCTGGTGTGCCACAAGAACTGTAGTCTTGATTACACCAAAACCCAGGGACACAACATTTTTGAAGGTTGTGCATGTATGAAAAATAGTCACTGTACCGTTTGTACATCGAAATGCTCGTACCACCATCACGTTCATGCAAGATACACAGAAGGTGATCCAATATGGAAATGTGCCGAGGATGTAAAGAATGAAATCAACCAAATCAAAGAACTAGCAACTGGTATGGAAAAAAAGGGTAAGAAATTTAAAATATATAGTTGGTTCATTAACCGTTTGGATTCACAATATCTAATTTACAAATATACCATTCTCTCTCTTTGTCTCATACATAGTAAATCAACATTTGGCAAGATACAACAAAAGAACTGGAGAGTACCATATTTTAAATAGTAGCTTTAAAAGTACTTCAATGTTTGGAAATATTGAATCATTGATCCAATCATCGTTGCTTGATACCAAAGAAAAGTTAAAGTTTTCAAATCAACCAGATGAAACCAAACGTTTACAATCACTCTTGTCGGATCTCCAATCCAAATCATTATCTCTTGATAGAATGAAGACTGGTTACTATCAAAATCAAACAAAAGATGCCACCACTAGATGTAACATTGGTTTGGCTACTTTATCATCCTCAATGAAAGGTCCAAGTGTTTTAAATAGATTTAGTAGATAGAAATAGAAATAGAAATAGAAATAGTTTTTTTGTAAATAGAAATAGAAATAGAATAGTTTTTGTAAATAGAAATAGTTTTTTTGTAAATAGATACATCTTAAATAAATAAATAAATAAATATAGTTTTAGAATTACACAAAACAAAAATAAATGGAATTTCAATCATAGTAGATTTCTTATTTTTTAATGTTACTTTCATTTGATTAGATATAGGTTGGAGTTTTAGAGGTTGACCAAAAAAAAAAGTGAAGTTTTAATAAATAATATAACAGTACAAAAAAAAAAAAGAATAATTTAATTTACAATACATATATATATAAAATTATTTATTATTATTATTTATCTTTCCAAGTCCAAACTTTAATAGAATTGTCACTTGCACCTGTAAATATACGTGATCCATCTGATGCTATTGAATAGATAGAACCTCTGTGAGCCTTTAGAGTTAGAACATTTTTGAGTTTATCATTTTCCTCGGCAGGAAGCAGATAGATTTTGACCGATGAATCTTCAGATGCTGTAAAGATGTAGTTTTTGGTGACCAATACATCGACAATGGCGTCTGTGTTGTCGTCGTGTTCGGACGATGGCATAAAGGTGTTTAAGTTCCAAGCCTTGAGACCACCATCTCTGCACCCACTAAATAGAATACCAGATTCATTGTGGATGCCCAATGCGGTGACCCAACTATCATGAGCATCACCAATACCATAGATACAAACCAACATCTCTAAATCCCAAACTTTAATAGACTGATCATTCGATGCACTAAATAGATATTTGCCAGAGATGCATATAGATTTTACACTCTTGCTGTGAGCAGTCATAACCTTGATACAGCTAGCACCTCCACGACCACCATCAACCAACTCCCAAACACGAATTGACTTGTCAAAACTACAACTAAAGAGATGGTTACGAGCTCCATCGATACAGACCCCATTAATCTCCCCAGTGTGACCGTCTAATGGTGACCCGACAGACTGGTATGTTGAACGATCCCAGATTTTAATGGTTTGGTCGGCCGATGACGTAAAGAGGAGAGAGTCATTGAAGCAGATACCCGTGACTGATTTTCGATGGGCGCGGATAGTCTCTATCAACTGTAGACTGTCCAAACTCCATACTTTAAGTGTGCCATCACCGCTACCTGAATAGACAAATCGTTTGTCAGTGTCAATCACAATTGATGTGATACGATCAGAGTGACCGGTGAGTGTAGATACGCAAGACAACTCGCTCTGTGCTGGGTTTTGGGGAATGTTGGATAAAGTAATATCCAACTTGGGGTCGAGGTCTGGTTTGAGGTCTGGTAACATCATGGTTCCACGAATGACACGTGTCATGTTTCTTGAATCGTTCAAGTCAATGCCAATGGGTGGTAATTCCAGTTGAATGCAGATAGGATTACACTTGTGAGACTCTATAAACTTTTTCATACCCTTTTCACCTAGGTTGCCAGCACCGAATCCCTCACCATCCTTGGTATGTATTTGAGGGTCGGTGTAGTGATCGTCCACACCTTGGATATCGACAATAATCAACTCGTGGGCACTAGCCTCGTACGAGAAATGTGAAAATGATTGTGGTGTATTTCTGTCACCAAATACACTTCCAAAATTACTATTTAATTTCTTAAACTCTCCATCTATATACATCTCCAAACCATAGAGTTTGTGGTCTCCCTTGTCTGCTTGTACCTCGATAACCCATGCAGACAAAAAGTCGACGGGTTTGGGTGGCGAGTTTGCCGTGTACCGTATACCATACTCTCTACACATCATCTGCATCTTGACATCTTCAAAGTAACGTTCAAACGAGACGGTCGTCTTTGATAACTTGGCGACATAGGTACTGTCGACTGGACCAAATAGACGAGGCAACTTGCGCAGGTTGAGTTTCTTGCCTTCCTCGTATTGGCTGTGTTGGTCTCTGTAGAAAGCCTGTGTGTAGAGAGTTGGGTTCATCTTGGTCGTAAGTTTGTAGGCACTACGCAAAGCACCGCTTGCAAAAGGACGTGATTCCAATTGAATGGCAATCATACCCCTTGTCCACTCTTCCGCAGATGCATCGTATTCCCACACGACAGCCCATTGCGATCCGCTTGGCAATGGTGGCATTTCATGCTTGAGTATGAAAGATTGTGTTACATCTGGTGATGTTGCCAATTGCACCGCCGCTGCAGCAGCATTCTCTTGTTCTTGTTGTTGTTGATCGGCATTGCTTGAAGAACGTAATTTTGGGGACATGGGTGGTAGATATACTTCCATTGAATCCTTTGATCCCTCACGTTTTAATCTTGATCCACCCATCAATGCCATAAATGGTTTACGCCATTGTGCAGTCGGTTGGAATTTCTTTAATTTCTCTGGAGGTGGTAGGGGAGGTGGGATTGGTATATTGCTCGCAACGCCCGTCAACTCTTTATCATTCATAGAGTTTGATCTAGACAATGAGGGTGACAATGGTGGTAGATTAGGTGAAGATATACCATATGATGAACTTAGATTTGGTGTTGAATTGGTTGATGATGGCAAACTATTATTAATATTATTATTATTATTATTATTTAATTCTACATGTACAATGTTGGGGGGAGTAGCAGGAGGTGTAGATGAATCTACAACAGTGGCAGCAACTACTGGTGAATTGGTGGTTGTTATTATAGGTATTGTTACAGATGACGATGATGGAGATTTAATATCATCCTTTTCTAAATCTAATGTAGGTAGGTATGTGTTAGTGGTTTGGGTTAATATTAATAATAGTTTAAGACAAACATACCTAATAGATCTATATCTACATTGTTTAATTTGGCCAACTTGTTGATGATGATTTGTTGTTTATCTATTGTTCTTTGCAGCTGTGGAATCTTTGCCACCTCCTTTTCGACCAATTCAAGTCTATTCAGGAGTGCATTGATATCAATGTCGTCTCTACCCATTTTTAATTTAATATTTAATATATATTATTTATATTTATATAGTACACAGCTTGTTGTTGTTGTTGTTGTTGTTGTATACCTAATCTACGATTGATGTGTTGTGGGTATTACCATCAACTTCTAAAAGTATATACAATGTGAATGTGAATGTTTCCTTTAAGATCTATAATACACTAATGGGGGTGGGTTGGTTATCTATATCTATGTTATTATCTTTATCCCTCTTCTATCTATCTATTGTTGTTATTATTATTATTATTTTGTGCGCGTTATTGTTGTTGTTGTTGTTGTTTTAGGATCCTCGAGAGAGAGGTTGTTTGGTTTTGTCGAATAATCCAATTAAAGGGGGTGCCAGCTATGAGGTGGTGCGGGTCGTGTCCTAAAAACTTTCATGCTGGTAAAGGAGAATCGAGATACCATCGAAAACAACAACGAGCCGTTACCGCACAACCCCAACAAAAAACATTTTATTTATTTTTTTCTTCTTTCCCTCCAACAAACACATCATCATCATCAACCGTGCAAAGAAATAATCTTAATATATCTATCTTTAATATATCTATCACACATAGATCAAACATGATGAGAACGAGCGAATAGGAGAAAGTTCTTCTTCTTCCTCTTTCATTATTACTTTTCCCTCAATCCTTTCAATCTCACCCCAACCCATTATTTCTTCTCTTTTATATATATCTATCTATAGATATATATCCATCTATATGTTTGGTTGTTTCATTTCATCATCCACTTCTCTTTCTCTCTGCTTTGCAAAGAACGAAACGTGAAGTTGATGATGTAATAGATAAAAGAGGAATTAGGAATGAGAAGAAGTGGTGGTGATGATTGATGATGATGATGCACAACCTCTCAATGTTTTAATTTGGAATATATAGAGAGAGAGAGAGAGAGAGAGCGAGAGACGACCATGACAACAACGCAACACCGATTTAATCAAGCATCAACCAAAATTGATTGATTGCTCTTCTTCTTCTTATTCGAGCCAAACACAAAACAATACCATCCCGATCTCTCTCCCCTTTTAAAGATACAAAGTAGCACAAAAAGTCAGCTGTGTCGACGAGTTGGGGGGGGGGGGGGGGGAGTGGAAAACATGTTTGTGTGATACTGCTGCAGTATCATATAAGCATCACAACCATCAGTCACTATCGTGTGTGAATCTAGATTGGGTAGGTGTGGTGTTTGGTGGTGGGTTGTTGTTTCATTTTCCAATGTTAGCATGGTGTGGTGTAACACAAGCGTTACCCTATAATTTAATACTACACCGCGCCGCCACCCACCGTGGACATATGCATATTAATATTTATTTCTGGATTGGAGACGGGCTGGCTGACTGTCTCTGGCGCGTGGTACATACATACACAATATTGTTGGCTTGGTTTGGCAGCTACTGCTACAGCTGGATAAAAAAATGATGATGGATAATTTAAAATTTTATGTTTGTCAACACACAACAACAACAACAACAACAACAACAAAGACGGCTTTCTGACATATGCCACCCTCCTTCTCCTTCTCTCGGTTTTAAAAACCACCACCAGACACAATTTAACAATAGATAGAAATGATCAATTTCCCAATCACACATCTGACTTGCAATTTCCTACACTTTTTTATCCTGTTAAAACACACCTTGGCACCATCCCCATTGGATAATGGTGTATAACACTTCTAAACAATGTGCCATGAACAGAGAGAGAGAGAGAGAAGAATAGATAGAGCGACTATCCCTTCTCCCCCCACTCTGATGTTGCCAACCAACCAATCCATCCCATCGATTAAAAACTCTAAATTCCAACAATTTAAATTCACCAAAACACTAAGCTATTTAAGCAATACGTAGGAGAACTCCTCTAGAAACACAAACATAATTCAATTCAATTCAATTCAATTCAAATCAATCAACAATCAACAAACAATTTTGTTTTCCTATAAATTCAATCACTAAGCCAATTAACTACCATATATCAATAATTATTCCTTCCTTCCTCCTCATCCTATTGTCTATTATCGATCGACTGTTTTCTCATCCGTCGTCAAAATAATTTAAAACCAACCAACCAACCAATAATTCTTTTAATTTAATCAATCCATCGGAATCATTTCATCTATAAATAATTACAACACCACAAAAAAAATAATAATCAAATCACCGTCCACTCCTCGTATCATCGTAATACCCATTATTTATTTATTTATTTATTTATTTATTTAATTTATTTTAATCTTTTCGTCTGTCCAACGTCATTCGGTCGACTTGTTTAACACCCACCCACACACACAGACACCAATCAAAATTGAATCACTACAATCATATAAATTAAACTATTTTCTATTCTATTTATTTATTTATTTTGTGTATAATAGAATTTAAATTAAATTCTACAACTTTTTTGTATTTTATATTTATTACTACATCAAAAATATATTTTGAATCAAATTAAATATAATTTCAAAAATCACAATATTATTTGTACAATTCATAAATCAATCCAAAAAAAAAAATGAATAATATTAATAGTAAAATATTAATATTATTTTTAATCGGTCTATTCTCGACGATTGCATTGGCCGATACATGCTTTAATATTGACTCGTTGCAATGGCGTACTTCGGGCTCCAAGATGATGTTGAATGGAGTGGAAATCCGTGTTCAGGGTATTGCCTGGTTTGGTCTCGAGACTGACAGTTTTTCACCGGGTGGTTTGCAACAAACCTCGGTTGAAGCATTGCTCGACATTTTGGTGAACCAAAACTTTAATGCCCTCCGTCTTCCATTCTCGATCGACATGATTCTCAATGACAGATGGCCATCCAAGATCAACTATGGTTTGAATCCAGGTCTCCAAGGAAAGACTGCTCTCCAAGTGTTGGACTATATCGTCGCTGCCTCTGCCGCCCGTGGTATCCTTGCTATTCCCGAGCAACATCGTTTCGACGCATCTGCCTATATTCCCGACTTGTGGTATTCAGACAGCTGTATCGTCAATCCAAGCGGACAGTGTGTCACCTACACTGAACAAATGACCATTGATACATGGGTGTCGCTCGTCAACCGTTACAAGACCTACTGGAACATCTGGGCACTCGACATTAAGAACGAACCACACGGACGTGCCACTTGGGGAACCGGTAACCTTGCCACCGACTGGAACCAAGCCTTCCAACGTATCAGTAATGCCATCCTCTCGAGAACCACCTTCCCAGGTGTCTTTTTCATCGAGGGTATTGAAAACAATGCCAACGCCATCTGCTCGTACGAAGTTGGTAATTGGTGGGGTGGCAACATGTCGCCCGCTCAATGTTTCCCAGTGTCGCTCGCACAACCCAACCGTCACGTCTATGCTCCACACACATTCTGTGGCAGTGTCTACCAACAACCATACTTTGGTGCATCCAACTTCCCATCCAACATGGCCAATATCTGGAACCAACACTTTGGATTCCTCAAAACCAATGACGAGCCAATCATCATGGGCGAATGGGGTTGCAAGAACAACGACACCAAAAACAATCAATGGACCGACACTTTTACAAAGTATCTCGGTTCAACCAGCATCAAAAACCATCTCTTCTTCTCGCTCAATCCAGATTCCCTCGATACTGACTCTATCTTGAATGGTGACTACAAAACCATCAATCAACAAGTTGTCAATTATATCAAGCAAATCAATACTCAACCAACTAAATTTACCAAAGTTGGAAATCAAATTTGTTTAGGTAATATTCAAAATCAATCAAGCAGCAGCACTAGTGACAGTGATAGTAGTAGTTTTGATGACAATGATGATCAAGATGGTGGTTTATTTCACTAAAATCTAAAGATCATTGTTGGACAATCATTTCTTTTCTATCCTTTTGTCTCTTCCACATTCAAAAACCATTTTCTGTTTTTTTTCAACTCCTCTTCACAATCTCAATTACTCTTTTTCAAGAATGTATTTTATAAAGAAATAAATAATTAATACTTTTTTTTTTAAATCTATCTTCTAACAATAGGTACTGTAACTCCAACTACTGGATCGACCTCTGGAGCATCGACCACTGGTTCCCAATCATCGACCACTGGATCTCAATCATCCACGACAGGTTCTCAATCATCCACTACTGGATCACCATCCACTACTGGATCACAATCATCTACTGGTTCCCAAACATCGACCACTGGCTCCCAATCATCGACCACTGGATCACCATCCACTACTGGCTCCCAATCATCAACCACTGGATCACAATCATCAACCACTGGATCACAATCATCGACAACTACCTCTGGTACTACCACCTCTGGCTCTACTACTACCACCACCACTACTGGTTCATCAACCACTGGTACTCCAACTAACAAAATTACTATTCAACAACAATTGTCAAGCAGCTGGATTCAGAATGGACAAACGTGGGCAGTATACAATGCATTCCTTACCAACGTTGGATCGACTCCAATTGCCAATCTTAAGCTCAAGGTTATTGACTCATCACCAGCGCCAATAGAAGCTTGGTCTGCCTTTATGCCAAGTCAATCTGACGCTACCTACTGGATCCCACAAACATGGGCTCTTCCACTCCAACCAAATCAACCAGTTAACTTTGGTTACAAGATTGTTTCTACTGCTCCAATCCAATTCCAAGCCATCATTGTCTAATCCTAGTATACGACCATCCATATCCTATTGGCAATAATACAAATATTAATTTAACTTATTAATATTATTATTTATTTTAACTATATATAAATGTTAACACATTCCTTTTAAAAATAATACAATGTAATAAAATAATTATAAAGTATATTATCACAAATTGATTATTTGTCAGGGTTTGTCCTCTAAATTGTATATTGATCCAAAATATATTTTTTTTTTATGAATTTAATATTTGAAATAGGAGTTGATTGAATGTTGGCTAAACAATTGGCTATGGTTGTTCTACAGTTGGATCTTCAAATAACTGTCCGAATGGGTAGGCAAAGTAATTGAAGTTTCCCTTTGCAACAATTATTACTCGTCCATACTTTTGTACATCCAAAATGGAATTGATGTTTGGGGGTAAACGTCTGTTGGTTGAGAACAGAACGATGTGATTACCATTCGGATCGAGTAAAATAGCTTTATTCAAACTTGGCACAATCTGAGAGTTGAAGTCCAGAATAATATTATTCTCTGTAAACTTGGCATCAGCCAATATGAAGTTCCCCTTAAATTCGTTGCCAGAGTTCACATCAAGAATGTTCCTCTTGAAAATAAAATCGAGTTTTCCTCCCTTGGGATTGGAGATGACAGATCCTTGTTCCAGTTTGGTCAAAAGAAGAGAAAATTCGTCTTTAGGGGTATTCTCTGGAAATCTATGGGGTGGTCTAAGGTGCTCTCCACCTATAATTTAAATTAAATTATAAGTAATTGTTTCAAATTTCCAGTAAGTATTCACTTACTTGTAACTTGAATGAGGTGATCGACCATTGTGTATGGTGAATAGTAAGCGTTCTTGAAATAGTGCCCAATAGTTGGGGTAGATATACCAAGAGTAGAATAGGAGTAAGCTCGAAGGAGTTCATATCGAGCGACAAACTCCTCCCAGTTCTGATCGTGATCCATATCCATGATGAGATTCATCATCCTGTTGATGTTGTGATCAGCCCCAAAGAACTGCAAAGAATAGGATATCAAAAAACAGAGAGGCAAACGGACAATTTGGTTCCCATTGTCGTCATTTGCAATGAAGATTGCACCATTACTCTGGAGCTCGCCATATGTAATTGAATTGGGTGTTGGTTGATCAAAAATGGCTATTCGATCCTCAACGATGGAGTGGCAAACTAGTTGTAGGAAAGAATCATTGTTGGCAAGAGGATACTGAGTTGCCAAGAGCTTGGTTATATTTGTGAGCAAATCTCGTAGTGTTGGAGTTTGTTGTAATCGAAATGGACGCTCGAATGGGGCATTTCTTTCCAATAGTGCACGAAGAAAGAACTCAATTGGGCGCGGCCAACCACCAGTCGAGTCCAAAGCAATAAGCAGTGCTTTGTTGTTGATGTCAAAGGGAGGGACTGAGTCTTTTGCGAATTCCATGAATACTGACTGATATTCACCTCGTGTCAAGAGTGGCAATGAAATGTGGATGAAATGGTGGGATGAGGCCCGATTGATGACCTCTGAAATTGGCTGAAGAAAGGTTCCAGCAAAAACAACAGATACGAATGTACCAGAAGGAGGAGATGTGAGGAGACTGGAAACTGATAGAACAACATTCTTGAGGTAAGATCGTTGGAATTCATCCCTCGACCCATAGGCACGGACGGGATCCAACAATGACTTTTGAAACTCGTCAACACCAAGAGTGACAATGATATCCTGGTCGCCGATATTATTGCGTGACTTGAAATCGGATACAATAATATTGATAGCATCTCTAACCTGGAAATCATAGAGGTCAAACTTCTGTTGAAGTAAAGATCTACGAAACAAAAAGTAGTCATTTGAGGGACCTAGGAAGTAGGAGAACAAGATACGAAATGCAACTGAAAGTCGGGCGACTGTTTCGACTGAAGTATCGAGTGGGCTTCCATTTCCAAAAGTGATGTTGACATGAAGTTGGTTGCATGGAAGATCTTTGACAAGGGATTTGACATGATCCTCGAGTTCTTGAAGGAATCTGCTCTTTCCAATACCTGGTGGACCAGCAACAACCAAAAGAGGGTGGTTTTTTAGTTTGCTAGATGATTTGTTTTTGTATCGGGAGAGAATTACATCAGTGGCGACTAATAGCTCTTGTACTCTTCCTATAAAGAACATAGAATCACTTGTCAACTTCTTGGGGTTAGAATGATGTGTCCATTAATATTTTAATGATATATACGTACTTCATTGGATGGAGTGGGAGATCCATAAGTTCCAATTATCCAATCAGATAAAAGGGTTTCTAAAGAGTCTAGAAGTGCAAAAAAGAAATTTTAGTGAAAGGAGTGACAAATTCATGAAATCATAGTTATTTGCCTTCGGGATCTGCAGAAGTCGTGGATGTATCCATGTTTGTTGTGAGAGTTTTAATTAATTCGTCTAATAAATCATTTTCTTCGTGGAAAAGAAAGTTCTGGGCAGTGGATTCATTTTTAGAAATATATGTGATTAATTTGCTCTTTATGAGAAGATTCAACGACAATTTTTACGGCTTGGGCTTTAAAGTCTATAAAAAAAAATGGTTAGGTTGATAGTAGCCCCATCCAATTGATGAACTTACTTGACATGATGTTAGCTGTGGTACCTGAGGATATACAAAGTAACTCTTAAAACCGAGTGTAAATGGAGGTGATAGAAAAAACAGGAGATGAGGGAAAGAAATTTCAATAGAGTTTGGAAAAAAAAGATGATAGAAAAGGAAAATAATTTACAAAGAATAAATAACTGAATGAAAAGGTGGTGAATGAATATGCCTATCTTTATTCATAACAAGTATAAATGAGATAACCAAAAAAAAGAATAAATAATATGGGAAGAAAAATAGACGCATACACTGCGCAGTGGGTGTGCTTTTAATTAATTAGAAATAAAATGTGGTTTGTAAAAATATTAGAAATATGATGGCTGGTTTGTAAATAGATGACTTTACGTAAATAAGCATTTAGTGATGGTCTATAAGATTTCACTAAAGCAATATAATCTTTTTATAAACTTCGAAGTTGTACATTTGTTTCAGTGTATGTTTAATAAATAAATAAAAATATGTTGTTGTTGTTGTTGTTGTTTTAAAGTTTATTTCTATTTAAATAAATAAGACGACCATCAGTATGAATAGTCAAATTTGTTAAAATAAAAGTATTTGTCAAGGTTAGTCCTCTTGTCGCTGCCATTGGAGCAAATAAATTGGAGGTTGATGCATGTTGTTGTAATAATGGTGGTTGTATTGTTGCTGAAACATTATTATTTAAACTGTTATTATTATTAAAATGAATATTATTAGAATTCAAATTAATATTTGATGAAGAAGAAGAAGAAGAAGATTGATATTTCTTGAATGAATCAATAATATCTATTGGATTATCGGAAAGGATGATTTGGTGTAGATTGGATGAGTGAGGTTTGATATGGTCCATAGTCTCGAGAAGGTGAAGTGCACCTTCATTTGAAATCTTGTTGAATGAAAGATCAATGTTGATCAGTGCTTGGTTGTGTTTGATGGCCTCGGACAGACAGATGGCACCGTCGCATCCAATGTCGTTCATGGCCAGGTTGAGTGTCTGGATGGATCGGTTGGCAACCAGGGCATCGGCGATGAGTTTGATACCCTGGTTCTCAAATTTGTTGGATGACAGGGTGATGTTGACGATGCTGGTGTTGTTGGTGATGATGGACGCGACGTCTTGGGCACCTTGCGAGCCAAACAGGTTGGCTGAAAGATCGATGGTGGTGATGGAGCATCCCGGCGCGCACAGAGCAACAGTGATGGATTTGATGCCGCGCTGGATAGAGTTGCGCGTCAAGTTTATAAATTTGAGTGACTGGTTAAGTGAGAGTGCGTGGCCGATACCGCTAGCACCCGAGTCGCCGATATTGTTGCCCCACAGGTCGATGCCGACGATGGTCTTGTTGGTCTTGAGCGACGTGCTAATGTAGTTGGAGCCAACCGAGCTGATCGAGTTGCATCGCAAGTTGAGCTCGGTCAGTGTGTGGTTGAGCGACAGACACTCGCCAATCTCCTTGGCACCATCATCCGATATATCATTGTGCGACAGCGACAGCGTGTGCAGCGACCGGTTATGCTGCAGCGCGCGGGCAATCTTGACCGACCCCTCGCGACCCAGCGAGTTGTACGACAACACCAACTCGCGCAGAGTCTGGTTACGCACCAACAGCGACGCCAGGGGGTCGCCACTCGACGCCATCAACGAGCAGTACGACAAGCCCAAAAACTTGACACTCGCATTATACTCGAGTGCCTTTGCCAATCGCACCAACCCACTATCGCCAATCTTGTTGGAAAAGAGGTTGATACGTTCGAGATGAAAGTTTGTATTGACAATCACATCGCACAATACATTGATGTGAAAACAACCCAATGCATCGCCACCCAATATATTGATTGTCTTTAGTCCTCTGAACCGCTTGAGTTGTTGTAGTTTGAGTGGGCTAGGTAGCCGTGACGGTCTATCCAATTTGAATGACTCGATGACCGATGTCGCCAAAACTCTCCATAATCTACATGTCGTTACCAATGCCATAAACATTGGGTCTGACATTGGATGATCAACAATTTCCAGTAGTGTTGTCGTATTTCCACTTGCACTTGCTCGCAAAGACAAACAATTTTCAATAATCTTTTTAATCAATTCAATTGGTAATTCATTTAAATTGATTCCTTCTTTGATTGTTTCAGAGTCATTGGCGGTGGTAGTGGTAGTTAAGATTTGACCAACTAAATTATTTTTGATAGATGATTGACTCCATCGATATTTTTCAACATTATTATCACTATTATTATTTGTTGTGTTATTATTATTTAATTTTTTAAATTTGTATTTCAACTTTTTCCATTTCCCTTTAAACTTTTGATTATCTATATTATTATTATTCTCCATTGTTATTTTAATACATTTGGTCTGGTATTGTTGGTACTTGATAGAGATTATAAACAATTATTATTATTATTATTATTATTGAGATTTTGTAAAATGAATTTGCAATACACTAATTACTTTGTATTGTTATTGTTGTTTGTTGTCGTTGTTGTTGTTGTTATTATCTATCTTATCTATCTCTTTATCCTATCTCTCAATAAAAATAAGAGCAAGATTATTTGATTATTCTTATTGTTGTTGTTTGTTTTTAAAACACACAATGCTATCAGTACTAACAGCCAGGCTAGGTGGGTTGGTTTAATGTTAGCTACTTCGAAGCGTGTGTGTGTGTTTGTGTGTGTGAGTGGTTGAAGATAGAAGAAGAGGGTTGTTGCGTCAAAAAATAAAACAGTGTGTTGTTTATCTCTGTGTGTGTGTGTATTGGGTTGGTGCTAAGTTCTCTGTTCGAAAATCGATTCGTTTGTTGTTTATGTCAAAAGAGAGATTGTTGTTGGTTGTTGTTGTTCTTCTTATGTGACATTGTTTGATGTGTTACTTCCAAAGTAGATTTTTTGATGTTTGTTACCCTTTGTCACACCCACAAACACAGACAGGACCCTAAACCCTTGCACTTGCCAGCCAAGAACAATATTAAATATCGCAATAGTACGTACGATGTTGAACCAAAGAGCTGCAAAGACTATCATCCCCTGCTTTTTACTGCGGTGATCGAAGTTGATTATCGAATCGTCGTTCACTCGAGTATGTGGTTCAAGGGCGAGTGCCCTACTTGAAAATTGCGGTATTGTTCTATCTAGCCCTCAGAGTCTGATTTTTATTTCGCTTACCTGCCTGTACCATGGTCACTCGTTTCCTAATCGAGCGAAATTCTGCCATGCCCCTCCCTTTGGCATACAACCACAGTTGCAGATCTTTCCCTCTTGATTAATTTGTGGTGGGGGTAATGAATCTAACTAATGAATCTGATGAAAGTGAATAAATAAATTTAACAAAAATCTACAACAACAAACATATGAGATTGTAATCTTATAAAACAACAGCAAAGAGAAGAGGCAAGGTAGGCTGATCTGACGGTTCGCGTGATTAGGTGTGGAGAGAGATCAGGTTCTATAGACTCTTCCAACCTATCACCAAAAATCTATAACCCTTGAGTACAGAGACTGGTAGATAGACTATACATAGTTGTAGAACTACTTTATTTGTTCAATTACTTGTTTATAAGATAATGTATTAAAAAAAAATAATAATGATTTCTTTGAGAAATTTTGAAGTACTCATGATGAGTGTTATCCTTTGTCTTTTTGAAATTTAATTTATTCTTCTTTTTAAATTTAAAGAATGACAACGTCGATTATTTGGAGAGTATTTCATCACAAATACTTATTCTATGCAATTATTAAAGTACTAAGTGATGAAAGAGAAGCTTACCGTACTGCTTTGACGTCGTGGAATGATATACATGCAGAAAAGATCATTCAAAGAGGTGACTTGGGTATTCTGATAGAGAGGATGAAAAGAGGTGATACTAGTATCTACTTTACCATCGGCTCGGTGCGATTGTTTATTCAAACTGTCGATAATCTAGATACGTTCAAGTATTTCTTTAAAGAGACTGGTTTTGCATTCCCATCAAATGTCATTGATGTCGTCGACAGTCCATCGGTAGACATTCTAAACTATGTGGTTCAAGAAAACAAACGTATCTTTAACGAGAACAAGAGCAAGCCAAGTCAACATGTGTTTAGTCCATTTGGTCAAACAAAAAGTAATGGTTGGTTTGCATTTACTCCACAATCAAAGAGTAACGAGGTGTTGGATAGAGTGGTTCAATTGTTTGGAGAGTATTCATCACCTTGTACACCTACTATCAAGTTATGTATAGATTCCGTACTCAGACAATTCACTAGGGATAGTCGAAAGGGTGGAAGACATTATGATCGTGATCATCAAGACAGAGTACTGACATGGATCAACCGACAGTACCCAAGAGAGGTGGAACAACATAAAATGGCACATAGTGGATACATGGTCAAGTTTGTTTGTGTGTATCGCACGGCTAACCTAGACCTCATCAACAACTATGTCAAAAAGGAAACCGAGACATATCTTCCATCGTATTTCATCGAGACGACTCAACATCTACCAACTGCGTCACGTCTATTGTTGGAACTCAACGGTTCAACCATTTCAACCACAACCTATCAAAAGTACAAAAAACAATTAATAGGATGGTTTAGTTGGTTAAAAGATCAAGAAAATGAAGAGAGATTGGATCGTCTAGCACTTGATTTGTGTCAGGTTGAATTTGGTACTGTAACATCATTGGAGAGATTCGAGGAAATCATTGGCTCGGTTCTTGGATTGGGTGTAGAGGGAGGGATTGATATTGAACAATCAACCATTATAAATCTCATTGTATCAAAACATATGTTTTCAGAGAGAGTAGTAGGATCACGTCATATATGCACAAGGTATGTTTGTTCACCCGGCTACCTACCCATACATGTTATCATTCGAATTGGTACACTCGAGCAAGTCAAGTTTGCAGTCTCTCAACCCATTGCCAAATCTTCAAACTATCCATTGGCCACCTTTTCAGCAATCATTGGTCGTCAAAAAGGAGACCCACAAACATCTATAGACATTTACAATCTTTTAGCAGACAATGGGTTCCTACCCAAGAGTCATTTACCATTCGAATTAAAATTCCCATACTCTAAACGATATTTTAGAATACACACAGAGGCGATGTTTTTGCATGTGATGCGTACTTTTAGCAAGACCGAGCATTGGGATGTGTTTATGGACCGAGACTTTTCTCTGATGACTACATCCATCATTGAATACCTCACCACAAACAAATTCATCACTTATATCTCTAATAGATTAATATGTGGATTATCAAAATGCAACAATCTCTTGGGACTACGTCTATTATTTAGTAAATTCCCCAAACAAGAAAAGATATTTCTTAGACTGTCCAATCCATACTCTACAAGATTCATCGTTGAAATGTGCAGTCGATTCAATGTAATTGTTATTGGTGGTCAAGGTGCGCGAGTAATTGGACGTAGAGGATCATTAAAACTTTATCAGTTACTCTTTCCCAAAATCAATCTATACTTGGACTATGCTGTACTTCCACATGCAGTTTCGAACAATCGTATGGAACTTGTACAATATTTGGTAGATAATCGTCCATATTTACGCAATTCAGTACATGTATTCCAAAATATAGAATATACAAGCCCCAAAACATACATACAACTAAATGAAATTGTTGGATCACATCTGTGTGATTTAAACATATTGTTGGCTACTGGTAGGACAGACATTCTTTGTGCTATATTATCAAAAAATATTATAACAATCGATTCATTTTCAAAGTGTACTCAACGACAACTTATTATTAAAGAACCATATCGTCCATCTATACACTTGCCACTTTTACAACAACTAGAAGAAAAGTTCAATATCGTAACACTTCTTGGAATCAATGCTAATATGACAACCAATTTATTCCAATACCCAACATTAATTAATGAATAAATCAAGTATATCATTCATTATACAGGTACCTATAGTTTTTCTATTTCTATTTTATATAAAATATTACAAGGAAGAGGGGGGTTTTTTATTATTTACAAAGATTTGGTTATCTGGATGTTTTTTTCTAAAGCTGTAGTAGGTAATATATTTTGGATCTTAAGTTTATCTAAGAGGAAAGTGAAGGGGTGGAATAGTGTTGATTGATGACAATGCAAGTGCTGGAGCATCGGAGAAACTTAATAATCTGGCTACAATGATACTAGGATGAATAATTTTAAGAGATTCTACCATTGCCATTAATTCCTTGTTGGTTGGATCGATTCCTTCAAGAAGAGAAGTTACATATTCCTGTGGGTTGGGTTCGGTTGGTTTTAATCTTTCAAGTATGCTCATATTGATAGAGTTGATCATCGCGTCTGGTGTAAGTGGTGTTTTCAACTGTTGAAATATTTCACGAGCATCTGTCCATGATTTTTTTGCTAATTTAAAGTTTTGTTCTATAATAAAAAAAAAAAAAAAGATTAATAAGAGATAGAACCAATCAATCACTGACTGAATGATAAAGCTAATTTGTTTTTTTGTTATTTACCATCAAAATGAAAATGACCACATTCAACCAAAAACTTTGCCCAATCCAAAAGTCTTTTTTCTTTGACGGGACTGGGGAGTGAACGTCTGAGTGCCAATGGTTGGTATTTATCGTCATTGCCCTCGACAGATTTTAAAGTGGCATATGCCTCGCTGAGGAAGGACTTGCCTTCTTGGATTTGGTTCGACAATCTAAAGATTTGTGCACGATTCATTTGGCATCTAAACATATCGATATTATCATTGCCACGACCACTTTGTACCAATTGATAGTGTGCCATTCCATGGAATAATTTTGCATCATTATACATGCAACGTGATTTATATAATTCTGCTTGATTTGTTAAAATTGAAGCTGAAATGTTTGATTGTCTAAAGAAAATTAAAAAGAATAATCAATAAATTGTTGTTGTTTGTTTGTTCGATTATTTTACATACTCTAAAATTGGACTTTGAAGTGCTAATTTGTTGGCAGTTTCAAATTGTGTCATCGCTTCTTCACTACGTCTTTGTCTTACAAGTGTTAGACCTAAATCATTTAATGCTTTTGGTAACATATGGTGCTAAAAATTAAATTAAAATCAAACAATATTAATATATATTTTAAAAGTATTAATACTATCATTCCTTATTTCGATTTCATACTTGATACATTATATTATCACATCTATCAATTGATAATCTTAACAGTTTTTCACTGTTTGAATAGTGACCACTCTTGAGACTAGCCAATCCCATGGCATGAGTAGGAAAGGCAAACAATGAAGAGGAAAAGTGAATGTTTTTCTTCATGCTCTTGAATCCTTGGACAATGAGTTTCTCGCCCTCTGGAAAGTTGCCACGATCCAACAGCTCCTTGCCATTGATGATAGTGTCGAGTGAATTGTAGGTAGACTTTCGAATGTTGACATCGGATTGCTTGGTAATCTCTGATAGAAGCTTGGCATCGGGTGACGATTCAATCACTGCCGTTGTTGTGTTGGTTGCAGTGGTGGCTGTTCTACTGCTACTGTTCTTTGGTGCTGTACTACTACTATAGAATCTAACCAACATTGGTGTCACAACATTCTTTACGATCGTTGATTGAGTGTAACAGTAGGTAGAAGGAGAAGAAAAGGAAAACAATAATTTATTCATAACTCGGAATTTAAATAAATAAATATAAACTTGATTGATAGAGGGAACTGATTATATATATATATATATATATATTATGATAAAATAAGTGAAAGAGAATGAAATAATTATCTATATTCTAGCTGCTAGAGATTGTATGTCGTGGTATTTTGTTGTTGGTGTGTGTGTTGATGTTTGCACGTGTAAGCTTGATAATGTTGTAAAAAGGTAATAGAAAAACCAATTGTATTATGTGTAATGTGTATATATATGTGTGTTGATGTTTTTTTATACAGATAAATAGATAGAATAATGTAATTGAGGAGTGTGTAATAAATAATGAACCAGAACTCACTCATCATATTTCAGTGGACATACTCAATTTAATTTTTATTTTTTCATTTTTTTTTCAGAGAGAGAGGACGAACTTTGCTAGAAAGAATGGATCTGCTGACTTCGAAGACGACATACACATCAACATCATCATACTTTATAAGAACAGTCAGTCTAGTTGTTGTCATTATAGATAGATAGATCAAGATGATGAACAGAGTTTCAAGCTTATTGTCGAATAAAAGTATTGTTGGTTTAGCATCGAGATACTCGAGTGGTATCGTCAGACCAACAACATGCAACTATAATATCGCCTCCTCTTCGATTGTATCATCCTCTTTATCTTCTTCTTCTTCTACCACCAGACTCAATGTAAATACATCCATTTCAATCCCATCACGTAATTTGTGGGTTATTGGTAAAGATGCTCAACCAAAGGATTTCGTTGATCCAAATGCACCAACGTATGTAGATAGATTAGATTAGATAGATAGATGAATGATGAACATATGAATCATCATCTTCTTCATCGTCATGATGGTCATAATGATGACTACAATTTGGAGTATGACCAATCCCACCACTGACACTTGTATCTCTTTTTCTCTTTTTAGTACATATAAACCAAGACAAATATATTGCGACAGTCGTGTTGTCGTTGGTAAAGCAGGTTCAAAGAAATTGAGATATAATGGATTTGTACCAGCCACCATCACAGGTGGAGGTTTACCAACTCAAAATATTGCTATTGAATGGGGTAGACTCTATGGTTTAATCAAGACTGATAGCTTTTACAGAAATAGAAAATTCATTTTGGTAATGATCATTAAATATATTAATCAACAATCAAACAATCAATCTCGCAACATATTAATTATAAATATTAATTATTATTATACTTTTATATATTTTAGAATATTGATGGTAAAGAACAGATTGTTGTAGTTTTGGCATTTGCCAAGTTACATGCACTCTCTGAAAGAGCATTATTCTTAAAGTTTGTTAGAACCAGCGACAAGGCTGAAGGTTTGACTGAACAAGTTCTCCCGTTCATTACTTTTATGGATAAAATCAACAAGGTAAAGGAGGAAAAGAGAGAAGCCAAGAAAAATTTCCAAGAGTTGATGAAGATTGATTTAACCTTTAAACCTGCAATCAAAAAGACTGCCTAAAATAATAAATTAAAAAAAACAAAAAATAATAATAATAATAATAATAATAATTACATGTCCTAGACATGTATAGAATTTAAGAATTTATTGATTATAGGGATAGAAATCACCGAATATACCTGGGTATTTCTGATTAAAACTATCTCTCTCTTGTATGAATTTTTCTATATCTTCTTTTAAATCGGAAAGGAGTGCAGTAGGGGTGTCATAAGTTGCAGGAGGTGTAGGTTCCTTTAAATGTCATGATTCCAAATGTTGGAGAAGTTTTGTTCCATTCTCCATACCCTTTCCAAGTATCATATAGGATAAAAGTTCTTCTCGACTCAATTCTTTGGCAAAGTAATATTGAAACATGTAAATAAGACTACTATCAATCCCCGATGTTATTCGTTGTCGACTTCTCTTCCATATTCGTGATTCAAACCTCATGAGGGTATTTAAATATTAATTTTAATATATTGATTAAAGTAAATACCATTTTTATAATAATACCAAAAAAGAACGATTGTCATTGAGGGTTCAGTATCCCCGAAGAATTTACATTTTCATTCTTTAATATTCGATATTACACGTATTAGCAACATCAACTCGATGACGACTACATCAATCAATAGGTTTCCCCTATTCTATTATCTATTCTTTATTATTAGTTGTTGGTGGTGTATTAGTAGTATTATAGTAGTCGTAGATTCAACGCCGACTGCAAATGGTGGTATTATCGCTATCAATAGACCATTATTAAGTGTTGAAGAATTACAATTACAAAATGAACAACAACAACCTTTATTACAACAACAACAACAACAGCAACAACAACAACAAAGAGGAGGAAATAATAATAATCCAAAAGATTATAGTAAAGATGTATTGGATGTTTTAAATGTATGTTTTTTATAGCCTATCGGAGGTGATTATATGTATGTGTATTAATAAACAAATATATATCTATAGAAAATGAAGAAACAGATTAACAAATTTAGACATGTTAGATTATTTAAATTCCCAGAGATTGAACCATACAAGGCTAAATTGGGGTCACCAAACTATGACTTGACCATATTAGAAGCATCTACAAACGAGTGTTACTTTAGCGAAGACGGTCATTCGAAATGGCAGTCTAGACGATTGGTCAATGTCGGAGGATACCAATACGCTACACAACAAGACTTTGTAGTTGGTCAAAACTACAACTTTCGTCTAATGATCAACGATCCCGATACTACAACTAGTTGTCGTACCATTCAACTAAGAATCTATCGGGATTATACTGGTCTTCTTTCTATCCCAGAATTTATTTGTATCGAACAACAAGACAACAACAACGACGACGACAATAATGGTGACCATGCTGGTGACCAACAACAACAACCAAAAGTTGTTAAACAATTACAAGATACATTTAAATTAATGACATATAATATTTGGAATTACAACAAACCATGGAGAATAAGAAGTAAACTCATTACAGACATTATAAAGGATCATCAACCCGATGTGATTGCACTACAAGAACTTAGATACAGTAAATGGGATGGTGAACATTACAAAGAATCACCAAAATTAATGGGTCAGGAACGTAATCAAATTCAACATATTGTAAACCTACTATCATTCCATAATCTCAAATACAACTATTATTATCTACCATCGATGATTTATAATAATGAAGTTGATGGTCTTCAAATGGAAGGATTAGGAATTCTTTCAAAACATCCAATTGTAAAGATTGAATCAACAAAGTATGTGTGTCAAATATTTAACAACAATGTTGATCTATTTATTTATTTTATTTTAATTTATTTATTTAGATTAACAAATGATCATATTGATGATACAACAGATACACATCAAAGATCATGTTTACTTGCAACTATCAATATTGATGGACGTCACTTGAATGTACTTACATCTCATTTTTCATTGTCCTTTCAAGGTGGACAAAGAAATGCTTATGAAATTCACAATTGGACAAAACAATATGATGACGCACCCAATATTCTAGTTGGTGATTTCAATGCTGAACCCAACTCTCACCCAATACAATTTTTGACTGGTAAACATTCTATCAAAGATAATACTGGTGATTTCAAGGATATGTATGATACTTACTGTCAAAGTAATCCTGATAATTCAATATGTACCACCAAAGGTGGAATTACTTATCGCGATGTTGGAGATGTATCAATTGAAAAGAGAATTGATTTTATAATGGTAAAACAATCTTCAAAATCAACCACCACCAATCAAATAGAATTAACCAACCTTGAAAGTGTTGGTGGTCAAAGATTTGATGATAATGGAATACCTCTTTCCATTTTCCCCTCTGATCATAGTGGTTTAGTTTCAACTTTTAAATTCATCTAAAAATAACAAAGTTAATAATAATAATAATATTGATAATATGTAATAATAAATAAATAATAATATAATGTATTGTTGTTAGTTTTTATATTTTATATGTATGTACATTAATGCAATAATGCAATAAAGAGAGAATTAAATTATTATTTATTTTGTTGAAAAAAAAAGGTATACTCTTTGGTTTTGTTTTGTTTTGTTCGCTTTGTGTTTGTTGTTTAAATGATCTTTGGTCTTCTGACATTGTTAAATTTGAAACGGTTAACACCTTCCAAACCACCAGAGGTATAACCAGAGGTTTGACCAGTGCTAGAACCAGTAGTTTGACCGGTAGATCCAGTGGCAGAGGTTTGACCAGAGGTTTGACCAGTGGTTTGTCCAGAGGTTTGACCGGTAGATTGACCAGTGGATCCAGTGGCAGAGGTTTGACCAGTGGATTGACCGGTGGATTGACCAGTAGATTGACCAGTGCTGGCAGAGGTTGGGTTGGATGAGGTACCAGTTCCACCAGAGGTTGGGCTGGATGAAGTGCCAGTGGTTTGACCGGTGGTTGGGTTGGATGAAGTGCCAGAGGTTTGACCAGTGGTAGAGGTTGGCTCGGATGATGATTGTGAGCCTGATTGAGATCCAGTAGAGGTGAATCCATCTTGTGAACCGGTTTGGGAACCAGATTGGGAGCCAGTTTGGGATGAACCAGATTGGGAAGAGTCGGAATTGGAAGAAGTACCAGAAGTGGTAGTACCTCCAGCAGATGAACTCTTGCCACTGGAACTGCCAGCAGATGACTTGCCAGATGATTTACCGGAACTGCTGCCGCCAGATGACTTGCCAGAACTGCTGCCTCCAGATGATTTACCAGAGCTGCCGCCAGCGCTAGAGCCGCCGGTGGTCTTGCCAGAGCTGGAACCAGCGCCAGTGTTTGGTGGACCGGTGGTGATGTGTGGGCCAGTGGTACCGTGGGTGCTGGAGACTGGACCGGTGGTGTGTGGACCAGTGGTGGTGTGTGGACCAGATGATACAGCTGGGCCGGTGGCAGTGTGGGTGGTTGAGACTGCTGGACCGGTGGTGGTGTGGGTGGTGGCTGGACCAGAGGTAGCTGGACCGGTGGTAGCAGTGTGGGTGGTGGATGGACCGGCGGAGGTAGTGTGGGTGGTGGAGGCAGATGTTGTAGTTGGCTTGGGAACGAGCAATAGACAGACATGGAAGCAAAGACACCCTTGATTGGCTTGGTATTGTTGTAGACGGCAACAGTAGTGTAGGTGGCACCGTTGACCAATGGGGTTGGGGTTTGACATGGGCTCATGGTTTGGAGAAGTCCGTTCTTGTAGACTGGAACAGACTTGCAAATGACAGCACCGGTGGCATTGTTGACAAACGAGATACTAACGACTCCTTGAGAAGCGGTGGTTTGGAAAACGACAGCTTCAACGTTTTGTTGCCAGACAATGTTGTTGGATTGTGTGTAGACGCCTCCTGTGCCTGGGATATTGAAAGAGGTAAAGTTGGCGACGGCCGAGACAGCAGTACGGGTAACTGGCACAGATGCAGCTGATGGAGTATCGTACTTCATATAGTATTGGACAGAGACATTAGTGGCCGAGGTGTCAGTGACAAGGAATGAGATGGCCATTGAGAGTACGCTGGCAGCTGGGATGTTGACAATGTATGGTGATGGCAAGATGACTGGCTCAAACACATTGGAGAGGGTGAATGAGAAAATCTTGCGAGTTGATGGCTTGCTGACTGAAAAGTCGATTGACAAGACCTTGATGTCTTCACGATCGTATTGCTTGCCGTTGGTCTCATTGACAAAGACGGCTTGGAATGCAAGTATTTCAAAATTACCACTTGATGGCAATGGTAGAGATGTAAAGGTCTTTGTAATAACCTTTCCTTGGGTTGTTGGTCCCAAATTTACTGTTGAATTAAATAATGATGCATTCTATAAGTAGAGGATGAGGAAGAGGATTGCATCGGTTTTTTTTTTTTGCATAGGGATTGAAAATTATCGTGTACAATAAACAATAAAGAATGTTTGATTGATTTTAAAAGGTAGTCATAAAATAGGAGTAGTAGTAATCCCGATATGATAGTATTAGATATACAATGTGAAACGATGTTTGTTAGCAGTGTTTTGGTTGGGGGTGATCAAATTTAAAGGATGATTTTTTTTTTTGTGTGTGATGAATACATACGGTCACAGCGAGTGAAACGCACAAACATAATAAAATCGAAAGGATCAACTTCATTCTATTCTCTCTTTGTTTATATGTGTAAGAATTATGTGATGTATAAATGAAATTGAAAACAAAAAAGGGTCGTAGGGGTATAGCCTTCCGACGACAACAACCAGTTTAAACGCGAAACAGCTGAATAATAATCAAAAATTAAATATCGTAAAACAATCAGCAAGTATCGCACTACAAAAATGCCCTGGCTCTTTCTGTCGCTTTTTCCATCAGGTCCTCCTTTGCAGTTTTTTTTCAGCCCACCTCGATAGGGATAGGGCGTCAGACGACTCCCAAGTCATATCCCAACGAAATGAGACGAACTTGACAAAAATAACTACGTTTTAAGAAAAGACGATGATAATTCCCTAGAAGAGGCAAGCAGGGGTTTTGTTTGTTGTTTTAATTTGTTTATTTATTAGCCAACATTGAACCAATTGGTTATCCCGACTTTCGATCTCCTTTAAGATTATTATTATTATTATTATTATTTACAAAAAAAAAAATTGTTATGATGTAATGATATGATTGATTATATACCATTATGACAATGAGGATGATGTCTGTTGTCATATTAATGGGTTGAGCTCGCTTGGTTTGTTTCTTATTCTTTAGTGACAAATCTTCTTTTGGCAGGTTGTTTACTATTTCTAGATCTGCCACCACCAAGACTTGAGAGGGTGACACCACCACCAGTAGCACCAGCCAACATACTGTAGGATTGTTTGATCATTTGGACAAGAGATGGATGGAATTTGTTTCCATCGACATCTCTTGCTTTTTTGCCAAAGCAGATCTTGTTCATAAGGTCATAAGAGTTGTTTGTATAGATGTAACGAGTTTGCTTCTCCAACAATGCTTGAGTATATTTGGCTTTATCTTCTTCTGTGTCTTCATCTTCGTCCTCTCCTTCTACGTCTCCTTCCTCTTCATCTCCTTCTTCGATATCTTCACCACTATCATCTTCTCCTTCTTCAAATTCTTCGTCATCGTCTTCGTCGTCGTCTTCTTCTTCTTGATCGTCACCCTCTTCAGCGTCATCTTGTTCCTCTTCATCGAGTTCTTGGTCAATAACCTTTTGTTTCTTTACTTCTTCCTTTTCTTTGGTTTCAGTTGAAGTAGTAGTAGAGGAAGCAGTAGATTTAGAGGAAGATGAATCCTTCTTTTCAGTAGTCTTTCTCTTTAAGTTTGCTACTTGAGCAGCATCGGTCTCTTCATACTCTTCAATGGTTGGTTGTCTGTTTTAAATAATAAAACGATTAATCTTCTTTTGGTTCCTCATTTTTGTTCTTTTAAATATTTCACAATCGCAAAAAGAGTGTATTATACTTACTCTTCTCCTGTCATCTTTATCTGCTTCTATATATCTGTATCTCTCTCTGTTGCAATGAATGACAATATTAAATTAGTTAACAAACAAATTTTCAAAATTCCCTCAATTCAAAATTCCCTCCTTTTTTTTTAAATTCTTCACCACCAATATCTCAGCCCTTTATACATTAGAATATTTATACTCTAGAATCTTTAACAAGTAACAACAACAACAAAAGTACCTGGATTGAAGAATGACGATTGATTCGCCCAATCAATACCCCATCATCAAACAAACAAAGACCGCTTGAACCCACAAAGAAATAATCACATGATCATTATAAAAGTAATCAAAGTTCTAGCAAATAAAAATCAAGAGTAGAGTACAAGATAAAATAACAGACAGTTGCATTTATAAATACACAAATTCTTTTTGTTATTTCTTAATAAACATCTATAACAGAAATAGGCTTACAGTTTATCAGTTTTGCTAATGGTTGTGACCGCATTCGACTATTTATTATGGAAATGATTAGTATTATGTGAGGGATCAACTTCACCAACCAATATATCTTATCATATTAATCATTTCCTTAATAAATAGTCGAACCGGACGAGCTGTGTGCTCTAGTATCATGTATTAAAAAAATCTATAGAGTTTATAAAGTATAATATAAATAAATAATTTTATTTATTTATATCCACAATTGGTATATTACAATTTAATTGGAAAGTATTAAGTTTAATAAATTCCACTAGTCGGTATCTGCTACTATTATTATTATTATTATTATTATTATTATTATTATTATTATTATTATTATTATTATTATTATTATTATTATTTTATGATTTGAGAAATGGTTTGTCGGTCGATTAATATTATTATTATTTTGTGTATTGTTGGAAAATTAATTTAAGATATAATTCTTAGATTATTATTATTATTATTGTTTCTGGAGGTTAATTCATGATTGGTTATTATTTCTTTTTTCTTTTAATTAAAAGAAACCAGTATTATTAAGATTTCTTTGTAAGAACATATTATCAAATAATCCCTTCATTCCTTGTTTGGTTTCAGCTCTTTGGAAGAATGGATGCTAAAATAAAGAAAAAAAAAATTGATTAGTTGACGAGCCCGATCACTTTGTTGTTCCTTCTTTTTTTTAACATACTCTTAATAACTTATTAGCACTTGATCTTTTTGAAGGATCCATTTCAAAACATTGCCAAAGCATATCTTTGAGATCTAATGAACACTTGAATTTAGTGACATCGATACCTTGGGTAGAGTTGTAAAACATGGATTTGAATCGAGATTCACGATGAGGTGGTTTTCTGTACATCATTTCCAACATGCAGATACCAAAACTCCAAACGTCGGCGGGGAAGCTGTGTGGCTCACCCTTGATCATCTCGGGTGGCATCCAATAGGGACTGCCGACCATATGGTGACTGGCACCATTTTCGACAGATGCACACAACCCAAAATCAACCAACTTGATGTCACCTTCGAGCGAGATCATAATGTTGCCACTCTTTATGTCACGATGCACCAATTTGTTTTCGTGTAGGTAAGCAATACCCTTGAGGATCTCCTTTCCAATGTAACCAATATGAGTCTCTTTGAAAATATGACTCGACGATACTGCCTGCTCCAACGTACCACCTTGCATAAACTCTGTGACAATAAACATTTGACCGTCGTGTACCACGGCACCCTTGAAATCGACAATGTTTGGGTGTCGACATTTGTTTAAAAATCCAATCTCCAAATGTACATTTAATTGTTCCTTGGCATCTCTATAATGTACTACTTTAATTGCTACCTTTTTCTTTTCCCATTGTGCTTCAAATACTTTACCATATCCACTAAAATAGAAAAAGAGAGTAAGTCATTTTGTTACATATGTAATCTTTTTTACTCTCTCTATTTTAATATACATTACCCTTTACCAATTAATTGACCAAATTTCATTTTCTTTTTAATGTCTGGAATTGTTTTAACCAAGGTAGATGCCTTTGTAATGAATTCAGGTTTGACACCAGTTAATGTTCTCTTTCTTGACAACTTTAATTCTAATTTCTTTGTCTTTCTTTCAGTTTCGTCCTTGATTTGTTCCAATTCCAATTCTTCGTCTAGTGCAGAGGTTTGGATTTCCTTTTTGGCAGTGGCACCGTCTTTACTATTCTCTGACTTTTCAGATGGGGGACTAATATAGGTAATCTTTTGACGTGTAAGGAACTTGATGATAGTCAAAAATACTTTGATGTTCTTTCTGAGTTCGGATACTGGTATCTCTTCATGTTTGAGGTCATTGATAATGTCGTCTGGGAGATCTTCAAATTTACTGATAAAGAGACGTGGACAACGCTTTCTATTGGCATAACGACGTTTGGCAGTACTACTATTACTCTTTGACTTTCTAAAGAGACCGACATTCGATGTGGACAAATCTTCCTTTTTCTTTTTCTTTTCCGGTGCACTCTGGAATGGTGAGTCGGTTGGGTTGACAGGTCCAGCACCATCTAATTGCAAAGAGTTCATACTGTTTGATAATTGGTTGGTCGATGTGGTTGAAGTTGAACCACCGTTTGTGGTTGCTTCATTGCCAGAATCTCCCAATGACGAGGTCGATGATGTTAGTTTTTCGCGATTTGCCAAGTTGGATGCCGATGTATTTGGTGTGAATGAATCGGCTGTCGTTGCAGTCGTCGTTGTAGTAGTCGTCGTCGTCGTCGTAGATGTTTTACTATCACTTTCCTGAACCAAGTCATTCGATGACGATGAATTTGATGACGATGATTCTTCTAAATCTTGGTTGTTGGATAGTTCTTTTGGAACGGGTGCTGGTGATGAAGGAGATGATGGTGTTGTTACTGTTGATGATACTGTCGATGTAGATGGTGGTGGTGGTGTTGCTGCTGCTACTGTTGGAGTTGGTTCAGGATTTCTATTTACCAATGGTTGATTGGTTATAACCTAGAATTTCATTCGTTCAATCAACAAACAAATGTTAGTTAATCGTCTCTTTAGTACTAACACCTGTGGTTACTTACAGATAATGGTCTAGTATCAAGAGTGATCAAAGCCGATGGTAAAAGACCGATCTTTCCTTCGAGTCTACCTTTGATCATACCATTCTCGACACGCTCGATAAACTCTATACGTGTACCCTTTGTAAAGGTAAGGTGTCCGTCGGTTGGACCCGAATAGTCTGATGTCGCTAATAAATAGTATCCCATAGTATATAGTGTTACAATCGATGATGGTGGTGATGAGTCTGCTTGCTGCTTGCTGCTGTGTTGGTTGAGCTAAAGGTTTGGCTATACTAGTGTTTGTTTTGCAGTTCCCTCTGCAAACAAGAATGTCTCTATAATAATAATAATAATAATAATAATCCAACAAAGAAGAAGAAGAAGAAGATGATGATGCCGCCGATGATGAAGAAGGGAAATGGAAGAAACTCGAGTGAGCAAAGCAAGTTTGGGTAAGAAATAATACTGGCTAAGTTTGCTGAGCTATGTATAATTATAAGGCAAAAAAATCACTCAAAGCAGTTGTGTGTCAAAAAATCTTCAAAACTCAGATCTCGTGATCTGTATCTTTCACCAACCTTTACACGAGCGTGCTCGAGTATTATTAATAAGTTAATTAATAATTAACTAAAGTTAGTTATAACATTTATCTATCTATCTATTGTGATATCATCAATTTACTTTACTTTACTTTAATTGTTTCCATGGATGCGCGATATCTCATTTATCATTCATTATGTTAGAATGGTAAATATTAAATATTTTTAAAGTAACATTTTGATATGATAGTGGTTGTTGTAATCACTTTTGTGGGTATATGGTATGGAAAAAAATAAAATAAAGTGATTGCATTGTTTGTTTGCTCACCCCTACCCTTTTACCCCTCTCCCTCCTTTTAATGATACAAATTTTTTGTTATACTCTATCTTCTGTCTATCTCTCTCTTTCCATTTCTATATCTCTATCTTTATCGTTTCATTGTTATTATTATTTAAGAAAAGAACCTTTTTTCTTTACAGAACCAAACTAAAAAGTTGATTGTGCTTTAGCCAAGACAAAAAGAAAAGAGAGGGAAGATTGATTCAAATCAAGATCTCTCTCTCTCTCTCTCTCTCTCTTTTAGATATAAATGACAAGTTATCTTGGAGAATTATTAACATCGGTTGACAACTCTAATACTTTGGACAATGCAAAAGCATTACTGCAAACAAGTAAGTTGATTGATCGATTGATTGATCGAAACCTTGCATAATATTGCATAATAATCTCTGACCAAATTTTCATTTTTCTTTTTCAAATAGATGGAGAAGAATATGGAGATTTGTCAATGGTAATATTATACTTTTTATATCGAATCATTGTCAATATTATCATATTTATAGTTGGATGGAGTTTGGTGGCAGGACTACTCTTTTTTGTCATTTTCATGGTTATGATCACCTCGGAAATATTGCTATATCTCTTTGGAAGAGTTTTTCCAAACACTAGATTCTTTTTCAAACAAACAAGTCATATTTATAAGAAAGCTTGTCCTCCTCAAGAATAGTAATAATAATATTATTCTATTTAATTAATTAATTATAAAACCCAAACACGATGAACGATCATCGATAATTATTTTTTTTGTATATAATAATCGATTTCCCTTTTTCTTTTCTTTTCTTTTCTATTTTTCTTTTCTTTTTTTTTTTTGGATTTTATGTAAATAAAATCAATATTTATTATTATTAAAATTTGATATAGTAGATATAAAAGGTTAGAGAATTGATTATTAATATTAGAATTAAAATTAAAATTAAAATTAATATATTGTCGTTTTCGTTTAAATTCTTCCATCCAAACGATCCTTGAGTTTCTTGTATTTTTTGTGTTCGGATTGTTCGAGTTGTAATTCGGACATGACCTTGTTGGTCTTTTCTTGTTGTTCGGCACGTTCGGCAGTACGTTGCTTGGTCTTTTCTTGTTGAATAAACATGTTATCCTTGATGAGTTCACGGACGGCACCCTTGGATTCACGCTTCAACATCTTTTTGACTCTACGTTGTTCGGATCTGACGTGATTTGGATCGTCACCGTGTTCGTTGAAAGTTTCCATATACTTGGGGTCAAATGCTCTCTTGGAGGTTGGTTTGAATGTCAAAAGGGTCAATGGTACACGAGTAGAAACAATCTCCTTGTTGACGTCTTCTACCAACTTTTTAACTTGTTCAATACGTTTCTTGGTCGATTCGCTGTACACACTGCTATCCAATCTACTAAATACTTGAGTAAACATTGACAAAATCGATGGCAACGACATCTTGTATTCACTACCTCCATATTGTTTTACATATTTTTCAATCATATTTAATAATAAATTTAAAAAGTCAATCCTACAAAAAAAAACAAACAAATATTAATATTTGTAATCTAGATATAAAAGAATTTAAAGAAATAATACATACTTGAATTGATTTGATTCATAATATGAAATAGTTTCTTTTTGTTTTGGATTCAATAACAAATTGAAATCAATGTTTAGAGAAGCCTCCAATTTTGATAATTCCTTTGGATTTTGAACAGAGAGATAGTTTTCTGGTAATACTACTGTTGGAATGAGTAAAAGTGATTCAAAACTTGCCCATTGTGATTTTTGTTGTTGTTGTTGTGGTTGTGATTGTTTGGCGTTGTTGGTAGTAGTAGTAGTAGTGGTAGATTGTTGTTGTTTTGGTTGTTGATGTTGACAATAAATGGATAATAAACTTAATAATAATGATGAAATCTCTGGTGAATATCTATTACTACTTTGTAAATACTAAAATAATAAAAATAAAGAGGGTAAGGAGTATTAATACTAAATGAAATGAGATGGTTGATTATCTTAAAGATTTGTCTACTTACGAATAAAAATATATTTGAAAGGAAAAGGGAAGAAAGCATATCGTGAGCATTTTTGAGTGGACATTGAGTTAAAAGTTGAGCCATGAGGGTAATGGTAGGGGTGACAACTTGGTGGTGAAGATCGGATGTTGGGAAAACACTGCCAATCAATTTGATAGAGAGCAATTCTGGAACGTTGGGCCAGAGTGTGATGACTGGCGAGTTTAATAATTTGATGGATTCCAAACGGGTGGTAATTCTCTTGTAACAGGTTTTGATGACATCGGCAGCTGCTTCAGCCGAGATTTCTGGTACTTCTTGACTGATATCGAAAATATATTTACTTAGAATATCCAATTCTTTCCAATCTAATTTTTCTACCGCAGCAGCAACGGTGGTCTCGTCAGTTGTTGTTGTTGTTGATGGTACTTGAGTGTTACATGAAGATTGAATGATAAAATAGAAACGTTTCCACAAGATGGGGAGATAGGTCTTCATCTTTTCCTTGTTTTGTGGTTTGATAGAGACGTGATTACAAACACGGATACGAGTGTAAATCAATTCTCTTTCATCTGATGTTCTACCATACAACCAATCATTTAATTGTTCCAAATCATTTGGTACATTGAATGAATATGGAATTTCCAATTCTGCTTGTTTTTGTAATTCGATAATCTTTAATTCTCTTTCAACTCTTTTTTGTTCAATATCTAATTCATCCTCTTCTTCAGAATCATCCTCTTCTTCTTCTTCTTCTTCATCTTCTCCTTCTTCACCCATTTCCTTTTGAATTTCTTCATCTGAATCTAAATCTGCATCAGAATCTTCTTCTTCCTCTTCTTCTTCAGAATCTTCATCTTCATCTCCATCTTCTCCATCTTCTTCATCCTCTTCATTTTCTTCATCTTCTTCGTCATCACTTTGTTTAATACCAAATTCTTCTTCAGCAGTTGGTGGTCTATACATTGGAGCTTCACCGTTGTCCAATAGATAGTCATCATCACCAAGATCATCGGCAGTAAGGGTTAGAGCCTTTGGCTTGTTTGTCTTGTCCTTGTGTAACTTTTGCATACGCTTTTCACGACGCTTGGCAAGTTTGTTCTTTTCTTCGTCGTCTTCGAGGATGATCTCACCTCTCATTCTCTTGAGACGGTCTTCTTCGAGTTTGGTCAACTTTTCCATCTCTTCATTGATGATTTCCTCTTGTGTCTTTGTTCTACCAGTAGCCTTTACTCTGACATCGCCAGCCAACTCGATCATCAAAGTGTCATAGTCATCGGCCTGCACAATACCGCTAGCCTTGACACGAGCAGCCTCGATTTCCTCTGCCGTCAACTTTCTGACGTCGTCAAAGAGCGACAACAATGGATCACGTTTTGGCTTGTGTAGTCCACCCATAGCAGACACCAAATCACCTCTAATCTCGTTAAACTCGACATCCAACTGCTTTTGCATGTCCATATTGTCCATCTTTTCCTTTTGACGTTCGGCTCTGGCCAACTTTGACTTTAACATGATTTCAGCATACACCTCTTTCGATGTCTTTTTTCTTTCTGGTTGATCTCCTCCTTGTTTTTCCAAACCATTGTCGTCATCATCTACTTGGTCACCGTCGTCACCACCACCGACATAGCTGTCTGCAACATCATCATCTTCGATAAAGTCCTTTGACTTTCTCTTTCTACGTCCTGATCTTTCATCATCTTGTAATTCATCGTCTTCATCTGCAACGTAATCATCATCCTTTATGATTTCTCCCAAAGTATGACCCATATGTGTAAGTGTATCTTCTTCATCATTCAAGTTATAGAAATCTTTGTTTTTCTACAAAATAAATAAAAAGTAAGTATAACAATATTGATATTACTATCAAACTTTAAACATAGACATACCATTCTTTCTTTTTGATAACGCATCAACATCTTTTCATCTTCAGTTAATGAAGCATCATTTTCACCAACACGTTGATCATTAAAACTATTTGCTTTCTTTGATTCTTTGATATCAAATAACAATGTATTCTTTCTCTATAATGATTACATGTAATGTATTAGATAGATAGATGGAGAGAGAGTGAGTGTTAATAACTTTGTTCTACGATAGTTGTTGTTACTACTAACTCTATTTCGATACAAACCTTTTCAAAAGCATTATAACGTGATTGACCAAGAACACCAGAATCACCTTTAGTCTTTTTGCCAAGTACTTCATGCTTGACCTTGTTTACTTTACGATCAAAAGGATTAACACTTGCAGGTTTAACTGGTTTACCTGGAGCAGCACCTTTGGTTGGTGTTGTCGTACTATTGCTGGCACTCTTATCTGTTCTAGTAAAGACACCAGGCTTTTTAGGTAGATTAGTACCTGACTTGGTCATTACTTTATCTGCATTGCTTGGTCTGCCCATGATGTTTCTCTAACTTTTTATATAATATATATAATAGGGAGTAGCAACAAGATAGATAGATAGAGAAAGTAGTGAGATGTAATATTACACTCGTTCGGTTTTCGTGACAGAAAAAAAATAAAATAAAGAAATTTAATTTTGGTTGAGAGAGAGACCAAACCTACAGTAAGTAAGTAAATATAACTTTTAAAGAAGGATATGATATCAACTATATATATATGTTTTGAATAATCATTCTTTTTTTATATATTTTATTGATAAATAATAAAAAATGTATGTGCTCCCCAAAAAAAATGAAAAGGAGAACGAACCATTAATATTATTTCATTCAAATTTTTAAGTGATGGTTCATTATTCAATAATATCAATATATATATATATATATATTATTATTATTATTATTATTATTATTATACTTATAAATGATAATTATGAAGATACAAAGATTGTCTAATCAGATCAGACATTCGAATACTTGGAAAAATTAAAGTGTTCAGTTGGAGTCGAACGAAATTGCAGATTTATATTTCAAGCTGCTAAAGTTATAGTAGTCATTCATCTTACTTACTTGTGTCTGTCTGTATATTTATATATATATATATATGCAAAGCTAAGAATTAATACGATTGTGTAAAATCATTATCGGAGGAATATGTTTAAGAACGTAGTTGGTAAAATAGGAAAGATACAAGTTATCTATGGCCCGATGTTTAGTGGCAAGACTACTGAACTCATTCGTCGAATCAAGAGGTTCAATCTTACCAATCAAAAGTGTCTCCTCATTAAATACAGTAAAGATACAAGATACAATGAGATAGACCGTAGTCTTTTATATACACACGACAAGTATGTATCATGTGACAATGTTGACAACAACAACTCAGTACTAAAAGACTAACTAGATAGACGTCATTGTTATGTTGTTGTTGTTGTTGTATAGACAAAATTATCAAGCATTCCCATGTTCAGTGTTGGAAGAAGCAAAGGATAAAGCACTTGATTACGATGTAATCGGTATTGATGAAGGTCAATTTGTATGTTAAACAAACACACTGTTAATTACCTATTATAACACTAACTAAAAAGGGTTTGTTATGATTTCTAGTTTCAAGATATAGTTCCATTTAGTGAAGATCTTGCTAATCGAGGCAAGACTGTCATTGTTGCAGCACTTGATGGTACATTCCAAAGAAAACCCTTTGGGACTGTACTCGAGTTGGTCCCAAAGGCAGAGAGCATTACAAAGCTTACAGCGGTTTGCATGCAATGCTTCAAAGATGCACCATTCACCAAAAGAATCGTTCCTGATGAAACGGTTGAACTCATTGGAGGAGCCGATAAATATATATCAGTTTGTAGAGAATGTTATCATGCTGAAGATATTAATTTAAATCAAAATCAAAATCAAAATAATAATAATAGAAATAATAATAATAGTAATAATAGTAATAAGGTTTAAAACGAAAAGAATATATAATAATATACAGATATATATATATAATATTATCAATTATTTGTACATAATACAAAACACAAACATGGCAAAAAGGTATAATTATACCTTTTTTTAAAATGGTTATTTTTAATTAATTTGTTGCAACCTTTAACAACATATGATTGTATTGGGTTCGTAAAGTATCAAGATTGGAATAGACAGCTTTGGTTGTATCCATTTCACAATCATTGCCGTTAATATCCAACCTGTCAATTGGAAATATTGGTGGAAAACAACTGCTATCACCTCGATAGTTATTATAATAGTTTGAATTGGAGAAATCATTTTTTGGTTGATGAGACATTCTTGTATAGGTTTCACCTCCTCCTCCCATATTTTGACCAGCCTCCAACGATGCAGGTACGATTCCATAAGTTAGGATAAGGCTCAACTCTACAAACAATTTGTTGATTTGTTGGATACCAATCTCTTGGATCTTGTTGTAATTGAGGTTTAGCGAAACTTGGTTTCTTCTCAACCGATTATAAAATAGGAAATGTAATAATTGATAGGATCCATCTTGTATCCAATTAAATGATAAATCCATAATTTTAATTTTTTGGTTATACTAAAAAGAATCAAATGGGAAGGAAATATGTTAGAATGCATGTATCCCTGCTATTATAATTAGTTTGTAGATTAGTTCAATATTTACCTTGAAAACTTCTTTTAAATATACTACACTATCTTTACCAATATTATTACCACTTAGGTTGATAGACTCTAATGATTGATTGTTGACCAATGCCATCATTAACATTTTGGTTCCATTATCGTTTAGTTTGTTGTTGGAGATGTCCAACTCTACCAAATTGCATAGTCGAGAGCTCAAGTACTTGGATAATCTTCTTGCTCCTTGTACTCCAATATTGTTACCTGCCAGCACCAATTTAAGACCCTTTCCAATACCTTCACCATTGTTGTTATTTACAATCAATGGTTTTAATGATTTGATAGAATTGGAACCAAGATTATTTTTTGACAAATTAATGGTTGAAATAAACTTGTAGGAACACAACATTGGTGTTATATTTTTAATATTATCATCATTTAAACCAAAACAAAGTTGTATTACTTTTAATCTACAAAGTATTGGTAAATAGTTATTTTGATTATTCTTTTGATTATTTTGATTATTTTGATTATTATTTTGAATATTTTGATTTGTTAAATGATTTAATGATTTTATAGTTTTAATGATATTTTGGTTGCCTTTAAAAGTTTGGAATATTCGGATACTGGTGACCATACATTCAACCAATTCTTTCCATTTTTTGCAAACCAATGATAACTTGATCAAATCATCGATTTCTTGGACTGTTACTATTTGATCTTTGATTATATATTCAAAGATATTATTGTATAATTCGATAGGTAGAAATTCCATAGATTAAAAAATAAAAAAAGAAAGGTTTTGTTTTTTTGTAGACTAGACTTGATAACTATATATATATATATATATATATATAAATAATAATAATATTTAATTGGGTAAAGTAGTAGTTTGTGTAAAGAGGTATTTAGGTAGGATGATGAATCAAAACCACAACAACAATTTGACCAAAAATAGTCAAATTCAACTATTGAATAGATAGACACTCCTCAACACATTATAATAGCACCCATATCAACGATTGATTGATTGATGAAGTTAATTGGTTTATCATCAGATTTACCCAATTAACATGTATACACACCACCCCCGGATCACCGAAATCATTAAAACAAACTCACACCCACCACCACCACCACTCACAACCCACAATTGTATCATAATATGCGACGACGATACAGAGATCAACCAATCAATCACACCTGCTTAGGATACTCTCCCCCTCTTTTTTTGATTTCATTTTACATCAAGGGTGTGTTCCTCCTCCCAACACTTTCATTAAGGGCTTTTCCCAACTTTCTTTAAAGTAAATGATCTTACCCTTACCATCAAACAACACTCACATGATCAAACAACATGTGTTGTTGATGTTCTTTTTTTTTAAATCTTGATGACTGTGGGGGTTGGAGTGGAAGATGACAGAAATCGCTCCCACCTCTATTTTAGAACATTTTTGAAAAAGAACGAAGAGATTAAGGTCTCTTCCTTGGGTTGCATTCATTGGCATTGCGATTTTTTGTTTAAAATTAATTTTTGTTCAATTCTTGTGTGCTTCTTTGTTCCGCATCCTATAGTTCGATCACATTCTTAAGAACCAACACTGTGATTCATCAGCGCGCTCGGAACTAGAACATATTATTATATTTATTTATATCTTTATTGTAACATCACTATCACTCTCTCACTAACTATAAATTTGTAGATTTTTAAAACACTGTTAACCACCCATCACCCATATATATTTATATATAAACACACACTTTCATCATCATTCTTTTTCAATACCAATACTATCTGTCCACACTCACTCACTCACTCACTCACTATCATTGTGATATAATATTTAAATATATTGTACATATAAATACTTTATTCTAGTTTGACGTCAATTGTATTGTATTGAATTGTATCGTATTGTTGTTTCAAACAATCACTCTTTTTTTTTATTTTTTTTATTATTCTAGTATCAAAAAGTAAATAGAAATAGTAATAGTTATTTATAATAAATAAAATAAACAGTTTCATCATCATCAAAAAACTAAAAAGATATAAAGATGACAACTGTAATCACAAAAATATTGTTAATATCCATGTTGATATGTTCGCTCATTGTTTGTGCAACCTATTCATCAGCTGTTAGAATCAATCATCACCAACAATCAACAACCGTTAAACCATCCTCCTATCAAAAGAGAGGAGGTAGTTCTCCTTCTTCTTCTTCTTCTTCAACAGACTCTTATTCATCATCTGACAGTGGTAGTAGTGCCGATGAACCAGGTATTAAGGAATACTTGGAACTAAGACAAAAACTAGTTGACCAAGAAAACAAAATCAAAGATGGATCATTTATCCATTTGAATGATAATGAAATCAAAGCAAACCAAATATTCTCACAAATCCTTCAATATGAAGAATTGTCACTTTCCAACAACGATCCATCAGGAATTAACTTTTTACAAGTATGTATAAACAAACAAATATAAAGATATTGATTGATTGATATGAACTATGACTAACTTATTATTATTATCATTTTTAGGCAATTAATAATATTTCAGAAACTCAAGTTTACCAAATTATAAAGAAAATGCCAAAAGGATCAATTTTACATCTTCATCAAGACAGTTCAGCAACCTATGATTATTTGATTTCGGTTGGAACGTATATGCCAAATTGTTACTTGTATGTTGGTCAAAACAATGCAGCTACACCGTTTGGTTCGTTTTACTTTTATGCACAACAACCAAGTGATCCAAACTGGAAGCTTGTCGCCACACTCCGTAGTCAGGCCAGCAACGTCACTGAATTTGACGCCACCCTTTTGGGAAGCCTCACTCTCTTTGGCTTGGACTATGGCAACTACATTTCATTGTGGGACAAGTTTGATGTGATCTTTGCACGTGTGGCCGGTCTCGTCACCTACACACCCATCACAATGGGCTACATGTCGCATTTGGTCAACCAAACCTTTGAGGACAATGTACAACATTTGGAACTTAGAAAGTGTTTTGGCAGCTTTTACGATTTGTCTGGCACCGCCTACAACAACACTTGGTTCATGACCCAACTCGCCGAGTTGGTCGAGCAGGTACGAGTCGACTACAACGCACCAGAGTTTGCCATCAAGATTATTGGATGTGATGGAAGACACTCGTCACGTGAAGTTGTCTTTGAGCACATGAAAGAGTCGCTCGAGCTACGTAACCAATTCCCAGAGACTTTTATTGGATATGATTTGGTGGGACCAGAAGATGAAGGTTACCCATTGATCTACTTCCTCGAAGAGTTTGCCGAGCTCCAAGAAATGAGCAAGTACACTCAATACCCACTCGAGTACTACTTCCACGCTGGCGAGACTATCCTCTACAACAACACCAATCTCTACGATGCCATCCTTCTCAAATCAGTTAGAATTGGTCATGGTCTCCAACTCACCAAACACCCACTCCTCATGGACCTAGTCAAACAAAACAATATTGGCATTGAAGTGTGTCCAATCTCGAATCAAGTGCTTGAATTCGTCGCCAACTTTAGAGCCCACCCTGCATTTGCTCTTTTCAACGAAGGTCTTCCCATCACCATCAACAACGATGATCCTGCCATCTATGGGTACTCTGGCATCAGTTTTGATTTCTACGAAGTCACCGTCGGATGGGGATTGAATATTCAACAATTAAAACAACTTGCCATCAACTCTCTTGCCTATAGTACCTATTTCGACGATCAAGAAAAGAATGCTACCATCACTGCTTGGGAATCTAAATGGGAAGATTTCATTAATTGGTTAATTACTCTTACTCCACCAACTTTCAACAAATAAAAAATAAATAAAACAAACAAACAAAAATCATAACAATAATAATAACTCGACACGAACAATCAAATCATAATGGATGATGATTAAATAAATTATCACAAATTGTGTATTATAATGTTATACTTTAAATATTAATATTTATTATGTTATATTCTGTCTGTCTGTTGATTTATTTGGTTGCAAATAATCCTTTCTTTTTTTGTCTGTTTAAAGTTAAACCTCCATAGATTTTGTTTAAAGTTGAAAATATTTCTTTAAATGATGGTCTCTTTTTTGCTTTATCAATCCAACATGCCCTAAAGTTAAATTAAAAGAAAGTATAGTTAATATATATGTGTTATTTATCTATTTATATATATTTTAATTTTTATCTATTTACTTTATCAATTTAGAAAAATCAGAAGGACAATCATTTGGGATAGGAGGTCTTTCACCTTTAGTAACCATTAAAGGTATACTCCAACTATTTACATTTTCATAGGGATCTCTTCGACAGTAGATTTCCCATAAAACAATACCAAACGAGTAGACATCGCAAGCTTCAGTGTATGGTTCGTTTCTAAATACCTCTGGTGCCATCCAACAAGATGTACCAAGATTAAGAGTCATCTGTTTGGACAAATCAATTGCACGACTTGTACCAAAATCGATCACCTTTCCACGCATATCTTCGGTGACCAACACATTACCACTCTTTAAATCTCTATGAATGACACCCATCGAATGAAGGTATTTCATTGCATTGGCAATATCCAATGCCATCGATATTTGTTGAGCATAGCTCATCTCGTACTCCTTGTTTAACAATATATCTCTTAAACTACCAGCTTTAATCAATTCAGAAACATGGAATAAATAATTGGTCTTTTCAGTATTTGCTCCATAAAATTCTGTAAAACATTCATGTTCCAATAAACTAAAAAGAAAAAGAAAAAGAAAAAGTTAATATAAATATATTTCCATCTTTCTCTTTTTCTATCAATCTTTTTTTCTTTCTTTACCTCATAATTGAAACTTCTCTATCAAATTCTTCTCTACTAAAACATAAATTATCGGTACTGTAAACTTTGATTGCAACATCTCTACATTTGTATTTTCCTTTATAGACCTTTCCAGATGCACCTGATGCCATGACATCACCCCATTCTATTTCAGATTTCTTGATTTCATTGTGTACTCTAACCTTGTTGTTTAGTACATTGTTTAGGATATCTTCAAATGATTGTGTTCTGAGCAAGTCGTTGATTGTCTTGCCATTGATAACTGGAATATGCTTTTCAATGGGTGGTTTGTCGTCGTCTTTGTTCTTTTGGCCACCTGGTGTTGTCAGACTACCAGACGAACTATTACTCGAAAGCAAAGAACCTGTGGAAGAGGTTGGTGATAGAGATGGTGAGGCAGCTGCTGAAATGTCACCCGACAAACGAAGTGTGTTACCAAACATGTGTGGTAGAGACATTGTTGCTCCTCCACTATTATTAGGTGTATTGACAATATATATGAAATTGTGCGATGCGATACCTGGAGACATAGTATTGATTCCTCCTATTCCTACTCCTGATTGATGTGATGGGATATGTACAACGTTGGTGCCATCTGGCAATTCGACATTTTGACCACCGACATTGATGACAGTGGTACTTGAACGCTTTTCATGTGGTGGTGTGGTAGGTGGTGACGTATGGTTGCTATAGAGCTCGGGTGCAGAATGAACTTGCACGTTGGGTACGGTAAAATGTGATGTTGGTTGTGGTATTGGATTGGCTGGAATATTAACAAATGAGTTGACGTAGGGTGGCGTAGATGATGATGAAGATGAAGAGGATGATGAAGATGAAGAATTGGAAACGAGTGAATCGGTGGATGGATAAGATGGAGGTGGACGTAATGGATTTATGATATTATGTGATGTAGCACGAACCAATTCAGATGGTGGCATAGGTGCTCCAGATGCAGGTGGTGTAGTTGGTGGTGATACTCTTTGTCCATTATTAATACTATTATTACTGTTACTATTACTACTACTATTATGATTATGATTATGAGTTGTATTATTTACACTATTATTTCCATTTGCATCACATTTATCACAAACAAAATTGCCTCCAATATAAAAAAATCCTCCTTTGATTGCTGTCTTGCAATAATGACAACTAAAACAATCGGTATGATATGTTTTTCCTCTTACATTGACAAGAGTTGTTTGGATTGGTAGTAGACACTTGTCACACTTTTTGGCAAACAACTCTGTCTCACATGGATCACAATAAAGTTTACCATCTTTAAAGAAAAAACTTTCCAATGATACTCCACATTTACTACATTGAAAACATTCCTAAAAATATTTTTAAAATCAACATCTTAGTATCCAACATTATATAATGTTTTATCAAATTCCAAAAAAGTAGATAGATGCATACCTCATGGAATAATCTACCCTTTGCTCTAATTCTTGAAGCTTTAATTGGGAGATTGCAAACTGCGCATGGTTCGGCTGACATGATTATCTATCTATTATCAATCCTAAGGATAATATTATTATTTATAAATAATGATAATTTCCAAAATAGTGTTGTTGTTGACTGTGGCGTTGATGATTTTCTTGATTGTTCTTGTTTTGAAGTGAAAACGTAAATGTTATTATTATTATTGATTTTAAATCTATCTATCTATCTATCTTGTATGGGTTTTAAAAAAAATTAAACTACTGCTGCTGGTGCTCCGTTCTATTACTATAAATTGGATTGAATCGGTGAATTAGTATTTCTACACAACATGTGAATATATATATATATAAATATAATGTGTGTCCAAATAAACCAAAAACAAAAACAAAATCTAATAGGAAACAATTAAATATATATTTATATATCTGTGTGTGTGTGTGATTGATCAATTGTTGTTGTTGTTGACGATAATGACAATAGTAAAACAAACAAAATGACAACAGCAAAATATTATTATTATTAAACATATCATCAGCAGTGGCAGAGTAATAGTAGCATGCTAGGATCTGTCACTCCAAATACAATCACGACTACTACCTCTACCAACCACAACACACTTGTCAAGTGACAAGAATACTATTTCAAGTATGAATCAACATCATCAACATGTGATGTGGACACAGAGTGCGGTCGGTAGTAGATGTGTTTGAACAAACAGGACAGCTGTTGTTGGATTTTTTAACTGTATGTAACATTGTGTGTTGTTTATGTGGGGGACGGGGTGGATGGGGTGGATTGTGTTTAATTGGCGGGTAATAAAAGATTACTATTCGTGATATCATCTGTACAGAAGCACGCACACTCTCTCTCTTATTCTCTTCTCTATCGTTGTCGTTGATTTACCAACCCAAATGAACAACTATTATTAGCTGTTCTTTTGTTCGTCGTTATTTACAATTTCTGCTGTGAAATTATGACAATGACAATAATAAGCAATTGCTTATCAAAAAAAAAGGGGAGAGAGTATCGTGTTTCGTATTTATATCCCCTTTTAAATATTATTCTTCTTTGATGTTGTTTTCTTCCTGTTATCAAAAACACATGTTGTTGTTTTGTTTGCTCTTTGATTGTGCTGTCGCCGATTGATTTCCTTTTCCCTTTCCTCTTGTTAAAGTAAATACCTTTTTACAACGGCACTTATTCTTATTCTCTTTTATCTCTTTTTTAATATTATTTGTTGATTTGTTATAATTCTGGTTGTAGGGGTTCTGCTGTTGAAAGGAGGAGGAGGAAAAAGAACCCAAGACGTTGTTGGGTGGCTGGAGAAATCTGTGTTTTTGTTTTTTTTGTTCGCCTCTCTATCTTTCGAACCACTCCACATGAATTGGAGGCGATTAATTAATTTGTGTGTTCGATAAAGATGAATCCCTTTCTTCACCTAATTTTTTCAAGATACTGGTGAAAGGGGGCACCTCACCAAATCGCCGATTGATCAACTTGTTGTTGTTGATAGACACATCGTTGTTCAACAATTGTGTGTGGGAATTGAAGTGTAGTAGGTATGAACTGAGCTTCTACAACTAGTACCAAACGTACCTTTACAGTTTTTAGTTTATTGATGCCTATATTTTGTGCAAGTCGTCACTTGTGGAATTCTATCTATTCTATTGTATTGTGTATGATGATGTAAAGATATCTTTTTTAAGTAAAAAAAATGATTATTAAATATAAATATAATATAATTTGTTGGTTGGTTGTTGTTTGTCGATTAGATAATATTATTATCGTTATTTATTTACATGAGGAGGATGAGTTGTGAGAAATGATGTTTTGGTTTTATTCACTTGTTGTGGATCCCCCTCCACGTCTTATCGATTTGTGGATTGTGATGATGCTGGCTGGCTGCTAATAATATTGTTTATAAATCTGTGTGGAACAAGAGTCAGATGCCAATCTGATGTAAAGATTGTGTTGAAAACATTGAATTTGGGGGTGGCACTTTGCCCACAGCAGATTGACTATTTGCCTTTAGGTGACGATCTACAATCCACATAAACATGCAGCGACGGATCTCTCGTTTGAAAACCCTCCCAGAGAAAAGACGTGTGACACCAGATCATTCCTTATAAAGAAAGTAAAAACGTAAAAATTGGCTATCATCCCAAACAAAACAAGTTTTACGTTTTATGGTCAGTCGGTATGGTATTCTCTGTTTAATTATTATTATATTCTCGAACTTGGTAAAAATATATTAATCTTTACAACCAAACAAAAAATAGATAGATAATATTATCAATTTCAAGAATGAAGAAAAATAATAATAATAATAATACAATAAATACTATTTGGGCTTGGCTTGCTTTTGTTATGATTTGTTTGTGTGAATGATTGATTCGAGTTGGAGAAAAATATTTATAGATATGTGTGTGTTATGTATATATGTTGTTGGAAAATCCTCTGATGATGAAAAGTAGATAGAATACTCGCTGGTCATTTCAACCAATGTCACCTTGATGATAAATACTTGACCTAAACCATTTATCACAAAGACCATTTTACCCACTATCGTGCTTATGAAATTCATCATAGCAAATAGTATAGGAGGGTCTGCAAAGTAGATAGTATAGGTGTCAAGTTGTTATTTCAAAGTGTTGTTGGTTTCAATAGCGGGTATTTTGATTCAATTTGTTATTATTATTATTATTATTATTATTATTAATTGTTGTTGTTGTTGTTATAAAGGTGTATTTTGATCCAATTTGTTATTATTATTATTTGATTTTGTTTTTTTTTTTTATTAACCAAATTCTAATTGTACCATCAACCGAACCTGAAGCAAATGATTCGCCATCAGATGAATATCGACAACAATTGACTGGACCATGGTGACCCTTATTAACTTCAATTTCGTTTCCAGTTGCAGAGTCATAGACATGAACCCAAAAATCACTACCGCCAGCAATAAATCTAGATCCATCAGGATGTAATGACGCACAATGAACATCATATGGAAGTGAATAAACTTTAACTGGATGGAATCTAAAAAAAAAGTAATATTCATTAATTATATATTTCTCTCTTTTTGATTGACTCTCTTTTTCTATCTTTCTATCTTACGATTGAGCATCCCAAAATGTAACTTCATTACCAGCGGTTGTAAGTAATAATTTTTTATCTTTACTAAACTCCATACTCGAGATTGGAGCCTTTGCGCAAATAGTCATTTTGTTTTGACTTCTGAGATCCCAAATACGGATAACCTCGTCTGCGCCACCACTTAGTACGCAGTCGTCATTGTATACACTCCACAATGCACATTTGATCATTCCATTGTGTCCAGATACTTTGAATATTGGTTCTGTTGGGTTCTCCAAATCGAAAACTCTGAGAACCTTGTCAGCACCTCCAGTCACTATTCTATTATTATTCTAATTATAGGGGTTTGGTTTGAAATAAAATGAGGGATAAGATATTAATGATTAATGATTGATTCCAACAATGATGATGATGATGGTTGTTCCAAAATTTTGGTTGTGTGTGGTCATACTCTTGAAAAATCAGCAGTCTTTACAATAGAGTCGTGTTCAAATGAATATAATTCTGTACCATTTAATGTATCCCAAAGTTTACTATAATAAATCAGAGATAATAATAATGGTCAGTCTTAATAGTAATACTATTACTACAACTATTATTATTATTACTACTACTACTACTTACGCAGTATAATCGGCAGAGGCAGTGATGGCTTGTGTAGCGGTTGAATTGAATCTGGATGACCATACGGCGCCCTTGTGACCTTCAAATGTTCCTATCCAATCTCCATTGGATCCATCTCTCAGCATTGGTTTACCATCTAAACATGCTGATATTATAAAGCACCCATCGCTTCCTTCATTACAATATGCAAGATCAGATACTGGTCTTGAATGACCCGAACATATAAGTGGTTGTTTCATTTCTTTCTTTATATTTATGTTATGTTTGTATTAGGTGTTAGTGAATTATTCTATGTTTGATTGATTATTATTATTATTATTGATGACTATTAAAACAAATAAATAAATTATTAATTATTATATTGATTGAGTTGAGTTGTTATTGTTACTGAGATACTCTGTTTTGTTGTGTATGTATGTATAAGTGTGTATCTGTATTGGTGACGTGTGATTAAATTTACAAAGGTGTTGATAGTAGTAGTTGTTGTTGTTGTTGTTGTTGTTATAGTGATTGATTGATTGATTGTATGTGTGTAAGTGTGTCAAGTATAAGTAAGTCTATATAGTTTCTTTTCTCTCTAGCTATATAAATATATTTCAAAAGTAATATGTATGTGTTGTCAATCTGTAATATATGTAAGGTAGGTGTAATATAAATATATAAGTAGGTGGGTAGGGTAATAAACACAAAATCGTGTGTTTGATGCTCGTCTCTTCAAGCAGACAGAACTCTCTGTGCATAAAAATAAAAAATAAAGAAAATTAAAAAAGAGGAATACAAGAATTCCTGATTCCAGAACTCAAAAACAATATTGTTACTCTAGAGTTTTGAAGAATATTAATATATTAATTTAATTATGATGTGTCGTTTCGATATATAAAGGTATCTGAACTTCAACATTTGATCCAAGAATAACAAGTTTGTTTTTTTTGGGTTCACATCATCACATAACATCACCCACACATCTCACAATATGGTTGTTGTTATTTTAAACCACGAACCACGTCGATATCAATTACGGTGGAAAGATGTATGACACCAAGTGTTGTGATCGGCTTATAATAAAGAATGGTAGAACAAGGTTTTGGCTTACCGTCGTTTTCATTTAAAATAGAACTTTGATACCAAAGTTGTAAGCCACCAATAGGAGTTGTTTGTTTGGACTGATAGACTGGTTGGTTGGTTCGATGTATGTATGGAACGATTGATTCCAATTTACTTTCAAAAGGTATAAATAGGGTACGAAAAGGAAATGAAATGAATCATCAAATCCACATATTAAATAATTAACAAACAATCCAATTAAAAAGTTTCTACAATCTTTTTGTCTAAAACCATGTTTATCACAAAAGTTTCTATAATATTCCTTTTGTTTTGTATTTTTATCAGTAATGTCTATGGACATGGATATTTGATTAGTCCAATTGCTCGCCAAGCTCGTTGTAAAAACAATCCAAAGAATAGTATTTGGTGGCCAACTGGTAATTATAATTATTATTATATATTTCTTCCCATGGTTCATTAATTTTAAATCCAACTCCTTCTCATTCTCTTTTGTGATTAAATATTTACCTTTTAGATGGAACTGGAATTCAGGATTTAGATTGTCGCGCAGCTTTCCAGTATGTTAAAAATAGGGGTAGTGATCCAACATACCAATTCACTCAGTTGAATGAGTTTGCCGTCTTGATTCCACAGTATCAATCAGGATACTCTGCTTTGACCCAAGCTGTTCCAAACAATCTATGCTCTGCAGGTGCTTCAACTCCATCTGCCCAATTTGGAGATAAGAGTGGTATGTCTATCGCAACTAAATGGACTCCAACACAATACAAAATCGGATCAACATCAAACACTAGTATGGATATTACTGTAACCTTTTGTGCTACTGCAACTCATAATCCATCATTGTATGTAATTTGTAAACTAGTCTTTTTCAATTTTTTCTTTTTTCTTCTAACACTTTTTTTCAATTTCCAAGTTGGGAATTCTATATAACCAAACAAGGTGTAAATACAGCTACCAAGGTTTTAACTTGGAATGATTTTGAATTTTTCCAAAGTATCAATAATGTTGCACCTACTACTGGTACATGGGCTGGATGTACTGCAAGCAAGGCATACATAATGAAGATTAAGGTGCCTGTACGTCTAACCGCTGCCACTTTGTTGGCAAGATGGCAAAGAATAGATAGTGTTGGTGAATGCTTTATCAACTGTTCTGATATCCAAATGATTGTATAATAACCTTTAATCCCAACCAAACCTATTGTTGTTGTACTACTATTTTTTTTTTATGTATATAAATATTTAATTGAATAAAAAATGTATATTGTATTTATCCATTGATTCTCTCTTTGTTATTATTGATTATTGATTATTGATTAGTTTCATTAATTTTTGGTGGGAAATCCAATTCAACATTTAATACATCCAATTGTAAAATATCAGCTTCACAATTTAGAATAGAACCAACGTTTGGTGTAGTTCTACCAAGATCACCATGAACAAACTCCTTGATATAGGTACCTGCTTGAGCCCAAACATCCAAAGTAAAGATATGTGGACAAACGTATTCATATTCGAGTTTGTCAATCATCTTTTTACGTTCCATCAATGTTCTACGATGCATAACACGAACTGGTGTATTTTGCTTCAACTCTATATCCTTTAGAGTTGACAATACCTTTAAATCTTCTTCACCAAGTTCCTTGTCAGTCCAAACAACACATCTATAAATCTTTTTCTTTGTAGTTCCACCTTCATTTAATAATGTTGTTTGTTTTCTAAAAATAAAAATAATAATAAGTATTTTGAATATAGTTTGAGTTTGTACTATTACTTTCATACTTTGTAATAAATTGTAAATCAGTTAATCTAATTTCAGAATGTTCATTATTGATTGCATTTTGTAAATCTAAGAAATCCTTTGGAGTATACTTGATTTTACGAGCATTGATAAGTTCAATAAAGAATGGTCTACCTTGACCAAGCATTCTTACATCAATATCCTCTCTACCACTACCAACTAAATTGGTTGCTATAAATAATTCATTCATTCATACATACATACATACATATTAGTATCATTCGTTTACCTTGTTTCATTTTTTTTTTGTTTATACATACAATCACATGCAAACATTTCCATAATTTTCTTATTAAATAATTCATCAACACTACCAGTTAATCTTTGTCTATCGTCATTATTGATTGTAATGAGTGGTTCATCCATTTTATCATTGGTAACTGTAGTAGTTGGATTTTGTTCCAATTGTTTTTTGTATTCAATTGGTAACATGTTTGTTTGACTGAGTGATCTAGAGTATTTGTTGTATCTTCCACTAATGTAAACGGAAGCTTGAGCATAACTAATATTGTATTGGTAGAATGTTTTCGGTGTGTTTGGTGGTACTTCACCACTCGAACAATAATCCTTCATTGATATTTCATCCAAGATATCTTGTACCTGTTGTTGTGAATCTTCGGCAGCACTCTTCTTATTTTTGTTGTACTTGTTATTATTATTATTGTATCTTTGTTTTTGTCTTTTTTCGATGGTCTCGAAATATCGAATAAAAAGGTATGATCATTTTTAGTTTCTTCATGTAAATAATCCATATTAATTCTAAAGTCGCTCTAAAAATAAATAAATAAACAAAATAAATATTATTTAATAATATATAATATATATATATAATTATAATAATACTTTACATTTGGTTGAAATTTAAAATTAAATCTTTTAACAATTAATGGACCAAGAATCCATTTGATAGCTTCTTTGATATCGACCTTGGAGAATAATTTTGGAAGATAATCTTTAAGTAAAACCGATGCCAATGGTGCAGGTCCGGTAGTATAAGAGTTGTAAGACTTGTCATTATAACGTTGTTTCAAGTAATACCAAACAGAATACTCTCTAATCGTAACAGATATGGGGAGTGTAAGTTGTAGTGAATAGTCATGGAATTCGTATGGACATTTGGCAATATTATCCAATATATCTTTTTGAAATGTTGGATCCATTAAATTTTGAAGCATTCCTAAACATGTTGAACATACTAGTAGAAATATAAATATATGAGTAAAAAAAAAAAGATAGAATAATATTCTTTTTTTTGTAAAACCTTACTCTTTGTTCCACATGGTTCAGTTTGACATTGATATTTTGGTAATACTACTACTGGTGTTGGAGTAGTTGTAGTTGTAGTTGTATCAGTGACAGTGGTGGTAGTTGTAGTCGAAGCATCAGTTTCAGCAGAAGTCGTGGTTGATGCCAACTTTTCTTCTTGTTCCTTTTGTTGTTTTTGTTGTTGTTGTTGTTCAATATCAAAAGCATGACCCTTTTCAATGTTATAGAGTAGATTATGAATGACAATAGTTGGTTCTTGATATAGCGATAAATCTCTAATATCGCAGTATCTTAGACAACATCTTTCACATAGACCAATCGATTGTAAATCAGACAATATCAAAGGATTGATTGATGGTCGGTATCTCGAATACAATGATTCCAACTTCCACATAAAGTTTCTCTTTTCAACTTCTGTCATTGTAGCTGTAATATCTTCTTGTTCTTTTTTACTATTTGTAGTAGTAACAGCTGACGCTGGTGTCACTTGTTCGACTTGTTCGACTTGTTGTTGAACATTATCACCCATCTTTGTATCGATATCTTGTGATGGTGTGTTTGTTGTAGTTGTAGTTGCAGTAGTAGTGGTATCCATTCTATCCTATAACTCTAACACATTCGGGTATTTGAACAAACAACAACAAAGTTTTAAAACGAATCATATGATTTTGTTTTTTTGCAAGATTCATTTAAATTAATTAAAAACAAATTGAAACAATATATATAATAGAATAGTATTCTTACAAAAGAGGAACAACAACAATAATGAACAATCTTATTCGTTTGGGAAGAGTAGCACCTGAAACAACTGCTTTATTTGTGTAAGATCATCATCATCATCATCAGCTGAACAATATTAATGGGCTTTGATTGTTGTACTTACCATTTACTCTATTTACCATACATAATGAAATGATGATAGATGTGATTTACAAACAAAGTTTGTACCATTGATCCATGAAATGCCAAAGGTATTACAACATGCTTCAACTTTGGTATGTATACTTTTAGCAGCAGCAGCAGCAGCAGCAGCAGGTGGAGTATTAAGATTCTTCATAGTTGTCTAATTAATTAACATTGGTGTCTGTCATCTATTCAAAATAAGATTAAAGGATGTAAAGAATTGAATGTACCAATTATTGGAACAGAACAATACCCACAAGGACTTGGACATATTGTTGATGAGTTGGATCCAAAGAGTTATCCAATCTTTTCAAAGACACTCTTTTCAATGTGTACTCCTGATGTACAAAACAAACTAAAAGAGTTTAGAGGATTAAAGTCTGTCATTATCACTGGTATTGAAACACATGTCTGTGTACTTCAAACTACATTGGATCTTTTAGAAAGTGGTTACGATGTACACATTGTCGAAGATGCTGTTAGTTCACAAAGATTAAATTCAAAATTGGTTGCTCTTGAGGTATGCAAAGAATGATGATGAATTTTAACCAACCAACGAACTAACTAATACATTATATAATATTTAACAGAGACTTAAACAATCAGGTGCATTTATTACAACTACAGAATCGATTCTTTTCCAACTAGCCAAAGATGCCAAACATCCAAACTTTAAAAAGATTTCAACACTTGTTAAATCACATAATGATGCTGTTAGTAAATTATAGATAGATACAAATATATCTATATTGCTGACAACAACAATAACTATTAAAATGTATAAATCAACCATCAATAATTATTAAACAATTAACTAATTCAAATCATTCATCCTCAAGCTTGTTCCAAAAATGTATTTTTTGTATTTATTTTTTGAATTTAATTTGGGGGGTTGGTTCGTCCTGCTCCTGCTCCGATAAAAAAGTGGGAGTGTTGTAGGTTTCGCGAAGAAGAATATAAACCATTCAATAATCTTTCAGAGATGTATATTGAAGAAGAAAGAGAAAGAGAAGCTTCTCTATCTGAATGGTGTGTATATCATAAATTGTTGTCTCTGAGAAGATCTCAGAGAACAAACTATCAACTACTATAAAATGAACATTAATTATACCAGCAGAGTCAGTCATCTCAATCAACCAATAATAATAATAACTTCATTATATAATAATAATAATATTAATAATATTAATAATAACTAATTATGAATTCAAAAAGTATACCAGAATTTAAGAATAATATTTATAAATCAAAAGAATATCCAAATGGTTATCAATCAGCTGGTATTCCATCAATAGGAAAGAATGAAGGAAAACATATCCCATTGTTATTCACTCCTTTGAAAATTAGAAATGTTGAATTTAAAAATAGAATCGTTGTTTCTCCAATGTATGTAAACAAAAGATAATTTATTAAATATTATAATATATTTAATTTATAAATTCTCTCATTTAGGTGCCAATACTCATCAACTGATGGATTTATGAACGATTGGCATTTAGTACATTTGGGAACATTTGCAAAGGGAGGTGCTGGGTTGGTTATGTTTGAGGCGTCGGGTGTTACTGCAAATGGAAGAATTACAGCATTGGATGCTGGTATCTACAAGGATGAACATGTTGGTCCGATGAAGAGAATCGTTGACTTTGTTCATCAGTTTGGTGCAAAGGCTGGTTTACAGATTGCCCACGCAGGAAGGAAGGCCTCGACTTGTGCTCCATTTCTCAATACTAGTCGGTTACCTGCAAATGCCGAACAGGGAGGATGGACCAATGTAGATGCACCATCACCCATCCCATGGGCTGAGACATTCCCAAAACCCGCTGGCATGACAATCGATGAGATTCGATCGATGGAAGACAAGTTTGTAGATGCTGCCAAACGAGCGGAGCAGGCTGGATTCGATGTCATTGAAATTCACGCTGCTCATGGCTACCTCATCTCTGAATTCCTTTCGGGTACATCCAACAAACGTACAGACGACTATGGTGGCAGTCTTGAAAATCGTAGTCGATTCCTATATGAAATTGTCAGAAAGATTAGAAAGGTGTACGATGGTGTACTGTTTGTTCGTATCTCTTGTAGTGAATGGGTTCAAGAAGAGGGTGCTTTCACTCCAGAGGACAGTATTCCATTGGCCAAGAAACTCAAAGAGTTGGGTGTCGACTTGTTGGACTGTTCCTCTGGAGGTAACAATCCCCGTCAACATGTTGTCGCCAAACCACTCTACCAAGTTCCCTTTGCAGACCTTGTCAAAAAGAATGTACCCAACTTTTTGACAGCTGCAGTTGGTCTCATCGAGACAGCCGAAGAAGCAGAACAAGTATTACAACAGCAATCAGCTGACCTAGTCATGTTGGCCCGTCCATTCCTTCGCGACCCATTCTGGCCTGTACGTGCTGCCATCGAACTTGATATCTCTATAGACTATTGTTTACAATATCAAATGGGTCAACCTAGACCTCATGGTCAAGCTGGTGGTATCCCAAGATAACAAAACCAAAACTAGTCAAAAGTATTGTATAAATATAATGAATAAATAGATAATTAAATATCGCATTCTAGATTTTTAACCAAACTCTGGGATGTTGACATGATAATAATCTAAAAAAATATCATTTTCAACTACAATTGTGGTATGAAAGTAGATCGAGTAGGGATCGAATCGAGAGAACTAATAATGTTAGACGATGGAGTAATGGGGATGGGTGTCTTTACTTTTCCCGAACATGCTAACAAACATTTATATGAATGAGCGTTGTTGTTGTATATCTACTAATCATAAAAGTTGATAACCCAATTAATTTGAACTACCTGCAAAGGAGGAGTGACATTTCAACCAAAATAGGTCAATAATGTTTCTCGGGGAGAGTTGAGGAGAACGTCGATTCGGGTACGAACAACGATCTCAATGGGTGGTCGATTTAAATGGGTTTCAAGGACAATGGAATAGTTAATTTTTCTATACAATACCTGGTTGATGGTGCGTCGAGAATAGATCGTGGGATTTCCGTAGCTCGGGGTTTATTGTCAACGGAAAATAAGCATTGGGTGATAGTACCCTACATAGCTATTAGGGGAGGGACAATCATAAAACCCTACAAAAACAATAAAATCGCCCAACTCAACGTTTTTTTTTTGAAACAATGAATAAAATTTTAATGTGAATCTGAGATGCTGCAAGCCCAAGTTATGGTGGCTTGGTTTTTTATGGTATCGGGGAATAGAGGATAGCGATAATAAAAACAAAAAAAATCAACCATTTCATATGAATGCTCAGAATCGCAATGGGCAATCAACTCACAGATTGACTAGATCCATTGTGCAAGAGGGGGGTCTTGTGTCTTGAGTCTCATTGCGAACCGTTCTCCTATGTTTGGGTTTCAACTTTGCAGAACACCCTGCAAATCGTGTAGGATGATAATAATCATTTAGACGGATGGATGGAAACTTAACCACTACTCCTGAATTGAACGTTTAAACAGCCTTTCGTAAATCAACTTAAACAAAAACAATAATCTTCTTCTTCTTTTTTTGTTTATAGATTGATTGTTTTTGTTTTCACAGTTCCCGTTCTCTTTCGAATCTATCTCTTTGTTGTTGCCTATACAAATAGATACACAGATCAACAAACGAAAAAGGAAACAGATCCACCACCAAATCTATTTTTTTAAAAATGTAAATGTTCCCCCAATCACACACACACGTCGACACTACTATCAGGATCTTTTAATCTGTTGGTACGGTACCATGCCTACCCCCTCATCTATTGTTGTTTTAAAGAAAGGACTCGTTCAAGTCATTGTTATATAAAAATCTCTAAAACATTATAAATGTTGTTTCATAGAGTCGTAGAAGGAATAGATATTAATATCCTTTGGAACGAATATTTTATTTTTATTATAACAATCAAAATTATTTAAAACATTCAACGAAACAAAAATAGTTGAGGATAGTTTAGTTTGTTTACATTTCCTCCTCCATATATACTCAATTAAGATAATTAACAACTATAATTTTTTTATTTTACATAGACATAAATATATATTTATTGTTTGTACAGAGAGATAATATTTATTTATCAATATATATTTATAGATAAACTTGAAAAATGGAAAACGTATTATTACATTCTTTTGCAAAAAAATTTACATCTAGTTTGAGATTGCAGTTGGCAATTTTCACAGTTGTAGCATGGGCAGTTGCATTAAGTATTGATCGTACCTATGTCGAAAGTTATAGAGTAAAGGCTGATGATTTCTTTGCCAAGATACCACCAATGGCCGAGGTCATGGTCAGAACATCTGGCCAAAAAGCTGCCATCATTGTACTAGCTATTCTCGAAACCTCTATATTTGGATTTGGTGTTGCCTTTCTCATATGTGCCGGCTCTAGAGTATTCAAAATATCAAATGGTCTTTTGCGTAAACGTATGATTGGATCTTGGATTGCAATTGGCTTCTTTTGTATTTCATGGTGGCCACATTCGACTGCTCATAGTTTAATTATGACTAGTTCACTTGACCCATATGACAATTATATTATTATGGAAGTTTGTTTCCATTGGACTATTATGGTTTGTTCTGTTGTTTTATCTTATTATCAATTTGGTATGAAAAAATAGATACTACACTTTGATAGAATAGAATTAGAATATTAATATTATTATTTCTTATTTTCTTTTTTCTTTTTTATTTTTATTTTTTTTTTTTAGTATTTAATTAGATTAATGTATGAAGTAGCAATGATGAGACAAAAGATGAATAAAGGTAAAGAGAATGATCCATTAACTGGTCCATGGTATAAAAACTTTATCAATCATTCTTATGTTATCTTTGCACTTGGGTTTGCCGGTGGTATGGTACTAATGTTTAAATTATCACCAATTCCATATGAAAAGTTGGAAGGTTATCAAGTATTCTTTTATGTTACTTTCAAGGTAAATAATTAATAATAATAATAATTAATTGTAATATTAATTTTATTTGTTTTTTTTTCTATTTTAGATTGTTGACAGTCTTTTGTTGGGATTAGGATTTTCATTTGCCTATGTTATGATTAGAATTATTTATTATTTACCTTCGAATCGTGGTAGAAGGGTTGCCATTATCTCAAGTGTTTGTATCTGGTTCAATTATGCTATTCAAGTCCCACATCCAATTATTCACGGTAAACTACCAGTTGCAATGATCAATGTTATTGCAGTCGATTATGGTGTACATATTCCAATTATTATTACTACCGGTATCTTGGCATTCTATCAATTTAGAATGTTGGAATTGGCTACTGACAAGAATTCTTCCTTGGGTGTATGTATAAAAAAGAAAACAAAAAGAATTAATCTCTTTTTCTAAATATATTAATATTTAATTTTTTCTTTTTTTAGATTGCAACAAGAATGAGAAAGGGATCAAATAGTTTATCAATGAGAACAATTACTCAAACCAATGGATCAGCAATGTCATCAAACAATTCAGCCGATCTTAAAAACTCACAACAATTAAACTCTTCACAACAAGCATTTGCTTCGATTAAAATGGATTCTGCCATTTCAACAGCTCAGAATGATGATTCAGCCGAGTCTGTCACTATCGAGATTCCAGAACAAGATGAAACAATCTCTGGTAAACCACAGGATGAAGAATCATCAGTAACATCTTACAATGTAGCTGCCATTATGATGCCAACCTCTGTTTCCAATCCAGATTTGAAGTCTATAAATACTGAAAAGGAACCAAGAATTAATTAATTAAATACCCCTTTTGTAAAATAGTAGTAAAAATAAAATATTGATAAATATTTATCAAATAAACAAATATGAAAAAGAATATGAATATATATCTATACATCAAGACAACATTTAGAATATAATATTTTTCAAATATATAAATAATTAGAATATCAAAATGGGATGCAATACCGTGGGTTTGATCATAGTAGGCGAACATAATAAACAATATAGAATGATCTATTTGGTTTAAAAAATTATTTCTTTTATTGTTTTTATTAAAGTTGATTAAAGATTAAAATATTGCAAAAAATAATATTTTAATATTTAGTTGGCAGTCCTTATTAAAAGAGGATGTGGAGGAGCTTTTTGGTTGAATGTACTTTTAACCATTCTTGGTTGGATTCCAGGTATCATCCATGCCTTGTACATTATTTTATCTCATAGACATGACCACGACTAAAATGGAGATCCTCAACCAAAATAACTAATAACTATATATTAATTTATATATTAATTAATTAAATTAAAAAAACAAGGCCTATCAAATTAGTGAAAGTTGAAAAAAACCTTATACCATTTTTATTATACACAGATCTTCGAAGAGAGATAAGACTTTTATATAATATGTATACATACAAATTTTGAATTATAGTTCACAGAGATTGCTTCGTCTTGTTCTGGAATCCTTAGAGTGTAATTAATACAGCGGGTATTATTATTGTTGTATGTTTTCTCTCATTAATCATACTATCGTCATCATTATAAACATCATTCGCATTTCACTATCATAGAATATCAGTTAATACAATCATCGCAAACAACAATTTATCTTCCTCCTTGTACACTTTATATCTTTATCATTCAACATACGTTCAATTACAACATACAGTATTCTATATGAACAATGTACTGGGCAACAATGATGTTATTTAGTTATTCTATTTTTTTTCTTTAAAATTCCAATACCAAAGAAGACTGCAGCTAGACAAAGGATTTAATAGATTTGGAAATGAAGTTGTTTACAAATATACTACTATCAAACAACATCTCGTATGAAAGCTCCCTCAAGACTTTTATGAATGTAGACAACAAAAACAATTATTTGTTAATGGACAACTCAACCTGTCAAAAGTCCATCAACGATTTCAACTATCTCTTGCAAATAGTGTATAGCGTACTGGCAGATAACCTAAATCTCTACCACCACGGCGACACAACAGGTGTTCTTCTTTGAAATTGACGGCATGATCACCTTGGTTGGCGCTACACCTCTTCTCATCAAATACAGTCGAGTAATCCTAACCATCCTCTTTAATAAAGAAATCGGGTTTGGATTAACAAATTTGGTCAATGAAAGAACTTGCATTTGCCAGATTTGGAACCAGATACAGACTATCGTGCAAGATTTCATGGTATTACCTCTGCGAGACCACTTGGACGTGTCGTGAAAATGGTAACTCTACAAAGTTGGAACTTTTACCAAATATTCACCAGACAAGCCAAGTTGTACAACTTAACATCATCAACTCTAATATCACCAACTGTCATCAATAATTTAAGCAAAGCTTGCTTCTATCGACAATCACATAGCATCCCTCGCATACCCAAAAAAAATATATGCCAAATGCTAAAGACAGAGGCATCAGACTGTTGAACACTCCATGGGGAGGATACAATTCAATTGGATCATATTTGGTTGCAAATTTTTTGGTAACCCACCACCAACAGCCCAACATCCAACTACCGAGTGTTTGGAATAGTTGAAAGTTGAGTTGTTGGTCGTGGGTCACAGGATCATCTCAGTAGTTGGATGTGTGATATACAAAAAAGTCACCAAACTCTTCCTGAAGAAAACTACCAACACAACAATTATAAATAATTATCAAATAAAAGTTTATATATACCATACAATATGATTGTTTAAAAAATATTTTCTTTATTGTTATTAAAGTTGATAAAAGTTTAATAACAGGGTCTGTGTTTTATTTTATCGCGGACTGACTGGTGATGAAAGGATCTCCATTTTAGTCGTGGTCATGTCTATGAGATAAAATAATGTACAAGGCATGGATGATACCTGGAATCCAACCAAGAATGGTTAAAAGTACATTCAACCAAAAAGCTCCTCCACATCCTCTTTTAATAAGGACTGCCAACTAAATATTAAAAAAAAAAAATTTTAATTAGTATTTATTATACTCTATAGTTTCCTATTTTTTCTATAAAATACATGCTGGCGGGAGAATTATAGCCACTATGATCAAACCCACGGTATTGCATCCCATTTTGATATTCTAATTATTTATATATTTGAAAAATATTATATTCTAAAAAATATTATGTAATAAACTAGTTTGAAAAGAAAATGAAAACTCACATCCACTCCATTTATAAATAGTCAATGACTTTACAAAAAAAACATGGTATAATTGTAAATGTAAATCTTGTTCCATATGAGGATTTTCCATTAATGGAAACGTAATTAAATATTTATTAAAATTTCAATTTTCTATTAGATTCCAATAACAATTACTTTTTTTCTTTTACAATGAGTAATACCCACACACACTCCCACTATCTACCCTCATACCTTGTAATTGTACCATTAACATCATGGAAAGGAAAATAAACAATTCAAAATATTTCTTGGTTTGTTGGAATCTATTATCCATTTTCTTTTATTCTTTTTTTATTAATTATTGTTTTTAAAAGAACAAACAATGAATTGGTTGTTGATCTATTCAACCAATGTAAAGAAGAATAGAATATTTTACTCTTTCAAGTTGAAATTCAAGATATCTTCTTCTTCTTTTTGAACTACGGAAAGTCATCATAGTTTAGTTTCAGTATGAATTTAAGAAGACATCCGAAAGAGAAAAGAAATCTTTTAATTTGTCGGAAACATGTGTTCGGAACCCCCCAATGTCCACCATGATATCATCTTGATTTTGAGTGCCCCATAAACAAAAGTGATCCGTTCCGCTGTGAGAGGTGCCCCCACTACTTATTGATATCCTCCCGACCAGATATCAGTTTCGAAAACCCTTGTTTTTTTCTACTCTTGAAATTGAACAATGGGAAATCAAAGCCAAGCATCACCATCAACCCCCCCCCCCACTTTTTCTTTTTTACTCTTCTCTACTCACTTTCTAAATTTGGTGTAACATTACATGACTAAACAACAACAAACATCAAACCCTCTCTACGGGATTACCGGGATGTGATGAAGCAAGAATCGTATTACTACAAGTAATCTTCGTTACTTTGCTTGCAAGTAGTATAATAATGCTGTTCCCGTGTACAACACACAAAACATAAACATTTTTAATGTGTGTTTGTATTTAGTTAGTGCGTGTGTGTGTGTAAATAAACAAGGAGTGTTCTGGTTATTGTATCCAAACAAACAAACACAGGCATCACATCAACAACAACAACAACAACAACAAACACATATACAATAGTACGACGTAATTGGAAAAACAACCAACATACATTGCAACAAATAATCAAATCAAATTACAAAGAGAGATTAGAGGAGGAGCAAAGAAGAAGCAGCAGCAGTAGCAACAGACTTGAACAAGAGATAGAAAAATTAACATAATAGTTATCTTATCTCTGGTCATGAATTAGAAAAAAAAGAAAGAGGAGAGGAGTAAATTAAACAAACAAAGAAAAAAAGAGAGAAAGAAATTATTATTACCTCCATCGCACCACCATACATACAATTACATATATATACCTTCCTCCCCATTTTTTATTTTACCATCATCAACAACAATAATAATAATAATAATAGTCCGATTCGATATACACTGTAAATCTATTTTTTAAATATATCCCATTCTTGGTTTATCTGTACATTATTCTTTTTTCCACCAATCTTTATCTATCTATCTATTCTATCTATTCTATCAATCTATTATTTATCGACTAAATAACGTAACGTTATATATATAAATGAAAACAAAGAAATATAATAATAATAATAATATGATGAACTATCCAAATCAAATGATAATGCCTATAATGTCATACTTTATGATTATTTTTATTTTAATTGTTTTACCAAAATCCGAGGCATGTGGTATGACAACCCACAATGAAGTTGCAAGAAGAGCATTCAATTTCTCAAGTTTCCAAGGTTTGTAATCTGAACACCCATTCCAATCATACATCTAAAGATTGTAACCAATAATTTTATATTGATTTTTTTTTTTTTAAACCAAAAAACAACACCACCCTCTTCTTCCTTCTTTAATCTTCAAGACTACCCTCAATTCCAAACTTTAATTCCACAATATCTATCTTCATTCCAAGCTGGTGCATCATTTCCAGACTGGGGTTATGATTGTGGTAATAGTGGAAATGAATCTGAATCTGCTCATTGGGTATGTAATAGTTTTAGTATAGACATACATACATGATCCCAAGTACTAATATTAGTTTCTATTTAGCCACCATTTTTAAGAAATGCAACTGTATATTTAAAGAAAACATATCCACAACCATGGAGTGAAGCCGGTGCAAAATTGGCAGTATTTTTAATGGGTGTATTGTCTCACCAAGTGGCCGATATATCTTGGCACTCGATTGGAGGAATCCATGAAGGTTTGATTCGTGCCATGGCAGGTCAAGATTTTAATAGTGACTATAGCATTGCTCACACCAATGCCGATGTTGGTGGTGAATATGTTTTAGCTTATAATTATGATTTATCTTGGTTAGTTGATCGTAAGTAAAGCAAACAAAAAACAAAAAAGTAAATATTAATATTTTTTTATTTGTTTTATTTTTAAGGATGGGATGTACCAATATCAGATGTTAAAAATATATATTCAATGATGAATTATGATGTATCTGAATTTACATTATTAAGATGTAATGCTATACTGTTTGCAGGTGCAATGGCAGTAAAGGAGGGTGGCAAACTATTGTATCCAGAGATTGCATCAAAGTCTCAATTTTTAATCGATCACTATCAAGACTACTTTAACGGCGGTCTAGATGACATGGCAATGTGGACAAGTTATTGTTGGCCAGTGTTGATGGGATGGATGGACGGTGCCGAGATTGGAGACTTTTGTTTTATCCAACCAGACCCAAGCTTCAACTCTAAAAAACAATTGATGCATGAAGCAGAGTCCAAACTGACCGGTGACCAAAAGAAACGAATCATTTCTTCAAAGTTGGCCGATATGATTAAAGATCATATCTTTAATAGTCTTTCAACTACCGAAACTGGAGATGGTGGATTCCAATTGACATTTAATAATGGGTTCGTGTCACCTCGTCATTTTGAAGATGATCCATCTTACTTTTACCAAATCTCTGATCCCTATGGTCAAGCTCTTAGAAAGTTGTATGCCGATGTTGATCGTATCTATCATCAACCAGTTCATGGTGGTCCCCAACAACCAGACCATATTGAACAATTGCAAACCAACTTTTCAACCATTTTTGGTAGTTCGTTTTACAGTTACTTTGGTAGAGAGATTCAAGCTGTTGATCTAAACGGCGATGGTATAGAAGATATCCTCGTGTCTGCTCCAGGTGAGGGTGAGCCAGGTTCGATGCAGACAGGTTGTGTATACTATATCTTGCTCGGTCCAAACAGCAACAGCTCCTCTCTCTTTGGCAATGATGGTAATGCCGACATTGCAAATGTGGCCAGTGGAAAGGTGTGTGGTACCGAAGTACATGCACGCTTTGGATGGGCCATTGCAGCACTCGACTTTAACTTGGACGGTGTCATGGATTTGGCTGTTGGCGCACCATCATCGTCCAATGCCAACCTCAAATACTTTGGTGCCACCTATGTCTACTTTGGATCGATCGATGCCGACTCTCACACATGGTCACTTTCCTCTCAACCATCTATCCTCATCAATGGAACAGACTATCATGACCAAGCCGGTTATATCCTCACTGCCGGCGACTGCAATGCCGACGGACACCCAGACCTCATCATGGGCATGCCAACCGCCAAGAGTGTCCGTCAGGGTGCTCAACGCGGCAAGGTTGCCATCTTTTACTCTACCACCAAGCGAGTAGTTGGACAACGTTTGGATGTCGACGTTGGCAGCAATTGGTTGGCTATTGGCGAAGTGGATTACGAGTGGTTTGGACATGATGTCAAGGTTGCTCAGACGACCGCCGGCTCGTTCCTCCTTATTGGCAGTCCCAACTTTCACCGTCGCCATGTCGACGATGCACCAATGAATGTAGGCAAGCTTACAGGATTCAAATTTGACAATGGTCGGTTCCAAATGACCCCCCAATTCACCATCTATGGTCACTTTGAATTTGACAAGCTCGGTTACAAGTTCCAAGTAGTCAATGGCACCTTTATCGGCATTGAAGATCCTCTCTTGGTTCTGTCTCTACCAACCCGTTGCATCGGCTCTGAAAACTCACAAGTTGGTGAAATTGTCTTTATCGAGTTTGTCAACCTCAAGGGTTTCTTTGATCTCAACCAAACCGTCCCCCTCCTCAGCGTCCAAGGCAACACCAAGTACAGTCGTTTCGGAGAGAGTATCCTCATGGAGACACTTACACCAGATGCACCACCCAGTCTATTCATCGGTGCTCCACTATGGACCAATAGTTTTGACAATACAGGTTCTGGTTGTGTATTCTCATTCGACTCTGTTTCTTCAAATATTAAAGAAATCAAAGTCGGAGGAGGAGATAATAAGGAAGGTAATAAGGGATACACTACACACTCTTATATTTCCGGTAAATCTGTAAATAACAACATCCGTGATTCAAGATTTGGATTCAAGGTTGTACTCATTGACATTAACCAAGATGGTAAAAAAGATCTATTGGTTGGTGCAGATAGAGATTCTTCTAAATTTATTGAAGGTGGTTCTTTAAATATTTTTATAACTGCTTAAAACAATCAATTAACAAAATAACAAACAAATAACAAAACAAAACATAGGCATCATACAAAATTAATTAATTATAGTTTATTTTATTTTATTTTATTAACATACATATTTATTTTATCAATAACCTCATATGGTCGATCATCTAAATCTACTTTATCAATAAATAATACAATTGAATTGATTATTTTAAAAACAATCAATATATTTATTTTAATATTATTCTCGAGAGAGACATTTGTTTACATTAATCAATGATCCAATGATTAGAAATGAATATTAGATCATCTTCCAATAGACCAATATGAGATGGTGTTTTTGAAAGATCAGTTATACATCCTAATCTTGAAATTGTCAAGTATTTAGGTCTATCACATCTTTCATCACATTGATACATATTTTCATGTTTACAATATCCCATTCTCTTTGATACCATCTTTATAATTTTACTAAATTGATCCTTTTTAGAAATCTCCATTTTAAATTCTATTTTCTAAACAAAAATAATAATAAATAGAATTAATAAATGTTAATCTATTCTTTATAAATTATTTCTTATTTATATTTACTCTTGAAGCAAAATGAAATCCATAAGAATTATTTTTAAACTTAAATTGAAATGTTGGTGATATCAATGTTGAATCATTTTCGATAAACTCTTCTTTCCATGAATTTGTTCCATTTACATTCTTGATACCTATAGTGTTACAGTATTCTTTCCAAATATCATCTTCGTTCCCAATCACATATAATATTCTATTTGTTTGAATTACATTTCCTACAATTTATATAGAATTGGTTTGATTAGGTTGAGAAGAAAATGAACTAGAATATCTATAGCTTTGATTACATACTCCAAGTTTGTATATCCATAGTTTTATAGATACAAGTAATTAATTCTTTTGGTAATAATAAAATTGGTGATATTACATTATTATTATTATTATTTTGATCATCTTGGGTATTCAAATTGGTCATTTCTCTGAGAAAAAACTAAAAGATAATATTAAAACTACAACAAAGAAAATAAATTTCAAAATCACTTTTAGAAATAGTAGTAGTAGTAGTAGAAGCAGTTTGATTGAATTTTATTAATCTCAAAATCAAGCTTTATTTGGACAATGCAATCAGTTTCTCGATCTACAATAGATCTTTTTAGACTCAAGTCATGACAGTGTGACCGCAGTTTGTGTGTAAGTTAAAAAGAGGAAGAGTTTTTTTATTTATTTTTTTGTTTTTTTAAATTTTTTGGACTTTCAATTTCCCAACTTTCCAACTAACCAATTAAATTAATTAATTTGTTAATATTTGAAAAATCAAATTTAGACATGTGGCAAAAAGTGGTACTCATGGTATCTGACGGGTTTTACAAATTGGATGTTCATCTAAACGTCTTTACCTGGAAGCTTGGAATCCTAGAATTCTTTTCTATTATATTTCTTTCAAACTATGGACAACATAGGTTTTTATGACTCTCTCTAGTTATTCAAAAGAATTGAATTATTATTATTATCAACATCATACATTCATACCCAATTGGTTTATTTATTGTTATATATAAACAACATTAGAGAGTTTTGAAAAACAAACAATAATAAATAGACCTCCAATCATCTCTAGACAAACATCATCAAATTATCTTTTAAAAAGATATCAAATCCGGATAAACTAAAACAATTAATTTAAAACTATATATACATACATACGATTTAATGTAGACATATCCTATAGGATTTAAAAAGATATGCAATTATCATTCGAATATTTTAATATACCAACAAGTTTCTTGTTTCACCAACAACAAAATAACAAAACAACTAGTCAAAATGTAACTGCTCCACCACACCAACAACAACAACCAGAACAACAACAAAGAGAACAATTACCCAATAGATGTTGTAATAGAAATAATAATAATAATAATAATAATAATAATAATAATAATAATAATAATAATAACATTTTTAATAATAACAATAATAATAATTGTAAAAACAACCAACAAACATCACGTTTAAATGACAAGTTAATGATTCTCTTGGATGCATTACTTCATTAACAATTCAATTATATAATATTGGTCAAACTATTAAACTTATTTATTTATTAAATTCACAATTAAAAAGCGCTTTAGAATTGCTTTTCCAAATAAACTATGAACACAATCTATTTGTTTCAATTGAAACGACTCTAAATTAAAAACAAATTTTATTTTTTTAGTTTTTTCACATGATCTTCAACCTTTATCATCAAGTTCAATTGTATATTTATTATTAGAATCAAAACAGTAGAGAGAAAGAGTGTGTGTCTTTGATTTGGCTGATATAAATATATCACCATCAAGACGAGTGTTTAAAGAGGTATATCAAAGTAGGAAAAGTACTACTTTTTTTTAAGGATATTGGGCGTATTTTGCCCCCAATAAACAAACACCAAACAAACACGTTGCATTCACACATACAATGACATTACTACCATTACTTTTCATTGTAGTATCACTACTTTTAACTATAGGTTGTAATGCTTACACATTAATGCCCAATTGCGAATTTAATGGCATTGACTTTAGTGGTTTCGAGTACGTACCTTTTTATATAATATATAATATAATCATTGTCTACATTGATGATTAACACTACACTCATTTTATTTTATTTATTATTATTTATTTATTTATTATTTATTAGTGGCTCATATACCTATGATAATGAGGGAAATGAATATACTTGGAGTGTATGTAGACCAAACTATGGATGTAATAAACTACTTGGAGGAAAGGATATAAATTCTTGTCAAAAATCATCGTATGGAGCATATTATGATATTGGTGAAACTGGTCAAGGTGTGTGGTCAGCATACAACGATGGAATTGCCATGGTCAAATACAAGACATCTGCATATATGTGTGCAAGTTCGGGTGTTACTCGACAAACCCATATTTACTTTACATGTGTTCTTGGTGCTCCCACAAGGATCGTGTCGGTGAAAGAGTCAGATGTATCTTGTATCTATGAAATCCACATGTCTGGTGACGCTGCATGTCATCCACCACGTCATACCGATAGTTCTGACATTGCACCAACCAACTCTACACATGGTGACGGCGAGGTTATTTGCTCATCCAAAGGAAACTCACTCAGTGTGATTGCAAGCGAGGGACATACGATTGAATGTCACTCTGAAGGACCAACCGACTGCTCTTCACCAGCTGGAACCGTCTGCAGAACCACAAGTCAAGATGTTGATATCACTTGCGTCACTGCTTCTGAAATTGAATGTACCTCTAGAAATATATTTTGTTCATCTCTATCGATGCAATGTTCTCTAGTCAATGGTGTATTGGTTTCATCAAGTAACTTTTCAAAAACAAACAGGCAACAAAAAATAATTAATTAATTAATTAATAAATAAATACGACAAAACAACACACTTTTAAATGATATATAAATAATGATGAATTTATTAAGAGGTTAAAGTTTCGAATTTATATTGAATATATCAAAAAAAAATACATACCTGTTCTAGTATTTGATTCAACTTGGCAAGATTGTGTGGTATCCATGTTTTTAATTATGGTTGAATAAACAAAAAGGGACCTTTTATAATTAAAAACATGGATACCACAATCAATGTCGGCGGATTAATTTGTGACAAACAAACTAAAAGAAAAAGAAGGTAAGTTTTTTTTCACAATTTATTTATTTATATATTGTTTTATATTATATAATTTAAATTAATTGTTTTATCATATACTTTCAATTTTTATAGATCAAATAAAAGATCTCCAAAAATATGAGGAAGAGAAAGCACAGATTAAAAAAGCAGTTGGTATGTTTTAAAACAAAATATATATATTATAAATTTTAATTCACTAAATTTAGGTATTGTTCTTCTATTGACCTTATCCAATGCCACTAGTAGTTTTTCCTCAGTTGTGGTTGGTGCTTGTTGTATTCCAATATATTGGCTTGCTCTAGAATTGGGATTCTCAATAAATAAGACTATTCATTCATATATATTATAAATATATATTTATTGATAAAAAGGAATTCTTGACCCACCTACTGACACCCACCCGTTGGAAAGGCCTGATCATAATTAATATGATCTCTTTTCGCGATCTGAACAAAACTAAAAACAATACAATAAACATTGATCCAAATCATTAATATGAACTTGATCTTCGTAAAAATATATTATACAACAAAAAAGGTCACATCCAACACTTGTTTGTAAAGTAATTCTTTTCCAATTTGCCCCCATCGAGATTCGAGACTACAACCCAAAATTGAGAAAAAAAGGCACAATTGCTCTATCATATAAGGGTTAGTATCCTGGACTTTGAATCCAGTCATCTGAGTTCGAATCTCAGTAGAGCAAATATCTTTTTATATTTTAACAGCCTTCTAAAAAAAAAAAGAGACTTTTTTCTAGATACCTACACGTATACATACCTTGAACTAATAAATAATAAATTCATTACGCCCAAAAACTTTGATGTAGCACAAAAAAAAAATAAAAAAAAAATAATTTAATTGAATTTTTTCAGCTGCTTCTTGTGTAGTGCATGAAAGGAATGATCATGAGAGATTGAGAGGTTCATTGAACATTTAACGCAAAGTAATCAGAGATGCTTTCAAGTATAATAAAGAGATCAGTAACATCTGCTGCCTCAATATCATCAATCTCCTCTTTTGGAGGTTACATGTCATGTATGATTTAGAACAAATAATCAACAATCATATGTAGTAGCGTCAACTAACTTTTCATTACCTTTATCTACACTACACAATTACATAGATGCAAGTGCAGCTCCAAAGGAAGTTGAAAATAAAGACAGAGGTATAAATTATAAGAAGAAACTATAGTTAAAACAAAGAGACAACAACAACAACAACAACAACCCAATAGATCAGATTGATTAGATTAAAATACAAATTTGTTGATGATCATCACTATTTGTTTGTCTCAAACGAAATTTCGATACTAAACTATTTTTATTATTTATACTTTTAGTTGTATCATTCAAGATCTATCGTTACAGTGAAGAATCAGGAAAGAAACCATACGTTCAAACCTATAACCTCAACCTAAAGGAATGTGGTCCTATGATTTTGGATGCTATCATTCATATTAAAAATACTCAAGATCCAACCTTGACTTTCCGTCGTTCATGTCGTGAAGGTATTTGTGGAAGGTAAGGTGAAAGATAGATGAGATAGATAGATAAGATTAGTTACTAATCAATACACTATACTAGTTGTGCAATGAATATTACAGGATCAAACACATTGGCTTGTACCAAAAAGACAACCGATTCAATTGATGGTAACTCTGTTAGCATTTACCCATTACCACATATGCACGTTGTTCGTGATCTCGTCCCAGATCTCACCCACTTTTACCAACAACACAAATCAATTAGACCATGGTTAGAGCCAGCAGCAAACGCCCCAAGATACAATGGAAAGGAACTCCTTCAATCAAAGGGAGACCGTCACAAGTTGGATGGTCTCTATGAATGTATTTTGTGTGCATGTTGCTCAACTTCATGTCCATCATACTGGTGGAGTGAAGGTGGTGATGGAGGTTATTTGGGTCCAGCCGTTCTTCTTCAAGCTTACCGTTGGATTGCCGATTCACGTGATTCAATCCAAAAATCACGTCTTGAATCCCTTTCTACCGATGATCTCAAGGTTTACAAGTGTCATACCATCTTGAATTGTACTCGTGTTTGTCCAAAGGGTTTGAACCCTGCTCTTGCCATTTCAAAGATTAAATCTTTATTAGCAAAGAACTAAAAACAAACAAAATATCAACAATATTGTTGACAACAACAACAAAACACATTAACACATAAAGTAATTTTCCAAAAAGACAATAATAATAATCCTCATCTCTCCTAATATTTAAACAAAAAAAAAAAAAAGAAAACTGTTATAGAAATAAAATTGTTTTTTTAAACAAATAAATACCCCCTCTATGTTTAGATCGTTTGATTGATTGTTTAAAAACTATAAAATATATATAGGAGATTTTTTAAAATTCATCATCTACTTATTGTGTTTATTCCTTTTTTTTGTTTTGATTAAAAAAAGATAGATTTGCCTCTAGAGTAGGGGATGATAAGGAGGTGGTGGGTATTGTTTGTGGGTTATATATATACATTTCTAATATTACTATTCATATTGTTATTATTTTTTTGTCTGGACTTGATCTTTTTAATGTTTTCTTTTCTTTTCATTATCATGATCTGCGTTTCCTGATGTTGTAGTGGTAGTGGTAGTGGTTGTAGTGAGGGTAGAGAGTGGAGGTGGTGCGAGTATACTGGAAGAGGGTGGTTGTAAACTGCCATTGGGACCGAGAAGTTGTGTGTGATGACCTCCGACACCGCCAATCAACGATGCAATGGCACTAGAGGGCGTTTGGTTTCCATCGAGGTTGGGAATCCAATATTTCGAGCTACTGGGAGATGGCAACGGTCCGGTTAAAAAGTCCATACCATAGTTTAGACCAAGAGGTGTTTGTTTGTTCCACAGATGTTGTTGCGTGAAATAGGTGCTAGGTGTAGTGAGGGCATCTTCTGGATAGAAATCCCTTGGTGAAGGTAGAGTTGGTTCGATTAAAGGTTTGCTTGGTAAAACGGTTTCATTGATGGGTGCCGGTGTAACACTACGGAACGCCTGCGATGGTGTTTTGCTCTCGGGAATGACAACGCTCAGTGACTTTTTACCTGGTTTTGGTTTGTCTTCAGAGTCGGCAGTGACAATGGGTACTAGCGATGGTGATGAAATGTGGTTGGGCGTGGTTGATGTGACCATTGGTGATATGGGTGGTGTCGATTGACTACTGGTACTATTTTGTTGTTGAAGATGTGATGTATTTAATATATTATTCATTTTAGAGTGTTGGTCGTGATGTGATGATGGTGGTTGTAAACTGCTGGATGTATTTCCTTTGGTAAATGGTGATGGTGGTTGAGAATCAATCTTGGTCGTAGTTGTAGTTGTCGTTGTAATGGTCGTAGACGATGGTGGTGCTAGTGACGACGACGACGAGGAAGAGGAAGAGTTTGATGTATTATTGGATTTACTAAAAACTGGTGGTGGTGGAGGTGGTGGATGGTGATGTGATGATGATGATGATCCAGATGGTTGTTGTGGTTGTTGTTGTTGTTGTTGTTGCTGCTGTGGTGGTGGATGGCTAAGATTTAATTGAGGTGGATGTTGAATGGCTTCAGATACAGAAGATGGATTATGATGTAATTGTTGTGGTGATGGTGTATGATTGGCACTTGCATTTTGTGGAGAATTTTGGAAAAAGTGTTGTTGTGATGCCAATTGTTGTTGATGATGTTGTTGTTGAGATGCCAATTGTTGTTGTTGTTGTTGTTGTTGTTGTTGTTGTTGTTGTTGTTGTTGTTGTTGATGATGTTGCATGGCAGCTTGTTGTTGAGGATGAAGATATGCTATTTGTTGTTGATGATGTTGTTGAGATGACAATTGTTGTTGCTGTGATGGTTGAGGTTGAGGTGAAGCAGATGCAGGGGCTGAATGTTGTTGTTGTTGTTGTTGTTGTTGTTGTTGTTGTTGTTGTTGTTGTTGTTGACCACCCGCAGCAGCAGCTGCAGCAGCAGCTGGATGATGTCCACCAGGTTGAGTTTGAATGGGTGGATGATGTCCGCCGGGTCCAGGTTGAGTTGGAATAGGTGAATAATACATTTGACCAGTGTATGGGTTCTGAGTATATACGTATGGAACGCCATAATGTTCGTAACCGTGGTACATGTGTGGAGGGTACTGAGGCATTTGAGGTGCCTTGAGATAGTGGTTTTTGGTGCTCGCAGACAATGGGGGTGACTCTGTAGAGTTGCCTCCAGCGCCACCTGTGCTTCCTGAAGCCCCGCTTCCACTGGCACTCGAACTCAATGGATACCCGTTATATTTGTCGCCGCTAACATGGACGCCGGGGAAGTTGGGCGGATACCGCTTGGTGCCTCTGGGTGTGAGCGGCGCCAAGTCTGCCTCGATACCATACAACTGCTTTCCATAGACACCTTGGTAGTATTGGCTTTGGTTGAGTCCATACATACCATGGTACGGTGACCCCGAGACCATCTGGCTTGGATGGAGTAGTTGGGGTGCACCTGGGTGTAGGGCCGATGGGTGTTGTTGGGCTGCAGCCGAAGTTGACGAACCCAAGTGTTGTGATTGTTGGAGTGGTGAAGGCGATGGATGGTGTAGAGAGGAAGATCCAGACGTACTGCTGTGTATACTTCCATTAGATTGTTGTAATACTGCCGATGTGGTACTCGTCGATAAATGGTGTGGATGATGTGCTGATGCTTGTGCATGATGTTGTTGTTGTTGTTGTTGAGTCGCCACTTGTTGTGCTTGTTGTTGTTGCTGTTGTTGTTGAGATGGTTGTGGTGTAGATGAAGTTCCCATTGAAGAATGACTTATTTGTGGACTATTTGTAGTCGATGAACATTCACCCAATTCCTCATCATCATCTTCCTCTTCATCTACTTGTCCCTTTAATTTTTTGTTTCCAAATACCCTATTATACTAAATAAAGTAAAATAAAAGGAATGATGATTAATAATCTGTCCATCTATAATGTTTGTTTTTCCAAGTTTTTCCATCTTACATCATGATTTGTCAAATTCTTTTTAGAGTTTTCGGTACAATCAGTATATTTAATTAAAATTTTGTCCATATCTTTGGACGAGTATTGAAACAGTTTGCTGTTGCTACTAAATATGATGAGTGCAATCTCGCAATCGCACAAGATCGATAATTCCATTGCCTTTTTTATGAGTCCATTCTTTCTTTTTGTAAATGTTGCTTGTCTATTCCTTTCATTTACAATTTTCTCAATGGTAATTTTATTTCTTCCCACTAGAATTGTAAAGATAAATGAATGATAATGAGAGAGAGAGAGATGATATGATGAGTATTTAGAGATTGGATGATTGATTTTCCTTGAAAATATACATACTTTGAGATCTAGTCTATATATAATATAAATAAAAATAATATATGTATGTATTAATTAAAAGTTTTAAAAGTTTTTGATTTGCACCAAAAATAGAAATGTATAAATGGGTTATAGTAGTAGTATAGTAGTATTATAGTGGTGGTGTATATATAGAGTTTGTCAAAAAAGGGTATAAATAGAAAATTTACAAATTATGATTTAAATCATTAAATAGATAAGATATTATTATTACTGTTGTGATTGCTTTAATAATAAATTCGTACAAAGATATATAAATATATATAAATTATATAAATAGATGATTGGTGAGTTGATGAGTGGATGGATCTTGGTTTTTGTGTTTTTTTTTTTTGTTGGATCCAAGATTTGACGCTTCGGTATTAATAGTAGTAGTAGTACTAGTAGAAAGTAAGTTTAATAATCTAAAATAATATTTTAAAAAAAGAATTATTTTTGGGAGTGAGTAATTTAATGCATCCAATAACTATAAATCAATATCATTGAAACGTGATGGTATAAATAGAACAAACAAACAACAACAACTACTACTGTGTACCGGTGCTACAGCAGCAACAACAACAACAACATCAACAATATATATTCGTGAATCCATCCATCCAATCCATCAAATCCACTTATTATTATTATTCTCTCTACTACTTTCTTTTTTTTTTTTTTTTTTAATGTGTGTAACTCTGTATTACTATCCCCTCTCCCTCTCTCTCTCTCCCTCTCGCTCTCTTTCTCTTTCTTATCTATCCTATCCTCCTAGTACTATTATATATATTATTTTGTGTGTTTTGGGGTGGAGTCAGGTGGATGGACTATGTTGCAGTTGGTTCCATATGGAATTGCAGCGTAGCTAGGGATGGAGGGAACAGATATGAATTTTAAACAGGAACAATTTGACTTGACTCTATTGCTCCCCATCACAACAATTATATGATGGATGTTGACTTTCATCATGATGTGACAAGTATCTGTTTGGATGGAGGGGAGGATGGGTTATCGATTAGGGGTAGTGTGAAGGAGGGAGGTATCACACAACTTTTAGATAAAAACATTGTTGTTGTTGTTCGTTTCCAATTCACCACCGACTACACATAAATCATTCCAAAAACCGTATGCTGGTGCACACACACACTCGATGGGGGGTGTTTTCCTAGTTGATATGCTGAGTAACGCTTTTCTTCTAGTGAACTCCACGATCGTGTTGTGTTGTCGTTGATCCACTTCAATCCCAACAACATCATATCATATGATCACCTATTTTTAGGGTAACCATGTGATAATAATAATCCACAGCTGTGTTGCATGCACATAAAAGTAAGAAAGGTGGTTTAACTTCAAGTAAAATATCCTACTCTATCCACCACCACCATTGCAATGAATGAATGAATGAATGAATCTTCACTTCTTTCTTTCTTTTCATCTATTTGTTGGTTCCTGATGGTTGTTATTGTTGTTCCTTATTTTTTAAAAACAACACGATAATGATGCCACAACGACAAAGACACTGTTATGTTTGTTGACTTGATGATGATAATGATTAATAAACTATAGTTACCTACACTCTCTGTATTGTAGGTAAGGATTAGAGATGAGATTGATTGGTATTAGTATTGTTGTTGTTGTTCTTGTTGTTGTGTTGTTGTTGTTGGGTTCCAACAAGTACCTTTTTTTATGAATATAAATATATATTCTTCCTCAACAATATATACCTCTCTTGTTCTTTATATCTAATTCTCTTCTTCTTTTCTTTACTACACCGCTTTGCTGCTCATTAAAAAAAAAACACACCCATTTCATCACCAAGAAGCCCAATTCGCCCTTTCTTTGGGCGTTGCTGCATCCAAACACGACATTTATAAAAAAAAAAAAAAAAAAAGATGAAATCACACAACAAACCGACATTGTTTACACTTTTATAGACAATAAAAGATATAGTTTAGTTAAAACTTTATAGTCAACTACCAACTACCACCCACTCTTCTATGTCCAGGATATATATCATATATCCTGTGTGTGAGTTCATGTCATCATATAAGTACTACTACAGATAGTACCTAGTGAGGAGAGAGAGAAGAATGACTTATAATGTTATGTCTGAAAGACCATGGCATTCAATTCATGCCCACGATATAATATGCGTGTATGTGTATATATAGGAGCCCCCTCTTTTGTGTTGTGTGGTGGAATTTGATTTGATTTCGATTTGATTGTTTCTTTTTTTTGTTTTAAACCCTTACCTATAATTTCTGTCTGGTTGTTTTTTTAATCTATATTCGAATATATATGAGTGAACTATTAAAAGTATTGTTAGCACAATAAAAGAAAGCTCTATAATTAAATCGTCTATTTAAAAAAATAGGTAAAATTGGTGATGATTTGGCCTGTTCGAACCTTTTCCTCTTACCCCCATGTCAAGCAATCCAAACCACGAGATACCAATCAGCCGCAATCTGGGTGAAAAGCCAAATTTGGTGTCACCCACGAACAAACACACGTTTTGTCTGTAGATTTAAAGGGGAAATCACCTCAAATGGCAAAGTACCAGAGGGTTTTTTGGCAATGAACGGGCTTGTCACAACAAAAATAAAAGATAAAGGGGATTGGTGTAAATAATAAAGAGAGAGAGAGGATATGGGGGGTTTTGTTTTATTGATTGGGGTTACGCTTTTGTGTTTTGAGGAGATCGAGAAAAAAAAAAGTTTTGATGAATGATTGTATCTCTATTACCGTTGTTTCTTTTTCCTCCTCTTTAATTTAAAGGATCATAACCATTGCCTAAATATGATTGTGGATTTTGTCTCTTACTGTAATATGGCTCGAGGATTTGATTTTTAGGTTCTTTTTTGAATTGTGGAACCGCGGTTCCACTGGTACCGGTCAAAGAGGGGACGTTGAGTTGTAGAATATGTGTAAATTGGGGGCATTCGTTTAAAAAGTCTGGCAGTGTTCTCTTACTTCCCGATGTGTCGTTTGGTTGAACCAAATAATGTTTGATTTTGGTGGCAGACGACTGTGACGATTGATCAATACCACTGCCGCCATTGATATCTGTGGTACTGGTAGTGGCCGATGCCAACGATGGTGGAGGAGGAATGGCAGACGACGAGTTGGATAGAGACGACGACAAAGAGAGAGGGGATTCTTGTTGCTTGTCAAGTGATACATATGAAATTTCGAGTTGTCCGGCAAATGATTCGGAAAAAAGTATTACAAAGGTTCCTGGCTCTTGACCCTTTAGGATATTATTTACAGTTTCTCTTTTCAAAAACATAAAGATGAGACCATTTTGCCAGAGCGTCGATATGTGTCTCTTGTAACGCAACGTTTGCAGTGATTTGCCAAACCAAGACCAAAAGTGATCAAACTCTTTGTGATGAACAATCAATCTGGATCCAAAAAAGGTTGCATTTAAATAGAGGAAATCATAATTTGATAAGGGTCTTGTTGGTTGAATTGGACTCTGTTTGGTTGCTTTCAAAAAATGTTTTTGAAGAATATTTACAAAATTTGGCCATGTTATTTCAAACTATAAAAAAAAAAAAAGAAAAAGTAAGTATATTGATCAATATCTTGATCTTTATCTTTTTGTTTTTTGTTTTTTGTTTCTTTACCTTTTCATTAAATGATTCCTTTTTTAATAAAGTACCTTCACTACCTTCCCATTGACAATCGTTTGTAATGACAATAAAAGGCTGGCTTGAACCACTTGGAATATTAAAAGTATGACCATCGGTTGTTCTTGCTTGAAGTTGGAAATGTAATTTGACACATCCCTTACGTGTACCAGTAAGGAATTTGATTGGGAATTTGGCAGTTCCCTTGGACATGTCGAGGACTTGGGTATCCTTTTCAATGTGTTTTTTGAGGTGGTTGTTTTGAACGACATTTTGTGAGTTGGCACCACTATTCTTTCCTGTTCCACTACCACTGGCACCGCTGCCACTACCACTACCACCACTACCACCGGGACCAGTCAACGCCTTGGCATGGAAGGTCAACTCGGCTCTAATGGGAGAGAACCAAACAATATCTGAATTGGAGCCAGTCAATAGTTGCACAGTTAGATGATCCTCTTGAAGCTGTTTAAACTTGCTAATAACCATTGGGAATGGTTGTTTGGTGATGACAAGTGCTGTAGTGTGTGACGATGACATGGAGGCAGATGTTTGCTCTGGACCACCACCAGGACTGTTGATACGTGACAATTCGAGTTGGTAGATTTGCAATTGCTTCATTTGAATCTCGAGCTCTTGGTTGAGAATATCGAGTTTACACAGTTGGTTGGGTTCAAGGATAGTTTGAGAGTACATCTGGTTGAGAGCAGTCACTTCAGAGTCGATTTGACCATGCAACTTCTTTTGCTCGACTTGTAGTGTTGCATAGGTCTCTTCAATACGCGCCGTGTTGAGTGGAGTCGGTGCAATGTGACCCGTCAATATCTGATGGTGTTCAATGAGCAGTTGCTTTTGTGCGAGTGCCATCTTTTCCAACACCTCGTGTTGTTGGAGTTGGAGACGATGGATCTCGTTGAGTGTGGCCTCGTGGGGAGTGTCATCCGTGCCAGCAATCGACTTGAACAGGTTAGCATCAGACATGGGTGCTTCAATGGGTGATGAACTACCATTTCTAGGATCATCGTCATTTTCCGATGGAATACTACCACTATTTCTGATAATACCTCCACTACTCTTCATTGGTGTATTGTTTTGACTAAAGTCTCCAATTTCATCAGATGTATCTACATCTGTCTCTAAATCGGGTATATGTAATTTTTGTTGTTGTTGTTTTCTTAAAATCGTTGCAGATGATTTCAAAGAGTTTCCTTGTTGTTGTTGATCTTGTTCAATTTTAATGTTATTTAGTAGATTAAATGATTTCTGTTGTTGTAATTGATGTTGTTGATGATATGAATTATGAAGGTTATTATTTGTATTGTTGATGGTTAATAATGGTAGACTTGACAATGACTTTTTCTTTGGGTCATCCTTGTTGCCAAATTCTGATCTTCTCTTTTTGAGCTTTGATTGTTCTTCTTGAATATGACCAAGTGATCCAAATTGAGCAAATGGATAGTCACCACTCATTGGTAATGACGACGATCCATCTGCAGTTGTAGGAATAACATTATTATTATTACTATTCAGAGATGTTGCTGGATGACCAGGAACACCACCATTCAAATGATAGGGGATTGAATGCATAAATGAATCTTCACTATTTGATCTTTTCAACATTGGTTTACGTGATGCTGTCAATTCAACAAATGATCCCAATGTTTCTGCAACCAATTCTTCATCTCCTTCTGAATCAAAACAAAATCAAATCAAATCAAATAAAATAAAATATTAATATATCTATTCCTACTTTTTCTTCTTTTAATATCTTTTTCTTTTTCTTTTTAACATACTTTTCTTCTTTTTTAATAATAAAATGGATTTATCATTTAAAGGATGTGGTCCAGAAATATTTGAAGGACTTGGTGATTTTTGTATTATGTTGTTATTATTGTTGTTGGGAATCGGACTAAAAGAGTTGGATGGTGGTGTAAAGGTTAGTTGAGGTGGTGGTTGTTGTTGTTGGACAAGAGATGAAGGTGGAGGAGGTGGAGAAGTAGTTTGTTGTAAAATAGGAGTATTGATCTTTTGTTGTAACATCATCATCAAATATTCGTTTGATTTCTCCAACTCTTTCAATTTCTTGTTGATCGATTTATGATCTTGCCTTAGTTTCAAGTTTTCGTTTTGGAGAGTAGTGCAAGTGTCTTCAATTTGAGCTCGTTGTTTTTGCTCACGTTCCATCTGAGACATGATCTGGCCCATTTGCGACTCGTATTGTTTCTGTAGCGATTCAAACTTTCCAAAACTATCGATTGCGCTTGCTACCTTGCGATCAAACGATTTAAATTCCATGGCAGAGTGTTCATTTTCTGGCGATGACGGTGCTCCTGCGCCAGCTCCACTTCCCTCAGTGACTAGTACCATTGATGATGTCATTTGTTTCATACTGCCATGGTGATTCGTAGGGCTATTTGTAATGCTCGAATTGTTGCTATTGAGCAGTTGTTGTTGTTGTTGTTGACCATTATTAATATTATTATTATTGTTATAATTCCAATCAATAGAGTTTAATGATGGGAGTGAATTGGGATGAATTTTAGAGGTATTGTTGACATTGTTGTTGTTGTTGGTAGTAGTTGGATTGATCAATGTCGGAGTTGGGAGTGATGCCGAATATGAAATATCCATTAGATCAGATTGTGATTTTAATTTAGTGACTGATGGAATCATTGTTTTTTGTTGTAGTTGTCCTGTTTGTTGAATATGATGGTACTCTTCAATATTGATATTGGTTGATGATTTTGGTGGTGACAATTCAGCAATCGATTTGTTGTTATTGTGTTGATGGAAATTGGGAATCGTTGGTAGAGATGGTGATGATGAGGACGATGAGGATGACGAGGATGAATAGGACGATACGAATCCCCCGTTAATATTTGACATTTATAAAAAGAAGAATTTGGTTGGGTTGAGGTTATTATTAATAATGAATGTGTTGTTATTTACAAGATGGATTATATATATATATGTATTGGTTATTTGTATATATATATATATAATATTGGTTATTATAAATAGATAGGGGTTTGTTTTTAAGGATTTTCTTTCTTTCTTTCTTAATAAATAGATAGTTACTGTTGTTTTTTTTATAATAAAAAAAATTATATTATATATATATATATATTATAGATGTGAGATAATTGATATTGGATTTCCAATCAATTCGTGAAAAAAAAATGATTGGATATATTTATATATAGATAATATAGATATTGTTTGTTGTTGTTGGTTGTTGATGTTATCCAATAAAACTTCAAAGGTTCATTTTATAAAATGGATAGATGAATATTGACGATCGATTGAGATTGTGATTGATTTGATTGATTATTATATCAAGATAATAAATAAATATTGTCTCTACGTTTTTTGGAAAAAAAAAAAAAGAAAGTAATCTAAAAGTTTTTTGGAAAAATGATTTGATTAATATTAATATTAAGATATTCTTCTTCTTGTTTCTTTTTTGCCCTCTTATTACTATTATTATTATTATTATTATTATTAATATTATTAATATTATTATTATTATTATCGTTATGTTGTTGGTAGTGGTGATATTAAAGACGAGGAATAGAAGGAAGAGGAGGTGTAGAGAAGGAAATCCATATTATTATTGTTATTAATCTATTTTGTTTGATTGTTTGTTTGTTGTTTGTTTTTCTTATATTATTTATTATAATAATATTTTTTCAAAATTATTTGAATAAAAAAAAAATTTTAGAGTCAAACAGTATCAATATTCCCCTTTATGGATATGTAGTACTGTTCTGTTGGCACAGCTACTGCTGATCGATCATCCATCATCATCACCATACTCGTCATCAGTCACAAAAAAAGTAAATGAGCTCTCCTCTTGTCCATTAAAAATTTAAAAATGTGGGAAATACTAATATAATATTATCGTCGTGCTTCTGCTGCTGTAACAGCAAGATATTTGAATGAATGAATGAATGAATGAATTGTAGTGATTTGGTTGGGATTGGTGGATGACTAAAACAAATTGTTTTCTAATGTTCGAACACATGTTTTTGCAGATGACATATAATAATAATAATATTCAATCAAATTAACTAATAATTAATTATTACCAAATAAACAACTAATGATTATTCTTTTCTTGAATCATAATTCTTATTATTACTATTAATCTTGGTATTTACCCTTCTCTTTATCTCTCTTTCTCTATCTATCTATATCTCTCTGTCTCTCTTATTCGCTTTTCTCTTTTACTATTTTGTTCATTTATAAATTTCAAATAAATTCCACACGACAATCAATGGATTAATTATATTGGTTGGTGTTTTGGATTCCAAAACAAAATGTAATGTTGGTGTTGGTGGTGGTGACGGCCTGACCATCTATGATAGAAGTAACAAATTCAAACAAACAAATTAATCTATCTATATCTCTTTCCTTTGTAGTTTGTTGGTGTTGGTGTTGCTTGGTGCAGTACTTTCCTCTCCTCTTTAAACAACATTGATGATGAATAGGAGGAGGTGGTATGATACGCATTTTTAATATAAATGCTGAAAGTGTGTAGAGTGTGAGCTTGGAAAGCTCATTATTATAAAATGAGTAAATGGAAATCATAAATATTTGATGTTAATGGGGTTTTTTTTCTCCTCCTCTCCAACAATGACATTGTCATGCAACAATCCAACCCAAACCATCGACACCCCCCAATACACACACACACACACACACACAGACATAACAACACATATCGAAAACATATTATTAGAAAATGAAGTAAAGGAAAAAAGAGTGGTGCGAGAGAGGGAGAGATTAAAGTTTACTCTAACAAAGACAAAGAGCCTGTTTACCATATATACAATATTGTTGTGTATCTGTCTCTTAGACTAAATGTCATATGATTATTAGATTCGATTATTGTTGTTTTGTTTTGTTGTTGCTAATATTGAGTTTTCGAAAATGATGTGATGGTTGTTGCTAATATCAGATGAGGTGGGTGTAACTAACTGACTGACTGACCTGCTGACTCTTTACTGATTGATTGATTGATTGATTGAGATTGATTGTTTTCACTGCTACTACTATAGTTTTGGATTCATTTAACTTTTTGTATATGTATATATATGTATATGTATGTAGGATACTTTACCTCTTGTTTTTTTTTTGCCGTGGGATAAAGACGAAACAGAATATCTTGTTGCTGTTGTTGGCGGAAATCAGAGACAACAATGGGGGTGTGCTTGTTGTTCTTTGTTTAATTAATCTCTCTTTCTCTCTCAATGATAAGTGATATGTACTACTATATATATTATATTATAAAAGAATACTAAAAGAATAATAAAGAGTATTTTGTCTCTGATAGAGGGCTGCCTGCCTGACAGAGAGAAAGAACGAAAAATTTCGATGAATTCAAATAATTGTGCAGGAACGCCATTTTAACAGAATTTTTCGAGTGAAAACCAAAACTTGCCAAAATTTTCTGTGTACAAGTGAGAGACAGAGCGACAGAGCACTCAACCGCAACATGTCCGCTCGAGAAAGCTGCCGAATCCACATTATTCTTTTTCTTCTCCTTTTGGTCTGACAAGCTTGTCCTCCCCATCCTATCTAAGATAACGACATGATCATCGGTAATTTGGCGGGTTGGCAGTAAGGATCTCTCTCACTCTATCACAGCTGAGCATATGTTGGCACCTACATACATACATACATACTGCTGTACTATACTATACTATAGTATAGCATGCTATACTTTTAAGTATGTATGTATTGATATGATAGTATCTATACTTGATATATATTTGTGAAGTAAATAACTACTTGATTGATGGTTGGTTCATTCATTCATTCAGGCAATTTGTGCTTCTAAGATAATATTAAAAATTTGGTCAACAACCCTACTTTAACCGACCGTGGTATGGCATCGAATAGCACAAAAAAAATAAATAAAAAAAAGATGAGGATCAAGTTTTTATTAATAACTTTGAGTTTTCAAACATTCAATCTTCTTTCCCTCCCTCATTTTCAATACTCACCACGCCTCTGGTTTTACATTATTTATTTATTTATTTATTTATTCTTTTTGTTGTTTGTTATCTATTATCTATCCGTCTATCTATTTGTTTGTTTTATTTATTTGTTTGTTTGTTTGTTCATCGACCACATGAATATATCATCTATCTTTATCTTGTCTTCTCATTCCATACTAGTATCATAGCTTACAACAATTACACAACTAAACTGAACCGACCGAAACAACACTTCTATACTATACTTGACGACAACATCACGATCTCGAAACAATGTATAAACCAACACATCATCATCATCACAACAATGACACATCATACAACAACAACAATGCATCTGCAGATGCATCAACTTGGGAAGAAGCAGGAAACTATGGATCCACCAACAACAATAATAATAACAACAACAATCAACAACAACAACAACAACATCAACACCAACAACAATCATTTGTACAAATGCCTCCAGAGTATGTATCCTCATAATTGTTGTGATTGCAAATGAGATGAGACAGCACTACACTACTCGACATTTAGATTTACTAAATCTATTTACACTTGCTTGCTTGCAGATTATACTATGGCAATAAATATGGTAAATTCCCTCCATCAGGAGCTTATCAACCCATAGGATTAGTATCGCCACCCCCTATTCCATACGGGGCAATTCCCTATTCGATGCCACCTGTGCCCATCCAGGCCTCACCAATGCATCCATCCAACAGAAAACTTTGCAGATTTGCAGAGAGATGCAGAAATGGCGATGATTGTCCTTATTACCATCCCCCAAAACAACAACAACAGGGTGGTAATGCATCGGCAATGAATCCACAGAATCTATATATATCCAATGCCCCAGGGGGAGGACCCACCGGCGGCGGCGGCGCTGATATGTACAGACCACCCATTTTACAACCAGCAGCAGGATTTCAACAAGGTTATTATCCTACCACAACACCAGTCGCATCGGGCGGAGCAATCCCACCCTATGCAGTTGGTGGCCCTCAACCTCCATCCCCACAATCGGCTGGAGGCTATTATGTATATCCTACTTCAACTCAACCACCCCCACCAAGAGGTGTCTACCCACCACCACCACAGGATGCAATGCATCCATTCCATCCAAACCAAACCGTAAATATCCCACCACCACAACACCACCAACCACACCATGGTCCTCATCAACCACCACCACACTACGCACCAAACAATCATCATCATCATCATCATCATCAACAACATCAACAACACAACAATAACAATAATGACCAACAACAACAACAACCATTATCTCCACATCAAACAACTACTGTCGCCACCGTTGTTGTTGCTCCACCACCACCACAACCACAAGCAACCTTTATTTCAATGACTGCTGAACAATTGATCCATCAAGCAGCATCATCATCCAATGTACCTTTAAATGCAATCCCAACAACTTCAAACAACGCTGTAAAACATCAACAACAACAAGAAAATCAAGTTGAAAAGGAAAAGGAAAAAGAAAAAGAAAAGGAAAAGGAAAAGCCAAAGGAAGTGGTCAAGGAAGTTACACCAAAAAAGCAACCACAAAATGAAGCAACAGCTGCTCTTGTCAAGACTCCAAACACAACTCCACAATCAAAACAATCAAAAAATAATCAACAACCACAATCATCACCAGTTACACCACAATCAACTCAACCACAATCATCATCGTCATCATCACCTGCAACACCACAAGATCCATCATCGATTGCATCAATGTCGTCAATGATAAAACAGTTTTCGTTAAAGGACAACATCAACAACAACCCAACCTCTCCAACCAGTGCAGAGTTTATCGCTTCGACTACTACCACCACCACCAACACCTTGACCACCACAACCACCACAACCACCACTACAACCACCTCGTCACCAAAGCATCCAGATCAACAACCATCATCCTTTATTACAACCACCACTACACTCTCACCAACATCACCACACCAACACGGTCAATATCATAGAAAGAACAGCGGTTCTGGAAATCCATCGTCATCATCGGGAGGATCTCCATACAATGGAAACAAAACATCTGGAGGAGGAGGAGGTTTCAACAAAACAAATAGTCCAAAAGGAACTCATAAAGGAGGTTTTGAAGATCGAACCAAATCACCAAGCGACAAACCAAAAAGAGATCATCATAATTCTTCCCCATCAAGTTTTTCAAAGAGAAATAATAATAATAATAATATTTCCAATCCTTCAGTTGTATCATCTGTTCCACCAGCATCACCCACCACTGCTAATACTAGTTCAAAACAATAAAAATAAATCATTCGTTTTAGAATTAAATAAATTAAAAGATTCCAGGATAATTTGATGAGTGTCGACGAAAAAAAAAAAAAAAAAAAACAAAAAAATACATAGTAAG